CACACACACATACGTAGCCCCTACATAGGAGCTGGCTGTGCACTTACATCCAGGACCGTCCCTCTCGATCATCACACGGTATCTATGCACGCGCAGCACAGAACACCGCGGCTCTGCACCACCCCGCTGCACCACTGGCAGTCCTGGAGGCGGGCCGCAGACTTGCTTCTCCGTTCCCTCTCGCAACGGGCATGGGTGTGCGCCTGCTAACGTGCGCCGATGAGTTCCAATTACATACGAACAGGCTATCGGCCCGCTTCACAATTAGCTTGGGGCAATTATTCATGACTGAGAATACGCTATCAAGCCGCTCGTCCGCATCGGGAAGGTCCCCCAAGGGATTGATTATGCACTCGGTTCACGGGATTCATATCCTCCGGGTTCATTAATTGTAGAGGACTTTAATTAGATTGGCTAGTTACATCCCGTACCTGCGGAACATCCCGTACGAGCGCCTACTGTGGACCCTACTCGTACCATGTACATGCTCGCCCAGTATGGGCTCCAGAATGAGCCAAATCGCGATGGCCTGATTTTATCCACGCTGGCAGCCTTGTCCTCACGTCTTAGAGTGTTTTTGTTTTGGGTAGGAAGGCTTCCGCAATAATGATAAGGCAATATCCCTGCTGACTGGCCGGCTCGGGAAGTCAGGGCTAGATATGCAGTATCATACCTGCCTAGAAAACATGTGCACAAGTTTTAAACACTTGTGATCTGAATCTCGATTGACCTTCTTGTGGGATGCCTTGAACTACTCGAACTTTGCCGTCCGTATTTCACAATACATACTCCGTCCGCGCGGGGCACCGTTGATACTGGTCGTGACATCTCAGAACACATCTCGATATCACTGCTCGGAAGGATTGCCGCTATGACCACAATGGGCCTTATGCTGGGCTAAGCTAAAGGAATTGCCCTAGGAATCGGAGCGTCCGAAGGAGTTTCAAGGAATAAATTAGGATTTCGGGGGGCCTCAGTCCTTTCGAGAATTTCTGCGGCTAAGTTTGTTACTCGCAACGGAATGGAACTACCTGCCAGAGTACTCCGTACTCCCTACCACCAGCATAGATACTCGTATGCACCACATAGATCGGGCAACGCAATATCTGTCTCGATTGGCCCAACACAAGGCAAACAGGGCGGGGGGCACAAGATCCACCTTAAACTCCGAAAGCATGTCAGCGTTCAAGGGATTCGCCGGCCTAAGGATTAGTTTTCCCCGCTGACCAGGTATCCTGCTGAGTTGGGGAAGGAAACTCTTGGTGTTTCTAGGGGAAATCATTGAACAGAAGTGACAGTGGGCCGAGGGCCCTTGGCTTCTGGTCCGACGCTCCCACTTGTCGCTTTCTTTGCTGGTCTCGACCCACGGTTTTGAGCCTTACAAGGCTGAACCTGGAGGGATCCAGGGCTTGTTTTCAGGGCCTCTTTGAGGCTGACTCCCGAAGTTGCCGACCGAGGCGAACGCCCCCATATAACGTATCCAGCACATGAACTCTTCCTGATGGAATGGATCGTCAGAATGAGCTTTATGAGTGGGGGTGATGACGAGTGGTCTCTTGGAGGTAGGTACGAGTACACTGCTCATCTATCGGCCTGCCAGTGATAACGAATCCAAGCGAACATCATCTTTTTAGGGCCACCACCGGTGGTCCACCGGTCAATTCATTCCTCTTGCGAACATTGAACTCCATGTCGTTTACCTTTCTTGGTCTTGGCATACTGGGGGGTTTCATGCTCGCACAGAAGCTGCATGAATACGAAAGCGGTAGGATTGAGGGGATGGCGGGCAACGACCGCCATCTTTCAGACTTTGCCCGGGAAGCGAGTAAGCGTTTCAAGCGCAAGGACAAAAAGGCCTTTGTCACAGTAGTTCCTTCTCGTCGGGAGCACGGCGGGGTAAGTTCGTCTCTGCTATTTTTCGAACAGCTGTGGTTGGTTGGTAGCATTGCCGAAGCCAAATCCTGGGTTGCCAGAAGATACTTGGAGTCAGGCAACCAACACATCCCTGAGCAGACCTTTTAGAAGGTTTCCTTCCAGCCACGGCTAGCCGAGGCGAACTGCTTAAAATAGATGAAATCGGTGCCGTATGCGCCCGAAACGAGCATAATCAAGTATTTCTTGTGAGCTGGCAGCACCGTTGCTGGATCCTAGGGCCAAGAAAGATATGTGTCCATACCAATAATATGTGGCCCAGGGAGCCTTGATGGAGATCCTCAAGAATCTGAGCCATGCCGTATGCATTCCTGCTCCAGACCCGAGAGCTCGCGCAATGTGCCTCCTTGGCCTCTGTCATTGTACAGCACATTGTGTGTGTAGTCGAGGCCCACTGGACGCGGTGAACAATACCCTGTTTGGGTCAAGGGCGGCCGTGGGAGCGAAAAATGCGGCCATGATGTCTGCATGCATTTCTAGGCCAAAGTCCCGAATGAAGGAACCATTGTACATTTTGTGAAGACCTCAAATAGCTGAAGGGTCGTTCCGCCTTCTGTCAGCATGGATCATTGACGGACGATGTGAATGATCAAGAGGATTGACTCTTCCTCGGAGCCAATAATGGGTTTTGGAAAGGAGGTTCGTTCGCCGGGAGATGGACGTGATCTCTGCAAGGAACTAATGCTAAAGTAAGCCGAATTGGACGGGAAAGTGATTTTCTCGGTCCCAGGATTCGTAGAAGGAATATCTCGCAATACCCTGATCTATGCACTCTATACGTATGACAAGCGCAGCCACACCATGTCATCGGTGGGCGCACCCTACTTCTGATTCTGTTCAAACTTTGTATCTTTCGGTGTCGACTTGAACGATCCTTCCGGCTTGCCGTCAGAATGCATGATTCGCGAGAAGGAGGCCATCCGATTGTGGAGACCAAGTCGGAAGCCGCATTGCTGCTCGTGTTATTGAGTATGGGCTCCTTTCCCCGTTAGCGAAGAGCTAAGTCTCAACAAGTGGCGAGAAAATATTTCTTTTGCTCTCCTCCTCATGATGATCTCACTTAGCCTCGCAGCCTCGTAGATCCTACCGCCCAATACGAGGCGGTGAAAGTGCGATTCTGAGGAAATTGTTCCACAGTTCGTACTCGGCTGGATCCTGAGACATTGTGGGCGCTTTTGCGAGCAAGAGCATGTCTATTGCGTCTTATCCATGTGCAATGCGGCTGGCTGACGTCGTCTGAAGTGCAGAGTACCTCGTACAGACAGCAATTGGTGGAATGAGAAGGTTGGTTTACGGTTTTCGGGGGCCGGGGTTTGCGGAGGGCGAGGTACCACAAGCACGTCCCGACAACAATGGCAACGACCGACCATCGGGACCTGCTACGGCAGATTGACGCCCAGTATAACCATGCCCATTTTATTGGAGGATCGACGTAAAATTAATGGAGCAGACCGGGGTGGCAGGCAGATTGGAAAGGGGGTGATTACTCATCTCCAAAACCGAGTATACACTTGAACGCTGGAACGTACTGTTGAGCCCAACAACCAGCCGCCCGCCAAGTTCGGTCTACGTCTCTGTGGTAGGTTCGGAGCCCATCTGCCAGCTGCTCTCTGACTCGTTGCGCACACCACGCTGCTTTACCTGGAATGTGTCATAATTTCATAAAGCTCATATGGTTCCCACTGGATGGGCTTTCGCATGAGCCTCACCGGAAAACCGCCGTTGTTTTGCGCCAGGGGAGTCTGAAAGCCTCAAAACGAAAGAGGGTGTGCCGAGTAACCAGGTATGCTTACTAGTAGTTCTTTACCTGCCCAAGCAAGGTTGCCACTGGAGTCCCGAGGTCGAGGTAATCGTTAAGCGTGTCAACTAGTCCACTGGGCCCTCTTTTTAATCCATTTACAGTAAATGGTTCTTTGGCAATCGACATTGGGGCCTGTTCTACGGAGGATGCATTCGCGTGATACCCGTGAGCTGGCACACTGAGATTCGCACTAAGCGAGGAAGGCGCGTACTTACCCACCTGGGTAAGTATTTAGATATTTTTTGGGGATGACTATTGTGGCTGGACAGTCTCATCTGGACGAACCAGTCTTGCAAAGCTGGCGAGCTGGCCTGCTTACTCCTCTGGATAAATCACCGGTCGGTACATGACCTCAGGGACCTTGGAGTGGGCCTATCGTGTGTATTTAGTGCGGTGGTTCAACGCTGTTATTGCACAGAGACTTCATGGTCATAGGTTTCCGGCCCCTCCACGCCTCATCCCTGGGGGGAGTCGCACCGCGGGGTGGTGCTGGCGTAAGGATGGATCTGCGGTCGCATCCACGACGCCCTTGGCGCCCCTGTCTCCGACATCTTTGCTATCAGTCTCAATATTGTTCATCGTAGCGGGTGAAATCCTCCTGACAGGCACTTCATCAACCCTCCCTTTCCCCACACCAAACCCGGGGGTGACCCAGCCACCACAACTACAACGTAGACCTTGCCATGCAAACTTGCCGACGTTGGCCCCACACTTTGGGTTCGGGCACGTCAGACGCCCGTCCAGCGTTCCCTCAGCAAGCGTGCTCTTCATCCATGACAGTGGGTGCAGGAAGATGTGTGCACATGCTTCGTTAGCTGTTGGGTCACGATGCGGTGGAGGCAAGTGACGGATGATGAAGTTCGATTTTGCAAGCAGCCGCCGACATTTGCGGCACTTGATGTCCACTTCTGCCACATGCTTCTGTGTGGTGTGTGCGCCGAGCTCGGATGTTGAAAACATCGGGTCTGTGATCTCAGGATCCGGATGGTCTTCTTTCGCCTCACAACGTCGTCTTTGTGCCTCGCTTTCTCCATCTACTAGCTCGTCCTCGCCGTCATCTTCGGCCTCCTCATCGCGCCAAGTAATGTGCTCAAGTTCAGGGGCGCGGTTCACGCTGAGGGCGTCCATCACACTTCGTGAGTTCATCCATCGCCGATAGATCTTGTGTTTCTCGAGCTCCTTCTGTGTCGTTGGGCAGCCCATCTCGACGTACATCCGCAATTGTTTGATGAAGCCTTCGTTGGGCTCGACCCGAGGTCGCCCCTCACGGAGCAGAGCCAGTGCTGACTCAACGGAGAGCGGGTTTGGTGGTAAGGGCACCATTTCCGACTCGGTTGATAATGGCATAGACGTAGTTTTACGCTGGAAGTCTGTTGTCTGAGGCTGTCGTGATCGCCACAACAGATAGGCCAGAACTACCGTGGCGGAACGAGAGACTCCCATGGCGCTGCAACCAAAACGTCAGCATTGGTTCCAAAGACAGAAAGCTGCTTATAACATCCATAGTTTGATTGAATGGCAGATGATAACGAAAGGTATGTTGAAACGAACAGAAACATATGGATCTCACAGCCTGCTATACACGCCGTAGATTGAGCGCGCCTTTTAGCGGTGTCGAAACTCATGTCATAAGCTAGGCGAGGGTCAGCAGTGCAGCCTTATAGGGCTTTAGGGCTGAACGTGAGCACGTGGTATTAAGGTCACGTGAGAAAGCCACACAAGTTCGTGTCAGTGTCTTGGTGATGTTCCAGCTAGGCGCCCATCGCTCAAGCTACACAGACAAAGAATGCAGTCATACCTATCATTCCAACAGAGCCCGCGCTTGCATTTTTGACCCGATTTGGTGTAGTTTGATCATGAATGCCGACTCAATCAATGCCGCACGCCTGAAGATCTCGATGTGGCGATCTTCCAATTTACGATTCAGCTAAGCCGCTAAGGAAAGTGATTCAGTTGGTTGCGTGTGACCTACCGAGCATACCTTGTAAAGCGACATATTTTTAGATGCACGAAGCAGCTGGCGGAGCTTGAGTCGTAAATTTGAGGCATTAGTTGGTCTGAGGCAGACGCTAGAGCTGCCTTAAGCACACAAGACGAGATGAGGGAAAGGGCCGAGCCTCGACGGATTTTTGCTGGATCACGCGGGCAAAGAAGAGCAGGGAATGTGAGCCAAAAGAATGAGAGAGTTTCAAGACCTACCAATGAACGAGGACACCGCTTTGATGAGGCTTTGCATCCGCAGAGTCGAGGAGGTTGGCGGCATCCAAGGTCTTCCTGCAGGCCCAATAGTTCAGACTGTCATGGATAAATGCGTTACTTCGAGGGAAATACTCCAGAATATTTGAGTCGTAGACATCATCGAGGGGAATCTGGAAATGTTGAAATCCCCGTATGAGTGGGGAGTTTTCCGCGAATTTCCAATCCACTGCTGAGACGATATGTGTAATGTTGGCTGCTTGAAGTTCTTTGTGACGGCGTAAGGCTGTGAACCTGGAAAAAGTTGGGAGTTAGTCTCACTCGTACTCGCTTCGAAGAGTGGTTTCGACGCCAGCTTAGCAGGATACTTTGCTGAATCCAGACGCTCCTAGAATGCGAAGGCCAACCACGGAGTAGTGGGTGATAGAAAGGATCAACTTACCCATCGATGTAGATGTTGAAACCCGGGCACTTGCTGAGTGGGGTCGGGGTATCCATGCTTGATCAGAGATGGTGCAACACACAAGCAGATTGAAACGGTATTCGGCAGCTTCTTATGCCGTTGTCCTGAGCTAAGACTTGGGCGGTGTAGAGTGGGATGTGGATGGAACAGGGGGTGCAGGGTTCAGTCCCTCGACTGAAGGCCGACTTGAATTAATGAATCCTGGTGAGTTCGACGGTAGAGCAACCGGTCGAACGGAGAGACCAAATGAGATGCGGTGTACAAGGATTCCCCTTTCCCTCATTTAGAATTGATCGGGGTGAGGCCACTGTTACCATAGGATGAGATCTGGACTAGGTTGTTATGTACCAGGGAGGTGGTTGTGGTTGAAAAGATGAAGAGATGAAATATCGAGTGAGTGCCAAGAGCAGCAATGCAGGGCACTGCGAGTAGATTCTGAGGATACCTAGGTACCCACAGACCCTAGGCCGGGTAAGCTGCGCCTATGTTTGTTGAGGTGTACCGAGCAGTACCGAGTATTGCGGTCAGAAGCCTGGCTATTGGGGGGCCCGAGGGCCGCCTGGCTGTGACTTGTCACTTATTCAGCTTCCTGTTTAAGCCTGGAGGAGAGACTAGCAATTGAGTCGCTTGTACGGAGTAGGTACAGTAGTACCCCAGGAATAGTTAGACTCTCCAGGAAGAAGCGCCTGTACTTGCCCGTAGCCGCACAACCGAGGCATAAAGCTGCTCAGAGTCTAACTAGCTTCTAGTTAGTCGCCTACTAAAGGGTCTCCTGGACGCCTTAAGGACTGGTCTAGTCATTGCGCTAGTGTGGCCTCCTACGCACGAGTACTCCATATTTACTCCTCGTAGGAAGAGGTCTGTGGATGAAGCTCGCAGTCTCACGTAAAGGAGATGATTGGTTCCGGTCTCAAATCGCGCTGGGTGAATTTAAATTCCACACAGCTATCCAGTACTCCAGATGCTGGTCGGGCCTTGTGACTAGGACTCGAGTTTGTCCGTTACTTTAGTAAAATGGCTGTTTAATGGCCGTAAATGATTGACAAGGGTGTGTTTGACAAACGTCATGACACTAATCACTTTTAGAGGCTTAACACTGCCCTAGATGCTAGGGCACTTGGCGCTAAGCTACTTTACCTACATGAAAATTTACCAGTAAACCACTTTAGTATTGATGCTTAATATATTATATGAGTACTCGTATATTCACTAAAAAGGACCCACAAATTCGAATTCCTAGCCATAAATAACAGAACATTAATGTTTAGCATAAATACCCAGACTTCTTGGCGCCCAAATAAATGACAGAAATGTCACGTCTTGTTTGCCACACGAACCCTACAAGCTGTGACTTAGTCAGATCTTATTCTGAAAGAAAGTCCCGACTACTTGTTCAGGATATTCCATCTTAAATAGTAATACCTACGAGTAGATCATCTGGTCACGTACGAGAGTGGTTGCGTGCTGCTGCTTGCATCATAATCACTAGCGGTACCCGATGGTATCCCATGTGGGTGCCATGTTTCTACTCGATTTTCGGTACTCAACTTGTATGGTGGATATTCTGGAAACACGTCCCTCCTTTTCTCCTTCTCTCCATACCCTGGGTGCCTCCTTCTGTTTCCGTAAGAGCCCCTTCTCAGAGGTCAAACAGCAGTTCTAGTTTATCACTACCTGCCGTACTTGGTAGTTACGCATGTCCATACGGGGACACATTATTCCGTATGGACGCATCTCCAGGGATCATGCTTTGATCAAATCCAAGCGTCGTCGATAATGGGATGTCTGGGGTGCATACTCCCATACCGACACCATCTACCACGAGCCGACACTCCACTATACCGGGTGCTTCGTACTTAGTACTTAACCGTACTCTTCCTCTTACTCGTACAGCACGTAATCGGCCATTGATCCGTTTACCCATTTACCCAGGCATCCATGTCCAATCGCCTATCCTCGGCGATATACCTGTTTTTGAACGTTTGCTCCGTTCTCCAACCGATCCTCTTTTTGTGCAGACTTCTTTTGGTCTTCCATCCACCAGCAAGCTTCCTACTTGTACGCCGGTCAGGTTGCTGCTACAAATCCCGGCCTCTTCCATTCATCGACCCGTACCAGCCTTGTCATCCCTGATTGCCTCAAAGATACCCTACGGAGCACCATCCTCCTGAATATCCACCGTCCGTTTTGGCCATCATCACCTGAAACTTGAGCCTCCTTTCCGCCCCAGTCTATCATTCATTCGCCTCAGAGAATGCTACCAGGTAGAAGTTTCCCAGACACGGTGCTTACAGAACCGAGGAGACTGCAGCCCGTACTCCTTTCCACTATGACCAACCCTCCAGGTAAATTCCGCAACTAACCTCGCCATCACCCTCGCTTGAAGGCTTGTTGCTTTATCGAGAAGTCAGGGCACCGTCGATTGCTACTGTACTCCGTACTGTACGTACTTTGGCAAATCAACTCGACAGGGGTCAGATTGAACTCATGCAGTTTCGGTATCACAACTTCACAGAACAGCATCCCTCCTAAGTCGATTGCCACAACTCTGCTCTGAACTAGTGCACACAAATTTCCCGTACAGATCGATCCTCTGCTCCCAGTGACACAGCGGCGGGGAAGGCGCAGAATTCCGTTCCCATGGCCAGTTGAATGCGAATACATTCACTAGCGAGTGCCTTCCTCTTCGTTTTCCAAAGTCAAAGAGAATGTCATGGGACGCCCATCGTTGAAGAGAATAGGCAGTGATTCGGTGTGGGTGCCACCCCATATCCAGAAGCAAGGGATTGGCGGGATGGCTATACCCTCCGTATTCAAAGGACCATCTGATCATCCTGCTCCGCGGTCAGCATTCAAAATTCAACACGACAAGTTTGACCTATGACGTGAGCGCGCCTGTTCAGAGTGGACAGGCGTTTCTCACGGCCTCCAGGATTACGACAGTCTAACCTTGTCGGGAGAATGCTGTCTCCCTCGAAATGAACTACCGACCATGATCCTGGGAAAATGCGGCGTTCTTGGCGTCGGCCAGTACGATCATGCAGTCTACAGTCACAAGTTCACAACTCACAAGTCACCGACGGCCTGCTCACATCCACCGGTTCTATTCCTGGATGGCTGGGCGCCGGCAGAATGTCACATTCCGAGGTGTACCACTATACCACACGGGAGGTGTTTGTTGTTTGGGATTTCAAGTTCAAGGTTATCTGTGAAGCAGGAGTCCTCGTAGTTTCCACATCCAGTCGGCATCTACGAGGTATTGAATACTCGAACTCCGTACTACTTTCCACAAATGGTCGAGGTCGGACTCCGTGCTCAGGGCCGTGCACATAGGTTGGTAGGGCTTAGCGCTTAGCTAGGTACTTTGGTACAGAGCACAGAGGCACTAGGTACTAGGTACTTACTGCGTCGCAAGATGTATCCGCAGCTGCGAGAAGCCTACTCGTCAGCAAGAGGATCGCCACATCCACGACCATAAGGATGAATCGGATGAAATTGTGGGCAGGTCACGACCAAGACTAGGTTGGGTGGCAGACGATCTCTACGAATCATCCCACTTTGACAGTCAAAGTATCAGCCCGCCTCGCACAGAGTTTTCGTGCAGATGTCCGGCTGCTCCGTATACCGAGTACACGTAAAGAGAAGTCATTGCGTCGTTCTTGCTGGTCTCATAGGGCTAACCGTCCGATGCACAAGTCAGCCAGTCCCGTGTCTTGGAGGTAGTTAGTGGGTGGTGGGCAGTCAGTCTCCGAGCGGGACGGTGGGGCAGACCTGTAGCTTGACAGGGATACGAGCTTTGGAGAGTGCTTTTCTCTGTCGGACCAGGACGTCGAGGTGAAAGATATACTCCGTACCATCCGAGGTGCTTGATTCCTTCACTTACTCGCAGTATCTAGCTGGGTACGAGTTACGGAGTACTCGTACTGTTAGGCGAGAAGGATAGTGATAATGCTAAACGATACTGAATACCTAAGGCGACTTCTTCTCGCGTCTCGTCCAGCTCATCCTGTCCCCATTCAGCAATTGATCTCATAACACCATGGAACTGGTAAATCACTTCGCGTCTCGACACAGTCGCGCTCAGACCAAGGGGTTTACTAGCCACAAGGTACGGAGTAACCTGAAAAGGACGATCGGTCCGTCAAGGGCAATGACAATTCTGTTGATGACTGATGACTGATATGGCCAGTGCTCTGTATTCTACGGGACCATGAACTCCTCCGTATGGTGGTATGTAATCGTACGATGGTGGTATTGTATGTATCACTAAGGTACTCCGTACTAGGTATGTCTGGAAAGGTGTGCGATGTGGGAGCGGAAGGCAAAAGACTTTGGACGGAGCAAGGCACTCTTCTCTCCGAGGTTCCATTAAAGCAATAATAATAAATGGGTCGACAGGATTTTGGGGCCCAGAGGACGAAGGGGGTGAGCGAAAAGGGGACCCCACCCGGGCGGCAGAAGCCTCTTTGACACGCTAGAATCTGCCTTCTCGTAGGGCTGAACCTGAGGCAGACGAGCGAGTGGGTGAGTGGTGAGCAGGAGGGAGGAAGGGGTGGGTAGTGCCGTAGACTGGGTGCGGGAATACGTCGTGGAGCGGCTGGGCAAGGCAATAGGGTTCACCGTAGCCTATCTAAGGGACGTAAGGACGGCTTCGGCCTGCCCATAAACCAGAACAGGGGCGTGGATCGCATGGCCTGATGGGCCCCTCAGGCTCGGGCTTGGGCTTGGGGAACCTGACATGGGCACAGACACGAAGCAGCTAACCAGGCTCGGGCTCATGCTGGGGCTCGCGCTAGGGCTGGCGTGGGCAAGGATTCAGGTGCCCATGACCAGGGGTATGAGGGGCCAAGCAAGCATGGGCGAGGGCGTGGACATTGGCACGTATGCATGCAACACGGCGGGAGCAAGTGCAAGTGGCTGCTCCATACAAGCTGGGTTCGTCTGCCCGGAGTGCCGACTCTGTGCTTTTGCGGCCTCACAAACTAACAAACTAACAAACTAACAAACTAACAAATTAACACGGCCAGTTTACGAGTAGGGCTTCGTTCTGCAGTTCTCCATTCTCCATTCTCCATCCTCCATCCTCTATGCGGTGCTCGCTTTGCCTTGCTGCAACGGGTCAGTCGGAACTGTTCCTCCAATCCCCATCCACAGACATCGCCTCTGGCTGTCGCAAGAGTTAAATCCGCAACACGCTGATGAGAGGACGCACCTGGGGCGGCCGGTCATCTCATCCCATCCTGCATCCCATCATCAGCTAAACAGCCGTGGAGGACATCATTGGCAGTCCGTACCAAACACCATCACCCTCACCCTCACCACCTGTACCAACACTATCACCACCACAACCACAACCATGTCTTTGCCATGCGCACGACTCGTGCCACTCCCGTTTGCTGCTTGCCTGACTCTTGACTGATACGCTACGCTCTTCTCTCTCCTCCGTTACTTCCTCATATGCCCGCTGTCTCCTCTGACTGGTCCTCTGCCCCTCTACCTCTTGACTTTTGTTTTACATACATGGCTTGAGAGTTCGAGAATCTACTTTCCCTCGCCCTGTCCTTACCGCCAAACCACACTCTACCCACTCAATGACCATAGACGACTTGCCGCGGCCCTCTCCAGTCGATTCCCTCGAGGACCCAGTATACATACGTGGTGTTGCGTCCCACCCGAGAATCATAACGGCCAGACCCAGCTGAACGAACCTCAGCAGAGCAAGCAACCTACAACACTCGGTCTCCGCGGTGCCAGTGCAGCCTCCTGAGTCCCGAGTCCTGACCCTTTGCCACTGTCAGTTGTAGTCAAGTTCGGGCTCCATTCCCACGGTCTACAATCCCACTCGATCCTGTGTTGCCTCCCAATTTTCCGATGTTGCAGTGGCTCTGAGACAGAAATATGGATATCCATAGGATTCCCACCCACGCGGTGCGCACACCCTCTTACAGAAACGATGCTGCCACGCCTCGAGCCCCTCGATCAAATTCCCAGACATCGGACGACTCGGTGCATCCTCGCGGCGCCATGACTATCCCGGGCGCTCGGTTCGACGACGCTCCCCCACCTCTCCCACCCCCTCGCTTTAATGAAGAGTTGGCTCATGGAATAGACCTTGCTTGGAGTTGGGGGAATAGCAATCCTTTTCATTACAACAAGAAGCAGTTGGCACCTATTCAGCCCGGCTCCAGTTTGTATGGCAGTTATCGAGAGCCTCCGAGGCCCTCAGCTTCCCTCCACGCTCCCGACGACATGGACCTGGATGACGAAGAAGACAATCGCCGTGGAAGCACCGTCTCGACCATCAGGTCACCGTCTCCCGCGGAATTTCGAATCGGTGGCCATATACCTTCCTTAATCAGAAAGCCGCCTTCCCCTACGAGTACACCTCTTAATCACAGGTTAGTCAGCCGCCCTCTGATTTGTACACACCATACCCGACTGCCGGTGTGGAGTATTCTCTATCAAGCTGTCGGAGCTAGTGCTTTCCGTCGGCGTTGCAGTTCTCGCGCGCCAGGGTTTCCACTGATATTTTAGTTGTTTTGTGCCTTGTGTTTTTGGGGGCCAATTTGCCGCCCGTTAGCTCCGAGCGGAAAAAGGCAACAGCAGCTGACACTCTATTCTATTTCTAGATTGCATGGCGAAATGCCCCTGGCGCAACAGAACATCAACCGTTCATCTCAAGCCTACGACCAGAGCGTTCTTTCCAAGATTGGAAAGTCGAACTCGCCTCCACGACATCAAAGGTCAGGTTCGACTGAATCCACTACCTACGCACAGAAGCTTTCTCTACAAATCAAGGATTCCAAAGGACTAGTCCCATCCACCAATGAGCGTTCAGCGGCGTCTTTTGACCCGATATCCAGATGGGTCACCAGCCCAGTATCAGCTGGGGTGTCACCGGGTGCAAGGCCTGGTTGGCGTGACTATAACATGGGCCACCGAAGTCCCTCCATGGACAGTGCAGCCACAAGCCTTGTGCTGGATCCCGAGCTGTTCGTCCAGCCTCGACCTAGCGGCCTCACCTCATCCACTGGCTCCCTCCCGGGAAATGACGATGCAGCCAGTTTGGTCAGTCAATCTCAACGTCGCAGCTATGATCAAGGCATCTATGCAGAATCCGAGTCTGACACCGGTAATGACGAGGGCCACGCTTTTCGCAACCTGAACCTAAGTGACTCACAACAGCAAGTGGGCCGACGATCCTCTAAGCAGGGTATGAAGCGGCGAGCGCGGTCGCCTCCTCCCGATGTGTCTCGGGAGGACAAATCCCCATCACGTGGAACTGCGGCCGAATTATTTCAGAAAATTAATGCAACTTCCTACACGCACTCACCGGTCTCTCGATACCAGCCCAAGCATGGCTCCGTCTCGTCCACTTCTTCCAGCGTCCGACACAATTCATACGCCTCTTCCATCGCCCTTTCAATTGCAGGCAGTTCTATGACCAGCATCTCTTCTTTTGACCGACTGTCACCGCTAGATCCTAGTCAACCTACATATATAACCTCGGCTTTACCTGTTTCTAGCCCTGCCACATCAGTCCCTCCCTCCAGAAATCTGCCGGCACAGCCAACTCTAGATGCTCACTCTCCTAGCCAAAAAATGTCTTTACAAACTGCTGTAAATGATAGCAGACTCCCGCCTGCCACCCGGATCGGTAATTATTTTATGTGCGATTGTTGTCCTAAGAAACCTAGAAAGTTTGACACCGAGGAGGAATTAAGGTATGTTTCTCACAGTGCAACTACTAGACTCGCCCACCTGGCATTGTTGTTAATTCACAATATGTCCGCTAACTTTCCTGGTACAGAGCACACCAAATGGAAAAGCAATACACCTGCCAGTACTGTAATAACCGCTTCAAGAACAAAAACGAAGCTGAGCGACATCAAAACTCGTTACATTTGAGACGTCACTCGTGGTCGTGTGCAGCCATTGCAACTTACGAGGCCGCTTTTCATCCAACAACACCACCGACTGCTTCTACACCGACCTCTCAGACCGACTCATGTGGTTATTGTGGTGAGGAATTCCCCAATCATCCTCAACCGGATTGGAATCGCCGCATTGAACATCTTACCAATGTGCATAAATTTGGAGAATGCAACCAGGCGAAGAAATTCTTTAGAGCCGATCATTTTAGACAACATCTCAAACATAGCCACGCTGGACAAAGTGGTAAGTGGACTAACATGCTGGAAACTGTTTGTCTGCGAGAAGAGTTTCCACAGGACAATGCAGGCATCTCACCGACTGGAAGTGAATCAAGTCCAGGTCGCGGACCTAGCAGTCTCCCAGATCCGCCCATGGGTGGTGCCACGATCAACGAGAGCCACGATGAGACATGACTGCGAGCGCCGTTTGGAAGAACATCTACCTTGACCCCTCCTAGTTGCAGGACTTAGCACGAGTACCAAAGGTTGTGAGGGTTACAATCAACATCTCTGGGCACCGGGAGCACCCGAGGTGCATGATAGTTGCTCGACAGGTTGAGTTTGGGAGGGGGATCGTTTTCGAACCCCCACCAAATTCTATTGGATTCTGTGCTTTGGGCCATCAACGGATGCCAACGGTCAGGCCTACCAGAAACCCAAGGAGGGTTTTAAAGCCACTGATCCAGGTCGTTGCCCGGGGTTAACCTGATCAGAGCTGGAAAAGCATTGAATGCTTTAGAGCGAAGTCACTATGCGGCGATCGGGACTCCCTTGACAACTTGTTCCTTCTCAAGCGGGCTTGGTGCATTTCGTCCGTACCGAGTATCATGCGTCTGTGACGCTACTATCTGCAGTCACACCGACCTTCCGCACAGGGACAATTGACCCAAGGTCCAATCACAATGATTAAAATTGTTACATGGCCATTTCAGAGACAATATCTGACACGCTTTGGGACATAAACATGCAGTACCTGGATACGATATAGCAGTGGGCGGACACGACCTTGTATCCTTCTTCCCTGCCATGTTACCTTTTCATCTCTTTGGCACGTCGAGGGCAGAAGCACTTGAGCGGTTGGTAAATCCGAATCTGGATACTGTATGCACCACTCCTACCTGGTTGACCCTCACGCATCAGACGGGGGCATCACACAACACGCAGTTGCTTCGTATGTGAGACTAATGGCAACATTTCCTGGAATGTCATCTGAAGAACTTCGTACTTTGGTGGAGTGAAGAGCCAGACAGAGTCTATGTCTCAGTCCCACCAATTACTTCAGTCTCTTTTACGTGTTACGCGTGTGTTGGCAGTGTCAATTCCGCTGCAGTTTGCGAAACTAGGCAAGCAGAGCCTCGGACAGTAAGCGGGGGGAATATTATCTGGAGCTTGAATTGTTTGAAATTGTCAGATCCTTTCCTTTTACCTATGGAGGGGTTGGCGGATGGTTGTTCTCATGCCGAGCCTCGTACCAGTGACACAATCGGCTTGGTTGTTATAGCAGGAACCCGCTCACGAGCAATGAGCCTATTGCATCACGCCACGCTCTCTTGAAATGTCGAAGCGGTTTGGATACTGAATGCACACTGTTGCCGTCAAGGGTGACCATCTAGCTCATTGATTCGTCTTTGCGACCGATCACTGACCTCACCCGCAGCTCAATCGCAGACGATGAGCGTGAACACGGTGCAGAGCCGGATAAAGCTGACGACATGCATTTCCGACCCCTCATCGGTGGCCTTAGTGCTTACCTGGCTGCCGTATTGAGACCATTCCGGAAAGGGGAGTTTGAAACACACCGGCCCTTTGTCTGATTTGACTCTTCTAAGATCGATCAGCATGGGGAACAGATGCGGATCGGGAAGTCACTAGCAGACGATGTCTCGCTCAATCCTCGTCTCTTCTGGGGTATGAAAGGGATTGAATTCTGCTCCTCTTGTTATAGCAGTCTGATAGGCCTCGCAAGCATTGCCAAGTCTTTTCCCTTGCTGTCGGTATCTGATAACACCAGTCACCGAATCTCGTTCCGGATCCTCCACGCTTGCCAATAGCCAACCCAACGGGTCGGTAGGCGTATCCGAGAATTAGCTGCAGGCCGACCTAGGCTCGTCAAATGGTTTCTGAAGGTGGCTCTAGTCGATTCCAGCCAATCGCCTCGTCCTCCCATGCGAGTGTGGGATGGTGGAATTCAAGAGAGTTAGTCACGGGTAAGGATTCTCATTGAGCGGCAACTTGAATTCGAGATGCGATGTAACTTCGTGGCGGAAGAGATCCAAGCGTACCTCGTTCTCGAGTCATGAAAACTCCATCGACTTGACGGTGACGCACACGAAGATTAGAGCAGCGCGAATTACTCTATCCACCGAAAGTCCAATGTATCTACTTCACGTAAATGACCCTGAACTCAAAACTCATAGGAGATCAGAGCCCGAGTCCGAATGGACTGGAACGATCTTTTTCTCTCCCGGACCTAGTCATAGTCCACTAAAGTTTCCTGGGAGCAGGGATCTTCGAACCAACGGCGTCACAGGCTAGATTGTGCTTGAGGTATTACGGAGCACTATTTATACGCAAAGAAAAGATGTCTCTTCATCTTAAATCTTTGACCCGTGACTGGTGCTCGGGTGCATCCTTTGGAGAGTATACCTTGGGTTCTCTTTCAGAAATTGATACCACGGCCGATCATGAGTCAACCAAAAGTGGGGACAAGTCAAGACGGATGAACACAATGCCTTTCTCACCTTATGGCGTTTGTACACGGAGCGAGAGGCCTTTCTGGCTTACGATAGGTTTCGGCTGCCACTGGTACCACAGTGGTATGATAAATCGGATATGTAGGCGATACGACCTAAGTTTGGGACAGAGCCGCAATTCTTGGCTACTGTAACCAGATTTATTTGCAAAAAACGTTAGCATATAGCCTAACTGCTGCAGGAGGCCCCTTCAGACATTCATGCGAGCTTCGACACCCTCACAACTACCGCTTCAAACGAGGCGCATACCCGGAAGTGCATGTCATCCAGCCTATTGCGCGCAGGGTGAAACCCATTATGGTCGGTTCCTCGTTGCGTAAAAACCGAGTAGATACTTGGTATTAGCAATCTGGTTGTTTTATGCATGACAGTTTGCGAGGTAAGCGGACCCCAATCCGACTTGTGAACAGAGCTCAGCATTTTGGCCTTCCACCTCGGCTCTTTCGACCGGGATCTCAAGCCCGTAAGAGGCTCTGGATTTGGGAAGGAATTCTGGACCGGATCTTTGCGCGTGTTCGGCATAGAAACAAGTTCGTTTACGAAATGACGCAGTACGGAGTAGACGCCCGTCTTTCGAAACGACAGCATTGGCCAAATACAGAAAGCTTTGGTCTCGCTCAGGGTGCTGTCGGCGTCTGGGCTAGGTACCTCGTACAGAGTGCTCTGGTCTGCTTCATCCCCCATAGTCATCTAGTTGGCTGATCACCAAGGACTCGCACAAGCGCGTTTGCTCACTCCTGCCTCTTCGGGCACCTACCTGGAGCAGTAAGACTGACTAGGATAGGTCTCTGCGAGATGTCAAAACTTACGGTTTGCGACGGGAAAGACTGAATCTCAATGGACGAGGATGAATTGCTGATTAGTGTGAGAGCGAGCTCGAGCTCGCCAAGGAGAATTCCTCGTAGAAGACGCGATAGAGTAATGAGTGGCGAGAGGCAGCTTGGGAATGGGGGGAACGAAAAAGGACGGGAAACGTCCAGAGCAAGTTACTGCCGCCGCCACCAGGGGGTCAGGACAAGGCTCCGAACGAAAGGGGCCCCCAACATTTCGTATCAATTTGAAATGACTTCACGACGGTCACGAGAGTGATCGTATGTGCGTGCTGACTCATCTGCCCTCTGCCCTTTGTGCGGATGTGTGCCTAGGTAAGACTTTCAGCGCCTGCACACTGCATGCCTATATATATCCACCACTTGTGTTTCGAGGGCATGGCATCAATCTAGGTAGAGAACAAGAACTGTGCCATTAAAGCATTTGCGATTTCCAGGGTCTAGCGAGTACGGCGAACAAACACGGCCGACTTCCGTCGACTTTTGAGCGGGTGGGTGTGTCGGAAAATAAGCCTGATGGTAATGACAAAGTGCGAAACCGCTACTAGTACGGAGTCCACGGGACGCCCAAATGACATGAAAAAAACCACCACAGTTCCGGCCGCGTTCAATCTCCGCGGACGGACCTTGTTGCGTCCCTGTGACGTGTATTTTCTCGTTTCAATTCAAAACTCAAGATAAATTTTGGATTACGCTTCTGATTCCTCATACTTTGCCTAGTACGGAGGACCTTGTGCGGAGTGTGTCCGTAGAGACTATTGCTTGGCCTCGTCAAATCAAATACCGAGCGAGGGTGTGAACCGCATCATATTTCGCAAGGTGGCCATATCCCTGGCTCGTGTACGAAGTGCCATCGACGTTTCTAGGGCGTAGATACGAGTACATCCATGGAATATGATTTTCAAGCAGACACCAGAGGGGGAAGGAGACCGAAGTCCCGAGTTGTGGATTACTACGGTTGATCGTTCGGGTACGGGAGGACCTACATATTATGTCTCGTACAATAATACCTGGTATGTGACCGGTAAGATTTGGGGCATCGCCTCCCCTCCGCCACTACTACCACCACCCCCATTATCTCGATATGGTTATTTTCTGTCATTAAGCATTGCCAAATCCTTTTTGAGAACAATGTCCAACGGAAATCAAAAATTCAAGGGGGAAAACTAAAGGAGAGAGACCCCATTCTCCTTTCCCGTCCGCGCCACCTCCTCAGGTAGCAACTCACTGGTGGCGATGGCACAACTTCGGAGATGTGAGTTTGTTTGGTTGTGTCCGAGAAACACATTTATAGATACTCGATTCGATTACTGCAATGGTACATATACTTCTTGTGAATATGGGGCAAAAATATGTACACGGGGGCTCAAGGGCACCCAGACAGGCACTCCACCCACCGCCACCCCTATCGGGAGGTGATTAGTCAACCAATTGCCTGGCCTCAAATTGTCTGTTCTACATTGTGCTGTGGCTTGTCTCCTAACAATTTTGCCCGTCTCTGTCAGTGGCTAACTGGCAAGGAAGGGGGACGAGAGTAAGTTTGTACCGGTGTACGAATATGTGGATACTACATATGTGCATTATCGTTTTCCTCGCCGCCGATGGAAGGCTGCTCGCCTTTGCGATGCGACCTCTGCCGCTCTATTTCTTTCTAGGCCGGGGAATTCTGGTCCCCATCTCAATATTGGCAAGGAGAAGAAAAAATGTATCCACCGCCGCAAGATAATCACCGAAAACATGAGAAAGCTGGCCTACGATCGGACCGATCGTAGGACTCTCTCGCCTGGATTGCACGGCGATGGTTGATTGCTGATGACGAGTTGGAGGCAATATGTGGCGGGCGACGACATGAGGTAGCGGCTTCATAATTACTAGGACCGACGAGGCCGATAGGTCTGCTATGCGCCGAGGGCTTACCTCGTACCGTGGGAGACATCGCTCTGTTTGGAAGCATGTTGCCTGCCCGCCTGAGAGCTCGCTCGCAGTCCTTGGTGACTCCGCCATCCCAGACGTATTGGCGGCACACAGCTGCATTCTTTCAGCACGGCGTACTCCTAGGTGGAGACTCCCAGGTGGAGACTCCAGGAGCAGGGGATTTTTTTCAAATAAGAAAGAGCCCATTTTCAAGACGATGTTGCGCTATGCATGATGAGATTGGGAAGTTCTACCAGCGCTCTTGTGTCCATCTGGCATGGGATGCCAATCTCACGCGGACGAGCGCTCACGAATCGGAGGCAAATACAAATCCTTTCATCATGACGATGGTTAAATAGCAGATTGCTATGCGTGGGGCGTGCTTCGCACGCGTGGCTCAACATCGACAAATGTCCGCTCGGCTTGCCGATGAAGCTTGATTGATGATGGCATGCATGTAAGGAAAGGTCCGATGTCAGAATGTATGCTCCACCCCATGGCTCATCGGTATCGGACAAGATGCCTGAAAGCGTACAAAATCCATCTTATTCATCTCTTGGCCTCGCGGGACGTGCGGACCGGATTTCAAGAGCCCGTGCGTGACATATGAGAGGGATGCAGTTGGAGGGTGAGTTTGATGCCGCAGCAGGGCATTGGGATTTGATGTCTTGATGACCACAGCACGGCAGGCTCAGGATGGATCGAGATAAAGTTAGGCTGCGTCCAATCCCGAGTATGAGTGAAAATGATGTCTTCGGAACTGGGAGTCTCCCGTTTCCGCGCAACCGAACACCTCAGGAGGGTCTGCCGGAACCAGGCCGTGATGATGAATGATTTCAACATTGCTGACCGCTGACAGACGGCCTTGGAAAGCCCTGCCAATACCAGTGGTGCCTGGTGAACATGAAAGGAGAGTCATTCTTGGGGGGGCAGGGCGACTGCCCATGGTAAGCCTCGTCTCAGCCTTGCCAAAAGGTGCCTTGTTTTAGCCAGGCAGGTATGACAGCTTTTCTGAACAATCTTCATTCCTGGATTTCCGGTACTGACGAACTTACCGGGGTGCTTACGGTAATTACCTGGTATGCAGTATGAGGCGATGATCTCATCGTTCGAATACTGCAACGATGAATCTTCGATACTGACTCCTGCAGCTGATCTTTTCTTCCTCAAGCCGTCGCAAGGTTTGCCAGGAATAGCACTAGCTGTCGGCTGGAATGCCTGGATTTGGGATGCTTGCTTCCGCATGATGGTGCAGCTTGACACGCGTCTGGAAAAACCACCACTGCATGCTGCCTGCTTACTCGTGCTCCCACACGAGAGACTTGGCTGATGTTCTGGCAAGGGTGATCGTCAACAGTCCGAGCTCAGTACAAGTTTGTTACAGTAAAGTAACAACTCAGGCTTCAGTTTGCTGCGATGAGGCCATGTACACCAAGTTCCGAGATGTTTTTTACCTCGCAAAGCGTTTACGCTTCTACTTTCATTGGTGCTGAGGGTATGGAGCACTCACCCATAGTTGTAACAGTTGTCATTGGGATGACGGGATGAGGGATCGAGAAAGTCGCATACCGCGAATGACAAAGTAGCGCGCCATGGCCCCATGAACGACGGATTCCGTTACAATACCGAGCAAACTTGACGAATACGTCCGTAATGCGAGCCACTTCGTAGGCCATGCACGTTTGAAGACCACAGCATGCAGTACCAGGCTCAAATAGGCAGTGGCAGCAGTTGAAGGAAATCTTCGTACAGCTGGGGTGATCAATCGTTCAATGCCACATTGCCTACCAGCTTCGTATCTCTGCTTCTGGTCGCAAAAGGGCATTGGCATGACAGCAGGGACATGCAGATGCGAAGAGCAGGCGATGAAGCTATTTCTAGGGTTACGTTGTTCGGAATTCAGTTGCAAACGCTCAAGGATTCTCAATTTGGATGCAATGCAACGGTGAAGGTCGATTTTTGACACTTTTTCGTGGAATACCTCTCTCTTGTGCGAGGTACCTAGTGTCTCTTCCAGGCCGTCGGTCGGCGATCAATATGGATAGCGAGGCCTCCAGAGTGAGGCTTCGGCTGTTGGGGATTTTGGAGTCTGGACGATAAGATCGATCGGCTGGGTGGCCTGAATCAAACGAATATGGCACATCCCTCGATTTTTTGAACGTCTCAATGTATTCGGTAGTCCGTACTAGGCTCATGGTGGTCCTCCTCACATTAGAGTCTGAGCTTCCGCTGAGATCATCGCAAACTTGTGCATCTGCCAGAAGAGTTACAAGAGCACTGATGCACGCTTTCAATGTTGCTGTCTGCGAAACAGAACCACCAGAATCCAGATGTCTAAATGCAGATGTGCCCTGTTTGGACGGACTTCCGTCCAAACAGCACATATTGGTTCGGCCAGAGACCTGCATCGCGTTTCAACAGCCAATTGGCGAGCGGGATACAATGTGTTGCTTCGGACGGCGGTCCATCGTCAAATGATTGACGACCAGTTTGGATGAAGCGACTCGTCGTCGAGAGGCTGAGAACGCTTGGCGACGACTCGGTGGCTTCTACTTTACATTTCGGAGAAGAAGAAGGTTGATGAACCTTCGTGCGGAAAATAAGCCGAGTTGGCGGAAGGGAAGGGTGGAAGTGTGTGGACGATACGGGCAACGGGTGACGAATCTCGGGTGATGCCGCGCTCGATGTAGCGGACGCCGAGTGGAGATTAGACCGGGATGGGATGCGTGCCAAACCCAGCCTCGAGTCGAGGTGCCTACATACATACTCCGTACCTTTCGCGGGGATACGCCCGTTCGACCCAGCCCGAAGCTGGTTTCAGTGTGCGGGTAGATGAGGGATTGTGAATCACGAACCGTATGGACGCTGGTTTCATCGCCATCGTACTAACTCAACCCTCCAGGAAGTGTTCGCCACATTCGAGTAAGAACTTCGCTAACCAGCGAGACAAGCTGAATGCTTCTCATGACGTGGAAATCACTGGCCCGTATCCAACCAAGGCGTGAGAGATGAGACAAATTGGGAAGGTTTCTATTCAAATGTCTATTTTGTATCTGTTGTATAACTCGCCAGAAGCATAAGACCAAGCAAAGGGATATATATATAGAGTCGGTGCAACCGGTGATCCGCTTCTAAGTATCTCAAGCCAGGACGATGATTATTGCTTCTATGCGCATAATGGGAGCCGGCTGGCTCAGTGGAACTCCGCGCTCCAAAGCTGACCCCTTGAAATGAAACTCAGATGAACAGCTCGTCAACTTTTTGAACAAGAATGGCTTGTTGCCCCTGCCAGACACAACGGGCCGGGGTTTGTATGACGTTCGGTGCCTTGCTCCCGTTCACGACTACTCGGAACGCTTGACATGCATGACTGGACCAACGTACTCGTTCCTGCCCTTGACGAAGTAGTATACCATGGCGATGATCAGAGTCCCAACCAACATGACACTGGACCAGTTCATGGTCGACGCGGTGACGTCCTTGCCCAAGGGCCAGGTGAGGAAGAAGATCAGCGGGGTCAGGAACATCAACGCGGCGATATTGATGCCGAGCCCGAACTTCCCAAGTGACCAGCGGCGCGCAGGCAGTGCTGGGCCCGCAAGCCGGCGGTAGACGACGCAGCTGATGGTCAAGTAGTAGGAGATCAGGACAGCGATGGCGCCGAGGGATGTGATGGCGTTGAGGGCCACGGACGAGCCGATGTTGATGAGCGAGAGGAGCGCAGAGACGGTCAGAGACACCGCGACAGCCGGGATCGGGATGTTCCAGCCGTGAGAGACCTTGGAGAGCCAGCTGTGGCCGGGCAGGCCGGCGTCCCGAGCGAACGACCAAATCTGGCGCGATGCTGCGGCGACTTCGGAGACGGCGCAGGCAGAAAGCATCACGACGATGATGGCGACCATGACGTTGGTGCCGGCGTAGGACTGCGTTGCGTTGAAGATGATCTGGATGAAGGGATAGCCGGTCGCGCTCGCAGCGACGCTGTCGATGTCGCCGATGGTGAAGCAAACAGTGACCACGACGATGAAGACGAGGGTGACGTTGACGATAACCGAGCCCATGATTGCTCGGGGGAGTGTGACGGATGCGTCCTTGATTTCTTCGGCTGGGAAAATGGGTCAGTATGTTGGAAGGATGGATGGAATGGATGGTCGTAGCCTACACATATGGACGGAGCAGTCATAGCCAACGAGGACCGCCATGGGTGCTAGCAGACCAATCATCGCGGACAACCCTTTAGTGGGCCATCCTCCGTTGTTGGTGAAGGTCAAGAGAGCATCGGTAGCATTTGATCGTGGAGCCATCACCCAGAGTGGGATGATGATGGCGAAGAAACCGAGAATATGCAGGATCAGGACCATGCCCTCTGGGACAGAGTGTTAGCTGATTCAACTCTGGGTGGATGTTGGTTCACTCACCGATCAAAGGGAGGCGCGAGGCCAGGACAGTGTTGAAGATGATCGAGAAGAACACGATGGCGATCGACAACAAGGTTCCGTGCCACCTTTCATAGACGTAGGTCGGGTCGTTGAGGACGATCAGGCCTTGAATAATCGTACCGACCAGGAAGCAGACACTGGCAAGATACACCTGCCAGCCGATCGCAGTGAGCCATCCTAGAGCCAGTGAGGATTGTGATGACTACCATAAGAACAAATGTCGAGCCTCACCAGAAAGATAGCTGAGCTGCTTTTGCCAACGCGGAGGAGCGAATTCAGAGACCCAATGGTATTGCCCACCTGCAGTGGGTGACCTGTTTCCGGATACCTTGTTAGCGAACTTCTTTCTGCATGCGCCACGTGGAGAACAGGGTGGTCTATCTTTACATACATCGAAGCCATTTCTGCGATGCTTGCATAAACCAGAGTCTGGCCAATGGCGCAGACGATGAAACCCCAGAACAACAGTGCTGTACCACCGTTGACAAGGACGAAGCCGAGATATCTGTTCGTTGTTAATTGCGCAGGTCCTTTTCCTTTGTCAGGCTCAAGGATGGAAACCAGCCACGTACGTAAGAATGCCCTCCCAACTGGCGACACAGGTTGAAGCAAAGCCCAGCATGGTGATGAAGCTGAAGTTTCGCTGCCCGAACAATCAGTATCATCGCTGAGTCTTCTGATTCTGTTGATTGCGACGACTTACTCGCAACACCTGCTTCTTGCCCATGACAGTCATATCCCGTCGGTCAGCAGCTGTCCCCCGGTACTTCTCAGGAACATGGCTGACACTGTCGTCGAAGACCTTTGCGCCATTAGGAGACGCAGCGCTGGCTTCGGAGAGCTCGACGTCCACAATTTCCTGTTCCTGCTTGCTGAGGTGAAGGGCTGCCATGGTGATTTGACAACGAACAACGTCGGTGACCAGGCTTCTAGGATTGTCCTGAGATCAAAAAGAGAACGGACGACGAAAAGTATAAAAGAAGAGATCGAAGGAAATTGAGGGCTAGAAACCACCACGTTTGGCAGGTGGCTAAGCGGGTTCCTCCTCCTGCTCCTCCTCTCCACCACGTGGAATGCCCTTGCGGTATAGTAGTACTAGTACCTTGGAAGAAGTTCTTTGCAAGAGCAGTGTCTGGCAGCAGCTCGGCACCAGAACAGCCGGGTTGGCGTGGCACCTACTGGCACCTACTGGCACCTAAGAATGAGTGGGGAAAACCCTGTGCTCCACGAACGGAATCTTGTCGAGTCAAAGAGCCCAAAGCGCGGCCCGGCTCAAAGTCAAAACGAGGTGTCTGTGAGTTGGCCCCGTACGGAGGAAAACCTCTGTTGGTGTGATTAGTCTCTCGACAGAGTTTCTGCTAAGGCCTGAAAGAGGAGTCCTCCTTAAATCGCCCCTCTTGGAGTGCTTTCGCCGGAATCAGATGCAATCAGATGCTCCCTCCTCCTGGGAACTGGTTGGAAACAGTGCGCGATGTGACAGATAGGATATGGCTTCAAGGCCTCATGCGGCTCTCCTCCTGCTTAAGAAACCACACCACACTGCCATATCGAGGCATAGCGAACCCTTTGGGCAAAGAGGGCGTGATAAGCGATTGTGCCTGGCCGGCTAGTGATGCGCCTCCCTGCGTCTCATAATGCAGCCTGGCACTCCCCCGGCGTTGTGGATCCACTATAGTCAAGTGGTGATTTGGACGCGTGTGTTGGAGCGCAGAGTTTGCAGAGCATCCCAATCATACGCTGAAGAGTTGAGTTGGCGCAGAGTTCTGGATGCCATCCATGGCACGGGAACTGGGAGGCGCCCTGATCGACGCCTCCTCCGCCATGGCGAGTCCCAATCGAAACAACTGTGGATGTTCATGGTCGAGGTCTATTTCATCCTTGCGACTTTCCAGCTTTGACCACCAAAAGTCAGATAGCACGCCAGCGTTGCGGCAGAGGACAATCCAACCTTTTGAATTCCTGCGGGTTCCGGATGCCTTGACTTAGCACTCGGTACCTACTTAGCACTGGGGCATTGAATTACTTTGACTGTTTGGATCGCCTTTCATTTCTCCTCTCCTTCTTTGATCGACGTGGAACCCTTCTCCATGCCAATGTTGTTATAGACCTTACCATGAGCTCTCAAACCGGACTCATTGTGCCTGCAGGGCATTCACCTCCATTTGCGACAATAACACCAGACGACCATACGGCATGGATATTGATCGCTACGGCACTTGGCCTGGCTTGCTATCTTTTCTTCGGCGGCATTAGAGTCCTGGTCCGAGCTACGATCAGCCATGGCTTTGACCTGGATGACTATGTCCTGTGTGGTGCCACCGTCCTCGCCATAATCCAGTCATCTCTTGTATTGGGAGCATGCTCCAAGGGCCTCGGAAAATCTGTTGATCTGGTCTCACCGGGCGCGCAGGAAAGTGTACAGAAGTTGTACTATACAAGCAACTTGTTCTTCATCATGGTCATTGGGCTCGCGAAAATTTCCGTCATCTGCTTTCTCAGTCGGATATCAAGGATGAGACAACACAGACTTGTCTTCAACATCGCCATGGGGTTGGTTGGCGCCTGGACCTTTGGCTCGCTACTCGCCATGGCGCTCCAATGCAATCTGCAAAATCCATGGATCATCGTGGGGCAAGACTGCGCGGGCACAGTAAGTTCTCTCCTGACCACGAACCTTCAAGTATCGGGAGGGGGGGAAGGGGAAATATTAACAACCGTCCAGTCACGACGATGGCAAGTCATTGATTTGCTCGATATTATATCAGAAGTTGGGATTGTGGGCCTAGTCGTTTTTCTTGTCTACACCTTGCAGACCTCGATATCTAGCAAGTTGACGGTTGTGGCAATCTTCAGTTTCCGACTTTTGTCAGTCAATTCTCCTGGATGTGTCTATGGATTCCAGCTAACAAGATGGCAGTATCATCATTTTCATCGCATATCGGCTGCACACTTTTGATCAAGATGGATATACGACCAATCCATTTCTCCTGGAAGCGCCATTCATTGCCTGGGCGCAAAGCCAGATCTGTTATTCACTGATCTCCGCGACGATCCCGACTTTCCAAAACTTCCTCAAAAACTTGAATACTGGCTTTGGCGGCATCGGATCTGCAGGCGGTTATGGCTACGGCTACGGCTACGGCAGTGACAGTGCCAACCGGACTCGGGGTCAACAGGAGAGCAACATGAGCTTTCAGATGTCGAAATTGAGATCTGCAAACAAAAGCGTCGGGCTCGAAGAGCCAGATGCGGACGACGAAGATCCCGGCAGACACCTGGGACACAACCAGTCCAAGAGCAGCGACGCCATCCACGGGGTCACCAATGGTACAACGATGGGCCCCTGGAGCAATGCCAACAACAAGGACGCCGTTAACAACGGCGAGACGACCAGCATCGCCAGCGATGAAAGCCGTCGAATGATGATCAGGAAGGAGATTCAGTGGAGTGTGAGGACGGAGCCCAGGGCGTAGTAAGATGGGAGTACGACTCTGTGTGACTTGTACAATTACCATTTCTGTATTCTGAGAGTGGGGGAATCAAAAGGCATAGACTACTGCTACTACTACTTGGTTCAACACTTGTTTGGCGGGGGGGACCGTTCCTTTCTCCCGAAAAGCTCTTCGCAATACGGGCAATGATTCTACGAAATGTGCAGGCTAGATCGCAATGATATATCACATATAGTAAGTCCTGTAACTCAACGTTTCCTATCTATCCCAGCGCCGAGTCACAAAACCATGATAGATGCAGCCTCCGGGGTCGTATGGACGGTCGACCGAGGGGAGGGGGCGATACATCTGACAAGCTATCTGTCAAAGCCATTGACAGGATCCAGCTCCTATCGTCTCTGGGTCTGAAGGTTTGGATTCCGACCTCCACCGAGGAAAAAGTTACACGGGTGGTCGGCAGGAAGAAGGGGCCTCGGAGGGGATCGGTTGTTGAAGATCCATCCCGGCCGAAGCCAAGACTCATTCCGAGGGGAGGAGCCCAAGCCCAAGTGAGCCTAGGAGATTGCCCGAGGCCTTTTCCCATGATTTGTACTTGCCCATCCTGGGTATTCGCCTTCCCAAGTGGGTTCACCGGCTTCCTTTAGGCGGGCCCGTTGAACAACCAGGGCTGCATGGTGGCTGGAGGCGCCCATTTGAGGACCTCATAGGGCACCCGGGGCCACCCATCATCGCTGCCAGCAATTGCCCTGGGGGCCCCGTGTGCCGTAGCTTTAGGTAGCTGGGCGTTTCGTCTGTGCCCACTGCCCACTGCCCACTGCCCACTGCCCACCCAAGACGAACCGAGTCAGGCTGCCTACGCGAGGCACAGTAGTATGTAACTAGTCAGCCCACTGATCCGCCTGCGAACCTCTGTGCCTCAGCCATACCTCCGTATGCCGCCACTGCATACGGGGTACTGGCAACCAGCCACATCCAGATACTCGGTACCCCAATGGAACAATGTTTCAAGGGGCAAGACTTGCACCTTGCATCTCCCTGCCAAGTTCGTCTCAAGACTTGGGTCCCCCGGGCCTCGAAATAATGCGTCCAGATAGTCATTGCCGGTCAAGCGATTTACTAAGTTTAACGCTTGGGTAATCTTCACGTCTGACGAATTCTCAGTGTGACTCTGGTGGGCTTCGAAGCCTGCCAGTAGATAAGCTACCCACGAGATTGGTTAAGACGGCGGACCTACTCGTAGCTAGCATAGACCGGCGCATTCCCCATTATTAGGCGTCCCTCGGTAAACCCGTGGCCTGCAGTCTCGCTAAGAACACAAGCGAAACCACGCGGTGATTGCCAGCACTCCCTCCCTCCCTCCTCCTTAAGGTGCGAAGTGCGGTGTACTGTACGGAGTACCTACTCGTAAGGTAGTACTAAAAGTACGACTACATATCAACGGCCAGCGTGGATACTGCCCACAAGATAAAGAGGTCAGTATATGTTTGGATCCCCTTCTCGTCAATCTAGCCACCTTTACAGTAGTTCTGCTATGGAGTACTCCATACATAAAGCAGACTATCGACTGCTAACTTAGTTTCTGGAACATACATTGTAGGGATACCCCTTCCATATAGCAAAAGGTCCCATTTCCATCTCTGATTGACAACGATGAATACGGAGTACTCCGTACTCCATACCAGAGTCAGAAATCCAGTCCCGTAGAGAAGGCTCGAGTGCTCTGGTTTCTAGATATGCTGTTCTCGGTCCCTGAAGTTCTGGGTCCATCCAATTCCACTATTATTATTTTCATTTGGAGAGTGGACATGCTCATGCCACCAATGCTTCATCCCACCTGATTCACTGCACCCACTTCTGCTCGGATGTCAATAGCACTGAGCACTGACGACACAATTTAAGATGGCACACCATCGGGTATTGGGAGCGAGTTGCGTACCACAGCAGAAGCGGAATCGAATCCCTTGCTTCGCGCTGCCCAGACCAGAATGCCATGCTGGATGCTGAGTTCCTTATGACGAAACAACATAAGCTGTTCGTACTCGTAGACGCTCTCTTGAGCATCGGAAAGAAAGAAAAATATAGACCCCTTTTCGCTTCCGATGCGCTCGATAGATGGCTCGTCCATATCAGATCGTCCCTCTCCACAGTCCACACACGTGGCCCGAGCATTGAAAACACCCCTTGAAAAATCGAGCCTAACGGCCAAGCAGTGAGCAATGAGCATGTGCCGGCGGCTTGAGAAGGCCAGGATAGGGGTGCAGGGCACTGTCCTACCCATCGTAGGTAAGGTAGTTAGCTAAGGAGTGATCGACATGTGCCAAGCGGAGCCCCCGGACCCAAACGCCTCCTACTGACTACGAGTAACTATGCAGCCATGTGCGTCCAGCCCAGTCCAGCCTTCACTTCAGGGATTCTTTCTCACCCAAAGGAATAATTGCTTGCATCACCTGAATTTCTCATCCCATCGAACGCGGCGCATCACTCGGTAGCTTCGTCTCCTATCCCACCAGGAACACTGGCTCCGTATCACTATCAATCATGCAAGTCGCGGCGTTCCTATCCGACTTGAAATCCCTGAGCATATGCGTAAGTGAGAATCCAAGGGGGTTGGGGAGGGCCGCTTCTATTGAGTGTCTCTCTAGACGTGTTGCTATTGCTTTACTATCACCGTCACAATTCGCTAACTCAGACTGTCGCCTGTTGCTTCGAAACAGTCCCACGAAGCTGCCATTGCACTGGTGAATCCTGATGTCCGCTTCGAGAACAAAGAGGATCTGCCGGCGCTCTCTCCAGCCCAGAAATCAGAGGCAAAGGCCCCTTCTCAGTCGGGGAGTGCCCCGCAAGACGATGATCCGGATCTGCAACGAGCCCAGGAGCTTGTCTCGTTGCACTATGCTGTCAAAGTCAATCATCTGAGATCTGGCCTCGACCCCGAGCTGGTTGAAGCACGCAGGCGAGTCCATGAAATCGTGGCTGCTTTGGCCTGACGAGGTGTGAGCTTTTTAACGCATTCATCGCGAGTACCTAGGACACTGGATTAGGCTAGGTTCGTGATCAAGCTATGGATAATGGCTATCTCCAGGGGCCAGGGACGGCATCCTCGGAATCTAGGGTCTAACAATATGGAAGCTTTCCTTTCAAAACCCTTCTCAATACCATCTCACAAAGACAGTGGCTCGTCCCATAGCACGATTTGTAAATACTGTTTTCTGCATGAGCATCCGGAAGCGACAGCCCACCTGTGGCATGTCTGTTAACTCCCCTCATATCTGGCCTGCCCCTCGTTAGCGGTGGCGCTTGACATCTCTGGACCTGCTTTGATGAGAGAAATCCTCGGCAAGTCGAATGCCTGTTTGCTGTCTCCGCCCAGCCCAGCATCGGCGATTCATTATCCTGATGCCTTAATCGTGTATGCCCTTCTTGTCGGGACACCCTGTACAGGCAGTCACCAGGTCAGAAGGACCATCTACAGCGGAACGGCACCAGCTGTGTTGCCAATCTGAGAGAGCAGAGGATGAACCAAATTTGCTACCTCGCGGCCAAGAAGGAGCGCCAGGAGTCTTTTTCTGACGACTTGCTTTCTGATTTTTGCGGTCAGCTTCTGAAGCTTGGCCTTCTTGCCCCCACCTGATAGCCCAGGCACAGGTGGTGGGGTAAGCAGTGTAGAAGTCAGTGCTCCTACAGGCAATGCGCTGGTTGCAGATCCTGCGTCTATGGGGAGGCTAGGAGTGGCTGCAGCTGGCACCACACTGGTAGCACCTGCGACCCGCGACACCACTGAAGTTCCTAGAGAGGCTGCCATTGTTGGAGTGCTTGGTCTCTGGATTCTGATCACTGGTATCCGCTCTAAGATCTCCCCAAAGACGTTGGGGTTCGGCTGACTGGTGGAGCTCTGGTCGTGCTGGGCCAAATCTGACCCTGATTGTTCGGCGGTTTTGTTCTCCAAAATGTCCTCACCCGAATAGTTATCTGCAGTTTTGCTCTGCTGAGCGTATGCTTCCTGTGGTGTTTCAGGCACACTGGTGGCTCTGTCGGCAGCTATTTCTTCGAAAGTCTGAGTTCTCTGGTATATCTTGCCTTCCCACTCGCTCGGGTGATGATGGGCTGGAGTGAAGACTTCTCCAGTTGCTGAGATGTCGGAGCTTGTAGGAGCTGGCACTGATGCCTCGGAGACGTTAAGGCGACCTTTCCTGACCCTTGCCAAAAAGGGCAGGCCGAAGCCAACAGGAAATCCTTGTCCTTCACTTTGGGGTGTGGCTGATTCAGAGTTCCGAGCACGGCGATGGTCTTGCGAAGGACCAGGTTCAGCACTAGACGTAGGAGTTGGAGAATTGCTCGACTCACTTCTCACGTGAGGCGTGTCTTCTGACATTTGACTGTTAACGTATCCAGCAGGTTGGATTGTTGCAATGATGGGCAGCTGGACACCTCTTGGGATGATGATGGAAACTGATTGGCCTGAAGTTAGGACCTTGATCTGAGGTTTGCTCGCTTTCGCCTGTTGAACGGTTGAAGCCTGGCTACTCGAGGAGATCAAGGGCTGAGAGGCTAAGGATTGATCAGTGAGTCTTTTGGTCAAAGCCTTTTCAAGCTGTTGAATCTGTTTCCCTCGCAGATGAGGTCTCGTAGTGAAGGGCTGGGGACGATATTCACTCGATGGCTGTCTTTGCGAAGAGAGGGCAGTAGAATATCGTTCACGCAGGTATGATGATGGTTGGACAGACGCACGCTGGAGATGGCGATTTGGTGCTCTGTCGAGCCTTTCTCTCTAGCTTCAGTCAGAACATTCTTGCCGAAAGAAAGAGACGGACAGTACAGCCTCAAAAAGGTCGACGAGAGAATTGACAGAATTTTTCGGCGTTGCGGACGAGACGTGTGAAGACGAGGACAGGAATGGGGAACCTCTGTCAATCAGCCTGTATCTTTCGCCAAAATGTGGTTCTAGCAGCTGGCGTAAAGGCTTTGGAAAGTCCTAATTCTATCAGAGATGGTCAATCGGGTCCCGAGAAATGGAATCATCCTTACCAGGACTTGGTCTTGTTGATCTACTCGGTTGGGTTGCTGCGTCCACAATGGCTCCACGACAGACGAGCGTTCCGAATGATCACAAGCTGGATGGTCAGGCCAGGGCCACCCAAGACCGACCGAGTGAGGGGTTTGTTTTCTAACTGGTGAGCCGCATTGGCGGGCATAGCTCATTACTCATGTTGATGGAAATCGATAAGGAATGCAGTGAGTAGAACGATACAGAGTTGAGAAAACCCGCCGAGTGAGCCATGATCACAAACTTGTGGCATGTTTTGCACACTGTGCTTGCCGACCCACGCTTCCTGCGCTTTGCCGTGATCAAGCTGGAAGGCGCGTCTGTGTAGTCTCTGGTCTCTATGGCGGTATGTGCTTCAACTTCGTCTTCATCTTGTATACGAGTAGTACCTTCGCCCCTGGAAGCGTCTTAGTGCTAGCCTCGCGCTACGTCATTAGTGTACTCGGCTTACCTGCTGTATACAGACTGCGGGCTGATCTGTGGAGAAGCCGTTTTGCAACTTGGACGAATTTCCTCCACGCTCCAAACCCAAGCCCAAACCATCGCTGCCGCGCACCGGCTTTGCTCAACCCTACTTGGAAGACAGATATTTACGATGGCTACCGCTGTGGACCAAAAACTGCTTCGGCAGACCAAGTTTCCGCCCGAATTCAATCAGAAAGTCGACATGAAAAAGGTCAACGTTGAGGTCATGAAGAAGTGAGTTTCGTGCATCTACGAGCACTGTCCATGCTGCTCACCTTACTTTCTAGATGGATTGCAGGCAAGATATCTCATATCCTTGGCTCTGAAGATGACGTTGTGATCGAGCTGTGCTTCAATCTGCTCGAGGGTTCGCGTTTCGTATGCACGACGACTCCCCGCTAGAGTTTGTGCCACTGACGTTGCTCTTAGCCCGACATCAAAGCCTTACAGATCTCGCTCACCGGATTTCTTGACAAGGACACGCCGAAATTCTGCAAAGAATTGTGGAACCTCTGCTTGAGTGCTCAGTCTAATCCTCAAGGTGTCCCCAAAGAACTACTCGAAGCGAAGAAGCTAGAACTTATACAAGAAAAGGTCGGACGTGCATTGGCCTCCAGGAACATTTACTGATGTCCTTAGATCGATGCTGAGAAGGCAGCCGACGAGGCAAATAAGCGGAAAGAGCAAGAGCAGACTCGTGAGCGAGATGTCGACTCTCTTCGCCAGCGTGAACGTGGGGAACGTGGAGAACGTGGCCGTGGGCGAGGCCGCGGAAGTGACGGACGAGGCTTTGACACTCGCAGACCCAGATACTCGAGATCTCCGCCGACTCGGAGACGATCCCCCTATCGTGCACCACCTGCTCGCCGCGAAGCCGACTCGTACGTCCCAGGTGGTCGACCCCGAGGTCGCAACAACCGTGGACGATCTCCAACGCGATCCATAACATCCTCACGGTCAAGATCACGATCTGAAGGACGCTTCCGGCGTCGAGAAAGACCCCCATCTCGATCTCGATCACCTTCCGCCTCTCGCTCGCTATCTCCCACCATCCGAAGGCGCCCACGGTCGAAGAGCGTAAGCAATGACAGGAGCAAGAGTGTGTCGAGGACGCCTGCCGGGAGGGTGGTAGGCACACCAAAAAGAGGCTCTGAAAGAATCGGTGAAAGACGCGCACGATCTGCAACACGCTCTGATGTATCACGCTCACGTTCACCTAGAAGAAGACGGATGAGAAGTCGCCCTTTATCCTCTGTTAGTCTGAGTCCAAGCCCAAGCCCTCGTCGGCGGAGACATGGTCGGAGACGCTCGAGTTTGTCACCGGTAACACGATCACCGTCGAGGTCTCGGGACAGAATGCGTGGAAGCTACAAGAAGGACAACAAGCGTGACAGAAGATCTCCCTCTTACTCTTCTGATGACAAGAAAAGCCACAATCGTACTGATATTGTCAGGGCCGCAAAAGCGCAGGACGAACGTCGCTTGAGCCGCTCTCCAGATGATAAGAGAGTCCGACGAAGAAGCAGTGCGAGTCGAAGCCGGAGCCCGCACAGACGACGAGAAAATCACAAACGCAGGCGATCGCTACGAAGGTATGAGCCAGTCGCTCGGAGGCGACGTAATACTTCGTCAGGCTCCTCCCCAGAGCAGAAGCGGCGGAAACGTGATAGCTCGGTTGACGAGCCAATGCTATCGCCTTAATAGAAGTCTCTGGCTGAGAAATAGAGCTGGGGTTGGGCGCATGAACAGCAACGGTAAGAAGCTGGGGATGCACTTCAGACTGATATGGATACTGGTATATGTGCCTAGATGCGAACCCTTGGGTACAACAGTCCCGGCATTGCGATTTAGGTGTGCTCCAAATACTAGAACCAAGTACGAGTACTTGAATCTATGTGCCCATCCAATCACTCCGTGCAACGACGTGATGTGAAAATTCGTGACCGCGCCGGGGTTCAGATGGGTACAAGATCTTTTTCTGTTGAGAAAACCGTGCGTGGGTTTGTGTCATGTGAAAGGGCAGGGCAGGGGTTTATCCGGCTCCGAGGCGGTCTGAGGGCCAAGTCACGTGGACGTGCCTGGATGTTCACGGGTTGCCGGCTGATCCTATGCACTGCGGAAGTTGCCCTCGCGCTGGCCGTGTGGGTGGCAGGTGCCATGGCCCTCGCCCATTGTCTCGCCCTGCATCTGCCAAAACCTCAACTTAGTTTGGGCCTTCTGGAACTTCCTGCGGCGAACGCATCCTCCATCTCCATCCTCCATCCTCCTTTTGTCCTCCAAAACATGTCAACCAAATTAATGAAGACACTCTTCAATTCTATCGCTTGATTCTGCATGCACATTTCGCCACTTTATTGTTTTCTTCCTTTCACTTGTATTAAAGTCATTCGGCACTTTGACCTTCTTTTCTCTCCATCTCATCCCACCTTTTCCGGCAATCATGAGTTCCACCCCTAGGCTTGTCAGCAGTGCTGCAACACGGAGATTATTATTGCAATGTATGTCAGGCCGCTCCGATGGATTGAATTCGATTGACTAACTTCTCACAGCAAATTCCAGACTCCCACGCTCTTCTCTCCTGAGAGCTCGATCCCAGCTCACCCGGAACCTCCCCCCTCAGACCCAAGCATTGGCCATCTTACTACCGTCTCGAGGTTATGCCACAGAAACCACCTCACATGGGTCCGACAGTGGTCCTCCTCCGGGCTTCAATATCAGTGATGCGAAGAAGCCCTTGCCAAAGGATGAAGCTAAGAAGTCTTCAACCCCACAAACGGTAGCCGAGTTGAAAAAGTCTGACGAGCAAACTCAAACCTCCAAGGTTGGTGCCACAGCCACAGACAAGACCAAGGCCTTGGAAAACGCTTCCTTGGGCGAATTGGCTGCCGAAAAGGCTTCCGAGTCCAAAGCCGATTCGACCGCAGTCACAACCAAGAAGGAGGACTCTACGAAGCTCACACTCGGCCAAAAGATTAAAAGGGAGATAGCTCATTACTGGGATGGAACAAAACTGCTGGCTACCGAGGTCCGGATTTCATCCAAATTAGCCTTGAAAATGGCCGCTGGCTACGAGCTTAGCAGACGTGAAAACCGACAGGTACGTCATATTCTCTGTCCCTAGTCACCTTCCAATCACTAACCTGTAGATAGCTACAACGAACCGTTCAAGATTTGGGTCGCTTAGTTCCATTCTCAGTTTTTGTGATTGTTCCGTTCGCCGAGTTGCTCCTTCCTGTCGCTCTCAAGCTGTTCCCAAATTTACTTCCTTCCACCTACGAGGGTCAGAAGTCTCGAGAAGAAAAGGCTGCTCATCTCCGAGAAACACGGAAGGGGGTCTCTACATTCCTGCGAAACACTCTTCGTGAAACAGGTCTTCCAGTGTCTGCTGTCAATGCGAAGAAGGAAGAATTTACAGAGTTTTTTCGAAAGGTTCGCGCCACCGGGGAATCCCCTTCTAAAGAAGATGTCATCAAGGTTTGCAGAATTTTCAAAGATGATTTGACCTTGGACAACCTTTCAAGACCTCAATTGGTGGGTATGTGCAAGTACATGAACCTGAATACTTTTGGAACCGATGCTATGCTGCGCTATCAAGTCCGCCATCGCATGAGACAGACGAAGCGCGATGATAAAGCAATTTCTTATGAGGGTGTCGATTCCTTGTCAGTCCCAGAACTCCAGATGGCATGTGCATCGCGTGGCCTACGCACACATGGTATGTCACCGGGAAGGCTCCGGGAGGATCTTCAAATGTGGCTCGACCTCAGACTCAAGTACAATATTCCATCAACACTGTTGGTTCTGAGCAATGCATATATGTACACATCCGGCAAAGACAGTGAAATCGACTCACAGATTGATGCTCTTCAAGCAGTCTTGAGCAGCATTCCCGAGGAACTCTTCCACGAGATTGAGCTTGAGGTTCATAATGCAGAAGGTGCCGCGACCAACAAGCAACGTCTCGAGGTCCTGAAAGAACAACAAGAATTGATTGAGGAAGAGAACGAGCAAACCGAAGCCAGCAAGACAGACGATGGGAAGAGTGCAAGCGAAGGTGTGAAGGATGATAAAGATATTGATGAGAAGCCGAAGCCGAAGGTAGAGGAAGCCAAAGCTGCAGTATCAGGACCGGATTCCTCGAAAGAGGCCAAGGAGGCCGAAGAGGATATCTCTGAAGCGGGAAAGAATGAACCTGCAAGGAAGGAAAAGGATGTGAAGAAAGATTAGTTCACTCCTTTGTCGCCCTCGCTATGAAGTATAACACCAACTGGAGTCAATCATTAAACAACAATCGACGGCTCTCAACTCGACATTGGGCGCTCCTTGAGTGCATAGAAAGACCAGCGTTTCTCCTCATGTCTGAAAAGAATTGGGCAATTTCCCAGGGATTTTATCGGGAAACTTCCTAGCATGGACAGAAAGATTGCATTGAATACTTGATGGGCGGAAGACCAAGGAATCTGCGAGGATTAGCCCTTACCTCTAACATCACTAGACAGGAAAGACACGGCGCTGTGAGGAGTTTTCTTACGAATTTACTATTTTTGTCCCCCTTTGGGGCCCATCTAACAGCTTACAGTAACATAACATATGGCATACAGTGCCGTCTCAAAGACGTGTCATGGAAAGCCAAACTATCATAAATAACCAAGAATTCCACTTGAAACCACCCTTTAATTCACGACTCACGAGGATCCATGGGAGTTGCGCGTGTGCGAACGGAAAATAGAAACGAGTTGGACGTAATAGTGAACCTCATTTAGCATTGACGTCTCGTTCTTGAATAGTCGTGCAGCATCCGTCGCCCGCCTCGCGAGGCGAGGAGCAAGCAAAGTATGAAGAAGAAAAAGCGGCAGCAACAACAATGACGCGTATAATCAGGCCTGTCTCGCTGTCCAGCCCTGCTATATTCCCAACGAGATCGAGCGCATCAGATTGACATCCTCGGGATCTCATGAACGCCCGCACATCAAAGGACCTCCATCAACTTTGCACCTAGCAACAACATCGCCATTCAGTTCATATCGTAAAACACCGCCGTCATGTAGTTGGGAAACATTGGACCTGGCTGGGAGACAGTACATGCTGGAAACTTGGGGAGGAAAGAGGGGGGGGGGGGGAAGTACATCTTTCAAGGAAAGACAGGAAAAAATTAACGGAAAAGGCAGCTGAGGCTCGATGATCACGGTTGGTATTTACGAAGCTGTTGTGGGATAGAGGTCAGCTAACTGATCTGATTTATGAATCTTGCGGAGGAGGGGGAGGGGGGCGACGAGGAATGGCAATTCAACTAGGAGAATCTCAAACGGGGGCTTGCTTACATCGAGGGTCAAGACCTTGGAGCTGTTCGCGCCTTGGTCTCTGTACACGCCGACCAGAGCCTCGCTGCCCTGGAAAAAGCCGGTCTTGAGACTGATCACGATGAATTGCATGCCGGGGCCCTGGGAGGAGAATAGGTCAGTTCAAAAAGGCCCGCAGAGGGGAAATGGATCACCCAGAAAGAATAGAGCGTGGTTAATGATGACGGTGATGATTTTACAAAAGGAAGACAAAACTTACAGCATGGTTCCTCACGTAGTTGACCAATTTACCCACGTTGGCGTTGTCCAAAGCGGCGTCGACTTCATCGAGCACGAAGAATGGGCTGGGCTGGTAGCTGTGGATGGCGAAGAGCAGCGCCAGTGCGGCCATGGTTTTCTCCCCGCCGGACAGATGCTCCATGTCTCGGAACCGCTTCGTTGGCGGCATGGTATGATAGTTGACGCCAGCGAGGTACGGCTCTTCCTCGTCAGCCGTAAGGTACGCGCGACCACCTGCGGGAAATTCGTCCGACTTGGTCAGGTTAGAGTAGATCGGCTCGATCTGTTCTGAGATGTGGGAGAAGGCCTTGTTGAAGAGCCCGTTGCGGCTTTCCGTAACGTCTTCGAAACTGGCCTTGAGTTCGCGATACTGCGCTCTCGAGTCCTCGTATTCTTGCTCCGTGTCTCGCGCGCGCGCCTCCACGGTGGCGAGACGCTGTGCCGCGTGCGAGTTGGGCTGCATCTTCTCGAGAGTTGCGGTCAGTTTGGCGATGTCGTCCTGAAGCTTTTGGTCTACCCCTTCTCCGTCCTCGTCCCGTAGGTCATCGTCAAGGGCATCAAAATCAGGCTCGACGCCATAATCTGTGACCCTGTGAGTCTTGAGCGCCGATGAGGTCGGATCTTCCTCGTCAACATCCATTGTATCTGCATCTTCTAGAGGGAGTTCATTGATGGGGACACTCTCAAGACTTGCCGATTCTTCTGTAAGAGGAATGGCAATGTTTTCGATCTTACAACGTCGAAGCAATGCGTATCTCGTGGTCGAATAGCGTTGCATTGCACCTTCCAGTTCGCTTATGCGGTTGAAGGTACTGCTCATTTCGCTGTTTCTTTTTTGGACTTCTTGCTTTTGCTTTGCCAACTTTTCAGCAGCGGCTGATTGTAGCTCTTTTTGCTCTTCTAGCTCAGCATTCAGTTCATCGAGCTCGTTCTTCAAAGTGTCAAGATCATCTTGAATGCCCTGACGTTGTTCATTCAGTTCGTCGATGGTAGTCCTGTCGCGCTGCTCTTTATCCCGGAGAGCCTGCAGTCGGTCATCTGTTGATTGCAATCTGGTACGCTCAAAGTTCAGCTGACCCTCGATCCTACCCTTCTGTGTAACGAACTCCAACTTCTTCTGGGCGGCCTCTTGTTGAAGTGAGCCTTGTCGCGCCTCATAGTCACGAATATCGTCGAACCCGTGTTGCTGACAGAAGTCCGCAAAAATCTCATTCTCCACATTGCTGACTGATTCTCGGTAGTCAGAAATTTCTTCGTCAATCTTCTCTAGCTTGTCGAGCTCAGCTTGCATCTTAGGGCGTTCTCCCCGTAACTGGTCCTTGACATGATCAATCTCTCGCTTTTTGCTTTGGAGATTCTTCTGGAGTGCATCAAGTTCCTCTTTTGTATACCGCAATCGACTTTCGAGGCCGCTTAGCTCATTTTGTAAGGCCTGCTCCTCTGCCACCCGGGACCGTTCTTGTGGTAGGGCGGCAAATTCTTCCATGTATTTATCCTTGAGTTTGGTGAGTCTATCGACTTCGGCATCATCCCATCTTCGAGTATTCTGTTCTCTACCCCGACCACCAGTCATTAGACCTCCCTTGTGGATGACACTGCCGTCCAAAGTCACAGCCTTTGCGTCGACGTTCCGAGTATAGCACAATTCTTTGGCAATCTTAAGGTCGTCACAAACAATTGCATTTCCGCAGGCGTAGGATATAGCTCGTGATACTGACTGGTCGTAATCGATGGTCTCAACGGCGGGTCTCATGCCACGGTGCATTCCTTTCAGGTTTGTGTTGACAGCTTTGACTTGGATTGTGTCCAGGGGAATAAATGTAGCTTGCCCGGATCGATGATCACGTAGATATTCAATGCATTGTTTCGCTGTTGCTTCGGTATCGACCACAACAGCGTCAAAGTGACGACCCAAAACTGTGCTGACGGCTTCCTGATATTTCTTTTGCTTAGGTTTACACAATTCGTGTACTCTGCCTTTGACTCCAGGGTACGTGCGTTTAAGCATGGCAATAGTCTCTTTCATCCGGCGCTCCTTCTCACTTGTCCGACGGCCATCGTCAGCCTCGAGCAGCTTTCGTGCAATCTCTGCAAGTTTCTCATCGAGTTCGGTCCGTTGACGTGCGGCCTGCAATCTCTTCGATGTGGCCGCGTTCAATTCTTTTTTCTTTGTGTCAATATCTGTCTGAACTTGCTGCACTACATCTTTGACGGCTTCTCTACGTTCGCTGATTGAAGTGTATTCGTTTTCGAGTGACTTCAATCTATACTCTGTGCTTTCAACGCTGTTCTTCAAGTTATTGTAGGTCGCTTCGATTGGCGCCCGTTCATTTTTGAGCTTTTCCACAAGACTGATGTTAGCTGATGCACGTTTATTGAGTTCTTCTCGTAAGCGGGTGTATTGCTGAAGATCTGCTGAGCTCAGCCGACCACCCATTCGACTGGCATTTTGATCCCATTCTTTCTGCCATTGAGCCTGTGCCTTCTCGACAGTAGCAAGATCTTTTTCGAGTTGACTCACGGTCGTAGCTTGTGCGCTCCGCTCCTTGACAATGGTGTTGACTCTATTGGCATATTTTGTGATCTGCTGGGTAGAGACCGAAATCTGTTCATCAATGGGTACTAGGGAAGAGACGTGATCCTCGATTTCTCTGTCTTTGGCCTTGATGGCTTTTTCGGCTTTCGTCACACCTCTTGCTGCCTGAGCGTGATCTTTCTTTGCGGCATCAAGACTACGTTCGTATTTCTCGAGGCCCCGCTTATGCTCTTTCACATCGTTCTGGTGTCGCTGGATCTCTGCACTGGACTCCTCAATTTGGCGTTGAAGATGGTACAATTTCCACAAAACATGAGTCACTATGGCTTGATCTTTCTCTGCAGCCTTTTTCTGAAAATTGTCCGCCTCGCGCTTCTGTTCTTGATATTGCCGGATCTCAGAGTTAATGCCTCGCCGTCGATTGAGCTGAAAAGCCTGTTTCTCTGCAGCTTCATCCAATTCAGCTTTTAATTTGTCGTACTCCGCTTTATACTCTAAACTCCCGGAGACTTGTTCGATGAGACGCGTCAAGTCCTGAGGCTTCTGAATCGCGATGGCTTCAACATCGCCTTGAAACACCAAGAAATTTCGTGCTTTGATGAGGATGTTTTCCTCCTCTAGCATTTCGTTGTAATGCTGCGAAGATACCACACGCTCGTTGATGCGATACTCGGAAACGCCTTGGTTTGTGATTGTGCGCTTGAACTTTTGCTCGATTCCCGCATCATCTTCGTATACTGCCATGACCCATGCAGATTTTGGATCATTACGTTCTTGCGATCCGTTGACTTGGCTTGATTCTTCCTCTCCGTGGCCATTTACACCATTAGCCGCGTCGCCATTTACAGTTGATTTGCGCAGGACACGGCCACGGTAAACAAGTTCTCGTAGATGGGTCGACCGTAGATGGGATGATTTGATGCCGAGGACGAAGGAGATGGCGTCCATGGAGTTGGACTTGCCAGATCCATTGGGACCGATGATGGAGGTGAAGTAGGCATCTCCGAAGAGTAAGGTATGGTGTCCTTTGTAGGATTTGAAATCTATTCTGTCAGATCCATTCTGAGCCATGAGCTTTCAACTTACTGTAAAGCTCAAGACGAATGAGTTTCCCCATGGTGGTTGGTGAACACAGAGAGCGCACTCAGGAGTGTGTCCCCAAATGGGTTGCTTGTTCGGTCAATCCGTGAGCATCCGGTAGAGAGCTCGTGTGCTGCATTCAACAGTGGAATGGAAATCCGTGAGGATGAATCGTGGAACGGGAAATGAGCCTAGTACCTGGATCGCGATTGAGATCGATTGGCTTCTTGGTTGTTTGGCCCAAACAGAAATCGGGGCGACGCGACTCGCCGCGTCGTGCCAAGACCATTAAGTGCCTCGTTTCACGTGACTGCTGAGCGGGGTCTCAGCCTCGCCTTGTCTCCGCCGTATTTGCGGGGTCTGAGCGAGCTTGCGCTATGACTGCACCATCCAGCTCTCCACGTTGCTTCAAGAGATACCGGAACGACAGGCCATTCTAGATACGAGTTCCGTCCTGCAGACTCCAACTCAGCCGTACCCTGCCATAGGCGCGCCGGATTTTGCCACGAATGATGTTAGCCAGACTGAAGGCACCCTCGGGCCCGAAGGCCTGGGGTAAGTCGTGGCGGTATATACCTTATTAAATCGAACTATGTTCTATTCTACCAAAGAAACAATTTACTTCTTCTCAGTTGATCTCAATTATCTCACTTTCCCGGCACAACTCGAAGTTGAAGCAAAGATGGAAACCTCCATCGTGACCAGCCTCTTCCTGGTGGGACTGGTCCTGGTCCTTTCCTTATTGTATCAGGTCAGTCCATACGAAATGTGATACACTTTCTCAATTGACGATCATCCCCTTTCAGATTGTCTATAACCTTTTCCTATCGCCTTTGAGGCAAATTCCGGGTCCTTTGTTAGCCAGGGTCACCAGTTACTGGTTGATATTTGTCGACATTACAGGCAACCGTACATCTACTATCCATAGGCTTCACCAGAAATATGGGAAGGCGGTTCGAATTGGTCCATCGGAGGTCTCCCTTTCCAACATAGAGTCAATCAAGGAAATCTACGGCCAGCAGACCAGTTTTATGAAGGCCCCAATCTACGAGACCATGAGCCTACCGCCGTTGGGGATTTTCAGCTTGACAGATCGGCGGGCACACAGCCAAAGGCGGAAATATTTGAGCCATGCCTTCTCGCAGTCCAATCTTCTCGACACAGAGCCTTTGATTGCACAGCACATCCAGAAACTACATGACAAGATCAAGGCTGGCCTCAACAAACCACTTGATATGCTTGTACTATTCAGACTACTTGCGTTTGACATTGTCGGTACGTGAATTTGCTTGCTCTGCACAGTATCTCGAGTTGACAGGCCGCATAGGGGATCTATTCTTGGGTCAGTCTTTTGGAGGGCTTGACTCTCCAAAAGTCCCAGGCTTCCTACATGACATGGACCAGGCCTTTCTCCTGGGTGGCATTGAATCGAGCTTTCCCTGGGTTTTCGCAGCCCTCACCAGGATCCCGATCCCAAGTCTTCAGCACTTCCTTGCATCTCGGAAACGGCTCATACAGGTAGGGCAACATCCCTGATTGTGGCTTCCGCTGACACATGCCCTAGTACGGTAAGGCATCACTAAACAAGTATGTGGCTGAGTATGGGAGAGACTCCGGCCGGAGAGATCTTCTTACCAAGGTCCTTTCTGTCAAAGACGATTCCGGAACGTCAGTTCTCTCCGATCTGGAGACGTACACCGAGATTGGAAATCTTGTGTTTGCCGGGACAGGTCTGTGTCCGCTTAGTCCTGGAAGCTTCCATCCGTTAACCCTGAAGTAGATACGACTAGCACCACCTTGACATATTTGTTCTGGGAATTGTGCCGCCACCCAGTCTGGCAAGAGCGGCTTCGCGCTGAACTTAAAAGCCATGTGGCTGATCCGTCTACGACTCCATCATGGAATGCTGTCCAAGAACTACCGTTGCTTGATGCAGTGGTCAACGAAGCTCTGCGCCTCCACCCAGCTGCGCCTGCCAGCCTTCCTCGAAGAACACCATTGGGTGGAAAACTTCTAGGAGGATATTTTATTCCCGAGGATGTTCGTACTATACGCGTGCCAATGATCTACGTACACTAACTCATGGCAGGTTGTTGTTTCTATGCAATGTTACACGACCCAGCGTGAAAGTGATGTATTCTACAAGCCAGACGAATTCCTACCAGAGCGTTGGTTGGAAGCTGATAAAATATCGGGCGAGATGCGAGAGCTTTTTATGCCGTTCTCAAAGGGCTCCCGGGCCTGCTTGGGCAAGAATATGGCTATGATGGAACTGAAGATGACTACCGCCACGTTACTGAAATCCTACAGTGTGAGGTCCGCTCCAACAACTACCGATGACTCCATGACCATGCAAGACCACTTCCTAGTCTTGCCGAAAGGTGGAAGGTGTGATCTGATTTTCGAGGAAGTAGCCAAGTAAGCGAAATTGAGACACCCTTGCGGCGCCTAGCGGGCCAATAGCTACAGTCCATATCAAAAAGGATAGTGTTGCAGAATGTAGTATCCAATGTGGTACCAGTGACTGGGCAGATTGTCGACTGGCATGCCCCGCACTGACTATGTCAGTTCTAGGGCCAATGAAGCCTGCATTCAAGCACTTGAAACCCTACGACCGAAACTCTTCTCAAATATCCAGTTTGTGCGCCAGCCTCCGGTCTCTTTTGCTCGAAATGGATAGTTACCAGCATAGACAGTTCGGTGTCGATTCTGTCTCACACTATGGTGGCAACTCTGTGTGGGAATGGGGGATTACCCCAGTGAAGGAAACTCGGATATGCATCGGCCGCGTTGATTACTCCACCAACTTCCGAGTCACCCACGCTCTCGAGGCTACCACCAATGCCGGCTCAATCATCAAAACTTGTTCTGAGGGGTATTAACCACAGACCGGGAACTTATTCGAGGGACTGACAGGCTTATCTGCGATTGACGACGTCGCTAGAGACAACCCTTATAGCTGATATTGGACACTTGCAAGAATCGATAACCGACGACCACATATACGATGAGTAAGTCTCTTCGACGGACCGGGGAAATAGTGAGCGAACCTGTTATACTGATACTGATCTCAACACAGGTCTCACCCCAGTCCACTTCTTCTCCCACGGGTCAACCCGCATGCTGGAGGCAGATACCGAATCTGGAGCATATTGGAAGAAATGCGGCGATGAGGCGCTCGCCCATGGCGTGAAAGGGATCATTATCATGGTGAGTCTCAGGTGGCGACTGTAACCTTTTCCAGGGACAAAAGACTCATGACTACATCTCCAGGGTGCCCATTGGGACTGCCTCGGGGACAAAATGGAAATTGCCACCAACCCTGCCCCTGGGAAATCTCCCTGCCCGTATGTCACGCAGTCACTGTTCACGGAGTGGACCCCCAACCCAGACATTCCCACAGCTCATCGATGCATCAACATGCTGAAAGCCGAAGGTTTCAACGTCTCGGAAAATCCGAACTTTGACTGGATCCACGACACTTTCATGGTGCTGATCCGGATGTTTCCCGACGCCAGCAAATGCCCCCCGACGACCATCATCTCGATGAACGCACGGTACGACCCGCACTACCACATCCGCGTCGGCGCGACACTACGTCCGCTACGACGCGAAGGCTACCTTTTCGTCGGCACCGGAGGAGCGGTGCACAACCTGTACCGCAATGTTTGGCGTCCAATGCTCTTGTACCGCGACAGCCTCGGCCAGGAGCAGCCACCGGAGACCTGGGCTCTAGACTTTCGACAGGCAACAGAGGACGCCATTACCCGGAACTCGGGTCCGAAGTTACGGAAGGCCGTAGCCAGGCTCATGAAGCACCCTCAATATCGCGATGCTCAGGCGACCGACGACCACTTTATGCCGGCCTTGTTTTGTGCGGGAGCTGCTGGTGACTGGGAGGATGTGAATACCACCAATGTGTTGGGCGCAGAGACGTGGGAACTGACCAACATGTGCAATTCGCAATTCACAATGGGTTCTTATGGAGAACCAGGGCGGGTATTGGGAAATGGTGCTGTAGCTACCCCGGTCGGTGCCTGAAATGTTGAATAGATATATGGGCGGGCTAAGCATCCTCACCTTCGCTACCTACGCTGGGTTTTTAAGACCATGGATACCCAATCCTCCGTCCTGAACAAATTGTACGAGCCTATCGCGATATAAGATTCAGTGATCGTTAGCTAGCCCCGACATTAGAAGCGTGGCAGCGCCAGAGATATGTCCCTTGTAAGTCTCAACACTCTCGATTACTCACTCATTGTGGACATTCCAAATGACGGGAGCTAGATCACCTGATAGACCCAGAGACCATTCAAATGCATCTCAAAACGCAGTAACTCTTTGCTACACCTATATTTTGGACATTGTACACACAACAAAGCATAAATCCCTGCACAGTGACACCGATCTCAATAGAGGGCAAACTTCCCACTGCCATACCTGCGAAGAGCGAAACGGCCCAAAAACCCCAGACCAGCTAGCAGAGGAACGCCAACACTCGCGACGCTTAGCATGATGGCAGCATCAAAGAAACCCAGCTGTTTGCCTGGTCTCTGCCCAGTAGGCTTGAGCGGGACCTCGGCACTATGTGCCCATTTTTGGAATTTCCTGTTCTCAGACTGCAGCATCATGTCGATGCCATCGTCTAGCACCTGAGGGCTCGCTTTCAGCACCGTCGGGCGCGAGTCTTCGAACAATTGCCGTGTGTACCTTGGAAAGAGTGAAGATTGCTCACGAGTCGTGCTCTCCGAGGGAGGGAGTTTGGGCCCCACAAGAAGTTCGGCTGGAAGCATATTCACGCAGGTGAGGCCCGCGTCTATATTGTTGGCCAAGTATTGAGCGTCGGCTGGGCTGGCAAAGATGAACGCTGCTGCAGGGTTCTGCGGACGATGAGAACTCCCCGACTCACCTCCTTCGTTCAATTCGGCGGAAAGGTCGATTGCTTCATCGGAACTCGTGACTCTGCAAATCAGGAGCGTCGAGGGTGGATATTTTGCTTTCAATGAAGAAGTAGGGTCCCCGTCTGAGCTGCTACCGGAGAAACTGTGAGTGACTTCACACTTCATTGTTTTGGGGTGCGGAATACTTACTTCTCAGGGAGTTCAACTATGGCCCCTCGTTTGCCGGAGAGAAGTACCTTGTGCCCATCCAGCTGCTTTGAGCCACCGAGTCCTTTCTCTGATGTCAGTAGCTTTTGTTTTGCTGCGCCTGTGTTGAGACCACCGTACGAGCGGCTGACAATCTCTACTGTGTGTGTTGAGAATGCTTTGGCCACTGCTTCGTGTACGAATATCACGTCTGGTGCGTATGCCGATGTATTGCCGAAGCCAAACTTTGCCACCACTAAAGTGCGAGCAGCAAGCCTGAGATCAGCTGTCCGATCGACAAATGCAACATTCTTTGCAGATGAGGGCGAAGCGATCAGCTTCTTGGACCAAAGTAAATCCGAACTTCCTTTTGACTGAGTGCTGAGGATCTCATTCGCCTGGAGCACTACCGCACACTGTCTGAGGAATGAAGGGGCGGGCCTTTCTTTGGATATGGCGAATGTGTCTCCACTCAAAGCCTCTTGAAGGCTGTCCCGTAAAGCCGAGCTTGTCCTGTTTGTAGTCTGTAAAAGCTGTTTCTCTTGTGAGACAAGATCATTTTGGCGGCGTCGAGCCTTGGGAGGAGACTTACTTCAACAATTACACAATTTCCAGCAGCCATCGCAGCGCATAGTGGAGAAAGCACGGAATAAAGGCCACCTCGTGGCACAATGTAAACGATACCAACACCTGCGTACCGGTTCAAGCGCTCGTTGCCATTCTCAATGGTTTTGGTCGCCGCGACTTCTTTCTCGAAGTCGATGCTCTCATAGTGAAAGCGGACCTCGGACAGAGAAAGCGAATATTCAAACAAGGCTTCACCCGGCGAATAGCCATAGTCATCTTCTAGAGCCCGGATCAAGAGGGCCTTGTTCTTGACTATAATTGGTTGTAAGCGGTGGAACTGAAGCTGTCTATGACGGAGTGAGCGTGCCGTCCCTTCAATATCTGCGATGGATATACGAGGAAATGGATTCGGTGCTGGAGACTTCATAGTCGACATGGTGACACAACCACAGGTGAATGATGAGATAGATCCAAGCAAGTCTCGGTGGTGTTGATAGTTTCGATCTGGTCGATGCTTGCTGGAGCTACTACTGTTCGTGTGATGTCCAATCTTTGTATTAGTGCCAGCCCTGCCAGCCCCGAATTGCTCCAGCACTTCCCAGCAACGTGGCTGAGCCAATGGCCTAACGTGACAATGCAACTCCAGGACGGTTCGGCCGCAGATCCCATCGGAAAGGGGCCAGGCGGAACAGGCCATGCGGCAGCTTTTGGGTCGAGTATCGGAAAGGTCAGCCTGATGACCGGCTACCCCATCTCGGCAATTATGCAACGTGCGCTGGTGACTTAGTTGTACGACTGCTTCACCAATAGGATTGTCTCTGGGAAGCGACTTTCGTGTTGTGAGATATATCACATAGCCGACTTGGTAAACCTTGACTTGGACGATAGGAACGTACGTCCAAGGCGACGATAACTCTCCTGCGATGTCGAGATCCTCCACGACCGAGACCGTCAACCCCTCAGTGCACGAACTACTACAAGCATACAATGTGCACCATACCGGGACTGACGAGGAGGTGCGATTGGCACCTCAGCCGTCTATCAGACGACAGCAAGCACAGTTAGACTCGCCAAATGTGTATTCATCAAACCGAACTTCAGAGTCCCCTCCCGCGCAGATCGATCCAAACGATGTGTCTTCGCGGCGCCGGGTTCCCCCCTACCGAGAGACGAGTCGAGACCATGATTTATCTCTACGACCGGGTGGACGAGACAGCACAGAAGCAACTATAGTGCAGGTTATGTTCGTCGGTGTGTACATTACGGGGGTAGGTTGCCCCGTTAATGCGTGTGGGGAGGCAATCACATCACTGACATGGTACCACAGGCCCTGAATCGATGGTGGAGGCAGACTGGTGGGCGACTAAATGATAAATTTTTCCAATACGAAGTAGGGGGTGAATGGTGAATTGGGAACTGGTACTAAGTGAGATGCCAGGAAGACGATGCTTGAATTTTGAGACTTCAAAGTGACTGTACTCGATTGTAGACGTCGAGCACGTCGAGCACGTCGAGCACTCAAATCTTCTAACATTTATGGCATTCTGTTCTTTTACCAGTCGGAACTAGTCAATTCCACCTTCATCCAGTTCGAGTGCTTTTCCATTAACCATAACCTCCTCCGAAGACTGCAGCACATACAGCATTCTCCCCCAGGTTTCCGTACTCTTATTCCTCCATGCATGATTCGTGCCTCGCTGGACAGCAACATCGCCCCTTTTAAGAGTTCTAGTTTCACCAGAGTCCAAAATCAGTTCAATTTCTCCTTCCAAGACCACGCCAAAGTCCAATGACACCGTCCGATGCATGGGGGAGGCATAGCCAGGAGGGAAATCAACAGTGCGACAGACGGTACCGCCTGGAATGACTATGGCTGGTGGCGTCTTCAGATAGCCTTTATATCCTTCGAGATCCTTGTCGTCGTTCATGGAGACAGGGAATTTGGAAGTCGTGAACATAAGGCTGAATTCCATGTCTCCTCCCATGACGGATCGGACTGGGGCTTCGGCGGGTATGGCATCACTGAAAATCGCCTCGGATTTGTCGTTGTGAGCCGTGATATGTCGTTGTAGAGGACGCAGAGGGCTGAGAGGCTGAGGGTCTGTAGTAGCCATGATTGGACTTTGAAACAAGTTGATCGATCCTCGATGATGGATAATTACAACGAAGGCGTCTATCCTCGGATGGGAAAGGCAGAAGCTGGATTCGTGCAACGGTCAGGCCACTAATTTATCGATTGAATCCCAAAGTCTTGTCTATCCTGCAATTCTAGTATAATCCCTCCAATTATCCCTCACTTGGCCGGGATTACAGGCAAGAGTACATAATTTTCGTACTCGGGGCCGAAGTTAATATGATTCCAGCCATCCAACAAATCCCGAGGCCGATCGGCATCCGATGTGTGTTCGAATAAGCCAGCCCCCTGCGTGTCGCCGGAAGAGACCTCAAGCACCAGTCGGTTACCCTTATCCACAACAACATTAGTTGGCCAGACCTCCACATCTACCCCATACACTTCTCCAGGCTTCACAGGTAGTACATCCGTGGACAGATATTCCCGATGGGGGTGCCAAGGTTTAGACCGGGGGTGATTCGGCTCCGTTTTGCGTAGACTTACCCTCAACCAGCCCTTGGTTATTGGCACCGGGTCCCCTACAGTGCCTGTGTAGAGAATCTCGTTGCCTGTCAGGTCTAGATGTCGCAAGGTAAGAAACAGATCCAGTTCTGAAGGTTCCTTTGCAGCCTCCGTGATGCCCGAACAGGAGACATTCAGATGCACGACAATGTGCCCTGTAATCTCTGTCTCGTGTTGAAATGGTTCAGAAACAAATTGGACCAATTGGGGGTTTTGGAGAGTCCCTAACGCCTTGTACGATAGTTTCGATTGTTGAGCGTCGTACGAAGCTTGTGATCGCTGGGTGTTGTACGAAGCAGAGTCAAGTAACTGCTTACCCATGGTCAAGAAGTATTTGGTATAGTCGGTCCGAGCAATCGGCCATTCGTTTTCAAATCGATGTGGATATCGCTTTTCGGCCTCGACATCGTTGTAGCCGACATTGCCCTTGCGCAATACTAAGCCCACCTTCGGAGCTTGCCCCGTGGACCAGCCTTGAGTATCACGCCCCTTTAGAAACGCATCCAGAAAGCTTTTCTGCATTTCAACGTTTTCTTTCCCATAAAAGGGTAAATCATGACGTCCTGTGATCAGTCTGAGGTATCTCAGCTTCGAGCCGGCGTTTAGATACCCTTCAATGTTGCCTCGTAGATGGAGCAAAATCCCACCCCAGTTACCAACGGATAGGACTGGGACTTTGATGTCGTTCATATCATAGTCTTTCGAAGCATAGTAATCTTCATCTCGAAAACGGTGTGTCTCGTTGTCTTTCGTTTGATCCCGAAGATTTGTAAGTAATTCCTCTTCTGAGAGGTCGCCTTCAATGGTGTCAAACCCCCAGTTCCTAGCTGCTCTTCCAGGCCGCCCGTATTGATTCGTGATGACCTAGATCCTTGGTAAGAGATTTTGTCTATAGCGAAAGAATGGATGGAACCCCACCTGTCTGTTCCACCAAAAGCTAATAAAGGTATTTGACAGGATTCCTCCATGTCTACACCTATCGCGATAATAATCGGACATGCCTTCCCACGGTATAATGCATGCTAGTCCTTTCGGTTGACGTGCAGCGACTCTCCATTGGCTTCCAGCATAGTAACTTATTCCAAGAAGACCAACTTTGCCGTTGGACCATGGTTGGCTTGCAGCCCATTCAACAACGTCGAAGAATGCTTCGCTTGTGCCACGAGACATCGTATTGAGTACGCCGGGTGATTGGCCTGTACCTCTCTCGTCCGCCCTCACTATCGCATACTCATGTCTCGTCCAATAGCCCGGATCCGGTGTTTCCCATGCTGAGTGCGGTGAGTGGTGATCTTCGGGCACCTCGCTGAAAGAATCCGCGTGGAAGCTGGATAGTATGTTGGTAACACCATACAGGACTGCATCTTTCGGCACTTACTGGCTGTAGTGTATGTCTTTGCCATAAGGCCCGTAGGTTACCAGTACTGGGTATGCTTTGCTCGTATCTTTTGGTCGGTACACATTGCACCTGACTACGCCTTTATCGCCCTTTAGAGCCACGGTCACATTTTCCTCGTAGACATAATCGAATGATGTTTGATCGATCTTGTAAAGATCTCTGATTGGATTCGGCATGATTGACTCTTGACGAAACACGCAATATCGAGGAAAATCCGGAGAAGTGTCGCATAAATCTGAGGGCACTTTACGTATTCTTGAGGCTTTTGTTTAGTTGTCCGAATGGTGCACCGCTAGCGTACTCGGGGATCTGAGTATTTCACTGGCAGTTGAAGTTTAAAGAGGGGTTCGTACACCAAGTCCGGTTTGAGGCTCCTTTCTTCGGAAGTGGTGGGGTAAATGTGTATCAGGGTCCAAGATCCCAGGTCCCAGGCAGGAATCGGGCCACTCATCCAAAGACACATTCTAAGACAAAACGATGATGGGACAGATACTGAGTTTGGCGCATTGGGAAGAGTACTTGCCACTAATGTGTCTAGATTCTTTTGCTTGAACCCTCTGTCGATCTGATCTCCATAACGCCTATGGGATTTCTGGCCGGTTATGAAATGAGGTGACTTCCGGCATCCGCGTTGAGCCTTAGAAGTGCTGTGTGAGATCACTCCAGTTTCCGATCAATCTGGGTAGGGTTGAACGAGGAGGAGAACCCGAATATGCATCGGTCGATGACTTACAAATGAGAGTCACATTCGTGATGCCAACTCCCACGTTGCACAACACATGCTAGCCTCTGAAGTGTGCCTCTGAACATACTTAATTGAGAAAGAGGCTCACTCTTTCAGTCTCCAGTTGCTGTGGAGAACGCCCACCGAGTGGGGCAGCTTAAAAGCAAGGACAAGCAACGATATGTCTCATACAACCCACGATCCTATCATCAACGGTGTCAATGGCACCGAGGAGCGGAAACTCGAGGTCATTATTGTTGGAGGAGGAATTGGTGGCCTTGTTGCTGCGATATCTCTAAGACGACAAGGGCACAATGTTGAAGTCTATGAGCAATCGCGACTCGCAAATGAAATCGGAGCTGCAATTCATATGGTCCCCAACGCGGTCGGTGTACTGAAGCCATTGGGGATTGATGTGGCGGATAGCGGAGCCATTCCATGCGCACAAGTGAGTTCTTGAATGCAGTCATTCCGTTGGCCCTCGTATGATTCAGGGTTGCTGACCCAGGGTAGACTGTGCTCTTTACCGCGAACAACGAAGTCATGCAGAAGATAGATAACACAAGGGACGCCCATAGATGGCAAAACGTAAGCACTAGCAGATTCTCGCAGTCGTAAAGAGCTTATGCTAACAACGAAAGCCATGGATGATGGCTCACCGAGCCCATCTTCACACTCAGCTCAAGAACGCAGCAACTTCACCCGACCAACCCGGACGACCGGTGAAACTCAATACTTCTTCCAAAGTGATAAGTGTCGACCCGGAAATTGCGACGGTACATCTCGCAGACGGCTCTTCACATTCCGGTGATGTCGTGATAGGAGCGGATGGAGTCCATTCCAACGCAAGAAAAGCACTCATGAACGACGCACCAGCACCAGTCAAAGGGGCACATAACTGCTTTCGCTTCATTCTAGAGCGTCAAGTGGCAGTTGACGATCCGGAGACGAGGCTACTTGTCGAAGAAATGAACTCCATGAATATGTGGTACTTGGCAGACATGAAGATTGTCATGTACTCAACGTCTAACAACAAGCTGCTGAATTTCGTCTGCATACATCCGGAACACTTAACTAGCGTCTCGGACGACTATACCAAGTCTGCATCCAAGCCACAAATGCTTGAAATCTTCAAGGACTTCCACTCGTCGATTGTCAAACTGATGGGCAAGGTGGATCCTGCAGACCTAAAAATATATCCACTGTACCATATGGAAGTGCTTCCAACATTTGTTTCCGGGCGAATGGCATTGATCGGCGATGCGGCGCACCCTTTCACACCACATTTGGCACAAGGAGGCGCAATGGCGATAGAAGATGGTGCGGCATTGGGCGTCATGCTTGGAAATGGCGTTCTGCCTAACGACGTGCCAGAGCGGTTGCAGCTCTACAACAAAGCACGTTATGAGCGAGCTACCAACATCCAGCAATTTAGTGTGGAGGTCGGCAGAGACTCGGTTTCCTCTAAACCGGGTGAGACCTCGAAGCTCAAATGTAAGGTTCATGTCCACCCGGTCGGGGCGTATCGGATGAAAAGGGCCTAATATTGTCTTCAATAGTGAACGATTATATCGAGTATGGCTTTAGCCACGACGAGATCCATGCTTCGACAGAGTTGCTTCGTCAACACCAGTGGCGGCAACAAGGAAGCGCCCAATGCTGGAGACAGCCACTAAGTTTTGGATTGCTACCCGGCCCAAGACAAGATGCTTTTGGACGCTCCCACCGGCAGGCACTGCGGAATTCCACAACGACGAAAGCAAGTATCAAGTTCAAAACCAGCTCAACAATCCTTCGAAATCTATTCCCGAATGAACGATACTCGTTCGAGAAGCGTGACACTGTTGCCGTGGCGTCATTCTCACTTCAGTCGCTCGAGAACATGGCCTGGCTCGGTGGAGGCGGCTATGACTTGTTGGCTTTGTATATCCACGATGTCTGTTATCGACAAAACAATGGACAGATCGTCAAAGGGACGTTTTGCCCAGTAATGTTCGAGAACCTGGCCGATCCCATTGTAACAGGCCGTGAAGAGCTTGGAGTGCCAAAAGTGTTCTCCGACATTGAGATTTCGCGCAGTAGCACATCTTGTCATGCGACTCTTTCTTGGAGAGGCACGCAATGGGCAGAATTTCATTGGAAAACTCTAAAATATGACACTGCAACTGTGGATGAAGCAGAGGACCCAATAGGGGGCTTGTTGGTCCATAAATACATTCCCGCAACGGGGCAAAAAAGTCCACAGGAAGCGGATGCGAATTACGCAGTGTTCATCCCAGCGGAGCCAGGGGTATCGACCATCAAGTCAAAATCAGTCGCGAGGAAAAGCGACCTTGAAGTCAGGATCACCGATCTGGGCTGGCAAAAGTTGCCGACTTTACACCCTATAGTGAGCAGGCTCGCAGAAATTCCCATCTTTGAATTCCTGGATGGTGCAGTGACGGCATATCAAGGTGTCTCTGATCTGGCCGGTGCGCAGCGTCTAGATTGAAGAGGCTACTACGGGACGGACTTGGCTGTATGTCTTGGTAGGCAAAGGGGAAAGGAGACGTCAGTGGTTGTTTCCTTCAGATATCGTCACCAGGTATGATTATAGTTATAATCTCGAGTACATGATTATTGGCCCTTAGTAACTCATCTATTTGCTGTGGTCAGACAAAAGGTCATTGAGCGCACTGGCAAGGTGCTTTGCCACCTTTACTTTCAAAGCGAGAAGTAGTTGACTGCCGTTATCGATGACAACGTCGCCAGAAGCGTCCGAGCCAGACTTGCCTCCCGCTCCATACCACAGAACTAGGGTAGAGAAGTAGATGCAGAATGGGAGATGAGGAGACTCAAGAAGGTGTGACTTGTCTGCGTGGAATTGAGTGCGCCGACGTGCCGTTGACATAGCCTCCCTAACAAGGCTCTGGATAGCTTCGGAATGCCAAGATGCAACGTCAAAATGCGAAGTAGATGTCCAAGTGGCAATGGAGTGGGAAACCTTTCCCGGTTCTGGGCTGTTCGCCGAATCTATGAAATCTTTGGCGGAGCGTTGGAGAATTCTCAAATTTGAGTGAAGGTTGATATGAGTTAAATGATAAAGCAACATTGTTGCAAAATGTGTCTGCGTCGGAAACTCGGCATTCATCATCCTTGATTGGTTCCATCTCTCAAGCCCTAACTCAATGAAATCATGCTTCCACAGAAGCTGTTCACTGGGATGGGCTAATCCGTGAGGACACAAAGCCCAGGTATATGAGCTTATTTCTGCGAGGGTCTCCAGACTGCTCGATGTCTCGCCGTTGACGCAGCTAGGGCTCATTAGGAACCGTAGATGGCTTGTTGACCTTTGAAACGACTCGTTATCATGGTCTCCAAGGTGGCCGTTAGCAAGCGTGGCTTCGAAGAAAGAAGGTGCACGTAGAAGAAGAAGTACACGGTAGCTGTCTAGAACATGAGCAGCCCGTGACAGAAGCTGCAGCTGGCTTTCTCGCTCAGCAGAATTTCCGTCGAATGCAGCTAGCCAACACGACCGTATCGTGCGCAGAGTCTCTGAATGATAAGCTTCAGTAAGCTCATAGCTTCGCTTATCTCCACTACAAATTCCGTATATCTCGAGAAGGATCGAGGTTTTAGCTCTATCCATGGCTGCTCGGAAATAGGTGGGCTTTGGTGGAATCATTGCTTCGAGTTGCATTCTTCTAGCATCATTGTAGAGTTTCCTAGCCACTTTGGCACTTTCTGAGACAGTACAGAAGAGGCCTCCAACAGCAGCCATCGCAAGGCAAAGCTCTTCTTTCGTGTCTGGCAAGACCTCAAAGTCAGAAAATATGGCGAAGGTACTGGAAAGATGAGTCCTAGCTAGATTAAGGAGAATGTTGATGACTTCTTCGTCATAAATTTGAAGATGTGGAGGAGCAGAGTACCATTGATTCCATAGCTGTCTCGGTTCCTCCCTCATTGGACTCGGTGCCCTCGAGCGGCGTTGAAAGAAGTCTCTCATCATGGTGATCGCCACGTCCATTTGAGAAGTACTGTCTATTTCAGCGAACAGTGGATTGTGGGACCAATTTTCGTTCTCCAGGGAGAAACCCTCGACATCTTCCAGCCAATTCTCAACGCCCTAGGCTTACGGTTAGTGCCGTTGGGGCAGGTCTTAGCATCGTGAAACTCACTAATGTAGGAAGTTGCCAGTCAAAGCCTTCTAAGAACTGAGGAATTGGATACCCCCAGCTCTCGTCCATCATGATTGGCTCGTTTGGAAAAGCAGCTTCTATTGCATCTATGGTGATCGAATTCGGAGCATTCATTGGCAAGTTATTGGTCTCTTGATCCCGCGAAAGGTCAAAGTCTGCCGCGGAAATACTATTGACAAGAACAACTGGATCGCCAGGGCTAGTATCGAGGCGCGTGCCCGAGTTCGAGGTACTGTGTGGTTCAAATCCGTCCTGAACCAACAGCATGGCGCTTTGATCTAACTGGGATATCTCAGGGCGTTTTTCATGGAGGAAGCTGTGTCTGGAGAGCTCTGTCTCGCCGTTTCTTGGCCTTCCAGGAGGCCGACTGGCACTGGAGACTGTACAGGGCAGGTTCCTGGTCCTGCATGTCGCGCATGGGTGTGAGTTGTCGCACTTCAGTTTCTTCCTTCTACATTCGTTGCAGGCAAGCTTCGACCGTTCCTTCCTTGGTTTGAGATCAGTATCAGTAGCAGGCAACTGGGAATCAGATGTAGAGTGAGTGGTTGTGTGAAATCGCTTCATGTGTTTTTCCTTGACATCGGATCTTGGAAAGCCAATCTTGCAGTAGGGGCATTGAAATGGTCGCTCGCTGGTATCTGCCATCAACATGATCAGGCTACGAAAGTTTGTCTAGCTTTTGGAACTCACGAGTTCTTCGGTGTCGAATTAAATGTTCATTCCGGGCGAAAGATCGACCACAAGTCTCACACTGCTACCGTGTTAGGTGGTGGATTACATGGCATCGAAACTCACTGTCTTGTTCTGCACACGTTTGGGCGCTTGATCGGTGTCCATTGCAGCATGCCTTACCCCGGGTTCCTTCGAATGGAAGATATGCGACGTGGAGATCTGGGGTCTCCAGGTCTGTCTGGGTTGTGTGATGATTGCGCTCGGTAATGTGGTCGGTCTGAGAAATCCGACACTTGAACCGTGGGCCATGGCGTCCTACCCCACCTCGGCAATTGATTTTTTGAAGAGCCATGGCAGGGATCTCAGAGCATCGGCCAAAGGCCTGATGTCAATTTGCAATTGGCCTTCTCTGGACTAACTCGGTAAGCTGCCAGTTAACGACAGGCCATCCACAATGTTGAGCATTACGTCGCCAGAATCAAGCTGGCCCGGAGAACGCGATGCTTCGAGGCGCGACGTGGAAGTGGCCAACGAGATACCCGAGCCTGGCCTTCTCTCAGATTTCAAGAGAGCCTTGCTGGCCAGCCCAGACGCGCTGGGCATCAATAGACTCATGCATATGGAGTTGGGCAGTCGAGTAAATCTGTACCGCCGAAACGCACGATCTTGTGTTGACAATACCAGGCTCCGCAACAAAAGCGATTCACATTTCCAGCTGCACTTCTATCGCATTTCCCTACGCTCCCCAGTCACACTGATCTAGCTAACTTGAGGTTGGTGTTTTCAACATTCTGTTCTGGCCACGTGTTGATGAGTCGGATGCCGCTTCCACCACCGTCGCGTGAAGCCATCGCGCCGCCACTACGTCTAGCACAGGCATGTCTTGGCTCCGTGTATTCACGAAGGGGCATGGAAGAGGCCCGTGATCTATTCCACGCGGGAGCGAACCTGTGGGCCGTCATCCTTGAGGTCGATAATAGTGAAGCTCGCTCGATCGAAATGCTTGTTGCTGTAGGTCACAGCCATCTTGCTGTTCTGTGCAGTGGGCTTATCATCGCAGTGTACATTACTCAGCTGGTATGGAGTGCTCTGCAGTGATGCGGGCGTGCTCAGCCGGAGCGGGCTCCAATTGAGCTCAAACACAACGGTAGAAGCAACCGAGATTAGGGTCATGACTCCAGCTGACCGTTACAGATTGCTCGTCGCATGCGGTTGAATGATCCATCTCAGCTGGAAGAATTCCTCGGCCCACGAGTATCATCGTATAGGTTCGTGCCATCCCTTCAACGGAGAAAAAGACTGAAGGACAGATGATTTTTAGTGCGTCAGTGTGGTGCCTGTGGCTCTCAGATATCACTCATAGTTTGCACACTGGTCTTGCAACCAACTTCTCCTCACGCGAACTTTGGACCAAGATGCCGTCGTCACAGGTGGAATTCCAGGACACGTACAATAGTCTTCTCCACGAACAAGATTACGATGATTATCAATCGAACCTTCCCACGGACTTGACCTCAGCAGATGATGCGGTGCTACTCCTTATGGCTATCATCTCGGATGCGATATATCTTCGTCAATCACTTGGATGGCTGGTGCCAACAGACGATACGAGACGTGGAAACAACCCCTTTGTGCCACTAACACCAAGTACTGAGCTCGCGCGAATGCAAAAGTTGCTGTCGAAGGGGCTTGATAGGTGGCAAAGCCAATTCCAGGACTTGGTGTCAGCAGATGTCATGGCGTTTTATCACTATTGTAGGCTCTACATTTCGTGTCCTGACCTACCTGCCCTTTCACCATTGGCAGGCTATCCCAGTCACTGCAGAAATTCGGGTTTCCAGAGTAGGCCAAATACCGGGAACAGGATCAAGATATCTGACCAGGCTGTCCAGCAGGCATGGCAAGTGCTCGATCATGCAGCGTCCCGTGCCAGGGCAGATGAGCAGCTGTGCCCGCTATGGCTTCCCATTGTAGTCTTTCACGCTGGCCTAGTGATATGGGCAAGTCTTGGCCTGGTTGGTGCAGAGCAAAGTGAGAGGCACGGCAGCAAGCGGGCGCTGTTGGCATTCAAAGTCGAACTCGAGGGAATGCCTTGGCCATGTTGTGCAGAGATGGCTTCGGTGCTTGAGAGTCTCATGACAAATGTTTGATTACCTACAGTAGTACGGAGTGCTGTATTTAGGTAGGTAGTCACCCAGTGCTGTCAAGTTCGGCGAAAACGCTCGCGTCCAGACGCGTGTTTAAGCTTCTCCGTAATTTTTGGCGTGTTCTGCGCCGCGCGGCTCGTGGTCCGCCGTTTATGCCCTTGCCGTCGACGTGCTGTATGGTCCAGTCATTTTACTTCCCTCCAGCACGCTTCCTTTCAACGTCTTCTTCGAAGCAGCCAATTCAACACAAAGAATGCGTGACACACCCATCGCGATGGTCAGCTGCTCCGCAACGCTGCTAGTTTGAAATCATATCTAAGCCCGCGCCAGTCTAGCCTACCAACGACGATTCGAGAGGGGCTCTGGATCGCTTTTCCCTATCGGCTGTGGCCAGCCTCAACCCATCATTCCTATATACTGTCCTCAACCGCGGCTCATTGTCCTGTTCACCATGTCAGATAACTTGCCCATTCCTCGATCCAAGTCGGACCCTACGGCTCTGGAAGATCCCACCACAGCAGACATCCCAGGAGCCGTTTCAGAAGCTGCAGATTCACACACTCCTGGCTATATGTCTTCCTCTCCAGGTAGCCCTTATCTCTTGTCACGGAACTCCTCCTATATTGGGAGTCAGTCCCTGCAAGAAGACTGGGATGTTCCTCTTGACAAACTTACCTTTTTCGACATCTTTGACAACCTAGCCCTGCCCTCGAAACTCGAGCACTGGCAGGCTACGATATCGGCGCAGAAAGAGAAGCTCTCGAAGCAGCAGGAGAGAATACGCACGACAGGAAATAATGCCAAAGACCGCGCCGTGGCCGAATGGCGGAAGCGAGTTCCCTCGGCCGATGAACAACTGGCTAAGTACCGGAGCCGGATGAAGAAGTCAGTTGACAACATCAACAAGAGATGGAATGACACAGCCACCATATCTCTGAAGGAGAAAGTGTCTTTCATATCGGCCGTGCTCAACGTCTTTATCAGCGGCTACCTCATTGGGGGTGTGCCTCAATATTTCTACTTCTGGTTCACAGCGCAATTCGCTTATTTTATGCCCATACGCTATTTTACATACCATCGCAAAGGTTACCACTACTTTCTGGCAGATCTTTGCTATTTTGTCAACGCCTTGCTATTATTGACGATATGGGTCGCCCCGAGGTCGAAACGACTCTTCATCAGTACTTACTGCTTGGCGTACGGCAACAATGCAGTGGCAATTGCCATGTGGCGCAATTCTTTGGTCTTCCATTCTTTGGATAAGGTTACGAGCCTATTCATTCACGTCATGCCTCCTGTGACCCTACACTGCCTCGTTCATCTCACCCCGGCCGACATTCTTCGCGCTCGCTTTCCAGCTATTTACGACATCAAGTTTAGCGAGGCCGGTTCCCCTCAGCACTACTCGCTCGGCGCAATGCTGATCTGGGCCACTGTGCCTTACGCTGTCTGGCAGCTCTCGTATCACTTTTTCATCACTGTTCGAAGGCGCGAAAAGATTGCCGCTGGGCGTCCCACCTCGTTCACTTGGCTCCGGAAGTCGTACGCGAAGACCTGGATCGGTAAAGGAGTCCTTGCCCTTCCTTCGACACTGCAGGAGCCTGCATTCATGCTGATCCAGTATTCATATGCTCTGCTTACCATTCTGCCATGCCCCATCTGGTTTTGGTCACGATGGAGCAGTTCGGCGTTCCTCATGACAGTCTTCAGCTGGAGCGTATGGAACGGAGCGAATTACTACATGGACATCTTCGGCAAACGCTTCCAAAAAGAACTCGAGCAGATGAAACTCGACGTGGCCAAGTGGCAGAACAGCCCTGGTGCAATGTTCAGCCCTCCCATAGGACCAGCAGACGGCGATGGAAAGGCCCGAGAAAATGGCGCCGAGAAGAGGCGGAGTATTGACCGGATTCCGCTTCTGGACGAAACTACCGGAAATGGACACGCAGAAAGCTCCAGTCCAACCGCAATAGCTACGGGTGCCAATGTCTTGAATGACACATCTGGCAGCGTTACCGACAGAAAGGGTGTTTCGGGGCCTTGAACTATGAACGCGAGGTGGGCTTGTGGTTTGTGGTTATGATCTGTGCATTTCGTGACTGGGCATGGGTATTTATTTTCTTCCCGGTGACAAGGATTGGAATTCAACAATAACGACCCTTTTTGAACGAGATGGGTTGCATAGCGCGCCCTATTCCATAATTTGGGAACGACAGTATTATGAGTTGCTAGTACGAAATTGATACCCCCCAAAGGCGTTGATGCAGGCGGGCTGAGTGTCGTCCTTGGTAACCAGTTGGTGTTAGTCCAATGATGAATAAGTTTGCATTCCAACCAAATGCACGAGCCACAGCTCAGATATACATCCCAAACTGCTTTCTCGCAGTCCGAGTACTCCGCTTGCATCCACGGACACATCTCCATAGCCAGCCAGCCATTGCCCATGCCCATGTCCTCCTTCCTCTAGTACGCAGCCCAAGTCCGCAATTCATGGCGACGCATGCGTCTCGATATCCCCGTTTGCATACCCAGACGCCATTGCCGCTCCTCCCTCAGGAACGTAATCCATCGTCAAAGGAACCAGCCGCTCGCCTACCGCGCCGAATCTCGAGCCCGCGTACGTTCCACGTGGCATTGTGCGCCAGCCCCCTGTGCTCGTGTAGGTAGCCATGATCTCGCGCGGACGGAGGCTTGTGGGAGTTGTGACAGTATGATTGTCAGAGGGGGAATGCGAATGCGATTGCAAGCCCGCGTGCGGCTCGCGGGCTTCTGTTGGCAGCGACAGCGGGGCTGGAGCCCGCGCATAAGTCCATAGCAAGTCGCGGTCGCCGGGGGAAAACCAGAGGCCGTGGATCGGTGCACCGTCTGGAGTAGGCACTTGGGTCGCGTTCAGGTATGCGGCATCTGAAGAAGGGGTGATGTATTCTGCACTCGCTTCGTTGGCCTTGGGATTGGGTAGCATGCCGTCGGGCTCACTTTCACGGACAAGGTCGGCGAGAGTTGCAACTCCATTGGCAGTACGAGCTGCGGTAAGGGTTTCGTTGCTTGATTCGCTCGACACGCTGGCTCGGCCGTCCAATCGCAAGTGGCGGACACAGCCTTGTACTGGACCGACCATCGGGCCACCCTCACGAAATATTCGTCCTACGAGGCTGGGGAGGTGGTGGAAAGGGAGATAGTGATGTCTAACTTCTTGTTCGGTAAGTCCCGCTTCGGTATCGACGTCTCGCTTGGGGTTGTAAAGCTTTGGAGCGCTGTGCGATTGATTTGCACATGGATGTGGATGTGGATGTGAATGTGCTGGGTCTCGTGGGCCGCCTTGCTGTGGTACCCATAGTGGTAGAGTGTCCGTCCATTTTAAATCGCAAAATCCCTGTCCGATTGCGGTAGTCGAGCCGTCCTGCGGTGGTTCTCTGCTTTGTGTGAAATCTAAAGAGGAATCCCTGTTCTGAGAATGGTCGGCTTCATGATATTGGGTGAAGGGCACGGACGATCTCACAGCATCTGACCCGGGATTCATACCCGCCGCAAACGGTCCTCTTGGGGGAAATGTTCCTTCGCGTGCATTTGATATAAAATGAGGTAAGCCATCCTCCATCCTGACGAACCCATTATTTGGGAATATTGATTGTTGGGCACCATGCGATGGTTTAAGAGGTATCGTCTTGTTATCTAGATTTCGTGGAGATGAGGACAGGTTCCCCGAATGAATCATGTGAGATCCCAGTTGCTCACTCTCAAGAGCAGCCATAGCTCGCGACCTAAATGACAGCGCAGGCGTGAGCACTATATTTGGAACATTGACTATTGCCGAAGAGTACAACATCTTGTTTGTCTGGTGGCGGGAGAGGGTTGAACTATCGAGGGCACCTTGTTCAATGACTGGAGAAGCAGGAAATTCAGGCGCAAAGTTCTGTTCCGTCCAATCGCCATGATATGAAGGGCCTCCATTGTGGTGTGCACTACTCACAGAATCTTGTCTCCCAGCCGAAGCCGTTGGCGCAGTTTGTGGTTGTCGATAGAAACGGTCATCAGATATGCAGTTTCCCCCCATCGATTTTGAGCAGCCACCTTCTGCCTCCATATTGAAGGCTCCAGCAAGTGAAGCCGGCGATGAGAATCGGGTCAGTGGATTTGGTTCTGGTATCTACCAATCGTTGGTCCCAATGTTGCGGTGTTTGTCGAGGCCAACGAAGACGGAAGGTTTGTGTCTCTTGGTTTTCGAGATACCTTTACCCAGCAAACGGTATGAATCGATCATGGTGACCAAGTCGCTACCTCAGAAACCAACCCAAGACTGCCTCAATTAGTCCGCCTAGGCAGTTCAAAGCCCTTGTCTCGAATGTGTCACCAGAAAGTTTCTGCCTGGTGCAGTTAATGACCTGACCTTGGATAGTCATCAATATCATGAGATGTGAATCCCTATCAATGAAGGTGTCATCACAGCCTGGAAGCTCGGCCCGGAAGCTCATTCCAAATAGGGCTGCTTAAACGGTCCAACTGCGCAAAGAAAGGTGGAACTGGGAGCACGGCGTTGAGGGTTTTTAAAGTCTGGTGTAGGTTGGCAGTGCCATGGACCCGTACCTGACTTGACAGTTGTCAACTGTGCCTTCTGGAGACGAGGCCGAGCTCTGTGTAATGGAATAAAAGTAGAGGCACACCCATGAGACTTAGAATCAGGAGGGTACATGTTCTGATCGACTCCCTACGCCTCTTGAAAAGCATCAATACCCCCAACAGCCTAGTAGGTCATCACAACTTACGCCTCCTCATTTTTCGGCAACCAAAATTCCGAAGTCTGGATACTTCAGCCAGTCATCAAAATAGTCTGTAGGCACGGGCTCGGCCATATAGGTATTGACTTCATCATGGTTCTCTGGAAGAGTGATGTCCTGCCATGACATCTTTCCCTTCATGCCACCAGCCCTACCTGCCTTTTCGTAAATGCTTTTTGGTAGAAAATAGTTGCCAAAGTCGACTTTCGGGTCTGTGCTGAAATACAAGTGCACATGATAACCCACCTCTAGTTTCTCTCTTAATTCAACTTTATACCCATACTTGGCGTCGAAAGTTGAATTGAGGTTGTTAATGCACACCTAGAGTATGTATCCTTGGTGAGCGGTACCACGATCTTATGGGGCTTTTGGGCGGAGCATTTGGCTGTGCATCGCACTTACCAATGGGTCTTCTTCCTCGTGAGGCGCTACGGTCACCAGGCGACCTCCTGGCTTCAAGTGTCGAGAAATATTCTTGAAGATGGCTGCCATTACAGCTTCATCCGCAGAGTAATTCAGCAACCAGGCAGCGAATACAAGATCGAATTGTCCTATGCCGACATCGAACGGCTGCGTACAGTCTTTGACCATGAAATCGCAATTTGACGCGCTGGAAGACTTGGAGAACTCTGCTTGCGCAATATCGATCATTCCTTGGGAGATATCGACTCCAACAACTGAGGTGGCACCCCAGTCAAGCAAGGGACGTGTAAAGAACCCTGTGCCACATGCCATCTCCAGAACTTTTGCACCTTTGATGTACGGCGAAAGCACACGTTCGACATTGATAACGATGGCTCGAGAGATGGGCAGGCCGTTCACGGCATCGTATTCACCCGAGATCGAATTGTACTGTGTCGAGGAGAAATGGGTCATCTTGAGCACAAATTCTGTGTTGCGAACGGCAGGCGGCAATCTTCTGTGTCTTATCAAGAGGAGGGAATAAACGGGTACAGAGAACTGGAGTCTACTCGTACGGATAAGATTGAGGATGGCTAGCCTCATCACGTGACGGATGCTAAAAGAAGAACAATGGAGACATGGCGACTACAAACCCTTTAAGCACAGACTCAATAAACATAACATCCTTTTGAATGCTTCTCTCGCCTCCTAGCTGGTGTGTGCAATTATCATTCCGATGGACCGTCCCTTCAAAGCCACGGTCTGCTCTTCCGCCACGACCTCTCTCCCAGTGGTTGGCCGGACGAGGTACTAATTACCTAAGATACTGCATCTTCCGATCTCGGTGCTCATTTATGGCGCTTAAAAGACCACCTTTATCATCCTGGAGTCTAGGTAAATGTAAGTCACAACAAATCGAAAGCCTTTGCCAAGTTGACGCACACCGTCGATAGGCAAGCCGCAGTCAATATCTTTCAACAAGCGAGAAAATATGCAGCTCGCTAGCTTGTCCTCAATTTGGGAGCGGGAATCAAACTAAGCGCCCCGTGGCCCGATTATTCAGCGGTATTTAAAAGTAGGCTCGTGGAAACAGTCTGTGGGCGAGATTTGCGTGCATGACTTTCCAATTAGTTCAAGTTTATTGAACATTATCTCAACTCTGAATCTGGTGTATTGGACTTGAACCCTGACGTCGAGATTCGAGTCCGGATGGCTCTCTCCACGCCAACCGTTGCAGTTATTGGCTTGGGTAGGGATATTCTTTCAAGCAGCTGTCATTCTTTGCCAGCGCTGATACCTTCCTTCAGGCGCACTCGGCATTGTTACTTTGAAGAATCTTGTTGAGGAGGACTTTAATGTCACTGGATTCGAGAAGAATGCATATATTGGAGGCCTCTGGAAGTTCACGGAAACAAATCAGACGTCTGTGATAGAATGTGAGCCTTTTGCAATTGATCACGGGACCCAACACTGATGTTGACCAAGCCACTATCGCAAACATATCCAAGGAGAGAGTCAGCCAAGCTTACCTTACGCGTGGCGATGGAATTGACTTTTGCAGGGCTGCTTTACGGATTTTCCTTTCCCAGATGGTACTCACTCCCTGCTGACCATAGGTACTGCTCGCACCTGACATTCTGTAGATCTTCCATCACACCCTTCCGCTACCCAGGTCCAAGAATATCTGGAGAGCTATGCAAAGCATTTCAAGCTCGACAGTTATTTTCGTCTGAACACTGAAGTCACCAGAGTGACTCGCGACAAGGAGAAGCAGAAATGGAACATCAGCTTTAGACGCCCAGACAGCCAGGAGGTTGAGGAAAGCTTTGACAAGTTAATCATTGCTAATGGGACCAATAATCTGCCGAAAATTCCTGTATTGACTGGACAAGATGATTTCAAAGGAGAGATACTGCATTCCATGAATTTCAAAAGGTAAAACACAGCTAGACAAGCTTTTGAGTGACTGGCGGCGACTGACTCCAGTCATGCAACACAGGCCCACAAATTTTCAGGGAAAGAGGGTTGTTGTGGTTGGAATTGGTAACACCGCCGCCGACACAGCGACAGCTCTTTGTGGGGTTGCTTCGAAGGTGTATCTATCACACAACCACGGGGCTCTTGTTGTGAGTTCGTTCCTTTCAATTTCGACTCAGCATTAATGTCTGTTTCAGCTTCCGCGAAAAATGCCATCTGGCGAGATCTTAGACCAGGGTGTCACGTATCGAATGATGATGATCCAATATACGATGGCAAAATGGGCACCCAGCTTCGCCGAAAAATTTGGTAACAAATACGTCAAGAAGCGCCAGGATGCAGCCTTCGACATCAAACCAGAATGGAATCTAGATTCTCCTTCCATGATTCATACCCTTCCTATCCTTTCCGACACTCTCATTGGCGAGCTTCATAAGGGTAGGATCGAGTCAGTCACGGGTCTCAAAATGGCCACTGGAGACAAGCAATTGGAGCTGGACGATGGAACCTTCATCGAGGTTGACGCAATCATCTGGTGCACTGGGTACCTTTGGAAGTACGCTTTCCTAGGTGAATACGATCCATCACTGAAGGCTGTTGACGGATATATCCCCACGATCACTGGTAAAGCAGGGCCAAATCAAGTGCCCTTCCCGAGATTGTATCGCAACATTTTCTCCCTGGATCATCCGGAGAGTCTCGCATTCGCTGGAGCGGCGGCTTTTCATACGCCCATATTCGTGAGCTGGGACTTGGCTTCCATGGCCATTGCTCAGTATTGGAAGAAGCCGGAACGGATGCCATCGAAAGAAGCGATGCTCTCATCATACCAAAACCATATGGCTTGGGCGAACGGGATCCTTGCGCACGGGAAACTCGATCATAGGTTCGTCAACGCACAGGAGTGGACGGAGTGGGCTCAGGAGGCAGCCGGTGTCCGCGTGTCAGAGCACCTCGGTTATGGATTGAGTGGGTGGAAATTCTGGTATAAAGACAAGGCACTGTGCAAGATGTTGATGGATGGTCTCTATAGTCCCCATTTCTTGCGACTGTTTGACAGCGATGGAAGAAAGGCGTGGAAAGGCGCTCGTGCAGAGATCGAAAAGGTCAACGAGAGTATTCGGCAGCGAATGGCAAAAGGTAATGATGACGCCTCATGAACGTACTATGACACGAATGCTACTAGTCAAACTTAAGATACGAAAGAAGGTAATGGTGTGCTGCCAGATCTAGGTATACTCCACGCAGGCCGTGTCTGATTCGGCTGCTTACCAAGACTTAACGAAGGTATGGGCAGCGAAGTTTGCACCGCCAATACCTTTAATGAAACTAGACAGGGCACAACCGTTGCCCCTAGGCTTACTCAACCTTGAAACTACCATAGAAAGAATCCTGTCCTCGCTGCACTTCTAACACCACGACTCAGTACGCCGAAATTCGACCGTTTATAAACGATGATAGGTGTGCATCGATACTGGAGAACAAGGCGCCCCGTCTGCCTGGTGAACGGCGAACCGGAGCTAGGGCGGCTTATCTGCAAATGCGAATGAAGTCTGAACAGGGTTAGTAAGTTACGAGCAAGATGACGAGGCCTCCTTCCACAGACTCCGCAGTCTTTGATATATATGATAGAAACTCCGCTGTTGTGAACATTCTCCAAACTGATTCATATCCACCAGCTTGGGGGGACTTCTTTGGGCTTTGCAAGGTTGCATACCAGTAGAGAAGTATATTGACCTTGGGGAAACGTACTCCCGAACGATGGCCAGCTCGGGAACCAAAGTCGCTGTAGTAGGGGTGAGTTCAATGACAGACATGACTTATTAGAACGCTATGGTTACTAACTAGTCCATAGCCCAACGGGATCCTGGGCGCACCTGTCATCAAGCAATTACTCGCATCAGGATTCGCTCTCACGCTGATAACTCGAGATGCAACCAAGACAGCACAAAAACTGAGCTCGAATATCTCAGCAGATGCTCGGGCAAAGGTGAAGATTGAGGAGGTCGACTTTTCCTCGGCCAAGTCTCTCGCTCCGGTACTAAGAGGCCATGACAGCGTGGTGGTTCTCACAGGCCGAGACGAGCTCGAGCCACAAAAACAAGTCATTGATGCGGCAATCGAAGCAGGCGTCGAACAAATCATCCCTTCTTCTTTTGGGGTCGACTCAACCATTCCCGAAATCCGCGCCCTTCCCAGTATAGCAGTGAAAATCAAGATGGAAGACTACCTGCTGTCCAAGATCTCAAGTCCAGATACGAGTACGAGTTATACTATCATCCAGACTGGCCTGTTCTTGGATTGGGCATTGGGTGTTGGTATGCTGGTCAATATACTTGGCAAGGGAGACCAGCCTACCATGCTCTTTGACAACGGTGATGTGAAGCTCAGCACGACCCACGTGGACGACATTGCGAGAGCAGTCGCAACTGCAGTCGAGCACCGCAAAGATGAGAAGTTCAAGAACAAAATGCTGTTCACTAACACCTTTGCTGGGACACAGAATGATTTCATCGCTTGTGCTAAAGAGCTGGAACCAGGAAAACCATGGCCAATGATCAAGGTCGATACGGCGGCGGCAAAAAGGAAGAGTGAAGAGGCATTGGAAAGGGGTGATACTTCCCCCGAAGCGATGAGAGGCTTCATTGTGAGAAGCAGCTTTGGAGATGGACTTGGACTATTCTCTAATGTTGATAACGAGCTTCTTGGCGTCAAGGAGCGGGATACTGCGTACCTCAAAGAGCTTCTGGCCGAGTTTCTGCGTAGGGAGTAAATAGTCATTTCCCATCCGATGTCCGTGAAGGACTTCGGAAATCCAGACCTGACAAGTGTCTCAGGGTCGTGGGTTCAGCCTGCGGAAAGATGGGGTTTGATCTGTTCACTCTCCGAAGCAAGCCAGGCTCAAGCCTGAACTGAGGCCAGGGGGTTGAAATCTGCGGAAGCCCTGATTTCACGAGCGTCGGTTTCTTGGTTCGTTGATAGCATCTGTGGGTATGCCTTAAAACACTAGTCGTAACAACGGCCTGCTATCAGCCGGTGAATCGGAAATGTATTTCATCCACATCGTCACTTCGAGATGATTGGAGGTAGACCAACTTGTCAGGTGATCAAGGGGCAAGGCTGAGTTCGAAAGGGGAGCGGTTTGATAGATCTGTCAACATACCAACCGGACCTGACTCTTCGCGAATGAAGATGCAGGAAACAGAGACCCTGGGGTCAATAGACTGCCCGTTGCCGTTAAGGATCCATAACCCACCCCTATCAACAAGGCTTGATGTCATGATACGAGGAGGCTATACGAAGTGTCTCGCGCTGGCCAATGCTACACTCCCACGGTCAAGGTGTTCTCAAAAGTGCGGCGTCCGGTCCTCACATGGGATTACATAAGTTCTTTTGGGCCGGGGTGGGGTGGGTGGGTGGTGGCCTTCTCCGCGCCTCGGTCCTGCCTTCGGGAAGTTCTGGAACGACAGGGAACTCTGACTGAAATCGTAAGGGATCATCGACAATGCAAGACAATTTGGTCGTCGTCAAATCAGCAATTATCCGTCGCCAATATTGGGCCAGACTTCAGGATCGACGCCTTGGCTTCAGCGGGGATGGGCTCGTGGAGTATGTATGTATGTACCTTATTTCCTATATTGTCACCTGGTCACCCCATAGTGACCCATGTCCTGCTTGAGGTCACACCCAAACTTTCTTTATGTACCACCTTCCTCTTCATTTGCCGATACGGGGCTGGACTGGCATTCAACGGACTGATCATTAAACCGAGCAAAATGAGAGCCAAGAACGCTCCTCGGACACTGCTATCCAGTGGAGGAGCTTGGACAGCTTAGTCGACGCTCTACACGTAGGCTCTGCCCCTTTTCAGCAAAACACCAGTGTTTGCGGAGATGATCCTCGAGAGCTGCTCGGCGCTGTCCCTTGCCATACCATGCTGTAACCGCATCTTCAGGGTCATCAGGTGCCAATCGCATGCACACTAAACATTTGCAGTCATGCAACTTCCCCGTACTGTAACCAGACTCACACAACCCCAGCTTCTCGAAGCCCACGGCAGATAGGGCCAAAGAACTCAGGGCTCCGCTCGATACACGAACGACAACGCGGGGACACCAAGCTCTCACACTCGTCAAGTGGCTTCGTCAATGGAACGAGAATGTCGATCCATAAAAGGTGAACATCTCCCAGGTGTTCAAGCGGTCGGCCTCTATCAAGATTTTCTTCCCTGCACAACTGTTCTTACCTACTCTGTTTCTGCAATATTCCCATCAGAGGAGCCAATGAGTAGTTAGGATGGGGTTCAAACAGATACTCTCGAAGCGGTCGGCCCTTCGTACCAAGAACACCGACATCACTGTCGCCGCTCAACTGACACTCCGCCAATCACTGTGGCCTTTGAGTATTGTGACGATCTTGTTCTTCCTTTGGGGGTTTGCCTATGGGTTGCTCGACACCCTTAATAAACACTTCCAGAACACTCTCGACATCACACGAACCAGATCTTCGGGGCTTCAGGCTGCCTACTTTGGTGCCTATCCTCTCGCATCACTGGGCTATGCGAACTGGATACTGAGACATTGGGGCTACAAATCGGTTTTCATCTTTGGGCTTTGCCTCTATGGAATCGGTGCCCTGATGATGTGGCCCGCTGGCGTCTATCGTTCCTTCGGTGGTTTCTGCGGTGCTACGTTCATCATCGGTTCCGGTCTGGGATCGTTGGAAACTGCTGCGAACCCTTATCTTGCGGTGTGTGGACCGCCTCGCTATGCAGAGATTCGCATCAATTTTGCTCAAGCCTTCAATGCGGTAAGTCGATCTGTCTGTCTGATACGGAAAACAACTAAAGACTGGCCATCATGCTAGGTGGGAACCGTAGTCGGGCCCGTCCTGGGATCATACGTCTTCTTCGTTTCCACAGAAGATACTGTACAGGCACTCAAGAGCGTGCAATGGGTGTACCTGGGGATCGCGATTTTCGTATTCATCCTGGCATTTGTATTCTACATCTCATACATACCCGAGATCACGGACGCAGACATGGAGTTCCAAGTCCAGGAGACTCACGTACAGGGTTCCGAGCTGCCGTTTCGCAAACAATACCGGGTCTTCCACGCGGCGTTCGCACAGTTCACGTACTGCGGCGCGCAGGTCGCGATCGCGAGCTACTTCATCAACTATGTCGTGGAGACGCGGCCCGGCACGAGTAGTTCACTGGGAGCCAAATTCCTTGCCGGCGCACAAGGTGCATTCACCGTGGGGCGCTTCTCTGGCACGCTGTTGATGCACTACGCAAGGCCGCGATGGGTTTTCCTCGTGTACCTGGCCGGTGTGGTAATCTTCCTCGGCGCCGCGACAGGGACAAGGAACAACACCGGCCTCTCGATGATGTTCATTGTATTGTTCTTCGAGAGCGTCTGTTTCCCGACCATCGTCGCCCTCGGCATCCGCGGATTGGGTCGGCATTACAAGAGAGGCTCCGGCTTAATCGTCGGCGGCGTCATAGGCGGCGCGTGCGTCCCTGCTCTCACCGGCAAAGTGGCCGATATCTATAACGACACCGGAAAAGCAATGGTAGTCCCTACCATGGTAAGTGGAAGTTCTTGCCCCGTCCCCCTCGCACAAGAACAAAAAGAAATGGACGTCTAGCAAGAGATCCCAGATTCTGGATTATTCATTGCCCTGAACCGTTCTTTCCTTGCTAACGGGCGACTTGACAGTTCATGGTCGCGACTCTGACATACGCCCTCTGCGTGAATTTCGTCGCGTACTACCGCGTCCCCGCCGATCTGGTGGGTGATAGCACGATTGGACTCACGAACACGGCCGGCTTGAACTCAGATGAGGAGAAGAATGCCCAGGTTGCTGATGGACGGGTTAGGGATGGGGCTCAAGTGATCGAGGTCGAGAAACTCGAGGCCAGAGGTGCACATTGATCGTGACATGTCATGGCACTCTTGGACAATCTTGTGGGCAGCGAGCTATATGTCGCCATTTGCTCCGTCGTGGCCCGACCTCAATCTCAAATGACGGAATAGCAAGTATGAGGAGGCGTGCCCCGTGGTGTTAGTAAGTAGTGGTAGTAAGAGAGGGAAAAAAAGAATAATACCCTCCCAACCGAGGAGCACAGTGATTTGCGTTCTAGTCTTCGACTTGAATTATTATGGACCTTATGTATGAGGTAGAAAGACGCTGCTCTCACATATCTTGAGCCCCAAGCCCCTGACTAATGGGGACAACTTTTTAGTAACACCTGACACTTTCTGGCTCTTGTCGGGAAAAAGGAAAGGCCATATCAAGCGGCCGCTGCCCGAACCCCAGGAAATGCTTTCACTGGAAACTGACTGTACCACCAGATGGCTATCAGATAATTATATGACTTCATGCCCCGCACGCGGATCACAAAGCCAAGCCGCGCGCCCCTTTGGTCCAGCGATAGAGCGACAGCGCCCGCCGCCTCGCAATGATTTCCTCTTCACTGGTGGGTCCGGCGCTCCGGACACTATACAGCGTAGATCTCAGAACCTTGCGAAAGCGTTTCTGGAACTCAGTGTTCAGGGTGACGACGCAGACCTCATGGGCACGAATGATGGTCTCGCACGCCTTCTCGACGGACTCGTTGGGGCCAAGCTGCGGCATGCGGTCGGCGAACAGCAGCAAAATGAAGCTGCCGTGCAGCAGGTAGATGCCGAACAGGTACGGCATGAACGTGAGTTCCGGGTCGCGGCGCAGGATCTGTGATACCGCCTCGGAGGCCGCGATCGCGTGGAACGCGCATTTCATGAATTCGGCGGTCGTTATCCACCCGTCGTCGTTCTCCAGCATTGAGACGGCGTCCCACTTGCCGTGCAGGAGGACGTGAAGAACGTGCAGGATGAAGGTTGCGTATGCGATGACTAGTTGTGCCTGAGTGTGCGATTTGGATCTTCGCTGGCTGGAGATGGGGTCCTGTTGTGCCGATGCGTGCCCTCCGCCGCCGCCGTTTGGGCTTGGGGTCAGCAACTCACCCGCCGGCGTGCTTCCGTCCGGCCTTTCAAGCTCGTGACGATTGGCGAGGTCTGTCACACTTCTGGCGCAGTTCGCTAAGAGGGTCTCGATTGAGGAGGTGGCCGGTTGCTCGTCAAGGGATCCAAGGCGTGGATGATTTTTGAGATGGTGGACGAGGTTGATGTCGCCGAGAATCGCCATCAAGGGCAAGAAATACTCGAAGAAACCAATCCCAGTGACTGTGGTACTTGGGCCGTATGTTCGCCGAGTCAGGAGTTCCAACGGAATGCTTTCCAGATTGTCCCACATGTCGTCAGGGAGTGGAGTGAAGACGTCGATTTCATCATCTGAGATGGCCATGGTCGCGTTGTATGAGAGAGCCAGGTGTCGGTCAAGGCAATACACGAGCCAGAAAACTCGGCGTCGCTCTTCTTGAGCTTCAATGCTTGCTACGGTCTCTACCTCCTTGGGCTTGTGGGATGCGCACGAAATCTTCACGCAGGTTGCATTGGACCCGTTACACCTTTCGTCTTGCCGGCCAAGTCCTAGACTCTGAGCAGATCTCAAAGCTTTGCTCCACCATGGAATGCAGTCAGTCTTGAAGTCGCCGCCAGATACGACAATACATAGCAGTACGAATGTGAGCACATCATCGATTGATTGAGCTGGTGGCCCGGCTTCACGACTGTGAAATGAGTCGATACCTGAGCCTCGCCTGAAACAGTCCTGCTGATAGATAAGGTGCCCGCCTGCATCCGGTCAGTACACCGATGGGAGGGAAGGACTTCCGCCCTGTTTCACTTTAGTGTCATACCTGGAGCCCTATGCCAATGATCTCTGTCCCTTTTCTCCAGTAATTCCATGAACAACCTACGCAAAGCGTCGCATATTCGGGGTCTTGATCCGGGTATCAGAAGTACAGCAATGTCTGCTGTCTGTGCACTAACCCACATCATTGTAACAAGCAGAGCCGAGGTGGTTGGGCGAGGCTTCGTTGGATGCAACAATGATTGCTTTCTGAGCACGTGCGTCAACACATAAGGGGATGCCACCCGGAATAGTGAGCTGCCCGCTTCATCGAAATAAAACTCCAATAGCTCACATGCTTCGTCGGGCCCAATGATGCCCTGTAGTAGAGGTAGCACAGGCTCTAGGCACTTTAATGGACTTCTGCACAAGTTTGGATCTTTCAGTCCAATAGGACAAAAACTGGACACCGACGCGGCACCCAACGATTGGCGCTCGCGTGTTAAGCTAGCCAGTTGGGCGTCTGTAGGTAGAGGCGGGCTGAGAACACTGCTGATGTCTTGCATGAATTGGCTCCTCCGGCGGGGAAGCTCTGGGGATGAATCAACAACAGAATTTGGAACACCCTGTGCATTATTCACATCCTTATCCCCTATAGATGGCTGGCCCACTGTCTCAAAAGAGTCATGCCGGTACTGCAAAAATGGAGGCCGATGCTGCAAGTTCCCACCATCAAGGCTTTCGTGATCCTCATTAAAAGTTGGAGCTGGATTGGCAGTCTCGGGGCGCTCTTGTAGATGTCTCTCGGAGTAAACAAGGTTATAATCGATGTGATGCTGGTCTTCTGCAAGAGGTTCATCATGAACGTCGACTCCATTCCCATGATGTAGCCTCAGGCTCGGTTTCCGACCTCTCTTCCGAATATCTCTGACATAGTGGCATTCGTGATCGTATTCTATCCGGAGCAATCTGTCAGAACAGCTTCGTCGGCGTGGTTAATGCCCCCCTTGGCCCAATATGCTTACCTCGACAACGTCGACTTCAAGGCAAACTATCAGCTCGATTGCTCTGACCCGAATGCCTGTTGCAGCTCGCTTACCAAGGAGAATCTCCATCACACCGAACCCTGAGACTGCTGCATTTATCACACGCTCTTCTCGTTCTTTTACGAGGTCTGGAGGCTGATGCTGTTTGCATTGGACTTGTGTGGCTTAGTGGGGTCGAATGAACCGGAGGCTCCATGCTGGACCCGTGGCACTGAAAGCCAACCCCTTATTGCGGGGATAAATGCGCTGGGTAATTCGAGAGTGTATGAGTTGCTCAAGTGGAGATTCAACTTCTGGAGGGGCGATGGCTGGTTGATAATAATTAAATCATCCGCCGGGTCAAATGGATTCGACCCTGTCTGCCAAGATGTTGTATTGAGCTTCGAGATCTCAGCCGGTTATTAACAACTTGCTATTGGATCCCCCACTATACATTTAGCCAGGACATCCTGGGAGGAGTCACTCTGCGCGAATGAAGCATCCGGGCGATCAGCTGTCCAGCAGTTGAGCTTTTCCAGTTACGGAGTACTTCATGTTCTGAGTAGTACTTCTTGATTCGCCGCCGTCTCCGCTTGGGCAAGTGTCCTGATTGTGGAAATTTGTCCCAGCCATGGTGAATGAACCTATGCCAGGGTCAGGTGTTGCCTCAATCAGCAAAGGCCAAAAGTTGTAACAATCGTGACCGTCTTCTCACGAGACTTTCCCACCTCCGCATCTCCGACTGGAAAACTCCCCATACGCTGAGATTCCAGGAGTGGGAAATCTAAGAGTCTTGTCAGCCATCGTGGACGGAGTGGCGCGGCTTCAATGGGAGAACGGATGACACTCGTCGGTGACCCTGAGCGGTGAACCGAGCATTGTAGAGCAACTCATGCTAGATAAAGTCTATCAACATTAAGAAACACTCCGTAATTATGGTTGTCATAACAAACCTTGTTTCATGTGATGTGTGATCTCTTGTGAGCCAATGTGATTCAGTCAAAAAATCGGGGCAGTGGTTGCCGATAAGACCCCCGAGAACGTTGTCAAATGGATCGCACTTAAAGCACATCAGCGACGTCTTGGCTGAGGAGGAAGCAGTTCAACTCTTGTTGGATGTCCGGTCAGGTAAACAGCAGAGATTTGAGGAACACGCTGAATGGGCTGAGCGGTACGACATACACCAAAAGTGCAGACTGGTTAGGATGTGGAGAGGAGGCGATGAAATGACTGACTGAAGGAGACCGTGGATGCCGGACTCAACTACTTTCAATCGGAATTCAGCACCTGATCCCCCCTGAAGACCCAAGTCGACTCTCCATAGCGACCTGGGTATGACAACGGAATTCCCCTGAGGGAGCATGAGAACCAGTTAAGCACTGTCCGGTGTGTGATGAAGGGGCGAAGAGCAGGAAAGAGTGGCCTTTAGCCCATTTCTTGGTTTGACATTCCAGGGCACGATATCATCAAGAAAACACTATCAAACACCGAGTATAGTATGCAGCAATAGGATCAGCCACAGGCAAGAGCGTGCCAAAACCGGGTCATGTTCAAAATCCAAGCAGGTGCCATGAGCTCGATCCAGCCCGACGCATATCCGGCTGGAGGCGTGAATGAGGTGCTTACGATTCTGCTCATGGCCTGAGAATGGAGGCTGGACGTTATGTGACGCCCCTGGAAGCTGGGTACGGCGTTGAGACACAGCCGGAGTTCATGGATCGGTAGACGTGCCCTGGAAAAGAAGGGCTAAGTTAGCTGGTGGAAATCATCGGAAAGCAAGGCCTGCAATCGAAGCGCCGAGGGCGCTGTAGCAATAGGTGGACATGCATGCATGCATGGAAGTTATAGTCTTATTGCTTCGACCATCGTATGGATATTCTATAGACGGCTAACAGGATCCAAATCCTCAGACGTTGTTCCCTGGCTAGCATCTTGACCTTTCTGACCTACTCCATTCGAACTGGCTGGCGGCCCAGAGAAGTCGAAATCTAACCAAGGGCCTAGAATCTGTCTGACTCCTTCGTAGAGTCTGCTGTCCTGTTTCACCGCCTCGTTATCAAGTGTAAGAGATTGATCGAATCCGACGGCTTGCAATTCTGAGGTCCCAGGCACTGTCTCTTTGCGACGAAGAATTTTGCAAGCCGTAGCAACGTTCTCCTCCAGGTCCGATATAGAACCTATTCCTGTGATAGTTGTAACCGTGTACCCCGGCCTCGAATTTTGCTGAGCCTTCGCAATTGCAAATCGCAGGGCAAGCGATGACAGAACATCGCCTTGAGATTCGACCCATTCAGCTGCTCTTTGAGCTGCCGCTCGCAACTGCGGAGGCGCCGGATGCCAGTTCCCAAGCGCACCAAGGGCGACTCCCCCATTCCTCAGTAATCCAGCACCCAAGGGACTTGAACTGCAAACGGCCCTAACCCCAGCTTTTTGCAGGGCACTTAAGCCTTTTCGTTCGAGTTGCGTATTTTGCAATGTGAGCTGCGCCCAGACCTGGACCACATCAAGTGGCCGGCCATATTTAAACAAGATTCTCTTGGATGCCTCGATGAGCATGTCGATGCTGTATCCTGAGATGCCAACGCATCTGATCACCCCCGAATCTGATAACTCAAATAGTGTTCCCACCGCTTCGATGATCTCCTCAATGCTGACAAACTCGACATCATGACAAAAGACCACGTCGAGATAGTCGGTTCCAAAACGATGCAGTGACCGAGCTACTGATTTCTTGATCCAGGCAGAGGAATAGTCGAAATTCTTCTCCGTGATCCTGCCGGCCTTCGTGATCAGAAGGTAATCACTTCTCTGATATTTAGTGGTAATGTCAGCATGACAGAGGGCAGCGCCCATTATCTGCTCCGAGGGCTCGTAGTATGGTGAGGTGTCGAAAGCCCTCAGACCCAAGTCGAGGGCTTCCTTGATTATTTCCACGGCAGGCAATGATTCCGGCTTTGAATTTAGTTGATAGCTGAAACCAGCTCCCCCCATGATCAATGGAGGGAGACGAGCCAGCACAGCCTCAGCTTCAACCGACCGGGTCACTACCATGGCTGGTGATCGGAGGATGTGGTGGCTATGTCGCAGGCTGTTTTCGACCCTTACTTTTGCGAGAGATATATCAGAATGGATGGATATCGCACGGTTGCTACTACCTGAAGGTTTGTCCCGCTGAATCATGCGTGAACTTTTCGCTATCAAAGTCTTGCAGCGCTGGGATTGGTGATATAGGCAGGTCTTTAATTTGCCCAACAATGGAAGAACGATGGGCTCTCCAGTGCGCTATCTCCGTGCATGTGTATATCGTCCGTAGTATGACCTCGGACCCTTAAGGCTACCGAAACTTCATGTGCTCCACCGGGCAGGCTGCTCCCGGAACCAGTGTGTAGCATCATCCTCGTAGTTTTGCCCCAACACACAATACCGTCGGCTATTTTGCTCTGACGTCGAATAAGAGCCAATAAATATACTTTCCTCGGGATCTGACTCAATTTAGAATTTCCCCTATCGTTGCCGGCTTCCGGAAAAACGAAGCCGATGAATATAGATATCTCCTTTTACTTCGGGAGAAAATCGTTCTGATTGCAGGTTGTTGTCCAGATTCTTGCTCCTTCGTTTCAGGCAAATCAAGTTGAGAAAATGGCGGCGCCTCAAGCGCTCAATACTTCACCCGACCTGAACGGTGGAGCATATCATCCTTTTCTACACCCAACATTTCCTTGGTTTTTGATGCCATGACCGCGCGTCATTGGGACACGAGCGGCAGCGCTCGATATCCAACAGGTGAGTCTAGGTGGAAATGTCCACGAAGTAAGATATCTTCATCAAATTCCAAGTGAAGCACGCGAACATGGAGACGAAATCCAAACCACCGCCTCCTCCAAAGCCCAAGTCTCTCTCTTCACAGGCGTCGGCGGGACCGGCTCCAAGAAGGAATAAGAGAGGTCTGGGCTGGCCCTGGAATGAGCCCGCAACCCACTTTTCTCTGTACCAGGCGTACATCACCTCTGGCAAGATTACATGGCTTTTCAACTGGGAAGTCTGGGTCCCGGACTCTCTCCCTCAGCAAGTCGAGTGGATCCCCTGTGTACGCACACCCGCCAACGTCAAGGACGTCGACCCATTCCTCAGCGACATCATTCACAACCGTGCCTTCAAGACATCAGCATTATTAGGCTTCAACGAACCGGAGATACCAGAACAGGCGAATATGACGGTCGAGCAAGCGGTCGAGCTGTGGAGGCAGGTCGTGCTTCCCGCAAAAGCCAAGTTTGGATTCCGACTTGGCAGCCCAGGAATGAGCAGCGATGTTGGGCGAAGTAAGCCCTGGCTGAATTCCTTTCTGTCTCAGCTGGCTGGACAAGACGGCATTGCTTTTCTTGTCGTGCACTGGTATGGACTGCTTTTCAAGGACATGCGGGTTTTCCTCGAGGATATGCGTGCAACCTATGGATTGCCGGTCTGGGTGAATGAGTTCGCGTGCACCAGGATGGGTGATGGGGAAGCCAGTGTCCCGGAGGTAGAAGCCTTCATCCGAGAGGCTCTGCCATGGCTAGATGCGTGTCCATGGATCGAGCGATATGCGTACTTCGGTAATCACGATGTCGGGCACTGGGTCGGGAGGGCTAGTAATTTTACCGAGTCTTCAGGAGCTCAGGACAGACGATTGACAAGCGTAGGAACACTTTATTGTGAGTTATGACGAACCAAAGCATATAGAGGACTTCTGCGGAGGAAGTAATAGGTAGGTGGATCACAATAGAACTGGGGGATCTTGAGAAATGTTCAAATAGATAAAGTTTGATTGTCTATCTCGTCTATCTCGTCTAACGTGTTCTGCCGTATCCTTACCTCAGCAACTTGCTTGAAATCAGCGTTAAGCGCCCTCTAGGAGATCACCCAACTCATCGACATAGTAGGCCGGTCTCGTGTCACCCTCGAGAAAATCTTGTTTTGTGCTTACGCCAGTGAGCACTCCCAACGTCCCTCCAAGTTTTCCTTCAAGCCCAAACTTGATATCGGTGTTAGTACGATCACCAACCATGACGGCGCGACTCCGGTCAAATTGAAATTTGCCCTCAATGGCGTCCATCATTGCTTGATTGGGTTTTCCAAACGCCATTGGCTGCTGACCTCCGAGCATCGAGATCAAAGGGGCGGACATGCTTCCAGCGCCGGGAAACAAGGCACCAGCAGATGGGAGTGTTGAGTCCATGTTGGTGGCTAGGAAGATGGCGCCACGCTTGATGTAATGATAGGCAAAACACATCTTCAGGTAGTTGAAGTGGAAATCCAGCCCAACGAGGACCACTCCCACGTCGGGATCCAGGACTGAAGGGTCACCCGCCGCCAGTAGTTTGTAGTCTTCTGGAGTGACATCTCGTCTGTAAGCAGGGTCTGTACCGCCGATGTGCGGCACACCTTCGGAGTCCAACTCGGTTTCGATTCCTTTTTCACCAATCACAAAGACTTTGTTTCTCTTCTTCAACTGGGGGTGTGACTGCGGCAGGATCCTGGAGATGTAGATGCTTGCAGAGTACGAGGAACCGAAAACTTCTTCGGCGGTGGCAGGAATTCCCATGCTCTCCAGCTTCTTTCTGTATTCGTCTCTAGACTTGGTGGAGTTGTTCGTCACGAACACTACCTGCTTGTTCTTCTTGCGCAGCATCTCGAGGGTTGGAACGCTCCCCGGGAACAAGTGGTCGCCAGACCAGAGAACGCCATCGCAGTCAAACAGGAAGACCTGGTGTGGGTGTTAGCACAGCGCTGTCAAAATAGATAAAGAGAAGGGCTGTGAATCGTTTGAAGTTTGAGGCTGTGGAGAAATGACAGACATCATACTTGTCAATAAATTGTTTCAAGCCCTCCTTGTCGTCCTTGAGATAGACTGGGGCTGACATGGTGCCGGCTACAGGATCGCTGAAGTCGAAAATTGTTGGTGTTGGGGCAATGACTTTTGAAGGTCACGCCGAACTCCGCAGTGATATGATACTCTAGAAGCTGCGATTACTGCTGATACTTCGTTCCAAGCATTGAATCAACTACGATGACCTGATTTGTCCATGGCAACGAACAGAAACTGCTGGGCTTTTCTCATACGTCTTTTCGCTAAAAAGGTCCCATGGATCTATTTACTGCGACTTTCCTGCGATGCTCAATGGGCTTTCGGTATGATGTTTCTGTAGGTATCTAACGAGCAGGTGGATTTGAGCCAAGTAGAATTACTAGTCAGTAATTTTCCACGCGGCATTTCATTTAATGAACAGAGGTCGCTGTCGTTGTCATTACTGGGCTCACAGGTGCATCTCGGCTCCTTCGTCAAACGGGGAGTCGCTCCTTCTCCCTTGCTCGTGAGACAGCCTCCGCGAGTTCGAAAGGACGGATTGTGCATTGGCTATCACATCACAGTCATGAAGTGCACAAACACTTCCATCGAGGCTGAGCATCGACTCAATCTGTCGATCTCTGTTCTCGTTGTTACAACATATCCGCAGAAAGAGTGCCGATGGTAATACCTAGCACTCAAATCATTGCCCATCAAAGCGATTAATCGACTAATATGGTTTTCTCCATAGATGAATAATGTTGGAAAAAACTGCTGAATAGTCGAATGGCATGGTGCACATCGTCAGCACCTCCAGTTTCACGACAGCTGTGCATTGATAGCTGCGGGTTCCCAAGGTCAAGCGTACGTGCACCAAGATGGGCAGATAGCATTGGGCCAATCGTGCTTCCACAGCTTGAATCGTTCCGTACCACGAACAATTGCAGTGGTACACCCTCAGGGTCGCTATCGATGATTTTGGCTGCCTTTCGAGCAACCTCCTGAAGCAACACAATACCGGGGGAGTTTGTGGCATACCTAGCATTGGCGTTGATCTTAATGACTGGTCCTTGATTCATTTCTGGTCTGTGGTCACTTTCATATTTCGCGCCATAATTGGGGTTGACTGAGTGAGCCATATCTGCCGATAGCAAGAATGAGCTGGACAAACTCTGCTCATAGGCCGTGGAAAATTCCGGCTCGGCTGCATGGTCGTATGACTCCTCGGACCCTTCACCAGCAAAGATTGAAGATGGCAAGACAGACAGTCTGCGAATAATGGCCGGAAGCATAACTGAAAATGCGCCTTGGGCCGTCATACTTCCAATTTCTTCGTGATCAAAACAGGCAACCAGACGGATGGATGTTTCATCGTCTAGAGCAGACGAGGAGCGTAAAGAGTTGATTAGGCCCATGGTTGCACAATATGTCTGATTGAGATTGTCGAGTCTCGCAGAGAAGATGAATTCATCGCTTAGACCTCCGAGAACAGCCTTTTGCGTGTCGTAGAGCACAAGTTCAAAGTCCACCACACTCTCAGGCGCGACTGTGGCATCAGCAGCAATAAGCTCAACGATATGAGGATGATGGCGCGAAGTAAGAGCCTTGAGCGGAGTGAATGGCTTATTCTCCTCTTCCGCCTCATCACTTGAGACTTTGCTTTTCTTCTCGTCCTGGCGCTTCAATTCGGCTGATACCAGGCCAGCAATAGGGAATAGCTGGGTTTCTTTGTTGAAGGAAAAGGTCTCTTGACGGTCAAGATGGACTGCAAGCGTAGGGATGCGTAAGATAGGTTTGTCGATGTGAACCAATTTTTGAACCACATCGCCGTCTTTTTCTCGTACCATTACCCTTCCTGCCAGCCCAAGGTCTCGATCGAACCATGTATGCCATAGTCCACCGCCATATGTCTCGACGCCAACTTGAAGGAAGCCATCACCTTGCTTCTTGCTCACCGGCTTGATTCGTAAACAAGGCGAGTCGGTGTGGGCACCGATCATGGAGATAGGATTTCCTGGCTTCCACTTCTTGCCAATGGCGAATGCAACGACAGTAGATCCATTCCTGGTGAGGAAATATTTACCACCGGGGCGCAGGGCGGATGACCATGACTCTTTCTCCTGTGGGAGGTATCAGCATCTGCAATTGACGTTCTAGAGCGCAAATCTGAACTGACCTTGATCTCCTTGAACCCGACTTTGCTCAATCGCTCCTTGACAGACTTGACCGCATGAAAGGGAGTTGGAGACGCATTGACGAAGTCGAGGAAGTCGTTGGCCGCGACCTTAATACTGACGGGAGCCATGGTGGAATGGGATCGGGCTATTGGCGGGGGCCTCAGGAGGGACCGCAGTAGCATATGCGAGAGTAAGCCTGGTACTAAGGATCTGAATGCTTTCGAGACGTGGAGGTTGCTGCGGATGAAGATTGCTTCGTAGCTGCCGATACAGGTACAATGCAGGCTGGGCCGAGCGTGCCGAGGGGCCCTATGGGACTGGGTGGTTGCCTAGCTCGACGCCTGAAAGGGTAATCCCTACCAGCTAGAGGTTGTGCGGTCCAAGCTTAGCATTCCCCATAAAAGCCATCCTTCGGCTCTCTCCAGCGCCTAAGAGATTCCCAGGTCTGAGCCTCGCTGTCGCCAACTAGGTCTGGAGGCATCTGAAACAGCACTTCCGTCAAATCAACTGGTTGATCTGCAAGCATCTGTCAAACACTCCAACCTCAAGGGGTAATGAAACACAATTGTTCCGATATCCTTGCCGCCCAATACAATGTGCGGCCTACGCGAAGTGCATTTATCGTTGTATCTTTATTAACTAGCAATCCACACGCCGGAGCTCCGTGCGCGTGGTCGCTTTTATGGCCGCGTAAAGTGTTTTTGTTGTGATTCCCTTTCGGGGCAGGAGCTGGCTGGCATAGCTAGCTCTGGGCATCAATCACAGTAAAACGAGTCTAAATTTACAGAAGAGTGGAATGAATTTAACAGTATGCATGCAGCAATACCACATAATGTACTCTCAATCTTGATTCATGTAAACGTGCATAGAGATGCTGGATTCTTTAAGTTTGAGCCGGAAGTGAAGTTGCAAACGGCGTGCCAAGACCTCTGGAAGGAGCATTGGCAGGTGCGAGCCTGAGGGATGAGGGAGGTGTGGCCCGTGGGTGCAGGTGCGCGTGGCAGTTGCTCCTCCCCGTCCGTCCCTGGATGCGAGCTACTAACCTGCTCCTGCCACTGCCACCGCATCCGCATCTATCGTGAACTCACTTCGCAACTCCGCCAACCACTGCAATTCACTTCCGCAACTTCACGCTGCCTGCGCCATATCCTCAACATTCACCATCATCCTCTACACGACTCACTCATACTCTCGCTGTAGATAAGATCAATATTACTCGGTATGCCTTCATCATAAACATTGGGAAGCGGGCTTCTGGAAGTCGACCGCCACGTCGAATCAGAGCCACGTTCCTACGAGTTGTCGTCTTCGCGGCCAGCTTCAATCACCTTGGCCTCAAGTGTTCAACCGCCAGGGTCAGCCAGATCACTTCATCCTTGTTCTCTCCTGTGTCTCACTCCTATTCACCCAATTCTGAGTCGACCCGCCCTCCAGATTTCCTCTCGGTCTAAATAAGTCGCACGTCAACATGGCCGACAACCAGATCTCTTCCAACATGCTGGACACTACCGGACGGCCTCGAACCCCATCTCTGCCCACTCCAGTCGGATCCAAAACCCCTCCTACCATCTCAAGCAAGCGGTTCCTGGATCGACCAGAAACCTCCAGCGCCATGCAGCGAGCCACCGAAGCAATGGAAGCCGATGCTTTGCAGCGAAGATTAAAGGAGATTGAAAATGCTGGGCGGCCAAGAGACAGAACCCCAGGCCGAAGCCCTAGTCGTAAGCGACAGCGTGTATATGGAGATCGGTGAGTGAGCACGTTTGTTTGGTGAGCTGCTCGACTAATGATCGCATTCTAGATTCATCCCCAACAGGGACGGACAGGACCTACAGGCAAGCTACAGCCTTCTGCATGACGACGGATCACCTGCAACCCCATCAAGATCGAAGAAGAAGACGCCTCACGGTGAACTCCATTTCCAGAGAACAGAAGAAGCCAACAGAACGTATTCCAAAGTCCTCCGCAATGAATTGATGGGCGACTCCGTGCCTCAAGATTACCGATCTCTATCACCAGACGAACTATTTGGCCGACGACAGACACCCCCAGGCCTACCATCAGCCTCCGCCGTACCACCGGCTTCCATTACTCCTACAACTCCCCACAAAAACATGTTCTCATATAAGTCCCCGCAAAAACTGATAGGATCTGGCCATCCTACACCGTCATCTAGAACTGGTAAACATCCTGGCATAATCAACCTAAATGCGAGGTCTGATTTATACTCCATCTCACCTATCAACTACTCCTCACAGTCCATTTTACAAACACCCCGCAAACAACCTCGACCCATAGCCAAAGTCCCGTACAAAGTATTGGACGCTCCAGAATTAGCAGACGACTTCTACTTGAACCTGGTGGACTGGGGCTCAGCCAACATCCTTGGTGTTGGCTTGGGCTCCTGCGTCTATATGTGGAACAGTGCTACTGGGAAGGTCACACAGCTCTGCAAGTTGCCCGATAACGATCTGGTGACATCGGTGGCGTGGATTCAACGTGGTTCACATCTCGCCATTGGAACTCATAAAGGGTTTGTTCAAATCTACGATGCCGAAAAATCTAGGAGGTTACGGACCATGACAGGTCACTCCGCTCGTGTTGGCGCACTGGCTTGGAATGACCACATATTGACATCAGGGTCAAGAGATCGATTGATTTACCATAGAGATGTCCGAAGTCCAGATCAGTATTTACGTCGTTTGGCAGGTCACAAGCAGGAGGTATGTGGCTTACGATGGAACACCGAAGACGGCCAGCTTGCGTCGGGCGGAAACGATAACAAGCTTTGTGTGTGGGACAAGCTTTCCGAAACACCATTGTACCGATTCTCGAACCATGTAGCGGCGGTCAAAGCAATCGCTTGGAGTCCTCATCAACATCACCTTTTGGCGTCTGGTGGCGGAACTGCAGACCGGTCCATTAAATTTTGGAACACCTCAAATGGAACCCTCGTTAAAGAGGTTGACACAGGGAGTCAGGTTTGCAACTTGGCCTGGAGCAAGAACAGCGATGAAATAGTCAGCACTCACGGGTACAGTCAGAATCAGATCGTGGTATGGAAGTATCCAAAGATGGAGCAAGTCGTCAGTCTAACTGGCCACACATACCGTGTTCTTTATTTGAGCGCAAGTCCAGACGGCACCACTGTTGTGACAGGAGCGGGAGACGAGACTCTCCGCTTTTGGAGAGTATTCGGCAAGAAGGGTAACGAGGGAAGAAACAGTGATGGAATGTCGGGTGGTCGGTTGGGAGATTGGGGCTCCATTCGATAATGGTCTCCCTCTACCCAGCCTTGATGTGAAACTCGAGTTGACGAAACACGACCAAGACCACAATAACAATAATCCCATCCTCCAACAGAGGTTTTGCAACCAGAAATCCCAGATCTGAACGACGACATATTGCATGCCACATATCGGTAAACTTGTACAGCGACGATTTTTCTCTCGAACATCCATGAGTGATGTACCTGCCTGGCCAGCTGGAGTCGGTGGATTCAATGTTTTGCATGATTCTGATATTCCATCTTAAAAGCGACTGATTCATGACTTCCTGGCATGAAACAAGTAGGCGTATGGGTTTTTAGCCAGTGAGCGAGCGAGCGCAGTAAATCATTACGATTCTCTTATGACATGACCTGGAGCTGGGGGACCAGTGGATGGACTGATGGGTGAACCGCAAAGGGATGGAGTGCCATTTGTGAAACCAGCTTTTGATACTATCGCTACGGGCCGGTGGTGTTGTTGGGCACGGACTTTCCTCAGCGTGAAGTATGGTAAGACTGGCAAGCAGAACTACTATCGCGGATGAATTGACATCTCCCAACAGCAAGACCTTTATCTGTGCAATATAGTATGCCTGACTTGATTCTCTCCTTTGCTCGGGTGAAGATCCCTTCGAAACGAGAATAAATGAGAACCCACGCAACCTATCTTCCGTGGCAGTCCTGGACCGACGTTGCTCACACTCACAGAAGTAATGATCAACTGAGATGGAGACGTACTGCCTCATTTGGATGGGAAGTTCAGAGGTAATTAAACATTTATATTTCACACCCGCCGCACGAACTCGCTCGCTCCGCCCGCGTTTGATAATACGCGAGCACCTAATAATCCTCCGTGTCCTAGCTAGTGATACCGTGCTGGCCGAAGTGGAAAACGAAGCTCTCAAAAACACGCCTCCATTGCATGTCTTAGGAGTGAAAGCTACCTGATTCTCCTACAGCTGATAAGTGCCGGCGCCGTCACCGTCACCGTCAACTCTTCGCCACTCGTCTCCTCTCGTCTATACAATGTTGAAAGGCCCTTTCGAGCTGGCAAGTAAGAAGGGGAAAGGTGATGTGGATTTTTCGCACTGTTCGGTTTTAAACTATCCTACAGATGCGCGCACGCACGCGCGCGAGAAGACCGGGATGGGGCGCGGGTTGGAGTCTTTTATAGAACTAACCTCCCAGGCTCGACTTGGAGGACTGTCTTGACACGCTCCAGGAAGATGCGGGCACGCTTCTCCTCTGACACTGGCACGGCTAGGCTGAAGACGTTCACGGCGCCGCCTGTGGTGGTGATGTTCCTCCCTGGGGCGACGGGCTCGGCGGGCCGTAGCGGTGCTGCGGTCCGTCGGACCACCTTACCCGACAGGATGTCGATGAGGTCGGAGTTTTTTGTTCTGCTCGGTCGTGAGATGCTTGGAGTGGTGGAAATGGGGAAGGCCTCAATATGTGGTAGGTATGAGGCTCTTGAGGTGGTGGGGATGGTGTCTAGGCCTAGGACGGCGTTGAACAAGTCATCTGCTGAGGGTTTTGCACCCTTGGGGAGGGGCAAGTCGTCGTTGGCGAGGTCGACGGCGCGAGCGAGGAAGGTGGATAGTGGGATGGACAGGCCGAGTGTGTCTTTCATTCGTTTTTGGACCTTGAGGACCTCCGAGAGTGAGATGTTCAACGCGATGGAGGTCACTCGGGGGATCTGTGCTTCTGGTGCTGGTGCTGCAGGGGTTGCGGCAGGTGGCTTGGTTGCGGGTGCTTGGATCTTAATGTTGCTCAGATCGAGATGTCCGAGGTCGTCGATGCGTTTTGACTGTGCTGCGGGATAGTCTTGCTCAATTGTGCCCAGGAATGCAAGAACATCCCCTTTCAGGAGTCGGTTGTTGGGTCCTGTGGCAGGGATCTTGGCCACGTCTTCGTCAGAGAGATGGTTCTCGTGGACAAGAGCAGTGACGGAGGGATATAAGGGATACTTGGGGTTCTGTCCTGGTCCGGTTGGGCTCGTCTTTGGTCTGTCCTTCGCGGGTCGCTTCTTCTCTGGTGTTCCTTTGATCTCCTTTTCGACACCGGAAGACTCATAGCTTCCATCTTTGCCGCCCTTCACGTTGTCTGCTTCTGACTTTACGGGTTTCGAGTCGTCCGCAGGTATCTCGAGACTTGAAATATCATCGTCGGGTTCGGCGAGGACAGCAATCCTCGTGCCCACTTTTATACCCTTTGATCCATCATTGGAGAAGATCTTGGCCACGATACCATCTTCCTGTGCCTCGACGTCCATGGAAGCCTTGTCCGTCTCGATTTCCAGCAGGACATCGCCACTGGAGAAGGAGCCGCCTTCCTTGACCTTCCAACTCGAGATATTCCCCTCAGTCATGGTCGGAGACATCGCAGGCATCGTGAAATTTTGTGCAGCTAGGCAAGTGGAGGTGTGTGAGAACGTTCTCCGAGCTTGGAGTTGGGCGTGCGAGCATTGGGAGGTAATCTGGCGTGCAAGCAACCGAACGGACTGTCTGGCCGCCATAGCGGCGATATGGAGGGGTTATACACAGGTGAATGAGGCAGGAAGGTGTTGGCAGCTTGGTGCAAAAGAGCGAAAAGAGGTGAAAAGTCGAGGGTGTTGAAGAGTTGTATAAAGTTAGGATGGTTGTGTTGAGGGTGTGAATTCGGAGCGCAGCTTTAGCTCCGCTTATGGGCAGTCGAGGACTCCGAGAATTAGAGGGCTAAACTTTAGTTGAGACGTTGGGCGGGCATCGTGGGCATGTTCACGTGATAGTGGCACTACCCAGCTCAAAAGCCCGCCGTAGAGTCTCCCAGAGGCATTTCCCAATCTCGAATTGACCTTGCGAAGCTCCCAACTTCACTACCAGCCCATTCTTGTTAGCGAACGTGCACTGGTACTGTACCCTTCACAAGCGAGGTACCGGGTTGAATGCGACGTCTTCTTTTGCTGCCTATCTCTTTCAGACTTCCAACATATCAGTATTGAAGACCTGTTTACCTAATTGGAACCCAGTCGTCTCTAGGCCTCCTAGACGTCCCTTTTGCCACTTAGAATACCGTTCCGCCAGCTGCAGCATCCAATCCAACTGCAGGACCTTTGTTTTCCATACCTGTTACCTCCAACTTTGCACGTGCACGCGTATTCCACTCCGGCCGCGATACGTGGGCGAACGCAGTACTTGCAGCTGTATGGTTGCTCTAGACCATGGCCGGCGCGGACTAAGCAGGTAACCTGGTCGCTTAGCACGAATCGACCCTTTCTGAGTTCAGCTTCCAGCCGTCCAAGCATGGGTCGACAGTAAGTCATCTGTGTGAATTGCATTCTGGCCTGCCTTGATAGGATCGTTCCCTGGAAGTTCGTTGGGTCCTATTGAATTGTTGTTGCTCTATTGAGTATGATTAACCCAGGTTTCGTGCGCGGCACCTGCTGCCTGCTTGAATATGTCGTGTTAGCACATTGGTAGCTCGAATTCGTCTATATAGGATCGATAGAGTGTCTGTCATATCATTACTCGACCACATTTATCTATCCACTCCGAATCTACTCTTCGTTTCCATTTCACCATGAAAGGTGTAGTATTTACCGCTGTTGGCGCAGAGCCAAAGGTCGTAGATGACCTCCCAGTTCCAGTTCCAGGGCCCGATCAAGTCTTGGTCAAGTCCATTTGGACTGCTATCAATCCTGTGTAAGTCAATCCTGTGTCCAGCCCAATAAAAAGGCCGACCCTATGGAGATCCCCGATTGTGAGCGTTGGACAGGGTCAGTCGGGGACATTGCCCTTCCGAGTCACTAACATGCCTAGAGTGATGCGTTCATGAGTCAGTATGGTCTTCTGGTTGTTGACTGGCCCCTCGTCCTGGGCGTTGATGCTGCAGGTGTCATTACCGATTGCGGAAATGAGGCGACAGAAAAGTATGGACTCGAGGCTGGTGATGAAGTATTCGGCTGCACCAGGCTAGGAAGTAAGGGGTATTCTGCCGGGCAGCAATATTTCCTCATGGATGCCCGCGTGACAATTCCCAAGCCGAAGAATATATCACTTGTTGAGGCGGCTACACTGGGTGTCGGAGTGGAGACAGCGTGCCTGGGTCTGTTCGAAGGGTTGAAGATCGCATTCCCTGATCCCAAGAATCTTCCTTCAGCCTCTGATGAGTGGGTTGTCATTCTGGGAGGTGCGAGTAGCGTTGGGAAGGCTGCTATACAAATAGCCAAGGCATGTGGCTACAACGTAGTTGCCTCCTGCTCCGACAAATCTTCTTCGGTTGTCAAGGAGCTGGGCGCAGTGCCCTTTGACTACAAGGTTCCGCTCGAGCAACAAGTCAAGGAGGTCCTTGATATCACCTCGGGCAGGGCCTCCAGGGTATACGATGCGGTGGGTTCAGATGATCCCGCCATCTGCAAAGAGTTGTTCAAGGCGACTCAAGCGACAGACAAACGTTTTGCCACTACCAACGATTGGAACCCGGCAATTGAGGACTTTGAGGGCGGTACAACATACAAAGTTAAGCTTGGAGAAGTTGGTCGACCTGAAGGTAAAGAGCTAAACGACAACATTGAGAAGTACATCCCACTCATTGTTACCTTGATTGAGACAGACCAACTGAAACCAAGCGAGTATGAGGTAATTGGCCAAGGCGGTTTCGACGACGCGGTGAAAGCCTATCATCATCAGGTCTCAGGGGCCGGGGGCTCTCGAAAGGTCTTGGTCAAAATTCAGGATCCGTAGTTGATCAAGTGTCCATTGGGTGTTAGGTTGCCCCATAGTCACCAGTTCACCGTCTTGGTGCACCTGTTAAAGTGGTTGGAATAGTGAAAGGCAAAATTTGAGATACTTCCTCGGCATGTCTATCTCTTGGCCAAGCTCGAGTGACCCACGGGAATAGGAGATTCATACCATGGTCGATGTACCTTTCTTCCAATAACATGAAAGCTCTGTGCAAGGCTACTAGTGAGTCGCCGATCACCCAATTGAGACTCAAGGTTCCAATCATTTTGACCCGGTCTAGTCCCCGATACCGAACCTTGCGGACTGGGAAAGAAAGAGAAGACGAAGGCTTGTGTACCGGATATCGCGGAAAGTTGGTCAGGCCTGGTCAAAGTGAGTGCTCACAGCAGCAGGAATCTATGTGTTGTCTGTGATTCTGGTTTTACTTCCACTTTGGTCGCCGTCAAGTTCGGAAGTGTTGGTTGTACCAGGTTGTACCAGGGAATGCATTGCCGCACCACCACCACCACCACCACCACCACCGGCGGGTGGAATTTTCTTCTGTGGACCACGACGTCTCGACGGCTAGCTTGCTTATTTACCTGGTGTGAGGGACCGTACCTCTGCTTAAACCATAGTGTAATTCGTCTTGCTAGCGATTATGTCTTATCACGATGGAATGCTGCATTTTCTTCTGCTTGCCGAGACAGTATTCCACGGTAACACATGAATGGCGAAAATGACTGAACAAGACAGCATGCATGCATTGGGGTTCCCGCTGTGTGGACCGTTGAACACAGGCAACTGGGCTGGAATTCGGATCGAAAAGACATTGCGCAACTCCTGGGCTCGTTCATTGTCGAGCCTGTATCACCCTTTCGCCCAGCAGTTTAACGCACAAAAAGCGCTTGTATGATGTATCAAGATTCAAGAGTCGGTGATCCTCCCCACTTCTCGAATTGACTTGCGTCTTTTTGTAGATATCGCAAGGAAGCTCCTAGAGCTTGAGGCCGCATCTGCTGGCTGCCTCATTTTATAACGTGGCCGCTGTGGGTTGTGCTTGTAGACGGTGAGGCGCTAGGCGGCAAAACGGTCTTCTGGTTGCAAATCCTCGATACTCGTCTGGTCGTACACACCTCGGCTGATTGTGTGGTAATATAATGTTAGCTGGCCGTGGGCGTCCGCAGGTCACGCCGTTTAGGGACTCGTTTAGGCGCAGTACTTTCGCTAATTAGCCAAAACCCTCCACTTGTATGGGGCGTCGGCCACCGTGTCGCGCCCCAGGGGTATCACATCATTGAATGCATCCATAATCGCCGGCGCGTGATTCGTCTTGTTTGGACCTGTCAGAGAGCAAGCCTTCCGCGCTTGCAGATTAATATTCTTTTTGGTGAAATGTTGATACGTACAACAAGAATTTGGACTCGATTGACAGCTGCGAGAGGGCAGACGGAGTCTGTTCATTGAAATGCGATTGCGTTGACTTTATCGCAGCCTCCTCGCATGCAGAGGCTCAGCCGTTGGGCTGCAATTTCCGTCTTACTCCTTTGGCACGCAGCCGACGCACCTTAGTCTCTGGACGGACAAGCAGGTCAACTCGGATGCCGGGGGATCACCTCCCCAAGGTTAAGCTCTTCAAAATGAAGCTGATGGGGGCAACCGTTGTATTATTTGTCTCCCATTCTCTGGCGCAATGTTTCTTGCGTTTGTTACTGTCCCGGTTTGAAGGTGACAAGGGCACAGACCATCCATACCACTCCCTTTGTGTTGCTTTCGTCGATCGTTCCCATTCTCTGCTTCTCCTTGGATAGTGCCAGCCTGCGTCTACCAACGCTAGGATTATCATTTGCCTCTCGGCAGACACAGAACCTTTAGGCCACTGGCCACTCACTGGCTCCATCTAACGGAGCTCAAACACAACAGACGAGGCGACTGGCAGCGTCGTCTTACAACTGACGGACGCGCATCTCTCGTCCCACAATTACCAATCACACTACTAGCCCTGACAACACGCAAGTGATGCGCCCATCGTGAATGTGGGCACTATGCCCGATGTTTAAAGACCATACATACATGAAGGAATTGGAAGGATGCGAGCATGCGATGAAGATCACCCCGAAGATCACGAGAGGGGCGCCGAGATGCAGAATAACGGAGCTAGGGGAGGCTCGAAAAAGAAGCCATCTATATCAGACAACTCTGAACTCGCAACGGTCGCAAGATGCCAGAACACAGTGTCTTCACTCGCGCCGCCCCCCATGATGCCTCTGCCTTCGAGCGTCCAGCGATCAAAACCCGCTGAACATGCTCAGGGAGAGTCGAATATTGCGTCGCGGCGAGCCAAAGCGGAGGCGCGCAAGTACCCCGAACGTCCAGAAGTGCCAGCAGCCGATGTCCTGCACAAGGACGTATATTTAGATGGGAAAATACCCTGTAAGCCGATTGACATTCCACCTTGTACAAGCGAAGAAGATGAGCATGCGCTTTGCAATGCACCTGAGCAACCCCCTGTCACCAAAGCGTCGCTGCGCGAGTTAGATCTTATGTTGATTCAATCCAACATCAATCTGCGGGTTGACATCAACTATGACCATGATTTACACTTCACCCCCGTATCAGGTCAGAAAGGCGAGAAGAAAAAGTTGGAGGCTCTTTTGTATTGGCAAAGTCTTGTGGCCGAGTTTCGGATAACGTATCACAACAACTTCGTTACGAGCTGTATTGAATGTAAAAGGAGATTTGTTCGAGGTCGGGGTGCTCAAAGTAACTTTCACCCAAGACTTCCAGGTTTATTCTTCAACCTTAAGGAACTGTTGACTATCTTAGTCCCGGACAGAGATGCAGACCAGATTGCGCAGTTCCTGGACATCCCGCTGCTCGTGCAAGAGGCCTCTCATTCCATGTTGGATGTAGTTCGCCTGGGTCGGTGGTTGTGTGAACTACTGACCACACATTGCGCGCCAATGCGCGATGGGTCTGCCCTGGAGATGGCGGAAAAGATCAGAGAGGGTGCGGAGACAGGAGACATGACTGCTCTCGTGGATGGCATTAAGAAACTCTTCGATTTCTTGGAAGCCATGAAGCTGGATGTCGCAAACCATCAAATTCGCAGCTTTCGCTTCCATCTCATTGAAGATACCGTCCCATTTCAGAAGGATCACTTTCGCATTCGGATTCAAAACAACAAATTCAATGTCGACGCTCCACGAGAATGGTTCCTCCAAAACGTCAAAGGCCATGAAGAATGCCAGGGGGGTGGGAAACTTCCTACCAAGTCACCATTGGCTGCGTTGCTCCACGGCCTCGTTCAGATCTGTGTGTCCAACGGTCCAAATTTTCCAGAGACTCTAAAGCACGATGTATGCCGTCTCCAGAACAAACGTGATCAGATACAAGACATCATTCACATTGATATATGCCTCTCAGTGTTTGACCACCAGATCCTCCGGCTGGTGGGACATAGATTCGACCCAGCTAGCCTACACCCGCTCTTGGAGACTCGGATCAAAGAGCTGCAAACTCGAATACTGGACTTGACTGATGGACATATGCGCCCGAACCAGACCATGGCGGAGATGTGGTCCCAGCACGACGGTGAGATCGCATTGGAGCTCACGAATGCGGCCTTCAGCGTATGCAAACGCGTTGGGTGTGTTCTTCCGGCCTCTGAAGTTGAAACCACCAGGAAACAGCTGGCGTTCGAATTCGCAGAGGAACGACAACACGCCCGACGCGCGCAACTCCTCGCCCAGGCCCTAGAACGAGGAGCACAAACATATGCCCATGCGTTCCAAAGTATGACCACTCTGGCCATCTCGGAAGCGCAGAAACGAGATCATCATGCTCGACATCAACCCCAGCATGAAAATCAACAGTGGCGACAGATGCCAAGTCTGGAGGATATGGCAAGAAAGCTGGCGCATGTTGCAGTTATTCATATGCGAGTCTGGTGGGATTTGGTGTATTTGCCCGATGAGGCTGAACCAGGGATTGGCGTTGAGGTCAAAGAAGAAGATATGCATGATGAAGATTTTGTTTGAAATATTTCTAGAGAGAATTGTACATGGAGATACCCACCCTTTCGTCAGATGGAGTTATCAGAGGGCCTGAGGGCCTGGCAGTCAGGGGGCCACACTCGGGAGTTCCTCGCTTTGGCGTTGGTGGCTACGGGCGTTTGGGAGCTTGAGTCCAAGGCATGCCTGCGGAAAAGTAATCTGTATCATATAAATAGGGTATTCAACCGATTCCGGGCTGAGGTAGTTCCCACTTTTTTCATCCAATGTGGTGTCGTTCTAGGCTTGAGGCTTGCTTTTGTAGACCTTGCGGGCACATCGTCACGTGGCAGCACGTATTGAGACGCGTTCAAGAGATTTTTGCCGCCCCATTCCTTTCACGCCATCCACACCCCGTGCTCGGCATTGTCCGACCAGGCTGAACAAGAAGACCTCACTTCTATGCAAGGCGATCGAGCGACCTGACTTCAGAGTCTCAGCTTCGATGCCAGCTCCAAAACCATGGCTTGAAACTCTGACCTTGAGTCAACTGCAACGATTGGCCGTCTTGATAGGCTCAGCATGTTCCGGCACTAAACCCGTACGCATAGCTGGAATACGTGAAGCGATCACACAGGTCGGTCAGTACCAAAAGCCAGATGTCGAATTGAGCCTGCTCAGCATAGATATGGGAATCCGGAATCTGGCTTTCACACATATCAAGGCACCAGTTTTACTGGGTTCGGAAGGATTGTACCAGTATGGAAAGCCAAAGATCGAGGCCTGGCAGCGTCTGACCGTATTGAACCCCCAGGGAATGCCTCGGGCTGTGCGGTCAGGAAAATCGAGCACTGGTGAAGACGGCGATGGATCTGGACCACCCTCCCCTCAAACTGCCAAAACAGGGAAAGAATCTTTCGAACCGATTGACTTTGCCATGCACGCCTACAAATTCATTGATCACATGTTGACGAAATACAAGCCCAACCAGATCCTAATTGAGAGGCAAAGATTTCGCACAGGAGGACAGGCCGCTGTGCAGGAATGGACCATCAGAGTGGGTGTCTTTGAAGGCATGCTTTACGCTGTGCTGCGGACCCTGGCCGAAGAGCGGAAATTACAGCTTCAAGTGGAGCCCATATCGCCAGGACGTGTGAATAGATCGTGGCTACAAGATTCTAAGTCACCAGGGGTTGTTCAGGGCAAGAGATCGAGCAGCCGTGACGTGAAACAAGCGAAGATCAGACTGGTCTGTGAGATGCTTGAAGAGAAGGGAACAAAGTCGCATTTTACTGTCAGCAAGCACCTACGGCCTTTCACGGATGCTTTTCTTTCTGCTTGGAAGAAGGAAACAAGGGCTAAAAAATTTACGGTCAACGGGATTGGCAAACTTGATGACTTGGCAGACTCGTTGCTACAAGGACTTGCATGGATCAATTGGCAAAATAACCGCGTACAAGTGACTTCGCTGGGAGAGGAAGCATTCGATCTTGAAAGGAGTTGAGATCTTGGTCACCAGCTTGTTGGCCAGATCCCATGGGATTATGATGACACTGCTAGCATTGGAAATATGGTCTTGCCTTTATCACGGACACTCCAATGGAGCCTCCAGGTGTGGACTTTCCCAATCGCTCAAGCCACCATTCTCTCAAGTTTTCAATTCCCAGGCCTGCACCCCCACAAAAGATGTCGCGAAGCCTGGAACGCAGATAAGAAGCTCCATGAGAACCAGTGTGACGACTTCGGCTAACCTTTCGTGCAGTAAGGAGAACACGCAGTCATACACAAGGCAATCAACGTGGCATTTGTCAATCTGGAAATCATCCACCCATTCACACAAGTAATCCGAATGAGCAGGCTGCCACGGCAGCCTCCCTCCCTGCTACACCTGAGGGGCACACTTGAAAGTGGGAATCGCGGCGAAATGAGAATGTCTTCCTCAGCGATGTTAAGGACCGAAGCAGGTGGATCAGCCGGGAAATGCGTGGATAGCCACACCTTGCTTGTGGGGACCTGAGGAACAAACGGAGAAACAAAGCATAGACCCAGGCACTTGCTTTTGCAAACAAATCATGCCGACTGGGTCGGAAAATGTATTGTGCACGAACAGAGCACCTCAGATTCAAATCAACGCAACCTGACCGCCACTGGGACCGTCAGAGTACTTGCAACAATGTCAGCAGTTTTGGAGAGTTCCAGGTCAAGATTTTGTGTGTTTGCATTCAAAACCTGGAGAATGGCAGGTCTGGAAGGGAGCGAAGTGTCAACGATGGCGAACGAGGCTGATGATGTAACCTGACGTTTCGCAACACGGGTATATAATATCAAATTCATCTGAATGTCGCCTCTCTCATGGACCTTCGAGGATTCTTTCTGGACCTGAACAAGGATCGACATCTTCCGTCGCGGGAAGTCACACAGATTCTGGGAAGCTGCGACAGCCCGATAGCGAAGGCACGACGAGTACTATGAGTAATATCAGCTCAACACCGTCTCGCATTCTTGTTGCCTGTTGCTGTTCCGAGTTCATATTAGAGCTGTCGATCTCCTTCATGGCAGCAGATGTCTTCATCTTGAACACCAATCCCCCTTTCACTGGATTTCCTGGTTACTCTCTAATCTGCTAGGGTCACGATTAAAAGGCGGCAAATATGTATCCCATTAATCTGCTCTTTGGTTTTTTGACCCAAATCCTGCTCGTGTCAGCAATCATCCATGTTCGACAGGATGTGAACACGACTTCAGAAGCGAATTACGGGCACCATACAACCTACACCACAGTCTACAATTCCACTATCACCGTCTCTGTTACCCATACCACGCTCACCACGGAACCTAGGTCCTCGGCGACGTCGACGAGTTCCACCAGCAGCGCACCACTCAGTCGACCATCGTTGCCGTTTACAGTGCTTGCCATACGGCCTGGGACCCCGATTCATCAACTTCGAGTGAACGCAGATGGCCAGCGTTTCTACCTTGGTGGTCAACCTTCAACATACTGTCCAAAAAGAGTTGAAGAACTCGGTGGTTGCCCTCCTGGAGAGACCACAGCGTTTGGGCTCTGTTCCATGGTAAGTCCACTTACTTTATGGAAGTACAGGGACAATACTTACCTTCCAATAGGCTGTTCTTGTTCCCGGCGGACAGGAGATATTTGCCCTACCTAATGGTGAGCTCGGCTTTACGCAGGCTCATTCTGCTCTCCTTCCACCAGGATCCAGCACCTGCCCTTTCGAGTATGTCATGGAACATCGCGGCGACCAATATGCGCATCTGTTCCCGAATGCCACCAACGCCTTTAGGGCCAAGGGGTTTCGTGCATGTCCGACCAACGACGGTCGGTGGCAAGTGCTTCTGGCTTTGGCCAACGTCACAGTGCCGAGCGTGACGAACCAGACCGAGTGTCTGCCATTTGCGGCGTTCGCTGTTGACTACGAGAATGGATATGCCGCCTGGCAGTACAACTGATGGACGAGATGCTGAGAGAAAGCACCACAAAGCACATGGCTGAATGGCAATGGGATGGCTATGTTTGCAACCATCTTTTTGGGGCTTTGTTTGAGGTTGACTGGTCAGAGGAGAGCGGGTGGATGGACCAATACAAACAGACCCGCCGGAGCCAGGTACCTGTGTGGAATAGATTAGCCCAGTAACTCACAAATGGCTGAAGAGAGTAAGAGTACTCCGTGGTGTGGTCGTAAGTGACAACTTGACGCTCTCAATTCCCCATCTGCTATGCCTTGATTCAAGAGAGTCGACTCAGTACTGTAGGCATGCTGGCCAACATTGCCGTATGCCCCCAGGCAAAGAATGATGCGGGAGTATACACGTCCTCATCCAAGCGAATATCACAGCTTCACTCTCTGCTGGGGTCCCTCGAACGGTACGAGGTCCTCGTGACCCCCCGAAACAGCCCTTTGATCTCAACGAGGGTGGGAGGCCGGGTTCATAGCAAGCATGACGAACAGAAGTATTGTTGATCCCAATCAGATCAGCCCTCGTCTATGGCCTGCGACGGGTTCAGACAGTTCTCGCTTACGGCATACAGACTCCGTTCATATGTCATGGGGATCCTCGAGGCCGACCCCTCTACAGTCCGTTGGCCTGAAGATCGCTTACCATGGGCGGGGTACATCTAATACACCTGAAACGTCTGCGAGGTTGCTGGGAATGATCTTCAGCACCCGGTCCTCACGAACCAGATGATTTTGAATCCTTGCTGACTTGGAACGGGTACCTGGGTGCTCGGCGTGGAGTCTTGATGACGGCGAAAGGGCGGGTCAAGCAGTACTCGTACTCCATGTTTCTCGCAAGATCACTCCTACTCGGTACTTGTGTTTTGGGCCACACGGATGTGGATCTTGCGATCCCTGGACCGCTGAAATTCTATGTGTTCGACTCTTTCGTATTGGTTTTATAGACACGGCGGAAGTCGGTGAGGCTCAAGTTTGCGGCAAGTCACGTGGTCGCGGGTGGGAGGCGGATTCCTCCGAGGCGACTGGCTGAGTCATCCAAGCCCTGAAGGAGGCACCTGGAGGGAAATGATATCCAAGGCAAAACTCGGCGTGGTGCAGCAGCAGGGCTCCGCAGTACTAATCTGAGAAGAGATTACTCCCCCACCAACGATGGTTTGATGAACGACCAGGTACCCTCACACTCAGCACAAACTCGACGAAAGGGAAAGGAAAAGAGAAATGAATGACGCCCATGTGTTGAGCTCTGAACAGGGACAGCTGTTGTATCCCTGGTTTAGGGCGTGTGAAGAGTCAAGAGTCAAGACTGAAGAGAGATCTGGGTTGTTTCAACAGGGGGGAACCGAGTATTGGCGAGAGGGTTAGATCAAGATCTGCCAATAATGGCCGAGTCTGTTATTGTACAGACCCGGGTATCTATCTACCTAGGTCGTTAGTGGGTGGTTCTTGAGAAAACAAGGCCACAGATGCATATGCGGCCGCGAACGCAATGCAATGCAATGCACTGTAGATTCCTACACGGGGAATTCTTTTGACGTGTGCTCACTGCTCGGAGCTGTCAGGTGGAAACCGATGCATCTGCAGTCCGGAGTCGGTCGACTCTGGGGAGCAACATAGAGTACAATCTTTTAATCATTATGTTGTTCGCAAGTCGTAGATAGAAGCATTCCCGCGTTCTTGCCTTCAGGAGAATGACACCAAGGAGCAAAAGGTGACTTGGGAACTTGGGACTCCCCATTGAACCTCGTAGGGGGACTCGGGAGATTGTGTAAAAGCATTGCAAGCCCTAAGGTAGAACACTTTAGCAAAAACGTCGCTGAGCCAAGCAGCCCGCCGGGCGGGCGTCGATATTGCAACGGCGTCCCCTGGAAGCCTGGTAGCTTACCCGTGCAAGAACCGCGTTGTAGAGTGTAGTAGCTTAGCAGCCGGGGGTCCATGTATGTTGTCAAGATCAGACGCCAAGCGAACCAACAGCAGCGGCGACGGGTCCTCTGGGTCTTTGGGGTCGCGATGGACACCTCGGATGTCTTTTGTTAGGGCGTGTTAGGCGGGTTAGGCTGGGCCGCTTACCTATCATGCTTAGCGCCGTGATCTCGCTCCAGGGACCAGGCTTTAGGGGTGTTGGGGGGTCCAGCTAGGCGGCAGGGATCAGGGACCCAGGGATTAAGCGGAATCACTCTTTGCGGCTTTAGCTTCACTGCTGCTCGTGTCCGCAGCTCGTCCATTGTGATTTTCCCAATTTCCACGTCCAATCACAACTTCATTCGCACACGTTCTCAATTCCAACCTTCATCGTCACCCGCAGTCGAGCCTCGCTTAGCAACTTCAATCATCCTTTTTCTCGCTGAGCATGGCAACATATCGCTTGAGTGCTGGCCATGCCAGCCATGCTAACCTCATCTCCAGCTGGTCAGACAAGCCACCACCTGGCAACCCTAACTAGCCCGGCCCACTCACAGATGGTGCACGACCTGTTCACCACCGTCAGCTCCAGACTGAAACCTCACCTTCACGCTGACCAAATCTGACTGCCACTCCTTCTATGAACTGGCCCTTCTTCTACATACTCTGTACAGTAGGTTGCGATGAACACGACCGCAGCTGTCTCTCCAACCAGCTGGCTACCGTGACTCCTGATCTTTCGCTTTTTGTCTCTTTCTCTGCTTCCCTCTTGCCTGCGGGCCCTTACAGTCACGGCATCCATTTCTTTGGTGTGACTCGAGCATTCACTACTTGACCAGCCCTCCGTGTCACACTACAATCTTACGACATTCCGCTCGACGCGGATGTCTTGCAAATATCGCCTTCGCCCTCGAACCCACTCCCCCCAGCACCCAAAAGCACCTTCCAATCCGGACCAATATCTCCAAACGCGCCTTCCTTTGTCCTCCGCGCTACCTTGCCTGCTGGACAGACTGTCCTAAATTCATCCCACAATGCCTGCGACAGGGAAAAGGGTGCCTCTATCTATCGGCACCACGGTAAGCTCTCCCCGAATGCTAAAGCCCGCAAGAACTGATCTGATCTGCCCACAGTCGAAGACGCATAAAAAGTACCTGGGAGAGCCTGAAGACCCCCATTACATTCCCGACTCGCCATGGATCGAGCGCAAGTTCTTCACCGAGGAGGAGGAGGCCGAATTGAAATCGTCCTGCACCTTGGTCCTGGCCAATGTCCCACATTCAGATGATATGTCGGATGACCCACTCAAATACATCGCTGCTCAAATTCAGGAAGGCAAACCCGTACAGCAGTCCAAGACGAAATCAGAGCACATCTCTGCACCTGCTCACAAGATCGATGCTTCCAAGACCAACAGTGCCATCCAACATCTTCTCAATTTGAATCCCGATACCGCCACTCCCTCTGAATCCTCACATAGAGACACGCTCTCAACGCAAGACTATTCAACACCCTTGACAAGCGCCGGGTTTACCCCTGGAGACTCTGCCCGAAGGTTTTCGGACGCTGCCCGCAAGTCCTACAATAGTAGCAAGAAGCCTGGAAGCAGCCTTCGGAACGACTCTCAATTACACAAGAGCCGAACAACTTCCAACTCAGGTCTTCACAGGTCGTTCGACACGACAAATCCATCTCTAGAGACAGAAGCTATCAAGCGGACTCTTCGCCTAGTCGCCGACGGTAGCTCACGACCTCAAAGCGGTAGCAGCCTTAGATCCATGGACAACGTCAATTCACTCCGATTTTCGACACCAGATCTGAATAAATCCCTCCCTCCACCACCAACAAGCCCGCTAGATCCCTTTGATGATCCCAAACAACCTCATATCAGCAGATTGATGAAGACCATACGCAAGAAGAAGAGCACAACCGCTCTAGATAAAGGACGAAGCTTTTCCACGTCCGATGCTCCACCCCCCCTGCCAACGACAAACAGAACCAAAGCCCCACAGCCGTCTCAGCCAGATATTCCCAATACCTCTTATCTACAACCTTCTCAAGAGGAACACTCCAAAAAGCGGTTCCGCTTACGACTGTTTACGAGGCGACATCACCGACCCGCTGACGTTCTTGTCACATAAGGTTCTTGGCGAACCTGCAAGCAACAATATTAATTCTACGCGTTGTGTTATCCTACCGCATACATATGACTCAGCGTTGGTATCTTCCTTTCCTTTCCACAACAACATGAGCATTGGCGTCCGGACATTCTAAATGTGCAGCCAAAAAGCGCGGCTTCGATTTTTTCATGTTGTGTCTGTTTTAACCACCATTTATCAAACCGCCATCAGACAGAGTTTTAACGAAACTAAGATTCAGCCCCGATTTGTCGTAATGCAACCACCTTTACTTCTTGGGCGAAGCAATATCTTAACACCCGCCAGGGACCAACCATTTTCACCCCAAATGATATTCTGCTGCCGAAGGCATCTATCATCTGAGTGATATTGTCGAGGGTTCCTCCTTTTTTTCCCTTTACGAAGGCGGCACGAGTTGAACGAAGTGATCAGAGCAGGAATGAATGTGCTTTGATTTGATTTGAACTGAATGATGGTATTTGACCTAGCTAGCTAGCTAGCCGGTAGTCCTTGGACACACAGCAGGAGACGTTTCCTCCTTTTCCACAGAGAGGAGCGAAGAGAAATGAGTGCACTGTGCAAGCCACTGGCAGCGAGTGAGCGGGTGCCTGTGTACAGATCTTAGTATAGCATGATGGGGCTCGCGCCCAACCCGACTTGCGAGAAAATAAATTCTACATTTCTCCCGTTTCCGAATTCCTTCCAGTGCCTAAGTTACAGGGCTTGCAGTTGTGTGTCTGGCGTTGGTGGGATCCCTAGTACCGGCCCCTTTAAAGTTGTTTCTCATTATCGCTGCCCACCCACGCATTGTAAAGCCACCGGTGCATATTGTTGAAACGCCTGACGATGGCGGTGGCGATGGCGATCGCTATGCTACAGGGTATGCCAGTCTATGCAAAGACGATATCTTCGCTTCTACAACTCCACCAGCTGAGAACGCAGTGATCTCACCGGTCTCATTGGTCTGCGTCATATGGGAAGAAACCACCCTTCCTTTCCAATACTATTTAGTGCTAGTGTGCGCGATCCCGTCGTCACTGGTACGTCGTTGCTAGGCCCTTCAAGGCCAACTGCCACGGATGGATGTCATCGTCTGCAGTGCGAGAGCCAGTGCAATATCTTTGGACGAGGCGGCTGTGGATTGGCTGAAGAGGAGACCCCGGTCTAGATATCACATCGTATGAGGGGGCGAAACTGTCACTCGGTCCAGGATCTATATCGATGTTGATGTTTCCCGCTGCAGATCGCTCTGCATCTTGTCCGCCAGCTGCCTTGTCAGCAGACCGACGAGATTTGATTCCGATGTTAAGGACTCAGTGGCCCCATGAGCGGCTCTAATAGCAAATCACATTCGTCAAGGCTTCGTAATGATTCGCCGGCTGCCCCAGTCCTATACAGTTCATTATTCTTCTCCAGTCGTAGCATGCAAAGATCATTCACGCAAGCAAGGCACGCCCAGGTCCGGAGCCAGCTAACCCAGCAAGCCCGCCAAATCGACCATCGCCCTCATCCAAGCCACCGAAGCCACTTGCTCCGCCGCCGCCGTTTTTGGAACCCAAACTTCCCGGGCCTCCACCTCCGCCACCCCCAGCCGCTCCGATTTTACCGGCTTTCGAGTTTCGATGACTCTCCACTATGGAAAACTTCCGACCAAGTTCGCTGAGGGCTTGGATGTCCTGTCCGAGCACAGAGAGCATACTTGCTAGCGCGACGTTGTTAGATTGGGCCCGTGAGGCGGCGGCGAGGGGTTCCATGGCGGAGGATGAACTGACAGGCGTGAGCAGTGACAGGCGAGTTAACAGGGCTTGGATATTGCGTAAATGAGGAAGGTGGGAAGGATCGGGCGCGACAGATGATGTCTGATCTAACAGATAGGATGGTGGGAGAGATTGAATGAATTCTCGGAGGAGGGATATGCGAGTCTGGAGCATTCTGACCGAGTTGAGCCGCGTGGTGATGCTTGCAATCTGGTCTTCTTCCTCTGGCATGAGCGGGTTCACTATTTCAGGGGTTCCATTCGTTGCTTTCTGCTCAGTCTCTGAAGAACTGGTGGCAGCCGGAGTTGATGGTGTGTCGGCGCGTTTCTTGCCTTTCTTGTCTATCACAGGCTCCGTTGGTGAAGGTGGGGACGGAACTTCAGCAGTAGTATCTGAGATGGTGTCTGCAACGGCTGCGGCACTTCCTGCCCCTTTGGCGACATAGTCAATTGCGATCATCTCGGTCTCGTCGGTTTCAATTGTGTAGGGGACTGAACGGAATTTGATCTCAGACAAGGCTGACTCTTCGCCGTCAACCTGCATGGAGGCTTCATCCTTTTGATGCTCAACTTCATCTAGACCTTCGTAGATGGATACAGGGAGGCGGGCATTGACCGTGCTAGCTTGAGCGATGGCTTCGGGGTGTAGTGCTAGTAATATGGCACTGTCGTTCAAGAAAGTAATGGCTTGTCGTTGCAATGCAACAATGGCAGGTGAGGGACCAAATTCAGGGAATAGAGTGTACCAGCCAACAAAGTCCAGCGCAGGAGCCTTGTGAACATCTCGGTCTAGGAGGCATCAGATGGACAACCGATGGGAGTCTGACATGGATCCGCTTACATTGTTGAACTCGCTCCTCCATCCAAGCTGCGTTGAAAAGCCATTGCCCTTCAGCGTTCTGTACCAGATTCGCGGGAAAGGCATATTCTGCGGTTATCTCTCGGCCCTTCTGCTGTCCAAGAAGCGCGCCCGCGATTGGGCCCTTTTGTCTCCTTACTGATTGTCTGGTAACATGGTCGGAGACTGTTAGGAGTACAAGAGGATGGAGGGAGACGAAGAGGCCAGTGTCTGAGGGCTTTGACGAGAGCAGAGGGTTTTCGGCGCTGTCTGTCATTGTAGATGGGGAAGCAAGGCAAGAGTGGTATTTGGTAACTTCCGAGGGTCAGCGATATCAATGTCAAAGGTGTTGCTGATCGACCGAGAACTTCAGAGAATGGTACTGAATAGTAGGATACTTGGTACGTGAGTACTTTGGTACGCCATTGTCGTGGTGATGGGCCAGGCTGGGGAATTGCTTGGCACAAGGGTTTACTGTAAAAGGAGGGGAAAGTGAGAGGTACTGCAGGAGAAGGCGGGACAAGGCTGCCATTCACGCGTCACACTCGACTCGACTGACGCCTCAGACGTCGACTACTTCTAACTCACGAATAGTGTGCCATCAAGTCATGGGCTTGGTAGATTCAATATTTCATGTATTCCAGACCAGCTGATTTTCATTTCCAATGGACGCCTACGTGGAAGACCAAGACGTTCTGTTTGATGAGCTCTTTTCTCATCTGCGCAAAGTCGAAACAGGTGGGGTGATACTAGATGAAGATCTATTGAAACGTGCAGAAAGGTCACTCGACACCTCAACTCCCGGACCAACCTTGTGGCAGTTGCTGAGCACTGGCGAGGCCCTGCTTCAAGTTCTGCAGCAGGATCCCCGCCCTTTGACCTGTCTTTTGGAACGGGACATTTCCCTCATTCCGTTTGATGAGTTGAAACAATCCGTCACTGCCAACAAACTCGAAGAAGGTCTGGACTCACCATCGGTACCTATCCAGCTACTTTGCATAGCATATCTACGGAAAGCGGCAGATACTCCGAGCGGTGCCTCGTTTATTGCAGCGAGCTCTAGTCTTGTGAAAACACTGCTTACCTTGTGGTTGGGCTCGGAGAACACTGAAGTTGCAGAACGAGCTCTTGAAGCGATCGAGGGGTTGTTGGCTGTTGATAGCAAGGACAGCGTAACCGTGATATCTGCTGGGGAACGACTCGGAGAAGCACAAGGACAGGGACTTCTTTGGAGAAGGATATTCCACGATATAGATGTCTACAAGATTCTCTTTGAATGGACATCCCTTACAACCTCAAAACGAGATGTCAATACAAAGAAAGGGCTGCAACTAGTCACAATCTCTCAGGCCAGGCTTTTTGACTTTATTGCAAGAGCTGCACCACTAGACTGGGCTGCATTGACGACCTCCAGCCTGCCCAACGTCGAGAACAAGTACATGACAAGAGGCGACGATCAACCATTTGGTGGTATCCTACGTTATGCAGCATCGTCCATGATTGATTCCAACGACCTCCTCATGGAAGTCCTGCGGCAAGATTTCTTTGTCAAGCTTCTAGGGGTTGTGGAGGACAATAACCTCCAGAATGTTTCGCCTCGTCTCCTGGAGGCAATCCAACAAGGTGCCGGTGTTGAATCAACAAGGGAGACACAGGATGTCGCTATGCATCTATGAACAAGACTCTCTGACGAGTGTACTGGCTTCTTAGATTGAACGAACCATGGTAGCCACGACTCCACACATATCATCCATTGTACAACAGGGAGTTTTGAAAATAATGCAGTCATGTAGACTCGGAGATGCTTGAAGCGCAGATCTCGCCTGACCTTCCACTTGCGTGCATGCAGGTACACATGAGTGAAAGTGCCTAGTTTTCGGAGCTGTCTGGAGACTCCATATAATTTTACGACGGATAAATACCTGACTGCAACCAAAGGAACCAACACCACCCATCCTCAATGTGTCGCTAGCCAGGGACCCGGAGTGGGATATAGAATCGCATTTGGCGTTACTTCCTCTCAGTGCATGGCGAGGTCGAACATGCTAATATCACTGTATTAAAACCTCATCTCTCCATCTCTCCACCTCGACCTCGAAATGTCTCCAGGATCCCTCGTCCGTCCACCGCTCGCTCAATTCCGCCTCGCCGTTCGCCTTGTCCGACGATTTCATGGATCAGCTCTACATGGTGCCAAACCTACAAATCAAGTACCTCAACGCACCGTAGCCTCGACAAAGGCCAGCCGCTTAAGACGTCCAGGTCTTAGTCAGATTTCTCGTTCCGCCGAGAGTAATCTTGAGACGGAACACTTGATGAAGCGGCGGTTTGCTGAACACCTGTATAACGACGGTCAAAGAAAGATTTATCAGGCCCCCTCATCACATCTGGGGTTGTTCGCTGCCTCTTATGTCATCGCTGGAAGTTGCATTTTGACCGCTGGTGGGCTAGCCTTCGCAAACCCAGACTACTACGACCCCAGTCGGGACCTTCCCTGGTTTGTCGCAGTTGGATGCCGGCTGGGAATAATGGTCTTCACCGTTGTCGGAGGATACGCATTGATAAGGCCATTGAACCTGGTTCGTTCAATAGATCTAATCAAGAAGAACGATACAGTGAAGCTTCTCGTCCAGGTTCGACGCCCTTTGCCCTTCCTACGGCCCAAAGGACACATTGTCGACCCATTCAATCTGCAAGTAAAACGAACATACGCGAGACCGTTTGAATCGGAGTTTGAATCGTTTGAGGAACCACAATCTGCTCAAGCCTCTAAGAGCCCCGGGAACCCACTCTCCTACATTGCTCAGGCAATCAGCAAAGGAATTTACTATCCCTTCATCTCCGTGCGAAAATTGATGGCTTGGGATGGCATTATGAGTATCGACCTCGTTGAAGGAGAAGAGATGACAAGGTGTAAACTGGACACCACTGGGCGATGGTCCAATAATGGCCAAGATTTTATCAAAATGTCTGTTGTTGCGCTTTGATCCGCGACCAAACCCGGCGGATGTAGGAAAATTATGGAGAGCAGGATGGTGTGCCCACCTATCTCTTTGCTTTTTCACTTCCGATTTCTAGCATAATCTGCGGAAGCGGACACAACACTTGAAGCATCATCACGGCAGAATTACCCCCTTTCATTGTCACCATAAGAGTGCCAGCAGATTCACTGCCTGTAATGCAGCAATACGTGCCTAATGCATTTCAGCCAACCACAGCAGCTGAAGCACCAAAGTTACTGACTGCCTGTCAGGTGTAGAGCTTTGCCTCGAAACCTGAACGCTGTCTGTGGAGACACCAACTCTCTTTCCATTACTTCATTATGCCCATCAGAAGTTCGAACGATCCTTCTGTCCTTCCCAACTCAACGCTTGAATAACTACCTCGAAACGGGCCTCCGCCCATTTTTTGCCCTTTCATCACACATAATGAACCCAGGGCATCGTTATGGAGAACCTTATTGCATGGATGATCCATCACTCCCACACAGCGAGGAAGACCTGGCGACGCGTATCCAGTCGGATCTAAGCTATGAAGAACTCAGATCAGGATCTTTCGTACCAAGTCCGCGGAGACCACTTATTCCTTCCATGGCAGTCAACACGACTTCGAACGTTCAACTGAGAGGCCTTACTGAGATGACCAAGGTCATAGTTGGAGAACGATCCGTGACGTGGCTCATCCACGAGCGCCCGTTGATGGAGATCTCTGGCTTTGCCAGAATATTCCTGTCGTGGCCATCTCACGGCATGAGCCCGTTCGAGTCAATAATCAAGTTGCCCTTCGAAGATCCTGAAACTTTCGAACACTTCGTCAGATATGTCTACTCTCGAGAGGTTGCCGAAATGACTGTTCTAGCTGTGCTCAAATTGTACACTCTCGCATTCCGACTTCAAGCCCCTAGCCTGTGCGAATTCATTCTTCGTGTTCTCAAGCAGAGCGTATCTTCGATCGAACAGTCAGACGTACAATATATCATGAACAATATAACTCTTTCCAATCCATTACGACTTCGTTGCTTAATAGTGATCACCAACTCGATTTTCAGGCATGAGATCGACCCGGACAGCTTGATCGCAGCAGATATCTACAACAAACACGCCATAGAACTACTTTCTTTCCTGACTAGAAGAATGGATATCGACCCGAATTGACCGCCAATAACACCTACTCCGGCGTTTCAATTGCATTCCATGTACCTCGAGAGCAAACCACATCCTTCAACACGTCCACCTCAAATGCAACGATAGCAACGAGTGTGCCCAACTCGGAAGCAATTCTTGGTCAGCCGTCGACTTCCACTTCGACCCCAGCACCACGCAACCTTTCGGGCCCTGCGAACGGCGAAAACTCCGAAATGGCCAGTGATGGAGGGAGCCTCGAGAGACTGGAAAAGGCGCTCCAGCTGTTGAATGAAGCAACCAATGACAACGGCCCTACCTGCTCGCAATGCCCTACTCGGAATCTCGAAACTGATCAACGATGTAAGAAATGATGGGAAAGGCCCTGAGGACACAGCCGCGCCTGAGAACAAGTGATTGTGCCCACAGTTCCAATCATGTCGCGAGATCCTTCGAGTGTCATGAATGCTCTCATGGTCCCGAGATGGCATTCTCAATTCACATACTTGTATTAGTACCTTAAATGGCTAGCTTGGATGGTTGTATTGATAGCAGTGTTGGATCAATCCCAGGCTGCATGTTTGCTCTGAATTAGAGGCCCTGCAAGAAGGGTTTGAGGTTGGGGCCGAAGGCGGCAGGCACATTAGCGTCCAAGGGTATGCGACCCCGTCAGCGCGAAAAGGTCTACCGCGATATTCCAGGCTATGTAAATCTCCCCGTAGCTGACCCGTCAGTGAACGCATGTTGTATTAAAGCACTCGAGTCATTGTCCTAGCTTCCCTGTGTCGTGGCGCCCCAGGGCGGCAATCGTCCCAGGGCAAGTATCTGTGAACCGTACTCGTCTCTTCCCATCGATAGACCAACTCGGTATCAAAACTAGTTCTTCCATTCCAGAGTTATCCTTCGGCAAATCGCCTGTTCAAGCGGTCCAATCAACAATAGAGCTGTTCCAAGGACAAGGCTGGGGCAGTCAAAAATGCCTCGCTCGGCAAGGCTGAACAGTCACTACAATCGACGTCATTGTTTGTACAGTAATGCTCCAGGAAAATCATTCAACCACAACCATCAAGTCCTTCATCTTTCTTGTGAACATCCTCCTCCGAGGGAAAACAGTACAGTACGAGGTACGGGTTCTCTCCGTCAGCAAATAATTTCCAGGGTCCTTCACGAGGCATTAGTCATCCTCCTTGGGGCAAAGACACTGGGTGGGCACCCACAGGGCCACCCAAAGGTCACAATTGAGGTCCTGCTAAAGTTAGTTTGCCTTTGCAGTGTTTATTCATTCTTTTTTCCCCTCCAACCACCCCAACTAGCAGCAGTGAGAGATTTTCTTCCGCCTTCCGAGAATGCTATGCGCCGAAGAGCGTCCGTGATGACGCAAGGCAATGGCGTTTGGGGGGTTCCGGGCGTACCTTTTCCATTGTTGTCTGCTGGGCGATTAAGCATAATCTTTTTTTAATCTTTCATGAGGCTGCTGACTATTTGCAGATCGTGCACCGTGTCGGCACGCGTACATATATTGATGGCGTGCCCGTCGAGCAAACCTGGGATTTGATTTCCCGTCATCATTCATACGCCAACAAGAAATAGCATCTGCTCCAGTATCTACGAAAGCCACATATATAGCACTTCATTCCACACCATAAACACACGACCCTCCAAAATCAACCAAACGCTCCACCACTCCGGACAACCATGCAACTCAAGAAATACATCCCGGACTTCCTACTACCCACCGACGAGCCACAGGCGCCCGTGCGGATCTACGACGTCCCTGTGCACCGCGGCCTCTTCCAAAAGGCCCAACCTGGCAACAAACAGGCCATCTCGTCAAACCGCAATAACTCGGTCGCAAGCACGGTGAGCGAGCGATCCCAGGCATATAGTCGCACCGGGTGGCGTCCTGGTATGGCTTTCCGTCACTAGTTCTGTAGTGGTGGGGAGAGTCGGCTTGGAATTTGATGATGACACATTATCCCTACACGTACAATTGACTTGTGTTATTAGCGAGCGTTGTGGAAGGGGATATACCCCGATCATACACCAGGAGGGTTTGTGACGATTAGGAATTCGTTTGTATATATATATCTGGGCAAGACTGGTTGAATGAGGGCAAACATGATATCTCACCACTAGCGACCACAGCACCCGTGTAAGAATAATATGGAAGACGATGTTGGAACTGATTCACGTGTTCTTATTTTCATTCATCATTCGAACTCTTGATGGTGATGGGAGTTGTGCATCATCAACGGTCCCGCCACCCGGGGTCTCGAGAATGCTGACTCGTTCAGAAATCCTTCTTGGGAGCATCGCCCGTTCCATCACCGTACTTCCTGACCGCCTCCTTTGCGGCGCCTTTGTCGGCGATGAATGCCTCGACTTCCTTGCTGTCCATGTTCTTGGCCACGTTGTCGGCTTGCCATTTCTTGAAGCTGAAGCCCAATCCTTCATCTGCAGTCCGCTGTGGTTAGGACGACACGAGATTTAATCAAGAGTGCGGGGCATTATGAAGAAGGAGAGGGGTGCTGAGAACTGACGAGAATAGTCTTTGTCATTGGCCTGGTCCTTGTGGTACTTGACACGAATGAAGTCCTCATTCTCGCCGATACTGTCCGGATCAAGACTCAGACTGACGAGAGCATTGATGGTGGCGGTCTTGGGAATCAGCTTGAACGTCCAACTCTGCTCGTTCTTGAACTGGATGAGGTCACGGTCGTTCTTGATCACCTCGTACCCTTCGTTCTTGGACTCCTTGAACAGCTTCGGCAGCGCAAACCATTGTCCTGCCATCTTGTACCGATCGTTCGCGTACACGAACTGATCGTCGTAGACGCAATCTGGCGTGTAGCGTTTGACGCGCTCGACCGTCGGTTGGCATGAATATAGGGCGATGATGTCGTCGATGAGGGCTTGCCGGGCGGGATTGAGTTTGAGAGATTTCGATGGGTCCGGCTTGTAGTCTGCGGATGTCGAGGTTTGGCGGACTTCAAACCCTTCTCCGGGTGTTGCGCCTGTGTTCTTGGGGAAATTTGTCGACGCGTCGACTTGGGTTCCGGAGGGATTCGACATTTTGTTCGCTTCCAATTTGTGGGCGGTGCTGAATGGTGATTGAGACCTAGAGGTTTGACAGGTCGAGAATGCAGGTATCTGCTGATGTGACCTGATGAAAGATGTCGCTACAGGTCGATGGACGAGGCCGGGGCTGTTAGGTTGGAGCGAACGTAACACTTTGGTGAGGCGTTGCATGGAAAACACCTGTTGAAGAACGAAGCACAGAAAAGGAACGAATTGGAACTTACGTTTCCAGGTATTTGAAATGGTTCAAGCTCCAGTCAACAACCATATTCAAATGAGAACACATGCCTGTCTCAAGAGGGGCTACCTCACCTGTCTTGGACCCGTAAAGGCTTGAACTGACTGGATGGAGTGATCGTGAATCCTCTCAATGACGCTGGTCACTTACAGATGAATGCCTAGCCCTGACACCTCCAGGCAAGCTGCACGTGGATCCCCCACTGAGATTCTTCTAGACCGGCATCATAAAGGTCACGAAGATAACGTCATGACTAACACTCAGAGTGTGAGACGGATGTTGATACCGAATGGTGATGTTGGAGGAATTCGAGCATGTGGCCAGAGGACTTGTATGCAAGTCGTCCAGATATCGGAAAGTGGGTTTCGGGCATGCAACAGGTAAAACTGTCTTTCCGATAACAAAGTCACGGCCGATGCATGGATCAAGTCTAAGATGGAGGAGAGATGGGACTAAATCTAAACTGTGAGGCTCTGACACAAAGACAGATCATTATTAGATCGGAGCATTCGCTCCAAAGATGAAGGGACCGCCAAGCTTAACCACTTTACGCGTTATCGACGCGCCGTCCCCACAAGTGCCCGCGCGCGGGATTGAAGGTTCCAGGCGTTGGAGAATTACGGATTTCTACCACATCTCGCACTCACTTCGCAACAGTGGCACAGATACATATCTCTGTGACTTGCAAAATGTCTGGCCAGCCCGAATCTTCGTCTTCTGGTGCCAGGAAGGCGTTGAATGCAAATGCCAATGGCGCAACACCCGAATACGAATTACCATGGTAGTCTCTCGTCAGCTCTCTTCGGTCAAAATGCTCACTGGTGAACAGGGTCGAGAAATACAGGCCGGTCTACCTTGACGATGTGGTGGGCAATTCGGAAACAATCGAGCGACTCAAAATCATTGCAAAAGATGGGAACATGCCCCACGTAATCATATCAGGAATGCCAGGAATTGGCAAAACTACCTCCATTTTGTGCCTTGCCCGAACCCTACTAGGCGACGCGTACAAAGAGGCCGTCCTTGAACTGAATGCTAGTGATGAAAGAGGGATCGATGTTGTGAGGAATAGGATCAAAGGCTTTGCACAAAAGAAGGTGACGTTGCCTCCGGGCCGTCACAAGCTGGTGATATTGGATGAAGCAGACAGGTGTGCCATGACCTGGATGAGTTGGCAGACACGCCAGTCTAACTGAGGAGCAGCATGACATCGGGTGCACAGCAAGCCCTACGAAGAACGATGGAGATCTATTCCAACACGACTCGATTCGCATTCGCCTGCAACCAATCGAACAAGATCATTGAACCGTTGCAATCAAGATGCGCCATCTTGAGATATTCGCGGCTTACCGACGCGCAAGTCGTTCAACGATTGATGCAGATTGTCGAAGCAGAAAAGGTGCAATACTCGGAAGACGGGCTGGCGGCCTTGGTATTCAGCGCTGAGGGAGACATGCGTCAGGCAATCAATAACCTACAAAGTACTTGGGCTGGATTTGGATTCGTCAGTGGTGACAACGTATTCCGGGTCGTGGACAGCCCGCATCCAGTCAAAGTGCAAGCAATGATTAAAGCTTGTTGGGAGGGCAAGATTGATAATGCAGTGGATACACTGCAGGAACTGTGGTAAGTGATCACGAGGGACAAGTCCGAGGAGAGCCGCGTCACTGATGTTGCATGCATGCGATGTAGGGATCTGGGCTATTCCTCACACGACATCATCAGCACCATGTTCCGCGTGACTAAGACAATCCCGACACTTTCAGAGCATTCGAAGCTGGAATTTATCAAAGAGATTGGCTTCACCCATATGCGAATCCTGGAGGGAGTGCAATCATTTTTGCAGCTAAGCGGATGTTTGGCGAAATTATGCAAAATCAACATGAAGCCGGAACTGTTTGAGGGAGCATGAAGAAAAAGGAAACCGGTCATCTCGAGAATGAGCAGCTGAAACGGGACGAATTTCCCACGCGAACGATGGCTGCGGGCCAAAAAGGGTTGCTGGTACGGACAAGCGGCCAGCAGCAGGACCACAGAATAAAGGTCCACGACAGCTTGTCTTGGCAATTGAAATCCCACCAATTCCCAACGCGGGCTCGTCGATCATGGCTGGTCGGCCGCGTCAAGTCGGTGGTTATGCTCCGATACCCGATCTGAAGCAAACGAGTTTCCCCTCTTAACAATAATGTCCGCTTGCAGATCAGATCACGAAGGGTGGTCTTTGCGAGCAGTTGAATGGGTCTTGTGTCATCATAAACGCTCTCATGGTGTTTGCCAATGAGGTATAGTGGCATGATGGGGGATTCGGTGACGAAAGTGGTGATGAAGATCAAGTTAGTTAACTACCCGATTGCAGTCGAAGGCTTTGCACGAGCTCGAATATTGATGTTTACGAGAACGCGTGCGTGTCGATTGTGCTCAAGCATGGCTGTGGTCGTACAGCACCATCCGGCACCAGCATGGCAAGATAATTGTTGAACAGGAACCGGGGTATTCGATAGGCCCGGAAAATCCAAAATGCCTACTACGAGCAATTCGTAAACTGATCCCCACCTTTGATTTGCACAACTTCAACGAGATGCAATTGCTGCATCGCCTTATTCTCGCGCCACAACACCATCAACATGAGTACAAGGGTAGTACGATGTACTCCACAGTATGCAGGGATTCCACCGCTCTGTATACGACCGTTCGTGCGGATTTCAATGTCCATGTGCATGTTTCACGTGCATGTCCATATCTATGGAATCCCGTAAGTGTATAGGTAGAACGGCCGCACCATTCAAAGCCGGTTCGTTCATGATACCGCAGAGTTTGGGAGGGGGATGGAATTGAGGCTGAGAATACGGTTCCCCAGAGTCCTCAAATAGCCACGAATCAAATGGATGGAAAGAGGGAATGTCATCGCCACGATGGCCGCATTTGGTCTAGCCAAAGGCCCGATTTAGCTTGCCGGACATTTTGGAGGAATGAGGGCTTGGGAGGCGTGAGAAGTTGGGGACTTGGGGGGGCAACGGGGTGTCAGGCCAACCACAATCATCCCGTGAGATAGGCTTCGCTATGCCCAAGAGCCCCTCCAATTTTGCAGCCTCTCGGGCATGTCGCTAGGTCAGTCAAGGGCCGAGGGGCCTTGCTGCCCTTGGCTCTTCCCTTGGCTCCCTTGCTTGTCAGTCGGTCACCCTACAGGCTACAGTTCGAGTACTCCATCCTCGTACTACGAGTATGTACTCCCTACCATCGCAGGAGTGGGTATCTTCGTTCAGTGCGCCCTGGCTGGTCCGCTACGAGTACGCTACGATGCCTGCATGACGTGTCGTCCCTCTAGCTCCCAGCTCCTAATACCCGACCTCCGACCTCCGACCCCTTGGGCTAAAGATACAGGGCAGAGTTTCTAAGTTCGGAGTCCCAAGCAACGGCAGCTTACTGGCAACTGCCCTAGCAATGCAGTTACTGCGGCCACTCAAGCAAGGCTGTGCCCACCGACAACAACTGCCACCAACCTCTTGTTAGCACGCCTGAGCGGCTGGTCGTTCGGTCCAAAATCCTATATCTTTTCCTCTCTGCCCATCTCCTAAATCCATCTTCTCCAGCAATCTGCCCAACATCCTCTCCACCAAACCACCAGACTTTGACTACATTCTTTAGTGAGAATAGTAGCCCGATTTTCCCTCCAATCCTCAATCCTCAATCCTCAATCCATTCAGTACCCAAACATCCAACCACTCAACCATCCAGAATGAAGGGATACGCTGTGCCTTTGGCCGCAGTCCTGTTCGCGACCTCTTCGCTTGCATGGCTACCTTCATGCACTGTACGCCATGCAACTCCAAATATTGAATGCCTAGCATTTACTGACTCTACGTCTTAGTTCTCTGACTGCTTGGGATCTTGGGATGGCACCTCCTGCGACTCCTCCAACGGCTGGGACTGTGTTTGCTCCAACCAAACCGCCATCTCCCAGTTGAACACCTGTGTTGCAACCTCATGCACAAACCAAACTGATCAAGAGGGTAAGTTAACCAACGAACCAACTTTGGAATCCACAATACTAACTACAATGTAGCAATCTATGGTGCCGTTGCTCAACTTTGCGCCAACGCTGGTGTTACCGTCACCAACTCTCAACAGGCAACATTCAGTGCTACCTCTGGTGGCTCTGCCTGGCCTTCTCAGATCACTGCCGGCCCAGGATCCGGTCCTTTCGGCAACTGGGACTCTGCGCAGTGGTCCAGCTGGGTTTCTGCCTGCTCGACTGGTCTTCCTGGTGCTCCTAGCGGCTGGGGTGGCTCCGGCCCATGGGGTGGCCCAGGTAACTGGGGTGGCAATCACGGAGGCCCAGGAGGTCCTGGCGGCCCAGGCGGTTTCGGCCCATGGGGAACAAAAGCAAGCGGCGTCAACTGCGACTCATGGACAACCTGGACTGCTGGGTGGGGACCCTTCTCTTCTTGGACTGGTACATGGTCTGGCTGCAGCTCAACCACCGCCGCTCCCATTCCTGCCACCATCACCACTACCGTTACAACTGGTGGCTCGACTCAAGTCCTCACTGGTACTACCTTCGGTATCCAGGCTGTTGCTGCTGCTACAACCACCGGTGGCTCTGGTAACAGCGCCGTCTCGGTCCGCAGCGGCAGTCTCGGTGCTTGCGGTGCTCTAGCTGCTGCAATCTTTGTCGCCATGATCGCCTTGTAAGAGATGCGAACCACTTCTGTCGCATCTGGATTTATTTGCAGCTACAACTCAGCTTTTTGGATACCTTGCATTGAATTGGAGTATAATCACAATGGGAAAGAAAACCATAAGCTAGCTACGAGATTGATGACACTATTATCCTGAAAGGACTTCATGAGAAGGATTGTATTGATAGTTTTTTGGGCTAATGGACTTGACGGAGTTAATCCTAAAATGGTACAGTCTAAAAATGACTATTTAAGAAACATGGAACATGGAACATTAGTCTTTGGTTTCTGAACATATCAGGGTGATCGTGAGTGCTTTCGCGGACACTGCTTGGAGATGGAAGACCACTAGGACCTATTCTAGTGGTCTGACCCCCCTACGAACACAGACGCGGTTCGTGCCTTGGCTGCCTAGGGTGAAGCAACAATGGTCGAGAGACGCAGAAACCGTACGGTGAATCAGTTGATGGAAAGTCGCCGCTTACTTAAGATGGGTTTGGCGCCTGCACGACCCTACGTCACCAGCTTCACGCCTCCATGTTTCCAGGATTTCAAGGATTTCTGGGTTAGCAGTCGCTAGCAACATATAGCCCGCCGGCGTGATAGACAATTCCTTCATGCCTCGTGAAGCGGACACACAAGGGTGCCACCTGCCAGCAACTCATCGCCAGCGGACAGTTGCAGGACCAACTCAACCAAAGACGTACTCGTACATACTGTGAATGAGTGCTGCCTGCAATTTACCTCGCGCATCACGTCCACCAGCCTTAAACCTGCCTACCAGATAGAACCTTCTTCCTAAGAATAATCCCTTCATATCTGTTCCTCGGACGCCCAAATACCATACCTATATTCTTCTCCACGCTTCATAACCCTTGACGGTTAACCGGCACTCTCTACCTCTCAACACATGCAGAAGATCTTCGTCGCAATGCAAGTCTTGGTGGTCTTGCTACTGGCGATTCTTGGTCTGGCTCAGGATGACCTTGATCAGTGCGCAGTAGGCTTCTCTGAATGATCGTTCCAAAATCAGACTGTTATACTGACCTAGTGAAAGCTCTCCTGCATATCCAATGTGGCATCGACGAACTGTAGTCAGAGGTACGAGAATTCAGAGACAAATACGTGCTGATGATAGACGAGGCAACTAACGGTTATATTAAGTGAATGGTCCTGTCTCTGCGCGAACAACTTATACATTGAGCGTATGAACAATTGCACCGTGGTGACCTGTCTTGACGCCTCAGACCAACAAGGTAGGTCCGCCCTGCTCTGAGCACTAACCCAGGTTGATTGATTCAACCGAGTGGTCATACTGACCAAAATATAGACACTTTCTCAGTGGTGGCCGAACTCTGTGCCGTCATTGGCGTCCCTATCACGATTGGACCAGAAGCGACCATTCTTACAACGACGTCGAACCCTCTGCTCACCACTAATGTGATAGCAACCCAGTCTGAGCTCCCTCCTGTGATGAATGCTACTAGCATCACCACTTCCGAATACAGTTCGGGTTCAAGCAGGAGCACTACGTCAAGTGTCCCACAAACGGGGACGGGTACTTCGAATGGACCTTCGGCAACAGGTTCGGTGGCAAGCTCCACCACAAGCGCAGACGCAACGACGAATCAATCATATCGACTACTATCACCATGGCCGACAATCTTGATACTGGGCATTGTGGCTGGCATGATCACCGGCAAGGCGTTATGATAGGCACAGGGTACCCACGACGAGCCGGAAGCCCCAAGGAAATGGTCAGCCGGTGAAGGAATAGTTTGAGTCAAGCGAAATCAGGAACCAGACCGGTGTGAGGAGTCAGGACAGACAACAGTGCTCGGAAAGCGAAAATGGCAATTCGCGAGAAAATGGTTCATGCACGATGGTCCGCTCGCAAGGCGGCCAATGACCGAGCCAACGGGTTTGAAGCCACTGAAGCTAGCGCGACGCGGCAGCTGGCGTCGGAGAAGTGATTTGATCTGCGCCCTAAGGACATTTTTTAGGAGGCGATGGAGTGCATCCTGTCAGTCTGGGGAAGCCTTGAAACTTGCTGTCAGTCCACATTGACCCGGAAGAGATGTACCCGTTGATCATTGATCCGTAGAGCAATCAGACTCGAAACTCGGGCTGCAGTGAGAAGATTTGCAATGACGTGGGTTTTTGGTTCTGTGAAAGACAATCAAATCCCCTTTCCAGACAAGGATGGAAAGATTGCAATTTAGGGCTAACCAAGTCCAATACTCCGTACGGATACTTGGGGCAAAATGGCCTGCCGCGGAAGCCTAATTAACCCCCGAACCAGCAGCGCGGGAATGATGCACGGACACACGGCGATCTCAGTTTTCGGTATAGCAGCCGGGCAGCAACATTTGGCAAGGAACCTTCTCAGTGATGTACAACGTGCTTGGGGGCTTGGGACCAGTTGCAAACCCTGTTATCCTTCAAATCCAGAACAGGCACTCGAGATGATCTCTTGATGGTGGGCAGCAGCCGGAAAAGGAGTGAGGCAGCATGACTGCGGATCGCTTGGGGGGAAGGACAATTACGAGCAGTGGTCGTGCCCAAGAATGAACATGGATCCGAGTGAGGTGGCTCAAACCACAAGGGCAATTGGTTCCGGTTAGGAACTAGTAGTTAGTAATGGTGGCACACAAACAGGCACACGCACACCCTCTACAAGGAGGGTGATCCGTGCCTGGCCATGGCCATGGATGTCCGGAGTGAATAAAAGACGTTGAGAAAGTGGGCGACCGATTCATATACTAATGGCACCCTCGTCGTCAGCTGCCTCTGCCACCGTCAATTCACGAAGATATATACAGAGCCCCAGCCAGACAGCCCGTGGGTTTTTTGTTTTGGCTTGGTAGGGCACACATCCACTGGCACTGGCACTGGCACTGGCACTGGCACTGGCACCGGCACCGGCACCAGCACCAGCACCGACCAAAATGCTGATACCAGTCGACGAATCCCACATGACCACTCTGATTATCAGCAATTAAACATTGTCTGCCGAATAGCAGCAGCATGCTATCACAGACGCTGCGTCTAAACTCCTCGAGGAACAAGACCAAAAGCAGCGACAGGAATTGGCCTTCAGCTAAAGAGTTGTTCCTGCATGAGCGTCTGCAGGCGTGGTTAGCGGACTCCCCTTTGGCCTCTGCGTGTGCTCCTTCCGCCTCTGCCTCTGCTTCTGCCTCTGCCTGCGGCCAACCGCCGTCGCTGCTGCTCCCACCTGCAATTTCCCTCCCTTTCTCACCACCACCACTCGCAGTCTCTTCACCACCACGGATCCCACAACACCATCTCAATCATATCTATCACCGAGGGCGCTTGAAAAGCAGCCTGCCAGAGATGCGTCTGCAGTGATCCCTCCAGAGACCTTGCCACCCACCCCATTCGACTATTCCTCCTTCTTCTCCACCTCTCGACATCCTTCTGCCACCCCATACGACCCACCCGACTTGACACTGGCGCAACCTCAACCGCAACCTCGGAGGAGATCTTTTCTCGAAGCTCTGTTGGTCCGTCAAAAGAAAGTCATCCCACCCGATAACCGTTCCACCGCCTCCAAGGTTCTCTATCCCATCAACTACGTACCCCGTCCGACCCGTGTTCAAGTCCAACCTCACCCTCATCATCAACGACAACATTCCTCCTTGGACGCGGGCACTGGTGACGTACGTACTTTGCTCACCCTTCCAGAGCAGCGTCGCTCTCGCCAGCATTCTCCCACCGATCCGATAGTCGAGCATAGTCCACGGTTAGGGCCGCCCGTAGGTGATCGAACCAGTGTGCCTCTTCCCTCGAACCAACAACGTGGTAATCTTCCAGACGACAACGCACCCTCGGGCGTCGGTCTCATGATTGAGTCAGAAAAACCCGACACCAATGGCGTTCGAGAGCCCGATCGAGCCCAACTGTCCACCTCCAGATTTAACCCGCGAGACCGAGATCGGGACCTAGAGGCACAGCAAGCTTCCGTTCTAGGTCAAAGCTACGGTGTCAATCCACTAGACCAGCCTTTACATCCTCCTCGCCGCATCACCTCTCATCGCTCTCTCAGCCATGCTCAATCGGCTGGCTCTCTACACTCGTCCGCTTATGTCGGAGCCAATATAAATGGTCACATGCCATCTCAAGACGATGATGCGCGGCCATATACTGAAGACAACGAGGGTAGTGTTGCTGACGAACTTGCTTGGGGCCCATCTCACCCCTGTTTTCCACATTTAAATCCCCATGTGCCTCTCGACTCGCGCGAATACGCAGCTACGCGAATTATCCGGATACGCAGAGACTGGATGGTCGCTGGTGATCTTGCTCCAACTTTCTCGAATATTTATCCCGAAATCCTCGACCCATTAATGCAGGAGCAAGAATTTCGATATGTGATTGAGCATATCAATCAGACTTTATGTGTCGCCTACGATCCATTCTCGGCCTGGAATTGGTTGGATGGCTTTCTTGGACTCGTCACCGGTTGGATTTGGGAGGATCTTAGACCAGTGGGGGTCAAAGGTCAGCTTAAGGCGTTGGAAGAGTGGCTAATAGATTGGAACCACACGGTTGGAGCAAGAGACGGTGTCAAAATCATGCCATTGCGAAGGACCGGCTACCTGAATATCGACATTCAGATTCCTGACCCACAAGTCACCGTGGTTGCTGATCGTGATGGCGAATCTGGACGTCCTCCCAATACTGCCCCTACGGAAAGCACCGCACCGAGGACAGCACCTGATAAGGACAAGCTGCAATAACCTTCACCCTTGAACAAAATCCACTCCGGTCGGTTGTGCTTGGAGCAGAACGACAATCGACCAGCGCGGCTTTTCGTTCGTCCTTTCCCTTTGTTATCGAGTTTGAAAGCATCATGTGAGCGTTTCAAAAGAAGCAAGGCGTTTACGATGGAATCCTCCTAAGCTAGACTCTGTCACTTGATGGAGGCATGAAGGAGGTGGACGGATCCCCAGAGGCTATAAAATGGGCAGGTGTCAGTGTGGCGTACCGAGTGGAAACGGGGAGGGAAAGGAATGGCCTCGAAAGGGGGATGCACGAACTCATTCATTTTCCAAAACAGCACTTTGAGCCTCGACTTGTTCTTTGCATGCATGCATGGTTGGGTATACAGGTCCTTACAATCTTTTAATTTGTATAGTATGGTAGTACGGTTGGGCGTGGTGTTAATGAAGAATGGTGAGAGTATGTCTACACACCAGACCGAACCAAGCTGGCCAATAATCCTCCATTCACTTCTACCGCAAGACGTCCCCTGACCTCGCCCTCCACGTTTTTCTCCATCCGTTGTCTCCTCCAGCCAATTCCGTTCCGTTGCCTACCCAGGTAGTCGCGACGAATGGAGACAATATCCCCAGACGGGGCTGCCGCGTCGATTTCTTGGGGAACAGAGACTGCACCCTCTTGTCGGACGGGGTGTTGAATAGAGTAGCAAGCAGCGGAGGTGTGCCACTCTGGGGACAGAGATGCCCAGTTGCGCAGCCTCAGCCTCGTCAACAGACCTCTGTTCCCGGCTGGAGCCCGATCGCCCAGACGACACCAGCGTCAGCCCTTGATGGTTTCCTCTCGGGCCTGCTCATTCCGCACCATCACCTCTCTCCTCTACAGCCGTTCCGGCACGACGCGATGCACGGTGATCAACTACGGATGATCAGCGTGAAGCGCCTTGACGAACGCATGCGTCCTATCCAAGGCACTGGAATACATACGGCGCATTGTAGAAGAATCCGCGGCCTTGCTTTGTCCCTTTCTGTTGAACTCGCTTCTCGAGGCTGTTGACAGCCAACGCCTATGCAGAACCACACTCCCATCCCAAAAGGAGCCTATAGAGTGAGAAATCCCGAGGTGTGGGGGGTTGCTCCGACACTGTAGTATTTCCGCGTGGACCGAGTGTCCCGGGGGTTAGTTCTGCAAGGTCCACATGTGAGGGAAGTTGGCTGGCTAGTACAGAGAACCATGAATTATCGCGATTAACGAACTGGCTCGCTCGGTCACAGGTTGCCTCTGTAAAGGCCCCTGGGCAGTTATGAGATGGCCATATCGACCTTCGCCAGCAAGAGCTTGCCCAGCAGGGGCACTTGGGGGCTTGGGTACCTTCGCCGGCTTGTTCCTCGGATTGAAACAGACAGAGCTGAGAGGCTTACGAACCATCCCTCTCAGACGACATACCTCACAGTGCCCATGAACGGTCGTCGCTCGTGTATGCCTCTTGGTTTCCAAGAAAGGTCAACGACAAGCGCATCTGGGGGTGGGTGTTTGGGGCGACGCCGGGCCTTGAAGTATGAGGTACATACCTGTGACTGTGAATGCCTGTAATTGATTCTCTCCGAACCTGAACCTGAAACTGAAGCTGAAGGAGAAGGAGAAGGAGAAGGAGAAGGAGAACAGAAAAGCGCCACCATCTGCCATGCTTCGAAAGCATTTGCGATGGAGCTATGATGAATAGTTTTCAAGGCTTTGTTCTTCTTGCTTCTCTCTGAGTAGGTAGCCAGCCACAGAGTTAATTAGTGAGGCCTATGTAGTATGGAAGGGCCCGGGCCGACTTTGTTCCAGGCGTACCCTTGTACTCGAAGTGAGGCAATCCTACAGTACTGCAAGCATATGTACAATGCCCGCTGCTAAAGGGAGCCGCTATCATGGTGCCCATTCTTTCTCCCTCCTTCCAGTTACTCGTATCTCCGCTCTCGAAAGAGCTGTGCTACAATGATCCTCTGTCCCGAATACGGCAAGCCCACTACCAAGTACGGAGTCGGTAAGCAAACAAGGTAGGAATTAGTGTCGAGTAGTTCATCTCGCCCAAGACGCAATCCTCCTTGCTGTCCAGCCTCAATCTGGTCGAGGGCTGAGGCTAAAAATGATGGGCAATGGCAATGGCGATGGTGATGACGATGACGATGACGATGACGATGACGATGACGATGATCATGCGCGTGAACTTACTACTACCCGCACTGTACAAGCTTCACATTCCACAATGACCTTGTTCCTTACCATGTACAAGGTGTGTCCGATGGAGCTACTCAATTAATGACGACTTCTTGGTTTCCCCCTTCCTGTTGCTATGTGATCACCACGGAGCGGAACGCAGGCAAGCAACCTACCTAACCGGCATCAACTCAAGGGGTAATGATCTCTCTCCACAGGGATGTTTGAACCGACCACCACTCCAAACAAACAAAAAAACCCGCGGACCGCGAGGACGATAAACCCCAGCAGCCACCCAACAGAATTCATAAGATGAAACAACCAAGACCCGTGCGTTGAACAAAGGGACGAAGGAGGCTCCAGAACCTCAAGCAAAGATTATGTACGCACAGCAGCCAACCAGCCACGCGACAGAGTCCAGGAGATGAAACAGACTCCAGGAAATGTTCAACGGCATCCCGTCCCATACGGTGACGAGGTTTTTGCGAGTCTCGAGTCTCGAGTCTCGAGTCTCGGCAAGTTGCCGAGGCCGGGGGTTCTTGCTTTGCTTTTCCTCTTTTCTGCCCGTAAAGTCCCAACAACTGTAGTGCTGTTGGGCACCAGCAGCTGCCAGCTGGTACCAAAGCAAGAATGTCTCAGACTTCAGCCGTCACTTTCTCCCGAGGAGAGATGGGAAAAGTCCAACGACAAAAACAGGGCGTCTACGAGTAAGTTCTGCCTCGCTAAACGAGAAACAGGTGAGGCGGTGATGCCCAAATTATATGATTCGTACTTGCCTTTTCTTTGGCCGATCGCTCTAGAATCTGGGGCCCTTCGGGCTCAAGGTACTGCGTACTAGGCCGGTTGGAGCCGAGTGATCAGCGGCATGGATCACTCTGGGTTGTGATGGTTCATACTATGTACTAGCTACCGAGTACTCCCTACCCGGTACAGGGAAGACAGTGAATGAAGAACACAAAGCCCTTGATGATCACTGAAGGTGGCTTTCATCTGGCCTTGACGAGAGCCCCTGCCGGCGCTGGTGGGATTGTAGCTAGAGAGGTGTGTACAGTATATCAGGGATATCCCTACGTGGGAGGTCGTTAGGTTTAAGGAGTTAGCAAGCCTGATTGGCTCACTCGGCTCGTCTGTTGGGCGTCAAGGACGTGGATCTAGGGTTGTGAAAATGGCACTTTCGAGCGACTCTGAGGTCTTGTGCCGGGATAAGAAGGCCAAAGCCATTTTTCGAATCTTTGGTAGAATGGTTGATTCAACGGAGAAGTCGGTTCCTCCAGGACCAACCCACTCAGCCGGCTTTGGAGTGCGCCGTGGCTCGGTGAGTTGGGCACAGGCAATCGTCGCAAAGGACAGCTGGATTGCTCAGGAGTTGAAAGGTTCGACCAGCCAGTCCTCTGGTCAGGCAATAGCGAAGAAGACCGCCTAAGTCCTTTGTTTTCCATGTGTATATTTGGATTGTGATGTATTCGGGATATATAGGTAGGTAGAGAGACTTGATAGTGCTCAACATCTACCGGCAATACAGAGATCTGCTGCCAATATATGGACCATCATTTATTTCCCTTGCTCTGACCATAATCCCCGTTGCTTTCCAATACTACAAAAACAAAGGAAAGGTTTTCTTCCATCTTTTGAGACCATCAAAATCATGGAATGGGGGGTATGATATGATGCTTTCCATGTGAGCTTTCATTCAATTTTTTGGTGCTCAGCCAAAGCTTCTTTCCTCAATCTCATGGCAACATGAAAAGAAAGGTTGAGTAACAAAAGCCGAAAGGTGTAGTAAACCAGAAGATCCAGCCAGCAGAAAGGAAAACTCAGTTAATGTACACATCTCTTCCCACCTTCCGTCTCTATAAACACAGTAAGTCATGGCCACAATTCAAAGATCCCTCCCAGGTATTCCCGTTTTCAGGGTGACATGCTTTTGTTGGCGAGCCAGAAGTTCCAGCTGTCTTACACAGTCATAATCGTACATCATGCAAAATGTTCAGACCGTGATAGTCATACAATTCATATATCATGCAAAAGGTATAAAATCATCAAACAATAATCCGTCGCAAAACAAAGGGAAAACACAAGGTGGACTTCATTACTCGATTCGTCAGCGTCATCAACAGAAGGGAAAGAGGTGGAGTAATGGTGTTGCTCGATTCCTGTTCAGACAGGATCAGCTTGGACTCGGGTGCTCTGTGCAGTGGTTTCGTTCCGAGGAAGGAGATCGAGGCATAAGGTGAAGATGTGTGTGATTTGTTCTTCCCAGATCCCCATCTCAAAGTCGACCAGTCCATAAGGCTCCAGGGTGTCGCAAAATGCTATCAACTCGTCTACCAGATTTGTTATGGCTTCGGTCGACAGTATGTCAGCCGGTTGTCGTCTTGTTCTCAGCGCATCTTCTGTGATCTCTTTCTGCTTCTGCCCGAGGGCTTCCCAGCACAGATTGAACTCTCGCCAGAGATCGACTCGCTCAGTATGTCGGGCGTCGTCATCGTGATGTAGTCCTGGCCCGAGTTAGTTCAAGACAAGGAGGGTTTGTGGGATAAATTCACTCTCACCAAGCGTCGTAGCAGAGTTGACCAGCCAGCGAGAAACTACCAGTATTTTCTCGCTAGCTTCCGTCACTCTGCCTGAAATGATCGAGTCGAAGGTGGAACGCAATCGTTGCTGATATTCTCGCAAGCCTTCATCCAATGCGTCTTGGGCCCCTTGACCACCACTTCCCTCAGTTTCTGGTTGTTCAATGCCAGAATATTCTGCATGAGTTGCACCATAGGGTTGAGGTAAAGAGGGACGGGTAACGGCAACCGAGGCATAGGTGCTCGTGTCGGCCTGAGAAGTCATGTAATGAGGCTGTGCCGAAGCAACTCCCACACCGCTATGATCTCCTTGGCCAATGTATTGTGGTACAGCGAGCTGACTTGCCATGACTTCAATTGCTGCGGATTGCCGTTGTTGGTAGTTCATAGGGTCGTAGAGCGACGTTGTGCCGACGGGAGGAAGCAGGGAACCCTGGGCATACTGGGCATACTGTTGCTGTTGCTGTTGTTGAGATGGAGAGGCTTGAACTGACTGCTGCTGCCTTGGGGCATCTTGCATGTATGCAGGGGCGTACTGCAATTCCACACCTTGGATTGGACTGCTGCCCTGCATCTGAGAGCTACTGTACTGCTGATCTTGATAGCCGTAGCTTGGATAGCCAGGGACATATGGTCGCGTCATTGAAGAGCGTCCAATGTCAGTTCGGGCTGGTGTGGCAGGCTGCGAATACCGATCGCTCGATGGTGGGCCCATCGGTTGTCCCGGTAGTGGTCTTGACTGCGCCTGCGATTGGTATGGCTGTCCATACTGCGAGCGCCGACGGTCATTACCGTCCATTTAAGGGAAGATGGCACTGCACGTTGACGCCAGAGTGACCACAGAGACTTCGTACACTCAGAACTGGTTGTGACTAGATATGAGGCTCTGAAAAGCGCCTGCTCCTCCCAAACCTTTAATGCCTCTCCGTTCCCACTTGTGGGGTCTTGCCTCTGCATACAATATATTCCAAGACTATGGAGGGCCCGATCTGCAGATGAGGGTGGGTTTTTGGGTATCAAAATTCGGATGTGGGAAGTTCTGGAAAAAGTTTGTGGGTGCAAAGCAATGGGGCCAACCCGCACCGAACTTTGGTGTCTTCCCGTCTAATCCCTCCAGAGCTCGAATAATCGAGAGGGTGATCTGAGAGAGAGTTTCGGGTGGTAATGGCCCAGAGGTTGGAGAGGCTTGTCTGATCGATGGAAAGCGAGCGGAGGACAAGGCTCCCACAGTAGATGTGTTGTCTCGAGTTGGAGTTTCAACGCGACAACATCGATCGTACGGACCAATGAATGCACAGGGCCTCGTTCCAGAAATACACCCAAATCGCCACGGGGAGAATACCCCAGTCAGCAGCTAAGAAAAGTACAGTATCGTGCAAAGATCGTAGAGCATGAAACGTGACGTTGAAGGATGGCGGGGGTTGTTGTCTAAGAATACCGGAGGGCGGCGTAACGACGTGAGATTAAGAGACGAATCCAAGTACCCAAACAAAGGATCGCACGAAGGAAATAAATGAGCGTTTCGGCAGGTCAGGTAGAGAGAGAAGGAGAGAAGGAAGGAAGGAAGGAAGGAGAGAAAGCAGGATGGTACCTTGGGAGTTGGAGGGACGCAAGGTATACAAGGTGCAGCTGCAGTGGCAGGCGGGAAAAACAGTACAGCACAACATAAAAGACTTGACTTGAGCCCAGCTCGGGGAACTTGAATGGGAATGGCGCATTGGATCATTCTGGCAAGACAGAAAATGGGCCGCTTGTCCTGCTAACTGTATGTTAAAGTTGAGTTTGCAAGGACTCCTCTCAAACGCGGGCGACGTGTTTTCAGCAGGTTCCTGCCAGCAAGCAAGGCGTGTCTTGCCGGAGCACAAGGGAAAAGGCTCATCTGGCGTTGGGCGAGCGCCACAAGAGGGACTGTGCTTCTGGGGCCGAAGGCACAGAAGACTCCATTCAAAGTGGCCTGGCTTACCTAGTCGTGTTGGATCTGTGGGCAAGAAGGGTCTCCAGTCGTATAGGGCTCTTTGGCAGAGGGTTCTAAGCTCTCCAAGTGGCAGCTCTGCCGCTGCCCATCACCTTCTGGTCAGGGTTCATGGGTTGGACAAGGTGATGACACCCTCCTAGACCAGTGGGGCCGCTTGAGAAGGGTCGAAAGGCTTCCATGGGAAAAGATGGGAGGGAACCTTCTGAAGGCCAAGTGGGCACATAACGAGGATGAAGGGATGATGAGATGGATCCCCCGCTGGTGGAGGCAAGCCACGGAGGTTCAGGGCCCTCGAGTCCCTTGACTGACTTGCCTTGCCTTGCCTTGCCTTTGCCCACTGTGCCAGGCAACTTGAACGAGCCCAGGGAACCCATCGTCCGACAGCCTTTGTCCACTAGCTTTGGCACCAGTTACCGGTGCGTCAGGCGAGAATTAGAGTGTGGCGTGCAAGGACCACCAGCAGGGGGCCATGTGTGCCTCCAGAGGTCAAACAGCCTAGCTTCGACCGTCCACGCCAAGGGCTCTGTTCGCGGTATCATCACCGCCCAAGCTGAGCACAAGACACGGTGGAATCTACTCGTACCTGGCTGGCATTGGCTGGCGACCTCTGCACGCGATCGAATCTGAGGCGGGTCGGAAGCAGGCCCCGGATCGCTATTTTCCCTGTTTGGAGGCTATTGGAAACAGTAGCGGTCCTTGATCCAGTATACTGTCACTGAAAGCCCTCGTAAGCCATTGCCCATGACTGGCGGGGCCACTCGCCAGTGCAGCGTCCGTCGACCTTACGCCGGAAGAGCGGTGGATGGACTTGCTTCGCCCTGGGGACTACGGAAGTACTCGTACAATCATGGACTCGTTCGTCGAAGCGAACGCTTAGCTCTGGGTTGAGTTTCTGTTCCTGCAGCGGCCGAAGATTTACAGCATGATACTGGACGTTGCCGACGTTCTACGGGAACCCGTACGGAGGACGGAGGACGGAGAATTGAGTGCTTCGCTCCAAGATCCTGGTGCCCACTCGTATGCGCAAGTGCAATTGTGGCTACTGTGGCTGGACCCTCAGCACTTTTACTAAAGAGTCTTGTAGGTTTGGAGGAGGGCTGGACAGGAGTAATCTTAGCTGTGATGCAGGACCCGGCGAAACGGCTTGTTTAGGCAGGATGGCAGGATGGCAGGATGGCAGGGTGCAAAATTGCCAGTCTGTTTGCTGCTCCGTCGCGATGATGGTAAGGTCCGCGCGTGGCTGAGCTTGAGGGCTGCGCCGTTTGGACTTCCGACATTTGTTATGATTCCTGGATAGCCCATAGAATGAGGCAAGCAGTGTCGAGATGATGCTCATGCCTTCCTCGCACTGTACGTGCCGGAGGTGGGCATGATCTCCGCCCAATTCATTGTGGCTTCACCAGCCCTTGAAAGTTGACACGCCTTGTCGTGCCGAGCCAGTCGGGTAGCGACAACCCGCATCTCGTCCCAGACCCAAAGAGATGGTCGGATCTCTGGCTCTGGCGAGTGTGGCAGTCCTTATTTTTCTTTTAACGTGTGTTCGCGTGGTGCACCAGCATTCGGAGTATCCATAGGTATGACACTACCATGGCCATGGCGTGTCCAAAGTCTCAAGCTTGACCTGTCAACAACCGACTTGATGTCTGCCGGGCCCGGCACACGATTTGGTGCATGTACTGTATGTATCTACGCAGTAGCTGTAGCTCGTAGAGCCATATTCGACACCGCGAGTGCTGTGTTGTGTGATTGTCCATGCGGGTTGAGCCATTTTGCCCCATTCTCCCCCTCCGTTCATTTCCCCTTAGACTGGCGAGGCCTGTGTAGGTGATCCATCTTTCGAGGAAAACTGCCAATGAAGACTGGGGCATAATCTCAGATGTGTCAAATCCCCGTGCGACCGCAGGTGCAGGCGAGGGGAACCAAGACCAAGGAGTCCTGCAGCTTCATTTGTTTCAGACCTGGTTTCTTGCACAAATAGGTTCTAGTCAGCAAGGTGCTTCCGCAGGGCCGGCCAAAGGCCTGGGACTGGCAGAAGCTTGTGAGCGGGTGTGAGATTGATTGATGCATTGCACACCCCGTCCCCGGTCAGGCCTTTAGTCAATTTGCTGTGTTGTTCACCTTTCGAGTCTGACTAGGCTCCAAGTGCCGAAAGCGCCTTTGACGAGGTTGTTGATTGCGTACTGGCTCTAGCGCTGGTGATCCTAGGTTTGCTGCGAGGTGCGTCTGGCTCCAGTGGCTTGACCAGGCGTGTTTCAGGTTTGCCGTTGTTTGGGCTGTGGCGCCTCATCTTTCCCTCTCCGAGGTCTGGACGAGAGTGGCTTGGCCATGGCAAGCAATGGCCAGCGCCAGGACGATACTGACCTGCTTACTCGTACGACGACTCCGTGCGGAGGATGTTAGTGCTTGTAGTGATGACCATGGCCACGGTCACAGTCACGGCCACGGTCATAGCCACCCTCCTAGCTACTCGTACTCGCAGATAGACAGGAGAGAGGCAGATGAGGCGGGTGCCGTGTTGTCTCGCACACTCCGAGTGCTCACCGCGATCCAAGAGTAAGAGGTCGCTGGTCATAGCGATCGTGCTCATGCTTCCGCATCAACGATGATACTCTTTCAGTATGGAACGGTGCGAGCTATTAGCTATTCCCCGCTCATGAGCTATATTTATTGTCTTTTCTGACAAGATGCTCGTATTCCTCCTGCGCCCCGTCGATTGTGAGGCTACAACCACCCGTCGCTCGGGAGAATGCCTAATCCAGAAACTCTGACCATTCTCGCATGGTCCATCGCTTGACAAAAGATTTCTACTCCGTACTCACGCCGAGGACATTTTGTGAAGCCGCTTGCCACTAGACAAGGATTTCCCAGGGCTGGCTGTTTTCATGCAAATCTTGCGCGCAGTCGACCCGCATTCCGTTACGACCGCCAAATCATCAGAGGACTCGACACGGGACTCAATCCGGCGTACGCAGCATTGTGTACACCTGCATATGCTCAATCTCTCTAGCGGAATTGCTCACGAACCTATGAGCCTAGTCTTACTTGAACACGTACGGGTACTGTACAGTACACACTGGAACCGGCAATGAGCATCAGGATTCAGGACGGAGGTCTCGTATGCCTATGAATACAGCTATGCACACGACCTTCTACATTGGTCAAGGTCTCCTGCCGGGCATCTCAGGATTTGTTGATGTGTCATTCAGATTTCCCCGTCCTCTGTCCGCTGTCCTCCTTGTGGACCGAGATCGGCCTCGGTCGAGATCCAAAGACCTGATGTTTGGTACGTGAGATTGTGCGACACGATATGCCTGAGAGTCAATAGACGGCGGCATGTGCACGTCTCACGTGAGCCAAGGTCATCCAACCGGCGTATGTGTACTCTCCACCGTGGTTGAACTGTGCAACAACCGGCACAGGCTTGTTTGGCGCCTTGGGGAAGTTTGGCATGAGAAATCATGCTTCTGCGGCTCGTTCTGCGCGAGCTACCATGAATAGCTCACGCCCATGCTCACACTCGGTGCTTGAGCCCATATTCATGCTTCTTGACAGGGCGAATGCTCGCCAACTCAAACAAGCTTGAGGCTGAGCGAGAATCTCATCTTAAATCAGGGTCACAGGCGTTGGAACTTGAACGTTGGTCAAGGGAAAATACAAGAAGCAAATTGGACTAGCAACAAGATTGCGACCTGGTACAAAGTATGATATACACATGGTTTGGAAAAGTAGGTACCACTCGCAGAAGTTGATTTCTCCTCATCGCTTTACCCAGGTAGGCTTCTTGCGAGCCTTGAGGCGACCAGGCTTCTTTCGTTCGACACGTCTTGCATCCGATGTGACACAACCAGCTGGATTCCGAATTAGTGATTGATTGCACACGCTGTCAGAGACATCTCGCTTACCTCGTCGCAGCGCTGGTTTAAGGGCAGGTTCGTGTACCAGCAATGCCTTGGCTACTGCTAACGTGATGGACTCTGCTTGCCCGGTGTTGCCTCCTCCCTCAACCAAGGCAAACACATTGTACTTGTCGACTCGATCAGTGATGGTCAGAGCCCACAGGGCACTTTCTCGATCATGGATTCGAGGAAATGCCTGAACAATGCTCCTGCCATTAATCAGAATCTCGCCGGTGCCCTCAACCAGCCAGACTCTTGCAGATGCTTCTTTTCTCCGGCCTACACCTAGAGAGCGGCCGTGTTGGTCTATCTTACCAGGCTTTGCTTGAGAAACTCTGTCAATATTGGGTCGCTCGAAGCTTTCCATAGCCAGTCTGACTTCTTCAGGACAGAAAGAAGGGTGTATCTTGTTCAATTGATTCAAAAGCTGTAGGATTTTGGAGTAGCTAGAAGCAGAGACTCTTTCGCCATTTGAAGAGCGATATTGACCCAGTGTCTTCCAATATGCCCTAGGGGTTTGATCTGAGGCGAGAGTGGGAACGTGAGAGTATTTCTCAACCAAGGACTGCAGTAGAAGAATATTATCGTTCAGATGCGGAGACCCAGTGAAATAAGACCGGGACGAGGGTATGATGCGAGCAGGGACTTGCTTGGGAAGGTCAGGCTTCTCAAAGTCGATCTCTGGGGCGGCGCGGATCTCAGACTCAGCTTGAGCCTCTGCTCGGGAGCGTGTTGTCGTGGAGAATGGCTGAGGGTGCCGCCATTGGGGGAGGGGACGGAGTGGTTGGGATTGAAGCCGGCAGTTGCGACATGTCCACGAGAGGGCAGAGGCGGATGGGAGTTGTTGGATTGAGGATCGTGCCATTTCAGTCAAGGAAAAGGATAAAAGGGCAGCCGGAGGTGCCCAGACAGTGCTCAGAGAGAAGGCATGCCTTGGGTGGTCGCGGTTGTGACGACGAGGATGGATTGACGACTTTTGAAGCTCAAGAAACGCGGGTGCAAATCAGAAGTTGCAATTGGCAGTCGCAGTTGCAGTCCCAGTCGCAGGTGCCCATCTTTGATTTTTGCCAAGCCTTCGCCGTCTTGCCTCCGCCTACAGCCTCAAAAATATTTGCAACCACTGGCGGTGGTCATCCCATCCCACCTTTCCACTGCACAACATTCCCTTCAACCCCAAAGCTTGCTTCGATTTGATAACGCAAGGCAAGATGTCGTTCGGAAAGCTCTACGGCTTCAAGGTGTGTCTCTAACCCCCTCAATCGGGCTGACATTTCCTCTTCGAGCCATATCAAAAACTGACTCACCCCCTCAACGACCAGGACAATGCCCGCTCTACCGCTCTTCTAGCGGTCGCAAAGGAGAACGGCCTCGATATTGAGCTTGTCGAAACTCGTCCCCCCAATGTCAGCACCGACTACCTCAAGCTGAACCCACTGGGTCGCGTTCCCACCTTCGTTGGCTCAAATGGCTTCACCCTCACCGAGTCGATCGCCATTGCAATCTACTGTATGTCCTGACTCCCTCCAGTCTTCTTACTCTCCGTCAATGATGAGCTATATTATTCTGTACAGTTATCCCTGTCTGAACATTCTTGTTGACCATTTTCAACTCTGAGCAATTCCTTATCCTTCTGCTTCGCATCTGGGACTTGTCCCTCAATTTTGCACCAACCAACTAACACTCCACAGTCACTTCCCAGAACGAGAAAACCACTCTCCTCGGCAAGACGAAGCAAGACTATGCCTCTATTGTCCGATGGCTGTCCTTCTCCAACGCTGAGCTCCTTCCACAACTTGGTGGTTGGTTCCGCCCTCTCATTGGCCGGGATCCTTACAACAAGAAGTCCGTGGATGATGCAAAGAACGCTGCCCTTGCTGTTCTCAAGGTCTTTGAGCAACACTTCCTTGTCCACACTTTCCTCGTTGGCGAGCGTATTACACTGGCGGATCTCTACACTGCCTCTCAGATCGCTCGAGGCTTCCAATATGTCCTTGACAAGGCCTGGCGTGACGAGAATCCCAACACCACCCGTTGGTATGAGACCATTGTCAACCAGCCAATCTGGAAGGCCATTATCGAGGAGCCAATCTTTGTTGCTGAGGCTGTCAAGTATACTCCTCCAAAGAAAGACGCCAAGCCTGTTAAGGCTCCTACTCCAGCTGCACCAAAGGCTGACAAGAAACCTGCCAAGGAGGAGGAGGAGGAGGATGAGCCCAAGCCAGAGGTAAAGGCCAAGCATCCCCTGGAGTCCCTCTCCAAGCCATCCCTCATCCTCGACGACTGGAAGCGAAAATACTCCAATGAGGACACCCGAACCGTTGCTTTGCCATGGTTCTGGGAGCAATACAAGCCAGAGGACTACTCTCTGTGGAAGATTGACTACAAGTACAACGATGAGTTGACTATGATATTCATGACTTCCAATCTCATTGGTAAGCCCTTATTTGTTGCTGTCGATCGTACATCGTACTAATTGCCCCTCTAGGTGGTTTCTTCAACCGTCTTGAGGCCTCGCGGAAGTACCTCTTTGGTGCTGCTTCAGTCTATGGAGTCGCCAATGATTCAGTCATTCAAGGCGCATTCTTGGTCCGTGGCGACGAGGCTCTTCCTGCCTTTGATGTTGCCCCAGACTGGGAAAGTTACGAGTTCACCAAGCTCGACCCCAGCAAGCCTGAGGATAGGGCCTTTGTCGAGGATCAATGGTCTTGGGACAAGCCCATCGACGTCAACGGCAAGACCTACGAGTGGGCTGATGGCAAAGTTTTCAAATAGAGGTCCAAAAAAACACCAGAAATACAGCTCCTCGTTAAGGTGACCTAAGATGCAACAACACGAATGGACGACATGTGATGTGAATAAACTATGATGGATGCGGCCATGTGAGGTGATGAGTCAATAGCCTTGTTCACTCACTCATTTCAGCCACAGAGGCGACACTTTCAGATACCCCGTCCCCAGTAGCATCTTACCATACACTCGGACAGGTAACAAGTTCATAGAACATACGAAACAAAATCTATGGTCCTCTGCTAGACTTGTCTCTCCTTGTATAGGACGTAGATGTAATTCTACTTGAGCCCTCAGCGCTGTGCAGCGGCTGCCTTCCAAGGCCGCAAATAAGACAAAGTTGCACACGCGGCACTCGCAAGCATACACGATCCAGCAAAGAGAATAACAGCTTTATACCTACCTGCCCCATACTTGAACGGCTCAACCGAATTCAGCAAAAGACCAGAGCTAATCGGCCCAGCAAGCACATTCCCCATGCCCTTTCCAAAGTTAAAAAGCCCGAACGCCGCAAATGCGGCCGTCCCGTCGCTGGCGACGTTGGTGCCCATACGCGCCCACATGGCGGTATACCCGGCGGCGAAGAAGCCATAGACGACGGTAAAGATACACAGCATGGCGAATTTCTGCGCCAGGCCCCAGAGAGCCAGCACCGCGACGGCGGACACGGACGTTGAGGTCAGCGTCAGGATGTTGACGCTGAAGCGCCGGTCGGAGAGATACCCGAAGCTGAGCTGGCCTAGCACCTGCGCGACGCTCATGATGGAGAGTAGCAACGCGCCCTTTGTTGCGGTCAGGCCCATCGCCGTCGCGTAGGATGGCAGGTACAAGGCTGGGAAGAAGTATCCTAGCCCCTGCATCAGGTTTGAGACTGAGTAGATCCAGAAGAGCGGGACGCGCAGGAAGCCCCAGTCTGTGGTCGGGGTTGGTGGCAGTGCAGAGTTGTCGCCATTTCCACCAGCATTATCGACAGGCGAAGGAGCAGCGGTGGCGGCGTTGGGATTCCCGTCCAATCGGCGCGTCCTTGCCCTCAACAACGGAATCAGCGGACCCGTGCAGACAGCCAAACCCACCGCAACCGCCCTCAACGTAGGGGCGAGCCCGTATCTCTTGAGCAGCGCCTCGAGCGTCAGCGGCATGAATACGCCTGAGAGCCCTGACGCACTGCACAGCAGACCATATGCCATGCCGCGCCGTGCGACCCAAAACTCGTTCACCATCCTGATGATCGGGTAGTAGAAGACGGTGAACCCGACCCCGTACATGACGCCCTGCGTGAAGATGACAGCGCCGAGCGTGCGTGCGAAGGAGCTTGCTAGGATGCCGAGGATGCAGATGCTCCCTTGAGAAGAGGCGGGAGGCTTGCTGTTAGCCAGGGCTTCCCCGTGGGATGAGCAGGAACGCGAGTAAACCGCACAGTGCGGACTATGACGTGGTTCGCCAGAAGGGGAAAAAAGAAGAAAAAGTGAACTCACATCCGACCCAGATCATGTACACGCGGTACCGGCCAGTGCGTTTGAGGAAAGGGATGATGATCGGGGCGCCCATGTACGAGATCCCCGAGGCGACAGTCCCGATGATCGAGACATACCGTTGGTTCGCATACTCCGGTAACTGGGAATAATAATTCTGAAAGACCCCGAATGATAATGGAAAGCCTAAAGGTTGAGAGAGCGGGCGAGGGTTAAATAGGTATATTGTGCTTCAACACGAGGGACTTTTTGTCCACGCAAGGCTCCGGCGGAAAAGGAGTGGGGGATGTGGCTGCACATTTTTGTAGGATGGTGGTGAAGAATATAGCATATGTATTGGATGTAGAAAGCTGGCACTTACCCCAGAGCAGCGATTCGAAAATGAACGCGGAGAGGAGCATCCCCCATGCTGCTCTGCCTCTGTCAATTGGCTCGAGTTCCTGGACGTCTGTGTTCTCTTCGGGGCTTTCGAGCGAGGTCAGATGGAGCCCTGGCTCGTTTGTCCGTGATGATAGAGCCCGCAGTGGTGTGCCGCCAACGACATTATTTGGCTCGGCCATGACTTCTTACTTTGCTTGTTGCGCAGGGTTTTCCCCCTCCTGGCGGCACACAATTTTGAAATGCAAAGTTCTCACAAGTCTCGGGCAGGGAGAAGAAGAAGAAGAAGAAGAAGAAGAAGAAGAAGAAGAAGGCGAAAGGCACTTTCCACAATGATTATCGGAGATATCTTGAGACGCTCTATCGGCAACTTATCGGCATTTGTTTACATCCCGCAAACAAGTTCTGACCTACATATGTAGTCACTGAACCGAGGCCCACGGATGTGCGCTTTCTCTTTCCGGGCCCCTAATCAGATAGCCTTGCATCATCGTTCACCACTGTATCCCATTCATCCCAATGGCCTTCTTGGCAGTATGGTGTAGATGAGAGTGCACTATGTCATTCTAGGTCTTTGAACAGAAAAGCCGGCTGGTCCAATCGCAGTGCTCCAGAGCAAGATGGAGAGTTTGCAAGCTCGCAAGAAATAGTCCAGTCGACGGTTCAAAAGGTTTGTACCTTACAATGGGCACGAGAATGCTGCATGCTCCGGGGCCGGGGCTGGGTATGAGATGGGCGAACACCACCAGCGTGGCGGGGGAGAACGCCCATGGAGAGAAGATTCCGAGAAGATTCTACTATGGCGCCAGTTTGATGACATGCAAGATGATCGAAGTGGTGTACAGGCTGTCAGCATATATTGACAAGGCATTGCAGAATCTAGGTAATATCGAATGGTGAGCAAAAGACATTCGAGAATCATATATTGATGTAATTGAATTTTCTTTTCTTTTTCATTTTGAAAACTGCACTCGCTATGGAAAGTATGACTAAGTGAACTCCTCTTGGCTTCCTAACTCATAAAAGTATGAGAAAGTACTAACACTCTGTACCACGAGAAGGTGGGAGTTCATCACAGAGCGTCAGAATCGGGTGTGCAATGATTCTGACCCTTCCATTGTCCATTGGAAGGCGGAGTTTAGAGGACAGAAGGAGGAGGAAGTAGGAGGAAGAGGAGGAAGGGGGAAGGGGAAGACAACAAGGGTAAACGACAACATGGGTAAAGGACTACAAGGTTAAATAACTATAGTCTATAAGGGTGGGAAACGACAGGAGGGGTAAACGTACCTAGATAAGACCAGGAGGAGGAGGCAGTGGTGGACGGCGACGAGGGGGATGGACTGGGGAAAAGGGTGGTTATCTCTACGGTCGTATATCGATCTTCATGTCTACTCTTCACTCCGTGATAATGTATAGAGTATTCTTACTACTTATCTATGAGGTATGTATACTTGGAAGCACTTACAACCGTTGAATGAAACAATCTATCATTGCCTAGGCTCAACAAATGTTTCATTCAAGGGCTGTAAATGTTTCCAAGTATAGATGGGTAGTAATAATACTCTACACACTATCAGGGAGTGGGACAGTAAACTTGAAGACTAAAGTAAGTACACAGAGAGAGGGGGGGAGACGGCTCTATGGCCTTATTCTAATTGTTCAAGTCTCACTAGTACACACTATCAGGGTGCGGAATAGTGAGGCTTGAATGATCTGAACGAGAACACAGAGAAGGAGGGGGGACGGCGGACGGCGGCGTGGGAGGGGAGGAGGGGGAGAGAAGTGAAAAGGAATATATGAGAGAAAGAGAATAGAAGAAATGTAAAGGATGGAAGTTGTCTCTGGGCGTAATGGGGGATTATACAGATTTGAAGACACCACCAGATCAACCTCCCTCAGAGGTTTGATCGAGATCAGAGGATCGAACCAAGATCAGAGGGTTGAGACGAGATTAGAGGACTGAATCAAATTCACGCAGGAATGAAGAGCAGAGAGTGAAGGGTTAATTGTGACAAGGTTAGTTGAGGAGGTCAACTAAGGAAAACGATTGCCTGGTTTTCTGTCGGAAAGTATCTTGGGTATCCACAGGAATAGAGCCAGCTCGAAGGAGCAGAATGTGGGGAAACGGTTGTGCGAAGGTTATAATTGAGCATATCGAATTGGTTGTTTGAACTCGGAAGGTACCTTGGTCTCCACAAGACAGAGGTTAAGTCCCAGCAAACCTTTTGGGACCAGAGCGTCAAATCGAGGGTCTTGAAACCCGCTCCCACTACCAACAGCTTGCAAAAGATGGTGGCTGGAGGTGTCCTTGACCAGTATTGACATCAACATCTCACAAAGCGATGTGAATTCCTGAACATCTGTGTTAAGAGTGCTGGCATATGACCATTGCCAATTCGAAATGGAGAGCACATGTTTGGAAAAGGTGATCTGCTTGTGGAGCAAGGCCATTATCTGCATACCACACTTTTCGGGTTGGCAAAATGACAACGACACAGCCCCACAAGCGGAGTCTGTGCAGGCAATTGTTTTGAATATCTGGTACTCAATGGAAAGCTGACGCGCATCTGCTATTGGCCGTGCCCAACGAGAAGAAATTCTCAAAATGGGACTTGTTCATGCTGATCGGCTGGCCGTGCAAACGAGGAATGACCTATGGCTAGGTGGCAGACTCTCCCGGTACTGTGGGTAAATGACAATGTAATATTCTAGATCGTACACGTAAAAAACACCTGAAGCCCGCCAACTTGGTATTATGATCTGAAATCACTTCATGATGGCAAGTGGAGACTTCTGATATTCTCATAGATCTCTGCATGGCGACTGTGGACTTCCTATGAGTCAGATCTCAACCTTACAGCTGTGGATCAATCTCAGATCTCTGCCTAAGAAGTGTGGGCCTCGTATATCTCATATCACAAGCTGGCAACTGTAGACTTCGTATAAGCTCGTATTGACTTCATGTAATTTCTGCTGATCGGCCTATGTGGAGAGTGTATCGCCTGGAGAGTATAGACTTTGTATTCTTCGATCGCTGGCGCAGGTGGAGAGTTTATCGCTGTCTAGCGAGTAAGGACTTCGACCGATTTCATATTGTTTAGAGCGTAACGCTTGGAGAGCGTAGACCTTGTAGAATCTCGGCTGATTGCGTCATGTAGAGAGTGTATCATCCTCGAGGAAAGACTACATTTGATATCTCAGCTGCTTGGTGGATCGTCGCCTGGCGAGTGCGGACTTGTAGGGTGGCGAGTAAAGAGGTACAGAGAGGGTGAAATCAGCTAGCGATCATTTAAATATTCCCGATCTGAGAATGCATGGCCTACGAATCCGTGTTTAGAAATCCTGATCCCAATGTTGAGATGATCCTGGGTCCAACGGTGAGAACAGTTCACGAGAGCAAGACTCGATTCTGGCTTCTGAGAAATCACATGATCGTTCTGCAGTAAGGATTGCGGGATGTGAGTGGCTCCCAGTATCGGCATGTCAAGGAACGCTGAGGTGGGATACACCCATAATGGCTTCATACAGGGGAGGGCGTATACTGTGATTCGATAATGAATTTTGTATTGGAGAAAGTAAATCGTGCCCATTGACCTTCTCGAATTGTAAGAAGTTGTTTGAGATAGGGATTTTCTTTATTTTTGGCGTGGCTGGATAGGTATTGAACGCCTCTCGATGTGACGTGAAGAAGTGGTCTATAGATTTCCATCTCTTCAGGATCCAGAGGACTCTCCCATAAGACATTTCTTGTAAAAATGCATTGCATCGATCTGCATTGATAGACACTGACGGCTGGGCAACTGCTAGCAGTGCTAAGTTTGGATCATATACACCTTGCTAAGGTGAACAGCAAGACCAATCGGTGCTATTTGAACCAAGGCGTTGTTCTTGTCTAGATCGGAACGGCACCACATTCAATCTCCTAGATATCGATCCGAATTCATCGGGAACCTCATTTTGAGAGTTGACATCAAGATCTGTGGTCCGAATGGAAACTCTCTGGTTATGCCACATTCGCGTTCATCTCCTCTGACCATAGGGATATTGCGGTCTCGGATTAATCGTTCACTTTGCTTCCTTCTTTCCTTCTCTGGCGATCTATAGTATTCAAACACCAAGAACGAAGCGGAGGTAACAGGTATATCCTGGCAGGAAGTGGAAGTCTAGCTTTCGCATTCATCGTACTTCAGCAGGCCTAGCGGCGGCAGCGGCGGCGACATCACCATCAATGTTCTGCTGAGCAGTCTCTGCTCTTCGACGTTCAAATATTCTGACCCAAAATTCGGGAGGATCCATAGGTCTTTGTCCTTCATGCATTCCAGGCCAAACATCGGCAAAGAAGTAATAGATGTGTCCCACTATGACGCCCATAATTTCTTCTTTAGGAATGTTACCATGCATGAACATGTTGAAAGCCATGAGAACCCATGGGAGGTAAGGCGCAGTGAAAACAAGGACACCGAGGAAACTCAGCCGAGTATCGGGATTTCTCCTTGACCAGATATAAACCAAAGTACTTGATAATGCTGAACCAAGAAACGGGATAGATGTGGTGAGAGAGCTGATGGCTAAGAGCGACGTGCAGGCGTAGACTAACAACCATGAGAAGACTGCGGGTGATGGCCCTGATCCTTGCTCGAGAAGCCTGGAGTATCGCTGTAGGAAGAAGACATGGAATGCAAGATCCATTGAGGGCGGGCCGAAGTAGATGAAGGTGGTTAACAACCGCCAATACTGGACATTGTTAGTGGTCTTTTAGTTGAATGAGGAGAGATCATATCATACCTGAGATTTGTTGTAGACAGCTCTAAAGGAGTAAAACAATTGAAAGGGTGTAATGACCTTGCACTGAAGGAGGATGGATGTGATTACGGTTGCAGTAGTCCAGTAGCGGGTGCAAGGTGGCATCTCGAAGAACCACTGTTCCAGAGGGAACTGACCCAGCTGATTTAAAGCATCGTCGCCGCCCCCAAGGAGAGCAGCCATGGTCCAGGGTATCACTTGGAAGAAGGGCAGGACGAGGCGGGAAAAGTCGAGGAAGAACTCGGGGGCCCGGATGAGGACGTATATCGGCGAAAGAACAGACTGGGTCAGAACAGGTGAACGGAGGCCAGAATAATCATTGTGAATCTCATCTGGTGGTGGAATAGGTGAAAGTATGGGAAAAGACCAGTTCATCTATGGAGTACAAAGAAAGGTCTGTAATGGTAGGTGGCCTCTATTGAGGTTGGAGGAGACGAGGAGGCAAACAATGAGGGGAGTGGTGAAGAGACAGCTACTGCCGGTGGATGATGGATAAGCAGGGAATTAGCGCCACTAAATGTCGTTGCGGCGGCGGTGAATAGGATCAAGTAATAGCAGCAACATGCCACTGCCTCCATGACTGGCTAGCAATCGCCTGCAAGCACGGCTAGCGCTATTAGGGGTCGCTTAATGAATTAATTGAAGACGCGCGACCGCGATTAACGCGAACCACCAAAGAACAATCTCACATACCAACAACCGACAACGTGTATTACACCCCTCTTGCAGCAGCTCAACTTCACAATCCTTGACAACTCCCATAATAAATACGAGACTTCCCCCAACACCTGCGAGCGCCGCACCCTCACCCGCCCCACCTGCGAGTACCTTTGACTTACCCGGGAATTCGTGAGCTGGCTCTGTTTTATTCGGTCTCATCCGCCCTTGCCGAATGGTTGCAAGACAGTAGGGACTTTGTCGCGAAGGAATTCCAAGATGGCGCAAACCAAAAGCATTCGTCGGCGGTCTGGACCGACAACACCTAAACGAGGGCAAGGGTCTCGCACAGATCCATCTCCAAGATCTAGAGTCGGGGGGAAGCGCCTCTCGCTCCCACAACGTACGTCTAGTTCTACAACTCACTCTCTCGGCCCTTCATGAGTTTTGCTAACTCTGACAGCGGGCGACCCGATCCCGCGGCGCAAACCGCATCGCTTCAAACCTGGCACCAAGGCACTACGAGAGATCAGACGGTACCAGCAATCCACCGATCTGTTAATGCTGAAGCTGCCCTTTTCGCGACTCGTCCGCGAAATCGCCCAGTATATTCTCCCCTTCCAAGTCGGCCAGGAACTCAGGTGGCAGAGCCAGGCGATCCAGGCTTTACAAGAGGCCAGTGAGGCTTTTCTTGTCCATTTGTTCGAGGACACAAACCTGTGCGCGATACATGCAAAGAGAGTTACCATTATGCAAAAAGATCTCCAGCTAGCCAGAAGATTAAGAGGCGCTTGGGGCGGCTTAGGCTGATTTTAATGTGTGAAATGTCATTACTGGGTATTTGGAGTTACTGGCGTGCATGTTGTTGTGTGAAATATTGGCTATGGTCACGACGAGGTCGGAATATTCGTTTCTGCGTTCTATCGTATTTGAGCAGAAGTTGCCGCAGAAGACCGACAGCATAGCAACCGTTGCTAGTATTAGAAGAAGTCAAATACTTGTCGCAACATATGTGGCTCAAGCATCAAGTCTTCAGCTGTCAGCTAGAAAGATGCGTCCTCCTAAACTCTGCTTGCTGGGGAAAGCTGACCCTTGGCCCTGCATTAACGCGATTAATGGATTTTTCGGCTAGCTATTGACATTAGAGCCTAGGACGCCTTTGGTGCTGGTGACATCTCCACTCCCAACACTACCTTCAGCCCTCCTCTCGCAAGCCTGTCTGATCGCAACAGCGAGCGCTTTAAATGCGCTCTCTGCCCTATGGTGATTATTGTGCCCATAAACCGTCTTCACGTGCAGTGTCACGCTCGCTGCTTGGGCAAAGCTTTCCAGTCCGTGAGTGATCATCTCTGTGCTTAAGTCACCAACCTTCTCTCTGGTGAAGCCAAAGTCTATGACACTGTATGGACGATTGGATAAATCAATCACAGCCCAGGACAAAGCTTCATCGAGGGGAGCATCACCCCTGCCGAAGCGTACGATTCCAACCCGCTTCCCCAATGCGGCGTTAAAGGCAGTTCCAAGAGCGAGAAAGACATCTTCCGCAGTATGATGGTCATCGATGATGAGATCTCCGACTGCTCGGATAGCTAGAGACCATCCAGCATGCTTTGAGACAGCATGCAGCATGTGATCAAGGAATCCAACGCCTGTTGAAATGGCGATTTGTTGAGAAGCTGTTATTTGGGTGGCATGATGTGATCTGGGGAGAGGAAATAGAACGTCTGGATGCGATTGCTTCTGTGATTCAGGAATCGGGTCAGGAAAGTGTTGAGAGTTCTCGAATGGGAGCAAAGAGCCTCCATCGAGTGAAAGAGAGACCTGGACCTTGGTTTCATTGGTGATGCGGGATAGCGTATGCGTTCTCCGGGAGCCTGAAATGGGGTCGGTTCTCTCAAGTGAACCCATGGCTGCGATAGAAGAGATGGGAAATCTGCTTGGTCTTGATATTCAAGAAAAGGGATACCGACCGTCGTAAGATGGGCAGAATATCAATATCTTCTTCCGTGAGAAGTAGTTTGTTGTAAACGGCAGAATTCGAGCTGAGGAGACAGGGCGGTGTCCCTGGTGTCATTAGGAAGAAGATGCTAAGTTTTTAGTCAGGGCGGTGTCCTGAGTAGCATTGGGAAGATGCAGGTTGGCCGAGGAGGAAGCTCCACTCATCGAACCTCAACCTCATGGCCTTTGGTCGGGTTTGGCTGCGATTTCCTCTCGTTCTGGCATAGCATCACTATTCCAAGCTCTGGCATGAGCTGCAGCTTCTCAAGATGACGATCAATCCCACATATCTCGCGCAGATGACGCGGTCGTGTACGTCCAATCCTTTGTCCTCCCCGAGCGAGCGAGCGAGCAAGCCACGGAATTGACATGGCTAACTGGGCATTACAGCAATCAATTGGGCAGATGCACGCCGAAGAGTTCTCAAGTCTTACAGAGAGTGGTTAAGAGCGGTATGGACATCGTTGGACTGCATTTGATTGAAGGAGAAAGTTTCACTGAGACACGCCGATATCTAGACCCCCGAAATCCAAACCATGTACTCCCTGAACATGCCAGTTTCCAAAATCCGAACGAAAGTCAGACAAGAATTCGAGAAGCATAGATATGTAAACCACCTGCAGGCAGTTGATGTGCTTCTCGCCCACAACCATGCCGAATTCCAAGTGAGGGCACCCCAATCGATCACGCGCAGACATCGTCACTAACGGAGGCGACCGACAGGAAACGTTGAACTTCTGGAAGCAAAGCACACACGTGATGAAATACTTCAGAGCGGAGGAAGATGAAAATGCAAGATTACCCAAGAATTTCGTGTCGGGTTTCTTAGAGGTACGAGTTTGGAACACCAATGGTGGTATCATTTGCTAATCAGTCTCTAGGGACGGAATTGACACGAACTTTCGCCTTGAAACCCAAGAATATGTACATAGCCTGAACAAAGACTCCAAGACGCCATCACAATGCACGCTGGCAAAATCACCTCCCGAGGAATAAATCGGATGGAATTCCTTTCATTTTCATGACTTCCCATCATCAAATTCGTTACAAGCCTCAGTGAATTTTTCGGAGATGACATCGCATGCTTCAATCATATCGCTCAAGCCTTTCCGGAGAGCATCGGTCGCAGTGGTATTTGTATCTTCTGTCGATTGGTCAGGACTCCCAAAACCCAAACCCTTTGGATACGCTGGACTGTTTGTTACTCACCCCAGGTCTGAATCCGAATGTTCATCTTGGTCTCGGAAGGATGTGGAATCGTGTAGCCACAGAATTCGACATCAGGGCTGATTAAAGCATCCACGTCAATATAGGAGCACACCATGCATGGGAGCGTGGGAGGGCATACTTCTTGTTGACAAAATACCGCAATGCGTTCCCAAGCGTATGATCTTCCTTCTCAATCTGGAACGACGCAGCATGTGAAGATGCACCAGGGAGCTATTTACACAATTCGCGAGTCAGTTAGTCAATCAATCAATAAACCGTTGTAAACCAGATCCGTTTGTTATGGATTCCAGTCCATCCACAACTCTCGCCAATCCAGTCCACAAGACCGGACGAGTAAGTCCAGAATATTAGATGCCTAGGCATTTTCACATCCAAACATTCAAAAATGGAAGGGAGGGAGACAGGATGGGGAGGGAGCTCACTATCACCAGTTTCTTCGCCCCGCCGAGTAAAATCTCCTCGCCGTGATCGTAGTCTAGCTCCTCCACCGAGGTGTCGTGCATACTGTCGTCACTCATGGTTTCAAGCCACTGGCTAAACAATCAATATTTCAAGCGGTTTGTCCCTAGAGTAACGGGACCCGTCGACAGCCCGGATGGTTTGTCGCAACGAATTATCTATATGTGGTCAATTTCTTGTCTTCCTCTTTTGCACCACTTGTTCGAGAAAGTTTGACAAAGATTCGATATGAAAGTTGCTCGGCACTAGTCCTGTTTTAGATGTGGCGTTGCCTTATGTGGGCTGAGTACTCTACCGTACTCGATCAGCCAACTCCAAGTTCGACCTGATGAACCAACTAGTACGACTATATATACCTATCTGTGATGTGCTGCCGTGGATTCACGTAGGACAGCTCCTGCCGTGTTTTACAAATGATAATCGAGACAGAGATATCACTCTCTAATGATTGAATCTCTGAGGAATGTATTCCGAAAACGATTTAACGTCATTTACCATCCTTTGATCCGATGATTAGGTTATGACGTGACGTGCCCCGAATATCATCACTGACTTTTTATAACCAACCACACATCGCAGCCCATCAACACCTATGTTTCTTGCACAGGAAACAACAACGTCAGCATCATCATCCACCAAGACACAGGATACCAGATCTATATACTGAACTAAAACATCATGGCTCAAATGAAAGCACTGGTAACAATTGAGGGCAAGACAGCGGGCGTACAGGATGTGGCGCGCCCCCAGCCCTCGGCGGGCGAGATCCTGGTGAAAGTGCATTACGTGGCACAGAACCCTACGGACTGGAAGGCCGTTTCCGCGGTGCCCGCTGGACGCATCATCGGCTGTGACTTCGCAGGGACGGTCGAAGACAGCAACGGGTCAGCATGGCGGCCAGGCCAGCGCGTCGCGGGCTTCGTGCAGGGCACGACGGTGTCGCCGACGCGGGGCGCATTCGCCGAGTACGTCGTGCTTGAGAGCAGCTTGGTCTACGAGATTCCGGAGGGGACGTCGTTCCAGGAAGCGGCGGTGATGCCGCTGGCGTTCGCCACGGCCGTGCAGGCCCTGTTCCAGCGGCTGGCGCTCCCGGAGCCGGCGGAGCCCACGAAGGGTCCCGTCCCGCTGCTCGTCAATGGCGGCGCGTCCAGCGTGGGCCAGTACGCAATCCAGCTGGGCAAGCTGGCGGGCCTGCACGTGGTCGCGACCGGGTCGAAGAAGAACCACGAGCTGCTGAAGTCCCTCGGCGCAGATGCTGTCGTGGATTACACCGACGCAGACTGGCCCGGGCAGGTGCGAGGCCTTACGCACAACGGCCTGCGGCATGCCTTCGACTGCATTGCGGAGAAAGGCACGGTGCAAGCCGTCGCGAAGGCCCTGAGCCCAGGGGAGGGAGGACATGTGGTGACGCTTCTCCCCGTCGGGCACCTGCGCGACTCTGGAGAGTTCGACAACTCAAAGGTCCGGCTGGAGAGCACGATCGTCTACACCGTCTTCGAGCGCCCGCTCAAGTACAAGGCGTTCGACAACTGTGGGCCGGCGACGCCGCAGGACAAGGCTGTCTGGGAGAAGTACCTGGGCCTGTTGCCGGAGCTGCTCTCTTCCGCGAAAATCAAGCCCAACCCTGTCAGTGAAAAGGGTGGCATCGGCAATATCTTGACCGGATTCAAGGAGCAGCAGGACGGCAGAGTCAGCGCGGAGAAGTTTGTCTATCAGATCGTCTAGCTGCCGTGTACTGTGGTGGTGTTGGCCATGATTCTACATAGTCCAGGGAGCCCATCTGGTGAGACGGGCACATGAAGGGAGAGAATCCTTCGAGCTAAGCTAAGCAGGTACGCTAGAACATGGGTACATACTACTTGGGGCCATTAAAAGCGGAAAAATACCTAGTACATAGGGCGGTGCGCAAGTGATTTCAGCTCGATGGCATGCATTTAAGGTTTCAAATTTAGACTTTCGCTTTTATCGCTTCCCTCGGTCGACTCGTTCTCTTCGACATCTTCGAACATAGCTAATTCTGTCAGTACTCGACTTAAGTAAGCACTTGGGACAGCATCTTTGTTTGTTGAAAATGGGAGGGGCGAGAGGTCTAGGGTTGTGGGAATAGTGCCATAGTCAATGTAGTGGCAGTCTGCAGCTCAGACAGGGAATATACAGGTCGGACATCCAATCACCATCATCATTACATACTATGGGTTCTTACGGAAGTCTTAGCCCGCGTAACCCGGAAAACGAAGTCGAAGAGAAACGCTCAGCATAACTCCTGGTAAAGCGAAGGGGCTCTCCATGCGCATGCAAGCATCTAATTAGTAGCTGGCAAGCCAACGAATGGCTTTATCTTAGGTTGAGAGGGAGCCCTCACATCTGTCCATGTGTCTAGCTCAAGATGCTCCACGAATAGATGTTGGAAATCCAGTCAGAATCGGAGACGAGGCATGGAAGGGCGTCAACGATGCCTGCTTGCTGACATGGATTCCTGGCTCTCGCTGGTTCTGCAAACCCACAAATTCTTTCTCCAAACACCAAATGCTATGCCCAAAAAGATTATGTCCGCTCGAGGGTGCTCGCAACAGAAAGGGGGCAAGGAATTGAAATCAGTCCTTTAACAAAAGGGTTCCCTGACGTGGATGAGAATCCATTCATCCTCCACGGTTCCCCTGTACCAATGGCCGTGAGACGTGAGCTCGTCGCTTTTGTACATCCGCATGAGTGAATTTAGTTAGACAGCCTCGGAATCACTAATAGCACCTTCCGGGATGTCTCCCCGTTCTTGCTGAGCCATTGCTTGGGCAGAAACAATCTCTGCAAGTCGTTTGAGTCGAGGTGTTTGAAGCCCTGTTTGACAAAGTCAGTGTTGTGATCTATTTTCCAGATGGCACGAATCAAAGTGGGCGAATACTTACATGAGGGAGTATATGTTTCAAGTGCTGTAATGACTCGGGGCTCAGCAATTTCGTACGGTCCACTGTCCTCCATATCCACAGCGGCCAGAAGCAGAACATCACTCTTTTCGGTGACCCTCGACGCCACTGCTTTCATGATCTCACCATTAATGGGTTGTTCGTAATCCGCAACGAGATATTGGTTCAGGAGTTTTTGGATTTGATTCGGGGATAGCATCCAGCAAATATCTTGGATGATCTCAATATCATTCAGAGTGGCCTTCTTGAGTTGAAGAAGTTTAGTCGCTTGCATGAGATGTTCCAGTTGAAGTGTCCCTTCTGGCATATCATGGCTCTTGCACCATTCCTCAATTCGTGTAATGTTATAGTTGATCTGCAAGCCTCTCTTCCAAGAAAGGAAATTACGGCGCATGAGAAGGTCATTGAAGGCAGTCACACCAACCAGACGGAGTAGTTCTGTCACTGTTTGTGTAATGATGGAATCCTCGAGGTAGTATGCTTTCATTGCCTTGAAAACATTGTTCAGCAGGCTCAAGAGGTTGTCCATGCTATATGCCGGAGTGTTGTTCGAAGGTAGCAGCTTTCCGAGGAAACGATTACTTTCGTTGGTGACAAACCCAGGAAGCGATTGAGATTCAATGATAGCTGGAACGATCATCTTGTGAAGCTTCTTCTTCAAAACCTTCATCCAAGTGTGATAGATGTTGAATTCCAGACTTTCGAGATCGTGTTTGACAATCTCAAGCAGTCTGTCATATTCGTAGTTGTCGGTCTTCTGAGCCTCGTACCAGTCTTCGGCTAGGAAGACAAAGGAAAGCATTTCGTGGACATTGGACAGCCAGAAAGCACCGGGGTTTACAGCCTCATCACCATCGTGTTGCATGACTTCTTGTTGAATCGACTGCATCACATTGGCAAGGAACCGCTCGGACTCCTTCACGAAGCCGTTGTTCCACATCTCGGAAGTCACCAGATTGATGAGATATGAGGGGAAAAGAACTTCCTTGTCTGTTGGTGCAGGATTGGCTCCAGGCTGAGGAATCTTGATGCCTCGGATGAGACCCATGGTGACCTCCTCGTTGAGCTCATCCTCCTGTGCAAGGAGATTTTCAAGCTCCATCTCAACACTATCCAAACCTGGATTGAAGGTAGAGCCAGAGAGAGTCTTTGTATGCATGTCAATAGCCATTGACATGGGTCGTGCATTATAAGCACCGCTATACCTATCCATCTCGCTTCGCTCAGCTGCACCAGCACTTCGTCTCTTGAGAGGTTTCTTGGATGAGACCAGATTAATGAGGCCAGTAGGGGGCAGACCATTGCCGTTGGCACTGGCGTAATCGCCATTGACTCCGTTGGTGGTTGGTGCTGGTGGCGGTGCTCTTCTCGCGATCTCGAGTTGATCTTGAAGCTCATTGATCTGTTGTCGTAATGTGCCCCTCTCATTCTCATGTGTTGAGACGGATTGACGGAGTTTTTCAAGTTCGTTGTTTGAGCTCTGCAACGACTCTCGAAGTTTCCTGTCCTCATCTTGCAATCTCTTTGCGTTGCCCATGTGCTCATCATGGCTGGCTTGGAGCTTAGCATGCTCTTCCTCGAGCGCACTGAGACGAGCTGCAACAATGCCGGCCTGATTTGCTTCCGTTTGCAACTCTCTTGACCGTGTTTCCAAGGCATTGTGTCTGGATCTCCAGGATTTCAATTGGCCTTCGTAGTTCTCCAGTTGAGAGACCAAAGTCTTGTTCTCTCGTTTCAATGCGCCGAGATTTTGAGTAAGCTCCACAACCTTGTTCTCCAGCTTGTATGAAATCTGCTTGAGATCGCGAGCCTCCTCACGAACCTTCTTGTAGTCACGCCTAGCAACTTTGCCACGCCATAGGTTTTGAATAATGACGACTTTCCTGCGGTGTTGTCTCCATGCACGTAGCGATCTCCAGGAACGGAACGCTCGTTGTATGGTAATTGCAGCATTGCCAACCCGGGTTTCGAGGATATTCTTCCTGCAAAGAAAACCCTTGGCAACAGACTCGAAAAGGATGAGGTCGTCTCTGACTCGGTTGTACTTTCTCCGCTCCTTTTGGCCCCTCCAGAATCTCTGGATATCTGTAGCAGCCTTGGTTTGTTTGGTCTCTTCTGCTCTTCGCCGGGCAAGGAACGCACGGGTGGCAGATTGAACGTCGATTATGGACTGGCGCGCGTCTAGATACCTGTGGCGCCAATATTTTGCACGCAAGTTCTTTTGAATCATGATGGCACATTGCTTCAGGCGAGCTGACCGCTTGTCCTCCAAAAAGGCCAGCATACCTGCTCGGAAAAAGATCTTGGTCAGACCTAGTTGGTACTTGTCTCGCTTCTCATGAGCTGTTGCGCCTAGCGCCTTTACCAAGATGTTCTGAGCCATCTTGCGGATTTCTGTGGTCCACTCCGACGAATGGCACAACATATAATATCTCAGAGCGAACTCTTCGTACGTCCAACGAGTAGGATAACCAGCAGTGCTGATACGGACAGTCTCAAGAACACCACAGGCTCTCAGCTGACTTAAGACCATAGGCCCTTCGAATTTCCAAGATGCTTTGGCTTCGTTGGGTTTGATGCAACGAATATAGTGCGCATCGGTAGAGTTGATGGTTTGCATGAGTTCAATGAGGGAGCTCTTGAAGATGCCTCCTAGTGTGGGCTTGCGGTTAACAGCCACACCAACTCGTCTACCACCGCCCGGTGCAACAGTCTTTGATGCTGTTTGGGCGGAGTCCTTCTCTCTCACAGCTGAGGCGACCTCCAAGACCTGTACTAAGAAAGAATTGGAGGAGTTCTTAAGCACCTCCATCTGCTCATCTGGCACAGTATCTCGATTCTTGTCAATGAAACCGTCGGATTCATAAGTCACATCCAAAGCATAATGGCACACGGTAAAAGCAGATTTTCCGAAACGGGGTTTCTTGTAAAATTTTTGCTTATCCGCAGCAAAATGGTGGTGAAGTTTAGTAACGAATTGTTCATCCGAACCCATGGGAAGCCTAGATTCTTCGTCCAGGAGAGATAGGATACCAAGTTTCGCCTCGATAAGGTCAATGCAAGGTTGATTGTCGGAAAAGTCAATGAACGTCCAATCAATCTGTTCACGCATGTATTCTTCTTGTTCAAGTTTGAAGACGTGCTGGTTGAATTCTTGTTGAAGCTTCTCATTGGCATAATTGATACAGAACTGTTCGAATGAGTTTTTGGCGAAGTGTTCAAAGCCGTAAATATCCAGAACACCAATAAATGTATTCAGTCGTTGTAAAACTTCCTCAGTGGCTAAGTCATGGTTGATTGTCTCGACGAGCCAATCGAAAAGACTTGAATAGATGAATTTGGCCACGGAATCTCGCACGACAGTTGCTTGTTGCTGGGTAAGATTTGAAGTGATTCTTTCGCCGCGAGTGATGAGTTGTTTCTTGACGGTCCACTTGGAGAAGTTGGCAGGGTCAATGCCCAACATATTGCATGCCTGCACTAATGAGGGTTCGGTGGCTGAAAGTGAGGAGTCCGTTCTCGTGGCAGTGATTTTGATATTACCAATATGCAAGAGCGCGGCCAGGATGCGGAAGATCTCCTTTTGAGTAGCCTCCGCAATGTTGATGGTGGTCATGGATTTCTTAGTGGCAACATACTCAGCGGCGTCATCCACCCCATCAATCACTGGGTCGTTGCCTTGATTCAAGTAATCAAACTCTTCGACACGGAGCAGACCAAGGTCTTCTCGCTCCTGAGCAGTTGCACCAGCCACTAGTTGGTAGAAAATATGGTAGTTCCTTTCCTTCAAGGGCTGAAAGACAAGTCGTGATCGCTCCAGTAAATATGTTCTTATGCGGGCACCGATGATGCTGGTGTTCTTATCAAACATGATCTCAATGTATTTTCCAAAACGAGACGAATTGTCGTTTCTTGTTGTTTTCGCGTTGCCAAAGGCTTCCATGACGGGGTTGGTTGCAAGGATTTGTTCCTCAGTTTCACTGATAGCATCAGCTCTGCCTTTTGTACCCTTTGATGGCTGGCCAGGGGCTCCGCGAGTCGCGAAATATCGCATGATATATTTGGCACTGACAGTCTTGCCTGCACCGGACTCACCAGACACGACCACGGTCTGGTTTCGCGAATCCCGTAACATGTCTGTGTATGCTTCTTCTGCAATGGCAAAAAGATGGGGTGCTTGGGAAGCCCTTTGTTTGCCTGCATAGACCTGAACCATTTGAGGGACATAGAGAGAGTCGACACGTGCAAAGGGATTGGTTGCAATGAGGACAATGCCGGAGTAGGTATATATTTCTTTCTGGGCATATCGAAGCTTGATGGCCTGCAGGATAGCAGGTTCGTTCAGATGGGAGAGGTTGGTCAAATCTTCGGCGGCTTCGAACATGGGAGGATTCATCAGAGGGGGGAGAGCGGCACTTTGGGTGTCTTGCAAGGCATCTTCAGTGGTCTCAACGGTGTGCTGAGATTCATCGGCGAGGTTGAAAATCAGGGCAATCTTCCCATCGCCGGTTGCCTTTCTCTCTGACAGTTCACCAGGAATAAAGCCGTCGACCTGGTTAGGGAACCAGGCCCGGGTACCGATTTCCCAGCTGGCCATGGTTGGCAGGAGGGCTGGAAGGAATCAAGAATCAATTTCAACTTATGGCGGCGATGGAAGCCATGTAGTCGTGTTGGGCGAGTTGGGGATCTAATCAAGCAGGAGACGTGTCAACAGAAATGCGTTGGCGATCACCCGCAGACGAGAGGATCTGTGAGGGTATCAAAATAGAAGAGCAAACAGAAGTAGGCGTAGAGTCAATTCAGAGTTCAGAATGATAGAGGGATGGAATGTTGATGGCGGATGGCTGAAATGGCCTCAGGTGCGGCTGGCCGTGTCTTCGAATCTTTGGGGAACATGTCAGAAAGTCTTCAGGGACAGTGAGAAAGACGCGCCTGAACGCAGCAGCAACATCAGTAAGGAGCCAGGCTAGCTAGGCGAAACCAGGCGTGAGTGATGAGTGGTGAGTGGTGATTAGTGGTCACTACTACTTACTCTAACCCTCCGTGTCGGTCAGTGGTGCACTCGTGCGTGGTGCCCATGCCCCATGCCCACGCCGACGCCCGTGCCCGTGCCCATACCAGTGCCAATGCGAGTGCCCATCGCCCGGGGCTCTGGTAGTGACTTGCTCCTCCAGCGCCGATGGGAGAGACACCAACCCCAAGTGGTGCGCCATTGACGCTATGCCGCTTCTACCAGCGCGGACCCCCTGTCCACCGCGCTCATTCCCCTAACGAAGGGAACGAATAAGTTTAGCATGCGCCGCTCAAGCACTAAGATGGTCCCTGGTCACCAAGAAATTGTCCGCAACCACACCGCTCGCCGCCCAAATGCCCACATGCCGCTACGCTTCGTTACAGATAACCCCTATTTACTAAAAGAAAAAAATTAATTCCATGCACCTTCAAGGATCATCTATTGGCGGCCATCCGGACTGCCGCCTGATCGTAGGACTTGGTCTTTTGTAAATAGGAACGGCCGAAAGAGAGCACTCGTAAACAATGACTTTTGATATTATTGCCCTGGTCCATTCAAGTACTTTGATAGAGAAACGCAAGGCAGGCTGGGGGCATTGGGGAAACAAACTACACTTGCTCGTACCTGTCGCTGGATGGTTAAAATACTGCTCGAACGCCACCACTGCAGGCTCAACTGTTAAACTAAAATGACCACCTTGGCTTAGTACAATTAACTGTTGCCTTTCCTTCCGTGCACCCACGGTTCGGTTTATTGTTCCCAGCATCTCAAACGCCCACTATGCTCGAAGCGGGTCAACGACGGGGTCTCGTCACAGGCACACCGCACACCAGGAGTCCAGGACCCTAGGCAGGGCGGCCCTGTCAACCTGAAGCTTCTTCACACTTAAACAACAAGATTGCTGCCTCGGAGTATGGAGCAGCCAGGGCCCAGCAGTCACTGACTCATTGCCCAATATGTAGATTAAAACCGGCGGTGCATGCTGTTTTATCCATACACCCATCTACTGGTTCTTGCACTCTGATTGTTGTTGGGATCGGGGCTTGCCACCCTCTTCCTCATCATCCTCATCGGATTCTGCCTCTTCCTCGTCGTCATCGTCTTCATCGTCTTCGTCATCAAACTCGGCGTCTTCCGCGTCCTCGAACTCCTCGAAGGCCAAGGCATCACCTGTGAACCAGTCGATGGCACGAGGAATTAGCTTCTCTTTGATGTCCTCGCCCAATTGATAATCAAGCTCGAGTCGTTCCTCGATGTCCGAGGCCACATCGTCGTCATCAGTGGGGGCGACTGGCGGAGAGAAGAAGTTGAAAAATGATTCGGTAGGGACAGTCTTCTTGATGACTCGCGTTTGCTTGGTGTCTAGGGGCGGATCAGTATATTTTAGCTTTACAACGGAGGGACGAACATACTCTTGTTTCTCTGTTTCTTGCTCTCAATGCGAACAGTTAGATCTTTCCCGGCCTTCCAGTCGATTTTCTCGCCTTCTGCGTGATCGTAGATGAAATCACCGCCATAGCCGCTCTCCTCTCTGTAGAAATATGTCTTGGAGATAGACTTGTTGGTGAACAAGTCGTTAGGAGCGAATTCAAAGATTAGGCGGAAGCCCGGTCGGTCAAGGTATTCCATGCGAATGTCGGTCAAGGAGCGAAGAGCCTCCTCATCGCGATCGGTAATGAGTTCTGCCAGAGAGATCTGGTTCTTGATGGCAGTAAGCCAGAACTCTGGGATGCCTTTGACATCCTCTTGTGCAGCCTTGTCCTCCTGATCTTGCTCCTCGTTGGGCTCATCTTCCTCATCCTCATCGGCCTTCCCAGCTTCGACCTCACCTTCGGTCGGCTCAACTTCGCCATTGACAATGGCGGATCGTTTTTCATACAGGGGGGTGAATTTGGCAAAGTATTTCTTTTCGAGTTGGAGGACTTCTTCTTGAAATTCGGCCTCTAGCTTTGCGTGGTCTTTTTGGATTCCTTTCAGACCGGTAACACGACGACGGACGTTCTCTGGGAGGGACTCGATGTAGCCGGAAGGTCGGCCGATGAGAGAGCCAAGTTTTTGCTGCATCATTGAGACCAGAGCCGGGTTTTTGGCGAATATGGAAGCGGCCGTGACGCGGTCAAGATCCTCTGCGGGCAGTCAGAATTTTGAGGATTATAGCACAATCCGTGTTACTCACCTTCTTGAATGTCACCGATCGTAGGGGCCTGCGCATGAGAGGATATTGGCGCATTGGAGGCAGGAGCTAGAAAAGGATGAGTGAGTGGAAGTAGACGATCGAGCGTGAAAACATACTGTTCTGAGGGGTCCTGGACGGTAAGGCCATGTTAGTCAATTGCTATAATACTGGTAGAGAGCAATAAAGAGGAGGCTAGATGGACATACGGAGCAGTAACATTGGCGCGGCCTTTTGGGATTTCTGAAGCCATGGTTGTTGGGATTTGAGCAATGGCGGTGGAAAGGTTTGGTTGGCTGCAGGAAGTGTTGGAGAAAAAGAGTGGCTCAAAACTCTGCAAAAAGCACTGGGGCAAAGAGAGTACAGGAGTAGATGGCGTGGCCCTGGAACGTGGTGCAAGAAGAGGAAGAGTTTTGTGCAAGAGTGAAAAGGCGAAAAAGGTTGGATGAGGAGGGAGGAAAGAATTGTCGTCAACCTGGTTCAGAGGCAGAGGCAAAGGCAAAGGCAAGATGTGTTGTTACTTGTTAGTCCTCTGTCCTGCCCGTGGGCTTCAATTTTGTGAGGAAAACTCGAACCTCAACCCACCCACTCAGTTGCACCCCAAGAATTCGAGAAGACTTCCTAGGTCAGCTATTGACATACTAATCATGCTACTAACGCCTACTGGGTGCCACTACGACTATGATTACGACTATGATTGCGACTACGACTCCTGCTTGGATGGTGCACAACCGCTTGCCAGCGATGCAACTCGAACAGTCACTACATAGGAAGGTCCCCGCCTAGCAGGCGACTGCTGTGAGTCTGTGACTCCCTCCTACCGCAAGAGTGGGATGGATGGATGGATACCGTGCCCGCAGCGAAGACATACCGAGAACTCCGTGCTCCGTACTACGAGTACTACTCACAGCCGCCCACGTTTTCCCAGGCCTGGCGATAAGAGGAAAAGAGGAGCCGCCGATTGCCAGAAAAGTGTGGCTTGGCGGCCAAAAAGGACTGCCAATGCCCTCCAGGCACCCAGACCATTAATTAGTAGCCTTGCTGCTTATCGAACTGCTTGCATCATAGCGCCAGTAGCACGTAGCACGTAGCGATGGGGAGTACCGAGTCTTTAGGTACCTACCTGCCCAAGCCAAGGTACATAGGTACACATCTCGAGGTTTCGCGTACTGTGCACCTCGTAAACGAAAGTTGCCTCCGCTTTGCCTTCGTTCCTCCAACCGCAGCTAGGAAGGATCCCTCACACGCTTCCATGCTAGCTACCTAGTACCTAGGTACGTACTAATATCAACATATCTCAATTTCAGATTTATTCTTCTCTGACTCGCTCTCCCCACCTTTAGCTGTACCATGCTCTGAAAGTCAAGTCATTGTGCCCTCGAGGCACTCCCACCAAAATGGACATTCCTGAACGACCTTCCTCTGCTGCGCTGCGCCGTAGCAGCTCTGCACGTCGCATAATGCGTCGACGAGACTCCAACATGAGCAAGTAAGCTTCTGTTCCATACTCATCGTCGCAAGATCTTCAAGAAAGCTGATCCTTTCACAGCGCTAGTTTCGTGTCCGAGGTCGAAATGGCGACGGATGAGGTGCGTTTCCAGTCTCCCCGCAATCTCGATCGCCGATGCTGATGTCTCCCACAGCCTTTCTCTGGACCTATCTCGGAGAGCGTGCCTAGCAGTGTCACGGGCTTCGCATATCAGCGACCCAGGCAAAGAAAGGGCTCAATATCTAGCTTCACCTATTTTCAAGATGAGCACGAGACCCCCGACTACTCTGACGAAGAGGCCGTTTTGGATCTCAGCGACGAAGAAGATGGCCATATAGACAGCACAGACCGTGACCTGGAGGCCGGAGAAACAGACTCGCTGCGTCGGAAGTCATCTGGAAGACTACGATCCTCCTCCGACCAGCCTCTCCTCCGACGCCACGAGTCTGCTCGCAGCGATACCCAAGAACATGATGATGGAGGCAATTTCAGCCAAAAGCTTTACATTGAGACGGAAGACCTGACCATGGTTATTGCTGGCTTCTCCACCGCCACCCTTGGCTTCTTGCTGTACATTGCAATCTGTGTCTTGACTGCCGGAATTGGCTATCTTGTCTTTCGTTGGGTCCCTCGTTGGCGGATCTCCATTGTTGGCTCCCCCACGCCCCTCAAGAAATGCTCTTGGGTTGTTGTAGAGGTGAGCTATGGCCCGCCACAAAGACTTCTTCGGAGAAAGGCTAAACGACATCAGAACCAATGGGGCGAATTTTCCATCCACTATATCTCCGTCCAAGAATACGGCCACCCCCTGTCCACCGTGTTTACTCCATCCCAGAAAGAGAAGACCAATAGCTATCGCTACGACGATGACCAAGAGTTACCCTTTCTACGCTCCCTCAACTACAGATATATGCGGCTCCTTTTCCATCCCGTCCAGGACAAATTCGTACTCAACAGCGACTGGTGGGACCCGCAATGGACCGATATAAAAGCCCTGCGAGAAGGCTTGGACTCCGAAGAGAGAGATCCAAGAGATCAAGTTTTTGGCAAGAACATGATCGAGATAGAGCAGAAGCCAATCCTTCAGCTACTCCTCGACGAGGTCAGTTTGATCCCATTCCCCGTCTAACTTACCAAATCTAAGGCTCCACAGGCCTTTCATCCCTTTTACGTCTTTCAAATCGCAAGTCTTATCTTATGGTCGGCCGACGAATACTACTACTACGCAGCCGCCATCTTCCTTATCTCCCTTTTCTCAATAACTACCACCGTTGTTGAAACGCGATCAGTAAGAGTGACAATACCCATTGTTCGAAACTTAAAAACTAACGCTTTAGACTATGGAACGCCTGAGACAAATCTCACGTTTCGAGTGTGATGTTCGCGTTCTCCGAAACGGGTTTTGTAAGTATCTCCGCGAATGAAATCCAAAGAAATCCAAACAGTCCTAAAGTTTCCCTTAGGGCGTGCTGCCATGTCCGGCGATCTTGTACCGGGCGATGTGTATGAAGTTTCGGATCCTTCATTGTCCCAACTGCCTTGTGACAGTCTACTTCTTGCAGGAGACTGCATCATCAATGAGAGCATGCTGACTGGTATGAACCACACACTCCTATTCAATCAACGTGACCTGACCCAGTTCAGGTGAATCTATCCCGGTTTCTAAGATTCCCATCACCGATGAGGCCCTACGTTATGTCGACCTCGGAGCGACCTCCATTCATCCAAGCGTGGCCCGCCATTTCCTCTTCTGTGGCACAAAGATCATCCGTGCAAGAAGGCCACAAGACACTGATGATGACGAGGCTGTCGCCCTTGCGATCGTTGTTCGAACTGGCTTCAACACTACCAAGGGCGCCCTTGTTCGGTCGATGCTTTTCCCCAAACCATCTGGTTTCAAGTTCTACCGAGACTCATTCCGTTACATATCAGTCATGGGAGGTGTTGCGGCAGTCGGCTTCATCGCATCCTTCATCAACTTTGTCAAACTTGGCTTGGCATGGCATTTAATTGTTGTACGAGCCCTTGACCTAATCACAATTGTCGTTCCTCCTGCGTTGCCAGCCACGCTCACCATCGGAACTAATTTCGCACTCTCTCGACTCAAGAAGCAGCAGATCTTCTGCATCAGCCCGCAGAGAGTGAATGTGGCTGGAAAACTCGATATAGTATGCTTTGACAAGACCGGAACTCTGACCGAGGATGGTCTCGATGTACTGGGCGTTCGACTTGTTCAGCATCCCGAAATCCGTTTCGGTGATATCCTCCAAGAGGCACATGAAGTTCTTCCACCAGCATCGTACGATCGTGATCCTACGGTGGATTACCGTGTTAACAAGAATATGCTATATACGATGGCGACTTGCCATTCACTGCGGCTTGTGGATGATGAGCTAATTGGCGACCCTCTAGACCTGAAGATGTTTCAGTTCACCGAATGGTCGTTTGAAGAAGGTTCCCGCAATACGAGTCACTTCATTGAACCCGGCACATCTCATCCCGCGCCGAGTGTTGCTCGGCCTCCTCACGGATTGGAATATGACCTTGATGACTCCCAGGGTACTGGCACCCCCATTCGCGTGGAGCTCGGTGTTCTCCGCTCTTTCGATTTTGTTTCACACCTCCGGAGAGCCAGTGTTATTATCCGACAATATGGAGATCCTGGCGCCAACGTGTATGTGAAGGGCGCCCCAGAGGTGATGAAGGACATTTGTACGCCTTCAAGTATACCTGATGATTTCGATGACTTACTCAGCTACTACACTCACAAGGGATTTCGTGTCATTGCCTGTGCTTCCAAGTATATTGCTCGGATCAGTTCCGATGAAATCCAAGAACTAGACCGGACGACTGCTGAGTCAAGACTTCAGCTTATCGGCTTCATCGTCTTTGAAAATAAGCTCAAAGATATCACCACTGAGATCATTGAGGAGTTGAACGAAGCTCGGATTCGGAATGTCATGTGCACAGGCGACAACATTCTGACTGCCATCAGTGTTGCAAGAGAGTGTACTTTAATCGATCGAAATGCACACTGCTTTGTGCCACATTTCGTTGAAGGAGACAAGATGGACCCCAAAGCTTGTTTGACTTGGGAAAGTGTGGACAACCCTATTTACCAGCTTGACGAAAATACTCTCCTTCCAGCACCATTAGCAGCAGAGGACGACAATGCGGCACCTTATGATGTGTTAGCAATTGGAGAGTACACATTGGCCGTTACTGGTGACGCATTCCGATGGATTGTGGATTTTGGTTCTAAAGAAGTCCTCGAGCGCATGCTTGTCAAAGGTGCCGTTTTCGCTCGAATGTCACCTGATGAAAAGCATGAACTAGTCGAGAAGCTGCAAAGTATCGACTATTGTTGTGGTTTCTGTGGCGATGGTGCCAATGACTGTGGTGCATTGAAAGCCGCCGACGTTGGTGTATCACTCTCAGAAGCCGAGGCTTCAGTCGCCGCCCCTTTCACAAGTCATGTCTTCGACATCTCCTGCGTCCCAACACTGGTCAAGGAAGGCCGTGCAGCTCTTGTCACCAGCTTCTGCTGTTTCAAATACATGAGCTTGTACTCGGCCATCCAATTCACATCTGTCAGCTTTCTATATGCCTCAGCATCCAACCTCGGCGATTTCCAATTCTTGTTCATAGATTTGGCCTTGATATTGCCAATAGCGATATTCATGGGTTGGACCGGAGCGTACCCCAAGTTGAGCACGAAACGGCCAACCGCCAGTCTCGTCTCCAGGAAAGTGCTCACACCACTACTAGGTCAGATCTTGCTTTGCATACTCGTGCAGCTGGTTGCATTCGAGACCGTCCAAGCTCAACCTTGGTACCAACCCCCTCAGTTGGACAAGCAGAAGTCCAACGTTGACAACTCACAAAACACTGCACTTTTCTTAGTGTCGTGCTTCCAATACACACTGTCTGGTGTAGTGCTCAGCATTGGACCGCCATTCCGCAAATCCATGACCGCCAATGTACCGTTTGTTGTCACACTTGTTGTCGCAATGCTGATGTCGCTGTACATGCTTCTCGACCCAGCCAAATGGCTGTCGGATTTTATGGATCTCACCGAGATGTCGCTCGACTACGAGTTATTTTTGCTCGCCTTGGCCGCGGCAGGCTTTGCGGGTGCTTATCTCGCGGAACGCTATTTTCTCCCTCTGATGGCCAGATACGTTGGCAGGCTGAAATCCTATCTTTGGCCGTCGCATCGGAAGAAGCGGAAGCAGTATAAACTCATTGCGGAGGATATCCTGCACAGTAAGTAAGAATAACGGAAAGGAAACGTAGACCCTAGAATTCTGTACATTAGCGTATGTATTAAAACGTTTGAAAAAAGTGCTGCGCTACTTTCCACACTGTCCACATACTCTCGACCTACCCCTTTTCAGTACAGCCTTCTCTACTTTCATCATGGAATAAACCTATCCTAGGGCTGCCAGTCATGTGGATCAGTAGCAGCATCTCCATGATAGTTTTACGAATCTCCGACTTAATTCTCCAGAATAGTCCTACGCCTCCTTCATGGACTATCCCCAGCCATGTAGGATCTTGCTAGTCTACCAGGTTCAAAACAGCAACCTGCTCGGCATCTCATTCCGGCGCCAAGGGCCAAGGGGCCTCCGTTGCACCTCATTCCAACTAGTTAGTATCTCCGATCACGTCGACGCGTTTCTCCTAGCTAGGAACTAATTGCCATGCAGCTATTCTGTAGGAGACACAAGCATTTGGTACAAACAAGAGGCTGCAATGAGGAGACGACACCTTGATCGATCTTCGCGGCAACCTCGGCTCATCAAGACCTGAGCCGCTTCCGTTAGTTAAGTAGTTTGCGGGAAATGTGCAATTTTCCGTGTCCAGCCCAGGAAGCTTCTTCTCCACGTGCTACTATATTTCAATGTCGGGTAAAGGAGTGCTCTTCGCATGCCGGCTTCTGCATGGTCGCAAATGACCCCGGACTGGGATTGCCACGTCTCATGTCTCACGTTCTACGAGGTGGGGTGTCAGCAGTGAATTCACATATCAACAATTCCCTCAGCCTGGGTTCAGCACTTGCTTTTCTTCCTACATCTACTCCTATGAACTAAATTGAGATGCGTGGTCGTGACTTGAAAGAACTCCAACACCACACCTACAGCTCAATCCCTTCTGAGATCAAGAGCACCGCCGAAAATGGGATCTTGGATACCAATCAAAGCAGATTCGGATTTCTCCTTACAGAACCTTCCATATGGCGTCTTTAGCACTGCAGCTGACACAGATCGACGTATTGGTGTCGCGGTTGGAGACCACGTTTTGGATCTGAAAGCCTTTGCCCGAAATGGGGCGTTTGCTTCCCTCGAGAAGGATTTCGACGTGACGTTGCTCGAAGATCCCACTTTGAATCGATATGCCACTCTTGGAAGGGGTGTTCATCGCAAGGTTCGAGCTTTCCTACAGGAAATACTCGCAGAGAACACCACGCTCGGGAATGTCTTGCGCGACCAGTCCACACTCAGAAGCGCAGCAGTGATTCCCATACAGTTAGTAAACATGCATCTGCCTGTGTCCGTGGGCAATTACACCGACTTCTTCACGACCCCGCACCATGCTCAAAATGTATGCGACTCCTAAAATGGTGCCACCAGTGCCCAAAAACATCATACTGACAAACTGATGCAACAGTGCACGGACATCGTACGGCCTGGCTCGAAAGTCCCTGCCAGCTTCTACAACATGCCGTTGGGATACTCTGGTCGCGCCTCATCAGTCATCCCTTCTGGGACACCGGTACGCCGTCCTCGGGGTCAATTTGTGACGAGCGAACAGCAACCCAAGTTCGGTCCTTGTGAAAAACTCGATTTCGAAGTGGAATTTGCGGCCGTCATTGGTAAGGGGAACGATCTGGGGCAGCCTATTGATATCAAAGACGCTGAAGAGCATATCTTTGGATGCGTTCTCCTGAATGATTGGTCAGCAAGGGACATACAAATGGCGGAGTCAACTCCGCTGGGGCCGTTCAATGGAAAGAACTTTTCCACTAGCATCTCTCCATGGATTGTGACGTTGGATGCACTAGAGCCATTCAGGACGAAGTCTCTGAGATCGGTAAGACATTCCCTAGAACCTCTTACCCATTGGGGCCGGTAGTACTTGAAGGACCTGGATCAAAAGCTAAACTTCATCTCACAGAATCCATTGCTACCCTATCTCCAAGATAGAGAGGACTCGGTACACGACATTGCCATTGATGTCCATCTGCAAGGTACTCCAGAACCCTGTGCGAGATGACAAATACAGAGGCTGACCTTCGTAGTGGACTCGGAAAAATACCACCTCACGCGGTGCAACACCAAGAACACCATCTTTTCATTTGCGCAAATGCTCGCTCATCACACAGCGGGTGGATGTCCCATGCAGCCTGGAGATCTTATAGGGACAGGTACTCTATCTGGCGGAACCCAATCGGAGTTGGGATGCTTTCTCGAAGCCAGCTGGAACGGGACTAGACAGTGTACAGCGAATACCAAGGGAGGTGCTGAAAGCAAAAGCATCAATCGTGTATGGTTGCAGGATGGTGATATCGTCCAGTACACAGCAAAAGCCCAAGGCAAAGATGGTCTTGGTCGGGTTGGATTTGGGGAGTGTTCAGGGCAGATACTTCCGTCGCCTTACATTTGAAATGGAAGTTAGCGCTTGTAGTACGCATAAGCACTTATGTAGATTCTATTCGCCCCTGAGTACTACGTAAACGGAAGCGAAGGATGGCGATGCCCTTGTCAGAGTAGAACGCGGCGAGGCTGCCTTTGCCTAAATCTGGCGAACCGTCGACGTCATCACTTTCTCGATCAGAGAGCATTTTGCAGATGTTACGAATTACCGAAGCATCGAGACGGGCCGGGTTTCAAAAGTCTGGGGAGCAGTTTAAGCCCTCCTACAGTCTTCTAGCTACCATATATAGACACTAGATCAAGCATACGGGTTCTCCACCATCATTCTTTTCCCGGAAAAGCCACTCAGTAAGCAAAGCGAGCGGAGCACACATAGGCTCTTGGAATTTCCAAGTAGATCATTCTGACAATGGACCCAACGGGTAAGTCACAATACTGCCAGGCCTTTGTCAATGTCCTGAAGACAGCCTTGCGTAAGGACTAATTCCATGCCACCTAGAGTACCTCATCGACAAGGGGTGGCTGCCAAGCAGCGTGATCCGGCTCGGTATAAGACGACAACTTGCCCAGCGCACACAATTGATCCAGTCCGAGTCTCTGTCCAAAGCATATGAACGCAAGATGTCATACGTCGCGGCGTTGCGTGCCCGACCGATCGCGATCGAGACAGACAAGGCCAACACGCAGCACTACGAGGTCAGCACGTCAGTGCTGCAAGCTTGTCTGGGGCCCCGGATGAAGTACTCGTCGTGCCTGTATCCGACCGGCGGCGAGACGCTGGCGCAGGCCGAAATCGCCATGCTGGAGACGTATGTCGAGGAAGCAGGCCTGTCGGACGGGCAAGAAATTCTGGACCTGGGCTGCGGATGGGGCAGTGCGAGCCTGTACCTCGCGGAGCGGTTCTCGACGTCCAGCGTCACAGCGTTCTCCAACTCGCGGACACAGAGGATCTACATTGAGGGCGAGGCAAAGCGGAAAGGGCTCACGAATCTGAAGGTCATCACGGGCGACGTGGTCACGTATGAGTTCTCGCCTAGCATGTACGATCGGGTGGTCAGCATCGAGCTGTTCGAGCACATGAAGAACTACGCGCTGCTGATGCGGAAGATCGGCCGTGCGCTGAAGCCCGGTGGGATGCTGTTCGTGCACATCTTCGCGCACAAGGACACGCCGTACGACTTCGAGGAGGGCTGGATGAGCACCCATTTCTTCACTGGCGGCACCATGCCCTGTGCGGACCTCCTACATTTCTTCCAGGACGATCTGACCCTGTCGAAGCAGTGGTGGGTGAGTGGTACGCACTATGCGCGAACGTGCGAGGACTGGCTGTCCAAGATGAACGCGAGCAAGAAGGAGATATGGCCGGGCCTGGAGGAGTCTTACGGGAAGGAGAAAGCAGCCATGTGGTTCTATCGTTGGCAGGTCTTTTACATGGCTTGTGCTGAGTTGTTTGCATATGAGGGTGGGGACACTTGGGGGGTGAGCCATTACTTATTCAAGAAGAAGGGTGATGGCAATCAGGGAGAGTATCTTGAGCATTGATCCATATTGCTATTCCTAAACATCGAAGCATAGGTGCATCTCATATCAAAGGAGCATTGGAATGTAAACCAGCGAAAAAAGGACAGGTTCGGTGAACGGGTCCATACCTCACCATTTGATCTTTTCAATCGAATTCACCGATTTGGGGACAATGGTAGGTTCGGAGTCTCAAGGAGTGATGGGTCAAGACTCCGTGGACGTACTCATGATCACGTTAGCGGGAGGTTGGGATAATATTTGGATTCATTGCGTTGTCATCGATACAGCCACTTCGCGACCCTTGGTGATTGTCAACCTTTTTTGCGCCGTATACAATGTCTCTATGAGTATGTACAATGTTTCATTTTCCTTTTTCTCATTCGTCTCCTCCTGTTTAATGATCCCACGGGTGTTTCAACCCGAGCAGCGCCGCGCCATCCTGCTTTGCTCTGTAGAATAACTGGGACACATAGTCAGTACGCTGCAGGAGCTGAAGATATCTCGGATTGTCTCACAAAGAACCACATGGCAGCTCCAAGGCCGGTTGCGGCGAAGCGATATAGTGGTCGTTGAGGGTTGATCTGTTTAACGGGGTGGTTGCCCTTCCATATGGGCTTGCCATGAGTGCCTCCGGCCATTGTGGTGTGCCTGTGACTGGTTTGTTAATCAGAGCTGAAACCAGAGACCAGACTGAGTGAGTGGGGAGTAGCCTACGGTCAGTGAGGTCGACACTGCTGGTGAATCGTGTTCAAGAATCGTCCAAGTCAAGCATCTGCATGAGGTCGGAGTCTAAGCTGCTGCGAGGTAGATCTTGGCATAATAATCGACGCCGCTTTTCCGTACCCAGAAGTGTTGGTGGGGCGGCATGATATTCAGGCCCAGATTTGGTGCGACCTTGAGCGGGTGCGGACTAATGATAATCCGGGATACGTGTCCTGGGTACCAAACGTTGGGTGAAGTGAGGGACTGCCATGCCAGCACCAATTGTCAAAACATCAACGCCCAATACCGCCCTGGTTCACTAAATTTGCCCCCGTGTTGGGTTGCGCTTTCTCTCCTGATCACATGCAGAGTTCACTTCTGTCTCTTTCCTCTCTGCAAGCCGGCCTCACCTCATACACTCCTCGTTGGCGCATCTCGAGGGGGATGTGAAGCAGAACTGAACAATTCGCGCCTCTGCTTTCGTCGTAAGTCCACACAGTTCAAGTCTCGCAGATCAGATCATGATAGTATCTCTCCATAATTGGCCTCGGCCCTCTTTATAACCACGACAGAAACACAACCTGCCAAACAATAGCTCAAGCAGCAGGCGCAGTCGTCCAAAGTCAGCCGCAACCCTGCGGAGTTCAGCGGACGATCTATGTAGCAAACGCTCAATGATTCAGTGACTTTGCGGATCAAACCAACCCTGCCTCACCACCTCCCTCTTTCGTCACCATGTCTCGCGACACCCAAACACCCAAAAGAAGTCTCGAGAGGCTTGATGATGGCAGGCCAAGATTTCATGGCTGCTCGAGGATTATAGACTACGAATACTTGGGCAAACTTGGAGAAGGTACCTTTGGAGAAGTATCCAAGGCAAGATCTAAGAAGAAGGGTCACCTAGTCGCCATGAAGAAGATCTTGATGCACAATGAAAAAGATGGCTTTCCCATTACCGCACTTCGGGAGATCAAACTTCTCAAACAACTCGACCATATCAACGTCCTCAAACTTGAGGAGATGGCGGTTGAAAGACCAAAGAACGCCAGCAAGAAGCCCAGTATGTTCATGGTCACTCCGTACATGGATCATGACCTGTCCGGTCTGCTTGAGAATCCCGACGTCCGCTTCACCGAGCCTCAAAGAAAATGCTACATGAAGCAACTGCTCGAGGGCTGTGCCTACCTACACGAAAACAGAATTCTGCATCGAGATATGAAGGCGGCAAATTTGCTCATCAACAATCGAGGGATTCTTCAAATCGCTGATTTTGGTCTTGCCCGGCCTTACGACGATGCACCTCCACGCCCCGGCCACGGTGGCGGAGAGGCAACCCGAGAATACACTACCCTTGTAGTCACAAGATGGTACCGTCCACCCGAGCTGCTTTTACAATTGCGCAAATATACGACCGCCATCGACTTGTGGGGTGTGGGGTGTGTCTTTGGCGAGATGTACAAAGAAAAGCCGATATTAGCTGGCAATAGTGATGTCAATCAGGCACATTTGATATTTGACCTTGTTGGATCTCCTACAGATGAGAGTATGCCAGGATGGCGCTCTCTCCCGGGCTGTGAAGGTGTGAAAGATTTTGGCACCAAGTCGCCCAGCATCAAGCGGGTTTTCAGTGAACTCAGTCCAACAGCGCTCTCATTACTGACCGAATTGTTGACTCTGGACTGGAGGAAACGAATCAATGCTATCGATGCCCTCCAGCACCCTTACTTCCACACCGAACCATACCCTGCTAGACCTGGCGATTTGCCGAAATTTGAAGACTCGCACGAACTTGACCGCAAGAAGTTCAGAGACCAAAAATCGAAACCACCCCCTGCGCCCTCAGGCGGCGCTGTTGGCATTGGTCCCGAGGGAGAATGGGGTCTCAATGGCCGACCGCTCGCACACTACGAACCGGGTCGGGTTCCTCGCGGACCTGGAGGAGGCCGCCATCATGGAACTGGTCAACACAAGCACGGAAACTACAACAGACGCCTCCAAGGCCCTCACGCCCACAATGGGGCATATGGTGCCGACTACCGAGGCCCCCCGCCGCATCGGGACCACGGGTCGTATGGACACGTGCCCCGACAGCCGTACGATCAGCCGAGAACAAATGGGCCTCCGCAACCCTACGATGATGGTCATACGCGTCGTCCTCAAGCAGATTACGTTCTTCCGCCCCGACCCCCAGTTTCAGAGGACAATCATCGGTATGGCCCTTCAGATGCGTCGTATCGCGATGACGGGCGAGGACCACCACCTTCCAGGTCGCGAGTACCAGGAGGTGGCCCACCAGGTGGTGATATTCGGCGTAGTAATCATCCACACGACCAAGATACATATATCCCGTCGTATTCAAGCGCAGACCCCGATCATAGGGGCCCTCCGCCCAAAATGGGTCGGAGAGGTGACCGTCCTCATTACGGTGAGGGTCGCAGAGAAGGCTCAGTGCCCGATTACGATGAGCCGATTCGCTATGATGATACTGGCGCTGCCAATGATAGGGAGAGAGGCCGCATGAGGGAGTCCGATCAAGGTCCACACCACACCTCAGCGGCTTATGATCGCCGTCCAAGAAGCAGAAGCCCGGTGCGTGACTGGGAGAGGGATCGGGACCGTGATCGGAACCGCGATCGGGCACCTGGCTATCGAGAGCGAGATAGAGATTGGGATCGCGATCGCGATCGGCACGCTCATCAACATCTCCCACCCGATAGAGATCGTGGGTATGGAGGCCCTGGAAATGAAGGGGGAATGCGAGGAGGGGGGCCAGCTGAGCCTCAGGATGTATACAATGGGCGGAGATAGGATCTCCAGCATCCACTTCCGCAGAAGCCTGTCTTCGACAAGAGCAGCGGCTGGATATACCACCACCAACAAAATCCCTCCAACAACAGCTACCACCATAACATACACCACAGGCATCGCCACATGCAGTACCGCCATGGCAACAGCCGAAACCGTTGATGAGCTTATTATGGTGTGCCTCGCCTGGTTCCCCACCCTTTTTTTTTCTTTTTTTTTGCATAGCGAGTGGGGTGTTTACAAGGAACGGAATGGCTGCATGCAAACGTGCTACGGAATATATGATAGGACCAATGGCAAAATTATTGAAAGTTGACGGGTGCGGTCGGGATACTCTTCTTGGGGTGTAAGGCGAGATGGTTGGCATTATTTACGGCTGAGGTTGAGGGTACCAGAACAAAGGAAATGTACTTTATCGATATTTCATTTTCCAGAGCTCTGATTGGAGTGGGATACACGGACCGCCCGTTGATGGTTGAGAATGGCAACAGGACGGTTTTGCTGCAAGCGTGAGGACCATGGAGTTGAGATGCCGAGTCTTAGAAACGTCGATCCAATTAGCTAGCTAGATCAGCCATGTAGACTCAGCGAACGCATGCCATGCCACGCGATTGCTAACAATGGGCTTAATTATCACCACCAACTGCGGGCTCCCTCAGTTCGAAAGTCTAAGATATCTCTGCTACAAGTGGGTTCAAATAAGTTGGTACCTGTATGTAAGCATTTTGTCCAATCCAACTGCTTCTCATTCGCGAGCTCCACGACCTGCTCAGCAGCGGTACGGGGTCTATCTTCGTACTGCGCGGGCGTGACTCTATGTGTGCTCCCGAGCGGACTCCTCCTACGCAATCGGGATCTCGCGCTCTCCTGACCACAACTCTCTGTGCGGTGTGCGGGGGCGAGGCGTTGATGAGCCAAGTTTGTCTACGGCTACGTCGACAGGGAAAATCGAGATGAGATGGAGGCACGTGGGAGTGCGGCGACTCCTGACAGGGCTCTGCTTGTGAAGGAAGGGAAGGGCTTGCTGAGACTTCCGTCTTTCGCCTCTTAGCAGGAGCCTGAGCGATGGAGTTTGGCTGTCCCTCTTCGAATTGGCAACGTTTCATCAATCTCGTCATGACCAAAGGACCATTCATTATTCCAATGGGGGGAAAAGACTAGGGGGAGACAACAATCGGCGTTTCTGGTTCTTGAGTGTGGGGCGTGAGGCATGTGTCTTCGAAAGAAACGGCTCATCCAAAACCGGCGAACATGTCATCAATGGCGTTTTTCTTCTTTCTGCTTTTGCTCTTGTCGGTGCCGCTGCTCTTCGTTGTCTTCTTGGTCCTGTTCTCCACGAGCTCAGGCTCTTCTCCCTCGACGGGTCCCTTTTGCTTGCTGAATGCCTCTGGAATGGCAGGTTTGGGCGGAGAGTTGATCTTTCCGGATAGGAGCTGCCGCTTAGCAGCCAGTGGAGGAGTTGCAGTTGAAGAGTGTTCTTTGCTGAACAGAGAAGATGGAGGGGTGGATGCTATGGATGTGGGTTGCAAGGACACCGCAGACTTCTTGGTCCGCTTCTCTCGTATGGCTTGCGTCGCGTTTCGGTTTCTGGAACGTTGTGCAGCTGATTTCTGAGCCTTTGCTGTAGGGCTCTTGTGCCTAGTTGTGACTGTGCAGAAAGCATCGACGGCTACTGAATCCTCTTCCATCTCAATATCGTCGTCCTGTGACGGGTTGTCACCCGGCGGCTGTGCTTTCGGTGAGGCAAATGTACCTCCGCCAACCTTTTCTTTCGCCCCAACTGATACTGATAAGCGGCGAATGTCATGATCTGCATGCGATGTTCGTAGAGACTCTCGAACCTCTGGAGAGTCTCTGTGTCTTTCAATAACCTCACCAAGATCATCACTGTCGTAGATTCTCTCCACCAGCGTTCCCCTTTCGGCTCCCACAGCTTGTAAACTGTGCGCAGTGACGCTTCTCGCTTGCCTCGTCGTAGCCTGGGCATCTCGAACGACACTCCCATCCTCTTCCAGCTCCTCACCTGATGCTTGAGGCAAGCCAACCACTCCCGCGATCTCAGCCAGTACACCCATCAGTACCATACCAAGATTGGTAAACTGTGTGTCCGCGACAAGGCCGGAAAAGGCGACATAACACCGTGGACACAGGGTGTTGCGGATCCATGCACCCAACATCTCCCGCTCGCGCCTCACTTGAGTCTCAACCTCGAAGCGGCGGCGAACATTTTCTGCATCCTGCACCGCTTGTATAGCTCCTGCAGTCCGAATAGGGGTCTTGAGCTTATTCTCACGGGCTTGAAGTACTACATACTTCCGCAGAGCCTTGCGAATCAGCGACAATGGTATCCACCACGCTTGTCTTCGGTGCTGGTTTTTATGCCGCACAAAGATTGAATCGATGAGATGCAGAGATTTGGCCAACTCTGTCTGAGATCTAGACTGGCCCTTGGTAGCTCCAGAGCTTGCTGTAGGAGACATGGTGAAATTGACGCTTTTCGCTGCGTCAGCAGTATAGTTGGTCTGTTCAAACCTGCGTCCTCTCGGTAGATAGGGTTTCATTTTACGCACAGGATTTGTGGCCAATAATGGTAAGGTATTGGATATGATGGAGACGCTCGATGCATGGAAAATCACAGATACTCTTTTCCAGAATTTGTAGGTTTATTGGTAAAGCGCACTTCATGAGGAACGCTAGTACAAAGGACCGTTGTTGTAGGCGTACGCTCTGTTTGTGTAGGGGGCTTCACATCGCGAAAAGAATGTCCTGTTGTTGTCGAAATTGGGACCACTGAAGGCCGAGCTGGTTTCCCCGCTTCACCAATAAGCGGCCACCGGGGGCAATTCGAGCATCACAACCATCTACTAAGTCCAGGCTTCACAGCCCGGGACACTCACTTGAAAATTGCTACTGGAGAGAGCGTTGTTTGTTGTTTCAACGATTTTCATTACAGCTCTATTCTTGCATCATTTCCCTGACACATTGATCATTCTCCACACCGAAAAAGCCCATCTTGATGAAAGTACATGACTGGAAAAGGAGTATTAAGGCAAATGGATGGTCATCTTAGGTTATCTGACCATGAAATGATGAGGAAACAAGCAACTGTGTCCTTCCAGGATAATCCTAAGTGGAATGCAAGGAATACAACATCCAAGCCAAAGGGCAAGAAATGAGTCTCCAGGCTGAAGTGTGCAAACCACCCCCAAAGACATCCGAACCCAACGGTACTGTGGCCTGAAACTGTATGGAACGACCAGCGCCACGATCATGCTGAGCTAGTATCTTGGAAAATGAAAGTTTTTGTTCATTGGGGACAATGCTGGATCTTGGAATCTGAAATGCTGAAACAGCCCTAGCTCGATGTCTGCGCCAGGAGTACCACGATCATACTGAGATCGACGACGACGTTGCTCTTCACGGTAAGCCTGTCCTTGTCTAGGGGCGAAAAGACCTGCAAGACGGGTAAGGTTAGTGTTCATTTGCGCGTGTAAAAGATAAGGATATCAAGTGCTCACGGAAGAGGGCGAGTGATTTTGCCTGAAAAGGGATCCAAAGGACTAGAGGTATCAACAAAGACTGTTGATGGAACAGGCTTTGGTGCACGTGCAGGGGGAAGGAAACGAGTGCGCTTCTCTTCCGAGCAATTCATGCAACCAGGAGTGCGAGATGGAACGACAGCTGGAGGATCAAGGGAGCTCTGAATAAGACGCGAAGGGTACAGACCAACGTGCTCAGCATTCTCGACAGAGCGTCGCATCTTGGACGGATTATCTGGATCAGGGAACTTCTCCTCCTGGCCAGCATTGGGATGACCAGTTGGGTAGTAGAGCTGACAGATATTAGTGCTGACCAACAGGGCTGAAGGGAATCGAGCATACCTTGGGACGGAAAGCAGGATGTTCAAGCATGACGGATGAGTTGCGAAACTTGGAGACGAGACAGTCCTTGCCTTGGATAGCTGGCACGCGTTGTCAGAACAAGTCCGTCAAAGGAGAAGAGAGGAGCGACTTACTAGCATAGGAGATCTCAGCGACCTTGTCCGAGTTGAAGCAGTTCCAACGTTGACCAGCACGAGCAATGATGAACTAATATACGTTAGTCAAGCCTTCGGCAATGATAAGGGTTCATACAGGGGGAATGAATTGCGCCTATGAAGATGATTAGTGAGGACTTGGAGAACGGAGGCGACCAGAGCTTACGTCAATGAAGTTGATGAAGGCATAACCAACATTGCAATTGTTAGCGAAATCTGGTAGGCATTAGCATGAGATAGTGCTGAGATGGGAGAGGTGCTCACCAATTCGCAAGTACATGAAATCATAGCACCCGGCACTGGTCTCATCAATGATGGCCTTCAAGAGGGGCTGATCAACACGATTGGGGATGTTGCGGAGCATGATCTAGGCAAGGTAAGTAGAAATCAAGAAAGGGCAAAGTAGTCAATACTTACTGTGGTACGCACATCAACGCCTGCAGTGATGCGATTGAGATCGACAGCGTTGTGGTTGGTGTTGTGGTTGATACGACGATCAGTACGAAGTGCTCCACGTTGAAGCGCAGCAGCAATTCGGTCATAGTCTGGATCAACAGGAACAGTTGAACGACCAGTAATGCTGAGGGTCTGGGAGCTGAATACAAGATCTCTTGGATTGCGTCCATTGAGATGGGCTACAAGATTGTAGACATCTGGAGTGTAGGTGGTGACGGTGATGCTGTACTGTTGCAACGTTAGGCAATGACAAGGAGCCAGGAGGTAGGAACTTACTTTGTCATAGTCACCAGTGAGAAGATCCTTGGCAACAGCAACAGCATCTGTATTGTAGAACTCGACACGGAACTCGCGGAATTGAGTGTGACTTGATGGATCGAGCGGATCAAGAGCATGAAGGGCCTTGACATCACCACACTGGCCAAGCAGACGTCTCATCTCATTGATGATAGGTTGAGCAGGGATGACCCAAGAAGTATAGCGAACAGTAATGATTGCCTGTCCATGGAAGTCAGAGACGACAGCTGGGTCTTGGTTGAGGTCGGCAGCGAGAGTCTTGGGGCTCATGTAGATGGCACGAGCACCAGGAACAAGATAAGGAACGCTGTCGAAGGCTTTCTTGGCATCACGGATGTCGCCAAAAGAGACAGTAAAGGCTCCATCGCGAAGGACCTGAACAGCATTGATGTACTTCAATGACGGAAACACCGATGGCTGAAACGTCAGTGACGCAAACGTCAGTGTGGGAGGGGAAGACATACTGAGAAGGACACAGCAATGGCAGCTGTAGGATAGTCAAGTGGAATGCCACCAACGAGGAAGGAACGGAACAGATGCTCATCAGTGGTGAAAGATCCTTCGGCTAGCTCAACCTTGGAGATGAAGCTTCTGCCGTGGTGCTTCTCACGAGCGCTGGATTCAGTTCCACGAATAATCATCTTGTGGCGGACTTCAAACTCATGTCGGCCACGATGCTCAGGGGTAAGGGCAGGGCAATTTTCAGGAGTGAGGGCTGGTCCACCAAGCTCTGCATGAGTGTGGACAGCAGCCTTCTGGAGGGTGTTAGCAAAACACCAACGTGAGGGAGACCGCCAAGCAGGGGCAATCTTACAGCAACACCGGTACCATCGTCGGAGAATTCGTCAGAATCGACAAGATCCTCGTCAGACACAAGGAGCTGGCGAACCTCAGCTTGGCCAACAATGTTGACGAGCTCAGCTGGAATGTCGAAGACATTGTGAAGACGCGGAGTGAAGACCTCGGCAGTGGGAGACAGTCTGGTAGAAGTAGTAGGGGTGGGTGCAGACAAGAAGACATCATCATCGAGACTGTTTGGTGTTAGCGAATGTGAAGGGAGTGTAACACCATAGCACTCAGCCTTGGGAGACTTACCGAGCAGTGTCCACAAAGATGGTATTGCGAGGTCCACGACGCTTATTGCCAGTGGAAGCACGTCCAGCAGTGCCTGGAGCGGCTTTGGGAGTAAAAGCAGTAAGGTTGGTGGAAGGGGTGCCAGTGGAAGTAGTCTCATCAGAGGCAAGTGGGCTGGAAGCCATGGCAACGGCAGTGGATGGAGACATTGCTGTTTGATAGTGATATTGTTAGGTGGACAACGTGATAGAGAAATGGTACTTGGGCAAGAGAATGCTTGAGCTGAGGGACTGTGCCGATGCACTGGCTACCCAGGACCAGTCGTGAGGGCTCACGTTGCCACAACGGCGACGTCAACGTCTCAGAGAAGAGGATGGAGAGAGAGAATAAGGGGCAGCAGGGCAAGAAAATTTGAGGAGTTGAACTTGCGTCGCTGTTGAAAGAAGACAAGACACAAAACCAAGACGTTGGGAACAGGACTCACCTTGGAAAGTAGCTCCAACCTTCTTGCGAGTCATTGCTCAAGCGGAGAGGGAGATTGACAGGGAGCGGTAAAGAGCGTGATGAATAGGAAAGAATAACGAAGAAATCGGTACTGAAAGAGTGTGGGAACAAAGAGTGTTCGAAAAGAGCGTGGTAGAGAGGATGAGGAAGTGAGAAGAGAGGAGGGAAAGGAAGGAGGTTTAAATATGAGAAGAGGAAAGAGCAGCTGGGTTGTGTAGCGACCGAACGGGGTATGGTGCGATGAGCAATTCACAACAATGTCGATGGTTGCAATGAACTGAAGGCATGAGCAGGTCGTCGCCGCGGCGATGACCATCTGCAAACCACGAAGAGCGTCGTGGTGTCGTGGGGATCCGCACACAATTTGTATGCGAGAGACCACGAAAATCCATGCGTTCACGACACCGGCCATAGATGCACCCCCGTCTGGCTGCTGCGTACTTGCCTCACCAGTGCTCTTACTCTTTGCACCTGCCCATGCAACGGCTTGGCATTCGAGTTAACAAAGCACATGACATCCAGCACATGTGACCGCTTAGTCGGCGAGAATATTGCTTGTGGGCACTTGTAGGTATGAGTAGGGCTTCCAAGGTGTCCATGGCAGAATAGTGCTTCAAAGATGTCCATAGCAGCACCTGCAATCAAATGCCCAAGGGATTGGCACTTTGAACAGTTTTTTCTCTCCTCTCCCCTGCAGCGTACCGGGGCGCCACGTTGAGGAAGTCCAAGTTGAACGTGCTTCCACTGCTAGTGTCAGTGCTTTGCAGCCTCAGTGCTCTGTTCCAAAAGAAACAAAGAAAGAAAGAAAGAAAGAAAGAAAGAAAGAAAGCACGCTCCCCCAAGTTTAGGCAAGTTGAAGTATTGACTCCCACCTAGATATGGTCCACAAGCTCTTCATCATAAACGTGCAGCTCAGAGACATCGTGGCTAACATACACACCACAGCACTAAGCTCTATGAGGCTTCGTGATTGAGAATCCCGTCAAAGGTTGTGATGATGAGAAGGAAGAAGGATTGACGAGCAAGAGTGTTGTTGGACATGATGATAATGAGATATATGTCAAAGGCAATACCGAGGTTCTTCCGAGGCGCTAGCTGGATTGCGTTAGCGTCCCCTTACCTGCTACACAGGGATGGATAATGGTCTTCAGGCAGCTCTACGTAGTCTACGACTCTACGGGTACAAGAAACGTGGGAGACACACATATGCATATGCCCTTTGTCCAGAATATCTACCTACTCAATCTTGCGACGAAATCAGGAAGATGAAACAAATGATAAGATTGACATACTAGGATAAAGTTGACCTTCAGAACTCACAGATCCAGTCAGGGGCTCTAGAGGCACCTACCTAAGTTGAGACACGTCTTTACTCGTGATTCCAGAGCACTAGGAGCCTCTAGCTGTGTTGAGAGCAATGCCTTCCATGGCACCGTACAAAAATGACATGAATAGCGTCCTTCAACAAGTGCGTCTCTGTTGATCCTGCCGAGATATCCGCTGACATCTAGGTTAGATTGTGACTTCATCGTCAGATGCAGATACACTTGACCAGCTGATCCCCTACATCAAGGATTACAGCTATGGAAACAAAACATCACATCTGCTTGGACAGCTATCAGACCTGGCAGCGGCCAGGGAGGCCGAAATCGAAAGGCAATGTAACACGAACCACCAAGAATTCGTGAAATCTGTCAACCAGTTGCTTCGTATTCGCGAAGGAACAGTGACTTTGACGAATGAGATCCTGGAGCTGAACCAGTCCATCCAAGCAAGTACAGAAAAACTGGTTGAGCAGAAGAAAGCTCTGGTGGAATCTCGAGGTGTTAGGCAGAACATCGATGAGGCTAACCATGCTTTACAAGATTGCCTAGAAGTCCTTCGACTAGCGAATCAAGTCCAAGAGCTTCGCGATCAGAAGAAGCACTATGCTGCTCTGAGGGCTTTAGACGAACTTCAAAGTGTTCACCTACAAAGCGTGACGCAGTATCAGCTGAGCGAAATCATTCAATCATCCGTTCCGGCAACACAGAAATCCATCGCCGAAGCCGTCATGGCTGATCTGAACACCTGGCTATTTCGCGTCCGTGAGATGTCTCAGTACCTGGGTGAACTGTCCTTCTACCATACGGATCTGCGTCAGAAGAGACAGAAGGAGAGAGCCGAGAAGAACCAGTATCTAGCCAATTTTAGATTGAACTCAGCCATCGAACTTGTAGCCGACGAACGTGAGGAGCTGAATTTGCTCAAGAGCGAGGACCTCGAAGTTGATTTTACACCGCTATTCGAGGCACTACACATCCACAGATCCTTAGGTCAAATGGACAAGTTCAAGGCAGATTACGGCGCCAGCCGAAAGGCGCAGCGAGATTTGTTGCTACAAAACTCAATATCTCTCGTAGATGAAGAGATGGGTGACCTACACTCCTTGCTAGAAGACATCGCAGGGTTTGCGATCATGGAGAGAGCAACAATGAAGAAGGTGCCTGATCTTCGGTCAACTACAGACGTGAGTGGGCAACAACGACAACTGAAACTCCAAGGTTTTAAACCAAGAAAGCTAACACAACATGTCTAACCAGGTCGAGGAAAACTGGGACTCGCTGTGCCAAACAGCAATCAGTCTGATGTCGAAAGCATTGAGCGCAGTCGATAATGCGGAACACCTGCTGAAGATCAAGAACTTGCTGTCCCTGTTCATCCAGACGATGAACTCATTCAATTTCAACACGAGCGCGATGTCGAAGTTCGTCTTGGTCCTGTTCGACAGCTACGCGGAGCTCCTCGAGCAGCGATTCAGCGAAGACTTCATCGAGATCGTGTCGACCGACGACTACATGCCGATGCCGATCCAGAACGCCGAGGAGTTCGAAAAGGTCGTCAACGTCTCGTGGTACATGCCGGACCGGCCGGTGCAGGAGATGGCCTTCCCGACCGTCTTTCCCTTCTCGCAAATGTACCCGCTCTGCTGCATCGATATCCGAAACTTCCTAAACCAATTCTACTTCTTCAACTCACAGGACGACGCGCCGGGACCGTTGTCCGCCAAAATCGATGCACAGCTCCTCACATCTCTGGACGACCTTTTAACCACCAAAGTCTGCGCAAGCCTAGTCTCGAAGCTCTCGTCGCAATACCTGGGCCAAATCGTGCAGATCCTCATTAACCTCTCCCACTTCACGACGGCGTGCCACGAGCTCGAGTCTCTCCTCTCCACCGCCCGCGCCTCCTCCCTCACGCCCGGCCCAGCCGTGTCCCTGCGCGCGACCTCCCAATTCTCCACCCACCAAAAGACGGCCGAGAACCGCATCTTCGAGCTTGTGAACAGCAAGGTGTCCGACCTGATCGAGACGGCAGAGTACGACTGGCTCAGCCGGGTACCACCGTCCGAGCCCTCCAACTACATCCTCACCCTGACCCGCTACCTCGCCAACATCATCAACTCGGTGCTCCTCTCGCTCCCCTCCTCCCTGAAAGACCTCATGCTCTTCAACGCGATCTCGCACACTGCCTCCTCCATCCTCTCCCTCCCATTGAACCCCTCAGTCGAGCGCATCACGACCACCTCCATCTCCCAGCTCTCGATGGACATCTCGCACTTCCGCTCCTACGTGGAGACGCTCCCCAACAACTCGATTCTACTCGAGTCGCTCGACGAGCTCGTCCAGACCGTCGCCCTCATGTCCACCGACCAGCCGGACGAGTTCTACGACATTTCGCTTCGTAATAAGAAATACCGCAACGTCGACCCGCTGAAGGGTCCGCAGCTGTTGGAGAAAGTCGTGCATGTTGATGTGCGGAGCCCGACACTGAGTGATCGCGGAAGCAGTGGTGGAACCCAGAGCCCGGCCCTGAGCCACCATGCCAGCACGGGGAGTAGAGCTCCCGGCAATACGTTTGCGGCGCTGCAGAACCGCTTCATGCACAGTGGAAGGTGATTTTGGGTTACTTACGATAACACGCGTCTTGCTGTCAATGGAGCGTTTGTACGGTAGAGCGGGGCAGCTGTGCTTGTTCAATGCGTTGCATCTTGCACTGGGCACGAGGACTACACGGATCAAAGTCCATTGCACGTGCTAGGAAATCGTTTGAGCACATTTGATATTCTCATAGGTTAGTTTATCAATGTGACAACTGGACAAATAGGCCCCGAAGCAAAGACTATTGTGTGCTTGTCTTCCCTGAGCTGTCCCTCAACTTGCCTCATGAAGTGAATTTCTAGATAGTGTTCGTCTACGCGGGACCGAAGCGGTCAACAAAGCAGTCAATTTTACGATTACATTCTTCCCTCGAGGTAGCTCTAGGCCGAGTTCACCCTTTTCAAACTCCTGGATAGTAGAAGAGATCGCATTCGGGTTTGTTGATCCCGCAAGTCCGCTCCTTAATTTGTTAAATGAAAGAGGATGGTAGTGGAACTGGGATGCGGGATGACTCAGTAACCGAAAAAGTATCATTCTTGTTTTGTTTGTGCAGACTTGCACTGGGTCCTGGTCGGCGTATTTGCTTGTGTTCTGGACGGTTCAGTCGGACAGATCAAAGTACAGACCCTCAAGAACCCATGGTATCATCTTTATGTTGCTGCAATCGCAGACTTCAACATAAAAGGAAAACATTTCGCAGCGCAGAAATTGCAATTTCACAGTTCAGCTAGGACCATAAGCTTGCTCTTGCTCATTCCTGCCTGCTGTTCCTGGTCTCGGTCCTCCGTAGCCCTGGCTTTGTGGACGTTGTCCGGGAATGCCTGAATACATCTGCAGTGAGTGAGTTTCAGTCAGTAGCGGTCCAATTGTGCATGAATTATAATGCAAGAACAAGCTGAAGAAAAGGTGTTCAAGGAGCACATGGGCTTACCTGTTGTGCACCAGCTCCTCCAAATTGTCCTTGGGTATATGGATTATACATGTCCCCACCACCAAACATCTGCGGAGCCTGGCCGTAACCTTGATTCGGATCTTGTTGGCCATCTGCTCCCATATGTCCCGGATACATCTGAGGTCTTCCATATTGACTATCAGGTGGTCCCATGGTCCCATGCTGCAGACCATAATCTGGTGGAGCCATTTGTGGTGGCGGCTGTTGGGGGATCTGAGCTGCTGCGGCCTGACCACTGGTATTAGGGCGCTTAGCAGAGCCTCCATGGCCACTGCTCTCCTCCCTTGGCACAATATCGATCAAAAAATCGAACATGTCGCTCTTACCCAATGCAGCAGCAATATCACTCCGTTGAAGTGTCCTCCTCTTGTTGTCTTCAGCATGGATCCATGCTCGCATTGTTAACTCAGTAATGAAGATATCGCAGCCTTTGGCGAAGAGAATGGGTGCTTCGGCGGAAATCATCTTGACTTCTGGGTCAGCTTTCATCACCTTCTTGATGCGCGCAAGGGGCAATTGATGGATTTTGAAGTCGTGGGTATCCGTTTCGAGGTGATTGATTGTCTGTTGCCAATATGTGGCCAGAATCTCACGTGAAGGTCCAGTGAGTCCTTGATTGATCTGATAAGGGGGTTAGTTGTCGCTTCACAGCCACCTCGAGCGAGTCTAATTGCTCACATTCGACCATAGCCCGGAGTAGAGCTCAGTATGGGGTACATAGCCTTGTGCCGATAACTGTGATGACTCAGAATCAGTTTCCAGTGCTGCAGGACACAAGCGGGGGGGACGAAGAGCTCATGAGCCCCTCTCGACTGTAATGGGTGCATCGCGCACAGCTCGTCAGGTTCGTGGATTGAGACAAGGCCGTGACCGCTGCAATTAGACAGACTCGGGAACTGCGATTGGTGCATTTGCTCACGAAAAGGATGGTTACATACTGCTGCGCTTGCTCCTGTACATGCGCGTCTGTTAGTCTTTGTCCGGTATTGAACAATGCCATTATATTCTACTTGCCATAATGGCCCAGCCCACTGCCGGGATCATAGACTGGCGGGTCGACTTTCCGGTCAGCCATATTAGGAATCTGTGAAGATAGAAGATGGAGGGCACCCGGTTGAGCTGTGCCTGCAGTCTCTCAAATGCGCCGGAAGATATGGCATGCGCAGAGGCGTGTAGAAGAGGGTTGGAGGAGGTTGGGGAGTTTCAGGCAACGTATACGAAGGTAGAGCCAGGAGAAACAGGAAACGGTGATGATAAATTGGATGACGGAACGAGAAAGCAAAGTCGGTGTGCGGCTGGAAGGGAAGCTGCGATCAATGCGGTTTTGCAAGGCAGGAGCGAGGCTCAAAAGCGGCTGGGACTCTGGGACTCTGGGAGGAGGCAGTTGCAGCGGACTGTGGCAGAGAGGGCAGTTGCGGTGGCAGCCAGAGAAGTGGGCGGGGTATCACTTCCTCTTCCTCTTCAACAGCGAGAGCTCGAGCTTTGCCAGTGCCAGTGCGGGCGCCTCTCACACTTTGTAGTTTCCAGCATGGCATTTTTGTATTTCCTCTGCTCTCTTCTCGGGCTGGTTCATGGTCTGCCTCCGTCATCAGAGCCTTGCTCCTCACGACGGCTTTTGTAAACAAGCCATTCTGCGGCCAATCGGGCGACCCAGTCCAAAGACCAATGATGGAGACAACTTGCCACATCACGCCTGCTACTGGCTACCGCTCCGCCCTATGGACTGCTTCACTTTTAAAGGTTGATTTGCTCAGGTGATGGGATTTTTCAGGTACAAAACTATCCGGGTTCGCTGGCAAAGCACTGCTCCCAGCCCTCGTCGATTGAGTCAAGGCACCGTTGCGCAACACCCAGCAGACCAAGCAAGGGTACCCATCATATGACAACCAGCCGATGAGAAGTCCTTTCGCTCGCTCCGTGCCTTACGTATAAATCCACTTGTCTCATGCACTTGTTTTTTGTTCCTGATGATCATCGTCTACCTCAGACTCTTCTGACGTTTCTTCAGAACACCAATAATAAGGCTGATAGGGGGCTATTCTTCCTCTGCAACGAGAATGATTCTTCGGAAGTTGTAGAGAACCTATTCCAAACAGTGCCGTCTTCTGCCCCGACAATGTCTTCACAGTGCGGAGGATGACGCCAGTCGCTTCATTTTGACCGACGCTGGATTACAGCTGAGGTTCCTTCCGGCGTTCAGGAAACGAGGCTGCACCGATGGCATCACGGTTGGGCATCATTGCAGCTGACCCTTGTCGTGGTGAACACCGCCTGATGCGTTGTCAATCCTGCATCTCAACCCAGATATCGGGGTTGGGTTAGGTAAGATAAGCCAAGAGCCATGAAAGCTCTCCGGGTGGCTCTACGGTTGAGCAAGCCACGATTGAATGCACAGACCATCAGTGCTAGGATTGCTCATATACCATCACAGTGCGCTTAAACAAGCTGTGGGAAACACATCTGGAGTAAATTTCAGATCTCCTGGCCAAAGGGAGGGGAATCGAAACGTTAGTATCTCCTCAGGAATTTGCCATCCTGTTTGCCGAGCGCCTGGTCTCCCGCGTGGAAGTCTCCGTCAAACACGAGAAGAATCCTTCTCACCCTGTTCCCCTGGAGGGCTTGAGTAGGACCTGTTATTCATGGAAAATGCGGCTTCGAGGTCAAGGTAAAGTGAGCTTTGAAACGCCTGCACAAATTTGTGATGGAATATCTCAAGGATTGAGGTAGTCCTCTGGTACCGTGGTATGTAAATGTTCGTGACCTGGAGCTCTTTGCTCCTGGCGCGCAGACTCATCGTTGACGATCAAGACGCCAACAACTCCCCTACGATATGTCGCCGCCCCATGGCAATTGATCATTCCAGCTGGTGACAAAGTTGGAAGCAATCTAAATCAATTCTCGAAGCTCTTCAAGCTAATTAGTTGCATGATCCAAGACAATAGCCACAATATGGAGTAAATTGTGCATAGAATATCCGAGATCCTCTCCCAAGGTCTGAGCTAGCGATTCCACACACTTGGGCCAAAGGTTTAATTGTCGCTGCGAAGGAGGAGTGTCCGTATGTGAAGCTAGAGTGATGCTAGCTTTCAAACGAAGGACGAATATCCATAGCTCCTGCGTCATACGGAGAGGGAGCACTAATTCGGGCTGACGATTGAGAAAATTACGTGTTCCCGACGGAGGACTCGGTGCCGATAAGAAACTCCGGACTGGCAAGCGAGTGGTTCCAGTATTCAGAAGAATCTGCCACCGGTGTTTTGATATACCTGCACTCCCATGTAGTCCCACGGAAATCGCTGATATACGAGTACGCTGCTCCAGCGAAGTCAAATTATGTGGTCGCCTAAGTTCACATGATTAGCCATAGTTCGTGCTTCTTTGGCTTCTCACTATTACCCAAGGTCGGCGTTTTTTTGTTTTTTTTCAAGCAATGGCATTTCCAGAAATGAACACTCAGTCGGGAAATCGAGTAACGTATTTTACATACCTACGTGGCGTGCAACTACTTTCCCAACGTTCACCCCAGCGGTCAGGGGTTCAGAGGCTTTGACCCGCCAAGTATGGCTAGGAAACTTGGCACTGATATCAACAGCGCTCGATGTCGGGCCCATTACCAGACTGGCATCAACGAGCAGACCAAGACTTCGTGACCCAGATATTATCGACCCTACTCGTACAATATAGAGAAGTCCTCCACGTGTTCTTAGCAAACTAAATGGTACTACGGCAATCCTCAGTACCTCGTAGCTCATACAGAGCTTCAACGCATGCTGGTTCCAGGACTTGTTAGCGATGCGAAGAGTATTGTTTAGCGAAGAGCAGATGTTCCAGCACGCCTTTTCTGGGCTCTGAGGTTGCAAGGCTGCGGTGACGAGGCTGTGCTGTGTTCGGCAAACTTTCCGGTGTGGGCGGAGACCAACCACAAAATATTTCCCCAACCTTAAATCTCTGATGTGCTCTTCTCATGTTGCTGGGCTGTGAATGAATATGATATCTTATGTCTCGCGAGTGGAGTCTCTCTTTTCTAGCCAGTCCATAGAGTCCCTGGATTTTGCCTCGTCATGACAAGTGAGATCCTCAGCGATGCACAGATCGATCAACTTCTCCTTGACGCAGAAGCACGACTACGAGCAAGAGTAGCACAACTTGCTCCTGCTGGCATCCAGAACGAGGTAAGCCTAGAGACAGGTGAGCCCAGAGCGAAACACAGAAAACCGTAAGCATCAAAATCTCAGTTGGAACATCACTTCTAATACATCCACAGCCTGCCGAAACTGCGCCATGGACTGGACCGAACAGGATACCTCAAGGACAGCAATGGTGTTGTGCAGACCGACCCCAAAGCACTAGTGAAATCCTCTCAGACGCCGCTATCAAGTGACCTGCGATCAGTTGATGACGCGAAGAAATCAAACAAGATTGTACGTTCATTACTCGCCCTCTCCCAAGCCTACTACATGAGGAAAATCAATCCCAAATTTCTCCTTGATGCAGACCAGCAGTCCTTTTTGGCCTGCCCTGCTTCCGTGAGAGCATATTATTTCATAGTTACTCTGACTTTGATATCTTCCGTCTCTACTGTACTCTTCGTTTGTGTTTAAACCCATACTAAACCGAACAGAATGATCAGCTCAATGCCGGCCCTGAATGGTTCGGGCTCCCGAAAACCGATCTTACTCCTCAGTTGAAGCGAGACCTTCAACTCATTGAAATGCGATCCGTCCTTGACCCGCATCGACACTACAAAAAGAATAACCGCAAGGGCAAAATTCCCACCTTTTCACAAACGGGCACGGTGATCGAAGGGCCGACCGAGTTCTACAGCTCAAGAATCAACAAAAAGGATCGCACGAAGAACTTCGTTGAAGAGGCCATCGCTATCGAACGAGTCACTGGCCGGTTCAAGCGGAAATACACAGAGATTCAACACAAATCAACCAGCGGCAGGAAGGAGCATTACAAGAAACTCATGGCCCAAAGAAAGAAGAAACACTGAATCTAGACCAGAGTTGCTTGATATTCTCAACCCGAGTCGCGGTTCCTCCTAGAAAGAACGAGGAAGATCTCCTTTCCGAGTTGGCCATCCATTGGCGTGTTTGGTTGCTATGCACAACAGCCTTCCGAAGCGATAGCTGCCCTTGCCGACCCAAATGAACCCGCACTCATGTGAAATGAGATGCTCAGAGATGGCTAGGGGATCTGTCATACCATTGTGTAAATGCTGCACGCCATACGATGAGATGGAACCTGCGCTGCACCAGCCTGCGAACGTTACTGGCTTTGATGAGGCCATCGTATTCCAAGGGGATCGTCATTCTGAGGCTACGAGGAGAGGAGTCTACAAGAATGAATGTCTCGGCGAGTTATCGCTCAACGGCGGTGACAAAAGTGCTCCATACCCGGCAAGACGTGTAGCTCCGACATTGGCTGCCACGGCACAGGCTTGCTCTATGATCACCACTCCGGGCACCTCTCGGATGATCCACGACGCCCAGACATCACGTTCACACACCTTTTCGGTTAAGTGGGCGATTGATATTGTGTCAAGCAGCGCCAGTTCAGGTCAAGCGGCGCCAACGATGTTCAGGGGAGAAGCGGAGATTGTTTGTTGACACTGGCCAGCCTCTGTGAAGGCTGGTTCGTATGGAATACAGTAGCCGTACTCCGTATTTAGTCCGGAATAGACGGGTTCTTGGGGTAATTCGAGAAGCGATGGCGATAAGCGAGTCACGACGGCGCCGTAATCCACTGAAAGGGGGAGATTTGGAGGGACGGATGATTCGTAGCAGCTGTGCATAAACGGATGATGGATCGTCTTGTTTTGCAACTCCTGAGTCCTGAGTCCTGACGGTTAGGCCTGGTCTGCAATTCCTCCGTAATATCCTTAAAACGGCCTGAGGGAGCCACCCCCTTGGGCGCCTTCAATTTGGGATGATGAATTAATTGCTTGTGTGGCAGCCTACCGCGTACAGAATTCCTTCTCTTGCACGGATCTGACCCAAGGGTAAGACCAGATGTTGCAGACACCGTCAGATCATCAGGTCTAGTGACCATTTGTCTGTCTTATGCCTCCACTGGCACCCAGACGGGCGTGCCAGCAGAGGTTAGTCAGTCGAGTTCAGCTTGCAGGGCTGGAGAACGCCCTCGGTTTGCATGCTGCTAGTGCCGACCAACGCCTGTGATCCCTGAATCCCTGACCGGTAGGTACATACGAGTCCTGGGCACACCGTACTTATCAGCGGTCCTGTGCCTGATGCGATGTGCATATGTTTTACTTGCCACTGCCATTTTTGTATTGGATAACCTGGAATCTTGCTTTTTGCAAGCTGGTCAACCATCACTGCGATCCCGGGTGGGCTTATCTATCTGGACCTTGGACCTCCTATGTATCCGTACGAGTACGTCTGCCAGTGGTTCGATCGCTAATGGGAAGCCACGGCAAATCCAAGAATCATTATTTACTGTCATGGATGATTATCGTGGACCAGGGACTCGGTTTCTTGAGGGTATGCAAGGCGTTGATCCTTCACCCGATGTCCTCCTCACTTCGGTTAAAGAACGCCCGCTCTCATTTTAGTCAATGACCGTCCATAAGAAGCGATACTGTTTAGTCTGTTACAGTACCGGCGCCATCAGGGTCACCAACATCTAACTGAATTTGGCACGAGTGGGCAGCCACACAGTAATATTTCCCAGATGAGGATTATGTACGGAGTACTCGGTCCCCAGGTCAATCAAAAAGGTCACGTCAATAGTCGGTAGTTGCAGGCTCTTTGCCAGCTGAAATTCAAATCGTTCGTTGAATCGGGATGGACCATGTACCCGGCTTACCTGGCCGCCTTGAGGGAGGCACAAACAAGAAACGATATGTGAGACAAGCCATTTGCGCCTTAGCGATCCCAAGTCCTCGTCAAGGCCATATCCGGGAGGACAACGCAATTGTCAAGAAAGGTTGACCTTCTCCGACTTTGCGTGACCTCTGGGTCGAGGGAGGGCTCCTCGGTCTCTCGTGTTCCCTGCCACCACTGGATCACTAGTCTGCTAGTGTCGACTCGCTTGCCAGGCCATGTCATCTTCCCTCCAGGTCTCTGCAGCTGGCCTGAAGGGAGCAGACCCCTGTTACCATGCGGGTCTCCTGCCTAGAGCCTTGGAGCCTTGGAGCCCTAGGGCCCCAGAGCTGCCGCTGTGCAAGGGGTAGCTCGTTGCCAATCGCCGCAAGGTCGAACCAGGCGTGGCCAGATTGGCCAACAGGAGACCTGCGCCTTAACTTCGCCCCATTGGCGTTGATATCTTTAGCCCGCGCCACTGGCATCCTGGTCCAACATGCTAAGCTCTTCTGCGCCCCAGCCAGCGAGCCTGGTCATAGAATTGTCCAACTTGGCTATAATCCCAGATCCCCTCCAATGTCCAACACGGGTCGAACCCAACCACCTTGCCTAGAGACAAGCATTTTCGGATCTAAATTCTGCGGTATTGAGAAGCGATATTCAAAGTTCCTGGACCTGGGCATCGTTCGTTCTTCAATCGACTTCAACCCTGCTCGTTGCACTGATCCATTCGACATCCATGCGCAATGCGTCCGTGGGTTGAAATCTCATTACAACTTGAACGCTTTGTCCAGCAACTCTTGACAGCAGGCGCCCGCAAGAGCTCGGTCCTGCAACTTTGACTTGGGTCAACTTAAGCATGACGTCTATTCTGCGCTTAAATAAAGACCGCTCCTCATTTCTATTCAGGAGGAATGGCGCCAACGATGGTGCCAACAATGACAAGCTTGAATTGACTTTGCCTGACATTTCGCGGCTGGATACCAAATCCTTTTCCGACCTGTTCGACCAATTCACAAATTATCCCACTCCGGATGAGCCCACAGCACATATATACGAATCACCGACTTCATCATTGTCGACGAGGTTCACAGCAGCAGGAGGCGCCAAACCAGATCTACGAACCCAGGCAATGATGAGCCAAAAGACTTACGGCAACCAGTATAGTAATCTGTACCTCGATATAGCCAGGAACGACTCCACAGGATCCTCCCGTTACTCTCAAGCCAGTCAAAGAGAGAGCGACTTCTCGCCTTTGGTCACAAGGCAATCTTCGAGCTCCAGCTATTCACCTTGTCTTGAGCCTTGGTCTACAGACTCTACCGCCGTGCCGGCGAAGAACAAGCCATCAAATATATCAATAAAATCTGTTAAGCATGCTTCGGCCGGCACCAGCGGATCATACGAAACAACGCATCGTTCAAGATCGAAGGCAAGATCACCTGGCAATCAATTACCCCTATCACCTTTGAACCTTGACAAGCCTCTGCCTCCAGGCCCAGATGAGCGGAAGGCTGCATCATTATCAGCACCTAATTTACTTCTCACCCAGTCAAGCAAATCCGTCAAGCCGGTAATCAAGCATAATCGATGCCTTCTATCAACACCGACGCCTAGCCAGCCAGCATTTTCTCATCCCGAGAGAACGACTTCTGTAAGGCGCGCATCGACTGGGCAATCAATATCGGAATTGCCCGCCTGGACACCAAAAGCAATTCGAGAAGCACGGCGAGGAAAGGCAGCAGCACCTGCTCACCGAAGGAAACGCTCTGCATCCGAAGACGTCGCATCTCGGGATCCCACTATCACACTTCAAAAGCGCCATACGATGAATATCACACCATCTTCGGTCCCAGCTACAATGACCGGCGGTTTACAATTGCCTAAACGTCGCCGGCAACAGCCACATAGTCTGATCTCAGCTACTACAGCGGAAAATGTCATCCACAGGATCATGAGCAATCTCGATAGCCTTGATGATTTGGTGTCTGCAGCACTCGTGAGTAAAGGCTTCTTGAGGACGTTTCAGCGCAATGAATCCGCACTGGTCAGCCATATCATGTTCAAGACTTCTCCTCCTGCATGGGAGCTGCGGCGAAGTATTTTGGCTCAGCAAGATTCGAATATCTTTAGTGTCAAAGACTTTCGAGATGACTTCAAGACACTGGCAACCTGGCGGGACTATGCTTTGAAACAACACCACCGAAATGGGTCATTGTTCAAGCCTGCTACACTCGATGGGCTACTTGGCTATAACGAGCAAAGAAGGGTCGATGTTGAAAATGCATTCCAGCGCATCTGGACGTTCTGTGTGCTCTTTGGCGGGTCGACTGATCAAGCCGGAACAGCCCAGATACAGATTGATTGGCTCAATGGCAGCAGGGCTCCAAAGAATCAGAAACTTGGAGCAGGTTTCGGAGTCGGCAACCACAAAGGCCTAGGCACCTCGGAGCTGGAAGACATTAGTGAGATCTGGCATTCTCTACAAAGCCTGCTCGCAGGCTTTCACGGACGAGAGCAAGAAGCTCGAAGGTACGGTGTGTTTGACAATTGGCAAGTTGGACAGAACACTTCAGAGCAGGAACACCTGACCGAGTGGATTTCGCACTTGGTCGCACTTGGACCGCGAACTCTGCTTTCAGTTTCTTCTTGTTCATTCCAACAAGCGGCCGCACTAGGCCTCTCAATGAATTGGGGACTGCCTCCAGTAGGTCAGAGTCGAACCTCCTTTCTCATGGCGGCTATCTCACAGGTATATCAAGACCGACTAATCGAAGAAGCAACGCTGAAGGCTGCCCGATTCTCAATGCCTAGGATACCTACTCATAGACCGACGAGATCATTCGATGAGAGGCAATTAAGCACTGTTGATCCCAGTACTACGAAGATAACGCATGCGCAATCCTTACGCATCGACACTTCCGTTCCAAAGAGAAGACCAGTCTCGACTTTTGTTACAGCAACTGCTAGTACACGCCTCGAAATCCGTCCCGATTGTGACCCTCTCAATCTTCCATCTGGAGTGTCTAACATCCTACCCACGTCACCTTCGGCGGATCCATCAGTTTTCTACGGACTGGCTGCGGCCCCTGCTGTAAGTACCAAACTTGGTGCTACGCTTTTCCCAATGCAGTACGCCGTTCCTGGGCCCAGGATACCTTTTCAGCAGCCAGAACGGGCCGCACAGACAAACTTCGAGGTGATTGACCCCGTCGATAAAGCCATGAATGTGCTCGTAAAAGAGTTAGGTTTTGAAGAAACAAGAGCAAGAAAGGCGTTAGCTATGTGTGATAGCGGCTCTGGTATCGACCTGCAAAAGGCTGTTGAATTGTTAGCGATCGATGCAAAAGCTGTAACTCGACGTCCAGTGTCTCCTGTGGAGCTACCAACGCCCCAGGATCTCGTCAGCCCGAAAGCTGGCAGAAAGCAGCCCAAAACTTACTGTAGCGGGCACTGCAAGACCAGTGGCAGCGTTCACTCGAGGAAGAAATCCACTGGAAGTGCGTCGATTGCTTCCGTTAGTCCTATATCGATGATAGAGGAACGACGGTGGCAAAGTACGGTGACGGTTCAAACGACAGGAGCAGAAACGACACCACGCGCAAAGAGCGTGGGCTTCAAAGCATGGAAAGTCCTCGGAATGAACGATAAGCCATATCGAAAGAATTCTATCCTTGGAATGGAAGAATACCAGGCAAAAGTTGAAAGGAAAAAGAGCATGCGGGCGACCAGTGGGAGTCAAGCCCCAAGAGTCAAGGAAGGCCTCAGCACGAATTTACTGGGAATTGGTCTCGGCATGGGCGGTTCTGCCGTTGGCAAGAATGCAGAAACTCAGTTGGAACACGCCAGAGCGAAAGAGCGGTTGAAGAAGGAAAGACCTGGGACTTTTTACAGGCCACGAAACAATGCCAGTGCACCACTGTTCACTTGAACGATTGTGTTTTTGGCAAAACCGAACCTCAATGCCCACAAGCAAAGACGATCACTTCTAGTCTTATTCTCCAGGCACGGGCACAAGGAATACACCACGATATATGTGTTCCTTCCTACCACCGAAGCCACTGTATTATATATAATCTTGGGATGGACATGAAAACCAGGAACGCCATGACCTGGCCTTTTGTAGCGGCAAAGCAAGGGAGCCGCATACATGTGCATACAATACACAACGACGACACAAGACATTTATTATTTCCCCCGCATGAATGAGCAACGGAGGTGGAATGCAAGCAAACGAAGACTTTTCTGGAGACGAAGTCACTCCCACATGCACGTATTTGAGCGAGAATCAACACTATCAAATACCAAAGATAACATTACGACTTCAAACGCACATACATACACATGGACGCCGCGAACTCTTTATGATGAACGACGAACCTAGCTCATCTGGCACTCTGGCACTCTGGCCAGTATGACCAGAGAGGGCGAAGAGGCTCGGAAAGAAACAGAGAATGCAGCACGCGATACCCATTCCAACAGAAAGATTTGTCTTTGGGGGGAAGGCGTTGTAACAACACATACTTTTGGCAGGCGATTTGTTTTTATCTAGGAGTTTCTTTGGAGTTCAGGCAGACAGTCCCGGACACACAGGGACGGAGAGGGTTGATTCGATCCTTATTTTGGTTGGTAGGGGAGGTGATGTCTTCTGCCATTCCTTCGGATTTTGGGGTTTGTGTTTTTTTGGGTTGACCCGACCCTTTCCTCCCTTTGGACCACATGCAAATTACGAAGACATAACGAATTTTCTTACTAAAGGCATCAAAGACCCGGATTTGCTCGGGCTCAGGGTTCACTACTATACTAGTCAATACCATAACAAACATAAATTGAATAGGGCCGCAAAAATACAAAGCCCTTGCGGAGACAAACCACCATCGTATCTGCCTGCCGACTACTTTTCTTCACCCCCAAATTTTGTAGCCTTTTGTGAATTGATGACATGAGATGATGAGAGGCGTGGCGCCCCAAGAGCGCTCAACCACCTAGGGAAATAATCTAGTAAATCGGTATCATAGCCCCCACGAGAGAAGAAGCGGCTTTCTCGAATCCTCACCGGCCCATACTGGTGTAAAGCCGCCAAAAGATCAATGCCGGGTTTCATGTTCCCATCAGCACATCGCGATATGCACCTGCACCCCATGCATTTGTCCTAGATGCCTCGGCTTGCTTACTTGCCTTGATAGCTGAGTAATTCAAGAATAGCAAGAGCGAGAGAGAAAGAGAAACGGGCCCCCAGGCTAGAACTTGAATTCTTATTTATTGAGGGCGAATTTGCTCAAAGAGAGCGAGAGCGGGACCCGCGCTGGCCTGATCGTGGCAAGGAAGGCTGCTAGACCGAGTAAGGTCAAAGCAGCTTATTCTTCTAATCGAGACTACCAGGCGAGCACCTTATTCTCGGTACATAAGATATAGGCAGGGCAGACCTCACCACTGGGGCATCCGGTCGCGTCATGCGTGGCATATTTGCGCAGCGGCCCTGCGGAGCGGTGCTGCATTTGGTAATTGCTCTACCCGTGGCTATCTTGCTCCTGTGCTGTGGACGGTGTTTCGTACTGATTCATATTGCAGAAGGCACCTAGTCGGGTAGGTGATGGAGTGGTGGCTGCTTTCGAAGCCCGTACAGACCCGTGGCCGTGGCCGACCAGATTCCAAATGCAGTCTTGGGCATTAGTTGAGGGGCTTTCACCGCTAAATCTGGCATTGATGAGGGCACCTAGTGAAGCGAGAGGACATGCATCCGCACTAGGCTTCTTTGGTTGTCATTCACCGTAATATGGTATATCTCCAGGCCAGCAAAAGCAAGGCAGGAATATACCTCACAATCTTACCAAAGAGAAGCTCTCCCTTAGTCTAGTGCTGCAAAGAGACTGAGATAGATACCCCAGAAGAGGCCGACAACGCTGCTGAGAATGACTCGGCGGTCCACAGGGATCAGGGTAAAGTTGATGATGGCAACCAGGGGCCAAAGCTTCCAACTACTGATCATGAGTGGAATTACATCCTGCGTGGAATATGTCAGGTGCTATAACGGGGGGTAGTATAAGGCCGACTCACTCTTTCGACTTCTCGTTGAACGGCCCTCAGACCTTTTCCTTTAAACGCAGCCATTGCAGCAACAAATGCTACAGTGTTGACGAAGGCGCTCAGAGTCTGATCGAAGAGAAGCTTGCGTGCAGTATTGCCTTTATCCAATGTCTTCTCCCCGGTTGCGGCATGGTAGGTATAGCCAGGGAACTTCAGCTCGAGGTATTCCTGCCAAAGGATGTTGGGTGGACATGATATGAGGGTGAAGACGACAAAGTGGAGGAGAGGTCGAACGCTGATGCCGTAGGATCTCTAGAGAATGACGTTTGGTCAGGTATGAACGAGGAAAGAGCGGTTTGTCTGGGCGGGCGAGAGTGGAAGTGTGGTATTAGCACTGTACCTTCTCCCTCTTAGATTTGATGAATTGTGCGAGGATGTTGGAAATAGTTGATAAGACCGCGGCCTGCAACGTGGTAGCTATGATCGCCGTAGGCATATTCGAGGGGTTTGACAGGAGGGGAGCAGGGGATATCTGAGGGTGTCGAACTCAGGACTTATGTCCTTGGGTCGAAGAGGAGCTGTTCAATCCAGGAGCAGCTCTTCATTTCCTCGAGTACTTTGTATGATACGGTGTGTTTGATGAGCACCAGCTAAGCCGGTTGGTTAGGTGGGGGGAAACCGTAGCACCAAGGCAGAGAGGTGGATGGTGGGTCGTCCAAGGCACTGATAATTTACTCGATAAATGAAGCTCCATAGCACGACTGCAAGGGTCAAGTCATTGGAGAACTTCACAGGGGATATTTTTGGTTGGTCAAGAATCGGATTTGGTTCAACTTTGGTCTTTGTAAGTGACTGACCACTTCGGATGCACGATCCACGTTGACACATACTGCACATACTGTACGGAGTACCTTCGTAGTCCATGCGCTTTTGATAGTTAGCAATATTGTAACACCTTAGAATTGGGTTTAGAGTTTTGGCTTGGTGGTTGACAAGTCCAGGCGTGGTCACCACGCGGGAAGGTGTGCCCGAGAGCCCCGAGGAGTCGGGGGCCACTTAGCTTGGCGGATGGCGCCCCCGCAAGCCACATTCGAGTACGAGTACGGAGCATCTGCTTGCGGAGATCTACTCCGTACCACGAGTAGGTCCTCGTAGGCACTCTTTATATCTACGTCGGTCTCTATCAAACGCAAAGGCAGAGCCATCCCTTCAATGTCCTAGCCTCACTGTTGGAAGGGTCCTTGCCTCACCCAGACACTCCGAGGTCTGAAGCAGTTTCTCACTCCAAGTTGAGCGTCACATGCTTGAGCAAGTTGCGTACCTACCTGCCCGAGTAGATGGCCATGAGGAAGGTGCATAGATGGGATATTTGCTAAGGCAGGTGCGCGTCCAGGTCAACCTCGTTACGGCAACCGCGTCTAACGACCTCGATGTTACAACAAAATCGTCATTTCTTCACTCTTGAAGCAACTCAAGCTGCCCTCGCACTTTGTCCATCTTGTCTTCCCTTTGCTTACCATGGAGTTCTTCAAGATTATCTAGCTGCTCGTTATGAATACTTTCTGCACCCTTCGTAGCCCTCCGGGCATCATCCTCGTGTGTTTCTCATGTTTGATAATGATCATTGGCTTTCGCATCACGCCTTCTACCCCATCGTTTCTTTTAGATTCCAACCATCACTTTAAGCAGTTGGCACGAGAATCTATGATGAAGGTCGATCATGTCTTCATCCCTGCCAGCCACAGGTTTATGCATGTTTGGTGTCCTCCACATTAATCCATCGCTTTTGGCTGATAGGTCTACAGTTTGTGGGCAGGTGGATCTCTACCGCAAACCAGCTCAGAAGGGACGCTGCATTTCCTGGTGAGTCTTAGAGCTAGCTCTGCAATTTTGATTTCTAAAAAACCCGTCAGGATCCTACCTTGAGATTGCTCTCACCAACACCACTTCCGTCTACTGCGACTTGAACAATGTAGCCATTCGCGAGCACGACGATGAAGAGGGGATCCTCGTTGATCGAGACACCAATCATGCCGTACTTCAACCGGCGACCACCCGCCAAAAGCCCTCCGGACAAGTCAGTCTGCTTGTGCAGATCAATGAAGAGGTCTACGGCTTCGAAGAGGCATCTGGAATCATTCAGATCGCAGAAGCTCTGGACCCAGAAAGGAGTTATAAATTGAAAATCACTCACCTGGGACGTCCTAATGGTCGCAGTGGCGCCGTTGAAATCAATGGAATTTGGGTCGATAAGCCTTCAGCACTAGAGCAAGGCAACGAAGCCTCCACTCCGAACACCAAGACTGCTCTACGTAATCCACTTCTTTCCCTGGACGAGTCAGACAACCTCATCTCGACCTCAGTCTCTGGTTGGGGGTTGCAAGAGAGGAAAACCATTGAGGTTGTGACACCAGAAACTGCGCTTTGCCCTTTTGAAGCAAAGGAGGACGAGGGAATCCGCAATGCGAGACTGAATATCTGGTCTGAATACTTTCGAAAGAGCCTCTCTCTGGACACCGTTAGCATCCCAACCTCAGATCTGGGTCTTCTACCATACGACGGCTCGCTGACCACAATCAGTGATATGTTTTCTCGCTCCGGCCCAATGTCTACACCACATTTCTCCCGTCCCTGGATATTCAAATCTTATCGTCCATCGATTCTGCTATTGCAACTTGGGCTTGTGGATTTCACCCAATTTTTCGCGGATAAAAAGAATCATGGTGACCATGCCCTCAATCAGTTCAAGGCTGAATTCAAAAGTGCCACCATCAGATTCATTCATAATATCAGAGCAACAGCATATCCATATGATCCAACGACCAAGCAATCGAGACTTGGTGTTGACGGGGACGGTAGCTATAGCTACAACTCAGCCCCCTCAACGTTACCCATCTTCCTCATTGCACCGTTCACTGCATCGCTGCGCTTTGTGACAAAGAAGCGAAAACTGCATACTGTCATATCAGATGTCCTGTCTCAAGCTGCAAGCACCCTGCAGTCCGAAGGAGACAAGTCGACATTTTGGATTGATACGTCCGGTTGGCTGGATTCCGGAGTCGATTTTGCCCCTCGAACCAACTTCACGTCAGGACGAACTCGCCTAGACACCGCGATGCTCACACCTTTTGCCAATTACAAAGTCGCGTCTCTTCTTGCAGACCACCTTTGCCCGTACCTGAAAGTACCCAGTGCTGACCTCTCCGAGGCGAGTAACAACTGCGAGTTCGACCGCTATGACAATTACCTTGGAGATGTTTACATCCCACAAGACGTAGCCTTTGACAGAGCGATGCTCGAGAGGAAGATTGCCATACTCAAGGAGAGATTCAGGGTCTACTCAGACTAAAACATTTGGATGGACTGAGTTACTGGAGGAATTTAAACTTGGCCTGATTCACCTTGCCGGAGAGACGAGGTGTGATCTGATAGGTCACATGAGAGCGATTTTCGAGACCGTAGGATCCCCAATAGGGCCTCTGTACCGGGAAATAGTTGTCGCTTGAATCAAACGTGGAATATGTTGCGAAGGTAAAGCGACGCAAGCAAAGAAATCACACTGTCAGTCGGAATACGGAAAAGCAAGAAGTAAACGGGCTCAATGGACTGAGGAGGCACTCCACCACATTGCGATGTCAACAGCGACTTGGAATCAGTGGATGCCCAAGAGAAGGTAGATGGCATATCAAAAGGAGGCAATAAAAATTGTATTGATAACACAGCGTTGACTTGATCAACTAAAGCAATAGCACCCGGCTGCCTAGGTAGGGCTGATGGCAGCCACAAAACGTGATCTATCTATGTTTCCAGACATCTTCCTATTCCCCCTTCACACGGAGCCAGCTTTTTCAAAGCTCTTTTCTCCACTGCCAAGGGAACTTTTTCGTTGGATATGTATTGCGCTTGCTCTGACAACACAACAACCCAAGACCATGAACGCTCAGCAGCTATCTTCACCATCGCCAGAAACTATCATGGCGAAGGCCCTTGCTTTGACAGACTTTTGTAAATGGATCGATTCCTTAATCCTTCAACCCACTCGGACGAGTCCGGGATGCCGAAGTGTCGTCCTCAATTTCATCAAGCGTGATGATTTTCCTGCTCAATAGGAGCCGGAGCTGCGGCGTGATGACCTTCTCCTTGTTTTCTTTCTGGTCGACGTCGGACTGCGGCTGTCTTCCGCGAGGAGATCGTGGTGACAATGACGATGGACCTGCGGTCTGGGTATACTGTTGCTGTTGCCTTGATGGTAGGGGGCCTGGCCCAGACACGATGGCCTGCGCGAGTCTGGCCTTGTTATTGGGTTGATTTTTATTCTGTGTGTCGCCCTTAACCTGACTGTCGGCTACGTTTGTCGTGTTGCTGCTACTTCCCGTCTTTCTAAGTCTCAAGCCTTCGTCATCGGCGCTGGGTGCAGGGAAGGTGTTCTTGCGGTCGATGGCCTCGACCGTCTTCTCGAATCGCTTGAACAGGCCTTCCGCGCGGAACAGAATCTCCTGTAACTCGATTGTGCCGGACAGCTCGTTGATGTATTTGAGCACTTCGTCGAAATGTCGAAGGTGGTCGATAATGACATCACGGTGCTTCTCAAGAATTGCCACTGCGATGAATAGGTGGAATTGGCTGCTGTAGTAGTCCGTCCAGAGGACCTCCCAGAGTCGTAGAGTGTCCGACCACTCGAACTCACGTTTGTACCACACCAAAAGCATGCGGAAGAAGAAAAAGAAGTTAGTTGAATCGGCTGACTGAAGATGGAGATAGAGTTTAGGGTCAAGAATTTGGACAAGCTGGTCCAAAGTGGAGAGTTGGGAACGCATGCCGACTTGTGAGCGAACAAAATTTCGTGACATCCGGACCATGAAGCTAGCGAATGCCCAGAAGGCCAGCGCGTCATCCTGAAAGACTGCATATAAGGGAGAGAGCAGGTCGGACATGCCCTGGACATAACCAAGGTTTTGGGGATGTGGATTTCGGGACTGATAACGTGGTTGACAGGAGGACGATGGCGATTGGGTCTTGTTGGATGTCTCCGAAGGTGGAGTATCGTATTCGAGATAGGTAAGAAGCATATCCTTTAGTTGTTCCATGTGAACGTTGGTGCCGGGTGCGTTGGGATTGTAAAAGGGGGAGGTTGGATCAGGGTGTGGGATATCTTCACCTGCAAACAAGGGGATTTGCCGATCTGTGCGGTGCACGTCTTTCTCTACATGGCGAGCGGCAAGGTCAGTGGGATGGTGAGGCAGAGCATTTAGTGGAGGAATGAGGATGACTTACCGATTCTGATCTTTTGCTCTTTCCACCATTCTTCTTGATCGGGTGTCGCTCTTCCGTCCATCATTCTGTCCCACCATGCCCCCTTTAATTGGATGTATTCGTCCCTCTTGCTATTCATGTAGGCATGCCGTTCGCTTTCTGTGCTGGTCCAATCGTAGAAGCCTAGAATAAATGGCCAAGCTTCCTTTCGAACGCCATCTTCTGGATCGAGACCACCATGGAATATGCGTTCTTTGACCTCGTCCACCGTGACCTGCAGTTTACCTTTCGAGTCAAAAAAAGACTTCCATTCTGATATAGTCACCGGCCTCCTTTTACTGTCGTTGAGAGTCATCCGACCTGCCTCCATATCGAGAATCTCAAAATCGCCGACACTGGTCTCCTCTGATTCCAGTGCATCTCTGGCAGTCCAGATTCTTTGATTCTTTTCTTTTTCCCCCTGCTCAGCAATGCTCATGGCCCATCTCGCAAGGTATAGCTTGGCGCTGTCAAACTCATCCTGTAGTGTTTGGACCTCAGGATTTTGGATCAGGCGCCGCACTTGAGGAGGGATATTCTTGTTGTTAGCAAGATCCTCAGCTGTGCGTCTGGTGAAAGTAGTGACTTTAGATAATTGCTCTAGAATCTTCCATCTTGTTTCCTTTAGAGCTTTTGTCAAGGGATCCATTCCGGGACCAGGCGGCTTCTTCTGCTCCTTAGCACCTGTAGCTTGACTGTTTGATCTGTCTCGACCTTCCAGGGACTTGCGGCCTTGACCGAAGCCGAGTCGATCTTCTTCAGTGGGGTCAATGAGGTATATTGACGGTTCAGCTGTACTTCTTTCCACATTGACATATCTTTTGAGCCATCGCAAAGCTTCATCTCCACCCCAGAAGAGTTCCCCATTCTCACCAAAGGGGTCAAAGGATTCGCGGGCTCTCTTTTTCTTCTGCAGTATGGTGCTCTCACATTCTGAGTCGTGGAAGAATAAAGCAGGTAGGCTGGCACCAGAACGAGTGTTGACGACTATACTGCCGTACCACCAGCCCAAGCTAGGGGGTCGTACATGGATGGAATAAATGCTAGACAAAGGAAAAGAGAAAGCGTATGGGCCGACAGGAGACTCGTCGAAAGTGGTGGCGAGTGGGAGAGGAGGAACAAGATACGTTTGCTTGGGAGGGGACTCGCTGTCCTTCATGTCAACCTTGACATAGGTACTTAGATCATCCTGAGCCAGAGAAGACTCTGGGACCCATGCGAGAAGATAGGATGCAGCATTTGCAACCTTCTTGGAAGAATCAGACGACGTGGGACATTGGTCGGAGGAGAGGGGAGCGGATTTTTGCTGAACAAGAGCGAGGAAGCCCGGAATGTTGTCTTTGGCGGAGGGAGTAGGATGGACATAGACCTTGCTTTTGGAATAAAGGAGCTTCACGCCCTTCATGGTGGTCGCATGGGTGATGGTATTGTAGCCACCCTCTTCGTCGTCGGACATGTCGTAGAAGGACGCGGATGGTGAGGGCGGGGCTGGCCTGGAAGATTGACCGGAGGCCATAGCTAGTGTGTTTGAGGTGCTTGTTGATCCAGACTCATTCGCATATCGTGTCCCTTATAAGTCAATGGTAGTGCGTTGCGTGGTGTGTTCGACTTCTGGAATTCCTGATGCCTGCCTGCAATACGGAGTTGAATGCGTAGATGGTTGGATGGCGGGGAACGAGGTGACGTCGGCGAGTGTGGCACATGCACGTAACTAGTGGCTTGAAAGCCGCCTCACTCACGTGATCTGACAAAGGGAAGACTTAAGTCGGTCGCTATTCCGTATATGTAGTAGTAGGTACAGAGAACTCACGTAGCCTGGCGAGGAGAGCAGTGTTGAAGATTGTCCAACAATCCCGAGATGAGTTGCTTTTGCTATACACATTATCGAGCCCTTTTTTGTTTGCTCTTGACAAAAAAAATCAATAACTTTTCCCCTTTCCGCCAATGCAAGTGCTTCTGGCCCTGTCCATACCACAGTTTTCCATGCCCCAACACCATGCTGCCTGGTTACCAATTGTTGCTCCATTCCCATTTCTGTTTTCTAGGCTCTGTTCTATCAGAGCGTCCAGGAACTAAAGTCCAGCTGAGCTGCCAACGTACCATCTCTACGAGGTCCACTCAACTCGTCTCGAGGAACTGGCGTTCTTCTGCCGCCGGATGATCCAGGCGCAGAAGATGTAGTTGTGTTAGATGACAGCCCTGTTACCAGCTGTTTGTCACCCGATTTGGCCATTACACGTTCTTTGAGCATCTTGATGTGCTGTAGTCTCGTCCGCCATTCGCTTGGATATTCAGTATCGCTATCTTTAGTGTTCCATGTTCCACAAAATTGGCTCGCGTTGATTGCCAACACTCGAACGAATTGTGCAAGCTTAGCTGCAGAAATAATCTTAGGTTCTGCCGCCGGTGAGAGGTTCGGCAGTCCGTCTTTGGTGATGACATGGACCCGATAGAACCCTGGAATGAAATCCTTTTCCTCTTTCACTCTCCCCCGGCATGCTGGCCTGATGACAATATTGACATAATTGAGTTGTGACCTGAAATTGTCCATCTCCCAAGGCGCTCCTGATCGGTTGAAGACGATGTTCACATGACAATTACCCACATGTGACTTCTTGGTGATACATTGCGGATCCTCCTCCAGATCAGTCGGCATCAGAGTAGGGACATGATACACGATCTCCGCCACTCGATCACGCCATGCTATTGTGTTCTCACCGTCTCGCGGATATTCCAATCCTTGTGGATTGTACCGAAGCGGCGGCTGCAACGAGACCACATAGCCAAGTCCTCCCAGGAGACGTTCAAAGTCTTGAGATCCACTCGTGTTGGCAAGATAATCTGGCTCTGTCAACTGCCCTGGACCAATATACAGCACCCCTATCTTGTGGCTAGCCACGGTTGGAACTCGATCGAAAATCTCCAGCGCTCGAGTTACGTAGTCTTCTTGTGGTAGCTGAATGGGCTGGTCAGCAAGACTGGTTGTTGCTGCACTAGCCATCATTTGAAGAAGCACGTGCGAAGGAAGTATCTCCGTTGTCGCTTCTTGATGCCGTATCTCCGTTTGACTGGGAGTGTGATGAGAAGGAAGACGTGCGGTATTCTGCTGATAAGTGGCATATGTTGTTCCCGACGCCTGCCGTTTGGTGATCTGTGACTTGCCACTACGCCCTGCAGTTTCTGCCGTTATGACACTCAAACCTACAATCCAAGACGCAGTAGAGACTGGCCCGTCGTCTGGTCCAGCAAAATTTGGGTCAGGTGAAGTCTCCCCAAGATCGGAAAATGCTGTCCTCTGCATCATGTCGATCAACACCTGACTCTGTTCATCAATGGTCTCTTCTCCGCGCGAATTCTTCCACACGAGTCGAGGAACAATCCAGGAGATGTATTTGGCTCGAGTCTCAAGTCGGAGGGACAAGAACCAAAAGATCATGTTATGATAAGCCAAGGCAGCTGCGTATTGTGGCATTCCATGGTCAGTCAGCATTGCTGCTCTGTACGGTGGTCGGCGGAAATTCATCCCACTGTGTCGAGCTACAACACTCGCTCTGCCTTGTGATGTCGAAGAAGTATGATATTGCTCGCGAGTCTTCTCAAGGAACTGAATACAGATGCCAAATATTATTTGTATTTCGTCAGGATTCAGGTTCGAGTGCATTTCTGTTTGGAGAGCAACCTCTGTCAAAAACTCAAGAATGTGGCTTGTGAGGTGGGCCTGCGTCATATTCTTGGACATTTTGTCGATGATCGTAGGATACAAAGTCGCTACTGAAGATGGTATTTCGAGACTGCACACCGACAGTGCATGGATACAATTCCGGGATGTGCCCTCCCAGGACGCACCAAGCCCTGAGATGAACGCACGCACAAGGTCGTCGCCAAATCCTTTCTGGATAGATTCCAATTTCATCGTTGCGTACGGGATCAGAGAAGTGAGGAAATGAAACATGCATATGGCCACATCAGACTTCTTCAATCCACTAGACACAGGCGCTTCGCGAAAAGTCGCATTGACAATCTGCCCACAGAGGACTTGTCGAAGCTTTATCACCGCTTGGATAGAGTTGAGAAATAGTGCTATGTTGCTCAACTGTGCGCCCACGTGAACGATCGTGTAGCTGTACGTCTCCCAATCCACATCCGTTTGTAAACACCGGGTAATATTCATCAACCATGTGTCCATGTCTAATTCGGCTTGTATTTGAGCGCCAGTCTTGATGTCAACATTCAGAATCTCCGAAGAACGCCCAGCAAAGGGATGGTCCACTTCCTCGGTATCGGGATAGATCCAAATAGGGTCATTTGCATCCGATCTGGTCGACAAGCTCGTGCTGCTGGCCGAGTGGCGTTGTGGAGTAGGTATCTCGTAAGTAAAGATCTCGGCTGATTCACGAGTGCGTAGCAATGCAGCGGCGATGTCGGAGCTCTCGCTGGTGGTGTTGATGTAGATGTAGCCTGCATCATCCGCACGCAATCGAAAAAGAAGTCGCTTCGAGACAAGCCGCGCAATTCGAGACTTGCAGCGGGGACTTGCGACTTCAAGTAAGATCTCAAATGCTCGTACTGCAGCATTGGCATCGGTGTGAAGGCTATAAGCGAAGATAGTTACAAGCACCCTGGCTGCTAAGATAGCTAGTCCACCGTTCCAGGAACCTGATGTCGGACCGATGAATATAAGACTGCTAAGCTTCTCAAGAGTCCTCATTGTCAAAGCAGGTTCTTGAGCGGCCGCTTCGTAGCTACCAGCCATGTATTGCAAGGACCTGAGGAGCATCTCAAAGACTTGTCGGTCTCGCTCAATATCGATCTGAGTTAATAGTTTGTCAAGGATCCAACTGTACGCATGCGTACTCACTCGCGTAGAATCGGAGTCGCCTTCAGTCAATCTATCCCCAGAGTGTAAGACAATTTCGATCCCCCTGAGACGACAGGGCAGAGGTAATGTGGTATTTCGAACAATGTGTTGATAGACTTTGTCGGCGTACTCTCTTCTGATCTCGTTTTCATCAGCCTGGAGATAGTGGTCTTTCAGGTTACCCAAAGTAAGCATGAGCTGATGGGCCTCAGCAAATTGCGGGTATGAGAGAAAGAATTCATCGATAATTTCACGAGCAGGGGAACCAAGATGCTCGAACAAAGTCCCCAAATCTCGCCCGATCTTCTTGGCCATGGTTTCTCGATCGCGAAAGTGCCGTTCATATTGTCGGTGATCGTCCTCTTGTAAAGGTGTGGGAGGCAAGGCATGGTTTTCACTTCTGCCAGTTTGACTGCTGAGCGGGCTTGCCTTCAAACAGAGACTCACACCGCCAACAATTTTGCCAAAATCAAGGTTTGTGATCTCTTCCTGCCTCGTGTTGCAGCTGAGCAAAGAATGAAATGTACTGAGGACATCATGACCAAAACGGAAAATGCCTTGGATGCTAGCAGTGTACAGCGTGTCCACGGTGTCCTCCAACGGGAGGATGAATTGGCCACTGTCTTTCATTTCCGGCAATAGTATCCGTAGGAGTCGTGTTGCTCCTCTGGCGTGAGAGAGGTTTTTGCTGTTGTTGGCGGCGGTCGGGGTCAGGATAAACGAGAACAGCACATTGATGACCTGCTCACTAAGATACCCCGTGGCCAAAATCTTCGCACAATCAAAGAGATGCTCAGGTGTTTCGGGTAGATTGGCAGTTGAAGCACACAAAACCACCAAAGTCTGCTCGAGCCCGCTCTCAGGAAAGTCAAAGTTGGCTGCAATGGCATGCAGAACATTAATCCCGGCATTGATGTCCGATTGTCGGCTAGCATTGAGGCATATAGTCGTTATGGTTTCCACGGTTTGAGATAGCTCTGCAACATCAATACCCGAATGGCCCAATGTGATGAAGTCGGCAACATAGCGTAGTAACCAGTCTAGGTGCTTTTGCTCTTTGTGGGACGTGGTTCTAGCGGTCTTGTTTTCCTTCCTCTCTCGATCAGACTTTACTGACCACAGAGCAAGCCACTGATTAAGTAATGAAAGAAGAGAGCCGTTGGCAGAATCCCCATCGATCTGCTGAGTCGCATTTTGAAGTTTGTAGGATACATCAGTCCCTGGTTTATGGTCGTCAAAAGCGAGAAGCCATTGACGTACTTCATCGGATGATTCGCTCAATGCTAGACCTTGTCTCAGTATTTCAGATAAATTCAGGACTGGTCCATTATCAGATGACTTCTCTGAGGCAGTCTCGCTTCGTGAAGCCGTAAGCGCTCCATCTAAGTCTTGTTGTGATGTAGAATGTGGAGGAAGAGATGGATCCTTGGGTTCCACATCATGCCTGGCATCGGTTGACGCTCCCTGTAACGAATCATTTTCTGTCGACATACGACTTGATATTTGTGCTGCATGAAGAAACGTTAGCTAAGACGTCAAGCCCTGCAGGACAGATTCAATGATGATGAGTGCCCAGCAAATAAATGAAACTTATCAACGATGGCAATGCAGGTGATGCCCAGAAAGAAAGGATTCCCAACATGGATGGGGGGCATTACATGACAAAGGCTAACTATCTTATCTGTGAGGCTTTTCCAGCCAGACATCGATAAGGCTTAGGGGGAAAGTGGCATCATTTGACAGGGCTTCTCACCTGGGGTATGGTTGACGGTTAAAGCGATCTATCGCGGGTGGAGATGCAGCATTTGGAAGGCTTCGAATGCCTCCTTTTTTCTTTTTGCGAGTCTGTCTGTGGCGAACCTGATCTTCTACCTCATGAAAGCCGGTTGCAATCAATAGTCTTATTCTAGTAGGGAAATCCACCTTCTAGGCTTCTGGAATGACGTGAGTTGGGGTAAAGGAAATTGGTCAGGATCAGTCCGGAGTAGCGAGTAGAAGCGGTCGCCTGCTGGAAATGGAACACACTGGAGCAACGGGACATTCGATGCAGAAAAAGGAAAACAATATTGAAGGGATTGAGACCAGGACAGTACAGAGTTGTGTACTAAATAGTAGTCGTAGGAGCAGTAGTGGTGATTTTGGTGGTGGTGAGTTGTGACATGTTCAAGCCTGTTAGGCAGATAATAGGTTTTAGGTTGGGTACGGAGTAAGGGAAGGCATCTGTAGTGCTGAAGCCAAGTCGGAAATGTCAAATTCTCCCTCCAACTGGGACTCTGGGAGGCACAAAGTGAGGCCTGCCAGTGGCCCAGTGATCTGGCCCATGGACTGTGGTCAAGGGGGCACCTCCATTAAGTCTCTAACACACGGTGGCGAGGTCTGAGTCCTGACATTCGCTAGCAATTGCACAATTCATCCTTTCTTCTGCTTGACCAAGTCTTTTTTCTTCTCAGTAAGATGCGGGCCGAGCAAGGCCAGCAATTAGACCTTGCTTGTTGTGAAAACTTTACACCACCCGTATCGCTTTCTTGTTTATCTTTTAGGTATCTCAGGTCCTCCGTGTGCTTCTTCCAGGCTACCCAAGCACCCCAAGCACCCAGCACCCAGCCCCGGGCAGAGCTGACTCAGCATGTATTCGTGTATTGACTCAATGATTGACCGCACTTATCATCCGGTGAAGTCTATCTCCATGAAACGCAGAGCGCCACCATAGTTCAAGGCGGTGAGGAGTTATTCTGCCGTGAACCGATCATTGCTCCGTTGCTCCCATAAACAATTCCATCATGGAGGCTCATCCTACCCAGGAAGTCCACGTTTCTGTTCACAGTCTTTGCATATACAAATTGCGAGCGCTCCCTTTGTTCTCATTCGTCTCAGTCTCTTCCGTTCCTGATCCACCGACTTCTTCTGTATCTGACAGCACTCTCTCCCCCTCCACGATGCGTTAAGTCTGTCGATCTCATAACTGCGCCTGCTCAGAACCAAGTCAACTCTGCGTCGCAATCATGGCTGCTTTAGGCCCTCTCGCTCAACTTTTGGATGCAAGTCTTGATCCTAGACAAAACAAAGAAGGTTGGCCAAAACTGCGACGACGGTTTTACTCTTCAACACTGACATCCTCTTCAGCGGAACTCAAAATTCGAGCCGAAGAGAAAAAGCCTGGCTTTGCTCTCCTCCTACTCCATATCACCGCCTCGAGTGATTTCCAGTACAATACGAGACTTGCGAGTGCCCTGTTCTTCAAAAACTTCATAAAGCGCAACTGGACTGATGTTGAGGGCAACTACAAACTTCCTCAACAAGACGTCACTGCTATCAAGACTGAGATCGTGGGTCTCATGATCGCCGTCCCCAGAGGTATTCAAACACAGCTAGGTGAGGCTATCAGCGTAATTGCCGATAGTGACTTCTGGGAGCGCTGGGACACCCTGGTGGATGAGCTCATTTCCAGACTCAAAAAGGATGATCCTATCGTCAATGTTGGAGTGTTGCAAGTTGCACACTCAATATTTGCAAGATGGCGGCCTCTATTCCGATCTGACGAACTATTTACCGAGATCAACCACGTGCTTTCTAAGTTTGCCCAACCTTTCCTCACCCTGTGGCAGAATCTCGATGCCCACATCGGAATCCATGGCAATGACAAGGTTGCTCTTGAGAATGCGTTCACCGAGCTTGACCTGGTCATGCAATTGTTTTATGACCTCTCTTGCCAAGATCTATCCCCCATCTTTGAAGACAACCTTCAAGGAATCTCTGGCCTACTTTTGAAGTACCTTGAATACGACAATAGCCTTCTCCACACCGATGACGAGTCGGAAGCTGGCCCGCTTGAAAACATAAAAGCCAATATTTTCGAAGCCTTGACGCTCTACATTGGCAAGTACTACGACGATTTCTCAAAATACGTTGGTGGTTTTGTGGGAAGCTCGTGGAATTTATTGACCAATACTGGGCCCGAGCCGAAGAATGATATTCTTGTTAGCAAGGCTCTGCAATTTTTGACATCCATTGGTGGCATCAAACAGCAAGCACAGACTTTCAGCGATCCGAATACCCAAACTCAAATAATTGAGAAGGTTATTCTTCCAAATGTGGCGCTACGAGACTCTGATGTTGAAACCTTCGAGGATGAACCGATCGAATTCATTCGTCGAGATCTCGAGGGTTCCGACAGCGAAACTCGCAGACGAGCGGCCGGAGATTTCCTTCGCCAACTCAGTGATCAATTCGAACAATCTGTGACCGGAATTGCCATGACTTATGTCCAGAAAGCTTTGGACGAATTCTCACGCAACCCACAAGAAAATTGGAGAGCCAAGGATATGGCTATTAGCTTGTTTTTCGCACTGGCATCCAAAGGCGCTACCACCTCCACTCACGGGGTCACAAAGACAAATGGCCTGGTGGATATTGGCGATTTTTTCTCCAAGAATCTCGCTCACGATCTGCAAGACGAAGATACCCACCCCCTGCTCAAGGTCGACGCGATTAAGTACCTGTACGTTTTCAGGAGTGTCATCACAAAAGAGCAATGGCAGCAAGTTATGCCTCTTCTCGTCAATCATCTCGGAAACTCTAATTATTGTGTCTACACATATGCAGCAGTAGCAGTAGAGAGGGTACTGGCCATGACTGACGACACTGGCAAATCCGTGATTGATGCATCCAATATCGCACCCCTCGCACCAAGTCTACTGGAGCACCTCTTTAGCCTAGTGGAGAAAGACCGAGCTGCAGAAAAAGTTCAAGAAAATGAGTTCCTCATGCGTTGCATCATGAGAGTACTGATAGTGATCAAAGAAGGTATCTCAACTGTGGCTCAGAGTGTACTACAACACCTTACAAACATCACGACGATTATATCTGCCAATCCCAGCAATCCCAGATTCTACTACTACCATTTCGAAAGCTTAGGCGCCTTGATCAGATTCACAGGAGCAGCCCAGTCAGAAGCGTTAGGGTCTGTTCTCTTCAATCCTTTCCTCGCCATTCTCTCTGGTGGTGTGGAAGAGTTCATACCTTATGTATTTCAGTTGATGGCAGCATTGCTTGAAGCCGAGCCATCGAAACCACTACCCTCGCAATATCAACCACTGATTGCCCCAATCATTGCCCCAACTTTATGGGAACAGCGTGGCAATGTACCAGCCTTGGTGAGACTGCTCTGCGCGATCATTGTTCGAGCCCAAGAACAATTGATCAGTGGTAATCAGGTCGAACACGTTCTTGGGATCTTCCAGAAATTGGTTGCAACAAAGGTCTACGAAGGCTATGGGTTTGACTTGCTCGAGAATGTTATTTCGAATTTCCCACCTCCTGCGCTGGAGCAATACTGGGTACATATCCTGAACATCATGCTCTCGCGTTTACAGAATAAGCAGACGCAGACTTTTACGTCAAGATTCATCAGATTTTACCATTTTGTGTCCTCGCGAGATGATAAAGGGCTGGGAACGGACTTCTTCATTGCAGCCACAGACCGGGTACAGCAAGACGTCTTCCGCCAGTTGTATCTGAGCATCATCCTTCCCAAAACACAAGAACTGGCGCGGCCTCTTGATCGCAAAATCGCAGCCATCTCATTCACCAAAACCTTAGCCAATTCCGAGGCTTTTGTCACCCGATATCCAAAGGGCTGGCCGCTGACTTGCAACGCTTTGCTCAAATTGCTTGAAGACCCACCTCTACCACCAAAGGCTGATGATCATATTGCCGAACTAGATGTTGAGGACTCTGGCTTTGGTGTTGGTTTTACACAGCTCAACACAGTTCGGCCACCAGTCAAAGATCCATTCGCCGACGTGATAGATCTGAGAAAATGGGTGGGCCATTATCTCAAAGCAGCAGATCAGCAACATGGTGGCAGAATTGGGGAGACTGTCAACGAGACTCTGAGCGCTGATGCAAAGAAGGTCTTGAGTGCTTACATGACTCTCTGATGGAGAAGCTCAGGGATTGGATGGAAATACCCTCCTAACCTCACGATCAGCGCGTCTGCGATCGAAGTTTATGATGCAGATTTCTCGATGGGACGGTATAGAGTAGGCAGTGAAGGAGACAGCCACAAAAGCGTGTAAACACATATGAGCCCCACATGGGCAAAAGGAGACATAATGCTGATTTGAGAACCCACTAGTAAGGACTCCTTCTGCTAGGCAGTACCTAGAAAAAAATTGAGTAGCGTACTTACCTACGTATAGATGTTAGAGATGTACGTGAAGCTTGAAACGGGGGACATCAATTCCGCCTAATTAACAAACTTGCCAATCTGTGATAAGCGATAACAAATGTCTTGGCATATTTCTCTCCGCCTTTTTCGAAACTTTTTTCGAGTTGCGTCCTCTGGAGGCCGCAAAGTCTCATCGTTCTCTTAAATGGCAACCAAAAGCCGACCTTTTTTACCGTATTTAGAGTCCTGAATACTTATTGAAGATGTCTTCAGACGAGATAGTCTGGCAAGTCATCAACCAGCAATTTTGTTCGTTCAAGCTCAAGTGAGTTTCTTTTTCATCGGCAAGACATACGCAGGCAAGGGAATCGAGCAGCTAACGAAGATAAAATTTCCACGTCCAGGCTAAGCACGAAAGAGCAAAACTTCTGCCGGAACGAATACAACCTGACGGGGTTCTGCAACCGACAGTCGTGCCCGCTCGCGAACTCGCGGTATGCCACGGTACGACCAGACCCTGAGACGGGGGCGCTGTGCCTGTTCATCAAGAGCCCTGAGCGGACGCACCTCCCGTCCAAATGGTGGGAGAAGGTCAGGCTGCCGAACAACTACGAGAAGGCGCTGGCGCAGATCGACGAGAAGCTGGTGTACTGGCCGAAATTCTACATCCACAAGTGCAAGCAGCGGCTCACGCGGCTGACGCAGGTGGCGATCCGACAGCGGCGCATTGCGAAAGAGGAGGAACGGCTCGGCGAGAAGCTCGTGCCTAAACTCGCGCCCAAGATCAGAAGGAGGGAGGAGACGAGAGAGCGCAAGGCCGAGAGCGCGGCCAAGGTGGAGCGTGCCATCGAGCGGGAGTTGATTGATCGTTTGAGAAGCGGTGCGTATGGTGATCGGCCGATCAACGTGGAAGAGAATATCTGGAAGAAGGTGTTGCGTGGGTTGGAGCGGGCCGAGAAGGGAGAAGAAGCAGAGGACCTCGAGGAGGAGGAGGATGAGCTCGAGGGCGAAGCCGAAGCCGAGGTCGAGTATGTCTCCGATTTCGAGGAAAGCGAAGACGAGGAGGAGCGTGAGATGGAGGACTTCGACGACTGGCTTGGCGGAGAGAGTGCCGATGAAGTGGACGCTTCAGACGTCTCCGGCAGTGACGAAGGATCATCAGAGGACAGCAATGAAAGCAGCGAAGAAGATGATGACGAGGTCGAAGCAAAGGTCGCACCTGGTGGGAAGAGGAAACGCGCCGCTCCTCCACCCAAGCCTCGCAAGAAAGCAGGTCGGGTTGAGATCGAGTATGAGACGGAATTGCCACCACGGGAACTCACAGTTGCTTGAGGTGCCTTACGCATGAATAACAAAATCACAGTCATGATAATAGTGGTATACACCGCTGGTCAATTGCACTTTATCTTTCCGTCGTTATGTTCCGAGTCGGATAGCCGAATCAAATCGCCTGAGAGACCCGATTATTCCAAGGGTCTCATTGCGTCAATGCTTCGTTCAGAATTGAGGCATTCCATCGGATCACAGCTCCCTTTTTGGTCACATCCATCCTCTCTCCATAGTCGGGCAGACTAGCGTAGGATGAGTCCTGTACTCCAGGATAGATCCTTGTTGAGCCCGAAGGCAAGTAGGTTCAACGTGAGTCGTGGAGACAGTTCGGAATGATGAGTGCCTCGTGCGTCTTTTGGTGGTAGGCTCTCACTCCGAAGACAGCCATTGACACGATGCTGTGGACCAGAGAGTTTCCTTCAAAAGCGGTGCTGGGCTAGTCTTCGAGCCGTATCATATTTGTCGAGTTTCTCGATAGTAAGAGAGACGAGTGATTGGGGCTTCAAGATGAAGCCCAACGCCCGCCCTCAATTATTATGCCTTCTAGTGCAATTTCTCCTTGAGAAGTCACACACTCTCGCATGGGATCCAACCACAATTGGTCTCGATTATCATCTTTCCCTTTTTAGTTCATCTGGCTCTTCGCCCTTGGCGCCAGCACCGGTCGCGATATCAGCGTCAAAGCCCTCTTCTTCTTCTCTTTGTCTCCTCCTCTTTTCCTGCCTAGCCATAGGATGCTCACCATCCTCAGGGACCTCACCGGCCTTCAGCCCTAAAGCCCGTCTCAACCTGTCACTCTCACGCTCCTTCGCCTCCGCCATCTCATGCACCTGGTAACTCTTAAGCCGACTCTTTGAGCCACTGCCAGCACCACTCCTCGACCTCTCCATCTCTCGCGTCAACTTCTCACGCAGCTTGTCTGTCTCTTCCTCGATCTCGTCGTCGTCAAGTTTGCCCGCGTCTTCGAGCCCGTCGCGCAGTTCCAGCACTTTCACCTCGATCTCTCGCAGCCGGTCGTGCTTGAGGATGTCTTCATCGGGCTTGCGTGTCCTAGGCGGCCCGCCTCGGTTGCCGTCGAGCGTGTAGGGCACTCCGACACCCGCATCGCGTGGTTTCAGGACTGAGAGGTTGCGCTGCACGTACCCCGACGTGCCTGAGCCGCGGGGTGTTGAGAGCCCGACGTTGGAGGACATCGTTATGGATGATTCTGGTGTGAGGCGCTAGGCGCCGGGCGTATGAGGTTTTAGTCTGGGGAATGAAGAGATCAGGGAGATTTCACGCGGTCCAGAGCATGGCTTGCGCACTCCGAGAACAAGATTAAGCAGCTGGCTTCGGTGGTGTCGAAGAATCCAAGATTGGGAATTCAAATCCGCTTATCGCTGCGGGACAATCTTTATCACCACGTGACTATAAATTCGCCCTTACATACCTTCACCTTCTTCTAGGGATGAACCATTCAGAAAGATCTCACCGTTCGAGGTGAAGTTGCAACACTGAGTAATGGAAGCAATACAGTTTCCCACTCCTTGCGTGATTTTGAATGTGATTTATGAAATTATCATGGGAGACCCTCGGCGCTCTACATGCTGAACCAAAATCTCCACATTGAAGGCCTTCGGGTCTGCCTTTGCTGCGCTCGTTGTCATCGTGCCACTACGCTGTTCACTTGCCCAATGTCAATACTATCTGAGACTGCTAGCTTTGCTCGAAGTCGGAATCGCTGCTCTAGCTCCTCCGATAGCGACTTCAAGCTCGCCCGGTATCCTTGGGTCGCGTCAAGTATCGATGAGCCATTTCTTCAAAAACGCGACCTGTGTGCCAGCATTCTGCTCAAACAACCTGCCAGAGTACGCTTCGAAATGACCACCATTGAGTAACTGCAACTGTTTAGGTTCTCTTGCTCTTGCGAAAGCTCCAATTGCCAGATCTGCCGGCGTCAGAACGTCTTCAGCTGCGATCGTCATCAGTAACGGGGTTGGCGCGATGTGTTCGATCAACTGTTGGGGCTCGTAACCACGGAACAGCTCGATCCTAGATTGCTCGAATGCTTAGAGATAGTGGCAAGGAGATGCCGTTCACGGACAGATAAGTATACTCACGATTTGAGACTGACGGTGTTTTTCCAGTTTGACTTCTTTTCCCAGGACGAAAAGAAGGTATAGCTATCCGGTGTAGGGAGAGCGGATGGTTTCAGAGGATCCTCGTCAACCACAGGCACGAAGCCTGCCTCGCCCCCGTTGGACCTCGTGATCCTATCTGCAGTGATCGCAATATTAGTCTTTGGGGGCGGGTGTGGTTCTGAACGCGACATGTCCACATACCTGCTGCAAACATGGCATTGAACCCAACCGCGAAATCTGGACGAACAAGACGGTTGAAATTGTCCCATCCGCTCACAAGCGGCGCTTGACTGAGCACGGCCTTGACTCTACGATCCACGGCGCCGACATAAAGAACGTGGCCACCACTATAGGACGATCCCCAGATGGCAATCTTATCTGGATTGACCTCTGGCCGCTGTGAGACATATGTGATAGCGTCGGAGTAGTCAGAGATCTGGAGCGACGGGACAATCTCATGTCTGGGTTCTCCTTCCTTGTGGTCACTGTCACCAAAGCCACGATTGTCGTAAACCAAGGCGGCAATGGGAAGTTTCGAGGTGAATTCTTCAGCAAAGGTGTTGAGGTCCATTTCCTTCAAGGCAGAAAAGCCATGAGCGAGAACCACGGCTGGAAGCTTATCGCCGCTGTGGTTCTCTGGCTTATAGAACCAACCACGTAATGTGACATGGTCGGAGGTTTTGAACTCAATATCCTCTCTGCCCATCGTTGAAGAAATGGCGCTACCTAGACGCTGAAGGAGAGAAAGGAATTCGAATATTGCGACGAACCGTACAGGACGCCTGATATCAGTTCTTGCAATCTAGAACCCGGGATAGCTGGGAGGGAACAAATGAACATCGAGACAAGACACAGCAATCCGGGAGAAGGGAAGCCATGGCCAAGCACGGCGAGGGCGAATATATGAAGAAACTGCTGTATTATCGAAGATTAGACCCTCGTTCCACTTCTCCTCGTCAGGTAGTGGATAGTCGTGTTCGCTAAAGGGAGAATGGCAAGCTACAGGCCTACAACATCCATTCATGATGGGCTCTACGATGAAGGAATGGGTGTCCAGTTTAACTTCATTTCAACCCCGCAATTGGTGTCATCAAACATCGGGCACCTCCATCTGGATGCATCTTCATCTGCACCATGCGCATGCGGTTGCGGTTGCGGTTGCGGTTCAACTTGGGCCATTTGCGACCGTTGCCAGTAGACTATCCTTTCTCCACCTGCTCTTTTGGATTCCTCTGTATATGTAGCGACACCCCAACTCTTAGGTACCGACGAGTAGTTAGGCTTTTCTGATGGTAACTTGGCGTCCGGCCTTCTTCTGGACTTGTACCGGGTAATTTGTGCAATAGTCTATCTCACGCTTTCGTTTCAGTCATCATTCGCACGGCGGAACCGTTCGTCGCGTCCGCTTCACGGTCGACCACGGAAAGTCTTGTGGTTGCGGCTCGCTAATTCCACAAGCTGCAGATTCGGACTGGTGAACGGGGCCGTGGCCTGAGATGACAACTTGTTACAAGCACTAACTTAGGTGTGACCGGGACCGCTCATCGGCTTTTGTCCGTTATCGTACCTCGTACTATGCATTCTTCAAGATGCCGGGTCGAATCAGACTAATCATTTAGAAGCCTGGAGAGGCAACTTTCCCAGCATCTTCCACACAAGTGACGTGTTAACGCAGGGTGCTCTCTCTAGCCCCGAGCAGGGATACAGCAATCTTGCATGCCGCCAATGCAAGCCCGTGCCTATGATGAAGCCCCAGCGTCCCCAAATTCCTCCGATACCTCACTAATAGTACCTCGTGCTTTGCTCCCTCGAGGCAGGTCGAACAGGCACATATCTCCCGATCGAACACACATGCAGACCCAGTCATTGTGCGGACATCCTAGGACCTCCGACTCAGAAACGAGGCTCTTTTATCATACATATCCCATAATTCGACAAACTCATGCCCTGGTTACCACTCCGTTGCATAGACCAAGGAATGTCTATTCCATTCCATCCAATCAACCATCCACGAGCTCACTAGAATTTGAGCATTCCCAGGTCCCCATGTTAACAGCTAAGGGGAGGGCGGGCAATCTGAGAAAAGAAACACTTCATCACGCGTTTAATACTGCTGTCATTGAGGTTGTTGATATTGCTGCTCGTCGAGTCGTCGATCCCTCTGGCATCCCCTCCGTCAAGTAGCCACTTCTATCATCCTTGCTTTCGTCGTAGGGGTTTTGGTTGGCACTTAACCCTGCATGTTTCTTCCATGATAGCCACTGCAACACCACTTGCAAATCTCGGTCTTCCTGCTTCCCTGTCGTACAACATGACTTCTATTGCAAACGAGACGATAGCCTCCAATCTCCTCTGTCTCTAAGGAAACTAACGATACCTGGAGATGTCAAAGTGAGGCCCGCATCGCTTGAAAGGTCGTCCTCACTATCCTCAGTATATACAAGCTCAAACGTGCCAGCCGATGGTTGCTTTTCAGCCGGCGCAACTTTCGAGGAATGCAGCGACCCCATGGTCTGACTTTGCCGTGGAGCATGCTCGGACAGACCGGACCTTCCGCAGGGATCGGTCGGACGTCCACCAAAACCCAGAAATTGACTCAATTTAGGGACTGGTGGAAGAGCAGGTTGTGACTGCGAGAAAAGAGTGCCTTGTAGGCGAGGAGTGTACCATGGGACAACATTAGATGGTGTTGGGGGGTTCACTCGTGTTGAAAGAATGGTCTCTTGAATGGGAAAGGAATGATTGATCATGGAATGCTGGTAGGGGAGGCGCGTCATCCATCTCAGTGTCAGTCACAACGTTGTACATATCAACACCCCCTATTTCCTCTTCAGCGTCAGCCATGATCTCATCTTCGATGATCGCCTGGAAATCCTGATCACTGCCATCAACTGTGGCCCGACAATACTCGCACAGGCTCTCAAAAGGGACCGGTGGCAGAGGTTCTTGGGTGACTGGAGGCCACTGGAAAGGTAGGCCTGCTACCTCAGCCTCATGTTTTTGGATGTGGTCTGCTAGACCCCAGGAATCGGTCCTCTCTGCTGGTCTGAAGCAAGCACAAGCGAATTTGGAGTCACCGCCTCTGAGGCCTGGTGCTCTGTAGATGCTTGGTGAACCAAGAGAATCAGAGGATCGAGGTGCCGGTGGTGGAGTGTGAGCAGGGAAAAGAACTTGTTCGATTCGCGTAGCTCTCGCCCGTGCGTTCGAGCGCTGATATCTGCGGGGGTAAGTGGCAGCGGCTTTCCTGAAGCAAGTTGGGATGAATGGCAGAGGATATTTCTTTGATGCCTGTACAGGTTTGGGACCAAAGTCGACGCGTGAGAGGCGGCCAGTCGCGTGAGACGGGATGGTCTTCCTCACGCGGACACTTGAAGAGCTCTCCCGGTTGACCACGGCAACATTAGGTCTGAAAGATGGAAGACTTCGTTTGGAAAGCATCTTTGCAGATGGAGACACAGAGTTTGAGGGGACTTGGTATCAGAAGGAGGAAAAGGTAAACAAAGGGTTTCAAACGGATAAGGTGCTTTTGGTTTGTCGCTTTGGTCAAAAGCATGGTTTCGAGGAGGAACAAGTAGTACAGGATGGATTAGAAGGCTGCTCAGATGAGCAGGATGATTTTCAGAAAGCAACGGCTACTGTTCGAGGTCAAGTTGTACTTGGTTGAATGAGAAGAGCCACTGTTGAATACCGCTGTACCCTTCAAAGCCCAACTGAATGGAAAACGTGACTTTCCTGTTGAGGACTGAACTGCCTCACAGATCGCAGGTCATATTATGCATTGCCATCCATCAGTACCAGTTAAGATGTGGCAGGTGTATTGATGCCATCACAACGGCAAGTCTCGAGTGAATCTGCGCGTCACCTGGCATTGCACAAGGCTGGGTGAACGAAGGAGTCTTGGCACACAAATGCTGCTGGGGGTCCAGACAGGACAACACTCCCTATTTCAATGGGCTCTTGATACCATATGGCCTTGCCCAACCCTTTCAAATGCTTGTTCATCCAAGGCAATGGAATGACTGATTCCGACAGGAAGGCCGAGCTGTGATGGCCTCCTTTCCCTCTCAGGCAGGTGTCCTCGGATAGGATCAGGGATTGGGAAAATCCTCAAGAGGCACTTCGGCCTAGAGGCCTCTTTGAGTGTCACCCACCTGGAGTCTTTAAGTTCGGAAACACTGGCGAGGGAATCCTGCTCGCCACCTGGATACAGAATGTTCGTAAATCACCGAGTGATGGGAAAATGGACATGGCATTTCCAAGGTCGAGTGTGAGCCCACCTTTTCTTTCCCACCGAAGTGAAGGTCAACCGGTGGAGAGAAACGCTGTTGGATTGTGGCGGAGTGGTGGAACAGACAATCGAGGTAAGTTGGTTAGATTAACTCGATGAGTCTCGGTGCCCTGTGTTCCCCTTCGAATGTCTTGCAAAGGATTTAACTTGAGAAATATTAATGAATGGGCTCAAACGGTGGGGGAGTTGGAAGGAGGAGAAGGGGCCCCTCAAGATGGTGTCCCTAACGAGGACCCTCCCCCTCCCCCCAAAGCTCGGAGCCCCCGAGACGGAGAAGAGCACCCGAGGGCCTCCTTCTGGTCATGAGAGGAAATCAAAAAATATGTTCTTGGCTACGTCTTTCCATCCGAACTAATACAATACATATATGATAGATACATACTATGCCTGCTGGCCCAGGAAGTCCTAAGTGGTACTTGCTTGCCATTTACGTCTCAGGTAAGTAAAGACTCGCTGCATCTGAAGCGAATACTCGCTGCGAGCATATCGATACATAGTCCGATCTGCTCGTTCCACATCGATGTTGTGAAAAATGGCATCGAGCAGCTACGACGTGGTCATCGTCGGCGCGGGCCTGTCAGGGCTACAAGCGGCGCTGGACGTCCAACAGGCCGGATTGAAGTATCTCGTGCTCGAAGCACGAGACCGCGTGGGCGGCAAGACGCTCTCGCTTCGTTCCACCCACAAGGTTGTCAAGTCCGAGCTGGGCGCAGCGTGGATCAACGACACGAACCAGAGTGAAATGTGGAAGCTGGCTCAGGAACTGCGGCTCAACACCTACGCCCAGAATACCGTGGGAGACGTCGTGGTGCAAGACGTGGACGGGTCCCTGGTCCGGTTCCCGTATGGCGATGTGCCGAAATACTCGTCCGCAGAGGACACGGCGTCGTGCATCGCGATCCGGGATCTAGTGCAGGAGGTGTCTACGTCGCATTCGCCCTCGATCTTCTCGGACGGGCCGCATCGCGTGCAGCTCGACTCGATCTCCTTCGAGACGTATCTACACGAGGCCAAGGTCACGCCGAAGGCGTTCGCAACAGCCCAAGTCTGGACACACGCCATGGTCGGATGCGATCCCAGCGAGCTCTCCGCCCTATGTTTCCTGGAGTACTGCGCCGCTGGTGGAGGACTGATGACGATGCGCAGCGACGGCAAGGGCGGCGGACAGTACCTCCGGATCCGCGAGGGCACGTCTGCGTTCGCGGAGGGAATGGCTGACAAGCTGGCGCCAGGGGCCCTGAAATTGCAGAGCCCAGTGGCCTCGATCACGCAGGCGCAGCGCGAGGGAAGCGTCTTGGTCATGACGAAAGGCCAGAACCCCCAAACGTTCCGGGCGCGCAAAGTCGTCGTCTCGATCCCCACGCCGGTCTACAAAACAATAGCGTTCAGCCCTCCGCTCGCACCCTGCAAGACGGCCGTGGCGAACCGCACGCGCTACGGGTTCTACACGAAATACATCGTCACCTTCCGCCGCGCCTTCTGGCTGGAGAAGAACCACTGCGGTCTCGCACAGTCATTCACGGGCCCGATCTCGGTGATCCGCGACACGAGCCTAGACGACGGCAAGACCTATGCCCTGACGTGCTTCATGGGCGGGCAGTTCGGCCGCAGATGGGCCGCGCAGGGCGCCGAGGGCAAGAAGCGCTCGGTCTTGAAGCAAATCGGCGAGATCTTCTCCGCTGACTGCATCGATGTCGTCACTGATCTCTTCGTCGAGGCCTCCGAGTCGCCCTGGATGGAGGAGGAGTACTCCGGCTGGGGCTGCCCGTGTCCCGTCACGCCTCCCGGTGTGTTGGCAGGCGACGCCTGGAACGCTCTCTGTGCGCCGGCCGGAAACCTGCATTTCGTCGGCACGGAGCTCTCGTCCGTATGGAGGGGCTACATGGAAGGTGCCGTGCGCTCCGGGTCCAGGGGCGCGGCGGAGGTCATTGCTGAGCTGACACGCGTGAGTCCTAAGCTTTGAGGTGAATTCTCCTTTTGGGTCTTGTGTCTTGGGTCCATGACCCCTGGCGATGAGGGCTTTCTAGCACAATATCTCTCTGAGGTATGAATTTATAGTCAGGCTCAAAAAATGGGTTATGTATTCTGTAGCTCGTTCTCTTGCAAAAGGCGATACAAATGATACATAATGACTTGCACAGACTCATAGATAGTGTCCCGAAATGGTGAGACGTATCAATAGAACTAGTTGATACCTAAGTGTATCAACTTGTTGCATGGAAAGAAAGACCAACCATATGAAGTGATGACGTTGAAGACATCTCCACCCCCCCTTTATTTTCGTTTCCTCAACTACGGATACATAATACAAGCAACAACAGGCGAGCGTGTTCAAGAACCACCACTTCAAAAGATACTCCCATCGCCATCTTCGATAGATTCCCCTTTCTTTCTACAGCATGGCGTCACACCCTTACGGAGAAACCATATCCCAACTCCTCTCCCCATCGACACACTTACTATTATTCTCTTTACCAACCTCACCGCAAAAACCAGTCTTACCAGCATCAACAATAAGCCGCCTCTCGCTGCATCCGGTACTAGAATCCATCCTCCACATCCTAAATTACGACCTGCCGAGCGCGCATTTCCTGCTGCGTCATATGCAGGCGCCGCCGGCGTATGAGGCGATGTTCTTACATGGCGTGCTGCATCGTGTGGAAGGGGATCTCGAGAACGCGGCGGCTTGGTATGTGGATGTTCAGGACACAGAGGTTTTCAGGGTTGTTTGGGGGGTTTCTGGTGAGAATGGTGGTGACGGAGACGGAGCTGAGGATGATGGTGGTGCTCAGGGGTATCCGGGTCCACGAGAGTCAGTGGCATCGAAGTCAGGGTCAAAGAATCCGTCGAGGACAGCTGCCGACCACACTCTGCTATTCCTTGACAGTTTGGTCGAAGCGAAAGCAAGTGTACGTTCAGGCCAGGCGGCGCCACAATATCTTGTTCAAGCGTCGCTAGGTGAGTTCTCGCGGCTTTGGGATTTCTGTGAGACGAAATTCGGGACTGAGCCAGTGTTGGAAGCCTCAGATATATGGGTGTCTATGGCTGAGAAGAACGCTAGCATTGCTGAGAAAATGATTACAGGTGGTGAAGGTTGGCGAGAATTCTAATGAGACGTCTGGACAGGGAAAGAATCAACAACAGTAATGCATTGTACACTAATGCAATCGGATGCCCTCGGCTATCTTCGAATAGGATTCAGTTCGAATAATCTGCTGACAAGAATGTTCATGTTGGAACAATGACGTAGGTAAGGAATATCTGCTCCTGTCTAACCATTCTACACGTCGAGCTCCATGACCCTGATGGCCCTCCGGCAGCGGTCGTGACGCTGTTGGTCAAAGGTGTCGTCCATGCATCAGTGCCTATTTTTTCTCACCACCAATAGTGTTGGCAAGGTCTGAAAGAACATGTCAGTGGCGGGTGGCAACAGGCTGGGAGGAAAGTGATCTCACTGGCAGCAGCGTCACTAGCAGTGTTCAACGCACTTGCCGCAAGATTTTGGGCTTGTTGCAAATATGATTGACCTCCTTCACCAGCTGCGCCGGCGTTCGATTGAGCTTGTTGAGTCAAGTTGGAAGCAGACTCTTGAATATTCTGGCCGGCGGCTGACAACTTGTCAGTAACAGTGTTGGCACCTGAACTGGTCTCATCGGAAAGCTTTTGGCTAGTGGATTTGCTGTCACCTGGAAGAAGGGAAATAGTTAGCAAGACTAGACACTCGGGAGGAAACAAGCAGGGTTGGCTTTTGTTCATGGGACTAACCAGGCTGAACCGCACCAGCAATGCTGTCGGCAGTGTCAGTGACACCCTCCTTAGCCTTGTCAAGACTCGACTTCTGAGACTCTGGTGTGATGGTCTCTCCGATTTCTGTTTGATATCGTCAGTGAATGTATGGCGAAAAGGCGCCGAAGGCGTCGAAGGCCCGACAGGCCAACTTACGGGATGTGAGTGGTTTGCGGCCGGTGTCAGACATCTTGCGTTAGATGTTGTTTGTTTTGATGGGATACTGTAGGTGATTGAGTGTGCAAAGAGGTGGTTAAGTTCAGCAAAGTTTGGAGCACAACAGAGAGAGAAAGAAGTCGAGGGACGGATGGTATTTCGGGTCCTAAGGCTTGGTTGTCTCGCAACTGCCTGCCTCGAACTCTTCACGTCTTCAGGCAGGAGGGGAAGAAGGTGCGAGGGGGAAGTCGCCTTGACGTCATTGTCCACTGTGACATCGACCCGAGGCGGCAGGCGCCACTGGCTGGTTGTTTTGCTGTAACATGTGAGAATGAAGGGGCAAACTTAACGAGGCCGCCAGAGACGTGCGGAAACGTAGTCTAGTCGTCGTTGTTTCTTTTAATCTCTAGTCCTAAAGGTCTAGAAGGCTCCAGTGATAAGACAAGACTGCATAATGATCGGAATCCAACCGATTGATCATTGCTGACAACTTTGGATCCAGAAAATGACTGAATGGGGGTATTTTCGCTCGCTTGATGCCACTCAACTGTAATATCGAACGCCGCCCCCAAAAAGATGGTCTATGCTTGTCCCCCACATCCTCCTCAAGTAGCTCTTCCACATCCTGTTGGTTTCCTTTGTGTTGGCTGGCATGTCCTAGCTGCTGTCGTGCTCTACTTCGAATTCACGTCAGTCGCTTCAGGCTCTGCCTCCAGAGCTGGCTGCTTTCCCGCACTGTTAAGGTCTGACCCCGTACCACCATATTCCTTCGGCAAGAATGCTCCTAGTCCCTTCAGCTTGCTGTTACTCAGTTCTGCAGCTAGACCAGCAGCGTTGCTCATGGGATGGAACTTCTTAGCAGTCTTTGCGGCGACGAACAACTTGATGAATGCATAGATGAAGCCCATGATCGCAGGTACGTTGACAAAGAACTTTTCCTTGAGTAGTTCGGGGTAGTTCTGGGCAAAGATCTTGATGGTCTCGGTGCTGGCAGCTTTGACAACTGATTGTTGGCGAAGGAAGCTGATTGACTTGTAGTCATGGACCTGGAAAATCTTGTAGGGATCCCATTCTGCGGTGATCGGTTTGACGGCTTTGTCGATAGCAAGGGCATGCAACGCTTCCTCCATGAGAACAACTCGCCATTCGATGAACCTGTTAGATGGTCAATAACATGCCATGAATCGAAGTCAGGTCATAAATCAACTAACTCTGCCAGATTCCCAAAAGTCTCATCTACGTTCTGCACAGTCCCGTAGATGTTCCAGGTGAAGACTTCTTTGAGCTCTGGATCAGCAGCATCGGGTGCTCCGAAAGTTGTCACATAGCCCAAACCTGCGAACTTGGCTCGATTGAATTTCTTGCTCATCAAATCCAGAGGCTTCATCTTCGCGCGCCATTCGAGAGTCTTTACAAGTTGATCCTTGGCCTTGACGAGATCCCCATCATTGGCGTTAAGATACTTTTGCAAGATGACCTGAGTTGGGATGTGGTTTGCAGGATCGGCGAGAGTGACACCCCAGATTTCCGGGTGGCCCTTGGATTGAGCTAGAGACCAGAGTTCTTCAATTGGAGTGGCTCCCTTCTCCTCGGTTGGGGCTGCTTCCTTGGCCGCCGATTCATCAGCCTTCTCCGCGCCGTCAGTTTTGTCAGTTGTTTCAACGGCTTTCGCTGGCTCAGACGCAGGAGCAGCAGCGCTATCTAACTGTTCCATATGTGGTCAGTTAGACCAAGGTGTGGAGAGATCGTAATGACTACAACTTACCGGAGTGGCGGTTGTGTCGACAGCAGATTTCTCAGCCGTAGAGGCGTCGGGAACTACACTTGAGACCTCGGCAGGGAGCGTTGTACTAGTTGGAGCAGCAGTGGTGGTCTCGGGTACCGTTGTTGCGCTGGTGGGAGCAGCAGTGGGCGTCTCGTTTGTGGCCATGGTTGCTCGATGTGATGGATGAAACTTGGAGAACTCGTTTTAAGATGGCGGCGACTCTCAACTAACAGGAACAAAATCGGAATGTGGAAGGATGGGTCAGAGATGTGAAGCCGTAGGGAAAACCAGTGGCAGTGAAAACAATGCTGTAAAACGTAACCTCTGCGGGAGAGCAAATGACTATAAGGCAAGGTGAACCCAGCGGTGCTCGATACGTGAGCCTTTGCGATGGCTGATGGCTGATCGAATTGGGAGTGAATGTCAACAAAAGGGGGTGATTCTGGCGAGTCTCCCGTGACTTTAGTTAGGTACCTAATTAGTCACCAAGCGCCCAGATTCCAATAGTTGGGACGCGGCAACAGGGAGATCGCAAAGCCTTTCCACTGAACACCACCGCCAGTCCTGGCCGAAGGGTTCTATTCTGGATGGGAAGCGCAACTTTCTAAGCTGAATAGATCACGCACGACGGAGTTATCAAGAATAGACGACGACGACGGCCTTTCTAGTGATGTTGGAAAGGACCTACATACATACTACTGTAGATGGAGACTACGGTTGCCTGTCAGGCCGCCATCTTATCTGATGAACCGCCCAGACCCGAACTATACCCGAAAGAGAGGGCTCCTCACTGGCGCCAAGCCGTGGATAGTCGCTCCAACAACTATCATCTATCCTCGTGCAGACAGCCAAGAGTACTTAGTTGCGAGTACATCTATCTGTACCTGCAAACGGTGATGTTGTGGGGACCCCGCAAACCTCCCTAGATATGTACATACAAGTAGTGGACTCATTGCTATGTGTGGTGCTGGCTCCATCGATTCGGTGCACGTGTCTTCGGTATTGGTGTTGTCGCATTTGATACAATGTTTGTTCTGCTTCACGTAGAACCTTACGAGTAGATCCCGGGGGGTGAAATCGGTGCGTTCTGAATGTGTCAGTCTGCGGATCCAGCGGAATTGAAAACCAGAATGCCTGATGTTACAAGGAAACATGAGATTCTCTATGACGAGCAAGGAATGAAATTGTCATATTATCTGTTAGGTACTCATCCGCATTGCTCCCTTTGTACTGAAACTCTTCACGGATCAATCATATGGATGGCATGTCGGTGACAAGGGAAGCCCATCGAAGACAGCTCTCGCCCAAGAATGCCAAACATAATCTACTTCCGTGTTGCCCAAGACACCGACAAGTCTAATTACATCATTCAACGGGGCCCACGGCATTGATATCCAATATCCCATCTATTCATTAAATTCTGGACACTTCTGGCCGAGCTGTCCCATTGCCTGTCCAAAAAGCAGTAAGCATCAACAAACAAAAAACAAAAAGCAAGGTGCGCACTTCTGCTCGATTGGCATGATCTCTTCAGGCCACAACGAGACAGACGCGATTGTATCATATTTCATCAAATCACAAAACTCTGGTGACTGAACATCTTTCCAACATAATAATCCTCCTCATCCAGAATATGAAAGAGATATCTTCCACTGTTCCACACACCATGTCATCCACACATCCGTCTTTGCGCTCTAAATCCTTCATGATAAGGAATGGCAAACGCGGTAGAATTAGAAAGTCGTATGTTCTTTCTCATCAAATCATAGCATCTGAAGCCGAGAGAGGGCTGAACCAGCTGAAATATTGAAAAATGTCTATGTGCAGCGCAAGAGCGAGTGGTAGTGGTGCGGCGCGACCTTCGGCTGATACAGGTCCGAATCAAAATCTTTCTCGTGTCAAGCTTTTCCCATGGCTCGTCTGGGTTCACAAGCTCATGGTCAACCATTCCCATTCCTGACTATTTCCATGAGGATTACCAGGCATAGCCTGCATGCCTGGAGTCAGTAACCCTCCTTGCATCACAGATGCCATTGTGGTTGCACCCGCAGTAACACCAGCAGAGCTAGCTGCTTTGGCTCTGGTTACAGGGGCTTGCACTGGCTTCGTCGCCGCAACATCGTGCATCTCAGCTTCGTTGTTGGCGACTTGAGCACCATTGGTCACAGGTAGTGTGCTTGTGGAAGCACGAGATTGTCGCCTCTGGCGTTTTGGTGTAACTTGCACTGGCCGAGTCAAACTTGGGCCGGGTTGTACCACCGGTTTAGGTGGTGCGGCCGCAATCGGAACAACTCCGGGTTTACCGCCAATTGTGCCAGGAGGATAACTAGTGGGAGTGGTGACAACGGAGCCCGAGTTGGCAGATCCTTGAGCAGAAGCGGGAGAAGCTGAATTATGCTCACTGGCAGCATGACCCGAGGTAGGAGTGGTTGCTGGGGTCTGCTGGACTGAATTCTTTCGGGTTACTTTCTTGGATGCTCTTGTTGCAGCTGAGCCAATTGGCATTGTCGCACCACTACCACGGTTTCGCTTTTTGATCACGTCGGTTTTCAGTGACAAGGGCCGAACGACACCGTGCAGCTTCAAGAACAACCCACAAGCATTGCAAAGAGGATGTCCTTCTGGATTGCGCCTCCACAATGGTGTAGTTTGAGTGAAGCAATTGGTACACGTTGTTGGGACACCATTCGAATCAGTATTCTTCGGACCTGGGCTGTTTGGCCTGGAAGGCTGTCGGCTGCTGAATCCCGACTCTCCTGGTGAGCTTTCAGTGGACTGCATGTGATGGGCAGATAGAACAGGAGTCGATGTCGTTCGAGGAATCTTTTGCCGCCGCAAGTCTTGGTCCCGATTTCGAATGTCGCTGATTGAAGCTGCAGAGCCGTGCGTACGACTCAGCATTGAGGATCCCCAGTCTGGAGGAGAATTGACCATCTCTGTGCCTCCGATGCGCACTTGCTTACCTGAACCGCTGTATCGTTGCAAACTGCCGAACTCTGTTACGTTGGGATCCCATTGAAGGCCAGAATTCAGGTCTAAAGTAGGGTCGCCGATTTGGCCATAATCGGATTGTAGTACCATGCTACGATCACCGAAGGTTGGCTCGTCATCTTCATTGTCCGAGTCTGCTCCAAAGTGAAACAAATTATCGTTACCACCCATTGATACTCCCGGAGAAGCACGACGCGAGTAATCAGGAATCAGAACCCGAGATGGATCGACGTGCTGTTGCATTGGAAAGCCATTCATAGTCGGTGCTGAGCCTACGCCATTCATGGCCGTATAGATTGATTCGTTGTTTGAGCCAAACGCAAATTGGGAGGCCACAGGGGTCATGACTTGCTGCGTTCTATGCGCTGGATAAAACGGCATTGGTCGTGTGTGTCCGGTATTGTGGTCGAAGTAAAATTGCGGCGTATCGCCTTCATGACCGGGTTGAGGAGTTGAGACGGTAGATTGAAATCCAGATTGAGGTGGAGAGTAGAAATCTGCCGAGGTCAAGGACGAGGGAATCGAGGATTGTGTATATATGTTCGAGAAAGGGCCATTTGTGACCATAGGTGAGGCAACAGGAGAGAAGGAAAAGTTCTGTTGGTATGGGCCGGCGGACGTTAGAATCGGATCGTCGTTTAGATGGAAGGAGTCCAGATGGAGAGACATTTGACCTTGGAAATTGTGTGGATTGGAGAATGTTGAAGGTGTGGGTTGGTCAAGGGTATAATCTGGCAGTCCAGTGTCGACTTCGGCACCTGTGGCACCGTGTGGTACAACAATGGGAGGCACTTGAGGGGAGAATTCAGCAGGTCGCTTGCGGTTCTATCACAAAGCATTAGCATGTATATGGAAACAGGACGACAGCCAAAACTCACGCCTCGTCTCTCGTCAATGCTGGTCTTTCTCACCCTTCTCCGCACGTAATCGAACTCTGACGATCTATTCAAGGCGATGGATGGTTGGGGCATCGAGGAGGGTGGTAGGTTCATAGGAATCTGGACTGGGGGCTTGTTACGGGGAGTGATTCGAATATTGGCGGGGGATTGAGAGGGTTTGCTCTGGAGCAGGCCCTCGGTTGGAGCAGGAGAGGTTAAGCCAGCAGGTGAAGCAATAGAGCTCGGGACAATGAAGTCGTCGAGGTTCATTGATTCAGAAGTCAGCTCGAGTTCAACTGGCTGGTCAACAGATCTGCGCAGCTGCTGGGCGATTCCACTGGGAGCGGAAACCGGAGGAGGGCTCTTTATTTTGGTCTGCTTCGCACTAGGAAGGTAGTCAGCACCGGCTTGAGGTACGTCGCTGCCGGGTTGGGATTTCTGCTCATACGCTGCCTGTGCTTGCATTTGCTGCTCTCGACGACGAAGGTTCATAGCCATCATCCTCCAAGTCAGATTCTCCATACGCTCCTGGTTGGGTAACCGAGACTTTGTGCGGCTGTAGAGCTTCCATATCTGGGTACCCAGAGGGTCTTGTTTTTGCAGCTCATCTGGATTGTCGAGGGCTGTGGAAGCAGTATCGTTGTCGTCCCAATCGGCAAAGGCAGAGTTCCGCAACAACTCATCTCGAGCCAGTGAGTCGGGGGTGGAGAGATCCAGGTTGGAACTTTGGAGGTCGTTGTTCTTGAACTTGGTGTTGGAGGTGGCAATGTGACAGAGGTTGGTGGGAGAGAGATTGGTGGTGGAAGTATTTGCAGTCAACTGCCCCAAGCTGGACCAGGTAGAAGAATCAGTGTCATCGAGACTGGTCGAGGGTTGGCCGTGTGTTGCAGGGGAATGGGATGGGAAATGGTCGGCCGGGGAGTGGACAGTGGAAGTTGCGCGTGAAGCTGCAAGTCCCCCACGTTCACTGTAATCTGCACCCAACATCACCGGGGGGTCGTGGTCGTGCAGAGTCGCGTGCAGCAGGCTGAGATGCAGTCACAGATTGGTTTCATCAGCAGAGCACAAAAAGCCACCAGAAGGAAGTGGGAGGTGGTCGATGAGCGAGATGCAAATAGAGGCTTAGGCGTGTACTTGGATTGGGATTGAATAGAAAATACAAAATGTCATCACCCGTTGCATGCGCCAGATGCATGAGACGAGTTCGAGCCGAGTCGAATTCGAAGGGGAAAAGGGCACACTCGCACGCTCTGCACGGCGAGAATGGATTTTGGCGCAGCGAAAAGGTGGGAGGGTTGACGACAGCAGGAAGAGGGACGCAGCCTATGATGGGACAATTTGGTGAGCATTGGGGGGGGCACCGGGGGGCCCCTCGGTCATGGCGCAGGTAGGGGTGGGCTAATGGCTGAATGGGTGGGCCGGAGTCTAATTAGGGCGAATTTGCTGCATAATGGAGCGCCGGGTTAGTGGAGGGTCTAAACCAAGCGATCGTGGGTCAGGGTCAAGCATGGACATGGGTGAGAAACGATTGACGCAGGGTGGGTTGAGGTGGTCTTGGTGATGGTGGTGGATGCCGAGGGGGGAGGAGGAGGCACTGTTAGGCCATGGAGGCAGTGAGAGGCTCTTAGAGGCACTTGGAGGGGCTACGGGCAAGCCTGGCAGTCTGGGCGGCGTGCGGGACATGTTTAGAGTTGCAGGCACGAACGGGGTTCAACCACTAACGGCCAATTGCCAATGGGGACAACTCTTTGACCTCGACAGTCTAGCGAAACGAGGGATCCCGAGAAGCAGCAGAGTTGTAACTAGCTCGTAGTCAGAAAGTCGCTCGAAGCAGAAGGCTACCTAGCACCCTGAGTCTGAGATCGAGTCAAGTCAGTGTGCATCGGTTGCCGATTACAGTTCTTAGCGCAGAGCACTGCGTACTGTGTCAACTTGAACGTGGTTCTTTGGGGGGTGATTTATCGGCTGATCGCTACTGCCCACCTCGCCGTTGGAACCCATTTTGAGGGTCGCCCCCCGACATTTGCTGGCAGGACCTCTCGGTTGCGTGATGCAGGTAACATGAGGCAGATCTTTTTTGGGTGGTAGTCGCCGTCACGGGTAAGCAATTCAAAATATCGCAAAAGGGTGGTCGCGAAAATCGGTAGATGTTCCTTCGGTGCTCTCTATATCGCTCACAGTGCCGTGACCTCACTGCAACGCTGCAAAGAAATAATGGTAAAACAATGATGAGAATGTATGCAGTAGGTAGGTACTCGGAAATCTTAAACCACTTTCTGATCGGCATTGCTCCGGGAGGATGGGCAGAGCAGTAGGGATGAGTCGTTGAGCTGACTACGAGCACGCAGGACGAGCGAGGTACCTAGACAGGTTCGGGACTTGAAGGCCATGGCCATTGCCAGTGCCAGTGCCATTTGAACGATGACTCGCTTCGAGGCCAGCTTGATTAAACTTGCAGCTCACCGAAATGGATGTCATTGGGATGAACAAGGGCACGACCAAGGTTTGATACTCGGCCATTTTCGTCGGCTGAGCCTTTTAAACCACGGTCTAATGCGGTAATTGACGTCGGCGGGAAATGGAATCAAGGTACTCCGGACTGCATGGTTCCAGTTGGGACAACGCACTGGCGCACTGGCCGATCTGTACTCGTACTCGTAAGTTTGACTTGCGTTGTCTCTCCAGAACTCGAAGGCTGGTCGAGAATACTCGTCCTCCGACTCACAGAATCACTGGTGAGCTGATTGGTGGCGTCTGAGGAACGAGTCCTCGGTACAAGGCTAACTATCTAGAGATACTTTCAGTCCAAGGGCACTGGTCCTCTCCGTACCGGGACCAGGGCAGGCCTAAGCGGCAGACTGCAGTGCCATGCACTTGGTCCGCGACTCTACGACTGGGGTGTCAGAGTCAAACAGCAGTTAGCGTGGGAGTGTTCATCATAGCCGACCAGGTCAAAGCGTGGGAGACACATTGATTTTCGCCGATGGAGTGCCTGCTCGTCCTCATGTCCATGGACACTCACTCTTATTCAGTTGTGACTGAGTCCGTTAACCGAATGCGAACGAGTTGATGCTGGCCCGGGAGGAAGCACGCCCAACACATCTCCGACCCATTACTTGTCACCATTACACACGTGTAGTCGTTACTGCTCTCGGAAATATAAATGGAGACCGCCCGTACTCCGTACCGCAATGACTATTCCAGAACGTGTCCGGGGTTGGGTATTTCCGGTGCTCGACATGACTGTAACTTGCCAACGGTTGCCTCGACGTTGCCCAGCAAAAGGGCTTGAGTGTTGGAACCCGCTTCCTGACCAGGTACGGAGTATATCGGTAGTCGCTGTAAACCTGAACAAGAAGAGTCCAGGTGTATCGATGAAACATACACAGCGAGTGGCATGTTCTCACAGCCTTCCCGCTCTTCAAGATGAGGCGGATGAGTGCATGGCTTCCCTCTCCTTAAAGTCACAGTACCCGTATGTACATACTTCTACCGAGGATGGAGGACTGAGGCCTTGTAAGTGTGCTCGGTACAATTCCATGGCTGCTGGGATCCCAATCCTAGTTTCTGGATCCCTAAATTCATTCTTTGCATGAGCGGTCAATCCACTTTGCGCGTGTCCTTGCCATCGTTGGACTCCACTGTCAAAACAGATTCAATAATAATCCTCGTAGGTGAACCACCTGAACTAGTACCGGTTCAATGTCCCTATTAGGCTGCTTACGGGTACTTAGGGAGGTGCTACGCTCTAGTTACCCCGTGATGAGGGTATTCGGTCGCTCGCCTCTCGCCTTCACCCAAACCGGACAACCCGGCATTTGGGACTTGGAATTTGGGATGGTGGGTACCAACTCGTATGAGTACACACCTCATTCCAACTTCATTCCGAAATACCTCCTTTGCATATGAGGCTACTGTGATTGTTTGTTGCTGTGGGACTTTCCACACTGACAGTCGCCACATGCAGTGCACAACAATGATCCCACGTACTGCAACGTTGATCCTATCTTTTTATCAGCTGCGACTCTGCGAGTGCGAGAAGCAGCACTGAAGGTGTGTCGCACCTTCCGAGATCTGGGCGCCAGTGCCCGCTGCTCACTTGCCTCCAAAGTCAAACCATCACCGCATTAATATTGCTCCGAACGTAGGGAATACACGCATTCAAGTACCGCTCTCAGGCTTACGAGTACGGTGAATCTCCCCTCGGGCAGTTTCGGGCTATACTTGAGGCTTTGACGCCTGAAGAATGAGTCGCATCCGAGCCGGACGGCCGCTAAGATGACTTGACTTCGGCATCCAACATGCTGGGGCTTCGGGCACGCACTCGAAAAGGCCTCCAGAAACACATCATAGCTTCCGACCAGATCTCCACCCAGCCTGGAAGCACTCCGTATCCAGCATAAGATACTCCTGCTAACCTTGCGTGTGCCTCTAATTAGCTACAATTCTAACCATCTGGGAGAACAAAGGACCGCCGCTCCCGCTCCATGTACTCCGTCCATGGCTGCAATAATAAATGGTTCCTAAAGGGAATGGATGCGCCGGCTCCGGACTACTCGTGTGGGAGTCAGGGACCCTGTTTTCCGAACTGGCACTAAGCATGCAAGCCTCCCTGCGGAAGGTCAACGAATGAGCAGGCTGGGCTGACATGCCCCAGCCTGGGATTTGAATATGCAGATGCAGATGCAGATGGCCACTGTTAGCCACTGACAGGAGAGCATCACACTACGAGTACTTCGTACCTATTTGCTCAAGCATTTCGAGCACTCCCACACTACCACATGTTGCTGACGGCACGCGACTGGAGCTGTTGAAACGCTAGCCTTGGTGCCTTGGATCGGCCTTCTCTCTGTTCACATTGCAGAGTCCAGACTCCAGACTCCAGAGCCACAGACGTGCCAATTTGAGATGGTGTCGACCTGTCTATGTCGATTTCGGTCTCTCTCATGCCCAACTCTCCATCACCTCTACCTACCTAGCGGGCACCACTGTGGCACTGGCGGGCCCTCGGCCCTCTCCACCTATTTTTTCCTTAGGCGTGGCTCTGAATGTACTCGTACGTCCTTGCAGTCAGAAGCATGTGCTGTTCTTCACGGTTCACATGGGTTCTCGCACGTTATTTCATTGTACCTACTAACTTTGCCCTCCCTGCCGCTCGGGTCTCGGTACCATCCTCTTCAATTAACTATCGACGGACGATCCAACATCAGACATGGCAATAAGGTCCCACCAAACATCGGAACCCCTTCCCAGTCAGGTCAATCCTGAGCTCCATCCATCCATCTTTTCTGCAATTAATGCCGGTAGCCACAGCGCAACGATCTGCCGTTCGAGACCATCCAATCCCTTCTGAAGGTAAGCCACTAGCTACTATTAATCTCACCGCGACGACCTGTCAGCGATCAAGGTCTATGTCTTAGCGCGGGGTGTGATGCGTAGCTTGTTCATCTTCCAGTCTATGTTCATCGGTCGGGCAGTCAATCAAATCAACATCGTCGATCGAACTCGCTCCTGTCAATCCCAATTTTTGTCAATTGGACTGAGCCATTCTTCTACCAAACCACCACTTCTTGTCGATCAGAACATTCTCCCTCCTACGACAGCAGTGGTAAACCTCGGTCAAGATCCGTGCAACAATGATCCCAAATTCCCGGCGCAAACTCTAGTTAGAATGCCAGTAGGATGGGACTGGAGATGCACATCCGTTCGTACAGGTACTCAATACCGATGCTCTGGATTTGTTCTCTTTTTGCCTTATTTGTTCCTGCCCTTCGGGTCCGGGCTTTCCCGTCAGTTATGAGTACAGGACTAACTACAGCAAACTACTCCGTCCCCGTAGCACTGCGTGGATCACACCGGGTGTGAACTCTAACAAGTTAGTCGCAAGTTGGTATCGTAGGGCGCAATACCCATATTTAAATATTTGAACATAGCTTCAGTAGTTGTACATTGTCCAAGTCGCTACAGCATACTTGGTCGCCAAAATGGCTTCATACTACTTAACATCCCATTGAATGTATATTGAATGTATAGGAGGCCAAGCAAAGATCTGTAGTTATTCTCCGCTTGAAATGAGGCTCGCATTCCATTGTCCCGCCGATTGCGACGGCCCCGTGGTGGCGAGTAAAATGCCCACGTTATATCGCATCCACAACGCCCGACATGACCTGACTGTGCTCCGATGGTTGCAAGAACATGTTCTTGTTCATCTTGGCGTTAACATGATTAGGTCCTGCGATCCACGGCAAGAGGGATCTTTCAAAATCAACGGTCTAGGGAGTGACGAACAGTGGCTGACGGACATGGCTCAAATTCTAAGGGTTTCGATATCCATCCGTATGGAAGGGGGTTACAGGAGAGTGAATGGCCTGCACCACGGCGGGGATCGATGGAGTCGTCCTATTTGTTGTTGCATGTGGCCGCCAAAGCTCCCAAATCACCCGTCGCTCTATTGGTTTTGGCGAGTCATGGAGTGCTGCGTATGTCCCATCCTGCGTATTGACGCGCGATTCACCCGAAACCAATGAAATTGAGGTGGGATTGATTCGGAGAAATAGTATCACTACCACATGGGAGGTGTTCGTTGTCGGCACGATCGTCATCCTTTCATGGGTTCGGCATGGCTATTCCGACATCAGAGTCCTACCACTTCAATACGAGATGAACTTCAATAACACAAATACATCTGGTCGTCCTACCTAGAGGCTTCAGCTGAATTTCCATCTCAACTTTGTGTCTGACGTAATTCGACTTAGTTGTAGCCAAACCTCCAACTTGGCCATTCTCTGCGCAACCTTTACTGCCCAAGGCAAACCAAGACTTGGGACCACGGATGGTACGGGTGCGAAGGGCACAGTCAGGATCTGCAGCACGAATCCAAGGCGGATCAGCAGTGGTGTCGATTCGAATGCTTGGAAAGGTTGAGATGCTGCATCGTATCGCTAGCCACTGGCCGATTAGTAAAGTGCCTCCCGCCCGCAGAGATCCACCTGCCCGTTCCCACGCACGCGACCAATTTTGGTCAACAGAATGAAGTAACTGGCGGGGAGGTCTGCGGGCTGATGTTGGAATGGGGAATGAGTCTTTCGTCTCATTATGCATCAATGGCCACATAAGGAAATTCCAATGGAACGCTGAGGCCTTCCAGAATAGGGCACTCGTACGCAAGTCCCAGCCTCAAGCAAAGAAGGCCAGTAGGTCGCCCTTTGACCAAAGAAGGCTCGACAGCGGGCATGTCGTGTGTTGCTTGATCTTGGTTACCACTCACCAGTGGCTCGGCCTTCCAAGCCGTATGTGCGGCGCTCACTGGAGAGATTGACAGAAGCCGAACAAGGATGCACCCTGACTAGTCAAAGTCAGATAGTTTAGGCGCATCTGTCGGGTTGCTAGCTGCATATGTTAGTGACGCCTCGTCGCCCGCCTCGAATTCAAGTTAAGCACATGTCGCTCTTCCCGGCTGGTCCTGATCCTGGGTCTGGCTCAGCAAAGCTACTCGTCCAGGTGCAAGTTCTGGACTGTTCCTGTTTTTCCTGTCTTTCCTCAGTGGGTATCTCTTGATGTCAGCCTGGTGCTCCACAGAGGCTTTTCGACTGCCGTTTGACGGCCCAGCGATATTTGGGCGGTTTGTTGAATGTGCATTTGCAAAAGCTTTTTCTGAAAACAAAGGTAAACGGCGAAATTGCATTCAACACCATCGAGACGCGAGACCGTGAATGCATCAGGAGACGGCCGAAGGGGATCACAGGTTGCAATGCAGCCTCAGGTGCACGGAGCATGGTAGTGCAGGAGAAGTTCCCCACGCTAAGGGCGATGCCTGCAAAGGACCAAACTTGCTGCTTATCCTTTACCGGCAGTGGCAAGTTCAGACTTAGCAAGCCCCACAAGAAACCTTTGTTCGTTTGGCACCACCCCCAAACCTGGTGAGTAATGGAGTTTCGTCAAGATAAACTGAATATGCAGCCCGTTATTGCCCGAACGCAAGATTGAGACCATGTAAGGGACTGCCTCCTGTCATCTTCGTGGCAGGCGCTGGTTTCTGGATTCACGGAGGATGGTGCAATGGAGCATGTTCGAAGGGCGATGCCGAGGGGTGGGATGGGCAGCTTCGTAATTGATGTGTGGTGTACCTCGTACGTACAGTAGGTCTCTCGGATGGGCGGTCTTTCGCCATGTCACCGTGTTTGCCATGGATTGTGGGTGATGTTGTACAACATGTAGCGTGTAGTGTTGATAGCGATAATCCTGATCATGGCGTTTTCCTATTTCAAGGCGAGACTTGTTATCGACCCGATTGGAGTTGTGCAAGACGCCTTGTTCGAAACCACAGTTGTGTGGTTCGAAAGACTGGTATCGGCTTGAGCGATCCAGATTAAGGACCTGTAATGCCGTGTCAACATTCGTTTCTCTTGTAATTTCAGTGTTTTTTTTTGTCGCAGGGTTTGGAGATTCAGCCTAACAAACGGTTCAAAAGAGCAGTAGAGGAGAATAGGGTGCAGCTGCTCCAGTACACTCTTATACAAGCCTCAGAGCGAGCAGCTCTGATAAGGCGGTGGAGATCACCGGGCATTGAAGATTTCAACCACAAGCAAGCCTGTTTTAGTTGGTCACTTGAGAGATAGCATTTCTGTCTGTTGCATACCGAGTCCCCTGGGATTTGATAAGTGCCTTGACCCCGCGATAACAGGGTCGTTTCTAATGGCGTAGGCTGATAAAGAATCCGGGGCATGCAAATCAATTAGTTCAACGTCTCCAGGACTCTAGATTGCGCTGGCACCCATCGTCCACTCAACGTGGTCAGGGAGTTTCAAATTGGTCTTGTGCTCTCAGATATCTGTGCATCGCCTATCAGGGCGGCACAATTCGGCCTCTTATCTTGATTGTGCTGAACAGTCATCTCAAAATTCCCTCGTTGTAGCCCGGCAATCGCATTGCGTGCCCAAATTACACAATCCAAATCGTTGAAGCCTTGAGCTCATCGCCAATCTTCCTGCCTGCCTATTAAGGCCGACAGACCTCAACATGAGGCGTAATTCTGTCATCTCCTATCTGGATTGCTTCCGGCCTTGCCTACTTTCTGTACCACACAACATATATAGTTGGGGTCGGGGAACACGATGATCTCTTGGTACCTGGTCCGAAGTCTGAGCAGTTGTACTTCGTCGTCTTTCGTTCTCGCGTGGTCTTCCTCAGCGGAGGCTTCCTGATTTGAAGTAGATGAATCCTTGTAGGAGAGTGTACCAGAGATTCCGGAGTCCCGAGATATGCTTCCGAGAGTCAATCCCAGCGAGGCTGCATTGTTCACAAACTGGAAAACAGACGCTGCCAATAATTCGACGGGCTGTTGTTTTCCTCGTGCTGGATCATCTTCCTGTTGATCACCGTCACTTTGCTCTTGCTCCTTGACTTTGCTCGTCTCTTGCTCGTCTTGTCGTGACCTCGACCATTGGTACTGTGAGCCTGCGCCCGAAGACAGTTGTTGGTCACTGACAATGACACCTGCAGCTCGAATAATGGATCCGTCTGTCTTCGATAAGATCAACGTAGCTTGGACATTTGGGCGATCTGTCAGGCCTCGTAGCATCGCATCGATAGAAGGGCCATTGAGGCTTTCCTGCGCCAAATCAAATTGCTTATTAGTAAACATGGCTCAGTTGCATGATGGCGGGCACACAAACCCGCTCGGCCTGCGCCATCCCCACGGAAGAAGTGTCTGAGGATTTTCAAGTCAAATCTTCTCCACGTGCATCATACTACCTCGGGAGTCCCTGTGAGTGGGATGAGAGCACTCGTAGGGAGAGCTTCTAGAAGCCGCGCAAAATTCGCGCAGGACGCGTCGAGCCGCAGGCGGTTGGGGCGCTTGTGGAGGAGCCCTCCAAGACGTTAAGATAGCCTCAAAGGGGTCCTAGCTAACGGAGATCGACAGGGCAATCTGACTTTCGGAATGTCGAGCATAGGAGGGGACAAGGCTTTGCGACCCAGGAGTTTCTATTACGAGCATGAAATCTCTCTTTACGCAATTTTCGGATTTCGGTGACACAAGACTCAAAATATTAGCAGGGTCATATACCGTGCGGCCCGTTCCGTGGCTTGTCGTTTGAAGGGCTTCTCCGTGGAGTCCAAAAGAAATTTACTATGTGTAACAGCCTCGAAGCTGGGATTTAGAGATGGTTTCTTATAGCCCACCACGCGCATCGTTCCGCTGAACGCGACATTCAGGCTTGTGCAGACCAAGCTTCTTACGCGCGCCTTCCACATATACATATCCGCGGGTGGCTGCGTTTCAAGTTCCACCACCGATTCACATCTTATACCGCCACCCATCTCGTTAGAAAAACTTCAACCATACAGATTTCAGGATGGGATCCAGTGCAAAGAAAAAGAGGGAGAAGAAGAAAGACTTTCAGGTTAGTCATAGCGGTGTTGCGCAGCAAGACTAAACTGACTACAACCTTGACTGACCTATCTTTCCTTTTAGAAACCAAAATTGAAAGTTGGAAAGGCCAGGCCAAAGGCAGCCAATACGACAGACACAAGTTTTCGTTCCAAAGGTTAGCTGCTGGTGTTGTGATCATTGTTCTTTTGCGATTCTGACACCTGCCACAGCAATTGTCTTGAACCAACAGCTTGATATCCACGCTCCGTCTGAGTCAGCCAAGTTTCTCCACCAGGTCTCGCTGTTAACTTCTCGATCGGATCCTCAGCGACGAGATGCGCTAGCATATTTGACGACTTACGTGACCTCAACTCCAGAAGGAGCCTCCCTTCCGACGACTGCAAGCTCATTACTCACTGCCGTGTGTCCACTCATCCTCGATGGTTCTAATGGCGTTCGAAACCAGCTACTGAAACTCTTCCGAGTCCTGCCAGAAGAGGATGTGAAGGATCATGTTGTCAAGATCTTGCCTTATATGCGGGCTGGTATGACCCATCTATCTAAGGATATTCGACTTTCAGCAGTAGAGTTCTTATCCTACTTGATCGGAATCGCAGGAGACGAGTTGGTGTCCAGCCCAGGTGGCTGGTATCAAACATTGGAGTGCTTTACTACAGTCCTTGGTTGGAGATCTACAGACTCAAGCAAATGGTCAGCAAACAAAGCATCCTTTGGAGGTGATATCAAGTCAACCACACGAATTATGGTTGTCCTTGCTGAATTTCTCCGGACGGGACTTGTCTCTGATAAAGATATCAGCTCAAATTCCAACGTCCTTGCAATTGACTTTCCCTTGTGGCAGGTGAGGGCAATCGCAATTCCTACTAAATCAAGTGCATATGCCTATCTCAATCTGTTCGGGCCTCAAACTGAGGCTGACAATCAAATGCTTGAAGACCGAGAAGACAGGATGGAGGTCTTCTCCAAGCATTTTGAAGCAGTCATTACAGCCGGCATAGACGCCGCCAAAAAGGAGGGCGGAGAACTTGGTCGTGCATCAGGCTTACTTGTCAAGGCACTCAGCCTTTCACACATTGGCTAAGGTTTGTTCGTTCGTGGGCATGACTCTCTAGCAAGCTTATTCGCCTTTCTCGCCGGACCTGGAGTGTCTTTCAACCTTGATCCAGCCAAATCGGTGGCTTCTTCAACTTTCGACAATAAATTTCGCTGACCTTGTACTGCGACTACATCTCAGGGCGGAACATTGACGAGTTGATTCAACACTCAATGACCATACTGTGTTACAAACTCTAATGTGCACCAAACCAAAGCGAATTAACAACTGAGAGGCTGAAAGAGCGAGCAGGCTTACGGAAATGTTGAAGAAACATGGCGAAATAGACTGTGCAGCGTGCGACCTAAGACTATATTTTCGAGATTGCTATTTCACGAACAACCAAATCTTCTTTCTACGACCATCCTCGTGATCTACTCAATCTTCAGGTATGTATCACATCCCTGGGTATCAAGTCACCGCGACCCAATCATTCGTATCCAACCAATGAGCCATAAAATAATGCCTCACATTGACAACCAAATAGAAGGAATAGTCAATCTCATCATGATGGACACCAAAGCCCGATATTTGTTCGCCTTGATCATTTCTCACCAGGCAGCTTCACACTCTGCCACTCCTCAGTGGTGACAGCATGCCATTCATCGGGATCGAACCATCCGATATAGTTTCTATCACCGAAGCCACCAATCCAATATACCTCTTTGACGACGATTCTGGTCCACAGGCCTTCATGCGCAGCCCATTTCTTTCCCGGCAGCCACATGACACTGTCGCCATGGAGCCGGGTGAAGCAGCTCGGGATGTCCTTCTTCTTGGCCTCCTGTTGCGAGATCTCTTCCAGGTAGCCGACAAGACTTAGGCGTGGCAGATTGGCCGCAGACCAGGGCTGGTGGTGCGTCAAATGAACATACTCATCCCACCATGATAGTGACAGCGAGACGTTGGAACCGGCTTTAGCGTTCAGCGTCGAGGTGGAAATCGTCAAAGACAGCACTGTTGGATTGCCGCTCGGCTCCTCACATGAGGCGATGTACTCTGGTAGACCGATGGGGGTTTGTGCCACATCTGAAGGGATTCGTTCCGAGGTGACGTTCTCGGGGAACACGGTGGTCAAGACTCCTGTTTTCGACAGAGCGAGGAGGCGTCTTCCCAGGACTGTCGACTCGTAGCGGGTAGGGCGCAGGTGGGTGGGAAGAATGAGGTGGGAGAAGGGAGAAGGCTTCTCCACAGTTGACGGGCGGTCGAGCACTGCCTCCGTCTGGACGTGGAGCTGCGGTGGTTGTCCCAAGGCTGTCTGGTCCAAATCGTTCTCAAGCGGAGCTGCCCAACCAGCCGGAGACAGAAGGAGAAGTGGCAGCGATAAAGCCGATAGGAACGTATTGGACAGATACATCTTATTCTTTCTCAAGCCTCTTTAGATCCACTGTCCCGTTGTGTTGTCTCGTCTCTTGCCAAATATTCCCATCTATCTCGGTGCCCAAGGTGCCCACGCCAACATAAAGAACGCTGAGGACACAGGAGCCTCGTCTTCGTGCGTCCGCGTCGGCTCAGCCGGTCAATCGATCGAGGATGATGCGAGGGGTGTACTTCGGCCAGAGAGCAGCGGAGGCTCCACGATGCAAAACGCAGGCTAGAGCAGAGGAGTCTGTCTATCGATGAAGACCGTCTTCAGTATGCCGAGGTCAGTCCGGCCGGAGGCTAAGTGAAGACACACAACTGGGAATACTATAATGTTAGGATAGCTTGTTAACTAGATAAGTAGGTAAGTAGGTAAGTCATAGAAGGTGAATGCACAGAGAATTGGAATGGCAAGTACACAGGGACGGGGGTGGCTAGTAACTCGAGGTTGAAGTACTTCCGATGTGCACACATGACATGGACGCTATTCCCCTGGGCGGCGGCGGCGGCGGCGCATGATCCTGTTCGTCTCCCATACCCCATGATACACTCGCCCTGGGCTTTCGAGACACCTAATTACTGTAAGTCCTAGTCCTACATCTTACGAATACAGCGTGCGACTGGCCTGACGACCCATTAACGCACCTGTTACATAATTACCATGTGGGTGCCACGGTACTGAGGGGATCAGGCAAGCCCATTCTTCCTGCCCCCTCCTCACCCGCCTCTTCTTCCTCGGACGCGTACGGAGTACAATAGCTCTAAAGCACAAAATGGAGCCGATGCCAATGGCGCAGACACAGACCAACTCACCTCGACAACGCACACCAAGCTGATTGGGTGAGCGGGTTGCCCGTCATCTTATCTGATCATCAGCGACATCGGTCGCAAGCTTGGCGCCTCTCGCCCCAACTTCTGCCAAGCCAGACATGCCCGAGAAGTGACGGAATATGTGACGGAATTACTGTTCTTAGTTGGGCAGGGGGACTCCAGCACCTCGGTCCCGACTAGTGGGGTGATGGAATCATCCACACTACGAGTACGGTCTCGGTATACACCTACGAGTAATTAGAGAGTCGCCCTGCTCATTTTTGCGAAACACTAACCGCGCTGTGCGGAATGGATTGGGCAATCGCAGAGCAGGAGTGCCTTCCGGTAGGGTCGTCCACATCCCACCTCTGGCGCTACCGCTTTGCTCAAGCCGTGAAAGACTGCAATGAGTCATGCATCGAGACTCCTTTCGGGCGTGGGCATTTCTGCCTGTCGCCTGTCTGATACATCCTACCCAGTGACCTTAGTTAGCAGGGAAGGGAGCATTTCTGCCTTAGTTGGATCGGCGTTGCTCTGGATGTATCAAATCAAGCTGGTATCATGACCAATCTAGACATTAGCATCATTGTACTACGGTGCGTTTCGGAACTCTTTGGAAAGTGCAGAAGGGATTAGTCAACTACACTTGGTGACGGAAGTCGACGTAAAAATAACAAACACAATTAAATTCGTGAGACTATACAGATGATATGCTAGTGTTGTAGACAGATGGGGAGAACTTCTACCACCGGTACAACGGATGTTGATTGCACCGAGTGGCCAGGGGATTTGAGTATAATTATCAAATTTACCCTGAGGTTCAGATCGTGAGTGACACTGTGTATTAGGAGTTCGTCTTAATGGCCAGAAAGTTATGATGTAGATGAGCCCGGGACCCTTCTGGCTATGCTAGGACGCTGTCATCGAGACATGCTGTCGGACATATTGTGATGCAAGATCTGGAGCAGAAGCACAGTGAAGTGCCATCCGCTTACTATCATTCATGTTCGGCATCGCCATTCTAGGAGCGGCCCAGAACTTGGTGCCCTCTTGCCTCTGCCTTGGTGTGGCATCAGGACAAGGTCGCATTGAATCATCGACCACTTCGGGTGTACGGCGAGTGCCAGAATCCCCTCGGAGAAGATAGCGTACGTAATTCTGAACACATTCCGAGCTGGACAGAGTTCGCTTATGGCCTCTTGGTAATTGACCAAGAGCCTCCTTGCTGGGAGCGTCGTAGTTCTGAGGTGTAGGGGTAACACTCTGACTCGATGTATCCAATTGCGAGGACAGAGACAACAAAACGCGTACAGCATTGGCTTCGAGGCCAGATGGCGAGTTGCTGTCCGAAAGTTTTGTCAGAGGCTCTTCACTGCTGCCGTAGCCTTCGTCATGAAGACTTGTGGCAGACCTATCACACTTGTTCCTCGAGAGAAAAGTGCCAGGCCTACTGGACAGCGTTGACATGTGTGCAAGCGGTGAGTTGAATTGGCCTGCACCAGCTTCTCGAATTCGAGGAAGCGTTGAGGCTGTTGACCACGAAGAAGTTGAGGATATGGATGAAGACCGTGATCTTGATGTGCAGGAACTCATATCAGATGCAACTGATGCCGGGGAGGACACAGAGGGTGTCGTCGACCTACTAGGATAGTCTTGGGTCGTCTCTGCAGGACGCGTCCAAGACCTCATAGGTAAAACGAACGGCTGTGAACGGGGTGGAGGGCATCGATCTAGGTTTGCGTTCATCATACATTGCCGACGCATACTTCGGAGAGCATCCACCGAAGCAGAACATCTTAAAGAAGGCCTGTTGCTAGGCGTAGATGAGTGGTAGCCATCCGCAATTGGTGGCGTGCTCTGCGGAGTAGGAAGGTTTCTCAATTGAGGCTGCCTAGGCATCGCTGATGCGCGGAAAGGGCTCATCTGCACAGGAGTCTGGAGGGTCTCGAGCTTTGATGTTTCCGTAGTCCGCGATCTCAGAGACTCACAAAGATTGATATCCAGGACCGAAGACAAGGAATCCAACTCGGTGGCTGACTCGTCCGCATTGTCTGATGACTTCTCAGAGTCAGTAGACAACTCTCGATAACCCGGCACAAAGTTCTTCAAAAAGCTTTGTGTGTGTGTTTCGTCCTTGACCATTCGAGGATCAAGTTTTTGGATGATATCGGTCCACCAGTCGTCCGAGAACAGGGTTTGATCTTGAGCCTCGTCCAGATGAAGCGATGGAACCATATCAGCCAAGGAACTGCCCGGACCACTTCCTGAACTACCAGCATCTAGACTCAGGAAGTCCGCTCGGCATTGTGGAACTTTGCTCGATAGCTTACTGAGAGCAATAACAATTTTGCTCCAGTTGTCGAATGATTCTTTGGGAATGTGAAGACTGTAGTCGATGAGATAAAGATAATCTCTTTCGTTCTCGTTGATCTCATTGCTGCGAAGGCCTGATATCTTACTCCAAGCACGCGCTGAGTAGTTGCGATCTTGCAAATATTTGGAGGCAAGCATTAGAGCTGAGAGAAACATTCGGCGGCCACATTGCAGCGCACGGCATTCTCTCTCCCGAGACTCGCCATGAGAGTTGCGGTTTTGTTCAAGAACTCCAGCGGGCAGACGGGCTTTGAGGAGCACTAGGTAAAAGAGCGCGACCTGCAAGGTCGAATAGCTCGCTCTCGAGCGTTTCAGCGTCTCTTGGATGAACACTTTCAAAGGTAGAACTCCTGCTCCGTTGAAACAAGTCGTCATCATAGGCGGGCAGGCTGATAATGGCCAGAAGGCTGTGATGAGTCTTGTTGCAAAAACAATCAGAAGTGTGACGAAGTGGTCTGTGCATTCAGTATCGCGGGTGAGCTTGCATGGTGGTGATTGGCCCTTGGTCGAGCAAGAACTCCTACGTCGGTTCGACTTGTGTACCTGAGGTTCGGAAATTTGAGTCCTTGGAATAGATTGGCTTCGACTGTCCGAGCATCGCTCTGGTCGCTCGACGGATGCAGAACGATGAGACTGGGGTACAGGTGGGGGGCAACGGCTGACAGAGACAGTGCTCTTTGCTGTTGAACCTTGTACGTGTCCGGCCTTTGGTTGTCTTGGCAGATGTTCGTGCAGCTTGCGGTTGTATTCTTCCTTCGAGCTTTCACTCCGAAAGCGACCTTGAGCGAGCCCCTTGTCCCAGTCTTTTGACCGTACCAAATCTCGATCATCGTCGTCCAAAAGGTCATTAAGGTCGGTAGCATTTGTGGAATATGTATGAGTCGATGAATCTGAGGAGCAAGATTCATGATTGGAATCGGTCACGCTAACGGAATCGTCAGGGGATACAACACTGTGTTGGTCCACGTCAGTTCGGTCGATTTTGGCTTTGTATTGTGGTTGAGGCCATGGCTGTTGCTTCACCGATCCATAGTACGAGCGAGTGCTTGATTGAAGCCAGTCACAGACATGAGCAGGTATTTTTTGTCTATGACCTGTGTTGGGGGGATCAATGGCGGTTTCGCTGCCCATCATTGTGCAGCAAGGATCTTTCTAACCTCGAAACCGAGGAATAAGTAGTAATTTAAGGTAGCAGATGGCTGCCTTTCAAAGGATAGGGACAAAGTAGAAGTACCAGGGGGTCTGGGACTTGAGATAGGCAAGACGTCTTGTCAAACCCACCGCGAGTCAGAGGGCAAAAATAGCTGTTTCTTGATTCAAGGCAACTTGACGGAACAAGGCTAGAGTATTGATTATCGAAGAAGACTTGGTCAACCTTCAACGACTCAACAAACACGTCCTTTGTCCGGATTCAGGTGGTCCGAGATAGAATGGATCAAAACAGCATGCGACTCTGGCGGTGGGCTTCGACGGGCAGACAGATCTTGTAGTTTGTAGAGAACTGACCAACAACTCATAATGGCTTGTGGTATCGAATTCTGACTGTGAGTGAGTGGAGATGTGTGGTAGGTGAGGTGCCGGGAGTACTGGACGACACCCAAACACTTATCGGCGGCTCGTTAGAAATTACGGAGTGAGAGGAGTTCGCGGTGAATGGTAGTGAAAGGACTGTATGATGCTGGCTGGAGTTTTGGAGGTGAATACAGGGTGCAATGGTGTGAATGTGAGACTTGATTAGGGTGGCGGATTCGGAGTAAGGTCGAGACCGTCTTGTTGATTGATGAATTTGGCCAAATGCGAAGGATCTATGAAAACAGAGTCTGTAGGCAGACATTATCACTTGAGTCAGTATGATGCTGTTTGAATCATCCATGGAGTGCGATCGTGGTGATCGTGGCGAACGGTGCGGCTCGAGGATTCTTGAGTGTTGAGATGCTTACAGATGGGCAATCGAGGGGACAAAAGTGCTCCTTGTGTGTAGATGCGGTGCTCTGCTGATCTATAGCACAGGCGGATCGTACACAGTGCAGCATGTGCTGCATGTCGTGGTTTGGTTCATCGTGGCTCGTTGGTAGAGAAGGGAATGGGGAAGCCACGGTCGGCGGCGCTGGGTGCTATATGGCGAAAGGGCAAGGGCTGGGCGAAGGCAGTTGCCAGTCACACCCACCCTGCGAATTGCCACTGCGCCGCTCTGATCATCGCCCATTACCGGATGAGTCAAATCCAAGGCAAGTGCAAGTGCAAACCCGCCCAGGCCTCGCCGCCCAACCCAGACCTCAAGGGTTCCTTCCTCAGTCTCAAGTCCTCAACTGCTCCTGCTCAGCCAGGCTCCGAGCGCCCCTCCTTCCCTCAAATTGTGTATGGCCATTGCCATTGCCATTGCCAACGCCTTCAAGGCCAGGCAGGCCGCGACACCCACCATCTCCCATTCGCATCCACATCCACATCTGCCAGCCACGGAGACGATACGGAGTCATTATTCAATATTAGATATGCCTTTGAACTCTAGTTGACCAGATTTGCCATGAGTACACAGGAGCAATAATACTCCTCCTACTTGAGACAATTAGGCGCAGTCAGAGTCACGTCCCCAGCAGTGAAATATGCACTGATAGTAATTGCCTTGCACTGTGCCTAACTTAAGCCTGCAACCTTGCGCCGCTCGCACTGCTGTCTCATGCATCATGTCGGGGCACCTTCTCCAGTGTTGTCCATGTCTCTTGTCTACTACGAAATTGTCTGTTACACTTCCGTTCTCCTTTCCGTAGAACCCGAATCTCCTGTGGGAAAGCATGTGTAACAAGATCACAAATGGGACAGACACAAGAGATCCAACACGAAGAAGCAAAGCCGTCGCTGAGGCACGACAACTAATCACAGCAGGTCGTTGTGCAGGGTAGGATCCCAACCGGGCCAGTCAGCACCCTGCCTAATTATGAATCATCACCAGCCTGATTCGCCCCCCAAGAAACTCACGGCCCCGGGGCCAACAATATGGCTCTGTACTCCGTACGGAGTACGTGGTAAGCCGTGAGCGAAGAGAGGGTGGCCTCTTGCGCTCCGGCCGAGTGCAAGACGCTGAGAGGAGGTGTGGCAGAGCCCAAAACCCACTTCTAAGGAAAATTCAGACTTCTCCCCCAGACAAAGTCAGGATTGTGACTCAAAACGATCCGTCAAACCTGGTTCACATGGGCGGCAAATCCAGGCTGCGGCAAACGCCACTCCTCAATCACTAGAACCAGTTTTTTTCTTGCGAGTCATCCGAGCCAAGCACAGCGCTTGTAGGCTGGACCCTTCACGTGAACCTGCTGGGCTGCTGGGCTGCACAGCTTCAGCTCGCGAACTATCCTCAAGTCCGTGCACTTTCTACAGCACTGCGCAGCGGACCTAAGTTAGTTGGGGGCAGTTTGCAATTTACTGGTACTGTAGGAATTCGCCCGCGAGACTATGTACCCTAGTCAGGCGCCTTGATTACGGAATTCCTATGGCTAATATTCAAGTCCAGTGGCTCCTTCATTCCAGTCGTGGACTCGCGCCCGGGTGCCGGGTCCAGCTTCGATTGTTACTCCCGCCTTAAGCATTGGCATCTCGGCCGCACAGCTGTGGGCCCTGGAGGTCTTGGTCCGATTCAAACTTTCCTACCTATTCCGAGATCATTGCCCTGCTGCCTGAGTTTCAGCTGGTCGGATCTTGTCATGGGCGAGGAGTCTGTAGGAGTGAGTCTGAACCCTTTACCACTTCTACCGTTCAGCAAGAAACACTGCCAGGTCACCTTAACCCACCCTAGCAGACGAACTCAGAAGGCGTTGCTTGTCTTGTACTTGTCCTGGACAACTACATAGGATTAAACAAACTCTGGCCATGAGTACGGAAGTACGGAGTACTACTGTAGTTCCACAAAACTGAAAGAATTAGGGTAGCCATCCGAAGAACTTCCAATCAGTCAAATGCGTTAACATCACGTGGTTGTGCACAACTCTTACACAAGCCTCACCCAGAGACTGTTTGTTCTCAGCATAAAATCGACGGACTGAAGGGTTTGTCATCGGCTATTATGCTGTTAGCATCTCACGACAATCAGCGGCCTCATCATATCCCGTGTTCACCGATGAAAGTGCGTTTTGGTGAACATGCTGCCCAATCTTGTTCATCAAAGATTCGAGGCGGACGAAACACACCACATTCAGGTGCTTGATTGCCTGCCGCCTTGTCCGGACGAACAGGACGAAATCCCTCTTTCTCCATGTGTCCCATCTCATCGATCACCAACGAGGACAGGACACCGATGTGCGACCAGCCCACCATCGCGCGTATCAAGGCAAGGGAGACTACAGAACGGGGGTTGTGCATCTCCTTAGTCTCTGTAATGCTGCTCCTACGCGAGCAGTGCTCACTGTCATCTCAGCAAGACCGATCGTCTTGCTTCAGGGTTGCATCCACGCGACCCGGGCATCCAATGAGACGACCAATGGATCCTTCCCTCTGTCTTTCTAGAATTCAAAGCCAGCGTTCCAGAAACTAACCACGTTTATTAGGGGAATTCATTTCGCTACAGCGGTCCACCCGTCAGCATCAGGCAAGATCTCACAACTACTACGAGTCAAGTCAACCCATCACCCTCTCCTCACGGTACGGACACACAGTACTTCCGAACGAGCCTACGAGTCATGGCTGTAACGTCTCGCAAGTCCAACAGAACCCGCCTCTCAAATATACATACACGCCAAATTCCAACCATGCTTCCAAGGTTGGTCATCAAGGCCAACAGGCTGGCTTATCTCCCACCCTGTCCATGGTTGAGACGAGTTCGATCTCTCTCACACTCACACTCTCCATGTAGACCCGGTCATCTGGTGGGAATGATGATAGCGTACTCGCATCTTCTCCACGGGTTGTGATTCGGTGTTGAAGGGCTCATGCTGGAAGATTTGGCGGCTGCCTAACTGCGACTAGTCACGTGATCGAGCTCAGCCAGTCAGGTCGCACCACCATCCACACCAGATCTTGGTCTGAATGCGGTAGTAACGCCGACCGATCTAGTCGGCGTATTTTCTTGTTGTTGATTGACACAGATATCGTCGGAGCAACGTTGAGAATTACTAATCTGTCTGCCTGGCCGTCGAGATGGCTTAGCAGAAGGCTGGTGACCGATGAAGTGGAACCGAGTGACCGAATACATGCGAATGCATGCGATACGTGGGCGCCTCGTGACGGGACAGAGTCAGTTGATGACTGTGTGTACCTCAAGTAGGTAGGCCGTCGTCGAGGCCATGCGAGGATCATGAACTGGGCCCAGGTAGCGGGCGGCCGAAGGTGAGTGGCACCCGTCGGTCGGATTGCGGTGGACGTGTGCCACCAGCAGCAACGTACGATGGTGGCGACACATCATTACTGTAGCATTCCTCTACTGCCTAACCAGAGATCATAGAACCCACGCGTGAGCAGCAGTGGCAACGTGGGGTCGTGATGGCTGAGAGAACTCATGTGTTGTCTACCCAGGAGAGCACAGGCAACGCCATTGAGTAGGCGGCAGTACTGGTATTTCATGATTAGAAGTAGCTACAGACCGTAGGCATCCGAGTATCCCAAGACTTCCAGCCAGCTATTTGGCACACCCAGCCAGAACAACACCTCTCATGTTGCATCGCATCCCACACTTGTGCGCAATGACTGAAAAACAAGCGAGCAATTCTCCTCTTTCCAAAGAAAAAAAGGATTTGTTTTGTCATTTTCGATTCTCCATTTGCGCAACTTCCACGTCCACATCCCAATCACCATCACGCTTAACCCGCTCTGGGAGGCAAGTGACGATACAAGAAGAATAAAAACAACCGATGCCCCCGGCCCCGTCACGATTCCATAGTAACCGATCATGAAAGTGATTTCTACCCCGGGGCATCCATCAAGTTTTGGCAAGTATAATCCTAAATACACCTTCGAAGGGCCGGCCAGGCCTTGTACGCCTGCATCGGGTTCCCCAAAAGTGTCGGGCCGGATTGAGCGAATAGCCCGCGAATCACTCGTTCACGTGTATGTGTCTGTTGTAAGTTCCAAGTGGGCTCCAAACTTCCGTTTTTTCCTGCTTCAACCTGCCTGCCCGGGAGCAAGCAGAGTCGTCGGCCATATTCCAAGCATTCATATCCTCGCAACGGCCTCATAATAATGCGCCATCTCAAGGCCGGCGCGCTTGAACCCACACTTGACATAGAACCCCTCGTTGGCCTCACTGCAGTCGAGAATACTCTTATAGCAGCCGACCTTCTCGGCGACCGAATCAAGGGCCTGGATGACTCGCAGCCCGAGCTTCTTGCCCTGCTGGTTCTTGGCCACCGCGATGTCCTCGATGTGGCCGACCAGGCCCATGTTGTGGATGAACTTGCGCTCGACGATGACGGCCCCGGTCCCAACCACCGTGTCTGACTCGTCGCAGATCACCAGGATGTAGTATGTGTCGTTCCGTGACGAGATGAAATCGTAGCGCGCGTTGAACTCCGCTTGGGTCGGTTCGCCGACCGTCGTGAGCACGCGGAGGGTTGGGAGGTAGCCTGTCAGGGTGATTTGGTCAGGTTCAGTGTGATTCCGGGTTGGAGGGGAGGGTGCGTTCTGTTTCATATAGAGTGTTCTTGTTGAGAGGGGCACTATTGTAGATTCACTACTCACCTCCAAAGTAATCGCTCCTCCTCAACGGCCGGATGCTGTAGCCCGTAGGCAACGTAGCCTTTATATCGTCGCTGATCAACAGAGGCGAAAAAAGGGGTGTCTCATCTAGATCTGCTGCGTCAGAGATCGCAGCGGCGTATGCAGGGAGTTTCGGTTCAGAGGAGGTAGAGGTTGTGGACGGCGGGGTTGCAGTGTTGTTGGCCTCGGCGGGTGTGGATGTTGGTGTGGGCGTAGGGGTAATGCCATTGCTGAGGAAGCCGTTGGTCTGTGGAATGCTGGGAGAAGGTGATTGTGGTTGTGGTTGTGACTGTGAAGTGGGTATGGTGCGTGTGAGGTCTGGCTCGGCCACCGACGTTGACACGAGTGTTGCTTCGGTGCGGGTCTGTAGGTCTGCCATTGTTGAAGTTATTTGGTGTCAACAGGAGGAAAGCCCAAGGTTGGGGGTTAGGAGAATAGTCGATGCGCAGGAGCTGAAGCTGAGCCGAGCCGAGCGTTCAGAGATTCAGGTACGGTCGGCAAACGAAGGGATCGAGAGTTGGTCGGTCAATATTAAGTTTCGATTTCGTCGGGTCGACTTGGTCGTCCAACGGGAGAAAAAGGTGATTGAATTTGTTCGTTAAACGATGAGGAAAGGGAGTGTACGATAGTCGTGGAAAGAATGAGTGTGAATGTAAGGAGGTTGAAAGGAGAAGTTGCTGTTGCTGTTGCTGTTGCTGCTGTTGGAAATGTCAGATCTTCAAGATTGGGTCAGCCCAGGGCCCTGAGTCCCTGACGGAATCACATATGCGCAGTGCATCTGAGCCTTGAGGCTGTTGGAACAATTGTTTGACACAGCCTCGCTTAGGTCGGGTTAGTCAATCAGCCTCCCACTCCCCCGATCTTCAGGGGTGCAGCTATTAATAAACGAGGGCACTATCCTCAATCTACTCGTACTGTAAGCACTGACGTTCAATTCTATATCTCGACGCCTTGTACACCTTTTCTAGTTCGCTTGACGCAGCCATCATCTATACCAGGTCTATTGATGTAAAAATGTAATCCTATCCGGTGCATCCTCGCTCAGTGAGCAGACTGACCTAAAGTCCCCAAATACATCTCGTCGCGATCCAATAAAATCCTGAAAGTCATGTAGCCGAACCGCATGTTGTATATCTTGGACCGCCCGTAGTCCAGGGAGTTTCACCAACCCGTCATTGATAAAAAGTCGCACAAAATGATCTTTGGTCGCCTTGGTGGTTTTGATGGTTTTGGTTGCTTCGCAGATGATCCGTTCCAGAACCAACCGTCCGCCCATTGGGACCACGTCGCTTGTCCTCCAGTGCCTATCAGTCTTGACATGGTCCGTTGGCAGTTCTTGCTGTATGAGCGGTTCGTCCAGAATCTGCAATGTAGCCAGGACAGGCACGATATCCCCGTCGTGGACGAAACTGAAATACGCATGCTCAGAGGATTCATTCAACAGAAGGCCTCTCGTTGCATTCAACCACAGCCACCCCATCGCGCCAGCATAGTCGTTCCCCGGACCGGCTCTGTAGAAATGCAAAACGTCCCGAGCATATTCAAAGTCCAGCCATTCTTGTTGCGAAAACACCTCGCACCATGGACTTGCCCCTCTTGCCAGAAATTCGAACCCACACATCTCCATCATGCTGTAGACGTCGAACATCGAGAATTCCATGCCACTTGCTTCTTTCTCAAGTCTTTCCGCTATTGGTTTGGTGAATCTAGACTGCCACTCTCCCAGCTTTGTGTATCCAGCATCGTGACCGTTGGTAACATCTCGCACGTATCTGTAACAGGTATCTCCAGGTGTCAGGGTGTCTCCTGCCCGATCCTCGGTTTCGGGGATGACTTCAAGCTCTGCAGAATGTTCTGAAGTCCATTTGGGACCGAAGAACCCATCGGCGAAGTGTAGCGCCGTTTCGACGTCTCTTTCCGAGCCACATGACCAGAATTTGGTGCGCCGATCCGCTGGGACCAAGTGGTCGTATCGCTTCCGAAGCAGTTTCCCGGTGTTGTAGGCCTGTACAGTTCCAGCATATGGTCCACTCGCAGTGAGATTTTCGAAGGCAGGATCACTGGGATTGGTAAAATATGCCCAGGAATCCAGGAAAGACAGGGAACCACTCAATGTGATCTCCGGACTGTGTAGACGATCTAACAGATCCAGATGGCGAGCCCCGGCATTGCGTGTTGGATATCGCTCTCCATGCCTCGACAGCATGTGGACTTGATCTATCAGACATGTATTTGGCAATAATGCCTCCGAGTAGCTGACGGCGTTTCTTTTCGGTATCCAGGGGCCGTTACCGCCAAGGTGATAGAACAAATCCCAGTGGACCAAGGACTGCACGTCACATTTCAATAACGCTAGGACAGCCGCAGATGTTGAACATAGTCTGTCTCTTACAGCGCATGAAGTTTGAAACAGTAAATATGCAGAAAGGGAAATAAGGACAACCCAGGATAGGCGGCGGAGTATTCGCTTTGGAGGAGCCATTGCAGGATGCAGCGGGGACAAAGTCCGTTTATAGTCAGGATGCATCTTTCGCAAGCAGAAAGAAAGAGCAAGAGAATGGCAGCACTTGGAGCTTTACATGACTAGCCTTGCAAATCAAGTGAAGGAAAGTGGTGAGGCAGATCAAACTGGGAGATGGACAAACATAAAGACGGTGAATCCTGAAACAAATTGGAGTTCGGGAACAATCTTTGGGCTTCGAACTACTGGGCGACTCTGGCGCTGGTGGTGGCTTCATAATTTGTACAACATCATTGACTTCCGTTCCTGAAAATGTATGAGACCGTCGATCTCATTTTGAAGCAATGACCAGGTCTCAGGGCCATAAATGATGTGCGACAGCATGAACTGACTTAGTCATCCCAAGGGTATTGTGGTGCTGTCTCCAGGCCGAAGAGACTTCTATCCAAGACAACAGCATCAGCTTAAGTGTGTAACAATGCCGTGTGATCGAGCGGAGAAGCCTCTGTGCTTCCGTAGTACTCTCCAGTCGATCATGCATCTCATTCTGCTATTTGTTGGAATTCTACACCGGCAAGATGTCCGTCTGCAATCCACCGATGGCCGTCCTCAAACCGTAGCTATGGTTTTCCAACCTGGGTGCGGAGAAATGCGTCGGATGTTGCCAGTCATCGGCTGACGAGGCCGATGTTGAACCTGTCTTTGACATGATGCAACGAGGTACATGAAAAGGTAAACAGGCCTAAATACCGTGCTTCTTTCATTTCATCGCCACGGGGATCCATCCATCGACAGAATATCAATTGACCATGGGTTCCGTGCCAACATCATCTACGCCTGCGGTACCACATAACTTTCCAGTCCCCAGGCCTGGCATTTATGTTCCGGCGGTCACCTTCTTCGACCCTGAAAGTGACACCCTCCGACCAACGGAACAGGCACAATACTACTCGTACCTGGCGCGATCTGGCCTCACTGGCCTTGTCATTTTGGGCACCAATGCAGAGACCTTTCTGCTGACCCGGGAGGAAAGGGCCACTCTGTTGAAGCTGGCACGCCAGTCTGTGCCTGAGAATTATCCTATCATCGCTGGCGTTGGTGGCCACTCTACTGCTCAAGTACTCGAGTTTATTGGCGACGCTCATGCGGCGGGTGCAGACTATGCGCTTGTTCTTCCGGCCGCATATTTTGGGAAACAAACCACTCCTGCTGTGATCAATAAGTTTTACACCGCTGTTGCGAAGGCCTCTCCTCTTCCGATCCTCATTTACAATTTCCCAGCAGTCTGCAATGGAATCGATCTCGACTCCGATACCATCGCAGCACTGGCACAAGCAAACCCAAACATTGTGGGTGTGAAGCTCACCTGTGCTTCTGTTGGTAAGATTACACGGCTGTCAGCTACGTTCCAACCCGAGCGATTTGCGATATTTGGTGGCCAGTCGGATTTCTTGATAGGTGGACTGGCGGCTGGAAGTGCTGGCTGTATAGCTGCCTTCGGTAATATCTTCCCTAAGACCCTGGTCAAGATATTTGAACTCTGGAAGGCGGGCAAGCAGGACCAGGCATTGGCGCTGCATAGACTTGCAGCTCATGCAGAAAGCCCGACCAAAGCCGGGATAGCGACGACCAAATATGCTGTGAGCCAGTTCAGTGCGAAAGCGGCCGGCATTCCAGGCGATCTAGAGGCTCTCCTGAGGCCTCGGCAGCCGTATGAAGAGCCGGCAGCCGCAGTGAAGAAGAAGATTGTCGAGGTAATGAAACCATTAGAAGAGGTAGAAACGACTTTGTAGACCAGTGGCGATGACTGGCGAGCCATGGATTAAACCCAGAAGCCAACTCTTGCTTAGTGTATGGTCGTTTCACCTGCTTCTAAAAAGAGCTGCCGATGTTAATGATAAAAAAACTTGAAATATTGCCCTGGTGTAGCGTTTGCACCAGACGGCCTTTCGCCATGCTCAAGAGAAGCGGGTCACGGAGACACAAGACGACAGTCACCAACTTCAACTGGCGACAGCGCGTGGTAAAAGATTCATGAACTTTTGATCAATGCAGTGGACATAGAGTCGTTTCATGCAGCCACCTGGCCCAAGCCACACATCTCCGGTTTTGGCAACGATGCCAAAAGATCTGCAAGTGATAGTACACGTGATAGTGCAAGTAAACAAGGCAGGCACGTGGTTTCAGCTCGGTAGCCCTGCCGTGGCCTCAAGCGGTATTATACATATATGTGCGAGAAATAGCCCTACCATGGCGCAGCCTTTTTGTAGGTGATACAACGATGAGACTCTTAAGTTGGATTTCGAAACTATTCCAGATCTGCCTTCATTGAGGAAATTCGAGGATGGACTTTGGTAATGTGTGAGACTATGCATCATACGGCTGTAGACGAGTGGGTTGTCAAGCAGGTTGTTGTGACGGAGAACGAAATGTTTTTGGCCTGTGCAAGGATTCCAATCTTAGCGAGCCGAGTGCCCCCAGGGTATGCCCCATTGCCTATGAGTTGTCGTATTCGATACCGTCTTGGGAGATCACAAATGGGAAAGCATACGAGCTAGGCGGTTGCTGGACAGTTGAGATGTGATTGCGTGTGCACCTCGTTCTCCAAATAAGCTCATACATATCTCGAAATGCTTCGCATGGACCAGCATGCTGACTTCTGTACTCCGTACCGAGCACTAAGTAGAATGATCAGAGTTGGTACTCGCTACTCTACAGTAGCTTCAGGGACCCATCCTGATTCTTGACTGAGCAGAAATCCTGATTTGGTCCATGGATAGGAGCCGTGAACGTCGCACCTTCCTTGTGGAATATATCTTAGCTAGCCTTCGCACTTGCAACGTTAGTCACCGCCAGGCCCATTGCAAGACAGCAGCCGCTGCCGGCGGGTGGCAGCCAGTGGGCAGCCAGTGGCAGCCAGCGGCAGTCAGTGCCTGCCATTTGTCGCTGTTGCCACGAGGGCGCCTGCCAGAACTGCTAGTGAGAGTCAGAGCTCGGTTCCTTCCAAACACCGTCTTGTGGACAGTCGCAATGGGCTGCACCAACTGCATCATCCGCAGCATCTGCTCCTCCGCCTCCACCTCCACCTCCATGTCCACCCACAAGCCCTCGTCTGTACAGTTACACCTCTGGAGAATCGGTACCAACCCATCCCATCGCAACTCAAACGAGCTTCAAGAGAGCAATCATTCCTACTATTGTCCCTCCTTTCACCTTTGCTTTCACAAGAACCGCCTTGCTTCATCGCCTCCGTTCCACTCTCACTACAAAACTACTCGTCGCAGGGTCTAGCTTTGGAGAACGACAAACCTGAGACAAACCGCCTTCCACCAGTCAGTCCACTGTTCTACCCGTGGGATCCATTCAACGAAACCCTGCCGCTGTTCCACCGTCAATGCAGGAGGCTGGTCTTCTACCCACGCCTTCGCCACCACCTTTTCATGGATATATGCACTTCGCCCAACCTCTCAAATACCAGAATCCAGTAATCAATACCCAGTACCTCGTGTTTGTCCAACACGGCCTTTCGAACTTTCCACAGCAGCTACTGACCGGACGCCTGGCGCCACGTTGCTGGCACCATGGCGTCGATGCACTCAGCGTCAGTGTTACGAGTATCACGCATGACCTTTTGCCTGGTTCTCCTCTCACTCCTCTCATTCGACGTGGGAACAACCGCCGCTGCAGATGAGATAAGGTGGATCAAATACACTGGAAACAGCGGCGTTGTCTGGCTCGATGATAATCGCAGACCTTCCTTGTATACTCAAAACTTCGGCGACTGCCAAGGTGATTCGCTCATTAATGTCACTCGATTCGATGCCGCCTATTACAAAGACAACATGACCGTGCTCTTCCATTTAGAAGGCGATTCTTCCCTTGCAGACGAAGACTTGATGTGTAAGTTATGCTTCTCAGATTAAGTGCTGACGTCACCTAACTCAGTCCCATTAACTAGTGTACATCGGAGTATATGCATATGGCGAACCCCGATTCAATCTCACCTTCAATCCTTGCAGTGCCAATATCAACAGCTTGTGTCCCCTTAATTCTTCAATTCCAATATCTGCCAACGGAATCATTCCTGTCGCACCATCTGACGTCGCTGGCATTCCGCCCATTGCCTTGAACATCCCGGATTTCGAGGGCCAAGCCATTCTGCGTATCTTCTCAAATTCAACTGAGTCTCAAATCGCATGCTTCTCGGCTGTCGTCACCAATGGTGCTACTTTTGGGCATCCCGCAGCGGTAGCTTCGGTTCTGGGAGTCTTCACAGTCGTTGCCTTGATATCCTCATTTGCAGTCACCGTCTACGGACAGAGCATTTCCGAGACCAGAAAGCATTATGCACATTCTCTGTCTGTGTTTGTCGTCTTCTCCGTCTATCAGCATATTTTCTTTACTGGAGGACTCTCCATGAACTGGCCGAGCGTTCTGGTGTCATTCTGGAGCAATTATGCATGGTCGGCGGGTATAATCTACAGCCAGAAGATGCAGAACTCGATCAACCAATTCATCGGTGATAATCGCGGAAACATTAGCATGGTGGGAGCTGCTCAAAGCGGCGAGAATGCTGTTGGTCTCGGTGGAGGTTACCAAATCTCACAGATCTACAAGCGGCAAGCAGCAAATGCCACCGGATTATCTGGATCCTCATGGTATGGTGTCCCTGTTCACCCTGGGCTACCCCTCCCTGGAAATTACTCCGGTTTCGCAGGCACTCTGGGCCAGGTGGAAGTTCCAGCATCGAATGCATTTCTGACTGGGCTGTTGTGGTTTCTAATCCTCGTCGGCTGCCTCATTGCGATCACGTTTGCGTTAAAATGGACCATCGAGGGCCTGTCTGCATTGCGATGGATTAAGGCCGACCGCCTTGCATTCTTCCGAAAACACTGGCTCTTGTTCACCGGTGCTTTGGTCTTGCGAACCTGTTATATTGCGTTCTTTATGATGATGTTTCTGACAATGTTTCAATTCACCTTGGGAGGTGCCACAGGCGTGAAAGCTATTGCAGCGGTCATCTTTGTCATTTTTCTGGTTGGAATGCTCGGCGCTGTCATGTATGCATTGTGGTACAGGACAAAATCTGAGAGACTCTTTGAAGTACAGCAATCCGAGGATCCCAATCTGGCCCCTGTTCCAACGGCACATTCTGCGTGGTACAAGGCCACACGTCGAACATCAAACCCGAGCCACGATGATTCTCAAACGGAGAACGCCCCCACCTGGGTGCAGCGCCATTTACTTGATCTCGATTCTGGGCTGGTCCACGTGCACGATGATGAAAATTACACAATAAAGTTTGGCTGGCTGGCTTCCAGGTTTCGACGAAGTACTTGGTGGTTTTTTTCGACCTGGCTGTTCTATGAGTTGGTAAGGGCTGCCTTGTATGGAGGCGCTGCAGGACACGCCTTGGTCCAGGTTTTCGGACTTCTGGTCTGGGAAATTATCGCCCTCGTTGCCATTGTTCTGATCAAGCCGTTCGAGAGCAACCGCCTCAATTTACTCATGGTGTACCTTCTAGGGTTCAGCAAGGTGTCTACGGTCGCGCTTTCATCGGCATTCGACCCAAGATTCGGACTCGCTCGGATTTTGACCACGGTAATAGGGGTTGTTATTATTGTCATCCAGGGACTGCTCACTATTTGTATGATGATCGCCATTGTCCTTGGGTCCATATCAAGCTACATGTCAGTCACAAGATACCACGAGACGATGAAGCCAGCATCATGGTTAGGGCATCGTGCTCGGTATTTCGCACATGTGGATCAGAAGGCCACGGATCGGCCCAAGCCTCCGCCGCCACCTCCGCCACCTGAGCCGGAACTTCCCAAAGAACCATATTTTGCAGTATCGTCCGTTCGCAGACAGCCGAAGATCGAGGATGATAGCCCAGATGACAAGGAAGGAACTCTGTCAGTGCAGCAACCAGTGGAACCGGAAGCGAGTACAAACAGCACGAGTAATCTGCCTCGGAGCACCTCAGTGCGGTCTAGACCGAGTTCATCGAGCCTGCCATATGGAGCAAGAGTTCATAGAACGAGCTGGAGCACCCGAGACTTTCAGCAACTCGATTTACAAATGGGAGTAAATGCTTCGAACTCTCGAATGAGTATTGATAGCTTGCAGGATGTTGCTATCAGACATCGTGCAGCCAGTCTGAGGAATCCCTCGAGGAATCACCCCGATACAGGAGTAGCAAACGTCTCTTCAGGTGAAAGACATTATAGAGGACACCGCAGAGCAGTGTCTTCAACCTATGCACCTAAACGCACCAGCTCAATTGTGAACGAGGAGAAGGAAAATGAACCCGATGCCATAACATCATGATGTTGAACGACTTTGATAAACATATTCTAATTTGAGCTATGTGAGAACCCGCAGACAAGACCTGCAGGCCGAATTCCAGTCTCATGAGCTATACGATGTCCTTATTTTGAGCAAGCATCGAACAATCAGCATTATATGGCGCCAGGACTCTTAGTAGACGGCAAACCACCCTATCTTATGGTATCGGCAGGTTTTCATAATAGGGCTTTGTGGCAAGGTTATGTCTGCAGTATTATACGCATGAAAGATTCCAGCATTTCCAATTCTAAGCACCGAAAGTATCGACGTGAGGAAGGTCCTGACTTTCCTTTTTATCGATGATGTGAATGTCATTATCCCTTCCACCGGATCTATATGACCGTTTGCTCGAAAGATGCGAGCGCAGTAGCTCAACTTTGCTGGAATCTATTTCAGTCCTCGATTGCGAGGTCTTTGGCCCAAATCAGCTCGATAGCGCCTCATAAGAACTGCGTATTCGTATGATTCACGTATAATAGAGCCCCGCGTAGTCAGAGATCTGCCATGTTCATGGCATGATACTGTTCCTTGCTGAGACATGAGCAAAGGTCGCGTAACCCTGGCTGAGGGGCGCGACATCGTCATGAACCCTGTATTTAGGCGGCTAGGGTCTAGAACCTGACCCTCTGTGTGTTTTACTCTCGAATACTACGTCTGCTGTTCAGACTTGTTATATCAAGTACACGAATGCCATTGGTTTCATCAAAAATATATTGCAGAAAGCCCACCGACAAGGAGACTGGCACATTATTTGTTGGCAATGTAAACATTGTATGATTGTCGCCCCATAACTTACGGCAAATATTCGGGAGCCTAATGGGCATCGCCTAGCAGCTTTTCTCTCCTCGTGGAACCCCATCCGGGGACACGGGTCAAGGCGGATCAAACCTCGTCCCCCGCAGCTTCGACGTGAACTTCATTTCAATGATCCTGGCAAGTTTGGGGAGACAGTGTGTACCAGTCGATCAATCTCAGGCCTTGCCTTGGACTGCTGTTCCCTGAAAAAGGCCAAGCAGTCATCAGAGGTGGAACAAGTTATTGCTTGAGAAGTATATTGATATCGATTTCAACTGCAACCCGCAAGTTGGCAACATATTTAGCCTTCCTCCCGCTTCCTTAAGGAAGCTGCTGTCGGGATACAATGAGTCAGTTCCATGAACAGCTTCCCGGCTTCGGCACGACTTCAGCATTTGCTACCCCTTTTCACAACAATTTCTCTCAGGATATTCTGGCACCGACAACGTCAACGATGGTTGCATCAGCAACTGAGCGATCTCACACCTCCCATGGCTGGAGTGCAGTAAACCAAGATTTGACCCCGGAGCAGCAACAAAACAAGCCGCTCAAAAGGAAATCCAGGTTGACGCAATCGCAGCGAGAAAGAAAACGAGCGATTGATCGAGATGCCCAGAGAAGCATTCGGATGAAGACCAAAAATTACAGTAGGTGTGCCTCATTTTCGGTTTTCTTTGAGCCTTAGGGGTTGAGTACCTAAGTCCGCGTGTCTCTCTCCTTCCCGATAGATTCTAACAATGAGACTGACCATATCAACTTGGCTCTGAGCAGTTGCCCATCTTGAAAATCTAGTCAATCTCATGGGCAGAGACGGCCCAGATGCAGCCACGAATGAAACCGAAAAGACGGGTCAACAAGCAAGCCTTCAACGGAATGAGACCAGGGTCCGTGAGCTACTGTCACAGCTAAGACAGAGCCAGGCAGAGGTTCTTAAACTAAAGGAGGTTTTACGTGGCGTCCAGAAGCTGATAGCCAGGGTATGTGATACGGCGTTGGACTCGGAGTTGCCACTCCTCTCATCTGTAATCAGCTCAAACTCGGAACCCATAATACCACCCAGTGCTTACACAGAAGGACTAATGGGTGCAAGCTCTCAATCTGGTGTATCAAATTACCCTCATCCACTGGAGCCACTGGTAGGTCTCCCTAATCCCATGATACACACTACTTCAGGAACTTCAAGGTCTCCTGAAGTAGCGCAAGGTAACCTGCCCCGCTCCAATAGAAACCAGTCATATCTGCCGTATCACATACATGATAGCATGTTCGCGGATGAAGGTGATGATGAACCTGTAAAATGGGATCTGTTTGGTGGCGTGGCAGAGAAACAGGGCGAGGAGCTATACCATTTTTCTGAACGAGAAATTATGAAAGTATTGACTACCGCGAGTCATCCTTTCGCAAATCAATCCTCCGATGAGGATATCGCGGTACGAGGAGTTCTGCATGGTTGGCGAGACGTAGAGGACCACTACGTTCTTGATGAGGGATGGCAAGCGCTAAAGAATATCGACCAGAAGGTCTTTCACAGCTGTGGTCTCCTGGAAAGAATGGCGATCCTTTGCATGATGCGGCAAAAGATGTTGCACCAGCTGCACATGAGACCTCAGAACTTACCACCCTTACCAGAGTTCTTTTGGCGGACGTCCATGGAAGATTTAGAGCAGCTGAAGACCATGCCCATCCTTGAATATCTTGTATGGCCGGGCCTGCGAGCCAGGATCTTAAACAGCCCGAGGAAGTATCAAAACAACAAATTCTCAGAAGCCTTCCGACAAAACTTCAAATTCATCTGGCCTTTTGATATTGCAGATGCCTATGTCAAGAATCCTGCGAATCGACTGTACTCGACAGGGCTAGAGTTTGTGAAAAGACAGAGAGATCTACGCAGTTGGACGATGCGAAAAGAGTTCTTTGAGGGCTTCGAGGAGCTGACTTCTGCCATATCAATTTACAATCCGCCCGTTAGTCGAGCCTTCATACTGCCAGGGACCGGCTTGGCCTCGACAAGGACGGCTAGCCGGCACCAGAATCAGCGGGCTGGCCGGAGAGTGTCAGCTAGTGAGTCGAAAGAGCAAATGTCGGAAGAAACATCAGTCGAGGCACCAACCCGATTCGGAATTTCCCCCTTGATCCAGGCGACTTTGCTGATGGCTGTTGACAGTGCCGCAACTGCAAGCCCTCCTCCTCAGGCTGCTGAAGTCGAAGCCTGGCTGGGTGACCCTGATATGGTACAGCAGGGATGGGCTACACAACAGAGAGTGGATTCAGCCATGAATACGCTCTATGGAACTCGATGGTCTTCTACAGCAGGCGGGTACTGCCAGTGAAGTCTTACATGATATGAGAAGACGAATGTGGTGGACTAATGATGCCATTCTGGACAGGTGTGGGATACCGAGAGTTGTGCTATGTTTGGGAGCATGTTCAATGGCAGTCAAGTTGCAACTTCTGATTACTCGCCTCGGTGCATGGTGGCACAAAGTGCCATATTGACTGCTGACTGTTGGCTCGGACGACTCTGACGAAAATGACGGGTAGCAGCCTATCCCTCATCAATATGTTGGCAGCCTACTTAGCAGTAATTTGTAGCGAATCTAGTTAGTGGTTAGCTTGTGAGTGACAAAGTTCAAGAAACCAACAAGCCTCGTTTCTTTTCTCATCCCAGAGCGTCTTCCGTTCTTCATCTTATTCCGTACATAAATAGTACTGGCATCTATCTTGATTGCGGACGACCGCGACCGCTGATGCTGTGACATCACGAACAAGTCTCGATGATCTCATCACGTGAAGCGAAAGCTCCTCAAGCTGAGGATTGGTGGGCGGCAGTGGCACTGCTCAGTAACCTCGTACTACTAACTTCCAACTAAAGTGCAACTTGTGGCACAGACAGTGACACACCATGCCACGCATGCACCAAGCTGACATAACCAGTCTCGCTTCTGTTACATGAGCATATGCCACATACAGGCGCCGGCTTTGCCCAGGAACAAGATGAGCTCATGGCAAACGGACAATATGTCAACATTTTCTGGCATCCCATTTCTTGATCTTTCGTTGACAGTCCCCACGCCATGCAATCCGCGTCAGTTCAAAGAGTGCCAGTCTAGGATTTACGCCGTCGGATCTCCGGTTCCGTCGTCTTATCTGCGAGTGATCTCAATCTTCTAACTAAACCTCCTTCTCTGGTGGTGAGCCACCTTGTCGAAACCAAGATTAGTTATCAGCCATGAACCTCCTCTCTCGAAAGACATCGAGCAAAAAAAGCCTCGCACACGAAACGAACTCGAAAAGCACGAAAAGAAGCAGTTCGGTTGAACCCAACCGGACGGACGACAAGCCATCCCTCTTTCATCGACTGAGTCGGAGAAATAGTGCGAGCAAGGTGCAAAGCCACCAGGAGCATTCTTCTACCGAGGCAACACATGTAGGTTTACCACTCAGCCTTTTTATTAAAGTTTCGGCATCACGTCTCGCCTGGAGAAAGATGGCCCTGTGTGTGTGCGGACTGAGCTGAAGTCGAAAATTAGTTTTCTTTAAAGCAGCCTAACGCAGGTGATAAGACAGTGCAGCCGGAAGTTGCAGAAGTGCAACTTGACAGTGGCCATGACTCTCGAATCACACCGAAGGCTCCCGTTGTCACCAAATCGTCGGCTGAACACCGCCAGCAGGAGGGCACATCTTCAATAGGACAAGCAATCACAACATCTGGAGATACTAAGGCCGATGCTCCGGTGCCCGGGAAAATCGAGGCGGCAGACCTTCAGGATGCCCGTGCTCACAAGAGCAATGGCAAGAATGGTTTGACGAAAGTCGACGTTCAAGGTCTGTTCTCTGGAGCTCCGCAGTATACGCTTGAAAAGGGCCGAAGAGGCCGTTACTTCCCTCAGGCCTTCTTTCCATGGAATAATGACCTTGACATTTCTGATCTCCAAGATCGGAGATACCTTCGCCACGAAAGCTTTGCACTTTCAACGCTTCATGCCCACCTTCCTATTCCGAATGAAGTCGAATGGAAACCTGGTATGATGCCCCCCGTGCAGACAAGTGAAAGACTTGAGACGAATAAGCGACCTATGTTTGAACTCGGCATCTTTGAACGACCCAACATGCTTGGTCTTGAAGGTAAAGAACCTGGTACGGTCGGCATGAGATACTTTCTTGAGCGCCCGGTCGCGGATGGGCTGCAAGATGAGAACATCAAGGAACATGGCAAGGATGTTGAACTGGACCTCGCTTTGTCCCATGTCCCAGCAATGGAGGCTTTCAAGATGCTTGCTGTGGGTAGGGGGAATGAAGAAATGGATGCTAAAATTGGGAAGCACGCACCAGCTCTGGACCGGGCCAAGCTTATAAAAGGTGGATCACACGCTTGGAAAGCTGCAGGAGTCAGAGATCTAAACATGGGGACGATAGCAGATCGATTTGAAGTGATCCAGCACTGGCGAGACCACGTTCTCAATGCTGGTTGGCGAACAACAGTCCTCGATCACATCACCTCGGCCGAACTACATGAGCACTTATTTTCTGAGGTACTCTATCCACCGAGAAAGGTTAGCCATGACACCAAACATGAGCATGCTGGTCTCAAGATTCAAATCGAGGCACTGGTGAAAGTGCTCACTACGCCAGGCGCTTGGCTTGACTTGAGTATCCCAGAAGCCAGGCTTCGACTTGGGAAGATCTTGCATGGTAACACCACGCACTATAGCCACGAAACCGGGACTTTCTGCGTTGAACCTGAGCGAAAATGGGCTTTGGTCCAGCTCTTGCTAGCTGTCGAGCTAGTAATTCGATTAGATGCCGCATTAAGGCTTGGTGTCGCACAGCACTCCGAGTCTTTCGAATTGAATAGTGATGAGATACATCATTTTAACAAACTTCGCAATCTCAAAGTCGACTGGGACCTTGTACTAGCGAGAAGGTTTATCACTTTGAGTACTATCAAGAAAATTGAAAAGAAAGGCAACGCAGATCAAGGGGCTACAAGACCTACGCTGCAACAAAAGTCCCCAGAGCCTCATACAAGCTTTATAGGAAAGTTCTTCTCGCATAATGAGGACAACAAACGATCGGATGCAAAGGTCGTACATGATCTTTGCGATGTGACGATCCTCCCACGACAAGCGCAAGTGATGGTCGGTGGTTTGATACGGTTTGCTAGCAATATCGGTTGGCCTCGCACTCTTGAAATACAGGAACAATTACGCCGAAAGCTGTGTCAAACGGAGGTGGATGAAAGAGACAAATTTTTGATGGACGCGGTCTCTTGCGTGGACATCTCGGAAAGGGCCAACAACCAACCACTGGGAAATGTAACACGACCACTGGGCAACTTTTATGTGGATCTGCAGGCGTCCACCCCAACAACTGTGGGTGGTTGGCTTTCTCATAGCTGGCTGTCAGGTCTCATCCTGCCTGGAAGTTCCATCTGTGACATGTTGATGGCTACGCTCCTGGAGAATGACACAGATCCAAATACTATCACAAAACTCGATTGTCACGGAACGCATCCACTTCGCGGCTCTGGATTTGTTCTCGATGGTAGCAGTTGGTGGTCGAAATCTTGCATTGTTGGCCGGGTCCTGGCCCCGATGCATGGCGCGAAGGAATCCATGGGTTGGATATCTGCCCCAAATGTCGTGCCACTGTACGATTCAACCAAGAAACCGCTTTCCGATCGTTGGGTCAAGATCAAAACATACCCAGTTCCAACTACAAGACAAAGACCACGGATATTTGACGGCGAGAAGATTGCGATTGAAAGCACACCGCTTGGAATGGGCAAAGGGGGCATTCATGGCGCCGAGTTCAGTATGGTGACGGATCACATTCTCGACGACGAGACAAAGCCCAAATTGGACGTGAAGGACATCACCATACACCTCTCATCCAGTGATGCTCCCGATTCAAGTCCAAGCCATCCGCTGGCAGCATGGATACAGTTTGAATTGACGTTGACTCCGCCGACCAATGTGCAAGACTCTCCGCGGCCAGAGGTCATTACAAAGCGCGTACGCTATGGTCTTAGCCGAGCTGTATATTTCATTACTGCGTTCCCGTGCCGGTTGCCTCACGGACATGCCACTTTTGCACCTGGATCAGCCGATGCAGACTATGAACAGTATCGACAGCCACCGAAGCACAAGTCTCATGAGCATATCCCTGCTCATCCACTCCACAAGACATACAAATTCGCAACGAAGACGCTTTCAGATCTGGTAGGCGATGGTAGCGGTGGTGCGGGCGCAGACGCCGTGAGCGGAGTCGAGCCCCCGAACCCTTGCCTGAGCCATGACTCAGAAGTCTGGGTGATTGATGCGCGGTCTCTACCTGTGCACAGCAGCCACCAGAGCGGTAGCCATTCTGAAGCCCACTATCTCTCAAACTTCTACTCGAACGGATCCGCAAGCACCCCAGCCTCACCCAGTCTCGTAGAGGCCGGTGGCGAAGCGACCCTGGATTCAACAATGCACTCACAGCTATGGACAAGAGATATTCTGGTGCGGAGCTGGTGCGCAGAGAAAGGCCGCAACGCACTCATTGCCCGCGTGGGTCGCACGTGCCTTTCCTGCGCAATCAGAGAGGCGAAGGCCCTGGAGATCAGTGTCGTCATTAGAGTGGGAATGATGGAATGAGCGCAACTAGTCGTAGAGAAAATTTCGTGTTCAAGTATGGGATACCGGATGAATGCGAGTTTCTGGAAGATTGCTGCGGGGCATGGAGTTCAGACGATTGCCGGAACATGTTCGAGCGCACATGAGTGTCAAATTGACGGATTCAGAGTCATATGGCCATGATAAGGGCCCTTAATTGGAGCCAGTAGCATTTCTCAGGCAAAGACGCATATCTTGTTTCTCTTTGAGTCACGAGAACCTCTTTCGGACGCTGTATATGACAAGCGATGTAGTCTCAGACGTCTGGTCCTGTTGATTGGCTGTCAGACAGCCTTGCTGTCTGGGCTCATGCAAGGCTATGGGCAAAAAGGGATTCATTCGGCTTACCTGCCTTGCGCTGCGTTGCGTCACCCTGCAATCCGAACCGTTCTAGGCTTCTGAATCGATGCCTTCGGTGCCACAACACTTCACTATGTGTTAGGTATGGTATTTGGACGTCTTACTCGAGACCAGAAATGCGTCGCTGTCATGACAGCTTTACGATGTGACTAGATCCATCACGGGGCTATATCTGTGACGTAAATCGGGCATGCCTCACTTCCGGCCAGCATCATGGTGTATCCTTCGCGGGAAGACGAGTGCTGCAGGATCATTCTGCGCAATGAGCCTGAGCCTGAGCCATCGTCCTACTTTTAATGGCATGACATACACACCCACCCAGCTTCAGCGCGATCTCACACCAACTGCGCTCCACTCCCGCTCTTGCTTCAGCACAAGCACCCACCACCGCAAAAAACGCAACCCTTCCGCACTCCCCCCACGGCCTACCCTCCCAGACTCAGACATCACACATGTGTACCTGAAAGGCTCCGGCCCCGGCGGCCAGAAAATCAACAAGACGAACAGCGCGGCGCAGCTGACGCACCTGCCTACCGGGATCGTGGTGAAATCCCAGGCGACGCGCTCGCGCAGCCAGAACTACACGATCGCCCGACGGATTCTCGCCGAGAAGGTCGAGGTGCTGGAGAAGGGAGATGAGAGTCGCGTCATGAAGAGGCAGGAGAGGGACAGGAGGAAGAAGGCGAGTAGCACGAAGAAGAAGAGGAGGAAATATCGCGCGTTGGAGAAAGGGGATGGGCAGGAGGGAGAGGAGGACGATGTGGGAGATGGTGCAATTGGGCCGGAGAGGGAGAAGCAGCAAGCCCTGGATGAGAAGACCGTTCAGACCGGCGACGGAAATAGTGCAGAACACGCCAAAGCACCGGCGATCGAGGACAATGCAGGAAATCCTCTGAGCATTCACGCACCGCTAAAGCCAGCTTGAAGCCAGCTACGAGCAACAGACAACGCTTTACAACCTATCTGGCCCGTTCGATAAACGGTTTCAGTGTCTGTCGGTGGGCTTCCCCCCGGAAACGCAACGCAACGCAACGCACAGCCACTTTTTGTGTTAGCTATATCAGCACCGGGACAAAGGCAGAGACGGAGCCACGTACCAGGCCCCACTGGCACGTATCTCGCGTGCCAGGGGGGCTTACTCTTTCCCCTCTGCACCCAGGCTGGGCCGAGAATCACCAGTCCATGCTCGTACGAGCGTTTTCTGGAGCTACTGCTCCATGATATATCTCTCCATATGAGCGCGGGCAACAGAACTCCAACACATAGGCTGACTAAGGTGTTGAAATACATCCAGACCACCGAGCATCCACTCCCTCTCTCAGAATTCTTCCCAAGGAAAAAAGATAGATACCATGGATTCTTGCCTTTGCAGCCAGGTTGGCTTGGCACAATGGAGACTACTGGCCGAATGAATGAAAACGGGGCGAAGAAGCAAAAGGGGCAGGAAACGTTTCGAGCTTTGGAGCCTCGCCACATAAGAATGATGAGGAACCATGAAATGTTGCATATTCCGTGGTTCATCTCGATTTGCAAGAGGAACTACACAGTCTCACTTTCCCCCCTCACCAGTGCAGGGTTCGAATAGAATCATTTTGACGCAAACTTGGTGTGTGTACAAGACAAGCCCACCTTCCCATGAGATTTTATGTGTTCGCCCGACCCAAAAATTCCTACAGAATGGAATGTCCCTCCGATTCTGCTGCTTTCTTGGGGCTCTATTTTCTCTATGCAACAGTCTTCTCCGTCAAGTAAATGCCATAATTGTCCTTCAACTCGGTGAGCAGAGGCTCGGCCAGGTCCCAGGTGACTGGAGCGAGGATGCCCTTCTGCTTGATCCGTCCGTCGAGGACCATCAAGCAAGCAACACCACAGGGGACGCCGACCAGTTTGGCCATCGCGCTGTAGCCCTTTGGATCGCCGTAGTCGACGAGCGTGCTAGTGCGGGTCTCCTTGCTGCCGTCCTTGTGCTCGATCTCGAACCTGTGCTGCAGCATAACCATGTCGCGCTCGTCCTTCTCGTACTGCATCTTCTCTTCCAGAGTGGCACACAGCGTGTCGAGCGGGTTTCCTCGCGGTGTGATGGCCTTGTCGGAGAACACGCCGATCCACTTCAAGCCACTGATGATCCGTTCCTTCTCGGGGGTGTCTGCGAACGTCGTCTTCGACGAGATGCCCCATGCGAGGTCCGATTCTTTGCTGGATGTGGCGCCGATGATCTTCTGTGTGGCCTCGGCCCAGGTGATGGGCTTGTCTGAGGGTTTCAGGAAGGACTGTTCTTCGTCTGAGAGGAAGCCAATGTCCACCAACACCTTGACGAACTCAGGGAATCCCTGGTACCGTAGGGTGCCACGGATGACCGTCTGTGCCTCGGGGATGCTGTATCGTTCTCGGTATGGGGTCGAGTCGCGGTTAGGGTAAGCAACGAACGCGAAACCGGGGTAGATATAGTATGGCTTTGCAGTTGCCATTAGTTCGGGGCCGGGAATATCAACAACCTTGCCATCTTTGTAGAATTTGGCCGCGTTGCGGAGCGCGAGTAGCACGCCTCGACTGGACCAGGAGAATTTGTAGCCTAATGGATTGCCGCTGGCTTCGGGTGCCGGCAAGCCCCCGCAATAGCTCAAAAATGAGGTGACCTTGCCTCCAGCTTTGTGAACTTCTTCAATAGTCTTCACAGCCCACAAATGATCGATGCCTGGATCCAACCCGATCTCGTTCAGAACCGTGATTCCAGCCTCCTTGGCTTGGTCTTGGAGTTCTAGCATGGCCGGGGAAACGTAGCTGGTTGTGACGACATTCTTCTTCTTGCGAATGGCGGATTTGATGACAGTGGCATGGAAGGTATAAGGAATCAGCGAGATGACCAGGTCGACCTTGGCGACTTCGGTGTCGAGTGCTTCGTCGTTGGTGACATCGAGAGAGATGGGGCGGGTGTTCTTGATGCCTTCGCCGAGGTGTTTGGCACTTTCGAGCGTCCGACAAGCTATAACAGATGAGTTGAGATCTTGAGCGACTTATGCGGAGCAGTCTTACCAATGGTGACCTCAACACCAGCGTCTGCGAGGATTTGAACTGTAGGTTTTGTGACGAAGCCAGCACCGAGGAGAAGGGCCTTCTGGGATGAATACCCCAGCTTTGACTGGATAGTGGTTATAAGAGAAGCCATTATGACTGCTTAGCTCTGGTGGAGGATGCTTGTGAGGGCTTGCAATTTGAACGTGAAAGAAGGGAATGAGCCAACAACTTGGAAGGGCGAACTCAATTCACAATCACCGACTATTTCTTCAATGCCAGCCGTTGCCAGTTAAATTTTCCCCACCATTCATGGATAAACCAACGAGAGAATGCGGAGCGGACTTGTCCTGTTGAGAAATCCAGGGCTGACCCCTCACGTGCCCCTCATGGTATTGGGGCACGTGGAGTCATGTGATAATTACATCATTGCACAAATAGGTCACCAGATCCTCACGAACCAGACATTACCATCGAGCAACGTCCTTTGCATTTGAATACGAGGGGATCCGAGCTTGTACACGACCGACTTTGACAAGACGCGCCCTTATTTCATTCCCTGGATTTGGTTTCGTGACCTCAAAATCTCGTCGTCCACTGTTTTGCCCAAGGTATTTGGCTGATCTCTGTTCATCAAGGTTCCGTTCCTCTCACCATGAGCGTCCCACTACTTGTCCGTCTGCAGTCATATTCCGAGCCATGGATCTTGATCTGTTTCTCTTTCGTTTACCTCGTCTTAACGTTTCTCTCTAATCCTTTCCTCTTGCTCACTTCGCCATCCACTTTCCGTTCTAAATGGTTCGACAACTTTTGGGCGGTCATAGGCCCAAAAATGGCCGCCACTCCTACCCAAGTCAATCATATTGGGGATCTTCTGTCTCGAGCACATGGCAAAGTCCTCGAGCTTGGCCCTGGAAGTGGCGATCAGTTGTATCATTACAACCCGGGACACATTGAGAAGTTGTACGCAGCAGAGCCGAATGCTTTCCTCCATCCTAAACTGCTCCAAATGGCAGCGAAGCACGCGCTAACTGGGAAGCTTGTCCCACTCGAAGCGGGAGGCCAGCCGGGTAGTCTTCTTCCAGCACTCCAAAAAGCAGGTCTTCTCTCCAGCACAGTGTCAGCTCTTCCTGAGCAGGGAGTTTTCGACACAGTAATCACCGTCAAATCTCTTTGTTCCGTTCCACAGAATCAGCTCACGGCCACGATCGCCGTCGTCCAGGCGCTTTTGAAGCCTGGAGGCCAGTTCTTGTTCTTCGAACACGTAAAGAACAACACGGATAGTATCACCGGATGCTATGTACGGCTTCTGGACTGGATCTGGCCCGCTCTCATGGGCGGCTGCCGCTTGAATGGCAAAATCGATCAGGTTATCCTAGGAATGGGTGGTTGGGATGAGAGGAGAATCAGCACAGTTGGCGACTTCCAGGGACATGAGGTATGTGGTACTGCTATCAAACTCTGCACATGCTGACACTCGAGCCTGCAGGTCTTCAGATACGTCAAGGGAACTGCCACCAAGGCTTGATTGGCTGTACTCCGTCACCCAGCTAGATGTGGACTAACAATGGCCTTAAGCGATAGCACTCGATATGAAAAGGATTAGGTAATATGACTGGGGGCCAGAAACCTGTGCTCGTCGAGAACATTGACATCTCGCCAGGGACAGGATGATTCTGGCGTGGGATGGCTTAGCACTTGAACCAACCTATCCAGAATTCGCATTATGACTTTTCGTTCTCGAGTTTCGCGCAAACATCAAGATACCAATATGTACTTGGCCTCTAAGTAGCGAAGGAGCTGATGTAGTACTATGAGAACTTTATCAGTGCCGCATCGTTGCCTCAAAAAGGAAATTATTCTGGACTTACCGTTAGACACGACTCATCCTCGCTGCCATGCTCATCATTGGGCAAATACACGTACATAACCAGACCACCATCATTTATGAAACATGCAATTACTCGTGCACTTACCCTCCCCACACTGAGTACCCTGGACCAATCTTTTGCGTCAATTCTAACTTTGGACCAACCGGCTTCATTTTCACCATTTGGCCCACCAAGCTCCTTCATCTTTGTGCTTGGGTGATTTCTAACACCTTCTTGGCCATCTTGGAATTGTGCTGGGTCGAGCTCCGGATTAGTGAGACCAGTCCAGCGGCTTGTAATATTTAGCGCATCGGTCTTTAAGGAGATCTTGAGAGAGCCATGCATATTGGCACTGAGCTCAAGGCGAGGACTAGTGGCAGATGAAGACTTTGAGGTGGCCATGGCGAGGCGGGTAAAACGCTCAGAAATGGTTTTTACCTGAGCCAACGGTGGGAGGTAAATGTTGACGTCTGGCTCTTGAGTGCGAGGCTGATGGATTCGCTCGACTACCTCCATGGATAGCACTTTCACAGGGATGTCTTGAGTAATGATGGTTTCTCTTTCTCGAGGACTTCCACGGTGGGTAGCTGCCTGCGATGGGGCCGCAACATCGTCATCGAAATCGAAGCCGTCAGGAATCGCTCCACCCACAGTAGTGCTACGGATAGCGACGACATTGTTTCCACTGCTGAAGGTATTGGTTACGATGGTCAAAGACAGCATGGGCACATTGTCTTTTTTAGTCAGTCGTAGCTGGGTAGACGTGGCTCCATATGCTGACTTCAGCGCACGGGAGAGGGCTTGAATGGGGACTTCGAGGTTGATGGTATTTCTTTCGGAGGCAGATTGCAGAATGTAGCTGTCGAAGACGGTCTCAATTTTCAGAACAGACCAGACCTGACTACCCTTGTCGGGCACGATGGTGAATTGGACATCGTCATCGTTCAATCTACACCAAGCAATTTGACCCAGAGAGGCCAGCGATGCGCAAAATTCTGCAAGACCGTCAGTAAGGATAAGTGAGGATGGAGTGAGGATGATACTAGTTGCAAGGGGTACGTACTGGCAAAGAGGTTCACATTCTTGATCTGGCTCTTGAAGCGCATTACTAGGAGCAACCCTGTTGCTTTGGACCACGCAGAAGGGTTCCGTACAGATACGGAGTTCCAAACAAAGTGTAATGTGTCAACGCGGGGAACAAGAAAACGGCAGAACCGGGGCTTAGGCGCGTCGCGTCATTCCTCGGGCGGGCAAGGCAAGTGCGCAGGCACAAACGTACAGTAGAAGGACGCGTCTATGGAGCTTCTCGGTTATCTGACTTCTGATCCCTGCTAGAGCATCCTCTTTGACTGGAGTTCTACCCGCAACCCTGGACAGGGGGCCAACTTCAACAGGCCTGGGTCGTCATGAGATACTACTCGTGGGATTTCTCTTGTGTCTTTGCTTCAAATCCCAGGTTCGGGATTCTTTGACGCTCAGGCTGGTTCCATTCAGCTCCCACATGATCTGGTACCAATTTCATATGATCTCTTCTGCCTCTCTCCTATCGCACACAAACGGAGTACTCCCCTCGTTATACCTTGAGCCGATCGCAGTGCATGTCCTCGCATCGACCGAGACATGACTCTGCCAACTGCCTGCGCTTTCATGCAACTATTTTGAGCAGTGCACTGTCTTCCTGGCTTGCCTTGCCACGTCGCTCCAGCATGCTGTACATCTGCCTAATACCTGGCCATTGGAGTCCCTTGAGAAAGAAGCAAGACTGCTAGGCTTTTGTCTGCTCTAATTAATCTTGCTGCCCACAATGGCACTCACGACTCCCACCAATGCGCATTTCCCCCGCTTCGACCCCCCCATAGATTTCGACTCACAATCTCCATCACGATCCCCCCGCCGCAAAGCCTTTGCAATCAAGGAATTGGATCCATTGCTTGCAAATCTTTCCCCAGACTCCACTCTGAAAGCCCTGAGGACGACTGAGACAATACCCGGCGGCGCCGCGCAGGATGCTCTCACAACGAGCATAGCTGATGCTTCCTCCTCCGAACGAGAAATTGGTATAAGAGCCGCTTTCGCCGCACAGAAGTTGCGGGAATGGAGGACTGAGGTGACTCAATGGAAGTGGCCAAACAAGAGAGAAAGAGCACTCGGTTTGGGTTTCACAACTCCACAGAACACGGAGAGTTCGCGTCTCGAATACTTGGGTTCTCTACCCATTGATCTCGTTGACCAATACGAAGGGAGACTGGATGAAATTAGAGATGACCTTGATAGTCTAGGTATTGAGGAGATCAAGGATCATGTCCTCGAAGCCCATGTTCCTGCAACAAAGTCGGATTCCACCACCAAAAGACCCATTGGTGTCCGCACTAGCTATGGAAGGATGCGAGATTTCACTGCTCTCATTACCGCAACTGTCATCCAAGCCCTTCCTGATCTTGCTAAATTGAATATTCTCCTCGACGAATGGGATATTCGCTTGAAGGTACTACGAAACCTTCCCAAATTTCGCCTAGTCTTGGCTACTGTCCAATCGGGCATTCAGTCTGCTATGCAAGAACTTCATGAGCCCGATTTGTCACGAGATATAACAGATGTCGCATACGACAACAAGAAAGCTGTCTTAGGTGAGCAGGTGGCAGAACTTGGACGGAGAGCAGATCGACTTTTGGACATCCTAGAAGGCCATGAAGACTCGCTTCCACAGATCTGGATCGATAGATTGGAGAAAATTGAGCTTGACTACGCAACGTGGGTGGTCGATGCTCATCGCGCCGTCTTGAAGAACAACTTATCGCCATCCCATACCTCCACGCCTGTGAAGGACGCCATCTCTCAAGGTAAAGTCGTTGCACCATTCGAAAGTGCGAACTCCACTGTGCCTGAGCCTGGTGCTCCACACGTACCTGCAACTCTCGAACCCGTAGGGCACGTGCCACCAGAATCCGGCACATCGACTGCAACAGGGCTCGAGCCGGAACCGAAGGCAAAACGAAAACCTTCATTGACAATCGCCCTACCAGAAGTTAGGGGACATAAGAGAGAAGCCTCAAAAGTATCGGTCGCCGACTCGACTTTCTCAGCATTTTCGGATATATCTAATGCTGAGATCATTGATGTCACAAGGACTAGTGTCTTACCAAGCCCAAAAATCAATGTTGTTGAGAATCCTTTGAAGCCAAATGGCGAAGACTCGGTTTGGTTCGGCAACCAACCTGTTGCCAAAAGTCAGGATGGTCCTAAACCGCCAATGCTTCAGCGGGCTTCAACCACTTCAATTGAAGTGGTCCCTAATCATCAGCTGAGAAGAGTCTTGTTGACAAGATCTGCAAGTTGGGACATGCTCTCCCAGAACATGCCCGAGTCTCCTGCGCCAAGTACTCCTTCAAAGGCTCTCAAGCAGCTCAGCGGACGCGAGTCTCCAAAGGCCAAAGCCCCCTCAGCCGGACTGGGAGATCCTTCGACATCCTCGCACCCTTCGATTCCGTCTCTAGATCCCACTTCTCTACCATTTCCCTCTCCGTCACTATTTGTTGAACCGCTACGTATTCGGACTAAACCTGAAGATTTGGACCCAGTTCTGATGCCCAGCCTTCCCAGGAGGTCGAGTAAGCGCAACACAATTGCGACTGAGGGAGCATCATCGCCACTGCCGCCGATCTCCAGTGCGAGCCCCATAACGCCAAAAACAAATCAAGAGCACGAGTCACTTTCTCGCAAGACATCTAGAACTCCCACGGAGCCAACAACGCCGAAGCATAATAAGAGAGCATCGCTTGATGAGAAGATCCAAGATCTGCTCACCAGCTTACCGACCAAGATCCGATTAGCAAAAGACAGTGACTCCTTCAACATCACACAACCATCATCCAATTCATCGACCCGTGCTTCAACTCCCACGCCGGCGTTGACTCTATCGGCGGTTAGAAATGAGCCAACAAGCCGCAAGAGTAGCGTTGGTGACTCGGAGATCCGTTTGTACCACCTTACTCGCGCAGGACAAGCTCGCGATGCTCCTCCGGTGAAACTTTTTGTCCGCACTATTGGAGATGGCAATCGAGTGATGGTTCGTGTTGGAGGAGGGTGGGCTGATTTGGGAGAATATCTCAAAGAATACAGTCTCCACCATGGAAGTCGAACTACCGGTGATGGCCAACTTGAAGTCGCTAGCTTTCCAGTCAATGGAAAGAGAGAATCTGTGGGTTCAACGAATGCGAATGGAGCCTCGGGCACTAAGGAACGACGAAAGTCAAGATCACCTGTGATTGCTCAGACTGGCTTCGAGAATAATAGTCCATCCAAGTTGCAAGTCATGAAGCCTCGCTCCGTACTGATCAAGCCACGACCTGCTGACCGTGGTGATACTTCCGCGAAAGATGATGTTACCTGGACGCCTCCGCCCGTGCCTGCAATTCCAGCATCATTCACCACGATTTCTCCTACCATGAGAACCACGACAAGCTCTGATGGGGCAGCAAATACTGACATTATCGATTCTGACCCGAATATCCTACCAATCGCATTGTCTTTTGCGGATCCCGACACACCCTCCGGGATGAGATCGTCAACTATTCTCAGCGATGACAGCACGACGACAACCACTGTGGTAACTCCTCCAACAACAAGCAATACCAATTACACCCCCCTTGGCGCTGCTGGACCCAAGATTAACAGCAAGAGAGCAACTACTTATGGGGGATTGCCTACAGCTAGCCGTGATGCTTGGGTTGAAGGAATAGTCGGGAAAGCTAGGGCTGTCAGTGGCGGATCTCAAGCCATCACAAATGGCCCTACCACGACTACGACGACCACAACCACGATCTCCTCGACGCCGAAGAGTCGTCGCGCTTCTCTCTTTAGTTCCAGCCCTAGGTCAAGTCCTACTAGTGTTGGAACCATCTCGCCGAGTACGAGCACGGGGTCAGCGGACACTGGCCTAAAGAGTCGTCCAACGAGTTTGATGCCTGTATCTCGGCCCAAAAACCGCATGAGTCTGGCAGATATTGGGGGAATCAAGCGAGTCTTTTTGAGAAAGAAAACTGGCGATCCAGCCAAATGATGGAATGAACAAAGTGGAGCGCGAGAGAGTGTTTTGAGTTCTATGCCTCACCTTGAACTTCTCTCTGGGCTGGATGGAAGAATCAGAACCTCAAAACATAGCGATATTTTGGGACACAGTACAACGCATGATATCGCACTGCGTCCCCCCCCCCCCCTTTCAGGACTCATGGACTCTGACTATCATCACTTGACCCGGCCCGATCACCTGAAGGAACAACTTTGAACGCCACGACCTTATTACCTGGCTACTCATTTGTAATTCTGAAATTCGACCCATGCACATCTTTATAGTCCATTATAGTCCATTATAGCAAAGACCATCTTGGTCATGGTGTGTGGGAACGCATTCATAATAATACACATGAGTATATACTCGCGGGAAACGCCTTTGTCAGCAATTGTTACACAGAGTAGACACCGCTTAGGGTAGAGTCTAGATCCACCGGGTCGCTGTCCCCTGAACTGTGGGCAGGCTTGTCAGCCTTGTGGAATGATCCGCACCGTGAGCTGCGGGCAACTTTCGGTGCGGGGAACATGTCATGGAAAGTTGGGGTATGAGGGACAGTAGATATGAAAAAAAGGGATGTCTCTTGAAAGGTCAATTGTAGAAAAGCCTCCTCACAAGCACCAAGCAGGCACAGGAGTACTTGACACAGCGCTGCTCATGGCTCAGCAAGACACACTGCACGTTGCCTATTTGGGACCAGAGGCATCCTTCTCCCACCAAGCCGCTCTCGAGCTGTTCCCTACTGGAGGTACATGTACAGATACATATGCAGATACATATACAGATTCCAGCGATGGCGCAGGGACATACAATCCACGAGTGACGCTCGACCCACTACCATCCTTCTCATCCATATTCTCGGCGATCCAGCAAGCTTCCTCCTCCGGTACCTCCGCCATTGTCGCTCTGTCTTCATCTGCATCATGTCCTCCAGCTCAACCCATCCCCTTCCCCACGTATGACTACGCCGTGATCCCGATAGAAAACAGCACCAACGGCTCCGTGGTGCAAGTTTTCGACCTACTCGCGCAGTGCGGCCTCCACGACAACGACAACGCCGCCCTCTATCCAGACCTACAGGTCTGCGCCGAGTACTACCTGCCTGTGCACCACTGTCTATTCATACACCCTTCTCAGTCCACCCATGCACCCTCATCATCTCCTTCTGCAGTGACTGGGAGCCACACCGAGTCGCAGAGCCCACCACTACCAGACCTGCCATTCCCGCCCATATCCACCCTCTACACACACCCGCAAGTCTGGGGTCAATGCGGACGCTTCCTCTCGAAGCACTTCCCAGCGGGCGTCGTCGAGCGCATCGACCTGGGGAGTACATCAGCGGCAGCAGCTCTCGTCGCGCGTGAAGGTGGAATTGCGCCACCAGCAGCAACACCAACGACGACGGAAATAACCACCTCATCGAGCACTGTCCCTACGCCCCCGCCTATATCTCCGACCATGGCGGCCATCAGCTCACGGCTTGCAGGCCGGAAACACAAGCTGGTCTGCCTAGCGGAGAACATCGAGGATTCTCCGGGCGAGAACACCACACGATTTCTCGTCCTGCGCAATAGTCGCCGCGGGCCACGGTATCCCGCGTATCACCGCGCGCTGGTCTCGCGTTTGCTCTGGAGTCCTGCCCCCGCTCCTCCGTCTTCTGCGGACGCCGTAGCTATGACTACGGTCAGAGAGCCAGTACTCGCCGACCAAAGGGCCCAGGCACAGGCACACATCAGGCATAAGTCACTCATCACATTCACGATCCCGCACACCAAGCCCGGCGCGCTGGCCGACGCGCTGGCAGTTTTCAAGACGCACGGCTTCAATCTCACCAGCATTGACACACGGCCCAGCCGACGCCGTAATTGGCACTATGTGTTTTTCGTCGAGTGCGAGGAGGCTTTGTCGGGCACCGCCCCCGACGGTTTCGGTATCGATACTGGTGGTGTGGGGGGATTGCATGATGGCGGTGACGACGACGACGCTTTAGGCCAGAATTTGAGCAGTGTTTTGGATGGGCTGGCCAAGTATACGGAGAGTCTACGGTATTTGGGACGGTTTGTTGATCAATTGCAGAGCGAAGAATGGTAATAAAAACTACGAATGGCAAATCGCCAAGTTGGAGAACGGAGACGTAGGCGAAAAATTCTGGGTTAATGAGTGACTACCTATCTGGAATGAACTTGGCAGCGAACGGCCTGTCTTAGTGAACGTTGGACTTTTTATTCTGCAAATGTGCCTCAAGTCGAGAGGATCATTCACGATTGATGGGGATTGTGCAGTCCGGAATGAAATGCCCGTACAGTTATGCCAGCGGATGATTACCCACGCTGCACGGTAAACAAGGTGAAAAAGGAGCTTGAACGGCAAGATGTGAGAAACAAGCTGTGTGGAACGAATAGACAAGAGATGACAAAGCGTGGTCTCGGAAAGATCATAGATTTCGAGATTAGGACATCTTTTCGAGTGTGGTATGGATCAGTTCTTGAAAAAAAAGTTTGTCCCACTCATTGCGGAGCTGTGGTAGACTTGGACTTATATCAGATTCAACTTCAGTCGATCCATGACAGGCGACTTGGTCCAGACTGTTCTGGGAGACTGGACCGAGGTTGAAACTGAAAGCCGTCGTCATCTCAGACCATGACCATGTTTCGAAGGTTGCTACGTCCTGTTGGAGAAACATTAGGTCAGCTATGGCAATCATTATTTAATTGGAAACATACCGTGGACCAGGCCGATGTCTTGCATTGCCGGAGGTGTCAATACGCGCTCGGCGCGACGGTAAGTACCAGATTCGGTGTCCAGGTAATTGACCTGTTTGAGATGCGACACGCTAGTGCTCGCATGCTTGCTGTCCCCATGCTTCCGGTGGGATAATTCAGCGTTGCTATGACGCTCAGAGAGCGAGGTGGTTGGCCTGTTGCCCATGTCCTTGTCCTTGTCGTTGGTTGCGTTGGGCACATAATGGGTTGGAAGCTTGAATTTCACCTCCTCGCGCTCTGCTGCGAGGCCATTGAATTGTCAATCATCATAGAATTCATCTTCGGAGTCAACGTCAGCCAATTGCTCAAAATTGACCTTGTAGCGCAGGATGGCACCGATGCCACCAAACCCCTTGACGAATTGGTTACCCTCGCTCGATCGATCCGAAACAAATTCCAATGTTGCACCGAAATCTTTATATTTCTCAGCGAGCCATTCGAGGAAGGAGCTTTGATCGACCACTTCCATCTCTTGTCCAGTCTCTTTATCCATGAATTGTTCACGATCGGCTTCTTGAGCTTTGGTGGTATGCAAGATCTTTTCTACTCCGTCTGAACCCTTTATAACCCAGCGGGTAATGTCAAGATTTTCATAGACGATCAAGGTTTCAGCAGCGCCAAGTTCAAGAGCCTTGAGGGTATCGTCAACTCCGTAGCAAACTCGACCACTATCTTGGCTAATTTCCTCGAAGTATTTACCGATCAATTTCTTCTCTTGAATAAACTTGACGTTGCTCAAAGTCTCGGCAGAGAGATCAATGGCTTGATTGAAACCGTTTTCACCGCCATAAGACACATCAACGACCTTGATCACCTTTGATTGTAAACGATTGTCGAACATGTCGGATTGGTTCAAATCGTTCTTGAAGTCTGCAGAACCGGCAAGAATAATACCAGCGACGTTGACCTTGTCGTTGGTGATGAAGTTCTGAACCGCCAACTCGGCAACCTTTCGAACATAGTTGTGTCGCTTCTCTTCTCTCAAACGGGCAAAACGCAGGGCTGATTGACCACCTCGACCGTGTTTCTTTGGAAGATCAACGGAGAATTTGTGAACGACCTCTCGTGTATTACCGCTCAAAGTTCCGAAAAGAGCACCGTTGCCATCCATGATGATAAACCCAAACTTTTGATCGGACTCGAGAAGTTCGCTGAGAGCCTCGGTGTGAAACTTGTTGTCGCAGAGATAGAGAGACGTATTGATAGGCTTGAATGGTTCGAAATCAATATTGATCTTTCTCTCTTTTCCCTCGGAGGTGATGATTTCACCACAATAGACAACCAGGCCATTGGGAGGAACTTTGTTGTACAACTTGAGACGCTGTTGGGTGGAGGTGATGGCGGACAGAACAGATAGGCGATTGACCCTCGACTTGATGTTGGAGGCGGTACCGAATTCTTCAGCCAACATTTTGGCAGCTCGAGAGACTTGATCTTTGGGGGCTGTAACGGCTGTGTCAGTCTCGAGGCACGTGCAGTCCAAATGTAGCAAGACTGTTCTTACGGATGATGAGGGAGATCATTGATGTTCCATTGCCGCGGGCAGCCTCAAGGCGTTTGATGAGTTTTTTGACCTTCCATATCTCAATATTTTTTTCTGCTTCATTTGGTTGTGGAGCCGACATGATTGCGGAGGTGAGGCGACCAGTGGTGGCCTGCTCGCAATAAAAATGTCCACAAAATTGCAAATGAGGGAAAAAATTGTCGAGGACAAGATGCGGGAGCGCAGGGAGGGGCCTGCTGATGGTTTTATCGGTGGAGGGAGTGGAAGGGATGACGTTGAAATTCAGAAAGCGAGACTGGTGGTTAGTGAATGTTAGTCGAGATGAGTCCTGGTGCGTTCAGTCGACGTAGATGTCGGCCAGTGGAAGTGGGTATGGCCACCAGCAGTGGTGGGAATGTACTGTAGCACGGTAGTATTGGTGTTCACTGTTCAGTCGTGTTGGGCGGTTGGCTGTGGTCTGTGCGGGCGGGCCACGGCATGCCACTCTGCGTGGCTGACCAGGCGGAAAAAACGAGTAGCGATGAATCCTGAAGAGTCATCGGGCACTCATTGTGGCTTCCGGCCGGAAAAACTGAGACACCGAATCTTCCCATGCATAAGCGGACAAGCAGCTCACGTGACTAGTTGGGTGTTTCTTATCAAAATTGTCAACCCCGCCTTTGCCTTGCGATGCCATGGCGTTTTGCCACTCAATCAGGAAAACCCTGAGTTTTTTTCCAACTCCAAGCACCTCTCTTAGGCTTTGGCCGCCCACTCGCACCCACTGGTGCCCATTGCTCAAGCTTGAATGGGCAACGGGGCATGCCCGTCTCGCCCCACGCCCTCGGTTAAGTCAGAGCCTAGAAAAATCCCCCCTGCGCGACATCTTATCTAGCCAAACAAACATCAGAGTCTTTGGCCTGCAAGTCATGGGCTGCGCTACCGACACCACTCTGGCTATCATCGGTTGATAAACTGCATCTAGAAGTCCTCTGCTCATGTTACTACCATCCATGCTGCGAGGTACAAGGTACTGACCTTCATAAAAATTCTCTTGGAACCAAAATTTTTCTTATTTGGTGGCCCATCTGCTTATTTGTACATACATCAGTGACCCTTTTCGCTTGCTTGCTCACATCATGCTTTGAGCCTATCATCCTTTCCAAAAGTCCATTGTTTCTACCTCGTCTAGCTCCAGTTTGATTCACGATGTCGCAGAGAAACAAGCAGTCCCCAACTGACTGGAACATGTATGAGCATGGCCGTGCAAGTTCTTTCGGATCCCTTGAATCTGTCCCCGAGGATGATCAATCGCAAAGATTCATCTCTACCTCAACTCCTCGAGACATCCCACAAAGAGATGGATCTCGCGATGGCGCTCGGCTGAGGCGGAAGTCCTCATTGGGGAAAAGATTTGACTCTATTCGACAGATGGGTGGTCCTAACAGCATCGACAACTTTGCGAAATCCTTACAAAGAGCTGCCGGTTTTCGAGAGATCACACCCGTCCGGAGGAACTCGGTCTCGATACCCGACGATGATCAAGAAGCTGAGCCAGATGTTGCCGAGCAGTCAGCCGCCCCGGACAGGTCTCTATTGAGGCAGCAACTGCTGCGCTATGACATGGACCACGGTTCAGGCTCTGCTGTGCAAGATGAGCAGAGCGAGGTTGACGGTCCAACAGAAACAACTAGATTGCTCCCTCGCAGGAGCAGACATACATTAAAGTCTCAAAGTGGGTCTTTGGTTCCTGGCAGTCTTCTACCCGGCCAGTACGCGGCTAGCTATTCAAGCATTTCCTCCAAACTCACAGTGACCGCTCGGCAACGTGCCTCAATTCTTATTATGGAGCAGGAGGAAGCCAGTCGGCGCGCCAGAGAAGATCTGGATGACAAATTTGAAGAGGAACCACCTCGGCACATTGAGCAAGAGGTTCTTCCTGATGGAGAAGTCATTCACCGTGTTGTCGGCGAATCCACCGTACCTATGACTGTCTTTAATTCGACCAACGTTTTGATCGGAGTGGGCATCCTTGCTCTGCCACTGGGTATCAAATATGCGGGTTGGGTTCTTGGTCTAACATTTCTGACTCTTTCTGCCCTGGCCACTTCTTACACCGCAAAGTTGCTGGCCAGATGCCTAGACACCAACACCGGTTCCTCCACGTACGGGGATATTGCTTTCCTTGCTTTCGGTACGACTGGTAGAAACCTGGTCGAGAGTTTGTTCATCCTTGAGCTGACAGGCGCCAACGTTGCCTTGGTCATATTGTTCGCGGATAGTATGAGCTCGTTGATCACTGGTTTCGACAACGTTACATGGAAAATCATCATTGCCGTTGCCTTGATTCCTCTAAATTTCGTGCCATTCAAGTACCTGAGCTTCACCAGTGTCATTGGCATCTTCTGCTGTCTGGCCATTGTTGTCATCATCTTCGCCGATGGTCTCATCAAGCCTCACGCCCCAGGGTCTCTTCGTGAAATCTCCAAGACTTATGCTTTTCCTGAGAATTGGGCTACAGTTCCGCTCAGCCTGGGTCTTATCATGGCTCCTTGGGGTGGCCACAGTGTTTTTCCTGCGGTCTACAAAGATATGCGTCATCCGCAGAAGTATGTTCGAGCTGTCAGGTACACCTACATATTCACTTACGGCTTGGATGCCTCCATGGCCATCCTCGGGTACCTCATGTTTGGCGAAAAAGTGATGGACGAAGTGACTGCTAATATTCTCCGTTCGACCGCCTATCCTCATGCTCTATCCGTCATCATTGTGATGCTTATAGCTGTCATACCTATTACCAAAATTCCCCTCAGCAATCGACCAATGCAGGACACGATCAATAAGAAATTCTACATTGATCTGCGCCAGATGGATCACAAAGCACGTGTACGAAGTGAAAAGAGCTGGAAGCATCGCATTGCACGTTCAAGTGTTGGAATTGTGGCCAACTTGGTTCAATTGGCTTTCGCAGTCTTTTTCCCGGATTTTGACAGTCTCATGGCATTACTAGGATCGCTGTTCTGTTTTACTGTCTGCATCATTCTCCCAGTAAGCTTTTATCTCAAAATATTCAGTTCCGAAGGGAAGGAAATCAGTTCAATGGAGCGTGTCGGATGTTGGGCCCTACTTTTGGTGTCGGCCGCCTTTGGGATCACTGGAACTGTTTTTGCTATCGTCCCAAAAGACAAGTTTGGAATCTCAAAATAAGGCAATCTAGAGAAATTGGTATTGTAAAGGGCGGCATATCTCGCGAGCGTTCTTATCGCATCTATCGAAGGAAGGCCTGAGCAGTGGGGAGGAGAATTTGCTAGTTGAAAGCTGAAATTAAAACTCGGTTTCAAGTATCAGATCTAAAGTTCACAAGAATGTGTTGTACATTACGTCTCTTTTCAGGCCCTCTCAAAACTCCCAGAGTCGTTGCGTCTGCACTCCTCCTTGGAGCAACCGGGCAGTCCATTGCAAGTCATCATTTCCCGTCCTCCTGAGGACCACCAGGGTAGAAGCCACTCGGGTGTTCCTCGAGGAACCGCTTCTCCTCATCCGTACTCTCTCTCCCGAGGATAGTGTTCCTCTTAGGAAACCGACCAAACTTCATGATCGTATCGCGATGTCCCTTTCCATGCAAGATGCTCCTCGCGACGTAGTCACGGGCGAAATGATCCTTGCTGAACTGGCAGCGCGCAACCAAGGCTTCGGACAAGGCTATGCTCGCGATCTGCGAGACGACCGTCTCATCGTGCATCAGCGGCAAGTAGAAGAACAGGGCCTCCAGGTTGGCGATGGAATCGTGGCGGTCGAACTCTCGCGCAATCGACGACACCGCCACGCGACATGCCTTCGTATCCGACGCGTGCGCCTGCTCCGAGCTGCGGTAGATATTGCGTGGGAACTGGTCCAGCAGAATGATCAGCGCGAGGCTGCCCCGCGGCGATTTCGTCCAGTGGTCTAAGTTGTCGGCACGTGCCTGGACCACGAGCTCGCCGAATCGCGTCCGGATCTCCTCGTCGAAAGCTTCGCCGCCCCCGAACCATTTCTTGCTGGCTTCCGGGGAGTCGAACCAGAAGGAGAGGATTCGGTTGACGTCTGGGTTGGTTTCTGACCGCATTTTTCCAACTGAGGGTGGTGGTGTTGAGGCCGAGGCAAGGCTTTGGCTCGTAGAAGTGGTATTACTTGAAAACCGGACCAGGGGAGATAGGACCTCGGGCAAAGAGAAAGCTGACTGCAATTGCAGGACCTTGTTGCGAGGGTTATTTAGGTGTGTGAGCAATGGACGAAAGAGACGGGGTGAGCGTACTCTTGACAAAGCCTGCGGTATTCCCAGCATTGCAGTAAATCTGCTTTCAGGTGCTCCTCCGGCTAGGTGTACAACGTGGACTACCCTTCTTGACCGCCCAACCTTTTACTGTTGCGTTTACTCAAATCGGTGGAACAAGGCGACTTGTCAAGGGGCCACCAACGTCACGACTACTGACGTTGTTGTTCGCAGCTCGCAGCTCGTACTACCTAGCGTGCCGGAGTTCCAGTGGGAGGCTGGAGTATTTTTAAGATGAACCAATTCTGAACGAGCGAGGAGAAAGGCGGCTGTGTTTATTGGCATTGATTTTGTGTAAAAGTCAGCTTGGTGGTATCATGGTGATCTAGGCATTACCTTTCATGTACAGTAATGTGTGTAGACTTAATTTACGAGGAAGTGCATATTGAGACTTTCAGGTTTAGTCAGACCACGATTCCTTCCCCACTTCTGGCAAGGCTGGGATTACTCTTCTGTCAGGGAAACTGCTGCACTTCTTTCTCTATGACATAGACAGCTGTCATGAACTATCTATCCCAAAGGAAATTTCCGTAAGGCGACGAGCTTTGGGCAGCAGGTGAAGATGGAGAGGGTTGTCACCGTTGTCTTCAAATATTCTAATGTACTCAAGGCCGACGGGTGTCTTTTGAAGCCCGCCGAACTCGTCAATCTGAAGTCGGTATTTGAAATGTTCATAAATGCCAGCAACCGCTCTTTCCCTTTCCTTTTGACTCTATCGGTATCAATACCGTAGTAACCCCGAAAAAATAGAGTTGAGTTTTTCACTCATGAGACAAAAAGACAAAATTTTGCGAAGAGAGGTCGTACCCGGGTTCGAACCGGGGTCGCCGGAATATTTCAATAACATCAAAATCCGGAGTGATAACCACTACACTATACAACCTAGACGCAAGAATTTGGGCAATTTTCAAGGGATTGAATATATATGATACTTGACTGTGTGATGACTAAGGCTTTTATTGGCGCCTTGGCACCCCATTTCAACCCCCTGGCCGTGAGCCATAACATGCACAACTAGAAATCCTTCATACCTGGATGTATAGTCTGAATGGAACAGTCAGTATCGCGTACTGAATGCTCGGTTCGCTTTACATAAGTGCCATTGCATATCATCGCTACCATGTGGAAGGAGTTGCTTTATTCTTGATCCAAATTGTTTGGACACAGTAGCTGAATGACCTACTTGTCGCGTTACTTGTAGCGATTAGGTGGCACTACACCCTGAGCCGGGATCTTGAATCTCCGCGAACCGTGATTAGGCGGCATCTGGCTGCCTTAAAGTCGAGCATCCCCTGGCACTCAATCTGAGACACTATCATTGAACCTAGTATTATCATATCACCAAATTAATATGGCAGTAAGAGCAATAGTGGTGGGCGGGACGAATGGCATCGGCTATGGGATGGCCTGTCGTGTCGCCGCCGAAATCAAACCCGCAACTGTTATCATTAGTGGACGTACAAAGCCTCAGAATATCCCGCATGCTAATATAGAATTCCGCCGACTAGATGCGACGTCAATGCGCTCGATAAAACAGTATACGGACAATTTCAAATCCGAGCCGGATGGAAACCTTGACTTCCTGATCATGACCCAGGGCGTTATGACAGTTGCTGGAAGGACAGAGACACCAGACGGGATCGATCGCAAGATGGCGCTGCACTACTACGGCAAACAACTCCTGATCCGTGAACTCATTCCGGCGTTGAAGGAAGATGCAAAAGTCATCATAGTATTTGATGGTATCTATGGTAACCCGGCCAAACTTGACTGGGAGGATCTAGACCTGAAAAAGAACTTCAGTCTCGGCAAGTCAGCAAACCATTGTATGGTCATGAATGATGCCATGGTCCAATTTTATGCTGCTGAACAGCAGCGGAAAGGGACCGGCGCCCGGCATTTTGTGCATGCTTGGCCAGGCGCTGTCAACTCGAGTCTTTTCAGAGAATTGCCTTGGTATCTACAGCCCGTGCTGCGAGTTGCAGGCGGCCTCATTGGTATCTCAGTAGATACCTGTGCAGAACAATTGCTAGGCGGTGTTTCAAAGTGCACAGCAGCAGGTCAAGTTGAGGAGAGGTTTTGGAGCAACATCGATAATAAAGGGCGGCTGGTCGCAAAGAAGACCATTTGGACAGAGGAACAGATGAAGAAAATCGCAGACCACACGTGGGGTCTTGTCGATAGGGCAATTGAAAGTAGCCCTGAATGAGCTCCGCTATGCATAAAATCGAGATGAATACCCGGATATCGTTGGTCCATTTATTGGTAACCCAGATTCGTTGCAAATTCTATCATAATTCAAGATATCATGTTCTCTTTCATAGGATGGGAATGGACAGTCATTGGTATGTTGTACATGGCCATTGATCTACACTTTTACTAGGTGCTTCACTAAGCACCACATCTGATTCTCGCCTTGCTTCCATGTTTCAAAATGGTGAAAATTAGTTGGCTGCCCATCAGGACCCGGGAGCTCGATGATTCTATCTCGACACATTCGATGGTCTTCGGGTGGGAGCTCCATCGTAGAGGGTTCTGGGCAAAAGACACCGTCAATGCTGCCTGACTCCTCAGTGCCTACCACACGTTCGGCGATATCAGCCAACGTATCAGCTTTCCATGTATTCTCAACCTCGGCTCCGGTACGCAGTAAAGATATGGCTTGTCGACGAACAACTGGGTGCCGGCATTTTGTCGCCACAAAGAATAGTTGAGGGATGACTCGAGTCTCGAAGATAAACACTGGACGCGTTTCTTTGCTTCCCGCAGCTACAACATGACCAGCGTGGTCGACCATAGATTGGAACATTGGAAGGAAATTGTCGAATGCCGTTTCATACATGTTTAAGATGGTGCACACAGTAATGAAGTATTGGCCGTACGTCACTAAAAGCACCGAGTAATGCTCATCTTCGTGGCTGTCATCCTGGGCACACTCCAATTCAGGCTTCATCATCATGGTTTCAAGTGCTTCATGCCACCGTAAAAATTTTGACTGAAGAGATTGCTGGCGAAAACTCAATTCTGATGGAGGTGTCCAGTCTTTCCCTTGGGAGATGATGATTTTCATAACGTCCACAATGAAATCGTGGGATTCGAAGAGCAGAACAAAAAGCTCATCTCTAGCATCAGGAAGCGTCTGAAAGGGTGTGTTGGATTTGTCAGACTTTCTTTCCCATTGGGTACGAATTCTCTGCGATGCCGCCATGTTCTGCAACAAATCTCGTACCCCCCTTGCGAGAGACCTCTCAAGCTGCGTTGCAGGCCATTTTGCAACCTGTCCACCAGCAGTTGATCGCATCATCTCAATTGCTCGTTGCCAAAGCGCGGTAGCCTCAGCCACGTTGTCTTGCAGACACTCTATGCAAATGTATAGAATGCAGGATATAACAGCACTTGCCGACTGAGCTGTTGTTTGCTCTATACGCTTCCTCAGACCTGCCATAGACCTGCCATACCACGTCAACGCCCTGCGATGTTCTTCGTTTACTATCGGTGGTTTCTTGCGATCAGGCAATGTAAATGCGCGAGAATATTGAGGATGCTGTGTCAGGCATGATAGAGCAATGACAGCATCCCAGATAACGGGATCTGAGTGACTGATCTGAGGGACAAGCTGATGCCAGAATTGTCCATCCACAATTCTGGTCGAACTAGGAACAAATCGGCGCATGAAGAATTCAAAGGACTGTAGTTCGACACGGTCCAAGTTCGCATATGTCGTAGGACGTGCTGGGTGCACCATTGTACTGTTTGTGCTCAACGGAGTTCTCCCGATGTTTCCATTGTGGATATAGCCATCACATTTTCTCCCTGTTGCCAGGCACCTTTGGCAGGCAGGGTGCCGCTCATCGCATTTCACCTTTCTAATTTTACATGTGATGCACCCAGTATTGGACTTTCTCGCACCAAGTCTTCCCCTTCTGGACAGCGCTTCTGGCGAAGTCATGATTAGCCTTTTGACATGATACCAGACTCCCACCCTCGAGATGTGAAGTAATGAAATAACCGCGTTGAGAAGTGGAGTCTATCAATTTCAAACGGTGTGACTAACATCGCAAGCCCTTCTGATTGATGAACTTAACAACGCGAAGGACAGGCTGAAATGATTATGGTCACCGAGGCGAGGAAGAGTGAGATCCTGTTTCAAGACAAATCACTGCTGTAAAGGCCCCTTTGTTGTCCCTAGGGACATGCCAGTGCGGAGTGTACGCTTAATAGCGCATATTGTGGGAGATGATACGGTGGTATACGAACTGAGAAAGTGCAATATAAAGATCCACTCGCCAAGGCCGGAAAATAACGTCATAATTGGTCGTTCCTCCGTCCGATGTTCAGTCATAATCTTCTTCAAGGCACAATAGACAGGCTATCCATCAGCGCCATCCTAGGGGTTGTTTCGAAGTCAGCCTCCGCGCCCAGAACGCTGAAGCACAAAAACCACCAAGACTGTTTGTGCATTGCTTTAAAATCACCCCAGTGGCAAAAGCAAGAATCCAGCATGACCTTCATTACTGTGGCCAGTGCCACACTTCCCAGCGTACCGCTCGACTTTCAAGGAAACCTTCAGAGAATCCTGGAAAGCATCCGCCTCGCGAAAAGCAAAGGAGCTAGGCTTCGCACAGGGCCGGAGGTAGGGTACCTTTACAAAACCACCAGGGGACGAAGCTGATCAGTCTAGCTGGAAATTCCTGGATATGGATGTCTTGACCATCATCGTACGTCAGGCATATACCTTCCGAATTTGCTCAAGGTTTGCTGATTTTCAGGCCAAAAGTCGAGGGTGATACCTTTTTTCACAGTTGGGAGGTCGTCGCGCAGATCCTCAATGATCCTGCGACCAAAGATATGCTCATCGATGTGGGCATGGGTGTGAGACACCGGGTGGGTAAACTCTCAAAATAATCTGGTCTGTTCTTTGCTGATACTCGTATTGAGAATGTGCGATATAACTGTCGTATTCTGCTCACATACCAAAAAATCTTCTTCATCCGACCGAAAATGAGCCTTGCTAATGATGGTCTGTACCGTGAGGCTCGCCATTTCACAGCTTGGGTCAAACCAAGAACGGTCGAGACATATTACCTCGAGCAGGTTATACGCAATATCACTGGACAGAAAACTGTACCTATTGGAGATGCGGTGCTTTCGACGATAGATACATCGGTTGGGTAAGTCATATGGTCAGAAGGCGCTTTTCACTTTGACACTTATAACGGATGACATAGTTGTGAGACATGCGAGGAGCTTTTTACTGTAGGCACCCCTCTTGTTGCTAAACCGTCAACATGGTTTTCTTTCTACACATGATTGACTATTCCTTGAAGCCATTGAATCCATCTACCAACATGGGCCTCAACGGTGTGGAAGTCATCGTAAACTCGAGTGCATCTCACGCCGAGCTAAGAAAACTCAGCACCAGACTCGCTCTGATTCAGAATTGTACTCGAAAGCTTGGAGGAGTATATATCTATGCAAATGCTACTGGGATTGGTGAGTTTCTTCGATACACTTCTGAGTTTAATACAATGAAGAGGCCTTCGTTGCAGCATCTAACCTTGATCCAAATCAGATGGTGAGGCCAGAATGATGTATGATGGCTCGTCGATGATCCTGAGTAATGGACGCGTCATGAAGTGAGTCGTCCCGTTCTCAGAGTCTTGCCAACTACCCTGCTAAATTACCAAGCCAATCCACACAGTTCTCTCTAGTATGTATAAAACTTTAATCAAAGCGAGGTGATACACCGCGGGGCTCACAACAACACAGAAACCCGTTGAGGTCATCACTGCAACAATTGATCTAGAAGAGGTCCGAAGCTATAGAAGTAGCATTTCACGAAACGTACAGGGTGCGGCGCAGCCGGAGTACCCTCGTATAGAGTGTGACCTTTCTCTGTCCTATTCTTCCGACGATATTCTGCTCTCAGACACTTTGAAACTATCGCGAGAAATCTCGCTCAAAATCCTCGACCCGATGGAAGAAATCTATCGGGCGGAAGCTGCATTTCTCTGGCAATACCTTACGCGGGCGAACGCTGCGGGATATTTTCTCGCTCTCTCTGGGGGTCTCGACAGTGCGACAGTGGCACTGTTTATTTTTGGAATGGCAAAGGTTGTCTTGCAGCATATCAACGCAGGAGACAGTACCGTCTTAGCGGATCTACGCCGAGTCACGGGAGAGCCAAACCTTACTGTTAAAACACCACAGGAGATTGTGAAGAGACTACTCCACACATCCTACATGGCGACCCAACATAGTGCAAATCATACGAGATCTCGCTCCAAACGCCTCTCTGAGAAGATCGGTGCATATCATTCTGATATCAACATTGATGCTACTGTTGAAGCACACGAGAAAATCGTAGAACAAGCCTTGAACTTCAAGCCAAGGTTCAGGGTCGAAGGAGGAAGTGCTGCAGTATGCTTTTCTTCAGCCTCTTTTGATAGCACCATTTTTGACAAAGCCAATCTACAGGAAAACCTTGCGAAACAGAACATCCAAGCACGAAACAGAATGGTCATTGCATATGAGGCGAGTGAAACATTCAAGTCCCTTTGATGAAGACACTTTGTCATGCTAATTTGAATTGCATTTGTGGATGAGACTAATCCGTGTAAATGAAACAGATGGCACAACTTAGCACGACTGCTCGTAAACTTCCACGGGCGGGTGCAAGTCTACTAGTTGTAAGTACAAGTTACTCGATATTTGCCAACCCTGGAGCTATGGACAAAGATGGAAGACCCAAATATGCTCCATGCCACAATCCCATTCCTTGCTGCATTGATTATTAACAAAAATGCGCGTAGGTGTCATCGGGCAATGTGGATGAAGCTCTTCGAGGGTAAGCCTTCCTGTAATAAGCGCTATTGAAAGTGTGGTCCTAACAAGCCTTTCAATTAGCTACTTGACCAAATATGATTGTTCTTCTGGTGACATTGCACCATTGGTGAGCCAATCTGATCTGTGGTAAGCTATTGGCCACCTAACACTTCTCCAGGGGAGTATATCGAAATCCGATGCAAAGGCGTTTCTGGCGTGGGCACGCGAGAAGTGGGATTTGCCGATCATAACGGTATTTGCCCCATACCTCTACTGCTCCAAAAGCTCATTTCCGAAAGGAGTTCATCGACGCCCGTCCATCGGCCGAGCTTACGCCTCTTTCCGCCGGAGAGCAAGACGACGAGTCGGAGTCGGAGATGGGGATGACGTACGATGAGTTGAGCACCTTTGGAGTTCTCCGCAAGGTAATTTTGCTTTCGATCCAACTGCACCGGGATTCAAGATCTAACTTGGCGACAGGTCGAAAAGCTTGGCCCGTGGTCCTGCTACTTGAGACTCCTGGTCGAGTGGCGAGATCGTCCGGGATTCGGCCCACAGGAAGTTGCAACTAAGGTCCAACGTTTCTTCCGTTACTAGTCAGTCACTCTGTTGAATCTCTTTTCACAACCCTTGACCCGCTCAAATGAGCTCACGCTGACTGAAAAATCTAAATGCAGTGCTCTGAATCGGCATAAAAGCACAGTGCTGACGCCTAGTGTTCATATGAGTGCATATGTGAGTTCTTAATTCCCAATGAGCCAGCATATTACTCCTTTTCTTTCAATTGCTCATGTTGCTCTAGAATCCAGATGACAACCGTCATGATCTCAGACCATTCCTCTACATCATCGACTGGCCCTGGCAATTTAACAAAATTAGAAACCACGCCAACGCATTGGTGGAGAGGTTGGCCGCCGAGGGGTCGAGAAAGTGAAACAACCGAATGATCTCAACTGTAATCCACGAATCCCAGTGCAGAGTACTTCAACAGAAGTCCTATCTGAGCCTTGAGAACAGCATGTATTACGATGAGCTATAATTGAGAGAAGAGGTATCATAGATGAATGTCCTGAAGCTAGGTGAACGTCTTCGCACCGTGACGCACGATTCAATTTGCGTTAGACCGTTTAATATTACCGGCGTATCCGACGGATTACACAGAACTATCGAAAAAAAATACATACAGCATTTTAAAAGTTGTTGAAGAATGCAAGCAAGTGATCTTAAATCATGAGCCCTCCGCTCAAGCTTCGCCACAACTTCGGGCCCTATGACTAGGAACACTTTTTCTTTTGCCTTATCTAGATTTGAACGCCCCCCCCCCCCCCACCGAGAACTGGGTATTGTGGCCACGCAAATTCATCTTTGTTGCCTTCATCGACTTTCTTCGCGAGCCACGGAATTGCCACAACCTTGGAGAGGACCCATAAGAACGTCTGCAGCAGCCACCTTGACCATGCCGTCTTGGGGTGCGCAATACCTGGAACAAATGGAGGAATTTTCTGTTCTTTCTCGACAAAAGGACGGAAGACCTTTTCGTAAGCCTCAAGCGCTTTCGACAGAGATACACCATCGCCTAGCTTGCTGATTTCACCTGCGAGGATGTGCGCTCCAATCAAGGCAAACGAAGTGCCCATCCCGGTCAGTGGCGTCGGTGCATATGCAGTGTCGCCCAAGCATACAATGCAATTGTGAGACCATTTGGACATCTTGATCTGTTGAATGGGTTGAAAGTAGAAGTCGGGTGCTTGACCCATTGCGTCCAAGATCCTTTGGGTTTGCCATCCTGCCTCTGCAAAATCCCTTTTCAAGAGCTCTTCCCGCGCTTGTCGGTCACTTCTGGACGCCCTTAGCAAATCTTGTTTTTGACGGTCACCACCTGGCATGCAAGTGACTAGCGCCCTGATGGTACCATGCCGGTCAGGTCTTAGGCTTATCAGCCCTGGAACCAAGAGCCACGTAGATGTTCCACCAGTCATCATCGCTCTTCAAGCGTGGAATAGTCCAGTATGCACTGTACATGCCCATATCCAACACTTTCACGCATTCTGGGGGAAAGTATTGTCTTCGTATTCTTGACCACTGGCCATCTGCTGCGACCAAAAGGTCGAATTCTTTGACGTCCCCATTGCTCAATTCGACCTTGACACTGTCTTGGTTGTTCGAAATGACTTCCTTGACTGTGGTACCGAAATGATACTTGATATTGGGATGGTCCTTCGTAGCCTTATAAAGGATCGCCACCAAGTCTCCGCGAAGGATCTCAATATTTGATGTAAGGCTGGCGGACTGTCCCTCCCATTTGCCCGCCTGGGCCGAGAAGGTTGCGAACGGCCGCCCGTTTGAACCGATGAACCGAGTACCCATTTCGCTTGTGCTGGATTGATTGATTTCATCTAGCAGCCCCATCTTCTTGACCACTGTGGTCGCACTGCCTTTGAAATCTACAGCATGGCCATTGGAAAGGAGGGAGTTACTTTTTTCAACAATGTCAATGTGTGCGCCCGTTTTTGCCAGGAACCAAGCAAGCGTGGGCCCCGCAATACCCGCTCCACTAACGAGAATGCGCATCACAGGCCCTTTATGTCGGATTTCAATGTTAAGTAGATCGGGATAAGGAGACACGTAGGATGTGCATACTCCGGTTAAGGGGCCAGCGGCGCCGTTACTTATATGCTTTAAATTGAATTGCATGGTTCGTCATCACCGGAGTTCGGCCTTCATACCGGACTTATCTAACTGCTTTACTATACAAGCAAACTAAAACTCGATAATAATAAATATGTAGACAGAGTGATTCAGTTCCCAAATCCCGGGGTTTCTAAGTCCCGCACGGGTGCATCTAGTGGGAGACAGGTGCCCTAGTTATTTAGCCTTCCCAGGAGGCTATTGGTCTGAGATCCCCTACGACGTCTGTAGTCTGCACTAGTGGTGTAGGTTAAAAGCTTATCCTGACCAGCCGGGATATACTAATCCCCGTGTAAGGCTCGTCCGCCTAGTGATCATAGACCAGCTCTCACCTCACAAAGCACCTTCTTTCTTCCCATCGAGCAGAAATTCTGCCTGTGGCACTTGCGGTTAATTTCCACTTGGGCTGGGCAATCATTCTTCAAGTAGCTGATGTAGCTCATTGACCAATGAGACGTTAAGGCCATCATCATGCTTTCCCCTCCAGCCATCAAGTGCACGGGCGGTTTCCATATTTTCTCTTCCTAGACTTTGTCGATTCTAACAAAACTTGGTCCTTTTTAGACTAATGGTCGAGCATGAAAGTACGCTACATATTGCTATCATAAGCAAATTTGTACTTTGCGATCATACTACACATGCCACTTTCCATTGACGATAATCACCCTGTGGAGATGACTCCGACCCCACATCACCCTTCTCCATGGCCTCCAAGACGCCAGCGTGTTCTTGCATGCATTTCTTGTCAACAGCGGAAGACAAGGTGTGACCGCAGATTTCCGTGCGGGAACTGCATCAAGGTCCGTGTGCACTGTGTGCCGGCGACACTCACCCAACGCCGGCGCAGATTTAACGAGAGGACACTGCTCGATCGCATTCGCAAGCATGAGGACTTGCTTCGTCAAAATGACATCCAATTTGAACCACTTCATCCAACGCGGGGAGAATACTTGCCCAATTTGGGAGCTAGCGATGACTCGGATGATCGGCGGACAGAGGCCATACTTCCTAAAGGGTCCGATTGTAAAATTCACGAAAAGTCCGAGAGTATCTATGAAGCCAGGTGTGTGTGAACGGCTGGGAAAGAAGTGAAAGCGTTGCTGAACCCGTACAGGAACATCTTTCACGCAATGAGCCAAGCTGTAAGAGTACAGGCGATGTATGATGAAGAGAGAGCTACTTACGAGTGAATCTAGTTCCGAGATCCAGACTATGATAGCGATTCCTCATACGATGATCTACGGGAGACCGCTGTCAGCAGAGTACGAGATCAAGAAACCGCGAATATTCCACATCTTCTATTCGGTTCCTTTAAGAAAACAATTCATCTCTTTCCATTGCACCCTGAAGCAGTACAGATCTTCAGACTCTGGCAAATCTACATAGATAACGTCAGTCCCTTACTTAAAGTCTTGCATGTCCCCAGTCTACAAGCGCGGCTCATTGAAGCTGCTTCGAATATAATTGACGTTGATGCTAATTTCGAGGCTCTCATGTTCGGTATCTACTGTACCGCAGTCCTGAGCTTGACAGTCGAAGACTGCCAAACTATGTTCGGGTCTTCGAAACAGTATCTGCTGTCAAAGTATCAATCGGGATGTCAGCAAGCGCTTTGGAGGTGCGGCTTTCTAACATCTAATAATCGTGATTGTTTAACTGCACTGTTTTTTATATTTAGTAAGTGATCGTGACACTTGCCGGAAACGATTTATCTAACGCAAGAATTCCTAGGTATCTATCAGACCTGATACGACCCCTCAAGCCCTCTCGTCACTTTTGGGCGTCGCCATTCGGATGGCGCAACGTATGGGCATCCACAGTGAGGCGACTCTAGCCAAATGCACTCCATTCGAGGCAGAGATGCGCCGCAGACTATGGTGGTCACTAATATTGTTCGATACGCGGATTTCTGAACTCACGAGCTCCAATATTGCTACACTTGATCCAACTTGGGACTGCGGAATCCCTCTCAATGTCAACGATGGCGACCTCCGGCTAGACATGAAGACGCCCCTAGTCACGCGCAAACAGCCGACGGACGCTGTCTTCGCAGTCGTAAGGAGCGAACTGGGAGACTATCTTCGGCATGCTGCGTTCCACCTTCACATTGACAACTCTGCTTTGAAATCTCTTGCGAAGCGGTTTGACGAAAATCTTACTCTAAAAAGTGACGCTCTCGTCAAACTAGGCGACAAGATTGAGGATCGGTACCTCAAGCTCTGCGATGAGGAAAACCCGACACACTTCATGGCGACCTGGACGGCACGAGGGTCGCTTGCGAAGTACCACCTAATGGAACATAACGTAAGGCTCGCCAGCTCATCCACGCAACGAGTAGAGGCACAGTACAACGCGGCTACGTTCCACGCACTCAGAATGCTTGAATGTGACACGAAAATAATGACTTCGCACCTCACGAAAGGATTCGCCTGGTTGCACCAGATCAACTTCCCCTTCCCAGCATACTATCAGATCACTCAAGATCTGCGACGGCGACCGACCAGCGAGCAAGCCCTGCACACTTGGGACGTCATGAGCCGCAACTGGGAGGCATGGTTCAACGTTCATTTCGGCACGGCTAGTCCCATCTTCCAGCTCTTCAATAACCTTATCCTGCATGCGTGGGAAGCTTATGAATCAGCTGCGAAGCCAGCAGCACAGGTTTTCACAGTACCGAGAATTGTATCATCCATTAGAGATGCGCTCGCGCTGGGAGGGTCGTCGCGAAATGCACCTAATCTGGAAATGGAAGTAGCGGCCTTAGACGGGGGCTTGGACGCGGATGGATCCTTGAGCGCGATGCAGATGCCCACTGCCCTGCTCGACCATACACTCGCCTTTGACTTGGGCTTGCAAGGTGATAACACATGGACGCCGCCAGAAATGAGCTTCGTCTCTGATATACCGGGACGGGATCCTATGGGCCCTCCAATTGATCACGTAGACTGGAAGGCATTTGGTGGACCACGTGGGTGGTGAAGCTTTTCCCAGATCTAGGCCGTCGTCGTTGACTCCTTTGTTCTCTTTCTGGTGAAGACGAAGGCGGGGAACGTTTTACATGTGTGATACCTAGGCCCAGGGAAGGAGAAGCAAAGATAGATTACTATATGTTGAGATTGGACGATAAGCCTTACCTTCTAGCCAGGCGCATAGTACGAGTCTCACTGGGAAATACAGAAGCACGAGCGGTAATGTCAGTGCTGGCTGACTAGTGCCGATGCCTCCACAACGTACCCAATATTCTCGGTCCCATTGCGAAAATTCTCTCTAGCATTCCCACCAGAATTTGTTGTAGGCGACGGCGGGAGTGAGGGTAGGGGCATGGAGTCCATTTAGTCGGCTATATAAGCAACTCATCAAGTATGGAAGAGGTAGAATATTTAAAGGAGGAGTGTACAAACCTGCCAATCGTTTCAAAGCAAGAGAGAGACTACTGTCAAGGATTCCAGCTAAAAACGTCCAAGCGGTCATAGGGAAACCCTTGACAACTCGAGCTAGCAGTAGACTTGCTTGGCCGGGCGAGGAAGGATTCGATAATGGAGGTAGCACTAAGCCTGTAGATGGGTTCGAAAACACAATCGAAAGTGCAAAGCATGGCGGGCCCGGCTGCCGTATGGTCTAGATGTGGCGTGCGAGTCTTCACCTATTCAACCTTGCCATCCTTGATTTTGTCCTGAATAGGCCACTGCTTCCACGTTGATTTCCTGGATTGGATATATGAACCACTTTCGATAGCCTTCCTGATACCATACAGCCCACCAAAAGGCCATGTTTGCAAGAACTTCTGCCCAAAAGATGATTTCGCCAATTGTTTCTCTGCCTTTATATCACTCCTTACCTTTTCGTAAGCGTCCGGCAGCGAAGTGGCCTGATATTTGGTTCGAAGGGACCTGTACCAGTCGCGATCAAACTGCTGCCAAAATTCATCTTCCGAGTAGTAGGTATGCGCATACAACCACTTCATTCCTTTTAATTCTCGTAGTTTTCGCTCGAGATCTCGATTCAAACGAACGAAGTAGTCGTAGTTGGAAGGACCCGATCCCCACAAGCCAATGTTGAGCATTGGGATTGGTGTCTTGCCGTCTCCTCCAAGCCGTGACACATGAGGATGCATCGTAGGGCCGCGGCTCTGCTTCAAGGGACAGAGCCAAAGGGGATAGATGCCGAAAGCTTGATCAGTGTAGTCGATGAACTCCTCTACTGAATCATATGGAAGTGCAAGATCTTGCACCACATAGTTTCGAGATTGACCGCTCGCATGAAGCGCAGTATACATCATTCGCGTATGGAGAAAGTCGTCAAGCCACCATCTGGTGAACTTGTTGAATGGCATCTTGAAATATTTAAATGCTGAAGTTCCAACCCAGAAACCACCACGGTCATAACGGAATAGGTACTCTGGCAGCGGGATTGTCTCGACAACTGGGCCTGCTTGTTTAGAAATCTTTTCTTGAACATGCAGGTAGAACCAAGGGTCTCTAGCATCACTAAAGGTCTGGACAGCAGTATCTGGCCGTGGGTTATCCGTCATACGTCCAGTGATCAGGGCACCTTCTGTCTTAGAATAAAGAATCCCGTCAACGTAATCGAGGGAGGAATCAAGGGTCATTTCTTGGATTTGTTCGACCGCCTGGGCAACACTGAAAACGGGATGGTAGGTCACCTCAACGTACTTAGTTGCTCGCCTCAGATTAAGCTCAAGTAATGTTGTGATTCCAAGAGTGCCCAATGCTCCAGCTGCTCCATTGAATAAATCTGGCATGTCCTTCTCTGAGCATTTGACCACGCTGCCATCGGCCAGCACCATTTCGACGAAATTTATGGTGCGGTCGAAAAATCCGTGCTTGAAGGAACTGCTTTCACCAGCGGTTCCTGCGTAGCCTCCGCCAGCTGTGATGCCCGGAAATTCCATGACGACAGGTGGTATCAAGCCATATTTCAACGTCGCTTCCACCAGCCGGTCCATGGGCACATTGGGTTCTACCAACGCTGTGCAATTAGCCACGTCAACACTAAGCACACGGTCGAGCCTGCTGGTATCGACCACATTCTTCTGATGCTGCGACCGTGGACGAGTGCTATTTGTGGAGCCATGAAAGATGCGAAATTTCTCTTTACGGTCGAAGAACGATCTGACTGTGGTCGAAATATTCTGAACGCTCTCTTGGTGCCTGTCTAGAACGGGGTCTCGTGTCGAATGGGTAACGTGCCGACGAGGACTTATATTGGGAGAGCAGGTGGGCTTGATATGGTCACGCAAGAGACGCGGTTGCTGTTGCAGTGACCGCCGTGTATAGTACAGGAGGCAAATAGCCAGCCGTGTCATGTATAGAGCTTCAACCCGGATGCTGGCTTAAGAATCCTAACTGCACGTTTCTCTTGAATAGACTGCGAGCTGCGCAAGTAATTAACCCGGGAGAGTTTTGGACGACAAGACTGCGGCGCGTGTGAGCAGACGGGCGCGTCGTCCTTGTGCCAGGAGAGCACATTGCCAAGGCTCTAACATGCAAGTGTCGTCGGCATACCTACCTTGACCATTTGGACGGTAAGCAGGCCTGGATAATTGTTTCTCCTTTTGAAGTTCCGGTTAAAGCTGTAGCTACCGGGTGCCAGTTAAAGGGCCTCACTCCGAGCCAGTTTCAAGGATGAACCCTTCGTTGGCAAATGAACCCTTTGAGCACAGTTTCAGCCCTCACTCACTTGGCACACTATCTCTTACCAAGGCAAATGTGACTTTATGATTACAGCAACCTACCAGAGACTCAATTAAGGATTCAATGATCAAGGAGTCTAGTAGCCTAAGAATGGAGACGTCGGATATTCTGTCGCACGAATGGCTGTCGTGCGGACTTCAGGCATCCAATTGATCAGAACTACGAGCAATAATGGCCAGTCTCCTCCAGGTCAGTCTCGTTACTCAGGACATGGAGGAAGCAACTCCTTCATCGGTAGCGGATTACGAGTACCACTTCCAAGGTGACAGGTTCATCTCCAAGCAGGAGTTTGGAAATTGACTGAAAACTTTTGTCGGCTTGGCAGCAGCTATCCAAGTGCTTGAAACAATCTTGCATGGTCTGTATTTGGTATAAGCAATCGCCAAATCCTTCACATCTCTGTCCGCAAGTGAGAACCGGCTATTCTACGAGCCGACGGTGCAGTGGTTTCTTTCCACCAACTGATTCAACTTGCTACTTAGCAGCAGATCACCGGTTATGGACCCCTTTGCGAAGTCAACCTTGCCGGGCCTCAATACTGCCTTTTCAGCACCTAGGTATGTTTCGGTGCGGTGGCAATCTCCTGGGTTACAATTCCAAAGGATCATGAATGCTTGAGAAAAGCTCAGCACCATCCACAGTCCAACTGTTTGCGATGTACGGAACGAACTTGACCTCTGCTCAGTGCCAGCAATGAGTCCGATGGAGAGCAGAGCCACCTCGACCTTGAGCGGCATCTTCATGAAGCTATGCTCGGTACTCGGCCGACACTAGAAATGCCGCGTGTAATTCCAGGTCGCGCCAACCCAACACAAATTCAGATACTCTGTGCTCCGTTTTGAAAGTCACTTGGTCCTCAGCGTATCAGATTAGGTTCCAGCTGGTTCCTGATGAGTGTGGGAACAACGCTTGCTATAATGCGAATCGGGATGCAATGTTGGCTTGTAAATACACAGGACGGCGAGTGGAGCGCTAGGTGTCCGCCAAGAATGAGGCATTTACCCCGTACGGAGTCCCTTTAGCAGAGCCGACACCCAATCTACTGTGGTGACGTCTCTGGTAGGACGCGAGACAGAGCGAGACAGTGAGAGCCAGTGGATATGCATACTATGCTTGCGCATGATACATTTCGGAGTATCTGTATGGCCTTGCCGCTATCTCCTTGTTTCTCTCCGAGGCTTATCAGCCAGGTCAGTGGGGCTGGCGATGCACATGCGCATGCACTCACTCGACGGCACTCGCACGTCAAACTTGGGAGATGTATCATCTGGTCAGCAATACTATAGTATTGATATTTCCTGCCTTTCTCTATCTCATATGGCCAGTTTCCTCTTCCTCATAGGTAATCGTACATCGTAATTTATATCGCAAATTGCATGATGGGCTCAACGCCATGGAGACAAGCAGTTCAAGAACAGTGCAGCTCTACACAGGGGAGGCGAATCGCTCAAAGCACGATACGAAAAAGGGCTTAAACTGTCCAAAAACCATGAACCACAAAAATTTGTTATGAGGCTGAAAAAGAATGATCAACTCAATCACTCAAAATAAATCCAAAACCCGAATGCTCCCTGATATCTGTATTGATGGGTTAGAACTCCAACGCTTTGGAACTGGCTCGACATTTTTGCCTCTCAACATGGCTTCGTACAAAGCGCGGGGGACGCTGGCCTCGTAGTAGTGATACTTTCCCACCCAAAATGGGCCCGCTTCTGTCCATACCCTCCGTTCATTCCGTACACACGTGTAATCTATAAGAAAAATTTGTCCTTGGTGCGAGTGCCTTATAGGTTGATATCGTGCAGCCAGACCTCCTGGGGCACCCGGTGAGAGAAACGCGAGGCGGCGAGGATCATGACCATCTGGTGTTCGCTGACGAGGAGCTCCTGCTTGGGGATGAACCACCGCAGACCCTCTGAGCAGGGAGGGGTGGTGAGAGAGCCCTTGTAGGTCCAGAATTCGCTAAGGCCACCCACCTCATCGATGGCCATGCGCATGTTGACGTTCAGGCCTTCAAGTTGCGAGGTGTCGTTGAAATGGATCATGGGTCCAAGTTGTTTCACGAATGCAGACTCATGGCCAGATCCAGGAGGTGCGACGCCGATCCGGATACCAATGACTGCGGCTTCTTCGTCGTGCGCGTTGACATGGACGAAGTGGAACTCAGCCCGGCTCCGGTGGCCATCAACAAGATGCTCTGACGGAGCATGAATGTGCCACCCGATGTTAAACACCTCCTGGTCGTCAAATTTGAAGTGCGGGAGTCCCTCGACTTGGCCCTCGGGGTGATGAGGCGTCCATGCAGGTGCGAATTGCCAGTTGAAGAAATTCCCCGGAATGGCTTCGTTCTTGTACCCGCTGAAATCGGGAATGTGCAGAGTAGAAGGCGCCGCTCCAGGAAGATTTATGGGTGATTGATGTGTGCCTGACTGGCAGAGGGCATATTCTAGTAGTATCTGTTAGTTATGCTTACAACATCTCCAGGAGAGGGCGATGGCTAGGCTCGTGGCTTACCAGGTCGGATTGTGGCCCAGTCGGCGGAGTGATCGTAATTCCAATCCTTAGGTTCTCTGCCGTTGTCTACTCTGACTTGTCGTCGGCCAAGGTGAGGATGTGATTGATAGTTGTCATGCTTTGGGCAGCACCAGGCTGTCGAAAGGAACGCTGAGATGAGTAATATACAGGAGTGCATTGTGGATAACCAGAATTGAAATGCTGTGTAGATAAGTGATAGTATATATGGTTGGCTATAAGAAGTGAACGAATGTCCCAAAACGGCAAATTGACAATAGTACGGAGTATAGGAAAAGAGAAATACTGCTAAGATGTAAGGAAAAGGAGTGGTCTGATCATTTTCTCGATTCGAGGCTGGCATCATTGTCTTTATGTTTCCAGCGAGGGCTCAGCGACTCGCCTGTAAGAAGAGAGGAGCCCGGAGGTATCGACGCCCCACCGTCCATGGCGCGGAGGAGAGGTACGGAGGCGCTAGGTCATTAGTCGCTTGTTCGAGCGCTGTTGTTGTGCCTCAGCCATGAAACAAAACACCGAGATACACCTCGAACGGAGTCGCTAAACAATTCAACAGTAGTAGCGACCAGGCTTTGACAACAATAGAATGAGGCGTTAGCAAGGCCGGCAGCGCCTGACAATTACTGTGCGTTTTTATTTCTGGATGCACTGCCGGCCAAACATTTTTAGGGATGACATCTTGCGAATACCAAGTAAAAGCACCAGAGGATCTACTTCATCGGAGCATAGTCTCAACGGCGCTCCCTGCAGGACACTTGTTGGCATAGCCTTGACAAGAGGTATAAGCATGCCAACGCTCCAAAAAAGCACCTCAAGCCTGCTCGGCGCCAAGATATATCTGACAGCCAAGACCGACGGAGCGCCCCGCTGGACCCCAAGCGGTTTAGTCCGAGTCCAATTCCGGACATGCAGGGGGAGGGTTGGGGAGGGACGCTAGCGCCCGTTAGCAGAACATCTTCACTGCAGGAGGGAACTGAGGGTCTCCGAGAACTCCCAGTGATCCGCCAAGGCTCACCTAAATAGCTTGGCGGTAAGAAGTCCCAGGGCGCTCTGGATCCATGGCGGTGGTGTTCTAGGCTCCTGGAGTCCTGGCCCTTCCCAACTCTCCACCGAGTCTCACTCTGCCTCCAGCAGTTATAGGGCAATTGCCTGGGCAGGAAAGGGTGGGCGGGTAACACTTTGAAGTATCAAATGGAATTCTGGAGCTTCAAATCTTAATAACGGATCTTCCATGTTTCTCGCTTAGGGGGCAACAAGCTCAATGCCAATGAATCGAGTATCTCGTATCAAGGGCTTCGTCACAAATTTCACAATTTCACAAGTCACCTCCGTACGGAGAGTATTGTCGATCAATTGACAGTCTCGAATTGTAGGCTTAATTCGTGGCCTAGCGCGCCCGTAGAGATGAGCCAACTCGGAATTTCCCAGAAGCTGACCCTAGAGCTGCGGTGTGCGATTACGCCTAGACTACTGATTCTTGGTATCGGCTTAGGTATTCTGTACTCCGTACTAGGTACTGTAGTCCTTCAAATGCTCATTCTCTCATATTCTAAGCTTGAAAGCAAAGTTCACTTCTGTCAGCTGTGGCGTCGTTGTCAGAAGCGTCCTGCCAAGAATCAATAGGAATGTCCGCTCGCTATTATTACAGCAACGGCTGCCCATTCAGGTCCTGTTTGCGGAGGCCGCAGTGCTTGGTAGGATTGGGATCGTGCAGCATCCAAATTCTGTCGCTGCTCTAGCTGAGGTCATGGTCTGTCCTCGTCATCGCGTCTCTGAGATGGACTCGACTCTAGCTCCATGAAAATAGGCCACCATGACCAGCATGCGGTATCAATGCCGCAGGAAACATGTCGAGCAGAATTCTTATGCTGCTTACTGATGGCGTAGATGCTCAGCCACCATCAGACGACTCCTGTCGAAAACTCCACATATCGCCATATCTCTGAGGCCTGACCAATAGTCGCTACAGAGTATTTTGGGATGACTGATAATCCATGTGAGTAAAGAGATGTGAGCATTGGATCCACCATTGGGATCATGCATAGCAGCAGCCAAGAAGGATGGATATGCCACATAGGCGTCCACCACGAGAGTCGCCACGTCCCTTCTCCCTCCAGTTTCGGGAAGATCAGGACTCTGTTGACTTAGGCTTCCTGCTCATAATACCTCGGCATAATCAGAGCACTTCCAATATCGTTGACGGCCCGGACAGATGCAGGACAACTTGGACAAAATCAGCGAATCCCACCAGAAATATGCTAACAATCTTCGGAACCCGTTGCTAAATGCAGAACCGGTTCTCCGTCGCATGTACCAAGCCGCATACCGTCTATGGATGGTCTGTTGACCCCGCCCATATGTCTATGCGTGCGTGTCTGTCTGACTTAGTCAGGTCATGGACACCATTAGATGCTGGTAAACCACCTCAATCCAGAGGGTTTGAGCCGCACCCTCCGTGTCCGCAATTGCCGCCTGTTCTTGTGGTTCCATCGAACGCGAGGGAGAGACATTGCCGCAATTCAACGGAAGCAGGAACGAGATGGGATGTGCTAGATGTTGTTGAACGATGTCATTCTGCAACACATCTTCGGACTCTCTTTCAATCTTTATTGCCTTGGATGAATCCGACAGTTTGCCTCACCACAGCACCTTCCAGGGCATAGCGAGAACAGTTCCAGTGAAGATCCACCTCCGCCTTCACCGTGGGCAGTACATATACCTGGTAGCCGCCTTCCACCAATTTGAATGGGCAGACTTATTCACGAACTCTTAAGATGGAGCAATGGTTGTCCGAAATTTGTTCCCCGAACGTTCGGCATCAGCCAGACACAGTGTTCCTCTTCTCGCACTGGCCTGTCGTATTCGAAGACTTGTGCATCTCTCAAGCACGCCAAGAGGCGAGGCAAAGTGATGGCTCACCTACCTCGTCTAATATATCTCTTCTTTTGAGTATAAATTGGCCCAAGTGCCCAAAATTATAGGATGGATTTCGACTTGAAAGGCCCATGGGCATCGAGGCACCAACGCAATCTCGGTCCAAGTCTAATTCTTTCTGCACGGAAGCATTTGCCGAGTGTACGCGATACTCTTTGACCAATGACATGTCTCCGTGGCCGGTATCCCGTGCATGTTGTCGACGCGGACGGCTGGACCTAGCTACGCACCGCGTCGGGCGATGTTTGACCTGAGAACGATCACGTACATACATAAGGAAAGGGAAGGGGCTCACCGGCGGCTGTCGTGGCCAATCAGAGAAGACCATCGGTAATTGACGCACAGCCATAGCCAGACCCAGAAACAAGAGTCGAAAACCCCACGAAAACCCCATTTTCTGGGCGACATGTCTCAATTCATCTTGGTCGTCTCTTTGGTGGCTGTCTAAATCCTCGCAGGTGAAGAGTGCCCAAATACTCGCTCACTCTGGCTCCTGGCTTCCCCACGAACCTTCTTCTCCCCTCTCGGTGGTGTTTTCGCCGGAGAGCTGATGGTAGAGATACCGACGTAGACGGGAACAACCCCACGACATTCCAAAGTTTCTTAGGACCACTAGAATCATCGTTGATGTGATTCGACAAAATGTTGTAGTTTGCTCGGGATTTGTGCCGTATTGCCCGCGTGCCATGGGGCGGATATGGAACTCCAACTTTTCCCTTCGGATTCAACGTCCCATGTACACGAAGACGGACGTGTGCATGTACCAGTCTATTGCCCAGGCATTGAATAATTCCAATCAAGAGGTCACACCAAAATAAGTCTACGTTAGTGTTTGTGCGTATGTCAAAAGGCGCTTTTGCTGAGCTTTCAAGAAATCGAACCGTCCCCAAGTGAGACATTTGTTCATGCAACTTGACCGTGTTCTTCATTTCCATCCTCTCGGGACTCTTAGAAGAATAAAATCCTATAAAGGGAACTCTTTGGTGGTGTGCCTTTCCATAAGCTAGGACAAATTAAAAGGGTCGTCATCATGGCTTGTCAAAAGGAGCCCGCGGCATGTGGGTCGTGCCCCAGCGACGGACATCAGAACGGAGTTGGCGACATCGAGGACTACAAACTCGAGCTGGAGTCATTACGCAAACGAACACTGGAGCTTGAGCAGAAACTATCCGCCGTAGGACTGGGACATTCGTCGTCTAACGGCACCACGAAGACGAAAGCCAAACTGCGGTCGGAGCACTGGTTCAACGCAGACGACAACAAGGAGATGTGCGCACTGTACACGGATCGCTACCTCAACTATGGGCTCACGCACGAGGAGCTGAATTCGGGCAAGCCCATCATCGGCATTGCACAGTCCGGCTCAGACCTGGCGCCGTGCAATCGCTATCACCTGACACTTGCGAAGCGTGTGCGCGAGGGAATCCGGTCTTCTGGTGCCATCGCATTTGAATTCCCTACTCATCCGATCCAGGAAAGCTCAAGGAGGCCGACGGCCACGCTGGACCGGAATCTGGCGTATCTGGGCCTCGTTGAGCTGCTGCACGCTTACCCACTTGATGGCGTGGTTCTGTTGACGGGGTGTGACAAGACCACGCCGGCTTTCTTGATGGCGGCCGCCACTGTGGTAAGGGATCATGAGCGCCCTAACCCGGATTTATATCTACTTTTCCGCTAAGGTGAACCTCTCTAGAATATCCCTGCAATCTGTCTCAACGTTGGGCCGATGCTGAATGGACGCCTTGGCTCTGACGACAAGATCGGTTCAGGCACGGTCCTGTGGAAAGCTAGGGATTTGCATGCCGCTGGAGAAATAGACGATGAGACTCTCATGGCCATGATCTCTGCAGGGTATAGTGTGCTCTCTTCCTGATCCGATCTAGAAGAAATAACCTGACAAACCCTTATTTTCCCAGTACTCCTTCAGCCGGCCATTGTAATACAATGGGCACAGCGTCAACTATGAATGCTCTCGCGGAGGCTCTTGGTATGGCTCTTCCAGGTTCGGCCGCCATTCCCGCCCCTTATCGTGAACGCTTGCAGTGTGCATACAAGACAGGTCGACAGATCGTCGAAATGGTGCACTCAGACCGCAAGCCGAGCGATATCATGACTCGGGAGGCATTTGAGAACGCCATCATTGTCAATAGTGCTATTGGCGGAAGCACTAACGCCCCTATTCACCTAAACGCTGTAGCTAAGCATATCGGGGTCCCCCTTGACCTGAACGATTGGGATAACATTGGTTTCGATGTTCCCCTCCTGCTGAACGTCCAGCCTGCAGGCGAAATGCTGTGTGAAGAGTATTACAAAGCCGGCGGTCTACCCGCCATTATGGCCGAGCTCCTGGCCCAGAACAAATTGCACGCGGATATAGTCACTGCGAACGGTAAGACGGTTCGAGAGAATGTGGCTGGAAAGGAGTCGTGGGATAGACGAACGATCAAGGAGTATCAGGATCCCATGAAGACTTCTGCTGGATTTCTTCATATGACGGGTAACCTCTTCGATTCGGCCATCATGAAAACTTCGGTCGTATCAGATGACTTCCGGAAGGACTTCTTAGAGGATCCGAAGGACCCTAACGCCTTTGAGTGCAAGGCGGTTGTCTTTGACGGGCGTGAGGATTTCATCAACCGCATCGATGATCCCAAGACTGGCATTGACCGCAGGACTATCCTCGTTATCCGTGGAGTTGGACCTCTTGGGTGAGTGAGAGCCATTCAAAGAACTAGATTCTAGGACAGGGCTTCTAATCCCACCCACAATCTAATCGCCCATCATCATTTGGGGCAGGTATACTGATCATTTCCATATTCTTAGATATCCGGGTGCCGCCGAAGTCGTCAACATGCACGCTCCGGGCTACATCATCAAACAAGGAGTAACCTCTTTACCTTGCATAGGAGATGGTCGACAATCCGGAACATCTGGGTCACCCTCTATTCTGAACGCAAGTCCAGAAGCGGCTGCTGGCGGAAATTTAGCCATTCTCAGGGATGGTGATCTGCTAAGGGTTGACCTCAACAAGAGAACAGTGAACATACTCGTTGCCGATGAAGAGTTGAAGCAAAGGCGCGAGGAGCTCCAAGCCCAAGGCGGCTATGCTGTCCCTGAGAGCCAGACGCCATGGCAGGATATCTTTAGGAGAGAAGTTGGTCAACTGAACGAGGGAATGGTTCTGCAAAATGCTGTCAAGTTTCAGAGAGTTGCACAACGGTGGCCAGCGCCGAAGCACAATCACTAGAGCATTAGATATGACAGGTTCATAGCTGGCTTCCTGCTCTGTAATCCAAGAACCCAGTTATACCAGCACTAGAGAGCTTCCACACCTTTTCCGTTTCACCAATTGATCCAGACGGCATCTGGGAGCACACTTCTCATGACTCGCCAATGCCCAATCGCACTCTTCGCTTGCCATTTTTCCAATTCCTTTGTCTTTCCTCTCCTGAGGATATCGACTTTCGTCTCAAATGCCGAAGATGGTATTTCGTGTTTTGGCAGCAGGTACTCACGCCGGAATCGACTACCAAGGAAATCCGCTTCGACCGGTTTTCGAAACGTAACAGGAATATCCGTCTTCCGGCAGAAAAATACCATGTTCGTGAAGTCGTCCGGTTGGGTATTCGGCTCGGCCGCCTCTTCTTCTCGGAAGACTCGGCACGAAGGAAACACCGATGTGATTGTTCGATAGATAATAGATGCGGAAGGCATTGCAAGGTCGCCAGCATAATTTATTGCGATGACTCCATCAGCTTTAAGAAGCAGGTGAAGGCCCGAGAGGAACTCATTAGTAAAGAGTTCGGCGGGCTCGGCACCACCTGTGAAAACATCGTGAATTATATAATCGTATGATTCGGCCTCAGAAGTGCTTGGGCTGGTCTGGGCGTTGGCAACAGAGCTATCAACCGCGGCAACGGCGTCCCCAATGTAATAGCTATGATTGTGTGGCAGGTCGAAGTACTTGACAGCAAACTCGTGCACCACAGGATCGATCTCCAATATAGTAGTATTTATACCGTGAGCAATCATGGCTGACGGGGCGGTGCCAATACCTAGGCCAATGTTCAATGCTGTTTTCTCCAGAGTGGACGATGCAGGTTGAACGAGACGCACAGCTTCCAGCATAGTGAAGATACTGTAGATCGGATCACCAACCTTCTTTGCGGCTCCCTCAACTACCGGTACTTTCCATTCTCCACCCAGCAAGCTATGGTCGCACCTCATAGCCCGAAAACCCTTCTGATTATCTTCCAGGACAGAAATGTAGCCTGTAATTGACTCTTTGCGATCCAATAATGTGTAGTCATAAAGCGCTAGGGTGTTGTTCAGTACGTCTGTGGTCTTTGTAAGGGTGCAATGCGGGTTTGCAACCATGGTGATGATGACGGAGGGAAAAGCTGGCCAAACGAGGCTTTTGGGAATGACCATGGCATAAAATATGCCGACAATCAGTTGCAACCCAATCCGAGATCTGAGAAAGCCTGGCCCACTGAACGAATTGATGGTGCTCTTGGCAGCTCTCTGAAGCAATGCAAAGAGTACAAATAAGCCCATGGCAGGAACAGTATCATTCAGCAAGTTCTCAGTGCCAACGTAGAGGGGGTTATCGAAGAATCCAATCGCAGTGCAAATCGAAGTGATGACGAGCGGATAGCATGTCAGAAGCTCGGTTACCAGGGGACCATAGGGATTTCCAAGTGACGAGCTTAGTTGGAACAGCACAAATTGAATGCTGGGGATCCAAAACGAGAATGTCGCGATCCATCGACTTAATCCTTTTGGAAGATACCCTCGAATTACAACGGCAATCAGAAACGATACGGTGAGCCCATATCGATGGTAGACCCCTGCAGGTATGGCCCCATAAACTGGTGACAGGTTGAGTTGAGAGAGCGAGGCTGATAATGCTGCAAGGAGAATCAGTTGAAGTCCTCGCTGGACCCGAAAGTCTAGCAGCTTCGAAGGGATGGACAACGGTGGCTTGGAGCTGGCAGTGACGCCTATCTCGTCGGATGAAGCTCCAGCCTGTCGAGACGGCTCCGTAGATGACCTGGCTTGCTTTGCAGCAGCAGTAGATTTATTTGATTTTTTCGCCATTGGAATAGGTGGCCACTTCTGTGCGAATGAATGGCGGGATGTTCGTGCTAGCAAAGGGGCTACCACAATAGCTTGACAAGGTGCAACACAACACGATGGTCTCCCAGCTCCAACTTGATGTGTGGAGATTCACCAACGTTGAACGAGCAATGTATGTATTGGAATCGAAAACCCCATCCAGAAGGCCCAAAAGCCAAGGTAATTCCAGATGCCGTAGCGATGCACGTGGTAAGAATACGTTGTTGACATTTGTCTTGACTCTTCTCGACTTTCAAGATCAGATTCGGCCTAAGTTTGAATGTCTTTCTGGGAATTTTGAAACAGCCTAGCAACAGCCACAACGTTTTAAAAGTACGCCTACCATTACACCTCGCGAGTCGCGACTCAAAAGGCGTTCTGTAAACAAAATGAACTCAACATATTAATACTCACTACCCTCGCCAGCTGCGTGTTCCAATCGCTAACTTTCCAAATATCATGCAAGGTACATAATTTAATCCCAGCTAGGATTTATCCACTTGATGGATATCACACACACAGGCAGAGACCCCTCCCACAAGAATCGCAAAACCAGAGTAATAATAAGCAGCAGTGAGAATCACCACGGCCAACGGAGCATTGTAACCATCCAGACACCACCACCGTCACCATTCCCGAGATTTTATCGACGTTGACTGTCATCATCTCGTCGTTTAGGTCGTTCACTCATGTCCCAATGCTCCAGCCCCAAGAAATCCCACATAAATATAGGTCACGGTGTTAAGTCCTCATTCCACTCAACGTTTGACATTAAGTGATTCAGTGGTTGACTGGAGATCATACAGTGACCCCCAGTCCGATTGGCGCATCAACTGGATCGCTGCTGAGAAGCCAGTCTCTCTTGTTGAATTTCTTGGCCTCTTTCTCAGCCTCAATGTCTATATCGAGCCCGAGATCGATTCCACTATCATCATTGGGATTTCCACCAGGCTGTCGTTTGACGGGACTGCTCAGGCCAGTATGAAAGCTCGGCAAGTCTAAAGGGCCACCGCGACTTAATTCATCTAGTTCTGCATCAGTCTCATCGCCGTCTACCTCATTCGTCAATGGTTGTTCGGGTCGATTGTTCGGCAGGACAGGTGAGCTTTTCGCAATTGTGCGAAATCTCTTCGCGGGTGGAAAATCGAGCTCTGCAGTCTCAATCACCTGTTCTGCATCATCCTTCTGGGGTCTCTTTCGTTTCGTGCCATGAGGTGGTTCAGCTCGGGTGGTCACTTCCTTGGCTTTACCTCGTTCTTTGTCATCCGCAGCGTTCTGACATCTTTCATCCATAAGCAATCCTTCCATCTCAGCCATCCAGTTCAGCATCTGCGTGGTAAATGACTCCACAAACCACCAAGATTGATAGCTGTGTGCACCAGCTTGTCCCATCTGCATCATGACACTCCTCCATAATCGTGTGTGCCAATCGACCATGCACTGAGGATGATGGGCTGTGAAGATCTGCGGTAGCTGCTCTAACCATTTGATCCATCCCTCCAGCATTGGAATGGGATCTTCATCATTTTCGGGTGGTAGAATCCCCGCTCCATAATCAGATTGCTCATTGATAAAGTTGGCATATGCACTCGTTGGGTCCTCCTCAGCGGCACGTACCAGTTCGCCATCAAGGGGTGCGATCAAGGGTCGCATATCGTCCTTCAACATGGCTTGCATTCTCTTTAGACTCTCAGGTGGAGGCATACTTTCTTCCACCAATCGATCCGGATCGACCATGGCCATCAAATCTAGCCACATTTGAGTTCTCTGCTGTGCATCTTCTAACATGCGGCTCAGCTGTAACGTAGCAGCATTGGCACCCTTGAGCTTTTTCAACAAGTGTGCAAATCTGGCCGCAGGAACCGCCTTGGCAACGACCACATGAACAGGGCACTTTTCTTCAAAGGCTGATATCAGATGGGTGACCAGCTTCGTGCCGATCCGTTCAAATACATTCCAAACCACTTCTGGGACATTCTGAACAGCCAACGGGGCAATAAATCGCACAATTTGTTTGTACATTCGCATGTCACATTCTTGAATCCACGGTGCAAGGCACTCCATGGAGAACAATTTGGAGACAGGCACCGTCATTTTGCCGTTGAATGCCGAGTGATGGTTGAAGAATGGTTTTTCCTTACATTTCCTGAATGCATCGATCACATCGATACAGTAGGAACGATACAGATGAAATAATGCCTCCGCTATAGTATGGTCATAGCTTGTTTGACTGAGATAGATATGAATATCTGGCAGTTCGATTAGGCTATCCTGAGATGAAGTTGATAGCTGCGAAAGGGAATTGGTAGTAGGCATTGCTAGATAAGTTGCCAAAGAGGCGGGGAGATTGGGTCGGAGGGATGGGAGTGCAGCGACAATGTTTGCATGCATTGTCTTGACCGGGAATCTGATTGTGGGAGTATTGACATGCTTGCAATCGAGTTTCTCTGTTGTAATATTTATCGCCTCTGGTTCCAGAGGCTGATCGGTCTCAATCTCCTTGGGTAAGAATGCAGAACTAGGAGCTGGGAAATCGGCTGTCTCCATTGTGGCTCGCGACATTGGTCGCTCAATTGGTGGCGACACGTGGGCACGGAAGACTTTGGGTGCCTCAGTGGTAGATTCGGTTCTGTCGTGTTGACTTCCGTTGGCGGTTCCAGGTCTCTCGTACGGAGCAGGAACATATTGGCGATCCTCATCATCTTGGATGAGAGATAAATCGACGTAGTGGTACTTGGATTCGCCTCGAACACCAAGCCTTCTGGTCTGAACATTCGGAAAGATGATTCGAACAAGCTTTCCAAAGGAGGCAGGGTTGAGAGTCGGGACCCGTTCATTACCACAACGCTCTGTGTAGCGAGTGAAGACACGATCACGGCGGACGGAATTTGTGGATCTCTCGCAGTTCTCTTGGAGCCTTGTGGACTGTTAGCTCGGCCATAAAATTATATGTGAAGTACACACCATAGCATTGCAAAGACTTGTTTGGCCTTTTCAGACTTGCCGCCGGAACCTTCGTTTTTCTGGACGTCAGCCGCTACTTCTTTCAAGGATTTCCCTTGATGTTGAGCTAGAAGTCTTCGGAGTTCTTGATCGTTGGCAACACTTGAAGCAGTGCCTTTTCGTCTTTTCGCTCCTCCATTTTCCGTATTTGAATCTTCTGGAGCAGGAGAACCCTCGAACTGTTCCGAGTGATGACGCATGTGATGTATATGAGGTGGAGGTACAGCATATTGCGGCATGCCGTGAGGGTATTGTACGGGAAAGTGTTGTATATCATGAAAGCCTTGTTGGGAGACGGGTCGCATATCATGCGGTTGTGGCATACCAGCTGCTTGATTCATTGTTTGTTGTTGTTGCATTTGTGCAGCAATGTTATGTTGATAATGAAGTAGCATCTCCTCTGGATTCGGCCCATACATTGCAGGAGGAGGATGGTGACCATGTTGTAGATAGAAGCCGTGTTGATCGAGCGGCATCGTAGAGTCGTCAGATGGCTGTTGGGGTTGGGGTTGTTGGCGCACCTTTGGCTGAAATGCGCTCGCAGAAGCGACGGTAGTTGAACTTGTCGTTGAAGCACGAGACTTTGGACGATTATTTTCTTTATGTGGCATTGAATTGTTTGTATGGGGTTCATTTGAAGGTTCCGGAGCTACCTCCATCTTGTCAGAAGGTGTTTGCGCCATTGATGAACTGTGCGTGAGTTAGTCTGCTGTCAAGTACCACAACAAACAACTCCAACAAGTTGGTAGCAGTCCAAGCTCAGTGAATCGCGGAAATGAGCACTCTCTGAGTTCCGGTATAGAGTGATGACCTCTGGCCTGCCTGGGGGATATTGTTATCCACGCCTTGCCATTGAAGGAATGAATCGGAAAGGGTGGGCGCTGTTGGGGTGGCGCCGACGTGTTGCCAAATTGATGTGTTGTGGGAGGGTATAGTGTCGACGAGGTAGCGGAATTTCGAGGACGCAAATATCGAGTCTCGGTGGTGGTTTTGGAAATGTGTCTGAACCTCAGTACGAGTACTTCACGCGACGTCCGGTGGCTTTTGGGTCGATCGAGTTTACAGACGATTATTACCCGAGTGTTGTTCGATCACCCAGACAACAACTCAGATGCCAAGCTTCGTGTTCCTGGCGAATGAGATAATGACGGGGAGAGTATATTTCACATAACATATTCGCATACCAAGACTTGCGTCTTTCCAAGTACAGACTAGCGTGTCTTTTATACACGATGAGAAGGATGCGCTAGCAGGACGCCAGTCCTAACAAGGGTAGAAGATTATCTTGGCAGACGAGTCCTTGCGTGAAATAATCTTTCGAAATGATGACCAGTCTGACAGGGTATCCCCTATGAACAGTGTGCTGCATCAGCGGTATGTGGTGTCTGACTCGACAATTCATTCTTTCCGGCAACAACATCACGTGAATATTGTCGACGTCATCGCCAACCACCCTCGATTGCCTTCACAGCAGCCTGCCAGGCCCATCGTGTTTCAGGAGGGGAGGGAGCATGCAGCTCCAAGCTGGTGGCCGAGTTACGAGGACCATTCCCAATCCTGATTAACTAGTACCAACTGGGTGAGCAATCAAGAGTCAAAGGAGTGGCCCAACAATCGCACAACTGGCACTGACGTTGAAACCAAACGTCACCTCCTTCCGTCTCGACCCTAACCACTTCCACCTTCCAATCTGTCCACATTTCATCCCACACTGTCATTGCCAACTTCCTCTGCACCAGACACTTTTCATCCACAATCGTAATCATCACGTTAACCATACCATAAATTAACCCCCAACGTACTATCAACTTCCCATCGATTTCAAAATGTCTTTCCAAGACCGAGCTCAACACCAGATCTCCCAGATCGATAAGGAAGTAAGTGTGCACATGTCATTTCAGGCTGCGAGAACGAGCTCAGAACCATTCCATCGACTCTGATTGCAGCTTTCATCCGATACTCGGTACTCGATCAAAATTGAAGCTAATCTTTTGCGCTGCAGCTATCCAAGTATCCTGCGCTTAACAATTTCGAGAAGCAGACAAATGTCCCCAAGGTCTACGTCTTCCTCGGCCTGGTCGGCCTCTACTTCTTCCTGATCTTCTTCAACATCGGGGGCGAATTTCTCGTGAATTTCGCTGGGTTCGTCATCCCCGGCTATTACTCAATGGAGGCTTTGTTCAGCACCAACAAGGTCGATGATACACAATGGTTGACAGTGCGTCTAATGGCCCCACATGAAGAACAAATGTATCATACGGATACTGACCTACACATAGTACTGGGTTGTTTACGCCTTCCTGAATGTATTTGAAAGCCTGGTCAACGCCGTCTACTGGTTCCGTATGTGCTTCTCCTGCTGTATGCTGATGGAACCGGTTACTGACCTCTCCACTAGCCTTCTACTACATCTTCAAGTTTGTCTTGATCTTGTGGATGGCTCTTCCTGTAACCAATGGAGCCCAAATTGTCTTCCGATCCTTCCTGCAGCCAATCTTCTCCCGCTTCTTCAGCAGCACCGGTAACGCTTCTGCCGATGTACGAGGCAAAGCGGATGCTGCTTTGAAAAGCCAGTAAGCGCTTGACACAAGAGTACAAGGACTTCATGCGGGAATTGAAAAACATTGCCAACTGTTGAGGTAAACGAACTCGCGGGTCCAACGTCAATAATGGGTTTAGCCATTACGAGGATGTCACGACATCATTAATGCCCTGACAATAAGGTGTGGAACCAAGTGCGGTTCCATACGGTACAAGGGGGACTGGGGTAATGACGAAAGCAGGTGTGGTGATGAGAAGTTGTGGATTTGCACCATAGACCAATCGATTTGTGGAATGACCAAGCTTAACGACACGATGGAAGGATTGAAGAATGGTTTTGAAGTATATTTTCTTTTGCAAGTAGAGACTTTGGTGGGCGTTACAGCCGGAGAGTACAGGTCTCTAATGGCGGCTTATACTCTGACAAGCAATGATATTGTGTATCAGCAGCATGAATCTGCTATAGTACTTTTCTACTTTAGTTCCAGCTTCCAAATCCTCGTTCCACGTTCTCTGTTTGTTTGGGGTTGACTGCAATCCTGTATGGGAAAGGGTTTTGATCACTGGTGGTAATGGGGGGAATATGGTCCCTGTCTCTATTCACAATGGCGACAATCTTCATAGCCGTCTTTTGTAAGGACGACTCCATGGCTCGCCGTACTTTGATGCGGTCTAATTTTAGCGGGAAGGTCTCAAGGGTCAGTGACACGATGGATGTATGGTTCGTGAGAGTAGGAAACGAGAATGAGATATCCGTTGTTCGTTTTTGCACCACTTACCTGCTTCACTACGTGGTCTGGCCACGACCACCTGCACACACCATTCTTCCCAACAGACCTCCTCGTCCGTTTGACCGCCTCCCAAGCGGCCGAGCCAGCCACCTGTGATGCCCGTCCGCCGTCTCTTGCGGTCGAAGAAGCGAACCACGATCTCGCCGCGAGAACCGCCAGGACCAGAGTTGGAGGAAGCAGGCGATGTCAACTGAGAGACGAGAAGCGCTGTGTGTGAATCAATGGCGGTGGAGATTTCTGGCGGATCCAGAATCGAGGGCAGGGGAATTGGTAAGGATTGCGCTGAGACAGATGATGCGTGTGAAGACGAGGCGGTTGGGGAGTAGAGGGTTGGGCGGATGGGTGGGAAGTATCGGTGAAAGAATATCGTGTGTAGTACTCCTGGCAGCAGGAAAGGTGGATGTTAACCCCTTGAAATTTGAGTCGTCATCGCAGAGGGGGCGCGAAGAGAGGGGCTTGGAGTATTGTTCCGGTTCTGAGCTCCTTACCTTTCACAATGTCTTTCACGAAGGTCTGGTCGGCGAACACTTCCAAGATGTATTCATGATGACCTGGATCCATGGTCTGAGGTGTGAGGAGGATATGGGAGGAGTGAGAAAGGCCCTGCGGCAGACGAGGGAGTTAGGGCGGATAAGAGGAAAAGGAGAGAAAATTGAGTATTCGAGGATGGAATGGATGGTCGGCGATGAGCAGCCAGCAGGTGGCGCCCTTGGTTGAGAAGTTGTTCAGATCATGACTCGTGAGGGATTGACTGCGCTGAGGCAGACGGTGGCAGCGACGAATTGTATATAGAATCCAGTGAAGCGCAGGACAGTCAGATTGAGTCGTGGTGGTCAAGGAGGTATACCTGATGGTGGGGTCGGGTTGATGAAGACGAATGCGGGCGGGTACGTACGAAGTACATCGTGGAACGCAACCCAATCCTATAACCCTCCACTGCCAGTCCCGCTGTTAGGAGTGCCGCTTGTGGTGCCTATCGCGCCTATTGCCGGTAGATTAGGTAACCCCTACGCCTGAAGAGCCCCTCGGAAGATCCCCTCAGTCCTTTACGACTACATCTGTGAATCGCCAAGAAACGCACTTTCTAGAGGCCCCAGCCATACTTTGGGCTTGGGGAAGGAAAGGGGCCGAGGGGGGCTTGACTTTTAGGGAAGCGATCACTGATGGCTGGGGATGGGCAAGGCCATACATAGCACCGCATGCTTGTCTGTGATCCCCGGCATGACTCCATGCTCCAACGAACCAACACACAGATACGGAGTACTACATACTCTTGTAACTTGACCCTGAACTTGACCTTGACCTCGAACTTGCTCCCACAGCCGAGGCACCATCCCATTCCCGAACATTTTGTTTAATGTCATCAGGTAATGCTCAAAGACAACGCTCCCCATCGCGTGTCTCTCGTCTCTCGTCTCTCGTCTCTCTATCTCTCTTTCGCCCTTCACCAACCTGCTCTCCGGCTCGTCGAGACCCTCCATTTGAGGTAGTCACAACCTAATCTACTCTCTGCGGTCATGTCCCTTACTGCAGACATTTCATCATAGAGCCCCAGCCAGCTCTCTCCAACCTACTAGTACTAGTATCATCATGATAACAGCCACACGACGCTGGCTTCGGCGGAATCGCAATGGAATCGCCATCGGTGCCGGTGTCGTTGGTGTCACCTATCTGGCTGGCCAGTATGTTCTTGGAAAGATCAAAGAAGCCCGAGAGCGCATGCAGATGGACAGAATAGCAAAAGAGAAGTATGTGACCCATTCAACTAGGACCTCGGTCGATGAGTCTGACCAGATCCGTCTTTTAGTATCCGGCGACGCTTTGAACAGAATCAAACCGATTGTACAATTACCGTCCTCGCACTATTGCCCACCCTAACCGAGAATGTTATTGAAGAATTGCCTGTCGAGCAATTGACCCAAGAATTACAGCAGAAGAAGACGGAAAGGTTGGCACGTGCTTCAGGCGAAGGGAGGTCAGAAGCCTCAAGTATGCATGATGGCGACACTGCAAGCCTGTCCAGCTTTCAGACAACCAGTTTCGCCCATGCCAGCCAACTCACCGGACAACATGACCAGCCTACACCCAGGAGGACAAAAGCACAACTCTGGACTGAAGTCAAGATTACCTCGATCACGAGAGCGTTTACCCTGATTTACAGCTTGTCTCTTCTGATCATCCTTACTCGCATTCAATTGAACCTACTTGGCCGTCTCAACTATTTATCTTCTGTCATATCTCTGGCCCAGCCTCCTCCCGGACGAGTCAACTCGATTTCTCTCGAAGATCATGATAATGGAGGTGCCGGCGCTGGTTTTGGAAATGATTTCGAAACCAATCGGAGATATTTGACCTTCTCATGGTATCTTTTGCACAGAGGGTACGCACAGATCATGGTTAAAGTGCGCACGGCAGTGGAAGATGTCTTTGCCACTATCTCGCCCAGCGAGGGCATTACCGCTGCAAGGCTGAGTGACTTGGTCCTCTCTGTGCGGAAGCATGTGGAAGGCAACACTGAGGAGCAGAGATATGCTATGAGGTGGCTGCCATACGTCTTACCACCTCGAGAAGAGGAAGAAGCTGTGCTGGTCGATTCCGGTGTCATCACTCCACCACCCTCGTCTCCAGGTCACTCTATCGGCGGTTTACCACCCCAAGGTGAGGGTTCTTATGTGGATACCTCAACTGGGCCGCTGCGCCAGTTACTCGACGAGACTGCTGATCTGATCGATTCTCCAACCTTCACCAGGATCCATTCACTACTTCTGGGGTCCATGTTTTCGCATCTTATTGACAGCCGTGTGATCGCTAAAGCCTATCCGGCTCAGCAACCGCAATCACCTCCGTCTACACTCTCTAGCGGACAACATCCTCGTATTCAAGAACTTGATTCAGCGGTGACGGTCGTTCCGGGAGAACCAAGAGTGAAACTGGCAAACCTTCTGGCCATCATCACCCGTCAAGCCCATGCCATCGGCAATGGAAATAACCTCCCCAATGAGTACGTCTCCACAGCCGAGGCCGAAGTACGGGAGCTGGAAGCATTTGCGGCTGTGATATACGCCAGTAACCTTGACCAGAACATCGAGGATCATCAATTACATTCGGGCGAAAGCTCCCTCAAGACATCGAGCGGCGTCGGTGTTAGTGATGTAGGCACCGAATCGGTCGACGAAATGATCGAGAGCAAGTTGGAGAGTGCATGGACGAAGGTATCAGCCTCAACAATATCCTCGAGATGATATCCTGCACGACCTGAGCTAGGCTCTACTGGTGGAGAAACGAATCCACACTCTGATCGTCTTAGGATACTTTTGGGCAAGCGCTTGGATGAATATTGATATGAACATGCGGCCCGTCATCTAGAGCCTCAGTTGATCTCATTTGATGTGTAGTAGATCTCCGTAAGTGTTGCTTCACGATATACAGAAGCGTAGAACGAGAAAGGTTGGGTGGGAGCCAAAGATGTCCTTTAATGAAGAAAAATACATTGTTGAACATTACCATTGAGATCCCTTTTTAACCTCTTCACTTTAACCGCTCTACTTCGTTCTACATGTGCCTTGGCCTTCCTCTTCTCGGAGCCAGGCAGCATAAGTGGTTTCACGCTACTCAATGCAATTGTTCATTCACTTCCGGTATGCGCATCGACGATAGAGATCAGACTTGTTTGTATGATCGAGCAGGAGCTGCTTGCCTGCCGGCCTGCCGGCCTGCTATGTTTCTGGAGATGAAGATGAACATCATCGTCTATAAATGCCGACCCCCCAACAAAGCCTCAACAGCGCAAGACCCCAGGCCATGGCGATACTATCCTTGACGACGTTTAACTTCGAACCGACGACCTCCCTCCAGCCGACGGGGACCTCGACGACGGGAATGCCGGCAAACTCGGCGAGCATGAGCATCTCGACATCGAAGATCCAGCCGTCCATGTGCATGTGCGGCACGATGTGCGGAAGGGTGGCGCGCGAGAACAGTTTGAAGCCGCACTGGGTGTCGCGGATGCGGGCCGTCGCCGGCGGCGTCATCAGCTTGAGCAACAGGTGGAACGAGTGCATGAGGAAGTTGCGCAGCTTGCTGCGCTGCACCACCGCGGCGCTGCCCACCAGGTGCGCGCGCGACCCGACCGCAACGGCGCGGCCCCGCTCGTCCTCTGCCTCCTGGCACGCCGACACCAGCTTGCCCAGGTCCGCGATGTCGCTGGCGCCGTCTGCGTCGGCGAACACCACGTATTGGCCGCGCGCGTGCCGCATCCCATGCGTCACCGCCCCGCCTTTACCGCGGTTCGGGGACAGCGAGACCATTCGTATCGAGCCCGGTGGGATCTTGACTGCCGTTTCGGAGCGGTGTGTCCACGGCCCCGAGGCGCGCCGGGGGTGTTTTGGGAGGATGTGCACGCGTGAGAACGTCTGCGCTGTCAGAAGTGTGTCGTCTGTCGAGCCGTCGTCGATCAGCAGGATTTCCCACCCTTTGGCTGCGCGGGATAGTGTGGACGAGGAGGGGGGTTTTGACGTCGCGTTGGAGGATCTGGTCGACGTCGTCGCGCCGTTCGCTTTCCGCCGTCTGGTCGTCTTCTTTGAATCAGATGGCGATGGGGACTCCTTCTCCTCTGCGATTTCAACTATAGCGCCCGCCGCCGCGTTGGTGGTTCCGTATGCGTTTTCCAGATAATTGACCGCCTCCTCCAGCATGCCCGTCAGCCGGTGTTCCTCGTTGTAGGCGGGCACGACGAGGGACATGAAGAGCTCCGCAGGCTCGATCTCGTTCTCGAGGTCGAAGTCCGTCTCCCTGTCGTCTTGTCCCGCCTGCTTCCTGGCCGCACTGTACCGTCGTACCAGGTCGTCGTACCAGCAGGGCAGAGGCTCTGTCTCGGTCACGTTGCCCGTTGCATCGACCGTCGTGAACATTTTCTCAGTCGGAAGTGGTTTTCGTGGGTCTGGGACGAAGAGTGTGATGAACAGCCAGACCTGCGCATTGTACGTCAGTCCGTAGTGCCAGAGGGGAAAACTTGCGATTGAAGCGAGGTATTGCATACGATGAAGACCAGCCCGAAGGCGCCCCAGACGAGCATGTAGGGAATTAGCCGCCATGTCAGGTCCTCGCCCTCCGCGAAAATTGAGGTCCAGTGGCCCCCCATGCGGATCGGGTCAGAGAGCGACATGGTGCCGTCCTCACAGGCCGGTCGACGGCCGCGAGGCGAAGAGGTAGGCGCGAGGATAAACCGATGATGTCCAGAACAGCAAGACGTGAGGAAAAAAGGCTCAAAGGTTGTGAGACGGGTCAAGCCATATATTTGTGTCAAAATTATTTAGACATAGGTAGGTAGGTAAGTCGTAAGCGGGTGGGGGGTTAAAATGGATAGTCGCCCATGCGACATCTGACCAGGGTTGTGAGAAAAGGGGACAGATGTCATCTGTTTGGATTTATGGATTTGGATTTATTTGTTTGACGAGCGAATTGACTTGCAAGGTGGGCTTAATTCTCCGAACAAAATTGTCCTGACTGGGTTTTAGTTGGATCTGGATAATGTCCCAGATAGGGAATATGTTGAGTGCCGAGTAGTCCGTACCATCCACCAGATGTGAACAACAATCCTCGCAGTCGAGTGGTTGTCGTCTTGCCTTCTCTCTACTGTTCCCTGTTCTTTCGGGATAGTGTCACGATGCTCCTTGGTTGACTACGTCCTTCCACTTCTTCGCGATCTCCATTCCCTGAGCCAGAGTTCCAACACGAGCATCAATTGCGTAGCCATCGTTCTCCAACTTCTCCAGCTCATTCCAGAAGTTGTCCAGGGGGATGGTGAAGCTCTCAATGTACTCGCCCTCTTCCATCTCGGGCCTGAGGTTCCCTTCTTGATTGCGGGGATCTGTCATGTCCACCTCGACAAAGATCATCTTGGTATTGGTATTGCAGAATCCGGGATCATTGAACATCACGAATCCTTCGGCCGCCTTCGCATCTTTTGGTATCGTCGCAATGTAGCCCGTTTCCTCCTTCAGTTCTCGTATCGCTGCTGTAGCTGGGTCTTCCCCCTCGTCTATCAGCCCGGAGGGGACTTCGATGGTGACTTTGTCGACAGGAGGGCGGAACTGCTTCTGAAGGAGTATTGATGGTCCCTTGGAGGAGTTGGGGTCGTGTAGAATGGCCACCACACCCACGGCATCAATCGTGCTGTTCTTGGGTCTCGTCTGGACGGGGGTCAGTACTGGTTCTACGGATTCATTGGCCTTGCTGTCTTGACCTGTCTCTCAGCCGACTCCCACGATCTTTCTTTACCAGAGGGATCCTTGTAGCAAATTTTCTTCAGTGTGATCCATCTAGCTTGATCAACGCTCTGAGTGTCTTTCAGTAATCAGTCATGTGCTTGAGTGACAGCGGATGTCTTCGGAGAAAAGGCTCACCATGGGTTCGATAGACGTGTTTTTGGCATCCCGCGGCGAGTACGTCGACATTTTGTCAGCCATTATTATTATGGGCGCTTGAATTCGTGGACCAAGTGCCCTGGAGGCTCGAGCAGAGTGGAAAAGCTGTAGAACGCGACGAGATGATCTGGCTCCTAGCATCGCATGGTGATTATGAGGTTGAGCATGCCAGTACTTCATGGTCAAATCCCCCTCGAGCGCAGGACCATGTCATTACATCGATGACGTACTACCGATGTTTAGCCGCGTTGCTTTCCCACTCCAACGGCACAAAGACAGGCTGTGATTGTGACAGTCCACTTCGTGGTGTTGCAATTCAAGTTCACGCCTGGAGCATTACCGTGTTCTACGAGTACTTTAGCGTCCGCCTGGGTCATACTAATATGCTATAAAGGAAGCTAGAATAAGGTAATAGCTAACCTGTGAAACAGGGTTGTTGTACACCGAGATAGACACCTGGCAAGCGCAATACTAACCGTGTTTGCCGGAGGTCGTCCATCTTAATTCATAGGTAATCTTCACAGGGTGCACACCTATATCCACTAGGAGTTTTCTATGTGCATACCTAAAGTACAAGTATGAGCCTTTTTGGCAGCCATACTGGGGACAAGACAGGTTATCAAAAGTTGATTCTCCCACGAGTCGACTTGCCCGCCGCGACCTCCAGCATCAAAGGGCCTCAACTCATCTCACCGGACCGTATTTCACCTCGTCTCACTATTCCAAAAGTCATCAGCTTGTTTTGCTTGCAGCTCCCCTGGCCTCTCAATCAATCAAAGACCATCCCATTCATCTGCCTTGAACTCCACACCCATCTTCTCCAAACCCACTGCAATATTTCCCAAAACCAGACCAACTTCCCCCGAGCCCTCAGCATATTTGCTCCTCACCAGCTTTAGATTCTTGCGGAATCTGTCTTGCCTGCGGTGGTAATCTTGTGCCTTAGCCCCAGACCGCTCAAGATGACTGCCATACGTGATGGCAATATGCATCTCGATCTCCTCCTTGGTCAAATCCTCTAGGAACCAAGTGGAGTTGTTGGCCAAACCGGCATTTCCAACCTCTTTCAGAACTTGCTGGTCAGAGTAGCTCAATTTCTGTGGAGGAGGCCATGGAATGACTCTCATCTTGAGTCGGTCTCGACGGCGTCGATGGTTGAGAGTGCCTGCACTGGGAATGGACTTGCCAGCGGGAGGATTTGCCAGCATCCGATCGATGAAATCTTGATGGCACAGAGTCGGGTCATAACGGCAGAGTGCCTCCATTTCCCACCCCTCGATATCTGTGCTGCACTTCATAGGCATGGTTCGAGAATATTTCAAAGCCTTGTCATGGCCATTGAGCATGACATACTCGTGAGAAATCTCAGGTCGGAAAGAAGCTGGTGGCTTCTTTGGTCGACCATTTTCTGCCTTGAATTCCCAAGGACCTTTCGGAAATAGGAGATAGAGAACACTGGGACGGCCATTTCTTCTCTCACCGGTCCATGCTACGTTCTCTGGATGCCTAATGGTCGCGTTTGGCCCTAGGACAAGCTGGGGCACGTTGCGAGCAGGAACCAAATTAGCGTCGTCCAATCTCACATACTTCTCGCCGTTAATGTGGACGACGACTGTATCATGTCGCAGTTTCATACGTGGGTCTGCTCCCACGATGCGAAGAAATCCTGGAAGTATTGGCATCACAGTCCGGGGTTGCTGTGCCACGGCTTCTCCCATGACATTTTCAGCCTCATCATCTCCAGGAATCGCAGCGCGGCGTGGATTTCTGGCTCTGGTCAACAGATATTCGGCACGATCTGGGTTCTGATGGTGTCGAGTAGCTCTTCGACTCGGTCTGCAAGCGGTAGGTGGTCGTTTCGACGGAATTTCAGAGCGTTTCGCAGAAGGAAGAATGGTATTTGCTTCGTCGTCTGACAAAGTCTCGTCGGAGTTGTATCCAATGCTCGGTGCTAAGATGATTTTAGTAAAAAAAGGGGCACATGCCGTTTGAAGACACAGGAAACTTACGAGTTTCCCTTGTGCAGTGATTGGCATTTGGTCCCGTGGTAGGTGTTTCGCTGGCTGGCTCGGCAGGCTCTGCAGGCTCGTGGGCTAGCCTTACGGATTCAAAAGTCGGCTCCTGCTTACTTCCGGAAGAATTCTGTGTGTCGTCAACGTCCATTGAGCCTTCTACATTTCCAGGCATGACCACTCCTATCACAAATGTCAGCAAGATCAGGGATTGAGACGGCGAGTTACGCTGTACTCGCCTGGCTCGATTAATTTGGTTCGCTCATACGACTCAGGATACTGCGCAATAGCTATGCGAATGCTTGGGAAACCAAAAAGCTCCTCTGGATGATTGACATGCATCGTTTGGTTCTGCAAGAATTGCTTGGAATAACCGTGCGGGTTGCTCGATACTGCGCGGCGATTGGTAGGTGCTGCCATCGTTTACTGATGTCTTTCCGGTTCTTCTCGCTCTGGAAGCCTGCTTTAATGCCTATGATGCTATGGTTCTTTTTGCGGTGGGCTGAGAAAGATACGCGTTGCGATATCGAGCAGGCTATTCTGCCAACTCTTGAAATCGTTGGTACAATATGTGATTGAGCTACTGCAGTGTACTCCTGCTGGTGGACTGATTTGATGCTCCAGCTTACTGGGCCGAGTCCACTGATACTGCTGTGTTCCACGAGGTTGAATTTCACAGAAGGCGCTGGCGAAGAGATGGCAGAGCGCGTGTGTGTCTCGTTGGTTAGTCTTCGTGTCGAGAATGTGTCCTTTCCCAACTCTATGGGTGCTGATTTTATTGTATCTTCCGTGAGTGATTGAGAATTTCCTGTAGCGCGAAGACAGATGGGGTCTCCGGTTTTTCGCTCTTTGACCGGTAATAAACGATATCTGTTGGCCTACTCAAGCCTTCCACGACAAGGAACTGCTTTGGGCCCTCACCAAATTGAGAAACCGTTTTGGATTTTAAATTCAAAGGAAATCTGGACGAAGTCTCGAAGGCTCATTCAAGAAATTGACTTCTTGGTATTGTGTCGAAGGCGATAAGGCGGTGGTGTAATAACAGAAGGAGTGGGCAAGAAAAGATAGTGGGATCCGCGGCCTGAAGAAGCAAGATATCAGGCTCTACTCTCATGAAAGTCTGAAGAAAAGATTTCAAGACCTGGAAAAAAAGGCTGTGCTATCCTCGGATATTTCAGAGGTTGTTCAAGGAAGAGTACCCATGGATTTCTTTCGAGGTTATAAAGGTAAGAGGCAGGTGATCGGGACTCATCCCATGCCTCCAGCCACGTCGCTGCTAAGTACAAGTATCACTTCTATTCACGATGAAGATATGACACGCTGCGTTGCTGTCGTTTGTCTTGACTTCTTAATCACTGGGGAGTGACGCGATCCAAGAAGAACACAGTCACCGAACACAACCCCTCCCTATTCACAGGCATGGCGTTCAGGAGGCTGAGGGAATGTCAAGGAGGGACACGAATCGTCACTGCTTTCCAGGGTCCAGACTGGGTTTGTGTGGTTGGAATTTCAACATAGGAGACTGAGAGACCGAAGATACAAAGGGCAAATTGTTTGGATACTAAGCGTGTCCTGACATGGATAACGGATTGACCTCTTTAGTCTACAGTCTACTACAATCTGTATGTCAGACAGAGTGGAGCACCACCAGAACTCAAACCTGCCTCGTACCTTCCAGCAACACCGGAAGCACTCAGACCAAGAAGCGAACAGATGAGCCGAAGATGCAAACATACTGTGAAAGGAAGCAAGATTGGGTGAAAGAAGCAAGACTCAGTTATTCTATGATTGTCCAGGCATGTGGCCGCAGGCGACCGTTCTGAAACACGTGACAAACGGACGAGGCTGCCGATTTTTAGGGGCTCGGCGGATCATTCAGGGCTCACGTGCGGGTCTGAGTGATCAGTCCTGGCTGGGACTTTGAATTCCCGCTTGAACTGCTCCAGCTTGAGAAGAGCTGTATTTGGTAGGCAAAGAAAGCCTCATCCTGGAGAATAGTGTTCTAGATGCGATGCTTGCGGCCGATCTCTGATCTCTATTGCTACGGGATGTCGCTCCCTCACACTGAGTCTCAAGCAGTGGCAGATTGATCTGTGTTGCTTGCGGCAGCATGTCAATAGCCTGAAGTTCCATGGCCGTTGTTGGTTGTAGTTTCGTCTGCAGTCGGTGAATCCTTGCTGGGTAGATAGTATGTACCACATAGAAATCATGTGCCTGGCCTGGTACCTAGCCCATAATATCAGAGGAAGAAGATCAGAAGGTAGCCGTGAGCACCATGAGATCGGTGAGAACAGCTGGAGGAAGACAACATCTAATCGTGTCGTGTTGCAGCAGGCAACAATGAGCCTGAGAGGGCGTGTCGTGCTGCTTGCAACTCCCCATCAGGTCATCCCGGTTGTTTGAATTGCCTCTGCCTCAATTCGCGTGCGGTCCGCTTTCACTTTTCCGGTTTTCCGGGGCCTCTCGAGGCCCTGGGAAGAAAAGACGGGACGTCGTAGGAGCTTTGCGTGCAGACTAATCAACCGTCACTGGATTTTTCTTCAGAAGAACGTGACGCCCTGATCCTCCACGATCCTGCCCGTCCAGAGTACGGCGGTGAACCCCGACAGTGACCTCTTTCTTCCAAACGAATCGGCGAAGCCATTCTTGCGTTCGAGCCGACCCTTGGGACTTTCGTCCGGCTCCGCAGAGGCACCCAGATCAGACCTGCCTTTTTGACGTTGAGGGAGGGCTTCAGAATTGAGATTGATCTGCTGCCGATGGCGGGCCATTGGAAGGAAAAGAGAAAACCGCGCGTCCGCCACAGAGATGCGCGACAATGGATGGGGTGCGAGAACACAGACTGGCCATTCCTTCGTTCCACAGCAGTGGGTCGTGCTAAGGTCAGAGCGGATTGACGAACAAGAACGACTAGAGTACACAGAGCCGCGTGATGGTGCTGTCGTGACATCGTACTTCATCCTCTGCGATTTCTTGTATCTGGGAGGGGTTTAGATGAGGCCTTGATGATCGTCCTGGGAGTGGATTTTGTGAGGACTGCTGTGCGAGGAAGCCCCCGAGCTCGGACATCATTATTTGGTCCCAGGGATTCTAAATATGGCTACTAGCCACAAGCTACAAGAAGCATGGACCACGGTACATATACTCGTATATGTTAGTTTGTGAGATCAAAGCGTGCGTTCTAGAGCAATTGTAACCTCGCAATGAGCTCCGAGTCCAGACTAAGTACTACTAGTGAGAAAGCGTGACAGACACAGGTTCCTTAGTGGTATTGGTTTTCAACACTCAATTGCCTATCAAAATGCATAATGAGTGGATACTCGGTTTTTACGTAGCAATTAAAAATTATGTGACGGCGAAAAGTGGCCTGGACGAATTGGCACCCTGTCAGACTGTCTCTGGTGCATTGGGACTTCACGTTCCGCACCACGATAGCTCGACGGTGGACTGCCACTGGGGAGCTCGTAGGAGTCTTGGTTCGAGACTGGGCCCGATTGATATCCATCTTGCTGGTATTGTTGGAATCCGGCTGATCCTCCCGAGAGATGGCGTTGGCGTGCTGCAGCAGCGCCGATCTGGTCATCTGGTAGCTGATGTATATTCCTCTGATCATCTGGGAGCTGGTGGATGTTTCGCTGACTTTCAGGTAGTTCGTTCAGATTGGCGAAATATCCGGGGGCAACATTCTGTAGATGATTATTGCCACCCTGATCATACTCACTCTGATCAGAAACCGACATATGTGACGAGCAATGCTGAGGTGGAGGGGATCCAGAATTCCAGGATCTGATTGCTGCGGCTCCCGGGAGAAGTCTGTCAGGGGAGCGAGGTGGAGGAGAGGCTGGGGGAGGTGAAGGCAGCTCTGATCTCCTGTCTGAGCGATCTGAGTAGGCCGCGGCTGCACCCATTCCACCTAGACCAGCAGCCGCAGCGCCACCAATGGGACCGCCGTATTCGGCCATACTAGGTGTGGCCGTGTAGCGATCACTGGTGTCGATGGAATCTCGTCTTCTCCTACGTCTCATATACCAGCTATACCAACCACCAAAGATAGCGGCAGCAAGGACAAGGATGCCAACACCGGCTCCAATTCCTGCTTTGGCCCCAGTTGAGAGGCCACCGCCACCGCCACCGGCATTTTGTTGTGCGGCAACAGTTGGTGTGGTACCCGGGGTGCTCGTCAATGTGATGGGAGCGACTATGGTGGTAACAGGCGTCGAAGCAAGGACCACTGAGGTCACCGTTGAATAGACTGGCACTCCATTTTCGGTACTTTGAAGAACCTCCGTAACAAAAGAGGTATGCGTTGAGTATGAGATAGAAGAGCTGCTAGTGACAATAACGACTGGTGTTTCGGTTGTGGTGGTGGTTTTCGTTTCCGGAGGCGGTGGTGGTTCTGACGATGTAGTTGGGGGAGGCGGGGGCGTGGTTGATGGCGTAGTGACTGGCGGCGCTGAACTTGTTATTGGGATTGAACTGGAATCGCTTGATTGTGGAGGGAGGGATGAAGATGTGGTAGTGCTGGATGACGAAGGTGGAGGGGGAGGGGGGGGAGGAGTTGTGGTAGTGGTTGTGGTAGTGGTTGTGGTTGTAGAAATAGTAGAGGTAGTATTGGGGGCTGCTGGGGAAGCATTCACAATCAGGAATGCATGGGCCGGCGACGAGGAGAATGGGAGCTATTTCTAGCATCAAGGGTAAAGAAGGGATGGATATCGATGGATACTCACTGGTCGTAGTGGTAGACGGCGGTGGAGGGGGCGTTGTAGTTGTTGAACTTGTAGAGGGAGGGGGGGGAGTGGTGGTAGTGGTAGTGGCTGTGGTGCAGTGGGAGGTATAAGCATGGGCTGTGAGGAGGGTTCACAGAGAGTAGGAAAGAGAAGGGTGGATTACTTGATGAGGTACTTTCTGACGTTGTACTTGAGGTGGTGGAGGAAGTAGTAGTGCTAGTGGAAGTAGAGGTGGATGTAGATGTGGAAGTGCTTGTGGAACTTGTGGTTGCTGCCACAGCTCACGAGTTATGACAATCATTCACAGCATTTGAGGGGAGGGGAGTGCGTTTGCTTGTAAGGCTGAAATGGACAGTGACAGGGAGGGCCCAGTGGCAAGAACTTACGAGGAGTGGTGGTAGAAGTTGACTCTGTGGTGACGGTAGGAGAGGTGGTAGTCGGTGGAGTGGTTGTGGTTGTACTTGGGGTTGTGCTGGCAGGAGTGGATGTCGTTGACGTTGAGGTGGTGGTCGTCGTCGTTGTCGAAGGGGTGGTCGTTTCGGTGGTTTCGGTGGTTTCGGTGGGGACTGTGGTTTCGGTGGTGACTGCATCTGGCAGCGAGCTGGTCTCGGAATCCGACATGGTCTAAGAAGCTGGCTGATGCAGCGCAGAGCGCGCAGAGCAGAGACTATGTGCGTCTTCTCAAGCTGACGGCCAACGGAGTCTACTACATCAGCAGCAGGGCAAGGCAGGAGAAGAAAAGAAGAGGCTGAGGCTGAACGAGTGGGCGGGATGGACGGTTCTTGAGCATTGTCTGAACCCGAGGAAAGGCATGGCAGCTGGCAGCTGGCAGCTGCTGCAACCTCCCAAGCTGGGCTAGCGATGAAGCATCCGTGGTCAAGCAGCCAGTGTCGGTGAGGTGTATCTGCATTCAGACAGCCCTGGCCCACGCTGACACTGCGGACTTCCCACAGCCCTACGGGAATCCAGGAAGAAGCGGGGTACCTTTCTGGCCTTTTTTTTCCAGCTTCTTGGAGGGCCGATGGGACGCTATTGGAGCACAGATGACACGGTATATTTGGGTTGGTGGTCCCCAAGTCCCAAGCCATTCCTGGACGGCGTTTGCCCGACAGGCGACTAGTTGCCGGCGCATATTGCGACTTTCGTAGGCTACGGATCACCCAAAGGTGGGAGTCGCTGGAAACCCAATGGGACGGCAGCGGGACAAGAGAGAACATAGAAAGCAACTCAAATGGCCAGTGGTAACAGCGGGACTGCGCCCGACTAGCACCTCATCTCGTCAACCTCAGACGGCCCAAGCTTGGAGGCGCAAAAGAAGGTTCAATACGAGTCTACCTGGACCAAGACTCGTGTTGAGTGCCAGCACATGTGACTCTGAGGCTACACTCAGTCCTCGGTTGGGTAGGCAGATTCCAAGGCTTAATGAAAAGTAGTCCCGCGGGCTGTGACAAACGAGTAGGAGAGGCTGCGGAAGATAATAGTGGGAGGAAGAGGAGTCATCTTCCCGGCGCGAGAGAGATAGAGCGGCACAGATACCAATAACGAGTATTACAGTAGATGCCGACGAGGGACCTGCCCTGATGATGCGATGGCGGGAAGTCCTGTGGCAGAGGGTCAGAGCCCGCCTGGCGTCTTCCACCAGGGATGGAATGATCCTCCCTGTAAAAAGAATACTACGATACATGTCAATAAGCGACGGTAACCCAAGCAAAGCCATGTCGGGTCCCCAAGGTTGGTTCTTTTGGCCCTCCATGCCTCGTACTGGGGGCCAGAAGTATGGCAGAAACAGGCAAGTGCAGTCTGTTCAAGTGCGCGCAATTAACAAGGACGATACGAGGTATACGAGGCACTCCGTAGGGCAGGCCCAGTACGAGCACGCTGAGGAGAAGGACGGGTCTGTTCGACAGACCGGTGTGCCTACTGAGACAGCTACGACCTTTCCTGCCTTTACTGCCTTGGGGTGGTGATAATTGATTGGCCACGCCTATCATGTGCTCACTGCTCAGGCTCACCTCTTCATAATTACTCGCCGTTCTGCCACGTATTCGGTAACTATCATTTATTCCCAGCAATGACTTTGGCAACGGGACACGTGCGGAGTCCGGCCCTGTATTTTCATTCCTAACTTGCCGAGCACCATGGCCATCAGGCTCAAGAGCACAGCAACTTACTCTAGTATATCCCATGGTGTCAAGCTTGCACTTATGAGCTTCTCTTGCTCACTACAAGGCGCGGAGTCCGGAGTACAGACCTGCAACGACCCATTCTTCCTCTCACTGAACCCACCGGCAATCCCCGTTGCACACTCACAAGTCCACTACTACCTAGCAATCCCTCCTCACGTGGCCAGCGCCTTGACTTCTCTCCCCTTCTCCCCTTCTCCCCGCCTATGAGGCCGCGCAACGTCATGTTGAGTCACAGACCAATGCATCGATTGTTTGGTCGACACGTTGCTCGAGATCCATATCTCGGCACGCAAATTTTGGGTGGATGCCATTCATGATTCAACATCATCTCAAAATTTGAATCCCAACCGTGAAACCTACCTGAGCTTGTACAGTGTAGCCTTTGATCTCAAAGTCTCGAAGGACCACTTTCAATTCTTTGCCCTTTTTGATTCTCCCCTCCTCTCCTCCCCCTTTTCGTTCCTAATTTCTTTGCCAGCTTGGAAAGAACGATCAATACAGCTTGACAATTGATGATGCCGGCCGCACAGGAAAACTCCATGGCGGGGACGCAACAACCGGTGGTGTGTGTATTGTAGGTCTGCCCAAATCAAATTTAAGCAATCTAGCAGCGAGAACGTACTGACAAATGCTCCTTGCTAGCTGTGGTTCGTCGCCCGGGAGCAACCCGGCACACCTGGAATCAGCACGCAGCCTAGCCAGAGCTCTCCACGAAGCGGATTACAAGCTTGTATATGGAGGAGGGACCATGGGGGTCATGGGAGAACTCGCCAAGACAATTGTCTCTTTATCTGGTCCTGAGTCCGTCCAAGGCATCATCCCACGCGCTTTGATACGCTCGGAAAAGGATGTCACGAGCCGGAGCGCAACCAGTCAATTCTCGGCAAAGGAAGCTGAGCGCACCATGTCCGACGATGAATTGAAGAGGATCGATAGCAGTGAAGACCCCGACGCCTGGATTGTCCCCAAATCCGAATTCGGCGGTACGACCATTGTCCCAGATATGCACACTCGCAAACGATTGATGGCCCACTCCGTCGAGGCTGGAGGTCCAGGATCCGGCTTTGTTGCGTTGGCAGGAGGTTACGGCACAATGGAAGAAGTCTTGGAAATGGTCACGTGGAACCAGCTGGGTATTCATAAGATCCCTATCATTGTGGTCAACATCAATGGTTATTGGGACGGCCTGCTAGATTTGGTCAAGAACAGCGTCAGAGAGGGATTCATCAGTCCAGGCCAGGCCAACATCTTGGTAGAGGTAAAGCGCACAGATCAAGTGATCGAGGCATTGCACAAGTATCAGGTGGCCGAGGGGAGATATCAGCTGGACTGGAACCGGATAGAACCATAAATGGCGTAGAAAAATAGTGAATGGCCACAGCTATCGACGCAGGTGGTGGTGCAAATGCTCCTTTTTTCCTGCTTTCTTCCTTTACTTTCCACTGTACCAGCCCTTTCGCTCCAAACGCCATGCCCCAGGATGCAGTCACCTCAAGTTGTCTAAGAGTCTGTCTCCATGGCATCCCCTCCAGATTGTTCAGCCGAGGTCTCAACATTGGCATCCAGCAGCGGGCCAATATCCGGACCATCATACAGCTTGAAGTTCTCCAGCTTCTTCTTGCCGTTCTTCTCTGAGAGTCCTATGATAGCTAAACTTGTGTTGTCGATCGTCAACTCCTTGTCTTGCGCCAAGCTTTCCTTGAGTGCTTGCAAAGCGTGTCTGATCAGCTCTTCCCGATCGCAATCTGCAAACTTGTCCAGGTGTCGCTCAAGGTATGTCCGGGCCATCTGACTTCGAGCACCAATGGCGCAGGCTAGCATTTCCTGTGTCAGGCCAGAAGGTGAGAACTCAAACAGGTGAGGGCCAAGTTCATCGACACCGGCGACCAGTAGTCCCACCCCGTAAGGTCTCTTGCCGTAATGTTGTGTGTTGGTCTGCGCTCGGTCGCCAATCTGATTGACAATTCGTTCGACGGGGATGGGGCGTCCGTAGGTCATTTTGGATGAGAGCGACTGTTGCTTCATGAAGTTGGACAATACACGGGCATCAGAGGCAAGACCAGCTAGTGCGACTCCAAGATGGTCGTCCACGCCGACGATCTTCTTCTGGTAGGATGACAGTTCTTCGGCATTTCTCTGATCGCGAAAATGAGCCATCTGGTGAATTGCAAGGACGGGGATTTGCTTACCTTGACAGCAGTGAGGACGACGTGCTTTTTGCTCACGACGCCAACTACTACCGAGCCCTGCTTGACGGCCTCTTGAGCATATTCCACCTGAAATATTCGACCCTGAGGTGAACTGAAGTTTGTCAGTTCGGGAAGTTATGGAGCATTGTACTTTGGACAAGCCTTACAAGGTAACTGAGTCGTTGTCGTAATTGTTCCTAAACATCTTGTGAGAGAGATGTGAGCGAGGTCCGAAGGGGAAGAAAAGAGGTAGGACAAAGGGTTGTGGTGGTGATGTTGAAGGGCTGCAAGCTGGTTTGTATTTGTTCAATCTGGGTGAATTCAGGCAATGAGGTTGACGCGCAGTCCAAGTGCAGTTACTCTGACTTGCTGAACCTGCAGGTCCCGACGTAGCAGCCCTGCTTAGGTACTCTCAGGTCACGTTCTGCTTGGGCGTTAGGCTCCCTATAGTAGTGAAGGCTACAGCTAACAGCTCATGCTTACATAGGCCGAGAGGGTGGCGCTTGACTCCAAAAGCCTCCAACTATGGTGGTCTCCCCCAGCCACACCACCTCATCCGTCGTCACATCGCAATTCGGCGACTCTTGTACAGCCAATTCATTCTTTTCCTTCTGACCAAGTCGACTGTTCAGGCTACTTGTTTTGTTTCTATTCAAGAAGCGCTCTAGCCCTCTAAGATTATCCTTTCACCACCTTCATATCCCTTCCAAGTCTGTCCCTCAAGCTCGTACCTGCGTCCTCAATATAAGGCAGGCATGGCCGCAGGATTGAAAACCATCATTGCTCTCTCTTTTGTAAGGAGTGCCGAAGAAATTTGAGCACACAGTGCCACAGTGTTAACCTCCTTGCTAGGTCCTAGCCATTGGCTTCCTCCTTGTCATCCTCTCCGCTGCGCTATTCCACAACTTCCTTACCCTCCTTGTGGTCGCAACCTATGTCTTAGCACCAGCACCGAACTGGATAGCATCCAGATGCGCAAATCCCGATGACTTCATCGAGAGCAACTCAAGTGCATGGATCGATCTAGGCCGGTTTGTTACCGGATTTTTGGTTGTTATGGGCATTGGTAAGATCCTGATTACGCCGACGAAGATGGGAGACTGAACATATTTCTCTTAGCTCTGCCCGTACTTCTTGCCCATACTGGACTCATTCAAGTCGAAGCCATGGCTATGTCTATCGTCGGAGGCCTGCTGATATATGGTACCATCATCAGCTTCAGTCGATTCTTTAAGGAAGAACAGGACTTTTGATCTTTCGCGCGGGAGCTGTATATTAATTGTATGCACCGTGAGCTGGCTCTTCCGGCGTGGTATGGAGCGGATGACAACCGGGTGGATCATGGCATATTTTGTTTTATAATAGGAGCACAATTTGGATTTCCATCAGGATACAGCGCCCTCAAGTCTGACCGGCATCGCTAAAGTCCTGCCACACAAAGGCAAAGGCCTCGTGGGAGGCCCCTGGGTCGGATCTATCGACGAGTGAATGGCTTGATATTAGGATGAAGTTATTTTCTATATCCAATGCTTGTGCTCGTCCATGGCGTACTATTTGTGAGGAGCTCATTGAGTACGTTGGAAGTCCAGGCATAGCCCCAATAATAGCACCCAGAGCAAGGCTGTAGCGTGTAGCACCGAGGACATCAGGCTGATTAGGCCGCCATCAAATGTGCCCCGGAAGAATTAATCCGAAACCGCCAAAGGGAGCGACACCAGCCACACTCAATTGCCAAACTGCGCAGCTCCAACTCCCAAGGCACATGGCATCCTATCCCTCTCTCACAAACAGCATTTCATTTCAACAACCATTCTCGACCTACCTGTGACCAGTATTAATAGTTTACCAAGCCTGATTCGATACAAGATTGCTTAACTTCCGCAATGTCCTCTCAGCGCCTTTTCCGGTTCCCAAAGCCAGCATGGCTTAACAGCGCTAACACCAGGACAGCAGGCGTCTACCTCGCAGGCGCATTGGTATGTCGACGAGTACCACCCACTGCACCAACCCCAACCGTCAATCTATTTGCAATCGTGCTGATCGTCTACCCCTCATATAGTTCTCACTAGGCTTCTTCTTCTTCATCGACGCGAGCGTCTTCTCGAAATCCCGATACAACGGCTCCGACGTGCACATCACCTTCGTGGACTGGATTCCGTTCATCTGCTCGGCGCTGGGGATGCTGGTGATCAACAGCATCGAGAAATCGCGGCTTTCAGCCGATAGCTTCTCCTATAGTGGGAACGGAGTCGCTTGGAAGGCCCGCACCGTTCTGTTTCTCGGCTTCGCCCTCATGGCCGGTGGCCTCGCGGGCAGTGCTACTGTCATGGCCCTAAAGTATCTCTTCAAGGACTACGCGGCGCAGACGGTTTACATGGGCGTTGCGAATGTGCTGGGCAATGGATTGGTTATGCTCAGCAGTGTTGTGCTATGGGTCAGCCAGAATATGGAGGATGATTATACCTATAATTTGCAGCTGTGATCTGGGTTGGCGGTTTTTAGTCCCCTGGCCTAGCTGGCTGGCTGGAGCTGGAGATGAATGGGAGAGTAAGAGTGAGGCTGCTGGTGGCAAAATGGAAGGACAAGAACAGAGAAGATGCATGTGGACTGGCCGACCATTGTCAAGGCGTTGCAAGCGAACTTGGGGAAGCAAATGGCACCAAAGGTACTATACACTGTCGGCATTAAGCAAGACAGGAAATGATAGCAATTGTCGTGGTTGGATGCTTACACTGCTCACGGTTCTTCTTCCCGTGGCTACTATCTCGGATTTACGTCCTCGAGTCCTCGAATCCTCGAGTTGGTCCGCTACAGTTGGTGTAAGTAGCTGTTGCCTCTTGATTTGTAAATAGGCAGCTGTGCACACGACGCCGACCTCTCCTCCCTGTGCCCGTCTGATTCTAGCTGGGAGACGCGGCATTCCCCCATGCTCGCGTACTGCTACTGATACTAGCGGACGGCTGGCATCCACCAACCTCATGATAGTGGGTCATGTGCCACTTGCTCAGTGGGTTGCACGTTCCATGAGCTCGTCTCTTGGAGCCTGGCAGTCCAATGGTAGAATAAATAGGCAACTTCCTATCTTGAAACAGGAGGTGTTCTCGCTCATTCCGCCTCCCTGAGCTTGGCCATAATCGCGTCAATGACATCCATGTCGGCAGCCGAGACTTGGTCTGGTCCAACAATATTTTTGGGTAGTTGTTTTACCGCCTCATTCATCGCCGGCTGATAGTTCCGTATGCTCGAACTGAGAGCATAGACTGCCTTTCTTCGTACGGCATTGTCTGGGTCATCGACAGCAACCTTGGCTATCTTCTGGACGCCGTTGATGGCCAGGAACCGCTCTTGAGATTTCTCGTTGTTCTGGACTGCGGTGCCTATGCACCAGGCAGCCATGCGGCGAAAGTCTGCCTCCGGACTGTCGAGTTGAGCAATCAGTGGCGTCCACAGTCCCAGTGGTTCCATGTTATTGGCGTTGTCGAGATTTTCAATCAGCTGCTCAAAATTGTCGAAGGCGGTCATTTTAGCATCGTGCGTTGCTTCTGGATCACCTGAGACAATCACGGTCATGGCTTGTCGCATCAGGTCGGCGTCACTCGGTCCTCCCATCAATGCGCGAAGAGCATCGGCAGAAAGTCCTTTGGGCTCTCGCATGGGCTGGTCGGGGTTGTTCCGGCCTGCATCTGAATTCTCGATGCTCCAGGATAGCAGCGAGTTTAGGCCTGGATCCGTCATTTTGGTAAAGGCTTGTACTGATGCAAAGGTGTGGCAAAGTCTACTTCTGAGGCTGAAGTAAGAATGTTGAGTTTGCTGGTATCACCGGTTCCTGTCAGCTACATTGGTATTTGAGAACGACGGCTCTTGCAGTAGTTTGATATTGAGCTAATGTTGGAGATGAGGGTCTTGGCTTTGAGACTTCAGGTGTACCTTCTAGGACCTACTGCGACATTCTACACTCTTCGAGAAAGGACTCTTTTGTCAAGTTACTGAGAATAATCCAACCTTGAGTGCTCTGAGACAAGCTGACTTGTACGGCCAGTTGGTGGTCTTTGGATAAGTCACAAATTAATATTTTGAATCACAAGGCCTTTGAGATTCAACCCACGAGTTCAGTTCTGCCCCGTAGCATGTCGTGGCGAAGAGGTGAATTGCGGACATTGGCAGCGCTGAATGGTTTTGCGGAATTAAGTTAATCCGAGATAGGTTCCCCGCTATTGTGGCTGGACATCAATTAGTATCTGATTTTTTGATACACAATCAAAATGGTCTCTGCCTTGAGCCCACTAAACTAAGATTTGTGGCCATATAGTGGGCTGGTTGACCCAACATTCCATGCCACCGTCATGGCACGCAAAACAACGGGCCCCGAGATCAAATGCCACCGTCCAAATGTACAAGTAGAAATGCATGTCCATTGAAGGTTGAGGGCGGCTGAAAGATAGCCATCGCGGGGTTCCAAAAATAACAGGGATGGGCCGCAAGCTCCGCGTATGATTATTGTCAGCAACCCCCGGCTTCAAGACCCATAACAGTAGCCTTTGCTCGCCCGAAAGATTCAGGGTTGGGCAGATGATGATCAGGCCCCAGATGATAGAATCGTAGTTGCCTGGTGTTCCACAGTGTGAGTGACGAGGCCGGTCTTGAAACTTGAGCAGAGGAAAGTGCATTGCGTGGCCCTAGCAGACATACCACCGCCACTTGAGCCTGATGGAGCCTCGGAGGCGACCCTCTCCTCGAACATAGAAATAAGGGCTGGTGCATCTTCTGTTGTGGCAGGACCTCTCAACATCTCTACTTAGTACTACACGTCACTTCGGGGGGGATCTCCATTCGACTACTCTAGTCACTAGCAAGTTAGTCATTGCATTGCCAGCTGCGGCCTGTGACGGTGTATGAATTTGGCCTGCTAGTCTTGCTAGTAACGGACGCCTACTTAAGCTCGATCAGCTAGCTCTTGGCGGGCTTCCGTCTCCCACTGGCCCTTTCCCACCGCCTGCTTGTGTTCAAATCCATCTCACTCTCCCGCAACACTCCCAGATTCTTGTCTCCATCTTCATTTACACACACCTTTATCCAATCTCCTTGCTTGTCGTCTCGGAGGTTGTCTTCTACCTGACCTGCTTTGTGCACTCTTGCAACCCCGACTGCTTAAGACCTCTGTCCTACCCCTCTTCTTAACCCTCGACTCAATACCTCACAATGGAAGGTAAGCTGGCCTCAATGCAAGCTCAATTGCTTGTTATCATCCTTATCCCGCCTCCCGGAGTATCGCTAACATGTTTGGCCGTCTATAGAAGAAGTTGCCGCTCTCGTCATTGACAATGGGTAAGCGCCTCCTACAGCCTCAACCCCAATGTTCCTGCGCCCCTCAATATCCTCCTTGGATTCTCAGATGATGCCTGCGGGTCTATCGGAAGCGCGGGAAATACACATATCTCAGTGATGTGATGCTGACAATATTTCTGACAGCTCTGGTATGTGCAAAGCTGGCTTTGCTGGTGATGATGCGCCACGAGCAGTTTTCCGTAAGTACCCTGCCCCGCATTGAATGATATGATCTCACCCAGGCATAAACTGACCATGGGATAAGCATCCATTGTCGGTCGGCCTCGCCACCATGGTATCATGATTGGAATGGGTCAAAAAGATTCATACGTCGGTGATGAGGCCCAGTCCAAGCGCGGTATCTTGACCCTCAGATACCCCATCGAGCACGGTGTGGTCACCAACTGGGATGATATGGAAAAGATCTGGCATCACACTTTTTACAACGAACTTCGTGTCGCACCAGAAGAACATCCAGTCCTCCTGACCGAGGCCCCTATCAATCCCAAGTCAAACAGAGAGAAGATGACACAGATCGTCTTCGAGACCTTCAACGCACCTGCATTCTACGTCTCCATCCAGGCCGTTCTGTCTCTCTATGCCTCTGGTCGTACCACTGGTATCGTTCTTGACTCCGGCGACGGTGTTACCCACGTCGTCCCTATCTACGAAGGTTTCTCGCTTCCTCACGCCATTTCTCGTGTCGACATGGCTGGTCGTGATTTGACCGACTACTTGATGAAGATCTTGGCTGAGCGCGGTTATCCCTTCTCCACCACCGCTGAACGGGAAATCGTCCGAGATATCAAGGAGAAGCTCTGCTACGTCGCTCTTGACTTCGAACAGGAGATCCAGACTGCTGCCCAGAGCTCCAGCTTGGAGAAGTCTTACGAGCTTCCCGACGGTCAGGTTATCGCCATCGGTAACGAGCGATTCCGCGCCCCAGAAGCCCTCTTCCAGCCCAGCGTGCTTGGTCTTGAATCCGGTGGCATCCATGTTACTACCTTCAACTCCATCATGAAATGCGATGTCGATGTTCGAAAGGACTTGTACGGCAACATTGTCATGGTATGTTTGACCCTATCCACTGGTCGCGCATGGATACTAATCCTTTATCAGTCTGGTGGTACCACTATGTACCCAGGTATTTCCGACCGTATGCAGAAGGAAATCACTGCTCTTGCTCCCTCTTCCATGAAGGTCAAGATCATTGCTCCTCCCGAGCGAAAGTACTCCGTCTGGATTGGCGGCTCCATCTTGGCGTCCCTCTCGACCTTCCAGCAAATGTGGATCTCCAAGCAGGAATACGACGAGAGTGGTCCTTCCATTGTGCACCGCAAGTGCTTCTAAACATCTCTCGAGCATTCTGGAATGCTTGAAATCCACCCTCCGACGCAGCAATTTTCTAGAACCAGCAATGAACGAAGTCAAGATCATGATGAGACAAATGATCAGGTGAGATTAGAAGCGTGTGCAACGCAGTGCAAGGTTTCAAAAGCCGTGGTGAACTAGCACAACTGAGATCCGCAACTGATACACTCAGGCGGGCTCAGAATCATTGGAGCATGTATTCGAGATTAGCAGTTTCAATGAAGTAGCAACATTCCCATATTATCTAGAATGCAACGCTAGCAGCTCACTTTTCGAATGCCCTTCTATGTCCAGAATGTGCCTCTAATAGAGTAATCTTGAACGTTACGCAGCTGCGTATCTCTTGACAACTCTTAATATCGCCCTTACCCCTGGTCCCCCAGCCTCAGGGAACAAATTGCTGCGTTAGCTAACACCAACCGCTTTACTCTTTGCTCTTCAGGTAGCTAGCAACGTCGCCGGATACCTCTTGGACTGTAGCGCCATCCTCAGCGGGTTCCAGAGTCAACCATTCACACGTGATTCCTTCTTCCTTGAACCTCGCCATGATGACATTGGCGATGGCCTCGAAGTTCTCAGTCGCCAGCGCGAGGATTGTCGGCCCCGCGCCAGAAAGACAGATTCCTAACAGGCCTTTGTGCGTCTTGGGCGACATCGAGGACAGTATGGCGGGCAGCGCGGGGATCAGTGTCTTTCGATAAGGCTGGTGGATTTTATCTTGCATTGCTGAGTATATCAGATCTGGGTCGGGAGGGCTGTCGGACAGGACTGTCGTCAGAAGTGCGAGGCGCTGGAGATTGAAGATCTAGTATCAAACCGCGATCGTTCAGCAATCTTTTCTTCGGTTGAATGGGGGAACAAGAATCAGAGGGAGCTCAGGTTGTCCACTTACCATGTCTTGCCTTGAGTAGGACTTGGGCAGTACTTCTCTCGCTTTGGCTGTACTGACTTCGAAATTCGGGATGATGGCTACCGCCTTAATCTCCTTTGCCCAGTTAAATCGACGATAATGGCCTATATTCTCGGGCGGGATGGGTGGTGTCAACCCCGTGTCAACGCCGCCGGCAGGCTGTGGAAGGACTTCTGATAGTGGAACCTCCTTGCGCGCCATGTCCTCGGGGTCGAGCTCGTTGAGGTAGGTACCTACAAATCCCCCATACAGTGCTGCGGCGACGTTATCCGGATGTCGCTCGACCATCAGGCAGAAGTCGAGGAGTCTGGGCTTAGAGAGCTTGAGGTCGCCGACGATGTTTCCCAAGAGTACGCCTGCCACGACGGCGGCTCCAGAAGAGCCCAGCCCTCGGCCAAGTGGGATGGGGTTGTGAATGTGCACGGAGGTCTGTGTCGGGAAATCATGCTGGTTGTGGCAGCGTAGGACATACAGTGCCGTTCGGGTCAACAGGTTGTTTTCTGGGTTCAGGTCGATGTCCTCAGCCCCAACGCCCGAATAGCTTACCGTGCAGTTGAGGGGCTTGTCGGGGGTTATTTGCGCGGTCCGGTCAATGCTGACTCGTAGCTCGAGGTACATCGACAATGCTAGTCCGATCACATCGAAGCCAGGCCCTGAAATGAGGAGATATGGCGTAAGCACAGATGTGCTGTAAGAGCTCGGGATGTCATGACTTACCGATGTTGGCGGACGAGCATGGTACCTCTGATGGATGTCAGTGCACAGAGTAGAGAATGCTTGAAACCACACAGGGACTGACTTATGATATGCATTAGGTGGTATTCTGCCCCAGAAGGGCTTAGAAGTGGCACGACAGGGGAGACGCCAACGCAGTTAAGTTAGGTATCTGGTCGAACGATGAGAAAGAGGAAATATCCAAACCCACCCAGCTACCCTTTCTAGTGACTTTAATTATACTCAAGAAAAAGGTCTTGGAAATAGTCTATTTTCCAAAAATCAAATCTATTCCAATGTGTTTCGCCCTGTCGCCTAGTTAGTAGTAGTCCGATGGAACTTTCATCGTCACAGAAATCTCTCAAGTTTGACTCAACGGTGAGAAAGTGGCTGATGAGCCAATTAGAGACGCAGAACACCTGCCAACCAAAAACATTTTCCTTGCGCACCGGAATTCTTGGCAGGTTCAAGGAACGGAATAATATTGATCCTTGATCTCGTGGAAAGTAACCCATGCCGCTTTCAAATGTTGTAAGTCGGGGCCCTGTGTCCGTTTCCTGGTGCCTCATCAACAGACTCCTGGCGAACTTCCGTTCTCGCGAATACGACTCTTTTCAAACATGGGTTGAATCTATACCACTATGGTAGGTCTGGACTTTCATGTCTGGTCTGATGCTACCTGACACTGTTTCTTGTAAACAGAGTGGCTGTTCGCATCCCTGAAGAAAATGTTGTGATATCTCCACCTTGTCGACTTATTCGAAATTGAACATTAAATTGGACAACATGGACTTTGTACAACAAGATATCAGACCTTCCTTTCTACTCGAGCTTCTCTGTGCAACTTGTTGCTTCCTGGCTGTGCTCGTACGATTCCATACCAAAGAATATTGCTACTCGACCTAGGCGCCGAGCCTAATAATCAAGTGGGAATTTTCGGATCTGTCCTTCGGCACGCCGTCTTTAACGGATTGGACGTAAGAGCGACGTTGCTGTTGAATCGGATGACGACCTAAACGTCCGCACAAACGATTTTCGATTCCTGCTTGCTGCCACGGTAGACCAGAAGAATGAGCCAAGGATTTGTAAGTTACTAGATTGTAGTGCAGATGTCAACATCGATAGTAGTTACCCGTTCCGTATGGCTTGCCAGGAAGGCGATATGAAGTTAATCAACCTCCTCATTGATGTTGGAGCAGAAATTCAGGTCGAGCAAGGCGTTCCGGGGCTCGCTCTGCAGAAGGCAGCAATATGGGGGCATTTAGAAGTTTGTAAACTGCTCGTCTCTCGTGGAGTTGACGTCAATGCACAAGGAGATAAACACGGGTAGGTATCAGGAGTTACGATTTCCTTTGTGAACAGTCTGCTAACCGTCGTTGGAAGAATGCAATCCGAGCGGCTTTGGGAAACTCACACATCTGCAGATCGCATCTAGCAACACCAGGTGTGAAGTAATTCCTAAGCATCAGCGCCGATGTAAACGCAGCCTCCTGTGAAGTTTATGTCACGACCTTACAAGCAGCCGCCTTCAACGGCCCTGTCAGACCCATTGATACTCTGGTTGAAGCCGGAGCAGACGTCAACACTCATGACCCAAAGCTCAGGACTGCACTAATATCAACAGCACGGGCTGCCAACAAGAAATGGACTTACAAACTGCTCGATTTTGGAGCGAATCCAAATCTCATCGGCCCGTACGGCAGTGCAGCACATGCTGCTTGTCGAGGCTGGGAGCTGGAACTTATCAAGCTCTTTCTGGATGAATGTTTCCATGTCAATCTTAAGGGAAAACATGGGCATGTACTCCAGGCTGCTTGCAACCCACGGGGAGATGTCCATCGTCTGCCCTGCGTCCGATTACTAATTGAACGAGGCTCAGACGTATATGCGAGGGAGGCAAGTATGAAACAGCACTCCAAAGTGCAGCAAACCATGGTGAGCTCGAAGCTGTGAGGCTTCTGCTCGAGCACGGTGCTGATCCGTTGGTCTGCGGCGGGAAGTACGGTACTGCAATGGAGGCGACGAAGGCATAGGGAGATTGGCATATTTTCAATTATTTTCAGAGACATATTCGTCAGCATCAACCGGCGAGCTCATCTGATCCTTAGAGGCAAGGAGAGTTTTACCAAAGAGGGAGTACCGGGAGGATGAGCAGTAAGCGAGTCTCTTATCAATGTGCCAGGCCGTTGGAAGCACGGTCGTAGGCGCCATCTGGGGATTCAACGATCATGGATTTACCTCTGAAAAACCGATTATGACGTTCGCCTGGTTCGTATGTCGATGGTCTCACAAACGCCCAAACCAAAGGGAGAAAAATAAAACAAAGAACAACGATTGTTGAGGACGACCAACTACGCGGAATCATCATAAGCAAAGTTGAAAAACCCAAAAAGTTGATGAGTTGGGGAACTCTCCCTCGGGGAATCGAACCCCGGTCTCCCGCGCTTGTTAGCTAGGCTTGACAAGCGGAAATCATGACCACTAGACCAAGGAAGATGATTTCACAGGGTGAAGGCCCTGTGACTTGGTTGTACTAATTGTGAGCAAAATTGAATGCATGAAATATATATCTGCAGAATTTCTCAGCTGGCTGTTCAACCTTAAAGTCTCCCTAATAGAGTTGAACGTCCCTATACTTGTTCTGATATTTTTCTCACGACTTCCTCATGTATATAAACTAGCAATTCCTACTTCTTATATGCAAATTCGATGTCAACAAGACATTAATCGACTGAGTCTCATGGTCCATGAGCGCATAGATGATGTAAGCGACGTCCGCACGCAGAAAGAGGCATTTCTTTCGAGGTACGATATCAAATCTATCCGTTCACAACTGGGCTCGCTAGCACTAATCCGGCCTTATGTAAGAGGCTCGATGCCCCAATCGGGACAGCTTTTGCCTTCGCTTAGAAGGGTCTTGTTCATGATGATCGTGGTCTCTACAGCGCGTTATACACCCACGACTTTAGAAGCAAGTAGAGGTTCTGCCGTTGGACAATTGCCTGAGGTCGTGACGGCCAGATTGCGGTGGCATCGGGTACCTCTCCAGTCCTAGAAAATGCCATCAGACAACATGAAGGGCTTGTGAACTGCAATCTTGAGTCTGCCGGTAAAGAGGGATGGGACTTTGGGGCGACATTGATGAGGACCCAGCGCTACCCGAGCATGATCTGCAGCCTGGAATAGCTGTCACAGTTAGTAGCCTAAGATTATTTATTCTTGGGGGTTCGTATGAATGGATGAGGTGTTAATGCAAGCAACGCGGACTCACCTCAACCAACCTAACGACAGACCTTTGCATCCACAACACTACAAGTTAACAAGCGGTGTTGCTTACGGATCAGTGAGGCTTTCGGCAGAAAAGGTGAACAATTTAGACGATTTCTAGCCAATAAGAGAGATTCTGGTCATATCGACAGGTAAGGCAGTATAGCTAAAGGAGGGACTACGGCAGCGGGACTTGTATTTTCGAATCTCGACCTTCCCCCCATACGGACTCTCGAGCACTACGAGGAAGCTTCGGGAGGCTCAATCGAACTCAGTGTCACGACTTCAGTACGGGAACGTATTACCATCGATGTCATAGAACTTGGCACTATCCTCCAATCTCAAGTCATCGACAATGCACATGATCTTCTCAACAGAGTCTCTCGGAGGCCTTGCGTCAGGGCTGGCTAGATTTCCCATATCGGTGGCGACTCATCCGGGGTGCATGGCGACTATGGTGAATCCTTCTTGATGAAGCTCATTGTGGAACTGGACGGCTATCATGTTACCTGCGGCCTTGCTGATAGCCGAAGTGCCCTGCAATCCCCAATGCGAGCCGACCTCTTTGGTGACGGACGCCACGACGGACGAGATATAAATGTTTGTGCGAGTTTTGCGGGCTCGTAGTGCAGGGAGCAATGGATTTATAATACGGTGAGGTCTGACAACGTTGGTAGTCAGATACTCTGAAATTCGGTCAGAGGAGATTGATGTGAGGCCGCGAATCGTATGAGAAAACCCATGTTACAAAACACTGAATGCCAGGATTTTGTTACTTGATCAATGTAAGAATGAGTGCAGCACTGTAATGTCGCCCACTCTCTAGAGTTTGTCAGTTCTCGACGAGGCTGAAGACCCTTGCAGAGCGCGGGCAATCTTTGGCTCTGGCGAACGAGTCAGGCTACTAACCGCACCGTCCAGATTCAGCCACAGCAACTGCGGGTTTGTTCAGCAGCTTGGATCAAAATTTTCCAGCTTTCTCCAAGTGATAAATGTCCGGTCCACCACAGGTTGCTGGCACTACGTCGTTATGCCGAATGCGACTTTTCGCTGCTTCGCACCTGGCATTCATACAATATGGCGACTCCCAAGCGGGTGCTCAAACGCAAACCGCCTGCACTAGAGAGTTGTTAATTACTGAACACCAACTCTAAGCTGTTCAAAATCTGGAGTTCCTTTGACAATGACGACCTCGCCACGGATCTCCGTCATTTAAACTGTGTGGCATCAATCTCAATGACAATGTGCTGCATAATTGACTCTCATGGACAGGCAACGCCCATCAAGCTGGCGTTTGAACTCGTGATTCCCAGTATATATCGCTCAAAATAGGTTGTTGGTTTTCGAGAAAATGATAAACGCTTTTAGGTGGTGTATTTGTTATGGGCCAACCCACAACTCCGAAATGATGCTATGTTGAACTCCACGATTCTAGGTTTCTCAAGATGACACCTTCATCCTGGTCTCTAGGGACGAGCTTTCCGAGCTTAAAGACCGACTCGCCTTGCGCCTCTAGAGCATCTTTGACCAGACCAGATGATGGTTCTGATACGACGAGGACCATGCCAATTCCGTTATTGAATGTCCGGCTCATCTCTTGATTATTGACATTGCCCGTCTTTTGCAACCATCTGAAGACGTCGGGTCGGGTCCATGTAGCGACATCGATCTCAGCGGTGAGATGATCGGGAAGCATGCGAGGGACATTTTCTGTGAGACCACCACCGGTGATATGTGCCATGCCCTTGACAAGATCTTTTTTTACCACTTCAAGTAGTGAAACAACATAGATCCGAGTAGGAGTCAATAAAGACCGGCCTACCGTGGTCCCTGAGGTCCATGGTGCAGAACTCGAGAAACTGAGACGCGCTTTCTCCACGATCCTCCGGACCAAAGAGAAACCGTTAGAATGAATACCGCTGGAAGCAAGACCCAAGAGCACATCGCCCTCAACCATGCTCCTGAGATCCGGCAGCAGCCGCTTCCCCGCAGGTAGGTCAAGAGCACCAATGGCCGCACCTACCGCATCGTACTCGGTACCTGCCAAAAGTCCGGGCATCTCAGCAGTTTCACCTCCAACAAGAGTGCAGTTTGCAATCTTGCAACCCTCGCAAACGCCACGGATGAAGTCGCTGGCGATGTCAACGTCCAGGATACTGCAGGTGTAGCAGTCCAGGAACATGAGTGGCTCTGCACCTTGCACAACGAGATCATTGACGTTCATGGCCACCAAATCAATGCCTACCGTGTCATGGACATTCATGGCATGTGCTATCTTCAGCTTTGTACCAACACCGTCAATGGCTCCAACCAACATCGGAGACTTCTCATGGTAACCTGCCTGGACCAGATCGAAGCCTCCACCGAAACCTCCAATTATGGCGTCGGCTCCGGGGCGTGAAGTTGATTTGACAAACTTTTTGATCCTGGACACAAGGTTGTTACCCGCGTCGATTGAGACACCAGCTGATGCATAGGTCATGGCGGCTTCTTCTGGGCCTTTCTCTTCCTCCTTTCTCTTGAACGCCCGATGGCCAATATCCTTCCTGAAATGCATACCTTCAAACTTGATCGTGTCCATGCCTTTGTAGGCTTTCGCCACTGCATCTTCCAAGGTCTCTGCCGTGGAGGTTGAAGCAATAACTCTCCCACCAGTTGAGAGTATCGCCTTTCCATCTTTCCCCGTGCCAGCGTGGAAGACAAATGTGTCTGCGGGTGTCTTCTGTAGCGCAATTGGTCGATTTTTGGCATAGGAGCCAGGGTACCCTTGCGCAGAAGCTACCACGGTTGCGGCAAACTTGGATTCGATTTTCAGGTCGACACCATCAAGCCAATGTTCAGTACAGGCAAGCATTACTTTTGCAAGATCAGTATCATCGCTCAACAGAGGCAGTAGCGTTTGGGTCTCCGGATCTCCTCCTCGAACATTATACTCCAGTACTTTTGGCCCATTCTTAGTAATCATCAACCCAGTAAACAACATGCCAACAAATGGCATGCCTTCCCTTCGCATGCAGTCGATTGTTGGTTGGACGATGTCCCGATCAACCTGGGCGATCAGCTCCTTGGACGCAACTCTAGTAGGAGCATAACACCCCATGCCCCCGGTGTTTGGGCCTTGGTCTCCGTCCAAAGCGCGCTTATGATCCTGAGCAGGAGGTAATGATCTGATGGTATAACCGTCGCTAAAAGTGAGGACACTCAACTCCTCACCCTCGAGAAATTCCTCGATTACCACCTGAGAACCCGCAGAGCCGAATTCCTTTGCGACCATGATCTGTTTCAGAGCATCATGTGCTTCTTCTTTAGTGGTGGGGATTATGACTCCCTTACCGGCCGCCAATCCGTCGGCTTTGATCACAACATCGTGATCCACGGAATCAAGATACTGGCGTGCAGATTCGTAGTTGTCGAAGTTGCGGAAGGCAGCTGTAGGGATTCCGTGACGTTGCATGAAGTCCTTTGAGAAAGCTTTTGAGCCTTCCATCTGAGCGGCAGCTTTGCTCGGACCAAAGCAGCGGATACCAGCCGCACGAAAGAAGCCCTCAACACCAGCTACTAATGGTGCCTCGGGCCCGACGACTACCAAGTTTAAGCCGTGCTTCTTCGCATGGGCAACCAATTCGGTGAAATCATCAACCGGGATCTTAACATTGATAATATTTTCGGATTCGGTCCCGCCATTGCCTGGTGCGATATGGACAACATCGACTGAAGGCGATCGAGCTAGTTTCCATGCTAGTGCGTGCTCTCGACCTCCGGAGCCGATTACGAGGATGCGAAGTCGTTCGCCCATCTTTTACAGCGGAGAATGTCCAGGGAGCTGCGGAAGACTGACAGTCAGCCTCTGACCAAACCCTGCATGAGGGTAGAAAAGCTGGAATTGGCACTTCGCAAAATGACCGCGTTTGTCAGGTGTGTTAAAAAAAGCAGCATTGGAGGGTAGAATCGTGTGCACAGGCTTCTTATCACTCAACCGATGTTCTTCTGCTGCGCACATGCTCAGCTGCTCCAGAAGTCAAGTCCAAGAGAAAGTACGGGGAAAATTGCCAGTGAAGCCAATCAATACACCTTGCAGGACTTACCTGTAGGAAAGACACCGATATTTTGTCAGATCGATTACTAGTCCGAGAATCATTAATACATCAAATCGACCTCACGAGAAGGTCAAGATGTCGCATAGTGTTTTCGTTTCGGAAAAAAAGTTGAACTTTTTGATGCCAAGGCGTTCAAAATTGCCTCGTGGAATACCCCATTTCGAAATGAGAGTGATGCCGCCCTGTGCGTGGCATCACGTGATCTGCATCCACCCTTGCCTACGAGGCTATGGAGGAGATCATGTATGATTCCCTAGGAAGTTAGGGTACAAGGTTATGTCCATCACAGCAAGCCGCCCTCGGAAATTAAGCTTGCGTTGACTGGATCGAGACTGATGTTGCTACGACTACAGAAAACTCGGTGGTCATAGTCCACCCGTCAACATCTTGGACGACTTCTCTTTCTCAACAATCCATCTTCGTGACGAATCCGGCTCCGTCATCCAACCAGCCCAGTAGCGCGTGTGGTTCGACCGGGTTATCTCATCTCTCACACTGCTCTCCATGGTCTCAAGCCCCGCCATCTCTTCACGCAACCCGTTGTCCCTATTGCACAACAATTGGCAGAGCGCGAGCAGGGTGTTCGGATCGGTCGGGATTGTCATTTTTTCGTTCAGCGCTCGCCACCTGAAAAGCACCAGCATCACTACCGCCATTACGGCCAAGATAACCCAGCTTGCGTAGATGCAGACCACGTAGTCCATTTCAAACTGAGCGGATGAATGTGGTACGCTGCCGATCACTATGATGAGGACGTCGGACAACGCTGCAACGCCGGCCACTAAAGCGTGGAAGAAATTCCCGTGCCACAGCGCTGAGAAGAAGCTGGTGATAGCTGTAGCATTCTGTGTCACTAGGATCGTAGTGTCAGGTTCGGCGTAACCGCGGAATAAGTGACGGTAGGGCGTCATGAGTCGAACCTCGCGCTCCAGTTGCTTCCAGCGGCCGTCGATTATGCTGGCCGTCAGCGTAAGCACGAACGTACGCAATGGGTGATAATTGAAGAAGTTGTTAAACCCATTGTCTTCGTGAACCAGATAGTAAGCCACAGTAGTAGAGAGGAGCCCGAGTATTGCTAGCAGGAAGATCACATCAATGAGAAAGTGACTGAAGATCGAACCATGCGTCTTAGATGCAAAATCTTCATGTGGAGACGTGTTTGAGCGCGCAGGGCATTGGTGTTGGTCAGACGTATCAAGTTTCGGACGATGCGATGGGTCCTGGATCTTAATAATCCCGTAGCGGCGATGACCAGCCACCGTTGCATATCCTGCTAGCTTGAATGTAAAAGGATCAAGGTAGCTTTGGCTGGATGACTGACTAGCATTTTGAGGTATTTTCCGAATCTCGGCGATAAACTCGTCGTTGCCGAGTAGAGCGGCCATGGATGCAATAGATGATGGGTTCGAGAAAACTCCACTCTGTCGGCGTGCGGATAGGATCATCATCCCAAGAATTATTAGTACTGTGAAGGACAATATCCATTGCAGCACTCTCGCATAGGTAATGTTCAACTCCCACCTTGGCTGGCAAGGGGACTGGCCTGTTGCATAGTAGCAAACTCCAACTGCCCTGATTGTTGTAGACTGCGTAGCCAATGCAGGAAGAATGCTGATGCAGATGTAAGCTGAGCTAGCCAAAATGACAACGGGGTGACCAGCAAACAGGTTGCGTATTCCATCAAGAGAAAGCGTTGAAGTGAGATAGTCCGCGATAAGAGAATGTTTGGCTGAAGCGCCTCCGTCCCTCGAGAGCAGATAGAATGGTTCCATCATCTTCGTAGACGCGAAGACTATGCTCCATGCAAGCTTCAATAAGACTGCTACAACGGTGGGTAGATACATGGCTCGGAAATATTGGAGTCCCGTGATTGTCAAGCCCAGGTCCACTTCATCTGTTTGCTGCGCATCGGGGGTGATCGTAGGTGTTGGATCGATTGAACCGGGTTCTGTAAGAATTATTGAGACTGGAAAAGTTGGGGTAAAGGTAGCCACGAAGGAAACGATTTCACCGTTTGAACCGACTACAGATTGAGTCGTCGGTACAACAGATTGAGGGCCGGCCGACGAACCTGAGGTTGAGGTGTCCTGAATTATCGACCTAGTGGGGGAAGCGATTAGGCCGGAGCTCACCTCGCTGGGATCAGAGGGCGATGGCCTTGCAGCAGTGTTAGGATTGGCGTTGTTATCAGGTTCAGGAGCAAACAGCGCGGAGCGTGTCAAACTGTCCTCTGCCAACGTCGATGATGGGGTACCTGATGTTCTGGTTGAGGGAGGGATATATGGAGTTATTGAGGCTGTCGTCGTCGTTGTGGTTATGGTTAATGTCTCCCTCGAGGAGGTGGTTTGAGGGACTGGCCAGCTTCTCACCTAGTCACTCTGCCATAGAAGACTGTGGGATGTAGTACTGGATGTCGTTGAAGGGAGCACCTGACTCTCAGGTGGTACACCTGGTGATTTGGTTGTTGAAGAGGCAATAGTAGCCTGGATGGCGCTAGAGGAAGAAAAATTGTCTAGCTGTCGTCTTAACATGCGGTCATGGTTTTCATGCTGCTCTTCCACCGAGAACCCAGTCCGTAACCCAACTTCAAGCACAGTCACACAGGCAATCAGAGCGACCAAAATTGAGGTCAACACAGGCCACGTTGTGGAAAGTGGTGCATAGTATTTTGGAGGCTTTGTCCGTCTGTATCGTCCCTCAACTAATCAGAGTTACCGTCGTCACTAAAGAGTAAGGTGTTGCGTTCACCTACTTGAACCTATGGTTGATGTCATTCTGCACTTGGAATGGATTTTGATCTCGTGCTGCAGTGTCGCATTCGGTACAAATAAAAGATGATTGATAACATTATCGGATGGGACGAAGGATCTCAGGAGTTTTGATCATGGTCACTATGGTGGCCGTGTGAGACGTCTAACTTCCAACATGGGGGGACTCTGCTGAATACGAACTCTCCCTAGAAGGCTGCATTGTCTGGACGACGTCGATCGAGTTAAAGCCTTAAGCACAAGATGATTCATGCTGTGGTGACGAATGGAAAAGGCCAGCAAGCCTCACAGCCTCAAATCGAGATTTGAAGTTCTTCTCCCCTTGAAGTTTTGGTGGATGTGCCGTTCCCGCCCTAGTTGAAATATTTGGCTGGAGATGAGACACGCTGAAAAGACGTCTTGGCTGCTTGGTGATATCTTGTTGGCGGCCAAGAGTTACCAAGGCTTCTCCATCCGTGTAGCCCCAAATTGAGGGGTGTCCATCCTTGAATAGGCGATCGAGAATGCCGTGGTGCATCGTAGATTGACTCTCAAGTCTAAAGGTGTATGAACCACAGGAAAGGTCGGGGGAGACAGCATGAGCACTTGTGTGATGTCTGCGGGTAAAAAATACCTTGTAAAAACCAGGCGGAACTTCACCAACCTGGTGTTGCCGCCCCTGAAGTCACAGCCTTGGTGCGCTTTGGAGATTAGGATATCTTATCAGATCGCCAGTCTTCGCTCCATATTTGGTCTGTTACACAGTTGCTCTCAGCGCACCTGCATCCAATATATAAGTACCGACCTAATGACTTTTCTCATGGGCTGGCCCCGCTGTCATTGGCGAAGGATGTGCTTCAAGATATTTTCTACGGTGATCGTTTGGGGGACAGGGCAGGCCAGAGGCTCATCAGCTTCTGGCAATCATCAACTGGCTCATACAGAACACGTCAGCGCTTATGTGCTAGTGGTGATGAGAGCTGTAACGTCACCATTATCAGTATTTGATGTTCAATCGCCTTGGATGTTTAATCGCCTTCGATGTTTTTACGCACTCTTCCCGCCGCTGGGTAGAAAGATTGGGGTGGCGGATCCCGCTTTGGAATTGGAGTCAGGTGCGGATTAATATATATTCCATTCCGGAGGTACGACAAACGCGACATTTGCGTATATACCGCTAAAAAAAGATTTGGGGTCGCGGAATCATTGAAGTTCTCTACAGTCTTTCATGCCCACTGCCGTACATGACATCTGGTTCCTAAGTTCTGCGCTCTTCATGTCCCTATAAACCTTCCACCATCACCGGCCTCTTTGTCGCACAGATACGCCTTGACTTCCCGCTGTCTCACAAATGCTGGCAACCGCCGGCCGGGAAGCCAACCTGCGCCATCATGGTTACAACAATGTAACTCTGTCTATATCTCGCTCCCTCCAAACACCTGATCGACGTCCCTTTTCTCGCCTGTATGTGCACCATGGCACTTCCCGACAACGACCTCAAGTTCCTCCATGTGAACATCGAGCCCGGATTTTAGCAATTGGCGGCACACCGCAGCAACATGGCTATGCTTCGCAAGCCGCAGTCGATCAGGTGGTGTTAGAGACGAGCCAACGAGAGGAGGTTGCTCTTTTCAAAGATGTTGGAAAACAGCTGAGAAAGGCTTGGCTAGATGTTGACCCGAAAGGCGATAAAGCCATACCATTTCAAGAAGTCCTGAAAGCGAGTGGAATCAAATCCTCCCAGAATGAACAAGGCCTCCAGCACATCGTAGAAAGGATAGAACATGCCTATGCGGGAAAGAAGCACTGGTATGTGAACTCCCAGCTCAGTATACTTCCCAACCCGAAGAAAAAGGATCCACGTATCCGGCACAATTCCGCTATGCACAACCTCCTGCGTCGCTTGGGCATCATCAGGGGCGACCAGGCCCCTCGCGTGAATGAAATGATTGAAGGAGGTCCTACGAGCCGGAAGAGAGTTATGAAACCTCTTGTCCGAAGAGTGGCGCCTCTCCAGATCCACAAGCTTCTGGCAGTCGACCGGAAGTTGAAGAAGCTAAGGAATGAACCGATTCAGCCGCAACCGGAACCACGCATCAATGCAGATATTAGCAGGATCGCTGACGTTAGTGATTATCATCTCCAACCGATACCTGCTGTTACGCCAGAAGTCCCGAGGTTGAGCTATGACTTGTCGCGAGTTTTATTCAACCCTGGGGTTTATCAACTACAAGATCCAAGATCACGGGTTTGGAATTTCGACCCTTATCTGGGCAAAATCATCCCTGTGTCGGAATTCAACTTTAACGCGCTCAACAAATATATCACCTCATCGCAAGATGATACTTTACGTGAAATGGCGTTGAAGCTTGAAACTAGGTATACCGGGTCTACTTCGAGCATGTCTGGAATTTTAGCTCACTTCCACTATTTGCTCTCTGATTTCCGCCCACTGACGATGGAAAACATGTCTCGTGGATTTCGTGAGAACTATGATTCATTTACCAAACTCCAAAGGGGACCAAGTGCAATATTTCTGCGGTGGCGAGATGGCATATATGCTGTTGATGCAGACAAAGAGTTTGACTCGGCCAACATCCTGATGAGTCTAGGGCGCTCCATGGAGAAATTGTTCACATCAGAGAAGAAAGATTTCGAAATGTTCCGCAAGACGGCCGAAACCGATAAAAACCCTCAAGCAGACATGCAAGAACGCGAGGCCTATCACTATACTCAACTGGGTCAGTTCTTGCTCCGGTCTCAACTCGATTGCTTTGATCCTCGGTTGCCGGGAACAGGCATTTTTGACCTCAAGACCCGGGCCGTCGCGGGAGTTCGCATGATGCTCTTGACACCAGAAGAAGGACAGGGCTATCAAATTAAGGAGAGATTTGGTACTTGGGAATCGTATGAACGAGAATACTACGACATGATGAGATCTGCGTTTCTGAAATACTCTCTTCAGGTGCGGATGGGCCGTATGGATGGAATCTTTGTGGCATACCACAATGTGGAGCGAATATTTGGCTTTCAATATGTCTCACTCCCTGAAATGGACCTTGCGCTTCACGGTCAGACGGACCCGTCACTGGGTGACCGAGAATATCGGCTGAGCCTCAAGATTCTGAGCGATATTTTTGACAGGGCAACCGAAGCATACCCAGAGACTTCTATTCGATTCCACTTCGAATCTAGAGAGGCTACCAAGGTCAGTCCATCATGTATGTATGTCTTTGCCGAGCCGGTCAGTGAAGACGAAGTTCGCAACATCCAAACGGCCAAAAGAGATGAGATTGAAGCATATGAGCGGCGTCTGTTCAACCCGACCACGGCTTCTCAGGCATCAACAGACGATGGCCAGACGGCAATGTCCCATGGTGAAGACCCGTCAAATGGACCAGGTCAACATCCCATTACCGAAGACGTTGCATTTCTTGAAAATATGATGGGTGTCGAAAAGGAAGATCGAAAGGGAAGCTCGGAACCAGTAAGAGAAAAAGAGATTCTTGCTTGGAAATTGCATATACGAAATTCTGTGAATGGAAAGGTGGTGCAACGGCCTGAAAATTTGAGAGGGTCGCATTCATGGGAGGTGGAATACAGTCTTGAACCTCAAAGCAAGGCAATGGGACATCGAAATTACTTGCTGTGCAAGAACCGACGCAAGGCTGTATTGGAATTTCCACAAGCTGAGGACAAGGCGGCTGGGTTCTATATTCAGCAGCTGGTTGAGATGAGTCGAGCGGGCAAAATGTGGCGGCGTAAGCTGGACGAATTTGATGCGCAACGAGAGCAGGTTGTCCTATATCAAGGGAAGGGATGAAAACCTTGGGGGTCGGGACGATGCCAGGTGTACCATCATAAAGCACATTGTAAAATTAGATATTCTATACTGTAGGTTTGAAACCAAGGATGGCTGACTGGTAGCAAGTTAACTGCTACGTAGTTAGGTAGGTCTCCCTACCTTGTACGATGGGTAAATACCTGAGCCGGCATGGGAGCGACCCTGAGTAGATCACAGTGACAACAATAGTATAGTGGTCCTCTGGATCAAGAGACATTGCCCTCAATATTCGCCAGTGGAAGTTTTGGCCACCACTGCAGTCGAAAGTCTGGCCCGTGAAGAAAGCAGCCTCAGGACTAGCAACAAACGAGAACGTATGTGCAACATCCCACGGATGGCCCCTTCTCCTAATAGTCTGTCCAGTAATACCAGAATCAAATTACTCGGAAGATCCTTCATGTAACATTACACCAGCCGTCTCAGTGAGCCCGGGAAGGACTGCATTAACAGTGACTCGCTCAGCCAGGCCAGGCCGGTGCTCAACCTCACTGTGCTTCTCATCAGCCGTACGGGGTACTCAGTCCCGTTTCTGGACCCCTGCTGCCATTGGATCCTCACGCAATGCTTTGTCGGTGTCTCTCTTCGAGAATGTGGCAACTTTACTCGATGGTCCACGAGGGTACAGTTTTAGGAACCTAAGGTTCGAAACTGGGACTCCTTGTGAAGAGGGTGGATGCTATCTCTCGTACCCTGTGCCCTTCGCGTTTGATGGATCGTGTTTCCTACGTTGCCTTCACCGGGATGGCCCTTTCTCCTGATTCTCCTGATGACGACCTGTACACTGTACGCATCGCGTGTTTCCTACTATTCGGGTCCTGAGTATAGCTTGTCACGGGATGAGTATTGAGAGGGATCACAAACATTGCGAGCACACAAAGTAGGGTCTGGGATGGCAATGTACCAAAGCCTGAGTCCTCTCCTTTGAGGGCCTCTGGCTACATATCTCTACCCTGCGACGGCGCCTCATCAATGTTGAAACCGGGATCTCCTTTACCGGTTCGGGGCCTCCTATTCCGCCCAGGACTACTGTCTCCCATCAATCGTAATTGACCCAGGGTTGCTATTGCTGTAACGAACCTTACGAGGCGCTGGCTGTACGAGTAATAGTGCAGTTACGTGCTCTGAGAATCCCAGGGGTTACTAGTTGTTACCTTTATCGCACTAATTCGGGATCTACGAGCGTTATCAGGGGATCTACCCGTTTGATCCATATCCATCACCTTTTGCCTACTGCGGTTAAAGACCTGTCTAACCCCCCCGCTTTAGGAACCTTCTAAATTATCCAACCAGGACTTGGTACCAGGGATGACAGTGATCTTCAACACCAAATCCCTCGAAGGATGGCAGTGATCTTCCACACCAAATCCCTCGGAGGATGGCAGTGATCTTCCACACCAAATCCCTCGGAGGATGGCAGTGATCTTCCACACCAAATCCCTCGGAGGATGGCAGTAATCTTCAACACCAAATCCCTCGACAGCACCATGGTTTTGACATTCTGGTCCAGAAATAATGCCATCTCGACACAACTTCTGTAATAGATTGCTTAATCGCTGTTCTAATGAAGTTGGTACGAAACATCATTGGCCATTAGAGCCGTGTATTGTACATGGTTCTCAATCTCGACAGCACCCGTACAATAATGCCCATCTATATCCTTCTATATAAGATCCTGCTCTTCCGTCCTCAGTAAGCCTTCTCTCTATCTTCAATAAACAGTCGCTACCTCGACGCAGCAGTCTACTCGCTTAACCATTTACCTTCTCTTCCAACTTTTTTTTCAAAGACAAGACACTTACTTTCCAAGCCGCTAAAGCAAAAATGCGTACCTCAACAGTCATCTCTACCCTCTTCCTCGCCGCCACTGCGCTGGCTGTTCCTCTTGCCAGTATGTGGATCTATAGGGTCTTTCACTTGGGAAAGCCACTGCTGACATTGACAATTTTGTAGCTGAGCCTGCCAAGCGCCAGTTGGGTGTTGACTTAGAGCTGGAAGTTGATGGCGTCGAGGTCCCTCCCGTCGATGACTTCGGTGGGATCAACAACAGAAAGCGCCAACTCGGACTCGACCCAACCACCGGTATCGACCCCGTCGATGACTCCAAGTTCGGTGGGATCAACAATAGAAAGCGCCAACTCGGACTCGACCCAACCACCGGTATCGACCCCGTCGATGACTCTAAGTTCGGTGGGATTAACAATAGAAAGCGCTAACTCGGACTGGGCCTGAAGCACTAAAGGTGCGAAATATTTCCGTATGCCAGGACCTTGCGAATAAGGGGGAACGTTCTCGACCATTCCATTCGCACCAACACCAGCGCTTTCTGCATTGGAGCATCGAGTAGGCAGGGTGCTACGGGGGATTCAATATCTACCAAATATAGTCTTTTAATCCATCAGAACCATGACGAGGGATGGACTGCCCTCGGGAGGACCTTTTGCTAACACCTGAAGGAGCATATAATGCGATAGAAGGCGAGCAAAATACTCTAAACATGCCTTCGCAAACTACAATCATTCCATCCTATTCTCTATCATACCGCTTCTCTTTCTTCCCATTATCCTTAGTGCTTCGTACCCTGGTTATGAAACACTGGGCTTCCCAAAGTGTCCTCGGGCAGAATTCATCCTTCTTTCGATTTCGTCATCGTTCACCATTCGTGGAGACGCCAAAAGATGGGCTCAAGTTCCAGATCCAGCCGTTCGAGTCAGCAAAATTATGCGCAGGTAGAGACAGTCAATCTGCAGCCTCGTAGAGTTTCATTTTAATATAACAGTATCAAAATGGTGAAAACTAGGTTAGACGGAAACCAGTAGTAAGCAGGAGCTCCTTAGTACACGATTGCATGGATATCGAAAGCCTCTAGGATGGGCCCTTTGAGGGACGAATATTCATAGGACAGGGCTTCCAGAACGGGCCAACCTTCTAGCTACCGTGTCGTCTTCACTCCTCGAGAGTTATGTTTAGGTAGAGTGTGAGTAGATCGGATTGTCTTAGATAGGGCGAGACGGGGGGTCTTGTTCTAACACAGGCGAGATAGCGCAAGAGGGTGAAGTCAAACTGGTTTCCAGCTATCTGACGCAGGGGCGTATACCGGTCCTCAGAGATGTTGAGTCGGACACCCCGGTAAAGACCAGCCCTGGTAATGACCCACGCGTCCCGACGCGTCTTTTGTTTTTCTTTTCGCGAACCGCTAGCCAAGCTTGTATATGATCCTCCAGTCGCGGCCGTCTTTACCATCTTTCACGCGTTGTAAAACGAGATCGACGTCCTAGTCTAGTTAGATCACGACGTTCGGAGCAGATTCACCGTGGCTGTACCTTATATCGTATCCCACCTTTGAAGAATTTATCAATCCGGGCCCCTGTCCACCAGTAAACATGTCGGAGCTGCGTAGATTGTACCGGGTTCCGCGGATGAATATAAATCAAGTCGTCGCAGGTCCATTCAGCCAAGTTCACCCGATTCAGGTCTTTCAACCTAGAATTGTGCTCGGGTCGGTGCTTGTTGACGACGATACCTTCACGGACTAAGGTTCGTCGCACCTACTAAAAGGGACCTCATCCCACATAGTACATCTCGCTACTGTCCTCTCCCGTAGTCTCGGCCCTCGTGACACGAGTATGGCCAGCGAAGAACCATTCGCAGACAGTACATTTAGTGTCGGCAGTCGGCTTCCTCTTCGTATCAATTTTTCCCTTGCTCGTCGTAGCGGTAGAATCGTAGAAAGGCTTGAGGGAGGCGCAACTGTTGCTCTGTACTTCATGTCCTTCATCTCCAGTGCCAGGCGTGAGACAGAAGGGCAGCACCTTGAGGCCACGCTTAATCCTCTTCGTTTAGATGCTCTCGAGCGGCATTGCGACGATGACGTATGGCGACTGATAGCTATTATTGGCACTGAATCTAAGAGATTTGATCTTGCCTCATACTTTGGAGGCGGAAATATGCCGCGCTATTGCCTTGTATACAAGATTTTTCTCAAATGTCGTGCCCTCGGTACCTGTCTTCAGGAGGAGTCAACATATCTTCGAAGCTACTGCGCAAGCACACATTGATTCACAGACGGGTGTTGCTTTGTTTGGGGTAGAAGCGCTAATAATGGATGTGAGCGATGATATCAGGGTATGTGGTGTTCTTCTTGTGCCCTTTCGATCGCCTGACAATTGCTCCAGTTCGCTCTTGATCGCCAGTCTGGTTTTCCACATCTCCCTGGACTCACGCATTTGAAGACCTGACGAAAACTGTTCCGTTGGGGCTAGAGGACTCGTTTGTAGTCACCATTTGCTCGTATAGAAACATCTATGACCATAACGTCCAGACTTCGCGGAGCCCAGGCGAGAGGCCCAATCAGCCGGGATCAACGTGACAAGCAGCGTACGCTGATGCTGAGCCGCAGCTGAGCCCGGTGATATGCGGCCTCATAAAAGCGACGAGGGCATTTTCCTACGGAGATACCAACACCAAGTGCCTTGTTTAGGACAGAATGGATTACCCGCGAACAAAAAACCCGGTTGCCAAACCCAGTTCCATCTTAGACGGTGAGCGAAGCCCGCTTTAAACTTTTTCCCTTGACAGGTATTGCCCACTGCTTCCGCGTCAGGCTAGAATGCTTACTTTCAAGTCGAGGATTGGTAGTCGTCCGAGCCAAGGTGGAGAATCTAGTCGCCAGGAATTTCTAGAACTGTACCAGTGCCTCGTCCGCAAGCCCTGCCTTAAAGATCCACAGAATTTACTAGGTGAAAGTCAAATGACCTTAGATACTCTGGTAAACGATAGGCCTTAGGAGCACACCCGTGAGTCTATCTCGAAATCCAACCACTTGGATTCTTGTTTCTCTCTATTTCATGTATTCACAAGGGCAGGCACGCGCTGCAGGAATCGCATTTCCACAAAATAATCCATCTCTCAGGCCACAATATCCTTGTCTCTTAACGCCTCTTTGCGGCAGGAAGATCTTACTTACGGGCCCTGGCTAACGGCAGACCATCCTCTGGATTGCTTCGGACCCTGCCATGTTTGGAATGTTTTTGCTGACGGAAGGTTTGATACTCGAGCCAGGAAAGAATAGCCATGTACACGGCGACAATGCTGTAATTTGTAGATGTTAGCGCCTGTTCCCCAGTTGAGAACTCGAGAGAATTGGACCCTACGTTGTAATGACGGCGAAGCCCAAGGCGACCCAACTAAGCGTACATCCAAGGCCCACGCAACGTTGAATATTTGCCTGGATGACTAGGAACACCACTGCTGCCCAAAAGACGACTTCTAGACCATTCAGGATCGAGTAGGCCTTGAGGCTTTTCCATCGGCGACAACGGCTGAAGTGCTCTGTGAGAATTTGATACCAGATGATAATCATAGATTTGCCTCCCTGTTTAGCAGGAAGAGCCACGACGTCATGGTCAGCGTTCGGCTCTGAAAAGGTGTGCAAACTCGTAGGTAGAGCAAGAGCCGGGATGAGAGGTTTTTACTTACCATACCCAAGGCTATGGTGGTCGCCCGAGTTCGAGGCTGGTTTTTCATAAAGAGCCGTGGCGTAGTGACGCCAATGATAATGTGGACGAGAATTATTTGCAGGATGTGTACTCGCAGTTTATACTGAGGATTGAAGAAGCCCATTTTGTATTCTCGGTCGATTGGACAAGAATTTTCGGAAGAACAGGGAAGTTCGGGGAATCGTCTTAGTTGTCAAAGAGACTCGTGGCAGACGGGAGCTGTGCGGTCCTTGAAAGATTGAATTTATCGTGACTCGGTCGGGCCGGTGGTTCTTTTTATCTTTCTACAATGCGCGTATTTGAAGACTGCCTCTGCAAACTTTATGAACATAGTGTGCACCTGCTGAAGATACCCTGGTTGCGGGATCTTCACAAAATGAGGTTCCGACCATTTCTGCGTCGACATCTGCGAGCCCCAGGTACGACGTAGGTACCAATTGCAAGTCATTCTGTTCAGGCAACAACAATTCCACGAGGCTGATGCATATTGGTTGTCGGCGGGCGCAACCTCAAAAGCTTCTGCAATCTTATGTTGTGGGATAGGAGGGCTGTATTCATTCCTCTGCCAAGACTTTGTCCAAACTCACGAATACGGAGCAGGCGAACCCGAGCGGCATCAAGCTTACCAACATGCGAAATGACTCTTTCAGGTAGATGACATAATACCACCCGTCCGGGTGAAGGAGGGTTGGCGGGCTTTAAGTTGTGGAAACGCGCCCTCTGCTCGGAACCAACACGAACACGAGGCTTGGCGCGTTGTTTTGAATGGCTACGATCTAATTACTAGTGAGCTTCTCGTGTTCGGCACGCGTGGGAGCCTTGCCTCCTTTTCGGCGCCGGCAGTTCACCTAGACTAGCGCATGTTCTGGAAAAACTAACATTAGCAAGATAGACCCTGACACCACAAGGTAGCTGGAGGAGCCCAGAGGGTCTCGGAATATAATGTTAGACTGTGCCACCTTAAGTATACTAGCAAAGTACATCTGAATGCGCCTGGCTTTCACCTCATGCCGAACTGAACGATACTGTTGTCCATCATGAGAGGAACCTCAGTGCACATGCTAATACCCACCCCGGCCATCAATGGGAGGTCTTTGTAGAAAGGACAAACCCGGCCGAAGCAGTGACGACACATTCCAAGGAAGCTTAATGTATGGCTGAAACTCCGATCTAGGCTACCTTCTCGCCGACGGGGTTGCTAATGGCTCCATAAACGAACCCCTGACAAGCATCCTGATGCCAGCGCCCAAGGGGGAGGATACATCCGATGGGCGGAACATCCGTTCTGATATTAGCAGACAAAGATGTATGGATTGAAAGGAGTAGACGATAGATTACACATCACCATGAACACATTCTTGAAGGTGACATCGCGACTAATAGCAAGAGTGCTTTCGTGGGCTAGGCAAGGATCTAGTCCACTGCAGCTTCTGAGCTTCTTAATTCTTTACTGGTCCCCAAACGCGTGAGCTTTCCTCGCAAGCAAGACCTGAGCGTAGGACTCTCGAATGGTAAGGAACACAGCCCTGGTGACTATCCCAGCCTTGTCGCACAATTGACAGTTGCCTGGAGCCAGATACTGTGGTCAACCAATGGCTTGAGACAGGGCTGGGACAAAAACAAAGCCCTTGACATGGTTGTATTCAGTTTAGTATCGCGGCCACCCTTGTTTAAGTCAGTAGGTCCAAGAAGACCTGAATCCGGAGACGGATACGCAAATACGAGGGGTCAGTTGGGTTGCTCTGAAGTCTACTCTGGTACACTATGCCACTTCTCATTGCACAGAAATAACCCCCTTTGTTCGCAACATCTCCTTGCTGAATGAGGCGGAAGCAAGCAGTGATCACTGGTTTCCTTGTTCTTCGGGTCCAAGTATAAGTTAATGTACAGAGATGAAACTGTGAAAAGTTTCCATGAGCAGCCAGCCAGCTGGATTCTATCACCAACATGTTAGAGCCTGAGACTGGTGAGCATGTTCGTATTGGATCCTGGCAAGGAATCTTGTGCATCCTGCTGTCACTGGTAGCCGCAAACATTGGCTGGAGCATCTTGGTGGCCATCCAAAATTTGTACTTCCATCCTCTCCACAGGTTCAACGGCCCGAAATTATGGATCGCATTTCCTATTTTCAAAAGCATCGCGCAGCTTCGCGGGCAACTCGACTTCCAGATCCGTCAGCATCATCGAAAGTACGGCAACATCGTTCGACTGGGGCCAAATGAGCTGACCTTCATATCTGGTCAAGCCTGGAAGGACATCTACGGTCACGGGCACGCGGAGCTTCCCAAAATTTTCCCCAAGGGTACGGGACATGGCGACAACAGTCGCCCGAGTGATATAATCTCTTCAGATGCCAGAACCCATTTTCGATTCCGAAGGGCAATGCTGCCCGCATTCTCGAACAAAGCCCTCGAACAACAAGAGCCCGTCATCCAAGTATATGTCGACCTGCTCATTGAGAAGCTTCGTCATGTGGCGTCAGAAGGACACCAAACCAACATGGTGCAGTGGTATACGTTTACGACATTTGACCTTATTGGCGATCTCGCATTCGGGGAACCTTTCGATGGTCTGAAAGCAGGGAAACAAAATGCATGGGTGAGCAACATTGAGCGAATGATGCGACTCTTCCCAATCCTCGTGCTTGCAAATGCCTCACCCTTGCTGTCCCAACTCCTTCTTCTGGTAGCCGGAGAGAAAATCAAGCAAGCCCGCAAAGCCCACCTGGACCTAGTCAAAGATTTGGCGATAAAACGGCTGGAGAACCAGGATCACTGTCATCGGGGTGATTTCATGGACTTTATGCTGCGTTCGCAGGGACAGGAACATGGACTGAGTAATGATGAGCTTGTGGCCAATTCGGATACTCTAATCGTGGCAGGCTCCGAGACGACGGCGACTCTTCTCTGTGGCGTAACGTACTATCTTCTTAGCACGCCAGAGGCCCTCGAGAAGTGTGCCATGGAAGTACGCAATGCGTTCCGAAGCAACCAAGAAATATCCTTCAACACAGCGAGCAGCAGGCTTCCATACATGCTTGCATGTCTCGAAGAAGCTCTGCGCTTGTTTCCACCTGTCCCAACAGTGCTGTTTCGCCATACCCTACCGGGCCAAGTCGCTAGAGTGGACGGTCACGATATCCCCGAGAGAGTGAGATAACCATCGGATGGACCATATACAGCCAGGACAATGTGCTAATCCTTCTACAGACATGCGTTGGAGTTCACCACATGTCTGCTTATCACTCCGACAATAACTTCTACCGTGCCAGAGATTTCTGTCCGGAGCGCTGGCTCCCAGCAGAGCAGGAAGACCCAAATTCTCCGTTTTTCCACGACCGACGCGACGTCTTCAAGCCTTTCAGCACCGGCCCAAGAGACTGCATTGGCCGCAACCTGGCTTATCATGAGATGCGCCTCATCCTGGCGAGAGTTCTTTGGAATTTTGATCTGAAACTTGCGCCACCAAGCCAAGGGTGGGCGGAGAAGCAGCGAACTTTTGCGCTGTGGGAAAAGCCTCCGCTAATGGTTGAGCTACGGTGTCGGGTAAATATTGGGAAAGAAGCTTAGAAGTGTTTGCTTGCTGAGGCAGCTGAGGCAAATGCCATCTGGGGATTTGACGCGGCTTGCCTACCATAGATTCATAGGACACAAATTCATTTGACCTTTAGGGAGTGAGCCCTAACGGATGTGGCCATTTCCCGGCATCCGGAACTTGTTGTGCTGCCCACTGGCAGCTATCAGGCAGCAATTAATCTAAGTTCAGGCGATGTTTGGACAGGATCTGTGCTCGATCTGCATAGTCACAGAAGGCCCCCTCTCACCTTGTCTTGCACCTTTACCAAAACTTGCGTTCTCCCCGAATCGGATTCAGCTCAGCTCTGGCGGTCGGGTTACTTTCCCAGCCAGAGGAATCAAGGCTCGGCCACTATTTATCTTTTTGGGCTCTTGGGCGGGCAACCAGCCTGGGATACCAGCAGCCGTTGGGAGTTAAACCGACATGCCCAGGAGATCCACTCCAAAATCCCGCGCTGGCTGCGAGACCTGCAAGCGCCGGCATTTGAAGTGTGATGAGGCGAGACCTGTGTGTGGAAAATGCGCCTTTTCCAAAAGGGAATGCATATACACTACAATCTCCTCACAGCGGGCTCCAGTAGCCCCGTCTCCACGAACAGACCAGGCATCATGCCTTCATAAACAATCTCTACCACGTAGTCCTGGCAGTCCCAGCAATCTCGCCGGCAGCTTGTCGCCGCTGCCCCCCGGCTCATCTGGGCTAGGATCCAACGTCGACCACATTGAGCTGTTCTACCTATTCATCACGACCACATGCATGACTATCGCTATTGATCCTCTGCAGATCCAGCTGTATCGCCGCATCATCATTGAGCGGTCCTTCAAACAGCATTTCTTGATGGACCAGCTGCTCGCCTTATCGGCATGCCACATGACCCTCCAGAGACCTCATGCAACCGCACACTATCTGAACATCGCGGCAAATCAACAGGCCGCAGCGCTTGCCGGGTATCGAGATATTTTGTGCAGAATTGACGGTTCAAACTGCCTGGATATCTTGTTATTCTCCCACTTAATTGCCCTTCATGTCTTTTGGGACATCTTCACACAGCAACCTCAGACTGACTTTGGCAGCTTTCTCGAAAAGCTGGTCGGCTGCATCCGCCTGTTGCGGGGGATTAACGTCGTTATCCACTCCTGGTTCGAAACACTGGTCAAGAGTGAGATCGGACCAATATTAGTCGCGTCGGAAGAGCACCAACAAAGCCCCAAAGAATCGCGAGATGAGTGTGGATTGTTGCGCGCAATGTTGGACAGCGCTGACCTGAGCGCCTCATCCATACAAACCTGCCTTGCGTCCCTGGAAGTATTACAGTCAACCTTTGACAGTGAGAACATGCTAGATGAGCCCTCAGCATCCACACACCAGGCCTTCAGTTGGCTGGTGACCTTGTCCGAGCCTTTTACCGAACTGGTCGATCAGCGCAAGCCCGAGGCACTTGTCATTCTCGCACACTACGCCGTGATACTTCATCGACGACGGCAATCGTGGGCTATTGGCCAGGCAGGTCGTCGAACCTTGGACCAAATCCGCCAATATCTAGGCAAACGGTGGGATCGCTGGCTAGAGTGGCCAGAGAGTGTCATGCAGGGCGCCAACAGTGGTTCTTCGCAACGCTGATACTGGGTGTTTTCCATACCATCTCTGGGGTTTTTGGTTCAATAGGAGTGTAGACAAAGATGCTTTGATGAAGGAGCAGGTTGCCTTTCCTCCTCAAACTGCGCTAAAGGATGGATGCCGCAAGCTTCGAATTGATTTACCACGAACTGTTGTCTGAGTGGTCCCTTCGCTGCAACATTCAAAGCCATGTTTGCAGATTCTGCCACTTGGCTCCGTGACGGGCAGCTCCCTAGCGGGAAGGAATTGCGAATGCCTCTCTTGTCAATCATTAGCCCCTCCCATCATAACTCTGTTCCAGGGCCGATTTCGCTGCCATGGACGCAAACTTCAGAAGCCAGCAGCCCGATTGTTTGATTTCAGGATGTGGATCCCTCCTCAGCACATCCACGGAATCACAAATGCCCTAACGCGCAGATCAAAGGCGGATGATTCTTTCCCTGTTGTCAAGAATGGCTTTAAACGGCCTTTGAAAGCAAGGCAATCCCTCTTCATCATTTCGACATTTATGAACAGGAAAAGATGAGAAATCCTCTAGCTAAAACCAATTTACTTGAGGATCTTCATCCCACCAATGATTGTCGCATGAGGAGACCGCAGAAATGACAGATCGTGAGGGAGGATGCGATCAATGGGCGAGGTCTGTTTATATCTCCGATTTCCTTGACATTAATTATCATAAGTCATACAAACCGAAAGCCAACATGTGCAACTTCCCAAAGATGTATGAAGGAGAAGGAGCAATGAGTTTCAGCAGAGTTTTGCTCAGGAATCAAGACGGTAAAGTTAGCGAGGTGAGGTATAGAGGCCTTGTAGGCGACGGCGAGGTCGACATCTCGCTTGCCTAAGGAATGCTATACAGACTGCATAGGCAGAGGATATACCCGCCCCGTAAATACATCATTTCAGTGTTAATGATCTTGTAAAGTAGACAGCATACGATTCTACTGACAATGTAGTGTCAAGTGCATTTACGTTGGGTCCTTATTAGGGCTGGTCATTAACATTAGCACATTACGTGACCCGGGGACTTGGTCGAATGCCCGCCGTGGCTTATTACGTTTATGGCATTCATCTCCATCTCCGTCTCCATCTCCATCTCCAGCGGCCATTGCCAAACATTTCCATCACTATGTCTCCGTACTCGGTCACCCAACTCGTAAGTGGTAACGCCGTAACCCACGTTCTGCGGCCGAGGGGCCCCCTCGGTGCTCCACCGGCTCGGTCTTCTCGCTCCCCTCCTCCTTCATGCAGCCCTCGTACGATGACGCCTATTTCATCCCACTTCGCTCCGCTACTCGCCAATCGGTAGGCTTACCCGCTGTCATCGAACGGGATGCTACTAGCAGTATCTTGTCATTGCGCCAGCTTTCTCCCATCAATCATCCTGCCCAGTCAATGCCCAGTCAATTCCCTGCAAGAGCCCGACCTACTCCATACAGGCCTACTCGTGCGCCTTCATCATTACGCAGCACACATGCCAGCTAAACCCTGTCTGCTGGTGCCATCGACTGCTCCATCATGGATACCTCCTCCGCTCTAGCAGAATCAACTTAATATCCGGATGCCGATTGAGCAAGTCTCTCATTCCTTGCACAAATCCTCCTCCTCCTCTTCTCTATCATCCTACGACTCTTCTTGTCACCTGCGACCTACCAAACCTTGGCCAGCCCCTCCAACACTGAAACGACCTGTCCCTGTCCTACTTGTTCACGATCTCCTCGCCCCATTTCCTCACCGACTACCACTATATCCTGGTTCTCGTGCACCGCGACCAAAACTTCCACCTGCGCCGCTCGACAGCCTGAGGCCTGCAATGTCGCCGCCCTCGGCAGGACATTGCAGTTGAAGAAACAGTGGGCGTGCTGATGGGTGGCTACAACGCATAGCCATGTCTAATATAGTGAACATGCACCCTCGACGTTATCTACCTGCCGATAATTGATATTCGTACTTCCTTGCGGAGAAATCGGGACAAAACACCCGCTACCCATTGACACCATGGCGGACAAACGAAGGAGGAAGAGTCTGAGCATTTTTCGCCAAAAATTAGACGTTTCCCCTTCTATTCAAATTCCCACAAACTCGTCAGAGAAACGTTCCGATGACTACCATATTCCCAGTCCCATTGACTCAGATCAATCTAGTCCCAAGGTGCGTCCTCGAACCTTGCAGAAGGCCAATCGGACCTCGGTTTTCGGTTCTCTCCGCTCACTTCAGTCGCTCGACCAAGATGAGAAGGTGGCCCTGACGAGATCCGACTCCAAGGCTTCGTCCTTGCAAGAAGACGGGGATATGAACTTGAAAGGTCTTTTGGGTGACAGGATCCTTCAATATGGCGAAGTTCTCGCTGGAGGTGGGAATATGTTTCGAAAGAGAACTCAGTTCTTGGTTCTGACCGAGTCGCACCTCATTCGATTTCGAAGTCAGGCCAAAGCGATCGAGATGTTCCCCGGCATTCCGAATACTGCCGTCAGAGGCCATGTCCCACGCTCCTCTTCAATTGGTTCATACCAGGAGCTCCAATTCGCCACATACTCTGACATCACTTCCGCCATCTCTCTCGACCAGACGATTGCCGTGAGCAAATTTGATGATGGTCGACCTGTATTTTCCATCGAAGTCGCGCATCTTGACGAGCGAGCCAAAAAGGCCTCGGTCCTACAGTTCCAAGTCAACGATCCACGCGAATCCGAACTGTGGATTACTGCAATCCGTAAGGCTTCCAAGGCGAGTCAAGGTGGCTCGCCACGAAAGATTCAGGCTCAAACTCTCGAATCTATCGCTCGTGTACTTGATCGAGACCGGGATTATGACCCTGATCATTTTCATGTGTTCAGGGCGGTAAAGAGATCCACACACAGGTCAGCGAGTAAAACTTCGGCAGAGGATTTGACGAAGCTCAACTCAATGATTTGTTATCTGGCCATCGGACTGTATAAAGTGCATTTGATCCCAATCAATAAGTCATCTTCGAGGTCCTCGAGCACCTCTTTGAGTGAGATGGACTCTACAAGCTCCTATGGTATTGTGACGATCACCGCCGTCAAGGTTCGTTTCGAGGAAGATAACTTTCAGCTGCTGTTAAAGGCTCCAGTAGGCCAGCCTTACACGCTACAGTTGGCCTCATCTGCAGCAGAAGACATCGCGTTATGGTTGAGATTTGCCTCAGAATATCTGCGGCCTGAATGGATCTGTCAACCGTTTAACTTCGATGTTCCTGAAGAGCTTGACGACAGGATGAATCCTCCCAACTACCCACAGGAAGATCACCATTGCTTTGATCGCACACTTATCGCATACTGTGCCGGATACGATATAGATACATCTCGCATCTGCTATTCCGTGGACTATCAATGCGAGGATGCACCTTGCTTCCAGTTGCTTGCACCATCAACAAGTGCCCCTTACTCTGCTTTGGAACTGCTTGCCGTTTTCAGGTCCCTACGGTATAACGAGTCCTTCAGTTCAATCTCATTTGCGCGGATCAATCTGACTCCTTTGCGTAAAATGTACGACGATTTTGGCTCAGACTTGGACAGCCTGGCCACGCGTTCTGGGCATCCTACCAATATCACTGGACACCAGGAATTGCCAGTCTTGTGCCAGGAAATTCGAGGCTTAGCACTGAAAAGTCGACGGCTGAGACGGCTGGACTTTTCATATAGCATTCCCATTCAAATCGCCGTAGCAGACGAGCAACCTTTTAATTGTGGAATTCCGGAAGCCCTTGCTCCTCTCTGCAAGAAGTCGTTGACCAATGTCGACTGGATAATCTTAACAGGCCTAAAACTTGCAGACTCTGATCTGAACCATCTAGTGGACGCTGCATCGGAGAGAAAGTGTCACTTCAGAGCTTTGGAACTCGGCGAATGCGGGCTGTCCGTGCATGATATTGACGTGCTACTGTCTGCCCTTGCCATACAGGAGAGTACTGTGGAAGTGATCAATATTTCGGGCGCTCAAGGGCGGTTCAGCCCTGAGCTGTTCCAGAGAGAACTAGGCGCGTTCAGCCGGATCCGTCGTTTGAACCTTACGCGTGTGCAGAAAACTGCTGGACCAGAGCCTCTAGTTGCACCGGACGCCCTTTTTGCATGGAGGCTAGAAGAACTCCATTTATCTCAGACGACACTCAACGAACAAACAGTCGACTCGATATCCACATATCTGGCAACTCCCAAATCCGACATTCTCCGAGAATTGCACGTCAATCAATGCGGGCTAAATGGTCGTGACCTTGCTACTTTTTTTCGGTCGATGGCAAGGGATGATGGACAATCAAGGAACATGCATGTCAGCGCCAATGAGAATCGACTGAAAGTGGGCGGATCGACACTGTTCAAAACCATAGCACAGAGCTATGGGCCATCGTCGGTCAGCATGCGGATGATGGATTTTGAAAAGGAGAGCCACTTCCGCGAGTTGATCAACGCGTTGAAATGCAATACAACGATTCGGAGTTTGGACATTTCGCGTGCTTCATTGCCTTACGATGCATCGATGGAGACGTGCGAAGCACTCAAAGATATGTTCGCGACAAACAAGACGCTCGAGGAGTTGGATATTAGTGGAGAGCATGCACACCTCGACGCTACACGCTTTGGCATTGGGCTTAATGTTGCACTGAGAGGGTTGGGGCACAACAAGACATTGAGATTGTTGCGAATCGAGTACCAGTCTCTCGGGCTGCAAGGGGCAACCACATTGGCGGAAGTGCTCAAGACCAATGATACTCTGTTAGAGATCCACTGTGAGCACAACGATATCAATTTGCAGAGCTTCACCGTCCTGGTGGACGCTCTTGAGGATAATTATACACTGCTTTATTTGCCAACGCTCGAACAGGACCGTGCCAAGGCGATGGAAAGGGTGCGGCGTGAGATTGAATCTTCGGTGGACCGGGCTGAGGATGCGCGACGAGCCAAAAGTGGAAATGCGCTTAAAAGGACGTTGGGCGGGGCATTGACGGGCAAACATCACCGGCACAGTCACGGGCATCGACCAAGCAGTTCCATCTCGTCCGCCGGGTCATTCACAGAACAAGACGTGACGGCAGTGATTTCGACTTTGGAGGATAAGTGGAATCTGCAAGTGACAAGGTTGCAGAAATATTTGTTTCGAAATTATTGCCGGGCTCAAGGCGAGGTATGGGAAGACGACAACCCAGGTGAGGGTAGCGGGCGTCAGAACATGGGCTCAGAATCTGTCGCTCAACTGCTGCAAAGAGTCAATCTTGACCGCACCCCAACTAATGAGCATCCAGAAGTACTGGATTACATTGATGAAAAACTGGCGCAGAAAAAACATTTCGTTTTTCCTATGCCTGAAGATGAGATGGAATGAAATTTGGGTACACGTTGAATAGGCTACCGAGTTTCATTATCACCAGTCCCAGGAACAACAAGATTCTGGGTGGTTGTTTGCGACTGGTTCGGCTCGAGGATAATCCCGACGGAACACGGAGTACGGAGTACTACTGGCTACCTGGCTGGTAGAGGTTGGAAAGAAGTTGTTCAATAGAGGTCTTTCTTGCGAGACGAGGCCACGGGCTACATAATGCATTGCATAGTGAACCAAGATAGATCAGGCATCAGGAATCATAATGGTTGGCTTACGTCGTCATGGTGTGATCTTATGTTGGATTATAGTACATACGCGTAAACACACTCAAGCACAAGATGCTAGTGATGGCATATGCGTACTCGGTTCACCGTACCGAAGGTTTGGTGTTTAGTATGGTGCATATGGTACATACGAGTACGCCGTTCATTTATTGTCGGGACCCAAACAGGGTTGAATCGCGAGTTTTGATCAGGTTCCTCATACTCGTCTGACACCATACCCGATGTTTTATCGCGTACGTACCATACGAGTACCTGTATATTAAGGTTTATGCATGCACTGCCACAGTCATGCACAGTGACCGGTAGGCTTTAACCATGTTTGGCCACCAGCTGGCAAACTGGCGCGTAATTATAGTTAGTTGCCCGTGTGAACTACGGCCGTTCCTCCGCTCCACTCACTTCACTCCCTTTGATCGTCGCATGCTATACGAAGTGCCATCAACCGAAACACTCATACTTCGAATTCCTACCATGTACTCCGTATAGAGATGCTTGATGCCGCCTTCTTTTGATTCTTTGAAATCTGCCCCTCCCTTTCCTTCATCACTCTTTCATTCCAACTCTCACTTTCACTCTATACCAGTCGCCTCCTCCACCATAACTTCGACTGAGAAAATGCTCCACCACCCCGGACCCTAATTTCGCGCTCCTTAATCTCCTTCATCTTTCCCCCTTCACTACCACAAATAATCTCTGTACCTCAGTTCTCGCATGTCTCTGCAGTCACCTTGCACGCACCGACCACCATGCGTCGTAGCCTACTGATCTTTCTCCTCATCGCCATCATCATCCTCACCTTCCTCCTCCATTCCGTTTCCACTTTAATCTCTCTCCTCTTCGAGGACGCGTCCGCCGATGCCATCCACCGCTCAGAACTTCCCGCTCCGAATACCACCCTTCTCGAGGGCCGCCCGCAATTAATCCCCAAGATTCTACACCAAACATACAAGAATGAGTCCATCCCCGAGCGTTGGCAGGCAGCCCAGCAGTCGTGTCTGGACCTCCACCCAGACTATGAATACATGATGTGGACCGATGCGAAATCGGCGGACTTTATTGAGAAGGAATATCCCTGGTTCCTCCCAACTTTTGTCGGGTACAAACACCCCATTCAGCGCGCCGACGCCATACGGTATTTTGTCCTCTCGCACTATGGAGGAATCTACCTCGACCTTGACGACGGGTGCAAGCGTCGCCTAGATCCTTTACTTTCCTACAACGCCTGGGTGCGCCGCACCGTGCCCACCGGTATCAGCAACGACGCCATGGCCGCCATTCCACAGCATCCATTCTTCCTCCGGGTCACCAAGTCTTTGCAAGGCGCCAACCGCTCATGGGTTTTGCCGTACATCACCATCATGGCGTCGACGGGACCGCTGTTCTTGTCCGTAATCTGGAAGAAGTGGATTAGCGAACACTCAAACCTGGAACAGGAGGACTGGATCGGACGGGTCCGCGTCCTCATGCCGGACGAGTACAACAAACACTCCTGGAGTTTCTTCGAGACTTACAAGGGAGACAGCTGGCACGGCGACGACGCCAAGTTGATCTTCTGGATGGGCAAGAATTGGCTCCTGCTGGTTGTGGTTGGTACTATCATCGGCTTGACACTGATCTTCCTGGTGTGGACTGTGTACTCGCGTGTGTTGAATCTCTCCTCCCGCAAACATGGCTCCGCCGGCAGTAGTCCCCGTGTCAGTGCCTACCGAGTCCCAGCTTCCTCTAGAGTGCCCCTGTGGATGCGGTGGCCTGGTGGACTCAAGAAGAAACAGAGCTACGAACTGGTCGAGCAGCATGACGCTTAAAGCTTGTGTGATTCTCCGCTTACATCAGGAAACGGCGACACCCATTCCTTTGAGATGGGGATCTTGATCCATACAAATGATGGTTTCTGAAGAAGGAAAACCGACACCCATCTGAACACCCAGGGCGTTCCGTTATCTACGAACCGCCCTCCCTTTTACTCTTTGAGCGATGGCGTTATGGCGCATGGTTATCATGGTCGGCCGACCGATCCACGAATAGAGCGCAAGGCGACTGCGTAGCAGCTAGCCCCTGGACAAAAGAGAGCCAAAAAACGACAACTGAGCTTTCGGCAAGCCCTTGTATGACCATTTATGTGCAGCTGAAGGTTGATATGGGCCTGGCACGATGATACAAACGCGCTTTTCGAATATTTACATTCATATCCACCTGCATATATACACATACTTGTAATAAGACATGTTTCTTCCCCTTAATACAATGGCGGTAGCACCCGTTCGATCCAAAGTGGTCCGCTGGCTGAACTAACATTTGTTGCCCCCTCCAGAAGAGCTGGGACGGTCTGAAGCCCGACATGCTACTATCCGCGCAACGGTAGGAATGTGCGAAAAGAACAGAATATCTTGCCTTGTAGACCTGACAGGAGGAGATCCGAAACATCCAGCGGCTCGGGTACTCGCCGCCTGTCTTCTGGTGGAAAACAGGTTCGTCACCACTCCCATCAGACCAGACAGCGAGAACGCAGCCTGAGCTCTCGGCGCCCGCAAGTACTTCAGGTGAGGCGATGCGAGGCGGAATTCTGAACCACACGGCCTTCTCGACCACCGGTTTATGCCACCGCTGTAGTATTGGCGTAGAGCTTTCGCAGGACGCAACTTTGAGAGGGGAGGGAGTCAGTGCAGAATCCCAGTCCGGGATGTTTCACCAGGGTATGTTCGGTGCTTGTCAGGTTGGCCAGGCCAACGGATCCTCTCGCTCGAGATAGTTCGCAATAGGGTGTCTACTGCGTCAGTGATTCGTGACCGACGTGCAGCACCAACAGTCTGATTCCTGGAGAATACGACATCCTTGTTTTTCTCTTTTGCTTTCTTCTGCAAGGCCATACACTTCAATTCTCATTGGCACTCTCTGTGCCGCCAGATGGCGAAGCAGATGCAGGAGCAGCGACCGTCAACTCACTGTCCCTCCTCCTCTGCGCCATCGCCCTGATCTCCTGCTCCTCGCCCCAGGCCTGACGGGACCTCTCGAGCGCCCGGTTCCTCCTCCTTACACTGTCGTTGAACTCGCTTACCCGTTTCTCCGCGAAGATGCAGCCGCCCAGCGTCATTGACGAGATCTGGATGAACACCTTGAACTGTATCGTCAGGTTACGGTAGACGGGATGTCGGGCGTTGAGGAGTAGGTGTGCAAGGAAGGAGATCGTCCCGAAGCGTAAAACACCGCTGGCGAATCCTTGGCTGGCGATGCTGGAGAGGGCTTCCGGGGGTGCGATGTCGCGGATGGTGGATGGTGGGGGCATTTTTGTCCTCGGCGTGAGTTAGGCAGCTGGGTTGTTTGTTGGTTCGTTGCTGGTCTTTGGATCAACGGAGGGAACGATGGACGAAGTGCGAGACGCGAGAGAGGCAAAGCGGTGCAAATGGGCAAAAGGCTACCTGAGCAGGTGCTGGTTGGAGATGGAATTGACGGCTCTTTTTGATCGAGTGCACCATTCATAGCAGACCGATGTAAGATAGCTTTGAGGAGAAGCTCCCCGCTGATTTGAAACAAGTAGTAGTGTCCGAAATGCCTCGCGTGCCTCGAAATCTCCACTCGCCGAATACTAATGCATTATGCATGAAGTCGATGCTCATTACCACTTGACTGGATGGATGTTCGGCGAAGTTGGAGTCGGCATCCACCCTCGCCACCCACTTAGTCCAGTCCCAATTCTCGGTGCAATGAAAATCCGTTGGGCACTCCAGTGCGCGGCAGATCCCCGGCTTGATATTTTTCGTGCCGTGAAAAAGTGCCCAGGGCAGACTCTCCACACCGTCCTGGTGCCCTGATCAAGACGGTGCTGCTACAGTCACACTTACTCATCCTGCTTGGGAAGACCCCGTCGTAGACAGAAAGGGCAAGCAAGCAACAATGGCGCCAAAGCCTCCAACCTCCAAGACCACCAGCAAGGTGCGCAGCAAGAACCCCATGGCCCGAAAATCAGCAACCGCAGGCTCATCGACTCAATCCAAAACCAAAGTGCACCGACCGACGAAGCAAATCAAAACCAAACCCGCCGCGACCTCCCTCTCCGCGTCCAAGCGCCCTTCGAAGAAGAAACAGCGCGTGTACACCGACAAGGAACTCCAGCTCCCAGCCCTCAACATGATCACGCCAGCCGGGGTGGTGAAGCCCGCGCGGGGCAAGAAAAAGGGCAAGGTGTTCATCGACGACCAGGAGTCAATGATGACGATCCTCGCGCTGGTGAATGCGCAGAAGGAAGGCCAGATCGAAAGCAAGATCATGCGGGAACGCCAGTTGGAGGAGGTCAGGGAAGCGAGGCGCAAGGAGGCCGAGAAGAGGAAGGATGGCAAGAGGGAGATGCTCGAAGGGAAGATGGCGGAGGTCAAGAGGAAGAGAAAGACTGGGAGTGCGAGTGCGAGTGCGAATGAGCGCGGAAGCGGAAGCGGAAGCAGAAGTGATGACAAGAAAGGTGGGCGCTTGCCGGATGTCAGTACACCGGCACCGGACGAGAAAAAGAAGCAGAAGTCGAAGAAGCGGGTTTCGTTCGCGTGAACTGGTGCTTGAGATTGCCATATCTTGGGTGGCCTTGCTCTTGCCCTTGCTGCTTTCTATACATCCTCTCTATCTACGGGTCGGGGTCTATCATGCATTTGTGCATGAAACCACATCTACTCTATGCTGTGGGAATGTGCATTTTCCTCCTCATGGGTTGGAAGACCGGCCGCAACGGTTCCCGTTGAGGTCGCGAGATTCGGCCCTCGAGGTCGGCATTCTCAAAGCCTTGGAGCGGAGGAAAGGATTCAAGATCGACCTCCCTGGCCAGTTTCTGAAAGAACGCAGTGGTCTATAGGAGACAATATGGTCAGCATGCACATTATCTAAGGCAAACAAGACCATGGCACGAACGACACAGGACATCCCCTTTCCGGGTGGCAGGGTAACACACCACTTTGGAGAACCATCTTGATCCTCCGAACTCATACCAGGCCAAGTGCCCACCGCTTTCGGTGGTGCAGAGCACACCATATGGCGTTGTTTGGACCTCTTGCCGTGGCAGCGCTTCTGCCGCGGTCACCGGGTCGTCTTCTGCATGGAGAGCAAGGAACGGGATTCGTATGGCCAGCAAGGAGTCCACCGAAGATGCATCTCGGTAGTACGCACCTTCGGTTGGATAGCCCCATGTTGGGCCTTGAACATGCCTGGATGAGTCAGTATGGGGAGACCTATGCTGTGGCGCGGGCGCAGACTGCATACCGGTCAAACTCATATAGATGCTTACTGCCGCGCACAAGTTCGGCATTGATGTTGGGATTCTTAAGGACCTGCTCAGCGTGGCTACGAAAGAAAATGGGTCAGTTTGCTGGAGATTGATATCAGAGATGATCTTGTAGGCTCTTACTCTTCAAAGAGAGCCTTCATACTTGACCCCAGCGCTTTGGAGTACACATTCCGGTTAAACCACGTTCTCTGCAAGGCAAGGCTGCTTGCCTGAAGGTCCCAAGGGTTGGACATGATGAATGCAGCTTTGAAGACGCAATTGATGCCTTCCTCAGCGATGTACTAGCACAGCCAAGTCAACAAATACCAAAACATCAAGGGGCGAGAAGCCCGACTCACATTTGTGATAATGTTGGCCCCAAGTGAGAAGCCTATGCCAAATAGCGGACGGTTAGGATATGTCTTCCTCAGCCATTTGACAGTATGCCTGATATCCCAAGTTGCCCGGGCATTGTAGAGCACACTGGTCGTGATTTTACTGTTTGAGCAGCCCCGTGAATTCACCACACATGCTTCCCAGCCTCCATCCCCGATCAACGGGGCGAGGACATGTCGGATGTAGATTTCATGAGAACCACCCTTTAGACCATGGAGCATCACTAGCATGGGACGAGTATCGAGGGATCCGATCTTTGAAAACTCCTCTTCCGTGTAGTATGTGGTTCTAGGAGGCAGTCTTGGGTCCGATCCCTCGTATGGAGTGGTGACGAAATCGACGGAGAACTGGCCCATGTAGGTAGCATCATCGTTCTCTAATATGTGCCTCTTGTAGTAGATGGGGATATGTTCCTTTTTGAAAACGGTCCAGATGGTTTGGAGATGACCGTTGAACAAGGCCGGGTTGAGTCGACATGTTGGAACCACCGACTTACATAAGTCGGCGAATGATGTGGTTCGGCCATCTTTGAACCTGACGTCCAGAGTTTTCGGAGAATGATAGTATTTTCTTTTCGAGATTCCCAAGATGCGGCCGGGTGACATTGCAAGAGTGGTTATGATTGTAGCTGAGACCAGAGCGGCGACGAACGGGTGTTGTTCAGCGTATTGGAAAAGAACTTGCAGGGTGTCTATGGCCATCTCCTGTGATGCGTGGTGCTTGACGACTAGGGGCCCATTGGCTCGAGATATGCAAGAGGACTAAGAATTCATGGCCTGCGACATTAAATACGGCAAACTGAAATGTCGATGTCACTGCGAGGTGTAAGCTACCTGACTCCATGGTAGTACTCCGTACCCGGGACTCACAGTAAGAGCAGAGTCTTTGATGACATAAAACAACCCTAGCAGCCACCATTGTCGGGCCGGCCCGTGATAGCCAACTTGTTAACGCTGCAACCTCCTAGCGTCTTATGCCTCATGACCTCCTCTTTCCATCAGGGCATTCACCCTTTGTATCTCAATTCGTGCTTACATCCTACGGCACAATCGAAGACCAATCCGCAGGCAATACGTCCGTACGGAAATACCAGAGAGCATGCTTGGCGCAAACGCGTCGCGGCGCAAATCGTCTTCGTGCGTGAAATTTCCCGCCGCTTAGCCAGCGAAAAAAACGCGACTTTGGATTGTGCAAATCGCGAAAGAGTATTTCAACGGATGTGAATTGATCAAAGGCTTTGTTTGGATAAAATTCTCCCAATCCACACTTCGCGATACGCCTGATAGTGCCAGTACCCTGTCAGTACTTATACGTCCGCGCAATTCGCGTGGTTGCGCCAGGGGAACGAGGCAGGAGCGACAGGTCGACAGTGAAGCGCGTGCCTTCCTGTTTTGTCGCCACCATGGATCCCAATTTTCCTATCAACATGTATTCCAGCATGGACTACCTCTACGACGACAGTCTCAACCTGAACTATCCTCAGGCCTCCGGCCAGCCTCAATTTCAACATCAGCCTCAGGTGCCCGCCCAGCCTTTTCTTCAGCAACGTCAAGAGCCACAACACCAGCCTGTCCCTGAATTCCGACATCAGTTCCAATACCAGAACCACTCTCGGCCTTCTCAGCCTTATCAACATCCACAACTACAATCACATCCTCAACCGCAACCTCAACCACAGCCTCAACCTCAATCATACACCCAGCCACGTCCACAGAATTATCCTCAATACCATCAAAATCAAAATCAAAATCAAAACCAGTCCTCTCAACCCGATTTCCAAACTGATTATGCTCAGTTCCAGCAGCCATTCTATCAACAGCCACCGGCAAACTCTCCTCTTGATCAGCGCCATCTGCAGCAACACGCCCAATACACCCACCAACCCGTGATTCAACGCCCTCAGCCTGTTCCTCAGCCTGTTCCTCAGCCGTTGGCCCAACCTGTTCAACGGCAGTTTCAACTTCAACCGCTTCTTCCTCCGCCCCCAGCACCCAAACAGCGACCACCATCACAATCACCTATCCAATCGAATTTTGAGACTGTCATTCCCTCCCAGAAGCATCGATCCCCTTCAATACAATCACATCAGCAACCCAAGTTTGAAATTGTCAACCCCTCACAGAAAGGTCGATCTCCTTCACTAACATCACATCAAACACACCAATCACATCAGCATCAAACTCATCTTCAGTCCACAGTACGTCACGAGCCTCAAGGCCAAAGCCAAAAGAAATCTCCATCATCAAAGCCACCACATCGTCCAGGGCCACAGTATCCTCCGCAGGTAAAGCAGGAGTTTCCTTCTCAGCCGCATATAATGAGCAATCAGCGACTTCCCACCACTGTCTCGCTCGAGCAGATACAGATACAACCGCCCAAACCCCCTCCGCCTGTGATTTCTCATCAAGTGCAAGCTTCACCACCCCAAAGCAAGTCTCGAATTCTACAAGCTGTCGAGATCACAACGAAACCAAAACAACCAACCGCAAAAACCCCGGAGCTCCAAGATATACCAGTCAAGACCGACCTCCTCGAGCCTGAATACCCCACACTCCTATGCGCGCTCGCGGATGACTACCTCTCTATAGCGCGAAAGCTGCCTGAAGTGACAGATGAATATCAGGAATTAGTTGCGTTGGCTCTCGGCTGCCTCGAATCAGCCCTCGCCAATCTAAAACTTCAGCCCCTCAGAGAAGCGCAGGCCTCCCTACGATATGCACAGGTACTCTACGAGGAAACTGAAAATTACGACGAGGCTGAGACACAACTTACCAAGGCTATTGAGCTCTGTGAGCGCCACAAGTTTGTCGATCTCAAGTATGAGATGCAGTTGCTATTGTCCAAAGTACTATACCAATCTAAACCAAAAGCTGCACTCAGGGATATACAAAGAATGATAGATGACATCCAGGCATATCGCCATACTGCTTGGCAATATCTCTTTCGGTTTCAACACGTCATGTTCTCATTGGCCTCATCGTCCTTCGGAGACGCTCATAATGCAACGACACAATTAGAGAAGATCTCCAATCTGGCGCGACAAAATTCGGATTCCGTTATTCTCGCATTCGCAGCTGTCATTGAAGCATTATTGCATCTCTCAAGTTCCAGTCAAGACGCAATCACTGCCACGCAAAGCGCGTTGGCAAAAGCCCGAGCGCTGCAACTCAATCCAGATGTCGAAGCGATTCCTCAAATGACAATCGTCATGGAGTTTATTGATCTAGCAAGCAGTGTGCAGGAGTGCAACATTGTGCAGACGGAGCAAAAGCGCAAGATTTTACATGATGTCCTCTATGATGCAATCGGGAATACCAACTGGCGTGCAGATGGTCTCATCCACCTTCCCATCTCCAAACGCTCGTTGGCAGGAGTCCACGTTTCAACCAGTGGGCACATTTTTGAGAAGAATGGTAGGTACTTCATGGGTTTCTTATGGCTGCTCAAAGAGGAGGCCGAGGCTTTGGGATTCCTTTTTAGTGCCGACAGTGCCGCCCATAAAAACGGCCATGATGGCAAAGCTGAAAAGTATGCTAAAAGCGGACTTGCTCTTGTACGAGGCTGGCAACAGCCTCTCCTGTCTGAGATCTATGAGCAATCCGATCGTTCATTCATAGGACACAAGCTACTAGAAGCCCAATTTCTTTGCCTGATCGCTTTCATGTTGTCTGCGAGAGGCCGATGGGAAAAGGCTGACAAAGCTGTTACCGAGATTTCTCAGATAGCGGAAAGCCTCAAGGGCAGTTTCCCTACTAGCATGATGTCTGGCATGCTTTATCTGAGGGGTATCATTTTGCAAGGACTTGGCAACACAACGGCGGCATTGGCAGTCTATCAATCAGGCCCTCTCGCGCTTGTTCCCCAGCAGGATTCGGCTCCTCATGAAGTCAAAATCCACCATAGAATTTCTCGCGCCTATTATCCGGCCTCTGACGCTACCCGGAACTTCAGAGTCCTTGCAGCCATGAATGCTGCATTCATCATTCAAAACCCACGACACCCGCAGCACCATCGACTCTCATCCCTCCTTAGCAGCATCAGACCCATTGCAGAGGGCTCTGCAAATAAACACATCAAGGCTCACTATTCACTGATGGTTTCTATTTTGTCAACCACTACACTTACCGTCAAGCAATATCTAAAAAGTGCCATGGATGCAGGAAGGGCGACTGGAAGTGCGATGACGACGGCACTTGCCCTGATTTATATGCAACAGAAAATGTTCAAAGGAACCGTGGACGAGCAGGCACTTAAATGTGCACGAGCGGCAACTCATCAAGCCCGGCGATGGGGTGATCCCATGTGGACACATGTGGCTGCTGGATTAGAGGCTGAAAGCCTCGAGATTAATGGCTTGACGGAAGAAGCAATGAAAAAGAAAATCGAGGCAGAGTCACTCTGGGATGGTTTGCCTGAACTTGTCAAGAATGTCTAGTCTACCTAGATGAGGCTTCTATGAATCTTGAAAGATTTATGAACCCCGAGAATGTTCCAACCAGCCAGCCGATGAGGGGAATGATTCAGTGTTCCTGGGTTGCATTGTAAATGTCAGATGGCTATGTGAATGACTTTGATGGTCTTTATTCAATGTACTCGGGGAGAGGGGCTAAATAACTCATCGGAGTGGTTCAATGCTTCAAGCAATGATATTGTGGTGAAAGTTTGCGCATTTACTTCCTCAATCAGGTTTAATCATGTAATTATTGGATATGTACCCTATTATTCGGTCGGTGCATTGCAACAGACATCGCCTCCCAAGTGTCTGCTCTGAGTACCGAGTACCGAGTACACGAACTCTTCAGCAGTCCTCCTCCGCATCGCTAGGTTGCTCGAATCGACCAGGCGAGCTAACGACCCAAGCACTCAGTAGATTCCCTACTAAGCGATTTACGTGGGTCCTATATCGGCAATTGAAAGCTAACGTCAAAACACAAACCAAGTATATAACTTTCTTCAGAGAACTTCATTGACACACACGACCATCGATTTCTTCGGGCTTTCGGCATTATATCAAGGAGGGAAACTAGTATCACGGACTCAGCACAACAAAGCACAACGTGGGAGCCAACATGGCTTCTATCCCCACCACCACCACATTCCCAAACACAGCTACTGTGCAACGGCCACACTATCCCATCGGCATCCCCACGAAATTCGATCCGGATGGTGTGGCGCAACGCTACCCTGGAAACACCACGGTGTGCCATATACCAGTGAATTCGCCTCTCATCGACGGGCTCAAGACGTTATACAACAAGTTCGAGTCCCATCCAACTCTCTCCGACCGCATTCTCCTCTTACCGCCGAGCTCATGGCACATGACGGTTCTCGACGGCGTCCGTGAGACCGAGTGCGAGCCGGGCATGTGGCCGGATGGGATGCCTAAACCCGACCTCGACGACTCCACGAAGGACCTCGCGTGTCGCCTGAGGCAGCTCGGCCCACGCCTAAGACAGGACGGCCTGGCACCGCCGTATCGGATGAGGGTCCGAAGCTTCGACCCTGCCACCGGCGGCATTGCGTTGGTTGTCGAAGGCGCGACTGCCGACGAGGAAAAGCGGATGAGGAGGTTGAGGGATCTCCTCGCCGACACTGTAGGCTTCAAGGCGCCCAACCACGATCAGTATCTATTCCACGTGACGGTCGCCTACCTGCTCCGGTATATTGATGGCGACGACTACGAGCAGTTGCAGAGAGACTTTGCACGGCTGCTTCCTCCTCTCCAGCAGTTCGAGTTCGAGCTGGGCGCGGTGGAGTTTTGCACGTTTGAGACCATGCTGGCTTTTCCCAGACTCTTCTATCTCGGCGAGGATGAGGATGAGAATGGAAGAGTTGCTCAAGCCTAGAATCTAGAATCTAGATGGAAAGGCCAAAGGTTAAAGATCATCTCGTTGAAGATAGATAGGTTTGGATTCGAATAGATAATATCAACTTCTACTGCGCTCTTAAAAAAAAGTACTCGTGCCACGCTGGTGTACAGATTCACCTCCAAAGCCGTCGCTGAGGCCATCGCTACCTGTCTCAGAGCAAGGCAGAATAACAGTAACAACCGCTTGCCTGCCAGGTTGGACTGGCAGCTGTGACTCAGTGTGCATGTGGTGCTTATACAGTAGCAACTGAGAACGATATAATTGCATTTCCACCTGTTAAAAAGCATTACTCCCTCTTAATCCGTTGTATCGCATGACTCGAGGAGTCCATGAGTTCAATTTGCATTCGCCTTCTTGATCGCCTGGGTAGCTAGTATGTACCTGCCCGCCAACTCTGGCGAGGCAATATTACTGTCAACCTCCTTCGGGACATGTTACATCAAACTTCCAGACAGAGAATCTGATAGAAAAGGCTTGAAAATCATGGATCAAGCTAAAAGGGTGTGGGAACTGTGAACAACTGCAGTCGCAGAGTTGACTCTCTCTTTCTCTCACACACATTGATCCTTGTCCGTCGAGACTCTACTCGTATGTACGCCCATTGAATATCAAAGAGTGGCACCTCGTAACCCACCTATAAGCGAGCGAAGCCCGATCGGCTATCGGCAAAAGTGGAGCTTTTTCAACACCCCGTTGAAGGTGTCTGACTCTCGAAATTTGACTACCGGAATTTGGGTGCTTGGGTAGGAAAAAACCTTTTCTCCCCCGTCGCCAAAGCAAGGTTTCATACCTAGAAATTAAAAGAGGTAGTTTCCGCAACGAGGGCACGTGGCCAAGATCTTGCTTGTCGCTGGTACAGTAGTACTTACCCAGACTTCGACACCACTTTCCTTGCCCAAGTAGCTATTGCGTCCGCAAGGTCATGCCATGGCCGAGCCGGTAGAATACAAAATTTTAATATTGCCAATATTATGCTGGAACACTTGGTTCGCGATAGCGTTCGCGCGATCTAGAGCTCAAGGTTCCTTCTGCTCAAAAGGCTAATATATAAAACTGGCATTGTCTTGTCTGCTGTCTAGAAGAACATAGCTGTTGTCAAGCAGCTCTTCAAGAGAAAGGACTACGCACAACTTTCACCCCTCAATCAGTTTTACCACAAGAGTTCATCGGGAAACTAGAAAGACCCCTAAAGAACAGTCGAGCAAATGGGTTAGCAACAGGGCACCACCGCCGTTGGCAAGACAGGAGAGGAGGGTCTTGAAGCCTTGCCAGTAACCAACTGGTATCGCGTTGGCGGACGCTCAAGATGGCAATGCTCAAGAGCACGATTTGACCTTCTTCCAGGCTCTCAAGCTGTACCCATGAGGCGTCATGTGGAGCATCGGCATGTCGACCGCGGTGATCATGGAAGGCTACAACACCAAGCTGTTGGGCACCCTGTTCGCGCAGCCGGCCTTTCAAAAAGCATTCGGACATCGCGTCAAGCAGAACTCTACCAGATCTCGGCACCCTGGTAGGTCGGCCTGGGCAACGGCTCGGTTTGTGGTCAACTGCTCGGCCTCCTGTGCGCTGGCTACCTCAGTGAACGGTACGGTTTCCGTAAGACTCTGATGAGCGGGCTCTTCACCGCCGTCTTCTTGATCTTCATCCAAGTTTTCGCACCGAACCTCACGGTCCTCCTGGCCGGACAGATCCTGGTTGGTGAGCCTATCTTCTATATTATCTTTCTCAAGCGTGGCCGGAACTATTGTTGATTTTCATCATAAAGGCGTGCCTCTAGGGCTATTCCAGACCACCACCGTCATCTATGTATTCGAGGTCACCCCATTGTGCCTGAGGCCATATTTGACGAACTATGTCAACTTTTGCTGGGTGTGGACCAACTCCCTTGATCTTCAACCCGCGCTTTGTTGATTCTCCGACTGACAACCACAGGCATTTGAGCAGATCATTGCGACAGGAGTGCTTCGAGGCACGTTGCTAATGGCTACTAAATGGGCATACAAGATCCCTTTTGCATTGCAGTAAGGCTCCAATTTGCTTCTCTCCTATTGACTCGACAGTCCCCGAAGGTGTGTTGACTAACCAAAAAAATCACCACGCAGGTAGGTCTGGCCTGTGATTCTGATTTCAATTGTGTATCTGGCACCCGAGTCGCCATGGTGGCTTATTCGAAGAGGCCGATTGGATGAAGCGAGGACGATCATGAAACGACTCACCTCCGCCAGGAACATCAACTACGACCTAGAGAAGAATCTCAAATTGATGGTAGCAACCACCGAGGACGAATGCGCACTCGATAGCAGAACCACTTACTGGGCTTGCTTGAGTGGCCCGAATCTTCGTAGGACACTCATTGTCATTGGAATATACTGCATTCAAACGTTTAACGGAAACCTGATTCGCGGATACTCGACATACTTCCTCCAACAAGCTGGCATGGCAACAACTAATGCTTTCAACATGACCATTGTTGGATTCGCCGTCGCCATAATCGGTGGCTTCTTCTCGGTGAGAGCCTTCCCTTGAACCAAGTTGGGTTTTGTTTGGTGTTGGGACGTTGTTACGCTAACTCAATTCTCTCGGTGGGATCTCTTACCGCTCTTTGGGAGACGAACCATCTACTTCTGGGGCGTGTGCTTGATGTTCGTGCTCATGCTTCTCATCGGATCACTCGGGGTGCCACAGGCACAAACGCACGAATCGGCATACTCGTGGGCAATCGGGTGCGTGTTGATCAGCTCATCGTTCCTATATAACTGCTCCATCGGTCCGTTGACCAATACCCTGTGTTCGGAAATCCCATCGGCGTTGCTTCGCAGCAAGGCCCTCGCCATCTCCCGCTGGACTTATGTGCTGACTGGCATTGTTGCTGGGCCCCTCACCCCTTACATGCTCAATCCGACCGCATGGAACTGGTCAGCAAAGACCGGCTTCTTCTGGCCCGGACCTTGTTTCCTGTCCGCAATTTTCACTTTCTCTTTCGTCCCCGAGACTAAGAACCGAACTACCACCGAGATGGATCTATTGTTCGAGATGAATATCACCCCACGCGCTTTCTTTAAGCAGCACGTAAACCTCACCGCTACTGCTAATACTAACGTTGAGGAAGTGGGTCGGACACTTCAGATGGAGAAAATCCGTTAAGGCTTAGGAAGGACACGTGCGGTAGGCCTTCACACGCAATTTTGCTTTGATGGCAGGGCGAGGGTTCGATGAGTGAGTTTCAACTACCCCTGCACACACAGTCACAAGGCATGTAGGCTGGTTTAAGTACCTGACCATGGATTTCCTGGAGAAAACAGCGTCCATAAAGACGATGATTTTCTCACATCGATTGGATAGCATTGGTGAGAGGGCGCTGGGTCTATCTTTGAGTGCTGTTGGTGCGGGTGTTGCCGGACATATTTCCTTCGTTGAAGCATTGGTAAAACCCCATCAAGTGGGCCAATTCGAATTGAACTTTCTTCCAACAAAATCATATTCTGTATCCTCGAAAAGTCCGGTCCCGAGATCTCGCAAGTACTCGGTGATGCTGTCGCCTGTAGTGATTCATTTTCTCGATATGGGGCTTCGGAGTCTCATCTAACACTACTGCTGGGTACTGCTGCAATTGTCCGAGGATTTCTTTCCATACAATTCCAAGACATGGAAATAACCATTGATCAAATTGCAAAAATCTGAAAAGGTTCCCTATGAACAAAGATCGAATTTAAAGTGCCTTCCAAGCAGGAGACTACGGGCGTGGATTTTGGCCCGGATTGACGCCAATACCAACACCAGCGCTACAAGAATGGTGGAGGCACGCCAAAGAACCAGATACAGAAATATTTGGAAGTGACCCGCCTCTCTTTGCGTAGCTGCGCATCGGAGAGGGCTTTTGCAAACGCGGCAAAAAAGTCACTCCGGCATATGGGGTTGTGGATATCTCTCAACTTTTGCACCGCCCAATCACTCTTGTCGGCGTCCATGCACTCGATGGCATATAGAAACAAGGGGCGCAGGTATCCAGCACGCAACTGGCCATGCTTGTCATGTGCCGCATTGCTGTTTTCGCCGTCGATCAGGTTGCGGATCTCGCGCATGCCTTCCTTAGAGCCTGTGGGTTCGGCAACAGGATCACCGATGAGACGGGTCATTTCGATGAACTCAGCATGATAGGCGGCAGTGCAGAGTCCAATGAGGGCGACCAAGGGCTCGGCGATAGTGGGCGAGAGGTTTGCCAGGAGGTCTTTGGGTGTTTGGCACTGGGTCACAGATCGTGTGTCCCAGAGGTTTTGGAGTTTCGATGTGAGCAGAGTGATTTGCTGTGAGACTTCATCTTGATCGGCTCCTGTGGTTCGTGAGCGATGATAGTGGGTCAGTTGAGCTATCTCGCCGGATATCTCTTGCAGTTGCAAGTAGAACTCAAAAATTGGCCCGCTCAGCATTTCATAGAGATGAGTCGCGGTGTTAGACTGGTGCTTTGGGTCGGGCTTGAGATTAGGCTGCCCGGGTTTGAAGGTGGGGAAGAGACCGAGAACTTGTTCGGAGATCATCCCCATGCCACCTCCACGCAGTGTGGTGACCTGAAGGATCCTCAACCATAGCATTAACCTCATAGGAAGCTCCCCAAGGCAGTGGTGGTGCTGAGGCCATGTCCTTAATTGTTCGAGAAACGCTTCACTGGGCTCTTTGAGAAGGCAGACCTCCTCGTAGTGAAAGAACGAGAAAAGCGACAAGAGAAAAGCAACAACCAAAGTTGCAGGAAAATCTTGAGGGTCTCCGTGCTCTACTTGGTGGTCAAAAGCAGACCTAGCGTCGTGATAAAGGGAGATGGCCTTTGACAAAGGCAGGTTGTACAGCTGGGCCTTGTAGAGTGCAGAGACAGAGATAATGGCCAAAGCGACAGTGCGATTCGCCAACCCCATTTCCACTACATGGTGCTTCATTCGTTGCCAATTGACGTTGTCGAATGGTGTGAGTACATGGCACTCGACAGAATCAAGAAAGATGGAAAATAGCGGCTGCAGTGGAACTTCACGAGCGGTCAATATGTCCATAGTCGTCGTCAACTTGATATCCCGTGATATGAGGACGGAAGGTAAATCTGCCTCCCCCTCCACATCATCACTGGTTAAGGCAGAGGTCTGACTCTGACCGCGCAGTACATCAATTAGCCGATTTGTGACTTGGACGATAGATTCGTCTGGAGAACGAAAACGATCCTCGATGGTGATCGGAAATACTTGGGTACCATCCTCCGGATAGGGTTGTGCTTTAGCGAAAACATGTCTTGGATGTTCGATCGATAAGCTAGGGGCTAGAGCGGATGTAGACGCTGTGGTTTGTGAAGCATCTATCGAGCGGGAGCCTATTTGGTTCTGAATTGTTGGGTGATCGGAGTGCCGGGTTTTGGCATTGTAGACACATTGCCGCTTCAGCCTCGTGCAATTGGCACACTGGGGCCGCAATTCGTCGCATTTCACCTTCCTGGACCGGCATGTGAGGCAGCCGCTCCGGACCCGGGAACGGTAAATAGTTTGCTGTGGGCTCACCCAGCCGTGGGTGTCTGGTCCTTGTACTGTTGCTGTTGTGGGCATGTTGATCCTGCTTATCGGCCGCGGATCGAGAGGACGTTGTTGCCCGATGAAGCTATGTCTAGTCAAAGCGATGTTAAAGAGGATAAACTAGATGTCAACGGAAGGTACTGGTTCGAGGATTGATAGCTCGATGCGAGCGAAGACATCCCTAACACACGCCGATAGGCGAAAATACATGCCCGAGGCTTGACGTGGAGCTCAAATTATCCGGTGCGTGGCATTCCTCGCCTCCTCGCCTCTGAGGAGTGGGTGGAGCTCGGTTATCGGCTAGAGGACGCCCTTTCCTGGAAAGGCTTGTTGGCTCGGCAAAGACTAGCCGATACATTAAGCTTTGCTCTGCTTCTTAGGGCGGCCAATTGGCCACTGAACGTGCTCAATGGTAAAGCTAAAGCACGTGCATGGCTGGGACTCTCCGACTTGGTCACTCCCCTGAACTCACATTCGCGTAGCTCGTGCCGATATCAAGACAGGTACTGTAAGTAGACAGTGGACTTTTCAATAGACTAGACTTTCGATGTCGGATAATATGATACTTGAGTCTTTGCCATACCTTCAGATTGTGCTTAAACACAGCAGAGCAACATGGACGGTCAAGAGTCCAGGGTGATAAAAGGGCCTTTGCGAGAGATGCTCTTCAACGTGAGCTCCCTCCTCGGCCATTCTCTCAAGGTAAAAGCCAGACCAGAGGATGTCTCATGATCTACTGGATATCTGTGCCTGTCTCACAGAATTTGCTGAGGAGGCTGGTGAAATCATTCTCAAGGCCCAGAGATCAAGACCTGTGATCACGCAGAAAAAGAACAGCAAGAGCTGTGTTGCATCCGCATCCTCCTTGTCCTCAGCTAACCGCCTACCTGCTCTAGCCGCCGACATCGTGACACCAACAGATCAGGAAGTGGAAGAATTTGTTCGACAGTCACTTGCGAAGCGTTATCCCGACCTCGAATTCATTGGTGAAGAGACGTACAAGACAGGAATGCAGATTTCAGATCGCCCCACGTTTATCGTCGATCCTATCGATGGGACGTCGAATTTCGTCCACTCATTTCCGGACGTGTGTATCTCGATTGGTCTACTAATTGTCAGGAGACCTGCCGTCGGTGTCGTATACAATCCCTTTCGGCAAGAGTTGTGGTACGCAGCACGCGGCCACGGGGCTTTCACTCAAATATTCCATGGCGAGAGGCAAAAGCTCCCGTTTGTTTCGGCGCCTTTGCAAGGCCTAGATGCTGCCAGCGTTGGGATAGAATGGGGAAGTGATAAAGAAGGCCCAAATTTCAAACTCAACTTAGTAGTATTTACAACCTTGGCTCGCACCGCTGCAACAGGTAGCCGCTTTATCAACTCATTGAGATGCACTGGCTCCGCGGCAATCACAATATGCAGAGTCGCTACGGGCCAGCAGGATGCTTTTTGGGAATGTGGTTGTTGGGCTTGGGACGTTGCCGGCGCTTGGTGTATCTTGGTCGAATCTGGAGGAATCATGATTGACGGTCACCCTGGGCAGTGGACGGCGCCCATTGACAATCGCCGCTATCTCGCCGGAAGACCTGCGACGACCGGGCAGCGAAAATTCATACAGGACTTCTGGTCCGTTATCGGAGAGAATAGATCCACTTATGGCCCGCCAGACGTGAGGGTGTCTGATTCCAACTGAACAGGTTATTCTTACTCTGTAATTGATTCATCAATGCCATGTTAGTACCCAATTATTGAAAGATTCAACCCGCCAGGTGGTGCCCAACGGAACTTTTCTACGGGACCATTATCGCGGTGGGAAAAATAGAGGACGGAGCCGAAACATGGAGACAGACTGAAAAGAACCGGGACTGACATACGATGTGGCAATTAAGTTCCAGGAACTGCGGGATCTGGATTCGTGTCTCATGGCGTCTTTCTAGGCTCCTTGATTAGTTAGCTTGCGAGCAGACAGTTCATCAGAATCATTGTCATCGTCTTTCTCTTCTTTCTGAGATCGGTTTTGTCGTGTGCATACACGCGTCTCTCGAGTCTCTTTACTCATACATGCTCAATTATTGGCCGCCCAAGCATCTCAGAGTGGGCGGGGCATCAACACAGACCCCTTCACACCGAATCTTTTCACTTGGGAGACTTGTTACCTGCCCGGCTGAATAGTTCGGCAAAGACGCTTTCGTTGATAGGCGACTCGCTGCGTTGACTATTATTCTCCTTGAGGTGAGTGTTCTTCATGGTTCGATTCATTTCTTCCTCAAGCACATCTAAAAGAGAGGATTCCTTGGTGACATCTGATCCATGGTCCGTGGGGGTGGATATTAGGGGGATTTGAGGGCTGTAGGAGATATTTTGAGCCAGTTCGGTGGCCATATGATCGACGCTTTGGAGACTAGCGGTACAACTACTTTCACCCGGTAGCTGCTCTTGAACATTCCGCTGTGTCTTTTGATCGATGGTTTCGTCCACAACACCAGGAGCCGATCGCTTACCGGTCTGCCATTCACGGATCAATCTTGAAACATCAACCTGCCATTTAAGTTCTTCAAGCCTCTGTTCCAAAGACTTCAATATGGCGATCTCTTGCAGTTGCCAAGAGCGAAGGGCAGCACCGCCCTCTTTTGGAGCATTGTTCTCGAATTCGGGCACCTGAACGAGATTGTGAGGCTGTGCGGCTGCTTTGAGACGACTGTCATCGACGAGTACGGTGTTTGTCTGATCCCACCTCTGTCCTGGTCCTGCTGATGCTCGAATGATTGGATCATTCCAGATCTTGTCCAATTTCTTGTAAACCTGAACTTTGGCATTATATTGGTCCTCATCTAGCTCCAATTTATCTCTTGCCCAGATACCCGCCAGCTGAGTCTGTTGTCTGGGATGGAATAACTTTTTGACAATCCCTTGTACATTTGCAGGTCGGGCAGACGAATATACCATGACAACATGATTAGCGAAGAGATATTCAAGTAAACTGGTGACTCCTGGTCGTAACTTAAACGACATTGGGTTCTTCCCGTTTTTGGGTCTGACTAGGAGAGTGCCGTTAAGATCAAGGATGACTAGAAGGTTCTTGGGTGAACTAATTGCCTCTGGCAATCTTCCAGCATCTTTCAAATATTTGGCTGTTGCCAATGGACGTGTCGGAGGTTTGACATTGGGAGGGGTTCGGCTGTAGCTGCGGCGGTCTGCAAACCTCGGGGGAAGCGACGAGGGAATAAGATTTGTTGACGTGCGGAGTGGAACGAAACCTGATTCGATGGACGAAATTGGAGTATTTGCAGAGAGCTGGCGTGGAGTGCTCTGTCCCCCTTGTCGACTGTGTAAAGGGTATCTGTAATTCGGGCTCTGAGGCTCTTGGAGGGCCTGCTGTAGAATTTGTCTTTCGCGAACACCATTCGAAACTCTGTAGGGTTTGTCAACTCGATAATTAGGATATCGAGCGCAATTGTGGACTAACCTCCGAGGTTGATAAGGAGTGAAGGCAGGGGCACGGGCGTTCAAGCCGAGCTGAGCGGAGGTCGGGATGTTTCCATTAGACGAGCCCAGAGGTTGGTAGGGGTTTGATGTGAGCGAAGACTGGAGATTGAGGTCATCGTCCTTGTATGCCCTCCAAGAGTCCACTGTTTCATAGGTGTTAACCCTGTTCTCATACTCATGTTCATGGTAGACATAGAGTTCACCTTGGCAAATTTGCTCTGCTCGGCTGGGGTGCATGGCTCCTGGAACGTTCCCGGAATGTCGCTGTCGCTGCACAGGGGGGCGACCAGGGACAATAGCATTTTTTTGCGATCGATTACGCCGGCCCGGGCCCCGGGCTTCGCTAGACATGATGAGAGGCAGGCAAGAGGATCGAGGGCAAGAACTTGGTGCTATGCAAAAGAGTTGCCACTGAGATATGCTGTTAGCTCGACCAACAAGGACCAAGAGGAACGAAGGTGACAGTAAAGTGAGGCAGACTTTTTGTGACAATCCTGGCTCCAAAGAGATGCTTCGGGCGCGCGTGATGGGCAGGTGAAAGGCAGGTGCCTTCTGCTGCTAGCGCGAGGGTGAAAGGGAGGGCGCTATATGCGGGGAAAGGAAAAACTATGGTCGGTAGGTTGGAAGACACAACCAAATGAAAGAGGCAGTGAAAGTGAAGTTATCGTGTCAGTAAACGTGTTGATATCCGCCTGACCATTGCGGGCGAGAAATACTGCCCAAATAAATCTTCGGGGATCGATCTAGCCTAATCCAGTAAGGCCGATTCTATTTTCGCCGACGTCACTTCTGGACGAAAAAAAAGTCCAGGTGAGGATGAGATCCCTCTTCAGTTAATGTTCCATGAATACCATCGCAATGGCGACAATACCCTCATTTGATCGTCCTGTTCAATTGCGCAATGATTTCACGGATGAAGAAGATGACCTAGAGGGCTTCGAAGGTACTGCATCTGAAGATGACCGTACAGAAGGGGAGTCATCGGAGTCTCGTCATTCCGACTCAGATACACACTCCGGGCCCTCTTCAGGTTCAGAAGAAGCCGACGAGGGACAGCCTTTGAACGAAATAAGTTTTGGTGCACTGGCGAAAGCACAAGAATCTTTTAATCCCAATCCTCGAAAACGAAAGCTGGCCGACACAGCTTCAGAGACTCACGGGAGACAACAAGATGACTTCTTTGACACCCGCAAGAGGTCCAAAGAAGCCCGTGTTCAAGCACCAAAACGCTCATCTAAGCATGCTCCAGCTGTCGAATCAGCCAGAAAGCCAGTGTCGAGGACGCGGGCGGTCTTTGACACCTCCACAGCCTTGAAATTTCGTGATCCTCGCTTTGATCCTACAGTAATGTCTGCGAATAGGGACAGAAATGCCGTTGACCGTGCCAATAAGAACTATTCTTTTCTATCCGCGTACCAGGCTTCTGAGATCCTCGAGATGAAATCTCAGATCAAGAAATCCAAGGACCCTCGAGCCATCGCTCAGTTGAAACGACAAGTCATGTCCATGGAAGCCAATGCCAGAAACGCCGAAAACAGACAGAAAGAAAATGAGATCAGGAGCAAACACAAGCAGCAAGAAAAGGTTGCCCTTAGTGCTGGCCAGAAATCTAAGCCGTACTACTTGAAGGATGCAGAGGTCAGGAAACTTGTCAAAGAGGAGAGGCGACAGAATATGGGCAAGCAGGCTCGCGACAAGTCTGACAAACGAAAAGTTAAAAGAGAAAAGGGCAAAGAAGCGAGGGACATGCCCAGGGCAAGACGAGACAGATAAAGGACGAGGCTACCTAGTTTGAATCCTTCTTGGTACAATTCATCCTTGCAAATCCATATCAACCACCAGCTTCCCACCAACTCCCTTGTGGTAGTCCTCCACCAGCCTGTTCAACTGCTCCAGTGGATATGTCCTGATTTTGGCTCGGACATCGTTCCTGGCCGCGAAATCGACCATGGCCTGCAACTGCCGATTCCTGCCCGTCAAGACGCCTAGCAGCCGAATATGTCGAAAGACCAAGTCACCCGGCTTAAAGCGCCAGCCATCCTTGGGGAAACTAACGGCGACACAAGTCCCGTGATTCTTCAGCACTCCCATTCCGAAATCAAATGCTGCTTGCGACTCCGGTAGAATGAGAACAGAGTCCACGCCCTGCTCACCCTCACGACATGCGGCGGCTTCACCAAAGATCTTACGCTTGACAGCATCCACCGACTCGGTTATGGCATTGACGACCGTGACTCTTCTTCCCTCCTCGCCAAGGTCTGAGATAACCTCTTGCAACATCCCCATCGCTGACGTCGTGTCGACCGCAACGACGTTCCAACCCAACTTGGCCGCAAACTGCACTCCCAGGTGGCCCAAACCACCACCCGCCCCGACGATAGCAACATACTTGCCCTCTACACCCGCACCGCCAGAAGAGCTCTTCACTTCCGCAGCGGCAGTCTCAAGCGCATTCCATATCGTCACACCGGCACACATCAGCGGCGCGACATCGACCGGCCTCAAATCGCCCTGATCTGGCACCCTAGCGACCTGCCTCACATCAGCGAGACACAGCTCCTGAAAGCCACCGTCCTTGGTCAAGCCGAGATTCCCTGCGCGGGGGCACCAGACACCATAGCCGTCCAAATCGCCCCCATTTTCCGTACACTCAGCACACTCCCCACACGGGCGATACGCACGGCCAGGGACGCCGACGAGATCACCGATCTTGACACCGGTGCGAGCCGCGACTTTCTCGGCATCGGGCCCCAGGGCTTCCACCACGCCCGCGAATTCATGCGACCCGATCCGCGGAAGGCCCTGCTGCATCTGACCGGACGCGAACACCGCGTCTGTGTGGCAGTACGATGCGGCCTTCACCCGGATGAGCACATCGTGGCCCTGTGGGGTTTCTGGCACGGGATGCGTCGACGAGAAGGTGTATGGCTGGTTGAAAGCTTCGAGGATTTGGGCCCGCATCGTGCCGGGCGGCATTGGGGGTGGTGTTGGAGGCGAAGGGCGTGTGGTGAGAGTATCTGCGTTATTGCCAGCAGTGGTACCAAGCCGCCGTCGCCCTTCTCCTCTTCCTGGCCGGGGCGCACGACGCAGATATGCAAGATTCACAGAAGGGAGTCCCACTGTCGAAATCGAAGAAGCAGGTGTAGCAGTGGGGAAGCGGAACCGAACCGGGAACCGTACCCGCTGTCCACTACTCAATCTCGATCGCCAGACCAAACAATAGTAGTGCAAGGCCAGCTTTTCCTTCCTCGTTTCTCGTCCTGCTTGAGCGTGTCCCTACAAAGTAGGCTGGGAGAAGTAGACTGGTAGAGAATCCGAGCACTTCCTCGTTCCTAGGAAGCGGGACGGCAGTGCTAGGTAGGAGTTCGTCAATGACTTGCGGAGGAGCCGCTTTTGACTTTTTTGCACGGGTGTCGCAATGTTACCCCAATTCTCTTATAGTATATGGAGGTTGCCCATTCTCTTGCTCCAACATTCTTCGAACCTCGAAGAGTGAGTTGGAGAGAGCCAAGCGGTGCAGCACATGTGACTCCTTCGGGGAATATGTGGAACGACTTCTTGGGTCATGCATGAAGTACTCGGGATGTACTCCGTACTCCGTGCTAAATAAAAAAGACCAAGCAGATGGGGCTTCTCTCGATAACGATAAGAATATAAATGGCCTTCGTGGTTTGAGCTGCCAAGGGTCGACACTTCCGGATGAAGTCACGATGTCGAGCGCGAGGATGGCTTTGTATAGAGTTTTCCCTTCTTGATTCCTACTTACTCCTAGGCAGTGCTCGGTACCTCGTATTCCATAGACAGATATCGCAGTGCTCGAAGACACACCGGGGCCCCCACACGCCACCGGTCGCCTGCATCAATAAATCCAAGCACATCAAATCAAACAAGGGTCCATTGCCCACAAACCCCAGATACCCATCCCCTTTCATTTTTGGCCTCGTCCCGCCTAAATCCCAACGGTCATCAAGTCACTTCTCCCTGTGGTATATTATTACTAGTCCCAGTCCAGCCAGTCCTTTCATTCGTCTTGTCATTAATGTTGTCCCCATGAAAAAACCTTCATCAGGAAATCAAAAGCAAATTGCGGATAGAAGGCTTCAGACATTTCACCGAACCATTGGCCCAGAAGCGTCGAGTCGGAAGCACCCCAATCGTCGGTGATTCACTGTTCAAAGTAAAAAGCTTGTTCGAATAAGTCATTACGCCACGCAGGGCCGCCCCTATCGTTGCTTGGAAGGGAGAGATATAAAGGCACGAAGCCGCCTTCTGCATATCAAGAATGGAACAGGTCCCAGGCTCTCGAACAAAGGGAAAGAAATTCCTCCTTCTTAGCCCGTTGAGTGGCAGGACTATCACGCCCCTCGCCAAAGGGGCCACTGTATCGAATTCGCTCTCGTCCAGAACCCAAAGGAGGGCTGGACCCTTCGTACTCGTTCCGACTTCGTCGTCGGCTGGTGGGAATGCTCCCAGGATGATATTTATTCGGTGTCAAGTTGTCTTTCCGCCCTGGGTGTGGCGAGGGTGGTGTGGGGGGTTGATGTCCACCATAATGGACAATCTTGGGCAGGAGGTCCTCTCGCCCTCCGGTCATTTCATGTACAGCGTCTTCCGCCGACCTATATTCTCTAGATCGATCATACTGTGCGGCCTGATGTTGAGACATGGGATGAGCAGTCTGTGGCGGAAAGCCAGGAGATGGAAGAGGAGGCCCATGTGACTGCGAAGGAGTTGAGTTGGCATGTAAGAATGGAGGTCGGTTGGGTCCCGGGTTCAGCTCGTTCGCAGCGAAAACGTCAGAGATTGGAGGAAGGCGGTTGCTGGTCTGGATAGCAGGCACATGTTGAATTTGGGAATGTTGGGAGAGGTTGGATGGTTGGTTGTTGATCTGCCTCGACGGAGGGGCGGCATCTCTGCCGGTGAAAGTCTGATTCAGAGGTGCAGATTGAACAACCCGCTCGTTGGCAAATCGCTCTGCGGCCGGAGGAACAATTGACAAACCAGGTGGGGGCCGCTTCTTGGAGTTATTGCCGGTGGTCTTTGGTCCATTGGATGATTCTTCTGTGGACTTTCCTGGATCTGAAGGATCGCCGCGAGCAGACTTCAGGAGCCTTGCCTGGATGATAGATCGTTGCTGGTCTCGGACCGAAATGCTCCGCTCTAATTGTTCCCGCATCGCCGGGTCTTGGGTCTGAAAGCCAGGTGAGAGGCAAGCCAAACCAACGTCGTGAAGTACCAAACCACCACCTGCCGTCATGGGAGTTGCCGAGGGGCGGGAGTTGATGCCATTTGCGATTGAGCTGGTGTTCGTGTTCAAGTCCAACTTCTTTGGTCGGTGACGTGTGCTGGGTTGAAGAGAGGGGGAAGCAGGAGGCTCTTTCTTGACGACGATTTTAGGATGTCCCGCACTACCACGACTTTTGAGGATGTTAGTTCAGGTCCAAAAGCATTGGAGTGTATCGAAGGCGTGACTTACGATTTTGGAGATCGTTTGCCATCCGAGGGAGTTCGCTCGTTGGGATTAAACCCATTGGTAGGCTCTGAAGGCATCTGTCTCTCGTTGGATCGCTCTCTGGCTAATGTGGAGGTTGAGGGTGCCAGAGGAGGATAGCTCCTAGGACTCGGGTTCCGGTCAAGCGCTGGCAATGAGGCGAGGACTGGAGGTGCTACAGCAGTAGACATGGCGGATTTCCAGGTCGCGGGGTTATGAAAAAGGTTGGCAACTGGCGCAGCGGGAGGCAAGCCGAACTCACAGTCCAGCTTCTTCCCTCGAGCGTTACGAGTCTTGACTCTTGAAAGGTCGAGGTAGATGTTAAGGACGAGGACGAGATTGAAATCAGACGCAGACAGCTAAACGAATGGGCTCGCGGAAGGCGAAGCGCGAGGAAGAGGACAGCGATTTGATGTAGGTTCCAGTGCCGGCTCAGGTAGCGAGTGACAGTGGTAGCAAGGATGGTAAAAAGACGATTCGAGGCAAGCGGGAAAGAATATCTGCAAAGAGCAGAATGGGACGAGCAAGCAACGAGCGGCTAGGTCGTGTTGAATAAACCGGCCCTGTAGATTGGTGGGAATGGGGGAAGGAGGTGGGTGATGGAGACAAGACAAGACAAGAAAAGAGATCTGAGGAGGCAGGAGAAATGTTCGAGGAGATGCCAGGCTGGTGGTGTGTGTCAGCTCGGGTGGAGGGTCGCTGGTGGGTGGGCGTGGGCGCAGGAGTGAGAGTGGGAGTGGGAGTGGGAGAAGTACGAGTAGAGGTAGAGGGAGTGAGTGGCTGCGAGCCTGCGACGGGCAGAAACGAAGGCGAGCAAGGTCAAGACTCCAGAGTCAAGAGTCAAGACAGAATCCGATTCAGACTCAGACAAACCCTCTTTAGAGCGTTCACGTCGCCCCTCCCGGAAGCACCAAACTGTCAGGCAGGAGATCGGGTCGTGGGAGCCCCAGCCGAGTGGGCGGCGGGCGACACAGCGACTCCTAGGCACTCCAAGGCAGGCCCCAAGCTTCGGCAATGGGTAGCAGGTAGGGGTGTGTCAGTGCCCATTAACCGGTTTGTGGTTTAGCCCCCGTCATGCCTGGGCAAGCTAAAGTTTCGCGTTCCCAGCTTAAGTCTTCAGCCTGAGGCGCGTGGAACGGAACATGCTAGCAGCCTATGAGTAGCACTAACTTCTTAGGAGTAGTGGGCACGGGACTCAGGAGCCAGGAGCAGGCAGGACGGAGTGGGAGGTGCAGCCTACGAGTAAGGATGATTGTTTTTCCCTGCTAGCGAACAAGTGGTTCGATCTGCCTAAGAGAGTCAAAGTCACCCCCGGTCCCAGTCGCCGCTGCAGTCCCCAGTCACCCACCGTCAACCCCCAAGTCCAAACTAGTAGTCGCAATGGACGAGTACTGTGTACAGGTAGTATGCGTAGCCAACCAGCACGGGCTTTTCCTGGCATTCCATTCCCGAATTGCCCACGTTTCGAACATCGTTAGTGAGTTCAATAGTTGGTTAGTCAGGCCGGGAACCACGCGTGCGTGCGGCAAGTTCAACTCACCTGCCACAGTGCACGAGTCGGAAGATAGCGAACCACCTCCCTAGGTAGCAGTAGCTGCAACTACGAATGCCTGCACACTGGAGCCATTTATCGATCATCCATCTCTTGATTGTTGCGGCCAAGCAACGACATACGGAGTAGTCGTGGTAGCGAATGGCAATGCGGCCCTTGGGGAAACCCAAAACGCTTCAGCCCATGCATCATGATGCTGACTCTGCCTCCTGCATTCTCTTGGGCTGCTGACCCGTTCCTACGAATACCTGTGCGGCAGTAGGCGTTTCATCTCCAGAAGGCTGCCTCTGCCTTCGTTTGATCTATGAGCATTGAGCACCCGTCCTAGCCAGAAGCCAAATTGGTTGGCCTATTTCTGCTCTTGTTTGGTTCTTGGCGCGCACCCTTCTCTACGAGGACGGAGTACCTCCTACCTGCCCAGGGAGATACGAAATGATAATCTTATTCTATTATAGTACCCAGACCCGGACCCGGACCAGGACCCGGACCAGGGCTAGGACTAGGGGTCAATGACAACCCTTCTCAGAGAGCAGAGGAAAGTGCAGCAATACTCGTACATGGCTGAGAGCGCCTAGCAGTGAAGCATTTTCGGATTGACGCGGGAATATTCAGCCTCTTACCAACGGCCTGTCATTCCCTTTGCAGCGCTTTGGGGGCATCTTGGTGCCCCTCGGCCCATCAATGGCAGCTAGCGTGAAGACGTGCAGGTGGCAGACTCAGCAAAAATGTCTGGATACGCACAGTCAGACAACAAAGGAGCTGTCATTGGACGGCAGGGAGTGAATGTCCCAGATTCCATGGACGGTGGAAGCGAGGTACCTCAAGGCTGCATCTTGGACTTGCCTTGATAGGCGATGCGCCCGCTGCCTCCCTGAGGTCTAAATCCCTGAGTCCCTGTTGCCCCTGTGCTTGCCTGCACTCTTTTCTGCTTCCTTTCCTTCGCTCCGAATCCTGTTGTCGCTAAAACACCACCCACCTACGATCACCCCTTGACTCGTGGGAGCAATCAACGTACAAAGGACGCTGCCGAGTACTGAGTAATGTCCTGCAGGAGCAAGTCCTAGTCTCTCGTTCAATTGCAGCACGATGCTGATCATGCATTGATGGTTTTTGCTGAAACATGCTAGTCACCGAGCGTGTTGACTTACAGTCCACAGTTGGATTCTGTGAGAAGGCAGGATCCTCATCCAACTGAAGAACGCACGATAAACGCGGATTGACACATTGATCGTCATCTGAAACACAACCAGAATCCGTTATTAAAAAAAAAAACCTGGGCTCCGTAGCTACCGCACCCTCTACGGAGGCCTTCGTACGTCTGCACGAGCAAGGGCCCGTACCCGGTAGATCCTGTATCAGCCGACAAACAATCTTCTCGCCTCTGGAAGACTGGAATTCAATCCGGATGCGGACTCGTACTTGTAGATCTAGCACCCGAATTGAGACAGGCTCCTTGGAATGATCGGTCTCACATCTCGCTAGTTTCAGCTAAAGGGCACCAATCGTCATCCAGATGCCCACGAGGCAGCCCAGGTGTGGTGTACACATGGTCAAATCGAGTGGCGTCTTGAAACGCCCGGACATGGGCTCCACGTCGTTTAGCGTGTCGACATCCACTCTGCTCCAAGAGGACCGAGTTGTCCTGGGTCTCATCCCAGCCAGCTTGCCATTCAGACGTGCAACAAATTGTTAGGCGTACGCGCTTGAGAATGCCGCGTGGTCTGGCACAAGACCAGCTCCGAAAATCACTCCTTAATCTTTATGCACGTTGAATAACACAGATGACGGGAAAAGATCCTTTGGCGCAATTCACTCACTGAGTGACTGGACTCCCTCGGTACACGCGAGTTTGCTGACGCCATCTTTGGCCTTCCACCCTTGGGTGCCTGGGGCCACTCGAACTCCCAAGGCACGTGCAGTACTCCATACCTCGTACGAGTGCATACGGGGTAGCCCTCGGTAAAATCATGTGTAACCAAATCCCATCCCTGACAGCTTGCGAATTTCAGAGATGTACACTTTTGTCAACTTCTCTTTGTTGTTCCAGCGAATTGTTCTGTCAAACACCCCCAAGAACTCTCCACCTCCAGTTCACCGTTGTTTTGCAGCAGTTTCAGGAAACCCATTGCCACCGAGGTCATGTCGCAATGGTTGTTAGGGCAAGAGCATCTGGGGGAACTAGCACTTGCGCCATCGACCCTGTTCTTTAAGACGAGTTCTCAAGCCTCATATGACTCAGTACACATCAACCAGTGGCAGTTTCATGTGCCTTGCCATTTCCTTTCTCGTGACACGCAGAAATCAAGCCACTGTTTTCAGCCATATGGGGCTTCGTGCACAATCATTGAGATCTCATCGCACGATGGGCTCTGATGATAAAACTCCCGAGGAAGGAGGTCCACAGGTCAGTCCTGTCTCTGTCGCTGTTTCCCCCTGGTCTGCAGTGCAATGACAGTCACTCCTTCCCGTGTATTATTTCATTATCACTTGGCGATCTTGACCGACTTGGTGAGAGGTGCTGGGTGACAGTCATGGTACGGCGCTGCCTGCCAGATACCTCTCGCGTGTGACTCAACGGCAAAAAGGCTCTATCGATCAATGTCGCCACTCAGTTATTCGTTTGCTTAAGCTCTGGTTTGTTTTGCCCTTACAGCCCACAAGGGATTTTGCTATGTCCGCATTTGTTGATGGCTTTGGGTTTCTCGCTCTTACGAGCGATTGCGTGCTCTGAGCCATTCAACTCGAATTTCCCAACTCTTGAGAGCCGCAGGACTTCTGCTTTAGCTCTCTGTAGTCCAAGAACGACATTGCAATTCAGCAGTCAGTCCCCGCGTTTCAAAGACCATGGAGCAGACAGGAACAACTCATGACTGTGGAAGCTGTGAGCCTTTCTCTTACGCGTTTTCGATGTCCATGATCAAGTTTCCATTTCTGATGGGCAATCAACTATCTCGCACGCCGAATATTACGAAATTTAGGGCGCCGAACATGAACAGCTCAAGCTTGTGGGTGCTTCATTTCGTCTAGTGAATAGACCTATCCAGAATTTGATCAATCGCTGACTTCATGGCCGTTGGATTTGATGACAGCCAGCAGCGCTGTCTGCTCGTACTATCAAGTGGCCAACATTGACGAGGGTCCCTTCTCTGATCTGAACGTGCACCTCCATAACATCGCGATCGTGCCCTCTTTACCGCGGACGCCTCTCATGGTGCGTACCTAAATCCCTCAACACCCTCCAGTGCAGGTCGCTTACCCTCGTCCGCCAAACGATTCTGTCGTTTCAAGTACATGCTGAATGAACATGTTGTTATCGAGTATAACATTTGCATGCCAATCGTTGCCCACATCCCGGGAAGATATTGCTACAGATGAGGTCAGTATCCGCTTACCACATGGTCTTAAGAAGATTCGAGGTAACGATGATCTGAGGAATTCGTCCAGAGGGTGAAGTACGTACCGGGGCATCTTGACTCCTGAAGATGGTACTGCCCGTAATTCCACCCGCTGCACCTACACTGATCATCGCTGCAGCAACAACACCTTTCTTTCTCACATCGGCAGTCTGGCTCTGTCCGTAAGCCAATGTGCCAGGAACATTTGCCTGCGTGCCGAAAATGGCAAGGTATAGGCCGAAGTATCGGACCCCAGGAGGTTTGGTGTATAAAATGATGAGAAGACCAACAATGCCGGTGATCGATTGAGCGCAGAGAATAGGCCAACGAATACGGTACTTGTCACTCACCCACGCCATCAAGAGGGACATGATGATCGCAAAGACGTATGGCGGAGACGCAAGGATTTGCGAGAGCGCGTACGAGAAACCCAGCCCCTGTCGTAGAATGATGGGCTTGAAATACGCCAGCGAGTACACAGAGGATGCCGACACAAAGTACTGAAGGCTATAGATGATCAATTTCCAGTCGAGCAACATCTTCATGCTCTCCTTGAGTGTTGGGTGCACGTATTCTCGCGCTTTCTTGTCGACCACAAGTCGTGCACTCGCGATATGCTTTTGGCGGTCGTTCAGCCATTTAGCCTTCTCGGGGAATTCGACCAGAAACCATGGCGACACCATTCCTGCCACCACTGTCACGATCCCCTCAATGATGAAGATCCACCTCCATCCCTGAGCGTAGACGCCATTTCCGACACGGATTAGCGACAAGACGTAGGCGAAAATGGGTCCAAACCCGGATGCCAGCAAGGAGGCCATGTAAAAAAGTGACACGCGGCGAGCCGTCTCGAACTGTCTGTACCAGGAACCAATAATGAAGATAGCACCAGGAAAGAGGCCGGCTTCGAAAATTCCCAACAACACTCTGCAAACCGTGAGGCCTACCCAGTTGTGGACAAATCCCATGCCTAGAACGCAGCAACCCCACGATATAATTAGGAAGCTCAGCCACCATCGTGCTCCCAGCCTTCTGATGACCAGGTTGCTAGGGATCTCAAACAGTGCATAACCAATGAAGAAGACTAGAAGCGAAATAGAATACCGGGCTCCCACCGTGAGTTCCAGATCGGTAGACATGCCAGCAATATAGGCAGCGCTGATGTTGGTTCGGTCAAGGAGACTCAATCCAAACACCACGCAGAGCATGGGAAACACTCTCCAGTCTAGCTTTTTGCTACCACAGAGTGTTGGTCAATAATCCTTTCTGGGTCAAGACATAGCAACCTACACAAGGTTCTCCTCCTCCTCTTCTGTCCAATCCTGACCTGTTTCCCTTGGAGTACTTTCCTCATCTCTGTTCGAAGACGATACTGACAAGGCTGGGTCAGTCTTCTCAACGTGGGCCGAGTCATAAGGCTTCTCGGCCATGTCCGACTTCTTGTCAATTGCTGACATCTCAAGACACTCTAGAGTATGCGAGTATCAGAAACCCAAAGTCCCCCAGACCCAGGTAGTTTACGAGATCGAGATGATCGACTCGAGACGGAGGTTCATTGGCACATTTTTATACGTAGGACTTTCCGAGAAGACCTCGGTATCAGACCACAAAAGGCCCATCTTCTCCTCCTTTCCTTCGGTTCAACATAATCGGCCCCAGGTAAATCCACATCTATCGATCCTCCACATTTACGGGGCAGTTGCAGGTCTGAATGTGGATATAAAACTCCAGGATGGCAGTGTCAAGACAAGCCAAGGCTGTCGCCTGCCGTGGGGAATCCTCAGCGATAGAGACTTGTTCGGCGGCAACGCAAAGGCTGTAGTTTTCATTGGCTCTCGTGATAACACCAAGACTGAACAAGACTGCCAACTCCTGGGCACATGCAAAACGAGAAGCTGGAGGAGCCCTCGATGCGCGGCAGTTCTCTCGAGTTATGTCTCAACTGCCAAACTCCTGACTCGAACACTTCTGAGTAGCATCTACGTACATATATACCCGTCGGTTTGTGGCTCGTGGTAAGAGTCAGCCCCTTTGAATCGGCCACGTTGCGAAAAATGATCCTACCAGACTCAGTGGCCACCGCCGAATACGCTCCGATGTGCCTGCTCGTGAAGAGCACATGGATTCTACTATCTCGAGCTTACGATTTACACTATAGTCGTCTAAGTAATTGAGTCACTAAAGGTTTAGTTCATGTTAGGTGAGATACGTGTCATCACTTTCTGTTAGTTTCCGGGTGCTATACTGGCTAGGATACATCACAGTGTTTCTCTTCCTAGACTGAGGGTCGACTTGGACCATCTTTATTTGTTCACGTTCTTGGTCCCTTTTATGCGACCTCACAAGATCAATTCCCCTCCAAGAGCCACTCAATCAATTGGCAGGCAAGATTTCGCCGCGACAAACCCCAAATCCTATATTCTTGAGACCGCCATTCACCCTCAGTTGAGAAGAAAACTCAACTACATCCCCGTCTTCAAGAAAGGTTCGGCGTATCTTGCTCTCAGTCGCTCCCTTTGTACTTATTTCATAAGGGTCTGTTCCATACCGAGTGAGTTCCAGTAAACAGCCTTGTTCCTGACGGGTCGGTCCGGAGTTCGTGCCTGTGGCGAGGAGATCGCCAGATCGCAAAGGACAACCGCCGCGAGTGTGGTGCGCAATCATTTGAGCGAATGAGAAGATTACAAATTTGGTATTGCACTCTGCCATATGATACCTCTCCGAGCCAGCTGTCCAAATGTGAGCAAATTTTGACATCTGAGCAAAAGCTGAAGTACCTACCTTCGAGAGTTGCTCGAATCGGGATCTCATATGCCGAGTTTATCTCCTTCTGAGTCAAATAATCTGGAAGTGTGCGCTATTCAAGATTAGCAAACCTTGTCAAGAGGTGGCACGGTTGACATCAACCTACCCCAGCTTCTGTTGGAGGAACGCGGAAAGGCTCCAGCGCCTCAAAAGGCACGATCCAGGGAGATATCGAGGTTGCAAAATTCTTGCAAGTAAATGGGCCCGTTCCTTCGTTCTTTTGGAAGTCTCGTGCGGACCAATCGTTCAGCAAAACAAACCCAAAAATATGATCCTCCGCATTGTCGACGTCAATTGCGTCTCCGAATTGGCTTCCTTTCCCAATAACGGCGGCAAACTCAACTTCGAAGTCGAGTTTCTCACAAATTCCAGATACTGCTCTGCCGTCGACTCGATACTGACCTTTTGGTCGACGCACAGGTGTGCCTGAGACAACGACGGAGGACGAACGGCCGTGGTATGCTGTAGGCTGGTCCCAAAATGGCGGCACGAGCTGCACGATGTCTGATCCTGGTTTTAAAAATTCTGCTGACTAGAAAATCCCGTCACGTCAGCGACACTATCTCGAATGAATGCAATCGTCTTGCCACTCACGTTATTTGCATGGTGAATACCGATGAAGAAGTCCGTGAAGTCACCAACGACCACAGGTAAGTGCATAGTGACACTAGCTAACGGAATTAGACATCGCTCTCGACGCCTTTGGCTATCCCGCAGCACATCTGCAAGTTGAGTGTTATCATCCAACAGTTGCTGCAATCTTCTCCTGACCTTGCTGTGGACGTTCCTCCCGAGACTGGCATAAGCGTTAAGAGTCGCCTCTTGGAGTGTTTCAACATTGAAATCGAGGTCGTCGAAGACCTGGTCCTGGGCCAGTGCTTTCACATCCAGTACATATTGCCCAATTGCGACTCCAATCCGTGGGCCTGAATCGGCGGTGCTAAACACACCGTAAGGCAGGTTTTGCAGCGAGAAGTCCGAGTCATCCGACACGTGCACCCAGGACGCCATTGATTCTAGTTCGTAGTGATGACTAGTTCTAGTTCTTTCGTGTTTACAGTCCGCTGTTTGCTCTCAGGCGGCATCGGATGGATGGAGAATTTCTGCTCCCTATATCACCAGCCAATCCATGCCCACACAGTTCATTGCTCTAGATTACTTCATCAACTTTCTGGCACTACTAGATGAATATCTCCACAGCAAAGAAGATTTCAAAACAATGTCGGCTCCGAGTTATGATGGTTTTCCGGTCCATTTGTTAGCAGCACACCGCTTGTGGATAATGGGAGTAGGCTAGAAGCCCCGGCCTCTCGGATCCTAGAGAAATTCGCTTCCTTGGACTTGCTGTAGTCGGATACCCCCTTATAGAGTCGCCTGATCTCGGTACCCTGAGTGGGTGGCGCAAAGCCTTGTGAATGGCCTAGAAAGCTGGGGAAATTCCTGACACGGCAAAGGCTTGGTTCCAATGTTGAGATGTCCGGGAAAAGCTAGGACAAAAGGATGCGGAGGTGCAATTGCACGCCTCTGAATAATCAAGAGACAATGCTGCGTTGTAAGTCATTGAGCACACGGAAGCAAGGACTATTTCGACCAAGCTACAGCCCCGGCGGATGAAATGAAGTTATTGCCTGGCGAGTCGTGGGTCGTCGGAGAACGGGGAAGAAAAGCTTGGTATTCCGCCGGTTAAGTCAACTCCTCAAACTTGGGTGATCCATCCAGACTTTTCCGGACTTTAGCCATCAGGCGCTTGAAGCAGATGCAGGGTTACCCGCAAATGGACAGAGGGCCTCAACCCCATGGGGTGGCGTCTTGGTCGATCCAAGTATCGAAATTGCGGTAAAGTCATCAGCCATATGGTACTCGAATCTATTCTGCTCTGGCCCTGCCTTTGAACGAACAATGTTTGAGAAGATCTAGGTCTGGAGGCAAGGAACCGCTTCAGGTCACATGGTATCACTAGAGTCACGTCAATCAGGACAATATCTATATGCTTCATCCCCGGCTCTGACCTCCTTGGATATAAAGCCTCATCCCCATTAGGAGAATCATTTGCGACCAACAACGGCCATGGCTGATACTGCAACCGATACAATGAACAAACAGGACGCGGTCGCCCTTGCACATCTTGAAAAGGTCGACTCCAAGGACTCTCAACATCGCAATGAACTTGGGGAAGATGCAACTCAGCTCGAAGGCTACTGGAGCTCGCCGCGCCTCCTCGGCTCTCTGCTTGCTACCATCCTCCTGGCCAACAGCCTTTATATCGGCTATGGAATGCCCACCAATGTCCTCTCGGTTATCAATGCTGATATCGGACCCTCGCCGAACATATATCTCATCTCGCTGGTCTACACTCTGTTCACGGGAGTGCTCCACTTATTCTTCAGCCGTCTTTCTGATATCCTTGGGAGAAGGTATTTTCTCATCGGAGGACAGTTCGTCGGGGTGGTTGGCTCTGTCATCTGCGCCACAGGCAATACTGTCAACGTTCTTGTCGGTGGAAGTGTCCTGGCCGGTATTGGCGGTGCAGCACAATTGCTTTACCCAATCATCATACACGAACTGATTCCCAATAAGCACCGACACTGGGCCCAGGCGGGAGTAACCCTCAGCGTTCTGCCCACTCTGGGCTTTGGCCCCGCCATCGCACGCACAATGATTGCCCAGACCAGTATGGGTTGGCGAGGTGTTTACTGGCTTAATGTTGCCGTGTCTGGAGCGTCTGTTCTTCTTTACCTCACCTGCTACTTTCCTCCAAACTTCCACATGATCAATAGCGAACTGACCAAATGGCAAGAGGTCAAAACGATGGATTACGGCGGTCTCTTCCTATACTTCAGTGGCCTTATCCTGGTTCTATTGGGGTTCACCTGGGCCCAGGGGATATATGCGTGGAACAGTGCGCATGTTATCACCTCCCTGGTCGTGGGCTCTCTTGTACTGGTTGCCTTCGCTATATATGAGATATATATGCCACTCAAGCAGCCCCTGTTACCAGTCAAGCTCTTCAAGATCCCTAATATCACGGCGTGTGTTGTCGTCGGGTCGACCATGCAGATGGTCTGGCTAGCTCTGAACATTTTCTGGCCGCTTCAGATCAATATGCTGTTCACAACGGACGAGGTCACTATTGGATTGCTGTCCTGCACGACGGGCATAGCCTTGACCGCGGGAGAGCTCATATTCGCCCCCCTTTTCAGGGGCATCGGGCACCTGAAGTGGCAGGTCGTCGCTGCAAGTTTGATGACCGCTGTGTTTGGTACTGCGATGGCAGCAGTGACATACAAAACGGAAAAAGTGGGCATTGCTTTCACCATCCTCGCTGGGCTCGCAGTCGGGTGGATCGAATTAGTAACCATTGTCATTACTGGACTCGTGGCTCCACCAAACGATATCGGTGTTGCTCAAGGATTTTTCAGCTCAATTAGATTAGTGTTCGGCACTATTGCTGGTAAGCCCTTTCCCGCCTTGACCGTATTCAATTCGTCGCTAATCTTTTCTACTACAGTCAGTATCTACCTCGCGATTTACAGCAACCGATTGACTGCCTTCCTACCTCAGGAGATCGTTCCTGCCGTCCAGGAAGCAGGTCTCCCCACCAGCAGCGTTCCTGATCTTTTCGTCGCCATAAGTAATGGCACTTCTGCAGCCCTGGAGAACGTCCCTGGAATGACCGAAGTGGTTGTGGAAGCCCTTGGGCTTGCCACGAAGCACGCATATGCCCATTCTTTTAAAGTTGTGTACCTGGCAACTATAGCGTTTACGGGACTTGGGCTTATTGCCTCATTCTGGATTGTGGACGTGAGTTCTTTCCTCACGAACTACGTCAATAAGACCATTCATAGGCCAAAAATTACAAAGAAGGCACAAGAGGACGTGTAAAGAAGGGACAACACTTGGAGAGCGACGCAACTCACTATAGCCGCTTCCAACAACGATTTTGGAAGGCCAGAATTGATCCTCAGTGGCCTTCTCATCAAAGATAGGGGAAGGCTACCCATAGCCTTCTGGAAAGTAAGTCTTTACTATAGCCTTACTAGAATGCGAGTTCTTTCCATTTCCGATAACCTAACATAATCTACTTCTGATGTGCCAGTGAGAGCGGTATTGTTCCCGTCGGCTTGCCTGTAGTCCTACCACTTGAATTCGTCTCGAGTCACCAATAAGACTGAATCTTCCGCCCCACTCTTGAACTTTTCCTTTTATACGCGCAGCATCGACGGTGAAAGCTATCAGATAGAAGTCCGACGATCTAGTTTTGATGTGCCAAGTGGGTTAGAAATATAGCTCTGAGTGAGGCGGGGAAGTGGGTCTTCTTAATTGTCGGTGGCGACAGCTGGACTGTCCGGCCTTGCATTAGATTAGGCACATCAACTAGTAACGTTTTCCTCCAAACATAAGCGAGGCTTCTTTTTCTTCTTCACCTCGTTATTGTCCCTCCCAGTATCCAATACCTGGCTTTTGGCTCGCCATTACCCTCCTCTTGTTTTGAGGGTATATTGTTCACAGACCAATTTGTCCCACCTTCAAGCAAGACCCACACTGCTAAAGCGCAACTCGCTCTCATGTGGACAAGTATAGGTCGCCCAAAGAGTGCTTGCACGACATGCAAAAACCAAAAGGTAGAGAGCCCGATGGCGAACACAAGTATTGATAATGCTTGTCTGTATGCATTGCTGACCACGAAAACCACACCTAGACTCGGTGCTCAGGCGAACGTCCAACCTGCAACCGATGCTCGAGGTTGCGACGGAATTGCGTCTACAGCAACGATCGGTCCACCTCTCGAAAGTCACCATTCATCTCAGCTTCAATACGCACAAACAGGTCTCCGTCATCGCCTCGCGAACCAAGGACTGCACCACCAAAGAAAAAGACTAGAGTAGACGGCTCAAAAGCACCGCCAGCTGGGAACCGTCCTGATGCCGCTACTTCTCTATTCCTCGCGGACTACCCAAAGGAAGCGTCCTATCTCGGAATATCAGAGTCCTTGATATACGTGCTGGTGGAAGTCTACTTTGAGAAGGCGTACAACGCCAGCCTTCTGCTGCACAAGGGCCTCTTCCTAGAGTCGTTGAGGACAGGCAACGCTACTCCCCATGTGGTCTTGAGCGTCTGTGCTTGGGCAGCGAAGTGCGGGAAACCCCATCTAGGGACTTACATTCGTCTTTCTGAAGTCTAGCTAATTCCATTCCTTGCTTTTCTAGTTTCTATCGTGACCACAATGGAGAGGCGTACCTAAAAAGCCATGGCTTTATGATCGAATGGGCCAAACGGGCGGGGAAATTGGTCTTTCAGAACGCTGAAGATCTTCATGATGATAATATTGTGACGTTCTCGATATTGGGCCTCTTCTGGTATGGCCAGGGATCGTGGAGGCTATGCTATCTTCACAAAGGTCTGGCCAGAATCTTTCCTCGGTGCCATGTCCATGACTATTCACCATCTCCTAGGAAATGCCTGCAGCTTGTTACATATCGGAGGCCTTGGATCTGCAAAGCTCCATACGCAGAACTCGCTGGAATCCGAGATAAGACGTCGTCGATTGTGGGCCTGCTATCTAATGCACTGCACGATGTGTGAGAATCTATCCCTCTTTGAGCCAATCGCCGATATACCGAAATTGCCACTGCCTTGGTCCGAGGCGGATTTTGACGCTGGCGTTTCTCGAGGTCCTTACGTGTGTCTTGAATCCGGTGGTAATGGTGGAGGAGTCTATGCTGAACTCATCAAGGCACTAACGCTTTGGTATGAGGTCTACCAGTCTGATGTTTCCGAACATCACGTAGACTAACCTTTGCATTAGGGCAGCTGTCTTTCCCTTGGTCAAATCCCCTGAATCCAGCATCAGCGAGAGGATGACAGGCATCTACGCTCTCGACGACGACTTATCAAGCTGGTGGCGGGGTCTGCGATCGAACTGGAAGCTAACACCTTCCACCATCCCCTTGATACCCGCAGATCGACTTACGAACATCCTGCTGATAAACCTCATCTATCATCAATCACTATGTGCGCTTCACGCCTCTGTCGTACCCCTTTTCTCATGGAGCACATGTGATGATAATTGGTCTTCCGCGCGACAAGCATCGGCGCAAGTGGCTTTCGAACACGCATGTTCGGCTTCAGAATTGATCAACGCCACCCTGTCGACAGGGATCTGTGTGCTACATACCTTTATCGCGTACGCCGCGTACAGTGGATGTGCCATTCAAATTCCGTTCATGTGGTGCTTGAATCCAACGGTAAAGGAACGAGCAATTGCAAATGTTCGAGCGAACACCAAGATGATACATACCATGGCTCCGTATTGGAAATTCGCGGGATTACTGGTGACTGCTACTTTTCTCTTCACTGATAACTCAACTGAGTTGGAATCCTATTTTGTTTTATTTTGACGCCGTTTTGCTGACAACGCTTCTTTCGTCTAGGAAATACACGTCGGGTGCTTATACAACATCCACAAAACGCACACACCGGTTCTGGATGATGAACCGAAGCACGTCGACATCAAGAAACTCACTTCGTTCAAGATCAACGCCGCCTACGCGCGCACCTCCATACTAGGGTTTGTGGAGATCCTACGGTCGAAGGGAAACGGGTTTGCAGACAGAGGAGATGAGAGTCGGGACCTGGGCATCCAGGATAGCGGCTTCCGATCATCTGGGCGGAAGGGGGCTACTTCGAACGACCGTGAAGATAGCCCTGTCTCAATTCCGGGGTCTAGTGATGCTGGTGGGCTGTACAATCTGCTCTGTACAGACTCAACATCAGCGCCAAATGCCCACGGACTGCGGAATGCAACTCCACCCACCTCGTCCTCTACTTCGCAACAAACATCTGGCACCGCGGCGACCGCGCCCTTGTCCTTCTCCCAGTATCGGCGGCAGGAAGAGCCACTCCACCAGCAGGGCCAGGCAGACCGGCTCTATTCATTTGGCCCAAATAATGGACTTCCTCAAAGTCAAGACACCCTTCCTCCCGAGGAGCGGGAGTCTCTAGACGTGTGCCGGCCGTTTTTCGACCCAACGATGCTAGACCTCTTCCCCAATGGCGAGATGCCTGATTTGTCGCGGTTTGAGACGAGTCTGCTTAGTCTGGATTACTTCGAGCTGGTCGACGGCGAAGGCGATTGGTATTTGGCGTCGAATCTGCTAGACGGGGCTTCGGAGAATTGACCGTTTGCAATTCATAAAGACAGGCTGATGAAAGAGGATGAAATAGAATAGTTGTTGTATTTCTCGCACCAAAGAGATACCTGTTGGTCCGTGTTCTTTTCCACGCTTCAAGCTGCGAATGCTTCTGACGCCTGAAATACCTAGTTATTAAATACCGAAGCTTTGACACTACTTGCGAGTGTATCCTCGAATTAATCTTATCAGACAGGTTGAATGAATTGGATGCCTCCTTGCCTGAAGGAACGAGAAGATAGGTGCCCAACAACACCTGGACTAAGAGGCTGCGGATACCTAAGGATACCTAAGTTAGATGACTCGACGAGTTTCCCCAGCAGGCCCCTCTTCTCCCTGTCTCTCTTCTCTGGCCTTCAATGCCTTCTTCCTCAAACCCATGGCTCTTTTCAGTCCTCGGTCTTCTACCAAACTTTTCCTCTGTCTTTCCTTACTGATTTTCCAAAGTCGTTGATTGAGCGCTTCTATGGATCCCCGCCGGATTCTGGTTCTATCACGGCCTCCTTTGGCGCTCTCATTTTCCTTCTCTTCTTCATGTTGCGATTCCTTCCTTGCCTCTTCGTAGTTCCTTGGTGGGAACAGTTGCGTCTTGGGCGACTCCAGGGCCCCCATATCCGAGACTACATTTGCGGTGCTCATTAATCTCTCGGGCCGGAGGCTGCCACCCTTAAGACGGACCCTGCTAGTAGACCCTCCATTAAGGGTGCTTCTCTCCGAGCCAGATGCGGACTCGATCTGTGTTTGTTTCGGATCAGCTCCAGGTCTCTCATCATTTCCAACCACCGATAAAGAAAGAGCACCAAGGTTTGAGACTGTATTCCAGTGCCTGTCCGGGGTGTCAGGTCTTAGTGGAATTAATACTCCTCGGGGACGTGCAGAAAATATATCGTCAGGGTCTAATTGCGCTCTATCTTTATGAGGCCTCTCAGTGCCCGAAAGCTCCGGCTCTGTCTCGGAACGAGGGTGATCCAGATCTCTAGCATCGTCGTTTTCAGGAATAGAAACCAGCTTGCAATCCATTTGCATCGCTATGTCATCGAAGATGGCTTCAATAGGCATGACATATGCGTCGCCAAATACGTCTTTACCTGTGACATGCCCGTACAGCTTGTTGTCTGACTCTCCTATAACCCATGTTCCACTGTCACCAAATGAAAATTCTAGGTGATCAGGTTAGCTAGACAGACTACGACAAGAAAACATTTCTTACCACAATTCAAGGCCACTGTATACATTTCCACAAATTTCGTCCCAGGATTCGTTAAAACAAAAGAAGGGCTTCCAGCGAGCAGGCTTCTTCGGATCGAGCAAGTACACACGATGTGCAATTCTGCGATGAGGGCTCCTGGCCAAAACAGGACCCATTGGATGACAACCGTAATCTAAGGATTCATTAAGATACTCCCTGCTACCAGACCAGAAGTTGTTTGGAAGATATCCATATGGATGGTCAATCTCGATAAGCGCCCAATCAAGATTTTTACCTCCTCAATGGCATAGGCATTGTCGCTACCACATGGCCGATTCTTGACCACTCTTCGATGTTATGTAACTTCTTGACGCCCTTGATGGTGAATCTATGTTGGACCGAACGTTGGTCTGTAGTTAATTTCGTGGCTTTTTCGTTGTCGTCCAATATGAGCTCGAAGTTGGATTCCTCCTCATCTTCCACTTCCTCGTCGCTTGAAGTTGATAAGGCATCAGCGTCAGAGCTGTCCGCAGAGCCATCATGCTCAGTCTCATTCTTTAAGTCAGAAAAGAGATGTCCCACGGTTAAGGATACTTGTGCCTTGCGCCATCCTTGTTGATGACTTCAATGACACCTCCGATGGTTGCAATTCTATCTTGGGTGCCTATTGTAGCTTTTATCCACTTCCCACAAAGTGTACAGGCGACACCATAGAGCTGATCTCCATCAGCATAGATATCGATCCCTGTAGTTGCACAAATAGACATTGGACGGCCATCCACAATGACATCAAGAGGTGGCACGTTGTCTTCCGCCCTCTGGAATTCCTCCTTCACCCTTGCCTGAATAAAGTACTCTCGTACCTTCTTCTTGATAGATTCATCACACATGACACGTATATAGGGTTTTGCTGATTCCACGTCGGCACCTAGTACTTTCAAACGAATTGTGATAGAATTGAACTGGAGTCCCTTTTTTCATACGAACAAGCAGAGGGCTCCGTGAATAATTCCTTCTGGTCCAAAAAACGACTGACTATCAGATCTGGAATCTCCGTATTGAATACTCTCAAAGTGGACTTCTTCCGGAAGATTGGCCTATTAGAATTGAGTTCAATGCGGTATTGAGAATCGTCTGGACTTGATTTCTGGCTGGAATAGATGGACCCATATCCGGAGTCTGGTGTATCCGAAGCACACAGAGTTCCATCTATCGATTGCTGAGCAAACCCCTTGGATAGACCTCTGGGCTGTTGGGCAATTGTTGTAGCTTCCAGACATTTTGACGGTACATGGTCATCGTCATCTACCAAATGATCCTCCGTTGCGCGGTGCGATCCCAGAGGACAGGATTCTGCCGTGATGCTATCGGATATTGTAATGATTATCGTTGTCATAGTGCCGTGACAGCAAGAGCCGTGGCACTGTGGGTCATTAGTAAGTGAGGCAAATGAGCTTGCCAGCTAGATATTTGCGTAAGAGAAAGAAAAGGGTAGAATCGACCTTCAGTTGGAAACCCTGAAGGCAGCTGCGCTTAGATTGAAGAAGTCCATGTCTAAGCCCTTGGCGAGGTTGCTTCTCCTGCAAGCAGTCCCGAGTACTCAAGAGGGTCGCTCATCAGATGCAGCTTGAACATCTTGACCGGACGGCTACATCGATCATTTCCCCGCCAGGCCAGTAGGACATCAATTCTTCAAGCTGCGCCCCGTACAATAGTAGGATGGGATACGGCGATTGCGCCTCCACCACTAAGAAATGACTGGGGATGGTTTTGTGATTGGGACACTCCCTGACGCACTGACGTCTCCGCATGCATGTGGCCAGCATAGCCATCAATCGGGCACTTCGAGGAACAATGGCGTCCACAATCACAGCCTAGTGACCAATTCTCAGAGAACTCGAAGCGTGATGCATAAAGAGTGGTTTCTGGTCTTCTCCTAAGTTGCAAAGGAAGAGGATTTCTCCATCTGACCAGCTGCACAAATTAATCATATTCGGCAAAAGTGGGACCCGAATCGGCCAGCCTTGTCCCTCCTCACTTGACAGAATCCAGTTTATGATGCCTAGAGATGAATGCATCGTTATCTCCAAGTCATTCTCCTCTCAGAAACCCCTCGGAAGAAGACGTGTGCCGGCTCGCTCAGTGTCTTTGGTCGTGGAAAGTTTGTGATGATTGTCAAATATACGAGACCTGTTCTAGCGCGAACTGTCCGGGTGCTCGTTTGAGGCGTCTCACGCGATATTTTGATTATTATCGGGCTATAGTTGGCGCTTACGAACTAGACAGGAATGGAAAGACGAGAGAAGCTCTGGGAACGCATGGACATCTCCTTGATATCATCTCAAACTCAGAATGATGCCGGAGTTGACTCGTGCAGAGCTCGCTCAGCAGATATTTATTCCGATGCCGGAACGGTCAGCAATTGAAGAGAGGGACCAAGAACGTGTGTTGAACTTGGCGGTGCGAGTTTCAGTAATGGTCAATTGCTCTTCATGGAGTCCCGAGTCTGGAGTTTTAGAACTCGGTCTCTTCCAAGCTCCGTGGCGACAAAACGTCACCTACGGCCAGTTCATTGGCCTGGCTTTTCCACAGACAGATCATCCCACGATCAACGACGACAATCTAAGCGGGAACATAGATCTGAAGGCCGCGATAAATGCATTGAAACTTACAAAGCGTGCAAAGCTAGTCTTCCGACCAACAGATGACCTGAGATGCCACCTACTCCTTGACCGCAGAACGAGGACAGTGGAGATTTATCATCACACAGCATTTTTGAAGAAGCAGTTTAAGAGTCACGAAATTTTTTGACAGGAACATGTCAATGAACGACAGTTTGAGATTGTGAGTGAATCCAGGAGCATTTAATAGTTACCTTGTAGCTACACCATGCTAACTCCTATCCTTAGCGGCGTGCTACCACGTCAGCTACTCCTCGAAGCCCTTGATTCGGTGCAGAAAGTCCTCTTTCCAATATCCAACCCTAAATGCTACGCTCTTCTCCAATCACTCATTACGAAATGTTCATTCGACCCTGACTGCTTGCGTTTCGAGTCTAGTACAATCCGTAACGATGATGAAAAGGACATCTCCTATCACTACTTTGGCAGCCGATTTGTTGAGTTGTATGAGGAACTCCAGAGACCGGCAACCCACAATCCGCTGGAAAAGTGGCTAGAACGAAAAAGTGCGCCTCGATAGATGATGCTGCAACTCTATTGGGCGTGTTAATCGCCATTCTCCTTGGGATGCTTGCACTAGCACTATCGATTGCCCAAGCCTATATTAGCTATCAGGCTTGGAAGCATCCCGTATTTCAGCCTTAAGGTAGTCATGCAAATGGGTTCATTTTATGCTCTAACCTGATGGTCTAGCCCGCTCGTGTGGTAACAGGTCTTCCCTTCCACGAGGCAATTGCCTACAATCGGGGCTATTTTTCTCATATGACCTATATCTACGTCTGTCTTGACAGCAAGAACTAGCATCAGGTACATTTGGAGATGGTCTAACTGTCCCTATATGGTCCTTCGTCTACCGACCCGTGACCACACTAGTTTCCTAACATCAGGGAAAAGATCTCGAAATTTTCCTAAGCCTCATTATTCTGTGTCATTGCCACTGCCTGGTACATGACCAGCTGCATGGCCCAAGTCTTCCTTGAACCGCTTCCCATTGACCATAAGCGGAAGACAATCCTGCAGCACAAACAACACCCTCGCCCATTCTGTATCGCTGGGGTTATTCCATGCGTGCATCGTACCACGCTGAATGGCTACGTCCCCACGCGTCAGCAGCGTTTTACTTCCGTCGTCCAATTCCAGGATTACATTTCCTTCCATGACGACCCCATAGTCCAGACTCTGCGTGCGATGCATGAATCCGTTACTGTTTGGCGCAAAATCTGCAAAGCGGCAGACTGTCCCCTTGGGCAAAACGGCAGGCAACTGGCCTCGTGAAAGCCGATCCTGATGCAGCTTGATGTCGACATCATCATTTAGGCTAGGTGGCATTTCCGACGTCGTGTAAAGCGGAGCGGAGGCGTATTTATGCTCTGGAAATGCCGTGATTTGGGCTTTCTCGGAGCTGTAAAGTACCGCCTGGCCAGAGGTGTTATGCGTGGTGATATGGATTGTCGGGTCGGGCAGACCGGAAAGGTGTTGAGAGGAACCGTCAATGGAGCCCATTGTGAAATAATCTCGAATATCAATACTCTCGTGTTTCGTGTGTTGCCTTCGCCAAATGGTTCAGTAGAACTGAGGTCTTGAAGCTTACCAGATGTTTAAAGAAACTTGGATACGGCTAGTATTCGAGTTCTCATCCACTGAAACATAGTTCTCCCCCTCTTATACCCGGTATCATCATGACCGAGCGCCGAAAATCCGAGACACGGGAGAAGAACGGGCTAGCGAAGAGGGCAACGACGGGATCGGGGAAAGAAATGGCTTCGATCGTCCCATAGGAATTTGTCACTGGACTTGGTATTTCTCTCAGGCCAAAACTTCAGTCGTGAAGGAATCAACCGACGTCGACAACAAGCCTATCGGTCCCGACTACTGGACCGGATTATTCTAACCCCTTCTAGAAGGGGTTTTCCTGAGTGGGCCTTTACGGGATTGGGCCGGGGGGGTGGCCTCAGCGGGGGGGTTCTCCAATCTTTCTCTGGGCTTCCTAGTCCACTGAGGTCCAAGATCCAGCATTTCCAATCTGATGATCAACTCTGGAGAAAAGCAAACTCTGACAAAGTACTGCTGTTTTTCTCATAGAATTACGGAAGCGAAGTTTGAAACTCCAATTCTTACTTAGCCGTACATGTATCCGTCGTCTAGCCTGCCACTCGACCAAGACATTGACTATCGAACACAGATTTTGTGAAACCATTACTCGGACACAGATACAATGATCACTTCCTCTGGCTTTGATATTTTACGACACTTCACGCCCTTTGTATTGCTGGTGGGAGGGTCTGTGGTGCTCTGGGTGAGTTTCGGTACCAGCTCACTCCAGGGTTGAAGAAGCTCAAAATTCTGAAGGTACTCCTGAAGGGATGCTACGGCCCACTCCATACGATACCAGGGCCGTGGTATTCAAGATTTACAAATGTTGTTTTAAAGTATAAAACTCTGGTCGGTCAGCGTGTCTTCTATGTTCACAGCCTCCACCAGCGATATGGTCCAGTGGTAAGAATTGAGCCACGTGAAGTCAACGTCTGCGATTTGGACGCATTTCGAGAGATCCACCGGATTGGAAGCGGCTTCGTCAAGTCTGACTGGTATAAATTATCCACGTCAGGTATTGAAGACAACATTTTTGCCATGACCGATGTCTCCGATCACGCGGCGAGAAGGAGGTTGCTCGCGAGACCATTCAGCAGATCATCACTTCTATCGAATTTCCAAGAAATGGTAGCAGATCGCGCACGTTTAGCAGTTTCAAAGATGAGAGATGAAGCGAGCAACGGACCGTGTGATATTATGAAATGGTGGACTCTGATGACTACGGACGTCATTGCACGAGTCGCTTTTGGAGAAGCGTCTTGTCTTCTTGAGGCTGGTCAAGTAAGCCGTAATCTTTCCCAATTTGAACACCATTCTCAAGGGGTGACTTCGTTGTTTTGTCGACACACGTGGACTTTGAGACAGCTGACCACGAATGCAGAAAAGCCAGTACATCAACGACCTGGAACGTGTTACTCTGGTTTGGGGGCTGCAAGGAGAGGTCCCGTGGTTATACCCAATAATGCGACTTCTAGCCCCTGGTTTCATCAGAGAGTGCGACAAGTCCCTTCAAAATGTCATAAACTACGGTCTGTCTGCTGCCAGCAAAGCTGGGAAGGGTACTTCTTTAGCCAGACACAATATCATCAGTGGCTTGATAGACGCAAGTCGCGCCGAAGGTACACGCCTAACGGATTTCAGTTTAGGATCGCAAGCCTCAGCACTGATCGTTGCCGGGTCGGGAACCACGGCAGTCACCCTCACATACGCGGTCTGGGCCGTCCTCCAGCATCCAGCTGTACGAAGCAAACTGGAGGAAGAGGTTGCTGGCCTCCCTGACAGCTTTGACGACACCGTGTTAGAGAAGCTCCCGTATTTGAACGCCGTACTCACAGAGACTTTACGTCTGTATGGATCGGCACCTGGTGCATTACCTCGGGTAACACCCTCCAAAGGAATGCAGATCAATGGGTTTTACGTTCCTCCTGGGGTGGTTTTGACAACCCAGAGTTATACCATGCACCGAGACCCTTCAATATTTTCCAATCCAGAAAAGTAAGGAGACTCCGGGCACTGAATATCAGCTAAAATAGAGACTGACGTGGAGAGCAGGTTCGATCCCGATCGATTCTATCAGAAAGATCTTGCAGGAGCACAGAAATATGCTTTTGGACCGTTTGGAGGAGGCACACGAATCTGTCTGGGCATCCACCTGGCGTACATGGAGCTACGGCATGGTTTGGCCGAATTCTTCCGTGAATGCCGTGATCTTGAGCTCTCAGAACTTACAACGCCGAAGTCGATGGAGATGGAGAACTATTTCTTGATAAGCCCGAAGAGCAAGTGTTGTATGGTGAAGAGCAGAGGCACTGCCGGAACCTGATGGACATTCAAGTTCGGATCGCAAAAGTATTCAGAGGAACAACGAGACAGTTCCTCCCTGATTTGCTTTGCGGGCAATTGCACGAAGCTGGCACGCTGGGAATTGTTGCTAGGAATTTAGCATCAAGACACCTTGAAGATCATGCCCCACGGCTTATGGTAAGCACCCGATGTCAATAAGTGCCCTCGGACAAACAGCGACAGGTTCACTGAATGCTCTCGCAAAGTAGATAACGAGTGCAGTTAGGCTCGGCGTTGGAGGTCACTGCCCATATTTCGGATACGACAAGGATAGTAGGAATTGGAAAACAGATATAGGAAAGATATCACTTCGAATAAGAAACGTTTTCATCTCGGGCATAACTATCGACTCAAAATCCTCGCCGTAAGCAATTGAAAGCTTGCAGCACAACAGCGACGTCGTTTAGCCGTAGTAAATCAGACATGAGGTGGTTCGTTGCGGCGTTGAACTTCCGCCCATTAGCGTCTTGGCATGCACGAGTCAGTCGTTGGAGATTTGGTGCAGGCCCTGACTTGGAGGCACGAAAACAAGATGCCACGAATACATTCCAAGTTCTCCCAGCCATGAATGTAGGGAACAAGTTTCCAAGTTCTTCAATGCAAGCTACGAGGTCTCACCATGCGGACTCTACCAAATATAATCATCACAGGCACCCCGGGAGTGGGTAAGACGACCACTTGCAATCAACTCGTCGCCCTCGCATCGCAGTGTACCCCTCCCGTCAGCCTCAAATACCTTTCAATCAATGATCTCGTGAAGGAACGGGGCGCGCATTCCGGCTACGACGAGGAATTCCAGACTGTATTTGTCGATGAAGAGAAGCTAATGGACGAGGTGGAGAAGGAAATCGAGGACGGCGCAGGCGAGGGCGGATGGATTGTCGACTGGCACTCGACCGAAGGGTTCGCCATAAGGTGGGTCGACTTGGTTGTTGTGCTCAGGTGCGAGGAGACGAGTATACTCTATGACAGACTGTCTTCGCGGGGCTACAGGGACGAGAAGGTGCAGGAAAACATGGATGCCGAAATCTTCGGTGTCGTGACTGAAGAGGCGCGAGAAGGATGGACGGATGAAGGCCAGGTGGTGGAATTGAAGAGTACAGAAGCAGAAGACATTGAAGAAAATGCCGAGAGGATATTGCAATGGATCAAGAACTGGCTGAAAGATCGGGAGGCGGAGGCGAAGGCGAATGCGAATGGTCATTGAGTCAATCGCCTACACCCTCAGATTGCTGAACATTGGTCTATCAAGTCTACTCGCATTGCGCTAAACGTTGAGCATTCACTGCTCCAGCTCGCCGCCCGCAAGCCAGGATTTCAGCTTGATGAGGGCTTTACCCCTATGGGATATTTTATTCTGTTGGAGGAAATTCAGTCAATGGTTGTCTCGGTGTCAACAACTTGCTTAGGGGCGGGTTGACATGAGGAAGCGCAAGAGCGAGGTTAACGCTGGAACGACAGAAAGTCGGGCCTGCAGGAGAATGAGGCAGAATATTCGGGGGTAAAGTGATATCGCCTACCTTTTCCGTCTTATCCATCTCAGCGTATGTCTGGCCCTCATACTCGAAGACTGCATCCCAGCCTGGTCCTATCTGTCAGCTTTCCTGCAATATTCAAACCCCTTCGATCCGTCAAGACGGAGTTCGAAATACAGTGCAATGGGATTGGAAACTCACCGAATATCCCTGGCCCCCTCGCCGGCACGATCTTGCCCTGCGTCCGGCCCTGGAAGAGGATAGGTTCATGGTCGGGTCCGGCGCAGTACGCAAATGTGCATACGGCAAACGCTGTCTTGTCCTCATAGGCAGCCAGCATGTTGTTGAGACCTTCATGACCGAGCGCCTGGAGGAAGTATTTTCTGTATGTCAGGGTAAAGCTGTAAGTCAGATCATGAGTTAAGATATTGCAAAACGCAGATTCAGATACTTCTCCACAAGTAGACTTGACGAACCGCTCGAAGCGTTTTAAGTCGTTTAGCTCATGACTTACATGTAAGGCCCAGGCAAGCCCTTCAACGCTTGGAACTCAAGTGCCGTATCCTCCGTCAAGACGGGACCATTGACCTTGAAATCACGACGTGGTCAGCATGGCCTAATTAACTCAATCCAAAACATAATGTCCCATCCGTGCCTGTGAAACGAGTACGAGCCTGCCAGTGCAAGCGAGGGCGATTGAAGAGAAAACACACTTACCATAGCAGCAGCCTTGGACGCCTTATCTATCGCGACCTCCTCGATTGTGCCCTGGATCTCACTCAACCCGGGCACATCGCGACTCTGCATCTGTACCCCAGAAACATCGGCCAGAATGGCGCGGACCTCGGCCAGCTTGTTCGCGTTGCCCGTGATGAAATTGAGAGTCTTGGGTCGAGGTTGCGTTTGTACGTCAGACATCTTTGCGAAACGTGCGTGTGGAAATGTTAAATGTCCACGTCGAGAGAGAGATCGTGACTCGGAGGAAGTCAATACTTTTACAGAACACGAGGCAGCAAGCGAGACGTTGTTGGAGAACATGTACATATGTAATAATTCGGGATTCTGGGGTGGGCTTTGGGTTTTTGACAAGGGTGATTATTTCAGCCACCGAAAGGGCGCAAAGAATCGTGCAGACATTTAATTACAGCTGGATCATCTACCATCTATGAGGTCGTATTGGGAACTGGCGAATGTCAGCTTTACCCTACCGCTATCGTAAAAACATCTTACATTAGAGAAAGCCCTGGCTGTTCAAGAAATTGATGACTTACAGCGTGAGGTTTTCTCGGGCTAATCTAAGGCCATCACGACTTCAATTTACGATGTCATCAGTATCATGGCGTTCTCTGCAACTGGAGCAACTGGTGCAACTGGACGATTAGGGGTAGGAGGACAATGCTGGTTCACTCAGGAAATGCTTCTACAAGGAGCTGTTACTATAGTGTCTCTAAAGTTGCCCTGTCTGGTGCTTCTGAGAATGGCTTTCATCCATCGCCATGCAACGCTAACTTTGACTTCCAAAAGCCGTAACTCCAATGCATGCACTTCGTAAAGAATAGAACATCTATACTTCCATGAAAACGATGTCCTTGAATCCTCATCACTCTTCTGATGAAGACGTGCTCGATGCTAGCTTCAGCAATTCGAAGTCCCGGTACTTCGACAGGTATCTCTCCCCTCTCCTGTGAGCCCTCATTAGTCTTTCAGGCGCATTACACCTGAAAGCCCGAGTTTGGTTCAGTGCAAGGTTCTTCAGATCCGAACTAGGATTGAACATAGGGTCGAATACAACCAAATTCACATGCCCATCGGACCTGCTTTCTACTCCCACGATGGTCATTGAGTGACCCTGGTGCTGGAAGTAAATCGGGGGCTTCTCGGTAATCACCACCTTGTCAACCATGTCCTTTGTGCTGTCATCGTCAAAATGCTCACACACAGCACACAGCATGGTTTCAAGGGCCGCAACTGAATTGGTCGTTGTGTATGCTGAGGCTTCGCACGGAATGTCAAGGCTCATGAATAAAGCTTGTGCTTCAGGTGTTCCGATGTATTTGCGGGTGAATTTGATGCCTCCCGTCTCAATCCTCCCAACTGAATTGAATCCTATATCCCAAGCATGCTCAATGTGATCTTGGAGTTTGAGGATGTTGGGAACTCCGCCAAGGAAGTGTGCCGAGCCGGTGGCTTTGGCTTCCTGAATGTATGATATCAACATTTGAATGTTTCGATAGCCGCAAAAGCCTCCTTCCCGGGCCATTTTAGCCACATGGCAGACACCGGGACTGCAATAGAAGGCACGCTCGACGGTTTTGTCAAGCTGAGAAAGGCGTGCCAGTATGGGAACCAGTCCAGGAGTTTCATTGGCTGTCGTTTCAACTCGTTGCAAAGTGCCGTCAGCACCAATTCTGTTAGTGATGGTGACTTTAGCTCCGTCTTGAAGCATTCGAAGAAGCCAGGCAGGCATTTGGCGCTCATGGGCAAAGGGACCTAGTTCAGCACGCTATGTATTGTCAGCCACATGACGCATAATACCTTAAGTGACTTGCATGACTTACACCTAAACGTCGGGTCTTTCCCTGTTTTGAGGATACCGCTTTGTATGATGACTGGCCCTTTGGTGACGCTGGTGTGCCTAGAAGGATCTCTTTGAGGGATGGGATTCGTTTCCTGCCAATGCTTGGGGGACTCCTAGCTTTATCGACATTGCGGATCGAATTAGATATGTTTGTAGTAAAAGAGTCGGCAGGATCAGGTGGGGAATCCTTGATGGTTAGCGGAGGGGCCGTCTGCGCTTCGGCCGATACGTCGATATCGATACCAGACACACTCTCTTGGGCGTGCATGTCGGCGTGGGCATCGAGTTCGAACAAGTGCACCCGCTCACCACAGATGCACTCGACCCATGAGTGTTCATTGCCATCCTTGTCTTTGGGTTGAGCTGGAGATAGCGGAGATGAGTCTCTGCCTGGACCTTCCTTCTCTCGACGAGTATTGAGGGAAGGATCATGGGAACCTTCATGTAAGGCAAGTTCGGAGGGCAGTCCGGCTTCCTCAAACGCAAGTAATTGAGCTAGTTCAGCATCGCTAAGCCCTTGCTGAGGCGCGGAGTGAACGTCATGACTAGGCCGAGGATCGGTCCGCTCTTGTTGTGCGGTATGCATATCCTGGCAATGTGCCTCAAGCCCATCGAAATCATAGCTGCCGAAATCGCAGTACGGGCAACGGAGATATTCTTTGAAAGTCATAAACGACATTATCTGGGCACCAGGGAGAGCGCCTGGAGGAGACGAGTTAAACCTTATTATTGCCACTGATCATTAAAAGGTGGCCATCATTCGAAGAGTCTACTGTGTTCGATTTTTGTCAGTCATGAAATCAACTAGGTCAACAAGTTTGATATTCGGTGCAGCCTTGTGGACGTGATTATACGGTTGACACACCAGGCGGAATGCCAAGAGCAGTCCTGGAATGTGGAGGGTCTGCCTGGCACCTTGAGCCAACAAGCACGAGGCTTAGACATGTACGTTGGCTTGAGAAATCCAATACATTATTGAACCGCTGACCGGACGCGTCATGCTTCAGACTGTCACAAGACAGATCTCACACGAGGGCACAGCATCAAATGGTCCCATCGGAGACCGCCCGTTGCTGGTGAAGGTACGAGGTCAAACTTGGAACGCATACAGGGTAGAGTACGCAGTATTCCTCGTATGTATGCTTTAAATGGCAGCAGAACACGAGTCACCAAAATGACGCGATTGCGATCGGAGCAACCGGAGTCATTTTGGGAATGGCAAAATTGTCCCGATTGGCCCTCTCCTAAACCTCACCGCCTTGAGCAGCAGAAATTTATTCTGCCACCTTCGACATCGGGGGCTGAGATCTCCCCTCGCTGCCTCGTTCACAGCCGCCAGCAAAGGCCCAGATCGAATGTGTCCCTGGTCCCCGATATATTAGTGGGTGACGAACGGGCGGTCGCTCCTTGGTCACCCTATTAGCGTGCGCATTATTATTGCGGTCGGCATTTTATTTCACTCGACCAGCTCTCCATGTTGGTCGAGTCATAATTGCTTTGCCTGCTCTTGGTCTCCAAATAATTTCTGAGGCATGGTCACACTGACCTGCAAACTCTGCCTCAGATCACCATCATGTCCACTGATCCTGCTGTAAATGGCGTGGATACCCTCGCCAACGGCAAAAAGTCCCCCGCTACTCGGCCGATCAATGTTCTGAAATTCGGCGGTCGGTCTCTGGACGCACGCAGCAAGACAGCTTTCACTAACTACTCCTAGGCACGAGTGTCGGTAAATTTCCCGAGGACATCGTCAAGGTAGTCAAGACCAGTATACTCGAAACCGATGCTGCCATTGTCTGCTCGGCTGTATGACTCAGATCCCCTATGCTCCAGACCTCCTACTGACACTTGAAACCCAGAGATCGAGCAGTACCAAAGCTGCAGGTACCACAAATCGGTTGTTAAGGGCTGCGGCCGAGGCAGAACATCATAAAACTCAAGAATATAAGCGTCTCATTGACGATGTCCGAGTTGACCACCTTGAAAACGCCGACGCCTACATACACTCGGAAGAATTACGGCTACGGTTACGGAGAGAGATCGAAGAAGACTGTGATCTAGTGGCCCGGATATTGGAAGCTGCTCAGACTCTGGGCGAGACAAGCCCCAGATCAAGAGATAAAGTGATGAGCACGGGTGAGAAGCTCAGCTGTCGATTCATGACTGCCCTCCTGCAAGACAGGGGCATTGAGGCATTTTACGTTGATCTTGCCGATATCATTGATTTCAAAGTGTCGCACAGTCTGGATCAGCAATTCTATGACAACGTGGCGGCCGCTCTGTGCAAAAGACTGCAAGAGACAGCGGGCAAAGTGCCTGTCATTACAGGATATTTTGGAGCCATTCCTCGTGGCCTTCTGACTACGGTTGGTCGAGGCTACACTGATCTTTGTGCTGCCCTTGTTGCCGTGGGGATAAAGGCGCAGGAGCTGCAGGTCTGGAAAGAGGTGGACGGCATCTTCACTGCAGACCCTAGAAAAGTCCCCACCGCCAAGCTGATCCCTCAAATCAGCCCTGCTGAAGCTGCTGAGCTCACGTTCTATGGCTCTGAGGTCATACACCCTTCGACCATGGACCAAGTCATTCGAGCCCGCATCCCTATCCGGATCAAGAACGTGATGAATCCCAGAGGGAGCGGGACAGTCATTTACCCCGATTCAAGGTCCGAGTTAGATTCTGCGTCATCGGGACATGATCCCAAGCTGTTCAGGTCTCGAAGCTCCAGCCATCTGACCGAGCGTCGAGGGCCGAAGCGTCCAACAGCAGTGACCATGAAGCACAAGATACTCGTCATGAACATCCATTCCAACAAGCGATCCTTGTCCCATGGCTTTTTCGCTGGGATCTTTGCGACGCTGGACAAGTGGCGCCTGTCGGTCGATGTGATATCGACCAGCGAGGTCAACATGTCGATGGCTTTACACTCGGAAGCGCCGTTGTACGCCGGCGGTGGTGATGACGAATACCAGATCGTGGACCAAGATCTTCGTGGGGCCATTGAAGAGCTGCGGAGCTTCGGCACAGTCGATGTCATGCCAGAGATGGCAATCGTGAGTCTAGTAGGTAAACAAATGAAGAATATGGTTGGCGTTGCTGGCAAAATGTTCTCCACTCTGGGAGAGAACAATGTGAATATTGAGATGATCTCGCAGGGTATGGTTCAATGCACTGACTAGATGACCAACGGACCTTGCTGACAATTTACAAAGGGGCCAGCGAGATTAACATTACCTGTGTCATCGAAGAAAGAGATGCGGATCGAGCGTTGAACATATTACATACGAATCTTTTCACTTTCTTGGATTCATGATTGACTGCAGCATTTTCTGAAGCGTCTGAGCGGCATTTGTGGGCATTAACGATGGAGTTCTGAAAGGGTGGCGACTCAACGGGTCTCATAGACATGGATTTAAAAGTGTGGCTTGGATGATATGACTGGGTTCAGGCATGTCAGAATACGTCAAGAAGATGTCTATAAATTGGCTCAGAGATACAGACAGGGTTGATTATATTGAGTGGACAAGTGTGGCGTTCGCAAGTAGCAGAAGGTTGCGCAGCATGTCGTCAGCCAGCGGCGGGAAGGATATTAAGAAGGCGAAAACAATTAAAGCAGCCCACTATACTCGGGAGTGGCATGTGTCAGGAACGTCTACAGATGTCCACCCGCAAAGTCGGGGCTGAGAATGACAGATTATTGAAAGACCCAACGACATTCCCTCTTGCGCCGGGATCCTTCGCTTGAGGATAGTTCCCTGACAGAGCAATCATACTCATACTGCGTCCTGGTCAATCAGATAATTCAAGACAATTAACAATGGCGGCGTTGCTTCCACCTGCCTCATTGTAGCAGAATTCGGAAGGGAAAAGTTTTGTTCCGGTGACTTGCGACGCGACGCGACTCGTGCCGCCCAGGGTAGCAGGGCGAGTCCCAGTTAAGTCCACGCAAGGGTTGGCAAAATGAGCCGAGAACAAGGTCCGGCAAAGGGCTGAAGCAGGTTACTGAGGGGAATATCGTTGGGAGATTTGTCCAATTACCAGCATTTCGAAGTTGATGTCTGACACAGGCCGGGAACAGGTGGGCAATTTCTAAGGTTTTCAGCATTCCACGCCGGATGAAGATGTTGAAATGATTGGATTAGACACAAGGACATTCTTCAAGCAAAATGGGATCGAAAGAGGATTGGCCTTCCCTGGATGGAGGCGTCCGTAGCGCCAACCTTTTCTGTCTTAGAACTACCCAGATATGGCATAGTCAGGTCACGAGTTGGCGCGTGCCAGCTCGTACCACCGAAAGCGCGTCACTGTCCACCTCCCGCTGCCCACTTGGCCAGAACTCCATCATCCACCCACCTTGCGCCCCAGTTCTTGACTCGCGAACTTGCCACACAGCGAAAGTCAGACTTGTGAAATGCTCGTCTTTCCATCAGCCCTCAGGCGTCTCTATAACACTAGCCCGCCCTCCTCCACGTCTGCCTCGTACCTTGCATCACCGCACCACCCAACCGTCCTGGTGTTGTAAACACTCTTCCGCCATTCTCATCATTCGTTTCACCAACAGCATATTGATCTTTCACAGCGCCATGGCACACTTCTCGCCCTAACTACGGCACTCGAATCTTCAGACGTTACAATTCATCCCTTTCGGAGGCTCAACATTCCTACCTACCCTTCATCACCCCTCGATCCACCGCAGTCCAGCAAGCTCCAACTCCAACTTCTCCCGCACAGACACGCCCAAAGCCCTATCAGCAGTCTTTGAAGTTTACCCTGTACCTGACAGCCATCAAATTTCTCCTTCGATAGGATTCGCCTTACTTTAAAGTCACCCAGCAGCCAACTGCCCGGCAATTTTGGCTGCCGCCTCGCCTCCACCGCCGCAACCCTCGCACCAACTTCGACGATTTGGTTAATGGGCACTACATAGACTGTTTTTACGCGACTTTGACCTTGAACTCGACTTCTTCGCTGCCCTGGGTCATTATCACCTTCGGCCAGCATGGCGTCGACGCGTCAACACCAGTTTTTCCATATCCATCAGGACCCAATGCCAGTGCCGTCCAATGTCTCCCCACATGCTAAACCACGACCGCAATTGCAACCCTCAGCAATGCCTCTTCAGCCAATGCGGAACCCGCCTGTAGGCCCAGAGATCATTCTCAACGCACCAATGATGGCAGAGCAGCATGTCTCGCCAGTCAAAAGCCAACCATTCACTCAAGCGGAGATGAATTATGCAAATCTCAACTACATTCCTATTCCTCCACCCCAGCCTGGCCCCAACCGCTACACCGAATCTCCCATTAAACGACCCATTGTTCCTTCTCACACACAATTCCACCCGATGCAGATGATGATGCAGCAGCAGCAGCAGCAGCAATCCTTATTCACCACATTTGACAGCAATTTCGGCCCATACCAACACGAGAATGTCCTCCCTGCATCTGCAACACAGGAGAATTTCGTCGAATTCCCGGAACCATCATACCCTCGCAAACAAGCGCTCAAAAGGTCGTATTCTGATGTCGAGGCAACCATTGAACGACCTTTCAAAAAAGTCAAAGCCGATGAACTGGCAGTAGACATACCGGCACCCGAAGACATGCCACCTGTTGTAGACGATGGCAACAAACCCAATTTGAGTTACGCACAGATGATCGGCATGGCCATACTGCGAGCTCCTAACCGACGACTGACACTCTCTCAAATCTACGAGTGGATTTCTAACACGTTCGCGTATTACCGCGAGGACACGAAGCAAAGCTGGCATAACAGTATCAGGCACAATCTGTCGCTCCACAAGGCATTCATCAAGAGAGAACGACCCAAAGGCGATGCTGGCAAGGGTTGTTATTGGATGATCGAACCCGGAACAGAGGGCAGCTTCTTCAAAGATAAAAATCGTCGAGGTAACTTGTCAAATATGTCTATCCAACCTGGTGTCATGCGACCAGAGCTCATGAAGATGGCACAACCATTGTCTGATGCCTTGACCCCAAATCTGTTTATCAATCAGTCAAGCGAGCCACCCAGACCTCGCACTGCCCCAGCACTTCCTGAGCTTTCTTCCGATGCTACTCTCCCCGCATCCGATCCTGCTCTGAACGAGCAAGATGCCCTGAATTCCAACGAAGGCGCTCCATCCCATCCCAAGTCGTCGCCTCCAAACGCCTTGAACTCGTCTCCACCTTTGATTGGCGGCAATCATCGCCGGAACATATCATCTCCCACCGCAAGGATTCAAAGACCAACCTCGGCACAGCGACAGAAGCGGGTCTTCCCAAAACCCGATGACAGTGGCTATTTTTCGTCCATCGAGTCGTCCGCATTGAAGCCTAACAAGAACACAATTGTTCTGACTTCAGAACTCGATATTGAGCCTCCGAGCAAGAAGCGTGCCGGCAGGGCAGAAGAGGAGATCGCCCGACTTCGGGCCTCTTCTCACGATATCACCCCTAGTCACGCTAGGTTTGGATCATTGAATGGTGAAGTTGTGCAATTGTCCTCACCTGTACGTGTTAGTCCCACCATACCAGCCTATCCTGTCACGCCAGCGGTGCGATTCAAGAAACCTCAACGACCACCTCCATCTATCTCGCCAAATACCCAGCTTCATAATCACCGAAAAGCTATGCAGGATTTTCGGAACTCTCCAATGAAAGGATTTGGGTTGGTACAGACCGATCCCAACCTCAGCAGTCCATTTGGGAACTCCTTTATGACTCCTTTAGGTCTTGGGGACGAATCCTTTGAAATATTCTCCGACCCAGTCAATTCCTTCACCCCGTTCACTCCAGCATTCACATCCTCGCCATTGAAATTGTATCAATCGCGCCCACCTCTGGGACGCGCGGCCGCCAGTGCAATGGTGCTCACCGAACTAGATGGAGGCGCGCTAAAGCTCAACGCGAAGACCCCCAACCACAACCATCTCCTCAAACCCAACGTGGGAGTGACGAACTCTGGTTCACCACTGAAAAGCTCAATGACTAATACAGCTGCTTTTGATGTTCAGAACGATCTTTTTGACTTCAATTCTTTCGAGAACGATATGTCTGATAATGACGAAGGCGTTGACATTCTTCAAGGCTTCGGAAAGATTGGTGACTCCACTGTGCACATCGGCGGACATGTTGGCGGCGCCCAGCAAATAAACCGTCCTTCTTTAGGAGGTCGCAGCCATACCTCTCTATTTTGACACTAGGAACCTTCTGTTTGGCACGAGGATTTTGCTTCTTCGTTTGTTGATGCCTTGGATACGACCGATGCACGCGTATTATGCGGGCTATTCCCTATTTCCATCAAGTTTGATTAATCCCTGTGGAATTGGTCAACGGAGCGAGTTATCCTTCTTGACTAACATTCTTCATTATGAGGGTTTTTATGAGAACAAGAGTTACGAATTCATTACGCGGCCACTTGGCCTTTCGTGTAACGATGATATGTCAGAGAACGAAGCTCTACAAGTTTAATAACATGAGCCGGTTTGCTTGGACGCAGTCCAAGTACTAGCTTACACACCCACACACAAAGACCCATCCCTGGGTTAGATAGTTTGGCAGCAATGCAATGATGAAGCTTAGTAAATCGATTATCAAATAATGACCATGGCTTTTTCCCTTCCTTGTGCTGTGCATGAGGTATTATTCGAGAGAGAAACGATCAATGGGGATCACTCCTTCAGTCCAGCAGACGATTTATTCAAGGGCAGCGGGCGCCAGTTCTATGCTCCGAGGCCAGCCTTTCTAGACAGACTGGACGTCAGCGGGGCTGCAAAGATTCATATATATCGTCCTATCACCTGCAGGTACACAAAGGAGTCTGGAGCTGGGAGCCTGCTTTTTGATTGAGACTGGTGATCACTCGAATGTTCGATTGTCAATTCGTCGTATTCAGCCAGTAATCGAAGTAGATAATTGAAGGTATTGGGCTATCCTGCTATCATTAGTACATCCTCACTCGACCCATTTAATGAAACCTTTCGCCCGTGCTCGATGCCGCAGAACCGCTTCGAGGCGAACTTTTATGCATCCCGCTCATGGCACAGTCTGCGAGCCTCGCTCGGGGAACTTGTCCACAACAAGTCGGATCAGAGATTGCTTGCGCTCTAGGCCAACCTAACTGTTTCTGGCCTGAAGAGTACGCGTACGTATGTACACTTGCTGCCGAAGCTTTTAGCTCTGGCCAATTATGAGTTGGGCACTGAAGAGAGGCGCAATGGCCTACGTAGGCCTGCGGTCTCACGTTGCGAGGTACCTACCGCCTGTGTTGGGATGCAAGATACGGCCATGCGCGGTCCCAGTGCAGGACCCAGACCGCCCAGCTGGACGGACATAAAATTTGCCAGGGCAACTTCTCACTCAATAACGCATTCACTGATGGTGTTGGCTTCCACCAGACTGGCAGAACTGGCTGTATAAATCCATTGTTGAGATACTACATGTTTATCGCTATCTGTCAGAATCTGGTTAGGGCCCTTCCACGGAAATGCTTACTTCCATTAAGCAACAGTGCCAAGTTGTGTTTGTGTTGGAGGCTTCGGGCGCATAACCGGAACTCAGAGGTGATGAGCCGCTCCCACTTCCCCTCCTTGGGCTCCATACGAGGTTAATAATGATCTGTCACTGGGGCTTTATTCAGTGCATGACACCCCTATTAGCTAAAAGATGTGCTTTGGGCAGACTGCCTTTCATTAAAGGCGGGTCAACCCTTCCCTGGCCCTCAGATGCGCTTGTAGGCAGTCTTAGAAAATAATGTCTCTTTCCTCGCCCCAAGATTCGCTTGTTAGCCGTCCTGAGCAAACAGCGTCCTCTTTCAACGGCCACGCTACCTACTACATTGTTATATGATGCAGCAGGAGAGGTACTCCATCCTCGAAGTCGCCTCATCACCAACCACAAAATATAAATCGCCGAAATTTGTCTTGCCCTCAGAGCCAAATGACCAGCCGGAGGTCGCAGCATCGAAAAAGCCTGACCATGTGGCGTTGGAAGAGCCTCCGTCGGCGTCAAACGATATCCGGCAACGCCGAAAGAAATGGATTGTCTGGGTAATAGTAATATGCGTGTCGACGATCGCGGCAGTCGTTGGAGGTGTGCTGGGAGGAGTGTTGTCCAAGCATTCCTCGGAGCGCAAGGAGTCCACGCAGTCCCCGTAAGTCCTTCAACACATATGAATTTGACTCCAATGGATTCGTGCTGACATTGCGTCTTCAAAGAGCTTTCGCCTCGAGCAATGCCTCGCCTACGGCGGGTGTAGCAGCGACGCTAACTAGAGGAGCCATGTCTGGCACGGCGATAGCTCTGAGCTCCTACAGTTATCCAACTGCCGTCTCGTGGGGTTCTTCTCACCTGGAGGTGTTCGCACTCGATACTGGCGTCTATCCGGATTGGAAGTACAAAGACTCAACCGCGTCTGCTGCGAATGAGTGGAGTCCGGAAAATTCAACGTTTGAGTATATCGGAAGCTCCACAGCTCCTTTCCAATATGGGATCGCAGCAATAGCACGGGATACTCAAAATGTCGACATATTTATTACTGGCTCCGATTTTGGGCTATACCATAAGTCCCACAGCACGAATCTGGCATGGGTTCCAAGCCTCACGAAGTGGGAGGCACATGGGGGAATGCTCTCCAGTGCTCCAAGCGTCGTATCGTGGTCTTCCCAACGGCTCGATGTTTTTGGCATTGGAGAGGCTCCTACTTATCAATTGCTTCAGATGACCTGGGACGAGGGCCAGTGGGGTGGCTGGATTGGGCATCCGGCAGCCTCGATGTCGGCCCACGCTCCTGCTGTAGTATCTTGGGGCCCGGGGCGCCTCGACGTCTTTGCGTTGAGTGCCAGGGACCACGCCCTCTACTACCGATATTATGATGGGAAGCAATGGCACCCTAAGGACTCACTTACCAACTTGGGGGGTTACGGGACGTCGAGACCAGTTACCATATCCCTGCAGCAAGGCCGTATAGACATTTTCATGAGAGGTGGTGACGCTGGAATTTGGCATAACGTGTACGCCAATGCCACATGGTCGGACTGGACTGCGATCAGTGTCGGAAAGAGCGTCCATACAGAGCCATCTGTTGTTAGTTGTGTGGAAGGAGTGATTGATCTTTTTGCGTGGGCTGAAGATAATTCTTTGATCCATAAGAGACTGGACATTTTCACGGCAACCTGGACTCCAGATACTGATTTTGACAAGCTCCGTGACGGTTTAGCTGGTCCGCCCAGCGCAGTTAGCGACGGCGCGGGAAGCCTTCACGTGTTTGCATACATGCAGGCTGGAGACCTAGGCCATCTGAGCTGGAATGAGTCTTCGAAGACCTGGTCGCCAGGGACTGGTATCGAGTCATTAGGTTCCGGGGATTGGTCATAAAATTGCAATCTGTTTATGTTTTGCTGTGTGTTTAAGATGGATCAGTTTCATTCATCACAGGGCTTGAGTTGCCGTGCAGGACGAGTACTATTCTCTTGAACTGCGATTACAGACACCGCGGATGGCCGCCAAAGCTACCTAGGGACAGGTAGGAACGCCGTGCCCAAACAATTTGTTGCCGCGCCGCGGGGATAGTGGCTTTACCTCGGATGAAATCTATTTTCTGAGACCCATGTCCTAGGATAGTTCCCTCAACTCCAATTAGGCGCCTCTCGGACATGATCAGGGCTTATGCCCAGCAGCTCGACTCGTACGTACGAGTATGATGCACACTGAAACCCTCGGGTTGAGTCACCCCACTCTCATGGTTACCTGAAATGGAACGCCTTGGAGTGCCTTGGTCATGATGTATTCTCGGCGGCGTCAACTCTGCTTTTACGAATACAGGCTTGTTGATATATAGTATTTAGAAGATTCTGAGAGCCCTCTCTTCCCTCTCTAAATTTCTTCTTGGAACCGCAAAATAACGTGCAAGACAAAAGTCTTCAGCATGTCGGACGATGCAGCAATCAAACAACTCGAGGATGTCCTGGCGCTCCAGAGGAAAGCATTCCTGAAGAACCAGTGCCCCTCTATCGAGGAACGAAAAGCCAATATTGGGAAAATCCCAGGGATGGTGATTGGAAACCGAGAAGCCATCCTAGCTGCAATGAACAAGGACTTCGGCAACCATCCCAAAGCAATGGTCGACATGGTGGAAATCTTGGGCGTAGCAGGAAGAGCTGCATATGTCTTGTCTCAGATCGACAAGTGGACAGCTGCTGACTCCAGGGATGTTGATGCACACATGTACGGAGCCGACGCCACTGGAGAGATACGGTATCAGCCAAAGGGTGTGGTTGGAAACATCGTCCGTGAGTTGATATTCGTCCCTGAGAATGAATGTTGAACTTGAGCTTATTGGATGACTTAGCATGGAATTTCCCTCTCGATCTATCACTGGGACCGCTATGCGAGATGCTCGCTGCTGGGAATCGGGTGATCATCAAACCGTCAGAATTTACTCCAGCGACTGGTACTCTCCTGGCAAAGATGATCAAGGAAACATACCCCGAGGACCTCGTCACTGTGGTGAATGGAGGTCTAGATCTCTCGAAACGCTTCTCGCAGCTCAAATTTAATCACATCCTTTATACAGGCAATCCTACAGTCGGAAAGCTCGTGATGGCCGAGGCTGCGAAGAATCTCGTGCCGGTGACACTTGAGCTCGGCGGGAAATGTCCAGTGATCATGCAGAAGGGCTCTGTCACAGACGAAAATGTCGAGATCATCATTGGCACCAAGCTACTGAAGAACGGTCAGATGTGCATATCGGTGGACCACGTTGTGTGCCCTCGAGATGAGGTCGCCGCTTTCACCGCGGCAGCAGAGCGGATGTTCAAGTCGAAGTTGGCTGATTATACCACATCGGCAGACAACACCGGCATCATCTCTGAGCGCCACCTCAGTCGCATCAACAAATTGGTAGCCGAGGCCGAGAAAGCCGGTGTGAAATCAATCAAACTTGGTGGAGACCTGCCCTCAGACAACACCAAGCGACAGCTTCCTCTGACACTCTTGGTCGACCCGGGACGAGATCTAGAGGTAATGCAAGACGAGATATTCGGCCCGATCCTACCCATCGTACCCTACGATGATCTCAACGCCGCCATCGACGAGATCAACGCCGGTGAACGACCGCTCGGTCTCTACGTCTTCGGCGACGACGTTGAAGCCGCCAACAAAATCATCGAAAACACCAATTCAGGCGGTGCTGCGATCAATTGCGTCGCTATACAAGGCGCGCTGCCTTCACTGGGCTTCGGCGGGTCAGGAAACAGCGGAATGGGTCGACACCACGGAATCGAGGGCTTCCGTGAGTTCTCGAACCCGAGAGGTGTGTTTACTCGTTCAAGAGCAAACGCCGATATGCTCAAGGCTTTCATGCCGCCGTACGCGGCGCTGGGCGAGCCCTTGGCGGAGGCGGCGTACAAACAAGCGATGGGCGCCGCGTAGGGAGTCAATGTTGACTTGGGAATGGAATTGGGATTTCACTGAATGAAAATATCAAGAGGAATGTAGAGAAAATTCCTCTCTCCTATCCAAGAGGGGTTCCATTGTTTGATCCGCCGTACCTTAATTCTTCAGCTGCCTGACAATCTTATTCGTCTGTCATCTGTGTAGAAAGAATTCGCTCATGACTATATCAGTACATCACGAGCACTGCTCCGCCATTCTCAACCAATTCGCTATAACCGGGGCAATGACAGCTTTCATTCCCGATAGGACATCCCGAAAATAGACACGCCGGTCGATGCAAGAGCCATGACAAGACTGTCGAGGTGGCTTTGGCGACAATCCTACCAGGTCCCTAAGTATCAGAGGTCGGATTGTTCGTTTCGATCCTCGTGAGCAGCTTCGTGGTAGTGACATGATACTTGGCGGTCTGGGTTGTGTTGGCAAGCTGCTCGACGGGGAAGAAGCGGTCACAATTGGAAAGGTGACTGAGGTTAGAATCTCGCCCAAATTGGGTAGCCTTCGCAATGCCTCCAGTCACCGTGCCGTCTTTCGCGACCTCGCTACCAATGCGGAAATCGAGGCCGTACAGCGTCTGGGTGGTGGTCGTCTTCTCAATGACCTTGTAGTGGAACTTGGTGTGGGGCGAGATCTCGGTCGATTCGGTCACGGTGGTGGTGGAGCTCAACGTCTGGCTGTTCTCGGATGTGCGAGTCTTGTCGAAGCTCGCCTCCACGCCGAAGGAGAAGCCATCAATCTCGACCTTCGATTCAACCTTGAGCCCTGTAGTCTCGCTGACCGTAAGACTGGTGCTTTGGCTAGTGGTCTTGGAATAGCTGAACTCGAAATGCTTGGTCTGCGCGCTGTCGTTGTTCTCGACGACCTCGGTAATCACCTGGCTATTGGTGACGGGATCATCGAGCTCCGTAACCACGTATGGACCCTTGGAGATATAGACATAGACGCTGTGGCCGTCCAGCGATAGATCCCGTGGGATCATGGGCATTCCTACGAAAGGAAAGGTTGATTTCACAGCGAAGAGAGGCAGGTTGCCAGAGAGCCACCCGTTACTCGTGTGGGTCATCTGAACGCCTACTTCATTGTTAAATGCAAACGCAGTATCGGTATTGGTGACTGCCCACGCGTCGTGGACACCTAGTCTGTCAGGGCTCGTTGCGTTAAGCTAGCTTTGTAGGTCCATGATCATCTCGAGATCTTCATGGGTGGCAATCCTTCCACTCTGGGGTTTGCGACCGGTGGCCATTTTCTTTGCAGGTAATGATGAGGTTGTATCGCTGAGTGCGAATATTTGCGACAGTAGTGAGATATCTATCTAGGTTCTGGCGTTCAGGACCGCTATGGCAGTGGCGGGGAAAGGGCGTCTTGAAATACCTTTCAATTCCCATGAGGCGTCGAGGGCACCATGTCTTAAGCTTCAGCAACTTCAGTGAAATCTTTTCGGGCTGACGGCCACCATCTGGAAATAACACACCCAGCTACTCCTCATTGTCCGCATAGTAGAGAGTATATCACAAGCAGCCAATAAGTCTTCAACAAAAGTAGACAAAAGCAGCAAGTGTTTAGAAGGGCGACCGCCATCTGGGAATAACAACCCTACCTACTGTCGATTGTCGGGTACGATGGAAACCATTTTAATGAGCAACCAATATATTATCCGCATGGATGGACAAAAGGAGGAAGTGGTTCGAAGGAGGCGTAATCCTGTTTCAGTGGCTGGCTAGCTGAGCATACTGATATGTTTTCTTGCTTGTGAGCGTCCATGCAGTCAACGCTGGTGGCTTTATTGCGCTGAGGTGGCTGTGGTGTGGTGCGGCTGATTCCCCCTGCCGTGTCAAGCAAAGCTTCACCAGCCACTACTTACCACGGCAAAATACCCGTGAAAGTGTCGCCGACCAAGGGTTGTGATGAATGACTGCTCAAGCGGCTGATTCAACTGTCAGGACGCGTGGCTAGATGGAGCAAGTGTCCTTCTCAAAGTTATTGTCCGAGTTTGTCTTCGCAGTTATGTAGCGGGATCTTCTACAATGGCAGCGCTCAAGGACCTTTGTCGAAAGCGACATGTAGACCGCAGCCTCATCACGTGACATTAACTTTCCTGCCAAGCTACGGAGATCTTTTTCAGAGAGCAGCCCGAATCGCATACCCAGGTGTTCAATGATTGATCTACAATCTTGTTCGCAAGCCTCACCTCCCCACCTAATGTGATAACCTGCAGTCATTTGCATAAGCTTGGAGGCAGCTTGTTTGCGTCTCTCAAAAGAACCCGGGCATCCTACAGTGGCTGCTGTTTGCCAGCATGTTGGCGCCTCGTTGCCTGCGAACAGCTCTCGAGACCTGTCGACCTTGTAAGGTAATGGCCATTCCTTCCAGACCCACAGGAAGTTTTGATGTGAAAGTTCACCTCTGACTGACCCAAACTATGCAGACGAGCCCACTATTCTCCCGTGCCAGAGTAACACAGTCGCGGACCCGCCCAACGCGAGATTTCTCCTCCAGCGTATCTAGATGCACGCCTCCCGAAGACATCACTGCCGGATTTCCAATGCCAGAAGTCGGTTCAAGGAAAATACAGGGAATGAATGAGGTTGAAACACCTTTGCAAGCAGATGGACGTGAAAGAACGCCGCAAACCGATCAGACACACAATCCATCGTCACCGGGCGGCGAGCCACCCAGTCCTCAGAAGTCCCCCGTGCAAGCCAGAACTCCAGCAGCATCGCCGTCTACGAGAACAAAAGCACCAATCCCTGTGGCACCACAACAGCTTTCAGTGCAAGACTCTAACGACCTCGACCCGGCCACTGTCAATGTGCCGCCTAACGTCCTTGCCGCCTTCCGCACTCCTCTGCGCCACAAGCCTACCCATGGCATTCCAGTCGCCTCTCTCCAGATGCGGTCCTATAGTGTGCGAAACCTCGAGTTCTACGCCGATTTTGCGGTGCGTGCTGCCTACTGGCTTGGGCTGCCCTGCTCAGGTCCCGTTCCCTTACCGAAAAAGATAGAACGCTGGACAGTACCGAAGTCACCCTTCATCTTCAAGAAGAGCATGGAAAATTTCGAGAGGATTACGAGACGGAGACTTTTAACCATCTATGATGGAGACCCGGAAGTTGTGGAGGTTTGGCTAGCGTTCTTACGCAAGTGGCAATTCTACGGTGTGGGAATGAAAGCGAACGTCTGGCAATTCGAGGGCCTTGGTAAGCTTTGTCTGACGGTGGATGGCTTTGTGATCGAGTGCTAATCCTTCTTCAATCACAGATGTGGCAGGAAAAATGGACAAGCAATTCGCAGATCTGGAGAAAGAGCTTGATGAGAAACTCCGACTATTTGGTTTCAGCAAGGCTGCGGCAGGAAATCGTAATTTGGTGCAGATGATGCACAAACAGGGCGTCCGAGGTCCCGGTGTCCCTGTCACAGACGTAAGGGATAAGACGAGAGATCCCTCGGAGCAGACCTTCTTCACCTGATGAAACGTCCGCACTGCATTTGCGGAAATGAGAGCGGACCCGAAAGTAGGAGGAAAATCTGTTGTACAAAAGAATACTCACCGCATATGGGACCACCATCTTGTGCAAAGCTTCGCCGTCCTTGCATTGTACAGAGTACAATGGAGATGTAAATATCAGTTCTAGCCATCAGACGAACATAACATTGGTTGTTGGCATTCCCATAAGCTTGATTTCTTCCCCTGCCTTCCATCAGCGGCCTCTGGAAAAACTATGTCGCCTGGAGGAACGTTCTCTCCCAACTTTCTCAGGCCGGAATCAGAGTATCTGAGTACAATAAGCACGGCTCATGTCATCATTGAAAGCCGTGATGTCTTAGATACTCTCGTGTGAATGACCATGCAACGGGAAATGCTGTATATCTACGATGATAGCACACCTGTTGGCCATCACACACTTAGCTAGTCCCACCCTCACCGGCAAGCCATGGTATTCCAGGACTATTAGGGCCCCATGTAATGGAAGTGGAATTATGAGATGCCCAAGGATGAGATACCGTGGCAGCGGAAGTGATTGGGGTAAGACCAGGATGGGAGAGGCAGGGAATCATTCCGCGCGTCCTCGTCCTCCTTCCCCCAGTTGCATTTTCGGGTATGTAGCTCATTGATGGAATTTGCGGGGTCTCCGTTTGCACGAACCAATCTCACAGTTACACAAAGTCAGAACATGAGAAAGACCGGGGGTTGAATTTGAGTTGCGTCTGCTTCACAAGGAACGGGTAGTCGCCTGCCCCATATATGTGGAATGTTTCCATTAATCTCACCACGATTATATTCAACTGATTGCCGACTACCATACATCTACCCAGGTATTCAATAGCGGATCGGATCCCCAGTCGTCTAGATATCATCATTTGTTCCTTTAGAGTAGCCTGTCACCATGTCGCCAGGCCGTTTGACGCACGAAGAAGAATATGACTTCATCGTTTGGTAAGCGAATCCTCGGGAGTATAGTTGAGCCACCGGGTTGACGATCTTCCCTAGCGGTGGAGGGACATCAGGCTGCGTTGTTGCTGGCAGACTGGCTGAGAACACCAATGCTCGAATATTGCTCGTTGAGGCAGGGCCTCACAATAAAGATCTTGAAAATGTTCACATGGTGGGAGGTAAGCGAATGTCTCTCAAAGAGTCCTTTGAGGCATTAGAATCAATACTGATAGTGTCTGCTCTCTCTCAGGATGGTCGAAAAACTTCGATTCTGAGACCGACTGGAATCTTGAGACAGAGCCAATGGACGGTGTAGATGGACGTCAGGTCAAACTCAGCAGAGGGAAGTTTTTGGTGCGTCCTGCCGCTTCAATCTCGATGCCGAAGACAATTCCTTGCCTCAATCTCAGTAGCATGCTCTGATTTCTGTTCCCAGGGCGGCTCTTCAGGTGTGAACGGCACACTCTGCATACGGGGAAGCAAGCAGGACTATGACGATTGGAAGTAAGTACTCAACTATTCGTGGAGTCCTTTGCTAAGTCATTCAGCCTTCCTGGGTGGTCTGGGGACGAGTTCTTCTCGTATATGAGCAAGGTAGCGCATATGCATAACATTTTGAACTCAAGATTGACCTATCGTTAGTCTGAAACGTTTAACAACAAACCATGGTTCCAGGCAGACGAAAAGGCTCATGGTTACGAAGGACCGCTTCACACTGAGCCTCATGATCTCGCTCCAATCTCTCAATTGATGCTTGAGTCCATGGAGTCTTCAGGTCTGCCCCTGGTACACGACATGTTTACCAATGGCGAAACACCACACGGTTGTGGACATGTTCCGAGGACGCATCATAAAGGCATCCGAACAACCGGCGCAGACTTCGTCACAAACGACCATCATAAAGCCAATATAGATATTGCGGTCGACACACTCGTCGATAAAATCAACTTCGAGGAGAAGGATGGCCAACCGCAAGCAACAAGTGTAACCTTGGTTGGCAAAGATGGTGAAAAGCATGATGTTAGAGCAACGAAAGAGATTATTTTGTCTTCAGGTAACGAGGAATCTGCACCGCAAAGTTGAGTAATCACTGATATCGGAAGGTGCTTACTGTTCGCCCGCTGTCTTGCTCCGATCGGGAATCGGTCCCAAAGCAGAACTCGAGCAGTTGGGCATCAAGACCATCGTCGATTCACCAGGTGTTGGGAAAAATCTCCTCGATCATCTCGTTGGTGACCACCGCCCTTTTCATGTCACACTTCTAACCGACACCAGATTGTTTTTGCATTCTATGAAGTCGGAAAGGACGGCCTCACCAATGACCATCTTGTGTATGCAGTTGCCAACAAATGCTCGGATCTTGTTAATTGATTGTCCAGTTACCATGGCGATGCCGCAATGGCTGCCTACATGCTTTATAAAGAGAAAAAGACTGGTGTCTTATCGACCTTCCCATTTGGAGCATTCGCCTTTGCAAGGCTCGATGATCGACTCAAAAATGAACCGTTGTGGAAAGACGCGAAAACACAGCCAGGGCGTGATCCGATGGGCCTAACAAAGAAACAGCCGAACGTTGAGTTCTTCACCACTGAGGTAAGTGATATCTTGCGGACGGGTGATTTGTGCCTGCTGACCTAGGAAATAGTTGTATGGAGGGTAAGTCACTTACCCGGTTCGATTGGAAACTTGTCAAGAAAATGTCCTCTTGTGGTGCTCTTCGCATTTTCTTCGATCTCTGTCATAGTCTCGTCAGCGTGCTTATTATGTGGACGTGACACCGCTGACGTTCAATTTGAAAAGCCCGACGCAATATAACGATTTCCCGATCGGTAAGTCTGTCATAATAATTTGGTAATAGTAACTAATGGGGACAGACAAGAAACAGGCGTTCGCGATGATCACCGAATTATTCTCGCCTCGCTCAAAAGGAACTGTGACGTTGAAGTCCACAGATCCATCCGAAAACCCCATTATCGACTGCAACTATCTCTCGGACCCTCTAGATCTACTAGTTTTGAGTGAAGGCTGTCAGCTGGGGAACGAAATCGTGTTGAAGGGTGCAGGAACCAGAGATGTCATAAAAGGCTCCTGGCCGCAAAGTATGTACTCAAGTGGAATTGTACCGAAACTTGTATTGACAACCGGCCAGCTGCCAATCATCATGCATTCACTACTCGCGAGGACTGGATCCCATACGTGAAACAAAATGCAACAACATGCTATCATGCTGCGGGCACCTGCAAAATGGGACCCGAGAGCGACAAATTCGCAGTACTTGACGAGAGGCTCTGCGTTCGTGGAGTTGGAGGCCTAAGGGTCGCCGACTGCAGCATAATGCCAACCTTGCACGGTGGTCATACTCAAATGCCAGCGTAAGCAAGACTTTATCAAATGTTGCAAATTTCACTGACCTTGAATAGATATGGCATTGGCGAGAAGGCTGCCGACCTGATCAAGGCAGCATGGGCAAAGGGTTGAGGTTTCACTCTCAATACCTGTCAGTTGGAATGTCTGCGATTGCAACAATCAGGCAGACTTCCTGCGATATGACCAGCCTGAAGGCCCAGGCTCTGGAGTAAGAAATCTTTTCGGCATTCAACCCTGTTCGAAATGACCTGTCCTTCTGTGCCGTGCTATCGGAATAGATATCACGGCATTGGGCTTGTGCACGAATTGCTGCGTACGCCATTTTTCATAGATAGCGACCTCTTGAATGACTAGGGCAAACGAATCTTTGTTTGCGACTATGTGAAGGAGAAATCTGAATGCCCCTTTTTATCGTTTTAAGAGCAGCCTCGCCAGATGTAGTACGGTACCGTGAATGAGATTTTGCGCAGTCTTGGCATCGCATCTTCGATCTTTCCATCACCTGAGCAGCTCCATCTCAGCTTCTCTTCTGTCGAACGAGTTGTTTATCCCTTGTACAGTCCATTCCTTTGCGTATCTTCGAATACGCGTTCACTCCTTTGCATGTTTGAAATGCTCGGTTATACTCTTCGTTCACCATTGTGGCTGCTTCGAACTTCCCAAGCCCGGCAGGTTCATCGAAGGCTTTTCACAAGCAAAGGGGGCAACTCGACTCAATGGACAGATGGTGCACCTGTCAAATTATCGCCTGCAAGCTTTTCATCAAATGCAAATAGCGATTCAAGTCTTGGTCAACGGCTAGTAAATCCTCAGACATCGCCTGGCAGACGCAGGATCGTCTTTTCAGGCATTCAACCGACCGGCGTGCCCCACCTAGGGAATTATATTGGTGCTCTTCGTCAATGGAAAAAGTACCACGGGGAAAGCTCTGATCCGAGGGTCACCTCTCAGTATTCAACAGAGCAGTATTTCTCGATTGTTGACCTTCATGCCCTTACAGCTAGCATGCCAAGAGAGGAAAGAAAGCAATTGCGTAAGGAGTCATTTGCTTCCTTACTTGCGATCGGGCTGAATAATACCGGGACTACTTCTGTCTTCTTCCAATCTGATGTTGGTCAACCCCTTTCTGAAATGACAAGATTGCTAAAGGTTAGCAGGTCTCCTATCATAGCGAGCTTATGTGGATCCTGAGTAACGTTGCTTCCACCGGCTATCTTTCTCGAATGACCCAGTGGAAGGTAAGAGTACAATCCTCCCGCAACAGATAATCAGCTGATAATCTTCTGAAAAGTCCAAACTGAATCTCCCCGATGAAACATCGTTGGCTGCTGACGAGGCTACTGCTGTGTTGAAGCTTGGACTATTCTCATATCCTGTCTTACAAGCTGCAGATATTCTTCTTTACGAGTAGGTCCCCACCGTGCGAGGCTTCATTGCACGGGCGCTTACATGACAAAGCACTGCACTCGTTCCCGTAGGCCATGACCAATTGCAACACGTCGAATTCGCTCGCACCCTAGCTAGAGGGTTCAATTCATATCTGACCGAGACCCAAGCTGAGCCTGTCTTTGCCATCCCGAAGGCAGTTGTGGGTAAGTAACTTGACGGATGATCCTGAGTCCACGCCTTCTCTTACCACTTCTAGTTCCTGGAAAGAGAGTCATGTCGCTCAGGAAGCCCACGCAGAAAATGTCAAAATCAGACGCTGATCCAAGATCACGAATATCAATTATAGATTCGCCAGAAGAAATCCGCCAAAAGATAAAAGGAGCCACAACGGATTCCATATCCGGCATTTCGTACGATCCAGAGAAACGGCCAGGGGTTTCAAATCTCATTGAGATCTACAAACACGTAACCGAAACGCCAGAGTCCTGTGACACTATCGCCCAAGACAATCAAATCATCTCTATGCAAGGGCTGAAAGATATGGTTGCTTCAGCGATAACAAAAGAGCTTGAGGGCACCCGCTCACATTTTTTGCAGCTAATGGATCAGAACAATGAAACACTCTCAGAAGAAATCCAACTTGGTGCTACCAGGGCGCGAGCAAAGGCCGGAATTACATTTTCAAAGGTCCAGCAGTCATTGGGTATCTCATAGTCTGCTTCTTTGAGCAGCATCAGCTAAACAGGCTGCAAGTGATGGTATTCAATAGGTGGAACGACAAAGTAAACAGCAGACACTTAAAGCAACAAGGCTCAAAGCCGACAAGGCATTCCCAGCCTGCGCTAAGGGTTCAGCAGCGCGCATATCATGCAAAATGGCCAAACACAAATTCAGCAGCATCAAGGACAGCTCCTGGCGCATCAAAGGAGCAACCAAACATGCTAATGAAAGCTTGTCACCAAAAAGGCTGGTCTTTATGTATATCTATCTCTCAGCTCACTTGGAAACACTCTTTTATCTTACAAGTTATCGTTCGTCAATTCCACAGACTATTGCTACAACGATATGAGCCTAGGGAACTCAATGTCAGTCCTCAGATCAATACACTCAAGACACAAACCAAGCAACATGACCGCGAGTCATCCTTCATGAACAATGCCTCGCGCATTTCCAACCACACCAGATTCCCCCTCTCCCACTGAATCTTCTGATGAGCAAGACCCGTCTGAAAATGTCATTGTTCCGTGGATTCCAGATCTCCCGCCTTCATCTGAGGCCTCCGATGAGCAACCTACGCTTGAGAATGTCGGTGTTCCATTGATGCCAAGTTTTCCCTCTTCTTCTGAGGATCCGAATGAGCAAAACACTACCGACGAGAACGAGATCTCTATTGCCGCATTGCTTCTCAAAGATCTCACGATGCATTCAAGCTATGCTGCAAACTCACACACCCACCGGGCCCAGAGATAATCACCACTACTATATTTGGCAACACTTCATCTGCAACTCTAGACTTTAAAGTCAATTTCAATGCTGAAACAATGGAGACTTTTCTTCGAGTTTGCCTCTTGGCCATGCGCGCTTGGGAGAAGACTGAGGATGAAAGAAGCCGCTGAAGGAGTGTCCACTCAGCGGGAGGAGAACGGCGATGAGCTACAACAGGGTGTGTTGATCTCGAGAGACGATGCTGGAGTTGCCGATGACTGGGCTAGCCTCTGGGATCTCTTGGATCTAGATGAAGCCATGGGAGTTTCGTTGGACCTGAGTGAGGGCGAGGCTTAGTCGGAAGGGCGTCGCAAAGTGAACAACTCAGACAGCAGAGCATTATCGCGTGAGGATTCTGCAGATGATACTCTGTGGATGCACAACAGGGCAATTGGTATGGGAGAAGTGCTCAGTGGGTATGCATGTTCAGGATTTACTAGTTTGAACAGAAGTGGGACAAAATGAAGCGGCAACAAACGATAGCAAAATCGCAGGCTACGAGCAATGGGAGGAAGCATGAATTCTATAAGAGGATGACTGTTGAAGAGAGCAAGGATGAGCCAGAGGGCAATGCTGGATCTGTTGTTGAAGAGTCTGGTCAGCCAGACCTCTGCACCAAAGGTGCTGTCGGTTTTGCTAGTAATCTGATCGACCGACTGAAAGGTCTTTTGATCATCAAGAAGGACATTCGTTTGCAAAGTGAAATACGTGGTTAACACGTTTGAGATATCGCATCCACTGGTATTCATATCACCCTCATTGTCCCCGTTGCAATTATGTGCATTGAGCATTAGCAGACGTTTCCCCGATGTCCTCTCTATGTCCCAGGGCCGCTAACGCAGAAACGTAGAAACTCAGTATCAGGCTCCAGCATAAATCGACCTCCCTGATCTTTGAAAAAGGATCAGTCTCCAACACCACCTTAGCCTCACGTTTCACAGTACTGTGCCACTTCCACGTTTGTTGCTTTGAGGTATATACAGTTCAATTAGCTGCCACGAGTGCATCTTGCCATGGCTTCGGTGGCCCTGCCACCCGCATCTCTACCAACAGCAACGGAACACACCACACCATCTTCTGAAAGCAGTCCACCATCCAAAACTCTGTCTCAAGAAGAATTCAACGCTTACATAAACGACCCTCGCCTGAATCAAGTCTACCAACTGCCGGCCGAGATGTTGCACGGCCGTTCGGAGCCCTTCCAAATCTCATACGCTGACTATGGCTTTCATCGCGAAACTGCGCGAGGCAATGGGGTTGAAGAGGAGCAGGTGCTCTTATTCTTTGGACCCCTCCTGTCCTCACGGCTGTGGAATGCTGCAAAGGATGGACTTGCGAAGAGGTATCGGGTCCGCATTATCAATGCAGAGCGTCCGGGAATTGGCAAGACGGACAGCGTGCCGTCTGAGAGAATGCTCGAAGTTTGGAGAGGTAAGTTCGTCAAGTTATTTTACTTCAAGTACACCTCCGGGAGGAATGCTTTCAGGAAACCCAAATTTTCTGACTAGCTAGCAATATAGAAGCTATTCCCGCCCTACTTCATCACCTGGGCATCAAACATGTCTCCGTAGGCTGCCACAGCGGCGGCACTGTCTACGGGTTCGACTTCGCCGTTCACAACCCGCAGTTCCTTCACCCGTCGCGGCCATATATCGCGATCGGCAGCCCCTGGATCCACTCGTCGCAATCGGGAATGCTGCTGTGGTCACTGGCCTCCTCTCTGCCGCGGTCTTTCGTCTCAAAGACCGACAAGTTGGCCTCCTTTGTCAACTCAACATTGGGCCCCATGCTGGGAATCAGCGCCGCCGTCTCAGGCAGTGTAGGACAGCTTTGGTCCCAGACGAGGCGCACGGGTCGCGAGGGTCCGGACGTCGACTTCGAGGAAGGATTGCGCCGCCGTATAGCGGAGCACGTCTTCGAGAGTAGCGTTCGCGGATTAGGCCAAGAGGCACAAGTTCTACTGCGCAATGGCGTCGAGAAGGACGGGTGGTCCGACTGGGGTGACTTCGACGTGCTAGCGCCCCGCCTAGCCGAGGCGGTGCGAGTTTCTAGGGGTGCCAGACTCAAGCTGGACGTGTTCTTTGCCGAAAAGGACGTTATGATTGGCGATGCTGGCACCAAAGGAAGCAAGTGGTTCGAGTCGTGCTGGAACAACGTGGACGGCGTAGATTTCACGAGCGAGACAGTCAAGGGTTCGGACCACGATAGCGTGTGGGATCTGCGCTGGGATGTCATGGAGAGGGTGTTCAAGACGATGACCCAAGACGCGGTCTAATCCTTATGTACAGACTTGGTCAAGGAGAGGAGCATTCCTGCTTTCAACCATTTCCAGACACCTTGATAAGAGCATCACAGCCTGGCCGCGAACACGAAGGTGCTTTACGATCGTGCCCCCCCAATTGACCGACTGCCCAAGCGAGTACAGCAATATGGCTACGTAGGCGGTCGGAGAGCCCTCGGTAATACCAAACACAAAAACTGTACAAATTATTGAAGGAGTAGATGGGTGGTTCTTCAAACCTGCAGCACAGCACTGTGTGCTGCCCTCGCACGCCCCTGAACGATATAGCAGCAAGCTGCATGACGTAATCCTATAAAGCAGCCTCGATTTGATTCTTGAAGCGGTAGTGGTTGAGCCCGCCGATGCGTTTAATTTATCTTTGGGAGAGCTGCAACTACCAATTACTTCATACTGCCGCAATAGCCAGCTACATTACCCAGATACATTCATTCGGTAGTGGGCAGCTACAATGCGCCGACAACTCGTTTCGGCATCGTGTTGGCACGCGTCCTCACGGCGATACTTCTCGAGCACTCGCTCTCGCGACGATGTGATCGACCTCGCTTTTCACAGGCACGACCCGCCGGCTGAGTCTGGCAGCAAGATCAAAGGCCCGCCCATCGTGCTGATGCACGGGTTGTTCGGGTCGCAGCGAAACAATCGCACGATGAGTAAGTAAGGAATACACTCTTGTGACCCAGTCCCCGACCGTCTTGTGCATTATGAGAAAGACGAATGACTAAACATGGGATCCTTTTGTTCCTTCTCGCAGAGTCCTAGCCAAAGACCTCTCACGACCAGTGTACAACATCGACCTCCGCAACCACGGCGACAGCGCACACTCTCCGGCGCACGACTACACATCGATGGCGGAAGACGTGGAAGCGTTCATCGCCGCACAGCAACTCCCAAAACCGACGCTGATCGGACACTCGATGGGTGCGAAAGTGGCCATGACACTCGCACTGCGGTCCCCCAACAAATACTCGGCCCTGATCCCCGTGGACAACGCCCCCGTGGACGCGGCGCTCAAGTCGGACTTTGGGAAATACGTGAATGCGATGCGCGAAATTGACGAGCAGGGCCCGCAGCACATCCAGAAGCAGAGCGACGCAGACAAGATCTTGGCGAAATACGAGCCGGACGTCTCGATCCGCCAGTTTCTGCTGACGAACCTGGTCAAGATGGCCCCGAAGCGTGCACCGGCGCACAAGGCGGGAGACCACCGACATGCGCACAAGACGGAGCTGAGGCTCCGCATCCCGTTGCAGACGCTGGCCAAGTCACTGCCCGCCATGGCGGATTTCCCGTTCAAGGACCCGGACGTCGCGCGGTTCGAGGGCCCGACGCTAGTGGTGCGTGGGACCAAGAGCCATTATGTCGCGGACGAGACGTTGCCGCTGATCGGAAATTTCTTCCCGCGCTTCGAGCTGCTGGACTGCGACTGTGGGCATTGGGTCATGGCGGAGAATTTCGAGCAATTTCGGGCTGGGGTCGTTGAGTGGATCGAGAGGGTTGTCGATGAGAGCTGATCTTGCCTTCCTCTCTCCCTAAACGAGATACTATTTCACACCTGCGCTGGTAGCTGCTGGTACCCACTTACCTGATCTGTACAACTTGGAGGACATCATTGGGTCGTAATTGACCTAGGTCAGGAGCAAGAACAGGCCAGACCAGAGGTCGGTAGGCTTGATGCTGAAGATGGTGGAGGCTATGTTCAATTGATCTACGAGGGACAAAGACAATAGAGTTGCAAGTCTACAAAGACGCCTCCATTCATGTTTCAAGAATTTTTGGAATTGTTGCAAATGCTATTTTTATCTAGCATTAGACCTTGTCTTTTGGGCCAGAGGCATCGATGGAACCATGAAACCATGCCCCAGCCATAGATGTGAGATTCTTCATGTCTCCTCGGGTTATTGCTTCCTGGCATTCGATGTTCTAGCGACCCATTGCTGTAATTGTATGAAGCCAGACCAGACCAAATTGGGCATGCCATTTGGTTATTTGGCTCTCACCACACCAGCGGAGAACCACTGCTACTCCATTTTGCCGCTCCTCGACCCTTTTGAGATCCATCATTCTACCCGATAAGTAGCATCAACCATAACACACCGTCTAGACGCTCTCCAAAGGCGCATGCTCCTTGAACTCGCGGTCGACCTTTTGGCCAGAGTCGTCCTGCGAGCTCTCTCCGTGCAGACCGAGCAGAGCACCAAGATCGAATTTGGGTGCCTTCAGTAGCTTGACCTTTCGGATGTGAACGTTCTGGAGAGGGTAGATGCCTTGCGTGCTCTTCTCGATCTCGCGGCCGATGACCTCAGGGATGAGTTTGCCGGTGAGTTGGGCGAGAGTGACGCTGGTGGCCTCGCGTTGGATGATCTCGGTCATCTTCTTGCGGATGGCACGAATTTGCGATGAGGCGGCGTATGTGGTCTTCTTGATTTGGTTGGGTCGACGCTTGGTGAAGGCAATGGCGAACAGTCGCAGGAGATAGTCGTCAGTGGTCTTGACGGTAACGTTGGCTTCGATCAGAGTTTGCCACTTTCGTACCAAAGAGCGGAGTTTGTCAGAAGTGAAATCGAGACCGTGGAAGTTGGTCAAGCAGTTCTTGCCCTGGACTTCATCGACTCGGAGCTTGACCTTACGGAAGGCATGGTCTTCGTCGTTCTGGAGGTCGGCAAGGGAAACTTCGAAAATTCGACCCTTGAGGGCGTCGTTGGCAGACTTGAGACCGGTTGTGCGGTTCACCAAGGTCTTCCCGACACTGTAGATTCAATTATGAGTTGTTTGTTCCCCATGCAAGTTTTCCAGTCTTATATCAGGTTGACTGTGGGTGTTACGTACTCTCTCGTGTTGAAGGTGGACGGGGCTTTGACTGAATACCAGTCTTTTCGAGTGAAAGGGTCTTGGGTTCTTTTCTTCAAGCCTTTCTTTCCTTTCGAAAGACGTTTATTCCTGTGAGCACAATTGGTGAGCTTTGATTCAACTCTGCCATAGATAGGATTGTGGGGAGAACGAAATCGGCTAGGGTGAGGGATTTTGGATTGAGATGCGACGGTTCTGCGAGAGTTTCGAGGGTCATTGAGTGTGCTTACTTTCCAACAGCCATGATTGCGACCTAGTCTATCTTTTGGGCAGTACAAAGGATAGATGGCCTTGTCGCAGTAGTTGTGGGTGTTTGTTGTACTGGGAATGAGAGGATCTCGACTCTTGAAAAATTGGCAAAGTTGCGCTGTGTGCGGGCGGACTAGTAACTCTTGGCGCCGCAGGGAAAGGCGCTAGGCAAATAAATAATGACAAAGTCACGTGCGCAAAATGGTTTCTCACCTCAGCCTTGCTCCAACAAAATATGGCACCCCTCTTCCACCTCGAGGAGACTGTCTCACGGCACAACATTGCAGGGCACAACGTATCTTGAAGATCTATCATCTTGCATCTCATTGCATTCGTTCTACCATCTCTGGGTAGCTGCGGGGTTTACAATCGTAGACCTTGAGTCTAGATACAATGCCTTTTCTCTAAAACTTCTGGTAGCCCATGTGTCATCAGTTCGTCCAGATCATTTGATGCCTCTAATCACTCTGACGCGATAGTCAAATCCTTCATGTCTTCAGGTCCTTGAGCTTATCAGCCACGCTATCTGCAGGAGGGTTCAGCTTGGGTCCACCATCAGGAGCACCTTCGGCCTTAGGCTTGGCGGGCTGCTTCGCCTTCTGCGAGATTGACTCTTTGGGCAGGTCTTTTGTGTATGGAATGATGTCCGGGGTGCCTGGGGGCATGTAGCGCTTCAACACTTCGGGAACCTCGAAGCCGTCCTCCTTCTGGTAGTTCTCCAAGATGCAGCAGAGCGTCCGCTCCGTTGCACAGAGGGTGCCATTCAAGGCGTGAGCGTATGTCTTTCTCGAATCGATGGCTCCCTTCTTCTGGCCGTATCGGATCTCCAGTTCGCGAGTCTGGTAGTCGGTGCAGTTCGAGCAAGAGACCAGCTCCTTATACTCACCTTGGTAGGGGAACCAAGCTTCGAGATCATACTTCTTCGCTGCAGCGTTGTTCAGGGCACCGGAGACGATCACCACGACTCGGTATGGGAGACCCAACGACTGGTAGAATTCTTCGGCCGTCGTTTTCATATCTTCCAGTGCTTGCCACGAGTCTTCAGGCTTGGTGAATATGAATTGCTCGATCTGATAACCCATGTGCGTCAGATCACAAATCCAATGAGCGTGTAGCGAAAACGATAAAGCAGAAAAAGGAAACTCACCTTCTCAAATTGGTGTATCCTGTAAAGACCCCAAGCATCTCTACCATGAGCACCGGCCTCCTTCCTGAAACACGTGCTATATCCAGCGAACTTCTTGGGTACGTCCTTCTCCGTCAACCACTCATCGGCAAACATGGCCGACAAGGGCTGTTCCGAAGTTGCAATAAGATATTTATCTTCGGAATCCTTGTCCTCGATGACCTTGTACAGCTCCTCGTCGAACTGCTCCAGCTGCGCAGTCTTGGCCATGTACTCGGCTTTCATAAAGAACGGCGGCTGAATGGGATCGTAGCCCTTGGCGTAGAGAAAATGAAGACCATAGTTGATGAGGGCCTGGTTGAGTAGCACACCCCATTTCCGTAAGAAGTAACCACGATGGCCAACCAGCTTGACGCCACGCTCGCCGTCGTACACCTCCGCCCGCGTCATGACTTCATGGTGCGAGAGGCAGTCTTTTTTCTCGACCGTCACGCCCTCGGGAGCCCATTGCTTGACCACCTCATTGAAATCCTACTTGGGAGAAATGTGACTTTGATCAGCTTTCCTGCTGCTCAAGGCTTATAACTCAGACAGTGGGTGTTGTAAACAAACCTCGTTATCGTTGACAGGAACTGACTCATGCACGTAATTTCCAATGGCCTTGCACTTGCGATCTCTTAGCCTCTCTTTCTCGAGGGCCTCGTCTTCAATTTGTTTCTTCTGCTTCTCCAGGTCGGTCTTCTCTTGGAGTAGGTCGGTGGCATCTTGTTTCGCCTGCGCCCCCCCTCCCACGTTAGCTTCTGATCAACATGGCCCCGAGAGGGACGGGAAAATTGCGATCGCACCTTCCTCAGCTTCCCAATCTCTTTCTGGACCGCATTGATCTTTGCGCCGATTTGTGATGCTTTGTATCGTGCTGCAGCGGAGACTTAGTCTCTGTTTTTCTAGTGTGAAATGGAAAGGACAGGTTTGCACCAACTTTGGTATGCGTCGTTCCACAGATCTATGGCTTCATCCACAATCTCCGCGGGGGCATATCGTCTTCTTTGGCTCTCAATGATCTTTTTGGGATCTCCCCCTCTGTGCGCAATGGGTGAGTTGGGTGGTCAACCCAAGTTTGGGAGGACGGGGTCTTTACCTGGAGGCGATGAGATCTTGTGGGTCAATCATTGTTTCGGAGACCAGAGGAAGAGGGAAGAGGGAAGCGAAGATTTGGGAAGCGAAAGAATGTAGCAGGTCTACGGGGCTGTCTGGAGGAACTGTGAATTGTATCTCAAAAGCGCACGTGTAGAAATTTGGGAAATATTGTTGCCCCTCGATTTCTGGTCGGAGCCTCGTGAGTCACTCCGAGCCATCAATCCAAGCCGATCAACTCAAGTGCATCCGGTCACGCCTTGCTACGTAAAATTAGGTACGGAGTACGGTACGTAGGCATACGAAGCCACACATACAATTGAACAATCTGTACATTCTATCATTGAACATGAGCTTTTCTTTGCTTTGTGCACCTCTTTAAAATGCATCCCAAACACTTCAGATGTGTTCATTGCGCAGGTTCAGGTACCTCGTTCCCATTTTTCAAACAATTTAGTCTGCAGCCACCTTCCAAACGCCACAATCTTTCGATCGGCTCTTGTAAAATAATCCGCTGCCCAAATCACTACAGTAGTCATGAAAACGGTGATCGGTATATACATCCAGTATGACTCTGGATAATGTGCCGCTTTCCAAGGAGCCATACGGTCATAGTACAATACCCACAAAAGTGTATTGTGCATGGCATAGATTCCAAAGGAAAGTTCCCCTATATATAGCGATATGCCCCAGATGAGAGGTTTTTGGAGGCTTGGTGAATACTCCAGAGCTGTAATGGTCAAGATAGCTCCGATGCTAAGCCAGAAATGTTCGGCACCGTCAGAATAGTGTGATGGTATCGCGTAGATAAGGTATTGAAAGGGGAAGAGACCTTCGATCCCCAGGTCAGGGGGCTGGCTGAGAAGTACCAATCCGACGAAGAAAAGAGCGATGAATCCGCTCTGCTGTGCTATTGTAAGCCCTGGGTTTCGAAAGCTGTAGTTATTGTCATCACTTCGGAGTTGTGGTAATTTCGTCTGTGCTTGACGGCTTGGATTCCAACTCAAAGACATGTCCGCAATCAACATGCCAGCTACGAAACTGGCGACGTAGGTGACTTCCCAATAATAGGAGAAAAGTATAACAAGAGATGAAACGCTCATTCTTGATCTTGTCGACATCTTGCAAGTCGCTGTGCAGAGAGCAAAGAGGATGATACTCCCCCTGAATTCGACAGGTATGGTCCACATCTGATCAAGGAACTTGGTTCGGAAGCCCTCCACAAAGTACCAGCCATCGACGGCTTGGAACGGATTGCTAGAATATCCAACATCATCGAGCCAGTCCCAGAATTGTTCCCACCAGGTCGGCAAAGCCATCAACTGCTTGCACCAGCCAAGATGAATCATAATCATCGTCAGGAATGTCGCCAAGGCGGTGGGGACATACAGTCGAAGATATCTCCTGAACGTCGACGATGCCAGACAGTCCAATAGTTGTGCCGATTGCTGGGTTCTCATCAATTTCAGCATCCGCAAGCTCAAAACATAGCCGGATATGACGAAGAAGAGGCTAACCATGGCTGGGCCAGCAGAGTAGAGGCGGAGAATCGGCTGAGACATAATGCCGCCGTCAGGGTACCCGTACATATGGAACATGTAAACAACGCATGCAGCGTAGCCTCGTAGCGAGTCGAGGTACGCGGTTGATTGAATTTGATCAGGATTGTATCTTAGTCCTCTCGGTCGCATAAATCGTGGCAGAGCACTCTGTATGAAACCCCAACCAGTTCTCAGTTTAGAAGGGACTGGCTCTTTTATCTTCTCGATGTCGAAATCTGTGTGCCCATAGTCAGGATCGTCGGGTTCTCCAAGTAATGGTACAGGTTGCTCCATATCTAAGAGTTCTAAAAGTCGGAAGACAAGGCGACGGACAAAGCCAATTGCTCCTCGCGTTCCCTTTATCAGAAAGAATACCAGAGCCATAATCAAGAAACCCATAACCACTACCAGCCTGATGCGCCTCTATCCTTTGAGATTTGGGGCGTTTTCATGTCATGGCTGTCTGACAGTGACAGGACACGGACACGTACCAGATGATGTCGGTGTTGCCAATGACGGCGCAGGACTGATAAGCAAAGCGGAGTCCCAAGCTCCCTTCTAGTAAATCGAGAAGATTCCAGCGGAGAAGCAAGCGTTGGTCTCAATGTCAAACCTGCAAAAACGTGAGACGAGGAAGAATTGAAGTCGATGCTCGGGTTTCGACGTGGAATCTTTACCACCCATACTCAAAAGATCTCAGGGCCTAAAGGGGGAGTGTTTCCAATCCGAGTAAGATCCAGTAGATCCAGGATCTAGAGCAGGCGTACTCCGTACCAAACCGTCCCTCCGACGAGCAGGGGTTTGTTGTGGCGCATTTTGCGAGTAGCCAACGGGTGCCACGCGACCTTGGGATCTATTTCGCATAGTAATCTTTTCCAAACTGGCTTTTCGAGGCGGGAAACGGCCAGTCATGAGGGAGATATCGATCCCTGGAACCACTTGAATACCCCTGACTAAACCTATTTAGCACTAGCCTCGATCCTATCTTAGCCTTGCTCCATTCAAGGGCCGTTCAAAGTGGGAATATTAAGACTCGGATTAAAGTCTCGATATGCATCATTGTTCTGGACGATCGCAGTGGGCGAGGGTGCGCATGGAAGCTGTGTCAAATTATCCCTGAATGCATGTTTCAGTGGTGGAATGCGTTCCGAACGGACCATGTTCTAGGTAGCATAGCCCTGAGGAAACCAGTGTACGGTCCATGGCCTAGCACGGATGGTCTTTTTTCGTGAACTTCAGCCATGAAGGCACGCAGATCGATGTCGACGGTTCAAGGATGGGTAGAACATCGCACATCTCATCGAACCAGAGCCGAGGCGGCCGGACTCTTGAAGTACGTATCGATTTGACGTCGTTCCTGAGAAGCTGTGAATGTTCGATCTTCAACCTTTCTATGGCACAACAAGATATCTGCCCGCACGCGTGAACACGATGGATAAAGACTTCCGCTTGTTTGATCTGCAATGAGAAACCCAACTTTGCTAGGGAATGGTGTGGTTCTGATGGTCCACTGATGGAGCTTGAGGCGAAGAAAAAACAGTCACGCTGTATGCCCATGGAGTGTTCACTGGATAAAGAAAAGTAAGGGAAATTGTCCTGTGCCTGATGCATTGCGGGAAGAGATCCATTCGCATTCAGCCAGAAGCGACCGGCAGGCCCCCAGGTAGCTGTCCGAGTTGGATGGTGGGAGGTTGGGCAGTGACCAGATTCCCGAGGAGGTCAGGCAGGTACAAATGGCAATTGCTGGTGGCCCTCAGTGTACGCAGAAGAAGTACTTGCATAGGCACTGTTTGAGGGTGTTGGTGGGATTATCTAGAGCGTCTGTTATGAAGCTGGAAGAACTGGAGATGGATATAGACCATTCAAGATTGGGTTTGGGAGAGAAAGGGTATTACTATAATAGTCTCAACCGTTGTCACCTATCTTGTGTGGCTGGACTCAATAATTAGGCTAACTGGAGCATGAACGGTGCTCTGCAAGAGAATAACTCGAAACAAAACCGCCTGCTTTCTATCCTGATTTGAAATGTCTATCCCTGGATGGAGTCATAGTAATCCAACAGCGTCCTACCAGAGCCCATGCCCATGTCAAAACGAACGCCGAGTAATGCAAGCATCATACATTTCCATCAACCGTCAAACATAACATCACATCAAATCCCGCCAAACTTGCGTCGCGTCAACTACCCACATCGCGCATACACCTGTGGTCCAGCAATGGTCCTTGAAGTGTACCTCTCCAAATACGACGCTCAAGTGCAGTCGCATTGTCTCGTATCACATCACGAGGCACTTTCCACCTCCGGCGGGCTTGTCGGGTTCCTGAGACTTCTCGATTTCGGCGATCATCAGCTCAAATGCCTTGGAGACATTTTGGTTGTTTCGGGCGCTGGTTTCGATCCAACCACACTTCAATTCTTGACCTAGTTGTTGACCCTCCTCAGCAGTCACCTTTCTGGATTTGGTTGGGTCGACATCGCTCTTGTTGCCTACAATCATAATGGGTACGGATTCGGCTCCCTGTGCAATGCGTTAGTCCTATTTTTGCACCTGGTGGGAAGTGGTGGGATGTACTAGATGATTGAGAAGTTTATCCCTGATGATCCGCACCATGTCAAAAGACTGCCTGGAGGCAACCGAGTAGACGATCAGGTATCCATGGATGCCAATGTACAACTTGGAGTTCATGAGGCTGTATTCATCCTTTTGCAGATTGTCAGCGAATAGTGGTCCTCCCGGGGCCTGTATCGTTTTCTTTGCCCACCTGTCCCGCAGTATCGATAATCTCGGTCAGAAATGTCTGACCTTTGTGTACAATCTCGTGACTGAATGTGTTTTCGATGGTAGGGTAGTAACTTTCGACGAAGTGACCTTCGCAGTATTGGACGGTTAGGGATGATTTGCCTGCACCCAGCGGTCAGCCTGGTGTCTCTCCGATGCCGAGGGTCGCACCGGCTCACGTACCAACCGAACGGCTACCCAAGATGGCAATCTTCCGCTGTTTAATTGAGGGAGCCATGTCTTCACTTATCACTTGTGGAAAAGTAGTCCTATGGATCGAGCGAAGTGGAAGCGTCAGAGACCCAAAAAGAGAATCGAGGGCTCGAGAGTTGTGGCCAAAAAGATTCCACAGTTCCAAATCCAGGTACGGATGAGGTAATGCGCTAATGATGTGCTGCCCAGCTTAGATGGAAAGAGACGGACGGATGGAGGGCATGGGAGTGATTCTCCCCGAAAGAATAGGCTTCGACAGCCAGCAAATGGGTAGCGTGGAATAGAAAAGCTGTATGTAATGGGAACTGAAGGATGACGAGTGCGGCGGGAATTGCAACCAAGGCAGGAGGCAGAAAATAGACCACAGTAACTTTTTGAGTATATTTTATTGGGCGGGAACACATGCAACTCAGACGGTTGCAGCTGCTCGCTGATGAGACTGTGCGATGCGTGCTGAATGAGGTGCGGTCTAGCACTTGACCGACACCTTTGAAAACGCATCAACGGCAACGAGCTGGTACCAGTACCTACTCGCAGCCTGTAGGTAGTCTGAGGAGAATCTGACCCGGCCTCATTTCGTTCGGTGGTTTGAGCGACAGGAAAACGACTTAGGGAGGACAAGCCTTGGATGCATGCTGGTCCAAGCTGGCGGCACAATCAACCCCAGCCAATCGTCAGTTCGCACTGTGGTATCCAGACACTTCGAGATGGGCGACGATGCGTCCGGGGAATCGGGGAGACGGTTGATTGATTACCTAGGTCTGTACTCCGTGCGAAGTACTTGTTTAGGCAGATACCCAGGTACCTAGGTACCTAGGCGCATATGCTTACGGAGGACTCGGAAGGGGTCCAATGTTATGCGCAGCATTGACATGTCACCCACTAGTTAGTTATATCGTGTACTAGTGCTTGGTACCAACATGGAGACATGGCTGAGACAGTGTAGATAGGCACGAGGCACATGCACCCGCTCAATAGGATCATGTTCTCTAGAGTCCTCTCGATCGGCATCTTGAGTGTCTATTAACCTCAAAACGCATCATGTTCTTCAATATTTCAATTCTCCCAGAAAATGCTCGGGGATCTTGCTATTCAAACAGCCGTCACTGTTGTATCTATGGAATGTATCGACATTCAAGTTTTATCATCATGTCCAAGCCTCATGCGGCCTGCTGTTAGGTCATGCCAGTCGTGAATACGTAGCAGAAAAGATGCACCCTACTCTTAGCCGCCTGCCGCTAGGCGACTTTCTGTTTAACGGCTTGGTAAATAGCCATAAATCGGTCAAAACTTCCAGACCGTGATTCTCCATCGACAGCAAGATCCATTTCAACTTGTCGCAACGGGATCAGAAAAGTCTCCACCGCCGAGAAAAGCTGCTCCAATCCAGCTCCTTTGCTTGACTGCGCGATCAACTCGCATGCCCGCTGGTTGAGGCACAAGGTGCAAAGCAACATGGAGATGTAGCCCAGAGGAATGAGAACCTGTGCCTGATCTAGGGAATCCGCCTGTCGAGCCAGTTAGTTTGAAAGTATACAACCCAATTAATAGTATATTCCATACCTCAGAAGTCAGATCGAAATAGCTGTTAAAAATGTCGATCAGTCCATCTATCAGGCTGCGCCCACCTTGGACACTCTCCAACATCCTTTCCCTGGCGGCATCTGCGCAGTCTGCGAAGTTGAGCAAACACCCAAGCGCAAGAACTGCTGCATCCAACTTCACACCATCCAATTCTTGAGCCTGAACTGCAGAAGCTGCCACGCGACAGAAATGATCGTCGACTACTGAGTACACTCCACTGATGAGTTGCTCCTTTGCAAATTCCTGGCAAATGTTGGGTTGGTTATTGCTCAAGCTCACAATGAATTTCAAGCACGCCTGCTCCAACTGGGATTGCTGTGCTTGATGTCCCCACTTCAGTAGACCTGTCAGACTCTCCCGTAATGCTGGGAATTGTGGGCTGTTTTCAATCAAAGCAACCAGGTCATGGTTGAAGCTGGCTATTTCTAATGTCGAAAGCAAGATGTTGAGAATTCTAAGACTCTCTTCTCCTCCACTGCCCTGAGACAATGCCTGCTGAATGGTGGCCAACGCCAATAAAAGATCCTCAACCAAAGATGACGGTAGAGGTTGAAAGCGCTCTCCGTGCTTGATTAGAGTACGCAAGGTGCTTTCCAGTGCCGTGAAGAAGATCAGCGAAATTGGAAAAGGCGGATGGTCTGCTTGTGAGGATGCTGTTCGTTCATACTCCGTCAATTCTGTAAGCAAAATCTTGGGGAGGTTCTGTCGACGATCCTTGGCCACCTTGGATAATGGCCTGTTCGTAACTGCCAGGGACCTGGGTAGTCGATACAATGCATCAAGTATTTGTGCCGACGTTTTGGGAGACACATGTATTGCAGATGTCATTCTTTGAAACACCACAATCATCAATGTGGCGCTCACCTCATCCAGCGAGGCGCCAGCACAGTCACTGAATTGGCTAAACCAACCAGAGTCCTGGAAATGAGCTAAAAAGGTTATGTCGGCCAACTTTTCTAGAAGTTGGATTAAGCCTCGAATTCTGGGTGATTTGAGTCCCGATTCGATTTCATCAAGAACTGTCGAGAGCTCATTGTCGAATTTGGTGATGGCACCAGCACGGCGCAATTCGTGTATACTTTTAGGCTGCTTAAAGGTACCGGCCTCATCGCTATCGTCATCCAATCCAAGGTCCATCTGAGAGGCGAGACTCGTAAACGAGGTGGGCTGAGAGTAGCTTTGCTGCGACGAGGGCTGGCTGGTCGATTCCAAGCCATCCAGCATATCACTCAAGTGGGACCGTTGTTTCGCATAAGTTCGTGCTACTCTCGCAGGAGGTGCAGTCTTGCTCTCCTCTACCGTGGATTTCTGGATGTTGTGGACATCGGAATCACTGGTGCTTCTTGAGAGTTGGGAGGGAGTAGTACACCCGTGCAAAGGGTGGCTGAGTGATGATTCCACTGGTTCGAATCCACTTGCCCCGGCCCCAGCGTTCAACTTCTCTGGAGTCCTCGGGCGAGGGCCATCAAGTCTGTCAACCAGCCTCTTCCTCCCCTTGCTCTGGATGAGATGGTTAGTACTGCTGTCTGACATTTCCACGTCTTCAGAAAGGTGATGGGCTTGGGGAGCACTCCGCTCCGGAGTGAGCCTCAGTGAAGTCAGCTGAAGGTCACTTGGGCTGGGAGCGTTGGTAGGTCCATCGTCTGAGAGGGCAATCTTCCGCTTCGGAGTGGTCTGGCGTGAAACTCGTGGTGGAGAGGCAGAAGTATCAGACATTGGAGCAGACGAGCCGCTGCTAACCCGTGCGTCGCGTGGCATGGATTTTGGTGAGGAAAAATATGAGCTCGCCAGTGGCTGTGGGCGTCTAACGGGCTTTAGAGTGCTCTTGGTTACACCACTGTGGCTGGCTTTTAAACCCGAGCTTTTGCTGGTGGTCTTCAAGGCGCGATCTGACTGTTTAGACGTCTGGACGCGAGGTCGGGCGAGGTCTTTATTGGACCTTATGGGCTCAACCTTCGATGTTGCTGGCATTACTCTCCTCCTCTTATTCAGTGGGCCTTTGTGTTTGAGGGCCGCTTCTTCATCGCTAGACTGGATTTCGAACATATCCGCGGATATATGTTGAGGAGAGGCTGGAGAAGAGCCTGTGGTGCTTGACGGAGTACTTTGCCTGATGGCCATAGAGTCAACCACGCCATTAGCTGCATGGGAATCCGCCCAGGTGTTCTGTTCGATTGCGACAACAGAGGGAGGATTGTCATTCGATGAAGCGAGTTGGGATGTAGCATTTGAGTGAGTGGACTTGGAAGTCAGTGGTACGTGAGAGGGTGTTGCGCCGATATCAAAGATATCATGCACCAAGATTTTCCTGTTGCCCTTGCCATAAGTGTTGGCCTTGCGCCGTAATGGTTGGAGGTCCATAGTGAGGGTGGATGTGGCTGGAGAGGGAGCAGATCAAACAGAAGATCTCAAAGCATACTCGAAGTGATTGGCGTCAGGAACTGGCCTGAACGGTATCAGGGTCCATCATCTGCTGAATTAGAGGTGAGACCAAAAGCACCGTGTTGTGAGCTGAGAAGTTGAGAAAGTTGACAAGAGAATGCAACTGAGATGATTCACTTCTTGTCGAAACAACACAACCCGGCCGAAAAAGGACGGAACCCATGCACAGGCACAGTGCCGCTGGCTGCGACGGCTGTTGGAGGTGCCAGACCAGAGGATTTGGGGTTGATTTGGGGGCCGCGAATAACTAAAGCCACAGTTAAGGCGCCAACCCGATGCAGAGTGACATCAGCCCATAAACAAAATGCCCAAGAGGCTCCTCGGCTTATGGCAGTTGGCGCCCTGACTGGGAGTCCATTGGACTCTCCTAAGCATTTAGTCAAGCTGCAAAACCCCCCCGCACACATCCCCTCCTAGCTTCTGCCCCTATGGATAATAAGGGCCAGCTCTCGGCCAGGTCCGAAACCCAAGCCCAAAAGGAGTGGGGTAATCGCAAGTGCTATGTACTTGCAAGCTGCAACTGCAATCAGAACCCGAGTTAGTTAATAACTAACCTCAGTTACTTCCTTTGCATGCATGTGCCTCTATACTCCAACTTCCTCAATTCCCCTGCTGTTGTTCGAGTCGAGTTTCTCAAGCTCGCACTCTCTTCATTCCTTCCCTTCACCTACCCGGGCTGTCATGCAGTAAACACTTCAAATCACTCTCTTTCCCACCAGCAGACCGACTCTCATCCGGCACCAAAGCCTGCCATAAGCACAACCTTGATCTCCTCGGCTTGCAATTCAGCCTCAAACTCACCCCCACCGTCAAGTCACACGAGCACTTTCAAGATGGCTACTATCCCACGCTCTAATGGTGCCCAATCGCCAGCAGTGGGCGTCGGGCCATCTTATCGCCCTGATGGAGAGAAACCCACCGCCACCGTTTCAAGAGAGGTACAGCAAGAGAACGTTCATGTCCTGCCACAGACGCCACAACTGATCGCCCTTCTGACCATGATCCGGGACAAAGACACACAAAGGGCTGACTTCATCTTCTACTCCAACCGCATTATTCGCCTCCTGGTCGAGGAAGGCCTCAACCACCTACCAGTCGTCACACATACCGTTACCTCTCCAGTGGGGAAAGACTACGTCGGCGTGCGCTTTGAGGGTAAAATCTGCGGCGTGTCCATCATGCGAGCTGGCGAGTCGATGGAGGAGGGTCTGCGGGAATGCTGTCGCTCCGTGCGTATCGGCAAGATCCTGATCCAGCGCAACGAGGAGACCAGCAAACCCAAGCTGTTCTACGATAAGCTCCCTCCCGACATCAAGGACCGCTGGGTACTCCTGCTCGACCCGATGCTTGCCACTGGTGGTAGTGCAATCATGGCCGTCGAGGTCTTGAAGAGCAAAGGTGTTCCTGAGGACCGCATCCTATTCCTCAACCTCATTGCAAGTCCCGAAGGTATCGACAATTTTGCAAAGAAAGTCCCCAAGGTCAGGGTCATCACAGCCTTTGTAGACCAAGGTCTCAATGAACAAAAGTAAGTCGGCCGGACAATCTGTATACACTTTTAGAGAGAGCCACCCTTGAACTAATTGATCTAGCTATATTGTTCCTGGCTTGGGTGATTTCGGTGACCGTTTCTATACCCTGTGATTCCATTCACCATGCTACCGACACACTTCTGCGTCACGCGACGCGCATTACTTATTAGGAATGTTCACATCATCTCCTACCTCAAGCTTTCTGCCTATCGTGTCGTGTCTCTCCAGCGACGTGGGAGATAAGCAAGGGCACCAACAGTCTCAATTAAGATCGTCTGTGATTAGTTTGATGTCTTGTGAATGCTTCGATGCACTTTGACTCCATATCGAAAGAAAACCAAATGCTTCAGATCTACCAGTCTTGGCTTAGACGAGTATTTACACCCTGAAGGCAAATCATATCATCATTAGGGTTTGTCCTGTGGCAGCCCGTATTTTCCATAACATTTCCCCATGGTGCGCGGACTGATCATATGTGAAGCTGTTGAAAGCGTCTTCTAGGTAATCAGTTATTTCACCTTGCCATACGCATGACATGGAGTTCCTTTGTTGTTTCGTTTTAAGCCAGAGCGCATCGTAAGCTCGTCTATTCACCCAACCTCCAAACCCCAATCCTCCGTATGCCGTGCCATGCGATGCGATTTCTTGTTTTTTTGGATGTAGAAAATACAAATACAAGAAAGATGGATATCAGGAAGCAAAATTCCCAGACGCCAAACCAAGAGCCACATTTAATAGAGAATCCTAGTTTGGATCTTATCCTTCAGATTCTCAAGCTCACGATACAGCTCCGCGATCTCATCCTCCTTGACACTGCTGATATCCGCCATGAGATAGGCAACATCGCCCCTGGAATCCGTCATCTGCTTGTCGACGTTGTGGTCCCCTAAGATCTCATTGACGCGGCGAAGCACACCAGGCACGTTGTTGTGGATGAAAACCACACGGGCGTGGTTGGGCTCGTCCATGGTGAGACTGCGCAGGGCGACTTCGGGCATGTTGACGGCACCCGTGGTGACGCCCTCGTTCACATAGCGCACGAGTGCCTCGGCGACCTCGATACCGATCGCGGACTGGGCTTCCTCCGTCGAGCCGCCGATGTGCGGTGTCAGGATCAGGTTCTTCAGCGAGCGCAGGTCCTCCACCCACGGGCCCAGGTCGTTCGTGAAGTAGTCGCCGTTGCCGGCGGGTTCGGACGGGTAGACGTCCAGCGCGGCGCCGGCGATTTTGCCCGTACGGGACGCGTGGATTAGCGCGGGGATATCGACGACGGAGCCGCGGCTGGCGTTGATCAGGTAGGAGCCGTTCTTCATGGTGTCGAGCTCGCGAGCGCCGATCATGTTCATGGTCTCCGGAAGCTCGGGGACGTGGCAGGTGACGAAATCGGCGCGCTCGAGCAGGTGGGCCAGGGTCGGGACCTGGCGCGCGGTGCCCATGGCCATCAGGTTGACGACGTCGTAGTAGATAACGTCCATGCCCATCGACTCGGCCAGCACCGACAGCTGCGACCCGATGTGCCCGTACCCGATGATTCCCAGTGTCTTGCCCCGGATTTCCCAGCACTTGGCCGACACTTTGTTCCAGGTCCCCTGGTGCATCTCGTTGCTGCGGTCCGTCACCTGCCGTGCCAGTGAGATGATCTCGCAGATGACTAGTTCAGCGACGGAGCGGGAGTTCGAGAACGGTGAGTTGAAGACGCAGATTCCATGCTGCGCTGCGTATTTTAGGTCGACTTGGTTCGTGCCGATGCAGAAGCAGCCGACGACTATCAGGTTCTTTGCTGCTGCGAGGACCCGTGATGTCAGCTTGGTTTTCGAGCGGATGCCGAGGACGTGGACGTCTCTGGATGTAAGGAAACACCATCAGCCGCTTTGATCAACAAGGAGATTGAACACAAGGCATCAATAGCAGGCACCTACTTGATCTTCTCAATCAACTGGTCCTCGGGTAGGGAGGACTTCAGGGACTCGACCTGGTAGCCTTGGCCAGTCAGGATGTCCTTGCCGGTCTGGTTTACATTCTCCAGTAGGAGGATCTTGATGTCTTGTTCTCGGAAAGGCTTCAACTGCTTCAGAGCGCCCTGGGCCGTCGGCCGACGCAGGTGTGGCGAGGTTCCTTCAGCGTTGGTAGACATCCTGCGCATGTGGAATGTGTCATGGGGAGAGGTAGAGAAGGACAAGCTGCGAGACACCTCGCGCTGCAAGGGAGCGCCATTGTGTTGGACAGCGATTGCTGAGGTAGGCATAACGGAGGAGAGCAGGTCAGAAAAGTTGGTGGTGTACTGATTCAGCGGTGGTGCGGGTGAAGGACAGTGCTTTTCGTTTTCAAATAATGGCACGATCGATCCTACGAGGTATGAGTCGACGGTCGACATCGGCGCAGAAAAAAAAGTGACCCCGCCGAGCAGCACAAAATGACGCACATACTTTGAGTTTCGGAGGGGCGTCGTTTGGTGCTGCCACTCACCCACCACTGGGTGCCACTGGGTGCCACTGGCTGACTGGTGCGTGTGCTGGATGACTCAGCTTTTCATTCAGCCTTGTCTCTACTTGTAGCATCTACACGAAGAGTTTCCCCTTTCTCCCATCCCCTTTTCGACACTTGCACACAGCCCAAAGGAAGTCCTGATGGCGTTGTCACTATTTCCGGGAGTCTATAGTCCATTAGGTAGGCTGTCAACCCCGAACCAGAATCATATCTCCATATGATGATCCCCCGTCTCGCCCGCGTCCTTCCTCTTCACTTCGTCCATTTTTTTGAACTCCTGCTTGGGCACTTCATCTCGGTTCAACCAAGACATGACTCTCCAGACGCCCGTCAACAGCTCTTTTCTTTGTGCAATATCGAACAAGTCGTACCAGTTGCTCCGACTGACATACAGCACATGTGGCTGTCGCTGCCCTTCGGACGCGTTTCCGTCAGGATGTACCGTCTTCCCTGTCTCTAACCATTCGAGATAGTCTTCATGCACACTCAGCCGCATCAAACAAACGTGATGGTTTACCGCAGACAACAAGTACACATCATCCCAGCCATTACCGCCATCTTCCTTGCTTTGCTGTCCAATCTTCCGATAAATCACTTTTTCGTCCCAAGCCAGAGCGTTGGGCCGGATCTTCGTCCAATCCTGGTACCATTTGCGTCGAATAGGTTGCGTGAACATGACTCGCTTCCCGTCCTTGTACTCGACTTTCACACCACCCTTGCCACGAGTTCCATTGCCCTCGCCACTTCGCTTCTTCTTCTTTGGCCGTTCGCCGCTTGTCGAAGTATCTGCAATCAAGTCATCGGTCCTGAGGTTCTTCAAATCCGCGGCGGCTGCGGCTTCTTCCTGCCTCTCCTGCTCTTCGTCCTTGTCTCTTTTCAGCTTCTGTAACAAGGCTTCCTCAGGGCTCCAGCTGGGATCTTCGTCTTCATACACTTCATTCGCCAACTGCCCCCACCTGGTTTCACCGCCGCCCCAGCGAACTTTTGAAGCCCACCACTGATGCTCCGCAGGAACAGGGGCTGGGTCCTTTCCTTCACGAGACCGCTGTTTTGCAAGCAGTAACAAACAACCCACTTCTCGAAATAAGTCGAACCTCTCACCCAAAAAGTCGCTTGCGGGGTTCTGCAGTCCTTCGCTGGACTTGAACCTGACCTCAGATCTAGCATGTACAGCCATGATTGGCCCCTCCACCATTCTTGCTCGTGCAAATTTCATTTCAGATGGCATCTTGGCCACACAGAAGTGGTAGAAAACTGATGGGACGTTGACAGTGGTAAATCTCAACTTGTCTTTGGGATTGCTCTCAAAATCTCGACAGTTGAACTTATGGATAACCATTTTAAGCAGGTTCCTGACTATTGATACCCGTGTTGATGGGCTCATCTGTTCGCCATTTCCGAGCCTCTGGCCCTTGTACACCTGCTTCATCTTCGATCGCGTGGGAATTTCAATCGTGTCTGATACTGACTGCTCAGCTGATAGCCCCGACCTGCTCACATTGTTGCTTTGCAAAGTTTTGGGTCTCTCTTGCTGAGCCGCCTCTGTCACCTGCTCATCCTGTTTCGGAGCTATTAGATCTTCTGCTTTTGTGGCGATTTGTTGCGAATACTGAGGCGCCTGTGGCTCCGGGTCCTTCGCTTCGACATCGTAATAGTTATCCTTGCTGTTATCCCAGTAGCGACTCATATCCTCCAAGCTCCCGTAAAAGTTTCGTGAATACACCAGACGAGGCCTCTTGCGCCCATCGGGTGGTGGGATACGTAGAATCTCTCGATAGGCATCTTCGTTATCGAATTCGAGCTCGTTCAGCATGGCTGTTAGATCGTCATCGTAGAGGAACGGACGAGACCCGAAATGGCCTTCTGGTACCAGCTTGGCGATGTCAACATGCTGCTCTACATGGATATTGAGCAGCTCAAGGTGAGAATCCTTCACATCAAGAGGGCGGCGGATTAAAGCAAGTGCTTGGCACACAGATTTCATGTGTCGTCTGGTCAATGGCTTTTTCGCATTCGAGGGAACATAGCCTGGGAACTCGAGAGTAATGGGCTTAGCAGGAGGAGGTCGTTCTCTCTCCGCTAACGACTCGGCGGGTGTCCCTGTCTAAGATCAGAGTCCGTTGGAAATCTGCTTTGAATTGAGGAAGCGCATGGCGAAAGAGTCTTGGACGCGCAGAGGTTGAGAGGGATTAGGGTAGGAATGTTTTCTCTCAAAGGTCACAATTCGGAGGATTCAAGACAGATCAGAACCTTCTACCAAAGATGATCAATCTTGGATGCTCTCAGAGAGGACGCTGCCTGCATGGTAACATGGTGTATGTGCAACAGCAGCTTACCTCCGGACAATGTCATACTCCGCAGGTCAATGGGAGGTGGAGAAGTTCATGGTTATCAAACCCAATATATGCTCACCCAAAAGATGATAATGCTGGAGGGGAAAACTTAAGAGTGGATAGATAGGCATTCTTTCAGCAGACGCTGGTAATCTAGACTTACCAATGTTGCCCCAGACAGATCCTCCACCAAACATGATTACAAGGGCTGGGTATGACAAGTGGGAGTAAGTGATAAGTTGACAGTCACCTGTATGCACAGGAAAGTGTCGTTTTGGGATAGGCCCAGCCTTGTGCCCTTTATTGAAATGGCTTCCTGCACAACTTGAATGTTATATTCACTAACTTGAGGGTGGGACAGAGAGTATTCTTCGATGACGCGTTTATCGAGGGTCGGTGTGCAAGTTGCGTGAGAGCTGCAAGAAATGAGATTGATATAAATTTGGGACGAGGACCAAAAAGGGGTTATGTTATGATAATGTGTAGCTATAATAATCACAAAGCATTAATGAATGGTACAGTCCGAAACAACCGAATGGATTAGACGACGAGATCCGGAGGTTGTTGGAACATTGAACTGACCAACAGGTAAAAGTCATGCAGTCGTAATTAGTGGAGTGATTAGAGTGGCCTCTCTAGGTCCTCCCACAGTATGTATCACCGTGCTAGTACGAGGTCGACAGGAGCAATTTATGCACGGAAGCACTTGGAGTCGCTCCCTGCAGTTCAAGCAACAGCCCACTCAATAATACTTACCGGTCCAATGTAAGGGACAGGGGCATGCTGCAGACGCAACGCAATTGTAACGCTCTCAATGCAATGCCCGCGGCAAAACAGGCGAGGCCGGACACTGATGGAAGAACACCAAAAGTCCAAGGCACGTTGAACTGCCGCTTCTTTGCTCATCTGCCCCTCTGACAGCTGCTGTGGTAAAGCCAGGCCACCACAAACGGCCAGCTGAACACTTCGCTCAGCGAATTTGTGAGCTTCAAAGGCGGCTTAAGGGACGAAACACGTGTGGACATGTGGACGTGTGGACGGTGTGTTGAGGCGAATGGAAGATGTAACCTTTCAATAGAGCCTGTTCGGAGCCAGTTCCATAGTACACGGGCAATCCTGATCCAAGTCCAACATTCTTCTTAGAGGGGGAACTACATCCTGGTGAGATTTCAAAATTTGTTTTTCATTGCGCCTTAGAAACTACAATCACTTAGTGTATGCTGGTGTCTCTGCAGAACCTGTCAGGTCAGTTGCACCGTGTCGCTGTCGTAAAACACCGGCCCAGTAGTAACTCAAGTGCACAATGCCCATTTATTGGAGCTGCCCGAAGGCCTATCTCATACGGCCTTCGAGATCAGCGAGTGCCATCATCGACCTCGGATTCATCATTTCACCCCCACCATCCTCTACTCCTTGGTCTCTTCTTCGTCCTCACCAGCCAGCTGTTTCTGCTTTGTCTGCTGGCGTTCCCGTCTTCGTTCACGAGCAGCCTTGGTCTTAGCACGTCGGCCGTCCATTTCTTCCTTCAGGACTCTCTCACGTTGCTTCTCAGCCTTAGCTTTGTGGATCTAGATAATGTCAGTCACAGCTATCACGATGTTTAGAGTAGGATGGCTTCATACATGCTCGACGAGTGCGCGCTTGTGCTTGAATGTGTTTCCCTTGCTGAGCTGATAGAGTTCGTGGTAGAGATGTTTGTCGATTTTTCCTGCAGCACGGTACTTGACAAGAAGGCGTCGGAGAACTCGGAGGCGTCTCATCCATAGGACTTGGCTGTAATTCATGTATATCAACAAATGATCCCTTACCACTCCTCCGAGTTGAATTTATGTTGTCTCATACCTGGGCATTCTTGCGTCTTTGGTACCCTTTCTCTTACCGAAGCCACGGTGTCTGCCAATCCGTCGAGCTGCATTCAATTCTCGGGCTCGGGCTCGGGAGTGAACAGCAACCGGCTTGCGAATGATAAGGCCATCGCTAACCAATTTTCGGATGGTCTGACGGGAATTGGCGTTGGAGATCTCATTTACTTCATTAGGATCAAGCCAGATCTTGCGCTTGCCGCAGCCAACAACGGACGCAGCAAGGCGCTTCTGGGTGCGAAGGTTGACCCTAGAGTCAGAAAATGTTCAGCTTGGGTTTAAACGTCATCGATGTGTGTAGGACCATTTCGAACTGCATCTCCTACATTGGGTCGAGGATTCTTTGGAGCATGTGAGGTGTGAGGATGAGACTTACATCTTGCTGCGATGGCTGATAAGTTGGTGGTGATATTGACGAAGAGGTTTCTTCGAGGTCAGAGGCAGGGCAAATTCAATGATAGTGTGGTGCAGGACGGGGCAAGTGCGATGCCAAGAGTCTTGCAGGCAAAGAGGAAGAGACGGTCTTGGCACGTGCTTTCCCGTCTGCTTGGTGGGCCCTCTCAAAAGGTACGGTACTCCTCGACCTCACTCCCACACAGTACATACATAGTCGCCAGATACACACTCACTCTTGCACCAGTTTGTTTCGTGGCTCTTGCCTTATTCATGAGGAGACAGGCATGCATCCTGCAACTATGGGAACATAGTTACTCTTGCTCGTGAAGGTCTAGCCATCACTGTAGCGACTTAGCATGTAGAGAGGTGTGGAGGATTGAGTATACGACTCAAATTTGCACTGGCCTATTGGCGAAGGTGTATGTTCTGTATCACTTGCTCGAGACATGATCTACATCGAAACTTTTGCATCCAAAAGAAGGGTGTTTTGTTAAGTTTGGTGATTATGAATAGAGCTTTTACCTAATTGACATGTCATCGCAGGATGCCACCAATCATGGTAGCAAGGGGCACACGGCTTCCACACAAAACGTTGAGGCGCACCCAACAGCGACAATGTCTGAGTCGTCTCCCGGGAGCGGCTCGTTCTGTTGTCAAGCATGGAAGCCATGAAGTCTTGCTCTGGGGTCACCACAAACAAGGAAACATATCAAAGTCGCCTAGGACCTATAGCCGATCATCCCAATCGTAATCCATCCACACGTATATCGTCCCACATACACAAAGAAAGAGTCCAAACATCTAAACCAAGGATTTCGACTGAGCAGTCATCATCATCGGAAGTAAGTCATTCATCAGTTTCGCCGTGTGCGAGCGCTCCAGAAGGAAATCGTATCGTTAAGGTCATTAGAATTTGGAAGCAAACAATGCGCGCTTGTTCCGTTCGTTAGTCTTTGATCTCTTTTTAGCTATCGCCGTCGTAATCTCGTAATCGCTTTTCGAATAAGTCATCATATGGCGTTCTTTCGGAGGGAAATACCGGCTGGTGTCTGCAAGGAAGTTTTCCAGCTGCCAGATGTTGGACACTTAGACCACGTCCGTCCTGAAGAGACAGATCCTGTACTTTTCACCGCTGTCCGCCAGTCTTGATAGCCTGCATGTGAGGTGGAGGATTGAGAGGCATTCCGAAAGTGTCCGCACGTCCCACTTTGCGTCTCTTGGAATCGTACCCATCATAGTCTCGACTACCTGGTCGATCTTGGTCATCGTCTTCACGTCCCCGTTTTGCCGATGTCAGACCGGCAGGGTGACCTGCGCCCGGATATGCTGGGTTGCCATAGCCATCGCCAGACCCTGCTCCAACGGGAGTGCGAGCACCGCCCATGACGTTGTACAGGTTACTCGATGGAGGAGCGCGTGGAGGGGTGTGATAATCCGGCGTCCACTGGGGTTGGCCTGATGGTAGAGTTCTTGGAGTTGCGTGACCAGAGCCATTCGGGTGGGAAGGCGAAGCAGACAATTCAGGGGACATATGAGAATGATCCGGTCCTGTACTATACGCGTACTGAGTTCGATTGGTACCGTACGCGGAAGCATTGGCACTCATATAGCCGCTGTCCGGATGGTCACTCTCATGCTGTGAGCCGTGGGCTTGAGCCGTGACTTGGGAATAAGCATCAGCCTTATGATCATGGTTATCGCCACCAGTTACGCTCGAGCCAGGTGCAGTTGGGGGTCCCATATCAGTCTTACCATAGGGAGCAGGAGGCATCGACTGACCATAGCGACTGCCATCCGGGTGTTGAGCATAACCGGTCTGTGAACTCGGTGTGGTGCTATAATAATGTTTCGAATCATAACTGGGCTGGCTTTGATAGGATTGCATGCCTGGGCCTCCCGTACCAGGTGGTGTGGTTGCCGGTGTGGTAGGCATGGAACGAGCATTGATACCTGTATCAATGGAAAGAGGTTGTGCTCCAGTTGCACCATTTGTCATGCCCTGATTGCCCCAGTCATATGAATTTCCCTGACTACTCATACCCAACACACTTGAGGCACTTGTTGGAGGCGTTGGAAACGTATGCGCACGGTCGATCCCAGGGCGTGCTGCATTTGGATGCGGAGCAATTGAATGAGGGGTCGGGGGCGCTTGCCCGGTGCCTTGCATGCTGTGATGGTGATGCATTGAAGGTGTCTGAGCAGGTTGGGATGGACGGCCAGAATCAACACTATCCATACGCCGACGTTCAGTCGCTGCAACCACTGCATTCGTCCTCGGTGCATTCTCAGGGTTGTACAATAGCCCGCCGATGTTGTGTACAAATAGTGGATATAGAAGATCGGTGATCTTTTCCTTGTTGGCAAAGTCTAGGGCCCGCTCAAAAGGAATCCTATGAAGACTTAGCAAGCGGTTCAGGTCTATGAGACAGGAAAAAATCTCACCAAACGCCCTTCAAGTGCATCGGGCCAATCTTGACCACATGTCTTGTCTTTTCAGACTTGAGGATTCCATCACGTCGGCCTCGAGTCATACCGGCAACATTCAAAAGCTTGGTGCCATTTATAAAGTGGTTATCTGAGATCACGTCAGGAGAGGAGGTAGTAAATTGAATGGTCAGTCATACCCTCGCGCCGTGCGACACAAACGCCTTTGGCTTCAACCTGAAAACATAGACTGCCTTCATCCTCCCAGAGCGTAGCTGTGACTCTTGGTTTCATACCTGGAGGTGCTACCTGTCCGGTGGTATCGAATGGGGGACTTGGTGCATATCCTCCTTGATTCGGGGCGGGCAAGGTCGGAGCCTGAGGAACATAAGAGTGCTGTGTGTTTGGTCCGGCCATCATAGCTTGTATATGTTAATTTCGCTTGATGCATTCTCGAGGGCTGAGCTTACCTGGCAGAGATGGAATTTGGGATTGCACTTGCTGCCCAATAGGACCACTTGCAGATTGTGGAGATGTAACTCCATTTGCGTAGCCATAACTGCTATAGGTCTGCGTTGGACCATAGTGCTGAGAGGCTGGGGGGATGACGGGAGGCTGCTGATACTGTTGATAGTGACCTAGAGGAGCGCTCGGTGCAGAGTAAGAGTGTGATGGTCCAGATGATAGATGTGAAGCCGGGTGCATATCCATGTACGGCTGAGTCTGATTCATTTTGCCTCGGTGCCGGGCGAACGGTCTCAACAAAGCTCAGCGGAGAGGTACAGCAGGAAGCAGATTACTCCGAGGAAAGGACGATAGATACCCACCCCTCGAAAGCTTTCTAGTGTAGGTTTCCGAGAAGTTCAGTTGAAACTCTCGAACCACAAGTTTTGCTCTCGTCTTTCGAGCGCGGCTACTCCAGGGCCACAAATCAGCTGTAGGCACCTCCTCTTTTGGGACCGATCTTGCGACTGAGCTCAACAAAGTGAGAGCTGGTGCTGCAGCCACAAGTCGAGCGTTCTTCAAACCACACAATCCGCTGGACAGCCTCAAAGGATGAAGACCCTCAGGTCAACCAAACTAGACACAGTAATGGAAATAGGCAAATGACGATTCAACCCAATCCGGTCTGACGTGGGTTGGTGCGGGCGAGAATCTCAACCTGCTCTGGCAGTCCAATTTTGACCACACCAACAGCTTGCCTTTTCAACAAAGAAAGACAATGATGATGCGATGACACAACTCGACTCATGCACAATGGCGAGGTGACGACTGAAAAACTAAGAACCTCGGGAGCGTGCCTTACTGCGATCGGTGGCAATCCGGAGGGTGGTTTATGGCGGGTCGTGATGCGCAGGAAGACGTCAGGAATGAGAGTCGTCAATGAACGGCAAACTGGAGAGGTAGATAGAGAAGTATTAGCATTCGTACGGTACGGAGTAGTGGGATGCAGGATGTAGTTGACTGCAGGCATATCAGAGGTGCAGGTGGTTGTCAGAAGTCGAAGTGTCGGCTGCTTTGCTTGCTGTACGGACAGCGGGAGATTTTTGCTCTCAACTGCCTTTCTCTCCCGACCTATGCAAGATTGAGATATGCGGAGAGTACATACCTAATGGCTAGCAAAGGTGTTTTGCGATAGTACATACAACGTGAACCTGAACAAGAACGTGACGCGCACTTAGGCCATGTCTTGAGAAGCCAGAGATTGCCGTGGACAACAGGATTGGAGACGCACAAGGTCAATGGAGATCTGGAGAAAGAGGCAACGAGGTTGAAGCAGGATGCAGGAATGCAAGACGGTGCGCACAGTAGCCGAGCGGGAGGACAAGAGGGTGTGCAGGTGGGTGCATTAGAGCAAAAAGGTTGAAGGCCAGAGAGGAACCAGAGGAAGCCGCTTTCAAGCCTTTGATGGGGAGGATAAGAACCTCCACTTTGGCAACTGGTGGGTTGACCTGGACTTCTGCGTGTCCACTAGGAAGCCTTGTAGTCGCGACCTAGCGAGGGAGCGAGGGCAAAGGTCAAGATTCAAGAGGACGAGGAGGGAAAGCGATGTTGGATGGATAAGCCCTGTTCGGGGCTGGCCTGGCCCTGTTGAATTCAGCCATCCACCATCCACCATCCACTGCCGTCCAAAGCCCATCCGCCCACTTATTCCCATGCCCGCCAATGATCCATTGACACCCGGTCCACCGCCCATAGCGCTGCGATCCCGCAACTCGCGAGTGACGATCCACGAAGGCCAACAGGGATCCACGGGCCACCATGGTGCCCACTGCCCACTGCCCACTATCCACTATCCACTATCCATTAGACCAGAATGAAGTCTCTGGGCCACCACAGCCGGCCAGGCGCAGGAGAGGGCTGGGATATTTTCTGCGAGCACATTCTCGATCCAACCTCAGGCTCATGGCATGGCATGGCTTGACAACCACAACCACAACGACGAGGTGCTAGTGATTAGCAGGTGGTGGTCGTATAGATTACATGACATCGTACCGTCCCTGGGAGGGCCTCCAGTTAACACCTAGGTACGAGGTACCAACCCAGGTATAGGTACGGTGCAGCAGGCGTCAGCCCCGGACGACCTCTGTACGTACTCGTAGCTTTAGCGGGACGGACACCCGGTGCTCGGTGCTCCGTAAGCGTCCCAAGGTTTCTTCCTGCCCCGTTCTACTCCAGATGGAGTATTGTTCTGATTACCTAGGAATGTATTACATATGGGCCATGGCAGCTCATCATTAAGGGAATAATAATAATGAGCTCGATTCAGACAAGTCAACACCATGGCAGGACGACTAGGCATAGGCATGAGTATGGGCTTGTGGTGGAGAGCGGACTTTCTCACATGGGCAAGGGCAGTGAGCGACGTGGATGTGGATAGGGAGTGCCAGTCCAGAAAAAACAGGGTCCATTCCAAGCACGGCATGGGTACGAGGTATACCGCATGGGTAAGTACTGGGTATGTATTGGGGCATTCTCGCTGAGGGGGCGAGTGGTTGGTCGCTGACATTTGTGGGCGAGTTTGCGGGCGTCGAAGGGAGCGAAAGGGGGGGCTCTTGGGGCCTTAATCCTGACTTTGACTGGCCCCAGAGAGACCTTTCCTGAGCGGGTAAGTTGAGTCGGTGCCGCCAGCGTTCTTTTTGTCCGGGAACTCTGTTTGGGCTTAGGTTAGGTACGAGGTACTCGGTACCTCAGCGAAGTATCCGGGCCTGCCCTGTCTATGCTGCCACTGCCCACGATACCTCCGATCATGCGTGCCAAAACCGAATAGAGGCAGGCATTCAATAGCATTGAAAAACGCATGCTGGTTGATTCCAGAACTTCAAACATCTCATCGATAAGAACGGACTCGGTAACTATTCACTTGCCCCGAAAGACCGAGTAACCCCAGCAGTGCTCCGTGCCTTGTACGTACCCCGACGTCAACAAACTTCAACCAAACCAACTCGTCCAGCCTCCTCGCCCCCCTCCAAGAAGGTCAGACTCAGCATTTCTGGAATTTGGAGGCCCACTCCTAACTCTCCTTTGGCAATTAGACCCTCGCCTCAAGCCACCAAACACAACCGACCGTGAAAAATACTGTCCACACCCAAAACACCCGCCTCCATCCCCGTTCACTGCCGCCCTGCCTATCAGTCAGTATCAGTTGTCAACTTGTCACGACTCACGACTCACGATTCACGATCAGCCCCCAACCACGCCGCGCTACCCACCCTTGCCTCACCTTGGACTTGGCTTGACTTTTCTTTTTGGACCTTGTAAGCTGTCACCTTCGCGATTACAGGACGAATACTAAACTCCTTCCAGCCTTTTAGGTCGTCTTGTCTCTTGCCTGATTCACTCCTCGCTCCCGGGCTCTGACTAACTTAAGCGCTTCTAGACAACATCGGTACGACTTTGGCCCGGCCACAATGACACAAGACTCTCTTTCCAAGGGCCTGATTCTTGTACCCACGTTACTCAATCCAACATCTTTCAAATTCTCAGGGCGTGGATTGCGATTCAGCCGGCCGAGAAGACGGCTTTGTGCCACACGTTCGGAATATTTCCAGGTGGCACCAACCAGCAATAGCACAAGAACACAATGTCTTGTTAGCCTTCCCCGGCGGTGTCGTGCTTGGTCCGGAACGGAGGGCGCTGGTTAAGGTTAGCTCTAGTTCAGGCCACTGGAAGCCCGCCATTGTCGTGATGAATTGCAACAAACAGGGTGTCCCCCTGCTCGCTTGCTTGGGGAGTCGTTCCCCTCCCTTGCCCTGGTCACCAACCTGCCGACTTTCGCCAGAAGTTCAAAATTCCAGCCGATGTGGCCGGTGTCTACGAAGGTCACCCAAAAGGCGAGATCCTGACAGGAGGAAAGAGCCGATGCCGCAACGCTAAAACTCAACCAGTGCCCACCATTTCTTGGATCTATTTATCCATGGCTGCCTTCGTAGTCACATTCCGCCCTCGGCAGAAGCTGTTGGAAGTATACTACGTATGGAGGCACTGGGGCTTCCCTTGGAGCCATCAACAGACGCTAAAGTGAGGTACGTCGGCAGCGAGCAGAGAGCAGCGGCAAAACCGAATTACGTGCATGGAAAGAAGATCTTCGAAACCGCATGGAAGAGTCCAGTATAGAATATGTGCATCGATGATGCAGTTTTATCCTGCCTACAAAGATAAACTCATCGAGGCTCAACAACAAACAACTCTCCGACAGCTACACAACTGTGCTCTGTACGGAGGACGGAGCACAGTTTGGTTGCCTTGAAAGGGATGTACTACTGACATACTGGTCCACTCCGGATAGATTAAGAGGCACCGGGTACTCCGGATTTAGTTCAGTCCTCAACTAGACCACGCTGATGGCATCATCCGTCAGCGCGTGGCTGGCAAAAGCGTGACTTGAACTATCAGTGGGATCGTTCGACAGCCTCCAAGTTTCACGCTTAGGCCTGGTCAGCCCCGGCCTAGTCCACTAGAACGTCCCCGCCTGCTGCAAGTCATGGAGAATGCCTTCTCCCCCATTCAGCACGTGTTCAGTACGGAGCACAGAACATCCGTACCAATACCATGCCATCTTGCATTATGCTCTCTTCGAAAGAAAGAACCTCATTACGCTCGGTAAGCAAGACGAGAATCAGCTCACACTGCTGTATTTTATTATTCTTTTTAGTGGCATCAGGTTGTGACGGCAAAGCTTGATCTTGAGCCACACATTGGAAGAATTCCTCTAAGAGGCCTATGCTGACCAAGTGGTAGATGTATTCAGACATTCCTCAAGCTTTCGCCCCGAACCAATTTGATCCGTGAAAGTGTCCTCCAAATCTGACCTGAATGCCTCGAATCTGTGTAGGAAGTATGTACCTAGTACTCGGCACGCCGGCCCCCGTCATCAATATGAATTATACTGCGAGGAAGGGGCTTGTATCCGAACTCTTGATTGAATCTTTGGGTGTGTCCACAAACTTGAACAGGATCCGAAATGCGGTGCCGTTGATTTTGCAAACCCTGCCTACCGATTACTACTATATACTATCTTATGTTTGTACAATTTCCACATGGTCGTTTGACAGGTTGTCACGAAGAACAATCCACATTATGTGTCAGGCTACTTCCTGCCCTATTCAACCAATATCGTTACGACATGCATGCGCGGGACGCAGGGCGTTCCCGCCCATGCAATGCACGAACTACAATTAAGGTCGCATTGCAGCTCAGAAGTCAGTCGGAATTTGGTTTCGAGGGAAAAGTAATAATATCATGTCAATCATGGGCGGAATTGCCATCAACAAGCTTCTTAACCACTCTCTAGTCTAGTCGGGAGCATCCTGACTTGTTGACAGCGGAAGCACCTTCGTCCGTTGACGAGGCAGTCTTGCGCAGGGGTTGCGGATCACCTTTTTCGATGCAGTTAAGGGCGCAGCCTTTTCAGGACACGAAGGCTACGAGGACTCCGGGTACAATGATGATGATGAGCCCTAAAAGTCCAGATGCGTCTATCCATACAGTTGTATACACAGGGGATCCGTACACTTCAGTCCGACCACGCCCGGCCAGGAGAACCACCCAGGATTGTGATCTTTCAAGCCTCCAGTTCACCTAAGGTTAGTCTGACAATGGGACCACCTCCCTCTCAATCCCCCCAGGGTCCGATAAGAGGAGGTGTTCACAAGAGAAGGGATAGTCCGCTTTTCCCAGACAGAAGAGAATCGAGCTCGCACAATTTTTTTCATTCCTTCGTGCTGCCGTCTTCAATCCGAGACCTGGTGCGTTGTCAATTCATGATTTGTGGAGAGAAATCCTTAGCTGCCCACTATCCACCCCACCCTGGCTTTCAGGCCAGCCCAGCACATAATTCACCAATCGTATGTTTGGAAGGCACACTGGTCAGCGTTACACAGATTGGGTCAGATGGGGCAGATCACCGCGAGGATCCCAGGGAACTTGCACCATGAGGGAGACCTTTGCGGAACAGGGTTGGTTGTCTTTGACTCCTTCCCTTCCAGCCCGCCCATTTTTTCTTCTTTCTGTCAACGAGTTGCAAGTACGAACTTTAGCGAGCATTTCCGAGAGTCGAAAAGGGAACCACTTGGACTCCGTACGGAGTACGGTGGCTGGGAGCTTGAATAAGGCCACACATGATTGTACAGTCACCCAGTCCGGAGTACGGAGGACCATGCCTATGACAGTACGGAGCACAATTCGTTGTTGAGTCTTGCTTTAGACATCGCTCTAATACATGCAACATTCAGCCTTCCTACCCACGAGGTATCATCGTACTGCGCCGCAATTACATCCCCCTGTTCGATGCGGGCGTAAGATCTTGCATTTGATCGCCCGATGCACGATTTAATACGTTGTGAAATCGAATCCCACATTTCCGTGCCTCAGGTTGCAAGGAGAAATGGTGCTTTCTGCTCTGATTGTACCGAATTTGTCTCGCTTATCATACTCCGACGCCCCATTTTAGGAAAGGAAAGGAGGACACGACTGCCAGAATGTTGAAGAGGTTCCCAAGATCCGCAAGGATTCCTTTTCGACACCCTGTTTCGAAACGCCTGCCTTAGGTCTGGTTGATTGGTCGTCGTAAGTCCGACATGCCGGCAAGCTCTCGGAACAAACATCCCTTTATGCATATCACAGGTGCAGGGCGGAGTCGCAGTCGCGTCCAAACATCTTTGTCCAGAGAAATCTTTCACTTGATTCTCAAACAACGCAAGACATTGTCAGGCACCCAGTTACGGAGTACTGTGATCGCTGGTGAGCATTATACGAGATGTGGAAATCCCCATGTCAACGTCTCGAAAGCCCTTTGGTTAGATTTGATCGCCCATGGATTGGGGAAAGGGGTTGGGTTGAATGGGCCAACCTAGTCAAACGTGCGCTCTACGGAACACTCCGTACAGTACTACTAACATCACTGCCTGACCGCCGAACGCCACCGAAGTCACAAAGGATCTGTCTCAATCTTGCGGAGGCCTGCGCCGCTGTCGTTGTACTATGCTTGACAGGTTCTCGTCGGTTTGAGGAAAGCGAGTCAACCAGAACAATAATCGCGCTCAATTTCCTCTCCTTCGTTGCCATCCAGTTGAGCGTTGACTACAACCTACGAGTACGAAGTAGGTCGATCCACGTCAGCCTGACACTCCCCCCTGATTTCATCCTCGTCGGCAATGCCGACATTCATTCAAAGCGTGCGTACGAGGTCCGAATCGCGTTCGGATGAGCCTTGACGGTCTGACTGTTCAGAACCGGGTCCAGAATGCCGGTCCTGGCACCCGTCATGTTATCCGAACCCGTTCGGTGTGCAGACTGCAGTGTTGAAGCACTGAAGTGCAGCGTTGCTTGCGCTCTTGGAATACACATGTAGGTCAGAGTCAGTGAACTGATACGCTGATATCAGGAGCGTGACGATAGAGCAATATCCTCAAAGGGGATTGCTACTAGGACACAAGCACCAGAGATTGAGAGCCCTGGCTCTCGTCGTCAATCGATGGCAACAAGTTTGCCGACAGAGGTTTGACTCCCATGGCCTACAACTCGTCCTAATATAGGCCTGTGCGTTTCTAGTCGTGTTAGCACGAAGGTCACCTCGTCCGCTACATAGTTACAAACCTCAAGTTGATGACTCACGATCGCCTCCCACAGAAATCTCGGCGCAGTTGCACGGTCAGTCCATTTATCCAAGGCCCAGAACTCAGTTTTCGATATCGGAAGTCCGATTTTATGCATGATATTCTGTTCTGTCTAGAAATAGTTGTCCTAGGTTCAGTCCCTAGGAGGTATATGAAAATGCCCAACAGCCAAAAGTATAAAGTGTTCCCTCGCCCTCGCTCCGTACCATCAGTCCTAGATTGCCTCCCATGCCTCCCATGGTCACATGTAAATATGAAAGTCCCGCTTTTCTGCTCGATGCTCCTTTTGAGGGTAGGCGCTGTTGCCTTCGCACTCGCACGCTCAATTTCTCCGATCTGTAACCCAGTCATTCGCCCTAGCTCTCGTTCCCCGTCCGTTGTGAATCGGTATTCCGAACGAGACCGAGAGATAGAAGGGGGGGTAGCCACATCTCAGTAGTCATCATCATAAACGCCATCCTCCTCCACGTCATCTCCCGCACCGCCGCCTGCGGCCGGTTTCCTGCTCACTTTGGCTGTTGCATAGTCGCTGAAGTTCTTGTCTGCCGCCTCCTCGGCCGCGGCCTCTTGCGCGACGTTCTCGCACGCGTCGATCCAGTCCGAGTATACATCGACCGCTGCGGAGAGGTAGTTGATCCCCGTCTGGAACCGTTGGCCGCAGACTTTACAGTGTAGGTTACCCACGCCGGCCTTTTTGTCTAGTTTCACTTGGATTGCTTTCTCGTGGTTGCAGAAGAGGCATGTGAATGTCGTGGCTAAGGGTTCGCGCTGTGACAGGAATCAAGATCATGTGTCAGTGAGGGAGTGTTGAGACTGGCTTCATGTTCTCTTGATGGATAGATAGCACGGGACGAGAGATGGTTGAGCGAGCGAGCGCGCTTGTGGAACCTACTTTCTTTGGTCCTTGAGGCTTGCTGGATGACTTCTTGCGTTTTCCCTGTGAGAAGTTGGTCAGATCGCTGGTCGCAGTTCGCATAACGACTGAAACTTACCATGTTCACGCGTGCCTTGGATCAGTAAGCTTAGGAAAGCTGGCTGCGGAAATACAACCCTGCTTCGCTAGGCAGGTTTAGTGGCTGGAGTGCCGCCTGCGTTCGTGTACGATAGCTCTTGGTCTCGCGACGACAAGGTGAAAGTGATACATGGAGGAATGATATGAATGGATTCTGAAACTGAGAATAGTCCTAGGTAGATGTTGCACAGGTACTGACGCTGCAATTCAAGTCACGTGGGTCCTCTGCAAACGTCATTCTTCTGTAAAAAATTAATTAATTAGTATTACGGAGTACGGCGGAAATCGGCCAGTCAGGAGTCAAGACACACAAAGCTCAATGTAGAGGACTTCCATTCACTCACGAGTTTAGTATCGACTGCACATACTCATTTAGCTGTGAATATGAATAACCATAACAGAAAAAGAATAATGGTCTCATGCTGGTGCTGCTGTGACTTAGTAACTGAGCTGAAAAGTCACTGACACCATAGTGAGGCGATATTTCTTCAGGCCTTGGACATTTTCTGTGTCTCAGTCGCTCTACGCTGACGTGTCTCGTTTGAAAGGAGGTTGGAATGATAGACGAAGGCCAGATTAGAAACAGCGAAACTGATAGAGCTCTCTGTTGATCCCTCAGTTGTCCAGTCGATGATGGTACAGGTGGTCTGCGAATGACAAAAAGGTGGGACACTGAGTATCCTTTGGGTATGAATAGAGTTTCCACTGCTGTATTCGAGGGGTTGATAGTCTCGAGACTTCCTCTACCCTCCTGACTCTGAGGAATGCTACCACAAGCCCATATGAGCCGTCGATCAGCTCATGTAGGAGCATATAAAGTTCACCACTATCGGACCCGCTTCGAAAAGACGACTTGTCTACATCGCGGTAGTGACCACAAGCAAGACCGTTAGATCTTAGGAGTCTGACTACTCTCTCACAAAGCAAGGGTTAGCCGGATTGTCGGAGCTCGATCTCGTTTACTGACTACGGCTGGCATGCTTGAGGAGGCCACAGTGTACTGACTTGCTGTGTTTGCTAGAGGTACTGGCCGAAGGAAATGGTGATTGTGTTCAATTGCTTCTCTTCGTGTAGAAAACGTCAGAACTGCTGGTCTGGATTCTTGGGTTCATTGCCGAAGCTTCTCGAAATCCTATAGGCTAGAGACGCTGCTTTGTTCTGACCCAGGGGCAAACACTGAATGATTGTTCTCATCCCCGAGTCGACCCTAGGGTTCGCTTTGTTCAATTGAGGCCGGAATTGTCGATTTCATCTCAGAATCGTTATGGGTGGGACCGTGCGAGGTTGCCTGTCGAGCACTGATGACCAGCGCGCAGCGTTCATGTACTCACGGAGGCCTGTTTCGCATGTCCCATTGACAAGACTTCTAGGGCAGGGTCCTTGGATGATCAAATATGCTTCACTTGAGAAAGCCTGAGCAGGGATGATGAACATGATGCTATGACAATTTGGATCTAAACGAAAGCCTATTTCGTGGACGGGAGATCGCTAGTCTCGCTGGTGCCTACAACATTGGGACTGCGACAGGAAAGCTCTTAATGGTTTTGAAAGCAAACATCGGGGCGACCTTTCCACAGAAGGGATCCATGCCCATAAGGGCAGGGTGTTGTTCGCGCGGAAGAGCAGGTGGCACTCCCGTCTGCCTAAGATGAGTACTATACGCCATCGTGATGATCTGACAAAGCATATTCCTCTAGCCCTTCACGTTCATTGGAGCGCCCGAAATTCTTTGTGAGGAATAAACTGTTCATAGAGAGTTGTCAGTATGGTAACCCATGGTGGAGTACTGTTCTATGAACCGGTCTTGAATATCAAGGCACGACCACCATATAGACGTAGCCTCGGTGACGTCGCATTCAGTGGTCGAGTCCGAGGCCTTCGACTCAAAGACAACGCCGGACGTTTGTTCCCTCGGCAGAAACTTTCCCTCGTGATACTATTGCCTCATTGCAGAATTGTGGGGACTCTAGTTTTGGGGTAAGGGGAGACGTCTCGCTGTCAACATCTTGGGTTTCTACTGTCCATATTTGCTGTCATAGCGACTGGTGCCGATAGGCAGGTGATTCACTGACGCAATCAAATGGCGCCTTGACAATTTGTTCTCCAGTTGTTCGACTGACGTCAAGGTGAGTTGAGTCTAAAGCTGGATTGCGTTGCGGATACTGCGGTCTGAAGGCCGCGGATCACCTCCAGTCAGTCAAACTGCAACGAAAGACACCAGAAAGATTGAACTCGGGGTTGGGAAGAAACCGAAGTCCATTCCTGAGTCTGATGGCAGGCTGGTACAATGGATCCAGTTCTTCTCAAGCCCGAGGTCAGCGAGGAAACAGATCAGTCCTTTTTCTGACTGAGCGTCTCGCTGTGGCCTTTTGCATATTCGACATCATTAGAGGGACATTGGATGAGCATAGCGGCAGATTGTCTCACAGAATAGGCCAAGGAACTCTGCGCACATAATCATCCCCCTTCTGTCCACTTTATGGATATCGGGATTGTGAGAGGTCCACTTTCTGATTTGTTGCAGAACAGCTGAGAACCAATGGTTCTCAAAGAATGCCAATATTGGGAGGAGGTACCTCTCGCAATTGATTTTGGAGCATTCAAAGCCATAGTGAGAGCTGGGTGCTATGTAAATGCAAGGGAAAGCCGGCATGAAGAACCCATGAGTGAGCTCAAGGGATGCATCGAACACTCCTGTGTCAGCAACTGGTCCAGTCCAGACGAATGACTCTTTCAGCCCTCTACTGAGACCCCCGAAATATTCCCACTGAGCCTGGTGCGGGCCATGTCTTCTTGTTGGATCACAGCACAGAGGAGATGTTGTTTCACCAAGAGTGGGGACGCCTGAGATCCATTCTCAGTCATCACAAGCCTTCTGCTTGCAGGCTATGATGATGCTGCGGCTGCCAAATAAAGGGAAACCCAGGCCTCGGCAATGCATCGCACCTGTATAAGGCAGACTTCAGGCCTGTTTAGCCGAGATAGATGAATAATGAACTTGGTATTCGATGTTGCTTCATCAATCGCTGTCAACTTGTGAGAGAGGCTTAAAGCGGCAATGCTTTACAATCATCCGATTTCAGATTTAGGGTCAGTCTGACTTTTTGGGCTATTTCTTCTCGGTACTCGCCCTTGCCACTGCTCTCGTGTCGTTGCACAATATGCTGAAGTCAGACGGTGAGGCCGACTAGGTGGGTAGGAGTCCAAGGGGCGAAAGCCTTGTGACCGGGCTTGTGTCATCTGTGTCAGTTATCTGGGTAGGTACATAACTGGCCAATGGCGGCTCGAGCCGTACCAGTAGGAAATCGCCATAGTAAAAGAAAACCAGTTAGAGGGTAGAGAGTTGGGCTGCAGACAGAGCACGAGATGCTTGGTATGAAACTGAAAAGCTCATAATATCTGACAGCGCTGGATGCGCTCGTAGATCCGCAATTAGGGCTGACGAGGCGGAAATGGATTCATCTTCAGAGCGTTGTACAACGATTAACGGGAATGTCAGGATTCAGGACTCATAGAGTCGTTTCATGCCTCAGATGGCTAAACATGGAAAGGGCCGTAGGCTGTGTGCGATTGATGTCCTTGGCACGGTGGCTCCCTCCGCCGATCTCCGCTTACTAGTATGTCTTGCCATCTTCAAATTTAGCATCCACATAATTAAAACCAGGTGTCCAGGCCTTACCAGGTACGGAGTAGGCAAGGCCAAGGACTTGATCGGTCGACTTGATCGCCCATCTACCGCCTATCCCAGCTCTTACTCATCAGTGATTACCTGGGATTTGGTATACGAGGAGCCCGAGTCCATCAATAATTAACACCTAGGACAGCAGGATCTGTAGCCCTACCAAGTACGGGACATAGCATGGTAAGCTTTGTGCTTTGCTCCCCCCCTCCCTCCGGCCGTTGTAAATATGTATCAAAACCCTCGCTTCTGTTCAGACCAAACGCCTAGGCTCACACCTATGCAGACCCATGTGCGGCCGTTGCAGATTTGCTCGTGCGGCAACCAACGTACTACTCCTCAGAGATTCTTGCATGCCCTTGGTCTGACCGAGTTTCCTTCGGCAACATGAGGCGGTGCATCGGAACATCTTTGCACGATGTGCTGGCGGGGTTCGTCAAATTGGTGCAAACGGGTGCACCACTCCTGAAGACACCAAGAATTGAGGCCTCCACTGGATCCAGTTTATCTGCCGCATTGTGGCTGGCGATTCAAATGCGGTAAGCAGTCGTCTTGAACATTCAAATGTACTCAGTACCTTGGATTGTGTTAGTTCAGGCCACAGAGGTTTCACTACCGTGAAGCTTGCATACATTCTGTCTTCCTTTTTATTTCGCGGCAAGCCGATGCTCGAATAAATCATGGACATCCACAAGAATGATAGTATTGAGAGTTCCAGATATGCCGCCCTCCCTGAGTACCCGGATGATTCAGAGTCCCCGATATTAGGACGCAGGCCCTTCACACATCACCCTGCTAACATGGCTGATAAAGATGCTTATCGGTCGGTTTCCGATAACGACAAAGGCGAAACCAAACTCGATTCAAACCCTTCCAAGACACACGGGCTAGGACTCGGTAATATAGTTGGACGCCCTTCTCAAATTAAGAGAGTACCAGCTGGCATAACACGCTCAACGACTATGGACGGACTTTTGAGTCCAGCAACGCTCTCGCCAGCCAACTTCGCCAGAGTTCCAAGTTACGAAAATGTCTCAATTGGTGATGTGGGAGCTAGGTCAGCCGAGTTCTATATACCAAGTCATCAATCTTCTACTTCAAATCTGGGCCCTCCTACACCTGGGACCTTCAATTCAGACATGGGGTTGCTTGGTTCACCAAGAAAAGTCGACGCTGCTTGCCCGACGCACAGCGATATCCTCACGAGTCCTTGGTCATGGATTTCAGTCCCCCTCTTATTTTTGGCGCTGTATTCCACCGCATTCTCTGGCATTTTCCTGGGCATTGCACTTGCAAAACCCAGATGGGGTGATAAAGTTGGCACTAACGGACATTTGTCTTTTGCAAACGCCTCACTTCTGAGTGCTATATTTTCAAAGACCGTTGAAATATCATTTGTTACCGTTTTTGTTGCCTTACTGGGCCAAGTTCTCACTCGACGCGCTTTCTCAAAGCGCGATGGGACAGGGGGAATTAGCATCGCTGAGATGAATATGCGAACCTGGATCATGCAGCCGGGGAGTCTTCTGGTCAATTTGAAAGCTGTTCGATACGCCAATTCGTTCCTCGGAGCCATTGTCCTGATAAGTGCTTTCAGCGCCACCTGGTACACAACGGCTAGTGAAGCCCTAGTATCCCCAAAGCTCAAATTCGGACCCATTCAAGACCGAACCATTTCAGGTCTGGTGAGCGCATCATATGCGAATGCGATGTATTTGGGAACCATGTGTGAGGTCCCCGTTGCCGAGGCAAACGACGATTTTGAAGGCTCAACATGTCTTCAAATCCGACATGCAGGAATGGGTTTCTCGTACCTGTCGTCATTTCTAAGAGATTGGGCGGAGAGCGTCGCAGCAGGAAATACAACTGAGAGTGTGAACGGCTTTGAAGGCCGGCCCCTGCCTGTGGCCGTACTGTACGACAATACTACCATCAATGGGCAGTGGATCACTCCAAGCCAAGAGAACATTACTACAGATTCAAGTAGTCACGGACGGCTTGTGGAGAATGTGACAATGGCTATGCCACACGCGGGCATCTTCAAGGCGGTCAGAGATCCCGCGAACCGTATCCTGCAGCCTGCCGACCTTCAAGGTTCTGGAGAGTACGTTGTGCAGGCTTCTCTGCCTGCCCCGATCGTCAATATTCTTTGTGTTGGGTTATCTACTGAGGAAATGAGTCCTATGGTGAGTCCAGGTCACTTCTCTCGAGTTATCGTTATGCAACATCATTTTATCTGCACGAATATCTGACTGACCCATTAAACATTTTAGATTGTCAATGTAACCGATCCTACCACCTACGTACCTAACGCTACTGTGGTGGATTCAATATTCGGATGGGATCCCAACGCTGAGGCGCCATCTACGCCGTACTTCCCCAAACTCCCCATTGGTAAGGACATTCACAACTCTCAAAGCAACCGAGGAATGCTAACATGCATCCTTCTAGAGTATAACACTATAGTGCACATACCTTCAGTGTGGGGTCCCCCAGCGATCTCATTACTTGCCACTCCTCCAAAAGGTACTACCACCAACGATCACGTTCTTTGCACAATTAAGTCGGCGTTATATCGCAATTGCACAACTTGGTACAAGGTTGCGCAATCTGGTGGTCTTCTTACGGTCCATTGCGACGCGGATGAACGTAATACACTGCCTTATCACCGGACAAGGCCTGATGCCCCCATTGGGGAGTGGAACAGTGACTGGAAGGATATTGGAGGTGAATGTTAGTGGCTTTATTTGAGATGAGAACCCATCCTCGCTGTCAAATCTATGCTAACTTTTGCCGACAGGGATTAGATCACTCGCGCTGAACAATGGAGTTTCTGATGCAAACGCGTCCTCCGCTCGATTACTCACCCAGTACATCCCTGAGTATAATCGCGATGCCCCTACCATTCTCCCAACCACGAAACCTACCATCGGTGAGGCGATCGGCGTATTGGCTGGAGGTACTCTCCTGCTATCAAGTTTGGATGCCCCTTACGAGCATACCTGGAATTACAGCGAGACGGTACTCGCCGAACCTCAGCGCCAAAGCTTTCCATCAATGTACACCTATAAAGACTACGCTTCAGGTGGGACACAAGGCTGGCAGGGCATATTCTATGTCATTCTTACCGCCACTTTCCTCCTCAGCGCTGCTGCGTTGGGATATCTGTGCTGGAACTTTATCAGACAAGGCAATGTAACTGACTACACCGAGCCACAAAATCTCTTTGCGCTAGCTGTGAACTCTCCATCGAGTAGTGCACTGTACGGCGCATGTGGAGGTGGACCGAAAGGCGAGACCATGGCACGCAAATGGACGGTCGACATGATAAGAACCGACAACGATCATGATGGCTTCCAGTACCAACCACTCACCAGCTCTGGAAGGCATCCTCATTTCTTCATCAGATGCAAAGACGAGGAACTCAGCCCAATGATGAACAACAGTAGTCCCAGCACACCCTATACAACCTATAAACCCCACTCAAAACGAGGGAAGTTTCGGAGCAGTCGACCGCCTACAATGAATGAGTCGTGGAGTGCGGGGTCACCTGTGGTTGAACAGTACCAAAGACTGGCTGGTGGGAAACCTTGACTGTATCTTGAACAGTGACCAAGAGCAATCCGGGATATAGTGCCCTCTGTGAATGCAATAATGCAGCCTGATTGGGCTTTGCAGCACTTTGTTTTTGATGTGTTTTGGCGAGGCGTTGGCGGATTGGAAAAGTCAGGGCAACCATGATTCAAGGTGTTTCACATTCCACCATCTACGACCGATCAGTTGAGAGATATAGTCTGTATGATGATGACGATAGAGGATGACATGTCCGTGAAAGGGTATGCTTAATGATATATAATGACTGATAATACTGCTTGCTTTCCCTTGTGCTTCATGATACACTGGTAAACAGAAACTGAATGCAGTAGCCTTGGACGGCACGTGATCTAATCAACGCTCAATGGGCTGGGGTTGGATGTGGCAAGTCGGCCGAGCTGGGCCCTTCTCAAATTTATCGACCTCGACAATAAATGAAATCTGGGCTCAACACAAACACATTATTTGCTTCAGTTGATAGTCACACGACCTGTACTTCTGGGTCCCGAAGGCGTGGTGCTATGTCTCTTTAGACATTGGACCCTCCATTCCAGTGTCAAACTGCCCGCAGAGTAGCTATGCCACCTCGAATACCGCTCCCTACCTATACCACAGCTCTCCCTAAACCATCAGCCCACCGTCTATGTAAATCATGCCTGACCCGCAGCTTCTCCTCGACTGCAGCCGCGCCTGCCGAGGAGAGAACTCGGCGCCAGCCAACAGCCCATCGAAGACGCTTCTACGAATGGCTCGAAGGCCCAGGAGAAGTTTTCCGCCATCCTCTTCCCAACTCAACCAACTATCTCAATGCGTATGATAGATCGGGCAATCTGCTTCGTGCATCAAAGCGCAGTGAAGCTTCTTCAACGCCAGAGACGGCTGATATGAGAGCACTTGACGCAGCTGCCGAAGGTTCAGAAATACCAAAAGAGACAGAGAGCGATCTACGACCGTTTCCTATGAACAACTACTTTATATCTCAAAGCATATTATCGGAAGACCTTCGGAATGAGATATGGCGACGAGTCCAGGGAGATGGGAAATCTGTGCGGCAAGTATCTGCGGAGATGGGTGTGGACATGCGACGAGTGGCTGCAGTCGTAAGATTAGTCGAGGTGGAGAGAAGGATGAAGACAGAGGTGAGTTCGTACCCGGTGAAATTCTCACAATGCGTTGCCCCTACCAGCAACCATACTATGATGAGCAACAAAATCGATTAGTCTTCCAGACTCCCAAGCATGGTGATTCAACAAACAAATTACAACTCTCTGAAACTCTGCGAATTTCGTCCAATTAGATTAACATCAACTCCTGAAAGCAAGAGGCTGATGCATTTATCACCCTGACTAGAAAAAGCAACTAGCCATACCCTATGCTCGAGCGATCCACGCCATGGTGCCAGTCACCGAACTTGACCCAAAAACCCGAAGACCAGTCGAAGCACATGAATCCATCAATGACCTTGAACAACATCCCCTTACGCTTCCCCAAATCTTCTATCCGACTTCCGAATCTCGCGCGTTCAACCGTACAGACGCCGGCCGTGTCTTCAGCGGCGCGCCACGCCTGCCAGATGAGGAGGACGTCGGTCAAGGGGGCACACAAGCAGTAGAGCCATGGCAGGACAACAAACCCGAGCTGATCGGCAAACCCGGGCGAGAAAAATATGTCTTGAAACCCGCCGACAGCCGGATCCCTCACCCACACCTGATCGCGTTTGCCAAAGACCAGGGTCTTCCGCGCGCCGAGCAACAAGAGCGGTACCACGCACGTCTTCTTGAAGACAAGGAGAGAAGGGAGGCGGCCAAAGCCAAGCGTGAGGCCCTCGAGGAGAGCAAGAAGACTCGAATCGACGCTGGACGGTGGCAGTTTGTTGTGACTGATGTCCAGGCAACTCGACAAGGTACAGGACTGGATGGTCGAGGCACGCAGAGCCCTGGGTTCAGGTACGGTGTGCCCGCCCAGGACCGGAAGAGAGGCCATGTCAAGATCCCCACAAAAGTCGAGGTGTGAGATGTTCCATAATAGGGCTGGCCTTAAAGAGGCCGTGGGATGAGAGACCATGTCTTACTTGGCACCGCTCCTGCCCATATGTGTATATACTTACTGTTCATGGTCTATCATCAACATTCCGGTGAGGCTATTCTATGTCCTCAGCCCCATGATCAAAGCAAAAGCATCAATGTAAAACTAGGTGACAAAAACAAGACTAAAAGTCTAACTAGAACAACTGAGCAAAAGAAACTACTCACTCCTGCAAAGGCGGACCTAATGGATTTGGAAAGAGAGTGGCAGTCTCTCCAGAATTGTTTAATTTTCGGTGGGAATTTGCAGCATCCTGTGGACTGGCTGACTGGTGGTTTTGGGTTCTAAATTTACTACTTCAGCGTAGTGATTCGTCATGCTGTCATCATTCATGGAAGAGAGTAGTCGCGGTGCATTGCCTGCCTATCTGTCCGCCATTGGATACATTTCCTTCCCATGCATCAAGTATATTACTACTAGGCATACTCATCTCTGGCTGAGGTGGGCGCCGTCTCCCCGCTGGGGGAGGGCTTTCACCTGCTCCCTTATCCTAATACGCCGCACCCCCTGGGTGCTGACTGAGTACTCGTCCGGCATCTAGAACCGGTGGCACTCACGGTTCAGAGGGACTTGGTCGTCCAGCCATCAGCGCATTTGGCGGGTATGGGTTGGACTCCCGTTCCCCTGTCATGTGCTTTGGAACCGCGACCTGTGCGGCTAAAAAAATCCCATCCATCCTTGGTGTTGTTCGATGGTAACTGGTATTGATTGTTTAGAAAGGGATCCGGGGTCTCTCTGTCACCCGGCTGGGGACCCGGTGCTTTTGTGGATTTTGATTCATTTTGATTAACATCAAATGAGAGGCGCTGGCTGAATTTCATTTACTTCCTCCCGGGATAATCGAATGAACGTACTAGGCCTCAGACTTCCTCGAGGGTCCTTTTTTCGCCGACGCTGGATCGACTGGTGGAGGATTTGGCCAGGAGTTTCTTCTTGGTCAGTTTCCCGCACAATGCGGCCTTGATGCTGGGCAGTGGGTCGCGGGCTTCCGGCAGGACTAGGAGGAGGAACAGGACGGCGACGCCGGCGGTGGCAGGGAGGAAGCCGTAGAAGTAATGGGCTGCGGGTGCGAACTCATGCGGTAGGCTGAAGATGGCGCATGCCAGCGCGAAGGGGGCGTAGATCAGGGCGATGATGGTCAGATACCGTGAGTAGTCGGCGTGTCGAATGGATTCGCCCTTGATGGATGTCAGCGCCGCCGAGTCTTGACATTGCGACACCGCGAGGATGTGTTGCATCTGTGAATCGCATTCGGCGCGGTAGTGGTGCAGGTCGATCAGTAGGCTCCGGTAGTCGTCCGTCAGGTCGGAGTCACTGGATACATAGGATTTGATTTTGGTGAGGATCGGCTTGTATCGGCTCAGCATGGAGTCTAACGAGATGCATCGATCAAGGGTCTTTCTCGTCTTGATGGAATCCGAAGCGAAGGATGTCGATATCGGCTGGCTCTCCAGGCTCGCTCGAATGTATTCGAAGAAATTCGCACATTCACTTGCCGCTATCTGAAAGGCCGGTTTCATGAGGTTGACCAGGTTTTTATCTAATGGGTGTAGAGTCCCTGCTTGGGCCATGATCTGCCAGTGCCGACAGAGGTCATCAAAGGGATTGGGGCACATGGGCCTAGATCCACAGGCTCGGAAGTCATGGTCGTCTTTGTTGGCGGGCTTCCGGGTTTCTAGAAAGTCGAGATACCCACCTTGATATCCGGTCACCTCGAGCCTTTGAGAAGGCGAGTACTCCCCGAATGCTGTTTCAACTCCTAGAGTAAAAAATGATATGGGAGGGTCCACTAGCACGACACCTATTGCAGAAAATTAGTGTCATTCAAAAGTTGGTGGAGATTGAATTTCATGCTCCCAGTGTTGATGGTTGGACTCACATAACCATGGATCCAAGGTTTTCTTCATGTAAAAGGAAATCTTTCGGCGTGCAACAGCAACCCTTTGCTTGCCGTGTCTCGAGCACACTTCCACTCTCCGACGATAGTTTCCTTTGCAGCATAACTTATCGATGTCGACGTCCTTCCCACAACTGGCCGGAATAAAAGCACAAGGATACTCTAGATTGAAAAATTGCTTTTGGTGACGAAGGTTTGTTGAGGCCAGCGGCGAACCGGTATTGATTTCACCCAAGTTTCCAAGACCTGGGTCGGCAATATGGGATGCAAAGAAAGCGGGTTCAATGTTTAGTATCCCACCCAAGGTATCGACGATCTCGGGGTTAATATTGTTGACCATAATAATGCGACCTTGGACATTTTGCGATTGTGGGCTGTCAGTCGGCTGTGTCTTGGTCCATTCCCTCAGGAGAAGTCTCATTTTCGACGGGTCGGTGAGGTCTGATGTTCGAAAACCAGTGGTTCCAAATTCCAAGAGTATGGATGTTGATCTCTGAGGTTGTGGCATAGAGGGATTTCGCCTGGCATCAGCTCCCCATCGAAGGTAGTCGTCCAAACAAGCAAGATTGTGAAAGCCATGACTTCGCAAAAAACAGACATAATCGGTATAAGTCCAGCGATGAGGATCAGGAGGGGCCATTGCACATGTGTTGCAGCATTTAGACCTTGAACTGGGTCGCATCACAGCAAGTGAACTGTGAGATATCAAAGCTCTTGAAGGGTGGTCAAGGCTGTTGCAGAGATGAACAAGGTGGAAGAGAAAGTTTGTGGCCTGCTGCTGGCATTCCTTTTGACGGTACGGTTCGGCCGTGAGGCCTACAACCATATGCAAAAACCGGGATACCTGGTCATAGGGAGCTGATCAATGGTCCCATGATTTTGAATATGGCTGCATTCATGCTCGCGAATATCCGCGGCTGGGTCGAGGTCTAAAACTAGCGTTGGCGCTCAATGATTGGGTAGCCTTAACAGGGATTTCCCAAAAGGGTGTGAAGCCTCAATCCTCGCGGAAAGACTGTCTTCGACAACTGGTGGTTGGACTCACTGAGACTTGTACATCCAGGAGCTCTCCGATCCAAGGCAGGCATATATGAATATTGAAATTCACTTACGTTTGACTGTGTACAGACAGCAGCGTATCGTTCCCTGTGCTTCGATCGAAGATAGATGCAATTGCAGTATGCGAACAGCCAGATTCCGGGAGCAACATCATGCGATTGCGTACAGTGTGAGCCGGAGCTACCTCCTACTGGCTCTACGTGAACGCGCCCATTGGTGTAGTTCTTGGCTCTTCCTGCCACGCTCCTAGGATAGCTCCGCTAGAGTCTCGCTTAACGGCGAGACGGAGAGAGAAACCCTAAGTGCTACTTGGTCTACCAATGGCAATCAGAATTCATGCTTGGTAGGACAGACCCTAGCTCCCAGCCACCTGAGAACAATGTCCCTGTGTTGCTCATTGCATCATAAGACATGGACTATCCATCAGAGTGAGACAGCATATTCGATGCGAGGAGGCTAAGGATGAATATTGTTGCAGCCACGGGAGCTTGTGTCAACTAGTGCATGGTGTTGTGGCGCCCGTGTGGTGGGGTGATGAAGCTGGTGCCCTCCCAAGTTTGAAGGAGACCTTCGGGTGGAGAACGCAAATATTCCAAGCATTTTTGAGGGCCTGGGATATACGGTACGATTTGTGCTGTTTGCTCTGTTTGCGTAGTTTGCTCATTTTGACCGATTTGTTTCTTCCTTGCTCCCATGTCCTCATCCAACGTAGGGCGTCGCTGAAAGCCAACTTACAAGTCAAGTAAGGATGTCAGTGGAGGCTACAGAACCCGAAGTCGCAGCTCGCGCGACGCTCGCATTACTGGAGACGCGTTTGCATCGCCTAGAATTCCTACTGACTGGCAAAAGCAACGAGTCTGGAAACCCACCATCAGTGCTACAACCAGCGAGCGGTAATGATACAATTAGATCAAAATTAAACACCCTTGAAGATGGACTACGGAATCTGAAGAATCTCAACGGTCCTGCTGGCCTGATCCTTCGAGATATAGACCGATTATGTTTGTCATGACCTTTTTGCCGAACTGCACGCCTGTTGACCAACATCCCAGCCTCGACGCACGCAGATCTTTTCGATCCCCTCTCCAAGCCAGATTCGAACATACCAAAGTCAGAGGATTTTGCTACTCTGGCCTCGATTGTACTCTCCCATGCCACACTATACCCGGAGACTGCCTCGCGATTGTCTTCTCTTCAAACATTACAAATACCACCTGCAGAGCAATCTTCCAAATTAATTGCTCTGAGCCCAGGGTTGGAGGAGAGTCGAAAGGTTGGGCGTCAGATGGAGCAAGAGGTTCGCGAGCTTCGGGAACGTAGTGTACGTTGCCTTGAATGGTGGGTAAAAATTGGTGTCGTTGGCATGGGCGAGATGTGGGAGGACTGGGAGACACGCATCGCTGACGTCGAGAGAAACGTCATACGTTGGGAGAGAAGAGCAAGGGATGAGCAAGGATATTTGTGAATGTCATAGCATTCGTAAGAAAGTCGATGCTTCCCGAAAGCAGGCCATTAGATTGGGTTTGACTGGCTCGATTAGGGTGCTGGAACGGTTGTTGACATCATTTACTCAATCTGAATCAACAACTGTAGCAATGACACTTAAGGGAAACCATGTCAAACACCATTCTGGAGTGGGCGCAGACGACGAACAGCTCATAACATGGAACGAGGAGAATTTAGCGAGAACCTTCAGCTCAAATAATGGCATTTGAGACGGCGTCCTGCGATAGATGGAGGATAGTGAGACCTGAAGAAGCCATGATCACACGGAGGATCTCGGGACATTCCGTACCCTATAATCGGCGCTACACAGACCGGAGTTCCAAGGGACGGAGTACTCGGTATGGAGGATATTGAACAATCATGCATAATGCATTGTTGATGGAGTTGGGGAGTGACAATGGCGATGGCAATGAGAATACGTGAGTATCCAAGATCCACTTCCACTTCCACTTCCACTATCCTATCCGTGTCGTACATACTCGTCGTAGGTGCCAGATGCAACGCAGATCCCCAAGTTGTGGCAACGGGGCCAGAAGTTAGTACACACAGACAGCAGCCCAGACGGCAAATCTCCAGCCTCGTCAGAGGGGAATTGCGACAAGCTTTTAGGGGCCAGAAGTGGATCATGCAGGATTGGGCGAGACCGTCAACAAGGATTGAGGCGCGTCGTGTCCAATCAGTGGTGCCGGGACAAGGGCGGTTTCATTTCATGGAGAATTGCCTGCGGAAGACAAGCCATCCGGGCGTCAGGGATGTCAAGGGGAGTCAATGAGGCGCAATGAGGCGCAAGCCTAGAGGAGGAAGAACAAGAGATTTGCTCTGAGAGTTCATGTCTAGATAGCCAAATTGGAAGCCAAACCTGAATTGGCCGGTGATGCGTGGCTTAAATCAAGCGGATGGTGGACGCGTCGTGGTATGTTGTGTGGTGTGATTCTTGGTGGCACACAGAGCGCTTGTGTCGGCGCGTGAACGGTGCTCCAAGGTCGTGTTGGCCTATTCTCCTATCTTACAGTCGAACAGCCACCTCGTTTTTCCCCAGTCATTTTGGCAGCTGAGATCATCATGATCGATGCAAAATTCTCGCGTGCAAGAGAGAAATAGCCACTCGTAATCAAGGATTGTCAAATTCGAAATCTAGAGACGACGAGTGATTGAGCTTCGAAGCATCGAGGCTCGATCAGCACTGGGACACCCACCTGGATTGTGAAACGGAGTACAGGCTCCTCCCAAGGCTTATATGCCTTAGGGCTACTGGTTTAGGCATGGTCAGACCCCCTCTCGTCCTTTAGGGACCCCCCGGCCACGCCCCCTCCCCCATTGAATGGTTAATTGCCAATGCATTTCTTGCCATCCTTCCTTCTCTCGAACTACCAGACAGGCTCAATTGAACTTGGCCCAGGTGTGCCTCTTGCGACTCAACCCCCCTACCATCCTTAAAGACTGCCGAGCACCACTCCTGCTCCTCCCGCCCCTACCACCAGCGACCAGTGCCAGTGCCAATGCCAGTGCCACTCCAGCGCTCTGATCATTTCTCCTCCTGAACACAAACCTGAATCCTCACCTCTTCCCAACAACTGCCACCACCACATTCATTCATTCGTTCAGGCATCACCATTTCTTTTCTCGACTAAACACGGTCCAACTTATTCTTTCTTTGTCAATCATTAGTCCTTTCATTGTCGTCACCTTCTACCCGTTGATTCGACCTCTTCAATAAGTCCACTTTGTTTGCCTGTGATCCGACGACTGTGTCGTTTGCCATCCGACTCTCCTAAACTCACTGGTCATCGAGTCACACCATCCAACGACTCAGCCATCCTGCGCTCGGTCCAGCTTCCAGCCTGCTCGTGCAAAGACCTTGACGCATCTCTCATCCCAAGTCCATCTCAACTCCGCTCAAGGCTGCTGCATTCCTCGATAATCCCGATCAATTCTAAAATCGGAGTCTCTGTTGACTTCCTTGGTCAAAAACCCCCGACCCCTAGGATTCTTCATGCCCCCGTACGGCTCTCTACATTCACCGTCTTTGAAGAAATACGACAACATGGTGGAATATCGAAGAACCTCCACCTTCAACTTTGGCAACATCGTTGGTGATCCCTTCGCGTTGGCCACAATCTCTATTGGACTGGTATGTTGCCTCTCCTTGTACACCACAACCTGAACCTCGAACTAACATAATTTCTAGCTCGCATGGGTGATCGCATTTGTTGCTTCGATTGTTGCCACTGTTCAGGAAGGCATTCCTGCGTTTCCTAAATATGCCTGGTGGACTGTCGCCTACATGTTATGCTGTATCGTGGGCGTTACATTCGTTTTCGCAACAAATACCAGCCAAACCTACAGCGTTGCTGTAAGTACACACCTGCGCCATAACCCCCCGTTGACAGACTCTAACCTACTCAGGTGGTCGGCTACCTCGCTGCAGGAATGGTCATGACAACATCCTCGGTCAATTTCCTCGTATATCAACCCGCAGGTGCGATGGAAGCTGCCGCTGCCGGTCACATCTTGCTCTCCATTGTTGCCGTAAGTGTTGATGGCCCCTCGCGGTATACGTGTGTTATCTGACCACATATAGATTATCTGGACCTTTTACTTCGGTTCCACACCCGCCGCCTCTCACCGAGTCTTCATCGATCAGTTCGCCCTCAATAAGGAAGGCGGTGAATTCCGTGGCCCAGCACAAAGCATGACCAATGTTTACAATCAGTCACAAACAGCACCAACTACCCAACCTCCACAGATGTATACGTCTGCCCAACTGAATGGCTTTGAGACTTCATCCCCGGTGTCCGGTTACCCAGGTGGACCGGCCGGCGCGACAGCTCGGGCCTCAGTGCAGCCCATGAGCAATACATCCAGTGCCCCAGCCCCAGTGACTGAGGCTCCTCAGCCCACAGAATACCCTTACCGTGCGAAGGCCATTTACAGCTATGAGGCAAATCCCGACGATGCCAACGAAATCAGTTTCAGCAAGCACGAAATCCTCGAAGTCTCAGATGTGAGTGGCCGATGGTGGCAAGCGAAGAAGGAGAACGGCGACACTGGCATCGCCCCCAGCAACTATTTGATCCTATTATGAGATGGTGTGCAGCGATTCGAAAAACAATTCAACACAGAAAAACCCAGATATGAATGAGGGTGATGAGCGAAGCTTGCCCCCATATCTTTAATGACCCTTTTCACGACCTTGTATTTTCTTCATTGCACATCAACATTCCTGCGAGCAATAGGATACCAATCCCAACTTCGACAGCCCTGATGTTGTCGTTCTACATAGGTAACGATACTGGATGATTCTACCGAATTGGTCTGGAAACCTACGACGGGCTTAGGATGAATACGCACATTCATATTGAGATTATTTTTGGGTGATTACTTCCCCCAAGTTGGGCTACGATGGAATGGGTTGAACTTGTTTGTAAAGGCGTTATGGCGCAAGCCTTGGAGGCGAATTGAATGACAAAAGATCGACTTGAAATCCAGCGCCTTTAAACAACTTTTGGAGGTACATGACTGGAATCCTTTTCATTTCTCACCCAATTTTTGTACTCCCACTGTGCGATCATGTCAATCAGCAGAATAAGCAGAACAGAAACATATTTGCAAGATCAGTTTTGGAGTGGTTTAGGAATGTGGAAGACATCGAAGGCGTGGCGAACGGATCTTGTCCAGACCTGATACCATCCAACGCACAAAACTTGACTGGGAATTGTTGGAGCGGAAACTCGACATCAGATATTTCAAAATGTGGAAAGTTTAGACACAGCACAATTCAGCACCATTCGATTTGCCAGCTATGGTGTTAATTGTGATTCCTGTTTCTTATCCTTTGCAAGGAGATGACTTTCTGGCGAAGGACGGTTTCCATCCCTCACTGCGGCTACTATCAAGAGGCGCACAGGATGACATGCTCCCGCGAAGAACAGACGAAAAACATCAGCAACGAAAATGTGTTCTGTACAGGAGTAGTATCATCAATCAATCAAGCAATCAATCCAATCATATCAGCACAGTTGGACCGAAGTCAAGCTTAGACTGATTTCGTTTTTATATGCCTAGCTAAATAGGTATGGGTCTACACAGTACTGCATCCTAGTATCTCTTGTGCTTTCTGCGACCTAGTGGTAAGGAGATGCAATTAAAGTAAGTGCACAGGAAGATTCCGAAGGCAGCGAGCCTTGCTAGGCACTCAACAGAGGCTGCTGACACATATCCCGAATCAGGCTCCTGGGCCCCTCCTGAACGGGTTTCATATTTTGATGTGGTAATTATGATTGCACGAGGCTTGTGTGCGGTTCGTATGTACATACTTCCCACCTCGCTCGCTAGCTACCCTACTCCGCACAGTACATATGTACCCGTCCCTCGCACACAGAGACATACTGGGCCAGCCCTGGCGGATGTTGATTTCACCTTGGCGATGATGAAGGCGCGGAGCAGCAGGCTTGAGCTGTGGTGCGGTTTTAGTGCGATGCCTACGCCTGGACTCCTGGAGTGGTGATCATTCAGGAGTGATGTCAATGCTTAAAAGGGCCGGCTGGCAGCTGGGGAGTGAGCTTCTTCCTGGTTACTACTAGCCAATCACTCTGTACTTTGTCACTATTATACGGTAATTGTTTGAGTTGATGCGTGGGATATCACGATGAATTCCTCCTAGCTTAGTTCAGACAGCACGCTTCCATACAGGTGAGGACTTCGTCCACAGTAACATTTCATTGCCCCAATGTCGCCCTGACAATCCAAATGAATGATATCCGATGTAGGTGTTGGATTTGGTATGGCCTTGTCAAATTGCTCGCCAAGCTGTTACAGGGATCAGCCATTGCTGCAGGTCCATCCCAAGCCAGGACAAAGAAAAATCATCTCCGCCGGCCTTTGCCGACCAGTAACATACTGCTCCCTGAAAGCGACAAGCGCCAAACGCTCTTGATGGAAAACAACATCGTAGAAGTCAGAAAAGGCCATGGGTATTGTAATAGCATACAAACTCCTCTATACACTCCAAAAACGAACGAGTACCTCTCGACCCAACCTCAAAAAATAAACTATTGTTTTCCTTGGAATACAATGGTGACTCGTTATCGGTTCGGTCCTCCTTAAGCTTCCTATCGATTGTGATAGCTCGTGTCGTAGGATTGAATGCCGAGACCTGACTGGTTCAGGGGACTTTGCGCCTGCGCGGGGGGTAAATGCACCATATCGTCGTGTTCGTTGCCCTGATTGATGGGTGCATACTCGTCCTCGAAGGAGGGTTTCTGATAATTGTATTCTTGACGTCCGCCAGCCTCTCGATCATCGTCGAAATCCTCATCTGTTCGCATATTGCTCGAAAAGGCATCCTGATTTTGGGAAGAGAAATCATTGGACTTTCCTACAGGTTGGCCGGCCGGCATCATACCCGTCTGCTTGTATGTCATCACAGCCCTGAAGGAGAAGAAGGCTGTGACAGCAAAAAGAAGCATCTCGATCACACCGAATGCGATAAGAGCGCCGCTGAGTTTGCATCGTCCTGGGCTGCCGTACTTGAAGTTGTCACATCCCTCTGCGTCCGTGTTGTCGCCCTTGCCTTTTCCCGAGCTGAGATATGAGGCTACGGCTGCCCATGCGGAAAGCCATAGTACTACAGAGAAGGCGTCTAAGGAAGCGAAGGCATAGACGTTGGCGAACTTGCGAGCTCGTGACCACATCGGTACCATAGCGAGGTATATCAGAACGGGGATTGTCAGGAAGCACTGCCCGTGGTTAGCTTCGGTACCAAAGTTAGAGCTATTAAAGCCGTACAAGAGCGAAGTACCAGCCTACTCGACCATCGGTCTGCCCATCTCTTGTGAAAAGGGCGATTGTCAAAGCCCAAGCCAGGAATAGAACTGCTCCTTGTCCCGTGTGTATGTAGTTCTTGATTTGACTATAAGAATCCAGCTGGATCCTCATGTTGGCGGCTTCTGACCGAAAGAAAGGGAAAGATTAGATCGAGTCTTCCGTCTAATTAGGAGGTTGATTGCAGGCTCTCTGGGTGCCGGTGTCACTCGAGGGAAAGCTGGAAATAGGAGAGGGAGGGTGCAGTTGTTGTTTTTTTTGCAGGACGAGTTGTGACGGAAAGAACGATACACAAGGGGAATTTAAGAATAACAGGGAACTACTATACAGAATAAATCAGGCCGAGAGAATGGAAGTATACACAGAGAGGGAAAGTAAAGAGCGGGTTTAGTAGAGGAGTCTCAAGTACGAGGTATTGGCCTTGGTCTGTTGAAACCTGAGACGCGCATTGCAGTACCGAGCATAGCGGCTCGCTCAGCCTCAGCTGCCAAATAATCGTGGCGTCTGGGTCCCAAAGTCTCAACCCGTCGACTCCACAAGGCTGAATTTGTCTTCTCCAAGCTCGTCGATCTGCCATGTGAACCTCATGGACCAGCAAATAAATAAGTATATTCTGATAATCCGAAATCTGTTGTAAACTTGGTGATTTTGGCTGGAATTCAGATAGCGAGTGCTCTTGCACTCACGTATCCCATCTCTTTCCCACGCAACGAGAAGTTTTAAGCGCTGGCCAGTTCAGCCCCAGCAGGAGGCACCGAAATCCAAAAGCAGGAGTAACGGACGAGTGAGCTTGCTGCCAGAGGGACGCTTGCACGCATATCTCGTGTCTTGGCTGGAATTGAAGTCGCCTTACTACTTGGCACACGGTCCTAATCAACCATATCGGCTTTGGACACAGGCATCGATCACTGCTGCTTGCAGGCGGTGGTGTTGTACAGTTTGAGCATGCCTGGGTCAATGAGGCTGACTGTTTGTAGATGAGGTTGTTTGTTCGAGCTGTGGGTACAGAGGAGAGCCGTATTTTCCCTACCCAGCTGGGAAAAAGACGCTTCACTCAGATTCGATATCTTTGTAAAAATCGAATCAGGCGGAGACGACGAGGGAGGCCATGCCAATGATTGATTATTGCATCAATGGGGTCTACAAACCCGATCAACGCCAATTGCAGCTGCTTATGGAGTAGGGAGTACGTAGAACCCCTCGCCACTTCTGCCAGGTACCATTGCGACCAGCACATCACTCGTTGTACAGTAGACTGGGGGACACCTGTGGCTGATGAAAAGGAGCATTGGTGATTTGCTCTCCAGGCGAAAGACTAGACTACAACGAGGAAGGCACACACCTTCAATTTTTCCCACATTGCGATTCTCCCTGGGCCCTAGGTGTTGTTTCCCTGCTAGCCGAGATTTCATTCCAGCAAAGCGGAAATCAGTGCCAGTGCAATCCGGTGCCTGCAAGCCTAAGTTCTGCGCCTGCAGTTGCTGCATAACATACCTCCGAGTAAACAATTGCCTGTCCATGCCATGCAATTGCCATCCAAGCAGTCGGTTCAGGTTCTTTAGCCTGGCCTGTTTCTGGTTAAGTCGCCCGCCCATCGTCACCGCCCTGGGGCTCATCACTACGAGTACTCCGTACTCCGTCAGTTACCACCACTCCTACCACCATCAGGCCAGGACCGTGAGTACATGACCAGGACCAGGCTCTCCTACCCGTACTCGCACGCACTAGGGTCACTGCTAGTTTGGCGGAATCTCACCCAGTTCACGGCCGCTGATGGTGACTTTGGTGAGCCCTGACCCTATTGTCCTACGCGCAGCACCTTCCATTCCTTCCACTCCGTGGCTAGTTCTGCCGCTAACCTCCACCGCAACTGCCACCCTGACCTCTCAAGCTAAATTATTTTCTCAGCCTGCACTTGTCTAAGACCCCTTTGACTCTTTCCCTTCCCTTTTGTTTTCATCAACAATCCATCCTTCTTCTGATCACAACCCGTCCTCAACTTCAAAATCACTTTGAATCTAGGGCACCCAGCTACCCTTCAACCCCCTCAACCAATTCAATTCCCAAGGCAGCCCTTCAGCTCCCTGAGTCTTCCATTCCACAAGTCCTCGATCTTTCAATCAATTCCACTTGTGCCTCAGCAACAATGTCTTCTGCCGTCGACAACCTTGCAGACAACCTCGCCACTACCAGTATCGGTGCCATGGATGCCTCCGCTGCAAACAATGATGCAGTCCTGGCTTCTGCTGCAGAAGGTCGTCGATTGTATATAGGGAATCTCGCTTATGCGACCACTGAGGCGGAACTCAAGCAGTTCTTCTCTGGCTATGATGTGTATGTTCTTTTGACTTTCCATCCTCATCGAACAACCGCTGACATGTTCTCGAAAAACTAGCGAGTCAACTTCCATCCCTGTCAACCCACGCACCAACCGTCCTGTCGGCTATGCCTTTGTCGATTTGAAGACTGCAGAGGAGGCGGAGAAAGCCATTACCAACCTCTCAGGCAAAGACATCCTTGAACGCAAGGTGTCCGTCCAACTTGCTCGCAAGCCTGAGCAAAATGCTGCGGCCACTGACTCTGCTGCCGAAGGCGGTGACGCCGATCGGAAGAGATCCGCTGGTCGAGGCCGGGGTGGTCGAGGCCGTGGGCGAGGCGGTCGTGCTCGTGGCGGCGCCAGATCCGTAAGCAGAACACATCTTGCCTGTTATATTTCGGTTTGCTGACTTGCTTGTTATCCAGGATGGCACTGCCGCCGCTCCTGCCACCGATCTGGCAGAAAACCCACTTCCCTTGACTGATGTCACTACAGAAGCCAACAAACAAGCTGCGCCTTCAGCAGATGCCAAAGCCCGTACACCTCGCCCACCCAAACAACGAGGCCCACCCGAGGATGGCATTCCATCCACCACCAAGGTCATGGTTGCCAACCTTCCTTATGACCTGAGTGAGGAGAAGGTGTGTACTTTGTAAACCTGTTGATTCCGCCACGCTAACATCCGCTCTAGCTTAAGGAACTCTTCGCTGCTTATGAGCCAAGTTCTGCCAAAATCGCCCTTCGCCCAATTCCTCGCTTCATGGTCAAGAAGCTTCAAGCTCGCAATGAGCCTCGCAAGGGTCGTGGCTTCGGCTTTGTTACCCTTGGCTCTGAGGACCTACAAAAGAAGGCTGTTGAAGAGATGAACGGCAAACAAATTGAGGGTCGTGAAATTGCCGTCAAAGTCGCCATCGACAGCCCAGGCAAGGAAGATGGCACCGACGGGTTCGAGACCACTGAGAATGGTACCAACGGCACTACTGAGGAAGTCACAACAACTGCTTGAATTGCTAGTTAGTATGATCACCTGAAAACGAAGGAGTCGATATTCTCTTAGCGAGGCATACTCTTAGGAAATCGGGAAGGCTTGATTGCTTTTTCCACTCTCTTGATGTGTGATGCAGAAGCTGAAGTATCGAGCAGTCAATGGAGGTTGCTGATCAGCCCAGACCAAAATATGCTTCTTGCCTAGATGGCTGTATCTTCCAATACCTTAATATCATTTCGAAAACAAAAGCTTTGCTTTCTCAGACCTCGATCACATTTCTTTGCCTGTTTATTTTTCTTTGTTCTTCGCAGTGCATGACCAGCCAGGTCTAAGTGTGCAAGGGTCAAAAGTGCAACCTAGGAGATGGCACGGTCTGGCATCGTAATGTTCACGTGAGGGTGTTCGAAATTCCCTTCCTATTTGCTCCCTCCTGCGTACTATTACGGAGGCAGCTATCGTTCCAACTGATATCACGTACATGCTAGTCACAAAAGCGACAATAAAGGCTCCGTTTCTGGACTACAGAGGCAACTAGGGATTTACGAGCCCAATTTTTTTCCTATCAGCAAGGGAGACGGATGGACTGAAATAACAATTGCGGTCCTTGATCACCGAAAATGAATCCATCGCAAGTCCTATCAACATCAACTCCTACGAACGGCGTCATATTTCTAGCGACTAGTCTCAACGCCTCGAAACTCGACATGGTATTACAGTTTCTAATTTTTTTCTTTCGATTGCCCGACTTGTTATTACACATCGCGATGTGTACCACTATGAGAACTTAAGCCTTACAAAGAGCCAACTCGTCCGTGAGATTCCTGAGTTGGTGGCTTGAGTGATGCATGGTGACTCGTGAGAGGGAATACAAGCCACGTGCTGGGTTTGGCCCGTGATTATCATTATCCCGGAGTGTGGACAAAATGTCGTGTGCCTGGACGGAAGATTCCCTTCAGCGCACAGGACCCATTTCTGTTACGATTTAGCTCCAGGGACCTGCGGCTCGTGGCGGCGACCAAGCCAAGCATCCCCTGTTCGCTGATGAGATGGTTCCCAGATCTTCGCTGGTTCATCCACAAGCCCCGGCCCAAGGAATGTCAAGCGATAGCTGGCGCAACCTCTAAAGCTGACGGGCAGACCCTGGCCATGGACAGCCATTTGTGAACTCTCTCCTTCAGGGTCTTTGAAGTTCCACATCAAACCTGTCCATTAACTTCCTTGAGCTTAGGCCCAACTAACGTCATCACCAGGACCATGATTCGTGCCTACCGTCACGGTGGATGCGATGTACGAGGAGGAGCCTGGGAGTGTCATGTAACATGTTACGTAGAATTGTTCCTGCTGTTCTCCCGACTCCTATGGGGACTACCATGATATTTTATATTCAGGCTGCACGCACCTGCGGCCAGCGGTAGGACAGGCTCAACCCCAGCGGTAACTGCCTATTTCACGCTTCACTCTTGCTGGGCTCTTTCCATCTTCACTTGATATCCTGCCTCAGTCCTCTCCCTCTTCATCTTCGCCTGTCCCATCATCCCCTTCACCATACCCATTCATTGTTCATGTTCACTGTGCATCTGCATTCTGCCTCTCTTATCTTGGCGTTTTGGTCCTCTCCAGCCATTTTAGTCCCTAGCCAACCTCGGCTAAACTAGTAACAAATTACAACATCCTACCCCGGATACAACACCTCACATCACTCCTTTCCAGCAGAAACTACACTGTATTTTCTCATCTTTCAGCCCGTTGGACTGTGATCGTCCCTTCAGTAACAGACCGGATCTTTTCTTGCTCTTTTCGCCCAAACCTGTATAGAGCACGAGATACACCTCAACTTTATGGCAGTGCGAGCAGGCTCACCAACACATGCTTTCGACCCTACCCCAGCTCTCGAACACAATCCGGACAATTTCTCGCCTCTAAATCCACTCGAAAACATGGGCCCATTCGTTGATGTGGGCGGCAGCGATTCCTTGTCTAAGAACGTGCGATTTTCCGAGACTTCTTCCTTCCCAGCGCATGGTCGTCACTCAATAGCGACAACTAACGTCCCACTCCTTCCGCCTGTTTCCTCTGCAAGTCAGCTCCCGAAACATTCATTCCCAATGCACAATCCCACCCCCGGGGTTGACATTTCAGCCTACATGGAGCAGTGCAGAAATTTGAATACACAGCTGAGAGAAACACACGAAAGTGAACGAAGGGTATGGAACATAGAACGGACAGCACTCAAATCTCGCATAAAAGAGTTGGAGCAGAAACTTAACAAGGCCAAAGACCCCAAACGGAGATCCAGTAACGATTCTTCTCGTGCCTACTTGCAGACGTTCCAAGCTACCTTTGCATCGTTCAGTGGATTCGATGGACCGACTCGTGGCCGAATATCATCAGACACTGCAGTTCAATCACTTCAGCCTGTCTGGAGAGGTCCTGAGTTCACGCCCCCAGTGACTCGAGTTTTCTCACATGACGACGACATATCACATCTGCCAAGCATTTCAGAAAACGAAGCACTACCTCCCCTGACCAAGGAACTCTCTCCCACCTCTCAGGAGAAGGTGGAGAGTGTTCCTGTACCTATCGAGCACGTGGACAAAACACTGGACGGCATTACATTGAAATCGACAGCGTTGACATCCTCCTTTAACAAAGTAGCTAGTCCCCAAGTTACCAGTCCCACACATTCTCCGTCTCCCAAGCCAAAGCACCCTGCAGATGGGCTGATGCAGGTTGAGTTGAAGGGGCTGCTCACGCCATTGGACGAGAAGCTTAAGAGACATGCTGGACATACTCCAATGGCTTTTGATGGCACCGTTTCGACAAGCTCTGCGACAAGCTCGGAACGGCTCACACCGAGACAAGACAAACCATATGCACCTGTGCCAACCAGGAGACCACCACTTCAGCCGTCTGAAAACTCAGATTCTTATTTCTCCTTTGTTTCTGAGCCTGCAAGTCATCAGGATGTCAAGGACCCGGTCATCCCCGAAGAGGCAGAACCAGAGGAAGAAGCGTTGCTCACGACTGATGACGATCCCGCTCTTGTAGGGCCTCTTATGCTTGACACCGCCGCCAAAAGCGAAGCCTCTAACACGTTCTTGGGACTTGTGGATGCCAAACTCTCCGAAGCTGCAGCAGCACGGCGCTCTAGGAAAGATTCTCTGCTCTCAAATGGTACCCAGGATGCAACAGCGAACGCCAGGCAAGAGCGATCTTCCACCCAAGCAGACGCTAATGACGGTCCAAAGTTGAAGGTTAGAAACAGTACAAACTTTGGTAGCGCGTGGGGAAAGGATGCTCCTGGGTGCTTATAAATTTTTCAGAGTTTACGAGCGGGCAAAGTGCAATATGTTAGCCGTCATGGCCCTGGCATTTGTTCTATTCTTCGTTAGAGAGAAGTTCCTCACACCACGAAAGAGGGTTGTTTCAAGTGTAGCATCCTCAAAAGTACGAGGGACACAAGAGGTGAATGGCCTTGTCCAAATAATGGTTCAGAAAGGAAGATATAGGAAAGCTTGCTCATAACAGGTCAATCCAGGACATTGGTGTTGAGTACGGGTGAAAAGGGCCGTACTAAGAGTCTTAATCCACCACCTCTTGTTACTGCGAACCAGAATGGAGGAAAGGAACACAAGGAAGAAGACGGGAACCTCAAACCTCAGCGAGCTGATATTGTCATCTTCGATAATTCGCTAGAGCAATAGATAGACTATTGAATGCGCGCCCGAGAGGTCCGTGTGTGCGAGTGCTCTGTATTCGGCTGTGGATTGCGTAGGACGTGTACATCCGTACCAAGGAGACGTTGTGGGCTGAATGCCACCGAGGTTAGCACAAAGCAACCATTGGATTAATCGCCACATGTTCCTCACCTCATAGGAAGAGTTCTCGGGAACACGACCAGGGTCTCCGGGAACCTCTAGAGTCTAACCCCAGACGGCCCGACTTTATGATGAAACACGCTTGGACCAGGTTTGCGACAGAGTTCGCCAGCCTCGTGTGGCGTCGATAAGAATGAGGATGCGATAGGCACTGTACGGAGTGCTAGAGGCCAACAGCTCCACTTTTAAGCCCTTCCAACCACATTGATTTCACATAGCCTGGAACCCCCTCTCCATCTTAGTTCAACAAGCAACAGAAAATAGAAAAGGCCGGTCTGACGCTGTGTTCACTTGTGTGCTTTGTTCATCATCATCCCTTGGAAAGCTGTCCTGTGCTGTCGCTCTCTTACCCAGCACTTCTTCAAACAGCCCTGAGCTACTCACAATTCCAGTGTCTTCTGGCCAGCCTCAGAAGCAGGGTACAAACACACCACCACAACGCTCGAACCTTCGAGAAGCGGAGAGCAGTGGGCTTCATCAGCTGTTCGCTCGAGACACAGACACAGCAAGATCTGCCTATCTATTGCTTTGTTCACAAGTTGGGTGAGTTTCTACACCAACCAGTTTACCGTGGACGAAAGACCCCGGCGAGTGTTGGCTGCTGCGCCCTTGGCCACCTCGGTGATCGACAAAGCACCATTTTATCGGGCTCGCTTATTGCCAACTCCTTCGCACACCACATTGCATCATCCCACATGGCTCAACCTGGTGGACAAATGTTTCAAGCCGCCGCGAGTCATTTCCCTTGGGATGTTTCTGAAGGCTCTTTGTTGGCTCTTGCTCCTCCTGCTCCTACAAGATGCAACCACGAACGCTCGAGAACTGCACCGACCCTCCCACCACTCTTCACAAGAACACAGTCCTCTTCACCTACGAGATCCTCAGCACTCCCGGCTTTTCTGCGTCCTCAAAGCACGCGGTCTCTATCTCCTGAGAGAGTCTTAGCATTCGAGGCCGCACAATACAAAATTACTCAGACACCGCCAGAAGAACAAGCTACAAAGAAAATGACCTCTTCCGCTGTCGACAAGCTGGCCAGTTGGTTTGACGGATCCTCTGAGCCAGTCAACATATCTTTGATCCCTTCTCCCACAAAAGAAAAACTAGACCCCGTGGCCGAAAGCGGAGGAATGGAGAACTTCTTCTCAGCAAGCGAGGAGTCGGTGGACCCATTTACAAGACGCCCACAAAGAAACTCCACCTCAAACGGGCCCGCACCTTCTGGCCCATCAAGGTTCGGTTTTTTCCGAAAAGCAACCACAGTGTCACCAAACTCTCCGAACCTTGGCGAGGAAGATGAATTGAGCCAGCTCGATGTGAGGGAGGTTTTATTTCCACAGGGATACCCAGATAATTTCTCCCCGGCATCTTTCAAGAATCTACAACTAAACGCCGAAGGAATACTACGTCGATTCCAACATGCGCATATCGAACAACAGAAGTCTCTGAAGACACTTACGGCAACCAAGGTATCTCAAGCAGATGAGCTGGAGGCGGCAAACACACGCGGCGAGCACTTAAAGTTCCAACTAGAAGACATGGCCCAGAAAGCAGCGGAGCAAGAGAAAGCAATTGTGGACTTGAGGGGTCAGCTTGCGATCCAAAGAGCATCCCTCGACTCACATCTTTTGCATCAACGGCAGAGCGTCCGAATGGTGCAGAATGATGATGACACTCCAGAACAACAGCACGAGTCAGATCCCCGATCAAAGTGGCGAAGACATCGCGTATCTGACATCTCAACGTCAGAAGATTCAGAACCAGGATCTTCCGCAAGCTCGGTTGTCAGCATCTTCTCAGAACCGTTGTCCGCCACGCCTTCTACCGCCATCTCCATCTCGAGTCCGGTCTCGAAAGCCACTATTTCAAGCGATGGTGGGTGCTCCAAATGCCATGGGCTGGGCGCCAACGAAGCCTGGGATGTCGTTGGAGTAATGAAGCTTGAGTCGGCCGCTCTGAAGTCTCGCGTCTCAGAGCTAGAAAATGCCCAGGATGAGGCATTGGATTTCTTGAGTGGACTGAAGTTGGATTGAAGCCGTGAGGTGATGTTTATACAGGCCCCGTCCCGTCCATCCTTCTGTCTGTACACGGAGAGGAAAATCGTCCATTATTTTTCATGTCGAAACGAATTTGATATTGATACCCTTGCCGGTGACTGATTGAGGTACTGCGCAAACATATTGTACATTTGGAATTCCAACAAGAATTGTTTGTTGGTACAACTCGAATATAGAATGCATATTTATGGTTGTACAGTCAGTCGGCGGATTGTTATGAGATCTTGGTCTACAATAGGCTGTCCTCTTAAGTAGTGTGACTCTTTGCCAGCCTTCTTTCTGTGCTCCTTCCCCTGCCGTGGCACTGACGGACAAACCGCAACATCAGGCTTGGTTGTGTGCCATTTCTAGATCGGCAAACTATCAAAGACATAGCCATTCCTCTGGCAACATGGCGGTTTACAGTGCAAGAAGTAGTGATGACCACCAGATATGCCATCTCGATCATTGTGAATATTAAGAGGAGGATGTCCGTTCACCTGACACCCACGTGAAAGTGGCCGATGGATCACGTGATTACGCCAAGCCTAACAGCCCACCCCCCAGCCACCGAGTCTCAGCGCAAATTATCTGCGTGTCTCCAGTTCCCAGCCACTTCACACCTCAACCAATGCGTCACATAAACCAATCAGTCATGTCCATCATGGACTTCTTAGTTGCAACCACCTGGATCTCGCCAACGCCGTGCCTGGTGCCTGGTACGGAGTACAATCCATTGGAACATACCCATGACATCGCTATGCCACTACTGAGTCCAAGTCACAGTGGTGAGAATCACGCCAGGATTGATAGCCATCAATCCCATTTTTGACTTCTCCCTCGCTGTTTGCGTTCTTGTCCTTTCAGTCCTTACACTTCTCTAGCCATACCTTTCATTTGTTGCACTGACGACGTAGGCAAAGAAGACGAACATACTCCTGAGCATGACATTCGCTGCTCGGACCCCAGAAGCACTCCTTCCACGCTCCGACTCCAAAAATCCCGCCACTACATGTAGAGGTATCACAACAGCAGGACGTCCTTGTCGGCGTGCATTGGCAGCTTCTCCTCAGTGCTCTCCCTCGCCATCTCCCAGTCGAGGCTCGGGAGTAGTTGCTGTTCTCGACGAGGAACATGCAGCCGCATTCTTCTGTTATCAGCATAAAGATCAGGCCGAGCAACTGGTTGCTAAGAACCGCCAGAAAACAAGCCTGCATCGTTTGAAAGAGCGGTCTAGTCTCGATACTTTAGCTGAGCGAGCGGGCATCTTGGACATAGATGAAGATATCCCGGAACCACAGAAGATACATCATCGGCGACATAAACATGATACCTCCCGAGTCAAACGGAGAGACACCCTTCCTTCTGGTTGGAACGAAATGCAGAGCCCTCTGATGTCCGTGCCAGATGAAATGGTTCAACAACGGCCTCGGCCTCTGGCCAGTCGTTCTGATCGCAATGAAAGCTCAAATCTCAAATTTTCATGGTCATGTTGTTTACGAGCGGATAGTGAGGACGACGATGAGCCGCCTCCTAAAGTTTCACATCGACCTCTGAAAGCTTCTAGAAATAGCAGACCATTCGCTAACACCGGCCAGTATGAGCCACAACCTGAGATGCAAGCTGCGTCACCTGGTCCAGGACCACCCAAAACGACAATTCGGCCATCTTTAGCACCCACACCAGGTCGACCATCCCTTGGCTTGTCGCCAACTCATTCTCAAACCCATAACCTTTTATCATTGATGCCATCCTCCCTCTCACCGCAAACCACATCACTTCTCCTTAACGAGTTATCGCGCCCAATCTCTCCTTCGGACGACACCGGCTACATCTACATCTTTTGGTTGACGCCAGAGTCCGAGGACTCAACCCCCGACGATGAAACAGCTTCAACCCTCCTTGACGGTGATGATTACGAAGAAAACGAATATGGCGGCCTGTATCCCTCTCTAATGCCAACTCGAGCACAGAGAACAAATCGAACGCTTGAACGCTACGCCTCGGTACGTCATCCTTCCCGAGCAGTACCAGCGCCACAGGCACAAGTTCAACGAACAATATTACTCAAGATCGGGCGTGCTGCCAACGTGCACCGGCGCATGTCCCAGTGGACGAAACAATGCGGGCAGAACATCAACTTGATCCGATACTACCCATATACATCATCGAACCCCAAAGCACACGCTCTATCGACGTCCAATAGCCTTGTCCAAGGCCGCAAAGTCCCGCACGTACACCGCGTCGAGCGCCTGATCCATCTGGAGCTGGCGGAGAAACGGGTCGTGAAGCCCGAGTGTCAGGCCTGTGGCCGTGAGCATCGCGAGTGGTTCGAGATCGAGGCCAGCAGGGGTGGGCTGAAGAGCGTGGATGAGGTAGTGCGGCGCTGGGTGGAGTGGGCTGAGAAGATCTAGGTCGTCCAGGTTCAAGGAATTTCTAAGAATACAGAGCTCTGATCCTGGCCAGCTTGGACCGTGGGTGGTGGTGGTGGTGGTGGTTGAGATGCTTACCTTGATCGTAGACGTGAGGCGATGCATCTTTAGCGTATATACTACATAGATAGAGATTTAGAGAGGCCCAGAGATGACTGACAGAATAATGAGTAATGAACGGTGAAGCACTATTAAACAAGAACCTCAATTACCATGTATTCAGAAGCGTGGTTTCATGAAGCAGTACTTCGTACACATGGCAATAACGCTCCCCGCGCTCACCCCACACTCTAGAAATAATGAATGTGGTTTACGCCACGCAAGAAACCGAGTCGCGCGTCTAATTGCCTCTGCCACGTTAGTTGATTTCCGAGAGAAGCCCCATCCTGGACAGCGTAACATGCTCGTCGACTTCCTTGCGAGGACCGAGAAGGATGGAGGGGAAGAAAAGCGGCGGGGAAGAGAGATGGTGACCCTTGGAATGGACATGTTTGATAGTTTCAGGTGGTCTGTACACAGAGATAGATGGTGATGGTGATGGTAATGGTAATGGTAATGCTAGACATGACATGTGGTATACGATATACATTCGCTCGTAAACTTGGGGAAAACCAAATTGAAACTGAAATTGAAATTCGCTTGAACGCTGCACACAAGATCTAGGCGATATGCCAACCCACGAAAAAAGAGGGGAGAGGACCGGCCAAACGGTGTTCGCTAGGTGGACGATACCTATTCGTATGACAAGAAATGAAGGATGGGAGAGCGTTCGGGATTCCGTCATCTGGAGCAGCGGCAACGGCAGTGGCAGTGGCAATGGTCTTCAAGCCAAGCTGATCTCGACGCCGGAGAAAGTAGCTTTTGCAGTCCACAGGCCCCGAACGAGGGGGAGCTTGACGTTTGCGACGGGAGTATTCGTGTCATGTGCAATCGTCTCAGCCTTGTGCTTCATGGTAGGATCGTTGTTGGCGGTCAGATGGCCGTGGAAGACAACCATGTCGCCGTCACGGATGATATCGAGGCCGCCGGGGCCGACCAGGTTGGCGTCGCTGCTGGCCAGCAGCGGGCGGTTGGAGCGCGTGTAGGGCCCATGGATCTCCGTGGCGGTCGCGTAGGCGACGTCATAGAGGGGGGTCGTGAAGCAGTTGGATGAGTAGAAGAGGAAGTAGACGCCCTCAGCGGAGCGGTGCATCGAGGGCGCCTCGATCAAGGGTCCGTCGTGCACGTCGCGATCAAGGATCTGCACCGGGGCGCCGACCGGTGAGATGCCGTCGTGAGCTGAGACTTCTTGTAGCATGATCGGGGTTGGCATGATTGGGGCGACCGTGTTGCCGCAGCTGCCGCCGTGGCCTAGGGAGTTGCCATCGGTTTTGTACAGCACGTAGCGTTTGTTAGTTGATGGGTCTTGGAACCCATCTGGGTCGATCGCTCCCCCTCTGGTGTGGACGTCGGGACAGGCGAATGGGGAATCTAGTGGTTTGTATGGCCCTAAGATCGATTGCGACGTGGCTGCCCCGATACAGTGGTGTGCTCTGCTAGTTGCGACTTCGTCCGTGTAATAGAGAACGAAGGAGCCGTCGTCCTGGAGAGGGGGTCAGAAGAGGGGGCTTGAAAGGGGTGCGTGAGATGTAGTAAAGCAGACGCGGGTGTGGAGGGGAGTGCCTACCACTTGCACAACGTCAGGTGCCCATACGCGGACACCGGTTTCCCATGCTCCAACCTGAGGCAGAGCGTCGTGGTGTTCCAACAGCGTCCAGGTCTGGTTATCCATCGAGGTTGCGACTTGCACGTGAATAAGATCGGCGCCGATGCCTCTGTTATTTGTTGCGAAGGCGTACGAAGTGCCATCAACGTGGATGATGGCCGGATCGGCAAAATTGCTGGATATTAGAGGCCCTACCACGGAGCCGAAAGCAGATTTGGACGATTCGGCAGCGCTGGAAGGCTCTGGCTCGGGCGCGGGCGCTGGTGCTGGTGCTGGAAGTGGATGGCGGGCTACAATGGAGCCGAGACTGGAGATGGTGGACGAGGCCAGTAAGTACGAAGGGATAGCGACCATGGCGAATAAGAGGCGTTTGCGGAAGATAGCTGAGAATGAACGAGAGCTTCGAGAATGCGAACCAGAGATTAATGAACAGGACGGGGCAGAGCCCTTCGAAACAGAGTGAGTGACGGTTCCAAAGCCCGGTCGGGGGCGACTAGGGTGAGGGAGTGAAGATTGATTTTCCAAGTGAGGAGTCATGATCTTAGGGTGTCCTGTGGGTGAGTAAATAAATAGTATACTAAATGGGGAGTGGATCTGAGCATCTGCTGAAGGTGAGGTGCTAGACCTGAGTACGGAGTAGTGGTGGTAGAGAGCTGACGAGGCTCTCCAAGTCCGAATGTCACCAAAGCCCGCAGCGGTGCAGGAACTCAGGAGCTCGGGAGCTCAGGAGGGAAACTTTGCTGTCAAGGTTTGGGTGATTTGGGTCGACGCTTAGGGACACCCCAATCCGGGCTTCAGCTAAACTGTGTTCTCTCCCTTGGACCTCGCTGAGAGAATTCGGTGTCAGTTGACTGTGATATGCTCCAGCACTCTATACTCGTACAACGTGCCTCGTACCCTGTTCACGGATTGCCCTTTAGTTCCTGGAGAGATGGCAGATTAGTGACGAGCAAGGGCCAAGGCACTCTGGAAGAGTGGGTGGTCTTATTTTGGAATCTCTCCGGGAACGGGCTGGATGGAGACAGTGGCAGGTTCTGGGCGATTTGACAGCATCCTGTGTGGCTGTCCAGTCCCACGTGCGTGGTGATTCACTGGTGAATGCTACTCCATACTCGTACAAAGGTAAGTAAGGTATGGGTGAGAGAGAGAGTGTGTGTGGGTGTTGGGTGATGCCCCTCTCCGTCTGCTTCCCTGCACAGTCACGTGTTTTGGCGTTTCCCGCTTAGCGCCCATTCATCCTCGCTTGCGCTTCCCGTTTGGGTGTTAGTCGGTTTCATCCATTAAAGTTCCTCTATTCATTAACTAAGGAACTTTGGGAGCGTGTCACTGGCATAGCCTCAGTTGTAGCCAATAGTCGTGATAATTAATCGCTGGTGCACGCTGGTGTTGCCCTGAGCGAATTAAGTCCATTTGTGCTTGACTTTTCTTCAGCCTGATTCACCTTCTCTCCAAACCCTTGGTTATTTACGTCCAGCTTTCACCCCGTACTCCTCTCTGATTCGTCGCGCAGAGAGAAATAGCCTACGCCAAGATCCCTGATCACGACATCCAGCCAAGTTTGCATTGCTCTTAGAGAAGATGTTGCTAAAACTGCCTGCAATCACCAAAGGGATCTTCTTCGCTAAGAGAGGAGTGGCCGCTTGTTCGTGAGTACGTGCTACCTGCGGACCCCCGGAGTACAACCGAGGCGAAAGATGAGTCCCAAAGTAAATATTTCTGCTTGCTAGAATTCCTACAGGCGGACTCGGATTGGATATCCTCGCGAGCTACCAGCAGCTAATTCAGAAAGCAAGCCGAGCAGCTCTAAGTTCCCTCCCTCCTGAACTTCACGTCTGTGAGGACCTGATCTCACTTGGATATTCCTCAGCTCACAAAATGCCTCTCCATCCGGCCAGTTAAGCATCAATGCAAGAGCTCCCTCAAGAGAGCTTGGATCCATATATCATCTGTGTCATCACGCAAAGCTGAATCATCGCCTCAAATATTCACTATGAAGGGAGTACCATCAGGCCTAATGAAACGGATGAATGTACCACCCATAACCATCTTCCGGACAATCAGAGCTATAGAGCGAGTTTCCATTTCGTCGTACGACGGGGAACCGCAATCTATTTTAGTGTCATCTTCCTTATGTTCAGACGCACACCATTCGACAGTTCCGACGTCGGCCTAGCCACCATTAAGTATTACTTAGATAGTTGCCAGGTTACTGCTTTCCTATGATAAACAGAAAGCCTTCCCGCAGGGTGCCTTCAACTTCTAACCCTTAGATGCCACAACCGAAGTAGCCATATAGTCCTCCCATTTGGTAAGTACCGATGCTCACAAGAAGATGAACTTCCCGACTTCGACTTTCATAGCCCCCTTTCGAAGGAATTTCCCGTACCTCCGTTGAGAACCCTCTCCATATACATCCGTTCTGAGCGTATTAGATAGCTTCGCGCCCCAGGATGATCTACAATATCTGCTTCGTATCTTATCTCTCGCCCAAGGTATGGCCGACCACCAGCAGGCTGCAAGGGGGCAAGATTGAAAGTGCCCGGGTCCCATATGCTTTTAGAGCTTGTTCGAGATTGGTCGAAGCAAAGAAAAGGCTTTCCGGACCTCACCCTGCGGCTCATTGAACAGCCGATCCCTCATCTGCTTGATAGTGTCGACATGCTCTCTCAAAGCACTCGCCTTTTCTAGAGACCAACGAGGAAGAGTGGCCTTCTCAGCCAACCATGACTTGAACTCAGTATTGCGCAATGCAGATTCAGAAGTCTTTCGACAGTTGGCTAGCAGAGCTCGGATCGGACGCCCAGAGCGATTCGTTCCTGCTCGTCTAGAGCGTAGATATGTTCAATACATACCTGACGAGCTCAAAGCTAATGTGAGCTTCTCACACCTCGGGGCGTCCTATTCGCTGGTCAATCAGGTCTACCACACCGAAAAAGACTCCCCAAGGCACCCACCACGTCCATCCGAAAATCAGCTGCACTACTCCGAGGAGATACTGTGTTTTGAGCGTCCGGAGTGTTCGTTCCGTCGTCCCTGGCTCATGCGGCGGCACGGGTCGAGGCGATCAAGGATCTGTGCATCGGTAGGCAATGCGGGCAACCTTGAGAACACCCACCTGCCAAGAAAGCCTCGTCCATTGCCAATGATGGGTGTGTACCACGAATCCAAGCACTCATAAAGAAGAATCATCTTGTCTGGAGACACTACGAGTATTCAGGATCGAACCCTTAACAAAACAATGCCCCTTGCTTGGTACCGCATCCTCCGTACCTGGTACAGAGTAAAGTTTACACGGCATCTTTACAAGACCGGCGTCAAAGTAGTCGCAACCCGAAGCACCACATTGGGACGCTGCTCCCGGGTTTGCGCGGTGAAGCGAAAGTGGTCTTTTACATAAAATCTTTGGTGGAGATTTTTGGGCGCAAGCATTCTGCGTCCCGAGTCGTTCTCCAGCCTGATCGTTGGAAGTTATGAATCTCGCTAAATATTACCTGGGCGGCGGTGGCCATTTTATTGAATGTCGTTCAGCGGTGCCGAGGAGCCTCATTGCGGCTTTGGTGGCCTTTTTGACTACCCCCTCGCTCCTGTTGAGATTGATTAGCTATGAAGCGGTCCTAATCGAGACACTATCACCACACTATTGGGCGACATATCTCGAAAGAAGCAGACTACTCCCTTGCTAGCTGCGTAAATAAAGGTCTCGAAAGAATGGGAATTAATGACGAAGATCTACTCGTACCGAGCACACTTCTTGTTTAAGCAGTGCAACATCAATCTAGGCAGGCTGATTACCTGGTCGCTCTCTGAGTCGCTTTGCCCGGGTGGACTGAGCCCATGTCTTGCATCTCCGATCAGGTATTCATTCTGGTGTCAGGCCGAGTCACGCGAGCGTTGATTACAGCTCACACAATCTTTCTTCCGAAAATAAGTGTCAAGGGTATACAGGAAAGATGATATTTTCTATATTCCGACGACCTCTTCAAGAACAAGGACTAACCCAGTCCCATCCATGACACAGGGCATGCATATATCCCTAATTTGGATTTAAACGGTATAACGGAAGAAGGTGGCGTTGTCGCCCTTCTCTCTCTCGGCATCTCTGTCTTGTGAAGTGTATTGGTCTGGGGACTTGTATTCGGCATCGCGGCGGGCATTCTCGCGGCGGAGATAGATGGTCATGAAAATTTGGAGGCAGGTGCTCATGGTAATCAGTCCGATCAGGATGGCGTGGCCGGGGGTAAACTTTGGGGAGTCCTTGCTCAAATAGATGAATCCAGAAATAGCACCTCCAAGGTTGCCTGTGACCAGTTTGTCAGTGTATAGACTCGAAGTGAGGGCGAAAAATCGCGGTCCAACTCACCAAAGCCGACGTGCATGGCAATGCCGACACCGCGCTTAACGCTTCCACCGATGTTGTTGCCGTTCCAAGCAACACCCTGGGGGACGTTGGGGTAGATTCCCATGGCGAAGAAGAAACAACCTGCATATTTGACATGAGGGTTTTGCGTAGAGATCAACATAACAAGACCAATGATTGCCACAAGGCTGAAGCCGATCATGAAGATGCCTCGAGTCTTCAGTCTGTCGGCAGCCCAGCCGCCGGTGATACAGCAGAAACAAGCCACGATGTAAGGTGGGACAGTCATCAGTTGGGCGGTATTGTTGGTGTATCCAAGGGTCTTGACAATTGTTGGCAGGAAGAGGGAGTAGGAATATAGAGGAGTGTAGATTCTAGTGACAACATCAGCATCCGAGTCGATAGTTCGAGATCTCAGGCTTACCCGATGGTGATGAACATATGGACCCAGATCTTCCAGTCCTTGACAGCGTGCCAGAAGTATTTCAGATCAAACTCATCTGCAAGGGAGCTGCGGTCGTGTTCAAGACGGCGAGTGACTTCGGTCCTCTCCTCTGGGGTGAGGAATTTGGCGGTGGAGGGATAGTCATGCATCACCCAGAATGCCAAGATTGCTGGAGACGATACTTGTCAGCAACTTTCAAAATAATGAGGTCCTGGAGCCGTTCACGAACCAACGCCGAATGTAATTAGACCCTCCAGGATGAAGATCCAGGCCCAACCGGGCCTGCCCCCAACTCCGTCCATCTCTACAATACCTCGTGCCAACAGACCGCCGAAAGCTCCGGCTGCGGTGGCTGCTGAGAAGAAGATGGCCATTCGGAGACCACATTCATGACGTCGGTACCAGAGTGTGATGTAGTAGGTGACACCTATTCATGTTAGGAGAGGGTTGATATTCGCTTGTCAGAAGGCCTTACCTGGGAACAAACCACCCTCTGCAATACCGAGAGCGGCACGAGCTGCGAGGAGGCCACCGTAGTTGTGCACCAAACCCATTAATGTGGTGCAAACGCCCCATGCGACCATGATTGAGGGAATCCATAGAGAAGGGCGTGTCTTCTTCAACATCAAGTTGGAGATTGGCTCAACGGCGACGTAGAAGGGGAAAAATATGGCAAGTGCAACCTAGCACGTGTGAGCAACTTATTGCTTTGAACAGCCGGAACATGCCGCTTACATTATAATCCAATCCGCTCATGCCGAGGCTCTTCTCAAGGCCGGCAAGACGAGCGTTCCCAATGTTCGTTCGGTCAAGGAACGAAAGCAGGTAGAGCAAAGCCAGGAATGGAAGCAGGACCCAATCGATCTTTCTGATCAACTTCGCCGTGGCCTTCTTATCGTAGCCTATTTCGTGTGAGCTGGTTGAGCCCGACTCTACCATCTCAACATTGTTCTCTTTGGTGGGGTTCTCAATGGGAACCTCAACCTCTGGTGCAGCGCCCATCTTGTGCGATGAAGCGAGAATCAGATGGTATGTGGCCAGTGATCTATGTGATTATGCACGGTGGATCTGTGTCACTCTGGAGGATGCCCTGCGGATGGGATAGTGAAGAGGCGCACGAATTGAGCCAAGATCCAGTGTTGGGAGGCGAATTGGATTGATTGAGATTGATTGAGACGGCAGGTGCGACAGAGTCTCTAATATATAGACGAAATGGTGTCACCTACCTGTGTACTGTTGCACAGTACGGCGGGGGTACAAATCAACACGAATCCATCTTCCCCATGCTCCAGGTTGCTCCAATCATTTGCCCCAGGTCCACTCGAGTATACAGTGTAGCCATGCACCGGTGAGATCCTGGAAGGTGTATATTTCTTCGGCTCAACAAAAAGTTGAGCTAGGTGAGACACGGGGAAATCTCCCCAGCTCGGATGAATGGAGATGGACAGATTCAGAACAATCTGTCTAGCCGATTCCTGGGCGAGTGTTGCCTTCCTTGGGCTCTAACATGGTATGTACTGGATCTCAGACCATGGCATGGACTCAGGATGATCTTGTCAAGAGAGCATCTGAGTGTGTGATGTCGAATGTGACCCTTGCCGCGCCTGGTGGCTTGTTCTTGGCGCAGATGCACTTACCGCTTCTTAACCCGGAGTGGGCACGGAGTGATGAGATTGATGCACAGCAAATCTGTGATGATGGCGCCAGGCTGCGGAATGAATCTATCTGACTAGATGCAGATAACAATCTTATTTTTCAGAACCAAGCCTTCGAGAGAAGAAGGCGTGATGTCGGCCAGGGTTGCACCAGGTACGGAGTATTGGTACATCAGTTGTTCATCTGCCGGTCGGGCAGGCGGAAGCTTGGCCAGACAGGAACAAGGTACTCCGTACTCGTGAGGAACATAAAGCATCACCCGGCACATCTTGGGACATTCGTGTTGCTTGGCCTCGACGCCATGTACCGCCACGTACGGAGAACAAGCTAAATCAGGCTTGACATATGTGAGAAATGTAGTGAGAAAGTCACCCCGCCAAGACATCTCCATACTAGCCCACACCGGAGCTGTCTTGGTATGTGTGCCAAGCCCCCGCTTCGCCAGGGGCGGAATGATTGACCTTTTTACGAAGGTCAGAGTCATTGAACGTGCTTGCTCAGATGAAGACCCGCACTCGGGGCGAAATCGCCTCGACGAACCAGACCCTGTCATTTTCAGGCGGCACGCCTGGGCGTTACACCTGCAAGCCAAAACCTTCAAGAAACGGTTCAATACGAACAACGGGAAGCCTAGAGACCGTAAAGACCTTCTAGAAGAGCACCTACCAGCTGAGGCTCTTGTCTCGCGTACGCCATTGACCAAGATCACTAAGTCGTTGTGCTAATGGTCGATCCATGGTTGAAAGCTTGGAAGGCGCAAGCCAAGCTAAGAAACTTGTTCATGCACAGGTGTCGAATCGAATACGGGTACACCAGGCACAAGAAAGAGTATCAAGATGGGGAAGCCTCTGAATATCAAAGGGTTGACCCCAGGCCTGAATTTGAACAGCTGGGAACAGAATGTCTACGGTGTACTGAGTACGTCTCCTTCCCATCCCTGGGTAAACGCATAATCTGACAACATGGCAATTTTGTCGAACAAGTTCAAATGCCACATGGAGCCGAAAGGCAGGGGTTCATCTACCGAGCGCAGATACCGGGTTTGTGACCAGATTCGTCAAGACAAGAGCTGCAGAATGAATCCATGCGAATGCCAAGTGACATCCACTATCTCAACCAGTATCTACATATGGGTGGCGTGGATCATGCCTTGCAACTATCAAACGTGCTCTGAACAATTATGTCTGAATTGTCCCTAGCATTTCTTGTGCCTAGGGAGGACGGGCTGCGAAACGGTCGAAACACCCAGGTTCTTCCGCCTATTTCCGTCTTCGTTCTCGTTCCATTTTCGCAAGGAGCATATCCGGGCGCACTGTGCCTAGAAGGTGGCTGACACGAGGAGGCAGCCGGCCGGTCCGGTATCCCCGCAAGCTCTCGGCCAGCGTGTATCCCATGCGTCCGAGTACAGTTTGGCCCCGAAAAGACTTCGCCTAGAAGCTATTTCGAAAATTCCACGAGGTCGATGTCCAACTCTGGATTCACGTCGCAATTCGAACAAAAGTCCTTGCATCTGATAAGCGTCGTGTGCTGCCATTCATTGGTGCTGTATTACCGCTTGCGGCCTGATACTGCACCATCCTCCAATCTGGTTCGGTTTGCGGCATTGCACGGAATCTTGCACGGAAGACTCCCACAATCTTCAACGTCTCCCCTGTCAACACTCAATAACAGTATTTGTACGAACTACCAACTAGTGCAGAATGGGTGCTCTGCCCTGGAAGCATCAGAAACTCTATGTCAACATTGACAATACACCAACCCGTACCAGGTAAGTTTTGACAGAAGGAACATGGCATTAATCTGCCCTCATATCTAGGACAATGTTCATCTCATGTCATGTTTCAAATTACGGCATGTGCATCGGGGTTCGGGAACCAGCTCCAGTATGGAGCCATCAGGCCCAGATAAATCACTACGGAGTGCGGAGTACGGGGACTCATTGGGGGTTGTGAAATGGAAGCAGCTACCAGATCTACGATTCTCGCCTCTCAACAGATTTCTAATAAGCAGGGGTTGCTTCAGGCGGGACTGAGCGGTCAGACCACATGACTATGTCCTGCAATATTCGAGTGGACCATGATTTCTTGACGAGGCCTGTATGTCTCAAAGTTGCGAGCCATGCGGTTGAGTATCATCATCGCAAGCCGCTGCTCGTGAATTCTGGCATGATACTTATCCGTGTGCTGGCATGAACACGAACATCTGATTCATGTCCTTACTTACTTCCTTCTCGCTTCGCGTGAATGCACTAACATTGGTATCTCGTATGAACGATGAAGAATGTAGAAGAGAGCGTATTCGGCCCGGCATACCACCTCTACTTCCATTTTCCTCTCTCCCCAAGAACCACTTTGCCACCCCAGAGTCCCAGGCTCCAGCTCACAGCTCAAGATGCATGTAACTGGCAACGGTACAGCGTCCTGATCCTCTCTTTTTTCTTTCTTTCTTTCTTTCTTCCTTCGGAGCGAGAGGCCGCTTGCGACGACCTCCCCATGACATTGGGACAAGCATGTTCTCAATTTCTCCCACCCACATGGACACGTCTATGGAACGAATGCTTTTATTTTCGATATCTCCCTAGACGCAGACCGTATATTGGCCTCCATGTCAAAGTGAAGTATGAGTGCAGCGCCTCCCCTCATCGAATCCAAGGCACGCACATTGTTTGAAATCTGGGCTAGTCTTCAGGACTATTGACTCTTACTGAATGCACCTTGAGTTCCCCAGCTTTTCACCCGCAAATGACAATCCAACTCCACAGAATCATTCATGTGACTCGTCGATGTCGCTCAACTACAGTGGGCGCGGGCACCGACACAAATAGATAGTCCCCTACCCCAAATTACCCTCGAACTTGCTCGGACTCAACTGCCGGAGGCTCAAAATCATCCTCAAATCCATGCTACAGCAAGCAGCAAAAAGTGGTCGTGAAGACCCAGCAGTTGGGCCGACTGAATCTGGGCATGATCGACTCCGTCTTTGTCATCACTCCCGGCAAAACCTTCGTGAATCTTGGTGATTCCGGGTGATCTTGTTCACGCTTGTTGCGACTTGTAAGCAGGGTAGACGACATGGCCCATTAAGATCCGCTCTACGATCGAAGCCTACTGTACTCCTCCCAGCGACATGCATGTTGCGTCAGCGCTTTCCCTATTACAGCTTTCCCCCGCGAAGACTTCATCTCAACCGGGTGAATGCTTTCTGAGAATTTAGCCGGATGGTGGGATTCAGACAGGGTATCTAATTGAACAAAGGCCAAGTGATCTATGACCCATACGAACGGGGGAGAGCTTGCGGACGCAGAGTACGCAGGAGGAATAGTCAAAAGCCATCACAAGCAATCCCAAAGTCAGTTTCTGTCGTTTTGCTAATCAACAAGCCTTTGGCCTACTGCAAGCTGACCGGTCTTCATCTGTGTTGATTTCGCGAGCCCCGAGCAAAACGAGATACATACATACCTACGTACTGTACCAAATATGATACCAATCAAAGTCGGGATCATAGGATACGGATTCTCGACCAAATGTTTCCATGTGCCCTTCATATGTGCCCATCCTGACTTGCAGGTCGTCTCGTTCGTCCAGCGATCAGAGGCACCCGCCGACCAAGCCTCTGCTAAGCCCGGCACGCACTGCACCGTGGATCACCCGGGTACTAGGCACTATCGGACGACGGACGAGCTGTTCATGGATAGTGATGTAGAGCTCGTCATCGTGTGCAGTCATACAGATACCCACGCGTCTTTTGCTGAGCAGGCTTTGCTTGCAGGAAAACATGGTCGCTCTTTCACCCTATACATAACATGGAAATCGCAAGTCCAAGGCGCTAACTGCGCTATATAGTTGTCGTCGAGAAGCCGTTTACCAGGACAACCAAAGAAGCAGACAGATTGATATCTCTTGCGCACGAAAAGGGCCTAATCTTGACCGTCTTTCAAAATCGCAGATGGGTACGCAAAGCTTCCCTTCTTCATAGTTCACCCTGCTTCTTCTTCATACTGGCAGATTTTCCAAAAAGCCGACTCTCTCTTATATGCTATTTTAGGACGGAGACTTTCGAACCCTTCAGGACCTGGTTGGAAAAGATGCTCTGGGCACGATCAAAGAAGCCGAGATACACTATGATATCGACAACCCACCTTGGGTTGCACGTATGACCAGCAAAGAATACTCTCCCGGGCAAGGCATGGCTTTTGGTCTCGGTAAGTCAGAAGCCTATAGCAGTATATGGTATATCCAATCCATGAGAATGCCTGCGTGCATGGAGTGACAAGCTCGCTGCTCTAACCAGTCCGGCTAACATCGGTGGGTGAAAACAGGAAGCCATACGATCGACCAGGCACTCGTTCTTTTCGGACGGCCAAAGTCAGTGACCGGCTTCTTCCGAGCCCTGCGCGGTGTGGAGAGTGAAATTGACGATACCTTCACAATCATTCTCCAGTACGATCCTCCCCAGCAAGATCTGCTGGTGACTATCAAAACCAATATTGTCTCGCCGATGCCCGATCAGCTCAAGTATTTCATTCGTGGCACAAAAGGTACATTTGTCAAGGTCAGTCCGGTCCAGAGTGAAGACTAACTATGTTCGAAACTCTCATCCGCACAAACGCCCTTGGACACCATAACCCCTTTCTCTATCCTTCAGCCTTCCCCTCCACGGACATTTTAGTTGATAAACACATTTGGCTAAAACCCTTTCACCCCCATCTAGCACGGAACCTGTGCACAAGAGCAACAAATCTTCTCCGGGGCGACGCCTGGCTCCCCGGGCTTTGGAGACGAACCAGAGCATCTCTACGGGCAACTGACCAGCCGGACAGACCCCAGCAATCTACTACCAAAAGAGCACACTACCACCACCACCACCACCACCACCACAACAACAACGCCAGTAACATACGACGCTCCATCAGACATATACAGCGCCCGCTACCCGACCGTACCCGGTCGCTGGCTGGGGTTCTACGAGAGCGTCGTGGACGCGATCCGCAGGCGAGCGCCGCTCGCGGTCAAGCCAGAGGAGTCGCGGGACGGGATCCGTGTCATTGAGCTCGCGAGGGAGAGTCATCTGGCGGGTGCCACGGTTGCATGGTCTTGATGCGCTGACCAGTTAGGCAGTGTGCAAGGCTGCATCATAAAGGGGCCAGGGCAGCGCAGGGCAGGGCCAAGTGATGAAAGAGGCAAGAAAGAAGGGGAGGAGAGGTTTTCGTCCAGACCAGGCTCAAGCTCAGGCTGTGTCTACAACAAAAATGAATACATACGGAGAAATGCGGAAAAGGCCATCCGTTGCTGTTTTGGAGTCTACTTGAACAGTATCTCTCTCCTCGCCCCGCCCCTTTGCCCCCCACCCACTCCCCAGAGGATCACCTACATCAGGTCCTTTGCCTTCTTCGGAAGCCGTGGTGGCGAAGCGAGTGCCATCAGAAGGGATGGAGGAATAATAGAACACAAAATTGGAAAAAGTATTGCTTTAATATGTATATCTTCAGCTCCACCCATAACCGTGCCGTTTCGTCCTTATGCCTCTTGTCCCCGTTTTCGGGTTCATGTTCATTCACGCCAAGTTCAGAGCCATAAGCATAAACCCGTTAGTGGACAACGGGTGTATAATGATAGCCCACTTGTTGTAGCCGGTACTAATCCACCTTTCCCAATGATGGCGACCAAAATTTCCCCAACCATCAAAATCCAACTTCTCGAAAACAACAAGCATAATTACGCAATGTATGACTATCAACCAATTTTCCACAACTCCCACCCCGGACCAGTTCCTCCGGTAGACCAGCAAACCATTTCGGCTCGCAGAAAGTCGAAGCGGATTCCATCCCCAACAGTATAGCAAAGCACAACAAGACCAAGAACGCCATGCTTGCCAAAGCATGTCAATCAGCCACAACGGCCCCGACCGACATTCATGCCCGCTCAAGCAAAACCAGACCAGATGTAAATATGAGGCATCAGCCCCGTTTTGTAGCAGGAGAGAAGCAACAAGTCGTCCAGAATCCTGTAAGAATGATCTTGCTCCTCCCCAGCCGAGCGACCGCTTATGCCAAAAAGTCCGAGCTCCAAGATCCTCTGCTAAGCCACTTTTTTATGTTCACAACGACCCATGTACCGCTCATTGCCTTGCGCGGAGACATGAAAGACTGAACAGTCAGCCATAAACGAATGAAACCAGTGAGAAGCGATGCCCCCCCTTTGAACGCTATGCAAGAGCATCAAATAGACAGCAACATGCATAACAAATCCCCCGATCCTCACCCCCAGTACCACGCAGTGCACTGTACACCGAAGATATGCTGGAACGGTAACACAACTCCATGCATATGAAAGGCATCATACTCTGTTCATTTCTTCGTTAATCATTCAACCCCATACCGAGGTCGTGCCAATCTTGTTGTTGCCCCAGACTCCGCTTCCGGTGCCCCATGCGCCCATTCCTGAACCCGAGGAAGACTCTTTTGGAGCATTCGAATTCGAGTTTGACGACGGGGCTCGATCGCTGATCTGCTCGTTGTTTGCGAAATTGTAGCTCAGCGAAGACGGAAGGGGGGAAGTCGTACGCTTGTTGAGGGACTGATTAGGTGCTCCCTGCGCGTTTGGGCGGGACCCAATTGGTCCCATGCCCCCAGATATAGGAGCAGTCGTTGATTTAGAGATCTGTCTAGAATGGGAGATTTCTTCCCCGGAGGTTGGACTAGCCGATTTACCACTCGAGGACTGAATTGGGGCATCAAAAGACCCAAACCCTGGAGCAGCTGGGCCTGACGGAGAGTTAGCTTTTTCAGTCCTGGAAGTGTCTTGACCGGAAACAGTGTTTTGCTCATTCTGCGAAGTCTGGCCAGGAACATTGAAAGGGTCGGCTGATCTTGGAGAGGCTCCGTGAGCAGTCGATGGCGCATTATTCGGAACCGTGCCAGGCTGGTCCCGAGTGCCCACGTCCTCAATACCATAAGGAGTCTGCCCCACAAACGCGGCGCCTTCGCCTCCGTAAAGTGCACGATGCTGGCGTGCAATCAAGTCGCGGCGGCCTTCCTCACTCAGAGTGCTAGGGCTCATCGATCGATCCGACTTATTGGATGACATTTCAGCTAAAACACCTGGTGTAAGCTTAGTAATGCATACAGATAGGATACACACAAGTAATCTCACTTCGATTGTATTGTTGTTCTTGGTGATAGTTCCGCAGCTCTCGCTCCCGTTGAGCTGCCATCCTCCGCTTTGCTTGTAGCATATGATCGGCATCATTGTGTCTTCCTTGATGGCGCTGAGAAGCGTAAAAGTTCTGTAGATTAGAGCCGGAATGAGGACGGCTGGGGTCGAAATCGCCGACGGACTGTCGGCCGTGATGCGCCCGGTGTGCTGCACGTGATTAGAAATGACTATTTGCATTCGAATTGGATGATCGTACCATAGTCATTACCAGGCCGGTAAGCTGAGTTTGGGCCCTGTCGTGGCGCTGGTGAATAAAATTTCCCACTCTTCAAGAGATTATCAATTGCCCGGTCCACCTCTGTAAGATAATTAATCTGAGGTCTTCGATATTGGAGGAAGATATCACACCTTCGTATTGAATGGAAAAGGCAGTAGTATCTTCTCTCTGGGAGGTGGAGCTGGCGCCTACCAAGTTGTCAGTAACGAGAGCAAGGCGGATGAGTACGGGAGGCAGCTACCTGATCTCGACGGTGGCGGTGGTTGCTCCCAGGACGCCTGGCGCACAGGCGCCTGCCACGCCTGCGGTTCGTAGTAGGACATGGTGCCCCAGCGATGGGTGAGAGATGATGTGTATTTCTGATTGAGGACGAGAAGGTCGAGGTTCGAAATCCACGGCAGGGCGCGACTTCTGGCAGTCAGACCTGTGGTGATGGGAACAAGAGATAAGCGGATGTGCCCTAGGAGATAGAGGATGTAATTGAAGCGATGTAAAAAGGCAAGGGCACCATGGGAGAGGAAATGTAATGCAGGCAAATAGAAATAGAAGAAAGAGGGGATCTCTCTGGAGTCGTTTGGTGTGTCTGGTGCGAGGTTTTAGGTGGGGAGAAAGCCATTTTTCATGAGGATCGGCCACCCATGGGCCAATGGATTGGACAGAGGGATGGCTGAAATTGCCCGAGGCACGACCGGGAAAAGAGGCGACAGACTTACGAACGGGAACCAGGAACTGGAATCGATCGATCGATCGATAGGTAGGCAAGCAAATTACAAGCTGGAACTGGATGCCTGCACAAGGCGAGTGTTGTGTTCGGGCGACACAAGCACAAGGGCAAGGGCACTGCGTCGAGAACGAGGAACAGGGACAAGAACAGAAGCAAGAACAGAAGCAGATGGGGAGGAAGAAGCGAGGCGAGGCAGAAGAAGACGAGAAAGAGGAAAAATGGATCAAATGTCAAGCGATAATGGTGCCGATGGTGGTTAGTAGTGGTGGTAGCAGTGGTGGTGCTACTGCTACTCCAAATGTGCTAACCTCTACCTCGTAAGTGCCAACCCAAAACCAAACCCAACAGGGTGGTGGAGAAGGTGGGAGAAAAGAAATTTGAGCAGAATGGAAATGGAGAGAGAGAGGATGGTTCGTGGCTCGTGGCTCGTGGCTTTAGCCAGAGGCCCAGAGGCCCAGAGGCCCAGAGGCCCAGAGGCCCAGAGGGATGAGGGGACTCAGGGCCCAAGGGAGATGCCGAAGACCACAGCCAAGGCACCCAAACGCTTCGGGAGGACGTGGTTCTAGGTGCGGGCAAGTTCGGCTCATGTTTAAGCCCAAGCCGAAGCCCCAGAGGCCCTGACCCTCGCCAAAGTGCTTCAGAGCCTCCTGCCCTTTTTCTCATCCCGCCGCCCCGGTTGCATTTCAAAAAGGACCTGTCCATGACTTCCCAAGTTCCCACGCAGCCTGGACTCGGACAAGGCCCTTTCGGATTTCCTTAGGCCGCAAATGAAGCTAGAAAATGAAAGGAACAGACACCCAATAATTTCTTACCCACATGGCTGCTTTGCTAACCTCTATCGGCTAGTGAGTTGGCCCTGGTGGTCGCCGCGACGTACGAGTCCGAGTATGTACGAGTATGTGCGAGTTGTTCGGTATTAGATATGGGAAGGAGACTGTACTCTGTACGTTTCGGTCAAGTTGCCTGACAACTAACTAGGGTCGTAATGATCCTGATCACTGCATAAGGTAACTAGTTAGTTACCTAGGATAGTTAGAATGTTCGGTAGTGTCAGAACAGACTGAGGCATGGTGGATGGGGTATCTAATGCACAATACAGTAGAGTACTCGCAGGAATACTCAGTGCATTGTACGTCGGACCACATGGATTACCTAGGCAGGGTTACGAGCAAATCTCCTTATCCATTTAAACGGTCGGAAGCACGGCACCCACACGGAATATGCGAGAAATGATAAATTGACTTGGGTTATAAGCAGATGATCCACTTTGTTAATAGTTTCTTTGGGGAGATGAATAGACATCTCACAATCTGCTGCCTCCATCGAGAACCCGCGCCCCCAATCGCCTGTGGGCTTGTCGTAGTCGCGTACGGAGTACTCAATAAAAATACCGAAAATAAGTGTATATAGTAAGGTCAAATGACGGCTGGGTCGAGATTTACCAGGGCATTCCATGTACAACACGTTGCCCGTGCATTGTCCTCTGGGTTAGGGCGGGGCGATACAGTTCAATGATCTGCGTTGCGAATCTTTTCTTGAGACCGAGGTAACAGATACTCATCAGCAGTTGGCTGATTCCTCATTTACAAGCTGTCTGAAGAGGTATTCATTGGTCGGCGCCTCGTTTCGACATTGTGTTGTCTAAAGATTGCGCGACATATCGTTGCAGTACCGCGTACCAAGGACCCCATGCAATCGTGCGCCTCTTTTACAGCAACTGAGCCACTCTGTACTCCATATTGCTACCTACCTAGGTAGACATTGTTTCGCATGTCACTCTTGCACATATGACGCAACAATCGAGTCCATCCCAGAAGTCCATCACCAGTGGAGGTCTCCACATCCGGATCCTCGCAATATATACGAGTCAGTTGGTGAGTCTCGTAGGATGGAGGAGAGGTCTGAGAGGATCTGAGAGTCCAGCCACACCGTCATGGGTGTCTAGGTCCTTGGTAAGCAGGTCAACCTCCTCGTTGACTCGCCCGGGGCGCGTATTCCGATAATGAATGTTCCGTATATAAGATAGAATTTTGCCACTCGCAATTCCCAGTCCTTGCGGGGTTCTCTTGACCTTTAATTAGGCAAAGTACGGAGTACTCCGTACTATAGTCGACAAGAACATCTTCTGCCCCGCAAATTGCGGGAAATTGGGTGCATGGGCTGGGATCGAAATAGTAGTAATACCACTAGGGAAGCACTCCACTCCATAAACGCCCTTGGTAAATGAGAAGTTGCCTTATACAATCACTTTTCGTCCTCCGTGCTCCGAGCCCTGTGCATTGTAGGTGTGAGTCCTGAAACTCGGCTCGGAAAGCTGTACAAGTACTCGTATGGCCATTACGCGTGAGTGTGACGTTCATTTGAATCGTCCATTCAATCAGAATGAGCTGATTGGTGGAACTTTAATTAGTTCAAAATCACGGTGCTGAAATTACTGATTTCGCACATCCCCTCCCAATTGGTGCTGAAGGTAAAGGGGGTCAAAGATTGGTACATACGAGTATGCCAGACTGAGGCGAGGAAACAGGCCCGTTTCAAAAGCCCGTGAGTCAGCCGAGCACTATAATTGGCAACAGGTGTCTCTCAAGTAGTGTCGAAACCACCCATGTAGTTGATACATAGTTTTACGAGTAAGATGAGGTAATGAAGATAATGTGATGGTCTTTCGTTGCGATGGCTGAGCAGGTTCATGGCGGAGAGACAGACTGCACGTGTGATACTTGAAGATGCTGACACTCATACCCACGTGCCTATCCTGGCCTGAATCTAGAAGTTTGACAGGACAATGTCACAGTTGTGCATCGTGATGGGCACGGATGCAGAAGGTATTAGTTCTCGGGGTTGATTATCATTGATTTCTGTCCTCCATACGGAGTAACTGTCAAGATTTTTCTTCTGACAAGTGGGCGCGACTTCACAGTAGCGTGCACCTGGAGCCGAGCTAATTAGGACTAATTAGGAGGGGCACGTGTTGGGCGTTGGGGGCGGAAAGACACGGTCAAGGAAATTAACGCGATTAGGCGGGAGATATTTACACGTCGTGACAACAATAATGGAATAAAAAGTTTGTAGCAGGACACGCATTGCTCGGTCCTCCGTAGCTGAAGCATGGAATAACAAAGCCAGGCTTAGGCCATCATCCAATTGTGGATGACGGAGTGTGTCTCTCCCAGCATTTAAGCACTACTTAAATGCTCCGTATGTCGGCGCAGTATTTATTCTAGGACATGAGAGGCGTCGAGGATCACGAAGGCTGTGAGCAGTGGGCGGTGGACATATACCAGGCAATCGACTGCGGATGAAACACCTTCGGGGCGGCCCATCAGTAAGGAAGATGGGCATTGCCCGGTCTTTGTTGGAGAGCATAAGCCCGGGCAATGGAGGGGCAGCTCCAATCTGACGGTGCAGGACAATAATACAGACCAGGTAATTAAGAAGGAAAGGGCATAGAAACCAGGGGACAGGAAATAATAAACTGGGAATGCATGATACTGATCACAGACTCACCGTCCAAGCCTCACTGCTTGGTTGCAGTGAGATGCCTAGCCGGGTCCAGGAGTCAGGAGCCAGGTCACAGGTTCCAGGTACAGGTGCGATTTCTACTAAGAGGCCTGGGTATCTCCTAGTAGAAGGACCTCGTGAATTAATCGGTATAGAGCCAGAAATCCCTCGTAGTTTCAGTTGGCTTGTCCTACACACCTACCCATCAGCCCAGGAAGCACTCCGCACTCCGTGTTCTGGGTTAGCATTTGAATTTGAAAGGACAGGGCAAATCAAGGTCCCAGATCAGTTACAACTGCATCTTGGCACCCGCTGGCTCCAGAGTCCGCTCAAGCTGCAACTTGCGGGTTGCAATTGCAGATACTCCGTACGGATACCTCGTACAGTTGCAGTGGCACTTGGGGGTGCGGGTTAAGCCCTAGGAGAGCAGATTGAGTTCGAGGGCAGGTGCGGCAAGCAAACAGCCTCTAACCCCAAACCACCAGCGTCGCTGTTCACAGTGCAGGTGCAATCCTAATTAATCTGCATCCTCACTTTCTACGCGCTACAGGCAGCACCTGCACTTGCACTTTCACTTGCACAGCAGCAGTTAGGAACCAGAACCAAACCCAGAACCACTGGCACAGGTCCAGGCACAGGCACAGGCACAGGCACAAGACTCCACCCTCCACCCTCCACGACCCATCGGGCCATCACCACTCTAGGACTACCACCACTACCACTACCGCTACCACTGCTACCAACACCACCGACCGACTCCTGCTCTTGCACCCTTTCAACTTGCACCGCAACGGGCTACCTTTATATCCTCCTCCTTCTTACAACCCCGTCTATCTTGCCATCAACCTCGTTCCCTTCTCTTCATCCCTTCCTCCACACGCGTCTAGAATCCCTATACTGCTTTTTCAGGCATCCTCATATTCCTGTATACCACCAACTGCGCTATTCTCCCTCGAACTCCCCGGATCGAGTCCAATTTCGACAGCCTCAGCCCAACGACACTCCTCATTCCTCCCTGCGAATTGTTCTTGCATCTCTGCACTCTCCCTTTCGCTAGCCTCAAGTTCGAGAACCGAAATACGCCTTCTGCGCTTCCTAACCTTCTTTTGTCCCACATCATCTCCTCGTCGGCCTCAACGGGCTTACTCAGACCGTACAAACCTCTGCGTTCCCCCTGTCTGACCTGGTCCTACCGGTATCTCTTGGGGAATCTCAACATATCTTGCTGTGATCGTTGCTCGACAGTCTGCGTCCTCACAGCCGCGTTCTTCTCCCCTACACTGCAAAAATTTGCCACCAGACATTCCCATTCACCAACTTCCCGAAATCCGCTATCAGGGTCGTTCTGATATCAGCGCGTTTGGACACTAGGGCAGTGGGCCACGAGGTGCCCTGGTGATTTCGATCCCAAGTCATTGACAGAAAATTGGTTAGAAGCGTCGCTACAACTTCGAGTGCTGCATCTTCCGAGCAGTCTTATGACTCGCCCGCCGTCAGACAATGATGGACAGTCTGCCTCTTCAACGATGACCCTACCATCTTCAGTACTCCCGTCATCCAAGATGGGGACGGCTCCTGGTAGCATCCAGCGTGCCGCACCTGCACCAATCACACAGTCCAAATCTATGCCATCTACTCCCTTTCAACGTCCACAATCCCGTTCAGACCTCAGAAATTCTCCTTCCCCAGATCCTACCACAAAGCAGGGCTCTCCTCGTTCACAGCCCTCGGACAGGAGTCACACCCCACCTACCATCAGAAAACATTATGGAGGATGCAAGTATGAAACGGGTATGGCAAGGGCGAGACGGCGGGTTCCCTATTCACTTGGACCAGACCCCTTGGAGAAGGACAAGGGACAATTGAAATCCCAACTAACCCCAGATGAAGATGAGAAGTTGACCAAACACATGAATCAACTTTACCAAGATTTACAGCCAACTCCAGAAAGCGAAGAACGCCGGTCGAATTTTATCGAGAAACTGAAACGCATCCTCCTAGCAAGGTGGCCGAATTCTTCGATCACCGTCAATGTATTTGGTTCAACAGGGAACAACCTGGGCACTTCGGACTCTGATGTTGACATTTGTATCACCACTGACTGTAAAGAGATGGAACATGTCTGCTCAATCGCCGAGCTGCTCGCAAGCAACGGGATGGAAAGAGTTGTCTGTGTATCGAGCGCAAAAGTACCCATTGTCAAGATCTGGGACCCAGAACTTCAGGTCGCTTGCGATATCAACGTCAACAACCCGCTGGCATTGGAAAACACCGAAATGGTCCGCGCTTACGTCGCCATTGATAGCCGCGTTCGACCTTTAGCAATGATCATAAAATACTGGGCCAAGCGCAGAATATTGAACGATGCTGGTAAGTCATGTCCAAACCCAAAATTGGACAAGTTATACTGATTTCTCTCCAAAGCCCTTGGTGGTACCCTCAGCTCTTACACATGGATCTGTCTGGCCTTGAACTTCTTGCAAACTCGTGAACCTCCGGTCTTGCCCGCTTTGCAGCAAGCTGCGGGTCTGGAACCGAAATTTCTTGCCGGAGTGAACGTGTCTTTTGATCGACACACCGAGAAATACAAGGATTTCGGTGCGCAGAACAAGGCGTCTTTGGGCGAGTTACTGTTTCATTTTTTCCGGTACTATGGTCATGAGCTGGACTTTGAGCAAAATGTTGTGTCTTTACGCTTGGGAAAGGTGCTACCAAAGGTGGAAAAGTCGTGGCACCTCTTGCAAGACAATCGACTTTGTGTGGAAGAGCCGTTCAATATTTCACGAAATCTAGCCAACACAGCTGATGACACCTCCATGCGTGGAATTCATCTCGAGCTGCGGCGTGCCTTCGAGCTACTTGGACAGGGGAAGCTCAAGGAGTCCTGTGATCAGTTTGTCCACGCCCCTGAAGAGATCAAACCTTCCGATATATTCGTCCCTCCCTCATCTCGCCCTGTAATTCCTCAGGCACCTACACAACCGTCACGCGGAGGTCGAAATGGCGGACGAGGGGGAAGGCATGCAAATCATGCGAACCGGAGCGTTAATGGGAGGAGATCTTCCAATCCTTCTGGACGTACCTCTACATACCTACGCAATTTGCCATTTCAAATGACCACGCAGGAGCTGCAGCTTCAACAGCAACATCAACAACATCTGCTGCATGATCAGTTGTTTCAGCAATACCAGTATCTACAGCTTCAAGAACAGGAGCTGAGGATGCAGCTCCATCAGCAGAATCTTCGCCAACGAGGCCTCCTTGCCTCAGGGTACGGCCAAGCTCCTGGATATTCATCATTTTCCACCCACGAAGAAGGGTCTGATACGAACTCGAGTAATCAGATGAACGGCGTCGGCCGCGCGCCTTTATCAGCACCACTGTACCAACAGCGTTTCGCTCCCCAATCGCCTTACCTCATGGCATCTCATTCAGCTCAAGGGGTCGCTACAGATCCACCGTCTCCTCGCATCAATACGATGTATCCTGACAACAGACGGTTTTCTCGCCGTACTTCCTTGACCCAGTCCGCCACAGGCGGATCTCTGCGAGCTCATTCACAGCCAGCTCGAGCGATACCAATCCCCTCCCTCCAGCACCTTCAGTCGAGACCTGAGATGCCTGGATTTCATGATCCCTTAATGGGGCGCAGGTCGTCTGCCTCATCTACCTCTCATGAGCACTTTGTTGGGGGTACAGAAAATGCCTTTGGTCTATCTGGGGCAATGTACGACCCTGGACGCCGACCAGCAGAATATCTTGGATATTATGTTGGGCAATCTCCTTCTTTGTCTGCTTACACCCAGAGTACGACCATATCGCCCATTCCGTCACATGTTGGCCTTGCCATCCAGAATGGTGGATTGTCGCCTCGTCTCGCAGCAGCAGCGATGCGACCTTCCGGGACCTCACAAGGACCTCCACCGCAGCCAGCCACCATTGAGACCGTGCATGCATCGGAAATGGATGCGAAAGCCAGCCAAGGTGAGCGACCAGCTGTGGAAAGTGAGAGACCGAGGACAGGACCTTTAGTAGTCGATGGATCGATGAATTCGCCACGTAGAAGGCGGACGACTCGGCCGACGCAAGATCTCGACGAGCACATGAATCTCAGCGCTTCAACGTCTGAGGACTTTGCTTTCGACACACCCTCAAGCTCTGATGAAAACTCCCAGGACGCCCTTGATTTTGCGACACGGGAGAAAAGCCCATCCAACAGCCCCAGGACAGATCATCACAAGACAGGTCACAGCCTAGGCTCGAGAGAACTTTTGAATGGCAACCTACCTTTACGGAACTCGGCGAAGCTTGCGGAGGATAGCCAGAACGGTGCTCCTAGAAGTGAATCAAGCGGAATCACAAGTATTGGTATTTCAAGGAAATCCGCTAGTGGAGCGTGGCCATTAGACCGTCAACTCTCCTCGGTGGAGGAAGTTCGGACACCTTCGCCTCGAGTGGAGGGTTATCGATCAACGAGCAGTTCGCCCGTAATGACGACCAAGTCTGGATCGCCTCTGCTTAATGGCGAGGGCGCTATGCAGGTACAAGAGAAGGCGTTGGGCCTGAGAACCAATGGCACCTTTCCCACATCGGCACTCGCGTCGAACCCTGGGAACATCGTCAATTCAAATAATGCATGGCAAACTCAGAAGAAAAAGAAGAAGAATAAAAAGGCCGTCAAATCTGACACTGATGCTCAAGGACTCAATACCTCTGGTGGAGAAACCCTACCAGCCGATGAGTCCCTACGTAAAGGTGGCTAGGGGCTCCTTTGTGGATGTTCATAGCCTAAATCAGAGGCACACGGAAATTCGAGGATATGAAATCCTGCTCGAGGCGAACCTCTTGTGGAGTCAGCACAGAGAGAACTAAATATCAACAGCAAGCATCTAGTGGGTTATGTTTTTTTTGGGATATGGAGGCACCAAAATTGTTTGGCGTTTGTCAATCTAGCGCAAGCACAGGCTGCTGTGGGGCAAGGCGCATCAGCGTGGAAAGAAATTGTGGCTTTGTCTCTCTGGCAGCATTCGCAGACTGATTCGCATGGGAGAGACTTCAGATACAGGAATTTTCCGAAGGAGTTCTGTGGCAAGCGGGCCAGAGTAACGACTCGATGGCCCGAAAAGCATTTGACGAGGATGTCGATGACGCTAAGATTTCCGAGTAACTGTGCCCAGTTGGAAGTGATTGGGCCAAAGGGAACTAGAGAAGCCATCAGGTCATGAGAAGGAGTCTATTTTGTTCTCGCTGCGGCGATATGGAAAAGAAGGGGTCACAAATCCAAGGTGTGCGTGGGCGAGTCGACTGCAAACAAAAGAAATACAAGGTCAAAAACAGAGGAAGATCGGGGATGAGGAGAGGCAGAAGAGCAGCACAGCAGACTAACAAGAATGTGACCATTATTGTTAAACTATTCCTTACGCTTGTGGTAAAGATTTGGGACAAGGCTGAGTGCCTTTGGTCTCGTCGATGTAAACGGAGGACCACTGGCCCCTGAAAACCTCATACGAGTAGTGCTCCCTCTAGGATAGGTGAGGGGGTCGGGTCGGAATAATATTCCACCACTCACTACCACCAGAAGCTGGTGCCACTCGGGATCTGAAAATCTGGATCGTTCCTGCATGTGCAAATGGCCTGACCAAACCCAGCAACAGGGGCCTCCGTGGGACCGTGACGGCTGCTCAATCACACTTCCTATTCGTCCATGACAAATCTTGGGGGGCCGCTAGTCCCATTAGCATTCACTGGATTCATCAACTCAATCGCGCGTTCCTACCGAGTGTAGCAGTACTCGGTGCTTCAGAATATTATTACTGTACATACCACTGCGGCGATCTACATACATCATTACAATTACTACGGAGTATATTCTGAATAATCAGATAACCACCACCACATCTGGGTGACATCCTCTACTCCATCTTCTCCACCACTTCTCTGTCATACCACATCTCAGACCACGCTTGTCCGTTGTCCGCCCTCTCAATTCTTTTTATCTACCATCAATTCCTCTACCTCTCCCTCTTCCCAAGGAGGCTTTGACCGCGCATGCCTACACGTTAATACACTTTTCTCCTTGCACCCATCTCGGCAATGCCACTCATCCTTGACTCATCCTCCGAATCCTCTGTTGAGCCAACTGTAGATCCACAGGAACATCGAAGGAGAGTTCATCATGATGCCGATGTTCTTATTATCGGCGCTGGAGTCCTTGGTTGTGCCCTTGCGGTCGCGCTAGGAAACCAAGGCCGCAGCGTCATATTATTAGAGAGATCCTTAAAAGAGCCAGACCGTATCGTTGGTGAACTACTGCAACCCGGAGGTGTTGAGGCCTTGGCCAAACTGGGCTTGCGCCATACCCTCGACGACATTGATGCCATCCCCGTTACTGGCTATACTGTTTTATTTTACGACGAGAACGTTCGCATCCCGTATCCTGCCAACACCACGGGAGACCTATTCGCAGATCCGGCCAAAGAGAAGTTGAAACCACACAGAAGGCCTGAGGGACGAGCATTCCACCACGGTCGCTTCATATCCAAGCTACGTGCCGCTGCCCTCGCACATCCAAACGTCACGGTCTTCGAAACCGAGGCTACAAGTTTGATTTCCTCTACCTATACTTCACAAATCCTTGGTGTCCATGCTATGACTCGGAAAACCCAGAAAGACTTCTTCTTTGCGTCGTTGACCGTGGCTTGCGATGGGTACGCGTCCAAGTTTCGAAAACCATATCATCATATCGCACCACAGGTCAAATCTAAATTTTGGGGACTGGAGCTGATTGATTGCCCTCTCCCCACTCCGCAAAATGGAATCGTCTGCCTGGGTAATAATGCACCAGTCTTGCTGTATCAAATCGGAACACACGAGACCAGAGCGTTAGTTGATATCCCAGATGGATTGGACACAACATCTACGGCCCATGGGGGAGTAAAAGGCCATCTACAAAAGGTTGTACTCCCCTCGCTCCCGGAGCAGGTTCAACCCTCATTCCAAGCTGCCCTAGAGAGTGGTCCCATTCGAAGCATGCCAAATTCTTTACTTCCCGCAACAACAAATAAGACTCCCGGCTTCGCAATCCTCGGTGACGCTTTAAACATGCGCCATCCACTCACAGGGGGCGGCATGACCGTGGCCCTGAATGATGTGGTCGTTATCTCCGACTTACTCTCTCCGCAACAAGTTCCAGACCTCGCCCAGACAGATCTAGTCCTCAAGCAGTTCCGTGCTTTCCATTGGCGTCGCAAAAATCTAACATCAATCATCAACATTCTGGCTCAGGCTCTCTATTCTCTGTTCGCTGCGTCCGACTGGAAACTGAAATATCTTCAGAAAGGCTGTTTCAGATACTTCCAGCGGGGTGGCAACTGTGTTGATGGCCCGGTCGGCCTGTTGGCAGGCATCATTCAACAACCTCTTGTTCTCATTGACCACTTCTACAGGGTTGCGTTGTTGAGTATCTGGGTCCTTGTTTTAGAAAACGGTATTCTCCTCTTCCCTCTGAGTCTTGTACAGGGTGTTCTGGTCTTTTGGAAAGCTTGTCAGGTTATATTCCCCTTCATATTCAATGAGCTGAGGAGTTGATGGCCATTTGCAATATCCAGTGTACAGCACTTAATTATAATAATGCATCCCTCTGGTGTTGAGGTGTTCTGAGCGCCATTGTCGAGGGTAAAACTTGCAAATAAATGGCTTTGGGAGGCGCAACGGACTGGATGACTCTCTTGCGGTGAAAATAAGCTGCTCTCACGAGGAAGACTAATTCGTATACCAACTTAAATCAGCGGCTCTGCTACGCCATTGGTTGGTTCCTTTCCTCTTTCTAGGCTCACGGTATTTCACAATTTCCCATTCCCCTGGTGCCTCAGCTTCTCCTTGACTTTGAAGGCAGCAACCGCCCCAGCCACCAAAGCCCCATCATTATATCGACTCGGGTACAGTTCTTTCATCCTCACCACCAGCTCCCTTGCACTCTTGACCTCTCCACCTTCCACCAGCTGATCGAAATCCCGAATATACTGCTTCGAGTTTTTCAAGTGCCAGAGTCCATCGATCTCATTGGCCTGCTTGTGGCCGGCGACAACAACAGCCGGGCCCAACGACTCTACTGTTTCAATCGCTCGAATCCACTCCTGGCGTAGCGCCCTTGTGTTCGCCTCCGCTAGCATCTGGTGCACCGTGCCGTACACCACATCCCCAGCCACCGCGAGCTTTAGATCCGCAGACCACAGTACCGTGCTACTGTGCGTGTCCGCGTGCCCGACTTCGATGGCGTGCATCTTGAACGTCTCGCCCGTCACACCGTCCTTCAGCTGGAACTCCCCCGACGGAGGCAGCGGCTCCGCCAGCACGAACTCCGTGTCAATCTGCCCGGGGAACTGAGTGCCCCAGGAGCGAGCAAAGGCCTTAGGATCGGTCTGTCCACGCATCTGGGCGATAACACCGGGGGTGGCGACGGCGCGGGCCCCGGGAAACCGCTTCTTCAGCGCGTTGATCCCGAACCAGTGATCGCCGTGCCCGTGTGTGATGTAGATGTAGTCGAGCGAGGCTTTTTCACCTGTGCCCGTGGCGGACGAACTGAGCTCGCGCTCGATCCAGTCGGCGAGGTCAACGTTTTGCTTCCCCGTGATGGGTGTGTCGACCAGGACGGCGGAGGTCGAAGTCTGGATCAGAGTACTCGAGATCGGTGACCATGTGCCCCCGACTTTCCCGGACGCTGCTGTCCATGGGATCGGTGCTGCCACGTACACGGAGGCGCGTAGGGGCATTGCTTTGGGGACTGGTGGCAGGTGCGGGTCGTAATGCATGTACCACTCCAGCTGAGAAGATGATCTGCCTCGAATCGGAATCGACGGCGCGAAAAGAGGAGCGAAGCAACGTGATTGAATCAGGTATCTTTTGAAAGACAAACGGGAGGCAGGAGACAGGTCCTAAGTCAATACCGAGTCCTATGAACATAGATATTCTCAAGTCGAGGTGACCCATACTATGGCTCTCCATCCTTTATAAGCTCGGCTACGAGGGGTGTATGTAGGCATCACAACTAACTACGAAATGAGAGCGCCCAGTCCCTGGGGCAAAGTGTGAATGCTTACTGGGAAATAATCGATGGTTGTATAGTAATCCTTCTCAAACCTCGCTCGCACCGAGGAACAAAAACCGACACCCGCCTTTGAGTTCCGGCTGTCATGGTCCAATTACATACACACAGTCCACACTTCAGCTCATTGCATATCGCCATGGTCCCGTGCTGCAAACCGGGACTGGCTTTACGAAGGAACGAGTACATGGTCGTTGACCACACTGTCTGGAGCTACAAACATGTGGGAGAGGGATGGGACCGTTATGTAATTCGCTACTTTCCGCAGATGTGATGTGCTAAGTAGGATGGTTAGCCTTCTTCGAAAATTCTGTGTTTTATATCAAGTCTTCGATCTCTTCAAGACTAAATCGGTATGTGTGGAGTCTGCATTAGGGCAACACACCATAATACATAGTACAGGTCTATTGCGGGGAATGGAGAGCAACCGGCACGAGCAAGGACATGCTCTCGGACTCGAGTATGTCGTGGGTATTGTGTGCCTCGCAAGCGAGGATAGCTAGTTAATTAGAAATAACTTTCCTGAGCTGTCTACCTCCTTCAGGGAGCACAGGACACACCTTCGCCTGATGCTCTTATTGTGTGGCCCTTAGCCTCTCGAGCACGTACTCGCCAGCCTTCAGGGGCAGGAAGGTACTCTTCCCTACACAGCGCTCTGGCAGGGGCTCCACTTCGGAGTCGTAGTTGATGCTGAAGAAGAAAGGAACCGAGTATCTCTCGCCAGTGCCGGGCTTGCTCACGACGCGGTGGATCGTCGATTTGTACAGGCCGTTGGTCCAGCGCATCAAGAAATCCGCCACATTGATCGTGAGGGTCCCTGGCCGCACGGGGCACGGCCTCCAGATGGGTTGGTTGTTGGTCAGAGGCGAAGGTGGGAACAGGATCTCGAGCCCCGGGTTCGACGACGAGAGGAGCAGTGTGAAGCACTCGTAGTCCGTGTGTGCCCCGAGCCCGAGCTTGCTGGCGGCTTCGGCCTCTGCTTCCGTGCGCTCCTTGCTGAGTGCTGGCTGGCCAGGGTAGTATAGCAGCCTCGCGATGCCGCCCGGGTGCGTGGTTGCTGCGTCGAAGTGGTCCTCCTCGAGATCCAGCGACAGCGCAAACAGCCGGAAAAGGTGTCGTGCCGTTTGGAGCACCTGGCCGTAGTACTCGGCGATTTTCGCGTAGAACCCAGGCAGGCCCTGCTCCGACGGCCAGACGTTCCCCACTCCAGCCTCGGTAGGAGACATCCCGTCGAGTTCGACGTACTTCCCATCGCCACCGGTAGGGTCAAGGCCCTGTTCGTAACCCCAGTTGAAGCCTTCCTTCGTTTCCTTCTGGGCACCTCCTTTGTCGTCGGTGTTTACGTACGTCGCATCATGCGGTTCGTAACCGCGCATAAGAGGCGAGTGTTTGATGTGCAGCGCTTGCTTCTGCTCGTCGGACAAGTCATGGAAAAACCGCCGAGCCTGTTCCAGAACGCTGGCCATAGACTCTTGTTTCACGCCATGGTTGCTGACTTGAAAGAATCCTGTCGTCACGCAGGCATCTCGAATCTGGTATGCCACGGATTTGCGAGACTCCAAGGTGCCGTCAAGCGATGGTCCAATGTCAATCAAAGGCACGGTGGGCAGTTGCTCTGCCGATACTCCTGGGGGAGGTCTGGTCAGTGCACCATCGAGCCGCTTACGAAGCTGAGTCTGGGATGCCTCGACTTCCTCCAAGATACTCGGTGTAGAGTGGGAGGATCGAAAGTGGCTATTGGAGTGTTCCGGCACCGGCTGAGGGTCCAACGTTGATGTAGCCATGTTTCGTTTCTATACCTCTGGTAGACCTGGTAAGGAACGTGGCTGTGTTGCTACGGAAGGTTGCTATTCAAGATTACTGGTCCTTTTGACAGGTTTGTCACTTAGCAGAAGTGAGGATTACCGGGTTAGGAAATATTAGCAGTCACACAACTTTATAAGTGTTCGTCAGTACACAGGCTTGTTCTCCAGGAGCCTTCCGTCGTTAAACTTTGATATAATGTTTCTTGCCGATTGGGTTTGGTTAACATTGTGGGGATCCGTGCATCGGAGTACGCCGCCTTCGATAACCACGAGGCTTTACCACATGGAATAGAGTACGGCGCCCAGCAGAGCGCGCAAAAGATTCTGATGACATAAGAGTCAGGGTTTCTAGCTACTGTGCTGGAAGGGGGGGAAAGAAGACTGATACTCAATTGGTATTGGTACCACATTCCGTCTATAGTCATAAATCATCTAACATCGTTGAGGAAGAATTGGCGTGCCGTGGTGATACGAGTGAATAATTCTGGTATTATAGGAGGACTCTTCACCGGCTCAGACACTTCTAGCCCAGCCTCCCAGAGATCAGGCTTTTCTAGCTCAGATGGCCACCAGTCGAACAGAAGAAAAGCTTCGTCCGAAGTCCAGGGACCAGTCGTGCCGGCCGGACGGGCATCCGACCGCTGGTTTATCAAACCAGCCGCATTCGTCTCCAACGCTGCAGTATCAGACGCACAGCGATTGAGCTTGCTGGGCCATTTTTGCTTCGATGGGCTTCGCCTGCTGGCCAAATTCTCGAGGACCTCCAACGGACTCCTCATAATAACGCCCTCGTCTAAATCTTGACTCAAGGTTCCCCCTTGGAATGCGTTATCCTCGGACAGTACCCTGCGAAGAGCTCGTTTGGGTGAATGGGAATCTTGCAAACATACAGGCTCAAGCTGTGGGAGAGGAGCATTAGTTCTATCTTGCTCGGGCTGAGATTGTGGTATCTCAAACCCAGCAACAATATAATCATTCCTCTCGCTTCTATCACTTTCAGTGGTCCGATTGATCGACGCCCTAGTTGGACTATCCCTGGCTAGCGCAAAGTTTTGGGTCTCAACAAGATCGGGTAATAAGGGCGTATCCGGTGTTTTCAAGAGCGAAGGTGAAGGTGATCGTGTACCCGGTTCTTCCTCGGGGATAAATAGAGGGCTCAGAGCTGCAAAGCAGGTATCGACAGCTAGTTGAGATTGAATAGCTCTCTCTCCAACACAAGGATTCTGTGAAGCAAGACTGACATGGTGTGCTGAGGGTGTACTGGCGGTAGAGCAGTGGACGTCTGGCGAGCTTGCGTCGATACGAATGGGCGAGTGAGAACTCCCATTGCAAGATCTAGGCCCCCTGGGAGATACTGCCGACGTGCCATCCGTCAATCGGGAGCCAGGTCGCCGGGATATTACATAGACCAGCTTCTTTCTAGGTCGGGGCTGGCTGAGAAGTAGTCGTGCGGAAGGTGGTTCTGTTGGTCGCGACAATAAAGACACAGGGGATTCAGATTGCGGAAGTTTTCGACTTCTCTCAATACGTCTTTCCTGGTGTTGCGACCTCGCAGGCCTTGATACAATTTCCTCCCGGGAACCCTTGGAATTTTGTTTAGTCTTCATTTTCCTGTCCTCTGGAGAGATTGGTTTTGGCACGCGATTGCTAGCTCCACGCCTAGTGCTGGAAGCAGTAGACTTCCGAGGCCCGCATCGAACTTCTTCACCGGATGTGATGTCCACAACCTCCTCAAATGACATTGAAGAAGGAACTGGAGGTCGTACGGCAGGCTTTGGCGGCTTTTTCATAGCTGCCAATTCGGGCGGAGCCAAGTGGGGGGTTTCAAGGGACTTGTTGACTGTGCTAACATGAGGAACATTTTGGGGACGATTCTCTTTATCAGGGGATAGTCTTGGTCGTTTGGAGGGATTTCCAACAGGTTCGAGGGCAGTCAAGGACTGGCGATGCTCGTAAGGAGACTGCAAAGGTAACCTTGAACGACCAAGGTGGGATTGTGAAGGGCCGAGGACTTCAAGCAAAGATTTTGGGTGTCGAGGTGCTTGTGTCAGCCGCTGCTTTGAGTGCTGTGTAGGCTTGTCTGGCTGTTGTCTGTTAAGAATAGGGGCTAGATCAGTCTCCGTTTGGCCCGATAGCTCGCCTACTTCGACTATGACTCCCCGGTCGAGTTGAATCTCTACACCTTCTCCAAAAGCCTCCTCTTCTCGGTAATGAAGGTCGCCAATGTAGTTCTTGGAGTCATCGTAGACCATGACGCGGTGGTTGAAGGTATGGAAGCGGAGAGAGCCATCGTGCCATTTTTTGGCCTTCTTGTGTAGATCGCGAGTGTACAGACATCGGTATTCATGTACGGGAGCAGTATTCTGGGTGGGAGCAACAACTAGACTGAGAGTCGACTTGTGGGCGGAGGAGAGTGCTGGCATAATGACGAATAAGATTCATCGCGTCTGAACGAACGAGACGTCATGTCATTGTGTCGCGTTGCGTCTGCGTCTGGGAGCGACACGGAGTTGTCAAGGCAGGCACGAAGGATGCGTGAGGAGGACGTACAAAGTAGTAGCAGTTACAGGGAACTTGGAAGGACGGAACAGAACGAAGAGAGAAGGAAGTCGCGACTGTGGTTTAGATGCGTCACCTGTGATCGCCTTGCTGTACTCCGTACTTCGTAGTAGTACATATAGTGGAGGAGAGGGGAGGGTGTCGTGTGTACTCCCTACTTTTACGCAGTGCTCGGTAAACGTATTGCGTACGTTGTGCTCCGTGCCTCGCTCCCTCCGCACCGTAATCCAGAAGGTCTAGGTACAAGTGGGTCCTCGGGCGGAAAGTCTCAGTATCAGGCAAGGCAAGTGCCACTGGCTCGTACGTCGTGTTTTTGAATTGATTGTTTGGCAGGCGCTATGGAAATCCAGCGGGGGTTGGTTTGGCTGGTTTGCTTGCGTTACGCGCGTCCGTTGAGGCTGGCTTCCCTGCAATTGAGATGAAACTCCCATCGGCTTCCCTTGGGCCATGACTTATTATTATTTTTGTGTTTGTTAGCCTGGTGTTGTAGCTTGTAACAAGGTGGCTACCGAGGACAATTACCCATTCATCGGAATTATAATTACCATCAGGACTGCTTCTTTCAGGGGGGCACAGAAGCCACCCTTCCTGTCGTCCTTCGTATCGTACTCGTAGTTAGACAGTCGTAATAAAAACACAACATTTGCCCGGACCTTGTTTTCTGCCAGACACCCTGCATGCCATCTATGGTTCGTTCAACCTGCCACTGGCACTGCACCCTTTCTCAAACTGTTCCTTTAACCTCTAATAGCTTTTCTGATCCTCTTTCTCAACCTTGATCCTTGAGTCTTCAGACTGCTGGTCAGTTCCCAGTCTCTACGACCAATATTGTTTTTGTAATCCACCTTGCCTGCATGTCTTCACCCCTCTACTCCCTCGCATTCTCCTTGCACGACTGGAACCTCCCAACAGATCGACCCTTTTGTTCTACGCTCTATTCCGGGACAGACCCTCTCCTTCTGCCACACTGAACGTCTGTTGAGTACTCGGTGCTGCAAGAGTTCTGCCGTGGCTCGATCTGGCGGCTGCCGCAGATTCACCATGCAGAGCGTCCAGCGGCATTTTGGCAGATACATGAAGAGGAGCGCTGACGAGCATAACGTCTCCGTCCTGCTCAAAGATTTTGACGAGGCCGATCACCTGCTGGCCAAGGTCGGTTCTCTATCCCTTCAGCCCTTCACCATTCCACCGACTCACCTCCGCAGATCATTGAAGCATCTAAAGCCTGGAGCGAGTCATGGGTATCCATCTTAACCCACCAGCATCGCATCTTCGAAGAGTTCGAGACTCTCTACACTCCTATTGTCGGTGCCGGCGATGACTATCACGGTCATGTCGCGGTCCTCACGCCCCAGCCTCTCCTCCGCAGAACCAACAGAATCCAAACAGAGTACGCAGAACTGAAGCGGGACCTGACTGAAGATTTGGGTCAAGTCGAGGATAGGTTGATTAAGCCTGCCCAATCGGCCAAAGATGATCTACAGCTATTCAAGAAGACCATCAAGAAACGAGAAGATCGTAAGCTGGACTTTGAGAGATATCAAAATAGGGTGGACTCGGCCATGAAGAAGACAAAACGCTCCGATAGGGACAATGCCGCCCTTGCAAAGGCCCAGTCTGAGCTGTCTGCTGCTACAGAGGCATACCAGGCCGCAGATGAGCATCTGAGAGCATGTCTCCCTCGTCTCCTAACCTCCGTCTTCTCGCTGCTACCCCACTTTCTCGCAGCTCAGATCCAGATTCAAAACAGCCTTCTGGGACATTACTATACCTTGTTGCATTCTTATTGTTCAGAGGAAGGTTTTCCTTCTCCGGCTCCTCCAATGGATGAGGTGATAAGGTTGTGGGATGATGCCTTCAAACCCGTTCAGCAAGAGGCCGAGTCATTGCCATTTCTAGCGAGCGGCAAGGCTGTTCGGTTACCTATGAACCAAGAAAATGGCCACGGGCATGGGCATACCAACGGGTACCGCCGTCCTAGTGCCACATCGACTTTCAATCGAACACAGTCAGTCTCTCCGGCCAGAGCCTTGCCTCCTTCCCCATCATACGACAATAAACCGAAGATTGCTTCTTCACCTTCCGGACTTTCATTGCTCTCTCCACCCGCTCCCCAAGAGCCTACATCGAGTCCTTCACCATCTGCGTCTGTCTACCAGACCCCTATGTCATTCTCCCCTGCTGGACCAAACGCCGACTATTTCTCGCGTGACCGTCAACCGTCGACGACATCCGCATCATCTGCCATTTCCATTGCGCAGAGAAAGAAACCTCCACCGCCACCTCCAAGACTCCCTTCGCAACAATCATTGTTTGTAACAGCTTTGTATGACTTTGACGGCCAGAGTGTGGGAGACTTGATATTTCGGGAGGGTGACAGGATCCGCGTGATCAAGAAGACGGAAAGTACGGACGACTGGTGGCAGGGCGAATTGAGAGGCGCCAAGGGACCATTTCCCGCGAACTATTGTCAGTAAAATGTTTATCAGCCAGCTTTCCATCAAACTCGCAAAAGTTCAATACCATAACGACTTATTGTTGCATGACAGCCAGCCACGACCCCCAGCTTGATTCATTCCATTTGGAGCGTCCGCCAGTCTCAATCTTGTGGGCAAGAAAGAGCACAGCAAAACATCTTAGGATCAGCCGTCATTGAAAAATGCTTCAGAACGCGGAGCACATAACTCGTCACAAAAGTACAATTGTTGGGAGTAGGACAAAAGCGAGCATGATTGCAACAAACTGCAATAGCAGAACGACCCTGACCCAAGATGTCGAGATATCCGGCATACTATTAATAATAAATATCGATGAGCACGGCGCCTGAAGGTCCTGGTTCGAATGTAACACAACCTTGCACATTTCATGTGACTTTCGGCTCTCTCGGGTGTCATGCATCATGACTTGAAACCACATGCCGCCCAGCCGAGGGAGCGGGAGATTGGATGTTCATGGCTCTTAAATCTCTTTTCCTCATCTAAGCGCCCAGGCTACTCGCCCATCATGAACCCATTGAGATCTCAACTATTATTAGGTGAAGCATTTGTTTTGCCAGCCGACGTGAACATCACTGATTGATGGTGAACAGCTTCGTGCGGACGCGCCTTGCCGTACTCGAGGGATCTTCTGATCTTTTGAATCATCCCGACGCTTGCTATCAGGACCTTGATAACGCCCTGACATCCGTTCTTTTGAAGAACTCGAGGGTTAGCATAGCATCATCCATGCGTCCGTCAGTCATCGGTCGATCATGGCACGTGACTGTCACGTGACTGGCCTGGATTTGCAGACAAAGCAAGGCGAAATCTGTCTAGGAGAGAGGTAAAAAGAGAGCTAGGGTAGCCAGGTTAGGTGCCTTTTTGGATATGATATCCATACTTTGGAAATTCGGACGTTCTGTTGTCGACGCTACGGTAGATATATGCGAGAAGCCCAAGGACTGAAATTGAAAGAGAAATGTTCAGATGGCGTTCACACAAATCAATGATTGGGCATACGGTCACGGCACAATAGAAAGAAGGCATAATTCATTTGCACTTGGTATCGTATCATAAAATTGGGCTCCTTAGTCATAGGTAAGTAGCTAGTACTAGCCATGGAGTCGTTGCAATGCCATTCTGCCACGTTTTCACCTCTGGGATTGCGCTGGGGGCACACGGCTTGGCTGCCGGGAACCCTTCTTGCGCATCAGGATGGTGGTGCATCGAGTAGTTTCCTCCACATCGTGTCAATTTCACACATTTCAATAATTGGAAAAAGAATGCCATTCACAGGTCACTATCCTCCTCTCGTCCTTTGCTCATTTCCACCGCCTCCTTGGCGCTAATCTCAGGATCTCGGCGAAGAGGTGGAACGAGAAAGCTTGGAGCACAATCCAAGTTTATTTCAAATCTTTCTCGTTGATATGCTCAGCCTGTGTGGTCTGAGCCTTCTCAATCTGGACTTGGGCGCTTTCAGCATCGATCGACTTAGCACGGATCTCTGTCTCGATGACACCGGCCGGCTTGCTAAGCTCAAACCTCGCACCGCGACGTTCTGGACCTAAAGCCGTGGTGACGATGATGCCCATGGCGATGATAGCCGTGGCAACACCCATGACCGGACCATAGGCTTCCACAGATTCACCGTCAACACCCTTCACAAATGTCTTCTCTGCGATGGCGTTCACAATCTGTGCTGAGGGCGAGGAAATCATGTTACCAATCTGATAGGTAATGCCGACAAAGGAGGATCTGAATGCCGGTGGCGAAAGCTCGTTAAGGTGGATCGGGATCACACCCCATGCGCCTTGTACAAAGAACTGCATAAAGAACCCAGAAGCGGAGAGACTTGGTTCAGTCGTTGGGAGAATCCATGCTGGGATGAGGAGTGCAGAAATCAGTGCAGATCCTACAATCGCACGACGTCGGCCCAACCATTGAGAAGCATAGCCGATGATGGAGCCACCAACACACGCTCCAGTCTTCATGATGATAGACTCACGGGAAGCCTGGGCATTGTTCATCTCTTTCTGGGTGAGCATGAATGTGGTATAACTGTCTTGACTGGTGTGGGAGTAGTAGTTGAACCAAGTCATCAGGATGATACAATAAATGCACATGCGCCACTCCTCCTTGAGCATTTTGCGAGTTTCAGCCCAGAAAGCGGAAGGCGAGGTCTTTCCCTTACCCTCCCTCTTCGCATCGATGAATTGCTGGGACTCTGGAAATGCGATTCTGATAATACCGACACCGATTGAGAGCCCAGTTCCAATCCAGAAGACAATCTTCCAGGAGTTTGTGCTTCCGCCGACGCCGAGATTGCAGCTCGCTGCAATAACGTAGCCAAGTGAGTATCCTTGTTGTAAGATACCAGACATGAGACCGCGAGCATCCACTGGGCAGTTTTCAAGGGCCATTGCGATGGCATTGCCATAAACACCGCCCATGAACAAGCCAAAAAGCGATCGAACGGCCAAGAATTGGCTGAATGTGGCACTATAGATTGTAGCAATCTGAAGAAGGCCGAGCACGACCATGTTAACGACCATAGGCCATTTTCTACCGAACTTGTCTCCCGCGGCGCCGAAGAAGGCGGCTCCTACTGAACGGAGCAAGAGGGTCAAGGTGATTGCGGTGCTGATATTGGTCTTGCTGGTGTCGTAATATTTGGCTAGCTTGGCGGTCTGGATTGATAGAGCATGGAAGTCGAAGGCATCGGCCATCCAGGCAGCCAGGCCGACGAGGAAGAACAACCAGCCCTTGGCATCGAGTTGCGCAAAGAGGCTGACAGGGTTCTTGAGAGGTTGAGGGCTTTGCCACTCGCAATGGGTTTCACCATCCTCATTGGTGATGGCAACTCGCTGTTTCCATTTAAAGAGATCACCCAACGATTGTTTCGCGGTCGCAAAGGTACCTCGAACAATGGGATCTGCTGGTTCACGATATGGCTCAGCCATTTTTTGGAGGAAATGATGCTATTGAAGAAGTGGATGCAATGAACAGGAAGGAAGATAACAGACTGTCTGTCAAAGTCGTCTGTAGCGTGACGTGAAAATCGACGCATAGATCGTGTGAGAGAACCTGCCTTTTATCTTTTTCAGGCAAAGGATCAGAGCAGGTGCTTGGTCGCGATTTCTTCCGGAACTTGTACAGGGTTGGTTTCACTATCGACCATGAACGGCTGGAGAGACATGGGATAGACATGGATAGACATGTGGACTGTGCAAATTAGGGAAAGGGCCTTGCGGGATAGAGGTGCGAAGTGAAGATGACACCCCGGTGAGGTGTAAAGCAGGGATTCACACGGTTCGAGGTTACACATGTGTGATACGAATGTCGAATGGCTAACACCCCGTCAGCAGAGCGATCATCTGTCGTCTGTGATTGCAGCTGCAACAGCCTTGTTGCCGCGTTTCCGTCCTATCTTTCCTCAGTACCATTGCGTCAAGGATTGTAGGCGAATAGAAGCTCGTGTTCTCAACTTCATGGCGGAGCTTGATTGCCAGATCAAGCTTGGCCGAGAAGTCTTGTAGCAAGCCACTGGTCAGCATGACCATTCAACTGTCTGAAATGCGGGCTGACAGAGGCCTGCAAAGGCCTGATGGGGTAGACTCTCGTTGGTGAGGAACAAGAAAGTCTGGAGCAAATCACGCTACTGTGCGCGGCCGATGTCACCTTTGAGCCTGTCCACATACCGAATTGATGATCAGTTCAGGCGGGACGTCGACGCGAACCTATTGGATTCAAGTGACAATCTGGGGGTCGGTGTTTGAAAGTTTAGGGTTGGCCTTCTACCGACGTCCAAGAATACCAAGACACCGGACAGTGCTGGGCAGAGCTGGGCAGCATCATTGTGGCAGCGTCCAAAGTGGGGTACCTAATGCTTGTCCTCTAGGTCAAGAATGAGAGATGTGCTTTATTCCCAAGCATAGCTCATACGCTGGCTTGAAGGAAGGATGCGTTGAGAATCAGAGGTGGAAAACTCCAAAATATCAGACGAAGTTGAGGTGTTGTCAACGCGTTCCCGCCACGATCGACGCTCACAGGGAGTCAATGGCGGAAGTCTTGGCGTATGGGGAAGTGGAAGGAGCTCCCCCCACGTCTGATAGTATCGCACCGGTCTCCATACGGAAGGCCTCACGCCTACTTTGGGGGCCGCAAAGTCCTGTGGATTCTTAAGCCATCTTAGATCAGTATACTAGTAGACGAGCGGACCGAGTGGTTGACTCCCTGGTCGAGAAGGTGTCAAAAGGATTTGTGCGACTGTGATTGACCACACCTACGGAGTACAGCTGCATTGCATATGCATCGATCTCCCTCTTTCTTCCTTAGAATTGCTCAATATAGCTAACGGCTCAATCTGACTCAGTCGAAACGAGGAAGAGCCGGGACTTTTCATCCGGCAGATATCGGACAAAGACGGTGGTTCGATGACTCCACATTGCCAACCTCAACGTACCACCAACGCCCACCATCCACCATACGGAGTACTAGCGGTGTGCCGCAGTGAGTCATTGGCCAGTTCTTCCGATTCCAGAAATCTTCTAGAAATTGTGTCAATTCCAAAGATCCGGTTTTGTCTCCCCTGAGTATCACAGAACCCGGATCAACCCTTCGAGAACAATGCCGCTTCTAGCTTCTGGGGCCGATCGTCCCGCTAAACCAGACATCACCGTCAAGGGTTTGGATTACAAGTTTCCGGATGGCTCCTTAGGACTCCAAGGCATCAACCTTGATCTGCCTGCTGGTAGCCGAACGTTACTGATTGGCGCCAACGGAGCTGGCAAGACCACTCTGCTCCGCTTGTTATCTGGGAAAAAACTTGCTCCCTCTGAGACAATTCGAATTGCAGGGGCCGACCCTTTCTCTGCTGGTCTGGAGGGCGTTACATATCTCGGATTGGAATGGGTTCTGAATCCAATAGTACGCACCGACATCGCCGTACCTCTCCTTTTGGACTCGGTGGGCGGTAAGCATTATTCAGAACGCCGGGACGAACTCGTGAGGATCCTCGACATTGACCTACGATGGCGCATGCATGCTGTCAGTGATGGCGAGAGACGGAGAGTTCAACTGGCCATGGGCCTGATACGACCTTGGGATGTCCTACTATTGGATGAAATCACTGTTGACCTGGACCTACTGAGTCGGAGCAACTTTCTCAACTGGCTAAGGTCAGAGACAGAAAGCAGAAATGCCACAATTGTCTACGCTACACACATCCTCGACAATCTAGTTGGTTGGCCCACACATCTCGCGCACATGCATCTGGGCAAGGTCAAGGAATGGGGCCCCATGGCGAAATACGATGCAGAGACAGATTCGTATAACAACAGTGGCAACAGCAAGCTAGGTGAGCTCGTGTTGAAATGGCTGAAGGAAGATCTAGCCGAGCGTGGTCCACGAGACCGAACTGGGCAAGAGAAAACATATGAAAATCTGGAAGGGAAAGGAGGATATGGCCAAGAGACAAGAGACTGATTGTCGGATGAATTGTTTATGAGCCCATTCTTGTGGTCTTTTTTTATCACTCTTGATACCCCATCTGGTCTTCAACAAGACCATGAGCAGCATTGGTGGCGCTTGAATGGGAGAAAAAGAATTGGTCTTAACACCATGTCTAGACGTTCATTACATTTGCACGACATTGTGCTACAACAATTAAATCACACTATTGAACCCCAAACCCCTTCCAAGTTGACTCTTAAGATTCGGACTGACCCTTCCGCAGATGCGACGGCTAACTGGTGAAACGAGCCATCTGTATATCCAGGCCGCCATGCTAAGCGATTGACTGATCTGGACGGGCATATGCGTGGGTCAACGGTAATGCTGTGGAGGGGTTTGAGACCATCTGGGAGGCTAATTATGTGGATCGCGAGAGTTCCATCCTCCTCACCAGTTGCAAGAAAGCATCGGGACCGATCGGAGACAGCAGCAATTGCCGTAATGGCGGACTTCCTTTTGAGCTCCAGCGCGCAGGTAAAGTCAAGCTTTGCCGACGAGTCCTCTGCGCTCCAAATTTTCATAGCTTTGTCTCGCCCTGCCGTTGCAAACGCCGGCTTCCCAGCGTTTGACAGCCATGTACAGTCCAAGATCATGCGAGCGTGTGCTTTGGGATTGGAGGCCACAGGGACCCACGACTTGGCGTCAGGCCCTGACTGTAGGAACACGGTCCATTGCCGGTCTCTGCCGACGCTCAAGAGGTACTTTGGTTCTTCAAAGGAGAATGCAAGCCGGGTAACAGTCAAAGAGTGAGCGGTAAGTGGAGGTTTGACCTCGGACCAACTGACTTCGTCGTATAGGCGAATAACGGCATAATCGATTGAGCTTGCCTTGCACGCCGTCGCCAAGGTGGTACCTGGTTGAGAGGTACTCACTTCTGAGATTTCATAGCCATGGCCGTATAGCTTCTCGTGCTCCGGCCAGAGCGTATGCCTCGAAAGGAAATCCTCAGTCGGAGGCTCACCTAGGAGAGTAAGGGCTTGAGATTGTCCCCTTGAGTGGGTGTTTGCGTTGAGATCCTCGTCCAAAGCCTCGTTTTGGCCATCATCTTCATCACCAATAACCTTATTTGAAAGACCCAAGACCGGTATTGCAGCCGTTTCAGGTAAATGAATATCTTCTGGTGGTAAAGGAATCTGACAGAGCTTATTGAGCATCACAGAAATTTCTCTAGGTTCGTTGAATACACGCAGAAGCTTCTCATCAGCACCTGACACAAATTGATAAGGCGTGGTGCTTGCAATGCAGTTGAGGTCATAGCCATGGATCTGAGGCCGCGAAAATTCATGCCATGTAATCTTTCCGTCCCTCTTCCAACCCGCATGAAGCCTGGTGGTTTGATCAGAGCTCGTTGACAGGAGGTAACTACCATCAGGTGCCCAGGATATGCCTTCGACTGAGCCGATATGACCGCTGATGGCATGTTTCTGATTCCAAAACTGTGTCTCAGGGACATACTGCCACATCCGCCAGCTACCAGTCCGACCAAGAGATGTTACCACAGTACCATCAGGGGACCAAAGTCCGGTCCAAAACCCACCAGAAGAACCTGTTGCCGTGGTTGCTCCTTTCTGGCTACTGATCTCTCCTAGTCGAGAGATACTGACCCATATACCAGATGACTCTTCGGGCTCCCATATTGAAAGAGAACCATCGGCTGATGCGGTGAGGAGTTGTGGTGTCGAAGATTTTGGATTCCAATGAGATGAGTATACCCAGTCTTCGTGTCCCAACAAAAGGGCTTCAAATGAAATTAAACATGTGCAGGCACCGGCGGAAACACTCTGGATCTTCGCGGTCAGTGTGACGGCGTTTGAGAGATGGCCGTTCGTCCCACTAGCATTCCGAGCGAATTGTTGGCCTTTAGATTCAAATCGCCAAATCCGCACATACTTGTCCTGACTTGCAGAAGCTAATAAAAATCCTCCATCTGGAGTGGGTGTCAGAGCCAACGATCTGACCCATGCCTCATGACCAGTCAAGCTGGCGCTCAGACCAACCCGGGGGTTAGACGTCAACCCGTCGATGGAATAGACCTGGATGTCATTGCGAGTGCCTCCTACTACGAGGAATGCGTTGTCTGGAGATGGTTCTTCCGCGAATGCACTGATAGTCAATGCTAGAGGAATGAACCTTGGTTTCAGAGCAACCTCCGCGAGAGCCTCCACGTTATCTTGATTTACCCGCCATAGTTTTATCCTAGCATCCGCCCCTCCTGTCGCGAATATATCGCTCTGTCCCAAAGACGCAATGGCATTAACCGTGCCAATATGTGCATCGATTGTAACAGTCGATACAAAAGTCTTGCCTGTCGTAGCCTTCCACAAACTCAATTTGCCGTCTGCAGAGCCTGTCGCCAGCAGCTCAGAGGAGCTATCGAAGTGGGCTGATAAGAATTTCACTGCAGTGACTTTGTCAGAGTGTCCCCCGAGTAATGCAGACAACCCTGGTTGAGAGGTGTTTTGCGGGGACCAAATGCCGACATTCTGGTCGGCTCCAAACGCAACAAGGCCTGAGGCCACCGACCAGTCGGCTGCTGCGCTATGCCTATTGCCGCCGACGCTGTAGTATTCGTCTACTATGAATTCAGTCATGAAGCAGAGAATTCGAGGTGTTTCGATTTGAGCGCAGGAAAAAATAGTCCACTCATAGGCGAATACGGTGGAGGACTTCTCGCAGTTTGTATGATAGGAATCACATAGCCTTCTCCACGTGACTTTACAGTGCGCCTTGGCGACTATTACCTAATAATTAACTAACGGTAAACGACACTATGGAGGAGTGCTGCCGCCAGTAGTTTCAGTTGTCGATCAGGAGCACCGCACACATAATCAGATATCTTGAGATAAAGGCATTGGTCGAATGTATTGTTTCTCCATCACTATCATGCCTCAAGTTGGATATTTCGATGCGAAGATTTTGACACAGCTAGGTAAAAGAGGACCAGAATCTTCCTTGCAGCCACCCAAGGAGTGATACGAGCAGAAGAAGTGCTTCGCCTCCATCAATCGCACACCACAGTCCAACCACAGCCTTCAATCGTTTGCTTGATGAGTCACCTACCCAGCCTCTAACACAAGAATCATCACGGATTCTGTTCTTGTGTCATAGCAAGCCCCCCACGATAATTATCAACAACAATACAGTGGGCATTACCACATCACCATAATGTCCTGCTGAGCATCACATACCCTGAAAACCCTTGCCATTTTCAAGTCGATGAGGCGCAGAGCGGATTCGCCCGCCAGTACTTTCATGTAAGGTTGATTACATACTTTGCAGATGTTAGCAAGCTCAGCCCCAGTATCTGACTCAAACCAAGATTTCTGTGCAGGGAGCTGTAGCCAGTAAGTGTGTCAGTTCGTTCACTATCCGTGACTCTTAAATCTTGGCCCGTAGCATAAGGATGTCCCTAAGCTCGCTGAGGCATCTAAGAATTTCTGGCAAACACTTTTCAGACATCACATACTACCATTTCCACTAAGGAACCAGTAGTCAAACCTCGAAACTTCGAAAATGGCGACAATGAATAAAGCTGCTAGGGCCGCCTCGGCAAAAGAAACTATCAACAAACAGATTCCTTCGATCTTGGCTTCGAATTCTCGAGCAAAATCCGGTGTACAAAGAACGCGTCGACTTCTCGGCAGTGTCGACTTGCCGAAGTTGCCAGCTGGAGCTGGAAAAGCAGACCATACTCTTACTATCACGATTCGGCCACTTGACACCTTGGAGGCTGCCCGAGCTATCCACGATGAGGACTCTAAAGCAAAAATAGCTGTCCTAAACATGGCCTCTCCATTACAGCCCGGAGGAGGCGTGTTGCGAGGAGCCAGGGCACAGGAAGAAAGTCTCTGCATGCGGTCGACACTCTACCCGAGCTTGCGATCGGAATGGTATCGGCACAAGCCAGACACAGTCATCTATACACCAGACGTCCTTGTTTTCAAGTCCCCATCACCAGAACTAAGTCTTCTCGACCCCAAAGATCAAATATACGTCGATGTCATATCCTGTGCAGCACCTAGACAGCCAGAAATTAAACAGCTCGATGATGGAACACTAACGTACGAGGATCCGAAGGATGAGGAGGCCATGGCTTTAAAAATCAAATACATCATGCGCACAGCTGCGAAGATGTCGGCCACTCATGTTGTGCTTGGGGCGATCGGTTGCGGCGCGTATCGCAATCCTATCAAGGAAGTGGCTGGCATGATGCGTCGGTGTCTTCTCGGACGAGGACGTGGAAAACCGCTTGATGAAGACTGGGCGGCCGCTGGTATCAAAAGTGTTGTTTTTGCAATCCTCGACAACAGTCCGAAACAAGAGGTTTGGGATGGTTTTGTGGCAGAGTTCTCTGGTTATGAAAATGTGATCATTGAAACGACGAGTTAAACAGTGGCAGTCGCCTCAATGCATGTAAACCCTCTTGTGAACTTGAAAAATAGTTCGATAATGAACCTGTTAGGTCATGTCATAGCTCTGTACTTGTATCTCCGCCCTTGATTTTCTGTGAGCCCTGTGCGGTGGCTTATCAGTCTGTTGGCCCCTTGGAACCCTCCTCCGCGGCAGCAGGCTCATTCAGACCTTTTGAGTCACCACTGACCCAGTTGACGTCAAGGAACAGGTACGAAATTTTCCATCCGTCCAGCTCTTTGCGAAAGCTCCAGTAATAGTAGCCGCCTTCAGAGAAAATCTGGCCCATGTCCTCGGGATGCGTTCCACAGACAGCAAATAGTGCCGAACGCCCGTGGGCCACGGTCTCGGAGTTGAATAGAATGGTGTAGTTAGACGAGAGATGCTAGGAGCTACTTGTTAGTGTTAAGAACTCAAGAGAATTGCACTAGAAGGGCGTTGTGAGCCACTATCAAATAATGCCAGCATTTGAAATGGGAGTACACTTGCCATCATTCGATGAAACCTCAGCTCAGCATTGAGGCACCACTTTGCCAATCCCTCGGTACCAACGTGCGTCCCGAATGGGTAAGTGACATTGCAATCATCGGTGAACAGCGCAGCCCACCTATCAGCAGCCGATGAATCCACCATGCACACGTCCAACGTGTATGCATAGTTGTTGAGTAAATCTGTGATGTTCTGTCGCTCAAACATGTAATGCACTTGATCCTTAATGCTGTACGGCGATGCCCGATGGAGCCTACTGGCTGGCTCGACATAAGAATATGCCAGTGGATGATCAGCTGGCAGTAGAGCTGGTCGTGGCATTTTGGAGCGCTTGATGGATGCTTGAGTCTAGACGGCCTGGTTCGTTGCAGGCCTAGCAGTCCACGTCCAAGCTGCAGTGCTTCTGTTTCCTGGGTTTAGCAGGACAACGGCTGATTGATGAAAGCTTCTCCAGAGGTTTGGGAGCGGCCTTCTTTAATAAAGTCTCGCCAAAGGGGTTCATCATCGGCAGGATTGACTTCTGGCTTCTTTCTCCTTCCTCAACTGGCGGGTGGGGTTTTCTCCAGAAAAACCTGCCAGCTTGGAGCTAAGTACAATCTTCCGGCGGAGGGCACTGAATGGTAGCTGCCTTATGAGAGGTTCGATATCTTGGCCATCGATGTGGGTGATTTGACCTCCTGACCCCCATGGATTCCAATTGGTGAGGAGGGGCCAGCAAGACAACACCGGGTGTAGGTTCGGTGGGAAACGTGGTCGGCATCTCAGCACATAATGAATCACCGTACTGCAAAATATTCTTAGTTCAAAGGGCGAACACTGCTCATGCTGCTCCATGTCTTCGCAGAACATGGATTGGATACTTTAAGTGGTTCGGAAAGTCTGACCTATTATATTTGACGCTGGAGCTTCTTTCCTTGGGATAAGACGCCTTTGAGCACGCCCGTAAGCCGAGAGGATTTTCCGACAACCGCGAATAGATACTACACAGCCAAGGAGATGACTGGAGACATCACGATCACTGTGGAATTCACGTAAGTGACGATGGCATCGTTTTTGAGATGGTCTGACGCAAAGAAAGTGGCGGGTTAGAGATGCTGTTTGACAATGTCCCCAAGCACTCGATATCGCTGCCCACCGATGCGGACAACGGCAATCGTCCTACTATCGGCTACTTGGTCACTTATATCTGTGAGCACCTTATGAAAGATTCGAGAAAGGAACTCTTCGTTCTCGACAATGCGGTGTATGTCTTTCATGTATCCGTATGATCGAGGAGATACTAATACCGTGAACACGAAAAGACGTCCGGGGATCCTCGTACTCATCAATGACTCCGACTGGGAACTGGAAGGCGAAGACAAGTACGAATTGGTCAACAATGATAATGTTCTTTTCGTCTCTACTCTACATGGCGGTTGAGAACTATTTCATGTGCGACATTGTGCCTAGCATTGAATCAACCAATTCGAAATAAGTCAAACTTCCAACGACTATATCATCACGAAAATTCCTAGACAGCTTTGAGTTCCGCCCAGTGTTTAGGTCATGTCGTATCATACCACATCATGCATCCTCAGAGACAGATCCTCGGCATCTTCTGGGGTTCTTAAGCCAGAGGGTCGTGGCTCGGGCGTCCCTGGGCCACTTCCTGGAGATGCTAGGCCACTACGTGGGCTCGCGAGGCCACTACCCAGCCCTGGTATTGGTGTCACAAATCCACTTGGAGGAGCTGGTGCTTTGATTCCTTCAGGTGAGGCTGGAATAATCTCTGGCGGCAGATCGGGGATTTTGATGCGTTTAGCTTCGTTGTTGTAACTTGCGGGGATGATCTATATTGGAATTAACTCACGGTCTTCTCTAGTCGAACGATGACACCAACCTCGATGATCTCGTTGCGTGGGAATGATAGGAAAGGAATATCAGCGGCATTGCAAGCCATCAGGTAGCCATAAAGCACCCGAAGAACACTCTCGTGAGCAATGATAAGTAGATCGTTTTGCTCTCTTTCCAACTCTAGAATGATGGGCTCTAAGCGCACCGCAACGTCGTGATAAGACTATGGCCGTTAGTTACAACACTGAATTTCCGCGCCTTTTCTTACCTCAGCTCGGGGAAATCTATGATGGTAGGGATCAAGGTCATGTTTGAGCACCTCTTCCGGATAATCAAATCGAATTCTTCTCTCTGATTTCTTCTCGCAGACTCCTGGGTTCAACGCACTCATCTGGGATCTCTGCCTCACTTTATAACCCTTGGCTGCGAGGAACGCCGAGGTTTCCACTGTTCTTCGCCGGGTTGAAGTCCATACTATCAAAGGCTTTAGCGGTGTTTCATGCCCTCCCTTCTCCTCGATTAGTCGCTTTTCCTCCTCCCGGTGCTTAATAAGGACTTCTGTCATCTTTTTGGCGTAGTCCTTTCCCTGAGAGGACAGACTGGCATCTGCCTTGAAGGATTCCTCTTCTAGGGTTGTCCCGGCGCGGGCAAAATAGGTGTGACGTGCCTTGATGTGGAGATTCATTAAATAGAATACAATTCGGTGGGATATATAGCCGAAACTCGTGTTGTTGACTACAATTCTCTCCCCAGCATTGATCATCTTGATCCAGTCCAGATCAAGCTCCTCCATCGTCTCGAAATGGGGAATCTTAGCGGACATTCTGTTCAAGTAGTGTTTAACAGCTTCACTTTCCGACCAGCCAATGTAATCAGGTGAGGAAATTTTGACGCTTCGAACATTTTCCTCGATTATCCTTTGGTCGTCGCAACTAGATTCGATGAAGAGACACTTGATGTCGTGCTTAGCGAACTCTTTCGCCAACGATTTGCGACCGGCTGATAGGGGGTTTACAGCATCGTAAATCGCAATCTGACCGTTCTCATGATTCAAGAAATGGTAGATATCTTCTCTGCACTTCTTCAAAATCTTCTGCCGCAGAAGAACCGAGGATGCGGAGGCATTCACGAAGAAGTAGTCGTCAGGGACATCCTTCCCATGTCCAACGATAGCCCTTCGATAGTCACCAAGGTGAAAGATCCTGGTCTTGACTCCTAGCCACCGCAAATACCTGGCGAGTGCTACTGAGATGTGAGTCTTACCACGTGCAGGGAGTCCCACAGTCGCTATGGCAATTCGACCAGCATGAAACAGACGGCCGGATTCAGTGCTGTAAAGCTGGGCTGGGGCCATCTCGCTTTTCTCCGGTAGGTCATGGATAGCATCGACAAAGGTGCTTGACTTGCGCCGGTAGCGAGGTGAATTCACCGCCGACTCGATGGTGAGTAGCGTATCCATATTTACAGGTTACCTGATATTGGACTGGTGAGAATCGAAAGGATTTTGAGAAGAGAAAGTTGTGTGCTATCGACGCTCAACAGCAGCTCATTGCAATGAGGACTGCTTAATATTTCCACGGGTGAAAGGAAACGTTGGGAACACACAACACGGGTATTTGGTCCTGGTACTGACAGCAGCAGATAGGGAAGCGAGGTCTGCTTGAGATGCAGATCTAGCTTCTACTCTATCATACAATCTTTATTCCAAGGGGAGGATGCCTCGAGACAATGCGAATTGCGTTGTGTGACGACTCACGAGTTTCTGAGCTCACGAACCGTGCGATAAGAAGCGAGGGTCGGAAGCCTGGGTCTTGATACATGTCCGAGGTAAAAGAACGGGCCGCTTTTAGTTTCTTCCAGTTCTTGGCTTGAACCTTGAGCCTCTGACGAAGACCTCGCCCTGGCCATGACTTCGGGAGCATGAATCCTGTATCATGTCCAATTCATGTAGCTGATATCGTCGAGCCTGTCCTGCACACAGGGACCATGTGAATCAACCATTGGTGTTTACCTTCTCGATTGATGCTAGTGAGTGGCCTGAGAAGAAGGGTCGCCCAGACAAAAGCGGCCATGACCAAACGTCCATGAACGGCTAGTGCTTGGCCGCCCAAATGAGATCTGTAGATTTCCTCCTGCGGCAGGAAAAGTGAAGCTCCAAACCGCCAACAATCATCTGTCACAAGAGCACGCTTGCTCATCATCTTCCCTTCCCTTCTTCTCCTTTCCAGTTCCGGGCTTTCAAAGCCTGCTTCTTTCGGCTGAGCTGATCGCAGGTTCGCGCGGATTCTCCATAAAACTTTCTTAACCATGGCAGTGGTCCTCGAGGAGAAATCATCATCTCCGCTGTCCTTCTTAACGGACAATGTCCTCGCCGCAGCTATCAATGACACCTTTTCCAATCTCTCGGAAAAGCGGAAGCTGTTAGGTCTGGAGAATCCAGGGACTGTCGATAATATCGCGCGCGAAGTGCAAAAGGATGTCCTTCTTTCTAATTTCATGTTCTCTGGCCTGCGGTGCGACCTTCAGAAAATCTTCAGCGTTGCACCTCTTTTCCGGTTACAACATGGCTTTGCCATGGGCTCCCAGGCTCTACCACCTTGGCAATTGATGGCGCTCTATGGAAATTCTAATGTATGCCCCTAATGTTCAGTCTCTGGACATTTTTTACGCTAATGCTTGAATCAGGTTTTCTTGCAAGCTGCCTACTCGAGCGATAAATCATTGACCGCGTGGGGAAATTGGAGATGGTCACCCAAATTTGTGACAAAGACACAGACTGCAATTGATCCAAGGCAAGCACAAGCTATGGTCCAAATTGACAACGAGTATACCGGCGATGATTTCTCCGCCTCCGTCAAAGCGATCAGTCCTTCAATCCTCGAGGGCGGCCTTACCGGCATTGTCATTGGCAGCTACCTACAGAGCTTGACCCCGAAATTGGCTATTGGTTTGGAGGGAGTGTGGCAGCGCGCCGCACTAAACTCCAAGCCGGAGACAGCGATGTCTTATTGTGCTAGATATAGAGGAACAGATTGGATCGCAAGTGCACAATACCTAGCTCAAGGCTCGCTGGGAGCGTCATACTGGAGACGTTTGACGGATAAGGTGGAGGCTGGTGTCGATTGTCAGCTCCAATTTGCACCAGGCATGGGTGGTGGAATGTTCGGTGGTATGAGACGAGAAGGAACAACAACTGTTGGTGTCAAATACAGCTTCGCTACCTCAGTATACCGGGCGCAGATTGACAGTGCTGGCAAGTGTGGCGTCGTCCTGGAGAAGCGGGTGGCACCACCCGTTACCTTGACCTTTGCGGCTGAGATTGATCAGTGGAAGGTGAGCAATATTCATCGCGGCTTGCCCCTCATTGCTAACCCCTTTGCTAGAATACCCACAAGCTTGGTCTCGCCGTCTCGCTGGAAGGAGCACCGGAGGAATTGCAGGAGATTGCTGAGCGAGCCGATCAAAACGCACTACCACCGCCAATCTAAGCTGTTCAGCAACATCGCTCGAGATTGATCGGAACTACTCCGACCTGACGGCTGCTCGGAGAAAGAAAACTCTCCCTTTAAAATTCCACCGTTGTTTTATTACCTCTTCACTCCCGAGCATGCGCAACACTGGGGGGAGAGTTGGGTAAGTGTAGTGAGGAAAAGAAAGTCATCCATCGCTTCTTTTTACAGGCGTTTGAGTTCCGTGATGTTGTGAGCACAAACAAGCATACCTGTAAAGGGGGATGAATAGAATAGGGCTGATGCCTGGACACTTTTTGTACATCCTATGACGAACTCTGGTTGGCGCGAAACGTACGAGGTACCACAGCGCGAGAATTCGGCACGAAATCTCACAAACATACTGCATAATAGAAGGCCTGTATCAACACATATTTTCTGCGGATCTGTACCTTGCCTCGTTAAGGTCATCGCTTTGTACTTCTCCTCCGTCCAATGGCTGGGCCTTTTCTAACACGACACCACGATGTGTCTTCATCGTCCAGGTGTCAAGCAAGACCAGGCGCCAGGGTCAACTTGACGTCATGAATCGACCTGGGCGAGCAACGAAGAGACGAGCCGGCGCACGGTTACATACATGAAACGGGGGACACGAGTTCAACGACACGGCAGCGCCTCGCACGATTTGGCTCTCGAGCGACTTAGTGCCTTGTAGATGGTGTAGAAGATCCCTCGTACCTTTCAACAAAGAAGCCAGCTCGAGCACGTTGTAGTTACAATTTAGTGCAGGGGGTGAGCAGAGGTGGTTGCAGGGGCGGGATGGGGCCATTGATGGGATGGGCGGCCCGCGTTGCGCGTGCAACCAGGCGCCAGCCTCATGCCTTGATCTATTCCGAATGCTCTCATTTATGGAGGGCCTGGTGGATCTTCGCCTGTCCAGATTCGTGGTCTTGCATTGCATGGTATGGAGTCATGAGAAAGTCAGCAGGGGCAGGAAGATGACTAGGTGCTCGCGTCCCTGTCTACTCGTACTGTGCTGTATGTATGTTGGCCTGGCGTGTTTTGTTTTCACATGCAGAAAAGCGATCGTGCCCGCGTTGTTGAGTCACTTTCCATCTGAATTTGTTGAAATTCGACGCATTTGCTTCTTCTCCCTGTGCGGACAGTCTGCAGGGCGCTGGGCCGGGGGGGAATGCAGGAAAAGGCGAAGAAGAGCCGTGCTGGTGGTCCCTATGCAGCCCTTTGGGGAGCGCCGCATGAGGTTTTGTTGGGCCAGAAAAATTGCTACGCTGGAAGCTGAACCCGAGAGGCGGTCACCGGGAGTCTCTTGGTGTAGATTTCCTTCTTCTACCCTCTCCTGCAAGACTCATTCAATTAGGGGTTCGGAAATGTCAGCCTCGTCGAAAAGAAGCACCAGGGCCTCCGTAGTGAGACTTTCTTGTTATCTGTTGCAGACGACAAATGGTCCAGTTTATTTTTATATTCATGCCATTGCCAACTGTCGGACCGTTTTAGAACATTCCTAACAAATGTGGTGGTGGACTTCTGCGAACGGGTCTCCGGGAACCGGGGCGTCCTCCTCGAGGCGAACATTAGTTGGATACGGAGGATCCAATTAATTGCGACCCACTATAACGAACGCGGATATCTGCAGGTGCGTCAAACCTGAGGCGAGGCGAGACTCTGGGCGACTTTGGGTGAAAAGGATTCAGTTTAGTACCAAGTACAGTCCTTTTCTACGGATCTAGGTTACATCAGGTAAGTTATATCAGTAGGTGTCTGCATAGAACTGGGCACGGGCGGGAAAAAAATCGATTTGCAAGCCGCGCTCCGAAGAAGGTCAATTCGTCATCAGAGCCTACAGCTGTAGCTGCAGCAGCAGCAGTCTACCACTCGTCTTGGGCACATGTATCTAAGTTGTTAATGTTAATGATGGGGTGATGGAGAGAGTACGTGAAATCTAGGCTTGAAACACGTGTGAGAAGTAGGCTCATGATCAGCCACCCGTCAGTCTGCCATATCTCGGTCGATCTCCTAAATTTATAACAGGCACGGCGCATAATGGCTGACGGTGATCGACTTGCCTGCCTGATGAATGTTTCGGCGGCTCAAGGTGGATCAAGGATCGACATCATTGGAATCATGTGTGCAACATGTTTTGCCTCCGCAGTTGTCTGTTTTCGGGCAAACGGTTTCTTGACTTGATGGCGGTGCTTGCGAGCCACAAGGGTTCCTGGCTGGGACCACGGTTGCTTCTATCCGTCCAGGATTTCAAGGTGTTGACAATCACAACAAATCGTACCAGTCCTTATATCTGAAGATGTGTGACGATTATTTGTTGTAGCAGCTAAGTTGATGTCCCGTATCTTGTACGACATGGTGATGCCGAGTTCTGCAGCTCAAGAGATCGATTTCATCGGATGTCATCTATGACATGTTCCTGGGTGGCCGCCCTGCATATGAAGACTAGATTTCAAGGAAGAAAATACTAGGGGCGGCTGGAATTGCGGCTTATTATTCCTGCGCATTCTCATGCAAACCAGGGCGCCAGGGGGACCAGTTATGCAGAGATAATTACCATTCATACTACACTGGCGCCCGTGACTACTCGTTCGACGGCCACCATGGCTTGTACTAACCGTCCTTTTTAAGTTTTGGGACTATGGAGAAGTACAACGGAGACTTCGTTTCAACCTCGCGAGGCCAGTCGGCTGTTTGGTTCATGGGAGGATCCAAGGACTAGGAGCGGAAAAGCTTCAGGAGGGTGGCTCGTATGACGTTGCGATGATCCCTGTCAAACTGGGACTTCTCGTCTAACGACCCGCTACAGCCTCCTACCCATGTTCGTCTGCAATTGCTAGTCTGGTCTGGCATGCCCGTGCCATGCCTGTGAGGTTTTTTGATGATGCCAACTGTCCAAGGGGGCCCTTGGCCAGACGAGAGGGGTGGTGGGTCGCTTCACAGAGTGCTTGGAGAGCACGGCAGCAAGACCCATCCATGATCGTGATCACAACCAGGCCCTCGGACGGAGTACTCTGTCACCACCGGCACTGTATACATAGTTGATTGTAGGAATTCGAATTGATGACACAGTGGAAGGGTCGGGCAGGTCCAGCAACAGGAGCATGGCTGGGCCAGGGTTTCATTGTGAAGGACTGTGCGCAAATACCAATCCGTGGCATTGCAATTGGTTGTTGTCAAGTGGCACCTGTAGACCGTGCCCCAGAAAGGCTTTTCGGCAGCACGTGGAAAGGTGGGAAATGCGCGCAGCGAGATTTGGGTTGACAAGTAGTACGGTTGACTGCCTGACGAGTATGTGGATTGCGTAGATCTGCGAGAGATCTCACCATACGACTTGCGGTACCTTCGACAAGATCCTGACCTTGCTCTTGGAATCTTGACTCGGAAATGATGGAGGAGACAATAATACAAGCAAGGAGAGACGGCAGGGAGGGGGCGTTTGTCATAGCCCAAACGTCAGTTGAAGGCGGGCAGGTGGATACCTCGTCGTAATATGTCGATGGACAGCCATTCAATTTCGGCCTAGTCTAAAGAAGCGTCCGCTAAACAACGAATGGATCGTCAAGTTCCCAGTTGAAGGGATGAAGGTGGCAGTATGTTGGAGCCGGTTCCACTACGAGGAGTTCAAGCGTCATGGTCACGCTTTGCCCGCCTTTGCCTTGGGGTGTGAGGGATACAGGGGAGTGGAGAGGGGAAGGGGGATGCTCACGGTGAGGGAGAAGGGAGGAGAGTAGGGGACACCGGAGACAGCGCAGGTACATGTACTCCGTACTCCGTACATACGAGTACTGCCCCTACAGCCCCTACCGCCCCTACTCGGTAACGAGCTGGGTCCCCTGGGTCCCTCGTAGAGCCACCGCGCCAGTGGGAGTGGAAATAAAAACAATGGAGACAAGCACCAGCATCATCAGCCCTTTTCATGGACATCATCTGACCTGCAACGACTTTTCGCGTCAGCCAAAGCGAGCGCCATTGCACACTTTCTCAACTCCAGTGTCTCGTCTGTTGATGCTCTGGTGCTCCTTCTGAATTCCCACCCTCATCCTACGCATTCTGACTCGCCCGTTGACACTCCTGCCTGGTCCCCCCCCGTCTGCTAAACCTTGAAATTCGTCTCGAGATTGCTCACTCGCCGCCCGCCCAACCAGTCAGTCACGCTGAACAGGAACACCCACCAAGCTGTCTACAAAGAAGCCTGACCAAGCTGCATGATGTGCATACAGATTAGGCCGAGAGAGCCTTTTGTTGGAGTGTGAAGGTGAGTGTTGGGAGTTGATGTATGCGTACAGCTTGACAGTCTGAATTTATATGATGTATTGATCATATATGCGGTGCCAGGATCGATCCATACCCATCCCGAGATTGATTGAATAGAACCCCTCCTAAGTCAAAGACTGCGTGAGTTCTGGGGGCGAAAGTGTCTCTTAGTTAGGCATTATTATTAGCTACTAGTAGTTGGTAGTAGTTGGTAGTTAAGCGGTGCTGGTCAGTGGCACTGGTGGCCCGCTCAGCTTAGCAGCTTAGCAGCGCGTGCGTTTGACATGCCCGGGCCCGGGCTGCCTCTTGTCTATTGACTGTCGCACTTCATTGAACATGAACCTGACCTGCGTCTGAGTGAGTCGGAGTCGGAGTCTGAGCAACTACACAAACTCGGAGACTTACTTCTTGATAAGTAGACCCTGACACAACCCAACAATACAAGCGTACGAAGCCAGCGGAAGGTAGAGTAGAGCCTGATCCAGAAGACCAAGACCACAGACCAGAGCCTGCCGCCCAAACGCCCCCGAGAGGCCCAAGAGGCCCCAAAGACCCTAAGCCCCGACCTCTTTTTATTCTTAATGCTCTTAGCCTCTCCCGCCGCCTGTCTTGCCTGCGCTCTGCCTTGACTGTGTCTACCACTGCCACTGCCACCGACGCTACGTGATCCTGTGCTGGACTTCACTTGTAATTACTAGTTAACTAGGTCGTTACTGCACTTTCCCCCTCTATTGTTCCTCCTACTACAACTGGCCCAAACCATAAACCTGCTATTCTTGTTGTCGTCTCTCACAAGCGAAAAAAACCCAACAACTCATCTTGCACCTGTCGCTCTCTCTCCTTCTCTCTCGCCTCTACCTCACCTAGCTGACTTACTTAACTGCCTTAACACCTACTGCCCCTACAGTACGACCTAATTCACTCACTTCACAATTCCGCATCCTTACCTGGTTCACCACTGCTCCACCGCCTCCATTGCCTCAAATTGAGAGACTCTGTTCGCCTGCAGTGCCGCCCTCCAGTGCTCCAGTGCCATCCACACACCCCGGTTCCATCATCGCTGCACAAGTTCCCACACCTCATTTCGAAAGCCTCACCTACGCAAAGTGGGGAAATTAGCGTTTCTTCCGCCAACCCTCACCTGCTCCCGCACCCTCATCTTGCATACCTGCCCAAACCTCTATCCCATCTCGAGTCTCGACGTCCACGTCCCAGACATCGTTGTCATCGCGATTCTCTCTAGTCCTCAGCTCTCCTCAAATCTTGTCCTCGCCTTCATCACCACACCTCCCTCCACCTCCCTTTCTTCCGCCCTTCTCGACAGCCTCCTTACTGTCTTGTTGCCTCAAACCCTAGTCGCCAAAGTGGATTCCACAATCCCTTAGCACTCGACAATGTCGCAAAACAGGCCTGGAGGAGTCTTCTCAGGCTTGCGCATGGGCGGTAGGTTCTCTTCAATCCACCTACCATCCCCCAAACCCCCAGCCCTGGCCATTCGAGCACGTGCGCTGACATATCCTTGCAGAAGTTGTACGAGAAAAAGTACAGGATGGACTCACCGGCGAGACACGAGAAATGCAATACACTCAATGCAAAATCGTCGGAAATGGCTCTTTCGGTGTCGTTTTCCAGACGAAGCTGTCTCCAAGCGGAGAGGATGCTGCCATCAAGCGGGTGCTTCAGGACAAACGATTCAAGGTAAGCCATGTTGTTGCTGCACCCACTTCACCTGACATCGCGTGTAAGTTCAAACTGACTGGGAGCAGAATCGTGAGTTGCAGATAATGCGGATTGTTCGGCATCCCAACATCGTTGAGTTGAAAGCATTCTACTACTCTAATGGTGAACGAGTATGAACCATTCCGATCTCTCATCCGCAGGTCAATCATGGGCTAATTACACTTCAAAACAGAAAGACGAGGTCTATCTCAACCTGGTCCTCGAGTACGTCCCTGAGACTGTCTACCGAGCCTCGCGTTACTTCAACAAGATGAAGACCACAATGCCCATCTTGGAAGTCAAGCTCTACATCTACCAACTCTTCAGATCACTAGCCTACATCCACTCCCAAGGCATCTGCCATCGAGATATCAAACCTCAAAATCTTCTCCTTGACCCCACAACTGGAGTCTTGAAACTCTGTGATTTTGGAAGTGCAAAAATTCTGGTTGAGAATGAGCCCAACGTGTCCTACATTTGCTCTCGCTACTACCGCGCTCCCGAATTGATTTTTGGTGCCACGAATTACACTACCAAGATAGGTAAGAGTTTGAGTCTCCTGACATGACCCGGTCCTAATCGAATTAGATGTCTGGTCGACCGGCTGTGTTATGGCAGAGTTGATGCTGGGTCAACCACTCTTCCCCGGTGAGTCGGGTATCGACCAACTCGTCGAGATCATCAAAGTTCTTGGTACTCCAACCCGGGACCAGATCCGAACGATGAATCCAAACTATATGGAGCACAAATTTCCTCAAATCAAGCCTCATCCATTCAACAAAGTCTTCCGTAAGGCTTCTCCTGACGCGATTGATCTAATCTCTGCCCTATTGGAGTACACACCAACCCAGCGACTCTCTGCCATTGATGCAATGTGTCAGCCTTTCTTTGATGAATTGAGAGATCCCAATACTCGTCTTCCCGATTCTCGTCATGCCAGTGGCTCCTCCCGCGACCTCCCTCCTCTCTTCGACTTTTCTCGACATGGTCAGTACTATTCCAGTTCGTCTTTTCTGCATCTAGCGTCTTACTAATCCGATGAATAGAACTCTCTATCGCACCACACCTCAACACACAACTCGTCCCAGCTCACGCACGAACAACTCTCGCTTCGAAAGGTCTTGATATAGACAATTTCCACCCACTATCTAAAGAGGAGATGATGGCACGACTTGATTGATTCAAGACAGCCTCAAATGCTATAACGAAATTACGCCGAGAGGGTTTTTGACCGTTGATATGTCCGTCACCGCCTCCATGTTCGCTAGCATCGAACGCAAATCGCGCCCGATACTTTCAAGGCTTGCACTGAGTCACTGTGTCTAGATGGATATTTTAAGCATTGAGGAGGGCACGAGTCCTGAAAAGCATAGGCTTTGATTGTGAACGCCACGAGGAATTGGGAGATGTGGGGCACCTGCATAACGGGCACTGAGCCGAGCGTCTACGAAAATTGACCGACTAAGGTCTGGTAGGAATTTTGTACTCTGGTCAACGGGTCAGCGTGTTTACAGCTATGATGGAGGTGGGAAGAAATTGAACTGGGGCACAGACAATGCTGGCCACTGACCTTTGCTCACAATATGCAACAGACAGCATGTGAACGTGCTTACATGGCGGCGTCCAACCCCCTTGTCAAGGGCCACACGCCTCTAGACAATTTGGATCACAGAAGCTCTACGGTCTACATTGACCAGAGCCTTTCTTCTTTAACATCAGCCATTCAGTGCGTGTTTTCTGTTTCGTACACACTTGACTCGTCCGCTCAAAGACTTGTCGAGCTGGCGTGCTACTAGAACGGCTGAAAGCCAAAGTGAGCTTCAGTCGTGTATGTAAACCTCGTGATCCAAGCGTAATGCCAAGCCTCTTGTAGATGTACATCAACCTAGCTCAATCTCTAACCACGTGATTTTCTTACGGAGAGATCTACTAAGGCACCTGGGGGGTGTACCCATGCCGTTCGTCAACAAATAAGATGGACGCATGATACTCGAGGTCGTTATAGGTAGATATGTACATGAAATGTCTATGACATAACCAGTAATTAAAGGGGGAAATTGCTTGAAATTTTGCTACACAGGGAGGTCAGGTTGGCGGCCCAGCCAATACCGAAAGTGAGATAAGATGCCCTCTACTCAATTCCATCATCCTCCACCATTGCCGTGCCATTTTCCCCGGCGCCATTCGTCGCAGATGGAGCTTCATTCGTAGGATCGTCTGCAACGACTGTCGGTGGAGGTGCTTCGACAACCGGGATGGGTTTGGCCAACTCCTCTCTGACCCAGCTCTCGTCCACGGCGAACCTGCGCTGAAAAACTCTCGCCCATTTGCCGCCCCACGACTTGAGCAGGGCTTCTTCTTCCTCGCGCAGAGAATCGCTGCTTTCCATCATCTGATCCTGATTTCCGTCCCGAATGCTGACGACTGCGTCCTCGATGATGGCGAACAGTCCCTTCGTGCCCTCCTGCTCCTGGCTCAATGCATGTTGGAGTTGCGTCTTCTGCTCATCGTCAAGACCAGGTTGTCTGATGGCGTCTACAAGGCTTTTCACCCGATTTGCAACTTTCCTGGTTGTGTTGTCGACGAGCTCGTAGGCCCATGTGCTGGCGAGTACCGTGCCCCGCTCAACATGATCGATCAACGCCCATTCGACAACACTGGCTGGCGTCAAGATCTGATAGTTGAGTAGTTTGTCCACGATCACGCCACCGATGCCTTGCTGGAATTTCCAGTATTCCATTACAGATGTGATTATCTGCTTCCGGGCAGTCGGGGAAGCATTGCCGGTTTCCAGTAGACGGTCTTTGCTGCGCTCGATACAGGCGAGGACGTGGGACATTGACTTTGAACCGACCCAACAAATTGAGGTGACAAGGGCGTCTGTGGAGGCAAGTACGGGATCTGCCAAGCCTGCTGCTGACGCTTCTTGCTCAATTGACTCTAGAAAAGGTGCAAAATCCTCACTTGCTGCTTTCTTGCGAATAAGTTGAGCGATTTCTCTGCCGTGTGCTGCAAACGGTGTGGCATCATCGTTGTACTTGAAGTCAGGCGAGTCTTTCTCCTTTTCATCAGAGATCAGGGCTTGGTAAGGCTCTGGCAAGGTGCCCTTGATGCGCTTCGAGAAGCTAAGCCGGATCTCCTTGTCCAAGGCGTCAATGATGAAGGCCTTCTTTGGATGGACATTTGGTAGATCGACATCGCCGACCCTGCAGAATGTTAGTCCAGCGTCCTATGCCTAGCAGGAGAAACCATACCATTCAGTCCATTTCCATGTGAAGCCAAAGTTGCTTAGATGATGAGCAAACCAATCCAGAAAACGCTGGGAGAGCTCAAGATCTATCCTGTCCACGTTACGGTACAGGTATCGGATTGCTCTTCCCAGACTAGGTGCAACTGCTGCAGGGGCCAGCCTGCAAGCCTCGGTTAACACTGAGTGATAGTATACCAATTTGTGCTCAGGAGCTGGCAGTTGGAGAAGTTGTCCAAAAGTGGCGTCCACGATAACGTCCTCGGGTTTCCAGGTTGCCTTGTCGCCTGCAACATCACGTAATTTATCGAATGCGGTAGCCCTCTTAACAAAGGTATCTGGCGCGAAATAACAATCCACATCGATGAGGAACTTTGCAGCAATATTTCGGTTGAAGTCGAGGACATTGATGGTGTCGGATAACGCATCGCGAATAAGGAGGGCTGAAGAGTCTGAGGCTGAAGGAACTGTTTCAATCTCTTGCTCACCGTAGACAGACAAGTAGATCTCAGGGAAGATCGAGCGGGGCCCAGTCAGTACGGTCTCCGGTACGACGACCTGAGGAAAGGCATGTTTTTGTGCTTGTGCCAATAACTCTTCGGCTTCCGCGGACCGACCTCCCTTCCAGGGGCGTGGTAGGCATGCTAGCTCCCACGAGTTCTTCGCCTCTTCCTGCATATGTTTCTGAAGAAGCGCAAGTGCACTTTCCGAACTGGGCGGTGCTCCAACCTCGGGGGATGGGAACGGGTCAACGAGAGTTTCAAGAGGGTGTCCCGTTGATGCGATGATGTCGGTCTTCTCCAGGAGACTATTTGCTTGACCATCGAAACCTGTAGCAGAAGATGCCATTGCATAAGGGATAGTCATGAGAATGAGCTTGACGAGCTCCAAGCCCAAGGACTGGTTCAGATGTCAGTAAAGATTCAAAACCGGGGGAGCAGAACACGCACATCCTCGGAGGACTTCATCTGGAGGTCTGCCGCGCGGGAAAACAATTCTTCCAGCAGTCGGAAGAGACCATCATCTTCAAAGATGCCTTGTAGACAGGCCAAAAATCGTAGGTATAGCTTGACCTCTCTCCAGGCGCCGCGATCCAATTGCTTTTGTAGTCCTTTTCCAATTTGTGCGAGCACGTCGGTGATCAGCTCAGGTTTCAAGGCGTTCGCATGGAGGACGATGGCAGCTATGAACGGAGTCTTGAGTGGCTGTTCTTGTGGCCTAGGAGAAAGTTAGTTTTCTGCGGCCGATTATTCGCAAGCATATGGATCTTACAGGTGCACAACCAGCTCCAGGAAGCCGGAGATAAGGTCGTGGTCAAAGTAATTCTCTGCAAGGATTTTCGCGATTGACACAACATCATCCTCAGCTCGTCGAATCGGCTACAGAATAATTAGCAGCGAAATGAGTGTGAAGGGTGCGCAGTTGACATACGTTCTCGGCAATTGACAGAACCTGCTTGCGCAGTGAAACAGCCAGTGGCTCCTCGTATCGGCGGCGTTGTGGTCTTCGGTCGTCATAGTCATCCTCTAGTCTGATGAGAAAAGCAACTCATAGATCATTGAGGAAGGGTTTCATACCTCTGTATCTTCTTTTGCGATTGTTGAATTGTCCGCCTCCGCCTCCGCCCCTGCCGCCTCCACCTCCCCGTCGTGGTCGTCGATCGTAGTCAGCCATTTACACCAATCCGTCGGAGTCAGTGTGGTTGCTGATAAAGAGGAATGTGATTGAGAAGAAAATGCAACTCCTGAGGGTGCAGTTTTCCGGATCGCGCGTTGGCTGTGCTGGAGATCGACGACCTTGGGGTCGTGAATCGTGACCTGACGCGAACCTGCAGGAGGCTTGGCGTCACTTGGGACGTACTCGTAAGGCTTCGGACCCACGTACGATTGACAACGACTTCCTCATCCTTCTTTAGAGACCAGTGTGAAGGCGACTTTCTATGCGTCTAGTGATTTATTGCTTGCGGAGACGCTGGATGTTACCTCAACGGTCTTAAGGTTCATTCGTGCGATAATAAAGTTGATTTGCGATCCCAGCAGGGAGCAAAAGTGCATCCAAAACCACCTTTTCCCTGGGATCATCCACATTCCATGAGATCGTCTCAAACTGCACATTCAGGTTCTCTTCTTCAGCACCTCGTTGTCATCGACGGTGGCTCGCATCCCAATACCCACTCCGACGTATCAGTCGGGATAGCGGCACTTTCACGTCTGATCTCTGAGGTGACTCGCTTATAACCAATGTGATGCCAGTCTTTTCATCCATATCCTCGCCGTTATGATTTCCTGCCAGGATAGTCCCATTCGGCCTGTGTTCGGGAAGGAGAGTCTGCAGTCGCGATCTTCGAAGCCTTCGATCTCTAAAATCTCTGATCTCTCTTGTCTGCATCTAAAGCCTGGTCCAGCTCAAGGCGTTTGGCGATATAAAAGGTTTTTTCGTTTTGTTTTCTTTTTTGGCTAATCTCTTTCGATTCATGACCGACTTCGCGTTGTTCAGCATCTCTCCGAATCTCAGACAGCCCTGACTCATCCATGTCATCATCGATGGAATAGGATTGCATGCAGAGTTGTCTTCTTCAGCTGCTTCATCAGCAACATACTCTGCAGGTATTTCCGGGCTTGGGTTCCGGGCTGCTCATCTGGTCAACAGTAGAGATGTGGCCTGTTGAATAGCAGAACTTGGTGAGTTCGGGATCTCTTTCAATGCCTTGATGGCAATCTTGCTCTTAATTCAATCAGCTTTTGCAGTGGCTTTCATCGCCGCCATGGACTTCGCTCCCCGATGGCGTGAGGGTCAGGACTCTGCTCTATTATCCCCATATTGGATTGGTCGAACTCATTTTCGAGATCCATTGTCAACAACCCCCTTCGTTGGTGTGCGAGAGAACAACGAAGATGATGGGGACTGGAAGAAGTAACACGTTCCGCAATTTTGCTTACACCTTCAGTACAATCCAGCCCGGTGTTGTCTTGCTGCTCCTCCTCACCAGTTGCGATCCTTGGATCAGGAGGTCAAATCATCTGCATCACCTGCTCTTGAGTATAGCGTTGCATGCGGGAGTAAACTTAGTCCCTCTAACAAGACGACCTCCACGGAACGTGTCCTTCTAGCCAGGGATGGTGTTCCTGTGTCCTCTATATATACTGAAAATTCGTTTCTTGATTCCTGGAAATAGGTTCTAAGTATTCTTACTATTAATTTACCCTAATACCTTCCTATCTCACAGCGGCGTTTTCTCTCTAAGGTGCTCTTTGTGTAGGACGTCTACACTCAACGGTCACTGGGCCTTGTTGCTGCAAGGACCGCCGTATACACCCGCATAGTCTAGTTAGAAGGCTCGTAAGAAGTCTTCGCTTAAGATTTGACAAGGTGGATCCGGGGTTCGGATCGCCAGTAATTGTCCGTATGGCTGTTGTCGAGAGGTTTTGCTATCTGCCATGCAGTGCATGCTTTCCTATAAATCCGAATCCTTTTCCCTAGTTCAGGGATAAGCACGTAGCCTGTCTTTGATTCCTGAGCATTGTACCGCTGCTCCGCATTGGGGACATCCAGAAGGGGAATTGAAATTCCGCCTCGTACCTGTTTAGTGGCAATACAGGATGGCAGAAATATCTAGTTTCGGCAATCTCTGGACTTTCACGCAGGTCTCGATCTCGACCTCAAGAGGTGGGATCGGCATAGGCCAATCCAGTGATTTAGCTAGATGCATTCTGCCGAGGTCGCTATACAGCGACAAAATATAGAAACCGCGCACAACATAGATCATGGCACCCATGTGCACTGATAGACCGAGCCATTGATCATTTAAAAGTGAAAATTAATATTGGCCAAAGGAACTCCAGAACACTGCGCTTGTGCGAAATCCTGCTCCAATCTTTCTCATCCCGGGCATACCAAAAGAATCACACTAGGTTCATGATGTTCTCAGGAGAAGGACACAAACTTCGGGTCTTTCGGAACGCCGTCTGCTCCAATACCGGCCTTCTTGAATCCTTGCTCCATGTATACGCGCCGGGCTTCGTCAAAGTTGATGCCCCGAATCTTCATCAGTCGTTGAATCTCGCGCTTGGACTTAGGATCGAGGCCTGAGCGCGAGTCACCTTCCATTACATTACTCGACAAGTCGAAGTCGTTGGATGTGAAGCCGGATTCCACGTCTCCCATAAATGACGTCGGTAGCCGCGAGTAGACCACATCTTGTACGCGGTCCGGCATGTATTGCATCCAGCGCTCCCGTGTGAAATAGAGGGCTGTCGGGACAGAAGAGATTGGAAGCATGTTAGCATGGCATACACAGAAAGATGCTAGGGGAAATATCGCCGTGGCAAGGAGCTACCCACCTGTTCCGACAATGACGGAGACAAAGAAGATGGAGTAAAGGAGATACGCCATGGCTATTGATTGGCGTCTGAAATATCTATTGTCACGAATTTGCGGTTGTAGTGCTGGAGATCAATTAGGTGTGCCCATAATACGCGTAAAAAGACCTCGGATTTTCCACGAAGGGACCTGAAGCGTTATATCGACAACGAAGGATATGGGTTGAGGGAGTTGACGAAGCACGGAGATGTCAATGTTGGCCCAAGCAGGTTGTCGTCAGCCTGCGGCGAAGGCGTGGGCGTGGGGAGGGATTTCCCGGAGCCGGATTTCCATCTACGTTGCAGTGGTGCAGCTTCGAGCGCAAACGGTGGAGTTTTAAACAGCTCATGCAACGCAAACTTAGGGATCTCGCTGGTCATTCACGTAACGGCGAGTTTGACGCCGATTGGGTGGCTGTCATTGACGGAATAATTGTGTATAGTCCACTCAACTTAGCTGTCAGGTACCCGCCATTCATTATCCTGTACAATATTTAGGTGGAAGAACATGGTTACCCAGCATGGAATTTGAACAAATAGCAGTCACGTGATTCTCAGCTTCGTGAAACTGGCGATGAGATTCATGTGCAGCTTGTCAAAGGGTCCCAGGAGGGGTCTTCTATGTACATTCTTTTAAAGGCTTAACGGCTTAACGAGAGATTGCAGTCGTAGAGTAGCGACAGTGACAATGATTACCCAAACTCCGTTCGCCCTAGTCCCATAGTTGATGTTGACAATTTTGGTGTGTTTCTTGCTCGTCGCAACGTCCCGAGACATTGTAAATTACTGGGTCTTCTTGTTGTCATAGTGGCGGTCGTCCTTGCCTTCAACTTCCTGCTGAATCTTCTCCATCTCCTTGGTCTGTCTTTGCCACTCCTTGCTACCCATTTTGGTATCACGTCGAAACAGTTCATCATTTGGCTTTCTGTAACTTCCACCTAGCCTATCCCATAGCGTCGTAAACTGACCGTAATTGAAATTAAAGTAGAGATGATGCATAGTATGGCACGCTGCGCCGTTGATCAGAGGGGAATTGGCATAATATTCGCCGTCGTGAATGAAAATTGTCCATATGTTGATGAAAACGAAGAGGGCGATGTAGGCAAATTTCTGGAGCGGGAACAGGAATGGGAACAGATGGTATGGGATTGACTGGGCGAATCCATCAAGGGGATGGAAGGCGTGAGATGCAAATGGAGTGGGCATGATCCATTTATGGTGTGCTTTGTGAAGGTTCTTGTAGATCGAAGGGTGATGTAAACCGCGATGGATCCAATAAATCAAGAAGTCGGTAAATAGGACAAAGAAAGGGAACTGGATCCAGTTGTACGCCGAGAAGGGGGCTTCTGAGGTTGTGTCGTAGAGTTTTGCGTAACCACGAACTTCGGCCAACATGCAGGCGGCAGTTAGAAGCGACATCCCCGGCAGAGCCCTGATCGCCTGAGCAATTTCTAGACGGACTTGATTCTTGAGATACTTCGGGTGGTTCACGGTGTCCTTGTCAAAAATGAACACATAGGAAAGGCTGGCGCAGATGAAGTATAGGAGTGCACCGAAAATCCTAGAGGCGTGTAAGCGACATAGCGCAAGAACTGCAAGAACTGTAAACGTACCATACTATCATAAAAAGGCTGGCACCTTGTCTGTATATGTTATCGCGTGGCAACGAGCTGCTGTAGGCCCAGTGTGTTGGTTGGAGGTTGATGATTTGGGAAGCGGGCTCGAAAATATACGTGTATTGAGGCGACGCCCTAGCACCCTCCCGAATGCTTGAAAACGTGGAGGAAGTGACATTATTGAACTTTTGGCTGATGTATTCAGAGGGACTGGCTGGGAACAGCGTTGAGTAGACACGGTCTAAGAGGAGGGTGTCAACAACTTCGAGAACGATATCCATGGCGATTGTGTGGGGGCTTGCCCACTGTGTAACTAGAGACTCGCTTCCACGATTCGAAAGGGATTCGGCGAAGAGCTGATATGAAAAAGAGTGTGATTGCACAACAAAGTGAACTGAATCCTCGAGGGATGGGTTCAGGAGGGCAATGGCAAAAGAAGTTCTCGGTTGAAGTAATACTAGTAGATGAGGAGTCTGCGGTAGTGGCGTGAAAATGGCTGTTGGAGATCCGATGGCCGACCGATAACGGGCAGTAAAGTATTCATATGTAGACTAGGTAAATTGGTGCTCCCAACACAGGCAATGAGTGGCCTGAGCTGCAGGTCCCTGTGTCCACCACACACGCACAAAACGCACACCTTATGGGCCCTTCAGCACCAACAATTGGTCCCCAGCTAGGCGGTGACAAGTCCCTTCTCCCGCTTTACTTTCCCAGCCAGGGTTGTTCTTATGCGCCCCAGAGGCTTATTCCCACAGGTCACAGGCCACTTCAATGGATTTACTCGCGCTGCTCCTTCCTGTTAAAGCAGACCACTTACTCGGAAGTTCTTTCCGCTTTCCGCACCTAAGAACTCACGTGATCTCAGTGAACGTTAGGGAAATTTCCAGACATCGTTGCCGTCATCCCTTCTGGGGCGAGGACCTCTCCCAATCCCAAGATATAAGCTTCTGGCAATTGTCGAGGTGGCTCTCCAAACGCATTGAAACATGTCTCCTTAGTTCTACCCTAGATTTCCGATATGATACTCGATCTTGGTGCCTCAACCTACAGTCGCTACTCCGTTCCGCATCCCCTCGGCCCTTGACCTGCTCATGACGACTCCGAGTACCCATGGCCTTTCTCCAGCGACAGTCGAGGCTGTTGCTGGCTTATCAGCTGGCCTTGTATCTACCGTGATTGTCCACCCTCTGGACATCATAAAAACGAGGCTACAAGGTGCTCATAGATCAATCAGACGTATGCCTGTAGAGACTAATCACATCATAGTTGACACCACTTCCCATCCACTCCTCAACTCGTCTCGATCTGTCTTGCGTGACATATGGCGCAACGAGGGACCGACGCGTGTCTCTGCCTTATACCGTGGTTTAACCCCCAACCTGGTGGGTAATTCTGCTGGCTGGGGCTTGTACTTCCTGTGGTATCGTCAGGCACAAGATTTGATCAGGAATGTACGGAATTATGAGCTTGGCCGACAGTTGACTGCATTTGACTACCTCTGTGCATCGTCTCTCTCGGGGATCTTGTCTGCTATCTTCACCAATCCAATCTGGGTGATCAAGACTCGAATGCTCACAACCTCCGCCACCCAGGTAGGTGCGTACACCGGGATGGTCTCTGGTCTCCGCTCGATATACAAGATGGAAGGAACACGCGGCTTGTTCCATGGGTTGACACCCACTCTTATTGGGGTCAGCCACGGTTCGCTGTACTTTATGGCCTACGAAAAGCTCAAGCTATGGCGTCGAGCAACAAAGAAGGATGGCCAGCTTTCCAATACAGATACTCTCATCACATCCTCCATGTCTAAGATTTTTGCAGGTCTGATCACGTACCCTCACCAGTTGGTTCGTGCCAGGTTACAGACATACAACCCAAGTGCTGCAGTCCATAGGCGAGGGCCGGGCGTAATCAACCTGACTCGAATGATTTGGCGAAACGAAGGAATCGTCGGGTACTACAAAGGACTGTTTCCCAATCTTCTCCGCGTCGTACCGAGCACTTGTGTTACCTTCCTAGTTTATGAGAATGTGCGTTGGAGCCTGCCAGGCCTGTCCGGTGCCGACGATGATCGTCCCGTGGAAGTCACCTCAAATTCAACGGTGTCGACCAAGGTGGAGAAAAAGGAGACCTTATAGCGAGGACTGAACTACAGGCTAGTTGATCACTGTGACACTGCCCCTTACATCGGGCCGCATGTCTCCATGATCATCCGCAGCAAATCAGAATTCACAGACCGTGTGCTACACCTGGTTTCTGAGACCTCATGGGAAGGATTCTACACTCAGATCAAATACTAGGATAGAACTCCACTCTGAACGGAGTGGACGGCTTAGAGACCTTGACGGCATTCGTCTCTTTCTCCGCTAGAACCAGTCTCGACTGGGCTGTCCAGAGGGAGATCAGAAGATGGAATTCCTCAAAATACATTTCTCCAATAGCAGCTCCAATTTCATCGACTCCAGTCAAGCATGGACGAACCTACGAGTAGACTCAGACCCACACATTACAGATATCTCACCTCCAAAAGCCATAGACCAAGGACGCTACGTATCTTCGTACGTGTACGGAGTACCTGCATCGCAGAAGAAGCCTTGCATTAGCAGGATAGCTGGCTGAAATCCGGCTAGGCTGTTCTGAAAGCCCTAATGTGTGGTTTTGAGGCATGGGGTACATTTTGCGGATCTTCTGCAGAAGCATCCGGCTGTCGCGGCAAGACAAGAGCGTAGATGGGGGAAGGCAGTCCAATGCGAAGGTCACACCTGTCTGTTCCTGCATCACCAGCTCGGGCCATGCCTAACGCCCACGTAGAGTCTGGCAGAAGAAAGTCCGGCCACCTCCTTCAGCCAAAAAGCCTTATCAGCCAACGGAGAGAAGGCGTGGGTCGATAAGGATTGGATGAAAACCCCTGTTGATGACCGTCAGCTAACCGATGTTCCAAAGTTCCATCCAACCTTCTAGAAATCTTCTAGAAAAACTCTGCAGGGTCACTAGCCAGGATTCATGCATAGGCTTGAGCGTAGTTGACCCACCATCACGGAATGCCTTGTTCCTGTCACTTTTCTATGGTATCAGCGTGGGAGGCTTCTCCACAAGTGGAAAGCCGTCATCGGTTGTCATGCTTGCTGCAATTGGTTTGATGCAGATACATTTGGGTTGAGCTGTCTCTTCCGGGGTTTGCATACCACTCTTGAGAGTCATGCGGCTTTTTCTTGGTTTTGGCCCGTAGCCCTCAAGAGGAGGAGCCGTTCATGAAGTTCAGCCCCAAGGTGTCATTTTTGTGCTCTGGGTCGTCCTCATTCATCACACGGCCCACCAGCCATCTTCCTTGCATGTGTGGGCAGAACTAGGGTGACTGAGCTCATCATTTCGCCGCTTCCTGTTGCACCTTACTTTTTGGGGAAGGATTCGAACTCGGCAGCTTTGGAGGAGAGCTAAACTCGAATGCCTTGCTACTGGTGAAATTCAATAAGCAGTTGTTATGTCAGGCCGGAAGGCAGTCGATTCCAAGGCTCCGTGATTGTGGGGTACGTCCTTGGCCTATCCCGCCAGTCCTGCAAGGTATCAACCGTCAATGCAATGCAACGCAACGTGTAGAGCGCATTTAGCAGTTACTCTGGATGGCTTCAAACTGCTTTTCTAGGAGTGCACGAGGGTGGAAGCTGGCCCGACACCATTCCTTCGATAGCCCTTCCTCTGCTCACCACATCCCCTCTTAATCTCAAGCATTAGCGAAGACGACCTGACCTGACACCTCTTGCGCCGCAATAGTACTTAACCCTGAGTCTGGTCCCTCACCATCCTCGCAGCGAGCTTGCAAGGACCCATGATAGCTCGAGAGCTTACAAGGGTCAGCGGCGGGTCCAGATGGTGTTCCAAGGAACACATTTCCAAGCTGGCGGGTACGTCGAAGTAGCGGGAGAATAGTCAATCTTCGTCGGACTCGTCATGCAAATACAGTCCTCGTTTCCCAAGGTTGAAGTGCACACGCTCGCCTGGAAAGTTTATGGGATTGAGGTTTGACACCGGACCTATGAAGTGTAAGGTGTCTAAATTACCAGGAGCACCGACGTCTTCCCTCAGCCTGCCGGCCTGTGATCTTCGGGTGACATTCTCCTTCTAGCGCCGCCTCTCAATTCTGCGTTCAACTGTGGTTTCGCGAACATGGTCGATTCTTCAACTTTCTTCTGAAAGACTGGACCGGGCCCAGTCTGACAAGACCATCGGGCAAAGTGACGGGCCGTGGCATCCCGGCTGATTTGAATCATTTGATTTGAGACGGGAGTCCGTTCTGTGGAAGAAGAAACACTGGCTCCAGTGATTATTGAACCCTCAAGGGTCCCAACTGGACCCATCGATCATGGCATTGTTGAAACCATTCTTTGTGCCGGGGTTCCCCCCGCTTGGCTGGTCGTTCCAACTTTGTTCTTTGCAATGCCAATTCGACATGCTACGGAGCATGGGCGCTCAGCCCTGGACTGCTAGACTTCCCCTTACCTGTCACATGAGCACCTGCACGAACTTTACAGCCTTGTGGCGCCTATTCGCGATCATTGAGCGGGCAGCCACCGATAGAGCGGATCACCCTCCCCGCTGTCTACCTGCCTCTGCCACTGGGCATGGCCTGTCTTCATCTGCTGGAAGACAAATTCGTTACGCCCTGGTCGAGTGCTAGTAATTGATGCAAAGGCGTCCTCACCCCGGCCCCCGCCGATATTTCCCGAGGAAACGCTCAAGATATTGCTTTACCGCTGTCGTTTCTTTTTTCCTCTTTACGATAGGATTATCCCGTTTACCCCATACCCCAGAGTAGGAATTCTGCTCAGGGAGAGAGGTGAGAAGAAGGCACATCTTCTCAGTCTATCGGCGACCACCGGACGTAATGTAGCACATTGTGCTTCGACTGCGTAGTTATGATTGTCGATCATTTCGCCCTAAAGTAGCTCCATTTCCAGTCTCGGTATATTCCTCCGGGTCGGGACTGTGCTACCGCTAGGGTAAGAAAACACGAAAAAGCAGACCCTGTGACCGCAGACACACGACCTGGCAATCAACTGCGTTTTGTCCCTTGGGGTCACCCCATGAAGGTTAAGTTTGTGGGTGTTCTAAAGGCTTGTTGCCTAAACAAGTCTGTTTCCCAGAAGTCAGAACCAAATCGAGAATTGAGAAGTGCTTGTAGGACGCTAGTTCGGTGTGAGACTAGTTGATGGGACACAAGGGGTTGGGAAGGGGAAAAACGCCCAAGGTAGCAAGGCAACCTTCAGTGCTTTTCGTTGTATATGGAGGGAAAACATGTTTGCATGTTATCGCACTCCTGGTACCAGATGGTATCGCCATGTTATGTCCATGACAGATTAGCGAGAATTCTTTTCCATCTCAGATCATATCTTAGGTTATCACAGTTTCGTGCTACTTTCTGCATAAATGGTAACTCCGAAAGGTTTGAAAATGTGGGTATAGAACATAAAAGGTCATGATCTTGCAATCTGGATGCAAGTTTAAGAAGGAAACACTGCCATCGTCATCATCATCGCCATGTCAATAACAGCAGGCGAGGGCACATCGGCAAAGAGAACAATTTAAGCATACATCCAACTAAACACAATTCGTTTGGTTCCTCGTCACGGCTTCGTGGAGCCTTTGTTTCGCCTCGTAAATATTTCGTCCAGATCCCTCGTCCCGTACTTGTACATTGCCTGCCGTTAAAAATGAAAATGAAAAATGAAAATGAACAAAAACGAATGGTTATGATTTTTGCTCGCTTGCTCTCCCTCTCTTGCCTTGCAAATTTCATAGTATTGCATTGTAGGAAAATTTTCGAACCAGGATCCCGCTTCTCCACGGGTCGTCAGAGGCTGCTGTCGGGAGTGAGCTGCTAATAAAGTAGGACTGCCTGAACAAGCAAGCAGACTCGAGTATGACTGTCAACACATTTCGGGGTGTTTTGGCCAGGATTGGTTTGATGCTATGGAGTCAAGCATCCAATAACATCCATCTAATCTTCAGCTCCGTGCATTGACGTAGCGAGAGCTTGAATTGAAGCTTCATGGGATCAATTGCGTACTAGTCATCCAGTCAAGGTTGATCACGAGTGGCAAGGACTTCGACTTTACGTCCCTTGCCCCGCCCCTTGATTCCTTTGTTACTGTGTCTGTACAGCTCCTGGAAGTAGGCCCTCAATTCTTCCTCTTCAGGATCATTTGGATTGGCAGAAAACTGTTGGGAGAGTCGTGCAAGGGTCTCTTTGTGGAACTTGTTCATGTGGGCTTTGAGGTTACCAAGTTGTGTAAACACTTTCCCACCGTGGCCATCTTCGGTGTTTCTACAGCCATCAAGCTTGCACTCATACCTCTTCTGGCGTGCACCAGGATCAGACAAAGCTCTCTTCCGATTGGGCCTTTGGCCAATATGTCGTCGCTCATGAGTACGTAAATTTCCGAGCTGGGAGAACGCTTGCCGACACGTAGGGACAGAGCAAATATATGGCTTTTCTCCTGTATGAGAACGGAGATGAATCTTCAAGTGGGTTGGTTGGGAGAATGATTTGCCACAATCAGTATAGGGGCATAGGTGCTTTTTGGGTTTTGTGTTGATGTGAATGGGAATGGATGGTACTGGAGGCGGCTGTAGTGTCTTCATGAGCGAATCCACTTCCGATGTAGGGTCTGCAACAATCGAGGATGAATGTGGAAGAACCGGAGGAGTATTCCGACTTGACGAGATGATTGACTCAAGTCTTGTCTGCTCCGACAGGTCTGACGAGATGTAGCTTGAAGGAGCCTCTGAGTATACTGACAGAACATCATCGAAGTGGCCTCTGTCATCGCCAGCCCAACTTCCTGGAGTTGCCGGGCCGTGGCTGGGATGAAAGTAGTCGTAGGCGTAGTCAAACTCTGAAAGGTTGCCGATGGTATGAGCACGGTGAAGAGTAGTTGGTGTATGGTCAGGCGTACTGAAGGCATCATAGTCGTACAGATCATTCGAGGGTACATTTTGCAAATAGTAGTCCTGAGGGAATGACTGGCCAGGCATTTCCAAGGCAGATTTCGATGGTGCCGAGGTGGGCATCATCCACTGTCTCAGCTGATGCATGTGCCATTCGATTTGGTCTGATGCAGTGTTGTAGGCCATTTTCAATACCAAAAGGGATACCGATATTCAAGTGAAACGAGATTCTGGATGTGAGGGAGGAAGCGTTTGCGAGAGACGAGGTTGATCGGGGACGAGACTTTGAGCAGCTGAAGCAATGAAGTAGAACCGCTACACAGACTGAACCAAAGGTTGACTACATCGCACTCTGAACCTTCCTCAAGCAGTAGAAATGGTAGTCGAGGAGCGCGGTGTCATGGGCTGGTCAGCGAATAGGATCGAGGACGGAAACAGGTTGACAAAGGTTCGGAAGCAGAGAGGGTCTTGTCAGCACGGCAGAACAATGGACGATCCACAAGTATTTGCGATTGAGATTGAAAGTCAAGAAAGCCCGGTAGAGAGTCGCAGTGTTGCTGAGCGGAGAGAAGCGTGGCAATGAGTACCAGGCCAGACCCCAGTTTATACCTTTCGCATCGATGTGGCATTGGTATAGACGCAACAGTCTACGAGCGTGGGATATGACATGTTTGGTTAGAGAGAACACTAGTGGAAGGTATCAGGGGACAGGGATCAAACTGCATGCGGCAGAGATTGCACGTCTCCATTGAAGAAGCGATGGTGGTGTTCTCGAGGCTAAGGGAGAGGGAGATGCAGCCTTGCCTGACGGTGGAGGGCGGAAGGAGAGGGCCTCAAGGCCACAAACGCCTCGACATTCCCGGTCGGGACAGTGCCAGATGACGCTGTGAAAATTTTTCTCGATATGGGACATCAGTGGCTAGTTGAGGTACCTTCGAAGCTTCAAGCCAGTCAGAAGCGACGATGATGATGCAGATGATGATGAGGGATGTGAGGCACTGCATGAGAGAAGTTGGACTTGGTTGGTGTGGTTAGGGCGGAGAAAGTGCAAGGGTTGGCTTGTTGGCCTGGGAGCCAGGGTCTTGTTAGCGCCAACGATCGTGTGATTTAGGCCATAGCTAGAGCCTAGGCAACGGAGAGAGATAAAGACGACAGGAAGACCCGTGGGCCTTTGCGGGAGCCGGGGGCCATCAGGCCCATCGGGTGCGCCAAGGGTCGTCTAGCGAAAGAGGATACCGGGAGGTCAAGGACTAGCAGGCCTCATTGAGGGCAGCAAGTGGATGGATGTGCTGAAAAGCGCAGGTCGATGCAAGAGATGCATTAGTTGTCAAGGGCTGGTTTTTTTAAAGACGGAGGAGCTCGACAGAAATCCCTGGTGGTGTCTGGCCTGGAAACTAGTCTGAAGGGGGTCCCTCGCAGTCCCCTCGTATGAACTCGTGGCTTTCTGGTCATGGCGATGCCAGCAACCGCTTGGAGACTAGAAAGGCCGATCGCTAAGAGGGCCTTTTTGGGTGGGAGGAAAACCTGCAGACTTAGCAAAGAGATTGGGGAACTTGCGTCTTGAGTCTGGAGGCTTGCACTAGGGCGACAAAAAGACGTGGGATTCGGAGAGCCATGCGCAGGGCCAGGAACAGCCTGTGCACCTGGAATTGTTATCTTGCAACAGATGAATGATAATGATGAAAATTTTGAACATGATAATGATAAAGGACCTTGCTCGTTTTGCTGGCCAGAAAAGCTGCCACCAACGAGTATCTGTGACTGGCCATGCAGATGAAAAATTTTTCATTCGACAGCAAACTTGAAGCGAGGAGCCAACATGGGATTTTGGGATTTCTGAGGGCAAGAGCGATGCACAGAACAAAGACATGGTCCATGTTCAGCATGTCCTCCACGTCCACGTCCACGTCCACGGCGACCCGGACTGCTGCTGTTGGGTGCCTGCCACCCAGCGCCTGCCTCTCCCACTCCCACTTACTCATTACTTAGTCGTACTCCCAGTTGGGTCCCGTTGGGTCCCGTTGCGTGCCTGGACGGAATGTCGTGACCTCGTAAGGTGACTTGCCCCTGCCAAATTGATGCTGAACACGGACACGACACCGACGCGGCCACGACGCACGAGTCACGAGTCACACCCGGCAGCAGAGTCAGCAGCAGCAATCAACAGCCACAGCCACAGAAACAGGAGGAGCGTCAGACAGAAAACCGCACGGCATCCCACGCCCCCTCTTGCTCTACCCCCTCTGGTTACTCGGTACCCTCTTCATAAGTCTCTGCCTTGTCAACCAGCTGGCTACTCGAGAGCCAGTTGGAATGGGGCAAATCCCCTCTTTTTACGCAAATACTTCAGTTGTGTTTATTCAACACCCCTCGTCCGGCGATCCGAATGAGCCAACTGCAGCGCTCAGATAAACATGGGCAATGGATGACTACCAAGTCACTGCTGACTGGATCCGACCCTGACAGTAGTCAGTACCTACCAGGTACTCCTTACGGAGTGCGGAGTGTGGGTTGGGAATTGTGGACATCATGACACAGGGATCCAGACTCAAGCTCGACGACTCCCGACGACAGCGACGAAGCGGATAGCCCTCGGAAGTCGCAGAACAACGGCTGCGGCCGCGCGCTCGGTAGGCCCCGATGGATATCATTTTGGATGGGTCGAGGGCTTCTTCTGCCGTGTCCTATCTATCCCATGCTGACGTCTTTGACGGCAGCTCATCGCTCATCGCTGATCTCTACACCTCTAGCCTCTGGGATGTATTCATAGAAAACACCTCGTATGATCCATCTTCCGAACGTAGTATCGCGTACCAATGTCTATGACTCTGCTCTTCGGAACATCACTTCAGAATAACCCGTCATAGCGTAGATCATACTCCATCCCTGGAAACACCCATAGCCATTATAATTCCATGTCTCATGCTCGTGCTCTTGCTCGTGCTCATCAACATACCAAATCATCCAAACATCATAGGCGAATGCTTGCGGCTGTCGTTTTGTTCGATCGAATAGGAATCTCCCCATCGTCGGTAAAGTTGGTTAAAAAATCTATTCGGCACCTTCAAGCAATCGTGGCCTGCCTCTTCCCTCAGCGTTTGCCCTGTGCACTAAATTGCCACCACACATCACATATCACACCTCATAAATTGTCAATAGCATGGCATGGATTTGGGGTTATGCTCCAATCACTTTTCTAATAAATGCAACGTTTCCTGCGCTCCCGAAAAGAAGAGGTTTTGGTTTTGCATGACTTCGAGCCTGTCGTATTTGCCCATCACCACCCCGAAACCTTCATATCACACTAATGCGGTCCTCCCACGCCACTAAAAATTCAAAAACACCCAAGAAAAATCACTGTCCTCCCATCCCCCAACTGTCCTCAGCCACACACAATAGTTGCTCATCAATGCCGAGGGAGCGACCCTTGAAAATGCCTCTTGAGTTGACCCAATGACTCCATTGGTCATTCGATAGACCTCCTACTTTTCCTCCTCCAGTAGTTCTTGGGCTCAGTTTCAGGCCGTCTCGCCTGATCTTCGGTTGCCGAATGCTCCATGCCCCCCGTGCTCCATCTTCACATCATTCTCAATCTCCATTTCATCTCGAAAAGCTCCCAATTTCGGGTCTTTAGATCCCTTGGTGTGCTCCACGCCAGGTGGTGTATTGCCAGATCCGAGCCTTCATGTCGCCCGAACCGGTGGCAAATAAGTGTCCAGCTGGGCATGGTGCCACCGAGATGACGGAGTTCTTGTGTCCTTGTAGCATCATTTGGGCATTGCCAGTTGTAGGATCCCAGAACTGAACCCCCCGGTCTTTCGACCCTGACATGACCCATTCTCCTCCGGGAGTTAAGCACACAGATAGAACATAGTCCTACGCAACACCGGTTAGTAAAGTTCTCAGTCTTTGACTCTCGCAATTTGGTCTCTTCCTACCTTGTGGCCTTCAAACGTCCGAATACATTTGCCATCTTTGGCAGCCGATGCTGGAATCAAACCACGTTGAGGGGTAAGTTCCCACATCTTGATCGTCTTATCCAGACTACCGCTGACAAGTTCACGTCCACTTGGGGAGAAAGCCACCGAGTAGACGCTGTCCTTGTGTCCTTGGCCGCCTTCCAGACGCTCAATAAGGTACCCGCTAGAACAGTCCCAGACGCGTACACTCTTGTCCAATGAACCTGCGGCGACGAAGCGTCCATCGGGAGACATTGCCACCGTGGTCACGCCGTCTTCTATCGACAGGACCATCACTTGCTGATTGGACTCAATGTCCCACAGTCGGACGGTCTTGTCGCCGGATCCTGATGCGATCAAACGGCCAGTGCGCGAGAAATCCAGCGAGTAAATGTCTTGCTCATGTCCGTCAAATGTAGTTCGAATGCGCTTGCTCTCGATGTCCCACACTCGAATCTTTTTGTCTTCCGCTCCCGTAGCGAGTAACTTTCCATCAGGCGAGAAGCAAACCGAGCGGATGTACAGATCTCCCTCTTTGTCTTGGACACTTTCATCCAGCAATTCACAAACCTTTCTCCCATCTCGCGCATCGAAAATTTGAGCACTGCGGTTGCAACCTGTTGCGACGTACTTGCCATCGGCTGAGAACCTGACACAGCACACAACTGACTCGTGAACAAGATTGTGCAAAAGCTGAACGTCAAGTACACGCGGGACGTTGGGGTTGAACACAGCGTGCCAGTCGGTTCCAGTGCGCTTCAACGAATCTGGTAAATCTTCGGGGTTTAGATCTGCTAGAACGTTGCCCACATTGGGAAACTGCCCTTGTCCAGGTCCTTGATGGCGTGGCTGCAGCTGCATCTCACTACCAGGAGGAGTCGGCCGTGGGATTTGAGGAGACGCTCGAGGATCATTTTGGTATGGCATCGGCTGTGGCTGATTTGGATGCTGTTGAGGTGTAGCAGGACCTGGCGCACCCCTATTGGTCATGTTGCGGTTTTTGCCTAGTCCCGGAGAGTTTGTGGGGGGTTGCGGCTGCGGCGCATAACCATTCAATGTTGGACCTTGGTAGCCAGGAAATGAATTGGGAGGCTGAGGGGGCCCTTGAGGTTGTCCTGCCGGAGGTGGAGGAGGCTGTAACGGATGCTGTTGTGGAGGTGGTTGTTCCGGAGGAGGAGCAAGACCTGGGCCGCCTTGTCCTTGGTTTGCCATGATTCCACTGAAAAGGCCACCTTGTCCATGGCCCAAAGATGGAGGAGCTTGAGCAGGACCGCCGTGCTGCTGAGGGGCGCCTAGATGTGATTGCACTTGAGGCCCGCCGCGCATCTCCAACTCGTGTCGTAGCATTCGAATCTCAGCTTCATAGTCCTGCTTCATTTTCAGCTGATTCTGCTCCAATTGGTAGACTTTGTTTCTGATAAGTTCCATCTCCTGAATTTGCTGAGCGACTTGGTTCTCAACCTGCTCCGAGGACCGACTTTGATTGTCGAATTCTGCCCGGAGAGAGTCCATGATCTCATTGAGGCGGTGATTTGGCTGCCCCGGAGGTGCAGGCCCAAGATTGGGATTGCCACGATGTTGAGTGGCGTTGAACATGATGAATACAATACAATTGGTCGAAGGCTGGATAATCAAGGAAAGATAGGAGGATTAAAAGGGATGCAGCCTAAAGCGGAGGTTAGAAGGTTGAAGCAGAGGGCGTGGTCATGTTGCGACGAACCCAGACACGTTTGGAGTGCTCCTGGTCAAAATGACGCTAGTGGTAGGGGGAGAAAAACGGGAACAAGCTCAAAACACGCCCGGCAGCTCAGCCGATGATTTGACTTGACTTTGGTGGAATAGAAAGACTAATGGTTTGATGACTACTCGATATAGGAGGTGTCAGGTCTGTTGGAAGTTGGGACTCTTGAGAGGGACCAGCGCGTGGAACCCACACCCTGTACGAATGGAAGAACCTGAATGTGGGCGAAGGACAGTGTAGGTGCGGCTGATGGGGAGGAAAAATAAGAAAGGAAGGCTGGCAGGCTGGCAGGAGAGGAAGGAGGATGGATGGGTCATGGATGTCTGTGGCGGCATACCAGTATTAGTTAGTAATGGCCAGATATGTAGGAGGGGATACTGCGTACATGGATGCACGAGGGCGAATGCTGAACCGGGGGCAGTCAGTAGTCAGTAGTACGAGAGTATTTGCTAGCTTGGAGTCTTACTGCACAGGCATTGGGATACCATGGGCGATGGGCGTACTCGTAGGGGAGGGGAACTCCGTGGGTGTGGTTGTGGGTACTCAGTACTGGGTAACTCAAGCGATGGAGTCGGCCCGGAGGAGTGATTATTCTGGGCATGGCCCATGCTGCAAGAGCCATAGCCCACGCCTGCAGATCTGTAGCCGTGCATAAAATACTCCCCAACCCTCAGCCCAGCAAAGCCGAGGGGGAGGGGGTTGTGAAGGGGGCTGCCGTGGCTCTCTAACTGGTTCAGCCGGCACTGGGCAGAGGAAGAAGGCTCGCACGGGCATCGGGCCAGGAACGTCGTTTCCAAATGAACACTAAATGCAGGCGAACTGCCGGGAATGCTCCACTTGCACACGCTCACGTCCAGACCGGGGGGACATTGCCCGTGATCAGTCCAACCCAGGCTCTTGGTTCTCAAATAGCAAAGGCTACAGAGTACACCGCTGGAGGTGCTGGGGGAGAAACTCGGTACATGCATTTACACAAGATGCAGTCGTGCGCGAAGAACCTGTATTCGCACTCGTAAGTTCGAGCCGAGGAAGCAGGAGTATCAGTCGCGATCTATGTGTGGCATGGTTACTAGCACTTCCGGGCAGGGAGGACGAGGTAGGGGAAATAGGCTTCGTTAAGTCGATTTAGCGAGCGGCTTTGCCCTCTCACCCACTGGCGTCATGCACTACCCCGAGTCAGCCGCGATCAGGTCTGCAGTGGCCCTACAAATGGTGACATGGCTTGCTCCGGACTGTTACTTAGGCTTTAACAATTCGCACTAAGAAGATTGGCGTGTGCCTCGCACATACGAGTAGTCCTAGTCCTGGTTAGTACCCACCACACCGAGGCCGCTCCGTATATATCAGCCTAGCCAATACTTTACAACGTTTTCACCGGTGACCGATTTTCAGTCGAATCACGTATTACATGTCTATATCATATATAATATGACAGCTATCATGGTCTAGCTCCATGAGGCTGGAAATGGGAATATCTAGCATCTTCTCAAGGCTCACAAGTGTCTGAAGGAAGCTCACATGCCCATATGCGGGTGTGTTGAGCAGTAGAATGTGTAACTCAAGACAGCTGCGTCTCAGCAATAACCAGATCCTGCTCGTTGCCGAAGAAGAATGGAAGCATAGAGACAGAACGATTAACACCAATTGCACCATGCTATTACATGCTGCTGACATCATTGAGATGGAACAATCCTTGTGCTATTCTTGCCAACGATCTCTCTAGATTTGTTTGTCGGCAAGGTTTGTGCGTCTTCCTAAAGGATATATGAACAAAAGAGATGGGACACTGTGCGCATCAGGGCCATGACAGAGATGGATGACTCTGCAGACAAGATCCAGAGTCCAATCTAGATGTTTGAGGCCTATGGCAAGAGATCGATAAGCAGAACAGTGACCCTGGCCACTGCCCACCTCTTCACCCTTCAGGTTTGATGGTCCAATAGACATGGATGAAGTGGCGGTTCTGTTGTATCCGGCATGGCCTGGTCTTTCGAGAATCACTGGGACAGTGGGCGTGCTGGAGATAATTACGAACATTTTCTTCCATCCACGCCTTTCGGCCAGGGTTACTGTTGAGGTTTCGCTATCCTGTCAGACCGAAACTGTGAGATACCAAAAACAGTGGAGAGTCAAGAGTATGATATTATTGGCATTAGCAGGGTTGTTATACAATCTCGTCATGCATGTGCGCAGCTTCTCCTTGCAGGCGGCTGCCCTTTGTGCGAGTATCTTCTCTTCCCTTGCTCTGAATCCAAGTCCCAAGCTCCGCGTCTTGCCGATTTGACCCTTTGGGCCAACGGATCACCATTGTCTAGCGTTTCCCGTAATTCTGCATCTTTCGATGGGTGGTGTTACAAGCTGAAGGCATAAAAAAGAGAAATTCAGTTCGCAAAGGGCGAAATCAAGCTGTACCAGGATCAGTTCCGCGCCACAATTCATTTCTTTGGGGATGTGGTCCTACCTGATCAATGCTGGCCTGGGCTCGCTCCGTGTATAGCCTGCGACAATTAGTCCTGACTTGTAAGCTATAGATGATGGACTGAACCTAGATAGAGTATGAGAGGGAGATAGCCATAATGGACAACTTCTCGGGAGATGTCAAGTATCTTTGAGATGCGCTCCTGGAAGTGCAAAGTCAGAAATGCTTATCGATGGGTCTCTAGAGACTAGGTCGCACCTTGGTTTCTTCTGAGAATTGCACCATCTTGCCGACTGTTTTGTGAATTGATCGAAACGGGCTGGGCGCTGGTGAGAGAGTTTGCTCGGATGTTTATCTAGATTCCACTGAATCTCTTCAGAAAATCAATTTGGACAGGTGCCATGCATGAAATCCATGAGCACTGCGCCGTAGATATCACGTGATATTAAACGCTAAGTGATATACAGTAAGGCGCCTTTCAAACCACCAACCGATCTTCAATTGTCACTCCACAGGCGAACTTGTGATCTCCTGTTCAGATAATTCTTCAACTTGAGCACCAAGATCTTCTTTGTTGTCCGATCTAGCTCTTGCACAAAGACAACCTTGCCTTAACTATGTCCGGGGCAAGGCATTGGGAGCAAGATAAGGATTCCACCATCTACATTGGTAACTTGGATGAGCGCGTTACAGATTCCCTCGTTTGGGAACTCTTCCTGCAGGCGGGCCGAATTGTGAACGTTCACTTACCCAAAGATAGGGTGACACAATCTCATCAAGGATATGGCTTTGTGGAATTTAACTCAGAAGAAGATGCCGAATATGCCGCCCGCATCATGAACCAGGTCCGACTCTATGGAAAACCCATCCGTGTGAACAAGGCCAGCGCCGACAAACAGAAATCTGTCGAAGTTGGTGCAGAACTCTTCGTTGGCAATTTGGATCCCATGGTTGATGAAAGGATGTTGTATGACACATTCGGTCGGTTTGGCACGCTTATTGCGGCTCCAAAGGTTCGTCCAAACCCTGCCTCTCTTTGCAGAGGAATTCACTAATTCCTGCGTAGATTGCCCGAGACGAAAGCAACTTGTCAAAAGGGTATGGCTTCGTCTCGTTTTCCAACTTCGAAGCTTCTGATGACGCCATTGCCAATATGAACGGCCAATACCTCATGAACAAGGAGGTGTCCGTTCAGTATGCTTATAAGAAGGACGGCAAGGGAGATCGACATGGTGACCAAGCCGAGCGAATGCTCGCAGCTCAGGCTAAAGCTCATGGAGTTCAGCCTACTCCTGCTACCATCCCCATTGGCAATCCCATGTTTGGCGGTGTTCCACAGTCTCCTGCGACTGCAACAGGCTTTGGGCAACCAAATGGAAATTTTCAATCGATTCCCCCTCCAGCGCAAATGAGGCCACCACCACCAAGTGTGCCACTGGCCGCTCCTCCCAGTGGTCTTCCCGCGAGACCACCTCCGAGTCAGGCCGGATATGGTGGTCCTCAACATTTTATGCCGCCTGGATTCAATCAAATGCCTGGGTTTCCTCAGCTGAACACTGGACCTCCTCCTGGTTTTGCCCCTCCTCCTGGTTTTGGTGCTGCGCAGGTTGCTTCAATACCTTCGGCTCCCCCAGTTCTGCCACCCGGAGGATTTTCAGGTTATGGGATCCGAAAATAGATAACGAGTGTGTGAACCGGTTTTCCAAACGAACCTTAAGCTGGAGTAGTCAACGCAGAGAACGATAGATATGTTTTCTGCAGCAAATTTCTGGTACCTAGGATCTCGAGAAACTGGTCAGGGCAACTTTGCTGGTTAATTGAATATCAAAGGCTCGGGATACCTCGTTCGGGGCCTTGACATTGCTGGATGGACGGCGCTGATATCGCTGTGGTTGTGAGCCGCGTGAAGACATGGAATAACCATGGCCTTTTATGTGTGGTCGCATGGTGTCATTCACCTCGCCGCTGCCTAACTGTGCTGGGTCTTCACTGTATTGCCGGAATCTTCTTTTACACCTGTATGCCCACGCTCTTTGTCATCTCCACCGACACTGGAAACCTGCAAAATTCATCCCGTCCACGAAGATTCTTGTCTTGATTTCTCTCCCCAGAACGATTTTTGCTCAAACAGATAAGCAAAGGCTTCAAACAACAAAGACTCCTGCTGGAATTTCTCTTCAGAACCATTTTTTGCTCGATCTCATACGCGCAGGCTTCGACTCGCAAAACCTTTGCCTTGATTGCTCTCTCCTAAACGAGTCTCCCTCGATTGCATCAACAAAATTCAACTCAATCGCAAAGACTCGTGCCTCGATTACCCTCTCCTGCACGAGTTTCGCTCGAATCCATCGGAAAGTCCTAATTTATTCGCAAAGGCCCTTGTCTAAGCTGCTCTTTCCGAAAGCTTTCGCTCGATCTCGTACGCACACGCCTCAAACCGCAATCACTATGGCCCGCGTTCCCGCCGGTGTCTCGAAGAAGAGAGCAGCGAAGACAAAGACTCCTGAGGAGAAGAAAGTGAGGAATGAAGATCACTCAGCATGGCGCAAGGATGTATCAGTCATCAAAGAGAGGGTTTTGAAGAAGATAAACGCTGTTGAGGGCAAGAAGGCCGGCCCCGAAGACGATGTCAAGCAGGTTAAGGAGTGGTTGAGGATCGAGGCTCATATCGATGAGCTCGAGGCCAAGGTCAAGGAGCTTGAGGCTCAGGTGAAGGAGAAAGACCAGTTGGTCGAGACGATCGCCTTTGAGGTGGAGAAGAGAGATGAGGAGATCGATGCCCTCAAGGCTGAGAAGCAATAGGGAGGTGTTGAACAGGGATAGGGCAGGGTACTGGGTTCGGTGGCCGCTGGCGTCTCAACCATAGCAAACAATGCCGACACATTACCATCTCTCTCTTTCTGTGCTAACGATGTAATTTAGTGCAACAAAGTCCAGTCCCAAGACGTCCGCCGCATGCCAATCTGCCTCGTTGTTGCACTGTGAACTCTCAGTCTCAATCGCCTTTGTTATCTCGAAGTCCGACTCCTGAAGAGACCTCACCCTCTTACTCTGTCGCCGTGTTGTATTCCCCTGTCGGTCGTCCGAATCCTCACTGGCAAACTTCACTCGTTTAGTCGATCTGCCTCCTTCATCATCTGTAGGGGAGTCCCCTTCTACCCACTTATTGGTAGGTGAGGCTGGTGTAATAGGTAGTTCGGTTATTTATCTACTAGTGAGAAACTCCTTATATCTAATATAGTCTGTTGGATCCAGAAATACTACTGTCCTACAGATCTACAATGAGAGCCTCGCAAACATATCTTTACCTCCTCCTAATTAACTGTAAAAGCTGCTCTTATCTCACCAAGTCGAACATTCATGGATAGAGTGATAGAGTATTGACGCTATGGGCTTGACGTCTTCATGATAGAGGGGTATCTGCTAGGTAGCCCATATCGATATGATGGAGAAACCTCTGGCACGAGGATGGGAAAAGGTAGTAATGCATGGCATTGAAAATGTGATGGCTGTTACCTGCCGTCACCCAGCCGTGAATGTTGGAGTGGCTTACCTAAGCGACCAAGCACGTCGGTCGCCAAGCCCATGGAAAGTGTTGCACACAAGAACGCTGGACAATTTCACCTGCAAAAGTTTCACGAAAGCATTCGACGCCCAACAATCACTCTCACCATGTCTGCTCCTTCGAACGTGTCTGGAGATCTCATCTGGGAGGTTGTCCGTAAGTGTTGGCTGCAAATTTGTCTATGGGATTGAGACTAAAGCCTGGTGTTATGCAGGCAACAACAATGCATTCATCGTCAAGCGCAATTCTGGAGGCGGCGTCCAATTCTCCCGAGACCCCTTCAACTTGACCAACAAGCACTCAAGGAAACATGCTGGCTTTGTGAATAACAAGGCTGTTTCTATCCAAGCCAACGAGAAGGGAGGTGTCACACTGCAGACAAAGAAGTCCGGCTCATCCAACAAGCCTGCCTCGCAGTACAACTCACACGCCTTCGGAAAGACCACGTCGAATCGCAAGTGGGTACACATTGAGACTGGCTCAACTGAAGATATGCTGATGACCAGTACAGGATCTACAAGAGCGTCGCAGACGCCGTGGGCAAGAGGTCATACCGTGGTGACCTGAACAAGGATGCTGTTGCCCGAGCCAGTGCCATCAGAGATTCGCAGCGAGTCAAGAAGGACACTCCCGCAAGGAAGCCTCGTGGAGCCAAGGCGTCGAAAACCGAAGCTTGAAGGTGACATTTAAGTGCATTCATCCTGGGAGGTTTGAACGTGGAAATACGCATGTGATTTGGCCTGTGCCGAGCTTCGGGCAACGATGGCAATGCAATCGACAGTCGGGAATTCAAAAATGCGCAAGCGACATCAATTCGGCGTGTTGAGAGATGGCGGCGAAAGAAAATCGGCATATGGTTCACATAGAGAACCCATCCGATGAGGTACTACACTGCCCGATATTATGCAATGATGAAAACAAGCTGCCCCGAAATCCAAGACAGTGAAGCAATGAACGTTCTGAAAACCCCTCAAATGATGCATATTGCTCAGCCTGATCCGTGCAATTCTCGTCCTCCACGAAAAGCCGTCTCAGTTGAGCCGTGTCCCTTGTAGAGAGCGTGGCGGCGTTGGGTTAATTCCTCGTACACACTAGGACTAAACCGGGGATGCAGACTTGGAGGGCAGTCGCCAGGGTGCAACGCGGGGCACGACTGCGACTTGCACGTTGACTGCTCCTTCCTCCTCCGTGATTGCGTCCTATGCAGTGAATATGATACAAGCTTGGCACCTTTCCTCTCAACAGCTGTGATCAGAAAAAAGCCAGACCGCTTTCCTCTTGTCGACCTTGCTTCATCTTCTTTACTCATTGGCACTCAACTTCAATACTTCATTGCACTTTACCAGATCTTCGTGCTGTGAGTCTACCTCTCTAGTGTCTGTGCCCGCTCATTGTTGACTAGATTTAGAGTGTAACTACCCCTCGGACTCAAGACACAATGGTCAAAGCTGTTGTTCTCGGTGCCGCCGGTGGCATTGGCCAGGTACAACACATCGATCTTGTCCCTCTGAGCCGACTAACATCTACCACAGCCATTGTCGTTGCTCTTGAAGATCTCTCCCCTCGTCGACGAGCTCTCCCTCTTTGATGTGGTCAACACGCCCGGTGTCGCCGCCGATCTGTCACACATTGCCTCGCCCGCAGTATGCACTTCCTCTCGCCCGTCCCCTCACCCGAATGGCGCGTACCAGATCCAAATCTGACAGTTTACAGGTCATTGATGGCACCGTCGCCGCCAAGGGAGACTTCAAAGGCGAACAACCAGAGACAGAGGAGGCCAAGAAGAAGGCATTGACCGGTGCAGATATTGTTATTATTCCAGCTGGTGTTCCCCGTACGTCATACAACGTCCCATCAAGCCCAAGGAATGAGACACGCAAACTGATCTCTATATGTCAGGCAAACCTGGCATGACCCGAGATGACCTCTTCAAGATTAATGCAGGTATCGTCAAGGATCTTGTAGTTGCCATTGCAAAGTATGCTCCCAAGGCCAGCATTGCCATCATCTCCAACCCCGTCAACTCCACAGTTCCTATCGCAGCCGAAGTACTGAAAGAGGCTGGTGTCTTCAACCCTAAGAAGCTCTTCGGTGTCACCACTCTCGATGTTGTACGTGCTGAGACCTTTGTTGCCGGAATTACTGGCGAGAAGGATCCCCGCAAGCTCACCATTCCCGTGGTTGGTGGCCACTCCGGCAACACCATCGTTCCTCTCTTCAGTCAAGCCAAGCCGTCCGTGAACATCCCCGCCGACAAGCTCGATGCTCTGGTCAACCGTGTTCAATTCGGTGGTGACGAGGTGGTCAAGGCCAAGGATGGCGCAGGATCTGCAACTCTCTCCATGGCATATGCTGGATTCAGATTTGCCGAGGCTCTTCTAAAGGCCGCAAAGGGCGAGAAGGGCATTGTCGAGCCCACCTTCGTCTATCTCCCCGGTGTCGAGGGTGGTGATGCTGTTGCCAAGATCACCGGAACCGATTACTTCTCTGTCCCTGTCGAACTCGGTGTAAGTATACCATGTGCACCTACATCGAATCTTCCCGCCTTTTCCAAATTTGATGCAGACTGACCCCAAACTAGCCCGATGGAGCTGAAAAGGCTATCAACATCCTCAGCAACGCCAATGACTATGAGAAGAAGCTCCTGGATGAAGCAGTCAAGGGGCTGAAGACCAACATCGAGACAGGTGTTAGCTTCATCAAGAACCCCCCCAAGTAGGCCGCTCTGTCTCCTCATGTCCTTCATCGATTGCCTAACGTCTTCTTGCAGGTAGGCCATGAGCGACTTCTTACCACAGAATGAGCCTGCCTGCCACTCTGTTTCAAGTTTACAATAGCCGCCATGGAAACTGACAACGCTTTTGGAACAGATTATGAACATGTCATGAACGTCTGGTCCCCTGTGGGCTGGACCTTCCGCCGTTAAGCCTTTCACTGCACCACCTTTTAGACAACATATTGGCCACTGGTTCGAACATTTTTTGAGGCTCTTGGAGCATGGCAGATGTCCTCGATAATTTCCAGCCGAAAATAAACTGATGTGACATTGTGTGTTTTCCTTCTGTGTCTTGTAGATTCTATGGCCTTGCCTGTGTAGTTTTAATTTGGAACGTCGCAGATGGTAGTTCGTTAGTTTCGGCCTGAACTGTAGCCTTGATTCCTAGACTTGATAAGACTCCTCTGACGATGCCACAAGGGAAGTAGAGGTGGGCCTGTGCTCGTGCAACGGCCTCAGCATTACTTGTCATACTCATCCTTGAGAAGGGTCGAAATTTGCTATCGGTGAGGACAAAAACGCCCTGAGGGATGAAAGAGTGTTAGCGTAATTTTCTCGTTCCCAGTCCAAAACGAAAACCCGATCTCGTCCAGGAGCATGGTTAAATTGCGGAAAGAAGGAGAGCCTACCCGGTGATTGGTCTTCAAGTTATCAATCTGCTTCTTGAACACTACAGTCCATAGATCCTTGCAGATGAATTTGATCACGTCGAGCTGATCGGTGAAGCGCGGCCTGTCACGCGAGAACCGCTCACACAGGCCCTGGCCGACACGGAAGCCCAACCGCTCCAAGCGCACGTATACACTGTCCCGAAAGATTTCGGTCTCGGGCAGGCCGTCCGCCGCTAGCGCCATCACAGCAAGCGGATTGTTTGTGCCACCGGCGGTCGAGGCTGGCCCACCGCCACCGCCACGGCCTCCTCCGCCGGGGTTGATATTGTTGCTCGTCGCTGCCGTCGGGTTCCCGCTCCCGGGGGACGACGCTGCATTCGTGCCTGTGCCGCTCGAGCCCACGGGGTTGGTGTTGCTTGTGGGCGTTGTTGCACTAGGGGTAGTCGAAGCAGCAGTGTTAGCTAGACCGTTCGGCCCTCCTACTCCTGTCGCTGTTGCTCGCCTATTGTTTGCCGCGGCCCCCGTTGTGGAGGTCGATGGCGGAGCTGAGGGACGGTCGAGCGACGCTTCGTACGACCGCGCCATGCGCTCCGCAAGCGGCACCAGCTCGATCAGCAGCAGGTCGAAGCAGGACATGTTGAACAGCGGCGCATTGGCGTCGGCCATTGTGTCGTAGTTTGGGGTCGCCATTGTTTGACTCCTGAAGGAGGATATAGCGGCCGTCCGCGTCTTGTGGTATGGGATTCTAGATGTACAGGTGCAAAGGTGGGACTTGTGTGTCAATTGAGAAGAAAGACGGCGGGTGCGTAATGCGGCTCTTAGATGGCGCTTATATTGTCGTCGTGTTGAGCAAGAGAGGGAGAGAGAGAGAGAGAGAGAGAGAGAGAAATGTGGCCGTCGTTGATTTTGGTATATGTAGGTAGTAGTTTGATGATTTCGGAACGAGCATGACCGTGGCATGCTATCAGTCGCGCTTCTCACCTGGCGTCGTGGCCAATATGTAAGATATCATAGCGATCCATCATTTTGCATACTATATTAGGGAAGCTCTTTGGCGTGGACTGAATCGCCTAGGAATAAGTTCATGAAAGCAAGTGGGAGTCTTCCCCCCATGGCGAGAGAATTTCGGGGTCTGGAGTTATCGATATGTCACGTGGTGCGACCGTGGCTCATACAAGGCTGAAGGAACTCTTAGATGGAAACTGGTGCGCAGTCTCGATCTCAATGGCTCAGGTAGTGATGGGCAGTACAGTAGTGTTTAAGATCTCAACAAGAGGTGTTACACATTCTAAGGCTATATCCCTTGCACCTTGCGGTAATTAGGTGGTTTCCACATGCGACGAATGACTTTCCCACCCCAGACTGGCACAAGGCTGATGGCTGCGACGGCCGCAACCCTCCAAACCCAGCTCCAGCTGACCACATACTCGAGATCGAAGTAGCCTCCAAGGAATGGAACGCTCGCTGCATAAAGTGTTGCGGTCCCTAATATACATGCTATCATGATCGGATGCCATGTGGTGACCGCCACTGCCACCATGATGAGTTCGTTAAGGACCAAAACGGTAAAGCTGACACTGAGCATTCTAGGTCCGTCAACCTCCCCAACTAAGAGCTGAGTCAAACCTTGAATTACGACTCCTTGATAAACCGACACCAGTACCCAAGTGAAGAAGGTTTTGTAGCTCAAGCTTTGACCCGACTTGAGCTCTTTGTACAACTCAGGGTAGAGATTGGCGACTTGTTCATCGACGTCTCGATCGAATACCAATGAGAAAACAGGAGCCATGGTGTAAACGGTGGCATAGCCAACCAAGAGCCAGTCCTTGAACAAGCCTTTCGGATCGAAGTGTCCGGCAATGTTGTACATAGTCTGGCAGACACTGATAATCAGACCACGATGCATGACAAATTGAGCTAATTTGGCTGATCGCTTATAGCTGTTACGACCGTGCCAAACTAGGAGTTTGGTAAGATGGCAAAATTGCGTAACGCTGAAATCTGCAGCCAAAGATGCCTGGCGTCCTTCTTTGCCGACAATCCCAATGCCAACGTCCGCGGCTTGAATCATGCTGACATCATTGCCACCATCCCCAATGCAGCAGACGCGTTTCTTCGTATGTCGTCGGATCAAGAGTGCCACTTCAGCTTTCTGGGTGGGAGAGCATCGGCAGGCGATGACAGCAGGAAGCATGACTGCTATACTGATGAAATCTTGACGGAACTGGCTCAACATCAGCGCAAGGGACTCTCCGTCGATCAGCAGACAGGACTCTGATTGATTCCGTATCGCATCTAAAGCATCTTGTCCTTGCGATTTCGTTTTGAGTTTTGCCATGGTTTGGATGTACTGGCCCCGGGCCACTAGCCTGGCTGAGACAGCAACACATCGTGCGGTCTCGATTTTGTCACCTGTGAGCATCCAGATTTTGACACCAGCATTGCGAAGTAGTTCGAGTGAAGGCTTGACGTCCTTTTGCAGTCGATCCTCCACACCCGTGACACCAAGGAGTTCTAAATCGCGCTCAAGATGGGATTTGACAACTCCCGCCATGCCAACATCACGTGCATGCAGAGCTAGCGAGGCATCACCATAGTCCGAGGCAAATGCAGCGTATTGCGCCGGTGAGAGCTTCTTCCTACCAACAACAAGAGTTCTGAGGCCTTCACGGGCCATGTTCGAAGTTTCTTCATCCAGCCAGTCATTAGCTGCAACAATTGAAGACATGACTGTGTCAGCTCCTTTCTGGAAAAACCAGAACTCATTGGCGAATGAAAGGCCGGGTACCTCGGAGAAGATTTGTACAATGATACCCATGCGTTTGCTTTCTGAGGTGAAAGGAAAGACGTCTTTGATTTCCGCTCTGATGACGATCTTATTCGTTGCTACCGATTGTAAGACAATGGTTTCTCGATCACGCTGAAGCAGTCGGAGGCCGACGCTTTCCGTGAATTCAACGATGGCGATTTCATCAGGTGAGGATGCTTGATACGAGACAACCTTCTTTCCATCGACCTCGTCCGTCGTGGGAGTCACATTGTGGCAAAGGGCAAGTGCCAGGATCAGATCACGGACGCGAATTCCTATCTCTCTTCGCGTTTTGGTGTTCGCTCCCGCTTCTGCACCTCGTGGTCCAGTCGCAGTTTCTGTTGTTGCAAAAGCCTGTCTGACATACGCAGCTACTTCCTCGATAGCCTCGCCAGCATAGGCTACTGTGCCCACGTGTATCTTCCGTAGTTGCATCTCATTTTGTGTGAGAGTGCCCGTTTTATCTGAGAGGAGATACTCGATTCGACCCAAATCTTCGGGAATGGTACTGGTCCGTACAACGGTCTCTGGAATACCTCGGTCGTGTTCGATAAAGTATGCATATACTGTCTTTCCCATGTCGAGATTGACCCGCAGACTGATGGGAATGATTGTGGAAAAGAGAATTAGGTAAATCATGATAGCCACATACCACGGCTTTTGGTTCGACGGTTCAAACCCCTCAAGAGCAACAAGGACGATTGACAAGCTAAGCGTCATGATGCAGAGGATTTTGGTCAAAGTGTTTACTTCGAGCTCCAGTAAGCCAGTTTTTGATCTTGATGGGGATGTGGAGAGAGCTGATCGTGTTTGGCGACCAGTGTAGACTACTGCGCAATAGCTAGTGGTCGTCGAGGCCAAAACGGTGTTGGCCCAAGCGGTATTGTCAGTTGTGAGTGGAGCTGAGGTGCTGCTAATGTGAATAGCTCCGAGACCATCAACCTGAGGTGAAGTGTCTACGGGAGAATCTTGCTCACTAACATGTGGATCATATGCAACGTTGGAGCTTCCCTGGAGTTCTAGGGTACCGACGAAGTCGTTGACCTTCTTATCTGGAGCACCTGCAGTTATGCGAAGCTGTCGTAGATCGGAGAGTTTTAGGGTTTGACTCAGAGGACTGGGAAGTCGCAGTTTCCAATCGGTCTCTCCATCAAGTTGATCAGTCCGTATAAAAGTCTCACCACTTGCTTGGGCAGACGTCGCTGTGTCGATGTCACCAGGTGCGCTTGTCGAAGGATCTGAAAGTAGTTCATTCTGATGGCTTTGCAGAATTACCACATCTGCAGGAACTCTTTGGTTCTTCTCAAGCTTCAAAATGTCACCCACCCTGATATCTCGTGCTTTCTTCTGGACTTCAAGGATGCCATTTCTGGATTCAAGTTGACGGGGTCTTGTGAACTCGGTGAAGGACAAAACAGTGTAGGGTTCGGAGTTTGCCTCTGCGTCTCGTCGGCGTCGTGCAATGTCGTCAAGAGCCTCCTTCCCGATCGTGATAGCAAGGACACAGGCTAATGGAACAATGTAGGTGGACATATATCCAATACGCAAAAAGGGTACGATCTGGGACAGGGCAACCAGGAGAAAATAAATGTTGAGGAAGAACGAAAATTCATTATACAGGGTCCGAGGCAAGAAAGACCAGGCGGTATATTTGGCGTTGGAGACAACATTAGTCGGGTAGCGTTTCGACTGGATCTGGCCGACTCTGATTTCGCGTAAATCCTTACTGTTGACATCTTGGTCTTCACGCATGTCGGCGAGCTCTTGCCGCACGAAGTCTGACAACTGCATACTTTGCCGGAAACTTGAGCGGCGAGAATGGGTATCCCGAGGCTGCGACGATGCATTGGTTACCCGGCCTCCATCTGCTGTCCTATCTTGCCTCACGTTCCAACCAACTCTGTCTTCGGACCATTGGTGCAGATGGCCGTTTGCAGAAGTCTGGCCCGGCCAGCTACCTAGTAGCCCTTCGGTATCTCCATCAGCCTCAGCATAAGCAGGATTGTCTCTTCTTCCTGCCGCGCGCCACAATCGAGACCCGCCAAACTGCTGCAATTTCTGGAGTGGAATGATTGAAGATGCATTTCTCGTGGCTTTAGCTGGATTCGCAGAGAAGTTTGTCTGTTCAACGATGGGGTCGAGTTCGTCAAGGTCGAGATCATCCTCGGAATCGGACTCTGCCCGTCCAGGCTGGTAAGCGGGGTTTGTAGAAGACATTCTGTGTGTTAACCATGATCGGTGTTGTAGAACGGCCCCTGCGGACTAGACGGAGCCAGGGCTGGCAATCATCGCTTCGGGTATGCGATGGACGTTTAGGTATGTGTGAATAGAGAGAGTAACACGGAAAGGAGGTCCCGAAGGCTCAGGCGGTAAGGAGTGGTAGGAATATCGGATTATAGTCTTGGATAATGCTGAAGACAGATGAATTGTAGATGCCTTGGAAGAACGGGATGGGGGCAGCCACATGTTCAGAGGCAAACATATGGACACTAAAGATCTAGTATTGCGCTAGCCCTATATAGGGCTAACGTAGTAACTAGCGTCCGCGGCCCACTTTTCCTGTATGGCTCTCCCAGTCACGCTTGATTCACCAACGACTCAGGATTTTAAGTTAGATTCCGAGGCCAACCTTGCTAGTGGAACTTCCTGGACGAACAACTTGGCCCTTCCAACTGCGACGACTCTCATGCCCGTTCCCATCGCATCTCGTTCCATCCATCTCAGGCTCAGCAGCTTCATCATCAGCAGCATCGCCCTTCTCCCCCGGCTTGTTCTAAACACCTTGGTTGCGAAATGATTTACTTTTGTCGATATGCATGAATTGTATTGATGATTAGCACTCCTCGAACTCCTTTCGTGTGCATGTATGAGACCCCCCTTGAGTCCAATCTCCCGATCTCTGCTGATTCAACCAGTATCCTTCATTGTTCGACCCAGCAATGGCTGCTACTTTTGATACTTCTTACAATTACCAGACCCCTGTAATTTCTCCTCCTCAACAGGCCGGTCACTGGTTCCCGGCCTGGAGACCAGACGTCCTCGATGATCCATCCGACGCACGCACCATTGACCAGCCCATGGATGCTGCTGTAAATGGCGAAACCTCTACAAGCATACACACGCGAGACTCGCTACTAAAGGCTGTGAAAAAGCCGACCGAACCGCAACTTTCGTCCGAAAGTGGCATCTTTTCTCCAGAGCAGGAAGCAACCCCGTCGTGGAATTCGCACCTTTCACCCACTACCGGACTGGGAGATGAATTGCTCGACGACGACGACGACGAGCGACTTGATCCTGCATGGGGTATAAAACGAACGGACTCGGCCCAAATCCTCCAGACGGTGGCACGGTCAACCACTTTCCCCGATTTTGGATTGCCAACACCCACCACCTCCGCCTCGCCTAGCATTTTCCCGGCTGCGTTGGCGAACCCGCAAAATGAAGCCGAAGAAACAGACGTGCCCTCCACCTCACGACAAGGGGACGTACCAATACCGGAGCCCATCCAGTCGTCTTGGTCGCATGATCAGCAGGACTCTGTCCAAGAACCGTTCCCGTGGACGAGCTCCGAACACTCTAATTTAGAGGACGAGCTGAATCAGCGCTTCGACGAAGGAGTCCCCTTGATTCAGGCACATAGCTTGGAAGAATACCCAGTAGAACCAGCACCAGAACCTCCTTGGAGCTCCATAGCCGCGCAAGACCAAGAAGAGGCTGGCTTCTTTACCAACCTGGATAACTCTACTTCCGGGGCAAAGTTGCCCCGGCCGCTGAACAGGAAATCAACCGCTCAAGTGCTGGATTCGCTGGAGTTTGAAAAGCCGGAGAAAACAGATTCTCCGGCTATAATGGAGCAAAATGAGTCTTCCTTCTTTGATGAGCTCAGCAACAACCCAGCTGATGCAAGCACTGATTCTGGACCCCACCTCGTGGAGGATGTCGATGCTCTGTGGAAAGCTGCCCTCGAGGATGATGAGTTTCTCATTGAAGATGCTGATGATCTTCTACCTGATTCCGAGCCAGGGTCCCCTTCGTCATTTATTGCTTCGCTACAGCGTGATAGTTTGGCTACAGTGCCAGAGAACCAGTCCATGCCATCGAGTGCTCAGCAAGCCCAACAATCCTCGCCTCGCGGACAAACTTCGTTTACTCCATACGCACCACATCAACCTACGGTTTCGGACATGCTGCAACTCTCGCCTGGTTCGACAACGCACAACAGCATTGGTCTGAATCGTCCTGGCCTTCCCCAACACACACTTTTCGGTGCTCAAAATCAACCAAGACCAGCCGCACCACAGCAGATGAAGAGTTTTGTTGACCAGGCCAAAGATGGTTACAAGTCGCCATACGACCTTCCAATGGACATCACGAAGTCAAGAAAACGAGCAGCTGCTCCACAACCTGTTCAGCCTACCAAGACACTTCCTCCACCCCGAAGCAGTAGTTTGTCTGAAAAACCTCTTCGGTCCCCGTTTAATCCACCTCGTCAAAATTCATCCACGAATCCCACATCAGCGTCATCGTCAGCGGCACCAGTACCCCCTCGAAGTGTTTCAGCCTTCAGTCCCGCAGCTGGGCTACCCGCCACACATAAAGCGAGCGGATCGGCAAGTTTTTTTGAGGAGCTGCCAGCTGTCTCGAGACCGCGGCCTGCAAGTACCCATGGCCGCTACACGCCTCAACAAATGGTCTCGTCACCCCCGCAGCTTCCTCCGAGCCCACCATACAACAGTACTACTATCCAGGAGCCACTGCGTGTATCAGATCCTTATGCCCAATTCCAGCTACAACCGCCCGAACGTCTAGATCCTTACGCTCATGTTGCTCTACAACCCCCTGTGCCTGCACCTTCCATCTCGAATGCTCGCTATTCACCCGCCCCAGTTACAAATCAGAGCGGCGCAAGGTCAGGTCCTTCCCCTCGGTACTCCCCGGCACCTCCACCTCAACCTATCTCGGCGAATCAAGGCAATAAGTATGCTTCACAACCGGCTCCTGCTTCGCAGCCGGCTCCTGCTACACAAATGCAGGCTGCACCGTCGCCATTGAGTAGATATGTCTCTCAGCCACCCCCAAGTTCTTTACCGCCTTCCAACATTCTTCCTTTTCAGCCTCGTACCTCGAGTCCTTTGGCAGTTCACAAAAGGTCCACAGATGAGACAGCAGCAGCCATAATTGGCTCCGTTGCGCCCACCGCGAGACCTGGACCTGCCCCTCGACAAGCTTCTCACAACGTCAATTTTGATGCTCAAGCGGGTGTGAGACCAGAAGGTATCAGTATTCCATCTTCTTCCCCATTGACTTCCCCGGCAAAGAGACAAGTCGTCGAGAATCTCCCACCTCCCCGCAGGTCACAAACCCAATCTCCGTCGAAACAGCGGCCACAACCGTCGTTCTCAAACTTGGTCAGCGATTTTCCAAATCGCCCCGCTTCAGCTTATGGCCAGTCTTCGCCTAGCAAGTCTTTTGCACAGATGGATTCTCTTCCACCAACTAGGCCAAAGGCCCTTACCAAGGCCTCAGCACCAGAATTAGATTTTGTACTGCCCGCCGATGACACCCAGTTCGACCCGTTAGAACGTTGGAAAGGCGCACCCCTGATAACTTTTGGTTTCGCTGGCACTCTAGTGACCTCATTTCCAAGACACACTCCAAGGTATACAGCTGGATCTACAAAGCCTCAAATCAAATCGTCCTCAGGGGAGATGGCTATTCGCCAATTGAAAGATTTTGTTCCTCAGAATGAGCTTGTCAACAGCTTCCCGGGGCCATTGCGATCGAAGGCAAAGAAAAAGGAAGTCCTTTCCTGGATGGTCGCCTACATTTCTGGATTAGAGTCTTCTTTGCCTGAAGTTGTCCCACAGCAATCGCTCACAGATTCACGCAGGCGCCACCACGAGAAGATTCTTCTTTGGAAAATTGTTCGCGCACTTGTAGAAAACGACGGTATGCTAGAAGGCCCCGCTCTCAAGGCAGTGAACATCATTTTGTCCCCCGAAGTTCACGCATTGGACGACACGACTGCAAGCCGGTATCGGGTTGATGAGCAACTCACCGGGATATATCGTCCAGCAGGCGCCACCGCACGCACAGATTCCATGGACCCTCTTGCTGTAGAAATTCTACGAAAGCACCTAGTTGGTGGCGATCGACAAGCAGCAGTTACTCATGCTATGGATAGTCGACTGTGGTCACATGCCTTGATCATATCCTCAACAATGGATCGTTCTATGTGGAGCCAGGTGGTCCGGGAGTTCGTTCGACAGGAAGTGAAAACAATCGGAAACAACGCGGAGTCCTTGTCTGCTCTGTATGAAATCTTTGGGGGCAATCTTGAGGAAAGTATGGATGAGCTTGTCCCGCCATCAGCTCGTGCTGGACTGCAAATGGTGAGCAGGGCGGACACCTTGGGCCCCGCCAAAAACGCCTTGGATGGATTAAACCATTGGAAAGAGACCTTGAGCCTCATTCTCAACAACAGGGCACCTGGCGACTACCAAGCCCTGGCAGTCCTTGGTAAGCTACTTGAAGACTATCAGCGAATTGAGGCAGCACATATCTGTTATCTCTTTTCGAGGTGCCCTACCAACACAGTCATCATGGGTGGCATCGATGATGACCAAGCCCCTATCGTATTGCTAGGTGCCGACCACAGGGCTCACCGGACTGACTTTACTCGGAACCAAGAAGCAGTCATTTTGACTGAAGTCTATGAATTTGCCACCAATGTACTCAGCGCAGGATCTGTTCCTGCAACATTGCCACATCTGTCCGTATTTAAACTCCAGAAAGCTGGTGTTCTGGCCGAGAATGGAATGAAAGCAGAGGCTCAAGCGTATTGTGAGGCAATAGCCTCGACACTCAAATCTAGCACCAAGCTATCACCCTACTATCATCCATTATTCCTGGGACAATTGGACGATTTGTCTGCGCGACTCAAACAGACTCCTATACAAAGCTCATCGTCTTGGATTGGGAAGCCAAGCCTCGAAAAGGTGTCTGGATCCGTATGGAACAAGTTCACGACTTTCGTTGCAGGTGATGACAGTGACGCCGAATCAAAAGGATCTACAAAAGATGCGACTGAGGCAGGCCCATTTGCCAATGTATCGGGTACTCCATCTTTGAGCAGAAACGGCTCTCAGTCTGACCTGTATGGCTCGTACCCATTAGCATCACCTCCAGCTGTATCCAACACAATCGCAGGATCGAGATACGCACCAAATGGGCTTAACTCTGCACGATCCTCTTCAGAATTGACCCGAGGTCGGCCATCCCTAGATTCACAAAGATCGCCTCCTTCAACCTCACATGCACCAACTAGCCGACAATATGAGCCTGTAAATATGCTACACCAAACCCAAATAGCTCAGCCTTTAACTCCTTATCACGCGCTTGCCGCAGCTTCTCCGCCTACCAGTTATCCTCAGAGTCCGCCACGGTCGTCTTATCTGCCAAATAATATAAGCCAGCCCCTCCAGGACACAACTCCTCTAGTACATCACGAACCTTATGCGACAACCCCACCAGCTGAGGATGTCATCTCCCACGTTTATAGGTACACACCACAGCTACAATCTGGTCACGAGCATTCGCAAAGAGACCAGATTCATTACGGAGAGTATAAGCATTCAGATCAACAAATTTCACTAACGCAAGACGAAACAGCCAATGCAGGCTATGAAGCCCCAGCACAATCCTACGGCTATGTACCTCCTGCTGAGAATGGGTATGTGCCCTATGTCCCGGAGCCCGATTCACCAGAAGAGTCAAAGTCCAAGAAAAAGTCCTTCATGAATGACGAAGACGATGATTTTCCACGGGCATCATTCCGGCCTACACCACCAGACCCGCAGGTATCCCCAGACGAAGATACTGCTGCACGCAAGCGTGCCAATGACGATGCTGCCGATGCTGCCTTCCGCGCTGCCGCTGAAGCAGACGCAGCTCGCGAGAAAGAAAAGACCCAAGCAAAGCGATCGTCCTCATGGTTTGGAGGCTGGCTGGGCGGCAAGAAGGCTCCCGAAGGCCTTGATTCAGGTTCAAGTAAAGGAGCCGAAGCCAAAGTGTATAGAGCAAATTTGGGAGAGTCAAAGATGAAGCTATACTATGACAAGGACCTTGGCAAGTGGGTGAACCCGGACAATCCGGACGCAGGGCAGAAGACGGCAACACCTCCGCCTCCAAGAATGGGCGGTACACCCGCTCCTCCCAGTGGTCCTCCCAAAGGTTCGGGGCTTGGACATGTCACTAGTTCCAGTTTGCCAAATGTGAACATGCCGCCACCATCTTTACCAGGTAGCAGGGTAGGTACTCCTGCCAATGGACCCGCATTGGGACTCCCACTCGCCCCTGGATCAGCTGGTCTTTCTGGACCACCGAGTGCTGCCAGTACGCCTCCTCTTGGGGTCGCACCAACATCCAATCCCGGTCTTGTGCCGCCACCTAGGCCAGGATCGCGTCCAGGGACTGCAATGAGTAATGCTAGCAGTATCGATGATCTCATTGGGCCAGCAGGGGCGCGAAAGAGCACCAAAGGAGCGAAAAAAGCAAAGGGTCGTTATGTTGATGTCATGGCCAAATGAGGTGACTGGAACGAACAAAGATGTACGGCTCCGTATGATCCAACAATTCACCATATCTGTGTACAATAATAATAGCATAAGGTGTTGGGGACATTATGTAAATGCAGAGTTCGAAATGTACTCGAGTGCGGCTAATTACCATTGGAGCACTCAGGCCCAACACGAATGGTCGGGCGAGCATTGACTTGTAAAAAGGATTAGATGGCGCTAGTATGAGCCCTCGTAGCGTAATAATACTAAAAGCAAAGGTCGCATCGTGCTATTCAAATGCACAATCTGGTCGATGCTCACCATGGCACATGAAGGAATAGTGGAAGGCTGATGAGTTTCAAGGAGACGTGATTCCCCGCACGCACGTGACCAACGACCTCCCGCTTAAGCACGGAAGGTGAGCTCGAAATGTGAGACTCGACCGGTTTCGAGAGGCACAGTTCAGACCACCAGCTTCTGCTTTTCGCATTCATAGACGCATGCGCTTAACTGTATTACTCCTTCTCAGCTACTTGCTGGCTCAAGAGTCGCCAAAAATCGGACACCACCTCACCCTCTACTGAACAGCATGGCCTCATACCTCTCGTATTTCACATCCAACAATGCGTCCAGCGCCCCTCCTTCCTCACATGGCGGAACGCCTCAACCTGCAGGCTCAACTTGGTCGAGCACATTCTCATCTCGCATAGCTACTCTTCGAAAGGCTTTGACAAAAGACTCCGAGGATGACGACCCAGAAAATGAGGACTGCTCCCACATTTCAAACGTGTTGCGCGCCTATTATACTGAGAAACAGAGACCGTTTCCTGAATGGCTTCCTCCGGATCCAAAACGGCCAGTTGCTCCTCCTCCCCAACCACAAGGGTCGTACGGCCAGTATGGCAGTGCATATGGGGCTGGATATGGAGCTCAGAATACACATTCAAGAGGCCCCTCCGGCGGACGGGGAGGAGGTTTGTCCGACCTGTGGGATCCCGCCCCTACTGTGAGCGCACCAGCTCCTCAGAGTCTTCGAGTAGCTCGACCTACGCCTCAATCTCTCCGGTCGAATGATTCCTTACGATCACAGTCTCAATCAAGTGGCAGCGGACAAGCGAGCCCTTACGCTGGCCCCATGAGTGGGGCTCGACCGCTCCCGAGTCAGCGGGCAGGAAGTTATCAAACTGCGAATCCAGCAGCAACCCAGGCGAGCGGTCTAGGATCACGTGATCGCCTTCGTGCACGATTGCAAGGCGGCGGAAGTGGCAGGAGCAGTCCGTCAGCAGGCTTGAATAGCGGGGGTAGCGGCACTCAGGGGTCCTACGGAGGTCCTGGTGGGAACTTTGGTAATCAAAATCGAGGCGGCACATCACAGCCTTACGTTTCAGCATCTGAACCTTGGTCCACCAGTGACCCATATGCTTTCAGCGGCACCTACGACGATGGGGGTCTCTCTAACACGAATCAGTTTGGTAATCAAGGCCACCGACAGCGCCCGGGAGGACCAAGGTGAACAAAACTCCTTAGGGCTGAAATCTTTTCCTTACGAAGATGAGACCCTCAGGCGGCTGCCACGATTCGACAAGGCCATGGAGGACCAAGATAAACGATAGATTGCTAGGGCTGAGATCGTTTCTTACAAATTTGAGACCATCAGCCTCGTAGCAACGGCCCGAAAACAAGGACTATCAAGGGTCACTAGCATCTGACAGTGGCTAAGCCCTTCTTAGACGAGTACTGACCCTCCCGGGGTAGATGTTTTGATCCCAAAGAGAAGACGTGTATCTTCTTGGGTTAGCGATTATCCAGGAATGGAGATGGTCGTTTCGGATCCACGCGTATGCGGCAATGGATAGCGACGCATATCTATTCTTTGGGAGGGTTGGGAAGCTTGATCCTACTCGGGTCGTGCAGCCTCGAATGGAAGAGGCAGATGGGAATTGCACTGGAGCTCAGGCCTATACGAGAGGCAGGCCATGTGGCCCAGTGCTCGGCAATCTCGATCCGCAGTGTGGAATAAAGGACTATTGTGGCTGATAGTAAGCATCTTGGCGAGCGATTCCTTCAATAGGAAGATACTTTTGGCACACAGGACCCCTGCAGGTGGCCGGATATAGGGCAGAAAGTGGCACCAAGGTAGAATGGGGGTTGTCCGCTCACAGCTTCACCCACGGGCTCAGCGACATAGCCTCACGGTGGAGAGGCTGAGGCTGTAGACTACGCCCAAGTAGGTCAAGCTTCGGCATAGTCGGCCATATGCACTGACTAAGCTTGGCATCCGATTCTCTCCTTGGGTCGTTATTCTCGATAACTTTGGATCAATTCGGTCGTTCCATTGTCCTTCCAAAAGCTCGCTACTGGCCTCCGCCAAAGCTAGCCCATCACCATGGGCCGGAATGCCGCCCAGGTGAGCTACGTGACCTTTCCAACTACAACTTCATGGGGTGGCCTTTTCCGCACTACCGAGCTTAGTGACTTCCGGCTGGCTGGTCGTAATTAAAGGACACGCTCTGCATTTGGGCTTGTGAGCCAGCACGACGTGCACTACCTCGCCCTGGATTCTGGCGAAGCCCGCCCCCATTTCTCTGATTGCGCCATGACTTGATCAGTTGTTTCCTTACCGGAATCCGGAGTGACCCTTTTCGTGGCTTCGCTGACATTGCCTGTGAGGTGCTCTCGGCGTCCGGCACGTGGCCACCTTTCCAGACCATCTTTTTCCACATCCCACCAGGCCACTAGCACTTTTGCTGAGCGTTTGAGGCTGAAGATCGTTGGACAGTCGTACCTGTCTCACGCTTTTAGACCTACGTGAAACTATAGTGCCATCTTTTGCCGGAAGATGACCCATCCGCGCCTTGATGTGGCGTGGGTTGGGGGATGGGGAGCCGCAAAAAGGAGCACTTCTCGGTAGTCATTCAGAATAGTCGTTTTGGGCAGGGCTATTGTATACGGCGACGGTTACCGAAATGGCAAGGTATTGCTCGGCACATCATCACACGCTGGACAGAAAAGACATATTATCTCTGTCGGAACTTGGAAGACATGTGTCAGCCTGCTCATCTGCTTTGGTTTGTGCCCACTGACCCAGGCCAATCCCATCTATCCATCCGCCGCCCATCATCCTACAATTACATTGCCCTTAATCGTGGTCTGGTCTCTACTCATCATTGTTTCCTTCCTGCGCTCTTACTAATTTCCCATCCCCCTTTCGGCCCTGGTGAGGCCCTGTCCATTCTTCATTGCCAGTTGCATTCCAGATAGCGCCTTATATCATCACGATTAGCAATTTTCGAGCACACCTCCCCCGCTATAGCCTTCCAACATCACTTTTCTAAAGGTGGTGTGTAGTCTATGGACGATCTGTCCCGGCAGAACAGCACCGGCTCCAAAGACAGAACTACAAGAAGGCCTTCATCTCGCAATCAAGAAGACGAACGAAGATCCACAACCCTACCTCAACATCCAGCTGCTGGGCGGACTCCTTATACTTCAGCCTACAATACCCCGACTTCTTCTCAGACAGGAGAGCAATCTGCATCACGAACATCATATCCGATATCGGTTTCGCCATTTGATTCCACCATGTCGCGCCATGCTTCATCAGGACCAACTTCGGTTCCCACATCGAAATCCCAGCAGTATCAGCTCGTTTCTCCTGGCACACCAGCTGATCCTCGAGCTATGAGCCAAGTTAGTCCAGGCTTCATTTTTGTAATATTTCCTATGTTTGCGGTGGTTTGGTTTTGATTCCTTGCTCCCTTTCCTTTTCCTTGATCTCCCAACCTCTCCTCTCCTCTCCTCTAATTTCTCATCTCTTATCTGGTTCTCTGGTTCTTTGGATATTTGATGTCTTTTCGCGCACTCCAAGAGTGGGACACAAAGCACAGGCTAACGGTTTCCTGCAGAACAACAAGGACCAACTCATCCAGTCCCTTCGGACACACCGAGTCAACACCATTACTGAATTGCGTCGCATCGAGAAGATTTTTGCTTACCTGGATTCCGCCGAGGTCACTGAGCCGATGACCACGGCATGGGCTCATTACGTCAACTCCAACAACCTGTTAAATGAGCTTCGTGGGCTTACCAGGACCTACCCATTCAGTTCGGAGTGTCTAGACGAAGCAAAAGCTATGGTCGTCCGCGACCCCAGCAGCACACGGAGCTGGAACTACTGTTGGCTAGTGCTGGTCAAGATGGAGAAAGAGTAAGCTCTGGAGATGCAACCCGAAACGGCCATTTTCCATTTGCCACGCGATCAATTAATCCGTGAGAGAGGCTAACATTCTGCTCTCACCTCCAGAAACCTTGTTACCAAACATGCACGAGCTCTTGCATCCAAGGCAAGCACTTGGGGAGGTCGGCGACCTACTGCGACAGAGTTCGAGAAGCTAGTAAATGCATGTGTGGCGGAGTGGACCCGAGCTCTCAGGCAGATGCTCAAGCACTGGGACAAGCCACCAAGCACGACTGGAAATTGAGAGGGCGCGCATGAGTGAGATTGTTGACATTGCAGGACAAGGGCACTTCGGGCTTAGACCGTTGCATCGGTCAGGACCGAGCGGCAAAAGCACCAAATGGGGGGAAGAGGAGAGAAGGGACAAGAGCCAAAAAAGATTTTGCAGTTGGCTCCTTTTTCGCAAGGGACTGACAACCTGCTTTTTGCCACCAAACAGGCACCGATTGATATGACGGTGGGATGTCAGACACGTGGTCTTCTAGGGGAAACGGCCGCTTCTTCGACTACCTCTGTGTTTCTTCTTCACGCGATGCGATCAAGAAGCACAGGGTGTGCCGAATACGCGAAGAGGAAGAACATGGAAAATGCTGAACGTGGAAATTCGTGGAGAGTGTTGGGGCTGGGCCTTTCGCATGGGTGGAAAATGGGCAGATCCCAATTGGGAAATGAGCAGAGACCGGCTCTCGGCTCCGCAAAGGGGAAACAATTGGCTAAGGCGTTTCGGTTTGGGCAGGCATCCAAGAGATGCATCACTCAATCCCTCTTTTGGTTACAACTAGGGTCGCTCTTTTATACATATAAAACATTTCGATTTCTTTCCTCTTACAACTTATCATTGCGGGCTGGAACACAGACGCGCCGGGTGTGTATGTGCTGCTGCTGTGTGGCAGGGCCAAAACATCTGGGAAGCGAACGTCGTTCTTGGGCAACGGGCCTTCACCAATCGCGGATGTACTACCTCGGACAAGCGTGTGTAGAGCGATTTAAAATAGATGTCTGAGTACCGCTCATATTGGGCTCCAGGCGAATTACCGTCTCCATTGCAATTCTTGAGCCCACATGATGTCCTTGATCCTGGTCCAATTGCTCGTACGCATACTTTGTTAGACTGCTTGGTGGGTAAGGCTTAGTTCGATGGTGGTACCCGATTTGACGTCCAGCTATTCAAGTGGACACGTCCCTCACTTGGAAGACCGAAAAGATGCAACTGATGGCACTTGCAATCTTCCAACACTGCGTGACCATCAATAGCGTTCGCTTACTTGGGCAACCGTCGTGCTGTCAAGGTCTGTGGCATAGACCATTAAGATCTTCTTCCCATGGACCGACTTGTCCAGATGAGCAATGACTAGGTCTGAAATGATAATCAGAGCCGATGACATCATCACATAGGGTAGAATATCTTTCGATCTGTGCATCACTTCTGCCCTTTTCCACTGAGGAATTGCCGTTATGTGGAGCGATCGTCCGACCCCGATTGCATCAAATGTCTCGGCCCGGCCGTCCATGAATTCACCTGCACCCATCTGACAAACCTCATGTGAGGCCGTTGTTGGGAACAGCAAACGGCCAACCGAGGAGATGGATCGCACTTCCATCCCCGTCCGGTATGGCCACACACATGAGTTGCACGCGGGGGCCATAGTACAGCTTGGCTGGAGATCGGGAAAGGGGGTCCATGGGAGAGAATCGAAGACAAATGCTGACTGGACGGGACGGCGCGGCGGGGAGACGAACTTGTGTCAGCAACATCGTATTCACTCATGGTGCTCACCTCGCGACCACCAACTTGGCTGTTTTGCGTGTTCCCACCGCCAACGCCAACAACGACAGATCCGAAATGTTGGCTCCACGGAATGATCAGCTCCCAGAACGCTGGCATGCTCAACCCCCGATACAGTTGGAGGTACTACCAAGCATGGCAAAGACTCAGAGTCAGCTGGGCCCGCGTGGGGGTACTAGTGGTACCTGCCTCACAGATGATCCTTGGGAACGAGCTGCAATACAAGCAGGGATCACGTCTGGTACCTGGATAAGACAATATGTCAACGTCTGCTACCGTCGAATGCAGCACAACAGGATTCGAGGGTCCCCCAAGTTTCAATGCCGCACCCAGACTTGAGCGAGGCCTCGCACGGTCATACTACGATGGTGTGATTACCTAATCAGAATCAATTGCAACCAACGTACCGCCTAACGGCGACGAGTACCACGGTCATAGGATCGACCAAAACACTCGATCAGATCCCACCCGCTTTAGGATGTCGGGAGCGAAGTGTATGAGGCAGTGCAGGGATCGATTCTCCCATGCTTACCATAAAGAAGATCTCGACGCCCCGAGGAGTTCAACCCGCAAAGTTTTCGGCTCATTCGGCCATTGAGGGAGAGTGTGAGGGAGGAGTTGGCGTCAATCGGCCTGGGGAGGAGAAGGTGCGCGGCAACAGGAAGCTGATTAATTGATTGCCTGAAATGGAACGAGGCTGACAAGCTGATTGGACATGGACATCCCTACCTTTTGCCACGTTCGGCAACGCGCGGTAGCCGGCTCCACTTGATCTCCCTTGGCCTGCGACTTGTCATTCGAGCGTTCTTGACCTCCTGTCTTCTCGACGTCCCCCTGGTCCTTCGAGCCTATCCCGCATTTTTGATCCTTGCCCAGACTCGTTCAACTGTCGTCGCCCATCTTTCTCCAAGTTGAATGAGCCTCGCGGACAGATTGACCTGAGGTCTGACTGGTATCCGTCACCGGAAATTCTGCATCACCCCTCGATTGTTGCCAAGTCCCTACGATTCTCGGAAGCGCTTCTTCCAGAAATTCATCACTAAATTTACTTTCGGTTACGATGCTCGACCATCAATCGAACGGTTGCCGAGGACGGAGAATGTTTGGAGAAATCTCAAACTGGTAAAAATCCAAATCAACTTGTACCCTGAAGCTCGGGCTTTGCGCTCCACAAGGCTGCAAAACCATTCATGTGGATGAAGAAATATCATCAGCCACTTAGAACCAAAGACCCACCTGCCACTGGGAGTAGGCACTCCGTCCCCCACCATTCGGTACAGTTCAGTGGAGGAACATGAATGAGCGTAAGCTTCGGGGAAAGCCAGGCATGACACCTTCCTTGTTCGTACATTGTAAGCAACGCTTGGCCCCCAATTTACGACGTCGCTGCGGCCGCACAGATATCTCAGTCTCAGACTTCATCTTCCTGGAGTTCGGCGTTCTTGGTATCGTTTCCATATTTATATTCGAAACAGGTGCAATCATGAGCGCAGACGGCCTACAGCAATTCTCTCCGAAGAAAACGGAATGATGGCTAGTACCAAATCACAACCTGCGCCTGCCATTTCCGGGAATTCTTCCGGCAATGCTTACTGTCCAGCGACCAGGTGATCCAAGGGTTGTCTCTTAACAAGAACCCTTTGCCGTTTCGTACTACCACATATATTCCATCTCTTCTAGGAAGTCACAATCTGTCTGGTGTGAAAGGCTACGGCATTGGATCCCTGCAAGATCCGCTTTGGGACTTTAGTTGACGCCAGCCAAGTGCTCGAGTGATCTCACCGTTTTCAGGCTGAGTTCTGATGTTCTAGCATAGGCTTTGATACCATGAGAGGAGACCCCTAAGCTCAACTGCATTTGTTGCCTGACGCCCTTTTGGATGGCTGTCTGAGCCCTTGGCTCAAAAATACTTTTACAGGTTGGGAGATTTGCCAATTTCAACGTTCAGCCAAACCCGTCTCACGGCCGATGGATCTGTCTGCCGGTGTCCTCGCTTGGCCGGCTCCGTTAGCACGCTCTTCACCTACGGCTTTGGCTGGCTGCAGTGTGTGCACACCGACGCTTTCCTCGAATGTGTTCCTTACTAACGTGCCAGGTGGGAATCGTGGGCCCTCTTTCACAACAACAATTTGGCCCCATCACTCAGACCGGACAATATCTGGTAACAAGAATCGAGCCGAGAATAATGTCAGCTATCACACCCTCTTTCATGCGTAAGCCTGGTGAAGGGGGGATCGGACAGCTACGCCAATCACACGGGCTTCAAACTTACTCATCTCGATTCATCGAGTGCTCGGACGGAAGATACGAGAATCATCTCTGCAACGAGCATGCCCAGGGAGAAGACTAGTGGGTCTCCACTATGCAAGAATACTTAGACTGGTGAGATATGCGCTTACATACACAGCACTTTTCACTACAATGATGCTGACCTAAGTGCTCCACATCAGAGGCTAAGGTGCAGCCGTACGTTTCGACCCGACGTGGCGGCCTTGAGGAGCATCCTTTTCCACGCATTCGTATGTCCAAGTTTTCCTCTTCGGGTTTTGCATGCGGAAAATGGCACGCCACGAAGGCCTTGCCCAAGCGAATAGGGTCCGATTTCGCAAGAAACGCCACCTGTATCGACAACGGTAACTGTCTGTATCGGAGTTCCAGAGGCATCATGTTGAGAACATGAACAAAAGCCTCCAAGAGTGGTACGTATGGTCTCCAATTCACCATCGGATCTGTACCCATCTGTGCACTAATCTCATGAAATTGAACAACTTGCTGTCTATTGTATCTATTGGATTCCGCAACCCAGTATCCTAACCAAGCGAGTGCTGAACTTTGGCAGGGAGAACTTCGGCGACGGGGTATCAATGTGGGCTGAATTTTGAGAGCCACCCCTTGGCTGGCCTCATAAACCAGGATCCACAGGCCTGGCCGTTGACGGAGAGCACTCCTCCAAGCTCTGAGCAAGGAACAGGTGGGACAGTCACTGTGTGACCTTTATCTACATTGATTCCACACCTTGATTGGCGCCACCCACTGGTCTTTGCAGGGCACCTGCACCCACTTAGCCACGCCCGCTCTTCTTCTATCGTTTTCTCCTCAGTCGGATACAAGCATCCGCTTCTAGGGCGGGATGATGATGAGTCACTGATGTCTAGGCACCTAGACTTTCATGAACAAGGTCAAGCAACTGGGATTCTAAGTGAGTCTACTACGAGCAAGTCTGTATGGGGCCTCACCCAGCCAGCCAGCCTGAAATCACCTTTCTACTGCCAAGTTCACTTCAGACCACGGTTTAGTTGATCCACTTTTGCTTTCTGAGATAAGAGGTACTTCAGACGTCACGAAGCACACGTCCAGCTGATGTAGCTGCTAGAAGTAACTCTCCACTTACCTTTCATAGTCTAGGCGTCTTCAAAGACCCCCAACACTTGTGACAGAAGGCCTTGATTTCATCCTTGCATGGGTCCAAGGGTGCAGAAATCTTGACCGGTTGCGGATCTTGTGGCGCCGAGCACATAAATGCTTGTCCAAATGGCAAATGAAGTTCAACATCAATCTTCATAACACAGCTTTTCATCTAGCGGAGACATGATGAACATACAGGGATCCACATTCCGATCTCCACCACTTCACACGAATGGATGGACATGCGCGTCCAGCTTACAGTGTTGCTGTCTCCTGAATGTTTGTCTCACCACTGGAGATCGCCTGGGTTTTGTTTAACCGACTACGGGCAGTGGACAAAACTTCAAATCATGTTGCAATCGCCCAAGAAGGCCACAATGAAGCGCTGTTCCACGTGTCTTGACATTCCTATGCTTCTGCTAGGATGTGGCTACTAATCGTGCATAAGTTTGCTCTGCACTTCCGGATTGCCCCGAAGTTCTAGAACGAGCGTCGTGTACTTGGAGAATTTCGCGATAGGCCCTTGTTGACCGTGTTTCTGGCAAGTCGGCAGTTGTAAGGGCCAGAATTCTGCTGGCGTCCACCCAATGCCCGCTCAAGCTGTGGAACAGAAGTTGGGTATCCGTTGGTGGAGCGAAAGAGACTTTCGCTGGCGCGGACCAAGGCAGCAAGAAACTGGATCAAGTGTTTGCAAGATGCAAGAACGATGCTGATCGACAGGGTGCGCGGTGTCAAGAGGGACTACTCGTATGGACGGAGTACCTCCTCATTGATAATCAGGTTTGAACAAAACTTGAAACACCAACTTGGACGAGACTGTCACTCCACATCCACGCATGGCTGATCCTTATTAATGTGGGTTCGTGGGTCGGATTGACATGGTCATCAAGATCCAGAGCAGGATCACCGGATCGTGGCTCTGGATAAGCTCATTGACAGGGCTTGAAACAGAGATCTTTCGTCGCTGGGCCTGTTGGTTTTTGTTAACCGTGTTCTCTTCGACGAGCTCTCGCTAGCGGTACTACTAAGTGGTTACCGGTGTTCCTTCCTCGGACTTTATGAAGGCGGAGTTGTGCATAGTATCATGATTAACCTCGCTGGCTTCTACCAATGGCATGAGTTGCAATAAAGATTCTTTTGCTCCGCCGCTGTAACAAATCGTGCACTCCGTAGGCACATATTGCGAAGCCCGTCTACCAGCCGACAGTGTGACCAAGCCAGCCTGTTGAGTCAAGGGACTTCAGCCAAAAGTCTTTCTTATCGACTTTCACAACCGTACACGTTTGGGCCCTGACCTTGGTCTTGCCACTCACATGCGCGTTTATCAGGCGCGTCTTGCCAGCAACGCTATTTTATCCTCCATTCGAGACAAGCAATCACGTGTCAAGATCAGCACTCCCATCGGAATTACGTGTCAGAGAAACCAAGTGCTCTGAAACACAACTGCCCAAGTCGTCTTCACAGAACCGAACATCGGTGCAGCTGATCGCAGCCTTGTTTCGTTCACTCGGCCAGTCTGAAAGTTAGGGTCGTCGACAGCGATTTCTCCATAGAAGGAGCATTGTAATACGGAGATAGACAGCGTGGCCGGGCTCGATAGGTTTTCGAAGAGGGAATTGATAAGCCAGTTGGCACAGCGCTTTATTATGCTCAGAGACGGGAGTTTACAAGTAAGGATCCAGAAGTTCCATAGGGTATGGAGAGAATTGATTCACGAACATACAATCAACTACCTCCACCGGTTCTCCACCTGATCTATACCAGCCTCAGCTCACCTCCTTTGGGCCTCTGCCATCGTTCGTTCCTCAAATCAACCCCAAACCTTTCCCCAGAGCAACCCTAATAAGCCCATCCTTTTATACCCATTATGCACCACTGCTTTTCCGTCGATTTTCGCCCTCACGTTTTCCCAAACTTGCTCCAAATCAGGCCGATCACTCGCTCCTCCAAGATTCATCGCACTCGGAACAATCGCCCATTTTTCCAGTACCGCTCCCACTACCCCCGTCATATCTCCTGCCTTGCCCCCGCGCAAGACCAGAATCCCCGGCTGTGCCATCCCATTCTCATAGCCCTTCCTCTCGGTCACCGCAATCTCAAGCCCGTACCGTTCTTTCACGAATTCCACGAGCGTGTTTTGTGTATCAACGATAGCGTCGCCGGAGTAGCGGGTGAGTGTGAGCGTTTCAGGGAGGAAAGAAGCAGGTTCAGAGGTGACGATTAGGGTTTTGCCGCCGAGGGAGGCGATGGATGGGGAGAGGCCTTGGAGGGTACGCAGGTAGGCTCGGCAGAACGGACACCAGTGTCCGCGGTAAACTGGGAGGCTTGAGCTCGAGTTGGGAGGGCAGAAGGGCAGTAGAGTGGAACGGTAGAGAAAGAGGAGGGATGAGAAGAGGCGCAACTTACAAACGACGAAGAGAACCGAGGAGGACGAGAGTAGGGAATTGAACTCCTCGATGGCTGTTTGAGGAGTCATTGAGAAATGTCTCTTGTGAAGATATAACTTGGGGGAATGTGGTAAGCTGTTCTTTGAGATCTCCGGACCAGACCGCGTTATTGCGACGGTGTATGTTAATTATCTAAATAAAGCTGGGAAACTGATACCCATCAAACGGACAGAGCATTATAGACCTATTATACGTTTCCTGCAACAAATGGCTTTCCTAGACCTGCACATGGGGTAAAAGCAGCCACCTGCGTGGTCACCTGTTCAGATGGCTCGCTTAGAGACGAGGCACTTGAATGTTGACATATCATGTCGGCAGCCTTACAAAGATACCTGAACTTGAAAGACATGCCTGAAGTTCTCGCAGCCCTGCTTACGAGGCTTACGAGGCTTAGTAGGTACTGTTGGTCCGAATTGCTGCGCGCGAACGTAGGTAACGATTTTGTAAAGGTGTCAGTGACGCGACACGCCGTGGTACCTTGGTCACGCACTTCTGGATGGCCGTATACACATTGAGCTTTGCAAGCGGCTCTCATTCCGTGGACTAGTTACGGCCGCGCACCAATATTTGGTCCTAGCGTAGCTACGCATATATGTTGGCCTCGACATGGGCTGGGTTTATACATGCCAATAGAATTTCTTTAGACCAGCATTCTAATTTGCTATATGAGTATTGACTCTTATTACTAATTTAACATGAGCTATTATAGTTTATAAGTAATTACTGATATAATATTACCTCTTAGTTAATAGCCAAGATTGATATAGTCAATATTATTCGCGGTCGCGGGAGCGCGAATGTTGGTATATCGGCGAGTTTTGTAGTCGGATATCGCTTAGAGTATTCAAGTCCCTCGATCTCGGATTTTGAGGCCATTTAATTGTACAAAGTGGTGGATTGGGCTGAGTGATTCGGTGTAGAAGAGAAGGAGTTGCATTTAGGACGCGTCAGATCGCGTCTCATTCATTACTCGGTTGTATCATTTCGTGGTGCCCAAACTCACACGTGCGAGGAGGTGAGAAAGAAAATCGATACTTGGATGAAAGACTGTTAGGAATTACAATGACGTCAAGATGGGATTGTAATCAATCCACTACACAATCGTTGCAACTCAACTAGCTCATCAACATATTGACAGCCCATGGAACAGATAGCTGCCGGAGATCTCCATAATGTTGTCCAACCCCAATGAACTGTACGGGGACCGAAGTAGCATGAACCAAGCTGATCATTGTGCCAATTCCAGATCCCACTGTATCGATCTTTGATACGATAAATCCATCCAGCTTTCTGTTCTTCCCCAGCGCCTTTGTGAAGTTCTGCGCCTGTCCCACCGAATCATTGCCAACCAGTGCTTCTGCGACTTGCAAAATCAAGTCGGGCTGCGCAAAGTCAACCAGCTTTTCCAGAGACGCCATAAGCTGAGTATTGGTGTGTGCCCGACCGGCGGTGTCGATCAAAACCACTTGGTAATCATTGGCAGCTGCAAAGGCGACCGCGTCTTTGGCAACATTTGCAGCATCTTTCCCGTAGCCTCTTTCGTAGATGCTGACGGCGCCTAAGTTCTCTCGAGCTGTGAGCTCTCTTAGATTACGTACATGAACATTCAGCTGCTCCACAGCACCCGATCGGAACGTGTCGCCTGCAGCTATAAGCACCCGATAGTTGTTTTGTAGAAGGAAGTAGCACAGTTTCGAGAGGTTGGTGGATTTACCGACACCGTTTACACCAAGTATGGTGATTACAAATGGCCGTGGTTTTGCTTTCGAACCCGATGGATTGGCGACTGACTCGATTTGTTGTAGAAGATCTAAGGAGGATCTGGGGGTGAGGATCTTGCGCAAGGAGTTTTCGAGCGCTGGTTTTAAGGCTGTGTCAATTGACTCAAATGCTCCCGTCTTTTTGCCAACCATTTCCGTCTGGACCCCCTCACAAAGACGGGTTGCTGCGTCGCGAGCGACGTTCTTGTTGATAAGGTGTTCTTCCATAGACTTCAGAGGCTGGTCGAGGTCTTCCTTGGTCAACGTCTTGCCTCCGACTATGTTCCGAAAATAGCCGGAGATGGCTCCAAATCTCGTGTTGCGGGCCCCGTTAGCCTCAGACTTGCCAGAATCTACGGATTTCAAAATGTTGGTGACTTCATCATCTAGATCTTTGAGGACAAACTGTCCTTGCTTGTTCTTGGTACCCCAGCTTTCTTGGCTGATGGCTTCTAGAGCAGGCGATCGAACGGCAGACTCGCCATTAGCATCAGCTTCAATAGCAGAGTAGTCGAGATTAGTGTCGTCAGATTCGTCTGCCATTCCATCTGGACCCCACACTCGTCCTTTTTTGGCGGTGGACTTGGGAGTTCTTGGCCGCCTTGCTTCGTCGCCAGACGATGCGTTGGCGGAGGGGGCATTGGCAGCCTTTCTTGAGCGGCGCGAACCGCGACTTCCTGGTCTTGCTTTCTCCGTCAAGAGATGGCTAGCAATGCCAGGTAAAGGAGTTGTGGGTCGGGAAGAGTCAGGAGATTGAACAGGTGTACTCAGAGTGGAGTCACCGTTCAAGGGAGGCACAGCGCGAGGCTGTGCCTTGAGAAGCTGAGGTGACTCTGGCGGGGGAGGTCCTCCTGTGTCACCACCTTCAGCACTCTGTTTCTTCTCCTCTTGAACCTGAACTCGTGGGGTTTGAGTGGAGACGGGGCCACCAGCAGACTGATCCAGCCGGCGCATTTCTTCGTCGTAGTACTTGTCGAAGGGGTACTTCAGAGCGGTATAGTCCAGTTCCTCGAGTTGGCCTCTATAGACCTCGACAAATATGGTGCGAACATCGTCGAGTAGTTTGTCGACCCAGGTGAGTTGGAGAAGAGATTGATAGACAGCAACGAAGATCAGGCCCAGGTCTTTGACGAGTGCGTATTTTAAGGTGTATCTCTCATGCTTGTAGGTGGGGTGGGCGGAATTTGAGAGGACCGGGCGGACCTTTTCTTCGATAAAGACATCGTTGATCAGACTGTTGACGGCCGTGGCAGCAATGGTAGAGGTGGATCTGGACCACAGAACCACGCCCGAAGTGGTGAGGATCTCAAAGGCGTCCAACATTGGGAGAGCTCACAAGTATTAGGGTGGAGAAGAAGGGTTGATATTGGGTATGGCAGTTGTGAACTTAACTGCGGCAGGGTGCAGTTGCGGGAGTGGGCAGTGGGCAGGCCAGATACGCCTGTGACGTGCAATAATTAAGCAATAATTAATTATAGCGAGGATCAAGGATGGAAAGGACAACCAGCCGAGCCCAGAGGCACGTGCATCGGCGACAAGCATGCTTGGCATCGGGTAAACCCCGTCCTCCGTCTAGTCTGCACGTGCACTGGCGTCCATTGCAACTGCCAGACTGCGCATCACCAATTGCAACAATGACACTTTTCTCAAAACCCACCTCGTCTCGTTTGATTAACTTGTGAACACCTCGTTCGTGTCTGTTCTGTTTCCGCTTTCTCACCAAGGAGATCTGGCCTCCACAACCTACCTTCCTTCGGCAGGTCACACGCTTGACAGCTGTCTTTGTTTCTCTCATTCAACACCCCGATATCACACTCATTTTCTTTCGTTTCTCTCACCAACATGCAGCAACGTCAACCCTTCCCCCCGCCTCAAAAGTCCCCCGAACTATTTCATCCGCGGCCGCAGCACATCTCCCAAGTTCCTATGATGAGATCCCCTCCACCACCAGTCTCCCAGATTCAGAATCAGCAGCAGCCTCCCGTCAATAGCTATGGTAACCCTTTCTCAAATCCTAGTGCCGGAGGTGGGATGGGACAGGGCTTTGGTGGCTTCATGAATGACCCTACTGCCCAGATGGGCTTTCAGGTCGGAAAAACTGCCGTCGCGGCAGGGCAGGAATATATGGAGCAGAATGTAAACTCACTGTCCCGGCGTAAGCCCAGGCAGCCGCTGACCATTTCTTTCAGTTTAACCGTTATGTTCCTGTCTCGGCGCTGAAGCACTACTTCAATGTATCCAACTCTTACGTTGTGCGGAAACTTCTACTCGTTCTATTTCCCTGGAGGCACAAACCTTGGACCAGACAACAGACCCGGATGTCTACTTCATCTACCAATCCCGACGGCCATATCTCTCAACAATCTTACTCCCTAAACTACCTCCCTCCTCGTGATGATCTTAACTCTCCCGACATGTATATTCCAATTATGGCTTTGGTGACCTATATCCTGCTGTCCACTGTCCTTGCTGGTATACGAGGCTCGTTTCACCCTGAGCTACTCGGGAGCATTACGAGCACAGCTTTGGTCGTGATCGTGGTAGAATTCCTCGTCCTTAGGGTTGCCATGTACTTCCTGGCCATCACCAACGACTCGCAATTTCTTGACCTGTTTGCCTATTCCGGCTACAAGTTTGTCGGTGTCATTGTTACCCTGTTCCTCAGCGAGCTACTTACGGGCGGACGCGGAACCAACAACTGGGTGGGCTGGACTTTATTCGTCTACACCTGGTATGCCAACGCGTTTTTCCTGGTACGTCAGGCATGCCATCCTCCTGTGTCATGAGTCAACTGCTGACATGTCATCTAAATTTTAGCTCCGATCGCTGAAGTATGTTCTCCTGCCAGATACTTCAAATGACCCCACGGCAATGCCAGGAAATGGCGCCCCATATACTATGGCGCGAACAAGGAAGAACCAACGGACATATTTCCTCGCCATCTATGCGTTTGTGATTCAGATGCTGTTTATGTGGCTTTTAAGTCGTGAAGAGTCTGCAGTCAAGACCGTCGCAAATAGAATCACCGGCCCAAAAGTCTAGAGTATTTCTCTAGCATTGGCCTTCAATCTAACAGTAGCAAATTTGTTGTTCCTTGGGGCTACGATGTGGACTTCTGTCCATCCCATGGCAGACGCTGAACCTACATGAAACTGGCATTTTGGAGCAGTAGCCGCCTTCCTGTATATATCCAGGGAACGCAGTTCGAACTAGGGATGCACGGAGGCAATTGCCCTAAATCAACGTCTGACTTTCTCGGTACGCTTTGAGCATGCCATGTTAGCCACTGGCTGGACCGGCCTTCCCTTGAGACTCAGCTTCTACCAAATCAGCCTTGTGAATGAAGTCTGCACAGCTTTCAAAGTTGAATCATTTGCTCGTGTCTTAACGCTCCTACTACCGGGTTGGGGACAGCCGCAACCTCATTCGGAGAAGCCGGCCATGAACCTTGGAAGCTCTCTCCTCACGGTAAAAAGGTCAGCATTCTGCTTTATGGAATGAAGATAATGCATCCCGTGGCTCAGCTTGCAGGTATCGGTATTCCTCCAGTCTTCAAAATGGGTCGAAAGCATGGGAACACGTTGTTTGCCTTGACAGCGCTACTATGTAAGCAACATCACTTCCAAAGTCATAATACATTATGATAGATGAGAGTGAGGATAGGGTGAATTTTAGGTATCGCGTTGACGATTGCGAAAGGCAAGGTCATTAACCACGCTGGTGACTTTCGACCAAATGAATCAACACATAGTGTCTTTGGTCCAACCTCTCTTGACACTCACTTTGTGCGTTGACGTTTATTTGGCGGCAGTCTGCCAGGTTCAATTTGAGTGCTAGTAACGAAAGGTCTCTGGAATATGAGGACACTACTCTAAGGACATGATGATGTCCACTACTATTACATATTCTCTGAGTGTTAAATAAACAAACACAGAATCCCGTTCCTTCCTCGATCGACGAGATAGGTGATCGACGGGGTTGTGTTTGCTGTACTCTTTCGCCTCCGGAGGAACTACTGCATACCATCAACTTTTGCTTAGCCGGAGAGATAGATGTCACTTGGAGAAGAAAAGAGAACAAGGTTAGATGAACAGCGTATGCTATTTTCCCAATTTCCCTTCAGTATATCTCCTCCAACCTTCGAAAACAAACACTTGCAACACCCTGGCCCTTTTGTCCCGCGAACTCAAAAACAGGATATTTAATCCGACCGTAGATCTCGAGACGAACACTGTCATGTTGTTCCAGACCAGGGCGCGTGAACCACCGAATAACCTCGTCTTCCGTCCAATTGCAGCTCGTAATGAGCAGGAACCCACCAGGCTTGACCATCCTCGCCGCCTTGGCAGGATAAAGCTCGCAGGCTCGTCGTTCATTGTTCGATGCCGGATCGTGGATCGTCGAGGATGAGAGTGAGATGGCGTCGAAGGTTCCTTTATCGAGAACCAAATCAAACCCACCTGCCTTGGGCCACCACGGCTGGGAGGCCGGGTCGTCCTGGATCAGATCGAGCGTTTCAAACGCGATATCTCCCGGCTTCTCCGAGGCAGCGTCATCCACAGAGAGTTCAGCTGAAGATGATGCCGTAGCTGACGAATTCAGATACTGCCTTCCCAGCCTCCGCGCCAACTCAATGCTCTGACTTGAATAATCCACACCAAGCATATCGCCCTTGTACCCGCCCTCAAGGCGTAGCGAGAACAAGGCGCTGCCGTTTCCAGTACCAAGATCTAATACTGTCGGTAGTCCTGCGTGGGTGGCCTGATGTCCATGTTCACCGTTGTTCGAGTTGCGGGCATGTTCTGCCAGGTATTCCGCCGACAGTGGGAAGGATATGTCTGTCAGAAACGCGAGTGTCTTTGCGGGCGCACCGACGTCGTCGAACCATGACTCCAACTCCGATGGGTCTAATGGCCTCTCGGTAATGGATTCTTCTTCTTCGCCACCGTGGTCGTCTTCTCCGCCGTCGCTATCTGCATCGGAATCCCGGCTAGTGTTTTCTAGGTCGCTTTGATAGTACCTGTCCCAGCTGAAGGCGAGAAGCCGCCCATGTTAGTCTTGGAACTCCCTTTTCCGATCCCTTTTCACAAAATTCCGCACAAATGTACGTTTGAGATATAAAATACGTAGGGTTAGAACGCACTCACTACTCCTTTGTGCCTAGCTCGCTTGGATCGAGGTGATTTGGATGTGATGGCTGCTCTGCAGCCATATTGCGGTTAGGATTCGACCTTTTGAGCTAGAACTCCACTGATCAATTAGATTCACACCTTCTCCTATCTTTGGAGATGACACTGTGAGACTAAATTACATGAGATTGTTGTGCATAAATATCAGGGCACAGACATCGTTTGCGAGAGATTCATGAGGGAAAATCAAAAGCACCGAGATCTAATCTTATCACATATCTGTGCAGCCCCAGCCTCGTTCCCCTCACTTCAGCCTTGCGTGGGTAGATTGGAACTTTCCCGTCGACCGGAGCTCTCCAACCCACAATGTTCTTTCTCTTAACACATCTCGACCCCGGTCTCAGCCGACCCATCGACCGAAGAAATCTTCGAGTCCGCGCTCTCCACGCTATTCACGGACGTGACGCAGAATAGCTATGGGGCCCCAGGTGCCAGTGTAACGTACCATTCGCCGCGGTTCGGCCCAGTCACACTTCGCATCTCACCCGGACGTCGAGGAGGGGAGAAAGCTTTTCGCTCAATACCTGTGGAACGCGGGTGTCATCGCCGCGGATGCTATCGAGGTCGCAAGCTATGACGAGGAAGATGGCGCCGTGAGCAGCGGCGAAGGTGGTGCGGACAATAATAACGAAGAGGGAGTGAAGAATGGTGGTGGATTGGGACAGGCGATTCTGGAATGTTAGAGGGAAACGGGTTCTCGAGATAGGCGCCGGAACGTGATAATGAAAAGCGCATCACCACACAGACACACCTCGGCACCTATCGCTCGGGCTCAAGCGACATCTTCGGATGGCAAATAGTACGAAATGAAGACTGCAAATATCGCTGACGCCTTTGTTCTTGTTTTGGCAACCTTTAGCAACGGCACTTCCCTCGGTGATTTGCACCCTCAGTGGCTCCGTCTCCGTCACTATAACCGACCAGCCGTCGTCGCCTGCACTGACGATGGGTGCGATTTAGCAAAATGTCCGAGACAATGTCACCGATCGGAAGGAGAACAACGAGTCATCCGAACCCATTACCGAGCAATCACGATCGTCGAGATTACCGAATAACAGAACTGTAGAAGGAATGACAGCAATAGAGAACATCCAAGTCCTCGGCTATGCATGGGGTAGACACAATGTACACGACAGAGAGCTACGGGAAACCCGCGTTGCCACAGCTGCAGCCGGGCACGTACGATTGCATTGTCGTCGCGGATTGCCTGTGGATGACCTCACAGTATGCGAATATCGTGAAGACGATCCTGCAGTATCTCGTTGTACGGGATGATGATGATGATAATGATCAACACATTACTCCTCGGAGACTGGTCCTACGTCGCTGAAGCCGCCGCCGCCACAACAACGCCCATGCGCACTAGTCGTCGCTAGTTTCCACACTGAGAGAGGCATTGTGCGGAATTTCTTCGGGGTCGCGACGGGAGAGTGGGAGGAAGAGGAGGAGACGGAAGATGAGGGACAGAAAGGCGAGGAAGAGGAAAACCCAGTGTTGGCTGGGGTATCGGGGAAGCCGAAGGTTCTGAAGATATTCGAATTCGACGTTGATAGTAACAAGCGATCGTGGAAGCCGAAGCGGGAACGAGAAACGAAAGATCAAGCCAAGCGATGATGCGTTTGTGCTGTGCTGGGGAGGAGATGATCACACTGTTGATGGTCCTGTAGAAGAGCTCGAGGAAGAGGGCTGAAATTAAAGAAACAGATGAACGCATAGAAGAACGAGTGTGCTTGGAGCCTTACCATCTTTGAATGCCGCTGTCTGCATCATTCTCGTTGCATCGTGCGTTGTTGTACAAAGCCAGTATATGTGAAACTTCTGAAGTTTGTACCGTGCAAGGCCTCCCAAGCTCACTACCAGAGAACGCTCTCGGTTCAGTATCTGTCATACATTCATCTTTAGCCCTAGCCTCTTAGTCCTTGATCTCTGGTCCTTAACTCTTGCCTTCTGAATTAATCAATTCTGCAACATAGTGGCTTTCCAGCGCCCACGTGTCCGAGGTCACCATTTTTTACTGCCCATGCCGCTCCAACGCCATCGCTAAATCAATGAAAGCAATCATGACTTAAAAAGAAGGATGCACCTTATCAAAGTTAAAAGATGACGACGGGTTCGGAGGAGGCAGTTGAAAATGATACCGACTATCGGGCGGACGTATTCTCGTCGTTTCTGATGGACTCGTAGTCCTTTGAACTTTCGGAGCAGGAACATCCTCATCGTCACTCAAAGTCAAATCAATCACATCCTCACGCGAACGTTTATTTGATCTCGGTGCTGACGTCGATGGTGCTCTAGAGTCCTCTCTCGAGGATAGTGGAGGAGTCCTCACACTGTGTGGCGTAAGCGTTTCAACATTGGGCCGTGCATATGGGCCGTCTCGTATTTCAACTAGATCATCATCGTCATCGTCGTCACTTGGAGTTGGATTGCCTCTGCGACTCGAGCCATCGTCGTCCTTCTGCGGATGCCATCTCCCATCAGGAGTGACTGTGACCGCCTCAGTATCCCGGGAGGTTGACGACAAAATGTCATTAACATATTGATCGAGGGCAAGATTCTCCCAGGGAGCAGGCTTGCTACAAATCGGACATGTCCAAGTCGGGGCTTGTTCTTGTAACTGAAGATACGAGGCGGCATCGAAACACTGGTTGTGGTTACAGCCTATGGAACGACAAGGAGTAACGATCCGAGTATAAGCAACGGGATCTTTCAGTGATAAGACGCTAGAGGTTGCAACAATTTCATCAGGATCTTCGGCTTTCGATCGCACTGTTGGAAATTGGAATTAGCCTTTGTGCTTCATAGGCTTGGCTTAGGACCACTCACTCTCCCGGAGGACCTGCTCTTTGCTAATGACTTTTCCGTGTCTGAGTTCAGTGACCATCGTGCCGATGGATTTTTGTTGGACCAAATTCACTACCAAATAGAATTTCTGTATTTTTTCATCCTATTTAGCATGATAATTCTTGGCTTAGATATCGGACTTAAAAAGAAATGAGAGAAGACATATAGAGATATGGGCGCACCTTAGTGGTCAGGGCATAGACCATCTCAACCGTGTTTGGATAGTTTCCCTTTTTGCGGATGAGATGGGTGATGTCTGCAGGCCTGGTGGATCCGGGCTTGTTCTTGAGACCTCTCAGATTTGCCTTGACTTCGTCGGAGTTGCATTTTAGTTCCACGTTGTGGGGGAAAGCAATGTCAGATTCTCTCGAGAGCGGCTGGAACCCTTCGGCAGCGCAGAATACCATGACCTTGCATGAAGAATCTTGTGACAGCTGGTCTGCCTGTTGTGGAGAGAGTGTCACGGTCAATCGCGCCGTATCACGGGTTGCCTCGCGAGCTGAAGGTGTCATTTGACGTTTCTATAGGGCAAGATTCATGAGCAACTCACCTTTGCATTCGAGAGTGTTGGTTAAAGACCTGGTGATGGTATAGAAGGGAGAATTCTTGAAAGTAATCCGATCTATTCACAAGTCAGGATCTCCATCATAGTGGCAGTGTTCGTCACTCACTCGACATCGAAAACGAACCAGGCATGTTGTAAGAGGGGTGAGGAACAGGCGAAGAATAACTAGGTGAAGCGGAAGATGTCGAGGTGTGCGGGGAGTAAGGTGAAGGGTATGTGGATGAGGCATAAATGGAAGGCAGACCTCTAATATTGCCTCGCACTCGACTCAGCCCAGCCTGGTCACCCGCATTGCGCAGCTTTTCAATATCTGGCAGAGACTTTGTCAGAAGTAAACTTCGAAAAAGGAATTGTGAGGCAGTCCTACGTGCGATAGTCCGGATCTGTAGCTCGCTCTTTACACCACCAACAGTCAAATTCTCAGCTCTTAGGAGGGTTTTCAACTTTTCCACAGTTAAGGTCTTGACAAGAGCAATCATCTGCTGGACCTGGTCCTGCGATTGCGCATATGCAGAAGTCGCCATGGTCGCGAGTTCGGCGTAGATCTTCCAACTGGCGATCGTCTTACGAAGTCGAGGCTATTGATGCCTGACAGACATTGTTCTCATACAGAGCGGCTGGGGCCATATGAGGGGATGGTGATAGAGAATTGAGAGTGAGTGGCGGGAGAAGGATGAGGGTCGATGTTGAATGAAAAATTTGGCACGTCGTCGTCGTTGTCACCAGCGGTTCGGGCTCGGGACGGCCAGTTAAGCGTGATGGAGCGCAGTCGACTGGCTTGATGAGTAGCAACACATGCTGCTTTAGTGAAGAAGGGGGCTAAACACCATAGTAGATGCCTAGAGGATTTGCTCTGCCTGTGGCCGGCTCGCTAGAGGCAGTTAAGTGACCTGCTAGTGCGAATGTGGGACAGTTGCCGCATCTGTTATCCACAACGGCAACAACCCCGGCCTAGAAATTCCGCTGCCACTGAAATAATCCTAGGCAACATTTTCTCGAAAATTCGTCCTTGAAGAACCAACAACTCTCCCTCTGCCTCCCCTCCCCACCACCCAATCTCGCCCGTTGACCAACGCATACAATGGCAAAGTCAGCACGGTCTTCAAACACGAAACGCAACAACAGAAATCTTCGAGCCAAGGTCTTTGGGCCTGCCGAAAATGCCCGTACCGCAAGGCTGTCCGCGAAGCTACAAGAACTAGCAGCCAAACCCCGGCCAATCCAGGACAAGGCTATGGATGTGGACGAGCCCGTGGAACAAGGAGAGCAAGATCAGTCCAATGGCAATACGAACTCGGAAGACATGGACATCGACGGGCTCCAAGCCAAAGTAGTCAAGCCAAAAGTTGACCACAAGCAACGACGCAAAGAACATAGAGTCTCCAAGAAGAAGCCCAGGAACCAGATGGTCTTCTCCTCGGAACGTGCGAGGAAGGCTAAACAAGCCTTGAAGAAAAGCAAACGTTGAGACCACCAAGTGCTCATTGTCGACTTCAGAGACCCAACATTGAAGATTTCTCTCGATACCAAAAATTTGAACTGTGGAGAACGCAGCGGAAAGTGGTAACCACGATGAAAGAAGATGCAAGCACTGTGGGTCTTGCCTTGAGTGTTCCTACATACCGTCGAGAATTATGTCTTACGAGAAAATCCGTCTCGCTTGAACCAAGTGGTCGGTCGGTCGCTTTCATTCGAATCCACAAACCCTGCACACATTGTCGACTTTGGCATCACATATCTTCATTGTCGCATCTTATCCGATCCTAGCCATCATCAGATATTTCTTTCCTGTTTCGAATTATCTGCCCTCCGCTCCTTCACTGTCATCTCAACTACCAAGAACAGCTCACTTGAGAATGGACTCACTCTCACCACCGGCCATCCCTCGCCGCAATCCAACCGGTCCTCTGGGATTTCTGAACTACCTCGCCGAAATCATGAACTTGGTCTACGAACACCTCTTTATCGACCACATCCATGTCTTGGTGTTTCTCTGCTCAAGCAACCCCAGCCTACGTCAAATCGACCTCAAGCGATCTATCAGTGAATCACGTGAATCTCCCTCCGAACTCCGCTGGTGCGACCTCTATGACCTGCGCTATTACGCAGATGGCAACGGGAAGGCAGCTCAATTTCTCCGCGTGTGCAAGAAGACATGGCTGGAGGGGTCTCTAGTTCTACATGACAACCTGAGGATCGTGGTGCAGCCCTCCCCCGCGCTTGACCCTTGTCTCGTCGAACACTTCAAGAGCAACTCCGCCTCTATCCTGGCCTGGGCTGAAATCATTCCAATCAAGAGTAACTCCCCATTCGTGGACCAGATGAGCCCCTGGGTGTTGTTTCATCTTAATCACCTCGACTTCGATGCACCGAGAATTCCTCCCACACTCATACAAACTGTCGGCTGAGTTGCTGTTGCAGTGGTTGAGGAGAGGCGGTGGCGGAACAGAAGCCAGGAGCAACGGACTCGAGCAATGTCCTTCTAGCGGGGACGCGGGAAACGATGGATAATATGATGGGAGCTTTACGGTTTCGAGTAAATCTCTACCAGCAGCCATAGTTCATACAATTAATTAAACGCCAAGGCCCGATCCTCTCCAGTTTCGAGGCCAGTACCTACTTGCTGATCACGTTAGATGTTGGCCCCACTGCCTACGTAAGCCACCATGGCATATTATTTCAAAGTACTTTACTTAGCATCCCTTGAACACGACAGTCAAAGACAAGGCAGGAAATTTGGAAGTTGAGGATTGAAATCTGGAAACATACATAGTTGTGCAAGTCATACACAGGCAGACAGAGAGAGACAAGAAGTCCAAACCCTCCACTCCAAAAGCAGTGATTTTTGTATTTTCTCTCCCAGCTTGTTTCCATACCCCATCCGCGCTCTCCTATTGTCACCAAGTACGATACCGTCTCGTGGGCCGCTTCGAGGAGGTTGGCTGTGTGGCTTGTGCAGATTTGGTGGTACTCGTGCGCCTGCCTCCAGCCGCGAAGCGGCTGTTGCCGCTCTTCAGCTGGTAAACATTCAGCTTGGAGGTACCGCCGCAGTTCTGTTTGAGATTGCCGACGCAGGGAGTGTTGCAGTCGGCGTCGGGAAGGGCGACAGCGTTGTTGATCACACCTGCGCCGTTACAGAAGCACTGGTTCCCGTTCTCGACGCCCATCCAATTGTAGCCCTTGCTGAAGCACAAGGCGGCACAGGCTTCCACCCTCATCGTCGAGGACTCGGTCGCGAAGCTGGCCAGGCTGGATGTGCTGCCCAGTGCACGTGAAGTTCCCGGTTCGGCGTAGCAGCCAAAGTAGCCGTAATGGACGCCAGGCTGATTGGGGACGTTCACTGGGTCCGGGTTGCTGGGCTTTACGTACAGGGTGTTGTTATACATGGAGATGGCGTTCGGTCCACCACAGGTCTGGGAAGAATTGCCGTTGCAGGCCATGTTGCACTTCGACGACAGAATGATCGAGCTTCCTTCGCTGATCACATGACCAGCCAGACATTGGGATGCGAACTCAAGCCCGAAGAATGGTAGATTCAGGCTTTGCGCTCTCTGGGCACAGAGGTCGACAGTCATCTGGCTTGAGGTGGTGAAAGATTGTGAAAGTGCACGGGTCCCTTGTGTTTCGCTATAACAGTCCATGTAAACAATGCCGGATGCAGCGGGCACTGCTGTTGCAGAGTTACTCATGGTAGTAGATGATTGAGTCCCAGTGGGGGTGCTGGCGGTGTTCGAAGATGATGGTGGTTGGCTATATGAGCCCCGCGACCACACTGAGAGGCGTGACCCACCGCCACAGAATTCAGTCTTATCGCCGCTGCAGAAGGAGGAGCAATTTCCTTGTAGGACTCTCTCTGTACTGATTGTATTGCCACAGTAACACTCTGTTCACTATTAGCTTGGTAACTTGGAAAGCAACAGGACTAGAAGAGAAGGACATACCTTGGCCGTACTCAGTACCGAAAAGTGCGAAATTTCCTCGTTGACAAAACGCAGCACAGTTTTCCAATGACATGCCAGTGTTGTTCGAGTACGAAGTACCACTTAGAGCTCTTGTACCAACTCCTTCCTTGTAGCAGCCTCTATACGTCGCATTATCGCCGTTGAGAAGAGGTAGGGTCGTCTGATCGGCAACGGGAAGACCCTTCAACGCAGGCCCAGTGTATGAATCATCGCTCCAAATTTGCATGAGGCCTTGCCCGCCACAAAACTGAAAGCTATCGCCTGTGCAAATCATGTATGATTGAGATGAACAAGTCAGCTGAGGTTGGATGGCCTGGCTAAGAGCACTCGCGCAGTAGCATTGTGACGCGTATTCTAGACCAGCCATTGCGTAGCCGTTCTTTTTGCAAAAGGCGGTGCACGAATCGATCGTCATTGCAGTTTGATTGGAATAGCTCATGCCTGCTAAAGGTCGAGGCTGGCCATTGCCAGTGTCGAAGGCACATCCCAGGTACGAGAAATTGCCAACCTTATCTCCTGGAATAGCAACGGAGCGATTCTTGAAATCTTGGTTATCAACATAGTTGAGTGCGGGTTGGACAGGGCATATATTTTGCTGGGCTCGGCCGGGACCTCCTGTTGGTGGATTACATCCGGGAAGAACCTTGAGCATGCCTTTGACAGTCTCATTCACAGTTGGGGGCAGCTCTGGACAGTTCCGGCTGAAGAAGGGGTCGACGGAAGCGGCCAATGGTGGGCAAAGACCGATTTGACCAGCGTTGGTTGCGTTAGCCCCCATACAACGCTTGACAGCAGTTTCCAAGACTCCTTGATCCCATCCATTCAGAAAGTCACCGTGAAAGCCGTAGCCGGTAGTGTCACCATTCGAGAAGACAAAATATCCACCATCAGATTGGTCAATGCTGTTCACAGAGTAGATGACCTCGAAAAATAAGTGGGGGAACGTTTTGGGATGGGTAGGCGGGCAAATGCCATTGTCAATGCCAGAAAGATATGCAACATGGCTCTGATCAGACTTGTAGAGATTGACACCGTCCCAGCAGCTTGGAAAGTGAATTTGAGCTCGCAGTCCAGAGCTGCATTTCGTCCGAGCAAAGCCTGGCGTTTCTGGCATAGGTCCACTGCTGTCTAGGCAGGCGTAGCTGACACGGTTGGCGACGGGCTCACCGCCATACGATTTATTGCCATACGTCATGGTGGCAGTATTGTAGGAGCGAAGTGCCGCATCTCCAGCAAGAACGCGATATCCAGGTGGGAAAGGAGTCATATCGCTTGCGCCAACTCCGCGGTCAAGATAGTAGACAACAGTACCATCGTGGGGCACTTCTTCAAATAAGCCGTTGGAGTGTCGGAAGTACAGGTTTGGCGTCCAGTAAGCACTCTTGTCCTTCTGAACACTGCACGAGGTGCAGTATGCTGCTTGGAGACTGTCAAACGTCGAAGTAGTGTTGATGTCTAAGTGGCAGTCAGTTGGGTATTGATTGCGATGACCAGAACCTCTTACTATTGGGGCCAGCAATGGTATGACAGTGACCAGCAATTCCACCAGGGGAGATGATAGGATCAATTCGTCCCACCTGGACGGTCCCACAGACCATTCGCCAGAATGCTTCGACATTGCCGAACGACAAGCTGAGCACGACAGCCAGAAGCGCACTTTGGAAAGTCCTCATTATAGGAGATTGGCACGGGCGGTACAACGAGGAGAGAGCGTATCTGAGGGAGCAGAGAAGGGCGGCAAGCCGTACGAGACTGGGAAGGCATGGTTTTGTTCTTGCCGCTGAGCATCAAAGAACATGTCTCTGTTGTTCTAGGATGTGTATTGACCGCAATGGGCAGTTCGATTTCCACCTGATTGAGCCGACGGGGCTGCAGAAGATGTCTGCAGCCAGTGGCTAAGGAAAGTGGCTTGCAAACAAGTGGTTTGCAGACAAAGAGTGAGCACTTACAACTTGCGAGCAGCATTGCGCACGTGACAGAGAAGGGCAGAGGAGGACAATGACCAGGAATGTGTCTTCGTCAATAATGTATGTAGACTGAAAGGTCGAGAACTCGTACGGCCGTCAGATGCACAATGGAAATGCCTACCTGGGTCGGCGTGTGGGGAACAGCGACCCGTGCTTTGCAAGAAGAGAACTCATGTACGGAGTACAGTACGCAGGTACCATTGGGATGGCCCCAGGTGCTACTCCAGACCTAAGAGTAGCTGAGAATTGACAGTTGTGGGAGCATAGACCTAGGCTCTGCAGCGCTATGCTGCTGAGACTCGAGATCCGAGAGAGGACGAAGATCCGCCCCGCCCCGCCCCGGGGCTGTGGCCTCGACGCGTCGTCCAATTCGGTCATGTGATATAATACCTGCCAAGCGGCGCTAGAGTGGTTTCAGTCAAGTCTTGACGCGCTTTCGACGCGAACGCGTAAATTGGTGTCTGAATGCAGCAATTTCGAAGCTCGATGGTGGACTTCGTTTAGCAAACCCTGACTCCCTGAAACCTAAGAGAAAGGATGAGCAAGATAGCTGGGGCTGACGCAAGGTCCCGGCTGTTGTTTGGTGTCTGCCAGGCGTTTGATAACCCAAATTCTCCGGCATCCACGCCAATCGATATTATCCCGTAGCGATGTAGCGAACAGGTGGTCGAGGAGGAGCCGTCTTGCCACAAGACACCAGCTGCACAGGAACAAGGTCGACTGCACGGCCGTTGAGACTTGGTACCTGCTGAAGAACAGTCCGACGATCAGTGATGCGCGGCCACGGTGGCCGTGGATCGAAGCCTCGGTGGCCCATCGGGCGACCTCTGAATCTGTGATCACTGCGCAGACCCTGAGAAGAGGTCCACGCGGATGATTGAACGTGTCTCGTCTCGAAATCAAAATTGATAAGAGTAGCCTAAACTGAGATGGTCCTTGTCCACGCTGTAATTAGACTGAGGAGCAACCAGAGTCGGTCCAGAAGAGGTCAGATGACGAAGATGGCTCCTCTTGAGGACCAGACCCTGGTCAGGCATCCGGCCCACCGTTTGAAACTTACAGAGGTTGACAGGCGGTCGCCCACTTCCCTCCCGGCGCTTGGTCGATCCCTTCTTCTCCCAACCTCAGTTTCCTATTCTCATCTGCTCCCGCGCCTACAACCTGCATCCTGCACATGCACCTCCCTGCGCATCTCTGCTCACCGCAACAACGCATCTTTCTCCACGTCGCAATATCAGCCCACTTGTTTACGAGCTTCCCTACATATCTGCGATCGTCTGCGCATAGCTTTGGTCTTTTGTTTACACCGTTGCGCGTCGAAATATTCTCCGGCGCAACCCACCACCACACGTCACTGTTCGGCGCATTGACCATGTTACTCCCATCAGCCTTCGGGTGCGAAGGCGGAATTGCTCAAGAGGCAAGACCACAAAGACCCAAGCTGCCTTCATTCACGCCTTACCATCCTCACGTCTCAACACAGCCACGTCCCAGTCCTATTGCTTCAAGCTGTCGAGCTCTACACGCCATCTTAGGAGGCCCGGCAATTACACAGCAACCTGTCCTCGCGCCGCGGCGCGAGTTGGGTAACCCTTTCATGCCACTAAATCAGTCCCTACACTCGAGACGCACATCACCACCACCACCACCACCACCACCACCACCTCAGCGAGGCCTGAATAAACGAAGGCGCAGCGAGTTTGAGGAAGATCTACTCCCTTCTGAATCAATAGACATCAACATGCAGGACAGCCAATGTACACCACGCCCTGTTCGCACCCCCAAGCGGCCACGGAGGATCCCTTTGTCGATGCCTCTGGGCCTCTCAGCCGACGACTTCCGGGCCCTCGAGACACCAGTGGAAGAAGAAGATCTGCGACTTGATATGCCGATCATCAGTCCAAATGCTATGGTCTCCGATCAAGACTCCGCATATGGCTCATCTCCAACTTTGGAAGAATCAGAGTGGACAATTGAGGATGACCAGATTCTTGTCGAGACAGTCCTGGAGAAGCTTAAATTATCAAAACGAGATTGGAATGACTGTGCCAGGAAAATTGGCAAGGACAAAGACAGTCTTGGTAGGAGATGGAGCCTGCTTGTTAGCGAGGGCAATGTAGGATTGAGGAGAGGAGGAAGAATGTCAAGGACAAATTTAGACATTTCAAGTTGGTGACAGGCCGACGTACATGGCTGCCAGTGTCAGACCTCGGCCACGCGATTCTTGCTTGTATGATTATACTTCTTTCGGCAGCGGGCGCGCTGAGTTGATACCCATAAGATTTTAGATATACCAGGATATACCGTTCTTCATTACTCATTCAATCAAGCAAATTGACCCCCTTCTTTCGTACCCTGTGTGATGGGATGTCCATCTCCCCCTGGGGTGGTTCCGGTGGCCGAGGCCTGAAGCACCACGGGAAATGTCACCTAGAGATGGCTGGCCAGCATGCAAGTGATGGGCCTCAAGAAGGTCGTCGAGTCGACCGTGGGCTGGCCCGGCGTATCGGCACCCCAACCAATCAATCAACAGCGGCCCGAGCTGGTGAGCCTTTGACCATGCTGTGGTCCAGCCGATACCCGATGTGAATGCGGATGACCGGGCCGCCACGCAGGCATGTCTTCTCAGGCTCGTACTCTCCACCAGATAAGCGTTGCGCGGAATGGATAAGATGTCACATCCATGCTACAGATAGGGCAGAGCTACTTAGAATCGAATCTCGTAGCTCCCGGCCTTAGTCATATACCGAACCCATTTGACACTGCTGTAGTTGCCCTTCTCAAAGACCTTCAAGTAACGGACCAGCAGCCCCGAACTTGTGAACATCAACAAGGAGAAATTCATGCTCAAGGGAGGTCGAGACCAGGCCTTCTGGTTCGTCATGCTGGTCAGATGTGCCTCGGCGCTGAGGACAAACTCGCTCCCACCGACGAACCTCGCGATCTTCCACACGATGCAATTATTTTCGGGCTCGTATTTAGCTTTTCCTTGCGTTGTCCTCTCCGTAATGTTGGCAGTGTTCAACGGTGTGGGGATTCTGATCACAACGTTGGTCGCAAAGAGTTTGCTGCCGTAGTTGGCCTTGACGGCAATGCTGTATTCAACCTTGGTCGTGCCGACCTCGCGTACTATTGCATGAACCTTGAACGGTAGATTGACGTTCTCGACCGACCGGTACCTCATCAACTCGAACTCGCCGTCCGGAGGTACAAATGATATGGTTCTGTCGGTCTCAAACTTACCCAGCTGGACACATTGGTGGAACTGGCAGTCTTCCAAGGTAACCGACCCAGCAGCTGCTCGTGTAGCTTTACGCTTACCATCTTGATTGCCGATGGGACCGTCCCCTTGCGCGATATGGCCCACCACGAGCTGATCGTTCAGGCCAAATTTGCATTCCGGCGTGCCAGTAAGATATGCTCGCATCACAATCTGGCCAGTTACATCCGCTCTCAGCACTGTCCCGGTTGCGCTCATCAGCAAGTTGACATCTTCGATAACATCCACGAATGCCTCGTTCTTGCGGTACTTGATGTCCCCCCTCCTCCACGATTGTGCACCTGTCGCTTGCATTGTAATTCTCGACGTGTCGCTCGGAGCTGCAGAGACAGATCTAATGGCAGAAGAAATGTTGTCAGGTGTAATATACATCTTTAGGACATCAACATCCGTGTTCTGTGGGTAGCCAAAGTCGAGGATTTCTGTTTGCTAATTTAGCTGGCTGTGTTGAGACAATAAAGACGTCGCGGTGGGCAGCATACCATCAAGCAGCTCGTACACGAGCACGAAATTGTTCTTGACAGCATCCTCATCAAACTTGCCAAAATATTGCCTCCCCAAGCCTATCAATCTGTAGACAAATTCAAAAACGACAGCCGCATTCGCGTTACTTTTAGTGACTGCAACGATATAGATATTTTCATGTTTGACGTGGCTGAAGGTGGTCGAGCCGAGCGTAAGGATGGGTGATCTGACCTGGGCGTTGGAGATGACTTGGATGCGGAAGATGTCTGCCAGTCGAGGGCGGCAATCTGGACGGAACGCGCGGAAGATGAGGTTCTCGCCCTTCTGGTTGAAGACTAAGATCCCACTCAACATGTTGGCTCAGGTCCACGGCCGCATAGGCCTACACAACAATCGCCCTGACTTTGCGCGCTACATGTGAAATGGTGTGTCGGTGATCTGGATGTTCACAGCAGGCTGGTTGACGGCCCCTGCGATCTCGGTGCATCGTAATTCCGTGGCTTGGCAGCCCCTGGCGAGGCTGACGTTCAGTCAGAGCTGCCAGACCCGGGGAGATTGAGAAGCTGAGTACGTGGTACAATTTACTACAATTTCTGCTCTGCATTGTGCATCACTCGACAATACTGGGCCAGGAAAGATAGCTTTTGCGCTGATGGTATAACAGGCCGTCTGTAAGGTGGTCAGTTGTCCCATCTTCATACATTATGTGCAAGTCATAAATTCATCGCATCCAACACCCGAGCGGTCCTACCACAGAGCGTTTTTGGCAGCTGAATTGTCCTCAATGGAACGGGCGCCTACCCCACATTGTTACTCCGTGATTTCAGTAACCTCGCCTTGCCAGCCCCATTGTTCTCTGAGATCTCTCACACGCTGGGCAGTCGACGAGCCAGTCTCCTTCTCAATATTCTGAAGCAATTCCAACACCACCTTTCTGTCTTCATTTTCTTCGAAGCAGAGTCCGGCAAGATATAATGAATGAACCATCTGTCGGCTTACAGCTGGGGGAGGCTTTCCCAGCGCGATGCCGCATATCTGGCGGCTATGATAGTCAGATGCTTCGGAAACATTCCTGAACATTTGAATTCGTTTTGCCAGGTTGCTGTTGTCTCTTTCATCGACTGGCTGGTTTGGGAGCAGTACAATTTGGGCAAAATGATAAAGTTGAAGCGCCGCAGCACACATTGGGACGCTGAAGAACAGCCGGACAAACCTGTTCTTATGATCTTCGGGTTGCTCAGAATCGGTCTGCGGAGAGGTGCTCATGGTAGCGTAGGGTTGGAATGTGAACGGCAAGTTGTCGAACCATTCCTCCAACTGCCGACGCAACTGCATCCATTGAGCAATGCGTACTTGTATCGGAGACGCCTGAGCGGCCCCTTGAGCCACAAAATTCATAACCCGCAGGACTATCCAAATCAGACTACAAGACACCGCGTCCTCTCGATCGCTAGGGAGATAAGTTGCAACGCCACCATTCGCTGCATCATCATCACCATGTGTCAGTACTCCGTTCTCGGTGATGGGCAAGCCTGCAGCCCTCCACATTGTCATGTTCTCAGTATCGAGTCTGGTTTGGGTACGATTGACGTAGGCAGCAAGATAATCTGCTCTTGCGAAATTCCAGAAAGCGGCTCGCCCAGCTTTCATGGAAATATAAGGATCGCCTCTTGGGTGGGGAGCTGATATTGCTTGTGGGAGGATTTTTGTTTCTAGAAGTGCTTTGAACCCGTCTAAATGCCTATAAATCTGGTCAGTAGTCGAATCAAAACATAGTCTGTTCATAGAGGTGAAGAATGAGAGATACAATCCTTGCCAACATCTCACCATGGATGAACGGAGACGTCGTGGTCATTCCAAGGATGCTCGCCGTGAAGGGTATACCCCACAACCATCTATGGGTGAGTCTAGACTTACTGTGACCAATTACCTGTCGACGAATCAAGTGTCTCGTATAACGAGAGCACCGATATTGCGGCTAGTAGTGCCTCCATATCTCCTCCGGGCGATCTTTCTTGAAGCAAACGCCGTCGCTTATTTGATGTTCCGAGTTTACGGCTGTCGGGGGCGGCGGAACCGGAGTCTGACAACGCTCTTATGGTGTTGTACCGCGAGGACTGATTTGTCAGACCCGTCTGATCATTCCCGGGATTATTCAGCCAGCGTTGAAGGAAGACTCTCAAGTACGAGATTCCACGATCGTAATAATTGGCGGCTTTGTAAAACCAATCCTTGGGCTGTGTGGAACCGTCATCGATTCCTATAATGGGGAGTAAATGGGCCAATCCATCCCTGGGCGTTTTATTGGCCAACAGTTGTCCAATCTGATTTGCAGCAACAGCGGCCATGGCGGAGCGCAACATGACATTTTGGACCGCTTTGACCGGGACGATGCGGCTGAAATAGGTGTCGAGATCAAAAAGGTCCATCCACGGAGATATTGCCTGAACAAAATGTCGGGTCAGGCAGGTCAACTCTGTCGCCCGTTCATTCAAGTATTTCTGGCTGTATTCGGTACGCTTGCGACGTCCTTCGCTGCGAAGACGATGAGAGACATTAGCAAATTAATGGCTTCCATGATGGGCAGGGGTAAACAGTCTTTGTACTTAGTTGATGTTCACAAGTCGAGGAGCGAGGATGGAAAAAGGGGCACGGCTTACCTATCGTGTATCGATGATCTTCCACTCACTGAAGCGTACTCGCTGGTCAGAAAGTCTTCCTCCGTTTCGGGTTCACTAGCGTCGGTCGCGATGACCGGAAGACCAGGAATGAATCCACAAGCATTGTTGCCATTAGCATAATATGTATCAATGTCGAGGTCAAAATAGTCGTCATTGAGAGAGTAATCCAAAGATATCTCCGAAGGCGTATACTGTGGTTGGCCTCGGAGTAATTTGGCGGTGGGGTGGTCGGTTGATCCATAATGATCTTGATCCAGCGACGCATTTGGACTATATCGAAAGGGTGGTAGACTGTTACCGGTAGCTGGGCCCGTTGTCGGTGGTGTAGGCTGTGCGGCGAACAGATTGTAATTCGGGCTCACACCAAACAGAGGGAAATCCGAATTTGAAAGAGGATACGGCCTGCTGCTGGCGGGTGGCGTGGCTGAGATAGAATGAGGCGACGGAAGAAGTGGTGGAGGAATGGTTGCAAACGGCGGGCTTGCATTTTTCAACGGGTTGTTAAAGTGAGGCACAGGCACAGACCGATCTTCAATCAAGATATTTGACATGAAGCTTGGGGATGAATTTGCGGAAGGGGCTCTCGCTCTCGCGGTCGCTGCGGATGTCGCTGTCGGCTCCCGTGGCGCATGTGGGAGGCTTTGGAGGCCGCCATCGTACTTCTTCCTCACCTTGACTCCCTCATCAAGAAATTTGCGCTCCAGGTCATAGCCTGTACAAGGCCGACCTAACTTTTGACATCTTTGGCATCCGGGCAATCTCTTGTCACACTGCAAAGTTAATGCGGAGTGGCCTGGCTTTCCAAAGGCAGACACTTACCTTAACGCGGCGCTGTCTACATGAGTTGCAGGCACGATCTGCCCAGCCTGACGCGTCCACATTTCCAGTATTCTCCATGCGCGGGTGAGTAATCCGTCAAGCCATATAAGAGGGCCAAAACGTCGGAATGGCAAGTGATTCGGGGGCGGTGCTGATGGGGTCGTCGTGAGAAAGTGCCCTGGAGCGGTAAGGAGGGCGAGACTACTTTCCAAGTTCCTTGAGAATTACTCGAAAAGGCTGGCCATGTTGCATAAGATGGCGGCTGGCCTGGATATTGCAAAGCAACAAGTGTGATAGGATGCTGGCGGGTATTACCAAGGCCGGATAGTCGAGGGATTTCCATAGCCGAGCATGGAAGAAATGAATCATTTGGCCTGACGAAAAGTGTGACGGAGGATCGCTGCAGCCTGGACACATATACTATGTGCCGCGGAGCAGGATTGCTCTTCGTCAGACAGCCGCCATTTAGGTGGAGCGGGGAAGTCTTAGAACAGCGAGGGAAACGCAAGAAGTATGTAGGTGGTGCTCAGTGCTCACTAGCAGTAGTAGCCTACGCGGACCTACTAGGCTACTACTCGCACTGACTGTGACATCAGCTGACACTGACAGGAAGCTCCCAGTGCCCCACGTGACGGCGCACACGTGGCTTCTCGCCGCGCCTTACGAAGTACGGAGGACGGGGCCCCCGGCAAGAGGAATCTGCTCCCGCACGGCAAGTTCAAACTTGTTGCTCCGTTGTTGTCTGATCCGCTCGTAATTAATCTTGTCAAGCTGGAATTCGTGTGGTCTCTGGTCATTAAAAAGAATAGCATAAATGGTGGGGATTCCCTCGCTCGACAACTCCTCCATCTGGTCTTTCCCTCCGGATGCCCAGGAAAGTTAGCCCGAGCGATGTTAACAATACAGCGTGTATGTTTAACCTCACACCACCTTGTACCCGTTCACGGCTTACCCAAACGCAGCTGTTTATCTATCCTGTGAAATCTCTACCGCCAGTCGAGGTATCGTCGGTCGAATTGACCAATGAGGGACTTCGTTTTGACCGGTGTTTCGTCTTGGTCAATCCACCCACAGATGGTTCTCGCCTGGCCAAATTCCTTACCATCAAGAGGGTCTTCAAACTCTGCCTATTCAAAACCGCCATAGACGATTCATGGACAAAGTTGACTATTACTCATATCCATGCTAACCCGCTTTCATCAATCACCGTGCCACTGACCCCGTCGCCACTCTCGCTTTTGACTAATGCGACTTACGAAGTCAGCATTTTTGGGACCACCGCAGTAGGTATCGACTTGGGGGAAGAGACAAGTGCATTCTTCTCCAAGCACCTCAATCAAGATGTTCGCCTTTTGACTATCGGTGGAACAGGCCGTCGTGATATCCCTGGAGCTGCTTACGTTCCTACGCAGCGTGAGGCCCTTTCTCTAGCAATCCGCGACGGCCTGCAGCCACAGCGTATTCGCTTTGCCGACGCTGCCCCTCTATCAATCACATCTACTGCTTCCGAGAATGATGTTCGAGCACGTCTTCCGAACGAGTATCAAGACGAGGACGTGATCCGTCGTCTTAGGCCAAACATTCATGTTGATGTCAATGGAGAACTACCACCGTATGATGAAGACAACTGGTCGTCGTTACTGGTCAAAACACGTCTCGATGAAGCACAAGAAGTCACTATCAAATGCATCTTCCGGACTGTCCGGTGCCTCAGCCTAAACGCTGATCCAGAAACTGGAGAAATGATTCATCGTGATCGGCAGCTGTATGGGCTCCTAGCCAAGGACAGAAGAGTAAACGACAAATTCCCTCGTAAGTGAATCCATCCACACTTCTGTCTCCCTGGGCATTCCCCTGATGCTTGAGCAGATAAACCTGTCTTTGGTCAATATGGCTTTGCCGGCCCCTCAGGTGCCATCCTACGAACAGGGGATAGAGTTCAGGTCACTGAAAGGGTTCAACGAAAATAATCCGCGCCGGCTCTGCTCATAATTGAATAGGCTCCCGTGGCTCCGAATGTCAGGTGCCCCCGTGGCGATATGATATCCAGCTTGGGGACATTAACCTTGGTCGCCACTCCATTTCTTCCCTTCAAAAGGCTTCGGGAATCCAAGATCCCTGTTGACTCGCGATGTGTACCGTATCAGGGATCTTCGAAGCTAAATGTGCGACCGTTGGCTACTGTTGGTGAAAATTAATGTAATTTCTTAGACTCGACCCATGATCGGGCATAGGAGTGGGTGCCCATTTCGTCTCGCGCTTGTAGCACCATTGAGACTGGAGCAAGCAACAATTCACCATCCTGCAAGAGCCTGGTAGTCTTCCGAAGTCGTCATGCTATATTATATGCTCGCAGCACAGATGATTGAGGAGCTTATCGCAAAGAGATGCTCTCGCATTCAACGCTGCGTCGCCTCAACACTTCCTGGCCGTCAGACGCACCCTCACTGAAGGAGGAATTCAAGCACAACTAGCGTTGCCTTCACCGTGGCAGCTAAACACTATCCTTGCACTGAACGGTTGAGATAAGGATTGGGTTTCATTCTCTGCATAAGATTACAGGCGCTGTAGGAGATCGTTGAAACCAGATACCAGGATGCTCCTAGTGCTACTCGAACCTGGATGTCAACCCTTTTGAATCTCATCTAGGTACGTCCTAACATCTGAGAACTGCGCCGAAAACGATCAGCTCTCCGATTTTAAAGCATCTGTTACGACGATCTTGGAAGGCTTTCGGAGTCGTAAGCAATTTTGGGTCATCCTATGAAGTCAACCCTCAGGCCAGCGTGAGGTATATAGTCCCATTGGCTGAATGACATGACAACTTGTCGCTAAGGCAAACTTCAACTTATTTGCTCGCTTGACCTCTGAGTCTATGCCTCGAGATGCATCATTCCTCAACTTATTTGCTCGCTTGACCTCTGAGTCTATGCCTCGAGATGCATCATTCCTCAACGGGTCTGTTCCCCAGACAATACTTCTCCGCATCTCTCACTGTGCCCCTCTCATCTGCGAAAGCCCCACATCCTACCAGGCCTCCGTGCATTTCATGTTGTGTCTGAGACCGTCCTAGCACAGAGGAGATTGTCAGGGAAGTATCGAACGAGCTGTGGCTACTGACATCCCTGAAAGACGCTGCAAATGCCTCCGCATCATTCCGACCCCCTTGGTGGGAATAACAAATCCAACTGAAGGCCTTCGACAAGACTCAACAGCAATTTTGCAATTTTACCCATGGAATATCTTTAATCTACGGCGACGTATCCGTGAGATACATCTCATATGAATCATTTCTATTGATTGTTGATATTACGCTACGTGACATATCGTATCGTGTCAGCAATGGACTTGATCTTAGAAAGGCAGGGGATGCCAGGGGTTAGGCCTTTACTGTTTAAGGATGGATTCCAGAATTCCTCATTTTGCCTGACCGCATTGCTGCTAGGATTCCTGGTCGTATCAGAAGCCCTGAGGCCTCGACACAGGCTTTCTGCAGTCAACGGGCCTCCAGGTCTGCCTGTCTTTGGCAATCTGCTTCGACTCAGCCCAGATGCCCCCAGAATGGTCTGCGGCAATGGGGACAGAAATATGGAGGTGCCTACCAAATCACGATGGGAAACCGACCTGTTGTTGTCTTTGCGTGGATGCAGGCAGCACGAGATGTATTTGTTGCTCAAGGTGGTTGGTTCACTTGTCGACCGACCGACGAAGTAAGTACACCTTCCATGGTGTCATGTTCAGTGTTGCGTCTACGATCGATACAACCCCATGGTATAGTTCCCGCACCGCTCAGAATGTTGAATCTTTTCTAAAAGTTTAATGCATAGGAGTAAACCCATCAAAAGACGAGGTAAGGCTGCCGCAAGCGTGATGAATAAGGTCGCAACCGCATCTTATACTCCTCGGATCGACGCAACCTCGCTAGATTTCAAAAAGGACCTTCTGGAAAAGGGGAAATCCGGGCAAGTTTCTTTCAGCCCGAAACAATCGACTCTGGACACCGTTCTTGATCCGAAAATGACTGTCAACTTAGTATGGAAATAGGCTTCCCAATGAGGAGTCCCATCTTCGCGGAGCTCACTGATGTTGAAGATCAGTCATCCCGCCTGAGGTCCGTGACTGGCTCCTTCCAAGTCTATATCGCTTTGCTGCAGTGGAACCTCAAGAATCTCAAATCCTCGAGTGCACGATCAACCAATTTGCGAAGGCTGGCATACCTCAATCGTTTCAGCCAAGAACACCAGGAACAAATGAAGTCCTGCAAGGACAAGACGTGCATACAGGGTAACGTTTCTTCGACACGTAGATCACAAGTTTGTAGAGGTTGAGCTGATGTCAATCAGCATGTCCATGGTATCCAGTGGCCTGGACAATTTGACCAAAACCCCTGACTTGGACGATCGGCTCTTTTCCCCGTCGTCCAGAAATATAAGAGATTGCATACATGCTTATCACCAACGTCTATAGGGCTGACAGTTGGGAGAAGTTCAAGGAGACAACGATTTCCATATGTGATGGCACTCGCGAATTGAGCATGGCGGGATGTTCATTCCCGAAAGCACGACTGTCTATCTAATGCTTGGGGTTGATAATTGAGGTAAGCCTTTGACAGTGTAAGGCACGTGGTTTAAGCCGGGCTAATCGCCAGGGCAGTTGAATCATACTTCGGACTAACCGAGAATGAGGGCGGCCCAGGGCGCTGTATGTTACGCCTCAACGCCGTAACGAGAGGCCGGGTTTCATCCACGCTTTCTAAGAGAAGATAGAAACAAGGCAAGCACAATTGCCCAGTTGGGCAGCCGTGGTAACCACTCTTTAGACTGGGGTTCTTAGACTCCCAGCTGGAGAGAACCCCTAGTCAAAGCAAGGACCCAGTTGCCGAGCTTTCGACGAGGCTCTTGCGCTCGGTCATGTCTGCCAGATGCAGTAAGCAGCAGCGAGCATGTCCCTTTAGGAAGCTGCGCCCGTGCCTGACAGGCTGAATAATTCTCTATCGAGTATCATCGGTGTTTCAACGGACATGTTTGACAATGGAAGGTGTCGATTACCCTCTTCTGCCTAGGAAGTTCCCTTAATTCAAGATCCCTCCCTTTCCGCTGGTTTGTTTAACTAACTAGTGGAACTTCTCATCCGGAACGTACAGGTCGCCTACCTCGCCTATCTGCGCCTCCTGCAGCACGACGCTGGTGGACACGACTCCCGATACTCGGTTCTACGAGCAAATTTGCAGGAGAATGATCACTTTCTAGTCAGCCGTAGGATCTGATCTGCAGAGCACCGTTTACCATGGCCACCGCGACAGTATCAAGCCTAAGACACGCGCTTGTTGCGAAAATAGCGAGAACAAGGCCCGAGTCTGGCAATTCCAGTTTTGGTGGATTGGTGACGTCAATGTTTAGCCCTTTGCTGCCTTTCATAATGATGTTAGCTTCCTCAGCAGATCCTTAAGGAGTCCACAACTGGTGGTGGCCCCAGGCACTCGGTCCGAAAGGAGTCCCCAACAAGAAGTTTCACTGGTGGAGTATCTGCTCGTTGCTGTTGGCCATCATAAGGCACGGGTAATCTTGGAAGAGAAGAATGTTGCCATTAATTGGTAAGTTAAATAAGCCTCCGGGACCTGGCAACGGTGAGTCTGAGTCGCTGTTGGGCATCAAGCGCCTTGGGAGCCCCTATTTTCCTGAAACCTGATCCCTGTGCACTACTGCCTCACTCGAGACTGGGTGACAGCCTCACTCCCAACCATATTAATCAAAGCCTCGCCCTTGATCACTGCACAACTTCTCACCTCGACCTCGAATCCGCTCACTCCTTTTCTTCAGTATGTCGACATCATCAATACAAGTGCTGGGCATCTCCACCGAGGACTTCGACCAGGACTCCCAGTGGAAGGGAAAATCAAACCCAGCCTTTAGAGTTCACGGTCGGGTGAACGTCTATGATCAAGATGGATCTTTCGATATGGTTCGAATCAACGTGAAGGGTGCCGTCAAAACTCGAATTGGTTCAATGAACGCAATCGAACCACTACCAACCTCGACGTTGACGAAAAGCCACCTCGATTTCAAGCCTACGTACTCTGCATCAGGGCATGGTGCCGAGGAACAACATCTTGATTTTGTGATGCCGCTGCCTAGCAGAACTATTGGTACTCAGCGAAATAACGTCAAGGATGCCAAAGCAGGCCCAACGGATACATTCGTGCCCTCGTTGTCCCTCGCTGCTCAAACGTACATCACTCGAGTCACGGCATTGAAAGACCGGCATCTCATGGAGGGCAACTGTCAAGTGGTGTACTGGCTGGAAACCGAACTCTTGCGATCGGAAACCGACAGAGTGGTGCGCAAGATGTCGTGCCCGATCGATGTATCATCACTGCATGTGCCCTTAGATGTGGAGGTACAAGTACCCAGTGAGCAAAAGCGAGTCGAGCAAGTCGTCAAGTCCAAATCCCGAGGATTGGCCAAAGTCTTCAATTCGGTGCCTCGACCACAACTATCGGTCACAATGCCGAGTCAACTTGGAACAATCTCCTCTGGCTCAGCCAAGCTCGCGACGGCGAGCCGTAAGCTCTCCATCCCAGTCACCGTCTCCCTTGACCTGCCGCTTGGAACATCACAGCAGACTCTGGCTGCAGTGGAGAACGGCACACTCCAATGCTCGCTCAAAGCACACTGGTACACCCGCAGGACATTTGCAATCACCCACCTGTCACACTTTGCAGGCAAGCCCATGAACCCCGAAACCGTCATCCGCAGCACCACGGTGTCCTCGCAGAAACTCCAACTCAGCCTCCCTCCTCTCTACCACCTAGCCTCGACCTCAGGGGGCCACAGCACCAGCGCCTCGAAATACTCAACGTCGATGATGCTAGACCTAACACTCCCGGAGTCAGTGTCAAGCCCATCCGTGTCGACCGAGCTACTGGACATCAGCTACACGCTGGATCTCTCGATGAGATTCACCTTCTATAACAACAGGAATAATAACCAGGACTCCATCTTGCGCCCCTGCAGCGCAGACTTCCACCTGCCGGTTACGCTGACCGCCGCACAGCCGGCGACCATGCTCAATCTCCAGCAGCTGGACCCTCTCTCGGGTCTGGTTGAACGGGGCCTAGTTCTGGCCCCTCCTCCTTACATTTCATGAATATGGATATGACTTGACGAATGTAAGATTTTGCCCTGTTTGTAGATTTTCTGCTCTTCATTTGTTTTGGGGGGCCCGAATGCATGGTGCCAAGGCAAGACTGTTGGCCTTTTGGATGGGTTCTGTTGTTTGTTTGAAGCACATCGCATTTGTCATGTCAACTAACTAGATCTGTCTGTTATTTTTATATACCCCTCCCTATAGACTCTGCGCCTCTTGCGAGGTCCTGGGGCATAGCCCCTGTTCTTTGATTTGCGGCTCCTGAGCGAGCCACCATAATGGTAAATACATTGTACCTTCTATCAAAGATACATCCTCCTCTCCTTCCTTGCTATGCTCTATGCTCTAGATAGATTGTCTACTTCTGACCGCCCGCACAAAACGGGTGTGCGGAGGAGGACTTTGCACTACTCGTGCTGTTGCCCGTTAGGCGAGAGTCCAGGTCCAGGCACGCCAGTGGGATCCACCGGGTTGACCCCCAACTCAGGCCACCTGATTTTCCTTGGATCCGCAACAGTGGGCTTGGGCATCAAATCATCCAGCAAATACGAGTACTGTGCGGAGTACACACTGTTCTCCGTAAGCACTCTTTGGTGAATCCTGAGCTCGGGCCCTGGACTCCACATTTGATCGCCACCCCGGAGCCCAATGCTTTGGGTCCCAACCTGCTGCCCAGGGCGCGTACCTTGTAGTAGTACAAGAGTAGTAAGATTTTGTGCCGATCATTTCGCTGCGCGGGCCTACAGTAGTGTACTCCGTACATACAGTACTTGTGCTCGGTAGGTTCCAGGCGACAACTCCATCCACCGCCTCACTTTGGCTTTCCCTGAACAAGGCATCTGGAGCTTCTTGTTTGTTTCGTGTGAATCAGACCGCCCAACGTGTGGCCAATGAATCACAAAGTCACCAGACGCTGGTCGGCCGCGGGGAGTATCCTCACCGCCGCCACGGTGGCGCCTCCGCAATAAGAGCAACAATGGGTCATTACTATGGCCCCACCAGCCTCCAGCCTTTACCCGACATTTCCCAGCAACGACTTGGGTAGATGTTTCTTGCTTTCCAGCCACGGGCCAAAAAGAAAAATAATCATTTCAAGGCAGGTCACCCGCCGGTCGGGGAAGGGGTTCTCGTCGACAAGTCAGCATCCAACCAAGGAGGGACACGACCGAGCGATGTTTGTGCCCAGAGCCGTCGGGGAAAGGGAAAACAGGCGCCTGGATGCCTGGTATTGGATTCGTTGTCGGTAATGCAAATTGGCGGACGAGGAAAACTGCGGCTCAGCCAAAAGGTGAGGCAGCCCTGGGGCTACCGTTGCCCGACTTCCACCTCTGTTCTTTCTCGGGTGAAAACCTCCAACAGCCGTTCGTGCCCCGCAGCCGATGTGCTTCCGAGGGGTCGAGCTGGTCCATAAGCTTCTCCACGACGACGTCGTCGTCGTCGTCGTCGTCGTCGTTTCCCTCTTCGCAACTGACCCGTCGCGTGAAGAACATGGTTTCCCAAGTTCGACCCTCGGCCTTCTCCTTTTTCCGCATTTCCCGCTGAGCATTCTCCAACTTGGACTTCTGCTTGACCACATCGCCGTGGTCGGCTTTCCTGATGGCTTCAAAGGTCGCGGCCCACGCCCGTTGAGACTCCCACGGATGCTGCTCACTCACGGGTCTGACCGACATGGGCGCCGGTGCATTTTCCGGGTCTGAGAGATCGAACACCTCAATCTCCTTGGCTGTGGAATCCCGAATTGTGAATTTCGAACTCCAGCTGCCGCATAATGTGAAGATCGGCGCACTGTCGTCGTCTTCTGCTGCGCTATCGGTGCGGTATATCGAAGCCTCGAAACAGTTCCTATCGCCTCCCCAAAAGCCCTTGGCCACAAACCGCATCTCTGCCGTGTAGCCACTGGAACTGACGATCTTGTAAGTATCGTTCAGCTCTGGCCACGGTACGCCTGATAGGATACTTCGTGCTGTCACATCTGGTAGCGGTAAGAGGTATGTCTCGTCGTATTTGTCGACGGTGAAAACTGCGTGCCCAGACTGGCGGATCAGGACTGATGCACCAGACAAGGTCGTGACCTGGGTCGAATATGCCTCGGCGCGGACGCCGTCTTCATCGGCCGACAGGAAGCATGCTGTGGTCGGCGGGTGATGGGAGACTTGCTCAGCGATGACTCTGACAGTGGAGCCGGAAACCTTCTCGTCGCTGAGGTCGTGATCACTGAACTCGGCGAGGAATAGCTCCCCGAGAAAGGGGTTGAGCGGCTTCTTCAGCCCTTCCTTAACAGTCCGGCCGACGTAGTATTGCCGTTGAAGACTTGCAAGATAAAGTTTCAGCACCGAGAGCATTCGCTGTGCAGGGTCTGATTCACGAGCAGCCGCTGTGAACAAGGAGGGCCTTTCGGCCCAGTATGCCGGAAACTGAGTCAAAGATTGCGGCGCCAGGATAAAAGGCGGGGCTGTGATATGAGATATGTCCCCGCGAACGGTGGCGAGGAACGAGATGAAATCTTTGAGAGCAGAGATATTGCCCAGCCTAGCAACCATGATGCGTTAGAAAGATTTGTACAGGGCTGCTTGCCCGTTGAGCGGCGCGATGATTGAGCACAATGATGGGTACTGTCAAAACACAAGCGGATTTGTCTATAATGCGGGGGGTTGGACGGTGCGTCCCTTGTAAAGGATATAAGCGGGCGAAACACCAAGGAAGCCAAGGAGTCGCTGGTCTCCCTTCCAAGAAAGCCACCAAATGCTCGCGAGTAGATAGTAGCCGGATGTTGTGGTAAGGTGGGCAGTACCACAAGTTCAGACTTGGGATGTTTTCGTATTATATATACACTTGGGCGAAAGACGTGTGTGTGTGTGTGTGTGTGTGTGTGTGTGTGTGTGTGTGTGTGTGTGTGTGTGTGTGTGTGTGTGGATAAATATATGAGATGTAGATACGAGGTACTAAACGACAAGAGCAAGGAGAGGGAGCTTACGTCGAAGCATCTTTATCAGTGTCTTCCGAGTCACTCGCGGTATTAGAGCTCGCTCCTGATCCAAGCTCGACCCGTTTCACAGCCTGCTTGACTTTCTTCATTGTTGCGCGGTTATTTGCCCCACGGTTCTGGCATGTGCGGCGTTCGAGGCGAGGAGACGCACAGGGCCAGCGTGCGTTACGCGGCCCTATCAAGCCCGTACGAGTGAGTTCGGGGTAACACGCTCTTCCTCGTAGGTTCCTAGGACGGGAAAGGGGTGGTTTTCGAGTCGACTACCATCTAGTGGATCAGCTGTGCGTGCGTTCCAGTCGAGGGGGAAAGAGAAAGAGACAGGGCCAGAGGGTGATTTGGTTTCAAAAATAGGATCGGGTGAGCCGCAAAGCACCGACCAGGGTGTGGACGCCAATGAGGTATTCGATGCCATCAGATCAAACGCGGCATGTGCTTCATGAAACCCTTGCTGATTCATCTCCCCTCCATCCATGATTCCCAACGGATTCTCCCTGGCTTCGCTATCGATACTGTAATGATTTGATAAGGCGCTCCCTTTGCGAGGCACAGACTCGGTGACCTGGATACATACGTAGATACATTCTCGCGAATAATCTGTCGGATCTGGTTGCAAGTTTTACGACTTGTCTCCTCTTCTATTCCTTCCTGTACTCCGGTGCTCGACATTCGCCACCTTTCAGTCTGCTAACATCCAGTTGCCACGGCAGCCTCTCGTACAGCACCATGACTGCAGCCCCTTACACACGGCCTCCAAGGTCGTCGCAATCAGTGATAGTCTCTCCAGTGATTCCTGATTCCACTCAAGTGATACATACCTCGTATTGTTGACGGTTGGGACTAGAATGATCAGATCATTGCGGTCTCTTCTCCTAGAAAGGAAAAGAATACGTACACGAGGCGGAGTGGCAGTGCATCATCAGCATATGTAAGCCCCCGGATGTCATCCGCCATGGCCCTGGGGGCCAATAACTTCTTATAATAGTGGCAAACTGTGTCCTCGCCGGTGCCTTTCCGAGAATAAACATCATTCTTGACTACCCTCAAAACTGTCATTCGTTGCCAGACGGGAGTTCGAGCGCGGGCTTTAGAGAACACACGCACGTACGGAAAGGAACGGACGGCATGCGGGACAATACTTCGCAGCATTCGTCCTATTCGCAGTTGGAAATCTGGTTTGCTCGGGGCAGCTCATTGCTGGCTGAGGTATACTCTGAGACACAGCCTGCATTCCTGTCATGTGCAATGACCTTGCTATGGGGATGATGTACATCGTGATCGTGCGGGATGCACACTGAGGACAGTCATCCAAAGTTCCCAGCGGAGCAGGCTCTTCCCTCGGCCAATGTCCCTCTTAGCATGCTATGCTCCCTCCCTCCTTCGAGCTACATAGTAGTACTCCTTGCTGCATTGTCACCACCGTTTGGACCCTGTTGTTGATCAAGACCTTGACTGCCCACAGTGACACCGGAACGGGCCACGAACTAGTCCTCAGTGAGATCGACGCAGATATGCGCTTGCTTTGGAGGTGACACAAGCTCCACCAAATCAGCATCTTCCTCCTCGCCAACGATGGCTGATCGAGATTGCTTTTGACGACTGGGAGATGCTTGGCTTTCAACCTCGCTCTCGCTCTCGACTTCGGACCTTGGATTTTCGTTGCGAGTATCACCGGCGACACCAATAGCACGTTCCCCGGTGTCGACTCTCGAGAGCCGCACCTAGTGGAATGCTTCCGCATATGTGCGCAATTGCAAGATATTACTACCATGGACTTGCTGCGAGTGCCAGGACAAGTAAATCCATTTCACGAGCTTGTTGTTTGATGCGAAGGGGCAGATTATCGGCGCGCTGAAGGATCGCAATTGCATCGAGCTCTGGGGATGGGCTTCGTGGAATGCAACCAAGGGTTTGCAAGGTCCCTGAAGTAGTCAATGAGCATTCTCCATTGCGCTGGGTTCCATCCTTCGGTCTCTGTATCGGAAAACAAAGTTGTAAGCTTGCCTGGAGATCCAGATCCCAACAATCGCTACGTATGAATAGCGTTTTGAGGTGGGAGCGCGAGCGCGAGCGGCGACACTTGTCCCCGTCCTAAGAGCGTCAGCGTTCAGATGAGAGACATGGCGGCCTTGTGACTCACTTCACAATGATTTCCAGTGCCTTTCCCTCCAAATGCTTCTCTGGTAGCTCCTGTAACGTTTCCGGCCTCTCTTGGTTGTATACAACAGGCACTGCTAGCTTTTTCCGCTTCGCTCGGAATATCGACACACGGATAGAACCCAGCCTCTCCAGGTCCGAAGGGGAGAGTATTGGTGGATAGGATGCATTTTCGGCCTTTCGGGCTTGTTTAGAAGGGTAATAATCAAAGGTTGCCATCGCTCAATTAGACCAAGTGCTCCAAACTCGAGGCTGTGCTTGAACCACCTACCGGTACCTGGTACCTGGTTCCTTGTAGAGTTTTGTGCTAAAACTGTGTTTGAGCTGGTCTTGTAGTCGGTCGCGACCGATAGCTGTATCAAGTTCGCACTTCCAGGTCTTTAAATTGTGGGTAGGATATTGGTCGATATGGCATGTGGCCTTGAGGTAGGATGCTTCTTGAAACCTAAAACCAGGGAGGATGTTCACCACTACCGAGACTGTATGACCAGGTTGCACCTCGACATATCATGTCCAACTATGAGTGACACTGTTAGTATCGTCGGGATCAGGATATTCAGTGAGTCGCTGTCCGTCCACCAAGATCCTGACGTCCATGTACTTGTGCTGAGGCAATTTTGGGGTTCGATATAGAGCTAGGGAGATCACTAGGATGCTGAGAGGAAAACAGAGAGAATGAAGGGAAGGAGCGGGCAGGAGGTAGCTCAAACCACGGGAACAATCGCTGGAAAAAATGCGATATCAAAGGTTGTTACCTAAGTAAAGTGCGAAGGGTAGATGTAAGCGGTTGCCGTCAGATGAGATCTTAAATTTGAGGCTTCATTACTTTCACTTGATATCGAGGAGCACTGCTATCAAATAAAACCGCGACCAGCTTGTGGTGAATGCTCGCCATCGCCAGGTTTTGGCATTCAAGAAACAATGAAAACATCAGAAAGCCATCAGAAGATCTTGATGCGGGTCTGTGTGTTTCGGTCCAAGCTCTCCATTGAGGTCGTCCATCACTCACCTCGACTTCACGGCTTTGCCTCATGAACACGAATTGAGAGATATGGAGAATGAAGGAGCGGCCCGCCGATCAAGAATCAGTACCCAGGAAAGCCGTGGCTTGGCTTGAAAGAACACGAGTTGCGTTCCATCAATAGTGTCATACGCCAGACTCTCGTGCCAGCGCACGCTGAACCCTGTGTCCTCGAAGAACAGGGGGGTGCGTGAAACTTGCAGAGAATCTGTCCAAGAGGAAGACAGCCAGAGACCGGGTGAGAAAAGCCAGCTGTAGGGCACAATAATATCAAACAGTCATTGTCTCTTTGCCAAGAAGCCAATCCAACTCCCAATGCCATCGTCGTTCCTTGCCATTTCAAATCCGGGGATCAGAACGGAGCGCCGTGTTTGCGTGCGCACGCGCAAGGGGTATCGTCTCCGTCTCCGTACGAATAAGCCGAACACCCCGGAGGTGATGCCATATTTGATCGAAACCCTGCCAGGGCGCGCGCGCAAGTGTCGGTACTCGGCAGAGAGGGAGATGACGGATTGCCTCGGTCGACGTGCGTTGCGTGCGTTGCGTGCGTTGCGTGCTTTGTGTCTCGCTCCCCCCCATGCGAGCGAGCCATTGGCAATTGCGATCAGAGAGCACGGCGTCAGAAAGCGGCGCTTTTCAGGTAGCTCATTGCCCGAGTTGAACCATCAAACGGTCGTTCGGTCGCATTTCCAATTTCCCATTTCAACCTCCCCCTCCTTTTCCCCTTGGACCGCCGGGCGAACGTGCCATCCCATCTCGATCTCAACGGCTCAGAGGCCGGGCTGCAGATAAGACGGAGGGACTAATTGATTAGCCGATCATATCACCGAGATTGAGGCGTTTTCTGCTTCCCACGTTGTTGCATCCAATGTCGGACAAAGGTGGGGTTTCCATGGTTGGAGCCAGCGGTCCAGGTGGACGAGTCAGTGGCTTAAAAGCATCCAGAAGGCTAGTTAGAAGGGGAAAGTCGCATCGGCGCAGCAGACTAGCTGCCCACGAGCACGAAAAGGCGCGCTTCGAAACCGAGATGGTGCGAGGACTCGTAGCTCGAAAACCACAGCCCTGAGCCAGGCCCAGGCACCGAGCCAAGCAGGGTCGCTAAGGCGTGAGGAAAAGAAAAGAGATTAGGCAGGAAGATCCGTTGGTGAAAGTGTTATTGTCCTTCTCGGGCTAACGCTGCTGCATCCTAAGCTTGCGAGAAGCCTGGGCGAAATTGCATCTTACTCTGTAGGACCGAAATCCGGCATCTGATGCGACAAGCGACATCGTCATTGGTGTGCCTCTCTCGCTCTCACGTGAGAGGGGTCTTCCCATTGCCCCCTTGTCCATGCCCATGTTGTTGTTATGATTATCATTGTCCGGAGCAATGGTCATTTCTTGTCCTTTGGCGAACCCTCGAGCCCTCGGCCGCCTCGACTTGGACTCACAATTGCCAGACTTGCCAGGCTTGCCAGGCTTGCAGACTGGTGGACTCGCCTTGACCAGGCCTGGACATCCTTGCCGGAAGGACCCCGGACTTCCTTTTGACGTAAAGTCGCATGGAATCTTGGGTGTCTTGCTGGGGTTCTTATGCAGCGGCCTGACTTTTCATGGTCGATCAGCACCGCCAACGGCTCGTACAATCACAATCCGTTCCTACAGGAGTTTGGTATGATTCAGTAGTGGTGATGTGTTTTCTTCAAGTCTCCATTCAATGCTAGGATAAAGTCTAGTTGGCCGTGCACACGACCACTCATTGCTGAAACGGCAAAGGCCAAAGGGTGGTGTACCTGGGATCCGGCTTCTTGCATATCAGCCAAGACTGCAAAGCTACGAATCTGCAGATTCTCCACCCACTCAAGTCTGCAGGAGAAAGTAATAGGACTTTTGATGCCTCTTGCCGACCGTTAGAAAATGTCCCACAAAGGAAAAAATTTCTCAAGCGAGCATTCTCTGCTCCAATCATCAACCCTCTAGGGACAGACCGAAGCAGCACTCCCTGAGAAAACACCGAATCCTTTTTGATCCTCGTGAAGCAATAATTTCGCTTCCCCGACCGTTCGAGCCTTGCGCTTTGCCCCCAAAACTGCCCGAACTTTTGTAAGATCTGCCCTTCTACCTGAACCTGTTATTTCGTGTGTCCGAATAACCCTGGTAGAATTTCCAAGATGAATTCGTCTAGAAGTCATTTCGATCATAATCGTTCACGGTGGATGCCACCCATCATTAGGTCGTAATAGTAAACAATAAGAGAACAATGGTGCTGTATCCAGCACTAGACTCTCAGCAGAGTCAAGAAGATAGTACAGGTGAGAGGTGACTGGTAATCAGCTAGGTCCCGCAGAAGGAAACAATGAATACGACACTCGGGTGTTGCGCCGTGGCCGCGAATTTGCAGTATTTGCTCGTCTGCGACCACCTGGTATCTTGCTTCCTTCAGTTCCAGGAATAGATGATTTCCTCTCTGGTATAGTGATCTGTGATGCCGAGGCGACCCGGTCATGCTTCTTGCCCGGAATATCACAGATATCAGAATGAACAGGCATGGTGCCGATTGTAGGTGATGACTGAGACCCTTCACGAATAGTGTCTTGACTGCCATCTCTATTACGCGTCTCGATCGAGGAGGTTGACCCACGAAGATCCAGTTTCTCCATGGAATCTCCGAAATTCGCCAGATGGGCGAAATCAGACAAGCTTGTGCTAGAGTTGGAAGACCTTTGCGTTCCAATCACCGAGGAGGCGATAGAGAGGATAATGCTCTCCTGTGAGCTCGATTTGCTCATTGTCGAATTGGGAGTTCGCGACATTGTAGGGGAAAATGATTCCAAGGGGTCGAATCGGCCCGCGTCTCCAACAGAAGCATCAACTGGGTCATTCGCAGTCAGAGAGACAGTTGGCACAGGAGGAAGAGATGCAATCCCGAGGCCTAGCAATGGCGAGGAAGGTTCTTCGTCACTCTTAGACAAGGAAGACGCCAGACTTGTGTGAGAGGATTGCCGAGTAGTGTTTGGGTATGCTTGCATCATGAGAGGAGTTGATGCAGATGAAGAGGTTTCCTCGACAGTGCCTTGTTCAACAATCAAGTAATTCTCACCCAAGCTGGTTGGGGCATTGGTTTGGGAAGCTATCGTGGAATCACTGGAGGGTTCTTCAGTCACCTCCTCCAAGTCTGTTGCATGATCCCATGAATAATCAATGGCATCTTCCCAATCCTCGATCTCGATTGGCTTCACCCCGATAGAAATTCGTTTCTTTGCAGTTCTGACTTTTGTGTCTGGGCTGGCAGTGGCCCTTGGTTGTGACTGGGCTTTCATCATCAACATCACGTTATTGAACGCTGCATTAAATTGGACTTCTCCAGATGACTGGCTTCGTCTTTTGTGCCTCGGGGATGGAGAGGCCTTGACCTGCGCGCGAGAGGAGCGTGGCGTGGCTGCCAGCAGAGGCGACGAGGATAGACAATCTACAGGCCGTTCCTCCTCTTCAAGAACACCTTCCAGCACTTTAGGTGGAGAAGGTAGTGGGGCGGTGGGAAGAGGTAATGCAATATCGTCTATGGTTGAGACTGCATGAACCACGTCGGGGAGAAGTGGGAGAGGTTTCCCCAGGACACTGGTTCGAGTGATAGGGCTGAAAGCTGAGAGTCTCACTTCTGACCTCGATGGAGGACTAACATCACTTGCAGTCACTGACAATCTTGTTGGTCGAGAGAAGTTCTCCATAGAACGAGACATGCGAAAGTCCGAAGGACTGTAAGGCGACATCAAACCATCTTTCGGTGGCGGCTGAGGTCGTGGTGGTGTCGTCGGGAGGAGCGGGATGGCGTCTGTTGTAGGCGACGTTGGCTCAACAGTATCCACTTCAACACCTGGAAGCACAGCGCGAAGATCAGCCAAGGGGATCCCACGGACAGAGTCTTCAGCTTGTTGTTCGGCCTGAATGCAATCAAAGTCGGAAGCTAGTTGAGTCTTTGTAACGGTGTCGATACTTTGAAACTGGCCTTGGTCTGCATGTGTCAAGTGTTGAAAGGCAAACGGTGTAGATATACTCTTCTTCAGGACGGGACCTTCAATGAAACGTTAGCGTTGTACAGAGATAATGGGCTCTCCCACGACTCACGCTTCAAATTGATAGTGGATTGCCGTTGGATCTTAAAGGTTGGTGGCAGTTCTGGAGAACGAGTATCGGATCGTGTGAATGAATCCTGAGACGGGGATGGCAAGAGGCTCAGCTTACTTCCTTGTCGCTTCAACATGCGAGTACCTCTTGACAGCAAACTTTTGGTTGAATGTTCCTGTCTATCTGCAAGAGGCAGGACAACATCAGCAAAGCTTTGCTGTGAAGAAGGCCTAGACATCATCTCATTTGAAGCATCAGAGACAGATCGTGCGTAGAGTGAGAAAGACGAATTCACTGTGTTAGTCCTGGATCGGCCTCGATACGTCGGGGATCCATCACTCGTAGGGGATTCGAGGCTTGAGTGGTCCTTTATCAATTCATTCAAGGCCTGCCTTGACGGCTCCGCGGTATCCTTCGAAAAGAAGTCATGAGTGACCGTATGCATTTTGTCACTGCCTTGCTTGGAGTGACCATTGTTCCAGGGAAAGCGCCCCATCTAGACTCTGTCGAAGTAATGACTGTCAGGTGTCGTATAATCCCAATGGTCAAGGTCTATCTAAGCGTTCGAGGGCTAAAGGGCTCTCGATACCGATGGTGTTCCTGACGTGAAGAGGAGAGAGCACCTCTGAGGATGCTATTGGTGTTATCGTCGCCTCGAACAGGGCCCAGCAGTAGGGAAAGGAGTGTGGTTTCAAGCTAGACATGCATGTTAATCGTTGTATTGCGACAGTGAGGTCAAAGCTCCCGTCATAGATTGTGATTGACTCGTACCAATGCTCGACATTCAAATGTGAGAAAGTTTCAGCCAGAACTCGCAAGCCCGTGCGTCTCCTTAAAAGTAGTAGGTATGGTTTCACAAATGCTTATGTACGTGTCCGAGGAATGGCTGTTTCACTGAATATACCTCGGTTCGTGAGTGGTAATGTCAGGTTTGCTGGCAGGTGAAGATGCTTCGGAGGGTCATCTGGGAAAGATGATCGGGCAAAGAAGAAATGAATGTAGGGCCCAAAGAAAACTTCTAGGAAATGAACCAGGAGTGCAAAGACTCAATCGAGATACAGTGGTAGCACAGAGATATGATGTACAAAGGTTAGATATTGCTCGGATGTTTGTAACAGGAGAGTACAAAGAATATGTCTGGGGGATTGAGCAGAGATATCTGGGATCCTGACCTGAGGAGCGATTGGCACCTACGAAAGTGGTGGAGTGAGGGCCGTTCTGTCGTTGAGGCGTCAGGATACGGAGCAACTTGAATTTCGAGCCAGGGCCAGGAGTGGTCCAAACTGCCGGCAAGGCTTCATAGCGCGCGACAGGGTCAACAACACTGACTAGGCTCGAATGACTATAGTCGAAAAGTGTCATGCTTCCGAACAGGCGCGTCTGAGACGGACGGCTTCCAGAGCGAACCCCATACTCGCATAGCGAGGCCGCAGGGGAGTCTGCCCTTGCTGATCTGATTTTGGAGGCAGTGGAGAATGAAGGAGCACACCAGGAGATTTGATGGGGCCGACTGTCGTCAAGAACGGGTGGACGCTGGTGTGGGTCGAGGAGTTATCGTAGATGCGTCAAGTGGGTCATCACATTGCGTGGGCGGAAGCCACAAGCCGGGACCTTATGTTCGGGATTCAGGGATGAGCATTCCCAGGGTTGAATTCTCGCGAACAACCAGAAGGCATGTTTCGCCATCTTTCTCCGATCCTGAGCTGGGCTAGCTCATTCATTAGGCACTGCGTTTGCTGTACGGCCGGCCAAAGCCCCGGCGAGGCTAAGGCACAGCAATCCAGCGTCACCATCTGCCTGCGGCCTGCAAGCCTTTTTCTCGAAGCACGCACTGTCATGGTTTTGGCCCGCATCTCGTGCACCCAGCGTGCTTAACAGCTGACAGCAGTCATCGGCCAACGGCACAATGACACTTTAACGGCTCATCACCACTAATTTGTCCATCTTCAAACAAGGTATCCCATCTCTTTTATCCGTAGGTCGCTCAAGAGACTCTCTAACGAGCAAGCCGGGACGGTCTCCAGGTCTACCATCAGGGGGGCGAAGCTGCTTGCCGTACTCGTAGACTCCAGGGCCTGAATACTCGGTATGCCAGTGATAGCTACTAGCAAACGATCCGCACTCGTAGCGCGTCTGTAATGAACCACTATTGGTTGTCTCGACATCTGCTGAGATATTGGGTATTTGAATTCACGCCGCCAAACACGGGTATGGAGCATTTGCAGGATGGATATGCCGTGACAAGAGAGGGGACTGGGCCAGGAGACTGGGCCAGGGGGGATTTAGGCGGATAACGAGGACGGATAAGCTGGTGGCATTGAGCCGGGTGCATACTCGGTGAGGGATGGAGAACTCGTAGAATGCTTTGGGCTTGGAGAGTCCAACAAGACACACTAAGAAGCAGACCGATGGAGCCTGGAAGACAAGGGCTCAAAGCACACTTCAGTACTGTAACAAGCATCCTAGCGAAGACGACAGATCTGCCGGCGGGCAGAAGAAAGTGACAAGAATGGGCGAGGGGAGCAAAGTGAGAACCTGCATAGAGCCGTAGTCTGTTGTTAGTGCGAGGAGGAGAGGAAGGTTCGAGCTAGCGAGGCCGACCAGTAGTATGGCGACTAAAGTTCGGCGAGATCGCCAAACCTATACCTTTCATGGAGCGCGCCATGTATACGCTAAGGGTCTAGCGCCTCTAACGTGCTTCTAGCGCCACAGTAACCTCAGGTCCCATTCCTCCAGTCTAGAATTTACTTACTGGAGACCGTCACCCGTCCGTGAGAGATGGTCTTCCGCATTCCACATTTTCCACCACTGTGGGCAGTGTTCAAACCCTCAAGGTGACACGGAACGAGGAACCACTGTAGCGGCTCCGTCATTCTCAGTTTGGGCCAAACAGTAGAATGAGCTTTGATACCCACTGGTGAATAAGGAGAGATCGTTGTCAAGACGCCCTGTTCCTCTGCTTCCCACCTCCTTCGTTCAAGGACCATCTGCTGCTGCACCCAACCATGAGAACGAGGTACAAGCCGGGATATACGTATGCATCCCCCGTGAGGACCTGGTTTCTTCTGAGGTCGCATCATCATCCCTGCCCCTGGCCCCAGTTCAGTTGTCCGCTCTTCTCTCGAATCACGGCTCTCAAAAGTTGGGTCCTGCAGGCGCCATTCCCGCCTCGTGCCATGGTCCTGACTTAGTCCATATATGGACTAGCGGGATTCACTCCCAGTACCTCGCTGACTCGCGCTAAGAAATGTGGCGCGCGCTAAAGATCTCAGCTAGTGGGCGAATCATCGTGACGAGAGAGATGAAGGGGTCAGAGCAGCCCGCTGGATCTCGTGATGACTGTTGTGGTATGTACATGGCTGGAGAGGTAGGAAGTGGCCTTATACACTCCACGGCGGCACATCCAACCTCTCGATTTTGATTGCTGGGGAGTCCAGTACGAACAAAACGACAATCAGTTGACGATCGTTCGGTGTTCCCAGGCCCACGATGTCTTTCCACAACTCCTTAGACGTGGGACCCGAAATTCTGGCTCAGAATTCAACCGCGGATGCAGGAAGTGCGTAACCGTCCCCACGAAAGCCCACGACGTTGGGCACCAGAACCTAGGAAGTGTATTCTGGATACCCGAAGATGGTAGCCCCAAACCGCGATCGCCAATGAAGTGTCCGGAAGCAGAGTACGAAACAATCAAGAAAGCCATCATGCCCACTTGCATTCCAATTTGAGCTTGCGAAAGCCTCGAAGTTGGTCATGATCGTCCAGCAATCTTCTGAAACACTGACCAAGAGTTGACTACCGCTTCACAATCCAAGGATGGCTGGAGACCCCCAAGAACTGTTGCTCATGCAAGAAAGTGCTCGGCTGTGTTGCGCCATCAACCCGACCGGGTACAAAGTCTACACCTGAAGTTATCACTTCAGGCAATGTACCCCGTTCTCCGTCCTCAATTCTCCTTGCCAGATGGCTTCCAAAGATTGCCTACCGAAGATCTCAAACCTGAAATTGGGGTTACCCGAGCTACCGAAATCTAGCTCAGATACGCTGATCTTAATTACATATGCCTGAGCTTTAAGCCCATTGCAACCAGAACGGATGAAAGCCAAGACCGCCAGTGACAGAAGATGATACCGACGAAGATGACAGTACAGTAGACTTGAAATCCCACCGCGGCACCACGGGCTTTCCACAGCAGGCGAGGCCACTGTTGGTTTCTCACCTGTATGCGTGACACCGTTGACTCTCAGTAAATAATGACCTTGGAGTAAACCATGCTTATGATATTGGCTGCGGATTGTCTCCTGGCTGGTAGGTGAGTCTCAACTGTTCTAGGCCTCGGCGTCCAGCCACCAACGCCTGTGCTGTTACTCTTGCCGACTCCGAAATGCAGGGCCGTTTTTGTAAACTTTTGGTCAAAGTTGACGAACAAATGCGCCACTGTGACCAAGCATTCCATGCCGCGTGGGGCTGATGGAAACTCTGGATTGAGTTATATGGAGGCATGTACGAGTAGACGTGTTGTTCGCAGCACCTGAAAGCTCGTTGTACCCTTGATCCTCGAATTGTGGCGAATAGAGAGCCGCAAGGTACAAGGTACCTGCGTTGCTTTTGGCAGTTTCGCTGACAGGCTCGCGCAGATCGCTCGCTTATCTGCTTCTCCGGAAGTGTCGAACATAGCCAGGCAAAGCTGAGTCGGGTGTTATAGCTGCGCGTGTTGTAGATATTGATGTTGCTAATCTTCCGCTCGAACATCACGGCTCCTTTTGCCTGCATCGTCTAAGGTGCATCGTGCCCGACACATGCGACACGGCACCAGCTCTCTCTCCTGCGGCGGCAGCCTCTTCGCCCACGCAAGTAGAGTTTATGGAGTTTTCCGCGTGAAAGTCCGTGGGATCTCCCCAGGGGACGCCAGGCTGGACTTTTCCGCTCCTTGATGGTCGCCAACTTGCCCGTTCTTTTGTGGTCCAGATCAGAACTTACACCTCTGAACTCTCGGGACTTTCTGGGGCCACCTTGTAAGGGCTATTCAGGAGCAACACGACCCCAGGTTCAGTGGGAAAGTCGTTACATCTGGGTCATGGTATGGACGGGATATTGCCACGGCACGACATCCTCAAAAGTTGAGTTACAAGGGCCGGCCAGACGCGACAGCAGGACCCCCATGACAGTTTCTTTTTCCATGGGTGCTCAGTGCTCCCTTCCTCACAACGCAAACGCAAATGCAAATGCCCGTTGGTTCCTGTAACATGATAATTTGCCAACGGCAACTTTCCATCCCACTGCGCCTCCAGAAACAAGTCTCTGTGCTCTCGTGTTGCCTTCGCGTTTTCTAATAGCATTGATCTTCACTACGACAAGAATGACTGAGTGATTGGGTAAGTCTGAGGCATTACATACAGTACATGCTCACATGCGAGTCCCCCCACCCATTGTCTACTCGTTAGTACCTTGGCTATCTACGAGTACTCTCAGAGTAGGTCGGCACTGCGTATCCCAGGGTTTCCTCCGAAGCCAGGGACCACAGTCTCGAGCCCACCTGCGATGATTTTTCACGCACAGTGACATACCCGCATAGAGACCTTCCTGAACAGGTAACTCTTGGGCCACAATGGCTTTCAGTACTCGTAGTTGGATGAACGGACGGGAGACGCGCCAGAAACACGCCAGAAACACGTGCAGCCGAAGCTCAGAGTCAGTCCTTGGCCTCGGTTTGGCTGCATGCAGGTCCCAAAACTTTGCATGCGTGTATTCAGGATCCAGGATCCAGGATCCTTCTATCCTCTCCAAGGTACCCGGAGGAGTCGAATGGTTCTGCTATCCCGTGTCCCGTACACCGGCAACGCGACCCCTTGCAAATGCAATGCACTGCGCAGAGTCAGGCATCCAGGCACGTCTGAGAGCTCAGCTCCCTCGTTGTGGGCTTTCAGCATGGGACTGTCTCAAACTTCACAACGCGTCCATTCTCCTCCCTCACAGGCTTTCGATTCGGCTCCCCTACCCATTCTTCGGGTCTTTTTCGCTTTCATTAAAGGGGCCAATGTCAACGACATCACCTTGCAGCAATCCCCTTTCTTGCACAGTACTTCAAACCCGCACACAAAGGCTAGTCCCACACCGTGCATACCCATTGCACAACAAGGAGTTATTCTGAGTATACCGTGAACACTCCGACCCTCGCCTAAGTTGGATTCCGTGTTTCACTTTGTTCTTTGTCTCAAACTGCCGGCAGGAACTGGGACTTTGTCACAGCCCTATGACTCAGGAAGGTCAATTCTTCTTCCCAAGACTCGGCGTCTTTGCGTTGATGCATGTACTACTAATATGTATCCGGGTAGATACCAAATAGGTAGGCGATAGGAATACTTCTCTCGCTTCTTAGCCCATAAGCACTATCTCTGAAGCCAGGTATCTACTCCCGCTGTTGTCTTCTCTCAATGTTTTGCTCTCTCTCTCTCTCTCTACTGAACAGGTGTCTCTGTACGAGTAGACTCGGGAGCGGTAAGTGGCGCGCTTTGCCGGGTGCCGGGACTGCATCTTAGGACCCATCGATGACCCTTGAAATCCAAAAATCCAACCCCGTTCAGGAGCAAGCCAACTGGGAAGCGGAAAATATTGCGGGGCGCATTTGCAGCAACAAGCATGACCGTTGTTGTGTTGCCATAATAATACTCACCACTGCGGATATTACTACGGCCTACCCACAATGGAGGCTTTGCACCTTTTGGAAGTCGCTAGCTACACATTAACAGGGCTTCCAATAACCACAAGCCATTTTTATTACGGATAATGACGCGCTTTCTTCGGAAATTCCGCTTTCCCATTGGAAACCAGGAATAGGCCCAGGCCCCTTGGGAGAACAATGTCTTTTTCACCCCTCTCTCTCCTACGGTCACCAGCATACCGTCCCACAAATTGCCCTGGGCCCTGGGAAAACATTACTCGCTGATCCTGGCTTTCTCCCTTTCTTTTGCTCCTTTTCGCTGCAGCACTGCAGGAGGGAAAGCTCTCGGTTCCTTTTGGCTTGATCCCAGCAGCCTCGACCTACTGTCCTTGACAAACTCACAGTGACCGAAATGAAGCCTGCAATTTTTCAAGTACCAAGTCCTAAGGCTGAGCAATCAACACAAGGCTTCGGGGCTCCGGTCCTCACCACGACTCACCGGCATGTGTCATTGTCTCAATACCCAGTCAGCCTCAGCGCGGACACATCGATTTCCAGGATTACATGGATTTTTGTTGAGTAAGGACAGGGGCCCGACGACCCAGACAGGAGCCCGGAATGGACTCTCCGCTATTGGGACGATCTGCTTCAAGCTTTCTCGTCCATATGGCCGAGTGAACTCCAACAACCGATTCCGATCAGGTAAGAAAGGCCATTTCACCGGAACCTCTGCTCATGAGATATGAGAGATTCGAAACCGAGAGGATTGGAAACTGCCAAACTTCTCCTCAGGATCCATTCATCCAAACAAAGCCCTGTTGCCTTCCGCAATGACTTTCTGTTCGCCTGGGCTCATACCCTGTCGGATCTCCCAATATCGACTGCCCATTCCCATGGCCCTTTTCCCTTCTTGATTGAGCCCATTCCAGTCCATCGCCTTTGTGAAGCCGAATTCTCCATCGCCACCAGCGCCTGGAAAATCCGGTGGAGGGCTATATCTCAACGCACTTGAACGCTGCCTGGCCAGAAACTCCAGGTTGGACTTCGTCATTGCACAGGCAGGTATGTACATGACACTGCTATCCCCGCTTCCCTTATGCTCCTTGTCCACCGCGTGAATCGTATCACAGTGCCACGCAACGTAGTCACCAGGTTCGACCTGCGGCATACTGACCATTGTGGTCTCGAGTTCAAGGTCCGGGTGAGTCAGAGGATTGTATTCCTGGCAAGCCCCCGGCACCGAGTTGGGGAGAACCGCCTCCATGTTCGGTTTTCCGGTGTTGAGGTCGAAGAAAGGCCTCAACAGCAAGTACGCCGTGGCGTGCTGGAGCAACGGACAGACTTTCAGCGTCCCCTCTCCTGGCCCCGTCGAGGACATGGACAGCCAGCCCTGGAACAAGCGAAACATGCTGCACGCACCCGCGCCATTGTACAGGTCCATGTTGGCCGTGATGCGGTGCCGCGCATCGAACGGATCATACCGCTCCCAGCGGCCCTGGAAAATCGCCTGATACACGCGCGAGTACTCGGGATCTTCCCACCTCTCGACGCTGCCGCCGTCCGTGTGCGGGCCCAGCGCGAACTTGGCGTCGCCAGGTCTCCGGATCCGGAATCGATCCGCGTACGAGAGCGGATACGCCGTCGAGATCTCCGAGCTCGGGTCCGACGAGTGCCAGAACGACGCCATGAAGGACTGCGCCTTCAGCATATTCGGGTGCGCGCGCGCCTCGACCTGCGACGGCGTCCAGTACAACTCATACACGGCCGGATCGTCGGCCGGGAACGCCTTGACCTTGTCGCGATTCGCCGCGATGTACTCCCGCGCCTGCTGCTTCAGATCCAGGGCCTGCTGCCGCGGAAGCACGTTGCGGATCACCGCCGTGCCGCGGTGCCGCACCGCGTCGAGGCTTGTCTGTGGGACTTTGCCTGCCAGAATGTCCTCGAACTCCATGCTCGGTATCACCTGGATCGCTGCACGTCAGTATGCTTTCTACCTGCGTGCGAAAGCGAAAGTCAGGGAATGGAAGACAAGCCGATATATGCACAACAGATAGATACAATAGACAACAATAGATCCAGCGGAAGACCGCGTCGACAAGGTCCGGAAGAGAACTCATGCATCGGTCAGGGGATGGATGCACTAACACTGCTGCCCTTCGCCCGAATCTCCTCGATCTCCCCTCGCAGACTGGCCAGCAGGCGCTTCCAGGAATCCGCGACGGCGGCCTCGTTGCCATTGACCAGAGACTTCTTGATCTCTGCGAACCGCGGTGGCAGCGGCTCAGCCGGCTTGCCAGACAGCGACGGGAACACCGAGCTGATGTCACCGGCTTCCTTGGTCATGGTAGACGCCGCGCGCCGCCATGCTGAGAGGAGCGCTTGTTTCATATCGTGAAAGTACAAGAGAAAAAAAAAAAAGGAAAACCCCAGATATAGGAAACAATTGATTATGGTTTCAATGGAATTGGAATTCCTTTGCTGTTGTCTCGAATGCTCTGGATGTGATGGGCTCTGCTGCACACCCATCCATTTATGCTCGTCTACTTCCGACATGGCCTCCGGATAGGATCCTGTTTCGGGCCTAGTCTCGTTATCGGAAAATTATCTTGGAGGAGGCAAAAGAGTAAAATGCTACTCACCACCCATGATCGTGGTGGGATCGTGGGGCCAACAGATACCGCTCAGACCAGCCGGGAGATCTGCGTCATACGAGCACCTACCTTTCAAAGTTCCAAAAAGGTTCCGGCTCACTTTTGCCTCTGGGAGAGGATACCATGAGGATGGGAGCCAGGTGCATAGATCAGACAGAAATATAGACATCTAGTGAAATTTCCAAGACACTTCGTCTGGAATTAGTCTAAAATCCTACCATCATTATTCATGGCTGATGATGGGCCGCAATTATCCCTCATTTGTAGTAGTAAACGGACAGACTGCTCTCTTGTTGGCCTGCTATACAATGGCACAAGTGTACAGCCGTGGTGGAAAAAACGCCAGCAACGCCTTACTCTTAAATTCTCGGAAGCGCTTAGCTATCAGTCGCCATGATCATGCTTGTTGGGAAGCAGAGTCGCCGCCTTGTCACGGCTCCTCCGTTCCAATGAGAATTAAATCGACATAAACTGATTTCAGGTGAATGGCCGCAGAAGGGCGTGGCCTTCATGTGCTCTGCGCCGAAAGTAGTGACAGTGTGCGATATGCCAATCATCTAAGTCCACAAAGTCGCGCTTCCGCCAGCCCTTCTTTTTGCCTTGAACCTCCTGGACAGACCGACAAAGGAGCCGGACCCGGTCATTCTTATATGAGCTTGGTAACCGACATCTGATCGTCATTGCAAGCCACGTGGTTCGAATTATGCCCCGTGACATCTAGCTCTGAGCATTTCGTAGCGTAGTCTAGTGTCTTCGTGATCGGTGACTTCCATATCTCTGTCCCCAGTTGAAATTGCTTCAATGAGCGGCGAGAAACACTGAGTTTGTGACTAAGCAAGTCACCATGACAATCATGCCATAGATCGCAAGCGCAAGACTTAGCCTTCTCAACAATTTCCGCCGGAAGTTTCTCGTTCTCTTCAATATACTCGCACCACTGACACTCAAAAATCCTGAATTTGCGAGTAATGTCTGACTCTCGCGCAGGTTTTCATTGTTTTCATCTTCGTCATCCCCGTCATCTGATTTTCGTCCCCCTTCATCACCGTACTCATAATCGTCTTCTTCCTTCAAAAGTTGTTGATGAAGGGGTGAGTCGGGTGAGGAGATCTTGTAATAAAACAACCCCGGGAGAATAAACGAAATGGAAGTACTGCCTGTAGAGCCGACGTATGCCAGGACTTTATCAAGACTGGATACCGTCATTGCCACCAGGTAGCTCAGAATAATGATCAGTGTCGTTATAGCAGCAAACCGCGTCTCGCCCATTTCCGTATTGCGCTGCCGACTTGGTTGGAGGAGGGGAATATTGCGTGGTGGACTCGATTCCAAAGAGGGTGTCCCAGATGTAGAGCGAAGCTTTGCCTTGAGCTTGTCACTCGGTCGCCATTTGAGGACTGCATCGACACTGGCACGGCATGGATGAACCTGCAGAGGATACGAAAACATGACAAGAATAACAATCATGGCCTGTCCGATGGTTGTGGCTGGCATAGGGGCATAGTTTTCGACGATGTTACCCGAAACCTCGTTACCAAAAGAGAGATACCCGGTAATTGCGACGAGGACGTAAATTGATGCAGCAGTTCCAATGGAAGCTGTGGCCACTCCAGCTGTTCTGAAGTGAGAATTGTCTTTAATCTCATTTAGAATGCTGAACATGTTCTGATGGCAGGTATAGGCGAAGACGATGACAGGAAAAGAGGATAGCGCGGGCACTATACCGGCCCATTTGAAGACTCGTAATGGCGTTTTATATCCCTCTTCAGGGAGCGTGTCGTGTGCCGCAAAATGATAGACGACCAAGATGACCAAATAACCAATTGATATCAGCGCAATCACCGACGTATATTTTAAAGAGTCCAAGCGGCGCAAGAAGGAGAAGGGGATCACGACCAGCATGAAAGCGGTCACCCAGAAATGTCGATCGAACATAAAAGGAGCAAGACTGTCTTCGTCGGCGAAACCCCGAACCACTTTGGGCATCAAGTCTCCAATGATGATCAGATAACTGACACCAACCCCAAAGCATTTGATGGAAATAGCTGCGTCGAATATCACTGCCGCATTAGGGTAGGTAATCTGAGAAAGGGCGAAGAAACTGGAGGAGCCGCGCTCAAGGTAGGCGGCGCAGCGTGTTTGTAGGTATAGCCCAAAGCCAGCTGTTAAGCCAGCCCATAGTATAACGATGGTTCCCAACAGTATACCCATATGCGACATAGCAAGGGGCATAGCTAGGACTCCCGCGCCAACGATTGTGTTCAAGAGATTGATGACACTGCTGGCCCATGATGCCTGACCGACGGTTCCGATGAGAGCGCGTTTATTTCGAGTAGAAGTATGAGGCTGTCTAATAACCATTGTTAGCGATATACCTGCCAACCTTTGAATGGCACGTACCGTCGGACTCGTGAATTTGGCCGGCTAGATGATGAACCGGATGCCATGTTGGAAAGTGAATCAAGGAGATCCCAATGGCAGTTGTGTGGTATGTGGCTAAGGGCGCTGCTGTATCATGACTTCCTCGTAACGACTACATGCAGAATTAAAATAAGAATGGGTATATGCGAACAAATTCGATGAGAGGAGATGGGATGAGATGGGTGATGAATGAGAAACAAGTCACCAGAATGTTGAAGAGCAATTCGCAGTCAGACTGGAGAATGGAGAATTTCGGTGGTCAAACATAATTACTGTAGGTCACACGGCAAGCGCAGGGCAGGGCAGGGGAAGAGCTGAACGGAAGGAGCCTCCCGGCCCCCAGCACGAGCCCAGAGCCACCTGCCCTGCACGTACAACTTTTCCGACTTGCCACCTATCCACATTAGGATATTTCGATTGCTGGTTTACTACTCCGTATAGCAAGTCGGCATCTTAATTATTTTTTTCGTTATTCTAGTTGTAACTTATAAGGTAGAAAAGTGCCAAGAAAAAGGAGCACCCACCTATCCGCGGAAGGGATAGCGCAGGACGGCCGTTTGAGAGGATAAAGGGTCCTGCATTTGGATTCTCAAGACGCATTGTGTTAAGCCGATCTTGAATCTGAAAAGTCCCGGGGCCTTTCGGATCTTACAACCCCGCTGAGGTTAATTGTCGGTAAAAGATAGAGCTCCGAGTGCTCATACTGAATCAGTTGGACGCCTAGGAGGGGCACCTCGAATACGTACTAGTCCTTACGGTAGACGGCGGAACTACGAATTGGAGGGGTCATGAAGGAAGCTGCCAAAAACCTAAATACCTTCGTTTTCTTTACCCATGAGCCTAGTCTGCGGTGAAAGGGCCTACTTTAAAATTTGAGACCGGTTTGACCACGCAGGGATCTTATCTTCATAGCGTCAAGATGGCATTGTCAAAATGTTGCATATCAGGCTTCAACTGGGATGGTAAGCCGACCGGAAAGGAAATCGAGCTTGCCGGCTTCAACACGTACGTGACCGGATCGAATAAAGAAGCAGCTGTGCTGTATATCCACGATATCTTTGGCTGGACGTTTACAAATGCTCGCCTATTAGCAGACCACTATGCCAACGAGGCTGGAGTGACTGTTTATATTCCTGACTTGTGAGTCTTACCAATGCCATTTGACGGACCCTGGGATAGGGGTGACTAACTCTATCAATAGCTTTAGCGGTGAAGTAGTCACACCAGAGACACTGGACAGCCCCGAGAAACAGGCCGCCTTCGACTTTGGTGCGTTTCTTGGTCGTCACGGCAAGGATAAACGCGGTCCAGAGATCTTCGCAGCCGCCAAAGCATTGAAGCAGAACATCGGATACAAGAAACTCGGTGCTATTGGGTTCTGTTATGGCGGTTGGGGAACCTTGCAGCTTGCTGGGAAAGGTTAGTTTCACACCAGACCACAGATGAGTCGCCATTTACGAGAGCAGAATATTGACCTGCCGATCTAGGGAACAACCTCATCGATGCTGCCATTATTGCTCATCCAGGCATGCTGGAAGAATCTGAGATTGATGCCATTTCGGTTCCAATCCAGATCATCGCTCCCGAGAACGACTTTACTTACTCGCAAGAATTGAAAGACTACTCAAACAAAGTTATTCCCACCCTTGGTGTCGAATATGACTATCAGTACTTCCCAGGCTTGGAGCACGGCTTCGCCACTCGGGGGGATCCAAACAACCTGGTCCAGAAGAAGGGTCTGGAGCGCGCGAAGAATGCCGCTGTACATTGGCTCCAGCAGCATTTAGGTGTATAGAAGTCTTCTAGGGGGTAGAGGCCAGCCTTATACTCATCCGTTGATAGTCAAGAAAAACCCCTTATCCCTCAATAGGTAGCTGGTCTATCGCCATAAAAGCGTTGCAGAAAGCGTAGTAAGTAGATGGTCTTGAGCTCTTCCATCGCCAGATCTTTGAGCACCCCCATCTACTCCCTTTAGTAGTATTGCTTAACTAAATACAGCATCCTCTACTAGTACTTAATACCGTTGATGATAAAGTGTTAGGCACTCTATAACTAAAATAGTACTAAGTATTAACAGCTGCATATTTTAAGATATTGTCGGGTGAGAAGGAGGAGCTAATGTTCCGTAGAAATACTAGAACTCTACACTAGGGTCTAACAGTCGGGCTAGGGTTGCACTGCTGAGCACAATTGGATACTATGTATGTCATCCAACAAGGATAAGCCTGGCGAGGGTCATGAGTAAGAGCAACTGCTTGAAGGTTAATCAGGACATGTGCATATAGTCTATCACTGGAACACACAAGTGAGAACAATCCTTCGCAAACGAATCATTCTCTGCGGACTATGCCGCTAGAATACTAATAGTCAATTGCGAAATCGACATTTTTTCACAAGAAAACTCGTTGACTCGGTGAGATCGAGGTTATTATGCATCAGGGAACGACATCGATCGACACTAACAGGCAAAGAATTCAGGAAGAACTCGTAATGGATTACAGCCATGGCAACCTTTCAGACCTTGATCCCCTTAGCTGATTGCTTTCAGAATCAAGGCAGCTTGTCTCCCTCCGTTTCTCCCGTCACAACCTCAACAGAATCGTGCCAGATATCTTGTCCTTCATCAGGAGAGTCATCTTCGCTGTCCATCTGCATGGAATCGTTGATAGCGCTCAGCAACTCAAGATGTCTGTCTTTGCCAAATGCCAGTGCCAGTTGCAAAGACGAGCATCGGCTGCCTCGAAGGCTCTCTAGATTATCCTCCGTGATGAGCTCCGTCTGCGCATGCGGGTTTGCTCCAAGCTCAAGCAAGCTCCTGATGATTTGCCTGTGACCTCGATTGAATTGGATTGATGCAATTGCTATATGTAACAAGGACCACCCTCGCGAATCGTGCAAGTCGCGAGCCGGGTTAACACCGTATTTCTGAGTATATGCCGGAAATAGCACTAGGAAATTGTCATGTACGCCGTAGTCCACGACGTTATGTATAGTCGTCCAACCCAGATTTCCTATGGGCTGGAAAGGATCCACACCTGCTGCCATCAGTAACTCAAGATCCGATGGTTTGCCGAATATCGACGCACGATGGATTAGTCCCCAACTATGAGCATCGATGATGCCTTGGTGGAGGAATGAAAAATCACCCTCGTTACGCAACAAGTTGATAAGATCTGAAGATAATGGATGCCGCTCCTCAGTGCCAGGCCACAAGTAAAATAATGCGGACCAGCCGTGCATTGTTAAGTGGTGATAAGAAGCTCCACGCTGTATTAACAGTCTGCAGATATCCAAGTGTCGGTGTTTTATTGCCCAACAGAGTGCAGATGTGTGTTTCTGTCCAAACGGTTCATTCACATCCGCGCCACTCTCAAGCAGTACCTTGACGGCTGATATGTGACCATTTTCGATTGCTCGAGAGAGAGGGGTCTCGCCTTTGTCAGTCATATCGATTGGGGAAGCCAGTCCACATTGGAGCAATGCACGTATCTTGGATATGTCGCCATCACTACATGCTGTCATGAATGGACTGTCTGTCGGTATGAGCGATGTCAGGGTGATCGTGGCCGGAAAGGGAAATCTAAAACCTGTGTTCCAAGCTCGCGACTGTAATATGAGGTTGATTTTGAGACTGATTCGGGCGAGAAAATCCAGTTGGACAGAGCATACATAGGCGTTGCGGTGAAACAGGCCAGCAGACGCACTCATCAAAGTAAGATTGCACAAGTCCCAGAAATAGTTGCTTGTCACTGACCAAGGTCTTCTCGGCACGCTGTGACGATGGTCGATTGCCATCGCAGAGTCTCCTTCACATACAGACGTTCGTTCGAAAGTGTCTTCTGGTACCGTTGGTTCGCATGTTTGTCTACGTTCCAAAATTGCTATTGGGTTCGATCCCAGCTGCTCGTCTCTCTCAAGATGTCGCAAAGAGGTACATTCATCGCCATGAGAGGTATTGAGGGTTGGCGCCGACCTGGTCAGCCATTGAATAAGGTGCAAGGCAGTATTGATGGAATTTTCTGTTCGCATCACTTCGGTCATCAATTCACCGTAAGTAATCCGATCCAGTAAAACCCAGCGGATGCGATTTCTCTTGCGTGATTTTGTGATTGCCTTAGGAAGGCGGTTCTGGATGACGGCAATAGATTTTATCCCATTGACAATAGTCTCTTTGAGGTTGTCCCGGAGTCTGGATTGTGGTTCATCCGTGGACAAGAGGTCTTCGTCTACTTTCTGGAGCAGGTCGAGATTGATAGAAAGTTGTTCAATCCGCAAGCCTGCAAGTTCCAGCTCATCTCGGGCGTGTTTGAACTGATGGTGAAGATCTAGCAATTTGTCCGTAATCCCAACAAATGCTGTGAGTGAGACACCTGCGCTAGCAAGCTCCATCCCTTCATAATTTCCTTCCCCGAGCAAATGGCAGTATTCTGTTGCGTTGGCGGACTCCCAGCAGGAAAGTAAAGCTTCAGCGATCCCACTAGGATCGGTGGGCATACTTCAAGTCTTAGAGAGTCGAGCGAAAGATTTAGCCTCGAGTTTGCCCAAAGGCGTCTTTTGCTACCGGGCGCAACTGTTGTCAAGCATCCTTGAATGACTAGCAATTTGGGCGTAGAAAATGCCTTGTCTGAGGGCTTGAATCGAGCACTAAGTTAGGGCAGTGAGCATGATGCATGGAGTATTGGAATGGGCAGTGCTCGTGCAATGGCCTGGGTTTTGCAGGAAGGCGACCAATAGAGGGATTTGTTGGCGTGTTGGGCAGCGACCAATGTCTTGCAGAAACGACTGGACCGTTGGTTAGCTCATGGTTCAAGCACCCGCAGCCCTGTCCGGAATGAGAGGCGTCCCAGTATCCATGCATCTGGAAATTCTCCAACCCAAAACCCATGAAAGAGGCACCATCAGAAATAGCTTCGATTTTATTTGATGTCATTCCGGGATCCACGCATGGGCGAAGTGATGACAAGGAATATTTGCAATGGTCAGCCGGCATGATGCACATTGTCCATGAGAACGAACGAGGTATCAAAGCATGAATTGACCCTAAGGAGTGGTTTGCAGAGGCAGATATGCTTGGATGCAGGGGCGTCTCAGCTGAATAGCACGATAACCTAAACCAATACTTGGAATCTCCATGACCCATGCTTGCGCCTATTTCTGCTCACTTAACAAGCGACGGGCGGAAACCAAGTGGTCGAAATCGACTTTCTTGCGTCGTTGGGAGTCCGAAGACCAGCCACTCGAAGCTCGACAGGTGCCGACAGACCTGGTCAGGTACAATCAGAACTAAGTAAGAAGGGGGTTCAGCATATCGAGAAGCTCTTTGATATCTGTGAAGAGGACTTGGGTCATGTGCGGTACCAAGTCACTACCATGAACTGGGATGCCAGCTAGAGAATTGTGTGAGCAACAGAGCGTCCGCTGCGTCGCAGCCCAGAGGTTCGAATGGCTGCTCGAGACCTGGAATCAGTGCGTCGAAATCGGCCTGGCTTTGCAATACTGAGTATGCATGATGTGAAAAGTTCAGACCGCCCATGTGGAGTGGTGTTGAAGTGGCCAGTTGCACTGCCTTCTGTGTTGAGGGACAATGCAAATCTGAGTGAACTGAATGCCTCATGCAGTCAGATCCCAGAGTTGAAAATGCTTCAAGGATCGTAGAATTGTGGATCTCCTCCAGGCGTGCTTTGGTAGCGCCATCCATAATCATAGATGTGTTCAATTTCTCACTGAAAATGAGTTGCAACTGGCCGTGGAGTTGTTGCATCAAGAGCGCAAGCAACTCATCAATGCTCGCGAAACTGCTGTTGCCCGCATCTGAGTTCCGTTAGAAAGCTGATTTTGAAGAGAGCAACACAAACAGGAATGTCGACTACCACTTACAGGGCGAGATCGGTCCAGGGTGTGTTGGGAACAAGACTCCAAAGATTGCAAACCATGCTTCTTCTGGGCGTCGGTTGCTCACCAAAAGCCTGATGAGTCGGTTTTCCTCGGGTGACATGCTATCGCGGAAAGGGTTAACTTTCCTGGGCTTGTCGCATTTAGCCTTGTGAGAGCTCAGCTGACTAGCATCGAGAAAAACTTCAAAACAGCGCTGGCAAAAATGATCTGGGTAGACATGAACCTTGAATAGATGATGCCTGGACGTCAAGATTAGTATGAGGGAGACCGCTGTGGAGCAGTGAAATATACATCAATGAAGAGATCGTCTGCAGTTTAATTGCTGAACACTTGGTTTCAACTCTTCTTGAAGGCGAGATACGGTTGTTGGTGCTGGCTGCGTAAGGACACGCAAAGAATTTCTGTTGATGCTCGCACGCAGCATCAGTAGCAACACCAGGACTGCCAAGAGTACGGCGTAGCCGCCTAATAAATCCATCAGAACCACAGTCTAGACTTGGGACAGTATCAAACCACGGCTCGGGCAAGTCTAATTCTGCTGGTTTGGGTCCAAAGAACGACCAGTCGGAAGAGGAAAAGTGCGATCCAAGGGAAAAGTCCAGCTCGTAGAAAGAGGACTCTAGCGGATGGCACGGCTCGGCAAGTTGCAAGGCTGGCAGCACCTGTGAAGATTCATCAGTGCTGCCTGGATTGCCAGACCAGTCGACGTGATCATTGCCGATCGGAGTAAGGGGTAGGCATGATTGCGAGTCAGCTGTATCTCCTTGTACATACCGCTGGATGGTTGGATTCTCTCCAAGATAGTCGCTTTGTCTAGATGCGTAGCGGCGCCTCCGATAGCGCTTGATTTGTGACAGGCGGACATTTTTCGATTGTCCATTGACATTGACTCGAAAATCCAACAGCTTGTCCGACTGTCGCTTGGAAATCAATGCTGGGCTCTCCTTGCTCACTATGTGGAGGATGTGAGCCATCTCTTCATTTGTGCAGTTCTTCCTCATTCCCCATTCCTTAATCTTCCGTTTGAGCGATGCAGGTCTAGATGAAGTAAGAAAGGTTCAGCATGAGATGCGGTCCAAGGAACGCACGAAATTCGAATCTCGGACTCGCGTGAAAGAACTTCGAGGACTTGATGAAGTGTCATGTGTTCGGAGATGTACAAGTGGTAGATTATCGGCTTCAGTGCCACCCACTGAGATTTGGTGCGAGGTAAAGGCGGCATTGTTAGGTCCGAATGGAGGTCTTCGCGTCAAGGTAAACCACGGGAGTTGAAGAAAGGTTGACTTGCACGGCCGATGAGCGCACTGCCGTGGTGAGAAGAGGTCGAAGATGAACAAGGAGCGCAGTTGAGTTTTAAGCTGACCGCCAGCGGCACTCGCTACTCGTGCTCGTGATCGGACTCCACAACTTGAACTTGACGCCGATTGCCAACCAGCCTGTTGACACTTGCACTTGCGCCTGCGCCTGCGCCTGCACCTGCACTGGCACTGGCATCTGCCCAACCACTGCACCAGTGACTCCTGGCATCAGCTGGCATCAGCTGGCATCAGTAACCCTGGAAGGTGCCACTAACATCGCCATCCACCTGAACCCCTCACCTCAATGCCTCCCGAGTCCGAGTCTTGTTCACCAAGCAAATTCCCGTCCGTCCCTTCGGGCTCTGGCTGCCGTGGTGGTGTATTACTAGTAGCACTTTCATAACATGCCTGGAAAGTTCTCAGCCACCAGGCCCAGGAGCTGCTAGTGCCGGGATCTCGTAACCCTGGCTTGCGGGCATGCAGTGCAGTGGTCAAGAAGCACTTGCATTGAATTCTTTTCGAATCCTGCCCGCCCAAGATGGGCAGCATTACCAGTGCGAGACAAGATGCCCTCCCACGGTCCACGGTGAAGAACTCAAGTCTCCAGCACAGTGACTGCTGGAAGTCCAGTCCCAGAGCAGAGCATCTGCGGTGCGCAGCCCATCGAGCAAACGGCCAACCCAAGTTACAAGGACTTGGACGGGAGCAAATCGTACTAGCAGTATTGCAACACACGCACTCACTACCCGTACCTACCGTGTCGGTATCGGTCATGCAATTCGTTTGGTGTTCAAGTCGTTGTTTCTGTACCATGGAACTTCTCTCGTGTCTCCTGGCAGGCGATGGTTTGGTTTCAACCAACATGAACCTCAACCTCGACGGCCACCACTGGTATGTATTAGGTCCTTGATAGTGGGAGAACTCACCGTTGTTACTAGTAGCTGGTGTTTTGGGTGGCCGGCCGCCTCGTTCCAGGTCGGTGCGACTATCGTGAGCGAGACGTCGCAATGTAGCGTCTTGTCCATCCTACCCATCCGCTCCATATCCGAGTGCGAACCCACTCCCTCCAAGTCTATCCTGCCACACCGATCGCACCGTCTCTGATGAATTTCTCAATTTCTCCACTACCGTTAGCCAGCCACTCCTCTCAAAATCTCGGTGTCCTTCTCCCTTAACGAGCACGCTGTCCAACCAACATGATTGCATTATCCCACACTCTCTGGCCTTCTTCCAACATACCAGATCCCTCGCCGACGATTCCAACACCAATCGCCCTAACTTGCACAGTTAGCATTCCAAACATGGCTTTCAAGCCGGGGTGCAATGGACTTACGGCACGCCCCTCCCGCCGGTACATCAACTGTACGCAAAGTGTCCTAGTTCCCTCATGTAGCATTGACCACTTGCGTCCAGATTCGGACACATTTGATCCTATCCAAATCCACCATGGAGTGCCTCCAGTCGGTGTGAAGTCACCATCCAGAGAGCGTATGAACACATTCCTTGTCGGATTCTTCTGGTGTGAAAAGCCTTGAGTGGCTCATCCACGCCATGTCCGCAACCTTGTTAGAGATCGAAAGCTGATGTACACGACGTAATTAGGTAACAGGATATTCTCCCTTCAAGAACGAGCCGACACGGTCGGTCAGATCAAGTCGGATCCGACTAGGACTTCGCCCTCCCCTACAAAGCCTCTCGAGCCCATCAAGGACGGGCCGAAGCCCAGAGGATCCTGAGTCCACAGCGCAATACCTTCCCAAAGTAACCGACAAGAAGCTGGACTGGTCCCATGTCGGACTGTGGTATGGAGTCACTATCGAACACATTGTGCAGCATGGCAGGATGAAGGTTAGCTGAGGGGATCGGAAAAAGTCGCAGTCACCAAAAGGCGAAGAAACGCCACCCTTGCACTTAGGAGGCAATGACACAATAGAGCACGGGCGCAGGCTGTATCACTGTCACTTGTCAGGCGTCGGTATGTTGGCCTATGTACCATCGCTGGGTGAGTGAAGCACTCTCATGACTTGCTTCGTTGGAGACGACCCTCCATAGTACCAATCAGAATCACCCTGATCATATCAAGCTCCACTATCTTTTTCATATCTTGTTTGTCGACTCTGGAGTCCAATAGCGTGAGAAGGAGCCGCAAGATGAGTCTCATCGCGAGCTCAGGTAGTTGGAGACTTGTGAAAGCATATGATCCCTACTTAGGCAGGCAAAGCGAAGGCTGGATGGCTGGATGGCTGGGCTGCCATTGGTGAATGGTTTGGTGGGATTTCCTGGTGAGCTGGGTCGTAGCCGCAGCCCTGTCGTTCGGACATCCAACGCATCAACGCATGGCAGAGTCCGAATAGAGTGGGCAGATGAGATAGATGGATGGTGCTTGTTGAGGAGCAGGCGGGCACAGGCACTGTGCAGATAGCAACGACGATACTGAGTCCAGATTTGTGGTCAAGAAGCCTTCCCTCGGCTTCCCGGAAGGCTGCTCGGTAGAAATGTTGAAAAAGGAGAGAAGATGCGCGAAGCTGGTGCAGAGGAAGCTTGAAGAACCGGAAAGAGGACGGAAGCTCTAAGACGCTGGAACCGAGTTTATTTCAGGAATCGTCGCCCTGCATCGAGGTGCCGATATATCCATCGACTGCGACCCCGTCTGGACTGGGCGGAGACCAGCACGACATACCGTCAAGGTGGACTTATGTAGACCCATTTCAGAATTAGCTGGGCGGAAACCGTCGTCCATGGCTATTACGAGAAACTACGAGTCGAGCCCAAAGGATTTTGAATGAATCGACGTTGGAAGCAGGTATCCGTCGGGTCGTGATTGCTCGCACGGGCCATTTGCATACCACACTTCTCTGTCCAACTCCACGGCTCACCTGCATCCATGTCTATCATTTTATGCGATGCCAAAATCCACCTTATTTGAAATGCTCACTAATGCGTAAGGTTGTTTGGATGGATCAGACTCCACCAGCACGCACCATCAAACCACGCACGCCGCCTGTCCTCAGTATCAGATGGACTGCAACTGACAACCTAACGAGCACCTCGACGCATCTAGATGGCGCGACTATGAGGTGCTCCATATCACCAAGGAGTCCACGGTGAGTGTTGAGCGTATCTACTAGCCACTGTCCCGGTACACATCATCACCGGCCCTAAATCTCTTCTCGGTCTAGAATCAGCCGTTCCTTTGGCTGGAAAGCGGTAGTTCTGATCAGAAAGCAGATCCCATAAGTTGGAACCGAACCACATTGGTGCTCAATTTCATCTGGTCTTTGGCGTTCTCGTGGCTTGAGCATACGAGCAAATCGGTCCAAGCTCCTAATCATCAATATTGACTTGCACTCGCCGCCTGTCGGATTCTTGGTGGAGCCAGAAATCGTCACACTACTGTGAAGAGACAGACGTTCAATGTGTATGTACATATTCATGTTCGTCCTCCCCAACGCAGAACACGTGCAAGCCTGTGTTTGCGATTCGTCGGCGATTCGTCGGGTGTTCCCCACTCAAAGTTGTCTACTTGCAGTTATGGCAATCTTACCTCTCTCCCAGCACCTGGTACTTAGCAGTTCCTAAGAATAAGGCGGATGTGAACGGAAGCCCGGATTTGAAGTTTAATGAAGATCCACAAGGGTATTGACGTGGTTTTAAACAAGCGAGGGAAGGCCCGAAAAGGTGCCGACTCGTCACCAACGGGCGGCAGGCCAACTTGTAAAACGGGGTTGATGGCAAAAATTTCAATTCTGTGCAGCGAAAAGCACAAAAGGCTCAGCTGAAGTCCTCGTACTGCTCCTGGCAAACGGGCACGGACTGCCGGGACCCTTGTTGAACGACAAAAGGCTCAACCTTAGCTGACCAATAGAAGTTAAGCCAACGGACAAGCGGCCCGATTCGGACAAAGCCACCAAGGAGATGTTAAGATTCCTCCGAGTGTACCGCTTGGTGATGCTGAAAACGAAACGAAACTCTGACTCCAACACCATAAAGTCGTGGCCATTACCATCACTCCCCCGCCTACGGAGTAGTAACTTGCTCAAGTTCCAACGCAAATGATCGGCAGGTAAACTCGGCATGCATCGTTCTACCATTGTGTCTGAAACGGAGTGAATTCTAGCTTCCATGGAGGCCCATGTGAAAGCCAACGCTGGAAGTAGGGCACTCAGGCCGGGCTTGGGCGACTATCAATGGCAAACGTCAGGCCAAGGATGATCCAGAGAGCTCGCCACGTCGTCATCTCCCAATTTTCATGCTGCCACAAGATCAAGGAAAACTTCGGATGGGCTGCGTTCGACTTCCAGTCGAAAGCTCTAACGAGTAGGTTGCCGCTTGACCACCACATCCCAGGTCAAGTCTGCATGGCCCGCAGCCCAGGCCCCTTTACGATGGCAGCCTTACCGCTTGTATGCCGGTGTTGCAGAAGTGACCAGAGCCCAAGGGCGAATCTCTGCTCACTTCTGCCCTACCAGCAGCCTTTCTAGGACCCATGTGTGCCTGGTGCGCAGACCACCAGAATGGGCTGTTCTGCCAATTGTACGGCTCCTGTCGCGTATCCCTACGCGCAATTGTAAGGGGCAATCAGATAAACCCATCTAACACGAATCACCTGGAAGGCTTGGACTGGATGGCCTCGGTAGGCAATGTGTAAGTAAGGACAGTTCCTGCGAACATGCCCCGCGCGTCCGTCCCGTCAGTACCTGTGAATGAAATCTACAGACCGATCCCGGTTTCCTGGGTAAGCTCTAGGGAAAAGAAAGTAGATTGGTGACCTGTCTGAAGATCTCCGGCTAGCCACAATACAGTAAACTATATGTATGGTGATTTTTCGGAGCCGCCTCGCATCCTGACTCCCTAAGGAGAGAAGAGAGAGCGCGGAGAAGAGAACTGATGGAGAGAATTATAATCATAAGTCTTTAAATGGCAGATAGAAAGGGAGGGACAAGGTTGTCGATGATAGGCCTCCGTTGGACCCTGAAAATGCTAAGTAGGAGCCTTTTTGGGCTGTATCCTCTATACCTGTATATCACGGTCTCCTGTAGAATCCCTCAAAAAGGTTATTTTAGTTTTAAAAGTTTAGAAATAGATTCCTATTACATCCCTATTTGGGCTACTAAACTATTTAATTATTTCGGCACTTCCTGGGTTGACTTTAGATTCCTGAAGAGAGACTGCTTAAGGCGTTCGAGGAGTTTACTATACTTCGGTATTCTTAGGCTTTACTGTATCCTAGCGTCTACTTTAGGCTATTTTAGTTTTATTATAGGGTTCTCTTCGGGACTTCTAGTGTTAGATAGACCTTCCAGGGAAGAAAGGGAATGGTAGTCAATCGGTGCTTGAAAGCCTCCTTCCCCGACCGCGCCTATGGTTGATTATCTTGGCCCCGTCCTCGCCCTGCAGTCTTGGGCAAAGGATATACAGAGTAGCTTAGTATTAACTTACCGCCCTCAGGGAAGTAAACGGGGTCTCCCTCCCGTAATTATTACTCCTCCCCCACTCCTTCATGCTCGCCCGATGCTCTCGCGTGCTCCCTCACGTGCCCGATTAATGCGGCCATGCTCCCTTTCCCCAACGACGAATATGTTAATCGGTGTAGGTCAGTTCAGAGTGGATATAATCTATCTATATATTGTAGGCGCTGAATAGCTCAGCGCTGGAAGGGCCCCATCGGTCTTCCTGGCGTCACAAAAGTGACCCTTCCGAAGGCATAGTTTCAGCTTGCCGGTAGTCAGGTGGACAGGGAGGAGACTCGAGGTTGCAAGGTGCAATATTGGAAGTTCAAGACGGCAGAGGCGGGTAAGGAGATCGAGGTGATATTCGCAGAGGGTTCTGTGTCTTGCATGGTAAGATTGATCGACTGATTGGGTGAGTGAATGAGTGAGCGAAGCCGAGATTATCAGCCGCCACGTCAGCACCCAGTCAACGTGATTCTTCTTGCGCAAAAGGTGTTAAACTGGCGCCGAAATGTGTCGAAAATGGTTACCCAGGCACTGCGAGTCCTCTTTTTACCGATATAATTGATCTCTCCCTGGGCACTGTACACCCGCAGGTCAATACCTGCTGGTGGCATAACATCTGCCCCTCCAGTTTTGGGAGTTGTTTGAAGCCAGGGTCCCTCTTCATAATCTTTCCTGAGAATGGCCTGATCTATCGTCTGGGCTGAGCCGATATCACTCTACTGCTTAGTTGACTCCTTAGTGAGATATCATTGTCCCCATCCAGGTTGCAGCAAGGCTTGGACATCACTGTAAAAGCCAGCCACGTTACTAGCACTTCCTCCCGGCTCACCGCCAGCTAAGGGCCCAACATTGTTGAACATGGGAACGTCGCGCACTCTCCTCGTCAGCACCTCAAGACAAGACCCTCCGTGGATGGAAATAGCCTCGCCGTCCACTCCCGCCTCTCCTTCTGGGTACATAGCTATGCTTTGATCTTTGACACATGCCAGCATAACCTCCGCAACTTTTTCAGGAGTGACCCACGCGTCCTTTTCCCGGTCCACCGCCTTCAATTTCTCTGGGTGCTCGGTGAACAAAGGAGTCTTCACCACTCCAGGCTCTACCGCCGTGACTCGTATGCCGTGAGACTGTTCGAGTGACTCCATGCAACGCACCAGAGCTTGGACTCCATGCTTCGCTGCATGGTACATTGGAAATGGGAGCGAAGCAGTTTGTCCGGCAACGCTGGCGATATGGACAATGGACTTTGGGTTGGACGGACTCGCTGGTGGCGAAGAGCCGAGGAAATGCGAGATCGCAAGTTGGGTAACCCGGATTGGATGTGTTAAATTAATATCGATCGAGCGGTACCTGTCGCCGAACCGGTCATCCTTGGACTCAGCGCTTCCAGGCGGATGCCAGAAGTTCGACCAGGGAGGCTCAAACACTCCAGCGCCAGGGCAGACAATGTCGATGGAGCCGAATTGCTTCTCGGCAGCCTTGAACATGTTCTCGAGATCAGTCCACGAGGTGACGTCGGTCTTTTGGAACGCCGCCTTTGGTTTTGATTGATACTGATTAATCAGTGCTTGGGCCTCTGGCCGAAGGGCAATGTCTGCAAACAGGACATTCGCACCATGCCGAAGGAGTAGCCGCGCGAATTCCAGATTGATGCCTAATCGATCATTTCTGTTAGCAGTGTATGCAACAGAGCGATTTACAACCATTCGTACCTGAGCCCGCACCTGTTACAATTGCTGTCTTGCCCTGAGGATCTAGTGCCATTTTGTAGCGCCTCCGAATAAAGAGAAGATGTATCACTCGAGAAACAAAGAAACGGCCAGCACATGAGACCCTAATCATATACCTATTATATTGCACAGTGACAAAAAACCCGGTTGCATTGAAGCCGCACCCGAGGAAAACGTTTTCCTATGATTGGGTCTTCTTGTTGTCTAGGCCGAGTATTTTGTCCGGGGCCGAGGGTGACCGAGGGCGGCATCTCACATATCTTGCGGGGAAAGGCAAGGCCATGAAAGCAATCATCCATCGTACGGGTCGCCCTGAATTATTTCCTCCAGAGTTATACGGCTACAGTAGCATGTAGAAGTCCAGCCAAGCATTTACACCATACGAAGTAAAATTTCGTAAAGAGACATTGTCCTTCACTACGCCCCACCTGATCCTAATGCTTTTCTACGTTAGACGATTAAGCAAATTGAGAACACCAATCGAGTTTGAGGAGAGACAGTATCCGGGTGAAGAAGTACGTTGAGGATTATCGCTCTAGCCAAGCTCCATTACAAGCTTCTTTCGCAAGGCACCTATGAACTCGTGGGTCAGCACCCCCATAAGCCCTGACATACATCCAAATAGACATTCTTTGCCGGCCCTGATGTCCTGCGCCTGAGCCGCAGAACTGCATTATACAGTATGTTGAGAACGAATTTGAAACAATCGATCATATCCCTTGAAAAAGGAGTGAACTGTGTAAGCGCGTCCCCTGAGATAATCCTCGCAGGGTGATCCGAAGACACAGGGTAAGTAAGTGCAGGACTTCGCGTCACGAGGGGCTTCTTCTGCTCCAAACCTTTCGTAGCCTATTTCATAGTCGCTAAACCGGTGTCTGATCTAGTTGTTGTTCTGGCTGTTCAGAATTCGGAGGATGGCGAGGAACAGATTCAGGATATCGAGATAGAGACTGATGCTGGCGGCGATCTCTTCCTCAACGTGATAATGTCGCATCACCAACTGTGTGTCCACAAGGATGTAGCCACTGAAGATCAGTGCAGCAACCACGCCATAGACCAGCTCGATGGTCTTTCCGCCAGGAAAGAAAGCGGCCATGAATCCAAAAATGATGAGAACCCACAAGGCACCAAAAAGGTATGGCATCCAGCTTGTGAAGTCGTACTTGGTTTGACAAGCGAAAAGAGTCAGGCCAATGAAAATGCCGACCGTGAGGATCAATGCTTGTAGGACGATGCGGCTTTCGTAGAAAGATGTAATGACGCTGATACTGTATGCTTCAAGGCCTGTGAATCCAGCTAGGAAGAGCATGTTGGTTGGATATGATTTGCGTTTCCAATATGTGAGGAGCATGAAGCCAATCGCTCCGAACAGGGACACCCACATCATCCAACTATTTGACTGGATCCAGGTGCGATAGTCATCGGAGAAGAAAGATAGAGACGACAGGCCAGCCGTGAGAAGTAGTTGGACGGTCAGGATACTGTAGACCTTCCGGATGAAGGACATTCGGATGTCGAGAGTTGCTTCAGCGACCGAGCCACCAAACTGCTCATCCTCGTCAGTGCCAGCGTTGAAAGTTACAGAATCATGGGGAAATACTACGCACCTTGAAGTCATCAGGGAGGTTGTCGTCCTCAGAGCGGGGAGTTCCATAGCCTCCTTCATTCGTACTGGGACCCGCGGTCTGATAACTAGGTGGTGCTTGAGTGAAAGTTTGGGGCTCATCGAGAGAGTCGCGTTGCGGCGCGGGTTGATACTTGGTGGTGGAAGTCATAGCGAAAGAATGTATGAGTTGATGCGATGGGGTTCTTCTGAACCGAAAGATGGAACGCAAGAAGAGGAAGATAGGGAGTAGATGATCGGTAGAAAGCAGTGGCGTGGGACTGTGTCAGGCGGAAGTCGCAATATGTAAGTGAATGACCGCATGCCACTGGGGAGAAGGTTCCAGGACAAATCACGTGGAAAACCGATGATTTTTGTCACATGATATGCCCCTCCCCATATGGCGTTTGAGGAAGCCAACACGGCTTTGTTCCACCCCGCTTCTGAAGAAAGGACGACTCGAAGCGTAGGGGCACACAAATACAGGATTTGAGACTCGAGATCTCAGTTTTATGGTTGAAAAGTGGTACATTGCCAATTAATGAGCAAAAAAACAAATAAGCTTGCATGAACCGCGACTACATGTCTTGTAAGAGTTTTGCAACACTCGATTCTGTTTGATGGTACCAACCTCGAACGCGGGCCCTCAGTATGGGAAACTGAGATTCTACCCTTAAACTATTCATGCTAAGAATGTCCGTGTCGTCATTTCGACAAAGAATTACAGTATTTTCTCGTTGTACAAATATATACTCGCACATGTGACAGCCTCAATCCCGTGTAATGCAATAAATCCGGACGGTCTATGGTTTCGCTACCCTGGGTTGCTTCTCCAACTCTTCATACTAATTTTACATGAATGCAATCTTTTCTTGCTTAACTTCTGTAGTCCTGCAAATTCCCGGCCCTCTCCGTGCCTCAACGTGGCTATTTTCGACACCTGGCTGGCATTTGGCAGGGACTAGTCTTCTTTGCCTCAAGACGTCCTACCGACTGCGCTGCTTCATCGTCTTGTTATTTGTGAAGCTGGATCATCGACGGTGAAAGACACCAATCGTAGGTAGAATGTTTGACCCAGACAACCATTGAGGGCATGGCGATCTCTATGACCGATGCCATTGCCTTCACCTGTTTTCTCCTTGGCTTTGCTACTTAGGCAACCCTCCGGTTATGGTAAGTCACAGTGGTCATACCGAATTCCCGCGTCCATGTGTTTTGGCCCCTGGCAGAGGCCACAACCTCATCGGTCTTCGAGTAGCCAAGCCTTGGCTCAGCCATGTCAATGGTATCCAGGAATACAAAAGAGGCCAGCTGACTCGAATCTGCACTAGAAAACCGTACTACGACTTGGAAGCACTGGGCAATATGCTGCTGTATTACTTCTGTCGAACAGTCTCCTGAGTATTTCCTTGAAATGCCGCCAGACGACGTCTTCAACCTGTTAGTGGAGCCGTTGCAAGAACAACGGACTTGGAGACTGGGGTAATATAGTGTCTTTGGGAGAGCGATTCAGTATTACCAAGACGGATGAGAACACAAGTTAGTATCTAACAACCACTAACTCCAGGTGGACTTGAAACGAGCAAAGTGAGAGCGGAACACTATATACGGTGGTCAGAACTTCGCGTCCTTTCGTGAGGGTATTTCTGAGATCTTTCTCAGTCTCCTAGTTTCCTGGACTGGAAGTGGCTCTAGTGCTGGTCAAGAGAAGCTTGCCAAACAAGTCTGGACTGGAAGGCGAGGCCCAATCTTACACTTGTTCAATGTTGTGTACGTGATCACACAGCCTCGACACCTAGTCAGAGTGCAGCTATAGTTTGGTATCTAACGGGACGCAAAGATTTCTGAACAGCACAGGCAGAGGACCTTGCTAGCAATCAACTCTATCATGCGTTGAAGGAGAGGACTTTGAACCACTAGATTCCAATGATTGCTTCCAAGATACCATTGCCTGAATTCAGTATCGTTAAGCGAAGACAAATTCTATGTTGTTGGATTCAGTCTGTAGAATGAATTGTAGATTGGTTGGCCGCCGCAACGATGCTTGCAGGAACGACTCTCTATATAAATCTCTATACAATTGCGTTCTAGACCACATGCAAGGAGGCTCCGAGCACTCTGAGACGGCTTGTTTAACAACAGAGCAAGACAGGAGTTGTTAACGCAAGTTGTAAAACAGGCGCTGTTGGCGCTCAGGAAAGCCTTATTCCAATATATGTATCACTTAGTAACTCCACAGAGGCATAGGATACTACTGGTTGAGCAGATAACTGGTTTCCAGGTCAGGGCTCGTCTTCTCTAATCAAAGAAAACTCAACTCTTTCACAGATACATGAACGAAACGAGCTGTATCACTGGCACCATGTTCTATCAAGGGCTTGCACAGTTTAAAGACGTTGTCCAAAACCCTAGTGGACTCATTTATGATTGTGTTTCCGGAACGCAGCGACACAGCATCTTGAACTTCAAATCGTTTCAAGGGCCCGCTGGTATACGCCAGCCATTGGAAAATATGAGACCATATGTCCCTGTTTGTGCTGTCATTCAACGTTTTGAACCGCTCGAAGAGCTTGTTATAGCTAGTTTTAGAGTTAGCAGACGATAGCTCAAGTTTTCTGCGACTACCAAATCTTCCAGCCCCCGGGGGATTCTGTCGAGGGCCTGAAGCATTTGTTCCACTGTGTATGCATTTTCGATTGTTGAGACGACCAGACGGACCCAGAGGAACATGCCTTGTATTAACCTCAGCATGCCACCGACCAGCGTGTAACATGGTGTTTTTGCTTACCATCGGCCATGCTTAACAAGGTCTGCTCAATCCTGTCTATGACCTTCTTGTCAATGCTTTCTGTATCACAGAGGAGGGGGCTCTGTGCAATCGTGGCGTGAACAAAGGATGAAATAGCCGACTCGATGGCGACGCGCTCCTGGCTCAGGTCGATGCTAGACCTTGTGCGGAGCCGTCGAGAAATGGTGAGGAGATCCTAACTAGATATCAATACTTTGACTCAGGTTGTGTTTCGGCGCAGAGGAAGTACAGTATGGTAGTCTCCCTCGAGATTTGAAATTTCTCAATGATTTTTGAGCATAGGACGCTTTTGCATAGAGGAGAGCGCTTGCAGTATTAGCAAGCCAAATCCGTGCGCTGACACGACAATGCGCTTGAACATACCGGACCCTGGCTTTCCCTTGAGCCACAGAACACTGTGATCGGGACCTTGCTGAAACCAAGATTCAATCTTCGAATTGTCGTAAACCCAGTCACAACTTCCCTGATGGCATCGACTAACAAGATCATACAATTCATGCTCCTGATCTAACTTGGAAGTTTCGGGCCACGTACGCACATTGTGGCGTTCAATGATTGATTTTTCTTCGTCTTCCCTCTCTATCTCGTTGTGCCGTCGCTCACGCTCTTCCCGGGCCTTGATGAGCCGAGAAGCGATCTGCTCTTCACCTGCGAGCTGCCCATGCACCGTGAGATTGTCTAGGATGAGCCGCAACCGTCTGTCGAAACTATCCCATGCTGGGGGCAAAAGAAGAATCCATCCTGCATTTGAGTGGTCAGCCACGGGTCACCTGTCCTCATGTAGAACAACATGCTCACCACGCCTTCTAACGAAACGGCATGCTCAAGTGTGGAACTCCAATATATCGCTATAGATAACAGCCAGGGCTTGCTGGCAGTCGAGATGGGCTTTCAAGGCGTTGGATAAGTCCAAGGTCGGTAACTTCAGGCCGATTCGCTTGTAGGCTGCGAGCAACTGGTTTAAGACTGCTGCATCCTCGGCGGCGACCTGACGGCGCGGCAGGAACAAGACAGGTCGGACAGCACGATCTCTGACCATCATGTTCTGGCTGCGCTCGCTGAGTGCAAACTTCTCCTCCGCCAGATGGTCTTCCACTTTCATGTTCTCGACCCGTCGACGACCATCATCGTCGCCGTCGTTGGCATGTCAATGCCGACCAGCGCGTGGCACCTGAGCAGGCGTTAGCCATCAAACAAGTATGGGCTCCGCACCTGGTATCTGACTTCCTGTTACCCTCCCTTCAATCTTGAACCAGCCGCTGTCCTGGTTGCTAATCACGCTGGTGCCACTCGGTGACCCCGCGACGACCGCACCCGCACCCGCACCCGCACCCGCACCCGCACCAGCACCATCCTATCCGCCTTCCTCTCAGTCCCGTCTCCCCGGCCTATTCGAGCAGCACCCTGCGGCACGAGTACCTGCAACCTGGCTTGTGCGGTGGGAGCCAGTTGCTGACACCGCCCGTCACCCAATCTCCCCACGAACCTGATCCACGTCCTCGTAAAAGACAAAACCTTAACCCGACCGCGAACAGCCCCATTTTTGCGACCATCGAGCAAGGCCCTGAGGGTGTTCTACTCCAGCCGCCCACAGACCCTCTACCCTATGACAGCCTGGCGTCGATCTTTGTCGGTGAGCAGTCGCCGTCTCCAGACAGCAGGGCACACGGTCTGGGACAGAGTCATCCAAACCCCTTCGAGTATGCACCAGCATGGACCAAGGACTATGAAGACGATGCATTAAACTCCATTTTTGCAATCGAGGACTCCTCCGATGCAATTGCTGCAGCAGGAGCACTAGACTTCAACACCACGGAAAGAAGTCTGCTTTGGCATGGTGAGTTCCGCTTCCCCTCCCGCTCCCGCCAGTTTCTGGTTGGAGGGCGCGTGCTAAACATGTGTTTGCCTTATATTGGTAGCGGAGAGGGTATCCTAGTGACTCTCGTCTCCAACCCCCCATTGCCGACCACTCAGGCGAAGATTCATGTTCTCGAGGGCATGCAATTGGCTAGCGATGGCACGGTATACCTCCAGGCGGACAGATCGCCGGTCGGGTCATTGGCCCCTCCAATGTGCAACATCATCTGCTTCTCCGCCAACAGCCAAAAGTGTGGGTGCAACTCCGCTGTATCGCCAAAGAGGTTCCGGTGCCCAAGGACAAGGCCAAAGAGAAGGCTACACGCCCCACCATTTCTGCCGGCTTCTTTTGCATTTTCTACGGGCCTCTTCACGCATTTGACGAAGTCGGCAACTTCCTCGAGACCTATGATATTGTGCTCCAATATCCCCAAGGTTGCCAACACAACGTGCGCTATCGCAATCCACACTCATTGTCGGGGTTGGATGACAATGCCCCCATACACTTTTGATACGCAACCCGCCACCACACAAATCTGGCAAGCGGAGTGGGAAGGAACGTCCAACTACTTGGACAAGCTAGACTTTCCTGCCGATCTGCCGCTGGCCCCAATCCCCTGTGCTCTCAAGACGGCGCTGTACGGACACCAACGTCAAGCATTGCGTTTCATGCAGGAGCGAGAGCGTGGTTGGATTTCACCGGCGCGGCAAACGACGTGTGGAAAAAGGCCCTGATCTCGGGTCTTCCGATGTATGTCAACACCATCAACGACGGCATGCGCATGGAAGAACCGCCCGTCTTTCGGGGAGGACTCTTGGCCGATCAGATGGGACTCGGCAAGACCCTGACGGTTGCTTCCCTGATTGCATCCGATCTGGATCCTCCCAAGTCGCGCCCTGCTCCAAGGCTGGGTCCATCAGGCAATGCTCCTCATCGATGTACTCTGATCATCGTCCCCCCGCCATTGCTCGACACCTGGGAGACGCAACTGGAGAGACACTGCCAGCCAGGAAAATTGGCCTGGGAGCGACACCATGGCCAACGCCGCTTCAACAAAGCGCGGGAGCTTGCGCAGTACAATATTATTCTCACCACACCGTGGCTCGAGAGTGGGAAAATCAACACACAGCCACGAGCATCTTATTCTCTGTTCGGTGGCACAGAATTGTACTCGATGAAGCGCACCTCATCCATGACCGGCACACGCAGACGGCGTCCGCGATATGTGCTCTGGACGCAGATCGGCGATGGGCGGTGACAGGCACACCAACCCAAAACCACGTCGCCGATTTCGTCGCCCTGCTGCAATTCCTGCGCGCATATCCATATGATACGCCCACCAAGTTTGAAGATGATATTGTCCACTTGTGGAAGCATGACTGTGAGGCAGCCATTTCTCGATTGAAGAAGCTCATTATCTGTATCGGCCTCAGACGAACAAGCACCACGATTGACCTGGCCGAAAGGAAAGATCTGATTCACACATTGCAGTTTGACCCCAGCGAGAAGCAAGTGCACCAGATGGTCGAGGCTCAGGACTTGAGTATCATCAACCAGAGTAAAGCGCAAGAACAAATTAGAGGTTTGTTCATGCACGCCCTGCAAGGACTAAATGCCCTTCGATTGATATGCAATTTTGGTATGCTCTCCGAAATCAAGTCGATCAGCTTGAACCTAGCAAAGGGGCCCACCTGGGGTCCTACAGAGGCTCAAAATGCCTTTGACAGCCTCCTAGCCACCGGTGGGAGCTGTTGTGTGAAATGTGCCACCGACATCGGGATTTCAAACAATTCACCCATCGATTTGCTCGAATCAGAAACGGCCTGGGTGAGCCAATGTCCACCTAAGCTTTCTCAATGCGGGCGTATTCTCTGTGGCAGTTGCGGAAGCAAACTTCAAAAGGATGGGATGCTCCAGAGCTGGTGCCAGCACACCCCAGCTTGCCCAGATTTGGCGGTGTCAACATCTAAAACATTGAGGGAAAGATCATCACCTCTAATTCAGAACATATTGACCTATGAGAGTTTCCCCACCAAGATCAAGGCCCTCGCCAAAGACATCGCTTCGTTCCCAGACTCCAAGTCCGTGGTGTTCTCTGCATGGCGTACCACTCTTGACTTGGCTGCGTCAGCCCTGAACGTGGCCAACATTCGATTCGTTCGCTATGATGGCAAGGTTTCGGAAAGGGATCGAGCGTTGGCACTAGCAAAGTTCTCCAGCGATCCTGACACCAAAGTGATCCTCTTTACCATCTCTTGTGGCGCAGTGGGCCTTGATTTGACCGCTACGAACAGGGCCTATCTCATGGAACCACGATGGAACCCTACAGTGGAGGATCAAGCTTTGGCACGCATACATCGAATGGGCCAGCAGAGGCCCATTACCACCCCAGGTAGGTTTGAACGTTTTCTTATGAACTCAGTCATCATCCTCCCCCGTCCTCTCGGCACTGACTAGTTACACTGAATATATTGTCTGCTACTGAATGGTTAGCGATATCACGGCGCGACTATACTAGATCTCCAGGATGCACACAGCCTTGTCACCTTGACACTAGGTCCGCCAAGGTTGGGTGCAGATTTACCGCTGAATACCAGTGTCCCGGTCAGAGTCAGGCCTCTGCCTAGGACCTAGGTACCAGGATTCTTTCCTCCAGAATGTCGGCTTTGTTCACCACAGCATCAAACACACCTTTTTTGCCAGCGGAGCTTCCGAGTTCTCAGTTCTGGGATGCCGTCTTTCGTTGATGTAGAGCTCGCCGCATTCTCGGAAGTCATGCGCCGCCTTGAGACACTCTTCCAGCTGTAACTCGTGACACACTGTTTCTCACAAGCTCTCGTAGGGGTATTACATTACACCAATACATAGATGTGTCCGCTTGATGTCCCTGCTCTTCGAAGTTCAGATCATGTTGGCGGCAATTCCAAAGCAGCAAAGAGTACTGTGGACGCAAAGGCGGCGGCATCAAGGTGACATGATGAGGATAGACCTCACGGTAGACTGTGTTTGTAAGGTAGTCGCTATAAAAAGACAAGGGAGTTCTGGGCATCGATGCCCGTAGACAATGAGGTGGACGACACGAGAAAGGATGCCACTGGTGCTGTGATGCAAGCCTCTATTCAGTGGAAGAGAAGAGATGCGGACGACAAGACTCATTCATATTGGAGTAGCTTGTGTGTGAATTGCGGGCTCCTGAATCTCAAGAGAGACTGATGACAGAGTGAATACCGTGGGTAATAGTGATACATTGGGTGCTGTGGTCCCCTTTTTCATTGACCTATCTATACAATTTTAGAGTCGCTCTTGTGGCTCCAATGCTAACAGTGATCGTTGCGTCATACTTTCTTTTTCATTCGTTCAATCATCATTCGTTGCTCTTGATGAGCCCTCCGTTGATAAGCTCAGCGACGATGCGCTTCCTCTGAAGCGGGATCTGGCCCGCGTTGTAGCTCATTGGCGTCATTCCCAACATTATCTGACGCGCACTTGTGATCGTAAAGACGCCGCAATCGTCCATGTTCGTTTGTTGTGGCGATTCTCCATTGGCCACAAGGGTCCATTCGCTCTCCTTGAAAGAGCTTCCCAATTCCTCCTTAACCCAAGCTTGGACCGTATTCACATACCTTTGACCGTTTCCTCCCAAGCTGTTGTAGTGTGTGATAGTCTTGTTCTTTCCTGAAACAACGCAGAGCGTCCAATGCATACCACTATTGATTGGTATGAAGACTTGTTCAGTTTCCAATAAATTCTTGCCTCCAATCTTTGCTCGAGATGCCCATCTTTTGACACTCTCATATCCTTTGCCCTCAAGGTTGTTGTAGAAGAATGAAACGAATGCATGATGGGTGGGGCTCTGAGTAGGGCGGTCATTCTGTCTTCCATGCGCGACAATCATTTTCAGGTAGCCGTTGATGACTTCGTCATTCAACCAGTTGTCTGTTCCCGAACCTGCAGACAATGGGAGGACGCGAATGAGATCAGTAGACTTGTAATTGCCATGGCCATTCTTCAGTGCTGTTTGGATTTGATAATCCCATTCTTTCTCCAATGGGACAATTCCATAGTGCTGGATTTCTTCCAGTAGTTGTAGTCGTTTGGTTTCTGCTCTGGTCACTCTATGGCCTTTCTCGGCTGAATGCGGCCTCGCTTTCGGAGTCGGCGTATCTGGGTTAAAATCATCTTCAAGAGTGAGCTGAGCTAGCTTCGCATCTGGTGTTTCTGTGAAATGTATGTGCCCTTTTGATCGATCTGATGGGCTAGTCTCCTTCTCGGACTGCTCCCTTCCAGGGGTCCTGGGCGAGGGCGTGGACGGTGTGTCTGAAGACTCACTTAACATGATAATTATGGATGGCTCTGGAGATTTAAATGTATCGTCCGGTAGTAAATTTTTTCGTGGCGTCTCTGGGTCACTTTCTTGTGTTTCGTCGACAGTTCTCGATGGTCTTGTGTGGGCAGGAACGGTTACAGTTTGTGAGACCGCTTCGTTCATTTCTGGTGATATGTGTTGCGATTCATCGTCATTCACGATGGAAAGGCCCTGGGAGTTAGACGACTGTGAATGATCGTCGGTTGTGATGTTCGAAAGAGCAATATCATGCTCGAGATCGGCAGGTGATTTGTTTCTTGGGAGCGGAGAGCCACCACCAGTGACGAGCGTGTAAGAGGGATGTGAGATAGGATCAGGCTGGTACGATGGCACATCAAATGTTGTTGATTGCTCGTAGACGGTTGATTGACTCATTGGATCGACCTTCTCATTGAGAAGATTGCCTGGAGAACACGGGCAGGTAGACGAGATATCAGTTTCGGGGGTTTGAATCTGAGGACTGTCTTTTTGGGTTGTCGGAGACAACGTCGGGGTTGCTACGCGACGACGCTTGACGGGTGAGGCGGCCAATAACTCGCCAAACTCTGAATTGGATTTCTCAGAGATGGCGGCTATGGCTTTGCTGTTGGGACTGGGGGTTGGGAGGGGCGCTTTGGTTGTGTTAACGAGCTGCTGGGATAGGTTCCAGGTAAATGTGCTCAGATTGGATCCGTTTGGATCATTGGAGTCGTCTGCAAACTCGGTTTTGGCTACAATGACGGCTGTAAGGCAAGGAAGCAATGTGTTGGGTTCTTCAACTAGTTGCTGGGGTGGAATCGGAGCGGAGGCGGTTAAATCAAGACCATTGGAATCGTTGGTGCTGCTTGAATTCTTGCCAGTCTCTTGTGACTGTGTGTTGTTGTGCGCAGATTCCCTACGCGTCGAGGCTGATGGATGTGTGAGTGTTGTGAGGGGATCTGGGCTATCGCCAGGTCCGTGCCTCTCGATTGTGGTGGGCTGGATTGCGGGCCGAAAACGAGTAGTGCCAGAATGCGAGGGATGGTTCACCTGCGTACGTTTCGACGGTGGGGGGTTGGAAGAAGTTGTGTCGCCGTCAGTTGTGGCATGTGACTTCGAATCAAGAGCTTTATTTTGATCCAGCAGCGCTTTTGCGGTGCTGTTTTGGCGCTTTCTCTTTGTGCTAACTCGGCTTACTGTGCCTTGGGGCATCAAATCGGGAATGGTATATAGGAACTTCTTTCGGCAGGTAGGAGGCGCCTGAATTATCTTGACTGGCAAAATTGCTGAAGGCTTTGAGTCCGTAGTACTCGGTGCCTTTTTTGCGTTCAGATGCACAGTTGCGCGGTTCCAAGGTGATTCAGTCAATGGCGCTCTATCTTGGATCGGTTTCTTTGGGTGTCGCTGCGGCTTTGCCGGTTGTTTCTGGTGTTGCCGAACTCGTCGGACGATGCAATAAAGAGGAACCGCAACAACGGATGCGATGATCTTGCTTCCAGTGGCTAGACCGAAGCAGACTCGCTTTGCCTTGGGGAAGAGGCCGTCAGGGCGAGGCCTTGCGAAAACTCCGGTCGTGGGAGGAGGAGGGTCTTCAGGCCATCCGCCAGGAATGTAATAATCGCGCTGGTAGGGATCGAATCTAGGCTCGGGCTTTGCGGGACTCCAGTCCATGAAGGAGGAGTGGTCAGCCATGGCTGTTGTTGGTAAAATGACGATGGATTCGTGAGGAAGCCACACTGAAGGATTTCGGACGGGTCAAGGGTTCTGAGAAGGGATCGAGGTAGAGGAGCTTAGAAGAGCCTCTGTTTCCGAAAGGAAGAAGAAGCCTGCTTTACAGCGATGGTGCTGCGTTCAGAAGTTGTGAAATTGATGAAGGAACAGTGAGACGCTGCGGTGGTTATTTGGCTGAACGCGCCCGAAGCAATGCGGGAAACAGACAAGGACGTGAGGAGAAGCCGTGCCTACCTTTTTCTGCCACCGCCTTCTTTCTGCCGCTTCCACCGCCCGCAGCCTCGGTCCCAACTTCAGTATCAAGGTTAAAATCACGTGTTGCTGTTAATGTTATCCTCAGCACGAGTACTCCGTAAATTACTTGTACGCTTATTGTGGACTCTAGCCTCGTACTACATACATAGTGCAGTGCATCGTCACCCGTGACTCTGAGACTACTGATCACTCCGCACATAGGTACCTAGGCGGTTAAGATTTTATCCAATCGAACTCATATTCATCAGGTCTATGGGCAGGCTGATCCAACAATATTTGTTTTATCCAATAGATTCCTGGTCCCACTATTATTGCTGCTTGTAATTGTGTCTACCGTCTACCGCGCCTACTCCTAAAATCGCTCAATCGGTTCCGAGTCCAATGTGCTTGAATAGAATCGGATTGCCCTCCACCGACCACCAGGCAATACCCGTATAAACAATCAGCTTTGTGATCACCTCAACATCATATCGCACTCGAGGACGTTGTATGCTCAAAAACAACTGCCGTTCTTGTAGCTCATCCACTTCTTGCACTGCTTCCCCTTGCTCAGTTGGTGACAGCATTGGTTGTGACGAGGTATCCACACCCGTGCCCATCTGAGCTCGAAACATCTCAAGGCTGCTCGATCTCTTTCGATTGCCAGTCTCCGGGTTCAGAGTTTCTGATGGATAATAGCTGCGATCGGGTGAAGGCTCTTTGATGGGGCTGGGTGAACTGTTAGCATTGAGGCTGTCTCGTCTTCTCTTTTCACGATACGCCAGAGTTTCATAGGCGTCCGCCTCCGACTGTGGGCCTATTGAAATGGCCCTTCTTCGTCGTAGGGAGTTTAGTAGATGGGGGATATCGCGAGCGTTTGGAATCACGTTGTCACCGTGCTCCTCTTTTGGAATGAATTTGTATTGGGACGCCGGTTTGAAGAATCTTCGAGGAAGTGCGAGACCGAGATGTTCAATGACACGGAAGATCGGCGGCAGGATTTTGAGTAGGAGTGGCTTCATGACACCTCGCCACGTGAAAATCACGAACACCCCGAGGACAATGCGTGCCACGGTGATGGGCCAACCCATTGTGCCAAGATCAAAAGGGACCGTACCCTGTGAAGGCTCTGCCCACGAGTATGGTGTCTTAGCAAAGTGCCAGACGCCGAACTCTACACCCATGACGACCCCCGCAAAAGCCACACTATCATCAAAACATGGGCAGTCATCAGCCGGCTCAGGATGAATGCGAACCATTGCCAAAATGATCGACTCAACAATGAGGACGCGTTTGAAGTCACCAGCCATGAACCAAGCATCGAAAACAGGTCCCAGAAAGCATTGCAATAACCCCACAACAACACCCAAGATGCTACCAATGACAACATCAAAGAACCCATGCATGCCGCAATAGAGACGTCCAAGGACGATGGAGCAAGCATAAAAATAGGCAAATACGTGTAATAGAAGCCTCACATTGGGGCTTAATTCATCACCACTGTGCCTAAGTAAGAATATGGCATACACCGCCACCGAGACTGCGTTGGTGGAGTGAGTAGAAGGGAACCCGTATTCTAGGGCGGCAGAGCCCGACATGGTGATTCTTTGCAAGGGAGGAGACAGTGGCCTGGGAAGACAAACCAGGTCCTTGATGAAGCCACTGAAGAACACGCCCATGGCGAGGATACGGACAATCCTGTTGCAGGTTAGATCAATGTCAATGCCTACTACAAGGCAAAGGAAAGTGAATCGTACCCCCTGCCGAGGCTTGTGTATCCACACCAGAACCATATGGGCAACATGATATTGAAGAAGGTGTGTGTCCCGAGATTGGCAGACATGGCAAAGTAGGTGTCGAGGGCTGGTGTTCTTAGACTATTCTGCAGCCAGGCCACGTAGGGTGTCTCCCAGCGCACAATGGGCAGGAGTTGTTCTCGGAGGAGGTATCTCCATCGTGGGAGCATCACATAGTCTATGCGGGATGCATGTCAGAACCTGGAACAAAGAACGTTCCTTGACAGTGACATACAGTGATCGAGGCTTCTCAATCCAGCATCTGGCTTGTCCTTCTTCTTTTCCATCTTTGTAATGAGTGTCGGGCATTGGCGCCCATGGGTGGAGCCGGCTGCACTAGATTGGTGATGGTGAGGGCTGGATATGGGTATTGGGGTGCATCGACAGACGGTACTCGTATGCAAGTGTTTCCCCGGCCGCCTCGATAACACAATCACCAGGAAGCCGGTTCAAGATGTGCTGTTCGTAGAGTGGTGGTGAGACAGGGGGGTCGAGCGACGAGGGACGAGGACGTCGCACAGAGGGTTGAGTGTATTGGCGAGCAGAGCTTCGGGATATTTTTGCATGGTGCGAGATCACAGATCGCTTATCGAGGCGGACAAGGCATGTTTGACAGGCACATAGTGCCGAATGTTGCGCAATATGGAGTTGCTGTGTGCGTTGGGTAAATGGGACCTGGCGGTTTTGACGATTGAGGGGAAGGAGCCACTTGCAGTTTCACACGTGCAGGGATCCTGTCGTGGGCTCGTGGCGGAAAGAGCGACCCGCCGTCAAATTGTCAATACGGAGCCCTCCTGCACCTTCCTCGGTTGCTGGCCCAACGGCCGAACGACAACAATGAAAACGAAACCCACCAACCCAACCTGCATCCCATTGCCATGCCACGGCCTGTACTTCGTATCATCAATCACCAAAAGCCCACTGCTACCGGCATGTGAGACAACTTACCAGTACGAGTAGTTGACCATTGACATCAAGTATTTCCACCTGTGACCAGCATATATTGTTGTTGCAGCCACCAGGACACCACAACTCCGACTGCCAGCCCTCATCCTTCACCACCCTCCTCCCTTGACCGCTGGCTATCCTTCACTCTTCTCCCACCATGGCCACCCACGATAACTGCTCTTCACGTCACTCCACCGTCATGTCTGAGAAACACCTCTCCTCCTCATACATAAACACTCCCTCTCCCTCTTCACCCAGACGGAAGCCTACTCGAGCTCAGAGTACGCGGACAAGCAACGGGACCGTCAGCACAAACATGAGCTACGGCAGTAGTGGACGAATGTCAGAAGCCACCAATATTACACTGCCTCCGTCATATTCCAAGAAATTCGTGGTAGTAGGTGACGGTGGCTGTGGCAAGACTTGTCTTTTGATTAGCTATTCTCAGGGCTATTTTCCAGAGGTACGTAAGGTGGTAGCAGGTGGAAGGAACACACAGTGACACAGACAGAAATATGTTCCCACTGTCTTTGAGAACTACATCACCCAAACAACCCACAAGCAGACGGGGAAAACCGTCGAGTTGGCGTTGTGGGATACCGCCGGTCAGGAAGAATACGACCGTCTCCGACCGCTTTCTTACCCCGAGACTGATCTCCTGTTCGTCTGCTTCGCCATCGACTGTCCTAACTCTTTAGAGAACGTCATGGATAAGGTGAGTAGAGCGATTTGGTAAATTAACATTCACTGATCTGAATAGTGGTACCCCGAAGTTCTTCACTTCTGTCCTACAACTCCCTTAATCCTCGTGGGCTTGAAATCAGACCTCCGCAACAAACGAACCTGCATTGAGCTCCTGCGTACTCAGGGCCTCACTCCAGTGACGCCAGAACAAGGGCAAGCCGTTGCGAAACAGATGGGTGCGTCTTACATCGAATGCAGCGCAAAGGAATCTAGAGGCATTCAAGAGGTTTTCGACCAAGCCATCGACACATCTATCAGGGCCGAGGAAGAGAGCTACGAGACTCATCCTAACGCAAAAGGCGTTAAGGTGAAGAAAGTGAAGAAGAGGAAGTGTGGCATCTTGTAATGCTGACTCATACACAGTGCCCGGCGCATTGAAATAATCCTCGCTGATCAAATCTTGCTTCGTTCTGGAGGATGCATTGGTCCTACGTCCTCTCCTACGTTTAGACATGAATCTTGTCTTCTTCGGGCTTGACTAGGATTACCCATATTTGTACACGCACACTAGATGGCGTTGCTGCACGAGTGCATGACTGGCGTTTTCGACGGGGAGGCTGTTTTTGGGCTTCGGCTTTGGCCATGCCTTACAAATAGTATATGGTAAATGGATGTGAATGAAGACTGGCGGGTCGTTGTGATCTGCTCCAATCATGGTCGATTCTTTACGATCCCATCATGTTTCGTGTGAATCGTCGAACTCAACAAGCCGACCGTAAGCTGTTTCCGCAGTGGATATTCCTTGTGAGCACGGCGTTGTGATGACATGCTCCACCATGCGCCTCGTGCAGCGGCGCTGATACAATCTCGAACAGAAACATCCTACATGGTTGGTTGAGCCTTCACCTACCCTTACAGTTCTAGCAAGTTCAAAGTTTGGGCAAACGGAACTGCCATCGCCCATCACTCAACTCTCGCGACTGGCACTGCTCAACCCCGCTGCGGCGTCGGTCGTCGTTGGCGGCGGCGTATCATTCTCGGCTTCTCGACCCATTACAGCCTCAAACTGGCTCCACAGCGCCTCGACCGAGGAAAACTCATTACCAATCTAGAAACAGAAAAGGATTCGTGAGTCTGGAACATTCTACCAGGTTTCCCACCATTGACGACCCTTCTCCATGGGCCAACAACCCCGGTGTGAGGGGGTGTTCCACTCGTGCACGTACGTACCTCAATTATGCCCTCCAAGCTCCGATTCAACGCGTTGATCTGTGTGAGAACCTGTTCCAGCGACTGTATTGGTCGGCGACCCTTCACGTCAGAGACAGGGATTTCTGGTTTGTTTTTTCTTTAAATAAAAAAAATGGTAGGCGAACGAGAGCGCGTGTATACCCAAAAGGCCGCCTAAGAGAGAGAGAGAGAGAGAGAGAGAACTCACCTCGCCGATTTCGCCCACGAGCGTAGCGCGTCGCTGCTCGAATTCGCTCGTCGCACCCTGTTGGGCTATCGATGTTGATGATCCTGTGTCCGCTGCCATTTCTTCTCGGAGTGGGGCTTGGAGGCTCTTTTGTTACGAAAATGCGCAGCGCGCAAGCGAGAAACGGAGGCGATGGCCAGTTGCAGTGGCTGCTGTGATCTCTTTGTTTGCTTATTTGTCGTATGTGTCAGCGTTGATTAGAATAGCCTCTAATGTTGTTTTGTTAATTGAAATCGAACCGTTTTTTGGGGACGCGGTGATCACGTGCATCCAACCACATAGGCCAGGCTATGCCCCTTAGACCGGCTCTGCTACCAGGTGGATACCAAGAAAAACCATTGTTTCTTTGGGGCCTCAAACACGCGTTTCTTTAGCAATGCTTAGCCATTAGTCAACTTTTAGTCTCAAGGCTAAAATTGCTCTACAATAAAAATAGGCTTGGCTATTGTTATGCTAGAGCGCTCGTGATTCGAAATCAACAAGCCCCGAAACCCTTCTCGTGGCACCTATCGTTCAGCCTCGTCGAATAGGCTTACAGCCCCCCTTCCACATGCGATTGATGCCTTACTCGGCTTTGGACTTGGTCCTTCTCCACTTCATAACTTTCCACTCGCCAGCTGGTGCCCCTTCGTCTTATGTGTCGCCTGAATGACCACACATCTTTGTCCTGATCTGGGGTGGAGAGCTTCGCAGGGCCAAGCTTCGTCAAGAACGATTTGAGGGCTTCATTGAGTTGTTTCAGGTACCGTTGGATGATCGTCATGACTCATGATGTCGCCTACACTTCAGTTAGCAGACCTCCAGCGATTTTGGTCCAAGACGCCGACCTGGGTGCAGTTTGAAGTTTGAATTGCAACTCGACGGACCTTTGGTCTCTTTCCGAATTATATCAAGCATAATAGCTGAGCCATCAGTGGTGCTTGCGGTAGTAATTCCTGCTGGCTCGTGTCTTGTGGCGATAGCGCGAAGCGAGCTTGGATTAGACTGAGAGTTGGAGTTCTGTCCTGTGCGAGGTTGTAGAAAGAAGATGAAACTCCGATGAAATCAAACGTCAGGTCCAGAGTTACGGAGAAATGATCGTACGCAATCTGCAGATACGGATTGAAATGGAACGAGTTCAATAGAAGATTGGCTCGTTGTCGATAATGCTGACTGCGAGGTGATGCACGTCCTATCTCTTCGCAGAGGGCCTTATACTGGTGCTGGACTTGGTCTGGACGTTCCTTCTCTGGGAGGAGGACGATCTCGATATTACTATAGACAGTCGTGATCAGGTCCTCCAATGTGTAAATATATCGCCCTGGTTCATGCTAAAATGGCACCCATTTAATGAAGGCAGTATTCTTTGTCGCGGCCTCGTCAAAGATCATCCAGCAGGGGTTTTGTGGCATAGGTAACATCGAGCAATTTTTCATGAGTCCCGTTGGCAGCTGCATTCAACACAGGCATGGCGAATGGAAGCACCGGCTGATTTGATGATCTCTCAATAGCAACCACCGCCCATCCTATGAGTCGTTCGATCTCGCCCTCCAATTGCCTGTTGCATCGTTAGCAGTCCTCAATCAAGTAAAGGTAAGGGAGCTGTTACTTGGCATTCCTCATCACAATCACAACTGCATCGCTAAACGTGGATAGCAACCGCGGATACAGATTCTCCACAATGTAATGGCGAATTCGTCGGTCTCCTGTGGTCCATTTCAAAGGCCACGTAAATCCTCGGAAACTCTTTTCGTTGCCAGGGGTGAAACGTTTGTTCCGAGTTAGGACTTCGACAACGGGCGATATGGGCTACTCATTTGCGATGCTAACTGGAAAGATTGAGGGACGGAATCTAGGCTATTATCGATCACTCTTTGCTAGCTACTGCCTCGAGAGAACGAGGCAGGACTGATTGGCCGACCTGGCGGTGGCGGTGGTTACGGACTTCGGTGAGCTGAAGTATGCATGAAACTTCGGCGGCGCTGACTCTGCTGTGAGTCTTGACTCATGTTGTCAGTGCTGTCACTGCGACTATGCGCTCTGGGCCTGCTGCTCCTGTCTTTCTTGGTAAACACAATTTTCCCCCTTGTTCAATGCAGCACGCTCTGACATAGGCTCTCGACACCCTCTACCTAGACCATCGCAGTCGGGCCAACAAAGGATATGAGGCCAGGGAACTGGGCAACTCTGCCACCTACCTTTGACTGAGCAAAGTACTCTTCGTACCTTCCCCAATCGTGAAAGTAATGCTCACCTTCAGAGTCCGCCGACATGCCGAATCATGATGTATTGTCATCGTCGAGGCGCATCTGCTGCTGCTGCTGCTGCTCCTCCTCCTCATCATTCGCAGTCGGCTCAATAATAGACAAGATCTTCGCAACAAGATCTGAATCCGTTCGTTCATGAGGTACTCCGTGCATCGAGCGTTATGGTTGCTCGTACAGTGGCTGACTGTTTCAATGATCTACGCAATAGTTGATGGCACAAACAGGGCGGAATGAGACACAGTCCCGCAGAATTCCGCATTGTGTACAGACTGCCCGGGCTGCAATAGGCGCCCGGCAATTCCAAAGAGGATTTCCCGGCAGCTCGAGTGATAATTCTCGGTAACTCGATGGCTTGGTCAAATGGCGATGGCTTGGCCACATTAGGCTAAGGTACATCTTTCCAAGGAAGCGTTACCTTTGAAAATCCACGGTGTTGGCGTTGAGGAGATGTAACCTTGTTCTGACCAAGCTTCCCGTTGAGCACGATATTCTCCCGTTTCGTCTCATCTGGGGTTTCGGCAAGAGTAGTAGCTCGGGGTCAGTCGACAATGGTGAGATCTCTAGCCTGCCTATATGACCCAGGGTTGAAGCGATAGTTGGTAGCGGGAGTCTCTTGGCTTCGGTAAACCTGTTCTTCTACGATGGAGCCTGAACAGCCCTGTTGATCATCCGTCATCGTTGCAAGTGAGCCACGTGCTGCGATGATACGGAGCTTCGGGATTGTTGGACTTGTGGTGAATGATGCGAATGATCAGGAGAATTGGCTTCATTAAATACATATCGGTTCAATTGAGTCCGCGGAACAGACCTATTACTGAACGAATGTGGCTGTCTCACAGTGTTTTCATCTTGTAGGTTGCCAAACAGTGAGTTTCTCTCACTGGACATGATCACATCCCGGGCAGGGCGATTCATAGCCGAAGGCAGGTCGCCGAGAAGCTTGAATAGGCTAGAAGTAGCAGAATTCGAGTGCGTACCAGGTACGTGTTTCGAAGGATAGTTGCTAGTCATTCTTTCTCGCTCTTTCCTGCAAATGATGGGAGGAAAGATCGAGAGAAGTGCCAGTCGCCATCAGGCTGAGGGTCAGTTTATAGCGGAGAATGTCGTTTCGTACACCCTGCTTGAAGACCAGGCACGACCCCTCCATCATGTCCAACCAGTGTCTTAAAAAACATTGTAAGCTGCAGGTCGTGAACAGCGTCGTGTTACAAGGGGGTCTTGTGGAGAGATTTCACGACCGGCTGCAGCCTCGGATAGGACCTTTATGTGTTTCAACCGACCACGTATGAGCTACAAAGCGTCGTGGAGGCTGCGTAACTGGTGGCCATGAGAAGTCATATATTCTGATTTCACCTCTCCTTGGTGTCTCCAGGAGCTTCGACCTTCGCCATAGACCGGACCAGCCATCTGAAAGAACTCAGTGTCATCGACAGTTTCAAGGCTGCACGAAGCCTGACCGATTGTCAAACATCCGCAAAAATTCCTCGGAGAGTCGGCTATCGAGCAAGTCTATTTACCCTGCATGTGTCGTGATACGTAACCTCAGCAAGGGTGCCTTGGTAAGTCTCTTGTTCGTCGTGCTTTGAGATATGATTGCTTTCAGCGTGCATGCGTTGCGTCGGAATCCAACATATCCCACCTATCCCAAGAGACATGGCGGAGGCGGCGTAACGTGCCGTTGGGCCCCTGTCCACAAAGAGAGTGACTCGAAGGCTGAGTGGGTGTTCTTAGGCTTCAGCTGGCTGTCAACAGGATTTTCGAGGCTGGAATCGCCGGTACGCACTTGTATTGGGTCCGACAGACGAACAAGACAAGCATCTGGTACAGAAGATATAGGTATGGATGTATGTCGTCTAAGTCCGGAATACCATATCTGGGATCCGCAATACCTTCCGGATCATAGAATCAAAGATACACCAAAGCCATGGTGTGGATTTTATTTGCTTGCATGAGATACTGTAGATCCTCACACAAAGCATTGCGAATCTTCCCCCGTGGCGGTGGCTTTAAAAAAGTTGAGCCTGAACGGAGAATCACAATGGCCTGCAAAAAGATTGAGAGGAGTGGGATTCGAACCCACGAGGTTTCCCACTGCGGAACAGGTAAAGATCTCTCGACAGGATGACCTAAACACAGCGCCTTAACCACTCGGCCATCCTCCCGCCATTTCAACCACGTCAGGTGAAAAGCCCGGTCCAACTTTCTGCGAAGTTGTGGGCATAAATTCACCTGAAATTTGATCGGTTGATTATATATCCGTGGCAAATCTGCTTAGTTTCACCACGTGATGAAGGCCCCACGACCTTCATAATCAATCAGCTCAACGGGTCCACTCCTAACTCTGCCTAGTACATTCGCCAAATGAGAGAGTCACGAGGATGTGAAGATTCTATTCTGGGCGCGGCAACATTTCGAGAGTGGAGTCATCCCTTCTTCCCCAGGAAAATTTTGCACAAAGGAGGAAGGTTCGAATTTCCGTGCCCGAGAATTGGGGACAAATTCAGGGGCGAGAAAGGTAAAACCCTACCAGGATAGAGGCTTGTGGAGGGGCGCCTCCCGGGCCTATCTCGCAATTAGGGAACACTTCCAAGGGCGAACTGGTTCGCTTCACAAGACGGTGTACGGAGCACATGCGGTGTGCAAGATCGTGGAGTCAGGTGGCTTGTTTAGTATTGAAGTTTGTCATTCTAGGTTTACATTTTCTATGGTTTGTGAGTCGTGACCCGTTATGATACATCGATCGATGCGAGGTGCCCTGGAAGGACCCCCTTAAACTACATATTTCTTGATGCAAGCTTTCAACCGTACGAGTACCAGGAAGCAGATATTTGACATTCGACCAGAACTATACCTCGTTTCATGTACCGAGACAGCAAGCCTCCTCAGCAAATACACCTTCGCATCAATCAAATGAACGTAAGAGCCTGTTCAAGAATGCTGTTCCTTTTCAGCTTTGTTGGCTGACTCGGCGAACGGGTGAGCATTGATAGGCGACAAGAAAGAACAATAGTGGCCTTTTACTCGCCTGCCTGTCAAGAGAGATTGTGCTGGTGTCTTGTGGACGGATGGAAATGCGTGCATGCAAAAGCTTAGTCTTCTTCAATATGATAGTCATGCTCGTAGGAGCCGTTGGTCTAGTGAAATATTTGAAAGAGTATTGTCTTTGAAGATCGATGGGGGAATCCTTGCACTTCCGCTATTTCGGGTAACGTCAAGTAAACAAATCCAAGTAAGCTAAGAGCAAAATCTGTCGACTCAGTTGTTAATTTGACGGGTGAATGCCGACAGAGCAGATCATACTGCGTTGGGTATGCGCGGTCCACAGGCATGAGTTCCAGAACCACTGGCGCCGAAACGAGTCAAACTTCAGGTGACAAGTGAATTTGTACCCAGCGTTCGCGAGTTCTCGATCAAAGCGACAAGATTGTGTCGTGCGAGCGTGTTTTTCATGTGTGATGAAACCGGAGGAGATGTTTGCCGTTTCGCGCGACTGGCTCTTCTTCAAGAGATGGTACAATAATACTTTCTTTGAGAGAATGACTTCTGTGGTTTTTGGGAGTCTTAGCGTCGTACCGTCGTTATTTTGCTGTTTGTGTTGTGATCTACGGTCCTTGGCCATGTCGGATACATAGCTGTTGATGGCAGGCGGCCATGAGGTGACTGTGCGAGAATAGAAATTTGATTCCACTCGAATCATCTCTTTGCGCCAGTCAACAACTTTGAGAGTCTTCTCCTGCTCTTTTCACCCATTCTGTCGGCACTGGACGAACTAGCACTCCGAGAACTAGCCTCAGATGAGGTGCGAGCGCGTTGTGAAAGTTCTGCCGCTCCAATAATGTCTTCGAGGCGAACATCTGATTTCGGCGATGTGCTTTGAAAGCCAGGATCAAGTATCTCGGTAAATTTGGACGGCATTGTAGTGACTGTGATGTGTTTTGTAGAAGAGTTGCAATGGGAGCAAGTCTTGCTAACTAGTGGATGGGCTGCTGGTAACACAGGTACAGTAGGAGGAATGCAGATTTTGAACGAGGGCCATGCAAGACAGATGTAGATGCACGTAACAACACGAAGGATGGGTATTGAAGGGGATGAGACACATCGTGGAGGGTAGGGCGGCTGCTCGTTTTGTGCTCATTTTCGTCCACGGTACGAGATCCGTTCCGCCTGTTCCAAACTTCTTTCCTCCCCCTTGTCGCGAGGGTCTGGATCCATTAGCTTTGGTTAGTGGCGTGCCACGCCGCTTCGTCATTCCCCTCCTTTGGGTTTCCCCGGGATGGAATGGTGCTGGGTGAAGCCCAAAAAACTGCCAGCAGGTGGCCCAGGCGCTGCACCGCCCACACACCACCAATCCCCAGGAAGACAGGGGCCTGATGACCCTAATTTCAGGGTCTTGTGGCGGGTGCATGATCATCGGGTGACGGACCAAAGGGCAAACGTATGGGCCTGGAAGAGTCCGGGATTGACCATCGACTTCCAGGGCACAGAACGTGGTACGGCAAGACCTTCCCATTCTCATCAACTGAGGCACACGAGTGCAATATGGCGAGCCCTGCCGAAGGCGATGGTGCTCGTACGCGTAGACAAAACCCATGATCGACATTTCGATTCTGCCTGATGAGCCTCTGGTTGGAAGTTGTCAACCATTCGACTAAAAACTCTTCCATGGCGAAATGGCACCAGATGGCTGATCTCGTAGCCAAAGATTGCTTAGAATTAATGTGCTCTGCTGGGTGATATGCTTAATGGAATCGATGGTAAGTGGCGAGTGTAGGTGTTTGTGGCCCCTTCGGTGTCCATGCGTGCATTGATCGCGTCTTGTCAGGTGCGTAAGTTTGCAGGTGCCAATGTTCTCAATTCAACCGATGCGAGAATCAAGTTTAGCTCTCGTAGCGCCTGTAGTAGGCGATGGTGTTGATGGTGTTTGCACTGGGACGAAGCACGGAGTACTGCACCTCGTACCAGTCCTCCGTACACACTACTGGGACTTTACCAGCAGCCGAGGTGCCTGGAGCTGCTGGCAAACGGGCATAGCACAAAATCCTCCTCGGTCTCCCGGCCTGCCGATTCTGTAAAAGGTTACCAGTGAAGGGTGTGCCCAGGTTGGTGTTAGGCTCCCGTTGTTCCCAAGAGCTCCAGCTTGTCGTGGCGGGAACTTGACACCCACGAGCGATTTTTTATCCATGATGTCAGTTGCACGAAATCATCGTGGCACTTGCTTATGGCAGATACTCGTATTTTTGTCAGCCTGAGCTACAGGAGCGTGTCATTGATGGCAGCTTTTGTGAGTTATTACGTAGGTACAGGTGGCCGTAATGGACTTCGTCCTCGCGGGCTTCTGAGAACCTTGTGTCTGGGTCCCCGCAAAATTATGAGCAGCTTGATAACAATGCGATAAGACCTTGCGGCAGGTCACATTCATTAATTCTCACTTTGCATCAGGAAGATGCATTCTGTGCTTGATCTCCTGTCGGCCAATCCTCCTCTGATTCGCCCTGGGCACGCCTGGGGTAAACTCGGCACATGGGAGCGTTGATTCTGCACCATTTTGCTCGTGTTGATCATGCACAACCAGATGCAGTTGGTTGGCGCTCCATTGCCTGCCTCTTGCCATGCTTGTGGATTCTCGTTCGGCGTGACTGCTCCCGCAGCGAAAATGTTATGTCGCCCCAGAGCTCACACTCAGGATCATAGACCACTCCGAGCCCATCTGGTCCATATCTGCTGTGGGGACGAGCTGCAGTGGCATAATCCTTTCGCTGTGGCAGAGAATCGTCGATATCGCAGGCCTATCACTTCGCATGATCCCCTCCGCGTTTTTCAGAGGAGCATGCTATTCGGCCATCCGCTGGAAAATGAGCATGGTTATGCGGTCACTCAGTCCTCGAGGCATGCTCCTAATCCTCCATGTTTGCATCCGATCCTTCACCATTCATCTCGACTCCTTTGGCTGCAGATATCCAGAGAATGTTGTTACATCTGTGTTTAGTCACAAGAAAATGAGCAGCTCTTCATAACACGGCACCCAAATGGGTTTTAAGCTGGGAGGGACCTACCTGATCAGAACCTGACCAAGAGTTCCCGTGTGTTTGCGATCAATGTACTCCTCGGTATTTGAAAGCTGAACATTCATATATGAGTCCACACTGATCAAACGACCTTTGTACTCGGTTTGTCCCCATTTTAAGCGGATGATAACATCCTCATTGATCCTGCACAAGGGATTCCAACTGTTAGCTTTCCATGATTGTAGCAATTCTAGGGTATCACAAAGGGATGCAGTTGATCGACGTAGAAATATTGCGCGCTTCGGATCGCGTCGAGGAAGACGTACAGGTTCTGGAGCAAAGGCCTTGGGTTTAGCGGGGTGAACTAGATTTGAGTAAGCTTGACCATTCGCAACGTGGGCGAGGACCAGCTCACATTCATGTTGGATCGCGCCTATGTAATCTAATCCCGCAGATGGTCTCGGCAGAGAAGCTGGTGTGGTTTTGTGGTGATCCGGAGTGAAGGAAGTTGTCTCGAGGCTGCTCTTCGTTGCTGTTGCTCCTGCGAAATTGTTCAACTCCGGCACCTCAATTATGCTTGGCGTGGATGTCACGTGCTCGGCCTCGCGCTCCCTTGTTCTGTAAGGCTGACATGATATTTGACACCAAATACCTAAGGCTACCGTAACGAATAGATTCTGAGTCCATCTCACGCTCTCCGGATCTCCCATTTGATATCTTTTATGCTAACCTCTTCTGAGGCTTTCTCGTCATAATCAAACCACTCCCCGTCAGACAAGTCGATGCCACTGAACTTGGTACCGGAATCGACACCCTTAGCCTCCCATTCGCCCTAATGCTTGTAAGTTGTGTTTGAGAAGCGTTGCTATGCACCGATACCCACATCTGCTTTGAAATCTGTGAATTCGAGGCCCCGACAATCAATTTGAATTAGGTTTCTAGCCTTGGTAGGGGCGTTCTGTTCATACGGTACTGGCGCGGCTTTGATAGTGGCACTCGACTCTCGCTGATTAAAGTAAACCCCACAGTAAGAATCGCCCATTATTCTGCCAGGGGGCCATGAGCTCACCTTGCAGTTTTTACACTTCCAGACAAAATTGGCCTCTCCTCGGCTACCACTTTGCTCATTCATCTCCTATGTCAGAACAGTTAGTTCGTTTCAACATGGACCAGATGCATCAAGGCAGGCTGAACATATATCATTTCTGTGATCAGCTGGCTCACATGACTTAAACGACATCTATTGCGAGACGAAGCCCGGGCGGAGAGAAAGAGCGTTGATAGAGATATTTCTCCACCGTTGATGTGCGACTCACGTGACGATTTACGCCGACCCAGTTTGGGTGGGTTTCGCGACATGATGTGCATTGCACTTTGAATGTGTAGTAGTATGGAGATTCGGCAGTGTCAGAAGGTACGAGATCTGTCACTCTGCAAGCCAGTCAGTGGCAAGAGAGCCGATAATGCGCGATGCTAGGTACCCTTCTAATTCCGCGGTCAGGGCCAAAGCGAGCATTTCGACTGCAGGCTCGTGGGTTCTAGTTTATCAGGATAGGTGTTCGTTCTTGGTGTCGTCGATGACTATCGACGGTTATGAAGTTTGGTCCTCTCGCCTGGCTCTAGCAGATCCCTCCGTTGGCGTCTTGGCGCAGGGCTTGATAGAGCACCTGAAGGAGGAAGTGGGCCGAGTGGCTCCGCTTGCTGCTTTAAATTGTGCGCTGCTTCCAAGCATTCAATCACGATTCTCTCCTGCTCTTGTTCTTCAGGCTTATTGCATTGGGTATTTTGCGACAGCTTCTTTTTCGTTTCGTGATTCGGATCTTGACACTTGAGACGGCATCCATCGAAAGGCTGCAGATCTGCTATGTCCTCTCACCATGGCAATGGCTATTTAACACCACAACCTGAATCAGGGGTATGGGAGAGCTTCTGCTCATATAAGAAACGTGTAGTCGGATCATATCTAGATCTTCTAAGACTATTACACGTCGTGCCTTCTTGTCATTGACCAGATCCCCTTTGGTCCTTTGTCCTCTGAGAGCGAACCGAATGTTAAGTCTTCCGTAGGTTCAGTTTCTGTAACGCATGGATCACGGTTTGGTCGCGATTATATAGGAAAAGACCACCCAATTTCCCTTTTCCTAAACTTCAAAGGCTCCTTGAAGTGACATGGTAAGTGCTCGTGAGCAGGGTGACAAGAACGCCAGCCGTATTTGACTAGACTGCGATATGATCTGGGGCTGTGAGACCTCCTGCGACCTTGCTGCTTTTCTTTTCTAGCACAGTCCCTTGTAAAGAACCTTCTTGTGGCGTCGTCCCCTTATCTAGCGCCTCCTGTTTTCTTTGATGCATTCAAGAACAAAAGGATAAAGGGGAATGATGGGAGACTACATTCATTTGCAAATCCCTTTCACCCTTAAACGAACTTTCATTTTATCAATAGTCTCCTACAAGCCATTTTCACCAGCAGCTTTCCGAGTCCGTGGGAGATCCGACACAAGAGATGCAGTGGAGACTTCCATCATGAATCATCTAGGCTGTGCCGTAGTTCCAAGCTTGTGCAATGACTTCCATGAGTACTACGGCGGCCGTCCCGCGATTTACCCGAAGCGCCGCGACAAGTCAGGCATCGAATACAGCAATTGCGAAAGCCGCCGCTGCACATCTGATGCTTGCTTCAAATGGAGAGCTTGAGTGGGCTTATTGCATTCGTGGCGTTGATGGTGCCTTTCATATGATAGATACCTGGTCAGAGCGTAGGTTAAGTACTCCAATATGTACTTGAAAGAAGACATTCTAACTAAAGGTATCTGTAAAAAGCTCGCTGAATCAATGGCTCATGGCCTCTACGGGTCTAATCTAAGCCGATCCTACCCGCGCAGCCTGCTGGCTCACCAGAGTTCACTCAGAAGCCATAAATGCTTGATAACCCCATGCAATTATCCCAGGTAGGCAGGCAGCGGTGCGGGCATCTCCGGATACCTCGTCTGGCCATACGAAGTACGGAGTACGAGTACGCTTCCCCCCTCCCTTGGCTGTTCCAAGCTCCCCGTACAGTATGTACGAGTAGACCCCAACCAGAAAAACTAGCCTTGCCAGGGTGCGGAGTACGGAGTGAATAATTAGTCGATAAGTGATTACTCAGGCGGCCTGGTCTTGGCCTGCAACAAGGCTTCCTCCTAGTGGTCCCCGCGGTTGGACCATCTTTAGCAAGATTGAAGAGAGTATGTTAGAACGAGACTCATTACCGAAGAGATAATAATTCTTCTGGCCACACGACTAGCGTCCGTGGACTTCGGGTTGCTCGTTCTAACAGAATTCTAAGATGTTGAGGTTGGGATGCCTGGGACTAAACCACGGAGGACCTTCACTGCATGCTGGACGTGTCGTGGGCGAAACATTCGCTGCGACGCAGCAGTTCCTCGATGCTCACAATGTACACGCTCGCGCTTAGTCTGTCAAGGCTATCACTTCAACCTCGTCTGGGTCGACTCAGAGACGGGCGACTACACTCCGCACCAACGACGCACCTATCCATGTCACCTGACATGGCAAGGTCATCCACACTTGACGTTGAAGGACGTCGATCATCTGATAAACGATTGCAAGTACAGACGATGTCGTTGCAGGTTGCATCTAGGGACCAACCCTTTCTCCGCCTTTCCTCGAGCCTGTAGAAATGTCAAAGACGCCAACACTAGAGATGAGGGCATGTCGCAAGATGTCTCTCAGTCGCCAATGAGCTCAAACCCGAGGGCCGTTATCAGTGAGCAGCGTGATGACACAGAAGTCATCGAAAACACGCCTGCCTCGATTTTAGAAATGTTTGAAGACATGACGCCGGACTCGCAGAGCCCAGACGATATAGTGCACCCCGACCGTTGCCCGTCATCCAGCAGGACTCAAACGATTTTTCAGCCAGGTACTTGCGTTTACTTGCGTCGATACGCGAGAAAGTCTTCAATGTTACTCACTACAAGCCCAGCTCAACCGTGGATGGTGAATTCGAACCACGATGACAACAAATTGTTCCATCATTTCTTAGTGCACATTGCGCAGAGGATGGTACCAGTCGATGATGACAGCAATCCATGGAAAACCATTTATCCATCGCTCGCAATACAAGCCACGCGGTCTCAAGGCTCCGAAGCGCTATACCACGCGCTTCTTGCTCAGTCCGCATCCCAGCTTGCGAATTTGAGAGGGGAGGAGAAGGGAGCTCAGGCACGAGCAAGCGCAATTCGTCACTATGGAATTGCACTGCACTGGCTTCGCCAGAGCCTGGCCGCTCAGTCAAAAGACTACACCACAGTATTGGCTGCCATGTATTCCGTTATTCTGGCCGAACATGTCTTTCAAGGTACATCCTCCGGATGGCAAAGTCATATCCGTGGTGCAAGGGGGTTTGTTGGTCAGTATTTAAACCAGCAACCCTGGAAGCAATCTCGGGAAGCCCATGTTATCACGCAGAATTTTGGGCTTATCATGGTCATTTCGAAAACTACCGATGTAAAGTCCCTCTTGACAACAACAGCTGACGAAATCGGCGAGCTCGATGGCTTGCTAGATGACCTGATGAAAATGCCAATTTTCGGCTACACATTGGGAGGGACACCTCACATGCTGAAGGCAATCTACCAAACTCGATTACTCGAGACACAACTTAACGCCAGGAGGGAGACCGAGGGGCTGCGTGAGCTTGACGACGAGGTGTACTCTCAAGTGGGTCAGATCCTACAGCTGCTCTACGTACCGCTCGATGACAAATTGGAGTCTTATGTAAACCACCGCGAGCTTAGTGGGATTACCGTCCTACCTCAGCTGCGAAGACTGGCCAGAATTCACCTTCGGCTGTTCAACACTGCAGTGACGATCTATCTCTTCTGCCTCGTACTGCGATGCCCGCCTTCGGCGATGGCGGAAGAAGTCCATCAAGTTCTCACAGATGCGTCGTCCTTCATCAACCTACACAACGGTACTGTCTCGATCTGGCCGGTCTTCGTCGCGGCGGCTGAAGCCTACACACCTGATTCCCAGGCTCTAGCCACCCACTGCCTTGACGTCTTCATAGATGGGGGTGCTGGTAACCGGCGCGATGTACAACGCGTGGTTGAGCAGGTCTGGTCAGATCGTGAAAAATTAGCATCGGAGCGACAGTGCGATCCTGGCAAGGTCTCGCTTGATTGGCGCGAAGTTATGAATAGGCTCAATGTGGATATCTTACTTCTGTGATGAGTTGTGGCAGTGAGACGTGTGAGGGATCCTTTACAGAACTTCACTCACCTGCACCGCGCCTCATTCGTAATGATTGCCACAACCTTTGGGTTATATATGCCCAGTGTGAAAATTTGGACTATGCGCTTTAAGAAAGGGGAGTTTCACGACTACGATATAGCATCAAACTAGGGATAGCACGAGGCAAAGATATTAGCGATCTGGTCTCAGAGTTTGACGGTTTTCACTAAAGTCAATGAATTGATGTCAAGAAATTGTCATCTGTCTCTCATTGTTCGTGATGGGTTGCCTTGTCCTGGAGTCATAAGCTCAAAGCGATGGTACGAGCACATCAATGTGAATGCCCAGCGACGGTATGTCAAATGTCTGGTTGGAGAACATCCCGAGGTCTAATACTTGCAGAAATCCTCTCGTCAGACAGCCGGATTACTGCGTCGTCATGAGTTGCCTTTCTAGTACTCGCGATAAACAGTGAAATCAGCGGCTCCGTTATGTGTCTCTGGCTAAGGTGCACCTAGCTTAGTGATGCCTGCAGACTGTAGTCTCTCGTATACTGTTCTAATTTCTCTCCATACTTTATATATTGGGCGTCGCGGGCAAAGACTCACTCAAACCGCTCATGCTGAACTCATATTGACAATTTTAATTATAGTTCGAATCCAACAGGACCTTATTTCACAAGATGCCCTGTCTACTCAAAAATAAGAAGATCTTGGTTTACCGGCGGGTCGAGGCAAGCCTTTTCTTTACGCATAATCAATCTTGAGCAACTAACCTACTTGATACAGAGGATTGGGTGCCGTGATCTGTGAGAAATTTGCAACTCAAGGCGCTGACGTGGCAGTGAATTACATCGGTAACAAAGAGCGAGCTGACCAAGTTGCTGAAAAGTGCCGGCGAGAATTTGGTGTTCTTGCTGCTGCCCTTCAAGCTGTATGTCACTGCCTCCCAAGTTTCTCAGTTTCTCTCGTTTTAGTCGGGCGCTGAACTGGCGGGATGATCAGGATATTGGAAACGTGGATGATGTTGAGCGACTGGTCAAGCAGACGCTTGAGCAACTCGGTGGGCTCGATATTGTTATTAATAACGCCGGATGGACGCGCTTCGCGACATTTGGTGATCTACACGATCTCAGCCATGATGAGTGGAACAAGGTTCGTTCACTGCACCTTAGTAAAAGACAGAAAATACGGCAAGGAAAGGAACACGCAGGAGGATGGAGCATGGCTGGCAGTAGTTGAGCCTACTGATGCTGACTTCTCACCAGTGTTGGGCAGTGAACGTCATGTCTCAGCTCTTTCTGATGCAGCAAGTTACACCTGTCTTCAAGGATAACACTGATGGTGGTGTCTTCATCATCACTTCTTCTATAGCGGTACGTCTAATCATCCCCAAGATGTCGAAGCGGTACATTTCAAATCGTACTCATCTAAACTATGGTCTTTCTCTCAAGGGCGTGAGTGTCGGCGGCAGCAGCATGGGCTATTGCGTTACCAAAGCTGCAGGTCTTCGCCTGATGAAGTGCCTCGCTTCGACGCAAGGTCCAAAGATCAGAGTCAATGCCGTTCTGCCCGGCCTTCTATTGACAGAGTGGGTGAGTAAATATCAGGCCATTCTCAGGCGCTTCAAAATATACCGCGCTGATCCAGGTGATCCTTGATGTGCAGGGCATGCAATTTCCGGAAGCATCACGAAATGCTGGCATACAGAAGGCCGCACTCAAACAAGAAGTCTAAAGCCTCATCACCCTTTCTGTAGCCCTGGACCGGCTGACGTGTGGATCTAGCAGACAAATCTCGATGACTGTGCGGACGCTTTCGTTGCAATCGCCACGAACACATCTATGACGGGTCAGCAAATAGTCGTCGGTACGTGTTATTCCATCAAGACTGTCCTCTTCGCAGTAGACCTGAATGATCCATCCTGCTTACATTTCAGCAGACTCGGGTATTGTGATATGACGTATCCAAGACCAGATAGATACCAAGAAGGCTGCCCTCTTCCTTTGTGGTGTAAAGAGGTCGCCTCCACTCGAGGTGCCCCAGATGCTTAGATGCCAAGTGCACACGTTTGCGCTACGTTAGTAGACCATAAAGCTTGAGTTTCATAAATATTGGAGATAGATTCTAAAATAATAAGCATATCAGACCTCGTTATATTTAACTGGCACCTAATCTTGAGTTGGCAAGTTTAGAGTGATTTCTCTATGAAAATGCTGCAGGCTGACTTGTTACTACTCAAGCGGACACTTGTACTAAAAGTATTGAATAAATTGCCATCAAGACCTCTTTGGGGGACAAAGCTGAATAGGATTGCCCTATATATCTTCTATCTTTTGTTTCTAATTCAAAGCCCCCTTGTATCTGTCAATAAACCCGTCGAGAGCACTTAAGAGAGGCTGAAAGTGTTGGTCAGTGATCTCAATCGTCAAGGCCAAGAATCCGCGAGCGGCGATAAAAATTCCTTGCTCAAGTAAGTGATGATACAGGAGTGCCTGAAGCGAGCTACTCTCTGGGCCCACAAAACCAATGACGAAGAGGCTCCCTAGCCCTCGTGTTGCCATTATGTTTCCCACGTAACCTGGCTTATACATTACAGGCAGTCGCTTCTGTATCAACTCAGCAATCTCATGTCTTAACCGGTCACCCCTTTCGTTGAGGCTACTCGCCAAGGCTTCATCCAAAATGGTGCATCCGGCAATACCAGCCGCCATGGTGACAACGTTATTGTTGAAAGTTCCTGCATGAGCAAGCTTGTTTTCTCGGGGATCGAAAAGCTGCATGATTTCATGACGACCCCCGAAGGCGCCAAAGCTCATTCCTCCTCCAGCCCACTTGCCAATAGTCGTCATGTCAGGCTTGATATCGTGCTTAACCTGAAGACCTCCGTAATGAAGGCGTGATGTCATGACTTCGTCAAAGATTAGAACGGCCTTGTGTTTAGTTGCCAGGTCGCGCAGAAGCTTGAGAAATTCAGATGTGCCAGGGATACAGCCTCCCGATACTTGCATTGGCTCCACAATAATGGCAGCTAGCGACTCAGGTGGTAGATTTGACACCATGGCTTGGGTTTCTGATATGTCGTTGTATGGAGCGACGACAAAGTCCTTGTAAGAGTTCAGAGTATATTTGGATTCGTGTGCGAAGAAGGTAAGCGTGCTACCGTGATAACTGTTTTGGAAAGCAAGGATCTAAAGACAAATACTGTCACCAAAATTCTAGCACCGAGCGAAACAAGAGCTGAAACGGTAGGGACTGTAAGTCAAGATAGTGATCGACTCGATAGACCAACCTTCTGCTTCCGAGTAAAATTGACGGCCGCCCCGAGAGCCATAAGGTTCGCCTCCGTGCCTGAGTTGCAGAATCGGATCGAATCCATGCTGTAACTGAAACGATCGACCAAGATCTTTGCCAACATTGCCTCGTACTCGTTCTTTCCACCGAAGTTCCAGCCTTTATTGAGGGCATCGATGATGGCCTTCTTGATCACCGGAGAACTATGTCCATACACTCCAGCGGAGAATTCGCCCAGGAAATCGAGGTACTTGTGGCCGTCGACGTCGACCAGCTTGGCGGATTCTCCTCGAGCAATTGTAATTGGGAAAGGCTGAACGTGAAGCACAGAACGGGTGTTGGCCCCCGGCATATGGGCTAGGCCGGATTTATATAGGTCAAAAGATACCGGGTTGTTCTTGATATGTTGCTTTTGTGCCTCTTGTAACAGCGCTTTCCGCACATCTGGCGTGTTGCCGTCAGCGGTGGGAATGAATTTGGCGTCTACCATGATGAGCCTCAGCGCAGCCTGAACAGGTTACTGGGGATTTTCAAAGGCTGAATGTATCTGGACAGTGGTTTCGAAATTTCAGTGTGCCACATAAATTCAGGCTCATGGCGGTGAGTTTATTGCAGAACAATGAATATATAGCCACTACCGGGGAGTGCTATTTGAATGCATCGTTGTCCCCTTCAAGGCGATGGGCATCCCATTGCCTTCGGTTATGTCCGTGCCGGGACCTCGAATTCCACTTTACGGCCCCGGTCATTTCAATACATGGAAAACGTAATACTTGATCACCCTGGGTTCTTCCTTTGTGTCTAGTAGCCTGGGGACGTACTGTAGATCCGCGCGCAAGGATCTACTGTTCCATAAATGGGGTAGGGTTTCGCCGTGGGCTGCCAACTCTGGATTGCGTATTGGTTACAGTGCTACCGGTGTGCCCGGAGAACACGCTAAGCTAGGCGTCTCAGAGATACTGTATCTTGGGTGGCGTCCGATCAAGGAATACTCTTAGCCTTATCAGGCCGAGAGATCCACATTTATGATATTGCCTCTGGGCATTGATTACCCGAGACCCTCGTCATGGACTGCTAATTCGAGGTCAGGCCCGTCGTGCCTACAGCAACTTGCGGAAGTCATAAGCAACATAGCAATTGCCCAGACTTGGTAGAGTGTAGATGGCAACACGACGGCTATCTAAACCAATGCGGGTTTACGCCAAGGGAGATATAGAAACGCCTTATGAATTTCTGAGGATGTGGGTCGGCTGGTTCAAGTTGTATGATCGATATATATCAGACTCAACATCACTATTCCAGTGATTGTTCATGGGTGCCTTCTCTCCAGACTTCAGCTTTTGTCATTATTCCCTACGTATCTGCCCACTATGGCAACCGAATCGACGACGGCAGAGAAGCAGTCACAGGAGGTGGCCAGTGCACAATCGTCGACGAGAATGAACATAGACATCGAGGACTCTACCCCGAGGCCCGCTAAACTCCGCCGCGATTTGCAAGGCCGTCATATGCAGATGATTGCCATTGGTAAGGCTCGTTTCGTGGAGGAGCTGCTCACTGCTAATATTCTTCAAATCTAAGGAGGATCGATTGGTGCCGGTCTCTTTGTTGGCTCTGGCAGATCCCTGGCTGTCGGAGGGCCAGCTTCATTGACCCTAGGATTTATCATTACTGGCTTCGCGGTACTGTGCACTACTCAAGCCCTGGGCGAGCTTGCAGTCATGTACCCTGTGAACGGCGCATTTTATTCCTATGTTGTTCGTTTCATCGATCCAGCTTGGTATGTTAACACCAGTTGCCGCTGTCGCTTCGAACTGACACTCCTATCTAGGGGCTTTACCATCGGATGGATGTGTACGACCGTATCCCCTGTGATCGACCATGCCTTCTGATACTGACATACATCAGATGCTCTAGGGTGGCTCATCACTCTCCCTTTTGAGATCATCTCTGTTGGCATAACTATCAATTACTGGCACGAATACAACATTGGAATATGGGTGGCAGTTTTCCTGACAACCATTGCCTTCGTTCAGTTTTTTGGCGTTCGAGGCTATGGAGAGAGTGCGCTTGTCTTCCGGAGGCGTAAGTACTAGGACTGATGCAGGCGTAGTTGAATTTGTTCTCGGTATCATTAAACTTGTCGCAGTGGCCGGCTTCATTATTTTGTAAGTGTCGGCAAACTTTTCCGAGTACTCTCCTGACCAGAAAAATAGCGGCATTATTGCCAACTGCGGAGGGGTTCCTACCGATACGCGAGGGTATCTAGGTTTCAGATACTGGAGTGGTGATGATGGCAACCACGCCTTTCGGAATGGTAAGCGTAAGAGAAAACCTTCGATGACATTTGGTCACTAAATCAAATCTAGGATTTCCTGGGTTTTGTTCAGTCTTTGTTCTTTCTGCATTTGCATTTGGAGGCACCGAGCTGGTCGGGCTTGCTGCCGCAGAGGCCCAAGACCCTCAGAAATCCTTGCCCAAGGCTGTTAAGCAAGTATTGTGGCGAATCGCCGGTGTCTACGTCCTATCTACCTTAATTCTTGGGATTATTGTCCCAAATAACTCCCCAGAGCTTTTGGGTGCCTCTGGAGCCAATACGAAAGCGTCTCCATTCGTCCTAGCATTCAAAATCGCCGGGGTTAAAGCTTTACCTTCGATCTTTAATGCAGTCATCACAATTTCCACACTATCAGTAGCCAACAGCTGCACCTATGGCTCGACTCGAACACTTCAGGCCCTTGCTCAATACAGTATGGCGCCAAAAATTCTAGGCTATGTCGATAATAGAGGCCGCCCACTAGTTGCGATAATAATCCAGTTACTTGTCGGCCTGCTGGCTTTTATCAGCTACTCCGCACAGGCTGGCACCGTATTTACCTGGCTCTTCTCTATCTCTGGGCTTGGAATCCTCCTTCTCTGGGCGTCGATCTGTCTCTGCCACGTACGATTCAGGCAAGCATGGAAGGTTGCTGGTCGACCTGTCGAGGATCTCCCTTTCCGGTCACCGTTGGGAGTTTATGGGTCGTACTTTGCCCTGGTCCTCATCGCGCTCATCCTGGTGCTGACCTTCTATGTTGCCCTCATTCCGCCTGGAGGAAGTCCAAATGCGCAATACTTCTTCCAAAATTGGCTTTCTGGTCCTATCGCCCTGACAGCCTTCGGGTTGAGGAAAGCATGGACAAGTGACTGGAGATTTGGCGTCAAAATCAAGGACATGGACTTGGACACGGGAAGAAGGGACACCGGCTACACTTCGCGTCTGAGCCAGGAGGAGGAAAAGGGAAAGAGTCTTGGAAGACGTGTAATCAACGCAATCTTCTAAGTACATGTCCTACTTAAGACGGAAAATGTTTGATTGATTGATTTAGTCCTACACCTAGAACCCTCTTAGTAGGCTTATGTCGGGAAAACTATCTAGCTCTATAGTAGGAAAACCCACTGGGGTAGAAAAACCTACTATCTACAAACACTACTTGCTCTTTTCCCTTTATAATAGGCGAGTACTCTTCGTTATGAGTAGTTCCGCCTCGATCACCAAAGAACTTCGATGGCCTTGTTGGCCTTCTGGCCCTAGTACTCTCTAGGGTATTCTAGGGCATTCCCGCTTCCCTAGTACTAGGGCCTCCTCTCCCTTCTTCTCGATAATCTCCGTAGAGTTCATGAGCCTTCTCGGCTCTTCGGTGATGTTCGCTACTGCTCTGTCGCGCTCGGTCTACTGGTGGTCCCGGGGCTTAACCCCCTCTTGACTTCCAGTCTTCTGAGGCATCACACCTCCTTCTTTAGTTTCTCCTTTCTTTTAATACCTTTCTTGACTTCTTCTAGGTTCTTAGAACCCTTTCCAACGTCTCGTAACTGTGCGTATAAGAAAGTTATGGGTTATCCTCGATGGAAAATGTTAGGATCAATGTACGGGACATCTCAGAGTGCCACAGCATTCACGCCGAGGGCCTGGAGCGGTCTTCAGAGCCACCACGGCATTCAAACCAGTGGTCGTTGGTCACCAAACGATAAAGTGCATATATATGTGCGGACATTGGAAATATGCAAATAACTCATAAGTGGCTCTCCTTCTGCGGAGCGTCTCGGCTTCTTAACACTTTACTTTCGAAAACATCCGAGAAAGGCTAACTCATCGTTGCATCTTCTTCTCGCTCGATTCTATCATTGCTATCCTCGCGTTTGATAGATGCTGCTACATCTGTTCCAAGTATCTAGTCAGCCGATGGGACCCTCTTTGAGGCCTCCCTCTCTGAAGCCCAGCACATCGAGACTTGCTGTCATTTCAAGCAGTTTTCACCATTTCCAATATTACAAGGACGCATGCTTGGATTGGCATACCTAGCTAGATAACTAGGCACTTGACCTAGAATCCTCCTCGTAATGATGTAGGCAAGATCTGTAAATCCTGACCTTACCTAGACACCTAACGAAGTGAGTACATGGTCATCTCGACTAGACCTTCACATGGGTTAGGTTGGGACGAATGATAGCCTTGGTTAACCTAGCCCGGCGGGTTCCTGGTTCCTAAAAGTTAGAACCTAGTAGCCTAACCCTAAAAATATAGAGTTAGGCTACACTCGTCCAGGGTTTGTTAGTACGCAATGTGGAGCACTCTTTAGTCTCATGCTAATCCCTATACAGATTACCACTTAGTATGCATACCGTTTGCAGCGATTACATCCTGACACCTCTTTGGCATTGTAGCAACTAATTGCTCCAATAGATCATTGCCAATCGCATTCCAAGCCTCTGTAACTCGTTGTCGTAGTTGATCGTACGATGCTCGGTTCTCTAGATAATGCAGCGCCAGCCAGTCCTTTATCTCAGTCCACAGGGTCTCAATTAGGTTCAAATCAGGTAAATACGCAGGCCAGGCAATGACTGTAATACCACGATCTATTAAATTAGCTGTAGTCTTACCACAGGCGTGTGCTGGTGCGTTATCTTGTATAAACAGTAGGCCAGGATTCATCTGTATCCAGCCATAAATTAGTGGAACAATATGCTGTCGATATAACTCGTCGTTAATCGTACCCCAGTCCTTCTCCCAGAATAGGTGTGGTCATTTAAGATTGCTAGCAAAACAGGCCTATAGTATTAGAAGTGTTAAGGGTGGCAACACCTTATTCTTCTTGACTACTGACCTAATTGAGTTTAGGAGGTGACCCGGCTGCTTAGAGATTACGATCGATCTCCTAAGCTTCGCTTACCGTATCCCAGGGATAATTTTTAATTACGACCATGACCTAGTATTAAACCGACTATCCCTTTCCGATCGGAAATTCCCACCCAGGACATGAGCAATATACTTATAGAATGCCTGGTCAAGAAGGGGTTAATTAATGCCCCGTCGCTGAAACCGAAAAATTCGTGCATCTAACCTTCTTTTCCAATGGCGAATTGGAGAAACAGTTTGAGCATGAAGAACAAGAGCATATTCGAAGTCCCAAGGAGGCTTCTTATGATTTGGTGCCTTATGTGAGCGCTTAGAAGGTCACAGACGAACTCAGCGAAAGAATCTCGGAAAACAAGTTTGAGTTCCTGATTAATAAATTCGGCACTGTAGTGATCTACAATAGCCCTTTTGCCATCGATCGGGGCCAGCTGAGTCTGTTGGCATCACGAAGTGCCCTTGTATAGCTGAATTTATGATCACCGGAGTGCGGACTACTAACCCACCCGGATACTCGTTTTCGACACCTACTAAGAAAGTTGAGGCTTGTCTCAGAGTGAGTCAGCAGATGGCAAAAGAGAAAGGGCCTGAATATGGAAAAGGGGCAGGAAACGGATCACTTCTCTAGCAAATACATATAGCAGGTAGAACAGCCGGCATCAAGACCGGAACAGAGAGTCTCAATACACTTATTTGGTCGATATATTTGACACTTGGTGATTGTGTGCGTGAGCGTACTCGCCAATTATATTGCCAGACTCCATCGGCCGACAACAGAGCTTCATTCATTACTTTTACCTTTCTTTCATCTCATGTAGTTGTCCTCATGCACTTACTTCAATCTCGCCTTTGTAGTTAAATCAACGAGAAGCAAAATGTCATCCCAACAGGTGCCTTGTTCGCCTGGCCCGGATCACCAGCAAGTTCTCAATGTGCTCGCCCAGCGGAGATACCGTAAAGAACCTATGGATATCAATTCCTATCTCGTACCCACATTTTATAGGCCAGCGCAAGCGGGAGCAGTTGCAGTCGCTGAAGAACAGACTCGAAGAAGCCAGACTGGGCGGTACGCATGCAATGTATGCTTCCGATGGGTATATACAACTTCAGCAGCCAATGCAGCCTGCATATCTGACGCCAGACAACCCTAACACGCCCGATGGTTCTCTTGGTGATCGGTATCCAGATTTCATGATTGGAACCTCTAATAGGTCATATATGTGCGCTGTGCCGTCTAAGTCTGTGTGTCTAATGTCCGAAAGTTCGTCATCATATGCGCAAGATGAATTCTGGTTCAATGACATTCTGCCTTATGGTATGTCCCCGCGATTGTGAAGTCACCCCTTTCACGGGTGATTGTACTTACTTGACTGGTCTGTAGGTATTTCTACCCAACGCTTTACATCAACGTCCGATTCCCCATTATCAGCAGAACTTCAAAATCTAGAAGTCTCTCAGTTTACATTCCCATAGGAGCATGTCATCGATTTTCCATCCCTCACAACCATGGAGGTCTCACTTCGGATTGCACAAATGCTTGGACTCGTGGACGAGTTCTTGGATCTCACTATAAGCCGGGTGCTAGACGTGTCGAAGATTCCAGTCCCATTAACAGACTTGCCCGAAAACTTACGTCCAACGGAAGCGCAGGTCTTACTACCAAGCTATCCAATAATAGACGTTCTTCCTTGACCATCAGTAAGGACAAAACTCATTTGTCTTTTTGGCCAGCCTGACCAACTGAGACCACCAATCGCGAGAGGCTCCATGGCTATCACGCGGCTAATGCATAGTCTTGAGGACGAGTCGGAGGGACTCCGCATTACTCTAGATATAGATGGACATTGGTATGATGGAAAAAGCTGGGAAATCGGACAAGTCATCCTCAAAGACTGGTGGTGGGCACTGGATCTTGAGATCGTATCTAATTCAAACCGACTGAGGAATCTAAGAGGGGGCTCCCAAATTGCAGCTTTTGACAACATGACAAGGCAGTCGAGCATAAATCACCAGAACCGGTGAAAATCCTTTATGGCGTCATTAGTGGAGATACCATCTTGTTGGAAGAGGAGTTGGAAAGTCAAATCGGGAGGCAATGGAGCGCAGAATGATTGAAGACGTTTTATAAGGCCAAATATGGACGTTCAACCATGGCCAATCACCGCAACTAGTGAAAGGCTATGCGAGTTGCGCCTGCTACAAGTTTATGTAATCCTATGAGTCCAAGATCTTGACTACAAAGGCTTTCAACCATATTCGGAACTGGTAGATACAAACGAGATCATCACCTGAAGTGGCCTCAACAATCTCCATCCAAGGGTAGGGCGGTGAGGGGCTATGACACGAAGTAACTCGATAACGATCTCATCTTCGGGAAGTACACAGCGCTGCATCAGCCGCGAATTGTACTGTAGCTGATATCAGCATCAGTGCGATACTGATGAAGCGTGCATATATATTATTGCCGGAAGTAGATACACTGTTCAACGCAGTTGGGGAGAGCTACGCTTTTTGAGATGCTTTCCAGCGAGTCTATGATCATTGGAGCACCGAAGGGGACGAAGATCCTTTTTCTGCTCGTTCTCTAGACTTGTTCTGTACTTATCCAAGCCGATGACCCGTCGTTTGACAACAAGCCCGCCCGTATGCGGCGGAGGAAATGACTTTGATTTCGCGGACAGATGTCGTGCCCAGGTGCCCCGGGTTGAGTTGTCTTTCTGAAGCAATGGGACTTTCTGTACCCGGGTTAGTGGATCCTAGAGTGCCGTTCTTAGGTGTATTTCAAAGCAATCGCCTCAACGACATAGTTCAGTTGGTAAAATGAGACTTAATGACTCTCGAGACAGAACGATCGCTGGGAACAAGCAAGCGAACGGGCGGAGATAAGAGCACAAGGAGTGCAGCAACCTCTTGTTTGCCAGTGCCAGGCTGGTAGCGACTCGGTACCCCACATTCTCTCGGTAGACATAGTGATTACTGCCCCGTGCAAGCCCAAGTAAACGACAATGAAACGTCGAAGTGATAGAATTCAAACTCTGGGTTGGGTACGCACGAACTAACTAATTGCGCCATGGTCCTTTCGGGTTAAACATAACGTTATGGAGGCGTCTTGGCCGTGCTTCATCACGGATCTTGCCATCAAGGGACTCAACACCCACATAGTGGGGACTATCTATCTTAGACACAAGTTGTCCAAGAGGATAGGATGTTGCAATTGCGGACAAGAGACACCAAGGGCAAACCCCAGTCCTAATGCTAGTTCCCAAAGATGCCTCAGGCGCTCCTACGACTATTGAAAGCCCTTAGTACCCCAAATGCGGTGGACGATCATTGGAGATAGCCCTTCACGAAAACTACGCTCAGGGGCTAGCACACACAGATTTGCCACTCTCAAGATCAGCTTCACCACACTGTAGTTGAAACCTTCATCCAGGGCAAGATCCGCTGGGCAAACGTACCACCAAGCTGGTGATTGGCGCGATGCACCACATGAATCGCCTGAGGACCAAACCTCGATGGCTCTGCTCATTGGGAAGTTAGAATACAAAGAGTCAAAGGTACTTCTGCATCTACCTAGGCTTAGCTTTCAGCACCAGATCCCATCCCATCCCCAGGATACCACTGTCCATTGAGGTTTATTCGTCACGATCTATCCGTATCCGTACCAACTTGCCAATCGGCAGTCGCATGTGCATGTGCACGTGTGCTGGTCTCAGATCTTTAGCTAGCTAACTTAAGTAGCATCCAAAAGGCTGCGTCCGAGAGCACTTACTCCTTGCGAAGATAGATACGTATCTACCTCCTACTGACAGGGCGGAATGGTGTTTTCAACTAATGTGGCATACATGGAGTATGCTGGGAGAGTTTGCTTGTAGCCGCGAGGCTGAGTATATTTTGAATCTCTTGCATCATACGCCCATTAGCCCCGCACTTTTGACAGATTTTTACTCTTCTGTTTCTTCCACACTTTGGGAATAAACCACTAGCCGAGACCATCAAGAATATCCGCGATAACAAATCACCCGAGTTTGTCACAGTGAGCTACTTCGAACAGATGATATTTATGCCCCCGTGCTTGTCGAAGCACCCTAGGCCCGGAAACACGTGCTTCCCCTCCAATTAAAAGCTTGGCAACTCGAGCACCTGGTCACAGTTTGTTTATGGCCTGTTAGCCTGTTGTCTTCGATCAAGAGTATCTCGGTTCTTATCGCAGGCTTCCGAGCTCGCACCTCGAAGCCCATGAGATGGCCCCCCAAAGGAAGAAGAAGCCTGCAGCTAATCCTGCTCGGGGATTCGCTACAACATCACTTCCATCCAGATCCAAAGCAATTGACGAGGCTGAACAATCCACCTCAACAGGGACCACTGTGAGCCCCCCCAACGGACCCTCGGCGACGAACAATAACTCGCAGAATGGAGGAAAGACTCTCACCCAAGACAATTTGCTGCCCAACGGAGCATCTGATATAATGAAGATGACTCCAGAGGAGCTAGAAGCTCACCTTGAAAATGCGGAACTAGATAGCCTCCTCAACAAGTATGCTAAGAGGTGCATCACTGAAGCTAATCGGCAAGTCACTAGGCTAGAGACCGAAAGACGACAGATGCGTTCTCAATCTGTCAAACTATCCACCTACGGCTGGCTCTCTGGGGAGACGGCTGATCGGCTGTTTGACATGGTTGGGAAACCTCGCTGGAAAGTCAAGGCACCGACCTCTGCACCGCGTGACTCCGTCGGCGATGAAAAGATTTTGGCCGACCTTTGGACCTTACAGCGTGTGTTGCAAGTACTAAATTTTCCTGCCGTCCAAGAGGCGATTTCCCACATCACCCACCTGACGGTGCAGGGTTTGCTGGCCACGCACAGCGATCTTATACCAGGCCTACTCGAAGCTTTCGAGTGGTATGCTTCACAGAACCAGACTGACTGGCTCCCCAACTACGAGCAAGCATTTCCGCAAAGGATGGAGGAAACGGGTAACAGCACGCTGTACCAAGAAACATCTCGTGAGTGAAAAGCCAACGTCACCGATTTGGGTTGTTCACAATTTATGCGGACTTTCTGGTGTTTTATTCTCGACATGTACCTCTTGGAGTGCGCTTACAGCTCAAATTCATTGCTAACTTCGTACAGGACCTACATCCACAACGGCAAGCAGACAAAGCCCAGCAAGGACTCCAGTATCACTTTCCGAATCTGAGGAAGACTTCTCCGCGGCGAGCCCGGCGTCGGACAGCGATGACAACCTAGATCCACAGGCGCAGGTAGACAGGTATATCCGGATCCAGACGAAAATCTGGCGGTCACTAAACCCGGAGCCAACCCGGCCACAGAAAGGCTCTTCTAATGAAATGAGACGAAGACAACGCCTCAATAAGAAACTTGAAGATATTCGCCGAGATATCCTTTTCGAAAGCGATATGGCCGACTCGATGTGGAGCGAGAAACTGGAGGATCTACAAGCCACACATCAACGAGTATTGCGGGAACAGGCCAGGCTACGACGAGAAGAGGCGAGAGAGTCGTCAGCCGTACCAGATAATGCACAGGAAGACAAAAGCTCAACCGATCGTGAACTTGTCATCGGCGAAGAAGCACGTGATGATGACGAGGTACTCTTGGGAGGTATTTTTGGGGAAGTGGAAGAAGCAAACCCTGTTGATCAGCAAGAGAGTCAAACACAAGAGAATATCCGAGTACTTGATTTCGGAAAATGGACTGGGGTCTCACCTAGGAGGCTGCTAGAGGAAATCTGCAGAGGCCATGATCCCAAATGTCGGATTCAAGTGCAGGCCCTGCAAAGCACTGCTTCATCGACAAGACACAATCTCACCATAGCTTGGAATACTGCACCTCGGCTGCCCAATCACGCAGTTGCAGCTTTGCCAACTGAAGTTACCATGTCGATGACCCCAAGTGTTTGGACTTTGATCATGAACAGCTTAGCGGCGGCGTCCAAAATCCAGTCTGAGGCATACATAGCCTCGCTGGCGCTCTTCCTGATGTCGACCCTGGGCAGTAAAGAACAGAAAGCAACATCGCGCCTTCCTACTGTTTGGAGAGATTTGCTCAAAGAGCTTTCAGACGCCAAGCAGGACCTCGCCAATGAGGAGCATAAGACAACTCTACGGGACCTGCAAGCCACCATCAAGAAGACCAAGGATGATTTGGCACAAGATATGAATCAGGGTGTATCAGTCGAGAGCGCCCAGCAGCAAGCGGCCAGTGATTCCCGGCGGCGGACACATCGTCCAACTGCTGCAAGGCTAACCGCAGAGCAAGTATTGAAAGAGTGGACGGCAAGAACCTCGCGTCCAGCGTTTGCTAGAATGCTTGAAATCCGTCAACAGCTGCCGGTACACAGCTACAAAGACGTCATCCTCGACTGCGTCAACAACAACGCCGTCAGTGTCATCTGCGCAGAGACTGGAGCTGGAAAGTCATCGGGCATCCCCGTGCTGCTCCTCGAACAAGATTTCATTGGTGGGACCGACTGTCGCATACTTGTGACCCAACCACGACGTATCTCCGCAATCACTCTTGCTAGACGGGTTTCACAAGAAATCGGAGAGGCCAGGAATGATATCGGAACCACCCGGTCACTGGTTGGATATGCCATTCGAATGGAGTCCAAGACAAGCAGCAACACGCGGATCACCTATGCCACAACTGGCGTGTTGCTTCGGATGCTTGAAGAGTCGCCAGACCTGGAGGAATTGGACTACCTGGTCCTCGACGAGGTGCACGAACGGACCATGGATCTCGACCTTCTCTTCATCGCACTGCGAAAGCTACAGCAGCGACGGAATACGCTCAAGATCATCCTCATGTCCGCCACGGTAGATGCAAAGAAGTTCTCGGACTACTTTGGCGGCGCGCCTGTGCTGGATCTACCCGGGAGGACGTTCCCGGTCGAGGTTGGCTACCTTGAGGACGCGGTTGAGGCCACTAACGACCTCTCTACGCTGAAGGACAGAGGACTGCAGGGTTACGAAGACGGAAATGATTTCGAAGATTATGCAGATGAGAAAGGCCGCCCAATGCTGACCAGTCCAGAAAAATACAGCAAGCAGACCCAGCAGGCCCTCGCTGCCATGGACGAACGCCGCATCGACTACAGTCTGATCGCGAAAGTGGCCACGGCCATAGCCACGAAACCCAAGTACAAGAAGTACAGCAGCGCTATACTGATCTTCATGCCGGGGATAGCTGAGATGCGCCGTTTACACAATATCCTTTTAAACACGGACATATTCGGCAGGAACTGGGTGATCCACCTCCTCCACTCGACGTTCAGCACCGAGGATCTCGAGAAGGCGTTTGAGATCCCACCATGTGGCCACCGGAAGATCGTGATTGCCACCAACATCGCCGAAACAGGTATCACGATACCAGACGTGACTGCCGTCATCGATACATGCAAGGAGAAGGTGATGCGATTCGACGAACGACGCCAGTCATCTCGCTTGACCGAAGGCTTCATCTCGCGCTCATCGGCACGGCAGCGACGTGGACGCGCTGCTCGTGTGCAGGACGGACTCTGTTTCCACCTCGTCACTAAACACCGGCATCACAACATGATGCTCGAGCAGCAGATTCCGGAAATGTTGCGGCTGGGCTTACAGGAGCCGATGCTACGGATCAAGGTCTGGGATCTGGGGAGCATAGAGGAGACGCTGGCTCAAGCAATCGACCCACCCACTCGGAAGAATGTGTTACGTGCGATTGAAAAGCTCAAGGATGCTGGTGCTCTCACAAAGAATGAGAAGCTGACTGCCCTTGGTAAACAAATCGCAAAGCTCCCGTTGGAGGTGTCTCTCGCCAAGCTAGCCATCTTCGGCGCCATTTTCGGATGCCTGGTAAGTTTCTTTCTCCATTGGAACGAGCGCGCGAATGGAGAAATTTTCTGACCCTTTTGTCAATAGGAACCAGTCCTTACCATCATCGCCTTTGTAACATCCAAGTCGCCTTTTCGAGCCAGCCCATCCAAAACACTAGCAGAGGTGTTGCGGGTGTTCGCTCGAGGGCACTCGGATCTGCTCACATTGGTCAAGGCGTATGAAAGCTGGAGGAGAGCGAAGACCGCTCGCGCAGGGCAGGAATTCTGCCGCAAAAACCACATCAACGACCAAGTCATGTCGCAGGTGGAAGATCAAAAGGTGCAACTCCTGGTGTATCTCGTCGACGCGGGCGTGGTGGCGTTCGAGCCGGAGGAGAAAGAGACGCTCGTACGCGCCCGATCCGGGTCGGGTCGCGGGGGCAATTTCTACACGATCCCAGACCGCTACGATCGCATCATGTGTGACCGGGCGCTGTGTGCGATTATCGCGATGGCACTCTATCCGCGCGTTCTGGCGCGCGAAGGGAAATCCTGGAGGAATGTGTACTCGAACCAGCAAGTTTCGCTGATCTCGCACTCGATCAACCACGGAAACCCCCGCGCGCCGCGGTGGCTGTCGTTCTACGAAGCGATGCAAAGTCGCACCGGGAGCCTGAACGTCTTCGAAACCTCGGCCATCCCGGACTCTGCGTTGGCGCTCCTATTGGGCGAGGCCGAGTTCAAGTTCTTCGCGGGCGTGTTGAATCTGGACTCTGGAAAGGTGCGCCTCTCCGTGAGGCATTGGAGACAGTTAATGGCGATCAAGATTCTCAGGGAGCGAATGGCGGATGTGTTGGATGCTGCGTTCAAACGACCGTGCGATGCTATGAACGCAGAGAATTGGAAATGGATAGATTTGTGGTTGAGCATTGAGGCCGCACAGGATGCATAGCGAAAGCTCTCGGGGCGGTCTTGTGGGAAGTCAGATTTGGAGCACGATGTGGGTTGTTGGCTATTGGTCTTTCGATTCTATCGCTTCCTAGATCTTGGATATATGAAGCATATGCAAAAGTATGTGGTGGGGCATAGTGCACATCAGCCATGTCTCCTAAAATTCGAAGGGGTTCAGATAGGCATGAATTCGCCCTTTTGGCCAATGACATCGATAAAAGCAACACCAATGGCTTGGTTGTGGATTGCAAATGATATGTATAACCCTGGGAGACAAATTCTCAATATTCACTGGCTAAAACGAAGAACGAAAGGGAATTTATCGGGGAAATGCCAGGGAAGACCTGCTGAGTCAATTGGTACCATGACAGAGGGTCGTCTGGACCGAGAGCACACAACATGCAGTTGGAACCTCATCGCCATGGCTGGGTGAAATTGCTACCTTAGGAGGTACGCTCCATCCACCGGTAGGGGAACACCGGTTATCCAAGCGGCGTCATCACTGGCCAGAAAGACCGCTGCTTTTGCGACATCCTCGACTTTGCCCAGGTTGCCACCTAGAGGATGTCTGCTCTGAATCTCTGCTAGTACGGACTCCTGGCCTTGCAGATTTTGAGTCATGCTGGTCTCCAGAAACCCCGGGCACAGGGCGTTACAGTGAATGAGATCTTTCGCATAGTCCAAGGCGATCTGTTTCGTCAACATAACCGCTGCCCCTTTACTGGCGCAGTAGCTAGGCGTGCCATAGTACGGAGTCAAACCCTGGATGCTTGCAGTATTGATGATCCAGCCTCGAGAATTGTATATCTTCTCCTGTCCATCGAGTATTTGCTTGAGGGCGTACTTGCATCCCAAGAACATGCCTTTGGTATTGATTGCGATGGTCTTATCGAAGTCCTCCTCGCTAGTCTCGTGACACCTCAGTGGTCGAATGTGTGTGCTCTCAACACTGATCCCGGCATTGTTCACCATAATGTCTACTCTCTTATACCGCTGAGTACAAGCCCTGATGGCAAAATCCATCTCACGGGCCTTCGTAACGTCCGCCTTGTGGTAGGTCGCTTCCCCTCCCATTTGGCGGATGCGCTCATGGGTGCCGGGTTGGTTTGCTGTGCGATTATTGAAGTCATCGGCTCTGAGAGTGACTGGGTTGATCGCGTTACGAGGGGAAGGGTAGAGGTCGATGCAAAAGATGTTGGCGCCTTCAGCGGCGAAGGCGAAACAAATCGCGGCACCAAGTCCAGAAGAACTGCCTGTGACAACCGCAATACGGCCTCTCAGGCGGCCTGAAGGAGCGCTCATAGTTGGTAGGATGGAGGAAGCCAGTGTTTACCTGGAGTGTCGGAGAGACTTCGGCTTGGGTAACCCCTCGATGAGATCACCAAGTCGTTGGGGGGTAACACACCACACACGTCGAGTTCTTGTAGGAGTTTTCTCCAGCGCGTGCTGAAGCAACGCAGTGACGCCGCCATCTGACGAGCCGAGACCAGGAGCATGAGACGAGGCTGAAAGGGACAATGTGGGCTGTCTTCATAGGCGCAGTAAGGAATTGAAGGGACTGGGATTGGGACTGGGATACGGAGCCCGACTGTTGATGCGTCTTGTGGCTTTCCGCTGCGGCGCGACGTCTTTTGAAATCCCGGCATCCAGGCCCCTGAGGCCCTCGGACACTCGCTCCTTCCTTGACTACATACAACTGTCAGCTGTCTGGTACAGTACTTCGTCCTGCGCCCCGCGGCCCCCGATTGACTCAATCACGTGCAACGGCGGTGCACGTGACCAACGCCTGAGGTTGAGACGTGATGGAGGTAGACATCGTTACTGGATAATCACTTAGGTAAGTTTAACTGGGCTACAGAACAGCTTCAGAGGATGTATGTGCAGCAAGAACAGGACACTTCGATGCCGTGAGGAGCCTGCTTCAGGACTCTAGTCCGTGCCCTTCTTTGACTCTCTCATGGTTTCTTCACTGCAATGAGGAGGAAGTAGGGCCGGTGCGCCTCTGCTTTCGCTTCCAATTTCGGCTTCAGATCCAATCCTTCCCAAGCTTCCTTGAATGCTGTCAGGATAAAACCAGCCTCTATCAAGTATGTAAGATAGGTATCGACGGTCCGGTGATACTTCTTGACACCGGGTGCCAACCAATTCGTCACTCTCAAACCCTCGTCCCAATACTGGTTCAAAGGCCAGAACACCCGGCCCTCTTCGTCAGTCTTCCAGGAGGCATCGAATGGCGCAGAAGCGATGGGGTGCTCGATGGAGAACACGAACTTTCCATCCGACTCCAAGCCTTTGAATATCTCACCCAGCAGTCTTCTCAAAGCCTCGTCTGGAAGGTAGTGAAGCGCCAAAGAACTGTAGGCCAAGTCGTACTCACGTTCCTTAAGCGATAGTTCCTCGAGGTTGCCACAAGAGTACGTGATAACTCCCTGCTCAATACCAGCTGTCTCGGTCGCTTGTCGCGCCCGGTTCAGCATGTTCTCAGACAGGTCAATCCCGAGCACGGATCGAGCGTGCCCTTCCTGGACTGCCCAGCGAGCAAACCAGCCAAATCCACAGCCCAGATCCAAAACACGCTGGCCCTTGACATCACCGACCAACTTCCGAAGCGTTGGCCACTCAGGGGCGCCATCCAAGCCGTACACGGAGCGCGGGAGCTTTGAGTATTCACCGAAGAACTCGGCCGTGTCGTAGATGTTCTGCGCCATTCTATGCTTTGAGGAACTCACTCAGGGGGGAGCAGATCTTGGGAGAAAATGGAAAACAAAGAGGGAACTCTGTCGCCTTGGCCGTCGAGATTCCCACCTTTATTTCTTCTTTCCAAAGCCATCGTCTGGAAAAGCGGCGACCTCCATCATAGGATCTTCGTATCCCAAACCCATGTATCGTGTTTCGACATAGATCTAGTGTGTCTGTTATAACTGTCGAGTGCATTGCTGGTGAGTCATAGCATTCAGCGCCCCGCATCATGATTCACAGCCGTTGGAGCGCTGAAGTGCGCTCCTATCACCCGCGGGCATTGTTCTGCTTGACCAAAGGGGTCTCAAGATCTTTCGCTTTTCATCTATCTCGATTGCTCCTTGGAATAAGACATAGTCCCATCACTTTGGCGAAAGCTTTTATTCCTCCGATGGGTGTTCTTGACCAGGCCTGGGGCGTGGCTTTTGCAGATTGAACAATATTCTCAGCTCTGGCCACTTTTTGAGTGGCACATCCAGGGGAGAACCACGTGTTACACTATACATGGGCACGGGCTTGTGCTCTCAATCTTACATCTCTTAGCCGCTTCTCAGCCGCCTCATACAGTGGAGCCCGCTCAGCCGATTCTAAGGGATGTCATAATTACTGCTGACGAGCCAAGAGTCCATACACGATGCCATTGCTTGAGGACATGTCGTGCCAAAGTATAGCCCCTTATATCCTTTTAGACAAACCCAAGCAGTTTCACCCCCTGTTCGTCATCGGAATCCTCACAGGACTCTGTGATTTGCCTTGAAAGGTGTACATTCTCCAGGGATACTATCAACCCGGCTTCGGCGTCATTGTTCGCATATTCATTCTCGGGATCTGCCACTCTTGTTACCAAAATCGAGGGAGCGTCAATCCAGTTCTCACCTTCTGCGACTGGCAGGGTGTCTATGCGTTCAAGTTGCTTTTCCATGGAGGCGGCCTTGGTATGTGTGGAGTAGGTTTCCCCAGTGGTTGAATCATACTGTTTCTGTCTTCGTCCAGTTTGACTTCTAATCTGTTCAATGGTCCTGATCCGAATTCTTTGAACCATTGCATTCAGCATCTTCTTTTCAAGAGTCGCCAATCTGGAGGAAGGATCTTCCACCCCGGGGAGATTGGTTGGAGGTAGCCAATTAAGATATATTCTTTGATGAGTGCTTGGTGGTTCGACATCGGCTGGGTGTTCTTGGAAATACAATGAGCAACAATAGCACGCGGGCTTACTACAACCAATGAAACGATCGTTGTCCCAGTGCTCCAGAGTTGCGCTGCGCTCGTAGAAATACTCCAGAACAATCAGCTCTGCATGAACGCGAGCTCTGGGATTTTTCTCCAAATACGCTCGCCGAAATGTGTTTTCGATACTGAATAGGCGGTCCAAGGTTTGGAGGCTGGATCTCAGCTCGGAGAGTAGTTGACTTTGAGAGGAGGGCACCATTCGATTGGCGATGCTGTCAAGCTTGAGACTTGATCCACGGGGAGCAGGCAGAACTATCGACGGAGGATTCTTGATCGGGATGATTTCAGGTTTCAAAACGAGCTGGGGGAGTCGCTGAGCCGCCGCCAAAAGAACTTTCACATTCTTGACGTGCGCTGCGATTCGCCCAATATAATGCTTTGCTGCCCTGAATGGACTTTCTGACTTTTTATGACCAGTGAATGTGTTGACTCTTTCTCTAATGAAGTCTATCTTGTTAGAGGTCGAAAGAGAGTAACAATATCGACAGAGGCTAACAAGCCCATTGCTTGAGTTCTGAAGTTGGCTGGCTAGGTCTTGAAGTCCTGTTCCGCACCCTGTGATTAGAACCATAATTCGGAAAGTTAAACTATGCTCCCTAGCTTCTGAAGGACTCACTCTCAAGCACAGGCTTGTCTTGAACAGCTTTGGCGCACTCCTTCATGGAGAGCTGCAGAAACCTCAAATATGTTCGGATTCGTTGCTCACTGAATTCGACACATGCCTTTAGAAGCATGCTTTCCATTTGGATGCGCTCCTCTCCGTTCATGTTGTAGACTTGTTCAAGTTTAGAGAAGACCGACTCGAGAAAGTCTGTTACTTTCCGCTGAGGAGCCTTGTTACTTGCAATATAATATCTCAATGGATTTGCTGCGGCGCCAATCGCCGTTACTGTGTCTCCACCCTTTTTGTAATCGCAAATATAGGACAATGAGTTCAAGTAGCGCCGGCGGAGTTCTTTTTCTGTAGCATCGTCTAACGATGGCCTGTTATTGTCTGAATACAGCTGATCACCTTGGAATTGGTCCAAAGCATATAGTAATACCAGTGGCTCGTAAAAACGGTGGAGAAGTTTGTTCCTCTTCGACGAAATTCCGGCCATTGGATCTAAAATGGTTGCGGGGTTCCAGTGCCAGCCCAAAAAAGTTATCTATGATACCTACTTAATGATCAAAGGACCCTCGTTTCGAGAAGGACCGGTACGAATATATCTTGATAGCCCTCTTCGTTAGAGAGAAGGACGTCTCCATCACTACAAATCATAGCTGGGGACTCGCCTGCTGGACAGCTGTCGAAAATACGAGGCAACAAGGGGGTTCGAATGCTACGGCACCTTCTCTTCGAGATATCAACTACAATAGACAACGAAGCGACAACAAAGCGCCGCGAATACGAGAGATCACTTGTTCCAATGACCAAATGCAAGCCATGAGGAGCAGAGTTGGGCTATCAAGCCCACCATTGGGTCTTAACTTACCAAGGAGAAGGAGCATCGTCGGGAGTTGGGATAGTAGGCCACAATATCCTTGTCCTCAACTCAAGCAAAAAGGATCTAAATTCAGGCATCTCCGAAGTCGTTCTAAGTAAAGGGCACAAGCGAAGCTCCTCCCGTCAAATGGAATTGGGCGATATCTCGCTGCCTGCAGATTTAAACCGAAGTAAAGACCATTGACACATGCGGAAGTGCATTCTCAGCTCTTCATTTTTGGCTGACGGGGGATTACAGCTAAGCGCATATCACAGAGCGAGCCACGTCACTTTGTTGACACCAAGGCTTCACAGGATGACCTCGGGTAACCGGTGTAGATACCGCCGTTTCTGGCCTGTCAGCAATCGTGCCAAATCGACGTGCAGCCTTCTAGCCGGGGTAATGCAGAGGTGAGCCTCAGCTCATGAACTTATTTGTGGACGTTACTAAAATCCTACATTGTGAAGCCATGGAGGCGGATATTGGATCTTCTCAAAGTGGCGTGCCTGGGCATACCAGCTGTCATTACGGGTACAACGGGCGAGGGATTTCAAAAATATTATCGGGGACATAATTTCCACCAAAGTACTGACAGAGCGACCAAAACAGGCTCTGTTAAACCTACTGATCCGCCTTAATCATATCGGCCGCCCTCTCCGCGACACCATACGCGACCGCCTGCAAATGCGCACCGGGGACCATGGGGTAAATGCCAGTATCAACGACTCTAACGTTGCTGGTACCGTAGACCCTCAGTTGGTCACTGACAACGCCGCCCAACTCGATTGGTAGCATGGCCGTAGTGCTCGAGTAGTGGTACTCGGTGCCGATGCCGGCACGTAGAATGCTGCCCAGCTGGTCGGTGTTGGCGTCACGGGGGATCTGGGCATAGGAGGGCTGCAGCTCCGCGATTGCGTCGGTGTTCAGGATCTTCTGGTTCACCTGCATAGCCAGGATCATTACATCGTAGTCGAATTGGTGCACCAGCCACCGCGGGTCGACGTTCGGCGGGGTGAACGGATCCGTCGATGTGATGTGTGTGGTGCCGCGAGATAGAGGTCGCATCACTGCGAGATCGAGCCCTCCAGCGTTGTTGTTCAAGTTTTCGAATGCCGGGATGTCCTCCGATGCTAGCTCGCTCAGTACGCTGTCGAGTTGCCGCTCGTACCCACGCTGAAGTGTTGGCTCGTTCGCATATGTGTCAGGTAGATTGAATGGAGCAGAGCGCGCAGCAGAGAGCATACCAGCCGGGTCCGCCGCAGTCTGTTGTAAAGAGGGAAATGCAACAGCACAGCTGGGCTTAGCTGTCCATGGGCCAGTCTTACTGCCGTAGTATTCAGCGGCCGATTCATCGTTGAATTGAGAGTTGGTGGCAAAATCGTTAATGCCTAAGACGTCGGGGTTGTTGTAGGCATAGTCTAGATGAATCATGCCGTGATCCTGCAGGTTATTGCCAACACCAGGTAGGTTCTGAAGAACGTCAATTCCTAGGTCTTCCAAGACAGAGCTTTGACCGATACCGGATAGTTCGAGAATCTGAGGGCTATGGATAGCACCCGCCGAGAGAATAACCTCCCTGCTGGCGAAGGCTGTCTGTCGTGGTGAAGAGGGTCCAGCGGCAAATTCAACTCCAGTGGCTGTTAGTGAATCACCCTGTTCAAAAATAATCCTGGTGACTTGTGAGTTTGGCTGGACATTGAAGTTCCCGCGCTGGATATTGGGGTCGTAATAAGCACGTCGGGCATCAGAGCGGGTTTGGTTGTTAGGATCAATATCCAAGGGCAAGAAGTAACCGCCAGCAGAGAGACCCGCATTTGGTTCGGCCGAGGTGGGAATGCCTAATTCCTGTAATGCTTGGAACCAGTTGTCGGTCTGTGGCCAGTAGTAATTGGGGTATGAAACTTGAACAGGCCCGTTCCTGCCATGAACTGCAGAATTCTGGAGGACTGGCTGTACCTCCGCGCCTTCATAATCCTTAGGAGTATATGTCTCAGACTAGAGTGATATATCAATATCCTTGAGTCTAGCGAGCAGGACACAACATCTCTTGCCTACCTTCTCAAAGTAGGGTAGGAGAGCTTCCCAACCCCAACCGGTGTTGCCGATCTCGTTCCAAGCATTAAAGTTCTGTTGATTGCCACGGTTCCAGACCATTCCATTGATCAAGGAACCTCCACCGACACCTTTACCCATGGGGATATGACGGCTCACTCCATCCAATTGGTCCTGTGGGGTAGTGTAGATGCCCCATTCGTAGAAACCATCCGGCTGAAGCCCAATATAATAAGGGATCTGAATTTCAGCTTCGTAGTTATCCCTGTACACCCCATTGATTAGCTGCAATCCATAAACCAATAAGTTTCAGGCTGCTCACTCACAGCGCTCCTGCTTCGAGACACAGCACAGTCACATCTTCAATCTCGCTTAATCTCGATGAGACCACAAGGCCAGAAACACCACAGCCGACGACAATATAGTCATAAGTTTGGCCGGCAGCGTCGTTGATCAGTCCTCTGTCCTTCAATGGGAGAGCAGACACTAGTCCAACCAAGGCCAATGACAGTGGTACGCCTCTGGGTGGCATATTGCCGCCCGGGTGACCCTGTGACAATTTTGGGGATCAAGAATCCGAGTCCCTTCTCAGTCCTCCGCAAACCCGTTGTTTCAGGCACCGTAGGTGTGGTACACAACGCTGATCCTGGTTTTGGTAAGGAAAGTCTAAATATCCAAAGTGAGACTCTGTAAAGAGGGAAGTCGTGCCTTGAAAAAGCAACGCGCCCATAGCCGATTGAAGGGTTGAAAAGAAATGAAAAGAAACGCTCAAAATTCGGATAACCGTGAACCGATCTTTCGAGGTAGTGTAAATCTCTGGGACGTACTCCGCTGGCCATTTTAGAGTCATTGACTTTGGGAGGTCTTCTTGTTAGCAACATGTGGTTGGTGGACGGGAATCTGAATCAAGAATGGCAGGGGTTTGAACCCGACTGCAACGAGGGTTGATAGCGATGCGGCCAGATGAGCACATCGATCCCACACTGCAGGAACTTACCCTGTCATATAAAAGAACGCCAGAGCGTGTGGGTGTTATCGATAGCTCTGCATGTGTAGCACGAGGGAGGCTCAAGAGACTTTCAGGACGTTATTGGTGAGATCTCAAAGCGCAATCGGCAAGGGTGCAGACAGATGCAGCCAAGGATCCATGTAGCGAAGAACAAGTGGACAGTGTTAAAGGCCGACTCTGCCGGTACCGGAAGGTTTAAGGTCCATGAATCGAAGTATCCTCCACCACCAGGAGGGGTTGGGATCAGATGTACTCGGTACGGTCGACATTTTTTGAAACCTCACGTGTGTTCGATTCAAGCTTCTGGTAATCGCCGAGTTCGCAAGCAATCAATGCAACACGTGGCGATAGATTCCGTCTGCCGGTGCAGATGCTCTGGGGTTGCATTGTTTCGACTGCTGATGGAAGGCAAGGCGTGATGCATCACGTACAGCTGCAGGATCGAGTGAGTTCAAAAGAAGAATAGTGGAAATCCGAGGATGGTTGGAGATGTCGATATAGGGGTCCAGCTGGCTTGCCAACTCCCCGTCTGAGAAGTTTATGATAGATATCTAGCCTCCTGTTAACGAGGTTCTTTACAGTTCGACTTTTAGTGACAATACCTCCAGCCTCGTCCATTAAGATCGACGATATTTTAATATTGCACAGCCACGTGTATACTATTGATCATTACAGCCACTAGAGTCCAGAACTTCACGCGGACTGAAAAAACCATGTCGTCTGGTTAAGCTGAACTACGAGGGATCAAAAGCATACTAGTCTTCCAAATGGATTAAACAGGAGCCCCTTGCATGATGGAAACACCGACAACAGGATGGACCAACTCCTCGCTGCAGGAATTCCCATATTCGAGCTCAATCGGGATAAAATGCCGCTAATCTACAGCCTTTGGATGCTCTGTGGTTCCAAAGATTCTCTCAGGCTTCTGCAATTCCCAATATATATAAAGACCTTCCTCTCACAGGACAGCTGCAACCGCTATAATCGCTGCTCCAATTGTGCCCATCACTGGAACAAAAGCGTTCAAGGCTGCATCAGAGGAGCCAGTCGAAGAGCTTGCAGAAGCTTGGAAACTTGATGCGGTGGCGGACGGATTGGCTGAAGTTGCGGTGGCACCCGTGCTTGTGGCATTGGTGACGGCGTTGCCGATGGTCAGGCTAGATTGGTAGTGCGTTCCACTAAGCGCCATGCTGCGGCTGGCAGCGTCGACCTTGCTTGTGTATTGAGCATCGGAAGCAGCAACGATGGTAACACAGCTGATTGGCGTTTGGGTGGTTGTGGTTGTCACTGGGCCAGTACATATGGGCCATCCAGCACAAGTTGACAGAACAACATCAGGAAGCGTGCCTCCCACGCAGCATCCGCTCGTGCCATGGTTGTCATAGTAGACACCAGGACAATTAGGAGTATCTCGCCGCAAGAGAATAGTTCAGTATTGTGTCACTAGTCAGAACAGCAGGCCTCCCTTTTGTTGTGAGAAAGCGAGCTGAGCAAAGATGGCCTGCGCGATCACGACAGAGATGAGAGAAGGCATTTTCAAGAATCAGGCTTCAAGGCATAGTGATGAGGGGTATCTTGATGGACAGAATTGTTGTAGGAAGATCTCTTGCGTGGCCATCTTGAAAGGTCGTTGCTCTTTTATGTCCCTCGGATGGGAATTAGTTCATCATGTTTATCTGTTTTCATCCTCAGGGTCCAAGCGTGGTCTATCATGGCTGCCACTTGACACGCTGCGTCTGTACAAAAGGTTGCTAGAGTTGCATTTCTTGATCCACACATCATGTCACCTGTTCGAGGCTTTAACAATTATGTCTGGTTCTGTGTCTGTGCGTCTCCCAGAGAGGACCCTCGGAGGAAGGTTATTAAATGGCACGAAGCGTAAAAGAGGCTATGTGGCTGCCCTCACTTAGGTAACCAACCTTCTCGTTCAGAGCACGTGCCGCTCCCGCGAACACCAGATTGTGACGGCAAAGGATCTCGCCAGCCACGGAACCGGTATGTACTTATCCTCCAGTACTTTATACCTACACGACCGATGCCAATTTCGGCGCAATATGGTCCAGAATGGTAGTTCGGGTGCAAGCGGTTGTTGTGGAGCGACAGGGCTTTGCCGAATGACTGGGTCCGCCTAGGCAGATGGGTTGCGACTGCGTATGGCATTACGGATTCAGGCAGCCTGCAGCTCTCTGCGCTGTCAAATATTAGATTGAAGGATTCATGGCTACTCAACAATATGGGTAATAGTGTCGTTTGTTTTGCTGGTTGTATTTGAACAGTAAAGAGCAAGGGTAGCAAGTGCATTTAAATCGGAGACATTGACGGTTGCTATCATGACTGTGCAACCACCTTGCTGCTGTTGCGATGATTACACCGCAGGGTTCGATGTATGTTGATCGATGTGTGCCATGACGCATTTCCGCTGAGGCCGATTGTAGTGTCGAGCCTGGCATATGAGCTATAACAGCAAAAATACTGAAATCCACAAACTAGATCAGGGCGTCGACCTGGCATCATAACTAGGCCTTAGAGACCATCTTCCCCCGCATGTTCTCAGCCAGTGCAGTCCTTATCAGACACAGTTCAAACAGCACCTTGTGTCATTCTCCCTTTGTCAAGGGAAATTGACAGTGGTCCTGGAGCGTTGAAAAGAACACAATGTTAGTCTTAGCAGACTTTACCCGGTCGTGTCACCGTGCACGAATATCGTTCCTGTGGATATATTGGTGTTCGATCCAGGCATCATTCACGGAAAGGTCGAGAAGATCTGTGTTCGGATGAACAAGATGTCCGCTGATGAACGAGGGATATTCCGGAGGAAGCTGTCACCTCCCACATGTGATTTCATGAAGGTTAGAGAAAGCCCACGAAAGCAATATGATGGTCGTCTAATCGTTATCAGCTTCAGACTCACGTTCCTCAAATCGCAGGAACAAATCATCTTGCGCATCTGCTCCCTGAATAGATTTCCATACACCTTTCACGGAAACAAGGACGGGATCGTCCAATAAGGTATCACAAGGCCTGGGCGCAAAGCTGAAGACCCGGGGAGAGAGCTCGCTGTAACCATGATCCTGTTGCGAGTCTGAGACGGCATATGATAAACTCCAAATGATTGAATCGCTCGCACCACATGTTGCCACAAATTCTGACACGGAGGTCTGTAGGCTTTGCCTTGCCGAAGAGTCAGGATCCGCAACTGATGCGTATATAATACCTATTGTAGCTAGGTCAGCCGCGATCTGACTAAACAAGTGATGGATTGCGAGCGAGGAGTTTGAGTTCCAATCAGGTTGTCAGAGGATAGTTATCAGCAAGGCATAAATGCTCAGGCAATGTAGATAAGTATTCATAATTTGGATCATCATTGGATGCTGGGAAAGCCAAAGGAAAGGACTTACATTGACCACTAGGACATTCTCCTGTGTCTTCAGAATGAATCTGTAGATAAATAGGTGCTCTTTGACCAGTAGGACCGCCTGCTTCCACAAGGACAATCGCAACAGCAGGCGTAGGGCCGTTTTCGGCAGTTTGTGGGAAGAGCTGGCGAAGAGGATCCGCAACGATGTTGATTGATCGCCACGTGCTTGCGCAGTCACCGGCAGAGACTTTGTCCTCGGCTTGAGGGAGATCATCCGCGCTGCCAACCACGATCTTGGCTCTAATTTGAGTTCCACCCGATAAGACACATTCAATTAACGGCGTTTGGTCAGCATTTTCATTCGTGTTTGCTGCTGTGATACCCTTGGCGGTGGTCAGGCTCCGCAGTTCATGTCCGAGCAGGTAAACCGATCCACCTACAGCTCCAGCTCTGCAAGCGACCTGTGAAATTTCGGAATTGCCTCCATATTTGGCAATGACGGCACCGAATCCGGGGCCGAAGTACCCCATAGACCTCATGTGTCGCCTTATCCTGATTAGGGCGGTATCAAAACGGGTCAGGCTTGCGGGTAAGGGTGAGAGTGCCAGGGCTTGCAGTGGTGCTTGCAGGGATTCGGAGAGTTTGAATTTGGCTGCAAGAGCAGTTTGCAACGTGAAATGTGAATCAACCGAGGTGTCTGCAGTCTGGTCTTCTTCCTCCTGGAGAATGTATCGGAGGAATTTCATTAGACCACGCTTGTCCTTCATTGGCAAAGACTCGTCATTGAAGACATCTTCGCGAGTGCTGGGAATTTTGTGCAATGTTCCAGCACGGTGAATCCACCAAGAGCCAACAGCCAAAAATTCTAGTTGGGTATGAATTCTGGATGAGACAAGGGCTGGTAGGATGGCAGATTGTGCGTAGACGATTTGGGGATTGAGGCTGAGCGTGTAAGAACGGGACGAAGCAAGTTTTCCATGGTCTGACTGCGGTGCTGGTGTCGAGACTGTTGCACATTTGAAGAGACTATTACGCCCTGAAAGGTCTGAGCAAAGTCGAATCATTCAGAATTAATGGAGAATATACCGTTGTCCAACTCTTGCACCCACCTTTCCACATCTTGGAGACTCAGACCAGCATCATCGCCCCCATAGTAGTCGTGACGGTCGACATGCAGGATTTTCTTGCCTGAGCGTGAGAGGGACCTGTCAGTAGGGGCTTTGTCAGTCAGTTTAGGCCGAATCTTGAAAGGGAAGAAAAGCACCTACAATGCGAGGAGTGACTGTGGAATGCTGGTTCCAGCTATGACAACATCCCAGATCTCGTCGCCGAGGGTTTCCATTTCAGATGGTACACCTCACACGTGTGCTTCGAGAATTGGCGAAGGCGTGGAGGAATCAACGATGAGTGTGGTAGAGGCCGAGTTGAAGTCGGTAATAATTAATTGATTGTTGAGATCTAAAGGCAAGGCAGCAGACTTGTACACTGTTTGTCTATGGAAACTTTGCCGAGTGGCTTGAACCCCACGTGATTCCTCTCCAGCGTCTGCTTCCACGTGCATCACTCTTCCTCATCTTCAAATGTTGTCACGCACACATGATTCAAAGTACAACCTGATAGCTATTGTAGTGTTTTCACTATTTGTATCATACTTCCCTCGGGAAGTGTTCAGACAGAGCAGGTAATTTTCCCGACAAACGATTAACACTCTCGAAGACCACCGTACAATTTGATGGCCCTAAATATACACAATATACATGAGGCGACATTCAAATCAATTGAGGCAATGAAGCAGGAACTCGCGCAGCTCAACCCTCCTTAATCGCAGGCTTAGAAAGCGTGCCACTGTTCCCAACACGGCAGATTGATAGAGTGCCAATTTCAGAAAAGAAGTCATCAGACTGAAAGCATGACATATGGTTGTGCCTCACGCCTGTCGCAACTTTGCCATTCCTGATTCGATTCGTACCAGACCGAAGTAGCGCCTGTGCCTGTGCCTCAAAATGCGAGAATCGTATTTGGACATCGGCTTGCGCGCCACGATATTTATTCGCTGCTTAGCGCTCGTGCTCGCTGGGTTATGTTATCGGTCCTTCCTTTGAAGGCAACTTAACAAGTCTCTTCAACACTGTCAAGGTGGTCCGGCTGGTCCTTTGATACCCGTCAAGGGGGTGTCGAAAAGATGTCCACGAAGAAATCCACTCGGATGTGGTCAATGGTCAGTTAATGGTCATAGCTCAGCAGCTCCAATTCACTCCAACGGTAGGGAAGGTCTGCAATCCCACTCGTATAGTGCAGTGATCCAGGCCGAACTCTACGACTGCATCTGCCATCAGGGCTAGTATTGTGCTTCTGTGGGAGAGTGGCTGCACGACTGCCAAATCACGAACGTGGCTCTGATCCTACGTCAAGTTTTAGTCAAGGCTGCCGAAGTATCTAAATGATGAACCCACGGTTTCTCCAACTTGGAACTGACACAGGTCAGTGGCATGGGTCGATCAAGACTAATTGGCAAATTTTGGTAGGAGAAGGACGGCCAACGGCGTTAAGAAAGAGGAATAACGGCAGAGAAAGCCGGCCGGACTTTGCTCCACCGTTCCCTTTCTAACAGTTAGAGTGCTTGAGCATAATGACTCGGACCTCCAGAAGGACGAGTATATGGCGAGGATAGTCACAGTGCCAAGGTGGAGCAACTTTCCTTCTCCAGAGAGTCCCCCAGATTCTCACAAACCCACCTGAGTTCTCCATGCCAGGGCGACTAAGCAAGACCGCAGCCCCGCCAACTCTTATGCCAAACTCCGCAAGGCTATGCCCCTAAATTATAAGCCGTTAATAGGTGTGATAGCCTATGGGCCAATCCGTCTTTTACTACCCGCAGCCACTATACCCCTAAAAGAGAGGATATGCATTATTAGTCCTCTCTCCGGCTTCTGCTCTCCTCTCAGCTGCCGAATATGTGCAAATCCCTCATCCTCCACTCCAGACTTCTGTCCTCTCCACAACCCGCCCCACGTTTTATCCACGGCGGTGGTATGAGGAACTGGGTATGAGGGGAAATTAAGCCTAGCAAACCCGCTACTCGGCCCATAGTTGCCGGGGTGAGTATTTCTAACGTGGTGGCAGTACCTTCAAATCTCATCACAATTCAAGATCTTTTAATTAAGGTAACGACACTCATATCATAAGAAACCACACCTCTCCGCAACAAACCAACTACGCCAGCAAATCATTGAAATTGATCCCAATACTTCAACGAACGGTTCATTGGAAGACAACAACATGGGAAGCTACGCCGAGGAACCTCCCTTCAGGACTATCAAAGTCAAAGAAGTCCATCCTACTTTTGCGGCAGAAGTTGAGGGCATTGACTGGAAGAACTTATCCGATGAGCAATTCAATGAGATTTTTGCAGCCATGGCTAAGGTCAGTCTAGTTCTAACAGCCTTGAACACTAGTTTGTTGGCTACGCCGGTCATATTAAGACCCACCTGCTAAGCTGAACAGTATGGCATCATAATGCTCCGGAACACTGGACTTGACGATGCCGGCCAGATCGAATTCTCAAAGCGCGTTGGTGAACTCGATACCATGAGGCGCTACATGACCAACGGTCGTAAGCCTAGATATCAGTTCTACGAGCTCTTTGATGCCGGAAATATTGACGATCAAGGGGGAGTCCTTGACCCTGATAGCCCCAGAGCACACTATGGAAAGGTAATATCTACTCTCGTTGATACCCTGCAGCTCATTAACAACACCTTGAAGGGCAACCAATTGTTTCACGTCGATTCATCGTTCAATCCTCGTCGAGCAAGCTACTCGATTCTTCGTGCTGTGGAGCTGCCGCCCTTGGGCAATGGAGGCAATACTGACTTCGCTGACTCTCGCACGGCTTGGGATGATTTAGACCCTGAGTTCCAAAAGGAGCTCTTGCAGAAAGACTATGTTGTCAACCACTCGATCGCTCAGTCCAGGAAACTCGGTTCCCCAGAGTTCTTCAAAGATCTGGACCCAACCAATGGCGGCCAAATGTCCCGCCATAAACTAATTCAAAAGCATGAGCCAAGCGGTCGTATGAACATTTATATTGCTGCCCACTCCCACAGCATCGTGGGTCTCCCAAAGGATGAGTCTGATGCCCTGATAAAGAAGTTGCTCGATCATGTTACCCAGAGCAAATATGTCTACAGCAGTGAATGGCGGAACAATACGGACATGATCATCTGGGATAACAGGTGTACGTTGCACAGGGCGAATGGTGGAGCATATGAAGGGAAGTACAGACGTGATCTGCGCCGGACGACTGTACATGACACGAGCCCGACTGCTTGGGGTTTGAACAAAGTCGTAGATAACACTGAGGACTGGGTTGTCAACCACGGGGCAACCTCGGCGGCCGCGAACACAGTTGTGCCTCTCAAGGCTTGAATGTGGTAGCTTGTGAAAGGAAAATTACAAGGCTCTAATATGGCAGTGAGAGTACTTGCAATCTGTATTCTTCTCAACTTGATCATGAAGACGCTAAGGTGATGGTGGTTCATCCTGCATGGTCAAATTTTACGTTTTCCATAACGTTACACTCCATTGATTCACCACATTCAGATATCCACCTTTTTTGCCAGCTGCAAAATGCTGTGATGAGGATGCTGTCGTTATGCTGTCGAGATATCCCAATCGGAGAATTCGTCGCTCTCACTAAGCCGGATGCTCAATTGGAAAGCTCTCCCCTTCGCTCCCCTTTTTCCGCCATACACACATAGTTTCCAACCCGCCCAGCTAATAGTAAACCTTGAAACAGTTCAGTACGAACGGAAAGGAGTATCAGTCAACTCAGAGACCAGAGGAGTGGCCCCTATTTCGCGTCCGGCATTGAGTGTCTATCGGCCCGAAGTTTTTCCGATGGGGCTACGAACATCTTCGTCAGATGATCCAACTTCACCTAGGTGAGCACTGACTTCGTTCCAATTCAGCAGAACACCGACCATGGTATCAATTCCACGCGTCGATGACTCTTTGCTGACGTGAATTGACTCGTGCTGCCTGCAGGCACATTGCTGCGATGCAGAGTCACAGCACTACGCTAGTCCTCTGTGGGATTTCGTTCGATTGACGAGGATAACAAAGACTATTTCGCCCTAGATTTAGCCGCCATTGTTTAGATAACAATCAGGAGGTCCGTGAGACGGAAGATCTATGATGGTAGCAGAATCATCTTCCATGCCTGGTAATCCCGGTCATCCGTTGTCTCTTCCCTTGCCTATCCGAGCCGCCACGCCTGGCAAACTCCTAATGATTGAGGCGGCGCCAGAATACTTGGAGGATGAAAAAGATCCTGTCCACCCACCAAGCATCTTTGATTTCCCCAGGGAGCTCATTGAGCTCATACAATCTCGGCTCACCTATCATGATCTAAAAGCCCTTCGCGCGACGTGCAAAGCTAGTAAGGAGGCCATACTCCTCGACGACGTCAAAATCGCTCAAACACGATTGAAGGCGACTTTGTTGCTCCAGGAGGCCGCAGACTATACGCAACGACAGCAAAAGATCGCAGAGTTCTCGCGTTGGGCACGCCGTTGGCCGAACGAGTACCGTACATACTGGTCAAGCGATACCATCAGCAATATCCACAAGAATTACATCACCCGGGCCACCCGTCTCAACTGCTATGTCTGCTTGCGCAGCCTGCCAAGGGAGTGCTTTGCTGATCGACAAGCGACCGGTGCGAGGTCCCTTGGACACAAGGAGGCGAAGATGCGGTTTTGTACTAATTGCGGCACCAAGCGATCTATCTGGCCGCCTGGCACAGTATTGAAAATCGTCCACAAGTCCTATGTAGCTTGCAGAGGCTGCTGCTCCATCCAGAAAGGCGAAGTCTTTTATCGAAGCCTTGGCGTGTGTTCGAAGGAATGTCAGGAATTGATTGAAAAGATCCAACAATCGGCGGCGGACCTGGAGGTCAAGCCGGCTCATTCGACTGCAGAAAGCCATAGTCATGATGTTCGAAGAGAAGTGAATCACACCACAGGAGCAAGCGACACTGCTACTGCTCGCATGAGAGCAACTCGTTGCCTTCGCTGCTGGGGTATCGATCATACTGAGAAGACGGCTGACGGGGCCCTAGGCATGCGTCTTTGTAAGAAGTGTGAAACCTTCAAGTTTGGAGACATGTGTGCAGGCCCAGAGGTTGCAAGCGATGCGAGAACGGATTACGGGCGTTGAGAAGATCAATGAACAATGTTTATCAAGAGTTCACATGCTCAAATACGGCCCAATCCTGTGGCATACGGCGAATTTGGAAATCGATTGATGGTATTAGAGAGCGTCATTGGAATATGCTATCCTTCATGGGAGGATTGGACCAGTCTCGGGCTGTGATCGTGAAAGAGAGGAGCGAAGGGATTCTCCGATTTCGAAGTCTCGGTGGTTGGATACCCGTTGTTAGCCCCTTGACCTTGAGACGTATTTGGAAGTCTACCATCGTCTCAGTCGTACCAATTCAGCACCTTTGGCCATCCCTCATATCGGTCAAGTGGATGCTCTCCGGATCAAATACTTGCTGCAATTCTATAGCGAGCTGTTTCCAATTTCCAACAGGTTATTTTCACCTACAGCCTTTTCCTAATGGCCCTAGGTCCGGAGTGGCAGTTAAGGACCCTCAGCCTTGCAGTCGCGCTCAGACATAGTCCCCCACAATTCCAACACCTCGCCCCATGTGCCCCTCAAAATCGGTGCTTGCAGCGATTGCTTCAGTGGCCTTAAAATCCTCTGTCAATTGCGCCATCCTCCGCCCTGACAGATGGATTGCATCTCTTCCTAAAAGGAATCTCGTAGTCTTCTCTAGTCCCGTTCCCAGGCCAGTGCAATCGACAATGTCAACAATAGATGTCTCCGAATCCACTGCTCGGCTGCTTCGCATGAAGCAAAACATTGGTCTTGTAGAGCCCGGCCGTGATTATAACTGGCCGGATATTGAACATGGCCAGTTCTGACTTTAGAACCGACTGAAGCATGTCCTGGGCGGCTTTAGGAACAGAGTACATCGCCATTGCTGGACATGGATGAAAGCCGAAGATGGACGAGATGGACACAATGGTGCCTGCCTTCTTCGCCCTCATGGAAGGAAGAACCCCCAGGATGACACGAACCGGTCCCCAGAAGTTGGCTTCCATGGAGGCTTTCATTTCCTCTTCTCTGCAGCAATATGATCAGCCTTGGTCTCGGAACATTTGAGACCATCTTACTTCAGGTCTTCGATTTGGCCCGCGAGGCTATATCCTGCGTTGTTGACTGCAACATCAATACCTCCCGCCTCTTCCGCGGCCTGTTGAACAATCTCCTTGGTGCTTGGTAGCGAGACATCAAGCTTGAGCCATTCACCTCCTGTTGCCAGAACTTCTGGATGTTCTTTCGTTGCTACATCTGGGTTTCGAGCGCCTGCAATGACTTTATGGCCAGCCTTTAATGCAGATAATGCTATCGCCAGGCCCAAACCTTGCGAGGCGCCCGTGACGAGCCATGTCTTGCTTGCCATGGTCTCTGCAATCCCCAAACAGTTTCTTAGGTTTCACTTAACAGTGTGCAAGGTTGAGATGTGCGGCCTTGCTGCTTATATGGGTCAGACTGTGAACCCGGTCCACGTAACGGAACTTGATCTTGGAACATAACGTTTCCATTTGCGGGCGTCAGGCCACCGTGGGCGAGCGAGCATCTCTCAGATCCGCTTCCACGACCTTCCTAGTTTCCTGGGAGCGGGTTGACTGCTGAGACTGAACGAGACCTTAACTTCTTGACGCCCTAGCGTAGCACTCTTTCGTCAGGCTCCCTACATGAAACGAGCATAAAATATCACCAAGGGCACGTCGATACCCGTCCAAAGACTGCTCAGCTACCAGCCATCTGATTTCAATTGTCGAAAATTATCTCTTTACGACTCCATTATCGAGCGACATCGGACTTGAAAACTCGAGCACACGGCAAACCCCCCCCGGTACGCATGGAGGGGTAGCATTTCGTGGCCAAAGCTTCGATGCGGTTGATTTAAGTCTTTACTCGGCTTTCAACGCGACAGCCTAAATGCCCAGCACGCATTAAAGTCTGGTACAGTAACCATGAGTGATTCAAAACACGCTCAAACATACTAAGATCCGCAAACTCAAACAAGAGTCAAGGAAGGATAAGGATGATCCAAGGGATGAGATCCTAAAAGACTTGTATGACAATGTCTGGGGCAATGTGAAAGTGTCATGAGTACAGATTATAAGGATCCCAAGCTCTTGGTGGAAGTAGCGGTTAAACGTTATACATCGAACAGCCTTGGGAGCCTAAGATCTGACTCTGGTTGCTTACAGGCGCCTGGACTGCTTTCCAAGCTCAACAAAATACGAACGGTGGACTTGTGGTCCTATGCCATTCATATTGCTGACGGGTGGTCCTTACATTGGCAGGTCCGTCTTGTTGAAGCATCTCTATGAGAAGTCACAGGGGGGTGGAATTTGTTGCTACCAATTCTCTTATCCGCCAATTGCGAGTGATGGTGGTTCAATAGCTCACAGGTTGGCTGCAATTTTATACCACTTATGTCGAAACCAAAAGCTTGAATCGATTTCCAGAGAATGTCTGCCCGGCACAAGGACAGAACCCGAAATCTCAGGAAGAAAATGTCGCTCCTATGGGCAACTATCGTGAAATCGCCAACGATTCCAACGACGTACATTTTCTGCTTCATTGACGGCTTAGATCGTGCCAGTCACAAGATGTCTATGGACAGTATTATGCTCTCTTCCATGGTCAACGATTACTATGAGAGTCCATCCAATCACAACCGCCCCGAATGCTGAAATGCGCACGATCTGATCTCAAAAAGTATCACAATCTTGTCTTGGGACTTTCGCGAGATTGTAGCTTCAACATAGACATGGCTGACAAAGAGCATGCGATGATGGGGGTCATCAGATTTAGGGTCAATGATCTCGAACTAGATGATTCTCCTAAGAACCTGGTGCCCAAAATTCTTACGAAAAGCCAAAAACAAAATGGGAACTTTGCATATTTCAAGACAGTATTAGAGATCGTCAAGATGAACCTAGCGGTGAATACGAAGATCCGATCCAGAATCCAAAAAGTCCTTCCCAAAGTGCCACAGGAGCTTTGCGATATCTACAAAGAGCTCCTGAAAGACTCTCTCAATGTATCGCGTGCTCAAACGCTTGTTATTTTGGTTCTAGGATCTTTTGCACCTATGTCAGTCCGAAGTCTCTATACTGCTTTGGAACTGGCTGACACAGATGTTTAGAAGTCCTTGAGCCTGTTGGAAAAGCCGGTGAGGTCGAAGATGATGCAGGTATTTAGCAAATTCTTTATAAAGATTGTGGATTTTTCTTCACAGTCATCAGGGAAAGGTCTATCTTTTGACCCAGCAATGAAGGATTTTCTGTGACCTTCAAAACTTTCCACTCACCAAAGTTCGCTCGGTACAGTATGCGTACTAAATGGCAGCACATGTTCAATCCCAGAATTTCGTATACGGTCATGTACATGGCATGCATATATCATTTTAGAACGTCCTTCTGCTCGCCGCAGGCCATCGCAAGTCAAACCGAGGGCCCGTTCTGTCTCTATGCCTCCTCCAAATGGCTCCAACACCATTCTTCGGGGCCCTTCGAGACTGCATATCTTCATCTGCGCAAGAGATTACTTACACTAGCATTACTCAGCACATTCAGCGAACTTCCCACCATACCACATGTCAAAATTCCTAACCTTACCGACATAAACTCTCCTCAATTTTGGCAGTGGTTCCTACATAGCGGCGTTGACACAACTTTGTCTCCCACAGCTTGGCAACGTGGCTAATGCTGTTTATCAAGGACACTGGATGCGCCACCCTTCTGCAATCAAAGACGCTCGATGTGGCGTTCTGCGAAATGTGATATCGCAACCTATCAGCTATGTCGAAAATCGAATTGCGAGTGGTGGTGGCGCTTCTCGACCAAGGAGCGGAGGTCGATCCTCAAGGAGAAGTGTATGGCAATGCCCTACGTCCAGACACTACTTGAACATGGGGAGGGCGTTCACACCCGTGGAGGGATCTATGGTAGTGCGTTCGATACTGTGGCGGCCAATTGTCACGACAAGCTATGTCAGGCACTCCTCGACCGAGGGGCGAACGTAGTTGTTCATCGAGAATAGTTAAGGGATGCAGTGCAGTTAGCACCACGCAAGAGTTGGTAGGCCATCTCACTCTCCAAGCTGGATCTATTTTCGGAATGAGGCCTGGCTAGGAGCAGACAAAAACTCGAATTCGAAGGAAGGCTGTTTGATCCGTTCACAACGAAGTACACCGATGCCTAGGGCCAAGCATCAGGTGGCTATCGAGGGTTAAGTGAGAGATATCGTATCACCTCATCCTATGCCATGAATTCCAGGGATGGTTTAAACTTTATCTTGTAGTTTCCTATGAAGTTTCAGAGCAAAGCATGAGTTCCCATGCACAGTTCAGGTATCGGAGAGCTGTTGGCAGATGGTCATGTCCAGTAGGTCTTGGGGATATTGATCGCTGTACGCGCGCGGCGATGGAGGCGTTGAACTGTCGTGAACAGCTCTCATGAGGTTATGACTGTCAGCCTTCTGATGCATGGTGATTGTACGTCTGTGCATTTTATCTTGCCGTTCGCACAGTCTGGAGAAAGTTGACACCAACAAGTGCCAACGTCGTGATTGGGGGAAACGAAGTGTGCAGAGGATACAGACGACCACCGTCAACGACATGTGGCAGACGAGTGAAGCAAACCAGCTTCACGCAAACCGGCTGCACGCAAACCAAATGCCATCTGTTTTGATTTCTAGGGTATAAAAGCTGCTTCATGGCGTAAGGGTTTCAAAGAGCCCTAGTCTTCATATGTCGAAGCATTTTCCATTCCAATTGACAGTCCTAAATATCCCTTACTTCTGAACGGTTCGATTAGATTGGATCACTACAGCCAACCAATTCCGTCACTTTACCGCAAACAACATCCTCAACCCTGACGCTCGAGGGGGTGTCATGCTTGCCCGGCCGATTCATTCTACTCCCAAAGGATTTGACATCCTAAACGGGATGGTCGAGGCATTACCATCCTACTGCTTACTGCTTGTAGGTCTCATTGCAAGCGGTTTTGTATTGCTGAGGCTTCGACACCTGCTCGATCTTTGTGGCAGAAGCGTAGGCGATACCCGATTGCTGGACGCTCCGGACCATAACTCTGATCAAGCCTTGAGGTCCCAAGCGGACCAGCAACGTTCGACAGCCATCAGACGCAACATGAACTTAGGAGGCCTTGAACAGCAAAATTCTGCGCTGCACGTTAGTGAACACGATCTCATTGGTCGACGGCAGAGTCGTCAATTACAGACATCACTACCATATCGTCCGCGCTTACCAGCTAGAGGCCGGAACAGAGCTCTCCCTCCGGCATCACAAAGAGCACTGGAGGACTTTTCTACACAAAATAAGGCCCGCGTTCAGCCTACACGTTCTCTAGACTGCTTGCCTTACCTTCCTGAGACGCACCGTCTAGAGGCACAACACCTATACGGTAGCTTGCCCAGTTCCGTGGCCAGCCAGCTCATTGAGCGAACTATTGAAGGGGGCCATTCAGAGATGGCTAGGCAATACTCGAGGCTATACTCGAGGCTACCTGCGGGAAAGTACGGTGGCGTGGAGGAGCCACTAGATAGCTGGCGTGAAATCTGTAACATGGCGGACGACTGGGATGACCTGACAAGATGGGAGGTGGAGGGTGATGACGACGAAAAAGCTGAGTCAGAACGGGAGAGCGATGAAGAATTTATGGGCTCTATCGCCAGAGATTTGAAGGCCTTGAGCCTGGATCTAGCTAAGCACACGAGAGGGGCCAACGTCCGACATAAGCTTCGTCGTCGAGCTCGTCTCCGAGGTGGTGGGAACGGGTTTGATTTGAATGCATCCCGTCCGAATTCCGGCAATACAGGCAAAAGTGGTGGTGAGGGAGAAGGGCCGAATGTGGAATTGGAGGTTGAAGACTTATCAGACCCGGCTGATATCTTCGATTACGATACTTTGCTTGAACTGTCGAGGTATCCCTCAGAAGCACGTCCACCGCTCGTGGCCTCGGTTTCCGATGATGACTTGCAGAGAGGTTTGAGAGTAGGATTTCCTGATACTTCGCCCCGGACAGTTCTCCAGGACGAGTTCATCCAAAATGCAGACCCCTCGATCTACTTATCGCTTCACAATGAGGCAGGTCGCCGCTCTTCACACCAGACCACACCACGGGCTGTCCTCTTCTCGCGTGAGGTTTCTGAAGAGTGTGATGACATTCTCCATGACCTAGACACAACTTATCAGCACATTGGTATGGCACGGCGCAAGCTGTTAGAGCTGGTCCATCATGCAGGTAAGACAGAGAGACCGGTGTTGCGACAAATTACCGTCAGTCAAAATGATTTACGAGCTCGCGAGATAGAGCTCGCTACTCTCAAGAGGTACGTGAGAAACTTGCGAAGTAGTGTTGAGGCTCCAAATGGGGAGCTGGTCGATGAGCTTCTAGAATTCATCGAGGAAGAGGAGCGCAGCCAAAGATTTGATGAGGATGGGGATTTCGCTGATGATGAGTCTGATAATGACCCACACGGCCCGGCTCGGCCACAGAGGCCTTGGGGTTGGAGGCCGAAGCCTAGATCTACAAGTCCTCGCAATCGTTCGTGGAGAGTCAGCAGCAGAGTTAGGGGTAGAGGCAGAGGTAGACAAGACAATGCTTCAAGCCCCTCAGGACCGGGTCAAGACTCTTCGTCTACCTCGTTTGGGAGTGCACAGCTGGGTCAGATGCTGAGAAATCAAAGACCAACGACAGGCATGGGAGAGGGGTTCTCCGGCAGTGGCTCAAGGGGTGTCCATCAAGCAACGTCGCAGAACCCTGATGAGACGTACCCTAACCACATCGCCTCACATGACAGTGCGAGTCAGCCAGGACTTGCAAGCAACCAGTTTGCCCAGGCCCGTTCACATCATCGCCGACCACAGAATCGTATCGGCAGAGTCTTTTCAGTGCAGAAGACTGAAGAAACAGGGTCGAGTTTACTAAAAAACCTCCAGACAACCCCGTTAGCACCGGTGTGTCCTCAGTCACGGGGGTGTCAATGAAAGCAAGCCTGGAATGAAACGATCAAGATACTCAAGGCCCAAACGGCTACACGCCATCAGCTCTCCATCTAGTGCACAACAGATCCCTTCTCAAGAGCCACGCTATCGGCTTATACACTACCAACGAAATGATGGCCGATGAGCTTGCGGCAAGGCGGCGGATGTCAAGAAGGAGCAGCGGCGGCGGCGGAAGCTGGCCTCGGCCGTGGCCTGGCCCGGGAGCTGCGATTTCAGATCCAGTCCCGCCTTCATATGCGTGAGCCGAATGGATGTGCTTGGGTTCTTGGGCTGTTGCTCGAGTCCGTTGCTCCTTTGGAATGCTTTGAAATCTTGGAAAAGGGACTCCTGGAGATCAAATGCCTAGGAAATATCTATATAAACTAGAACAGAGTCCGTAGAGTTGAAGGAGACAGATTTCATACTTGCAAATGCACCCTTGGGTATACGGTGAATCCTACAGTTCGATTGCGCTGGTGCCGCGGACTATTCATTCAGTAGCGTAGTACGCCATCACAATGGAGAATGTCACCGTCACGTGTTATGAGTTCCAACTATTGACCGGCTGGAGTCTTGGCGAGTACGCCTACGCACCAGATCATCAAATGTACCAACGCACCAATGAACGTCAGAACAGTTTCTGCTCTCTACCAAATTTTAGCTGTTCTAGTTGTTATATATATATATATATATATACTATATCTACTATATATACCCCGGACTGTGCTTTATCTCTTACCATCTTCATTCAGGAAAGGGAGCGAGGCTGCTTTAATCTGGCACGTGACAGAGCATCGAGGAGGCCTGGCCGAGCACAGGGGAGCCACGGCGGAGTACGGGGGAGCGCGCCGGAGCCCGGGCGAGCCATAAGGAGCGCTGGCCCTGATACGGAGGTACTAATTCGCAGAGGCCAGTTCGGGCTCAGGGGTCCCTTTGGGCCTCGGCTATGATTGCCTAGCTGTAACCCTTTATCTGAAGAAAGTCACGCAAGTTTTCTTCCTCAGTGGGCAAGCTAGAGGCGGACAACGAAAACCACGCACAACATTGGTCTCAAGCAGACCACCTTTGACCGCAAAACTCTTCAGGAGTAGCTCCGAACAGTATGAGTACAGCATCCACGCAGTCGGACAGTTGGAGCGGGCCCAGTGTCCCCTCGACTCCTCGCAAGGCGAAAAGTCACAGAAGTGGTTCAACCACAGGTACCATACTCGCATGCATGTACTGCAGACTCAAAAAGACCAAGGTATGTCTCATTTGATCACAGAATCGCGTTCGGTCTTTCATGATCGCAACTGACCGCTCCTCCAGTGCCATTACGCCCCGGACGGATGTCAGAAATGCAGGAGGCTAGGTCTGGCGTGTGTCGTCCCCCTTGAAGATCAACGGAAGCAGTGAGTCTTCCCATAGACACTAGAATAGAGGGCCAAGCTGACCGTCGCTGGACAGTCCGGCTTCCAAATCTGAGATCAAGGAACTACGTGAACGCGTTGCAGAACTGGAAGCAGCTCTGGAAGCAGCCCGCTCTCAACAAAAGACCGCTCCCAAACCACCGCATAGAGAGCTAGGGGTCACTGAAACTCTGTCGCAGAGCAATAATTTGATTTCTCGATTGACTCAGCGGGACTGGCAATTGAACAGCAACGCCGAGGGACAGTTTAAATTCTTCGGGCCCACGTCAAGTGTTCACTTGACTGAGAGCATCTCAATATCTCTACTAGACTCTTGTGGAGCCGCTGGAATCAACGAGGACGACTTGGCCATTAATGACCTCGACCCAGACACGCAAATTCACCTGCTGGATGTATACTGGAAGTACCAGCACACCGTCCTCCAGGTGTTTCAAAAAGACACATTTCTCAAAGGCCTACAACAACGACAGCCGAAATATGTCAGTAAGGCACTCATCTACAGTGTTTTCGCATGCGCAGCGCGGATATCACCCCGCGCAGATCTCAAAGCGTTGGCGCTTCCAAGAACCGAGGACGATTTTGGTGATGATCTGCCGTATCTTCTGGCCAAAGCCACACAGTACACGGAGGAAGAACTGAAACGACCCCGAATCACGACGATCCAGTCTCTCCTACTTCTCTCGGTCTTGAACAGCGCGCTTGGGAACGACACCAAAGGCTGGCTCCTTACCGGAGATGCCTGTAGGCTGGCTGTGGACTTGGGTATCCACAAGAACGACGCGATGAAACTACCGCCTGGCAACCTGTCTCTAGAAGATGTCCAGTCACGACAGCTGGTATACTGGGCTTGTGTCGTGTTCGATCGGTTCTGGGGCCTCTATCTCGGACGCCCGTTCTGCCTGAACGCCACCGACATTCCCGCCCAAGAAGCAAAGTGGATGGCAGTGAACAGTTCCTGGGAAGCCAAAATGGCGTACGCTTGGGTGTCACTGCTCGTCATTATAGGCGATATTTGCGACGTCCTCAACGCCGACGTTCGCGCCTATGAACAGCTCGACGACTTTGACAGGAAGCTTCAATCATGGAGGAGTAATCTGGATCCCTCGCTTCAGTATCGTAAAGGCTGCCCAGCGTCGGTCTCCAGCCTCAATCTGCAGTATTCGGCGGCCATGACTCTGCTGCACCAACCGACAGCGAGATTTGGCAGTCGTCCCGAAGAGCCCTCGATGCGGAATGCCTATTCGCGACGACAATGTATCACTTTCGCCACGGCGATGGCTTCTTGTCTCCAGAACTTTCAGCAGCAACATGGCGACGTGACTGCGCTGTCCGGTGTTGCCCTCCACTCCATCTCCCTGGCTGCAACGACACTTGTGGCAAGCATCGCCGAGAAGAAATCCGTCGATGTATCGTCACAGATGCATTCCCTTAAGGCCTGTGTACGCGCTCTCGGGGAATTGGAGACCACATACCTAGTCGCAAGGAGAGTGCGGAAGATCATCCAGTTGATCATCAGAGTCTGCCACTTAGAGACCGACTACGTGGAGAGCCAGCAACGCCCGGTGCCAGTCCCTGCCATCTCTACAAGTCCGGCCAGGCTGGTGGACAGCTCGGTCATCGATGAGGTGGTGGTAGAAGATCTTCTATCATTGGAAACGCAGTTTGGGGACGGTCCTGTCATGTCTGAATATAGCCCTTTTGCTTTCGATGCCCACTTGCCAATGTCCGCGCAGTTTGATATTTTCCATACCTTTGACGCCGAGGCAGTGGTAGGGCCAGACACCTTTTCACGAACAAATTAAGCGACGGAGAGAGTTGGCGGGTTGGCGCTTAGAATATCGACCATATACTTCCACACGTACAAGTGGGGGCCTAATACGATCTGGTAGTCTTTTCCTCGTCTCTGGACACCGAAATTGCTCACCAAAGATCGTTGGGCTTTGCAGCGTCATCCGCCAGCACGGCGAACACAATACATCCCAAGCACTCCACGCAAGTAGCCGCCAAAGGTCGACCCAGCAGTTGCTTACCGGTCAACAACGACCGAAAACTAGCCAGAACAAGAAAACAGGCTCCTCAGATTCTTGCAGGCATGGACGTATCTTGACCCCGCTGGCCTTAGTGGCGTCAAGATCTCCGAGCACCGACCGGACTTCATCCTCCGTCATGCTGGGGGATAACAACAACTTTCGATGGGCCTGCCTCAACCTGTCCACATGGGGTCGCCAACTGTTTGAAAGGGTCAAACACAGTCATGACCAAGTACCCTGATTTTGAATCACTGCCAACCGTGGAAGGGCAACCCCAAGGCAATGCCTGGGGACTCTGGGGTCGAACTGATGAACTTGGAAGTAAGCGTTTTGTGAAGCATGACTTGACCACGTAGTAGGCCTTTGAAAGTGCCATGCTTACAACCCCTACCAGCCTTGAACCTCCTTACCCCGGACGTCATTGTGAGGGCCGCGAAAGAAGTCCGGGTCGGCAAACCAATCCAGCTGGACCTGAGGTTGGACCATTTCGGGCATGGGATCGCAGGGCGAGAACGGTTTAAGCAAACGATCATCGATTTCAAGGAGCGAAACAAGGGCACCGAGTACGAATTCGTGGCCCACGACGATGTGATCGCGTTCAACACCCAGAGCAGTTCACAGTGGGATGGTTTTCGGCATGTCGGACTGCAACGGTCGCAGGTTTACTATAATGGCGTCAAGCACAGGCATATCGACGAGCAGGGAGACGGCAAGCTTGGGATTCATAGTAAGTTGCAAGAACCAAGCCTGCCACCCCACTCTTTGGTCCCCTCCTCGTCGCCGCTGCTAATCTACTCTCGTCAATCCAGAGTGGGTAGAGAATGGAGGCATCGTCGGCCGAGGTATCCTGCTGGACTACTACCGCTGGCGACAACAAACAAGTCAAGAAGTTGCAAAGGCCGACTCCAGCTTCAGCATCACTGTGGCCGAGCTCGAACAAGTGGCCAAACACCAGAACCTCGAGCTGCAGACGGGCGACATCCTCATCATCCGCTCCGGTTTCACGGTGTGGCACGACTCAGTCGAACCTCAGGAGCGCCAGAGGGCTCTCGACGCCGGTGTCTTCATCGGCGTCGAGTCGTCCCTCGAGTCCGCCAAGTGGTTGTGGAATCACCATTTCGCGGCAGTGGCAGGGGACACGCTCGGATTCGAGGTCTCGCCGCCGCCGCTGGGCGTGGAAGGGAGGACGTGTCTGCACGAGTGGTTGCTGCCTCATTGGGGATGTCCGATTGGTGAGCTGTGGGATTTGGAGACTCTGTCCAAGGAGTGCGAGAAGCACGGGCGGTGGTCGTTCTTCTTTACAAGTGCGCCGCTTAATGTCTTTGGGGGGGTTGGCAGCCCGCCGAACGCCATTGCCATCTTATAGAGACAAGGGCATATGTTTTGGATTACAGACTGCAATTCTAATTTCTTCCGCTCGTATGGTCAGGCTGAAAGATTGCTAACCTCTAGGCTACCTTATGCTTGGATATGAAATTTGGAGATTTTGGTGAATGGAAAGCAGCCCAAGCACAAGCACAAGCACAAGCCGAAGCCCAAGCTGATGCTTGATACGTGATCCATGATGCACACTTGATGGTATATATTCACATCTTCCAGTCCCTCGATCAATCATCGCGCGATGGTCAAAAGTGCCCATGCCATGTCCATAGCCCATCTACTATACTGAGCAAGGTAGGTAGTAGATACAATTCTTCACCAGAACGACAGGGTCTTGACTCCTCAGATGAGATGAGATGAGCTGTGGAATAGAGTCTCCTACTGGATATCGTCAATGTTCAATGTTCAATCTTGTGATGGAGCATGCATCATGGACTATGGATCATGGATCTCGTTGAAGGTACCGAGGACGTGCCGGAGTACGTACCAACCCCGAGATGCTAAGCTTCCTGATCTGTGCAGAGCCCCCCCCCCCCTTTTTTCTCTTCAAGTTTATGCGCTGAAAGATGCGCACTTAGGAGCCACTTGCGATGGATTTTCGTTTCCTCCGAGAACTGTGGAATCTTTCATGGCTCGGGTTCTCTTCGCTCTAGGGGTATCAATATGGTGGTCTCTCAGGCATTGATGAGAATTCTGCAACGGGACAATGTCACTGCATCTCAAGTGCTAGTGTACCCTTACTAAAGAGAGATGAGTCGAGGTAACGAAACGAAATGACTCGGAATTCATATCCCAAAAAACTTAACATTGCAACCAGCCGTGATACAGACGAGTTCATATCTTCGCTTTCCCATACTGGCTCACATCGATTACGATCTTGCCCCACGCCGTACCTGTTACAGTCATTGTCAGTCATTCGTGCTCACTACAAGGCTGGTAGATGCACACCCACATCTCCTCCGCATAAAAGGGGTACGGGAGGGCCACGATCATCACATACCTGTCGAAAGCAGCTCCAACGCCGCCGGGATTTCTTCCAGCCCATGAAATTCCTTCCCAGTATAGTTAATCGGCTTAATTCCCCCCTGCTCAACCAATTCCAACAGCGTGGTCCACACGGCGGCAACACTCTCAGGCTCCATTGTGGCATACATGCCCCAAAACAGACCGGATAGCGACACATTCTTCAACAAGATCCGGTTCGTCGCAATCTTCTCAATCGCCCCGGCCGCGAATCCGATGATCACCAGCCGCCCGTTCCAGCGGATGCATTTCAGGCTCTTGTCGATGACGCCCAGCGTGTCCAGGACCACGTCGACACCGCGCTTGTCGGGAGTGTGACTCTTGGCTTGCTCGGCCCAGTCGCTGTTGCTATCGACTACGAAGTGCGCGCCGAATGATTTCGCGACCTGTCGCTTCTTTTCTGTGTCCGCGGAGGCGATCACGTATAGGCCTAGTGCTCTGGCGATGGACACGGCTGCGAGGCCGACGCCACCGCCCGCGCCGTGGACCAGGACGTAGTCTCCTACACTCAAAAAGTCGAGTTAATGTTTATGTCTTTGTAAACGAAGTGCATCCCAGGCGCCAGGACATCTTTTTAATACCTTTCTTTGCCTGTGCTCGCAGAATCAGCGCCGCATAGGCTGTGGGAGCCGTATAAAAAAGACTCGAAGCTTCGAGATAGCTCCAGTTCTTCGGCACGGGTCTCAGATCCGGCTCGTCGGCCAGGATCTGCGTGGCGAAGGCTCCTAGCCCAGCTCCAAACGCTCGATCTCCTCGTTTAAAGCGCCATTGGCCTCCATTGCTTGGTGCCGAAGTTGGCACCGCCAGGATCTCGCCGGAGAACTCGTTGCCGGCGATGAAAGGCAACGGAGGCTTCTGTTGGTGTTTCCCTTGGATCTGGAGGTTGTCGAAGAAGTTGGCTGCTGCGGCGTGGATTCGGATCAAATACTTCGATGGGTGTGGTTGAAGGTCTGGTAGAGTCACCGCATGGAGCTCGTTGGGTCCTTTGACCAGCGCGGGCAGTTGGATCGCTTTCATCTTGTTCTTGTGTGCAATAGTATTTTGCTATTCTCGCTGTAATTGTGATATCTGAAATTCGAGTGTGCTGGATGTCGGTTGCCGAAGATACAGGCCCGCCAAAAAAACTTGAACAGGAGCGCAACTAAACAAAGAACCAAAGTCCGATTGAGCGAGTCAGAACACAAGAGTCAGCCCAAAAGGAGTAGTAAATATCTGGGGTTCATGAAGAACCTGGGCCAATTTTTGCGGGGGTTTTCTTCCTGTAACAAATTTGTTTCTCTTCCCGTGACTACAACACACAGTCCGTATATTCTGGATTTCGCAGTTTCGCGAGATAATGCCAAAGAAGTTGTGAACTGACAATTGACTTCCAGAACGGCCCCAGCGGTCGGTAAGTGAGGAGGGACCGCGAATAACTAGTTAAGACATGCTACTGACCTTTGGATCTGGCCCGTGTTGATGGGTGAGCGAACACCTGTAAGCTGCGGTCTTCAGTCCCCGGAAGACAACAAGGATTGTGAGATTTGAATCCTCTCGTCGGTGGTTCTCGAAGTGGCAGCATCGTCACTGCAGTCACGTGGTAAAATCCGATACCGGGATTTGAGTCCGGCAAATGATTTCCGAGCCATGCAGCATCTAGATTCGAGGCCTGTTCGTGAGTGCCTCGGAACCAGCGGATCAATCAGCCATCAGAGACAAGCCCGTTCTCCAGGAGCTTGGTGGCAAGTCGTGATCAGAGTTTAAAACAGCAGCCAACTCCCTTCTAAGCTCCAAGCAAGACCGAAGCCCCCTTTTGACGCTGGACTGTCTGCATAGTATGTACGAAGTGGTAGTATGTCCTCCCCACTGGAGAATTGAGATCAAGTATGATGATTGGCCTGCAGCGGCAATCACGTGAGTAGTGGGGACTGCACTGGAAAGCCACATATACACACATTATTCTTGTCTTCCAAGGCTCCCTTCGGCCGAATCGTTGACCATACGGACGATTAGAGCTCTGGATAATCAGAGAATCCACTCATTCTTGCAAACAATAATGTCGGTCTCGTGTCAAAAGTAGTTGCGGAGACCCGGCAGATGTTCGGGTACCCACCAGTGCGAAGTCCAGGGGGGTAGCTCCTCGGACTTCCATCACCGGTTGTCATTGTACAAGCTGTATAAATGTCTGGGGGGTTCATGGCAGGCCCTTATCTGACCAGTCAATCCGCTAAGAGTGGACATCAAGCAAAATGTCGGCCACCGAGGATACTCAGAAAGCGAAACCAGAGGGCATCAAAGACCAAGAAGTTGCATCGCTCAAGGAAAACGTGCATTACGAGGCTGTTGAAGCTCAAGGCACGCCAGGCTTAAACGATGAGGAGGAGGATCCCCATGTGACCTTCAAGACATGGGTTGTTGTCTGGGTGAGCATACCAACGTCTCTGCCGTGGACCGTGGTAGAATCATCGCTCGTCGATTTTGACTGACACCGTTGGCAGATCCTCTCTTGCGGTTATGGTCTTTCATTTTGGCCAATTCCAGTCATGGCAAATATTGGAGGCCTGGTTGCGGCCGAGCTTGACGCGCCAGAAAAAGCATACTGGTTCATTCCGGTACCAAAACACCTTTGCATAGTGAGCGAGGGTGCAGCAGAAAAAACTAACAGTCGCTATTAGGCATGGACAATCTCAATCACTGTGTGCTTCATGCTTTGGTACGTCATCCTAGACGAGACTGCTAATGACACAGGCTCACGAATTCTGTCACAGTGGTGCGAATACCGATCTTTTGGGTCGACGCTGGTTCTTGGTGCTGGGAAATCTGGTACGTGCTGATGATTTAAATCTTTGGAAGCTTGCGCTGACCTCGAGGACCTCCAGGTCTGCACGATCGGCCATATTATCACAGCGTCCAAGCCCAACGCGAACGCTGTAATTGCCGGCATGGCGATTGCTGGGTTCGGAGGCGGAAACTGCCAGGTGAGTGAAGCCCACGGGAAGAGCTTCTCAAGCATGTCGCATTTTCGTGGGAGACTGACGAGTTTCGAAATGCAGATGGCTGCCTTCGCTCTTTCAGAGCTCCTTCCCAACAAATGGAGGCATATTGGCGTCGTCATTGCCGATATCACGACCATCATTGCCGTTATTATCGGGCCTGTCACCGGCCGGTACGGAATCGAGAGTCACACATGGCAATGGAACTTCTGGGCGGCTGCCATCGCCCAGTTCCTGTCTTTCTTGGGCCTGTACTTCCTCTACTACCCTCCTGCTCATCCGTAAGTGGCGTTTCTACCTCTTGCACTCCCCCAGAACTAAAGTAGTCGGTAGATATGGCATCCCCTTCCGACAAATGATCAAGGAAATCGATTATGTTGGTAAGTCGCAACCATTTGTTTGCCAGACACGTTCTGCATTGCCGACACAATCCATCAGGCGGCTTTCTGTTCATCGCTGGTGCTGTCCCTGTGCTCATGGGCATCGTCTGGACCACCATCTACCCTTCCAACAGCGCTTATGTCGTCGCCCCCCTGGTCGTCGGGTTTGCAGGCTTAGTTGCCTTCGCCTGTTGGGAGAGATTTGCAAATATCAAGCACCCGCTGACACCTACCTATGTCTTTACATCATCTTACGGCCGAGACCTGACGGCACCTGCCATTGCGTTGGGCGTCGTGAACATGTTCTACTATTCTAGCAGTATCCTCTGGCCTACGATGATCAATGCACTCTACACCAATGGTGGCACCAACTGGAAGTATGGCATTGTGCTCTCCTTGCCCCAAGGCATTGCTATTTTGACCGGCGCTGGTGCCTTGTCAATATTCGGCAGCCATATCAAACACTGGCAATGGCAATTGACTGGTTCGGTGTTTGTCATGGTCCTATTCGGATCCCTCCTGGCCTTGGTCAACACCCACAACAAAGGACTGATGCTTGCTTTCGTTTTCCTGTCACAGACTGGCTACGGTTGGGCCATCTACCTTGCCATCGCCGTGAGCCAAATGGGCGTAGAACACAAAGATCTGGGCATCAGCGGTGGGATCTCTGGAGTGGCTCGATTTGCGGCAGGCTCAAGTATGATCATTGACCACTCACCACTCAACCTCCCTATCATGAGGACGTTACTGACAGTAATCTAGTTGGTGCGGCCGTGTACACTACTATACTGACAAATACTACCAATGACTGGATCGCGAAACTTGTTCCGACAGCTGCTCTCGAGGCAGGTCTGCGGGAGTCCCGGCTCGCAGAATTGATGGCGTCTGTGGGAACCCCAGCACTGGCAGCGAATTTCAGCCCAAGCATTGTAGCCGCTGCGTCGGGAGCAGTTGCTGAAGCAAATGTACATGGTATCAGGTAAGCATAGTCTACTAAATTCTCGAGAACTCTACTGATTCGGTACACAGAATGGTAGCTTTTGCCTCGATGGCCTTTGGCATTGTAGGAGTTCTTGCTTCTGCTGTTTGCAAGGATGTCGACTCGAAGATGAACAACAAGGTATGACCACACTTGTCAATCCCAAGCAAAATCTGCTCTGCTGATCTTTTCGATCAGATTGAAGTTTACCTTGAGAACACCGAAATGGCATCTCGAAATGTCCACCACTAAGCACGCAACAAGTGACCCTCCGAGGGTACTGGCTGTTGGATTGCCATATGGAAATTGGTACAGTCTGTCAACATACGACGTGTTTGAGACTCGTCATGTCGCCAGACTCCCTAAATTACAGTTGCCGGTGCATGAATCATCTCAGAGCCTGATTTAGACGCTACATGTTGTAGAAGTCAAGAAGAGCCTTCGCAGTCGCATCTAATGTAGACTCCTACTCGGTAGATTGCTGAACCTGGTCCAGTGTGAAAAACGGCTCTTCTTCATGCAACCGTACTAGACTCTTTGGCCGCCGTTCATCTCACGGCTTCCCGTCTCCGCGGAAATGAATCTGTGAATCGCTTCGCTGTGCCCCAAAGCCGGACTCGTGGTTCCACTGATAACCACATGCACATTGAGATCTAGTATCCATGTAGTTCCTCGTAACTACACGTAACATAGGCATGAGTTTCGCGAAGAAATCCGAGTCGATATCTAACACCGACTACGGCCATTGCAACGGACAGTCTAGCCGGGCCCTTTCCAGTCAAATCCATCGTCGGCCTTCATTTCCCGGATGCTGGAATTCAACCTTTCAAGGGACATGCCATTCCGACATAGCTATTTATTCTAATTGTAATTAAAACTTTGGGAAGCCTTGCCCTGAACGGCGGTGTGATGTGCTGCCACAGTGCTGGACCTTAATTGTTTTTTTTCCATACCCACAACGATCATGTTGTTCAAAGGCGGCAGGCTTGAGACTCGTGAGTGTACCTTATTCAACATCAACCTCCCTCTAATACAAGCTGACTGACCTTCTGTCCTCCAGCTGTGCCCACCGCCATCTTAGTCTGGTCGTGGCTCTTCGCCAATGCCGCCCCAAACTGCCCCTTCAACCGCCAGCAGACCGGTGGCTTTCGCGACGCCAACACGGGCGAATTCATCTCTTTCACGGCCCTCACGTCCCTGGCGACAAATCTGTCCACCTCGCTGGCATCCAACTATGCCATCAAGCCCGGCAGCCACGTCACCATCTTCTGCAGCAACAGCGTGTGGTACCCCGTGCTGACATTCTCGACGGTCCGGCTGGGCGGGATCGTCACGGGCTCGTCGCCGGAGTATGGCGTCGAGGAGATGACATATATCCTCAAAGCGAGTGAATCTGAACTCGTATTTGCGGATACTGCGTCGTGGGATACGGTATGCAGAGCGGTGCGAGAGGTCGGGGTGGGGACGGATCGAGTGGTTCTCGTAGGGAGTGAGGATGATGTCCGTGGTCAGAGGGATAGGGTGTCTATTCATGACTTGATTGCGCAGGCGAAAGGGAAGGGTGATGAAGGCCAGGTCGAGGCTTGGACGGTTCCAGAGGGACGATCGAATAAAGACATTCCTTGCTTTTTGTTGTTCACCAGTGGAACGACGAGTGCGCCGAAGGGTGTAAGACAACTTCTTCCGGAACCGAGATGTGTTGCGTGATGGATCCCTGTTGACTGTTACTCAGGTCATGATATCTCATCACAACGTCATCGCCCAAATGATGCAGATGCAATCTTGGACGGTCGAGAAGTGTCCTAAAGTTCTCCTGGGAGTTTTGCCTCTCTATCACAGTGAGTTTGAGTTATTGCTTCAGCTCATGCTGCGAATCACCGTCCAACTAACTCCTGCGCTCAGTCACTGGCATTGTCCAAATCCTTCAGCTTCCGCTGGTTCTCAATCAGCAAGTCATCATGATGCCCAGATTCAACATGAAGGATATGCTCGATGTCATTTACAAGTATAAGTGCGACGAATTGTGGCTGGTTCCGCGTGAGTTGCGAGTAGATATCGAGTCTACCAGTACTAATTGACTGATAGCTCTATTAATTCGACTTGTCAACGATCCAGTCGCGGCCGGATACAATCTGGAACATGTCCAACAGTTCAATACGGGCGCAGCGCCGCTTTCCAAAGAAATCATTGACAGACTAGCTGTACGGTTTGGCCATATCCGGATCAGACAAGCCTGGGGGATGACTGAAAGCACCTCCGCGATCACTCTCACACCACCAACTCACCAGACGTACCCCTATGCCCACAGCGTCGGAAAGGTCGTGCCCGAGACAGTGATCAAGATCATCGATCCCGAACACGCAGGCCCAGGAGAAAAAGTCCTCGGCGCTGGCCAAAGCGGCGAAGTCCTCGCCAAAGGCCCCCAAATCACCATGGGCTACTTCAACCGCGCCGAAGCCACCGCAGAGACCTACGACGCGGAGGGATTCCTGCACACAGGCGACATTGGATTCATGCGAGACGACGGGTTCCTGATCATCCACGACCGCCTGAAGGAGATGATCAAGGTCAAAGGCGTCGGCATCGCACCCGCGGAACTCGAAGACCTCCTCTTGGGCCACCCCTTGGTCGCCGATGCGGCTGTAATTGGCATTCCTGATGACTATGCAGGCGAGGTTCCCAAGGCGTTCGTCACTCTGGTTGATGCGTCGAAAGCTGGGCCGGAGACCGTGCGTACCCTCGCTGACTTAGTCAAGGAAAAGAAGTCACGGCCGAAGTGGTTGGCTGGTGGTATTGAGTTTGTGGATTCTGTGCCTAAGAGTCCTAGTGGGAAAGTGTTGAGAAGAGTGCTGAAGGATATAGAGAAGGAACGGCGGGTGAGGGGGGCGAGGAGTGTCGGGGCGAAGATATAGAAAAAGGAAAAAGAAGAAAAGAGATCAAGGTGTGGTTTTATGCTTCGATGGGATAGATAATACCAGGGATAGAACGGAGACGTGTTGGCGCCTAAATGACTATCGATGAAACAAGCTGGCAGGCAACCTTGTGATGACGATCAATCAGTCAGTGCTACAGTCTCTGGAATGCTTTGGAATCATGGAAAATAGGCTCCAGGAGGTCATTTGCCTAGTAATTTTCTATATAAACCAGAACGGTGACCATAGAGTAGAAGAAGACAGAAAATCTCAACTACGCTGACTTGCCTGTATCGATTGGCCCGTACAATTGTACAGTCCAAATCCTCCAACAAGACGGTACATGATCAGGCCCCAGTAGAAATCTGGAGTAAATTCGAACCAGAATGTTCTGTTGATGGCCTTGCCAGTCCAGTCTTTCGTAGCTTCTGGCATCAAACGCTGTATTGATCAAGCCACACTGTAGTATGCCTGCAAACCATCTCCTTTCCATCCTCCTCAAAGTCCTCGCCCTTAAAAAACAACCGCCATCCTCGACTTCGACTTTCCACTCTTCATCAAATCCATCATCTCATGAATCTGCTCCAACTTATACGTATCCACATGGGGTCTAATCTGATGCTTCGAAATGAATTCCAGCGCCCGCGGCATCTGCTGCGGCGGACCCGTACTCTCACTTCTGATCTGGTACAGCTTGCGCATGAGATCCAGGGCTGAAAACTGCAGCGGTCTAGGCGGAAGGCCGATGACCATCAATACGCCGCCGATACGTAGGATCTTGGTGGCGCTGTCGTATGCTGCTTGTGCGGCGCTGAAGACTACGGCTGCGTCGGCGCCGCCACCCGTTGCGTCGCGGATTTGTTTCTCGAAGTCAGCATTGCGGCTGTTCACGGTGATGTCGGCGCCATTTTCGGTCGCGGCTTGGAGGACTTCGTCGTTGATGTCGATCCCGATCACTTTGAGGCCCATCGCTTTGGCGAACCGGATGCCCATCTGCCCTAGGCCGCCGCAGCCGACGATAGCCATCCATTGTCCTGGTTTCAGGGTGCAGGAGTCGACGCCGTGGAATGCTGTATTTTGGTGAGTATGTCTGAATCGTTAGGCGGAGAAGGGGTGGTTACCTGTGATGCCCGCGCAGAAATACGGCGCCGATGTCTCCATGGGCAGATTGTCTGGGAGGATGATGGCATTACGATAGTCGACGGATGCGTACTCAGCAAAGAAGCCGTCTGTTTGGAAGCCTTGGATTTTGGCTGTCCCCAGTCTGCAGTTGAGGTTGTGCACCAGACATCCATCGCATTCGACTATACATCGTTATTAGTTCGGTGTTCAGTGTCGACCTCAGTTAATGCGCGCAAGTATTAGAGATGCAGGTACTCACAACACACGTCCTTGATATACAGAAACCCGAGCCGATCGCCCTTCTGGAACCCACTGACGCCCTTGCCAACCTCTTCCGCGAATCCGACTCCCTCATGGCCCATCACCACGGGCTCAGTAGCGGCAATTGATCCGTCGAACAACATGAGGTCCGAATGACAGAGACCTGCCGACGCGACTTTGACCAGGATCTCATGATCCTTGATCTTTGGGAGTGGGATCTCATCGATTTTGCATGTGTTGGTTTCCTTCATGACATTGGTAAGCTCATTTTGAATTTTACTATCTGGATGCCAGATGCATGGGAGAGGGCGCACGTACAGGATGGTACCGTGCAGCTTTCATAGTGGAGGGGGCCATTTTTGAAGATACCGCCGTCTATGAGCTTTGACAATGATGCGACCTGTTGCTGCACTTTGTTTTTTCGTTTCGCGGCTCAAAGATATTCACATGCCCCGACGCTGTACGCATTGGCAGCAGAATATCAATTTAATCGGCCGTGGTCCGTCCGTACCTGAGTTGCGCTGTAAGTTGTAGCCCCGGTCGCTTTCGGCAGTCATAGTCCACCCCCCACCAAGCTGTTGACATGTTGCCAATCGCTCTCAACATCCCTCATGGCATTGTACTTCATTTGCTGTGTTTTCCGCATTGTGGAGCACTCCTTCACCGGAGACTGAGCACCGGTCTTTGCGGGGATTCTAGCATGGGGCTGCACGAGCCGAGGTAGGGGAAGGAAGAAGCTGTTGGGGAATCTCACCGGGTTTTCGTATCGGGGATGCCTGTGACAGTTCTGAGTATGAGTACAGTAAGGTATGTGTGGATGGGTCCTTGGATTTGTCTATGGAAGAAAAGATGCATCTGTGGTGTTGTCTGCTCTATGTACACAGGCACGACAGGTAACGAGATGAGGTATTCCACCCCAAGTAGACAGGCTCACAAAACATACCAACAAGGTACGTATCCTTACCAATTTTGCGAGGCTTTTTGCGTCCCTCTCGAGCTTGCCGATACTCCGACTCTATTCCTCGCAACTTGCTAACTTGGTGAAGATTCTGGCTTTGCCTCTAACAATTTGTACTTTGTAGATGCTGATGCTATAGCCATCTTTGCGTCCCCGTACTTCATCTTCCCTCTCCCCGTCACACCCGCGCATGATCAATTCTGCACATCTCCAAAGCCTTTCACGCTCTTGAATCCCCGGATGTTGACCCGTTTAGCGTTCCCAAACACTCGGTGGGTGTTGGGGCTGGCATCAGCCTCGCGCAGCTCTGGCCCATCGAGAGCATCAACATGATCCCATTCATGCACCGCCATGAATCTGGGTGCATTTGCAGATGCCGCGCCATGCCCTTTGACTAATTCGTACCGCTGCGACCGCCGGTACCCGGGCACTCTGTTGAGCATACCCAGGTGCTCCTCATGGTAGAAAGAGTTGTAATCATCGGCATCGACTGGGTCGACCTGCACATTCAGAATAAATGGTGGACGCACTGCATGATTTCCAGCATTAGCATCCTTAGCAACGAACAGACGAACAGAAGCAGCGGCAATAAAATCCCTGTGCGCACTCACGGCGACCACCTCCTTTGGGATCGAAATCTTCAATCAGCTTGTACACCCTGATATCCGAGACTGTCCCGTGCTTTGCGTCTCCCGTCGGATCGCTGAGACGGAAGATGTCCTCTGCCGAGCCTATCGAGTCGAGTTGGCACATTGTCAGACATGTCTTGTCGTTTGGGGGCTCCAGATCGGTGTGCGATAACTGCACGGTGTGCAGCTTGGTTTCTGCCACCTCCAGCGGCGTCTTGGTCGACAGCTCAAAGTCATTGTACGCATGGTAGAAGGTGGCCCGCGAAGCTGGAATCTTGGACAGTAACGCAGGCAGGCCCTCTGAGGTGTACCATTTGGTCCAGGAATCCACGTCGCCGTCTGTGGGCTTGGATAAGATGCGTAGCAGGAATGGAGAGGCTGCCATATTCTCAATGTCTGAAATGCTTCACGCAGTCGGGGCTGGACTGGTCAAAGTTGGGTTGTAAGATGTATGCAAAATGCAGAATCCCCACAGGATATTCACAGAGGCTCCTATATCTACTAGACTGCTAGTATGGACTATACACAGCATAACGTCCCCTGCCCATGATGTTGCCCGTTGTGCCCCAGCGCAGATTTCAAGAGCTCGGAGAAGCATTCTCCGGGATCTGGGACGCATATTGGAGAGAAAAGTTTGAGCTAATGCAAGGCCCAAGGGACCGCCCCCCGGCAGAGTGCAGAATCTAGCTTGACGAGATGCTGGGGTATCGCTGGGGTGCTCGTGTCCAAGTTGGTGGCTTGTGAGTTGTTCGGGATTCAAACGCCGCGTTCGACCACGGCGATGATTCTCCATGACCACCCATCTACAGCATGATCTGGAGCTGGCAGTCTTAGAACACATCTTGAACGCTAAGGACGTACAGTGGAGACACGTCACTGGTCCCTTGGGCTGAGAATCACCCCGTATTGACTTTCAGCCTCCCGGTAATGACACCGAACTTGGAGTGTGAGTACGTACCAAGACTTAGATTCTAGGTGGACCTTTGCCAGCGCGGTGACTCTGTGTTTTCGCTGTAACAGACGACGGATGATATTTGTAAATGTGATGTGATGTGATTCAATGAAGAATGTGCGATCTTTCTATCAGCAATGGGTTCACATATTGAACTATCTGAAAGCGTCGGGTGCGATCTCACCATTCCCACACCCATCTTACACCATCTCATCCTCTCATCAGTCCAAGAACATGGAGATAGAACCGCAATCGTATGCAAACACCAGCCACGGGACCATTTGTCCGCCATATTCAAAAATTCAACCTCAGGAAACCCTTTGAATCAGTCTGGTAGTCTTCTTTGGACGCATTCACAACTGCAATATGGCGCGGATTTGCTGGCGGTGGCCTTAGACAGACAAGGGCTACAAGCTCATTCGACTATTGTCGTGATACTGAGTGGCAGATCCGAGTTTCATCTGGCACTGAGGGCAGCAACAAAATTGAACTGTCCGTTTTCACCCATGAATCTAAGATCGCCTAAGAACGCCAAAGAAATCCGCCATATGCTCACGCTCACCCAAGCAAAAGCCATCATCATCGACAACGCAAGCATCGTTGAAGATCTAGAGAGCAATGTCCCAGACCTGGTGAGCGACATGCAGGTCAAAGTGGTGCTAGACGGCCCCGTCGTCCGCCGAGGATATCTGTCTCTCAGCCAACTGATTGAGAAGGCGGCCGTCGATGAATCTTTTGACGAAATCAGCACTAGATTGGACACGGTCCCTCGATTTCGGGACGACGTGGTGTACATTGGATTCACGTCGGGGACCACATCGCTACCAAAGGCCGCACCACACACGAACTTATCCTTTGTCTGTAACATGAGGTCGTGGCAAGAAGCATTTGCGTTGGACCACAAGCGAACCTGGCTCCACATCCTCCCAATGAACTCGGTCGTCGGGAGCTCTTGGACACTCGCCTATTTGATTCCAGGAGGAAGTGTAACGCATGTTCAAGCTGGATTTGAAGCCGAATCCATCGCGGCAGCCATCAGCAGTGGCGAATATACAGACATGCTGGCCGTTCCGTCGATGATCGATCTGCTGGCTGCAAGCCCTTTGTTGGACGATCCTCATCACCAAGGTCTTGATCGCCTGATCGTGGGTGGAAGCAAGATCTTGCGTTCCCACGTGGACAAGGCGTTCCTCAAGCTCAGATGTAGACGATTCAGTCCTTTCTTTGGCATGACTGAAGGCACCTCAGTGTGCAGTGAAACTCTGACTGAAGTACCCGCCACCACTGATGAGCCGATATACGCCGGGTTTGTGAACCCAGGATGCAAGGTGCGAATATGCGATCCCTCCGACACCAAACCAGTTCCGCGCGGAGTGCCTGGCGAGTTGGTGCAAGGGGGACCTCAGCGTATCAAGAGCTACGTAGGCGGCCAGGGCAAAGACAACTTCTTCACCGAGGAAGGTGAAGTCTGGTACCGTTGCGGCGATCAAGCGGTGATGCGCACAGATGGTAGAATTGCCATTGTGGGACGCTACAAAGGTGAGCACAAGACAGTTCGTTCTTCACTTTACCCTGCTGAGAACTGACAATGTTGCAGATATGATCATCCGCGGTGGCATGAATATAGCCTCTGCGGCCGTGGAAGCAGTGATATCCGAGGGAACAAACATTGATGTGAGTGTTCATACCACCTTGTCGTCTGTGTGCTTCACCTAATATTGTCTTCAGTCTCAGGTTATAGGTATTCCACATGAAGAAGCAGGAGAAGTCCCTGTGGCCATCTTGAAGCATCCTGCTGATGACCAAGGTGTCTCTAAAAAGGTCAAGCAATTGGTTCTGCAAACCATGGGCCCTGCATACTCTTTGGAATGTGTCTTGCCTCTTAGCGAGCTCGGCCTTGACGACTGGCCAAAGACGACTTCCGGCAAGGTTCTGAAGAGAGATTTACAAGCCCTTGTCAGTCAACTCCTTGAGCGTGAGAGGACCCCCGAAAACAGCTGTACAACAAATGGAGACGTATTCAATCAACACACCCCTTTGGAGCACTTTCTCCTCGAGTTCGCTCAGAAGCATGACATGCTCATTGACAGCATTGATGACGGCTTTCTCGCGGCAGGTTTGGATAGTCTGCTCGCATTGCGACTCAGAAATGCAGTCGTCAGAGAAAGCGATAGAATAGGTGCCCATATACAGTTGGGCTTGAATGAAGTATTCACATGTGGAAATATCAGGCGGCTCGCAGCGCACATCACTGACATTGCCAACTCACGGAAAGTCACCCATTCCGCTGAGACACAGATCGAATCTACGCTGGAGATGATGTCTGACATGGTGGAAGAGTTTGGGATTTTTCGTTCACGCAAGGCCAGATCAAAATCGAGTATGCCCAGCGGAAAGAAATTGGTGAGTATCCTCCAACACAATAACAGCTTCACAGACTCACAGGCATGCAGCTTCTGACTGGAGCCACCGGCTCGCTCGGCGTGCATGTCTTATCTATATTACTTGCTCGTCCAGACGTGGATGTCGTTTACTGTGCTATTCGAGGCGACAAGCCTCTTGGCCGACTACGTGCATCATTCAGCAAACGAATGCTGGAATATCCCGAGCATACACAAAAGATCAGATTTCTGCCATACGAGCCAGGCAGATTGGTGGAGGGTTTACAAGAAACAACACGGAACGAGATGCTCGACAGTTTAACTCATATCGTTCACGCGGCATGGCCTGTCAACTTCCATCTCCCTCTGACTACTTTTCGTCCACACCTCAAAGACGTACAAGATCTCATTCAGCTGTCGTTGGATGTCAAACCCCGGCCGGCACAAGTATTGTACTGCTCCTCCCTGGGAGTAGCCTTGAACACCATCGGCCAGAAGAGTGTGGCAGAAGCACCCATGATGGATTTCAGGCAAGGCCTGAGTACTGGATACACCCAGTCTAAGCTGGTGGCGGAGTACATCATCCAGCAAGCCGTAGAAGACTACGACGCCTCTGCGTGTATCCTCCGTATAGGTCAGATTGTCGGGGACACCAAGGCAGGGATCTGGAACGACGACGAGGCTCCTCCTACCATTATCCGCTCTGCACTCGCACTGGGCTGTCTTCCTTCTCTAGACATGGTGAGTCTGAACTACACACAAGTCAGATGGTGGCACATCCACTAATTTTTCTCTCTTTCAGACATGCTCGTGGATCCCTGTCGACAGTCTCGCGCATGCTATTGTCGAGGTTGGCTTGACTGCAAACCAACCTCCAAGGCATTTAGTCTACAACATGTGCAATCCCAGCACATTCTCTTGGACTACAGATCTACTGCCTGCTCTTGCGAATGCAGGGCTTACTTTCCAGACGGTCCCCTTCGCAGAGTGGATTGAGAAGCTGAAACAATATGACGGTTCTCACAGCGCAGAAGAAGCCGTGGATAACTGTCCCGCCGTCAAATTGATTGATTTCTGGGAACGCAGCTATGGTGGCAAGACACGGAGACACAATCTGCTACATTGCGAAACACGCAATGCACAAGAGGACAGCGAGAGTATAAGATCTGCCCGCCGAATCATCGAGTCTGGGCTGGTGAAGAGAATGTTGTCTGCGTGGATGACAAGATGGGAGCCAAGAATAATACCCAATGGCTCTTGTTGAGCTGTTGGATATGCAGAATAGTAGCAGAACTGAATACATAACTACAAATATGTGTTGTAAGCACAACTCATCCTGAATTTCGGCTGGTGATCGATCTCCGGGTTCCTTCAAGTCTCCGCACTGGCTGCAGCAGGGCCAACCCAGACTCAGTCAATAGGCCTCGTGGGGTAACTAGTGGGTTGGTTAAACTTGGCCCTAGCAGCCCTAGCATCCCTGTCACGGGGGCGATTGGTTCGTCAAGGCTAGGGGCTCCCATGACCAGTGTGCGGGCGTCCGAGCCCCCCATAATGAATGAGAGCACCTCCGCCTAGGCCTTAGTCCCCCACAACTCCCCGCCTTCACGCTTCTTGGAGGGCCACTCCTCCCCTCAAAGACCTTGCCAGGGCGCATTCAGCCTGCTGCTACCAGTTGGTCTTCCCTCCGCCACCACCCACCAAACTCGTCTTTCTCTTCGTCTCTTGCATCTACCACAGACAGCCACAGACAGGTATACAATTCATAGCTGATGTGAAAACAGCTCACCCGCCCATAATTCTGATTCCTCGGTCTGGATGACCGGCTCCGGATGCACATATTACATACAAGGACATCTTTCTCGTCCATGATGGCCTCTCAGAACGACTGCTACGAGCCACCAAACAACGAGAACGAGGTTTCCAAGAAAACACAGCCAGCAAAGCGCAAGAAAGGACAAGCCAGGAGCTCCAAGGAACTGGCATGTCTCACATGCCGGCCCAGGAAGATCAAGGTTGGCTTATCAACGTGTCTAGCAAGCTCTAGCAATAGCACTCACATTCGCCAGTGCGAACGGATTGACGGCGTCTGTGAGAGATGCAAGTCGCTCAACGTTGTGTGTCGACTGCCAGAACGCGATGAGCGCCGATTGTAAGTTTTGGCCTATCCTGCAGAATATGTACATGTATTCAATCCTCTCAGTCGATATTCTAAGGACTATATCGTCCTCCTCGAGAACCAAATTGCCGAACTCAGAACGGTGGTCGCAGAATTGCAACAAGATCGTCAGAATCAGCTACTATCCCCCGTGCAAGAATCGCCTAACAGAGAAGGCTCCCCTCATCGATCACCTGGGAGGTTGTCATCACCGCTTCGAACGCTCGAGGCGTCAGTTCATCACTATACACAGCCTCAGCTCGCGCCATCTCCACAGGATTCTGATACATCGGCTGCTCCGTCGATGGGCACGGAGCTTTCAAGTGCCACAGGAGTCAGGCTCGCCAAATCCTCAACTGGGTCAGAAGCCGGAGAGAGCCTGATCACACGACTATGCAGAGCCCGGGGACGACTCAACAGTACCAATGAAGGGCAATTGCGTTATTTTGGCCCAACTTCCAGCCTCCATTTGACAGAGAGCGTCACGTCCATATTCAGGTACTGCAATGACGTGGCCAAATTTGGACCAGGCCTTGAAAAGGACATTCCCTGGGCCATGCAGCAGTATCTCCTGGACTTGTACTGGAAGTATCAGCACAATCTGTTACTGGTGGTTCACAAAGAAGCTTTTCTCGCTGGGATGGAGACTGAGCAGTCCCCATACTTCAGTCGTTGCCTGCTTTTGTGTATGCTTGCATCCGCGGCACGGATTTCAGACAGTCCCGAGATCAGGGCATTGTCCATCCCGGTGGACGAAGGTACCCCGAATGAGACGGCCATCCTCACGAGACGAGCGGAAGAGGCTCTCGAAGAAGAATTGAAAAAGCCGCGCCTGACCACGATATCATCTCTCATCCTGCTCAGCGTGTTGGATTGTACTCAGTCAAATGACTCAAGAGGCTGGATGCGGGCAGGTATGGCTTTACGGCCCAGAACGTGGAAGCAGGCAAATCACTAATATTTCTAGGCAATGCCTGTCGCCTGGCGTTTGACCTTGGGCTGCACCAAGACTGGTCCCATCTATCACAATCGAATTTTACAGCTATCGACGCCGAGGTGCGGAGCGTCGTGTTCTGGGGATGCTTTTCTCTAGACAGGTAGGTTGATGCTATTGACCTCCAGTGACAACGCTGATCATTCCAGGCTTTGGGGTCTATACATCGGGCGACCACCAGTCATCAATCTATGTGATGTGTCCATAAGCCGGCCTGATCCAAATGGACATTCTTGGGACACCAAGGTGCTCGCGGCATGGGTTGAATTGCTTGACTTGGCAGGTCAGATTAGCGAGAGATTGTATGTTATTTTATCTTCTGTGGCGAGCACAGCGAGTGACGAGAGTCTGCTAACTTTGCCCCAGGAACAGTAATGCTTGCTTCCAAGAACAAATCGACTTTTACATGACAGCTCTGGAGCATTGGGATTCGAGCCTTGATCCGACCCTGACATGGTTTCGGCAAGCACCTCCAGCGATATATCAACTCAGGTGAGATTTCCCGCACTGCAGAATCCATTACCTTGCAGAATGCTTAACATCTTTGGTCCCATCAGGATCCAATATTCGAGCTTGACAATTCTACTGAACAAGCACAACGCCGGTTTCGGAAACACAGAGAGACAGCAAGATTCAGCGACTGCCATCTCACGCCGCGTCTGCGTCGACCACGCATTCCAAATCTCCACCATGGTCCAGGACTACGACTTACACCAGGGGGGTGCTGCCACAATGAACGGCTCGGCCTTATACAACATCACCATGGCCGCGACGATATTCATCGCCGACATATACGAACGAGACCGCGACGTGGTGTCGTCTGACGAACTCACAGCCCTGACACTGTGTCTGGACGCCATGAAGAAGATGGAGGGCGTCGAGGTAGTCGCCCGCAACGTGCGCAAGATCGTCCAGACCATCATGCGCGTCTGCGGCGTGCAGAACCGTCGCGATCACTCGGCTGACCAGGTCGAGGTCAATATAGCGGCGAGAGCTGCGAGTGCGAGTGTCAAGGACGTCTTCCCCAATACGAGTGTGAGTGCGAACGCGAACGCGAACACGTCGACGCATCATGGACACGGACCTAGTGGTACTGGCAATGGCAGTGGCAGCGGCAATCTCCACATGGATCAAGATCTGATGGATTTCAATTTCGACCAGGGCGTTCTGGATAGCGTGCTGCACTTCCCGTTTGAAGAGGCGTTGATGGATCCAACTTCGGCGCCGGGGTTCTTTTTGCAGTGAAGCCACACCACTCATGGTACATGTATTATGGGGAACACTTTGGACCAGGTGTCAACCCCTTGACTCTTGAGGATTACTCAAAAAGACGGAATATAATGCTACGGCACTTTGTAGCATAGTTCTGCACCTTGGGCCTGTTTAATAGTCATGCTTGTTATGACCAAGGTCATGACAGATACTACCAGTCAATGAAATGACATGGGGTGACTCTGAGGCTGCAGATTGACAATGGTGAAATTTGTTCTCCAGTATTACCCGGTGGTGAATGTAGCTTGTGCATTTCTCCCCTGCTAGTATCACTTGAGCTCCGACGATTAGCATTGCAAGCTACATGCCAGTCCCGTTCCCTTCGCGAGTCCAGAGTCCAGATAATCAGACACTTTACTCTTCCCCTTCGCTTGGCATTCCTCACACGCTTTCCACATGCTTACTATCCGAAATGCTATCACTCTCCGGCGACCCTGTCGCATTCGCCGCCGTGCCAACGGTCCCCTTCTCCGAAACCACCTGCCGGTGGTGGTCATGGTCACGGATCTCCTTGTCCAAAGCGGCTTGCTGCTCTTCCGTGAGATGGCTCACATCCAAAGCGACCTCGTCGCCGAAAAGCCCTCCCACCTCCTCCAGACTCAGCCCTTTGGTCTCGGGGAATTTCCACGCGAAATACGGTAGCATGGCGGTCGTGACGAGGATGAAGACGAGATAGAATCTCCAGCCGATGTTGTTGAGCGCGGGGCCGGCGGCGGTGGTGTAGACTGGACAAAAAAAAGAAACACAGAGTCAGTGTTTGTAGATGTAGGGGGGGGCCACGTCCCTTATTTGTGGTAGAAAACCTAACTTACCAGTGGTCATCAAGAACAGGCCGCTGACGGACCACCCAACGCCTTTGGCGCGGATGTTGGTCGGGAAGATCTCGGAACAGTAGACGTAGCTGGACACGTCGACGCCGAAGCCGTAGAAGGTGACGAACAGGAAGATGAAGGCGATGCAGGCGCCTTGGCCGGCTTTGTTGGTGTTGCCAACCGTCGTATAGTGTGCGCTCAGAGCTGTTACTATGATCAGGCAAAAGACGCAGCCGGTCTGGTCGTGTTAGTAAGGACTTAGGAGTATGTACTGGACAGGAGTAATAGTAGTAGCAATGGTAAGAATAGTGAGAAAGTATAGGGCATCGCTTGGCAAGGGTCCTCAACTCACCAGACCAATTAGAATGATTTTCCTGCGCCCAATTCGGTCAATATAGAGGGCATTGATATAATTCAAAAACGCCGCCCACGAGTTGTAAATCGCCAACAAAAGCAGTGGAATCGATCCCGTAACGCCCAGATTGTTCAGCAACAGAACCATGTAGTTCGAGACGACCAATACGCCGGTACTCTGACACATGGCTTGGAGATAGAAGCCGAACAGCATTCTCTTGCGGTATTTGGGAGAGATGATCAGTTGGATCATGTTGAGATTCGGTTCTGACTTCTCGAGCTCGATCTGTCGTTGAATCTGTAGGAATTCTTCCCGAGCACCGATGTGTTCTGGATCGCTGGGGTGGGCATGGAGCCTCTCTAGGATCTTAAGGCCTGTGTTTGCGGATCAGTTAACCGGGATCCGGGAGGGTCTTGCGTTCTAAGTATGGGCACACCTACCTTGTTCGTGCTTCCCATTGTTGACGAGCCATCGAGGTGACTCGGGGATGACCGGACTTCCAATGAGGAGAAGCAAAGGTGCCACGATCTGCAGAGACAGAAGCAGTCTCCACTGAACGGTGGCATTGTCTTCGTAATATGTTCCGAAGCCAGCCCAGCCAGAACAAGCCTTGAAGGCAAGTCAGTTTCTAATATTCCAAACTTGATTAGGGCCAAAACCTCACATATGAGAAGCAAATGATAAACCCGTGCGATCCCACAATTCTTCCTCTTTGTGCCGGCGGCGAAATCTCAGAGATGTAGGTCGGGATGGCGGTGTTGACGAATCCTACTCCCAGCCCATTGAAGAATCGACCAACCAGGAACATGGCGATGTGAACAGAACCTGCCTGGATGGCTGCTGAGACGATACAGACGACACAAATCACTTGGACCGCGCGCTTTCTGCCCAGCTTGTCCAGAAGCCAGAAAACAGTCCAGCATCCAATACAGCCTGCGCCGGCGTAGAGACCGTTACTGGCTCCGAGAATGCTACCTCCATAGCTACTGGTAGCTACGAAATCGAAGTAGTCGTAGAAGGATGGTTGGCCAATGACCGACCCGATGATGGCCGAGTTGAAGCCATAAGTAAAGGAGCCCAAGGCAACGAAGAAGGCAACGGCAAAGTTGTACCTGTTGGCTTTCGCCCGAACGTGGCCCATACTGAAATAAATTTGACCGGAAAAAAACAATAATAAGGGGAACACCTGACAGGCAAGCTGGGAATGTGATTCAATCCTCTCTTTGACTTCTCTGAAGAGACCACATAAGGAGTTACATACTTACCTACATATACTGTATATCCGCCCTCGTCGACACCTATACCGGGGCATGGGGTCTGGGGCAAAAACGGGGAAGCGGCTGGGCAGCGCGGAGATCATAGTCCGTTGCCCAGGTTTGAGCCAGCATTGAGCCGCGGTGAGATAAGTACGAGACACGGGCTACATGGACAATATTCTCCAGGGTCCTGTCCTCTCCTCCAGCAGAAACGGGAACAGGAACGGGCATCATTCAACGATTGACGCGCCAGCGATCTAGGCCACGCACGCACAGTTTCCAGAACCCTGCCTGCTTAGTTTAGATACAGTTCACCAAGTCCACAATATTCAGTCCCATCTACTGGTGCATCTGACATCAATCATGGTGCAACTCCAGCCTAGTGGTCCCGAGTGGCAGGGTTCTCCTCCCAAGCACGGCCATCTGTCTGAGATTGACCCCGAATTCGCGAAGCTGAAGGACGACGCCGACAAAGCCTTCGCTGGGCTGTGGTCACTGCCCCTGGACGAGTTCAAAGCTGCTTGGCTGAGTGCCCCCGTCGTTTTCCCGGACAATGCTCCTCAACCTGGAATCGACTATACGGTACTCGAGCAGGTGGCGCCCGTGCGTGATGGCACCAAGGTCGGTATCAGGATCTATAAGCCTTTGAAGGCTGAGAGCGGGGCGACTTTGGTTTTGAAAGCACATGGAGGAGGTCAGTACCTAGGACCGTCCTCGACCATATGATCTTTGATTGATCAAGCTGATAATAAGTCAGGCTGGGTGGTAGGCAGTCACGAGGTGGAAGAGGTCGAGAATCGATTCCTGGCCGCCAAAGGAGGCGTCGTCGTCGTCAGCGTCGATTACCGCATGGCGCCGGAATTCAAATATCCTTATGCCATCAATGATTGCTTTGATGTGCTTCAATGGGTACGAAGAGATGTCGACCTTATGTACTCAATGATACTAATTCAGACAGTGCAAATCCAATGCAGCAGATTTGGGCATCCACCCAAAGCGGATTATAGTAGCAGGAGGAAGTGCCGGCGGCAACATTGTGAGTTCTAGACACTACATCCATCTTTTGTATGCATCCTCTCTTACTCTCGATGCAGGCTGCCGTCCTAGCACAGAAAACGAGAGACGAGAGCGTTTCGGGAGTCGTTGGCCAGATCCTGAATATACCAGTGACATGCCACCCCAAGCACTTCCCACTCAATCAATACCCTGGAGGAAGCTATCAGCAAAACAAAGACGCCAGCGTAGTCGATGCCCCCAAGATGCTCTGGTTCTGGGACCAGTACTTAGCTGAAGCGACGCCTGAAGTCTACGCGAGTCCATTGTTGGCGAAGGACCTCAGCGGATTGCCACCAGCACGTGAGTACCTTTACCCATCTCAAGGCCTTTGCTTGGGATGCCTATACTGACCACCATATCTGCAGTGATCCAAGTTGCTGGACTGGATCCTCTTCGCGACGAGGGTCTGGCGTATGCCGAAGCTCTAAAGGCAGCGGGAGTCCCAGTCACCTTGCACACGTATAAAGGGCTGCCTCATGGGTTCTATATGTTTCCCCAGTTGAAGCAGAGTGCGGAGTACTGGGGGAATTGTGTTGACTTTGTGCGTCGCTTGAGCTGGAAGTGAGCGAGACAGGCTACATACAGACTGCATTGCTACAATTTTGAGCATCAATGCTCTACCAAGTCTACATGAAGAAGACACAAGTATCAAGTGAAGCATATTCAAGATACTTAGAGAGGGTCACGCCTATGCTCATCGTACTATATTCCACCGACAGCTCTAATTTCAGTGAGATGTGCGAATCCCTGCTGAGGCTCTTGAATGCGTCGAACAATGCTGTACCATAACTGCCTCTTCATATCCCAAACTCCGCCCACGGGGCAGACGGTACAGAAAACACCCACGCATCTCGTCGAGTCTTACAATCTCCCTACCCCGCTCTCAACGACAGGACCGAGGGCTGGGTGGTGGAAACTCGGAGTTCGATTTCCGCGTGATTGTCCCGAAAGACTTGGACATGCACCTCCCAAGCTCCAGCCTCTCAGTAAAGCGACAAGATGTGTGGTGAAAATGATAAAGAGACTAATTAGCAGTTACTGTAGGCATGGTGTCTAAGAAGTAAATATGAATAGTGTTTTCGACTTAATCCCGGGGGAGCATTCTACACGTATATGTACATGTACCCTTCATAAGACATTCTATACCTCTCATAAGAATCCCAACCATATTTCCCCACAGCAAGTAAAGACCTAATCATTATCATATCCCTCCCCTGATCACTGCTCAGAAATGGCGTCCTCTATAGCAAAAAGGGTACTGTATCCTCTGTCACCCTCTCCTACTTCCCCCATCCCCATTCTCATACCCATCTTTCTTCACCACTCTTCGCAATTCTAATCCTCTATCCAGATCGCCCTCACCGGCGCCGGAAGCGGAATCGGCCTCGCAACAGCAAAACTCCTCGCCTCCCGCGGCGCAGTCCTCAGTATCTGCGACATCGACAAGTCCAAACTCGACACTGCCCTCTCCCAACTCTCCGGAAAGGGGCACTTCGCGACAAAAGTCGACGTGAGCAAATCGGCGCAGGTTAACGCCTGGATCGAAGCGACTGTGCAGAAACTAGGCGGACTCGATGGCGCAGCGAATGTTGCGGGGATTGAACGGGAGGGAGGGCGGCATTTTGCGGACGCGAGGGACGAGGATTGGGAGATGGTGATGGCTGTGAATTGCTCGGGGGTGTTTTATTCGATGAGGGCGCAGATTCGGCAGATGTTGGAGAGGGGAGGGTCGATTGTGAGTTTGGCAGCAATCCAGTTCAGGAACATAAGTATTGATACTGACACACACTCCTCTTGGGTCTACGCAGGTCAACGTCGCCAGCATCGCGGGCTTGATTGGTGTCGCAGAGACAACATGCTACAACGCAAGCAAATTCGCAGTGATTGGACTGACCAGGACAGCGGCGCGCGAGTATGGCTCTCACAATATTAGAGTGAATTCAGTGGCTCCAGGTTCGTCTCCCCTGGAGAATGCCAATTCCAAATTGAAATCACGCCCAGGAAGAAGTGAAGAAGCTGCTTATGTTAACTGACTGTGTATCTAGGTGTGATTGCAACACCACTAGTCCGCGCCATGGAGACAGGACACCGGAAGGGCACCGTCAAGACAAGCCAGCAGGCTCTGGACAGGCAGGCAGATCCCAGAGAGGTCGCGAATGTGATTGCTTTCCTTTTAAGTGATGAGGCCTCGTTCGTCACGGGGTCTGCGTACAAAGTTGACGGAGGATGGACTGCATAGAAAACCTCCATGATGGAAATCTGCTGTAAAGGATGTCATTGTCTGGGGTCTGCAGCAAGACTCAACAAGTGTCAAGACCATATGTCGGCTAGGTTTACACAGGTAAAGACTAAAATATCTACTATAAGTCGTCTGGGGCGTACATAAGTATAGATTCAAGCATCTACTATAGGTCTTCGTCGGAAGGTACAAGAGTAAAGACTCAAAATCCCCCATGCGTCGTCTGGGTTTGCAGAAAATACTCACATCTATACCTCGTCAGGGGTTTGCAGAACTACAGTAAAGTAAATAGTGACATCTCATATACATCGGTGTCAGGAGTTTACAGAAGCGAAAAAGGAAACAAAAAAAAAAGAAAGACCATGCCCCTTCTGCGGCATTTGAAATGCACATATTGAACTACCTCACAAGACGAAATATAACGCATGGGACAGAATTGCTCGCGGACACAAGTACCCGCTAAGTTTGCCGTGGAGCTTAGAATTGGCAATTTGGCAAGTCGTAGTGCAGAGTGTCTGAATTCTAATTTCTGGAGATATATTGCCGTGTAACTTGTGAGCTGGAGGAGGGACAATGGGGTCATAGATCCGAAAGAACTCTGACTGCTCTGCCGCCTCGAATGACCCTGGGGCCGGATCAACCATGGTCCTTGACCAGCCTCGGAGACGACTACAGACAGTCACATGAGTTTCATGGGAGTCAGTGATAACTATCTATACTAGGGATATTAGGACATCGCTTCCTCCTCTTTGCAAAGAGTGACGGCTCTTCAGGCTCCCAATCATGGCATGCACTGGGTGGATAACAAGGCCATATGTCAAAAGTTGAAGTTTGAACTCATGTTCCATAGCTACAGCAGAAATCAAGTACATACTAAACTAATTCTAGAACCCGGTATCTCATGTTTATGCCAGTACGAAGCCCTTGTATCCTGCATCCACAGACTCCTGGCATTTCTGTTTGTACAGCGGCATGCCGGCCATGTAGTTCAATGCCTCGCGGGGCTTTCCAGGGATGTTGTCACCAAAGTACCAACTGTGGGCTTCCTTGAAGAGACCTTTCTCAGCACCCTCATTGACATGGGCTCGCCACTCATGCTCTGCCACCTCGGTTGCATCGATGCTCTTATAATTGTTCTTGGAGATATACTTAATGCATTCGACGATCCACGCACCTTGGGCCTCAGCCGACACGGGGCCAGTTGCAAAGGCGGTCGGTGCTTGTGGTCCGTACATGAAGAACATGTTGGGGAAGCCTCGGATAGTCATTCCCAGGTTGGTGTATACGCCGTTAGCAAACTTGTCCTTAACCGACTGGTTGTTAATGCCACGGATATCGATCTGGGTCAGACCTCCAGTAACAAAGTCGAAGCCAGTAGCTAAGACTAAGATGTCAAACTCGTGTAAGTGGCCGTCTTCAGTCTTAAGACCTTTCGGGACAAATTCCTTAATCGGGGTCTCGCGAGTGTAGACGATGTCGACGTTGTCTTGGTCCAAGATTTCAAAATAATTCTGCTCCAGGCTGATTCTCTTTGTGCCAAAGGGATCCAGTTGTTTTTCGGGGGTAAGTTTCCTGGCCTTCTCGGGCGACTTAATGCGTTTGAGCGTCTTCTCTCGCCAGAACTGGTATGCTTCTTCGTTGGCCGCTTTGTCGTCAAGAACGTCGGCACATGTGCCTAGCCAAAAGTGAAGTCCTCCGGTCGTGAACAGCTCTTCATAGATCTTGCGACGCTCCTCTAAAGGTAGATCCATAATTTTTCCAGGTCGAAAGTCATAAGTAAAGCCGGCAAAGGTGGTGGTTTGCTTCTTCTTCCATTCTGGTAGGTTGTCCTTAAAGTATTGGTTCCTTTGGCCGTCAATAGGGTCATTCCTCATGGGCAATGCCGTATTAGGCGTTCTCTGGACAACGATGAGATGATTTGCCACGCGGCCGATCTCCTGAATCGCTTGCACACCAGTCGCTCCAGTCCCAATGACGCAAACCCGCTCGCCTGTCATATTCACGCCACCTACGGGCCAGTGGCCAGAGTGATAGATCTTACCTTTAAATGCATCGAGACCAGGGAATGGTGGAGTATATGATTTGGCAGCAAAGCCGGTGCATGGGCAGAAGAACTTGCACGTGTAGATGTCGTATTGATCTCCATTGACCTCGATCTTCCACTGGCTCTGAGACTCGTCCCAATGTGCTGAGGTCACTTTGGTATTCCAGACAATGTCCGGGCCGAGACCCCAAACATCAACAACATGTTCAAAGTAGGTAACCAGTTCGTCTCTGTCTGGGAAACGCTGCTTCCATTGCCAGGTCGACCATGTAGCGGGATCGGAGTACGCGTACTGTGGGACTTCAGTGTCGACACGGGCGCCGGGGTAGCGATTCCAATTCCTGGTACAAGGGTTAGTTGGCCTATACCAACCATGACGTTGCTAGGCGCCTTACCAGATGCCACCTGGGCCATCACCTCCTTCGATAATCTTCGCCGAAAATCCCGCTTTGCGGAGCTCGTGCAGCAAAAAGAGGCCGCTGAACCCGGCTCCAATGACGATGGCGTCGTACTTTTTTTCGCTAAGTGAACCCATGATGAGGTTGTCAAGATCCTTTACAGCGTCTCCTAGGTCAAAGACAGAAGTCGTTAAGATATAAGCAAGGAAAATGTACCGCGCCTACCGAACAGCCAGACCTCAGGATATATTTTCGCACCTGGAGACACACCAAGCTGGTGTTCGCCCACAGTTCGGACGTTGGTCCCCGATATCTCTACCCCAGACTCGCATCTCCAAGTGTCAAAGCTGGTTCGAGGTGATAGCCGAGGGTTTGTGGCAAAGAATGTGGCTGTCAGGTGAGAACGGGGTTATAACGCCGGGGGTGCTCAGAGATTCTAGCCTCGGCCATCGCAAGCCTGTTGCAAAGTGCCGTGATCTATGAGCGGGCATGATCGTCCTATGATTTCTGGGATTGAGCAGCCCTGTATGTTGTTGAAGCAGTGAGGTCGACAATGCACGAGATGAGAGGGAGGTACGGAGAATGACGAAGTACTGATGGTTCCAAGTTCACGGGGTTGTCGCCGCCGCCTTCCACCTTCCACTCCTACCGCTACTGCTTGGCGCAGCCTTCTCGGCTTGGAACAATGTTGTTGCCGTTATAGATCTATTTGCTCTCATTTGATTGACCTGCCATCACACGATCAACGCAAATGGCGTGATGACCAGATCTACCTCAGATCCCAGCCTTGCACAGGTTGGATACAAGTCGTCCTATTTCAATGAGTACTAGCTCTGCTCCCTTGGAGATGTGGTAAGCCTTGTCTGCCGACAGAATTTTGTGCCCTTCGTCTTCAGAACTTACTGCACCATGGACTTTGGAATGTAGGAAAGCATCGCGTCCTCAATGGAAGATTCCTACTTGTCCTGAGCATCCCAGCTCCTCTGCAGAAATGAAGTCTCGCCAATCTCAGACACATTTGCCGTGGCTTGACACTTCGGCAGTCCATGTCCGAGCTTCCTCCCCAGTGACTCGAGCAATCAATAACGACCAGCTGATGACTCTGTTTACATTTCTGATTTCTCACATTGTGGTTGCTGATTCCCGGATCTCCTGATAGCTCCTTTTTGTTTGTGTCACTACTCACAGGCTCTGAAACGCACCTTCAACATGGCACAACCGGGCTCCTCAGGCTCGATGCCGGCAGTTCTTCAAAAGTTCTTAGTAACAAGCAAGACTGTGGTCGTCACCGGTGGTGCGAGAGGACTTGGCTTCGAATTTGCCAAAGGTCTGGCTCAGGCTGGGGCCAATATTGCGGCTATTGACAGAGATGATATTGCTCCTCCATACTTTGACCAGCTATCACAAGCTGGTGGCCGACATAAATACTATAAATCCGACGTCACAGACTACAAGGGCTTGAAGGCTACAATTAATCAAATCAGTCAGGACTTTGGGTCTATTAACGGATGGTAAGCATGTGAACCCTACCCTCTATCCAAGAAGTAGTCGAAGCTCACAATGTCAAAGTATCCCGGCCGCAGGGATTATCAGGGACAGGCCCTTCCTCCAGCATTCCACCCAAGATCTCGAGGATACAATGGACGTTAATGTATGGTGATCATGCTCTCAGTTCCAAACCCGCTCTTGCCTGTGGATTGACTCTAATACCTTTTCATCTAGGTAAATGGTGTCTTCTATACAATGCAACTGTGCTGCGCCAAAATGGTCGAGCAGGGACAGGGAGGCAGCATCGTCTGTATTGCGTCTACTGCAGGGCACAGGTCGCTCTTCCCCCAGACCATTACTGCATACACCGCATCGAAGTACGCTGTCCGTGGCCTTGTCAAACAAGTAGCGGCCGAGATGGCTCAACACAAGATTCGCGTCAACTCGATCAGTCCAGGGTGAGGACTATCCGATACACCATATTTTGGGAAATTCTGTTTCTGAAGGCTGACTTAAAATAGTGTCATCAAAACAGACATGTTAGAGTCAGTCATGCAGGCGGAGCCTACCAGAAGAGCACTTTTCGAAGGAAGCAACGTGATGGGGCGCCTGGGTACTGCTGATGAACTGGTTGGTATGGTTCTGTGCCTGATGAGTGATGCCAGCCCCTTCACGACCGGCCAGGATTTCCTAGTCGATGGTGGACAAATCTGAAGTCATCGAATGCTTGCATCGGGGATCAACATCTACACAGGCAATCGCTGTATTGGCTGTACTGACAATGTCGAAAAGCCAAGGCGGCGTACGTTCTGATGTTTGCAGAACCACTCCAGGGGTTGAATTCTCTAGGGCACAGACTACAGTGGCAGTAGTAGACTTGGACATAGATTATTTTCCATGAAAATGCATAGACCAGCAGAACAAGGTATGCTACATCAATAACTACAACGTTGGTCTTATCCCGTAGAAAGGAAGGCGAAAGTACACTCTCGGCAGGATTGGTTCGGGGGCGATTTTACAACTACAGCTTCTCCTGCTGATCAGCACCCGTTTTACTGGATAATGACAGTCTTTTCCATCATGTGAGTACTTGCCTTGCAAATCTTTGCCCGTGATTTTGAGAACCAGTCAAAAGTCGGCGCCGGGGTACTTTAAGCTCGAAATCCGGAGATGGACCACCGGGCCTCTTTCTCCGCAACTTCACCATCTATGCTAGTCTTTTTCGGTGCTCATCCGCCAGAAGCCATTTGCCAACCTCGATAGTCGTTGTGGACGCACAGTGATAAAAGTATGGCAGGGAGCACATCTCCTCTCGGTCAGACTCGAGTCTGGCGGCACCACTTTCTAGAAATCCATCCCATCTCGATTCTCCACTAGTTCCTCATCCTCATGGCCGCAACGAAGAGACATGCTCTCGTATTCGGGGCGTCTGGGGTGACAGGATGGGCAGTGGTGAAGGAGCTTCTGCTTGACTACCCAGAGGCTGGGACATGGAATAAGGTGACTGCCTTGACCAACAGGCCTCTGAGTCTCGAGGTTTCCCAGTGGCCGACGACGGGGAACTTGAGCATCGTGTCGGGCTTGAATCTGCTCGAGCCATCTCAGGAGGTCTTCAATGGGACTGTTAGGAAAGAGATCTCTGATATAGACACGGTCACCCATGTCTTTTACTATGGTGAGTCCCATCCCTATTCCAGAACATTGTCTCGAATCTCGGACCTTACAACTTCTGTGTGACAGCCTACAAAGCCAATCCGAATTTCCAGCAGGAGAAAAAGGACGCCGTTGATATGCTGGTGCGGGCAATCACTGCCGTGGATCAACTCTCGCCGGTTCTTCAATTCGTGGCTTTCCAGACGGGTGCAAAGGCAAGCTACTCTCTTCCATGTTACCGAGTCTGAACTAACGCTGAATAGATGTATGGCTTTCTTCTCCAGGAGGATCATTATCACCCAGTACCACTTAAAGAGTCGCTGCCCAGGTTAAAGCCACCCTTCAGTGATCAGCTCTTTTACCATGCCCAACTGGAATGGTTAGAATCTTATGCCAAAGGCAAATCATGGACCTGGTGCGAAACCAGGCCAGATATCGTGGTGGGATTCGCTCCAAACCACTCTGCTTACTCTCTTGCCGCGTCTTTGGCCATCTACTTCTCCCTTTGGAGAGAAATCAATGGCCCAGGTAGCGTAGTCCCATTCCCTGGAACGATGAAGAGCTGGAAGGCAAAGCACAATGACGCCGGCAGTGTGGCGATTGCCAAATCAACCATATTTCTATCGTTGCATCCTGAAATCAGCGGAAATGGTGAAGCTTTCAACGTGGCGTCCTCCGCCAAATATGCAACGTGGGAGGATAAGTGGCCTCTGCTGTGTGAATACTTCGGCCTCAAGTCAGGGCCGCCAATTGACCCGTCCAAAGAGGTTCGAGCGTACATCAATGACAACATTGGGCGCTGGAAGGAGATGGAGCAAAAGAACAAGCTCCGAGAGGATATTGCTCAGTCAGGAATCACAATGCCAGGATTTGAGATTCTCCATCTAACGCTGGCCGATTTCGATCGCCAGTATGATATGAGCAAAATCTACAATGCCGGGTTCAAGGAAGATTACTCAGTCATGGAGATCTGGGGAACGACCTGGGATGAAATGAGGAAGGCCAAAATGATACCGTGAGCATGTTGTTTAAAGCCAATGGTACCACTATATCAGTCATGTTTTTTACCGTCAAACAAGAATGCCTTGATCTCTCGAGTACGTTTACTGTGCTATGTCCACTACATCCACTCTCCTAAGTCCATGTGAACTGATAAATCACTGGAGCATAAGGCGTACTTTTAAGGTGTACTACTGAACTTCAAATGACTAAGCCGAAGCAGAATTACAGGGGAGGATGATGAACCAACAGACCTTATCTTGGCCTATAACGGGGAAGAAAGTATTCCGCATTCGAAGGCTGAAGTATTGACCGCCAGTCTCCAGATTCTGTCGGGAAATTTCCGGGCAACCTGGGCCGTTATACAATAAATCTAGCTGGGAGAATGGCAGTTTGCAATTGCATTTGGAAACCAAGTGGCTTAAGAGTGAAAACGAGCGTGTGGCTGTATTTTGTTTTATAACAATTTCTTCAGTGAATCATTCGGATACTTTACAAATTATTCCACGATGACTTCCTCTGAGGTCAATCCCATTATCCCAGGGTTTGCTCCAGACCCGTCGGTGGTGTTGATCAACGACACGTTTTTCCTGGTCATTTCGACGTTTCCTATCTTTCCTGGGTTGCCCATCTATGCGTCCAAAGATTTAGTGACCTGGAAACAAATTGGTGAGTGTGTTGGTGTTGTATCACAACGAGACCGTGATAGTTACTGAAGCATTGCCCAAACCAGGGAACGCGATCAACAGACAAGCGTAACTAAGTCTGAAAATGTTAGATACTCGATGAAGCCCGCCTAATGAGTGAGGAGAGGTGATGTTGTTAACTGGTGGCCTTTTATGCGCCGACGATTCGACATCACAATGGCGTTGTGCATGTGGTGCACACCAACATCATCTACCCGAGTAGTTCGGCCCACGATCTCAGCGAGAACCTCATCGTCTCATCGGACGATATCTAGTCGGATAAATAAAGCGATCCTGTATACTTTAATTTCCGAGGAATCGATCTAATTATCTTCTGGGACGATGATGAGCGGAGTTATATATAAGGCTCTACTACTCTAGACCCGATGACGATCTACCTATTCGAAATCGACCTAAAGTATCACGGGCTCACGGCGCAGGAGTGTTCTCAACTGGTATGAGTCTGAAATGATATGAATAGTATTACCACGAGTCTATCTAGGAGAGAGGTGCGAGAGCGTGAGAGATACCCTGCACCAGTAGTCACATGACTAGGTCATGTGACTCCTCGAGGCCTTGGCACTCAGCATATACAAGGCTGGGTGGTAAGGCTGTAGAGTCACCACGTGTCAACCGTTCCGTGATAGGCACCGATAGGTTTACAAACCTAATCGCCATTTACGTTGATGTTTATGATCGATTACTAGCCGTTCTCCTCCGCTTCATTAAAGACTTAGGCCGCGGTCTTCTTTCTCTTCGGTATGAGGAAATAGTGGCAGGAGATCAAGGAAAGACGAAGACCGAGAGAAAAAGCAAAGAAGACGACAGGGAGGGAGGACAAAGTACGAAAAAAGACTATCAACGTACGTTTAGGCCACGAGTAGACTAGATAAAGGGAGTAACTCGTAAAAGAGGCAGAGAGAGGTAGGACCGTAGAGGCTAGGAGTAATGAAGAGTGAAATATGAGGGACTGAAAAGAGAGAAGGGAGGGGAGGAAAGGGAAGGGAAAAGAGGAAGAGAAGTATTGTCCCGTACTATAGAACCTGGGGATTCAGTTGAACCCCCGTCCAGCGAAATAGTAGGGCACTCTCTTGGGATCCCACCTTTCCTCCAGGGCCCGAAACGAGCCATTATCAATGCCATCGAGTAAAGTTACCACGAGGCTGAGTGTACGCGACGCGGGCGCATACGAGACCGCAGCCAAAACGGGAGCCTCACTGGCTCGCTTCTACTTAGGAGCGAGCAAGGAGTGAGGCGAGGGAGGGCGGCAGGAGCAGGGCGACGGCGAAGGGGAGCAGAAGAGAGTAGAAGGGAGCGGACGAGGGAGCGATTCGATTAAATAGTGGCTAGCGCGGGAGCAAAGCGGCGGGGGATGACTCAGCGAAAGAGCGCTCGAGGACGACGGTTCGGGTTATTTATATATATGCCGATGAAGTGATTTGTTCTCTGTTCTTTTATCGTCAGGAGGCCACGTGACTCAATGCGCCCCCCCCTGTCTCAGTTGCATATGCCTCAGCAACAGGTAGTCTGGCGAAGCATTAGCTACTGATCAGCACTCCGGTGGAGTGTTAGTATTTTGCCGTCAACACCAACAACTGGCTGATTCTGGTTTGTAAGGCTAAAAAGCTCCATATTGCCTCAAACTTTGACGCACGAACGACAAAGGATGTCGTTCATTGGCCGATTTAGACGAGAACGTGGTAAACTTGCGGCCGATTCCGCATCCGCAGGCCAACGTGGAACAATCACGTCGGGAGGTCCGGCACGAGACCTTGCTAATGCAACCTTTGGGAGAACTGCAGTACGCTGCTGGCTTGAAGGCAAAGGGAGGCGATGGGGCATGTATGAAGGACACCTTGCGGCCATATTTGAATTTGAGATGGTGCCCGAAGAGTCACCAGGATCAAAATTGCACAATTTCGAATTAGCTCTCACATTTTCGACAACTGGCAGAGAAGATGGCACTCAGCTAGCACCGAGTTTGCCAGGTCAAGAAAGGGCCGTGTACCTCATCCCGATGCCAGCGCCAACACTTGTTCTCGGATGGCCCACAACAAGACAAGTGAACCAAGTAGGATCCTTCAACCCGACAGTAGAATTTCCTGGTGGAAGCGCAGCGATTGGAGCCCTGACAAGGAGCAGCGAGAGAACCATCGAAAGATGTTGGACCTTTCGAAGTGGACTGCGGGGGAGTGCCGACGGTATCCCAGTAACTGCGACATGGACCTGGGTAGCGAACCCGGACAAACTTCAGAGTGAAGATCGAAACTTGCTGTATGGTGGTCTAGCTTTGCAACATGATGGCAGTCCTTTCCAAGCCACATGCCAGGTCACTGTGAAGAAGGGGAAACTTGGTAATGTACGCTACTCGGGGACAACTCGGTCAAGTTCATGGACTATTGTGCCAGATTTCTCACTTGAGGAACTTGGTACGTCGATCAACCAGCTTGAGGAGAAAATGACGAGACTAAACCAACGAGCGGCTGCTAGTATGTCACACCCTTGTTTTACACTATTGCCAGTCTGAGAGTGAAGAATGATCTGACATGTCGAGTAGGAGCTAGTCAGCCGGTAGAAATGGCGTAGCTGTTTTCAAGCAGTTCCGCGGGGCACGGTGAGCACAGTGTTGGTTCCAAATATAGATATGGAGCCTGCTACTTTATCCACATTCTCATCTGTTCACACTTTCTACAGCAACAAAATAGCCAAGGGCGGCTGGGGTAGCCGCACTAATCTCTAAGCATCCTACGGCGTGACAATGACGCCAGAGAATATCAATGAAGGCAAAGAAATCTCGAATGATATGGAGAAAGGCAGACAAAGAGTCAAAAAATCGCGGCAATTGAAGAGCTGTAGATTCCTAGGAGGTAAAGGTTGATATATGCAACCTACAGTTAGTGGGCTCCAAGTGCGTGTGCCTAGACCTTGCGGTGGCACTGCCCCAGCTGCAGGCGGGTCGCTGGCTTTAGCCACCGCAGTCAATGAACGGACTTCACAATGGTTATTAGCGAGACAATTTCAGAGGTACAATGTAGATATTCAGTGGAAGGCTACAATATAGTGTTAGGGTCTAAGGCTCGTCCAACTCCGCGGAGTGCTAGTGATAATCGTGTGACAGATAATATTTGAGCCTCATCCTCATCAATCTGACAGTGCTTCGATCAGACACGAAGTTGCTAGTCTACATTTTTGGACCTCGACTACCTGCATCGTGCTCAGAATCATCGGAAGCCAATGACGTGCTGCTGGCTCTGGGGAATCTGATTTGACTCCTCCATCTTTTGAAGAAGCTTACTCGGTGCTTGGGTAAATTGGCAGATCCAAGGCGATCTGGAGACTGCCGCACGTTTTCATTCATTGCTGTGACTTGCCTTTGGTATTCTCTGTTCGCTTCGACTAGCTTGTCGTTGTCCCTTTGCAGTCTAGTATTGAGGTATTCTAGCTCTTCTAACTTATTTGAGGCTGGAGGCTGGACATCAGGGGGCGGAAGTTCTGTTACTGTTGTCCAGCTTCTGGGTGACAGATGCGGCGAGCTGGCATTTGGCTCTCTCTCGTAGCCTTTCTGGACGACATCTTTGCCTAATGTCATATCTCCTGTCTTGTCCTTGTAGAGCTCGCGTCCCTCAGGAGAGAGTGCTTGGCCCTTGCCCTTGATAATCTTGTCCCGCTGAGCGGAGAGATCACCTTTTTTTAGTGGCTCCTGCTTCTCGTACCTAAAGGGGCCTTGAGATTCATCGCTGCCCGAACGAAATTCTTGACCTCGGGCCAGTTGCGACTTCTTGGATAAGCTTGCCACCTTTAATGAGATGTCGTTCCATACACCTGCCCATGTCGTGGAGGCTTTGTCATATGGCAAGTCTTGAAATAACCAGCCTATTAAATTTTCAACTTCTGAGTACAAGCGTTCGACCTCATGCGGAGGAGAAGACGCATGACTGGCGAGAACACGTAAATATGCGAATTGGGTGTGGAACAGATCAAAAATCACTTGGATGGTTTCAAGTGATTGCATAGCCTCTGGTGTGCGCTCCTTAGATCGTGGTCTTTCTGGCTCAAACTGCTTCAAAAGACGCTCGTACATTTGCCTTAGGGCAAAAATTTCTTGGACAGCCATTTCGTGACCACACGAGAGCGCACTGAATATGCGCACGGCTTCTGAGAAAAGTGAATGTCTTTCAAGACGCCAGAAATGCTTTTTGGCGTACTCAAAAGTAGGGTTAGACACGCCATCATCAGCAGACTCAATTGCTGCAGCTCGGAGACGAATTTCAATGTTTTGAAGCTGCCTAGTGTCAATAATAATATGTATTCAACAAATTGTGCTAAGTTACCTGAATTGTTGACGTAATGTCCGGCTTAGCGAAGAGGACATGTTCATATCTCAAAGCATCGTCGACTTCTTGATCTTGACTCGAAAGGCTGTTCATAGCCTGAATGGTGTTGGCAACTAAATCATTTCGGGTCCACAAAGCCAGAGTCCGGAGAAACTGTCGCTGTTCTTCCGTGTTGAATTGGATGCCGCCACCAAACACGTCTACAAATAGGTTGATGACGATATCTTCATCTTTATTATCAATGGCAAAGGCGCCTATCTCTGCAACGACCGGGAAGTGCTTGATGTGCCGCCACAGCACAGTTTCGAGGAGTTTGTAGCTTTCATTGATAAGACCAAGTTGCGATAAGAAGGCAAAATCTTCTAGTTCGGCAATGATATCTTCTTCCAGAAGAATATCAATCTCGAGTCTGTCCCTGTCGTAGTCATATCTTGAGGTTGACGCCATGAATGTGTTTGTTTTCAGCGGGTCAGTGGGACTCCCTGAAGGAGGGATGGATAAAGCTTTTCCAATTTTACGTCACCAGGTGCCAAGGAGACTAAAAACTGCTTGTTCCTCAGTCCGCATCAGGAAGAGGGTGACGCCGCCCTGTGCTCATCTCCTTCCCCACCTCATGCGAGTTGAGTAAGCGATCACCGATGTCTCTTCCATGTGGCCACACGTGGGTCCTTACAGATACCACAGATAGTCGACTGTCTTGACATTACGGCGACGACGAATAACTAGCAGAGATATCTCTATTCTTGTTAGGCGTGGAACAACTTGGAGAGGCAAATGGCGTCCTTCAAAGACATAGTGGCTCAGGTGCTCGAGACGGCTCCTACGACTTATCGCGGTCCTGGCGGCTCCATCGCTGTGGTCAGGGATGGTGAACTTGTCGGCCAGCAGGTCTGGGGTTATTCCAACCTTGATACACAGGCTCTCTTGAGCCCGGACACGATCTTACCTATCTGCTCTATCACTAAGCAGATGCTCTGCGGCCTATTGCCCAGCCTCGAGCACGACCCGACCCCTGCGATGAAGGCACGCGGTACAGATGCAAAGACGCAATTTCAGGATCAATTATCCGAGACTCTGGGTGCGGACTTCGTCAAGCAGACAGGCTTGAAGATCCACCATCTCACGAACAATGCCTCTGGAATACGTGACTACTGGGCGTTGACAGTGCTCTGGGGAGCAAAATTGGATCAGAAATTCTCGATGAAGGACCACATCCCCAAAGCAATCGAGAGGACCAAGTCACTGCATTTCACTCCAGGCACAGAGTACAGCTACTCAAACATCAACTTCGTCATCGTCCAGCGCATCATCGAAGCTGTTAGTGGTCAGACCCTTGATGAACTGCTTGCCCAGCGTGTGTTTGGACCGAGTTCCATGAAAAGTGCTTTCGTGGGGCAAGACTCTTCGCTACATCCGACGCGCTGTGTAGGATACGAAGGAAACGCATCGGTCGGCTACTTTCCTGCTATCAATCGTATCGAGTGGGCTGGGGATGCTGGTATCGTCGCTTCGCTCAACGACATGATCGCTTACGAAAAGTCCTTGGACCGCAGCTGGACAGGGAAGGAAGGGTGGTTTTGGGACAACGCACAGCCACCTACCTATGACGACGGCAAACCCGCGGTCTATGCTAACGGTCTTGCGTCAGTTGATGTTCTCGGTGTCCGGACTGTTAGACACGGCGGCGCACTACGTGGATATCGGCTGCACAGATGCTATGCACCCCAACAGCGGGTTTCGGTCATTGTCATGTTCAATCACGAAGCTGATGCTGGGGCCGCAGCAAGTTCAATCTTGCAGAAAGTGCTCGGCCTGAAACAACCAGAGACGCCAGTCGTTCAAGCAGGAAAGGAGTGGTTCGGTTCGTATTTCGACGAGGTCGCGCAAATGTTTTTGACCGTGGCGGAAGGCAAGAAGCCTGGGGAAGTCGTACTTTCCTACGTCCGATCTCCAGAAAAGGTCAAGCTTACGGACGCAACGCATGCGAAATCGACTTCATTGAACGTCTCGCTGGAAGGAGATGTCATTGTCGTCGAGCGGATGGAAGACAATCGCATTGTCCGGGCGAAAAAGCTCACCCCCAGCGTGCACGCGGCAAAGATGGACGCATCCTTTCTGGGCTCTTATCGCTGCGATGAAATCGATTCAAAGCTCAAAATCGAGGGGCATAGTGGTATGCTTTACGGCGCTTTCGAAGGTTTCTTGGGCACTGGAGCTATGCATTTTGTCCGCCATGTTGGAGGAGATGTCTGGGCGCTTGAATGCGTAAGGAGTATGGACGCTACTCCGCCCGGCGATTGGACGCTTGCTTTCAAGAGGGACGAGGCTGGAAATGTGAACGCGTTGACTGTTGGCTGTTGGTTGGCAAGAAACCTCAAGTACAAGAAGGTTTAAATGAGAATAAGCTTCTACGTCGAGCGCCCTTTCTGCATCTGGCTTGGATGGGTGACGGTCCCGCAAATTTCGTGATTCTGTGTAGCCCTAAGATCATCAGCTGGGTTTACTGCACAGATGAAATCGTCATGACAGGGGCAAGCTCAAGCGTGTGTCGAAGGTGAGAGATATGAGCAGAAGATGAGTAGTGGGCAGACCATATTGAGAACGGCGCGGTCTGATTACATGAGTGCCCATGCGAGCTCCGAGCTGATCTGATACTACTATCCGGGCAGCACAGTAAAGTGGAGATAGCAAGTCAGTTCAACGGGAAACGGGGGATTGTCCGTTTGTTTGTTTGACGCGGAAAGGAGTGCTGTACTTGTCGATGAAGCAGCACGTGGACTTTAGAGCTGTGAGATTTTCATCAACTCCTAGAATAGCAGGAATGACAGGAACAGCTGTGGTGGAGGATGCGATGGAGAGATGAGATCAATCACGTGTAGTCAGTCTATGCCCTGCATAGACCAAGAAATACAAACAGGGCAATCTACTGAAATCAATCTTTTCGTCGACAAGTGAGTCACGTCTAGCTCTATAACATTCTCATAGCTTCATTAGCACGTTTTCTCTAAACCGCGCAGAAAAATTACACCGTATCCTCTGGTGATCCTGCCCGGGGGTAATCAGTAGCACGGCACCCTGTACATCTCCCCTCCGTAGCCAGAAGCAAGACTCTTGCCTATCAATTCCACCTGTTTGAGTAAAACCGATTGATTCAAAGTCATCTTCGTCCGCCGAAATAATCATGCCCGGAATTCAATTCGTCAGCGGGAGTATTGGTCCCGCTGGTGTCCCTGTATGGTCTTTCTGCGTAGGTTTGGTACTGTTCTATTGGCATAAATTCTCCGTTTGTGGACCTAAGGTCCCCAGCGTTGCTCAGGAGGTTTGTCCGATCATCATAGGGGTCGGAAGTTGGCGGTTGCGACCTCCTGAACTGTGCTGGAACAAGTGATTGATCGAATTCTTTCCGCGCAATGCTGAGTGGGCGTTGAGGGGCTGGGCTGACTTCCCGAGACGAACCAGGAGTGCCGCTCATAGCCAGCCCTTCTTTGGCGCCGGTCATGAACGAAACGGGAGTTGTGCTTCGAGAATCTGAGAAGATATCACCACCTTCTTCCTTGAAGTCGGAGCGGTTCTTGTAGTAGGAGAAGTCTTGCTGTGCTTCTGGCACAATTTCGAATGGCATGTCTTGGTCGGGTGCACCTGACTGTGGGATGGGTTGCATCGCGATGTCGGAGAATGCCATTGACTGGCCACCTTCGGAATGCAACCGTCCTCTATAAATCTCTGCGAGAATGTTCTTGGCTCTGGCGTGAACCATTGGCGTCATCAGGGGCTTGTACAGAGCTGGGTGGCCGAACTTGGATGAAATCTTCTCCGCTCGATTTGGCTTGCCATCAGTGGGTAGTCTCTCCGTATCCTGCATGCCCGAACGAGCATAGTACTTAAGGTCCATATCGAAGGCCTTCATACAGTACCACTTGAACAAACCCATTATCACCAATAAAGGTGCAATGGCGATGACCAATTTCCACTCACCACGAGCTTTGACGACGACACCGATAACCACATTTGACAACATGACCGCAAACACAATCCGGTTGAAGATTGTCACCCAGAATTGGCCGCCCGACTCGGTCTTTGTAATAAATACATACATAAGAAGGTACTTTTTCATAAAGGAATCGATAGTGAAATACAATGCGGTTACAACCAACACAATTGGTTGCAAAGTCGAATAACAGAGTGCCACTGTAGTATAAAACAAGAAGTAGTTATAGTAACTGGCGTAGTCGAAGGACGGTGGTGCTGTCCACTCGATGTTTTGTCGTGGAGTTGGTGCCATGAAAGTGCGTGCAAACCAGACATATGTCAACTGCCACAATTGGGCGAGATCAATGGCCGCACCCAAATTACGCTGAAGGAGCCAAGTGACCCAAAAAGGCGACACCTGACACAGTGTAGTAGTGACGACCAGAAAAAAGTTGCCCTTTCGCAAGGATGACCACGTATCGCTGCCTTCACGATTGAATTGTATGACAATTGTGACGTATTGCCATACTGCCGAGAAAATGGAGAAGACAATCAAGTTGTTGAGAGCAAAGAAGCTGTACAAATTTCGAAGGACGTGTCGTTCACGATCTGTCTTTGTAATGTCGCCGGCACGGATTTGAAGACGCCGGAAAATGATAGGGAGGACCAGGTAGACAAGAGACGTGAGGGCGGGAGCAGCAATACCCTGCACCACTGCCCACCAGGTTTTGTGCGCCTGTAATTGTTGCTGAAAGGGTTTCCAAACCAGGCCGAGATTGGAAAGATTGGATAGGAAGACGGCGATACCGGCGTTGATTGGTGTCCAGAGGACAGTCAAGACGGTAATCCAAATAGCATTCATAAAACGTTTGCCTTTGCGAGATGAGCGAGATAGCTTTAGGTTGTCCCAAATGAGATCATTCGGCCTTGGAGCAAGACGAATTTTGGTACCGGCTGGGCGCTTGCCTCGACAGGCAAATGCAACTTTGTGAGCATCGGAAATGCAATCCCAGCTGGCAAATCCGTAGGGCATGGGGTCTCGATTGTCCACCCGTAAACGAATGTCATTGATGTCATTCTCCAGGCTCCGAATGCGATCCGTTAGATGGTCAATAGCATCAACCTTGCCCCCCGTTGTCTGGCCCTTGTACTTGCGAGAAGGCTTCATCAGTGGCCGATTTGGTGGTAACCGATCGGGATTCTTCATGTACTTGGCTAGAACTGACTCAAGTTCTCGGACGACTTCTTCGTGTTCCTCAATTAGTTCGGGCAAGACCTTGACATTTCGGCCAATTGTGGTCCTTGGGAGAGTACCCGTGGAATTGATCTCGTCAAGGACCCTGGCGAGACCCTCATTAGTCCGAGCCTTGGCAGGGATATCTCGAATCAACAGTGTTCGGGCGTGTAGGCTCTTTTGATACTCGGGGCTCTCCAGGTAAGCTCTTCGCAAGCGATGGATCCGTCGGTAATTGTGCCACAGGAAATACATGATGACCAGGTCAATCAGCCATGCTACCACGACTTGGGCCCAGAGTCCATTGCCCCAGATGTACAAAGGGGTCATGATAGTAAAGGCGGATTGTCCTTGTGTGATTGCTTTATTGCCCATGGTGACATTGACTGGAATCATCACGACGATTCCAAGAAATCCCAAAGTCAGAAATATGTTCCTCAACATTCGGGTGAATCGCAGGAAGACGACAGCATCGAGACCAAGCTTCTCCATTAGAAAGTCGTCGGTGGCTTTATTGACAGGTTTGACCCAGCTAAACAGCCCCTTTCCGAGGGGAGGGGGAGCATGTTGTTTATCGGAGTTTTTCAGTCTCGGGGCATATACAAGTGCATGTCGAGGACGAATGAAGCAAAAGAGAAGGGCGAGGCCAGCACTGACGCCCAGGGAGGTCGCGAGGGAGGCCCAGAAGGCATTTGTTTGTAGCTATCGATAGGTCAGCTATTTCCATTCGGTGGACAACGTGGGAATGCCTACCGATGCCTGGAAAGGATTGGACATGAGCTGGAGGACCTGCTCGGAAGGAGAAAGGTCGGCACTAGGCGCATTGGTGGTTTGTCGGGGGTATATTGTGGCAGACATGGTGATGGGCGAAGTTGTATATGTCAACCGGGATAGTAGGTATCAGCAAACACTCATAATCTCAATTGGAACCAGCCCAATTGATAGATAGGGAGCAGGGGGAGAAAGTATTCAGTTGAGATGCCCAGGGGCTTTATATCGACGGGCAGCAGAATAAGCGAACGACGGGGGTGTGGCGAGGTGAAGAATAATGAGCAAAACGAAACTGCAAGGAGACAATAATGTTATTTACAGGGGAAGATGGAAGGAAGAATGAGACCTGAGAAGAAGATGATGATGAAGAAGGGTGTAGGAAGATGCAAGTGGTTTGTTTCAAAATTGGGCCTGTACGCGAGCCCATTATTATCGCAGACACGACCGCAGGCCACTGATTTTTATGATGGAGTGGAGGAGTATTCGAATTCTTTGATATTCTGCTCAACAGGGCAATAATTGCCTGAGCTGCAGCTACAAGCCCTGCAGGGACCGAATGTTCGCAGCGCCAACGGGGACGCCCCTCGGGCCTGTGGGACCTTGTCCTGGGACTCTGGGAGTAGCCTTCGGGCCCTCGGCGCGCCAGTAGTAGCCAAGGGCACTGGGATTCTGGGGGTTGCATTAGCCAAGCGTCCAGCGCCAGCAAGAGAGGGCACACTTGGGGGGATCTTGGGGGTTGTGTTTCGGCAATCAATGCAAGCCACAGAGCAAGCGAAGCCTACAATGGGCCTCTCAATGCCCCCTAAGGCCCTAGTTGCATGCTCCAATTCTCACGAGCGTTAACTGGGCCGATGTCGATATCTCCCCCTCCAAGCAAAAGCCCGTTTACCCTTGCACTTTCCCCATTTCAAGCAATCCGCGTCATTTTCCGCAGAATTTTCCGCAGAATTTTCCGTTCCGGTTCCTCCAATTTAATTCGACAGGTGTCATTCTCGCTCCGTCTCGCCGTTTTTGCCTCACGTTTCACTCAGGTGTCATTCGCATCGAGACCAGATCGCTCTGTTTGACTTTCCGACTCACAGCAGTGCAGCGTGGTAGTAATGATAATAAAGGCTCAACCGATTCACATGTGAGAAACAAGTGAACATGATCGCTTCTGGCCTCCCCATCGACAGATCGTGAGCAACCCCGCCTTTTCTCTGACTCGGTTGTGGAAGGCGTGACCAGAGATATGCTTGGGAAGGAGCACCGCTCCACCTCTGTCCTACTCGTCCTTAGTCCTTTATACGATGTACTGTACTAAGAAGAATAGCACTGGCACTTCTCTCATCACGGGCATGCAGGACATCGACATCGTCGGGTATTTAGGAGGTCAGAGTGAATGGCTGAAGGAGCATTGAGCACATCTACCCACTACGTAACCTGGTGATATGTATCATAGGAGGCGGGTGCTGGTCGCGTTATGTTGCGCCTGTGGTGTTGATACGCCGTATTGCATCCCTCTCTTCCTCGCTCAGACCAGCTTGTTCCAAGATCCAACTGATAACAGCTGTTTTGGCTTCGCAATAATCGTCGACGCTTTTCCACTCTCGTCGGGATAGCTCTAGCTTTACCTGCCCGTATCGATCTCTCACCATATCATCTCTTCGGCAAAGATCACGTAGAGCAAGGTGATTTCTGATCGATTGACAATCCTTAACGGAGACGTACAAATTTCGGGTCGGTAAGATGTCTCGTTTGCGGAAAGCATGTCGATCTGGTATCCCCATCGTGCCCATATATGTATATCCTCCCTGCAGTGTCAGCGCCTCTATCGCAGCCTCGATGTCTTCTCGGTCGCTGATCACTGAAAGATCGATCACCGGCTTGGCGGCCAATCCAGGCACTGACGTCGACCCGACGTGTTCGATAGAAACACGTTTCACTCCAATGAGCGCTGTCTCAATCTCTTCCTTGATGGTCTCGAATTGCGCAGGCCATTCTGGGTTGTATTCTTGCACTGCCACATGCATCTTGGATGTTTCCGATCACCATTGATGCGAGGAATATAGTGCCCTGTTGCCCAGTATCAATTTATCACGGTTGGGTTCTGATCCCAAATTAGGGACTGTGCCTGAGGTACGGAGTACATTAGTCACGTTACATCCAATCCTCGTATCCTGCTCGTATCCTGCTCGTATTCGTGACATCTTCTTTCCGTTGTAGCACCTCAAACTTCCAGATTTACAACTATACACAGTTTGCGTTGTCGTCCCTTTCCCTTGATCGTGGCTTACAGAAGAGGAACCCCCAGCTTGTAGTCGTTGCAGAGGAACCTCCATCGCCATCTGACCCCCCCCTTCCTTATGACTTTCCACCTTCAAGGTTTGAGATGACCACTACTTCTCGACAAGCCTCGATTAACACGGATGCTGGATATGATCAAGACGATGCATCACCAGCCGCCAAACGCCGTCGAGTGACTGCTGCTTGTGATCAGTGCAGGCTGAAAAAGATCAAATGTGATGCGATCAAACCAGGTAGCACCGCCCTCACCCCTGATCTCATTACTTTCTTTCTTTCTCTTTCTCGCGTTCCTCCCTCGTGATATCAATCAGAAAACGGATAGGGCTCTTCTAATGCGGACGCTCTTCGCAGTATGTGGGCCATGTACTAGACGGCATGACCCATCCTCAACGTGCGAATGGGGTGAACGTAGAGGACGAGGTGCTACCAGAACAAGGACGGAAGAAATGCTACGCCTAACACAAAAAATCAACGAGCTAGAACGTGAGAACCAGTCTCTCGCGTCATCATCACATGAGAACGCTTCCTGTCGATTACCACCTGCTCCGCCAACCGTGGGATCTCCGGCCAATGCTCATGAGCAATATATTGAAGGTAATGCAATGATGGGTTTCAACGAGCAGGCAGAGGAGCACACTCCGCAACAATACAGTCAATCTGATGCCACAAGCTTCATGAACCTCATAAGAAGTCTCATCGACCAAGATAAGGCCATCCCCCATTCTCACATATCTCAAATATCTGCAACTCCTCCATCGAGGAGTGCCCGAGGTCGAAATTCTACTAGTCGTCGTCCATTACCTGACTACGTGCTTCCTTCACGGCCACAAGCAGATCATCTGATCTTGGTCTATCGTCGGCTGGCTGCAACTCTCTACCCATTCGTGGACTTGGAACGCGTCGAGTTATTATACCCACGGCTATGGACAGGAGAAGATCTAGGAGATGATGGCCTGACTTTTCTATGTCTTTTAAACGTCATGTTCAGCATAGCGTGCAATCTCGATTCGTCCATAGCGCCAACCGAAAGAGTAGAGAAAGCGAACATATTCTACATTCGCGCTCAAGACCTCCTCCAATTTGATATTGTACAACAACGGTCATTGCTTACGGTACAATGCTTCCTACTACTCGGGCAGTATCTTCAAAGCACAAACAGCCCTCAACAGTGTTGGATATACGTGGGTTTTGCTATTCGCATTGCGCAGAGCCTTAGGCTTGATGTCCCTTCTACAAGTGCCAAAGAGCCCTTTGTGCAGAGGGAATTACTCCGAAGGTTATGGCATGGTTGCGTCCTCCTAGATCAAGCTCTCTCAATGACGTTTGGAAGATCTACCATGATAGCACCCCAAGCTTCAAACGCAGTTCCTTTACCAGTGGCACATCCCGAGACCACAATATGTCAATGTCGTACGAGATGTTTGTCAGATTCATCAACGCCGGATTTTCACTTCTTCATAGAAACTCTCCAGTTGTATCGGCTGATGAATGAAACACTAATCATTCTGTACAGCTCGGATAACGTGGGAGGTGATAGTAACAACGTCAATGTCGTCCATTTTGGGTCATTGGGTGCTAAAGCTGTTGGCAGCCTACTTGAACTCGACCACAAACTGTCCTGCTGGTACCAAGATTTACCCATCCACCTGCGCCATGGTCCTGATTCTATTGAAGCCGCAGTCCACGAACGCCACCGGAATGTTCTTTACATCAGGTATACCCACGTTAAGATACTCCTGTTCAGACCGATCCTCGCAAGGTACTGCTCGGATGGGGCGCCACGTAACGCCAGCTTAATGTCTAACCTCGACACCTTAGCCAGCAAAATTGCGCTTCAATTCTCGGTTGCCTGTATCAGGGCGGCTTTCAAGATGATTGACTGCTTTGACGTGGCACTATCGGGGAAGGACATAGGGGAGGTTGATGAGCTACTGCCGGCTTGGTGGTACAGCATCTTCTATGTCTACACAGCCGCAGCAGTGTTAGTTGCAGCAAGATTGAGTCCGCCTGTTCTGGCCGAGGTTACCGAGCCTGCGGTTTCGGAAGCCTGGGACACAGCGATGAGGATTTTGAGTCGTTATCAAGCACACACAAATCTGGCAAGACGGTGTGTGACGGCTTTAAGCTTGATCTTGAACCAAGTCATGCAGCAGGGACAAAGACCAGAGCCCAGGTTGATTCCAGACGCGGTTGAGTTGTTGCCACGCTCAACCGATGTCCCCGAACCCGAAAGGTCGACACCTACTCTTGATGAGCCGACACATAATCTGTCAGCAATCCACACTCAGGACTGGGCGTCATTCGGGATGGAGTATATGGACAGAACTGGCTCGATGAATTTCGATTCGGATTTGGACAATCTTCTCCGTCATATGAACACGTCCGGCATGCAAGTTGACATTTTTGGAGATATGTCGTGGCTGACTGATATGCCTTCACAACTTTACTAAAGATTGAAACCAACCACGGGCAGTAAGCCTTGAAATATCTATTCGTACGTGTACATAGAAGTGTAAACATACGAGTCCTCCCTCGAGGACGTGACGCTCGAAGTTGAAAAGAATCGATGCCAAGGATCTCGGAATTCAACCGCACGATCTCTTCCCGAGGCATGCGGTGTTCCTTCCTTCCATCGGCTGTCAGCCTGTCACGTTCGCACCTTCCACAGCCGAACCTGGCTTGGTCTTTCATCCGCATCTCACTCCTTGGCGAGTACGGGAGTAGATGGGCCATTGAGCTCCTGCAGAAGGAGCCACCGGAAGCTAGGATCAGCAGGAATCAGCCGCTCCAGGCACCTGTCAACTCACCCACCAGTCCGGTAAGTCTTCCAGGTCCAGGCCATCTGTCGCCTTTGTTGCGTTCCAAGTACCCTAATTCTGCTCCGTACCCAAATCAACCACAACTGACCTAGGCCGAGTACAAACCTTTTACCCCAGATTTCTTCGACTTCCCATCACCTCACCTCACCTCACCTCACCTCTCCGGACCAAGCGATTCGCAGGACCCTATTTCCCTTCACCAGCCCATCCTCGGTGACAAGCCAGCCTAGCCGTTATAATTGAAAATGTCGTGACACTTGCATCGAAGTCGGAGACTACAAGGATGATCGCATATTCGCTGCAAAAGACGGATGCCTGACAAGCCAACGACTGTTGCCGCCTATGCGGCCGGCGCATCTCTGGCTGCCATTGCCGCCTTCTATGTTTTCGGCCCTACGTTCTTTATCGATGGCGAGAATTCCTGGCATACCAACGACGGACGAAAGCGCACCATTATCGGCCTATCGAACCCGGCCAATGACTGTTTTATTAACTCGGTTCTGCAAGCATTGGCTGGGCTGGGCGATTTGAGATTATACTTGATAAAAGAGCTCCATCGAAGGCAACTCGAAGGTCAAGCGTTATATGAAACAGCGCCGACAGTGGTACGGAAAGGCGAAAGACCTGAGAGAATTATCAGTTTGCAGAAGGGACCGGTGACCAAGGCACTAAAGGACATGCTAGATGCTCTGAACGAGCGGCCCATATACAAGAAGACAATCAGTGCGAGACCCATGATCGAAGCTCTGGAGAGGGCATTTCAAACTCGGATCAGCCGGAATCAACAGGATGCGCAAGAGTTCTTACAAATAGTCCTGGAACGGCTTTGTGACGAGTATCATGCGGCCCAGCGAGCTCGACAGAGGGCTGAACTGAACATCTCTCAGAATGGCCGAGCGATAGAACCGGGCCCGAAGTCATCCAATGGCAGTTCATTTTCGACAAAGGTGATGGTTGGAACGAATGAAGGATTTCCTTTCGAGGGACGTATAGAGTCTCAAATAACCTGTCTACGGTGTGGTTACAAGACCAAGCCTAGTGCTACGACGTTTGTGTCTTTAACCTTAAACGTGCCGCAGAAAAGCTCCACGTCGCTGGACAGCTGTTTTGATATTTTGTTGAAAAGCGAAGAAATTGATGATTTCAAGTGCGACAAGTGCAGATTAAACCATGCCTTGGAATGGAAAGCTAGCAAATTAAACTCGGCTAACACAGACAGTGACCGAGAGGCATTGGAGAAGGATATTGCTACGATCGAGGAAGCTATCCACCAGGATCCAGAAAAGACACTCGATGGCGTCACTCTTCCAGATTCCAAACAGGCCCCGAAGTCGAAAATTCGAAAATCAACACGGATTACCGTGTTCCCAAAGGTGATCGCTATTCACCTGTCAAGGTCGATGTACGACCCGGGTAGCTACTCCACCAAAAATCTAGCCAAAGTTTCATATACTCAGAGACTTCGCCTGGGAGGCCTCTTGAATGAGCACTGGTACAAGTTGCTTGGTGTCGTGTGCCACAAAGGAAGCCATAATAGTGGTCATTATGAATCGTTTCGGCGCAATCATCTGTACCCTCCTTTTGCAACACCGGATCCGTTTGGGGCGTATGCTTTTGCCAGTCGCCAAAGTAGTGCAGCACCATCAGCAGCACCGAGTCCGAGCGTGGAAGCGATGCAAGCCAACGGGGTTTCTCATGGTCCTCCCGATGGCAACTCCAGCGTCTCTATTTCAGCCTCTTCATTGTCCACGGGCAATAGCCGACCCGAGTCACATGGAGTGGATGCTAGAGTGCCTGCCACTGCCATAGCACCTGCAACAGGCACAGCAGAACCGGAGCCAGTCATGTTACCTGTGCATCGAACAGAGACACAGACGTCCAAACCTCAAATCAGGACGCATGAGGCGGCAGCAAGTAGCAAGTTTCGCCGACGAAAGAAATCCAATGATAGATGGTGGCGTATCTCGGATGAGAAGATCAAAGAAACACGTACAGCAGACGTTCTTTCTATGCAGCGTGAGGTCTATCTACTGTTCTATGAGCTGGAGCGGCCAGGCGACGATGCTGTTGGATAAATGTCCCTCGGCATGTCAACCAATTTCTGTTGAGCTTGCGCAGCTGATCCTTTGTGCGCATTTGCTTTTTGCTATGCCACCCCCACAGGAAAGTTGGGGCGGTAGAAACAAGCTCTGTTTTGTCGAGCTGATAAGGTCAATGAACGTTCGAGACACGAACCGAATTGGATACGTCAGAGCTATCCATTCTGAGTCGTGCATACATACCCTAGATCTACACACACATGCTCAGAGTGAGGGTTTTACTTCCGCGAATAAACAAACCATGTGGAAGTGTCCCACCAGTTCCAACCCAAGCCGACTACGGTAGATCTGGTCCTCGGCGGATTCTCATCGGTACAGCTGTCCCATAACAGATCCCGTGAAGTCCCGCCTGTGCCGAGCAGCATGGCTGTGTTTTAGCCACTTGAGTCGCCTAGATGCTATCGAAAAATGAGGGAGAAATCGGAGCAAAGGGGTTGTTATGGGGGTGAATGGATCTCCATGGGAAGCCATTGGGTGAGGGGCTCGTCGGGAGAAGGAGCTTTACACACAAAAAAGGGTGCCAAGAGGGGCTCTTGCCTCTAGCCCTCTGTTTTCGATGTCATTCCTGGCTGCTGCCCCTCATTCGCCTCGCAGTCGAGTAATGCAATCCCGACCAGTACTGGCAGTGTTGAAACACAATCCAAACCATCTCCAAACCACCTGACCTATTCTTTTCATTTTATTTTCTTTCCTCATACTGTCTCCAAGCTGTAGGACTTCACCTCCATCTTAGATCCGACTTGAACCTCCACTTTACCACTCCTCCTGCCCTGTCTGTGCGTTTACATTCAAACTCAACAACCCCACTCAACAATTGTCAATATGGGTGTCCAGGACGTCCTCTCCCGAAAGGCCGGTGTCATCGTTGGTGATGATGTTTTGGCTCTCTTCCAACATGCTCAGGAGAACAACTATGCCATTCCCGCCATTGTAGGTACCTGTCCTCGCAGCTGGCTACCATGCTAACAATCGTCTAACATAGAACGTGACCTCTTCCTCAACTGTGGTCGCAGCTCTCGAGGCCGCTCGAGATGCCAAAGCTCCTATCATCCTTCAAACTTCCCAGGGAGGTGCTGCATATTTCGCCGGCAAGGTTCGTACACTCATGGCTTGCACAATGGCCAGAAGGATCAAGAATCTCACATATCTTTTAGGGTGTTAAAAATGGCAACCAAGAAGCTTCCATTGCGGGTGCCATTGCTGCAGCTGAATACGTCCGAGCTGTCGCTCCTGTCTACGGCATCCCAGTTGTCCTGCACACTGACCACTGCGCCAAGAAACTGCTTCCATGGCTCGATGGCATGTTGGATGCAGATGAGGCATACTTCAAGCAACACGGAGAGCCTCTCTTCTCGTCTCACATGATCGATCTTTCCGAAGAGGAGGTTGACTGGAACATCGAGACAACTGCCAAGTACTTGAAGCGGGCTGCTCCCATGAAGCAATGGCTTGAGATGGTGAGGACATGATCTCACAAGTCCATGAAGAGTGGATGACTGACGTGGGCAACAGGAAATTGGCATTACCGGCGGTGAGGAAGACGGAGTCAACAACGAAGATGTTGACAACAACTCTCTCTACACACAGCCTGAGGACATTCACCTTATCTACACCACTCTCAAGAAGATCTCACCATATTTCTCGATCGCAGCCGGATTTGGCAATGTCCATGGCGTGTACAAGCCTGGAAATGTCAAGCTCCACCCGGAACTGCTCGACAAGCACCAGAAATATGTCAAGGAAAAGGAGTCGACCAAGTCGGATAAGCCAGTGTACCTTGTCTTCCACGGTGGTTCCGGTTCGACAAAGAAAGAATACACCGATGCAATCAGCTACGGCGTTGTCAAAGTCAATCTTGATACAGATTTGCAATACGCTTACTTGACGGGTATCCGCGACTATATTCTGAACAAGAAGGACTACCTGATGAAGCAGGTGGGTAACCCTGACGGAGACGACAAGCCCAACAAGAAGTACTTCGATCCTCGTGTGTGGGTTCGTGAGGGTGAGAAGACAATGAGTGCTCGCGTGACAGAGGGTTTGAAGGATTTCAACACTGCTGGCCAGCTATAGATGCGCGTTTCAGGCTCAAAGAGGACAAAAAGGCAAGGGCACTGAGAATCCAGTCTCGTACTGCTTGGGTACGGGGAAGAGATGTCGCAACCGAGGCTTTGGCTTAGTTACAAGGATACTCAGCTGAGTGCTTGAAACATCTCTAGGCTGTAACTTACCTAGGTAGCTAGGATGTATGTAAGTGCCAATAGCGGATGCTCTACAGTTAAATGACAAGGACGATGCGTTCTCGCTCCCCGCCCAAGGCTCGACGAACTGCTGGGCCTTGCGCAGTCACCCATACGCGAAAAGAGAAACACTTCACCGTGTACCGTATAACACCATGTTGCACTGTGCTAAGTCACCCGCCGTACTTCCAGGGGCGCCAGGGGCCAATGGTACTCACGTGGCTGGACTAGGATGAATCTGGATGGCGGGATTGCGGCTGGGTGTGTGGTTCGATCTGGAGACTGTGAGGGAAGGGCCGTGTTGATGTCATTGCCCGTCTCCAAGTGACAAGTTCAACAGCGCCCTCGGCCCCCCACCAATGCCTCCAGACGCCTGAGGACATCCCCATCACGGCCACCGACGCCGTCACCACTGACCCTTGCAGTCATTCGCTACCAATACTGGCGAGACTGATCGTGAGTCGCAACCTATTTTCCAGTGTTAAATCCGTTGTCGCGTGGTCAAGGCTTCTTTCCATGCTTCCTTCACTCGCTTAACAGCATCGAGATCCTCACGATCGGCAGTTTTGTCCTCCCAGTTTCCTCCACCTACAAGTCACCTTCCTGGTACGCCTCCTTCTCGCTCGCTCGCTTCAATATTTTCGTCTCTCGCAATCACATTACTGGTACATCATGCCTGAAGGAGAAGCTACCGCGGTCCCCACGCAGAGCAAAGGATCATGGATGTCTTTCCTAAAGGTGCGCAACTCCAAGGCGAAACTTCATCTGCCGACTCACTGATGTTTGCAGTCTATTGCCTCATTCAATGGCGACTTGGCCTCACTGACCGCTCCTGCATTCATTCTATCAACACAGTCCCTAGTTGAATTCTCGGCATATTGGACAGAAAACACCTCCTTATGGATTGCACCAACTCAAGAGAAAGACCCAGCCAAACGTGCTCTTCTTGTCCTCAAATGGCTCCTCAACACATTGAAACAGCAATATTGTTCACGCTCTGAGAAATTGGGCTCTGAAAAGAAGCCTCTCAATCCCTTCCTAGGAGAACTATTCATCGGCCATTGGGATGATGAGTTTGGACAAACAACCCTTGTTTCTGAGCAAGTTAGCCATCATCCTCCTGTCACTGCCTACTGCATTACCAATCATGAACATCGGATTCAGCTCCAGGGCTACAATGGTCAGAAGGCGAGTTTTAGTAGTACGATCTATATCAAACAGATTGGTCATGCGCTGTTGACCTTATGCGCCCCTAGCAGCGACGTTCCGGAGACATATCTGATTACTCTACCTGCGTTGCACATTGAGAGTCTGATACATGGTGCGCCTTTTGTCGAGTTGGGCAAGTTCATCCATATAGTATCTAGCACGGGCTACATTTCCAAGATCGATTTCTCTGGCAAGGGATGGGTTTCGGGCAAAAAGAACAGCTTTACCGCATCGTTGTGGAAAGATGGAGAAGGATCCGAAAAGAATCCTATATACACTGGGTCTGGGCAATGGTCAGACACATTCACATTGAAAGAAGGCGATGGTAAACGAGCAAAAGAGCTGCAGACATTTAAGCCAGCGGACATCAGACTGTCTAGAATCAACGTGGCATCCCTCGAAGAGCAAGATGTTCTTGAAAGCAGAAAAGCATGGGCAAACGTTGCGCGAAGTATTGAGAGGGGCGACATGGATGCGACATCGCACTTCAAATCTCGAATCGAGAATGCCCAGCGTGCCCTCCGCAGGAAGGAGCAAGAGGAGAAACGGGAGTGGCAGAGAGTTTTCTTTTCGCACGCCGAACCCAACAGCCCGGGCGAACAGGCGTTCCAGTCCTTGGTTCAGAAGATCAGCGGTTTTGGGCCCAGTAATTGGGAGGGAGTTGCACCCGAAAAGACAGGAGGTATATGGAGATACGATGAGAAGAAAGCGCATGTTGCAAAGAAGCCGTTTCATAAAGATGGATTACAAGCGTTGGGAGAGAATGCAGATGGAACCAGCGCCTCCATCAGCAGAGTCACGACAAGTCAGAGCAGTATTGCGAATTGACTAAAAATTCCTGTTCCCTCGTTGGTCACTAGCTACCTAGAGAGCATGAGAATGGTGGCAAACAGAGATTATTTGGTGATCACGGCCGAAAAATATGTGCCATGGTTTCGTGTTGTTTGAAGACACTAAAAGGAACAGCTCGTGGGGTTTCGATTGAGCTTGAGCTTGCCCTTTCTTCTTAAGACACGATTGTATTATTAGCCTCGATTATTCTCAGAATACAATTATTTCTTACCATTAGCCTCTGTGTTTAATTGGAAGTGATATTCGTCGATACACTTCTTCTCTAGGCGCTAGACTGTGGTCGCTGCCCAGGCACGAATTACCTCCAGGCTAACAAAGACGTACAACGAACCATCTATGAATGCTCAGCACCACTCAATCCCGCTTCTGTGCCACTTACCGGGTATGTATTGCCATTCTGATCCCTACATCTCACAACTCGCTCCCGGCCGAGCGACACTCGCGCTCAATCAGCGCAACATGGTCCTGGCTCCGCGGCGTGATGCTGATCTGGAACGGCGGGTGATCGTGCGCCAGCGGATCAATCTCGCGGTCATTGATAGGCGAGCCGGGTACTTCGCAGAAGTCGAAGCAGTACAACAGCCGCGAGAACGCGATGAACATGTTTCGTGTCGCGAGGTGTGCGCCGGGACAGATCCGACGGCCTATTTGTTAAGTGAGTTGGTAAAGTTTGGGCTTGGTAACCTAGACGATCAGACAGACTGGCTCATGAAGGACTTACCAGCACCGAAACCCAGATGGCCCTTGAGGAGATCGTGGAGATCGTCGTTGAGAAATCGTTCAGGCACGAAGGCGTCGTGCTGGTCGGGAAACTCCTTCCCGTCGTGGCTCAGCCCGTAGTGGTTATAGCTGAACACGGTGCCCTTCTCGAACACCCACTCGCCGTATGTGTCGTCTTCCGTCAGCGCCCGTGGCGTCCCGGACGTAGTCATGTTCGGTCGCCAGCGTAGGCTTTCTTTCACGGCCGCTAGTATGTATGGTAGTCGGTGCCAGTCCTGTTCGTTGTGGAGAAGGCGAGGCAGTTAGTTACCAGGTAAGCTGTTGTTGCTGGGGTACGATATGCCTCAAGTCCGCAAGGCAAGGAGGCCAGCGGGACAGATGTGTGTGGGGAAAGAAAGGAATGTACCTCAAAAGCAGGCAGTCGTACAGCCTTGCCGCAGACATGATCGAGCTGGGCCTGAGCCGTGTGGACCCAGGTCGGATACTTCGCTGCCGCAGCAAGCAGGAGATTGATCTGATTCCGCGTGGTGTCGCTGCCAGCTTCGATGATGGATCCCGCTAGAACTCACCACAGCACCACCTTGGTCAGCGCAATGATGTTACCCGCAAAGCAGCGTACATATTTGTGGGAAATCAATCACCACTCTGGAAAGAACAAGAGCGATAGAAAGACTCACCGCAGAAATATTTCTGAGCAGCGTCGAACCCGTATTTATCGGCCAACACGCTCATGTCGCGCGCGAAACACCGGGGATCTTCGCCCTGTTTGATTCGCTGCTCGAGCTCGTCGAGGAAGGAGGCGTAGACACTGTCGCATATAACACATATGCCCCGTCAGATCCAGCAGAGGGTGATAACATGAGCCGTTGGTGTCAAAAGAGAGGTTCATGGGGATTAATACGATGCATACACAAAGAAAAAGGTTCTTGAAGTCAAAGTGCCCACACTGGGAGGAAACACTGAGAGAAACACTCACCCGATAGTCTTTCGAAAGACCCGCTCAGCCTTGGGCCGGTACCATTGCAGAGGTTTCGGGATGAGTCTGACGAGCCAAGGGAATTGCTCGATCATGCTGGTCGATGGCGACGCCTGGGTTTCCATGAAGTCGTCGATGGTCGAAAATAAGAGCCGCACGTTGGCATCGTCCATGCTTGTGCGACGGCCAAAGACGCTGTTGGGGTTCGCATGATTCTGTCAGTCAAACGTGGTTCGTTATCGATGGGAAGTAGGGAACCCAGGAGCAAGAGAAAGTGTGGGCCGTTGCTGAGGATGGGGACTACGGACAGGCCATTTAGGGGAGGGTTCAACCTACACAGAGAATATCACTGATCGCGCGTGGCATCCCAACGTCAGCACAGGAGAAGGTTACACCGACACGCATTGAGGAGCACTTGGGAAATTCGATCCCAGACGAAAGGAATGGACAAGGACAACGAACCTGAATTCGCAAATCGTGCGCCATGCTTGTAGAACTCCTCGGGCTGGTGCAGAAACTGCCAAAGGAGTGCCCGCGATTCGATATCCTGGAATGGAGCATATGTTTCTGACTTTCTCGCGGCTTCTCGTCAGCTCTGGATTTCAGTGTGGATCTCGGAATTGTTTCTCCTTCCATATTTCAGGACTATCCCACTATTCCCTGGCTCCATTTGATCCTCAATGGGTGTCCATACCAACAGTCCTGCTTCAACAGAATTCCACAGACTTTTCAAAATGGGAAACAACAACATAAACTTACGTTACTCGCCATCAAAATCTGGTGCATTACCTTGCGGAGGCTACGCCAACGCGAGGTATTACCCATCATGACGATGCGATTCCCACCAGATAAGATATCCTGGGTGACGGGAAACTCTGGCCTTCCGCTGTACAGCTTGCCTCGCTGGTCGAGCAGCTCTCGCACCGTGCTGTATCGATTGACGAACACCCATTTGCGTGCGCCGAGTTGGAGCGTGAACCTGTCGTCAGATCGAGAAAACGATATTAGTTTCAACGATAGAATGCTAATGTCAATCGGAGAAAGGCCAGGAATGATTGAAGTAGAAAGATAAATGATGATGGAAGACAGACATATCTCCATACTGCTTCCCCCATTCCAATAGCTTCTCTCCTGGATATCTTGGGGGAAGCTGGAACAGGTTGCCAAATATTGGGATGCCTTTCGGGCCCGGTGGGTAGCGGTATTTGGTCTTAGGTATGCTCGCAGCTCGAATGAAGACCACAACAGCAACTGCTGCCACAAGCAAAATCAATGTCCACATGTTAGGCATCGCAGATCTGATTCCAAGACCCATCGCGATGATGCGGAAGGTATACGGGAGAAGATAACAGAGTTACAAGAATTAACACAGGAATAGGAGAGTAGAGAAGGTCCTTAGCATGATGTTAACCAGCCCAAGCGATGTACTGATGCGCTGTTGCAGGTTAGTAAATGGTCAATATCACATGAACTCGACCCCATGGCCCCCATAGCTTCCATGGCTTCCCCAGGTTCTGGTTTGGGTTTGGGTTCGTGGGAGATCATTATTGCAACACAGAGTGGTGGCAATAGCAAATACCATCCATACCTGAACAATAAGATTGGACCAAGTGTTGACAGCCGAAAAGGGGTCGCCCGACAACCCCACATTGAGAACTTCCAGAATGCGGGGGACAGTTGGGGGAAAAGGGGCGCAAGGCTGAGTCTCCCCGTTTCATCACTCCGGTATCTGGGTGGACTGTCGGCAAACAGTGGCTGGCAATCATGAATATGATTCTTCGGGCTCTCTAATTGATGGTAATGGACAACCAGTCATTTCGTAAGCTCTCAAGAGCATTTTGAGCCACACAAGGTCCCTCACGGGCTCCAGTATTCCATGTTAGGTCGGGGTGCATACCTAACCCGGCAAAACCCCACCACCTCTGCCTCGAGGGTCGCCGCACCTCCACATTCTCAGACCTTGAACCTTCGCCGAGTATATCACACTCGTTAAAGTCTTGCAAACGGTACCTTGCATGCCCTATTAGCTTATCTTACTGTATATCAAGGATCAATCCAGCAATACTGAAATTCGACCATCTACTTACCTGCCACCTGGATCGCTCAGTGCTGGTATTGTTAATACTGATTGCGCGGGAGAACACCGGGTAGATCTCAGCTGCAAGGCAACTTACCATAGCCATGGACCCCAAGGACTTTGGAATCTCCACGTTGCCTCTCCAACATGAGCCATACGGGCCGATCCTGCCAGAACGGCTGGTTGGGGCCAACAAAGGGAAGGTTGCTGTCGTGACAGGTGCTGGAAGAGGTAAACTCAGTCCAATCTTTCTGTAACTCTACCACCTCCAGAAGTTTAGCATGGTCTGGCAGGCTGGAATAAGAGAAGTGGTGTAATCATACTAACATGACCATTCTGGCTGCTGAAAGGCATCGGACAAGCAATCGCAATTGCACTAGCGAATTCCGGCGCCAACCTCGCACTGCTCGACCTCAGCGTGGAAGGACAGGAAGAAACGAAGAGAGCATGCCAGAAATACGAGGGCGTGCAAGTCGAGGCATACGCATGCGACATCACGGACGTGACAGCCGTTCGGGCGGCGTTCGCATCACTCACCAAGACGCTGGGGCCGGTGGACATCCTGGTGAACAACGCGGGCGTGTCGCACGGCAAGATGGCGTCGGCGGAGCGGTTCGAGGACTTCTGGCGTGCCATCGAGATCAACTTCAAGGGTACCATGCTGTGCATCTACGAGGTGCTCCAGAGCATGCGCGCGCGCAGGACTGGAGCGATCATCAACCTCGCTTCGCGCGCGGCGACCATCGATATGCCGACCGGACTGAGCTATAACTCGAGTAAGGCCGCAGTTGCGCGGGCGACATCCACGTTGCAGGAGGAGTTTGAGGTTGAGGGTCTGGGCGAGGACATCTGTGCCTACAGTCTGCATCCTGGTGGTGTCTGGGGCGCAATGGTTACCGGTGCGTTGCACGTTCCGTTCCCTTGTTCTTCGCCCGCTGCCCACCTTCGAGAGAAACTGACCACAGGCTGATGAATCTACAGGAGGCACGACGCTCGAAGTCCAGCAGCAAATCCGGCATATCTTCAAAGACGGGCCTGAGCTCTGCGGGAACACCGTGGCGTACCTCGCATCCGGGCGCGCCAAGGAGCTTCGCGGCCATTACTTCGATTGTCGCCATGATATCGAGCGTGTGTGCAGCTTTGGACACAAGACTTTGAGAGATCATCGCTTGTATAACCTGACCGTCAAGTTCTTGCCCGGATATGAGAACGAGCCGTGAGATTGATTGATTGAGATTAGGCTACTTATGAATCTCGCAGTGTACGTAGGGCTTGGACAGATGGGATTCGGCGCACAGCAGGTACAAGCGCGCAGCAGGCCGATCTCGAGGAGATGTTCGGGAATGCCACTGCAGCCGCTTCTAGGAATTTGTAACTCAAAATCGAGCCTCTGTTCTCTGAGAATGGGTTGACTTGAAAATCAGATCACCAGGCTAGAATGTAGGCTCATGCCTGGGCGAGTATACAGCCTGCCAGTTGCAATATATCTGTTAACGTCTAATCAGAGAGTTGTGCTCTATCCTTTGCTGCAATACTGCTCTAAGACCTATCAACTCTCTCTTCAACCAAGCAAATGCACGAACTTACCCGGCCCGTTCAAGTCCAACGTTTTCTTGGCCCAATTTCGTGTTGTTTGATGAAGTTTTCTTGCAGTCGGGCACGTGGGTTATGTCTTCGACTGCAGGTTTTCGGGCAATGCTTCCCCCGCCTTGCGATATTCCTGAGTAAAGTCATGCATAATGGCATTGACCCCCTGATGACATAGCGTTATTGTTAGCAGCTTAGACATGCTAGACCTCGAAAATAGTAGGAAGCTCCAGCCACTCACCAAACCAAGGCGAGCACAAAATTCTGCATCCTCAAAGTCTTTTGCCATCTTGAAAAAACTATCTTCCTTCATAGCCACTTCGGGATCTTGAATGAGGCGGCGGAGGTTGGCACTCGAGACAGGATCGATGAATTCGAAATACTTCTCCCGTCTGACCTGATTATATCGGTCTAGGATATTTTCGTCGGCCAACCCTTGATGTATGCCATTGAGACAGTCGAAAAGATTGCCAACGTCTACTATTCCGCCAGTAAGGCCTAGCCCACCACTGAGTGCTATACTTAGCACATGTGTCATGACTTAAGCAATTAACCACGAAAATATCACTCACAAGGGATTGCAAAGATGTGCCGCATCGGCGGCCAGCAGAAAGCGTCCGACACGGAAACTCTTTGCACATCTCTGATGGATCTTGTAGGGACTGAAATTGACAATCTTATAATCCTCTGGAGACGGATGGCCGGGAAGGATGGTTCGAAACTTCTCTGGTTGGCGAGTGAGATACTCTTCTCTCGTTAAGCCTGGAACCTCGCCGTATGTGACTCGCAGCATCCCATCCAGGCTGATTTGAAGGGCCATTGACCAGTAGACTGGATCGACGATGAAAGCCCCTTGGTCCCAGCCATGGCGCTCGATGTTGTAGTATACCTGAGCCGAGTCAGTACTGCGTCCAGGGACACAAGTCTGTTCTCGCATTAAACGGGCTTACGTTTGTAGCAACGATCTGTTCGTCCCAGGTTCTTCCGGGAAAGTCATCACCGAAAAGGGCTTGACGAATCTGACTACTTGCACCATCACACCCCACGACATAATCAGCCTCGAAAGTCTGCTCCCCGTGGGGGGTTTGGGCCCAGACGCGCGCACAAGCTTCCGTCTGGTCGATCTTACTGACCCTATGCATATACTTGACTTCAGCATTCGGTCGTCTGTCAAGATGTTCCTTCATAAGGTTACAGAGTTTGCCCAGGGGAAGACAATGCAATCGATTGTCTTTGAGGATGGCGTCTGGATTGAAACGAGCCAGCAGAGTACCCTCAAGGTTTCGCCATTGAATTCCACCCCAGGTTACAAATCCTCGCTCGCGAACTTCTTCAAGGATACCGGCTCGTTTCAGCTCGTATAGGGCAGGCCATGAATAATGTGTTGCTCGAGGCGACTCATCAAGTTTCGACGCCGCCTCTAACACTTGGACGTTGATTCCCGCATTTGCTAGCAAGAGGGCAAGGAGCAGTCCCGAAGGACCGGCACCAACAACGATGATCTAAGAGGGAGCTGTGAGCCTCTCGGTAATCTGTTGATCGGTTTTGGTTGAATTGTGCGAACCTTCAAAATAGCCATTTCCCCACGTCAATGCTTGAAGGTGTGGAAGTCGTTTGATATGTGACTCCGGCAATAGGGCTTGGGTTTATTGGCAGATTTTTGAAATCTTATTTACAGTATTGATGGCGCTGGTGATCGGATGGTATCCGTGCTGGGACCAAAACATGGACCATGATAAAGCATATTAATGAGTTAGACATGACCCCACGACTGACCGCATGAAGACTAAAGTGAGTTAGGGTATATCTACCTCCCTAGCTAGGTATGTGCCTCAAGGAGAACTCGAGTGGTTTGGAGGATATTGAAGTTGGCCACAAAGACCGTGCCTCGTAGCCCCACATCCACATTCCCACATTCGTGGTCCCTGGAGTCATACCGAGGACGAGGCACCTCCTACTTAACATCTCCAATTGTCCTTAGGCCATTCCCCAAAGGTGGCCAAGGGCCTTACCTAACGCCTGTAGGCTCGGATTGCTTAAGCAGTCAGGATAAGATAGCACATCACCCTTTCTGTTTGAGTTTTACCGGGGTTTGACTTGTGCCCTCGGTGGTAATCATGTTCGGATATGTGCATACCTCAGGCTGCCTATTTGTGTCAGGGTCATGTTCTCAACAACTTAGACTAGCAGGTTCATGGTGATATTGGACTTTCTTCGCTTTCGCGCCCGACTGAGTTACTTAGAGTGAGATTCAGTCTATGACATCGTGTAGCGTTAGGAAGCAGGCCTTCTCATACAATTATTCAAGAGGCTCAAACAGAAATCCAATCTTTGAGACGGTCATGTTATGCAATGGTATGCTGTGCAAAGAAAACCAGGAACGGAATGTCAGATGATGCAAGGTGCCTGTTCCTGTATCACTGCACCTTGTCTCTCAGCACGGAGTGAGTGAGATGTCGGCAAAGGCCGAGCCAGGTATCGAAGAGAACCTTAATTGAGAACATGCGTGACCCAACCGTTAGCCGGTTTTTAATCGGTGTTAACTCGGAGCTACCGCTGTTAGGCAAGGCAAGGCCTTCAAATAACTGGAGAGGCTGCCTAGAGAGCATGAGCTAGTCGCTTTAGTGCCATTTCGGACGCCTTCTAGCGCCCTCGCAGTGCCGCTAGAACCGGCGTCATTTGAAAAGCGGCTTGGCAGGCGCAGGCGATGACAACGAATTGGCGCTCGTCCCAAACCGACTACCAACGCCGCTGTCGTCTCTACGACCCTGTCTCATTCTTCGTTCTCCATTCTCCATACCACGCAACCAACCTCTATCCACATCCCACCACATCAGCACCACTGCCTTCATTTTCTCCCTGCTACTTACCAGAAGTCGACGACGAGCACATCCCTATAGCAGTCAACTCCAATCACCCTCACCCTCACCCCGTCTCGACCCCGTTCGCGCCCCCACTTCGAAAAGAACAAAGGAACAGCTTCGCCATTGTCACATCTCTCGGATTGCGGCTCTCCGCTATCGTCAGTGGTGCGCAATCCACTGCGGAAGAAGTCTCTTGCGCTATTTGATGTCCTCCTTACCCCAATCGACGACTATCCCGCCTTCGCCAACTTCTCCGCCAGCCTTTGGTCTCAAGCGACGGCGCCTGTCTGACAACATCCCTCAATCCCCCATCTCTCCTCCGTTGATGTCAGTCGCTACAAAAAGCTATGTTGCTTCTTATGGAAACTCCCATGATACAGACGAGGTTTCGGGTCGCTCGTCTCCGCGCTCACCAAGGGGTTCCGTATCGCGTGCTCACCAACCCGCTTCTCGACCGACACCTTCGCTACCGACACCGGCCAACAGTGTAGTAGGCATTCCGGGTCTGGAAATGACGGAGGACATTGACTCACATCGCGACAAACGGCCGAGATTGGATGCTGACCGAGATGAAGAGGAGGACAAAATGCAAGTTGACACAAACTCACTATTTACGAACCACGATCGGCAACAGGATGCGGGTCCGTCCGATGAAGCCGATAAAAGGGCTCTACAGCCGGACTCTTTGAGAGGGAGCAAGAATGAGATGAACACGCTGGAACAGCAGAAAGACATGGGTGAACCATTCCTTCTTTGCAGATCCAGTAAGACTCACCGTCCCGCGCGTGTAGGGTATTTTCCTTTTGCATGTTGTTGACAAAGTTACTTTGCAGAGTTCGAACCGCAGAGGCCAAATCCACAGCAGCATTTGTTGGCGGTATATGGACTCGGTCCGTTGTTGAGGAGTGTCGCACGAACAGATCCATTGTCTGGAGAGAAAATCAACAAACTACGCAAGTCATATGAAGGGCAGATCAAGAGTTTTGAGCTTCCTGGGAGAAACAAAGCGGTCAGAGGCGAACGCAATGCCGACGAAGATCAACCTGGACCTCTACGGCGAATGGCAGGATCTGCACCGTGGGGATTACAAACAGATGAACAATGGAATTCAGAACACGCACGTTTCAATATCGAGATGACCTCGGATCTTCATGCGAAGGTGAAACAGGCAATGCAAATGCAACCTGGCGCTGTGAGAAACAATACTTATTGGGAAGGTGAGCTTGGGCTGTCCGATAAACCGAAGATCAACCCACTTCCACAACGAGATCAATCTTCCCAGCCGGTCCTTTCAAGAATACCCAACGGAATTCCACGATCTCTGCCACAAGCGGCGGGAGAACCCAAACGTCAGACTCGCGGCAAAAAAAGAAGCTATGGCGATGATAGCTTTGTTGGGTACGGAGAAGGTTATTCAGACGGAGATTTTTCTGGTGATGATGGCTACCAAAAAAAACGGAAGAAGGTGATTTGACTTTTCTCTAGTGCTGGAAATATCGAGCTCACATACTTTAGGAGAGCGTTGGCACCCCTCTGGCCTACGGACAATTCAGAGACCGCTAAGTGCATCTACACACCAAATTACCCAATGTTGGCAACAGAGAGCGACTGCAGCTGGCCCCGACGCTATGTGAAATACTTTGCTGATTTGACCACAACGGAATTATAAGATACCCTAATGAGAACGACTAGACTGGGTTGGGTCGGACTGAGTATGCGACAGCGTAACCCGGGTAGTTGCTGGGAAAGGCACATTGAACCATTGGGTTCTGGTTTCGCCGGTCGCTTGATGACCACAAGTTACCAAAATGCTATGTCAGAGGATTGATCGCTTCGCAGAAGCCAGAGCCTCGTACGGGCGCGTATTCACGCCTTTGCAAAGAGCGAGGATTATGGAAGAGCACGGTTTAGAAAACCATTGACTTATATGATTTATACCGTTTTCCGGTCCAAGTCTGTCGATCCACCCGGGCCGGTTGATTGGGGTGACGCAATCCATAACTAACTAGAGGGTTGGCCTTGGGTACTTGCAAGGTGGGGATAACTTCAGTCCTCCCACCACGCCCTTCCACTACTTCGTTCCCCGCTCTATGGTAGAGCCCATCAACATTTGTACGAAATAATGACAGTGAATAAATCCAAGCCAACTCCTCACAGGACCTCGTCGGTTTGAAAAGAACGTTCCGTCGCAAAGCGTTGGGAGCTTTGGAGTACATCACACAAACAACAGAGATATAGTATCCTGCTTAACCCATCCCCGGAGCAGAAGAGAAGCATATCCCATAGATTCATCCGTCAATCACCAAACATGTCTGACATACCCATGCCCGAACCCACGGTTGCACGTCGACCATTTTCTTCATTTAAAGTCATCTCATATGACATCTTCGGCACGTTGATTGACTGGGAAGGCGGGATATACCCGCTGCTTCAGCCACTGGTGGAAAGAATGCCGGCAGACGCATCGTCAGAGCATGCCGCCTACCGTTCAGCGGAAGGGAGGAGCAAAGTGGTTGGGAGATTCCACGAGCTCGAAGCCACGCTGCAGACGTCGCAGCCATCAGCGCTCTACAGCAGTATCCTGGAACAGGCATTTTTGCTGTTCGCGCAGGACATGGGCATCGAAGCGGACGACGAGGTCAAGAAGGACGCCAAAGCCTTTGGCGCCAGTGTCGGCTCGTGGCCCGCGTTCCCAGACACCGTCGACGCGTGCCAGCGGCTGGCCAAGGCCGGCTACAAGATGATCCCGCTATCGAACGTCGACCGCGAGAGTTTCTCGCACACGCTCTCCGGGCCCTTGAAGGGAGTCGACTTCTTCCGCGTCTATACCGCGCAGGACATCGGTAGCTACAAGCCCGATCTGCGCAATTTTGAGTATCTCGTCCGCAGGGTCAAGGAAGACGCTGCCGTCGACAAGGACGACATCCTCCACGTCGCGCAGAGTCTATTCCACGACCATCAACCGGCTAAGAAATTCGGCATGAGTTCCGTCTGGATCAACCGTCGGGGTGCTAGCATGGGCAGTCCTGGTGGTGCGGCCGAGATGCATTCCCGAGGTGAGGTTGGCTATGGTTGGAGATACCGCACTCTGGGAGAGTTTGCGGATGAGGTTGAGAGACAGTCGAAGGAGGAGGGGGGCAAGTGAAGACTAATGACCAAATATGAGCTGAGGCGAGGCCCCATGGATGGTTATCAATGAATACCAATGAACACTCAACTGGGAAGTAGGCATGCGCTGGTAGTGTAACCCCTGTATGAAACGGGCACGTTGTGAGCAAGAAGAACGTGATATGGACCCATGGTATCATACGTAAGCTTGTAGAGGCATGAGTTCACCTAGAAAACGACCATCTCTCTCAGACCTGTTATCATAGACGTTGACATCGTTGTTTATAGGTAGCCTTCCTACCTTTCCAATTCTCAACCCACGTATAATTAATAATGGTTTGGCCCGCGATGCGTACGACAATATCGACTAGCTCAAGTATGAAACCTTAGGCCTCGAGGGCAATCAATTGTCTCGTACGATGCACAAATCCATGAAACTGGCAGTATAGTACTTTGGAACTAGACGTGATCTCGACCTATCTAGGGTTCTAAAAGATGACTCGACGGGCCACTATCGATACGAGGAACGAGTACGTCAGGACGTATCCAGCAATGCAGCGCATGAAAAGGACCAATGCCCAATGAGGAAGTCTGGAGTTAACATGGAAATGGTTTTAGCGTTATTCGATGCTAGCGTATCCAGCTAGGTCAAGTTAGGTTAGCTTGAGGTCTTAACGGGCTGGCTCGGAGGATCATTTGTGCCGAACCAGATGCTGTCTGTATTTAAGACCACACCGGGCCCCGCCAGTAACCTGATGATTCTCGGGAGTGGAAAGTTGGTCTTTTCGATCATCTCCAATACGTTCACTTGATCTGGTCACATATCAGGTAGTGGGATACCTTTGCAGGGAACACCTCGATATTTGGTGTCTCTATCCCATCCATATCACGATCATCACTACCATCAAACCAATCCCACTCAGCACCATGTCAACAAGCTACCTCGGCCTCAACCTCTCAAGCTCCAGCAGTAATAGACTCGCCGCGCCAGCAGCCTTCCTAGGCTGGCAGTGGTTCTACGCCTACTGTGTGCTGTCCAGCCGCACGTGGAAACAATGGTACGGGATCGACCACAATGGCAGCCCGCGCCAGGACCTCACCAAGTACGCCGAAGTGGCGATCCGGGATGGCAAATTGACCCGCGCGCAGGTCGACCAGATCAAGCGTGTCGAGGCAGCTAGTGCCAATGCCACTGAAGGTTTTACTTTGTTTGCTGCTTCAGGTATGTTACGATCATGATTCTTTTTGCTTCTGGTCGAGGTGTTTCATGGGGGTTTGGTATGAAGTATCTCCATGGGGTACTAAGTCAGGTAGTTCCGCGAAAAATTCCTCATATCGCTGGTTGCTTCTTCCTTAGTTCGTTCGGGATCCTGACCTTCGCCTTTCTTCTAGTTCTTTTTGCTCTCATCACGGATGTGCCCACTTCGTCTCTGATAAATGCTTGCACCACCTACACAATCGCCAGGTTGGTCTACGGCGTGGTGTATGTCTTTGTCGAGGATGATTTCTGGAGTCAGGCACGTGGTATCTCATGGTGGACGGGCAATATCAGCTGTTTGTTCTTGCTTTGGAAAGGTGCTCAGTCTACTTCATAGCATTTTGCATCAGGTTCAGGCAGTGGGGCCCTTTAAAAGCGTGGCCAAGATCCTATTTTGCTGGCCTTTGTATGCGGAAAGCCTGCGTTCTTATTGACTTCCGACCAACGCGCTCTGAGAGCTCCAAATTAATGCATGATATCTCAAACGTTTGTGTTCGACCATCTATTACAATCTACCTCGCAAGCTCAAGCCACTCCAAGGTAGGGACCATTCTGTATGGCCGCAAGATCGGTGACAATCGCAGCAGGCTTGAAAAGATGACACCAATCGGTGGCCCTACTAGGTCAATTTCTCCACAGCCTCCCGGTCCTTGACATGCTCTGAGCCAATGCTTGCAGCGCTTCCATGACTTTCGTTGTCCGCGTGAAGGCCATCCATGATGATTTGCTCTGCAGATTCCACCTCCGCCTCAAAAGCATGCTTTCCATCATCGCCTGGGAGTTTCCACACCGAGCAGATGACATAATATGACAGGCAACCCATCAAAAAGCTCAACAACCACCCCAACGAATACATGTGAGTGGCGGCGATGTCTATATCGTGGCCGAAGCTGGCGGCAAACCCCGGGAGAGGAAGCAAGAAACCGATGACGAAGGCTGCGAACGCACGGAGATTGAAGCCGTGGAAGAAATAGTAGCGACCTTCGGATGAGAGGGTAAACAGGTCGATCAGGTTGAGGTTGCCTCGCCGAAGGATGAAGTAGTCGATGAGCATCACTGCAACTACGGGTCCTTGGAATATTGAGTATCCTCCAAGGAAATTGAGAAATCCATTCGCCGTGGCTACGATACGCCTAAGTAGTTGTTAGCACTATGGTACGAAAACATGGCAGGAAACAGGAAGGTAAATCCTTACCATGGGACAATTGAAAATGCGATGACCAGGCACAGCAATTGGCCACGGATAATATTGATATATTTGGGGAGAAGACATGTCACATCAGCAGCGAAGGGGATGAAGTTGCAAGCGATGGATGTGCCGAGGGTCGCAAATGCGAAACTTGCAGAGGCAAAGAACACGCCAGCACGCGCTTTTGAAGTATATGACTCGTCAAGGATACGATTCAAGAGGTCGTAAGGGTTCCAATATGCTTCTCCATACAGGTTTAGTATGGCAGACTGGCTGGTATTAGCGCCTCTCTCCAGAAGATTGGGGAGCTACCATCTGAAACTCACCGTTGATATAATACCAAACGAGGCACAAAGAGTCTGGCCAATTGGCAGACTGATCAATTGGCCCCACAGTTGAGCATTCTTTGTCTTGGAATATCGAGCCAAATCGGGCACGGTGACAAGTAATGCGGAATTTGCGCCCATCACTGCGTTAAATTGTGAGATAATGCCCCAGGCCAGCACGGAGGTCGAAGGTCGTGATGTGGAATTCTGAATGGCGCCTGAAGACACTCCGCCGTTCTCTGTTGTCGCCCATATTACTATGCCCAGGCCGGCAAGGGGCATGATGACCGACTTGACGCTGAACAGATGCTGAATCTTGGATGTATGGATGAAGAGAAAGGGGATCGTAAACAGGAAGGCGAAGAAGAATCCAACCATCACTTGGGTCGTGATGTGTTGACTTTCAGGGATGCTGTTGGGGATTCGTTCCCAGCCGGGGAAGATGCATCGCAAGCACACCGAGATAAACTGTCCTTCAAAGTAGAGCTGGACTCCGCCCCAGATGATGCCCAGGATAGAACGCAGCACAACAACAAAGTATGCTCCCCTGATGCCAAAGCTAGAACGAGACAGGACCGGATATCCGATATGGTACCTAGCTGAGGCTCGGCCGTTCAACACGATCACAACTGCTGAGAGAAGGTTCGCGAAGAACACCACGAGGAGCGCATCGCGGATGGTCGCCCCCAGCGCGATGAATGATGCACCAACGGACCATGTCGACACATTCCACGATTCAGACCACCAGTATGCAAAAAAGCTCCATACGGTCCACGTGTGCCGAGCAGGAGGAGAAGGGGCGAGGTCCTCGTTGATTAGGATCGACGTTGAGCTCTTGAGGATCAGGGCCTGGTGGAATGCGGCAGGCGATGAAAAGGCATGTTTAAACCGTTGAAAACGGGACTTGTTCGTGGTGGAGGTCGCCATTATGGCAGTTGAATGACGTGGTGAGATATCCCAGGCAAGGGCGGAGGGGTCCAGAAGCCTATATATTCAGCATCCTAGTATCCCGGAGATGGGATCAGACGATAAGGTCTTGCCCACATTGTGAAGCGAGGTTGCTGCTTGCCCAGATGTAGATGCGGTTGGTGTATCATATCATGCGGGCCGCATCAAAGGAGGAGGCGCAAAACCATGAGGCCTGACCAGGATTGCGGGTCATGGTCAGAGTAACTGCGTAGTCTGAAGCTAGAGAGAGGAGAGTGATGATGTTCAATGCAGACTTGGCCGAAACCCTGATGGCTCTGAGGTGATAGTGGTGGTGGGCATGGGGTTTGAGGGCATTGCCCACTCACTACTGTACGTACGCCCACTCAACTCTGGGGTGGGTAGAGTGCTTGGTAAAATACATACAATAGTGCCGAGTACCGTATGGGGAGTGTTCACACGTATTGTAATTTACCCCTTCGCCAAACCAGCCTTATCCAGGACAGAAGCAACCTTCTCATCGCCGTCGATTTCTGGGAAGAATTACATTGTCCTTCACCTACTTATTTTAACATCTGCAAACGTCGCTATGGCGACGAATGGCCCGAAAGAGTCAATTGATGGCGGCACCGCCTGGTACAAATGTGATCCTCCCATGAACTTGGGCGAGGCACCCATTTATCGAGCATCTGATTCCACTTTGCATTGGGTAGACTGTTTATGCGAGCCTGCAGAATTGCATATACTCAAAGTCGACCCGGACACAGGAGATGCTCAGGCCCGCGCTCGGGTTCTGGCCCTGGAGGACAGTGTGACAGTTGCATTTTTCCGAAGAAACCATCCCGGCTCATATATCTGTGCTTATTACCAGGGAGTGGCATTCTTGGACGAAGCAACGGGGAAACTAGACGTTGTGAAGGAGATCATTCCCACATCCAAACGAGATTTGCTTCGATTCAACGACGGTGGTGTTGATGCGAAAGGGAGGTTTTGGCTGGCCGAGATCGACAAGAAAGCGATGGCTTATGGGCCCAACAAGTTACCTTCGAGTTATGGAGAGCCAAAGGGGCGGTTGTGGAGGTATGACCCGGATGGGAGTTTGCACGAGATGGAAAAAGGAATTGTGTGTGGGAATGGATTGGCATGGAGTCCTGACAACAAAACCAGTGAGAACAGACCTCATATATTGTCCCCAGGGTGTTGAGATTGCTGCGACTGCTGACTGTTGGAAGTGTACTTTAATGATTCGGTCGCCATGATGGTCTTTGCATACGACTTTGACCTGGAATCGGGGAGCATCTCCAACCGAAGACTCCTGATCGATCGCAGGTCTTCGTTTGGTGAGCCTGACGGAATGGTTGTTGAGTAAGTTGTCTATCTGATGCCTGATGGAGGTAGATATTGACAATGTGAGCAGCACCGAAGGCAATCTGTGGATTGCGGTTTTTGCGTCGTATCGCATTATGGTCTTCACGCCCTCTGGTGAACACTTGAAAGACATAGTCTTCTCTGCCAATAACATGGCATGCACGACCTGGGGCGGAAATAACTTTGATATCATCTTTGCAGCTACAGGAAGAGACAAGAGTGTGGATGCGAAGAAGGAGGACGAAGGCGGGCACATGTTTCGTTTCAAACCCGTAGGATTTCGAGGAGCACCCAAGTTTGAATTTGATGGTTGAAGTCCATAATTCACGTTGAATAGACAGACCATCATCAATCTCAAGAGCAACCTCAATAGCTCGCTGTCGGCGCAAGAGTATTTACTGTTGGCGCGATATGTCTTTCTCAAATAGGAGGTATTTGAGGGTTTCAGGGGGCGAAATAGCTACAAGCGAATCGACCGACTTGGTGATTGATATTTGTGTCCTCCAAAGTCATCTTGGTCAGATTCCAAGCTCACTACTATCAGTCAATGAGAAGACTTGGTATGCAAGGTACCGAGGTCATGGTCCATGGCAAGTGTCACGTCAACCGTGGCGCCACCGAGTGCCCTCCACCGCAAGCCCGCCCGCCGCGGCCTGGTTCTAGGCCTCTAGGCCTCTAGGCGCCAGTCCACCTGCTAATTTACTGGGTATGTGCAAGGCGTTAACAATGCCTTTCACAAGGGGCAAAGGGCCCCCATTTTGGCGTTGACTCGAGCCAGCCGGTTAAGGCTCCACATCACGGGGACCCGAATTGGGTGGTGACGGCAAGCAACTGCCCCGTCACCGGCATAGATAAGTCGCTTCCCACAGCCAGGTACCGAGTCGTGTGCCTAGATACTCCGTACTGTGCCTGGGCAATCTGAAATATCTAGGCGCCCCGGGCTCTCGGCTAACCCACCCGAGGCGGGATGCTTCTGATCAAGACATCCATTGATCCAGTAGTGGCACTTCTCAGCCCGAACCATCATCAACCCATCTTCTTCTGCCAGTCTCATCGACTATTGCGATTCAACCGAGCCTGATTGCATTCACGCCAAAGTCTACAAATTACCCATGTTGGGCCATAAGCTCCCCACAACATGACTGCAACGATTGTGACTGGACTTCCGATGGTGCCTGGTGCCTAAAACTGCCTGGTCTGGGTCCCTCCTCATATGTATAATGTCATCCAACAAGCGATATGAGTGCTCAACCCAGGGCTGTGGGAAGAGCTTCGTCCGCCCCGAGCATCTGTACCGACATCGCCTGAATCGTGAGATAATCCTCCTCAGGTGTGTCCTTGCGCAGTACACTGACAGAGTAACTACCTAGATAAACCGAAGCGGATTTATACCTGTGGTATTTGTGATAAGACTTTCGTACGACTTGACTTACTCCATCGCCATGAAAAAAGACATGGGAGGTCACACCCTCATCAGCCCCTTCCTTCCACCAAGCAGAATGTAGCTGCAAACAGCCCAGCTTCACAGGGGCATTCAACCCTCACCGCTACCATATCTCCTTTACAAGTGACAAACACTGCGCTTGAGCTGCCAGACGAGATAGATCTCGCTACCTCAACCTTGAGTGCCAGTTATGTTCCCGATGTTGATTTGTTCTACCCCCCGACAGATTCTCGCTTAGATTTTGGCAATCAAAATCACGGAGGAGTCCAAATGTTCTTCGACTCCTCGATGGATACGCAGGGATTGAGCGATGAGCTCGATTGGCTGTTCGGCACCATTTCCCCTGACCAAACCGGCAATTATGAACCGCCAGGAAACACTGAACCAGTACTGCCATCCTTTTCGCCTCATAGTACCAACTCACATCAGTCCTTGACCGACTTGATGTTCACGGGGGATGCACTGTGGTTTGACGTTCGAGAGAAGCTACTACTGGCTTTACAGGGTTCCCTGCCTGCGTGTCTCGAAAGTTCCTTCTTCGAGCCTACGAATCTGGAGCGGTTCTACCGCATTTATTTCGCTAACTACAATACTCACTTTCCAATTCTCCATGAATCGTCATTTTCCTGCAAAGATGCGCCTCCATTGCTCCTGCTGTCAATTCTCACTCTGGGAGCCACATTGTCAGACCCAGAACATTTCCAGACATCTGAACTTATCCATGACAAATTAAGATGGTTGATTTTCAGTGTGAGCACCCTTTCTCCCCATCAAACAGAGTCCAAATTGATTTTCCAAGTCACCTGCGTTTCAAGCACCAGCGCCACTCTGGTGCTTGCAGGCATTGTTGATAATTCAGGCCCATGAAAAGATGTTCTCATCCCGCAAACACCATGAAATGGCACATATATTTCACGGAGCTATCATCACCGTGAGCATCGTGCTTTTGCACTCCCGCCACTTAGCTGATACATTTCTTAGCTCATGCGAAGAGGAAGTTCGTACTCAGGAGAGTGGGAAGAATCTGCAGATACATCGTCATTGGATCGAGAATGGCACGTGTGGATTGAACAAGAGTCTTCAAGGCGTGCCTCATTCTTCGCTTTTGTGATGGATGCACAACATGTATCGATTTTTGGCCATAGTCCGGCTCTTTCTGTCAGTGACATTCGCCTTCCTTTGCCTTGTCCAGAACCACTCTGGACTGCGAAATCCGCTTCTCGTTGGAAAAGAGAGAAGTGTAAACACGAAGCATCACCGCCGTTCTTGTCAGCCCTAAGAGGGTTGCTGGCTAGGAGGCCTTTGGCGTCAACCTACGGCCCTTTCACTCGATTTATCTTGCTGCACGGCCTTTTCAGTGTCACCAAACACATGCAGGAACGTGATCTAACAGCCTCTGATGTTGGTGGGACGAAGGCGTCTACGGATGAAGCTTCACAATCACCTTCGAATTTCTCAGAAGTTGACGCCTGGCGTGACATACTCGACCGAGCCATAGAGACTTGGTCGCTATCCCTCCTCTCTCAAGAACCCTCATTGTGCTTGGAGGCAGCCAAACCACTGCACCGCATGGCCCACATCACAATCCATGTGAATCTAATCGATTTCCATACATTTGCTAGAGCTCCATCGTTAATGGGCAACCGGACCAGCTCAAACGAATATTCGAGGGCGAGAAGACGGATTGAACAATGGAGGGCGAAATCCATCGCAAAGCGCACGCTGTCTCAGTGTTTGCTCCTCATCCAGGAAACCATGTTTACCCGAAAACAGTACAAGGCATCAGAAGATAACATTGCACTAAGACCCTGGTGCTTATATCATGCTACATTGATCGTGTGGGCCTACGGAGTTCTGAGCTCGGGAACTTCCCAGGCGCCGTTCCTTTCAGCAGAAGAGTACCTCATACATATGCTCAATGGTTTGCTGGTGGGTGATGGACAGATAGCACTTGCAAACCGTACCTCAGGTCTCATCGACACCGTCCGAAACTCACTGCGGGATTGCAGATGGGAGTTACTCCAAGAAGCACATGTGACCCTGGGAAACTTGGTCGACATTAGGGCCTTTTGATCCTGATACTATGAGGCTAAGAGTACCTTTCTACAAGACTGCAATGCATTTGATCTCCACATCGGTGTTCAACGGTAATGTCTTGACCGCGACGCAACTAAAAATTGTCAGTGGTGCAATTGAGGGGCAATCGGAAAAGTGTCGCTCACGTTCTTGCTGGCTTGACTTCACCCCAGTATTGCATATAAATCTCGTTCATTTTGGCGAAGTCGTTCATATCACTCAAGAAAACGTTGACTTCGACAGCTTTGTCCAAGCTTGAACCAGCGGCCTCTAGCACAACTCCTAGATTCTTGATACATTGGTGCTGAGGTGCGTCAGCCTTTGCTAGAGTGTAAGGTCGCCGGATAAACTAACCGTATGTGCTTGAATATCGCCCTCGGCCAATTTCGAGGTTGCTGGATCCATCGGGACCTGGCCAGAGCAGTACACAAAACCATTGGCAACAATGGCTTGGCTGTAGATGCCTGGGAGAGGCTTTGGAGCTTTGTCAGTCAATACTGCTTGCTTGGACATAGCTGCTCGACTCGTCAGATGTGACTTGATTAATCAAAATGTACCTCTACGATGATTCAAAGTGTTAACAGTAGACAACTCCAGATGGACAGGCAGAGCGATGACGGTACATCATGCTCAGAGAACAAAGCGGTCGGCTTATGCTTCAAACCATGGGGTTCCGCCCTTCTACAAGAGGTTAGGTCTCCCATTTTCTCATGCTACATGGCCACTAGTAACACGGGTGGGCAATGCCCACGTGGGGGTGGATGACACCTTGTGATGTACAGGGTGCTATGTACCATCGACGCATCAAAGTGGTGGCAGATCATGGGGGGAATTCTTCTTATCAAGCAATCCACTCCGTGTGTGCAGCGCATTGTGCCATCGATCACGGGAGGCTGCCAAAATGCTGTCTCACGCAAATGAGCACCCGTCTGCGATTGCTTAAGTGCAGATCGGATGAAACGACCTTCGGAGACGACCTCACACTTACTTCCTTTCTCAATGCTTTGCAGTCTAAATCCAAGTGTATTGAAGCAACAAGCACTAGCTAAATTGCAACAATGAGTTCACACGACGCCCTTGTTGCTCCAACAACAGAAGTCCCCCCTTTACCGCCATATCCTTTGCATGAATCCGTCGCTGACAAACTTCACCCACAATATGTCGCATTTTATAACCAGCACCTGGTCAATGCCCCGCAGGTCCATTACCAACCTGTTGCTGCCTCTCGAGTTGGAGGCAGGATCATTCCGGGTGGAAGCGAAAACTTACCTGTTGGAAAGACTCAAGACATTTTTGTCAAGCGTCTTGAGACTGAAGGGCCAGATGTCAGTATTCGATGCTTCACTCCCGAAGGCGATCCTCCGGCGGGCGGCTGGCCAGTGATGGTGTATTATCATGGAGGAGGATGGGTTTTGGGCACAATTGATACCGAAAATTCAGTGTGTACCAACATGTGTGTCAGGGCCAAATGTGTTGTTATAACCACCGATTATAGGTGAGTGCATCACAATACCCGATTGATCTCTTCCACTTAACAGGAAATGGGTCAAATTGAGGTTCGTTCAGAGGCTCATAGCATTGACAAAACATCGCTCGTAGGCTAGCCCCTGAAAACCCATACCCGGCTGCAGTCCATGATTCATGGGAAGCACTGCTCTGGACGGTAACGCAGGGGGTGCAGGTCCTAAGTCTCAACCCATCCAAGCTCGCCATCGGAGGTTCGAGTGCTGGGGGAAATCTCGCCGCAGTCATGACACAGAAGGCGCTGCTCCTCCGTCAACAACGACCATCTTATCTCCCTCGAGATATTGAATTCGTCAAGCAGCTACTCATCGTGCCGGTCACAGACAATACTGCCACCGTAGATAACAATCCTACGTATAAGTCATCCGAGCACGTTCCCGCCCTACCCGCCCTGAAGATGCTGTGGTTTCGAAATCATTACTTACCCAATCGGAAGACTTGGGCCGAGCCTGAAGCTTCGCCGCTACGGTTTACAGCCGAGAGATTCGCAGAGCTGCCAGCGGCTCTTGTGCTTGTTGGGCAGCTTGACGTGTTGAGGCATGAAGGCGAGGAATACGCGAAAAAACTGCGAGATGCTGGTGTCAAGGCTAAGGTGGAGGTGATGCAAGGAATGCCTCATCCATTCCTGGCGATGGATGCCGTTTTGGACGAGGGCAGGCGCGCAATTACCCTTTTGTGCGATGCGCTGGTCGAAGCGTTTGCTTAGAGTATCAGTGATGGTTGGAGCTAGAGATCCTCACTGAATTGCTAGATATCTCGAACCCGAGGAGTTCATACGGACTGGTTGGTCAGTCGTGTCGTCCCTTAAGCGATACTTCTGCATTACTGGCAGATCAAGATTCTTGTAACATAAATCACTTGGAAAGAAGTAATGGTTCAGCACTCGCCAACAGGTACATCTCAGAACGTGCGGAATACGGCGGAGCAAAGCTTTGCCTGCGCCAAACCTCAAAAAAGTGCGCTGCCAAGAAAATCACTTTACGCGCAACGCGTTCCACGCGTGGGAACGCGTGCCTCCCCTAATTCACATTCTCTGAAGAAAACCCCCTCAATGTCAATTGTGCTAGAAATCCTCGTCAACAGGGCAAAGTAAAGCGTGTTTTATAAATCAATCGAATCGCTTGCAAAATGGCTACAATTGTAGACTCGATTCTCAATTCGGATGCCTTTGGTGCCACCCCTTCTTCCCAGAGGCACACTCAGAATGACTTTCCTTCCTCTTCGAGACCGCGCGCCGCACCATCTGAGAGCAATGGCATGCCCTCTGAAGCCGACATATTCCCCGATGATGAGATTGCGGGCGTAGCTCGTGGTCGTAATCGCAATCCTCTGGACCGAAACATATCGCAACTTACCGACGTCACCGCAGAAAGAGTTGCTCTATCATTCGAAGACTTTCTCGAATCTCATACCGAGGAGCCGTCCACTTCGACGCCTGCTTCTAGCGAGTTGAAGACGGACAAATATTACATAAACCAGATACATGGCCTGCGAGAGTTTCAGCTTTCGACGCTCTATGTCGATTACAGACACATGCTAGCATACAAAGAGGGTACCATTCTCGCAGATGCGATTTCGGCGCAGTACTACCGATTTCTTCCCTACCTGACCAAGTCCCTCCACAATCTGCTTTCCAAGTATGAGCCCACCTACTTCAGAGATCATCGTCAGACGACAAGCGGCGCTTCTCAAGCGGGCACATCGATCGCAGGTAATGCCACAAGCGAAGGCAGTTCGCAAGGGGAACGGAATTTGAACCAGCAAACAGACAAGCTTTTCACTTTGGCATTTTATAATCTACCATTGATATCTCGAGTTCGCCAGTTGAGGACAAATCAAATTGGCAAACTTGTCTCTGTCTCTGGAACTGTCACGAGGACATCTGAAGTCCGCCCTGAGCTGGCTCTGGGGACCTTCATTTGTGAGGCGTGCAACACCACTATCCCCAATGTTGAACAGACATTCAGATATACTGAACCTAATGTCTGTCCAAACTTGACATGTGGTAATAAGTTAGCCTGGAGATTGGACATCAGAAATAGTACATTCGTGGACTGGCAGCGATGTCGGATTCAAGAGAACAGTTCTGAAATCCCAACTGGAAGCATGCCGCGAACCATGGACGTTATACTGCGAGGGGAGCAGGTGGAGCGGACGAAACCCGGAGAGAAATGCGTCTTTACTGGCACATTGATCGTCGTACCGGACGTATCTCAGCTTGGCCTTCCAGGCGTTCGACCGGAGGCATCGAAGGACAACAGAAATTTCCGTGGTGGTGAGGCTGGCGAATCTGGTGTCACTGGACTGAAGTCATTGGGCGTTCGAGACCTCACGTACCGCATGGCGTTCCTGTCTTGCTTTTCCTGCCCCGATACCACGACTCCTGGCCAAAGTGTCAATCAACTCAATGGGCAATCCACGAACATCCTGAACTCACTCCATCAGACAGACTTATTCGACCAATACGACAGCGGGGAACGCGCACAAGAGGCCTACCTGGAGACGCTCGCACATGCAGAAATCGAGGATTTGAGAAACATGGTGCATACAGACAAAATCTACAGTAGGCTCGTACAGAGTCTCGCACCCATGGTGTACGGTCATGAGATTGTAAAGAAAGGTCTCCTTCTTCAACTCTTGGGAGGCGTCTCAAAGAAGACACCAGAGGGCATGGCTCTAAGAGGGGACATCAACATTTGCATCGTTGGTGACCCTTCAACATCGAAGTCTCAATTCCTCAAATACATCTCCTCATTCCTCCCAAGGGCAGTCTATACCTCTGGCAAAGCTTCTAGCGCAGCTGGTCTGACTGCAGCCGTTGTAAAAGATGAGGAGACAGGCGAACACACCATTGAGGCAGGCGCGCTTATGCTTTCAGATTCGGGGACTTGCTGTATTGACGAATTCGACAAGATGGATATCAGTGACCAAGTCGCCATTCATGAAGCCATGGAACAGCAAACCATCTCAATCGCAAAAGCCGGCATTCACGCCACTTTGAATGCGCGCACAAGTATTCTCGCTGCCGCGAACCCTATCGGAGGTAGATACAATAGAAAAGCGACCTTGCGCGCCAATATCAACATGTCAGCACCGATCATGTCAAGGTTCGACTTGTTCTTCGTTGTTCTGGACGAATGCAATGAGAACATCGACCGACATCTCGCTGATCATATCGTCAATCTCCACATGTTCAAAGACGATTTCGTGCAGCCAGAGTTCTCGACCGAACAACTTCAACGCTATATCCGTTTCGCACGAACGTTCAAACCTGTCTTCGAGCCTGCAGCAAAAGCACTCTTGATTGAGAAGTACAAAGAACTTCGTGCCAATGACTCTGGCGGCATTGGCCGAAACAGCTATCGAATTACGGTGCGACAATTGGAATCGCTGATCCGATTGAGCGAAGCCATTGCCAAGGCAAATTGTGTGGAAGAGATCACTGAAGAATTTGTCACCGAAGCTTTCAACCTACTCCGTCTCTCCATCATTAGTGTCGAGAAAGATGACGTCGATGTAGAGGACGATGAGGACAACTCGCAACAGGCCCGACCAAGTGGCGAAGAAGGCGGCGACGATAATGCCGACAGTCCCATGGGTGAAGGAGATGATTCAGGTCCAGCGCCTACCAAACCAACCACTAAGATCACTTTCGAGAAGTTCCACAACATACAGAACATGCTGGCATCGAAAATCCGTGACGATGAAGATCAAACTGGCCAGGGCCCGGAGCATGAAGAACTGCTCCTGTGGTATCTCGAGCAAATTGAAGAGTCTTTGAGCACTGAAGACGACCTGGAAACTGAGCGATCTCTCGCGAGAAAAGTTCTGAAGAAGATGATCAAGGTAAGCAAACACAAACCGATCAATCACGCAAGCGAGCCCTTACTGACATCTCTTGAATAGGACAACGTGATCATTCCAATCCGCGGCGAGGGACTAGTCGAAGGGGAGGACGAAAATGGCGAGGCCAATCAAGCAGCAGGCGAATCATCAAATACAGCACAGGGTCAGAAGCTGTCGTACGCGCTGCATCCGAATTGCGGAATCTTCGAGGATGAGTGAATGAATGAGATGAGATGAACTGCGGGGTTGTGCTTTCTCCCTTTTTGTTTTTTCACGAAGACATGTTCTGCTCGGCGCCGCGTTCAAGCCTGCGAGCAACCCAGGGAGTGGGTTGATGTCCGGGCATACGCTTACAGCACAGGGATGATCGATGAATGAAAGAGCGCGCGCACAGGATGAACGCACCAGCCCAATGATTGAGATGTGGTAATATACAAGATGTCTATGTATGTTTATACTAAAGAGATAAACGGACTGCGTGCTGCGTTCTTGCTTACGCACCTAATTTTCTCGGACCCAAAAGACTTGTTCTCGTGCGCTGCAAAAGCTAGGGGTCAGAAAATGCCATTCTAATGCTTGTCCTCGATAGTCAGTCAATGCGAGAAGTGATACGTTGGAAAGTCAGGAAAGGACGCAAAGAATACGAGACAAGCATCGAACGTCGAGACTCACGGCCCATGTGAACAAAAATTGAGAATGTACTAGTCCTACAGACAAGAGCGACATGCCGGGTGCAAATCGCGTATCCTCGTTTCAAAAGTGCACTCCTTAGTCGGGCCAGATGAAATGCACTTTTCCCTAACCCGCCAATGCCACTTCGATTGTCGCCATTATTTGTACATCGAAGAGAGTCTCCAAGCCCTACATAGAGCTTGCAATCTCGCCGGTCCAAGGTCGCCCCTCAACAAACATTGTCGTTGTGTGAGCGATCAGGGATGTATTGCTGGTTGTCTTTACTGTCTGCGACGTTCTAAGCCATCGCCACGCATGAGAAACACAGGGAACCAGATTGCAATAGATCAGAAAATCAAACCAAGGGGAGCTATATCGGCGAGAGGATGGGCGTGTCGGAAAGTCGACCTACGATACCTCGTTCTTTCCTGCAAAAAAATGTCGCCGGTACGCGGACAGAGCTTGTGCCACGTTCTCGAACTCTTTGACTTCTTTTTGTCGCAAATCTGCAATTACCTGTTTCAAACCCACCAGGTACTGGTCGCGCTGTACCTTGTCTTTTATATCACTAGCTGAGCTCATCTGAACAAGAATCTTGTCATCTGCACGAGATGATAATTGAACAATTAGTAGGAGCAATTTGCTTCACCAACGGATGCGAGAATGGAAAGGGAGAGCCAATTTTCAGACGTGGGCATCTGTCTTGGTCTTATAACATACCGGAAAGGCCAAGCTGGCGGAAATGTTGCTCCTCACAGCTTGGATCTGTACAAGGCTCGCCAGAGAGCTCAGTAGGGCAAAGTGGTCTTGAAGGATCGATATTGTTGCTGTACGTCAAGGATCGATATCCCGTCTTGACTGTGTCGTCGAAGGCTTGGTGGAAACGGAAGGTCTTGAATGAGCTCAATGGCGTTTTGTAAGGGACGAAATGCGGATTGGTCGGCGATCTGCCATCCAGGAGAGGGGTTGGCGTAGATGTATTGCTGTTTCGTGCGTCACCTCCCGCCAATTGAAGGATTTGTCCTACACCGTCCCGTCGATCACTTGTGGAAATGAGTGAAATGGGCTCCGCCCCATTGAGCACATTATTGACAGGCATATTGTCCAGATTGGGTGCTGACTGAGGAGAATCATGAATAAAGTCAGTGTCGTGGCTTGGCGTGCTAGAAACAGCGGAGTCTAGCACACCTATGCTTTCCGCTGGCTCGTAGTAATCCTCAGGTTCTTCACCATCTGGCCCTGTGCCTGGTGTAAATTCGGAAACCGGGGCCTCTTCAGGGTCATATTCATCTGACTCTTCGCCCGATTGCAGCATGGGCTGAGAATCATCGACATTGACAGGTTCGTAATCATCATCATCGCGGTCTGATCCACTATCAGACATGCTTGCACTTCCGTCGCTATCTTGATCAATATCCATGGAAGGATCCTCGGTGGATTGTCGGATCATGTTGGCTTCATCGGCTGTAGGATATGTCGTCGAAATCATCATGTGTTCTGATTCAGGCTCAGGTGATATCTCCATCTCGTCGGTCTGAGGTATATCTTCGTTTCCGTCATCAAAGGCCATCTCGGGCGTATCCGCGTGTATTTGTGGTGGTGGCACACTTTCCCTTCCCAAAGTCCCTTCCATCCGATTGTTGATGCTTGTAGGTGAGGCTAGATCTCGTGGAGGTCCAGTATTTGCTGGACCGTCCGCGTTAACTTCCTCAAGAGCGACCGCGTTGGTGCTAGTTTGCGTCTGTGCTGGCTGTTTCACACTAGGGTTGTTATTACGATTTTGGCCTTCCTCCATTTTCTCTCGCTGAATCCGGTGGAGCTCATCTGAATATTGCTTTTGGCCCGAATGCCCGTCTTGTACCTGTTTCTCGAGATGCTGTACTTCTTGGATGATTTTGCTTTCAGCTCTTTTCGCCTGAGATAGTTCAACTTGGCATCGTGCAACATCTTCTTGTGCGCGGCGGAGTTCAACACGTGCCTGTTGAAGGCGAGTTTCCATTTTCTGAACTTCGGTGTTGAGGGTAGGCAGCTCTTCTTGGAGCACTTGTTGGCGGCGCGCACGCTGTCTCAGGACTTCGGCTTTCAAAGCGGCTGTGCGTTCAGCGAGTTGTGCCGGTGTTAATTTTGAGACCGCTTTTGCAGCCGCTATAGGTTTCTGTGGTAAGCCCGACGGAGTGCTTGTCCTGCTCTGGTCCAAGCCGACTCGTGTAGGGGAGTACCGAGAAATAATAGATTCCTGGGATGGCGCTAGAGAAGGAGCTGTGATGTCTTGGGGATTCTCTTGGCTGCTGCTTCGACTTACGTGCTTGCGCTGTTCCATTTCAGAAATACTTCGATGCATGGCCTCGATCCCTGACTGTTTGGTACGATACGAGTTGCTCGTGGCCTCTTCGTTGACAGAATAGCCTTGCAATTGGGTGGTCGCCTGCTGGTCGTACGAGTCCAGCTCGGTAGAGCCATGGCCACCGGAGCCATTGACATCTCTGGGAATATCCACAGCCATGGGCTCCTCATCTGCGTCCTCGATGATCTCACCCTCTGAAGCATCGTCTGGCGTGTTGGCTTCGGTGGCGTTTTCTTTCCCTCGTAAATCCCATGACAAGTTGGCCCGCTTAGAGTCGGGCACTGTATTGGACTCCGCTTGGAATTGACGTTTGAGAGGTAAGGCATTAGTTGGCAATGCATTTTGCGATTGGGTGTCTGGATCCTGATTGGTAGCACGTAATGGCACAGCATCATCCGTGGCAGGTTCTGCTGAGGTCATAAACAATCCTGGGATCATAGACGCAAATGCAGACTGACTGTCAGCTAGGTGCATTTGACTGCCGAGAGTCTCACCAACTTGTTGTGTAACTCTCGTTGACTGAGGACTACTCGAGAATGGCGATTCTTTTCTCGACGGTTGAGATTGAGGTATTGCTGAAGGGGGTTGCCTCGCAAGTCCGACTTGTTGTTTCAACTCTTGTATATTATGAATGGGTTTTTGTACTGTCTGACTTTGTTGATTGGAGGTAGAATTTGCCAGACTTTCTGTTGACTCGCACCTTGAGAAAGATGTGCCATCAAGATTTACGTCAGCAAGCCGGGTTGTTGAGTTGGCTCCCAACTGTTCTTTAACAGACGGAGAGGGTGTCAATGGGGAACCTGCAGTTACACGGCCAGTCTTAGCGGCAAGTAGTTGGGCTATACGGTCTTTTCGCTCCAGGCTGGGACTAGCAGCGGCATTTTTCTTTCCAAGTTCTCTTATTGCTGGAGAAGCTCCAACTTCAGTAGGTGCAGGTGCAACCTGACCTAAGCCGGATTCTTCTGGCACGATTTGTGCAGGGGAGGGAGGCCCTCGAGGTGCAGATGGATCTGCCATGAGGCCACTCGGTTGCAGATTCGATGCTGTAACATCAGAAGGAGCTTCGACTCGAGACTGTTCAAATGGCTCCTTCTCCACCACTTGCATTTCGAAGTTGAGGCCCAACTCTCCATACAGATGTTGCAAAATAGTTGAATCAATGCCTTCATTGATAAGATCAGCGTACAGAATCTTATGGGGTACAAGCGATAGCAGGGCCCCCTTAGCGGCTTGCCTCAGTTCAGCTAGAGAGCTTGTGTCGTATTTTCTCTCAAAGGACGCGGAATCCTTCGCTCTCGACGGTCTAAATCCAGACGACATGGTCGATGGAAGTACTGCTGGCCGAGTAGGATCATATGCTAGAATCGAGGTTAGTGTTGGTTGAGACCATGCATCGTGGGGGCTTACGAGAGGCATTCCCATCCATCGCGGCTGATTGTTGTGGTTGCAGACTTGTATCAGAGTCCTGACTATAACTGTTGCCTTGTTTCTGGGCAGTAGCGAACAACAAATCGATGTCTGATCTCGAGCCAAAAGATGGAAGAATTTGGTCTAGACATCGGTCAGAGGAATGTTAGAAAGGCTTGCGTTCTGCTCACCTTGCTCGCGGTCAGCACCCCGGTTCACAGCAGAGGATGGCTGTTGACCTCCACCGTGCGCGGCACGTGGCGCTGAATATGACTGAGATTCGGAATTGACCGCCGCACGGTAGTCACCCATACTTCTTGGTCCCTGATACAAGGGTGTGTACGACTCTTGCTGGCTCGGCTGGGATTGTTCATTTGCATAGAATCCGGAGCCAAACCCATTGGCCCCACTTGCGCCGTGCTGGGGATATGGCGATGAACTCGAAGTATTCAAAGAAGCAGAAAAATGCGAATACCCAGAGTTGGGAAGAGGTAGAGGAGGCATCGAAGGTGGAGGCGGCGGCGGCAATCCTGCACTTGCAAATTGCTTGAAGATATCTGGAGTAAAGGTGTTTGGGGGAAATGGAAACGGAGGAGCAGGTGGGCGAACTTGGGAATTTGCATCGAACTTAGCGCTATTAGTGGAAGGAGAGGGCTGGTACGTAGCCATCGCCTGAGTTGGAGGGTGATGAGGTTGCGGGAGACCAGGAGCTTGAATTGACTGTTGGAAGGGATTGGGTTGGTATGGAGGATAGAACGACTGCTGACCAGCGTACGATGGAGTGGCGCTGTAGGCTGGAGTCGAAGAGTATGGGTGCGCCATTTTGGGAGAAGAGATTTTAGGATGAGGAAGAGCGGAGGATCACTGAAAGGCTTTGAGGGGCCAGTGCAAGGGCGGTGATGCAGCAGGGCCAGCCAAAGGCATCATTAATTTGGCTCGAGAGTTTGAATCTCGATGCGCCCGGGGAGACAGCGGTATAGACTGGAGTCTCAGCACCGAAGCGAGCAAGGTGGCAGGGCTTTGGCTCCGGCAGGGACAAGCAATTCACCGTTGAACTCAAGTCACTTGGAAGTGATTGAGATGAGAAGTAGTAGCAACAGGCGTCGTTGTCGCGTCTATGATTGTGATGACAGTGGTAGGTTGGGTGGCGTGAGGCAGATTGTCGTGCCAGTGGTCCAGGAATGTACGAGGAGAATGGAAAAAGGATTGACACGCAGCCCTGGCGTCTGGGAAAGTTCACGTGCATCTCAGCCTGCCGCGCCTGCAGCCTCGTGCGCTGGCTTGGCATGTCTACGGTGAAGTCTTATACGTCGTGCGCGCCTCATTCCGGCAGTTAATGGTCCGTCGTAGAGGTTCCGCCATAGTATGTCGTCATATGCGGCCGTTGCCTGGGGTTGCAGCAGCTTCCCGAAGGGGCTGTTTGACTGTAAACACGGCCACCCACCGCCACCGCGATTCATTACCGCACCATCTGCGCATCGACATACTGTGCAAGCACTTAGTGTACCATACATCGTCATCTATCTTCTCAACTGCACGGATCACCTTCACCCAGCTGTGTCCCTCGCAACCATCTCTGCTAGCTGCACATCTGTTGCCCTTCCTCTTCGTGCCCAACACATCACATGTAAAGAAAGAAACCCAGTAACGCGGCACAATGCTGCTCCATGATCGCAGTCCCGATACCTCACCATTCAACAGTGCTTCTCAGCGGCAGTATTTTAACAGATCTTACAATTCAGAAATGTCGTTACCTTCGCCGGTTTCCCCTTCAAGGGGCTCCAAGTCATTACTGTTTGCTTCGCCAGCACCGGCTCCTTATACACGACATGAGCGCCAACAATCCTACTCTCCCTCCACGTCTTTCAGCTCAGTACCTTCTCATGTACGGAACCAGTCTCTTCAGCGCCAAGCAAGCACATCTAGTACCTTTGCTCCAAAGTTTATCAAGTCAGAGGAAATGAAGAAAAGCGAAGAAAGGATATCTGCTATTGAAGGTGAAAACGACTTCTCAGGCAAGAGATATGTCTGGGTGAAAGACCCCGAGAAAGCTTTTGTCCGAGGTTGGATCACCGAAGAGCTGTCTGGCGGCAATGTCGTTGTTCAGTTCGACAGCGGCGCTTCAATGGAGACCCATATCGACGATGTGGACGCCGTGAATCCAGCAAAATTTGATAAGGCCGACGACATGGCCGAACTCACTCACCTGAACGAGGCTTCAGTCATACACAATCTCCACACCAGATACCAGGCAGATTTGATTTACACATATTCAGGTCTATTCCTGGTTACTATCAACCCCTATTGCCCTTTGCCCATTTATGGGAACGACTATGTGCGCATGTACAAGGGCCAAGCACGAGAAGATACGCGCCCACACATCTTTGCCGTCTCAGATGCCGCCTTCCGCCGGCTAGTGGAGGAAGGTGAGAACCAGAGCATTCTGGTTACTGGAGAATCCGGAGCAGGGAAAACAGAAAATACCAAAAAGGTTATCCAGTACCTGGCAGCTGTCGCAACGTCGGATTTTGATACGCCGCTGACGGGAAGGGCACCAGGAAAGCAGCTTTCCAATCTTTCCCAACAGATCTTGCGAGCGAATCCCATTCTCGAATCCTTCGGTAATGCCCAGACAGTCAGAAACAACAACTCCTCCCGTTTTGGCAAGTTTATTCGTATCCAATTCACGCGGTCTGGCCAGATAGCCGGTGCTTTCATTGACTGGTATCTCCTTGAAAAATCGAGAGTGGTCAAGGTCAGCCAGCAAGAACGGAGTTACCACGTGTTCTACCAACTCCTGGCTGGTACTGACCAACGGATGCGGGAAGTACTGCTGATATTGGGCATGGATGTCGAGCACTTCGCTTATACCAGGGGTGGCAATGACACCATCGCTGGTGTTTCGGACAGGGATGAATGGAACACCTTGATCGAGGCTTTCCATATCATGAACTTTTCCGAGAAGGAACAACTGGCTATTTTCAAAACCATCGCTGCCATTCTCCATCTCGGCAACGTTTCTGTGCGGCAAGAAAGCCGAACAGGCGACCAGGCTTCTTTGGACCCAGAAGCTCGAGCCTCCATCGACAAGGCCTGCAGGCTGCTGGGTGTTCAAACGGAACCTTTCATCAACGGTCTGCTCCATCCAAAGGTCAAGGCGGGTCGAGAATGGGTGGAAAAGGTGCAAACTCCAGAGCAGGTTCGGTTGGCCATTGACGCGCTGTCAAAAGGTATCTACGAGCGTGGTTTCGGTGACTTGGTAAGTAAGATCAATACTCAACTCGACCGTGGTGGGGTCAGCAGCGATGATAGCCATTTTATCGGAGTGCTCGATATCGCGGGCTTCGAAATCTTTGAAACCAACAGCTTTGAGCAACTTTGCATAAATTATACGAACGAGAAATTGCAGCAGTTTTTCAACCACTACATGTTCGTCCTCGAACAGGAGGAATATGCGCGAGAACAGATCGAATGGCAGTTTATCGACTTTGGCAAGGACCTTCAACCTACAATAGACCTCATCGAACTGCCCAATCCTATTGGAATATTTTCTTGTCTGGACGAGGATTCAGTAATGCCAAGAGCTACAGATAAGTCCTTCACAGACAAGTTGCACTCTCTATGGGAGAAAAAGACCTCCAAGTACGCCCCTGCTCGTACAAGACAAGGCTTTATCTTGACCCATTATGCGGCCGAGGTGGAGTATTCCACTGAAGGATGGCTTGACAAAAACAAAGACCCTCTCAACGATAACCTTACCAGACTGTTGGCATGTTCTAAAGACACTCACATTTCGACATTGTTTAGTGACTGTGTGGACGAGCTAGACGAACCGTACAGTCCACGCAGTCGGGTGAAGAAAGGCTTGTTCCGCACCGTTGCTCAGAGACATAAGGAACAGCTGAGTAGCTTGATGCGACAGCTTCATTCAACGCAACCACACTTTGTTCGTTGTATTCTGCCGAACCACAAGAAAAAGCCCAAACAATTCAGTGCACCACTAGTTCTGGATCAACTGAGATGTAACGGTGTCCTGGAAGGTATTCGTATAGCGCGTACCGGGTTCCCAAATCGCTTGACGTTTGCGGAATTTCGATCTCGATACGAGGTTCTCTGTGAAAATATGCCAAAAGGTTACCTAGGTGGCCAAGAAGCGGCAAAGAGTATGCTGGACTGCTTAAAGATGGATAAGTCGAATTATCGAGTCGGCTTAACCAAGGTCTTTTTCAGGGCTGGCGTGCTCGCTGACCTAGAGGAGCAAAGAGACGGCCTAATTCGAGACATCATGTCACGCTTTCAGTCCATTGCGCGAGGTTTCATGCAGCGTCGTGTTGCCTTCAAGCAGTTATACCGTGCAGAGGCCACGAGAGTCATTCAACGAAACCTCAATGTCTATCTAGACTTGCAATCAAACCCGTGGTGGCGCTTATTTGTGCGTATGAAGCCACTATTAGGCGCTACCCGCACAGCCAACGAAGTTAAGAAGAGAGACGAGAAGATCGAACATTTGAATACCAAGATGAGGCAAGAAGCAGCCGAGAGACACCGAGTGGAGGAGGAGAGAAGACGCGCGGAAATCGATGTCCAGCGGATTCAACAGACACTCGAAGCTGAACGTGCGCTTGCTTTGGACAAGGAAGAAATATTCAAGAGGCTACAATATCGCGAGAGTGAGTTGGCCGAGAAATTATCAGAAGCAATAACAGAACAAGAAAGCCTCGAAGATCAGCTGGACGCCGCAATCGACTCCAAGAAGAAGGTAGATGAAGAACTCGCTACTCGCCGCGAACAGGTCCTCCAAGCTGGCCAGATCATAACGAGACTGGAGGCTGAGAAGAAAGAGTTGCAGCAACAAATCGACAAGCTCGAAGACGAACTCGACAACGTGGAGAAAACGCACTCGCAGAATGACAACCGCCTCGAGAACATCAGCGCGGAGCTAAGGACGTTGAAGAGTCAACTCGGCGTCAAAGATCGGAAGATCTCCGAGCTAGAAACCAGCCTCCAGCAATCGCAGAGGGACAAAGACAGCAAAACTGCAGGTCTAGAACAGGAAATCCGAAGTCTAAAAAGCCAGCTAGCCCAACGGGATCGAACGAAGGACGATCTCGAAAGCCGACTGCACAGGGCAGAATCGCTGCGTGTGGAGGAGAACAAACGCAAGACTGACGACTTCGAGTCTCAAATCCGCGCTCTGCGCAGCGAGCTGTCCGGAAAAGATCAAAAAATTCACGACCTCGAGAGCGACCTTTCCAGAATCGACAAGGACGCCGAGAGCAAGCTGGCAAGCACAACCACCGAGTTAGGAACCACCAAGAAACTCCTCCGCGAAGTGCAAGGTCAGAACGAAGAGCTGCGCAATCAAGTGACCAAGCTGTCGCTGCAGACGTCAAAGCACGACGAAGCGCTCCGCCGCAAAGAAGGCGAGCTGTCGGCCTTGATGGCCGATGTCGAGCACCACGAGAGAGAGAAGATGGCGCTGAGGAAGGAAAACGACGCGCTGGCCGGAAAGCACGATCTCATCCAGCAGAAACAAGTCGATCTGCAGGGCGACTTGGACGGCATGCGCGCGCAAAGAGCGAAGATGGAACGAGAGGCCGCAGAGGTCAGGAAGTGTTTGGAGCGAGCGATGCCGTTCTTCACACAGCACTTTTCCACGTCGTCATGATGGTTTTAGGACGCGGGGGTGCCCGCGCAGGTGGTCTTTATTGATGGCGGCATTGATGTTGCAATGCAATACAATGCAATGTTTGAGACGTTGCTTGCTTGACAGACAACGCACCCAACATCATTTCTACCGCTTGTGGGGCGCGATGTGGATATGGATGAATTTTGGTTAATGCACAATGCTCATCATCCGCCAGTTTTCTTTTTTGATCGTCGATGCATCATCGCAGGAAATGGACGACGCCGTGTGTGCCTGTCGTTTTGGACACCGATTGTGTGGTTTTGACGCATGCTGTACTCTCCATGGACCTCGGCGCTGAAACAGAAATGACGGTAGTTCGGTGGAGGTGGTCTTCCGTGTATGCGCATATGCGCATGTATGGGGATTTTGGATTTTGAAAGAAAGGGTGGAGCAGCAGGCGAGGCGCACGGATTGCATTGCGGCAGTGGTTTTCAGCTTGAGAACTAGTACGGTTACCACTGCTGAGTAAATAGGATCATGAAATGAGTATGCGTATGATGTTTTGACAGGCAATCCTCCGTTTCGTCAGTTACGTGGGAGGATGTTTTACGCTCCTTGGTCCGAGTCTTGTTTTCTCGTCGAGTGCAAAGTCAAGAACCCAGTCAGGTTTAGTTGATCGATGGCCGCTAGATGCTCAAGCAGAAAGATCCACATAATTTCCTGACATACAGTGGCAGGCAGGTCAATGAACATGCCTGAGCATATACAGTTCCGCCAACACATGTTTTTAAACGGGGAGACAGCATCTTCCCCTGTCAGACGTAGAATGAGTAACCCAGAAGAATTTGATCTTAGTCAGTCAACCCAATCATTGCCATCACCCGCGATCAGGATCTGGATGATGTCGGCGAAGCGTCTTGAGATGCCGCCGGTGCCCAGGCGACGCAGCATGGTTTCCAAGACGCAAAGTGTGGCGGCTTTCATCTCAGCGGTGTTTGCAGTGAGAATGGATTTCAGTGCTGCACTTGCCTGCTTACCCGTAAACCCTGATGGTAGTGTGGAAGACCAAGTTGAGCTGTCCATTGCTCGAATTTCTGGAAGAAGCTCTAGAGACTCGAATACATCTGTCCTGTCTGTATGGACGGTGAACTGGGCTGATAAGGAACTGGAAGAGGGGATGCTTGGTTGATAGAGCATATAACAAGCCCAACAAACTGCTGCAGCGAACAAGATGCGCGGCGTATGAATGGCCATAACCGAGCCCATACTAGTATTGACCATGAAATTTTGCAACAGTAGTGCGTGGAGGAGACACCGCTTGGAGTCTGGGGAAGATATCCACGACGACACATACTGTCGGACTGAATGGGAAACGTCCGGCCCATCTTTTCCAATCGCCAGTTCCAGGACGTCTAAATCTGTCATCAGGGTCATAAAAGAGTAGTGCCATAGAGGCATAAGGCTAAATGGCAACTCGGTTACTGTCGATCCGGTCGCCTGCTCTGCTCGCGTTGCAGAATAGTCGGGAAAAGTGCGATGCCAGGAGATGAGCTCCGACTCAAGTTGTGTGATCATTTGGAATGTTAGGTGCTTGAGATACCGGCACTCCGCGATCGATGCATCAATTCCGGATAGCCTTGCATACTTAAGAAGCATCGGATATTTTTTGGATTCTCGTGGTGGTCCCACCTCACTCGGGTCTAGGACAGTTCTTTCATTTAACCTTCCGTTTTTCTCTTCCTCTCTGAATCTCGCCGCCCACACGGCAGCCGACGGGGCACTAAACAGATCTGCAGACGAGATGACGGGCAAGGACGTTGTTTTGTGGCGAAAAATGGGTTCATGGTGGAATAGGGCGGCCAGCTCTGCATCATGAATATGTAAGAGCAATGCAATTCTATTGCGCACTTCTTAGTTCATTCGGTCTTCACATACCGACTGCAGAGAGAGCAGTCCTCACCTTTTCATCTCCTCCGCCTGAGCCCACTCTAGCCAAGCCCTATGAAGCTCCGCGGCTGATAGATCAGGTGCAAGAACGAACTCAGGGGCGGGGTTTAGGATTCGCGCGTGACGAGCGATCTGAGTGACATGGTTAAATCTAGGCCTTGACAGACGAGAACGGCCGATGAACGAACCGAAATGAGGGTTCCATGGAAAGAAGATGCAGTGGTGAGATGGAAAGGATGCTAGTTAGCGTTAGTCTAACGATTTGTAAAAGTGCAAACTGTCGAATTGTACTTCGGAAAGTAAAGCAAAGGTCTGCCCAATCATTGACGCTTTCAAAGTCGCTCGTACAGCGTTTGGTTTTCGTGATAGATATCTTTCCCATGGCTAAATATCTGTCAGCGATACGCCGCTCCGTAGGAAGATTTGGCTTACGGCATTCAGATGAGCTTTATTAACGCGCTCGAAGAGCATGCAACCAGTCCTAGCAGCAGCATCTGAGCCCAGACACAGTGTACCCACGGAGCATATTGAAAGCACCAGAAGAGCTCCATCTGTTGTTGGCCGAAAAGTAGGTCCGTGGATGACAGGAAGAGCAACGTTGAAGCGGGTGAAGAACAAGTGGATGCAGAGGTTCTAAGCAAGTGTTAGAAACGGATGACAAAAGATTGTATGAACAGACCATAAATTCGATCGTTGGAAGAGGCTCATCGCGCAATGGCGGTCGCAGCTTGTTGGCCAATTTCGCACGGTAGCTTTCGTCAATATTTTCACGATCCTCCCCAAAATCAAGTGGGGTCATCGCCCCAGAGCCTGCAGCAAAGCCTGAGGCCATTAGGGGAACTTGAGTATACCAATGGTGCCTCAAGTCAAGCACATGTGGTATGGAACGTTTGGCTGCCGGTGGTGGGCACGGAGGTGCCATAGACTGTTCGGTGTCGGTTGTGAAGACACCCTCCAAATCCGGAGTTGGAAAATAATTCAGATTATCGAACACGGAGATATCGAAGTCATCTTCGAGAAGCCAATTTGCTGAATCAATACCTCCCAACGACTGGGTGAAGGACATAGGGTTCATCTGGTTTTGATTGTCAATAGGTGTATGTCTATCTGGCACCGGAAGAAGTGGCACATTGATGTCTTGCGGGAGTGAGCGTATCTCAGTGGACTCTGTATTGTCATACGTCTGTTCTTGGCCGAGCTGACGAGATGATACCGCTGTCTGGAAGTCGTAGGGCCGAGACGATCTCGGACTCGCCGTTTCCTGGCTTGCAACAGACTTTTGTCCCTGGTTGGAAGTCGCTGCAAGCAGCACCTGGGTATAATCATCCACGGTAGCTTCGGGAAACCCAGCAGGTCTTGCAGCCGCGGGAGCAAAGCCTGGCCCGGGTGACTTGGACTCATGGTGTCTGGAATCAGAGGCCTGTGATCCATGTCTACGAACGATTTTCGTTCCCGCTTGGTGCGTCCTTGCATGACGGAGCAGTGTATCACTTACAGTCTTAGCATCAGGATCAGTGTGTCCACTTTACGGAAGACTTACTGGCGTGGATATGCCTTCAAGCAGACACTGCAGCGGAAGGGTTTCTCTTTCGTATGGGATCGGATATGGCGAGTGTAGTGATCGGCTTTCGCGAATCGCTTGGAACAATACGGGCATATTCTTCCCTTTCTTGATGTCGGTGAAGGCTCTTGACTGGACAGCCTCGACTCGTTCTGAGAGCATGATGCATCATGGTCAGACATGTCATCGGCCTGTTTCGCTCAATGCCGGTGTGTTGACACAATAACCCACGCTTCCTCTCATCAGAGGGCATCAAGGGCGGCCGGTACCCTTGTCACAAAAGGAAGAGTGGTACTCCGTTCTTAAGTTAGGGAAGCAGAAGTCGAAGCCTCGGATGTGGGATTTCCAAGCTAATGAAGCAGTCCCCGCGGAGGAGCGACCTGGCCGGCGCGGCTTTCGTGAAACCCCGTGAGTCAATGCCCAGACAAGCGATTAATTACTTAAGCGATCCACAAGCAATCATCAATTGTAGCACTACTCCGTACAATGGTACATGGTACACTGAAGATTGAGATGGTGCTTCTTGACAGGTCTGCTCTTCCCCAGTCCTCACCAGGTTAATGGGAGGCATCCATCCGCGCCCGGCCAAAGAGCATATGTACACTGGTTTGGGAAAAAACCGGCCGGCGCCACTAATGCGGCGTTTTGACTACGCAGGTACTGCAACCCCTTATCCTACTGATGAGTAGCAGGACCTTGACACTACTCATCCTGATAGAGCAGCCTATTCTCCACCTCAAGTCGGTAGTGGTCCTAGCTTGAAGAATATCCAAGGAGAACCGACGGGATTTCGCCACAAGCCACCTTTAGATCTTCGCCAGACCGACAGGCTGCAAAGACAATTCTGTCTGGTCTCACCAGAATGTATCGTCGACCGGGTAACGCCAACTTAATCTGATACATGTCATAACCCTCTGGCGCTGGGCGGTTGACACAGAGACCGGATTTCGCAAATTCTTCACCTGTTGCAATTCGATGGATTTGTGTGGCGGATATTGCTTTCGACTTAGTCGGCGAGTGAAGTAAGGGGTCATGCACCAAAAAGCAAACCTCTTCCATTTCCAGCATCCCTTGGGATGTCGCTTGAAGATCCAGGTTTTCCAACTCAGATTGAGCTGCCTCGGCGTCGGTCATGTCGTCCACCAAAACCACAAGGCGCAGTAGTGGGTTAGGTGGACATTTGAAGATGACATCATCAGTAAAACGTATATCAGCATCTACATCGCCAAACACAGGTCGACAGTAAACCTGAGGAAAGCAGACGCCGCCTGCAAGGCCAGGAAGAAATGCCATGCCTTCCTTCCACTTATAACGTGGCAACCCGTCCGCCCGTGGACCAAGTTCAAGCTTCCGTCGCAGGCGAGGAATGAGTTGCATGAGCCAAAGTATCCAATCTCTGCAGAAGATTTTCACACTGCTCCGCGCGGTGGTCAGACTCCCATTCGCCACAGTAGTTGCGATCGATCTGTCAAGAGATTGCTTTCTCTCCAGACACCAGCCAAGAAAGAGGCGTTGATGGTCGACTGCCATTCCCGCTCTACAAGCTGCAGCGAGTCTCCAAGCAATGCCGGACGCATCTCTGAATCCCGATACGATACCCTGGCCTCCAACTATACAATATCAGAAAGGTCACTCTCCGTTCAGGGAGAACACTCACAAGGTGGCATGACATGAGCTGCGTCTCCACAAAGTATCACACGCCCTAGGAACCAGCTATTGCAGCTTCTAGCGGAGAATGTGAATGGCCTCGATCGTAATACGTGTATACAGTCTTCTGGGTATTGGACTGGCTCTTTCAAACTGCAACCACTGAGTATCCACAAGCATGAATGGCGAGCAGTTTATCTTACCCGTAGATGTGACCTGGATGAGTCAGGTATGGGAATATGACCCCAGTTACATCTTTGTACGATGCTATTTTGTAAGGATCTTCCTCTTTTTCAACGACAAATTCGAACCTCCACAAACGCTCCTCTCGTAAACCAAACGTGCCACAAACGGCTGGTCGGTGGGGATTCCCAATGAAACGGAAGTTTCGGGGGAAGAAGGCGTCGTAAACTTGCTGTGGCGTGAAGCCCAGTTGCCACAAAGGGAAATCAGGATGGCTTTCAGTAGTTGGCAAATCCATATCTATATGTTTGTCAAGGTTAACCATAGCCATCCGTGACCAATATTGCATTCTTCACAATCATAAATAACATTCATGGGCTGATGGTGAAAACTTACGGAAATTTGCAGCGACCCAGGTCTCCAGGTATTCGTACCTGTGGGGTGTTAGCAGTGTGTCTTGTCATGATCTCCCATGGAACCTTACCCGTGAAGGCTCTCCAGGACGATGCCCTTTGGCTCTAGATATTGTTTCCGTGTGAATCCAGTTTTACCGTCTGCTGCAACAAGGAATTTCCCTCTAATCTGTCGTGTTCTACCGTCCCCATTGTGGTATGTCACCAAGACTTCTCTTTCATCTTCTTCGATTGCGGTGAGGGTTGAGCCGAGGCGGAGTTGAGAGCTTGGAAATCGACTTGCTGCTTCGCGAATGTTCCTCTCTAGCACTGGTTGCTTATGCGAGATCGCCCCGACATGACCAAGGGGACCGGTCGTGCTGAGGTCCATTTTCATGAACGGCTTGGTATTCAACCCCTTTTTGCCAGAGGTGAAGTGAAGCCAGCCAAGTGCTTCTCCGATTTCAGTGTGCACCTTATCATACAGGCCGAGGCCTTGAAGTAGTCGAATTCCATCTTCATCCAAGGCTATGCCTCGTGGATCCGTCACAATTTCTTTCTCTTTTTCAAGTACGACATTGGATATCGACATTTGACCCAAGTACGCACTTAGAAGAGCACCCGTCGGTCCACAACCGCAAATGATAACATTGGTGGTCTCTATCTCCTCGCCGGTCGTCATGGTCGTAGATATTTGGACCCCCGTTCGTGCGTGGCACAGGGTAGATCATGGAAAGGATGAGACATGTCAAAAAATCCGGCCATGGCCTGTTCATATAATTTCGGGGAAACTTACACTTTCGACTTGTGTTTTCAATGGTCTTACCTGTTCACGTTTCTTCGGGGCAACTGGGGAGGGTCTAGCTCCCAACTGCTCTCCTAACGGAGTATTACTGGCGGGGCATCTCAGTCCACTGGACGAGAATGCGAACGCGGGACCGTCCTACCAGTGCAGTTATGGTGATGCTGGTAGTAGCGTTTGGAGGAGCAACATTTGGCGGCGAGCTGAAAATGCGGGACCATATTGCGGGGCGAGAGGGGATATAGAGCCATCACGTGATGATATTGGGACATTACTGTACACGGAGCTCGGTTGAATACCGAAAGCTCGATGCTCCTTCGAGCACCGTTTCCAATGTTATCCGTCTCCCTCAACTTCGCTATATCACCGCCCTGCCTGCCTAGCAGTGTCACCTACGGACCATTTTTGATGTATTTCCCAAGGTAATCAAGTTTATCACAGACCTCTGGCACCCATCTTTCCCGATTAGCAACACTCCAAAGGTATTTTCCCCCGCACCTGCTTGAGACACCAGAAAAAACTGTTGAGTAGCACAGTTACATTGATGAACTGGGAACCAAGTAGTGCCAGCACGGCTAGCAGGTATCAATCCGCAGGCTTATTGGGTGGACTAACTCACTGACACACCAGAGAAATGTGCACTTTATGTAATGCTGTGAACACAGCTCCCATTCATCTTGATCCGGATGAGGGCCGGTAGATACTCTGCTATTGTACCTTCCGGGCTGAAGGCAAAGCGCGGCCTCAGTCCTCATCATCCATACCCATTTTCTCTCCATCCATCTATCCACCGCACAGGATGTGCTTCAAAATGATTGGATCCTTGGCGCTCTTCGCCCATTTCCCCTCCAATTCATTATCCCTGCTGCTTACCATCCGACGATCTAGAGAGAGTCTATCCAGGCGTCCTGGGCAAACTACTCGGCTTATACCTTGGACATCCGTTTGAGGGTTGGTTGCATAGGCGTATTCTGAACGAGCTAGTTCCCATCCACCTAGACATCTTGATCTCTGAAGCAGGCCTTGTCCTGCAGTCTGAAGACAGTAATAATCCTCAGGCCTCGCCAAATCACTTGACATACTCCCCGAATCAGTTTCGTTACTTGAAGTTTTGACCGAAACCTTTACACCCCCAGACATTGACAACATGCCAACCTGGGACCTGATGCCACGCCCCTCGTTTCCCCGGGCCAGACTATCAAGGCTGTCGTCCGTAGCGGCACTTCTCAAGTGGGAACTGTGCTGGTAACTTTACGTCTAAAATATTACAATGCTGCTGACACTATCTCTATCCGCTTTGAATGGCACCTCGGTAGAACACTCTCTCCAAACCAAGAAAAGAAACCGACCTAGACTATTAAAGAATCGGGCTGGCATTTTCAAGCTAGGGAGGGTCCATAGGAGGCTCAATATGGCTCATTTTCTTCATTAGAACGCGATGCTATGCCCGGCATTGCAACGACCTTCAGCACCACAACATGACGTCTTTGACCCACGCGTATCGGGACAATTTTTGTCCATTCAGGTGACGAGCCTCGACCCACAATCTCAGCACATTCTCCGTGGTGATGCCAGGCATGTCATTCTGCATGGCACAAGATGAGGGCGAGGCGCTCTGCATCACCGGCGCTTGAGAATAGGTCGATTACAAAGTCAGTGGTCTGAAATTCCGAATCGACCTGGGCGCCACCGCCATTCGCCTAGTCATCTACGTTCGAGGTCTAAAATGGTATTACGCATTGGTGGGGAATGAGGACCGGCAGAGTGTTGCGTTGGGCAAAGCAAGAGACGACATGCGGACACAGCTGGTATCGACACATCTCCCCTGGTCACTGGATCGGCCATGGAGCGCCGCGTTGGCTGTTCGTGGTAGCACGATCGCGGCCGTCAGTCATCTCCGGCACTAAGCATCTGAAGGTGGAGGATGCCGAGTATGCAAATGGTGGGTTTGGAGTCTTGATCTGTGGTGGCAGCATCGCCATTGACCAATTCGATATTGGGCATGCTGAGGCAAGGTTTGAGGAAGCCAGAATTCGATCTGTATTCTTCTAAACTGGGGTTTCAAACAACCACGACTATGGTCTGGGAAGTTCCGCTCTGCCACGACGCAACCTACATGGCGATTCAATATCGCTAATCCCCCTTTCCACATCACAGCCTTGCCTTCCCACCCGCACCACCCTGCACATTACCAACAAACGAGCCCTCCAACTCCTCCCACTCGCTCAACACCGTCTTCTTTCCCTGGACATACGGACCAGTTCCTTTACTGTGTGCGCGGAATCAGATTGGTTAGTATTCTCTCCTTTGCTCAAACTCAACCATCGTGTAGCGCAAGACGGAAGAGAAGGGCAATTCCCTCCATCTGGTCTTACTCTTGGGGCAGGTGGCTTGTACTTACAACATGGCCTTGAACTCCTTGGTCTTGCCGTGCGCGCCAATGGCGGGCAGATCCTTGTAGCGCTCGAAGAGGAGGACTTCGTTGGGCGATTTCGGGCGCGTGAAGAGGCCGTAGGTCAGGGTCGTGGGCTCGTTGTCGCGGACCCAGGTGCAATAAGTGCTGTTGAAGGGGGTTTGGAGTGTTAGTTTATTGGGTCGGGTTGGGACAGTGACACGATGACCAAGGAACAAGACAGGAAGCGAGAGAAGAAGAAAACATACTCCAAAACCTGCACTAATTTCTCCTTGTTCGCCTCGCCTTCCTTCGCGACGAACTTCGCAAGCACGACAATCCCCGCCTTCCCAGTCTCCTTCTCGTTCGGCCGCGCGACGAACCCTCCGGCGGGATACCAGGCCTCGAGGCTCTCGTCCTTCTCATACAGGTCTTCGCTCTTCACCTGACCGAAATAGCCCTTATATTCTGCGGAGTTCTGGACGTAGGAGAGCGCCGTGGGTGACGTGTAGATCTCGATGCCGCCGATCAAGGGTACAGGGGCTTCTTTCTGGTAAGGAGCCAGCATGCCGCCCTTGCGTGTTGCGGGCGTGAAGTAGCACCATGTCGTGCAGGATGTCGCGGGCTGGCGGAAGAATGTTGACGGGAGGGTACGGATGATCTGTATATTGCGGTGAGGAGCCCGCTCTGGTCAGCCTGGAGTCTCTCTCTCTCTCTCTCTTTCGGGTTCTCCAAGAGGCACTTGGTTGTAAAGAGTCTCATTGGCTCGGAGGAGGCAGTGAATTAGTAGAGACGTTGCTGCTGGCTCTCGATGGTCTGCTCGCCTCAGATGATAGGCTGTGTGGTTTGAATGTGACAGCGGATATTCCCCCAGTTTGCGATGCAAGAGCAGTGCAGTGACAAAACACCGTGGACATTACCCCCCGAGTGTTTCCCTGTTCCTTGCATCCATGTCGCGACATGCGCACATGCGGGCACCAGACCCTACCAGCAGCCATGCACGTACGAACTGTGCGTGTGACCTGCAAGGAGCATTTTGGACGACTCGGCGACAAGGGCACCAGTGTGATCAGGGGGATGTATTTACCTTTTCCCTTTTCTCTGCTGAGCGAGGATGGATCATGACCACTAGGGCTAGAGGCTTCTTTTCAGACGCCATGTTGGTTGAGTGTCGAGCGTCCAGTATTACTTCTCTGTTGTTATAGCTATGCTCGAACAATAAATATATGATGATATGTGCTAAACCGAGCCTTGGATCGAGAGACCATTAATGGAAGTGAACGAGGAGAGATTTCGAAAGAACAAAGTCTTTCCTCCTTCGATTTTTAGGACAGACCGTGAAATAACAGTGCTCTACCAATGTGCCTAGGTAATCGAACGATCTGTAAGTAGAACGACAGCACGGAGTAATATAAGTCACATAGCTATAGTACCCAATTCACAATTGAACTCTGATTAGTGATTCTCAGAACCATCCTAAACCAGGCCACCAGGGCCAGAATTGCAGTCTAGTTGTGAGATACCTCGGCACAACCCGCGGGGCCACTTGAGGGAAAGACAGAGCGTGTTAGGTAAGCACACGGACACCCATTCGGAAGGTCTTTCAGCGCTTCGGGGGGTTCCCTCGGTTATGTTGGGGTAAACCACGGCAAAGATATTCACACAATGAAGCTATACTCCGTCTTATATCTGGAATATCGAGTGGATCTGAACATATATGAACCTGGCATCAAAGGGGATTCCCAAGGCCTAATATAACCCCAATCTAAGGAAGCAAAAAATACCTGTTGAAAGTTTGGAAGCTGGGGGCGAGGAGATCGAGGATGATGTAGAGGCCCAGCAAAGATAATGGGTAATCTGATGACGGGCAAGAAGATGCTAAGGAGTGCTGCAGGGTGCGCTTTGCAAAGGCCGGGCGCATGTTGTCAATCTACGCAAGCACGAAGTCTTCAAGGACTCAAGTGCTGTCTGTTTTCACAATGGCTGGAGTCTCAAAATGGCTGGGTCATTTGTAGATGGTTGTATGCAGGGATACTCCATATGTCCGAAGGATTTTAGGAACGCGTCTGCTTATCTATACAGAGCAGGGAGCATTGTCGGGTGATAGGTTGATAACTTGCCGCGGCAGAAGTCATTCGCATCGGCGGTCAGTCGCGATACCGGTTAAACGCTCCCTGGAGGAGGGCAACAAGGCTATCTCGTGTTATTGACCAGCCTCGCCCTAGAGCTCTGGGTGGCTCCCCAGAAAACACGATGCTGCTTTCACGCAAGACATCAAAGTGATAGCTGTGCTTTCACGTCTGATGTCGATTTTGACATGTCCGTGCATCCGTGGACGCCTGAGCTACCCCAGCATGGATCGAGTCAGGCCTCCAAAACAGGGGCCCAGCTCGTTGCGAACCGATTCTCGTCAATGCAAGTCAGGTTCAACCCTGTCGTCTCCTCTTCTCTTTCTCCGGATCACATCAGATATAAATATCCTGGTACGGGGCATTTTGGGTACGGAGGTCTGGGGCTGGGGAGATATGGACCACAATGCCAGCAAGGCCGTGTTGCACAGTTCCGCGTCTACTTCGTATTGACGGTAAATAATCCTGTCCAAGGCCGATCACACATTGCGCTTGGGTGGGGTGAGATGGTGCGATAACTCTGCATCACGCAGTGGCAAAATATTTTGTATTGTGGATTGGCCACACAAGACAATGATTTATGCAATTGATGGGGCGGAGCCGTTATTCTAGGAGAAAAATGATTGTTTTGCCTCAGCACTGATGACATCAAATTTTGTTGTCCGAGTCAAGGATCCTGTCAAGGATCCTGCCAAGAAGCCCGGGCTTGACGGTGCTGCTGGTGGCTGGGGGAACTGACTCAGAAGATCTTAGGCATATCGGAATCCCCAAATTTGGCTCCAGACCGTGCAGATTGCCAACCTATCGAATGGCACCATACGGAGTGCAATCCACGTATCTTTTTCATCTTGGGTTTTGCACTCCGACCCCCCAACCTCGTTATTTATGCCACTTTAGACCTCCGATTTCCTATCTTGCGTGTCCCGCTAGTCCCGATTGGTTGACCGTTATCTGACGACACTGATATCCATGACACTGTGATTCGTCAACAGCTCCGGAGTCCTCGTATCTGCGCGGCCACGTAGACGTGTCCAGGTTTACTTGTTGTCGGACACCCAACCTACATAACTCCGGTGCCTCAATCAATGTCGACGACCGCCACGCACACCTCCAGGTGTGCGTGGATTTTTGGACGGCGGCGGGTGGACGATAGTTTCCATGTCTAGCCCTATATAGTCAACTCAGGCCACAGGGACTTGGGGGTGCATCATGCGTCAATAGCCCATTATGACTGGGCAAACACAGATACGAAACAGTACCAGCATGGGGAAGATGCGTCGATGTTTCATGTAGGGTTGTTGATAAATGTTGCCCGTGGCAATTGTTGCCGTATCAAATAAGTGTGGTCTGTAACTCGGTGTTGCATGGGTCATCACTTTTGAATCGTGTGCGATTATAGGGAAATGACTTCCATGCTCAGGCTGGGGTTGTAGAAGGTAATGTTGGTGGACGCACTGAGTGCTTCTGAACCGAATGCGAGATAGCCCAAGTGATCATTGACAGTGGGACCTCCCAGTCCCGTCAAGCCTTGCAACAGAGGGCCGATGTCAGCGTGGAAGCTTTGAACGGTTCCCTGCGCCACCCAGGTCAGAACACTTTGACCTATACCATTTTCACCGAAATAAAGATTGCTATTGTACGAGTCAGTGAGAGAATCGAGATTAAAATGGGCATAACAGCGGACATACAATGTGGTACCGTTGATGGCCTGAGTTTTGAGAGCACCTTGTTTCAAACCAATGGGCTCCGTTGCCACACCAAACACACCTAGCCAAACCATGACTTCGTACTTGGCATCAACGGAACTGGTGGCTTTTGTCGGGTCGGAATCCAAAAACATATCAATGGCAACGTTGGAATTGACATCGGCGGCTAACAGGTCGTTCACATTGGTGGTATTGGGTTTAACATCACCTACTCCGTAGGCCCAGTCGGCGGCAAAGTCAATGGCAGCGACCTTGGCTATCTCAATGGGAAAGACATCGTCAGGATCGAGTTTGATATTGGGGAAAGCATGGACTGGTTGAGTGGCAGGACCAGGAGGGAATTGCCACGTGATGGACCATTGTGGTGCGGTGGTGTTGGTTGGGTAGGTCGCATTCTCATTCGCTGTGACCTATTGAGGCATTGTAAGTAACTAGCAACCAATAAGACCTCATTAGCGAGATTGTTGGTACTCACATTCATACACAGGCCTCCTGGGCCAGTATAATCTTCTTCGATACCCCATTGATTGGGATTTACTGCGGATGGTTAGTTTTTGGTCTGAATTGGTCGCGTGTCAACGCATCGGAAATGATCCGCCCAGATAGCAAGGGTTGCATAGCGAGCAGGAACACCGTGCAGGGGATCCCTGCAGCGGATCCTAACCAGTCCCAACAAGTGATAGTTCAGGAACACAGAGTAAACTCTCTGAACCTCAACGCTCGTCGAGCGAACAGGGGTGCTCATTCTGGGAAAACCATGCATGATGTCAAGGCAGGATGAATCTTCCGTCGTGGCAAAGGGAGGAAAACTCACAGGTGTACTGGAGTCCATGTGTAGCTGGTGAGATACCAAAGGCCCTTTGACAGTAGGTTGTCGTTTCGACCTTGTTGCTAACAAATGGCGGTGGCATGCCTTGGGAATGCCTAATTGCCTGCAGTCCAAGCAGTACACCAAGCGTGACGGCGATGGGAAGGACCAAAAAGCCCACGCTGACAAGAGATCGTATACCCATGGTGTCTAATGAATGAAGATATCCTGTATGGTTGGGGAAGAAGGAGAGACCAAAAGCACAGCACAGAAGCTGGCAAGAGAGCAAGTTGGTTTGAAGATGAGCGAAGGGATAAAAACGAACGGCGGCTGTGCTGCTGGTGTTGGTCGTGGTGGTGGTTGGGTGCCTCTTCACGGTCTTCACGGGAATGGATGGGGATAAAAGAGCAAAATGGGGAGGAAGGGAAAAGCAGGAGAGAGGGCGCGTGCGAGGTCGAGGTCGAGGTCGTGCGTGTGCTCCTGCTGCATACTCCGTACTCGGTACGGAGCACCAAGCACAGATTGCCTTGCTTTCTCGTAGGTCTCGTAGCATGAAAGGACAGGAGGAGGCAGGACAGGGGAGGCTGCTTCGTACTCGTCGCGGCGGGCTTGATGCCCAGTCTCAGACTCCCAGTCTTTGGTGGCGATGGAAGACGCAGATTTTTAGAGTTTTGGTGGTCCACGCCCTAATCCCAATAGCCAAATTGAGGGATCTCAGGTGATATTGGCCAGCTTGGAGAGGGCCGACGGGTTAGTCATGCAGTATCTCAATGTCTGTGGGTGCCTGGCACCCCTGGCATTTTCTTCGTCCCGCCTAGCTCATGCGCCCAACACTGCCACTGGCACGGCCGCACGGTACTTGCCCCTGCGCCTGAGGCCCAGGTCCGTCGTAGGTACCTCCTTACCCGATCGTGGCACCCCGGTAGCATTCTCCCGAGCCGGAGGTGGGAATCCGCTGCCTAGCGGATACCCACCTCCCCTCCCCCAGCAAGTTTGTTTTTGTCGGTGGCGTCCGCTTGAATGCACGCGACGATCCCAGCACAGCCTGCATGTCGCCCTTGACCTGCCTAGGGAATTGGTGGGCGAAATTAAACCCTTGACCCTGGCCAACTGCTGACGCTTGTTTCTCATGTCTCGCTTTTTCATTTTACCTTGCGCTTCTGAACACCAAACGGCCGAACTCTGCAGCCCAAACCAAACAATGGCAGATGGTGATGATTGTTTGACACCAATTTGATGGCCACTCTATCAATCTTCCTTGGAACACCAGCCTGCTTGGGTGCCTGTGCAGTGCTCCCCCCTTGTCTTGCTTCTTGACCCGACGCGCTCGCCCTGCGTCACGACTCACCACTGATGGACACCAGGAGAATGCGTTGCCTATCAGCGAAAACTCTGTAAGCATTCCCTATTGTGACTGCCATGATTTCATGATGCCGCACTTCGTCTCGTCGTATCTGCACCAGTAAATTCACGCACCTACACCTGGTCAGTGGTAGTGCCTGGTATTCGCCGAGCGTCCGTCCGTGTAGCACTCACTCCTCCGCACGATACCTCATCTTATTCTTGGTTTCTGATCTCACATCCTTGCTCTCCACGGATCATCTCCCCAGAGCATTTGTCCCATCCTCCCGTTATCACTCTCGCCAGTACCACCCTGGCCTCGTCACTTTCAGCCTGCCGTTACCTAGCTTGCCCCAGCCATCTGCCCGTTCCTCGAAGCTCTCTATAAGCCACCCGGATCCTGTTTTGATACCAAGACCTCGTGTCTCCCCCTCTGCTTGTACATACGTCGCCACCTCCCAGACTGTATGTACGGAGTATGTACTGACCGTTATTTCCTGGCTAACGAGAATAAGCTCGGCTACCAAACAAACACGGCCGTGGTCACTGTCCACCTTCCACAGCACTGTCCGCCAACCAGCCAAGTCCTACTGGTTCGGACATCCACCCAAAACCTTTCTTGCCCTTGGCAATACCCGACCATCCTTTCATCAAATCTTCTTCTACTTCGCTGTTTGCTGAAGACTTCTTCCTCACCACCTTCACCCTCGCTTCCCAGCGGTGACCTGTCTCCATTCAGTCAGCTCGTCTTTTTTCTTTTATCCTCGACACTCGCTCGCTCAGTCATTCGTTCTGGAGAAGAGAAGAGTATCTATTGCAATACGAGGGCGCCAGAGCACGGGAGTACATGTCTAGTTTCTAGACTAATCTCACGCACCCCCGGACCAGAGATTAGTCGAGGCGATTGACCCTGGCATGATCACAACACCATTTTCACCTCATCATTCATCATGCCTCCTCTTCGCAAAACCGACCGAAGGAGCTTGCCGCAGAAAGAAGAATCACAGCCCATGACTGAGATCAGGATGTCCGCCAACTCAACAGACACCACCTTAGTCAGTCCAGACAAGGAGCTTGGTTTCGAGCGAGCTCCCTCGTCACACCCTGTCTATGGATCCTATAGAGAACTACAGCCTCCCACGCCCGTGAGAAGACCGGGCATGCCCGACCACCATAGTCGAAATCTGTCCGACCTCATGACAGAGAGCTTACAAAACAGTCCTATGGAAACTCCAAACGGAGGCTCTTTCCCTCCCTTTGCCCCAAGAGCTACATCTTCATATTCAGAAGCGGGAACCCGCAGTTCTTCGCCTTATCCATCTCCGTATCCTGCCTCTACTCCATTCGTAAGTCGTCTCCTTGCACTGCCGAAAGCCAGCTACTAACAACCTGAAGCGAAGTCAAGAAACGCTCCGACCACTTGTCCCCGACTCTTCTCCTACGTATCTACATCGAGATTGGGTCAAAGAAGGCTCCATCGCCCAACTTCACCATCGAGATGACAAGGATCTTCTCGCTGGCAAGAGGAGATGGCTGTACACGTACTTTGCACCTCTTCTCGGTCTGTTGACCCTTGCTCTGTACTGGCTTTACTTTGGAATGCGAATAACGTTCGTTATTTCTGCCCAACAGAAGTTCGGTGCTCCGTTTCCACTGGCTTGGATCTTTATCGCCATTGAAATCAGCGTTGCTGTTCCCATCTTCCTTCAAACATTCTGGTCCCTGTTTATCATGAAGAAGCGGAGAAGGCCAAAGTTGCGGTTGATGGGCAACGACGTCCCGACCGTCGACGTGTTCATCACCTGTTGTGGTGAAGATTTTGATGTGATCATGGACACCGTACGAGCATCCTGTGATCTAGACTATCCTGCAGATCGTTTCCGGGTTCTCCTCCTCGATGATGGAAAATCAGACTCTCTGAAGGATGCCATCGAGGACATGCGTGAAACCTTCCCCAACCTCTTCTACAAGCGTCGACCCAAGTTCCCTGGAGTGCCCCATCATTTCAAAGCCGGCAACCTGAATTATGGATTGGATGATGTTCACAACATGCCTGGAGGTGCAGGTGAATACATGGCTGCTCTTGACGCAGACATGATTCCTGAGCAGCATTGGCTTCGTGCCGTGCTGCCCCATCTGTTGGTCGACGACAAGATGGCTCTTGCGTGCCCACCTCAATTGTTTTACAACGTTCCCAAAGACGACCCCCTTTGTCAGAGTCTAGACTTCTTCGTCAGTGTGTCTGAGACCGTCAAGGATGCCATGGGCGTCGCTTGGTGCACCGGCTCCGGCTACGTTGTTCGACGCACTGCTCTCGACCAGATTGGCAACTTCCCCTGTGGCTCTTTGGCTGAAGACGTCGCGACCTCGACCTTACTCCTTGGCAAAGGTTGGAAGACAGCCTATGTTCACGAGAAATTGCAATTTGGCACCGTCCCGGAAGACTATGGCAGTCATCTCAAGCAACGTACTCGATGGGTAAGTAGATTTGTTTCCCATCTCTCAGCGACGCTAATCATCACAGGCAATTGGAACTGTCGATACCGCTTTCAAGCTGAAATTTTGTCTATGGGGTCAAGCTGTCAAGCACATGAAGCTGGCTGCCCGAGTTTCGAGCTTCATCTACGCGTTCCTCAGTCTTTTCAATGTCTTTCTGACCCTCTCAATCTTCGCCATGCCGATCGTGCTTATTTCGAATAAGCCCTTGGTCGCGTACGCAAATGAAAACCAGCTGCGATGGTTGATTCGCGCTTGCTTTGCGACCATGGCCTGCAATCGTCTCTGCGAGTTCGTTCTTTACATTCCTTCTGGCTATGCCACTGGACAACGAGGCAGTCGATCACAACTCTGGATGAGTCCATACGTTGCCTTATGTATTATTCGCTCCTTCCTCTTGCCCACGTGGCTTGGTGGCCAAACACAAGCATTCAAACCTACCGGTTCGCTGCAGTCGGCTCTCAACGAGCGGTTTCCGAAATTGCGCAAACCGATGTACCGACGTATCTGGACAATCTGTGTCAACTACATGGCCGGATTTCATGTCCTCTACGTCTACTTCGTCCTTGTCGCAGTGTGCCTTTCGTCTTATCGCTCTATTATTACACAATACACGGTCCGAGCGAAATTGGTCGGGCTACTCACTCACGCCTTTTGGCCACCCCTTTCGTGGGTAATTGTCTGCTCGTCCTTCTGGATTCCATTCACATATGCTGTCGATCCTCCGTCAATGCCTGATCGCGAGGAACTTCTTGTCCGAGACCCCAAGACAGGTGTCGCACACCCTACCGAGAAAGCCAAGAAAATCGGTGTGTCTCGGCAGAGCTGGCTCTTCGAAATGGAATACTCTTTCACCACGCTGTTCACTGCCGTCGTTTTTGTGGCGGCATTCTTTTACTAATCAATCCAAATAGTAATGACGAGACGCGGCCTGCAAGGCCATTCGCATTTGAGTACATAGGGGTGGTCAAGGAGTTTTAATCGTGGGCTCATTCTACATGATCGAGAAAACAGCTGTACAAATCAAAGCATAGACATTATGGTGATATTGGCTAGTCGACATACATTTTGGGAGTTATACAACTATACAACCGGGACAGGAGCAATTCATGCCAGGCTATCAGACTTTGAGAGATGGCTGCGAATCGGATGAGGGTATCAATAAGCAAATATCGCAAGGATTGGATGTTAGATATGACCTTTCTTAAGAACAGAGTGCAGAAGTACATCAGTGTTGTTATGGGGTGGTATGCAAGGCGGGGTAGTAATGCGACAACATGAACTGTTGGTCAGTGAATGAAAACTATTGTGGTGAACGGGCTATAAGTCCATCCTTGGACAACTTCTTTCCTGTTCCTGCCTCGTACACTGTAGTAGTGATGGCCATGGACAAACATCGGCCTGGGCCCACGCTGTGGTTGGCTTCGACATGGATATCGCAGCCTTTCACAGCCTTTCGCAGCCTTGTGAGAGTGGAGGTGAGTGGGTATCCTTGGTGGGCCTCGGGTACGACCTTGCCTCATTCGGTCAACATTAAATAAAACAAACGCCTGCCATATTTTTATGGTTCAATCGATTCCATATGGATGTCTAGGAGCCATTACTTGACGCATCCTAGTGTAGTGATAGTATAACGATTAAGGCTGATCGAGTCCGCAGTAGATACCCGACTCTGCTTTCCTCCATCCAAACAAACCCATGCCTCCTCCATCACGCGTCCCATCCCAGCAGCTGCAACAACAACCCTACCGCTCGGGGTCTCCCACCACCACCGCCCCCTCTGTACGCAGGAACCTTTTCTCGGCGCGCTTGTCACGCCGCCCTGCATCAGGATCCCAGTCCAGCTCTCAAGGCTCCTCGAGCCAACAACATACACACTCAAATCAACACAACCAAGAAGAGTCCGCGCCTGCGCTTCAGAATGGAGATGTTGGACATGAACAGGAGCAACCGCATCACCGCATGCCTCGAATAGCATACAGCACGGCTGTTCCTCCGACCGTCAGTCAAGTCCACGTGGCATCGCGCCGTTATCAGCACCAGCGCTCGGTGTCAACGCCTTCTCTGTCCCCCTCGCCTCCACGGCTCTCTCCATTCCGCAACTTGCCACCTGCCGCGACCTTCTCCCACAACGCTGCCACCGTCACCGCGCCACCACCCTTCGCGCCAACTCCCCCTCGTCATTTGACGGCAGCAACAGACAATTATGACCCAACAATCTCACCCAACCGACCCCTGTCCCCGCGTTCTCGGGAGAGTCTATTCCCGAATTCGTCTGTGATCGCAATCAATCCGGTCACCGGGCGGCCAATACTGCCTCACCTCCCTATCCTACCAGGACGGCTGAATCTGACCGATGAGGATGGGGTGGCACAACAAGGTCTTCAGTCCATGAACCACGGCGACGAGCACCAAGAGGACGGGGGAGTCTCGCGGTCACCGGACGACGGATTCCACCACCCTCGCCATCTCAGCCACACAGAGCATGATCACAATGATCACTCTCCCGGCCGAGCACAGCCACAGCATTTCTACACACAAGCAAGGGCCTACTCAGATCACCCGTCGTATCAGCAACACAGTCACCAGCATCACCAGCATCAACCCCCAGACTCAGACATGAACCACGCGCACCCAAGCACGGCGACCATGATGCGCGCCGCCGCCGAAGACGAAGCATCGTTGGAGGCGGATGAGGAACGGCGTGATCGGGAGCGGATCGAGCGCCTGCTGCGTGAATTGATGGGGCGACAGAGAGCGCGTGCCAACATAAACAGCAACAAGTCCTCATCCTCGACTGTTGGAAATGACCCGCCTTCATCTTCATCAGCGGCAAGGGCAATGGCGTCAAGCGGGTTGAGGAAACACGGGACGCTTGGTGGGCGGCATCAGCATGCCGGTATCACAGCTCACAACGACGACGATCACGTTGTCTACGCAGCTGGAGACGAGGCCGGGGCCGAGGACAGCGAGGAATCCGAAGCCGAGCGTGAAGAACTCATGGGCCTCATCACAGCGAGTCTCCGGCGTGAGGTCGCCAGAGCGGAAGACGAGGGCTGGATGTATGGCGATAGCGGCATGGGCATGGGCACGGGTTGGGATGGGAGGGAGGAAGGGCTCGTTGGTGGTTACGATTGATTGATGGTTTGGTTGATCAGTTCTCTATGCGTGTGCGTGGGCGTGAGCGTGCATGATATGGTGCGACTCCCTTGGACGGTTTAGGAAGCAATGCATAATGTATTGCGTACGGCGTGCGGCATGGCACCGCACGGCGTTGTGACTGCTGTTGCGAGAGTTTGGGCTCGACAGCATACGGGACTCGACAAGTGTATAAATAGATACATACGGAAACGAACAAATCGACACACCATGACGACAACCACAACAATAACTACCTAAGTACGTAGAATCACACGATGTGGGAACTGAAGTACCTGTAATGGGATGTGTTGTTGTTCTCTGTATGCAAAGTCCAAGCGTCATTTGTCGCCCAATCGACCGGACCTTTAGAGCGAGGCTATCGCCCGCCTTACAAACGCGGTCACGTCGACATCTATCATTTCGGCCGTGACGCGCTTCCTTGAGTCAACCACGTCAATCGAGATCCATGGCTGGAAGCTTCTCGACCTCTTTCTTCGGCCCACCTGCAATGGGTTTCGGCGTGCCGCTCCTGGGCGTACTCCCACTCCCACTCCCACTGCCCTTCGCACCCGCACCACCCTGCCCGCCGAAAAGCATGCTCCCCATCATATCAAACAGCGGATTCCCGCCCTGTCTCGGGATCTTAATGCCGAACCAGATCTCGCCGATCTGCGCGAGCGCATCGCCCCAAAGCCCCTCCACGTCTTTGAGATGCGCAGCGTAGTATTTGGCCAACTGCTTGAACAGCGCGGCATCGCCCTTTTGCGCCGCAAGAACGACGAATGAGAGGAAGTTGAGCAGTGGGACCGAGGGGAAGATGCGCAGGCTCAGGCCCGATTTTGCGGACTCGATGGGCTGCGACATGGCGAGGAGGTGCGGGTTGGACGTGGTTAGTTCCGAGATGAATGTGGAGAGGGCGTTGTTCGCGGACGACAGGTTGCCGACTATTAGGTACGGGAGCACGGAGCGGGAGGCGTAGAGGGGTGCTAAGTGTGGTGCGTCTTCTTTGTACCATGCGTAGTGTAGGTGTACGAGGACCGGGGGTGAGTGTGAGGTGCCCAACACCAGGTGCCGTTCGGCGTCGTAGGCTTCGCCTTCTATTCAAAGCAAAAAGAGAGGTTTTGTTAACGTTGGGTTGCGGGAAGGGAAGAGGAGGAACGGAAGGGCACGGGGCCACCACCATCTTTGACGTCTTCGAGTCTTTACGTACCTTCAGCATAGAGCTTCCCAGCATCATGGTGGAGGTCGGGATCTCCTCTCTCGATGTCCCCGAAACGACTCGACCAGCCGACAATCTCGGTAATGAATCTCTTGCGCGTGGGCTCGTCCTTGGGGAACGCATGTAGTATCTCCGACAGCCTCTTCTTGTTCTGTTCATTGCACTCCCATTCTCCCTTCATGTAGACGTCATTCAGCAGCATCAACGCGAGGTCCCCTCCCGAGGCTCCCTGCCCGGCTCGTAGGAGGAGTAGCGATCCATTGAACAGTACGTCGCAGGCCGACGGGTAGTCCGCGGCTTTTAGGTAGCGCGATGTGATGACTCGGAGTTGCTGGTGCGCTTCGTAGAAGTTACCTTCTGCTATCCTAGAGTTTTGGGGGTGCGGTGTCAGTGGACTCAAGGATGAGGTAGTTGGCCTAGGTAGAAATGATTGGTGCCTTTCGCTGGAACTCACTTTTCTTTCTGTCGTGCGATCGTTTTCGCTATTTTGGCCGACATTTTGGCGAGACGGTACTATTGATGATAACGGTGGTGTAGAGAGATCGGGGGGGAGGGATGGGTTAACTGTTGAAAGATACCTAGGTGGTCGGTGGTAAGTGCTGAGGCAAGTGGGTGGATGTCGTCCCTAGGCTGGTCGTGGAGGTGTTCTGGATAATGGCCGACGTCATGCAGCCTTGTCCGCCTTGGTGGGTGTTTGGGGCCTGGCCCGACGAAAATATCAAACTCAAACGGCACGAACTAGAATAAAAGCAGTTGCTGGGAAGATCTTTGGTTTCATGGTGTACCGGCCTTCAAAGCTGATGACAAGTCGACAAGATTGAAAGAAAGAATTCTACATCCTGGTCGGCCACCGTCGGCACTACATAGGTACCTTCACTGGATCGTGTGTGACCTCCAATGACTTGCAGCGGATGGGTAAAGTAGTACGGAGTCTACCTTGATTGATACTCTATATTCTGGGTTGCTCTGACGCAACTTGCAAAACTCCAGCAAACCGTTTGCCATCGTGTGCTTGATCCTCGAGCATTGACATATCCTTTACGAGTTCTCACCAGCAGCGTCGATTGTATCACGGGCAAGAAGAGCTAGTACGTAGAACAAAGGTAACGTGGCAACGGATATGATTCTGAGATGAAGAAGGCATGGCGGAACTAGCAAGCAACATCAGGACTGTGCTTTGTGGCTTCCCAATTACCCCTAGCCAAGTACTAATAGGTGTTGAGGTAGATAGACAGGGTCGCGCACAAAACGGTGGTGTCGAACATTTGTCGTTCATTGGTTGGAATTATCGATAATACACCTACCACCAAACAGTAAGCCAAGGACGGTGGTGTTGCAACTAAAGTTTCGCAGAAGACTTCTTGTGAGCGGCTTGCCGACATGTACGGAGTACAGTGTAGACAGAAACTACTCCTAGATTCGTAATGAACACGTAACGTCCAGGAACGGACGAGGTACGTACCCCCGTAATCCGCTCCACTTTAGGGGCCTGCAGCTGACTTGCCTGTGTCGAAATAAAGCCCATGTTTAGCGAGGACGCCTAGAAGCTTAACCAGAGGGCTTGAGTGGTCCCTATGGGTGCCTACTGTAGTCTGTAACTCGTGTCTGGCTCCTCATACGGGCCCCGGGATCCCTTGGTTTCTCCTCTTCCCAGTGGTCCAACCAAGACCTCCTGAGTCCTGAGCCCTGAGCCCTGAGCCCTGCGCCCAGCGCATCATTCCCGTTGCGTTGCATTATTGCGTGGCCGCCCCAAATATAATTCTTGAGTTGACTGCTACTGGCTATCCGTCGTGGCCGTGCCCATCGTTCTTGTTCTGATGTCCAGTTGTACAATTTTGTTCAATTGTTTGCACCTACTCGGCTGACTTACTGTTCTAGTTGTGATCCACAGTTGCGCCGAAAGGTAGGTAGCCGACCGAGACAAAGGTCTCTGCAACTCCTCCTGTACTCCGTAAGGAGTACGAGTACCTGGTCAAAATCTTTCTCAAACTCCTTTCAACATCTTCCTCCATTGTTCTCTCTACCATGTCGGCCGACCCTGCTACCGTCTCTCAGGAATTGCACATGCACTGAACACTGAAGAAAAAGCCATGCGTTGCGTCAAGAGATAGGCCTTTTCCGAGACTGCTGCACTCTGTCACATGTTTCCAGAGCCTGTCAACCAGCGATAGCAGGCCAGGCTACCGGATGACAGGCCGTTGCTGCATTTCGTCACCCTTCCTGACCAGCTACTTTACTACACTGTCACCATCACATTTACCCTACCATGGCGGTACCAAGTTCGTTCCGGCGAGCACAGATCGCCGGCGCCCTTCTCCTCGCGCTCTTCTTCCTCCTCAAGCTTTCCTCTCCATCGGCTCCTGATCCTCCATCATTCCGCACCACTTCACACCCTCCAGAACAACCCACGCGGGCCTACCCTCCTCCACAGTCACCAAAGAAGTCAGCAGTTGACCAGACATCGATTCAAGAAGTTGGTTCCAAGCCCTTGAGGGAAAGGTTAAAATTCAACTTTCCCTATGAAATTGAATCCAAGTTCCCGGCCTACATCTGGCAAACATGGAAAGTCGGTCCAGACTCTGGAGACTTCGAGGCGAGGCTGAGGCCATTTGAAGCGTCTTGGACAGCCCTTCATCCAGGATTTGTGCACGAGGTTGTAGCGGACCAGGCTGCCGTGCATCTCATCAATTACCTCTTCGCTTCAGTTCCGGAGGTCATCCAAGCGTACGAAGCAATGCCCGTTCCGGTCATCAAGGCGGACTTTTTTCGCTATTTGATCCTTCTGGCGAGGGGTGGCATATACAGTGACATTGACACCAAAGCACTACAAAGTGCTGCGGATTGGCTTCCTGAGAAATTGGATCGGTCTACAGTGGGATTGGTGGTTGGAATTGAAGCAGATCCAGACCGACCGGATTGGAAAAATTGGTATGCTAGGAGAATACAATTTTGTCAGTGGACAATTCAGGCCAAACCCGGCCATCCGGTTCTACGGGACATTGTGGCGACTATTACAGAAGACACTCTTGCCATGAAAAAAGCTGGCATGCTGAAGAAGGGACAAACACTGAGAAAGGACATTATGGAATACACCGGCCCAGGTGTCTGGACTGACGCCATTTTCTCGTACCTGAACAACAGAGAATATTTCGATTTTGCGTCGAGGAAAACGAATGTCACATATTCGGACTTTTTCAACATTAGAGAACACAAGAGGATGGGCGATGTGATTGTGCTACCCATCACCAGCTTCAGTCCGGGGGTTGGGCAAATGGGAGCTGAAGGGCCCGAGCATCCCATGGCTTTTGTAAAACATGAATTTGATGGTGAGCGACACCACGCCCGTCTTAGTGAAAATGGGAGCTGACTAGAGTTACAGGATCTTGGAAACCCGCAGATGAACGGATGTTTTAAATATGGACTGTATTAAAGGACCACACAATGTAACGTGAAAACGGAGTCGATGGAAAATTTTCTCTCGTCATTTCTAGCATAGCGAGGGGTTATGGCAGATAGAGGGAATTGTTTTTTTGGACGCTGTGACCACTACCTCATGTGGTACAACCACCATCCCAATGGGATGTATGTTATATAGAGCAACTAGGAAAGCCCGGGGGACTCTTTTGTACGACATTGCAAAAGCACAGACCCGGGTATATTGAAGGCATAGCCCATCAAGCCAATACATGATGATCATGAGGTTGGGCTGTCGATTGATTGAACACGAAACACATGCAGTGATCCGCATAAGGCGGTGATCAGGCCTGGCACGGAGATGTATTGCAGCCTAGTACGGGGGCACTACAACACGAAACAACGGATCTCCGGTACTTGAATAGGAGAATGGCTGGGGAGGCCAGGAAGGAAGCAACAGTAAACGGCAACACCGCCTCTCGAATCTGCGGTGTTGGGCATGCTAAGTCAGTTCCAGACATCCTCGACAAAGTAAAGCGCGTTTGCGATATGCAGCTGTGACCGTTAGAATTTCCCCGAGACTGGGTGGGACTTTTGTGTGCATGTGGCACCAGTGTGGTTGTGTTAGCGAAGCTGACAGGATCTCGAACTCGGTCTCGGTTACCGAGCCACCCAAGGATGACAAGCGAGGACGGGCACGGGCACGGGCGAGGGGCATGTAATCGTCTAAGGAGTGCAGAATACGCTGAGATAATGGACCAACTATTGACACTGTACCAAGTACTGATGCGGAAGGGCATATGCAGCAAATTGACAGTCGAGAGGGTAAGGCGAAAAGTTCCTGATCTGCAAGAAGCGACGTGTATTCATATCGCGCGTTAGTCAATTGGGAAAGGAGGGCATTAAACGTGGAGAGAGCGGAATGCACGAGTATGCCATGTATCACATTCGCACCGTAATCACAAACCGACCCATCCCGGGTGGGCTCATCAGCAACTAATTGGGAATTTGGGAGTCGTAGGAGCCACTAGGAGCTTTCGAGGGATTAATCGGGAGACCCAAATTCCCCCAAGGGCTGGGATCGCACTCACCGCATGGACGTGGAACATCTACATACATGCGCTCGGTAACATGTGCATATCACTGCAGTGAACAGCCCCGCTGGCACTACCGAGAACTGATAGTTGAGTACAGGACAAGTGCCACCAAGGAGTTCACGTTTCTCCATTGATTCAGTGAGGAAGCAACGATACAACTAGAACTCCAGTTCTCCACGTCACACAGTCCACAGATAGTCTCGTATTTGGGGGCGCAGTATTCCATACTTGATTAAGGATGTACTTGCTTGGAGATGGAGGGGAGGCTCAAGGTTGATGTTTGACTTAAGTTGCCCACTAATTAACGTAAGCAAGGTGCTTTTAGATTGAGATTGGCACCCTCGGCCTCCCGCCTACGATTGCGCACTCACTGCCCCTCCCCTCGCGTCCCCGCAAGCCTCACTCGCTCAGGTACCCAAACTTAGGGGCCTCGGGCACTGGGAAGGCAGTAAACTACCTACTTAAGTGGTCACCACCTCATAAACATCCCTTGTACGGGCACCCAAGAGTAACCGTCAAGCCTACGCCCAAGCCTAGCCCCGAGTTGAAGCCTGACGAGTGAGTCCCTCTTGCCTGCTTCAACTCGTTTTCCCACCCACTTTTTATTGCTCGAGTAAGAAATAGCTTTCAACCTCCAACCTGTCGTCATGGCTCGCCCCTGTTTCGAGACCCACCTGGATCAAATCGCCTTTGCCTTTGCCTTTTGCAATCCTGCCCGCTTGTGTCTCTGTTTTCCTGCTGTGCTGTGCTGCTCCCCTCTGTGTGTGGCTGTCGCAGTGGCGGTCCGTCACTGGCACAGTCGAACAGCTTAACTAACATAGTTCCCGCTGCCGCCTTTTGCTACTGCAATCAGATATCCCTCCCGTGTCTAATCTCTGACTCTCTGGTCTGTGGACCATTCCCTGCCCTCGTACCTCCGTGTTCAAACCTCACTCGCCCTATACCACCACTTCATCAGCACACCTCCCTCCTCACCCGACCTCTGTCCGCGCATCTTTCGCATGGGGTCGGCTCACCCTTCGACATGAACCTCGGCCTCTACGGCTCCTGATCTGAGAAGATGCGAATTGGCTGCTCCGATGAGCACAGCGACCCTCCAGCCGTCGCAGCAACAGCCGCCGCCGCGAGCTGCCTCTGCTCAGGGTCATAGACAGTATCTGCGATCTAGCAACCCAAATAATGCAAGAAGCGCCTCTCATCCACACCCGAGCCGCCAGTATGAGAAAGATGCCGCCCCCAAGCCTACCGACACTTCCAAGTCAAAAGACGTCCTGTCTCCCGAGGAGATCTCCAAACATCCAGAAGAGAAACAAGTAGGACGGTCTTCACGCCATCTCAAAGTGACCGACTTTGAGTTGATGCGAACATTGGGCACCGGTATGCGTTTTCCTTTACGCCCTTTTTCTCTTGTTTCTTGCATTCTGTACTGGGGCACTAACTGCACTTCCACCAGGCACATTTGCGCGAGTGTGGCTGTGTCGCTTTGCCAGCCCCCTCCCCCAAGATAGAGACAGAGTATTTGCGTTGAAGGTGTTGAAAAAAGTCGATGTCATTAAACTCAAACAAGTCGAACATGTTCGCAACGAGAGAGACGTTCTGGCTGCAGTTGCAGGCCATCCTTTCATCACCACACTCATCACCTCCTTTTCCGACGACACATCCCTTTATATGCTGTTGGATTACACACCAGGCGGAGAGATTTTCTCCTATCTGAGACGGGCCCGCCGCTTTCCCTTCGCCACTGTCCAATTCTATGCCGCAGAGATCACGCTCATCCTCGCATATCTCCATGAGGTCCAATTTGTTGCATACCGTGATCTGAAGCCGGAAAACATCCTACTTGATGTTGACGGACATTTGAAGTTGGTGGATTTTGGGTTCGCCAAATATTTACCGCCAAACCAAGAGCAGTCTCCAGGAAGCAAGCATAGCACCCACTCCGCCAAGCCTGAGTCGGAATACCTAGAGCCTCAAGCTAGCGGTGCGGGTGTGACATACACCTTGTGCGGAACACCAGAGTACCTGGCGCCAGAAGTCATTCGCAATACAGGGCATGGCACGGCGGTGGACTGGTGGGCACTCGGCATTTTGGTCTACGAAATGTTGATCGGTCAACCGCCATTCTGGGATCAAAACCCAATGAGGATATATGAGCAGATTGTCGCTGGTCACATCCGCTTCCCGACTGCACATCCCTCCCATCACGGTCAACGTGGCTTACACATTCCAAGAGCGGCACGAGACTTTATCCTGGCTCTGTGCAAGATTGACCCCACCCAACGTCTCGGCCATATCGCAGGCGGCAGCAAACGAGTGATGGACCATTATTTCTTTGATGGAATCGACTGGGATGAGATATACTATCGGCGAAGAAGAGGTCCTATCATTCCCAGGGTGGAATGGGTGGGTGACGCAGGAAATTTTGACGAATACCCGGATCCCATTGAGGGCGAAGAGAGTGAAGGCGGAAGAGGACGCTATACCGACGAACTGCGGGACGAGTGGGAGGAAGCTTTTGCGTCCTTCTAGCTGTTGAATGACAAAATGTCTACGCCCGGGGAGGGGTAGTCGGGCCCAGGGTTGGCATACGAGCGTATGTGGCATTCTGTTGTGGTGGACATGCTTTACATCTATTAACTGGACGGCCATTGTCAGGGTCTGGAACGATGTTGCTTATTGCGATGCAGTTGTGATTTAAAAATGGGTCTGGGATGACCCTTGAAATAATATACCAAATTGGGGGTTTACGAAGGGAAGAGATATGTGGTGAATTGAAGTTATTAGGTACCTAAGTAGGTACGTACGAGTATAGTAGTCTGAGGAGCACCCGCCATCTAAATGAAATTATCATAATATATTCAAGATTGAAATAGACCAAGTTTGCAGCGGCCGTTGATACTACTATTATTGCCCTCTCGCACTCATGGATATTATCTTAGGAACCGACTATGGAGGCCTCCAGCTCCCCTCCTGAAATACCTGGAACCTCATACAATTGGTGGGACCATTTTTGCGGGGAAGCGCCGACGAATTGGTTAGTAGGAGTTGCCGCAGTCAGACCGCAGGACTCATAGGAACTTCCCATCGTCAGCTAAGCAGACTCCATCGTCATTCCATCAAACGGAGCCTCATCTGCCTTTGCCATATTTTGTACTTGTACTTTGGCAAGAAAACTGGTGTACATCCGGCGCGGCAAACGACTGTTGAGTTGGAAGCGACGCCCGTTGTGACCAGTGGCTCCTGCCTTCAAACCTGTCTGCCTCATCCTCTCCACTCTACTCCTTCCCCAAGAGACTGCCTGCCATTGCCATTGCCATGCCAGTGTCATAGAAATCCGCCTTGATCCAACCCAAATTCCCTCCGCGCCGTTGATATCAAATCTACCTTTCAGCCTACGTCTACCTCGTACTGTCTTGTAGAGACGGTCTGGCTCTCAGGCATTCCGATCCGCCCGATCTTTAAACCTTAAGCCATGGCTGGCGCAATGCCCACCGCAGACCAATTGTCTCAGGTCTGCGGTATTACGCAGGTGGACGAGGCGAGTGCGAGGGTCCTCCTACGGGTAAGAATATCAACACCGCGCAGCTTCAGAAGACGCAGGCTGACGCAAGATCTGTTCCACAGAAACACAACAACGACCCCAATTCGGCCATCAATGCTTTCTTTGAAGATCCCGTTGCTTCGCTACGGGAGGCCGTGAGTCGCACCTGAAGGAGGGTTGGACTGATTCTCCAGTATCTTGCTAAACTATCCGTCTCTAGCCCGTCTCTAGCCAGTGGGATTATACGGACCACATGCCCTGTATGCTCCCATACTTTTCCTTATCAAGAGGAGACACTGATGTTAACTTGAGCATTTAACATAGTCGCCGATGACGCCAGCATGGGCGGAGCTCCTCCGATGTCAAGACCTCCGTCGAGAGTCGACAACTCCAGACCGAGAATCGATCTTTCAGCTGAACATGCCTCAGGTACGCGGGCAACCCCCATCGATTCTACTGCAAGAGATGTTGCATCCTATTGACGCAGCACAGCGATGGCGAGTAATACAAGGAGTCTCAGAGAACAAGAAGAGCTAGATGATCCAAACATTCAACGTGCCATTACAGAGTCTATGCGCTCCACTTTGCCAGCTCAAGAGAACGGAGTCACAGGTACAGGAACGCATTTTGGGCGTGCGAACCGCGAATACTATGAGCCTTCCAGCTGGGCCATGACCACTTTTTCCTCCTCCCGCGAAATCATCGACCACCCCCCACCGACGAAGCGACGCCGTCTAGACGACGAGCCTGCCTTCCTTCGAGGGTCCAAGGAGACGGACTACTTGGCCCCACTACTCACTATCTATCATTCCATCCCTCTTGCCCGGGAGGCCCTCATGCTGCGAAACTTCAAGGTTCACACTTACGGACATGATGTGAGCTGGTGGTCGGGAACGACGGACGAGAATACAAAAGCACTTTCGGCAAGCAACGATCTACAGATTGACCGTGACGAGTGCAATCTCTTGGCAGAAGTGCAGTGCCTGATGGCTTTCCTTGACAGCACCAATCGTGCATATGGCAGTGTAGACGCGTTGGCTGATCTTCAGGCTGTAAGGGGCTCTCGTGGCAGTGCCAACTTTGTTCGATTCCTCTCTGCGTGGGAATCTGCTGCACTTCGACAAGCTCCCAATGGCCAGCTCGCACAGGTCTTTGGCTCTATAGCGACCAAGGAAATTGGCCCAAATGTGGGCGACACCGAGGCGAAACCTCTGTTATGTGTTGAAGCCCCCATCAACCGAGTGCCTGGCGAAACCTTGGTCGATTTGCTCGACCGTACGGTCTGGGACGATGACACGGTGAACATCGACGATGTGTGGATTGATCAAGTTGCAGAGGTTTTTACAATTCGTGTGTACGATCCGAACGACGGCAAAAATGGGGGTCTTGAATTGACCCTAGATCCCATCTGGTACCCCGACAGATATCTCCTTGAGTGCAAGGACACGACCCAAGAAATGCGCAAGCAGATGCAACTTCTTCTTAGAGAGATTGCACATTGTACCAATATCCAGCGTCGATGTGAGATCCTCAAGCTGCCTGATAACAGAATCCTTATGATACGCGAGGTTCTTGATGCAGCTGCCAAGGCATCGGTGGAAGCCGTTGGAAAGAAGTCACCACCTAACCGCCTCATCGACGGTCAACATTCTCATTCTCATGATGCTTTGGACCAGGTCAATGCCGATGGAGTGGGGTTGGAGTTGCATCGGCTCCTTGGTCGCATTGATCAGAAACGGCAATTGCTTGAGGAGAGGAAGAGTGAGCTTCGCGCGAGGATGAGAGAAATAGCACTGCAGCTCACTAAGCCCACGGCAGATAGTCCAGATGTCCCGCAGCACAAGTACACACTTCAAGGACTTTCAACGAAGCCCAACATCACTTACCTTCGCCGCCTCAATACAGATCTGCTCCTCGATGAGGATGACAACAGCTCCGATGGACCTGAGTGGCAATGGTGGAGGTTGGCTTGGATCCAGGACGAGATCCAGAGTCAACGGAATCAGCAGTCTGCTGCTCCCGTCATGGGCCCGATCACCCAAGCGCAAGCTGAAGCATCTAAAAAGAACCTTGGCTTCACCGCCGGCTTGAGCTTTGATCACCTTCTGAGATCAAATGAGCCGGAGCTGGATGTGCCCAAACCTTATGTAGTCCAGAAAGTCACGGAGGAGGAAGTTCTGCATGCTGTCAAAAAGGAACATAGCTCGGTTGTCTTGGTCTATGCGAGTGAGGATGCTGTTTCATTTGAGGGCAGCGAGTTGACCATTGCCCTGAGGCATTTCGTGGATCGCGACAATCGGACATTTGCAGAGGAATTACAATTTGAGGAAGGGCCGGTTCAAGGTATGTCGGTTGACCGAGACAATGAGGTGGAATTTGAAGATGTGCCATTGATCGATCCCAATGGCTCCAGTAGCTCCACTCGAGGATTGACACCCATGTCGACATCAAGCCCTGGGCGAGATGAGGACGGGCAGGCGTCACCGAAACGACTGAGAGGAGAGAACTTGGTGACCCTTTCTGAGCCACTACCATCATACGAAGAGAGCACCGGCAAGCTGGAAATGCAAGAGAAGAAAGGGAACAAGATTGGTTTCCATGCCGAACAGATGCTCCAGAAGTACGCAGAAGATGTCGAACAAGATGATGACAAGGAAAAAGACGAGAAATCCAGCTTCATGCATGTCGAAAACGGTCCAACGAACTAGGAGGGCGCCTTCTGCCGAGGCTTGAATGATACCGCTCACCGGCACGAAAAGATCAAGCTTCTAGAACAACCAGGCAGGATACCTATTAGAGCAGTGTTTCTGTGTTGAGGAGAACCCTTTCTTGGACCTCCAATTCGGATAGAAATGTCACACAGATTTCGGTTGGTCTAGTGTGAGCCTCTCGAAAGTGGTCAAGAGACGTGCTCCGGTTCCTCGAGGTTAATAACTTATTAGGCTTGACGGCAAGCAGGTTCGCGGATGTTGGCCTAGCTTTCCCTAGCTTGGAGCATCACTTCGGCAATTTCGAAGTTAGTTAGTATTTGGTATCGCCCAATCTATGAAGCGGAAGCGGGCAAGCTCAGCCACTCAGCAGGCCCTCCTACGACGCACGCCGATGAAGGTGGCCTGGCCCTGGCCCAGGCCTGTGAGGACACTCTCGTGCTGTTCAAGCCCCTTGCCGCTGAGTGCAGCCGGCAACGTTTCGTTTGGCTTACGTTCCCAAGCTTTTCCAGTTAGAATCGTGCCCAAGAGGTCCCCTGGTCCAAAAGCCAGGCTTACGGATATGCAGATGTTGGGACCCGTCAGTCTTCATCGTTCCATGGGCCGGGTCGGGTCCGAACGTCGGGGTTCTGGGACTGGCCTCTCTAGCTTCTGGATTTTCCCAAAGGACATGGCAACTAGGTTCTCATCCTTTGGGTCACGCTTGGTGCATGTCTCTCGTACCCCTGTATCATACCAGGCGTTCACGGGCTACTTGAATCTGCCACGACAATGCTGGACAAGGTATGGGGTGCGACTTCAATATCCTTCAGGCGGACTATTCCTGCCCACATGAGATGCTCGTGTATTGATGTGTGGTCGCCAGCCATGGATACTCGGAGCATCAGTGTGGTGAAGACCAAGGCGGTCACCACCCCTTTGAACAGGCTAGTACATTCGAGGACGATGCCACTTGATTATGGGTTAGCGATCTGGGTATTTTCTGTTTTTCTGACTTCGGTTCGACCGTGCAGCATGGCTTGTCATGCGGGAAGAAGTCATGGCATCGAAGTCTGGAGTGTGAGTGGTCGAGGGATGGGGTGAATCATGATTTGTGCGCTGGGTATTCCGTGAATGCAGGCTTTGTTGCGGACTAGCTCGCGGTGAAAGACCCTGGCCAGTTGGAATATCCAGAGCAACGGCAAGTGCAATTGTGAGGATTGGGACATGCTGTCGAGCCTCCCGCACATCCTCGTCCTGGCAGATACGGAGGACACCCACTTACTCGTAGCATTGAGACGTGCCCAGTCACACTCCTCCCAAATTCCCCAAGCCCAGGGAGCGAATGGTGAGTCGAGATAGATATACGATGGTAGCCCAGTTCCCCTGGTCCTAGTCCTCTACAAGAAGAAAGACTCCTTTGTCTGTCCTCCTCGAGGGATAAATGGCATTGACACTGGTACCAGGATATCTTTTGTGGGAGACAACTGAACCTCCCTCCCTGTTGATGTACTCGGTACAGTAGAAGGCGATTCAATCAAGCACTGATGGACGGACGAGGTGGACGAGGTAGACGAGGGTTGATGGAGCGTATCCGGCACTCTCTCGAGGCGTACCCCAGCAGAGAGACAGTGGACCAACAGGACGAACTGGGGGCTGAAGAACGGACATTTCATTCGAAGGCGGTGACTGGTGGGTGAGATACAATCCCAGAAGGGTGGGCAGCAAAAGGGTGCAGGGCCTGGTCTTTTCGGCCCATTTACTCCGTGCACGCTCGTAGGCCCCTGGAAAGGATGCTGATACGGGCTTATCATATGGGGCCCTCGGGGTCCACTCTAGCGCACCGAAAGTCCACCACAGAGCACCGGCAGGATAACTGCGTCCTCCGTACTCCGGACTCGTCTCCTCGTAGACCACTGCTGGGCGCTGGATATCGGGCAGTGCACAATGGACAGTGGACACTACCTTGTCCTGGGAACTTCTCCGCATACCGAGCAGTTAGGTCAAGACAGACAGAATCAAGCTGCGAGGATGATCTTAGTGGCCAGCAGCCTTATTTCAACTGTGACCCTCGTCCCTCGTCCTGACTCGTTACTTAACCTTACGAGTAAGGCTTAAATTCAATGCCTTACGAGTGTGCCCCCCCTCAGCCCACCCTCCTCTCGCGTCCCAATAGGCTCCTGGGCCACTCCCGAGTTCCCCTGGTCTCCCCACGAACAAACAAACAAACTAAACTAAAGTTTCTGGCACTGGAAACTAGCCGTTGCATTCTGCCTAAGACGTTGCAGCTGGGTGCATCTTTTTCGCTAGTGTCTCCTAACGCGCCCACCTGTTAAAATGCCAGAACAAAGTCCCCCTCTCCCCCCGACTCTCCCCTCCCTCAAGAATCACTTGATGAGTGGGTATTAACCACAAGTTACCTTAAGTTACCTTAAGAACCGTGCTTGCTTTATGGTTGTCGACGGGTGCCCAAGAGCTCTGAAGCTTTGGCGTTTCGGCTCTTGGAGCTGCGGGCCTTGGTCAACTCTCATCACCTTTTCGGCGCCCGCAATCCTCACCTTGGCACATTATTACAGGTATTTGATGGAGAATGCTTGTCCATTGTGCCCGCATACTCCGTCCTCGTAGCATCGCATCTGGCATCTGGCATCTGGCATCTGGTTCTGGTATCGGGCATCTGGCAAGTTCGACACCATCGCAGCCCATTCCATCCTAGTTCATCCTCTCTCATCTCGACTGCTTCAGACTATTCGACCAACCCTGGTTAGTCGACTCCCAGTAGCCTACTGCGCTGCCACGCCTTGCGCTATAGCCAGGGCAGCCAGGGCAGCCAGGCACTGGTCGTTTGGCTACCGAGTCTTGTCCTACATCCCCTGTACCTTCCCTCGCACCTTACGTTTTGCACGCACTTGCTCTGCATCCAACAACCCCCCTCTCCACTCCCACTTCCACTTCCATTATTTGCCTTCGCACTTCGACCTCGATAGTCCTGATCCCCATCCACCAAAGTACTGTAACCTGTACTGTATCTCTCGACTTTGGATCTTGATTCTTGACCCATGGAGGAGGAGTGAGTTGGTAATTCCCTGCCGTGCTTATGCTCATCCCCATCCGCATCTTCTTCCACGACTTTGCTTCTTGCAGCCCGCTCCTCAGAACATCGACATTTCCTAGACGATCCCAAATCCGTGGATTTTCATCTTTCCCATGTGTGAGCGTTCTCTGTTCGTACCCACGCCGATCATCAACCCACCAGGTCTCCGGATATTCACCATTGGCACTCCGTCAACTGCGGCACGCTAAGAAGACGCAGAACCCCTCTCCTGGTTCAAGGACCTTTCCCCTTCCTGCCGCCTGTTTAGTGCCTGGACACCCAGCACTCCACCATCCGGTCGCCGCGCGATCGCGATTTGTATCTGACCTTGCCCTACCCTGCCCACCCTGCCTATCCTGCGCCCCCAGCTTGGTGCTCGGGCCCATCTGCAAGCCACACGCGTCCCGGATTGGCACGATTGACCATCCTCGCACATTTGCCAAACACGGCCCTGTCCGCTTTATCACCTCGACCCTCTAGCCTCTATCGACTGGCCAGTGGCCGGTGGCCACTCGTCGCCGCCAAAATATTCCGCATCTCTCGAGTTCTAGCTCTGCTTCTCGAGTGCCATACGGATACTCGTGCTCAAGCACTCGCCCTGTTCCCTCTATCCCACCCTCAACAAGCCCAGGCCGACTTCCTCTGGGTCTTTGTTGCTTTCGGCGTTCCCTTCAATTGTTCCACACGTCCCATTCTTACCATTACCACCTCTACTACCCTCTATCTCGTTGTTGTCGCATCGTCTTTGCAACGCAACTTCTCTATTTCCTTGTCCCTGCATGGTTACCGCGTCCCCCAGTCGGTGCTCAGTGGTCGCCCTTATTTTCTCGCGCCGATTGCCGCTCTGTCGACGCCTTACTGGTGGAGTCCGCTATCTTGGTGGCTGCTTCAGGTACCTGGCTCAATTTCTTCAAATCAACAACCATCTTGAACCACATCGAGGTCTGTTATTTCGGCATCCCTCTGCGCCGGTTGTCTCAAAGTTTCACAATTGAGCTATCACCTTGAACCATCTTGTCAGAGTCTTGCGTCAACACCCAGCCTACTACTATCGCTTTCAATAATACTATGATCATAGTTCTCGACTCGCTTCTTCCTATTCTCGTCTTATCCAGAGGCTTCTAGGGCCTTGGTGCGCCCTAGTGTTCTTGTTGCTATCTCTCACCTTCTGCGCTGCCGCTGCTGCATTGGTCAAAGGAGAGAAAGGTTAGTTATCTCGGGGTCTTATCTGAAACAACATTATCAGACGAGCCCTTGCCATCATCGGGCGTTTTGGACTGCAACTGTGATAGAAGTGGATGATTTCCTTGTGACTGATCCTCCTCCAACCCCAGAAGTATGAGCACGATAGCCTTTAGTGCATCAGAGGGTCGCCTGCATCCTACATTGTCTAATCAATATCCTCCACCTTCTATTTCGACCACATTCGAATCGGTGTCAAACGATCGACGTATGTCATCGACCAACGAAACGACAATGGCCTTCCCAACTGTAGTGTTGCGACGCCTGCCGCGCAATACAACTGCAGAGGCGGTGAGAACTATGTTGCTGTTCGCCAAAGATCTCCATGACACCGAGATTGTTCCGACCGAGTGTGAAGAAGACAACGGGTTCACGACTGCCATTGCTCGATTCGCTTCTCTGACCGGCGCCACAGAGGCCCAATCTATGTTGAATGGAAAGCAAAACACGGCTGGGCAGGCGAAGATGATCGTGGACGTGATTACCACGCCGCCACTCGCGTCAGCGTCCCGACGCAACACGATTGATCCTATGGCGAATCGAAGGCTTGCTCAATCGGTGTCACCACTCTTAGCCAATGGCCAGAAGTCGTCGCGGTTCAACGGCACGTTTCAGTCACTCGACAAAACTTCCCCTCCTCTCCTCGCCTCACCCCCAGATCATCCGTCATCCGAAACCAGTTCGCATTTGCAGACCATCTTCTCTCCTCAGTCCCCCGTCAACAGCACAGTCACCGACCGGTCTCGGGCTAGCGGGAAACAGGTGATTGACGAGGACGGTGGTGACGATGACACGAGAGAATTCTTGAAGGACCCCCTGGCCTTCATGAACAGCTCTGCCGTGAGTGCAAACGCAGGTCGCAAATCAGGCAATGGGCGGCTTCCGACGGCTGCATTTTCTGCGTTGTCGTTGAATACGAATATGAATAATGGCCCGTCCAAAAACTACGCTTCTCCGCGATCTGCGGTGCAAGGCAGGGGGAATCATGGCCAGTTCTCGCCGAATGCGACACCAAATGGTCCATATTCTGCAGCCGGTCCCTCATATATTCGACATAACTATCCTCCGGTCAACCCTGCGGATCAAAACCCGCCTTGCAACACGCTCTACGTGGGCAATCTGCCTATCGACACGTCGGAGGATGAGTTGAAGGCCATGTTCTCCAAACAACGTGGTTACAAACGGCTTTGCTTCCGGACGAAACAGAATGGGCCAATGTGTTTTGTAGAATTCGAAGACATTTCTTTTGCGACCAAGGCGTTGAATGAATTGTACGGGGCACAGCTCCACAACAGCGTCAAAGGAGGAATTCGATTGAGTTTTTCCAAGAATCCTCTTGGAGTTCGAGCAGGGCAACCGGGAAGTGTGAACCCTGTCACACCGTTGAGTGCGACTGGACCTGTGGGCATGAATGGGTTTTCGAACAGTGTTTCGCCCGGAAACTACGGATCAGCCAATGGGCCACCACCAGGGCTCTCTATGCCCCCGGGGCTCAACGCAGCCATGAATGGAGTGGGCCCAGGCCCCGATACATACTCTAGCCCGGGTCCGAACGGGCAGCTTGTCAACCAAGCGTTGGGGATGCGTGGAATGGCGTCGAATCACGGACACGGTGGTCCATCGTTCGGAGGCAACTATCCAGACTACATGCTCGGTCGGTGAAGAGTGTTATAAGAGAGAAGGAGGACGTGGGTATGGATCGTGGAGATCACATCTCCGCTTGTCAATCGACAGAGGATTGATTGGCAGTGGAGGACGAATGCGTCAAGGTTTTCGGTTGATATGATTCTGGATTTTTCCTCTTTATGGACGGTCGAAGAACGACCGGCATAGTACGAGCGGCACATTGACACATCTATCGGAGTTGAGATGGTGCCCTTGAGCAATTGGAGCTTGGATGATATGTTCATTGCGGTTGCATCTCATTTTGGCATATGTTGCGTTGCGTTGCGTGGTGCTGGAGCTCTTTTTGTTTCGTTTTTTGCTTGATCATGTTCCCGCACGAGATTCCCCATTCAGCAAGCAAACAATTCAGGGCAGCAAAGGGAAGGCTGCACACGATGGCAACCTTTTTGAGGCGTTTATTGTATTTGCTTGGTGTCAGCCACCAGAGAAATCGGTGAAAGCAGGAACCAGGACCATGCACGAGATCGGGGATGGGGCCTTGGGGCCCACGCAGGTTGGAGGGAGGGTTGAATTTTGGTTGTGTTTTGCACAGGGTCGTGGTCGCGGGCGTAGTAGTCACAGCTACAGGCACAGTCGTTATCGAACAAGTTGAATGAAGCAGGACAGGAGCAGGGCAAGCGGGTTTAGCCCCCTTTCCCTTCTCTTTCTATCCAAAACCAGGCAGGATGCATGAAGCACGGTACATGAAAGTCAGACAGGCGGACAGGACGAAATATTTGGCAAGCGACATGGATCACGGAATATGCATTTGGACCCTTTCGTTTTGGTTGTTTTGTGGATTAATGCATCTCATTATTTGCTCCAGCGCCAGCGTATCAATCGATTGTTTTGGTTTTGGAAAGGCATGATGGATGGGATCGGGAGGCCATGAGAAACGAGGCCGCTACAGGATGGCTACCTTGAGGGATCATGAATGAGGACGTATGGACATGTGGAGGGGTAGATGGCTGGATGAATGGTCTTCTGGTGGCGGAAAGAGGTCATGAATTCATTTGTTGGTCTTTTCCCTGGATTCAAATCATGTCATGCTGTCGACCTCATGTCTTATAGGAACGAGGCAGGGGTCTGTGATGGTTTCTTGTGTTTCTTGCTTCTATCTTCTATCTAGAATACATAGGATGATATATACCTGGTAGTACTGTGTGCATCTCCGTTCATGACTTTGTCGAGTAGCCATTATAAACACTCGGCGTTAAGGGCCGCCCTTGGCTGGTACATGTGAGCAGGTGAAGAGGCTAGCTATCTGGTTGTCAGTCTAGGTATGTATGCATCTGCGTAGACCAGAAGTGGGTACTCGTACTAACGGAGAGACACCAAGTCAGTAGAGGGAAGACTGAAATGAGTGAGGTATTGATGGGGTTGGTTTAGCTACCTGCATGGGCCATTTGGTTTTGGTGGACGTCGGTCAACTAATTAGATAAAGATACTTGTACATATGTAACTGTCCCTGTCAATCACTGCAGCACAAACCCGTTTTCGATGCAGTACGGGGTAGCAATTAGAGCCACCGTACGGGCAGTCCTGCTAGTGTGCTGTCAGGGAATATCGGAGCCTAGACAGTTGACTGGCTTGTCCCTGTTTATGAAATGTGGCTAGAAGTCTGATTCATGCCCCCCATATCTTCCTGCTTTCCAGGCTGGTTCCAGTTTCGAAAACCCCGAGCCAGCTGAAAAGCCGGGTTGGTAGGCGTGGTTGGCAGATGGTCTGGCCTCAACTAATAATAATAATCATGAAGAGCGTTGAGTTCCGTTCCTGGTTCCTGACCTTGCAATCCGGGCCGTTTCTCACTTTCATTCTCGCCTCGTCGTGATTGTTGTACCCCGTACCTCGTCCTCGTATCCCCATACCGTTGTAACTCATAGGGTATTTACCCTTTTACACCATTACCCAGCCGTTCGTAGCATAACACTACCCAGGCACTGCCTAATATTGTTCCCACCGACCTTTTTCATCTTTTGGGCTTTTGGCTTTCACTAGACCTCCCTCCTGCCTCCCCACCTTCCTACTGTACGCTTCTCAAGACCAACGACCCATAATCCTTTCCAAATGCAACGACAATCGCAATGAAGAGGCATGCCATTAAGCACAAACCCCTCACGCTCTCGCATCCCGCTGTTTCGAAGTTTCAGTGCCAGCAGTGCTGCCGCTAAAGACAAGAACGGCCAAACCGACAACACCAAGAATAGTTCAGATGCTCCGAGAGCTCCTCTGGGCTTCAGTTTACCTACTCTGTCCGCGCTGGCAAATCTCAACCTCCACCGTCGCGGTCGGAGCACGTCGAATGCGAGGAAGGGGTCGAGTCATGACTCGCGTTGGAAACCAGGGGATCGAAATGAGGGCGGGAGTCGTGCTGCTGGTCGGCAGCAGCAGCAGCAGTTGCCAGAGGATCCCGTGATAGATGCAGCGGATGAAGACCAGGACCAGGACCAGGACCAGGCAACTCCTCGCAAGCGAAGCTCGACTACAACCACCGCTACAGCCGCCACAGCTACAAGCACTGCTGCCTCTACTGCCAGCAAGCATCGACAATTGCATTCGACATCTCCATCTCCATCCCCATCTCCATGCGCAGCTGTACCAGCCACCACCGCTGACACCACTGCTGACACCACTGATTCCGCTGCTGTTTCTCCTTCCATCTCTCCCGGTATCTCTTCCTCGCCTTCTGCATCTCGAACCACCTCCGAAGCTCAAGCCACACCTCTACCAACTCCTCCTCCTCCTCCCTCCTCCACACGAAGTCTTCAAACTCCACCCTCTTCGTCGCCCTCTTTTACACCTCCTACTCCCAATCCCGATCCCAATCCCAATAATAATTTCGACCTCTCCTCATCCTCCGCCTGCGCCGACTCCAGCACCAATAATAATTCCCTCCACCCCAATACCCATCCAATCATTCGCCCTTCTCCCGCATCCAGTCCAAAATTCCTGCCTCAACTTCCGGCCAATTCCATCGACACCACCGACACCATCTCTTCCCTATCACCACCACCACCACCACCAGCTCCCCCCTTGCTGGTCGTCCAACGTCCTTCCACCCCTACCGTCCCAACCCTGCCCCAATCCGACCCCGACAGTCATGAAAGTCTTCCAGCGATGCAGAGAAAGATATGGGTGAAACGACCTGGGGCCTCGCCCACAAGAGTCGAAGTAGCCGAAGACGATCTTGTCGACAATATCCGAGATGTCATCCTTCACAAGTATGCCAATTCCCTCGGCCGCAGTATCGATGCTCCCGATATCGCCCTCAAGATCCTCAGTCGCGAACCGGCCAACAAAAATATCACCTCTGAGCGCATCCTGGGCCCCGAAGAGCCGATCAGCAAAACCCTCGATGCCTATTACCCTGGTGGTCAAACCGTCGAAGAAGCTCTCATCATAGACGTTCCTTCCCGTCGCACCCCCCGCGCCTCTCCTCGAGCTGGCAATCATCAGATCAGTTACTTTTATCCCGACCAGTACCGTCCTGACGATGCCGCAAGGGAATATTTCCCTCCCATGCCCGTCCACTCACCTCACCTTGCTCAAATTCAACATCAAAACACTCTTCCTCATGCTATGTCTGTCTTGACCACCGGCCAGCTCCCTCCCCTGCCCAGTCCGGGTTCCCATAGTGCTCGAAGACATGGCTCCCAGCGACCTGTTTATCGGAGACAGCACACTAGTAGTCCTACTCTCATGCACACCGTCCAACCCAATGGCCAAGTTATAGGTTCGTTCATTGACCAGTACCCTGGTGGTCACACTGACCTCCCTCAGAAACAAAATCCCAGATGAATGGAACCGTTCCTACCGCTGCTGCACAACCTTTGCCCACCCCGCCTGCGCAGGCCACCGACTCGTCTCTTACTCCTCCCAATCGAGCCGGTTCTCCACATGCCGGTCAGAAACCAAAGAAAAAGAAAAACCCAAACGTCGCCCGCTCCGCCAATGGTGATCCTATCTCCTCTTCAAAGGCCGCCCCCACCATTGTACTTGATAACTCTGTACCCCCCATCAACGTCTTGCTGGTTGAAGACAACGTCATCAATTTGAAATTGCTGGAAGCTTTCATGAAAAGACTCAAGGTTCGATGGAAGTCGGCAATGAACGGCAAGGAAGCTGTTACCATGTGGAGAACCGGTGGCTTCCATTTGGTCCTGATGGACATTCAATTGCCCGTCATGAACGGCTTGGAGGCCACCAAGGAGATCCGTCGACTCGAAGCTGTCAACGGCATTGGAGTTTTTAGTGGAAGTCCCATTGAGAATGGTCTAAAAATGGCCACCAAGAACAATGTTCCTGTCAGTGAGGCTGATACCTTGCCCGATCGAAGCTTGTTCAAAAGTCCTGTTATTATCGTCGCTTTGACTGCCAGCAGTTTACAAAGTGATCGACATGAAGCACTGGCTGCTGGCTGTAATGATTTCTTAACAAAGGTGAGCATTGCTCGGATCATCTGACTACTAGAACTATCTAATCGTTTCTATTTAGCCTGTCAACTTCGTGTGGATGGAGCGCAAGGTCACTGAATGGGGATGTATGCAGGCATTGATTGATTTTGATGGCTGGAGGAAGTGGAAACAGTATGCACAAGAAAGGGCCAAACAAGACCCAGTTAAGAAGGCTGCCGAAGAGAAGGAGGAGAAGGCCAAAGCCAAGGCCGCATTGAAAGCCTTTATGGCACGACCACCACCCAGCATAAAGAAGGATGCTGGTACCAGCAACGCCGCATCTGCCGCATCCACCGCCGCCGTTGAGAGGTCTGCTACACCGACGCAGAACGGAACCGTCAAAAAGGGTGGCGCTGGCACTGGATCCGGTGTGGAGGACAGAAAGCCAAGGAGTCATAAGAGCTCCAGAAGCACTGCGAGCATAACAACGCCCACCGGTAATCTGGAATCCATGGTCGAGGAAGATGAGAAAGCATCCTAACATCATGGGATGGGATCAAACGAACCCGCCGATTTATATTTATATCGCGGAAGGGGAAACAGTGGAGGGAACCAACGCGATGCGACGTCGTCGCTTGGATGTGCGAAGAAGGAGTTCTTTCTACTTTTTTCTCTTGTTCACAAAAGTACACGACGTCCCTTGTCCACCTCTCTGCATTGTTCTTTCTAAGGCGAGGAAACAGTAATAGCATGGGATGCACCGAGATGGAACTGGGATTGGGATTGGAACTGAAACTGGAATCACCTGCCACAACCGGTGCAGTGTATTCATGTATGTATGGGTGGGTACCTAAGGGTGTCACGATATCGATCGGCGTTAATCAAGCGCCTCTTTGGTTTGAGTTTATTTTTATTCCAGCTACCCATACATCTATTTACCTCCTCTATGCCCTTGTTTCCGTCTGGATACTACGGGGGGCTGGCTTCTTTAGCTTTCAGGTCGGAAGGAGGGGGAAGGAAGAGCCCGCACTGCCTGGCCGGAGCACTCAACAGTCAAGTGTCAAGTGTCAAAGTGTCTGGCCAAGTGACGACGCGATTTCTGGGATATCCATCGTCACCGTTCAAATCCGCGGGGGTCCACGTCATGTCCATGTCCATGTCCATGCCCACATCCACATCCACATCCATAACCCATATCCCATATCCCATATCCCCTATCCCATACCCATGGCTTGCTCGCTGTTGATAGATACATCCTTCGATGAAAGATATCTGCAGATCTTACAGGTCGTGTATCCAGGGTCGGATTGCCCATGGTCTTTGCCCCTCCCAATTCGCAGATTCATCAGGTAGATAGACCTCGACCTCGACCTCGACCTCGACTTTCCCCCCAACCCACCAACAGAGGAGAAAAGGGGGATGAAAAGAAAAAAGAGAGAGAAAAAAGGAATTGAAAAAGAAAAGGGTCAATCAAAACAGATACTGTACATCTCGATCGAATGAATCATTTCCATTTGCCATTGCCTCGTATACTCTCTCAATAACATGCCAAGATTCTGCCTCATGTACATTCATCTGGTTGACAGTTAAAATTCCCATCTTGGGCCCCGGGCCCCGCCCTCCCCCGGCCTGTCTCTGGCTCCAGTGTCTCCAACGTGATTCCGCTCAGCACGAGTCTATTTCGAGTCCTACATATATGGCAAACTCCCCTTGGACGTGTGGATTGAAAAACTTCTGTCCTCGTTCATGGAGGGGCCAGTTGCCAAAAATCAAGACTAGCAATCACGTCTTCTCCATTGTCCTCTTCATACGCATAAAGAATCTGCAAAGAAAATGTTAGTCAATGGTCAAATCGGTCAGACGAGTGCTCTCAACTTGCCTCTCTAGTACTTGAATGTAACATTCTCACGTTCTTGCCTGTCATGACATGAATCAGCTCACTCGTCTCAATGTGTCGAATCTCAATGAAGCTGGGCTCGAACGCAAGAATATATGGATAGTTCAACGCAAACGCTTGTGGTGTTCCCTCCCAGGTGATTTTCCAGTCTTGTCTTGCACGCCATCCATTACGATTGACGAAGAAGCTAAAGTCGGAATAGTTGAGAAGGAATTCACCGTTAAGGCGCTCGATATGGATTGGTTTGACGTTTTCTCGTCGTGTAACGAAATCAAGCGAGGTATCGGCCTGGTCGAGTAAAGACTGTCGTTCGGTCGTTTCGAGGGAGACAACTTCAAAGCCTCGAGCACATCCCACACATAAAGTCGATCTGAGATAATGAACCGAGGTGGACTCTGCTGGAATGTAGAATTCCTACCCCACAGTTAGCTGACATCCTGAGTTAGTGTGCAATATGACAGTTCTCACCTTGAATGGCTTGAGCGCATCCTGTCCACTAGCAAACATCTTACTGATTGCTGGTTTCTTCTTACCCTTAGTAAGATCGTCCATGGGCTCGTACACCTTGATAGTTGTAGACAGAGCAGAGGTTTTGACCGAACAAACCAAATGTCTACCTAATCCAATTCCGGCCTTGAAGAAATTGGCATGACCTTGAATCTTACGGGGACGAGTGGCCAAAGGATTCTGATTGTTCGGATCCAGGGCGTCGAAAGGATATGACGTAAGGGTTTTGTTCGATAGTACCAACAGAAGTCTATACTCCTCCAGGGTATCAATTTGAGATACCTGTGCAGCATCGAGAATTCGCTTGGGCTTGACAGTCTTATCTTTCGGCCAACGATCAGCAATGTATATCCCGCTGTCGGTGCCGTAAACGAGTTTCCTGCCACCATCCGTAGGAACAAGACAGTTCACCCGATTTTGAGCATTGAAAAAGTTCTCACAGAGAATGGTTTTGGTGTAGAAGTTGCTGCTGCGTTCTCTCAGTTTGCTCTGTTGCTGCTCAACCAATTCAATGAATTTCTTTCTTTGGGTGATCGAGGTGGCATAGAGCTGCAATTCATAAGCCCCCTTTCCTAGATGACGGAATGTCACCGGATAGACGTCCTTCTGCCCAGGTGTGTTTGAGGCAGAGGGCTTGGGTATCAGACTTGAGGAAGACCGCTTCGCAATGCCCAGACGAGGTATGACTTGATCCATTTCTGCAATCACCAGTAATTCCAACGGAATAGGTTTTCGATAGACTCGGAGTTCTTCTCTCTTGTTGACAGTCTTGACGCGACACATTAGAACAGCATGGTCAAATAGGTACACTTGTACCTCCGAATTGTCGGTAGGGCTCTTCTTGAAACTCATCTTTGTCAAAATGACACGATTTTCTTCGGTAAGCTTGAGGTCTGTATATTCTCCCGCATTCCATTTCAGTTGCTGATTGAGTTGTATCAGGTTGAAGTGATTTTCAGCCTTGCCACTTTCGGCGTTGACACGTGCAAGGAAATCTTTGATAATTGCAATTGCCTTTGGTATGTCTTTCTTGTCAGAGTTGTCATCTTTGGTGTACTTGAGGACATTGTCGAGCAAAAGAGGGTAACGGGCTAGACGAGTGGTTGGCTTGGTCAGATAACCGTTCAATTCTAGTTTTCTTGACTCTTTCAGTCTCTCTGTTTCGTCCACGAATCGCAAAAAGACTGGGTTTGCACTCTTCTCCTTCTCAAACTCATATTTGCCGTACATTTGATTGGCGCCATATTTGATAAAAGGATCAAACTGGGGTGTCCATTTGAGAAACACGTCACCGATGCTGTGAACAACGTGTTGCTCTTTCTGTCTTTTAGAGAGCTCCTCCGCAAATTTTCCGTTGACAGCAAGAACTTCCGAAACATTGCCAAAGACCGTGCGAACAAACTTTTCTCGCTTCTCCTCTTTGATGGGGGACGATGTTTGGCCCAGACCTCGTAAGGGTCGGATCCAGAAATCGCGTAGATACTCCAGATCCTTAACAAAGTCGCGCTCTGTGTACATGAGCTCAGAGATGACTTCTTGTCTCTTTCTCTCTTTTTCATCAATATTCTCGGCCACTTCCTTGGGAACGCTGTTGATCCATAGCTTCTGTTCCTGATCATCGGTGTCGTGTAGACTGCCGCGCGAGTTAGAATGCCGTAGACCAGGCTGAGGTCTCAGATTTAGTCTCGCTTGCTGTTCCAGTCTTCTTGGACAAGCAATGGAGTAACAAAGGTGGTCTTTTGTACAAGTCGGGGAGTAGCATTCAGTGAGAAGAGTGAAAACACCATTCACATCTTTTGAAGAAGCCTCTTCTCCCATTGTTTCTCTGAACTGATAGACTTCGTGCGGAGCGTCTCTCAGCCGGTGTTCATACGTGACGTCATGAAAGAACTTCTGAGCGTCAAGGGCGCGACCAAGGAGAAGCGCGAGATTTCGATCAGTGGTCTTAATGATGTAGGCAATCAAGTCGACAGCCTCAGCACCGGTGAAAGCGTTCTTGTACGAAAGGTCATTCTTGTTCCTGTCCCCGACGCCGATTCTCTCTTGAAAAACGTTGGCCACTCGTGAGAGGAGAGCGGGATAAACCAGAGGGGCTTTTCTCTGAGCAACAGTAGTTGTTGTGCCGCTAGAGGACGAGGCTGACGGCGGAGGTCTGTTTCTCATGCTGTCTGCGCGTGAGCCATTGACAAGGGTGCTGGCGGACGTCAAGTCAGACGAAACGGAAGCAGTGGAAACGTGAGAGGCGTGAGAGGCGGCAGATACAGCGCGCGTGGGGGCAGTCCCTTCACTTGGACGCCGCGGCCTGGCTGAAGGGGTGTATGCGGGAGAGTTTGTGGAAGAGAAGGACGCAGAACTGTCGGGTGAGGCAAACTGATCAGCGAATGGATCTGATTCAGATTCTCTGTGTCTCGCAGGCACCACTCTCCCACTTGTCAAATGTTGCGGATGCTCACGATCGAACGAGTAAGTACCCATGGACATGGCCCGACCGTCATCCACCCTGTCAGGTATGTGTCGGCCTTGAGCGGTTGTCCTCGAGGGAGGTCCCGGGGATGCTGAATAGGGTTGTTGTCTAAACGCACCGGCAGTTCCCGGTTGGAAGCTACTTGGAGGAGGCCTGTACATCATGGGTTCGCCCGGCCGGACCATGGATCGAGAGCGATAAGCGTCATTGTTCAAAGCTGGAGGAGGCATTCGATTTGGGATGGGCTTTCGGTCATAAGCACCCGCACCCGGGGGCATATTCACTGGGCCACCAGTTCGAGTGTCTATCCGTTGAGGAGGAGGATAAGGACGTCGGTCTGGAAAAGGAGGCATTTGATTCCCGGGCGGGGGTCTCATACCATTTGCTCCATTCATATATGGTTGACCAGGGGCAATTCCGTTTGATCGATCGTAATTAGCAGGCATGGGCCGCATTGGTGGCGGCGGGCCCTGCCTCATTGACATGGTATGCGGGTGCTGCATGGCCGAAGTCATACTGGCGGAACGATCATATCCCATATTTGTAGACTGAGTTGTCATTGTGTGAGAACGACCTGGAGGCGGCATGCCGCCGAAAATGTTATTGAAGGCGGCATCTCTTTGGTGGTCCGGTTGAGAATTGTAACCAGCGGTTCTAGACCCATGGTAGCGTTGATCAGGGCCGCCATAGTCTGCCATGCTCAGTCAAGAGATAGCAGGTAGCGATACAGACGGGCTAAGGTAGGAGGAAGGGTCACTGGGTGTGCATCGATGATGAATTGATGGTAGGTCGGAGTTGTGGAAATGGATTGCGCGGCGCAGGGAGACAATGTGGCACTCGAGACGGCGGACTATCCCAATGCGCGCCTTGCAGTTCCTGGGCGATAAGTGGAGCGACTGAGTGTAGGGGGGGCGGCCAGGAATGGACGACAGTGGCAGATATAGCGGGAGGTAGGAGGTAGGAGGCAGTTGATCGAAACTGAATTTATGTGTCGTGCATGGGGGTGTTTTGGCGGAATCTAGGTGAGGCTATTGAAACAGCAGCAGTAGGGCCAGGCAGTACAGATTCATAGTCTGTATATGACTGCAGGGACGAAGCAGAGGCTGAAGGATAGGGAAACGATATGAGGATAGAAATGGAGATGGATTGGTATAGAAGTTACTCCTCCTGTTGGGTGGCTTTGGGTTGGACGGACGTGGATGTGGTGGATGTGGTTCAGGTCAGTGGTGGATGAGCTGGGCCGGCCAGCCGGTCACCCCATTGGCTGGCGATTGTCCAACTGTCAATCGACCGTGCCTGCCTGCCTGCCTGCGCCTGCGCCTGCACTTGCACCTGCCTTTACACTCCCACTTCCAATTTCACTGCACCTACACCTGCTCCTGCCATCTGAAGCTCAATCCAAGTCCACCACATCACTTCTGTTCCTCCTCCTCTTCCTCCCAGGCACAGAGCAAGCCACCAACATTCATTCCTGCCCGTCAGTTCCTGTGCTGTCCGTTTCATCGCCACTCGACACCAATCATGTCCGTCATCATGGAAACTCCGGACAGCGAATACGCTCCCAAATTTGCTCCATTCTTTGGCATGGTAAGTGACGCTGACGCTCACCAACATGCAAGTAAAATGACTGACTATCTACCTAGGCCGGTATTGCCTTTGCTGTGCGTCCAGCCACGGACCCCCCCAAATGACTCTGAACTCAACCAGACTGATCCGAACTTCACAGATGATCTTTGGCTGCTTGGGCGCCGCCTATGGCACAGCAAAATCTGGAATTGGAATCGCAGGCGTCGGAACATATCGACCTGACTTGATTATGAAGGTAGCAACACACCACCACCACCTCCTCCTCCTCCACAACCCATCCCTCTAACCCATCCTCCAGTCTCTGATTCCCGTCGTCATGTCCGGTATCATCGCCGTCTACGCCCTGGTAATTGCGGTCTTGATTGCTGGTGACATGGGCCCTCCACCTCAGAACTACAGCTTATTCACGGGCTTCATGCACCTTGCCTCTGGATTAAGCGTTGGCCTAGCTGGTTTAGCAGCAGGATACGCTATTGGAATTGTGGGAGACATGGGTGTGCGCTCTTACATGCAGCAATCTCGCATCTTCGTCGGCATGGTCCTCATTCTCATCTTCGGTGAGGTTCTGGGTCTGTACGGTCTGATTGTCGGCTTGATACTGCATTCCAAGTCCTAGGTCTTGCAGCTTCCATGCCCACCCACTTGGGCATTTCGGCTATTTATTTATGCGGGGACATTTTAGAATCATTCTGCTAGGCAGTCAGTTCGGACCATGACCAACGGCAATATATCTTTGTACTACAACCCACGCTCATTGGCTCTCTCTTATTATCATACTATTGCAGGAACGTGCCCACGTTGCCACCAACATGCTCCAGATCGAGCAAGAAGGTATCATGCCCGAAGAGACTAAGATCTTCGCCCAACTCCACGTGCGTGACCTGCTTGTTGCCAGTCGCCCGCAGAGTATCAGCAATTTCTCGCTGTTGCCAGGCCGGAAATAAAATGTCACTCGCCACACCCAGAACAAGGACGGGATGCGATTTCAACGGAGCAAGACCTGCGATCAGATCCTGTGGCGGGCCCGCCAGAGCCCCTCCAGCAACAACTTCGTCCATGGGTGCACTGGCCGTTTGTTCTTCGTATTTTTGCGAGGGTAGAGTGAGACTACATGACGTATCATTCTGTACACCCTTCCCAGCACCCCTCGCAACCTTCATCCGGTTCTGCTCCCGTCTCGCTTTCGTGCGGTCTTGATGTTCATGTCCTAGGTCGAACAAGTCCATTGCCTTGGACACGTAGAGTAAAGAATTCGGATCATATTCCAGGGAGAATTTTTCACCCGCGTGGTCCAAGTACGTCTCGATGAGGAAGTCAGGGCACAGAGCAGGTTGCTTGCTGGGATCCGCACGCTGCCTTCCAAACCTGTTCTCCCACTCCGGCCCGCTCCGATAAGTCACAGTGGCGATCTCGCGCGCGAGTTTCATCCCCGAATGGGGTGGGATGCCATCGTAGTAAAACCCCCGATTCCACTTGGGATCCATCATTAACACCTGCCGCTGCGTGTGACGCATGGCGATGCTGTAAGGGTGACTCCTGGCGCAGCCGGAGATGCTGACAATCTTGCCTACCCGCTCCGGAAAGTGCACACCAAACGCCAGGCTCTGCATTCCGCCCATACTGGCACCGACGCTGGCGTAAAGCCGGTCGATGCCCAAGGTATCCAGGAGCCGCGCCTGTGCCCGGACCATGTCGTCCATGGTCAGGATTGGAAACCTCGTAGCATAGCGCTGGCCATCAGAAGGGTCGATAGATGAAGGCCCTGTCGATCCATAGCACCCTCCGATCACATTCGTGCATATGACGAAGTGCTTGCTTGTGTCGACTGGGAGTCCCGGACCGATAAATTTCTCCCACCAGCCGGGCCTGGGATTTGCCGCCGTGCTGTGCGCGTGGCTCGATGCCGACAGCCCGGTGTGGAGTAGGATGGCGTTGCTTTTGTCCTGGTTCAATGTCCCCCATGTCTCGTATGCGATTTCAAATTCAGGTAGCACACCACCCCAATCGAGAAGAAAGGGCTCCCGACTTTGGAAAATGAGATGTTTACCGGTCGTGTAGGATGGCTCCGGGCCCGACTGGTGTGATTTCCTCTGCAGGGCCAATGTCTTCATCTCCTGTGCGTCCAGGCATGGGAAGGACAATGCCGGGTTGCTGCTCGAATCTGCGGGAGCTTCCCATGTCTCTTCTTCCACCGCAGCTGCAGCTTGACCGTGGCGTGTAGCGTCTGTATGTAATGAGGCATGGCGGGCCAGAATGGGGCTTTGATGGGCTTGAAGCGAGCCGGAGTCTGGTCTCCCTTGCCTGAGGTTTGTTGTCGTGGAGGCACGAATGCTCAGTGACCTAGATCCACGACTGAGAAGGCGGGCAGCTATTTGTGCACCTCGAGGCGCCGCCATGTCGAAATGCTATGGGTGTTTGGGATGGAAAGATCGTGTGAAGAGGTCGGAGGGGTCTCCTCCGCCCTTACGAATTATATCAGAAGCAAATGCCATCGTGCTGGGGTCTCATCGGTCTCACAGGCGAATTGTGGAGGACATCGAGACAACCTTGAAATCACATCATCAGGAACCAATGAGAAGGAAAGGAGGCGACGAGAGCCCGTCCTTATGCTCCACCGAAGTCTGGGGCTCCTATGCGTGACAGTAGTACCTTTTGCGTACCGTACCGCGAATTCTTCACCTTTCCCCTTTACTCGTAGTATCGAGCGTAAAGCTATGTGCAGAGCGAGAAACATAGAGAATACCTTGTCTGTCTTTCTGCTTATTACCTTTTCCAGTAAGTATCGAACTATTGCCAAGTCGATGTGCACTTCAAATTCCAAGCCAGCTCCTCCAGGAATAAAATGTTCCACCAACCTCATACCACGTGAGTCCAAAGAGTTGGAACTCCGAGACGTGCTAGGCGTCATTCAAAGCTTCTTGCTCGCATTCGACGAGCTGTATAGTGATGTTGTCCATTACAAGACCGCACTGAATCATAGGGCCCAGATCCAAAGTGAATGCCATCCACGATCCTAGCGACAGTTCTTCCCTGTGCCACCCGGCGTTCACTTCTATGCCGGTGGCTTGAGAACTTTCACCTCACTCTCTGCCAAGGATGAATACGCAAGTGCGTCACCAAACACCGCGCCTGTTCCAATTCATGTTCTTACGTGCATGTCTATCTTCATGAGACATGAGTTCTGGCATTGATCTCGGGTACAGATTTACTGCCGACAGGAGCAACTTCTTCAAGAACGGAAACCCCAGGGCGAGGCTGGCATGTACGTATGGTGAGAGAAGGTTCTGAAAAGCTACTTCGATGCATATCAGGGGAAAGCTATCTTGGAACAGGGCATCGATGGACAGAATGGTACTTGAAGCCTGGCGATTCTGGGGCAACATCTCGCTGTAGGTCACGTCTCGTCGCATTTGTGACTTGGCGGGCACCAAGGGGCTTGCACCGCTAAACAATACTAGAAAGCTGGAAGGGGGTCAAGTAGAGGCAGCAAGCAAGTAGGCTTTCTCTAACTGAAATAACATTTGAGGCGCTCCAAGGGCGACGACACTCTGTGCGTGAGTCATGCTGATCTTCTGCAACCCAAAGTTGTTGCCACCGAACAAGATCAAGGTGACACACAATTTGCTGGCATCTGGTCAAGCATAACTTCGTACTGTCCTCCAATTCAAGGGAGACTGCTCGCCTGGACAGAAGTGAACATGAATATTCCAACCCAGCCAACCACATCTGTCGGTCAGTATACAATATCATAGCGTTGACGCTCCTTCTGCCCAACGCTTCGGTGGCCAAATCCTGTTATCGGCTGCAAATTGAAAATAACTTGGTTTGATTCTTGTGCGGTTTGTAGGCAATACTGGTATTTGCTCTCATTCCACCCTACAGCGCCAACTCACTAGGGAATCTAAGATTTGTCTCGGTCCTAACCACCTGGACAGCTCTGGAAATGAACGGGCTATCGGGTACTATCTCAGACAGGATACATAACACGACCTAGCCATTGAGATTATCGATAGGCCCCTTCTTGGACAGATTGTACCTGAAGAAGGTGCACCTGAACGTGCCGTAGTTCGTCGATCGTCATATGGTTTCGATGGTACAACGTCTGCAGCGTTCCCTGTCACACTTGATACATTTTGGAACGAGAGTCAGGTTGTATGGGCCTTCTCCACAGTGACAACAGTACCATGACTGCGGGTGGGCTCTTATAATAGGGGGAGAAGGCAACAGACCCGACGCTGGGATCCATTGTCGCTTGCGAAGACTGTCTTTTTGGAGGAGCTTATCGATACTACCATTGGTCGTGAAGCATTGCGGAAGCTTTTCGTCAAGAGAACAGGCCGCAACGAGAGCCGTAGCGTTCTGGGCTCGCGAAACACTGAGACAAGCGCATCAGCAATAGCAAATACAAAGCAGGGTCCGAGAAAGACATACCACATCGCTAAAGTTGACTTGAAATCTCGGGTGTAATGGGTTAACAATCTATAGCAGGGTTTGAGAAGACGAAAGACATCACAACGGGTGGCAGACCCGCCAGAAGTCTTATCACAGGTTATTGCGAAAGACAATCCGCCTTGTTGAGGCATTTTCAGTAGTAATTGCGGCTGTTCAATAGGATTACTGGAGGCTGAGCGGCGATTGCTGAGAGCTCATTACCAATAGGGTCCTATCACAGCATCGTAATCATTGGATTCAGCCGTTAAGAGGTAATTACCCATGAGGAGAATGGTGAAAATGAACCACTGCTGCGGAACTCGAGAAAAGTCAGGGGCGCAGACATGAGCGTTGGGAGCCATGCCACAGTGCTGCTGACGGGAACGGAAGATGCACACGGAATCACAAAAGTCCAAATTTCAAACGAGCCTAGAAGTCGTGGAAGTCGTGCGGGCCGTGCAGGTAAAGCAGTTTCATCTCTAGAGTATTTGCTCTAGATTCCATCTTTTACTAGTATACTTTGCCCATTAGTGCGGTATTTCCAGAGAGAATGAACGGAGACAGGGAATAAACAGCCACTCATAATGCCGAGAGAAAGACTGCGCACGAGAGAATGGGCACGGGACTGCGATATATCAGCAGGCTTCTCGCGCTCCATTGGATGGCCAAAGGCTTCTTCTTTGTGATTGTTGGATTTCCTGACCGGTTGTGAGGGACGGTAGCGTCTGCCTGGTAAGGCAACTGACTGCCATTGGACGAAGCCGAGATCTGGACAATCGAAAAGATTGAGAACTTTCAACACTATCTTGGAGATGAAGCTCATTTGATCATAGCCCCGGTGTAGACTATGATTAGTCATTGCTGTACACCAACGATGACCGGTCGTGGGTCGGGCGTAGACAGGACGAAATCTCCTACAGATTTGCAGACTTACGAAATGGAATCTGAAGGTAGATTTCGCTTACAAGCCGATGCTTCAGACCAGACTTGTCAAGCACTACACAGGCGAGCGCGATTTCGTGGCCGCTGATGATAGACCGGTTTGGTATTCAAGAATGAAGTGTCAAAGACGGGGTCAACGAGGGTTGGGACCGAGTCATGGTTGTCTGAGACTGTAGAGTAGGCGCAGAGGGTGTTGCCTTACTGCCACTTTCTAGAAGCCATTCTGCACAAGCATCTTCCAGTCGAATCTGATCACTTCCATCTTGGAGTTGAGTTGAGGCAGAGCACAATGCACCCAGGGAGGCAGGGTGTGATCTGCCATCCCTGGATGATCATCCGTGCCAAGGCTGAGTGCCCAGGATAGTCACGTGGACACGTGTGCCTACAACGGGGGCCAAGCGAGGCAGCCACGTTCGTGAGGTGAGGCCGGTGGAGAGAGCCACGAGTCCACAACCCAGTGTGTCAGGATGGGCAACTTCCAAGTTCCGGCGCCTCGTGCTATTCGTTCGTACCTTCCTACCATACAAACCTCCACCTCTCTTTACAAACTTCTTCCAACATCAAACAAATCGTTATTTCATCTTCACGCCCCAGGATAGTCTTTAGAAATTTCTTCCTACCACTCCAATACCAACAATTTCTACTTAGGATTCTCTTCAACGACAAATTAATCAATTCAGAAGCATCTTTAAAACTCGAATGCGATGTTTTCCTTTGACCTGGCAGGGTGGAAAGTTTAGCACACGTTAGTCTTCTTTAGTGAGCTGGTGAAACATCCATAGCGTACCGCGATGTTATATACATATTGCATTCCAAAAGGAGCTGAGAACTGCACGCGCGCAATCTCTTGACTCCACCTGCACCATGCGCAGATCTACCACGGAAAGCAAAGCCATTCGAGATCCCCAACTCACCTGTTGTAGATTCGTCTGGCAGACACCATTTTGCACTGCATCACTGTACAAAGTGGTCGAGAATGTGTGGCTATGAACCTAAGTAGTTGGCATTTGGACTGGCGAGACCAAAACCACATCAGAAGTCCCCGAAGGCAGCCAACGCAAACATCAGCCCAAAACTGATTTTGAAGGCTAGATTATCATTGATGGCGCTTCGGAGATTGATATTCTTGACATAGCTCTGTAAACGATCGATCGGGATCACGTTGTATCCTTTCCGAGCTGCGACCTGTCGATGGTATCAGACAATACTGTCAGCTGCTGTTCTATATGTTCTTTCTTAAAGCGGGTTTGCTGGAGCTTGAAAATACAGCTAGCCCACACAGCCCCCGAATGCCCACAAAACATACCTGTGAAAGCACGATGCCCAATCCAATCAGTAGGGTCAAACTGGTTGAGAATGCGCTGACCAGCACGCCGGCTCCTAGTCCCAATATCGCGCCGAGACTGATCTGCTTAACGGCCGCAGGATTCAGTGTCTTTCCATCCTTGGTCAGTGGCGTTTTGGCGTCGCGTGAGTGCGTGTAAGGGGAACTGCTGAACGAGGCAGAGTCGCCTGGTGGGCTGTAGGGGGAGCTGTCGAGGCGAACAACGGGACGAGGCTGCAAGAACGGAACCGATATCGAGAGCCCGAAGGCTATGAGTACTGGTCTAGACAAGATACCCTTGGATAGTGGGCGGGTCATCGCGGGGCGGATGGCGGTTCGGAGGAGCATTGCCTCGAGTTGTGATGGTGAAAGGTGGGAATGGACTGTGGATGAAAGGACTGGCCGCGACGGCAGTGTCAGGCGCAGCTCTGTATCGAATATGTGAAAGATTTTCCCGTTCCCTTGCGATCGATCTCAAAACGTTTGCTTTTCGACGGTAGCAGGAGTAGTGGAAGGATGGCTTCGTCGAAGAACGTCGTGTTCTGAAGGAGAAACCGCAGGGGGTGGCGGTCAGCTCCGATGATGTCACCGACGTGCCCCAAAATTCAGGCCGCCTTAAGTATGCGAACTATTCTGTGTTGCCGGTCCCAGACTGCCACTGGGACCACGAACCAGACCCTGTGGACTCGTTTAATACCATCATTATCGAAGGACTTAGTGACCTCGTCGAACACGCAATTCTCGTATGTCAGACTTATTTGATACTTTCAGAACACCTTGACTGATTTCATTCACCGCATTTCGGAAAACGTTCTCACCAGCCTGATACCGGCCCACTAAAATACATACATGCCGACAACCTGTCGACTGTGGAACCCTTCTCCACTGGCTACGGGACTGGATGGGGATCTAGATGCTTACCAGATGCTTTGAAACCAGAGTCCAGTAAGTTCAATAGCAAACATATAGCAAAACTGTCTTCAGCCATGATGTCAGTCCACCTCCGGAAGGGACCATGTCTAACCTTGTACAAGGCTGGCGTGGGAACATATATGCGTGAAGATTGCTTTCCGCCATCATCACAGCCATGGGCTCGACCGTAACAGCCCGCCTTGCAAATGCCCCGTATTTGTGGTCATACCGGAGCATAACTCGTCGCCCGGGAGATTTCGGTGTGCCCACCCCAGTGTCCTGTCCACTCTCCAACCCTTGCCGCCCCTGGGTGCTTTCCCGGGTCCGGGGAAAGGGGGGTATTTCCGAGTCCCCGTTTCCTCACCTTTCGAGTTCGTAGAGAGTATATATCATTCGAAGCCATCTCCACTGAATCGGTGATCCTTAGATTCTTGTCCTTCTGTGTGGATTTCCTTCTCTTCATCAAGCTGATTGAAACCCCCCGAACTCCAAAGACAGTTGTTCCCATCACGAATCACCTAGAACTTGTCTTACCCCAAGATTATGGGTTCAATAGCTCCCGCGGTGTTGAATGGCACCTCTCAACATGGTCAGGAGACAATTGAAATACCCCTGCTGATTGTAGGGGCCGGCCCAGCGGGTGCCTCTCTGGCGTGTTTTCTCTCACAACCACCATATTCCATGACGGGGCTTTTGATTGCTGCCGCGCCCACCACGTCGCAAACACCACGTGCACACATAACCAACCCGGCGGCATTCGAGTGTCTGCGAGACATCGATCTAGAGCAGACATGCTTGGAACAAGCCGTGGAAGGTGATTGTATGGTGCACACACGATGGTGCCACGACATGACGGGTGAGGAGTACGCCCGCATCTATTCGTGGGGTAACGACCCTAAGCGACACGCCGAATACGAGGGCGCAAGCCCTTGTCACCATGTGGACTTGCCGCAGACCGTCTTTGAGCCGATTGTCGTTCAAAGAGCCGCTGCACAAGGCTGGGATGTCAGATTTCGATCCAGCCTAGTGGAATTCGAGAGAGAAGCCGACGGCCGCATTCTTAGTCGAATCAGGGATGATCTCACAAAGACCGAATATTACGTCCGCTCGAAGTATCTCTTCGGCGCCGATGGTGCGCGGAGTCAAGTCATTCGTCAGTTACAGATCCCCATGATCAAGAAGCCTGGTCAAGGATTGGCACTTAATGTGTTGGTCAAAGTCGATCTGAGTGATTTTGTCGAGGCTAGGAAAGGGAACTTACACTGGGTTTTCCAACCGGATCAGGAGTATCCAGATTTTGCATGGAGTGGGCTGATTAGAATGGTTAAGCCGTGGAACGAGTACGACTTCCCCTTATAAGAAAGGCCACAATCACTATACATACTAACTGAATGGCACAGGTGGATGTTCATTCTCTTCCCAAAGCCAGGTGCCGAATTCAAAGAGCCGACACGCGAACAATATCTTCAAAGATGTAAAGAGATCGTTGGCCGTGACGACATCCCGATCGAAATCCTTGACATCTCCAAATGGAACATCAACGAGATCGTCGCCCAGCATTATTCCGATGGCAACATCTTCTGTCTTGGGGACGCAGTCCACAGACACCCGCCTTTCAACGGCTTGGGTTCCAACACATGCATTCAAGACGCATTCAATCTAGCGTGGAAGATTAAATATGTCGAGCAGGGCCTTGCCTCGTCCTCACTATTGGAGAGTTTCAGCACCGAGCGGCAGCCGGTCGGCTTGGGTATCGTCACCCGGGCGAACCAAGGCATTCGCGACCATATGCCAGTCTGGAAGGAAATGGGATTGATGGAAGAGACACCCGATCAGCGCATGAAGATCTTGAACAGCCTGAAGACAGCCACACCTGAGGCTCGCGAGCGGAGGAAGAGAGTCAACGCCGCGATCGAAGGCACAAGCCACGAATTCCACGGCATTGGCGTGGAAATGAACCACCAATACGACTCAAACGCGATTTACTTGGATGACGAGAAAAAGGCAGGCAGAAATAAACCCGAGTGGCCAGAAGACGCGGTCCTCCATCACCGCGTCAGCACGTATCCGGGACATCGGTTACCACATGCATGGCTGAACAAGACGATGCCGCTGAAAGACCAAATCTCCACCATCGATCTCGCCGGGCACGGAAAGTTCTCGCTCCTGACTGGAATCGGAGGTGAGAAATGGCTTGAAGCCGCTGGAAAAGTGGGCAAGGAGTTGGGTCTCGAGATCGATGCACATTCCATTGGTTGGGGCCAGGAGTGGGTGGACGTCTACCGGGACTGGTAAGTGCAATATCAATTCCTTTTTGGCCGCATCTTGTACTGACGAAAATAATCAGGGAGCGAAGACGAGAAGTCGAAGAAGACGGCTGTATTCTTGTCCGGCCAGATCGATTCATCGCTTGGCGATCGTTCAGCTCGGAGGACGACTGTGAGAGCAAGTTACGGACGGTGCTGAAGAGCGTCCTGGGTTTGTAATATTGTTACGCCTTCTTTGCTGCATTGCGTGAGCGTTGTACTGGTACTTGAGTATGGTCGGTCCGAACAAAGAGCATCTATCAGCATTGCTCCGTCCGTTTTCGATCCTCTGGCTGTTCAAGCAAAGGGCAGATATGAAAGGGATTATTACCTCAGCTAGGGAAGAAACCATCGAGATTTGTGTTAATATACATTTTGCTTTCGCGAACTCGTCTGACTGTGCCATTTACCGTTCCATCATGACCTATGATGGCGTGAACAGTGCCCCCGCTACATCTTCAATGCCCCGAGGCTTTCTGCCCAACAACGTCTCCAGGAGCGGGTCAACGACTGAGGCTTCGCCCTGCGCCAGTCCGTCGTGCCAGCCGGCCCAGCTCTCAATGACCCAAAAGCTCTCTTCAGGTAAACTCTTCTTCTCGAATTTATGATATCTGGCCGCCTTCTCCTTCCCCACCACCTGCACGTCGACTTTCCTGCCCGCATACTTTTCCACTAGGCTCGCAATACCAGATATCGTCACTACCTGGGGTCCCGTCAAGCGCAACGTCTGCCCGATATACTGTTGGTAGTCAGCGAGGATCCTTGCCGTGCCCTCACCCAGGTCATCCCACGAGACCCAGGCCACCGGCCCGTCATTGGGGATCACGAAGCGCAGACTGCTTTGGTCCCCCTTGGCGAACTTCTGAGACTGGTACCCGGCGTAGAGCCACCAGCTCTCGGTGTATATACCTTCCCGGATAATGACATACGGGATCCCGCACTGCGACAGGTACTCGATGGTCTTGATGTGCGCCTGCTGCACGCCAGCGACGGACTGCAGCCCAGTCTCGCCTCCGAACATGAGACTCGTGTAGATGATGGTCTTGACGCCAGACAATTTGGCCGCCTCGATTGCCCGCTTGTGGTGGAGCCAGCGGTCCACGGCTGGTGATGGGAACGAGACCAAAAAGAGGGCGTCCGCGCCCTGGAATGACGAGACCAGTGATTCGGAAGAGGTGAAATCACCCTTTCGGATCTCGATCCGAGCATCCTTCGCTCGCGAAGAGACTTTGTCCGGGCTGTTGGAGGAAATGATCAGTTCAGATGGAGGAATCAATTTGAGATCTAGCAAAGCGTCGAGCACCCGTGATCCTAGATGACCAGTAGTGCCGGTGAGCACAAGCATGGTGGTGATGCTATTGGATCCAAAAGTCGATGATGCTCGTTCGGGCGACTATCGCATACGATTGTGCCTTCGCTTGAAGTTCATCAACAGGAGGACTACCAGGTATGCTGGAGATATCAGGCCGCAAGGTTGTGGCTTGATTTGATGCAGAAGACTGGCGAACCACGATTCGTAGTTCAATTGATCAAACATGCAGTTGGTTTATTCTTTCACTACGTCAGTCCTATGCATATGAGCAAGAAGGCCGTTGAAACGCTAAGAACGGTCTGCTCCAGACTTGGACAGTGGGCTCGGCCCTAATGACGTTATTCTGTCTAGCTGCGTTGGCGTTTCGGCAGTTGTTGAGTCGTTGGACTCGGTGCCGCGCGATGATTCTCTCCCTCACGAGATCCAGAAAGTAATCTCACAAAAAAGGAAACAAATGATCCCGGTGCAAAGCTTTCCCGCATCATCGATACTCCCTCATTAAAAAAAGACGAGACTTCCTTCGCGACCCGAGTTCCAAGACATAATTACAAGACAAAACGGTCGCCAACCCGTCCCTGGCGCCTTGGATGCATGGATGTTAGAGTGGACGACATGGGGCCTGAAGCTGGGGGAACTAAGGGGTGCAGGGAGACTTGCACGCGAGGTTCCTGGTACTCCGTATGGAGTATGTACTTTTCAATAGTTTACTTGGCGCCAACAGTCCTCCGTATTCCGTACGGAGGAGCGAGAGGCGGCAATGCCACCTGGCCGTCGGAGAAACACATCCAACGAAGGAGTGTAGCTCATGCATGTGGGCATGTCCCCGTGAGTAGCCCTGGGTAATAATGGTCTACTGCCAGGTTGTAGAAGACTGAGGACTCCAGAGCGCACCGACCGAAACCATGTCAGTTGCAGAGTGTCTGACGGTCTGGCAAGAGTAACAACAACCCAAGTGGCTAGTCTCCGCAGCTGACAAAGGACACAAAGTCTACATTCTGGCACCCAAGAGACGTACGTACTGTACTGTTCCAGCGCGGCCCTTGCGTCCGTCGTCGAGCGTGGCTTTGCTCCATACAGCATGGGTCGAGACACCCCAGCCACCCCTCGTAAATAGTCATCAAAAGCAATCGAATAAATGCTAGTCTATTCATGCAACATGATCATTCCACCTGCACGCCAATGGCACTGTGAGGCGTCCATGACGTGGTTTTGTACAATAGTATTCGCAGACTGATCTCTGCTCAATTGTGTTCCGTAACTCTGAAGGATTTGACCATGTCCCATCCCCGAGTATTTTTTTAGCGCTTTTCGACCGTCATGTGCTCGACGGTAAAGGTCACGTCTCGTCTGATCTCGTTGACAGCTCGATCGTATCTGGCAGAGCTGGTGGAAGACCCATCTCCATGCACTCCATCCATCTGTGATCCTCCCCGCTCGAGTTCTTGCAATGAAGTGGTCACCATCGACTTGCTGATGGGATATGTGTCGAGATCAAGGTCATATTCTTTGGAAAAGTCCATGTTGTTGTTGCGCGTGGGTTTGCTGGAGTGATTACCCCAGTTATTTGTGTTTCCCTGTGATGTTGGCTTCGTGCCCTTTCTGCTGGTGCCAATCTTCGATAGAATCGGGAAGATCTCGCGCAGAAAAACCCATATTCCAGGCAGAGTTGTAACGTAGACGGCAACCGACGCCTCACGGAAATACCAATTCATGTAGACGTATGAAATGAGGGATGGGACAAGACAATAAATCGCACGAAGGATCGCAGCAATGATGACGAATGTTCCCATGCCGAAGATGACACCAAGGATTGCTTTTTGCTGAAGAGACAGTAGGGCGTTGAGCACCGGCGGTATGCCGATGGCGAGGATCAAGATATCCGTGGATATGTTGAACACCGCATTGACAATCTGGTAATACTCGTAGGTTGAACATTGTGCTAAGGGACATGGTCAGTAACAATTCAAGGGGCCAAAGATGGGGACTTACGATTGACGGGTGGGACAGCCCAGTACTGAGAAAGAGGCCGACAGATGAGAAACAAAGCCAGTTCGTCGCCAATGAATGCTAATACAACCCACACCATCACACCATTAAGCAGTTTCCGCGCCCGCAGGCCATCACTATTCAATCTGCGTCAGCTGTTGAGTCTTGCATGCTGTCATGATGCTCTTACGTGACTCTGGTGTAGAGTATGAGCATAGCAGCCTTCATACTCCAAATGGTGAGTAGCATAGCATGCTCAGACACGAACACCCATTTGCTTCCATTCACACGCTGAGCAGTGATGGCAGGTGTCAGGGCAGCCTCTTCCTCTGGTGTCATCAAGTTGGACCCTGCACCAGTTGCCATTTCATTGAATGAGACGCATAACATCGTATACGCGAACAAACCAAATGCGATGAAGCCGTCGTCGAGTTGGAGGTTTCGAATGCCAACTCGTCGCACTTTGGAATATCTGGTACATACATTTGACCGATTAGATCTCTGTGGCCCAAGCCTGGTGTGGATATCGGTATGACTTGAAAGGTACTCACAATCGCAAAACGATGAAGAGTGCTCCAACACCATATAAACTCCATGATTCTGGCACGAAGCCTGGGTTTGGGGACTGGTTCGACATCCTTTGTTTGATGGCTACAGCTATGGCGGGCAGGCAAAATTTGGTATTGGGTGCGCCAGGGATGCAATAATATTATTGATATGCACCACGGTCAGGACTCATGAACCTACTTCTAAGTTCTGGCTTTCTGAGGCGATCGTGTACTGGCTAAATTATCGCACTATCGGGTTCCAGTGTTCCCGTCCGCTTTCGGTGCGAGCTCCATCGTCTCGGTCCTTAGAATACTTGGGACACATCCAGTCTTGGACCTATTTTCAAACTGATTGTAACACCCTTTCTGCAAATGAAAAGGAGGATCGCGGGAAACTGCCCCGGCTCACGAGGTGGTGGGGCGGTTGAAAAACTTTGCTCACGCCCAGGGCCACCAAAATCTCGACGTTGAGACAAGGTTCCTGAGAGCATTCAGAGGAAGTGGCTAGAGGGTTATCGCGCGGATTCGGGGATGCAGGTACCAGTACGTAAGGGAAAGCTGGTTGCAACCATTGATGGCAGCTTGGTCAACATGTTTCCGCCTGGGCTCCCCGTAGCGGGAGCGACAGACGAACGAGCAGAGCAGGTGTCTCGGATGGGCGCTATCCCCTGCTAGAGTCTGGCGGTAAGGATATTGAGAAACCTCGTATGAGTCCTGTAGCATTAAATGTGGATTAAACAAACCCAATGACAAGCCATCCCATAGCTTCTTTCACCATGAGCATTGTGGAAGCCCGGTGGCTGTCCGTCAGCGCGGTTCAGTGTGGCGGGCAAAACTGAAGGATGGTAGTCCCTTTTCCGGACGGTAGCACGATTGAGCCATCATTAGTCCCAGTCAGGGTTCGACGAGTGACTGGGATTCATGGATGTCAAATTTCCAGAGGGATGGTTAATCAACATGGGCTGGATTCGTGAAGAACCGTCAAGTAACTCTCATGACTGAGCTCTGAACGAGACGATGCAGTCTTGGCGCCGCCTTGGCCCTCCACTCACGTGCCCACAATTTTACGAAAGGTGGAATCATTTGATCGCCCCCCTTGCCATTCTGATAACACCACCCGACTCCACGAGTCCGCATGAGCGCACACGATATGCTACGTACCTATGTACATGATGACTTTTCCCGGAGCCCCACTTCTCCGGGCCATTTGCTGCTTCCGATGCAGAGCTGCCGGTCAATCACCGAGGGAGCTACCTTAATTCTTCAAGGCTCCTCCCAGGAGAGCGAGTAGGGACTCAGTATGGAGTGCGAGTGCCTTTGGCCCCTTTGTCGAATCATGAAATCGCAGCCACCAGCAGGCCATGGCCATGGACAGCCACTTGCAACTGCAGCGCCTCCACTTGGCTAGCGATGATCTCCGACCTTGATTCGCTTCGAGAGGCCTTCCATTGTGCTTCGCTGACAGATTCCAGATTCCACTGCCACGTTCATGCCATGGGCTAGATGTTAGGACCATCAAGGTTTAGTTGGAATGTTGTCGCCTGGCGTGGGCATCCTGCGATCAGTTCCACGCATGCAGAGCCTGTCAACCCGCCGATCACTTTTTCCTTTTAATATTGTAGATATTCCCTTGTATTCTTCATTGTTGCGCCTTTTATCTGTGTTATCATCTTCACGCCCCTCACAACATGTCGGAGGCCAAACAACCCGTCCAGGATCAAGAGTCGGCGACTTCTTCCCAAGCCACACCCAACGATGGCGGCCTTGTCAACGCCTCCGGACACGTACAAGAGCTCCAGAGAAACTTTTCTCTTCTATCCCTAGCCGGCGTTGGATTGGTTGTCGGCAATGTATGGCCAGCAATCGGCGGGTCAATTCTCGTTGCCATCTTCAATGGTGGTCCACCCGGCGTTCTCTATGAATTCATCGTGGTCTCTGTATTCTACTGGACTGTCGCTGCTTCGATTGCTGAGCTGGCCTCGGCGATTCCTTCTTCTGCTGGTGTGTACCACTGGGCGAGTGTTACCCCCGGAAAGAAATGGGGTCGGATTGTTGGCTTCTATGCAGGCTGGTGGAATACCCTCGCCTGGATCCTTGGTGCTGCCTCAATGACAGCAATTTTTGTATGTGCAACCACTCCAGAACTGTTGGAAGTTTGAAGCTCATGATATGCCTTGCAGTCCAACACTATCGTCCAGATGTATGCTTTGAAGCACCCTGATTTTACTGCGGAGGCCTGGCACGTTTTCGTGACCTATGTCATCACAACCTGGATTGCATGTGCCTTGGTCTGTTTCTTCAACAATGCCATGCCCTATCTGAATCAAATCGGAATCTTTTTCATCCTTGCCGGCTTCATCATCACAGTGATCGTCTGGTAAGTATCTTCTACACTGTGAAACCGTCACATTTGATCTGACATCTTCTTTAGCGCCGTTATGCCCGGGCGAGGTGGTCGTCCTGGTCACGCAACATCTGCCTTTGTCTGGAAGGATTGGACCGCCGAAATTGGATATCCAAGTGGATTCGTGTTTGTTGCGGGCATGCTCAATGGTGCTTACAGCGTCGGAACACCGGACACAACGACCCATCTCGCTGAAGAGATTCCTTATCCACAACGCAACGTTCCGATCGCTATCTTTTGCCAAGTCAGCATTGGATTTGTCACCGGCCTTGCTTATTTGATTGCAATCATGTACGCCATTAACGACTACGACGCACTGTTCGAATCGCCATATCCGATTGCCGAGATCTATCGACAAGCGACTGGCTCCGCTGATGGTGCGATCGGACTGTTGGCTCTTGTTATGATCTGCATCGGCATTTGCGTGGTTGGGTTATATATCACCAGCGGGCGAACACTGTGGGCTTTATCTCGTGATGGAGCAGTCCCATTCCCCAGGATTGTCAGCAAAGTTTCAGAACGATTCGGAATGCCCTTCAATGCCACTGTCATTGTGGCCATTATCGTAACTGTTCTTGGAGCTATCTACGTTGGCAGCACTACTGCATTCAACGCTTTCGTCGGCTCATTCGTGTTGATGTCTTCTTCGTCCTACATCGCAGCGATCCTTCCCAACCTCCTGACCGGCCGAAAGAACATCGAAGTATATGGCCCTTTCGAATTGAAAGGTTGGAAAGGATATGTCTTGAATGCCATCGCCTGCTCATACATGATTGTGTGGTTCGTGATCTACTGTTTCCCATACGCCTTACCAACGGACGCAAAATCCATGAACTATGCTTCTCTCATATGGGGCGGTTTTACGATTTTGGTATCTGCTTGGTGGTTCTTGGGTGCAAGGCGCCACTACGAAGGCCCTCCGATGGTCAGGGATGGAGGACATGCCACTTTGGCTGATACCATGAAGAAGGTCGACTCCCATATTCAGCGGGCCGCAAGTGTCAAATCTAATACAGTAGGATAGAAGAGAGTTGAGATATTTGAGTGCATGCACGCATGGAACATCTTGTCGACACTTAAGAGAGTGAATTGAGCTATAGAATAAGACATAATCGAGAGTTTTTGATGACAAAGTGAATATTCTTTTGTTGTGTTGGAGTCTATCTTTCCTCGCAACCGACACACTGGGGTGTCCACAAACTCAAGTTGCTCCTCAGAAGCGTACGTTCCAGCAGCATCGGGTTTAAGTACCGAATCGTTATTTAACGTCGTGCATCTGAACCAGGAAAGCCTTGAACGGCCTTGACCAACTGAGGACAGCGCTCTGTGTCTTCGTGAGCCATGCAACATAGACCTTTCAAAAATAAAAAATGAAACTACCATGTTATGAGTTTCCCATCGCCATTAGCCACGCGCCGAACCGTGGATCATCCCTTTCCTCGTGTCCACCATCGCCAGGCACTCGTAATTTGTTCTTGGTAGATGGTAATCAGTTCCTCACTCATTGGTGGGACGCAAAGTTATGACGACGGTGCCTCGCCTCGAGTCTGGGGGTCCACAAATATGTCCGTAGCGAGTCGACAAAGCGCTTTGTATTCACCTGGAAGCACTTGAGGCTGTTTCCCACTCTAGTCTTGCCAGCGGAACGAAGGGCTCCGATGCTTCAAGCCTCAATGTCTACCTATTTGCGGAGTATCTGATGATGTTCCAATTCTTTCCGGCCGTGGTGGTTTGGAACAAGGATGGATGGAACGGCGAGAGTGGTCTGACCCGAGCCCGACGCCCCCGGAACACGCCTATTTTCATCATTTCGACATCTCCACAGCTTTTAAAACCCAACGTACTTCCGCGGCCGACTTTTCATCTCCATTTTCTCTATCTTTCGTCTGTTATCAATGCATCTATATTGACTGGCCTTACATAGATGTGTATGAATCCGTCCACCACTCGGTGAATGGAGAAGTTATTTTCAAACACGTACCGGTATCATGTGTCCACCAACTGTCGTTGCTTCGTAGCGCGACTGCATAGGGTAATATCCAGATCTATGACTGGAAATGGATCAATACAGTGACTAACAATTGATTTCCTCTTCCGCGGAGCTGGCCAGTCTTTGTCCAAGCTTTTGCAAGACAAACTTGAAGGGTTTGTGTACCACCACTGCCGTGGTAATACAAAATTGATTTAGTGGCGATACTTCCTATGCGGTGTTAAATGTTAAGGTGGCCTGACGTCGCCCAAATTCTTACGTACATGGCACATACCATCCACTTCCCTATTTGTTCCATATCCCTATCCCCTAGAGCCTCGAGCCTCGTTGATTATATATAATCTCTCGCTATTGACCAGGCTCCAGACACGATGTCCAGCACAACTTCACAGTTATTGAGACATGCTTGCGCGCTTCACCATAACTCGAGCCCTCGCAACCGCCACAAATAGTGCGAGAACCACTGCCCAAGGTAGTGCAGTTGCTGCAGCGTTAGCATTCAACTCCAAGGCCTCTTTCCACTCATCGCCGTCTAAAATGGGCTTAACTCCCGAGCAAGAGGCGATCGTAAAGTCGACAGCGCCCGTTCTTGCACAGCATGGTACTGCCATTACCACCCATTTCTACAAGCGAATGCTCTCCCATCATCCTGAGCTCCGAAATATATTCAACGCTGCACATCAGGGGACGGGGACGCAACCTGCAGCTCTTGCACACGCCGTCTGGGCGTACGCTGAGAACATCGACAATCTTGGTGCCTTGACCACAGCTGTCTCTCGCATAGGACATAAACACGCCAGCTTAGGAATCACGCCGGACCAATATCCCATTGTCGGTGAGAATCTCCTGGCATCCCTCAAAGAGGTCCTGGGCGATGCGATCACAGAACCAATTGTCGATGCCTGGGGCGCCGCATACCAACAACTCGCTGACATCTTCATCAATTTCGAGCGCGATCTGTACCAGAAAGCCAAGCAGACTCCCGGAGGTTGGAATGGCTGGCGCAAATTCCGCGTGGCGAAGAAAGTCCCGGAAAGCGATGAGATTGTCTCCTTCTATCTTGAACCTCTAGATCAGGGGAAGCTACCGCCATTCATCTCTGGCCAGTACATCTCAGTCAGGGTATGGGTACCCGAATTGGGAGTATATCAGCCCCGCCAGTACAGTTTGTCCGATGCTCCTGATGAAAAACACTTTCGCATCTCAGTCAAGAAGGAGGCCGCACAGGGAGCCGACAAACCAGCGGGGCGCATTTCCAATGTCCTTCACCAAGATACCCCCGAAGGCGCCGAGATCGACGTGAGCAACCCATACGGAGACTTCACACTCGACGTCGAGACCAACGCTCCAGCCGTACTCATCAGTGGCGGTGTCGGCCTCACCCCTATGATTTCGATGCTGGGAACTCTAGTTGAAAGCGCCAAATCGCGACAAGTCGTGTTCGTCCACGCCGTCCGCAACGGCAAAGTTCACGCCATGAAAAAGTATCTTTCGCTCATCATGCAGGAAAACCCTCAAGTGTCAAAAGCCATCTTCTACGAAGAAGTCGGGGGCACTGACGAGAAAGGTCTTGATTACGACCACGAAGGCCGCATCGATCTCCATAGCATCAAGGATCAAGTCCTGCTTCCAAACGCAGAGTACTACCTATGTGGGCCGATCCCTTTCATGCAGGAGCAACAGAAGAATCTCGAGGCTCTCGGTGTCCCCAAGGAGAAGATTCATTCAGAGGTGTTTGGATCTGGAATCATTTAGATTTAGATTTTTTAGCCTCGAAGCGGCACTCTCTAGAATGACGACCGTGCGGGTTCTCGAGGATAAATTAACGGCATGTTGCGGCTTCGGACGGGAAAAAATCTATAAATTTGCGGACACCTGGATTTGCTCGTAGTATATAATGATATCATAAATAAGAGAATTCCTTTGATTCATCTCGAAGATTGTCGTGTTTCTCTCGAGTGGTCGTATTTGAAATTCCTGAATGGTTTCTTCAAGGACATTAGAACATCTACGCAACTGTCAGAGTCCCAGGAGGCCATCCGGCTCCAGCACGAGAAGCGTACCGTTCCTGTAGTCTGATTTAGGACATCGTAGATTTACTGTCTCTGACAAGCACATAGATTAGACCAGATCTTGGAACGCAGAGGCTACATAGTCCCCATTGATCACTTCAGAGAAGCAAAGGTCGCCAAATCGGGTACCAGCGGAAAGATTCCCGACGCCTGTAAATTTTGAGCCTAATTAATCTATTTGGCAAAGTTGGAGTCATCAACAGTGCCACAGTTCAAAGCCCTGACAAGCATTAGTGGTTTAGTGGTAAAATCCATCGTTGCCATCCAACTTCGATGGGCCCCGCGTTCGATTCGCGGCTAATGCAATTTTTTTGTCTTTTTGAATTTGACTCCATGAAGTTTAATCTACCTAGGATGATAGCTAGCCTGTGGCTTATAAGTTTGGCCGCTTTATCAGTGTGGATGGTCTTCATTTTGAATCACGAACTTTTTCATGATCAAGGTCTTATGGGGGAACACGGGACAGAACGTGCAACCTAGGCATCAAGCTAGACTTGTGTGCCATATTCAGGTACGAGCACTGAAGAAACCGATCGCAGGGTACAACAACGGGCCGTTCGCAAACGGCATGGTTATCAGGTTGTCATGCACACAAGGGCAAACGCTATCCTAGTCTTACTTTCCTCCATAACCGGATACATTCCAACATGTCTGCCCCAGCTTTACTAATCGTTGCGTTGGAAGACACACTTTCGAAGATGACGGCAGCCAAAACAGCCGCACTGCAGAATGCTGACTTGTTCACTTGCAGCATCTTGACTTGCTGTTGCTTCATGCCGCCAGCCATGGACCAAGCAAGCCACTCCTCAAGGACTTTCACAACTTTCCGTGCTTCCCCTTCCTCGCTCTTGCTTTGATCGACCACGATGAGATACAAGATTGCCTCGGCCGCTTGAACAAGGGTCCATTCGCGGCCAATTTCGCCCTGTTCTATGAGCCAGCCAAGGCAAGCTTCTCCGACCGCCTTTGTGCTCATTCGTGGACTTGCTATTGCTTCCCTCAGTCTTCGCTCCTCACGCGCTTGCCGCTCCGACATGGCTGAAAGCATGTCATTGTGCTGTTGTTGGCGTTCGGCGGCTTCACGATTCATCTTGTGCACCCTGGCTTGTTCAGGGGCCATAGTTGCTTCAAGCCTCTCGGCGGCCAGGCGTGCCTGGAATCGTTGTCCATGGCGCTGGGCCAGGTTCGCGCCGCTGTTTCCGGGGCTTGTCTCCTTGTCGGATGACCATTCCGGCGCATCGATCTCTGAAAGAAGCCCAAGAATCACCATCACACCGCAAGGAACCGAGTCTTTGCGAACAAAAGCACTGACATCTGCAGGTACTTCAAACGCCCATAGTCCGCCACCGTTCTGGGTTCGCGACAGGATTGCAGATGCCGCACATGTAAACCATGAAGCCGCAGGAGACTGTTCGTACGTACGGAAGGGCTCGCTCGTGAAACCGGTCTCAATATTCTTCTGCTCCCACAACAGTCTCTGAACACGATTATCTTCAGCGAGAAACCGGAAGCTCGTACTGCCCCGACTGTACTTATTAGAACTTTTCATCTCTTCGATCCTCGTTGGGAGGTCTTTCGCTTCTGGCCTCACTTTTTCGCTCAGTTCCATCATTGGAGGTTGTACGAGTCTACCCCAGCCAGGAGGTAGGCTGCTAACTCCCCTGGTTTCGACTATGTCAGTCATTTCTCTGGTCCATCGAATGGTCACACTCAAGATCCCATCACTTTCATCGGGCATGCTGGTTCTCAACACCCAGTCAATGTGTTTTCTTGATTCATTTTCGTCTTCTGCCTTTCTGAGCAATACTGTTCCCGCGGGCGTCCACAGACCTCCGGACTTCAGCTTTTCCCATCCCATGGGATCGGGCACTGCACCCCAGTCGAGCAGAAAATGAACGAGCTCAGGGAAATCAATCTCAGCAGGCGGTTCCCTTAATTCATCTTCATACTGGATTCTGTACAGTTTCCTCCCCACGATCAATTTCTTCCAATGAAAAGCCCGCCAACTTCCACCTCGAAGAAACCCACGCACCCTGCCCTCTTCAATCATGCTCAATGTACTTTCTGCACGATCGAGCAGTCTCTGATGTTCACTTTCCGTCTCTTGTCCATGTCCGGTATTCTTCCAATAGTCATTGTTATTTCGTTCCAGTGGTGCTATCGTATATCTGGGGAGTTCGACTTCAATCAAGCTCGTCATGGGAGAACTTCGAATCATGAAACCGTCTTGCGGACGGGTAGTGCTGACAGGTTGGTGACCATGATGAAGGAGGGAGGCTCGTATCCGTCTCTGTGTGAGCACGGCAAGCACAAATGTATATAAAATGGGCAGAACACCTAAAACTGCGAGCGGCACGCCGACATAGGTGATGATGTCCGATGCGGAGGCCATGTTGGAGGTCGGCCGCTGAGAGTGTCAAGGAAGTAGGCTGGCTGCAATTTAAGGTGGCCGCCAACCCACCTGTTTCCTACAGTGTCGCGGAGGACGCGTTTCCATAGGGGATGAGGAAGGGGGTTGAAAAGATCTCGAGGTGCAAAGCATGATCTTGGATTGTCTTGAGTCTGAGGCTGCTCGTGTTTGCGGAATCAGGCTGTGGCTGAATTCAGGTCGATGCTGGGAAAAGGGGCAAGGCCGAAGGACCAACACCAACCAATCAACTGCAAATGCCAATTTCAACCTCACTCATCCCCATTGCTGGTCCTGAGTTGTCGGCTATCCATGGTATACTCTTCACAAATGAGTACCTCAATGAGCACTGAGGGCCTATAATCCTGAGGGTATACCATTTGTGATAGGTAAGCTCTCATGAATGGCGAACAAGCAGGCCAATGGTCTTTGTTGGCACACACAAATGAAAGCCAGCAACAAAGGTTTGCATTTTGCCTATGGGAGGTCATCCACACATTTCCTCGCTCTTATCCTCCTCTACGCCCGAGCTTCTTAATCAGAAGAATTGGCTTCCTATATATGATTCATATCAAAACATCAAGAGGCGGCCGTCAAGTGCAGGCTGGATTGTCAGTCCTTATCCAAGTCGTTGCGGCCGTTGATAGCAGGAACATGCTTCGAAGTAACAAGGATGGCCGAGAAAAATGGCATCCGGCCGCTGCGCGGTGCACTCCAGCCTGGCTTCGAGTGCTTTGACCGCAGTTGTGTGCAAGAATGCCTTATTCACTGATGTTACAGACACGCACCCGAGCAGTGGACTGCCTTCACAATGTGATGTGATCTGAGCCACTTTGGTACAAGTGAGCACGAATGCCAGCTGCCACGGGCACCAGAACTTCACTAACGATGACTGCCTCTGGTTGTTCCAAACTATATATCTCGCGAGCTCTACAACCTCCACCATCTGTTTCCCTTCTCCCGTCCCTTCCACCTACCTACTACTCCCGTCCTTAACACTATCTTGCACACTCCAGACCTTTTGCTCAAAGAGAACCTTCCACCAGTGGATCAATATCATCAAGCTTCCAACCTTCCTTGCCACAGCCTTCTCCTACCACTGCACACCACGTTGATCTCCTTCAACCATACGACGCGGCCAACCAATCCACTAGAACAAGCAACCACATCTCTTAGAACGCGATGGCGCGAAAAGCGATATTCACGCGGTTAGGAGCTGGTGTTATCACTGGCACCATCGCGCTACTTCACTGCAAGAATGTTCCCCAAGACGACGAGCAGCACCAACCACGACTTCGATCTCTTCCCACTCCCAGAACTACAACTTCTTCTACCCCGGGGGCAGCACATGGCAAGGCCGAAAGCGAGATTCGCCGGTGCCCAATTGCTTTACAACAGAAAGTTAGCAGTTATTCCACAAGAATTAGATTCGGGCTTTCTCCAACTCAAGAAGATGCGGGATCTTCTCAGCCCAAGCTGGTCGAAATCCGAGACGCCATTACAGAAATTAACCCTTCTACAACCCGCAATTCTCGAAGTCAAAAAAATACAACCGCCACAACCTCTGACGTTGATAGGCCTGGTAGCTATGTCATTGAGAATCAAAATGAAGTTACCATCGAAGGCACAGTCGTCCAAGGGCCAACAAGAATCCCAGACGTGGTCAACGCGGCTCGTCTTCCGCGTCTTCTCCGCCTTCCCCCCCTTGAGACAATCTCAGGTATTGCGGATAGGTTTACCTCAGAAGTGTTTCAGGCTGTCAATGATGTCACTATCCACCTTCAAATCCCCCCCCTGCCACTTGCTCTGGCCGATATCTCCCCAGTCCAAACCAGCACAGCCTTGGTGCCTGTACGGAGGACGACCAGACAAGCCTACACCATTGATCATCTCCCAACTTTTAGCGTTACTCCCCGGGCACGTGCTATCAACGCTGACCTGGTCTTCGCCCTTCTTGCGGACGGCAGTGTTATTCGACCTAGCTTGTTTGTACCTCACACCTCGCAGACAGACACCCTAGTGATCATCCCGCCTGCATGTGATAGTCTCATAGTTTCCACCCCAGCAACGTCCTTCATCTATTCACCTCGACGTTCCATTACATATGACGCTGAAATTCCAACCGCCATCGCTGGTGCTCAGATCGACATGGTCCCAGTTGTCTCTCTCAGCAAGCTAGATGGGCAAACTACTGAGCAAAAGTCTTCTCCTGTTCTTGTCGACTCGGCAACCCAGACCGAAGACTTCGAGCAACAAACTGCCCTGCAAACAGCACCCACCGAGGACTTGCCTGCTGAGAGTGTTGATTCCCCACGCTGTTCATCAGACAGACAGTCACTACTAGAGAGTAGAGGTTCTAGCAAACAGGACTCACCAGCCACCAGCCGCTCTATTAGCCCACCTCAATTCAGTTATGAGGCGGAACTTGCTTATCACCAAGAAGAGATTGACCGTCTCAACTCATTGGTTCGTCACTTGAACGACAGCGCAGAGGACCACGAGACGACTGAAAATGCCCTGGCTGAGAATATCGAGCAGGTAGAACGTGAAAAGGCAGAGCTGTGGGAGGATATAGATATACTCCGCAGCCAACTCGCACATTTATCCCGCGACGTTAAGGAACAGAACGCCGAAGCAATCGCCGTCTACGAGCGCACTCGAAAAGTCAATGTCGAGGACTTTAACAATGCGGTCGAAGCCTATGAGGCCAGAGCAGTGGCCATGTATGAGAAGATGCTGTGGATGAAGGACATGCTCGTGAAGTCCTATGCCACTGACGACAAGGATGAGAAAGTCTTGACACTCCTGACCACTATGCACGCCATCGAGAGGGAAAATAAAGCATTGAGGGACCAGGTCAGAGAGCAGATTCTCCGACTTAGAGTGCTCCCAGAGATTGAGCGACACGTCAAACAAGTGATCAGAGAGCGTGACACTTTCAAGGCTCAGCGAGACAATCTCAGGGTCGAGCGAGACGATTTGCAGGCCGAGCTGTATAGTTACAGAGCTTGTTATCGCCCTCCATACAATCCGCTCCCAAATCCATACCAGCGCCGCTCCTAGTAAAGAAGCCGAATCAGTTCCACGCTCAGCAAGAGTACAGTCCACCATTTTGCTTGCTCGAGCACTATTGACCGTTCGAGCTTCTCACCTATTATAAACCCTCACCAAGCACGAGGCGAGGGACCCACCAAGGAAATTCATTCTCTCGGCGATACCACCACAACCACCAAGCATCAAGGATTAAAACTCCGGAAGCGAGAAGCCACATAGAGAAGTCAGAATAGAAACGGCACTTCGAAAAGCAATGAGGGAACGCCAAGCCTAGAGGATAGCACCAATTTGCGCCGCCAGACAAACGGCGTGGCGCGATTTGAAGGAAGTGTCGAGGAGGTTGAAACTTGCAAGAAAGGGAAAGGGCAAGGGAAGGGGAGATGGAAGCCACAGGCTAGGAGGACTCTGTACCAAAAGCGACTTGATGGACTATGATGGAAGGATTTTCGGACAGAGCAAAGTATTGCCTATCAGTGGTTTGTGTACGAGACGAGACGATACACCGTGAGAATGTTATGAGTTTACGAGTGCGACTCACAAAGCAGCGTGTTTGAGCATGGGGAGGCATTGGACTGGCCTTTCTTATTTTTGGGAATAGCTCGCCGGAAGTGCCGTAGAGCGGAGATCGGCAGAGAGCCATAGCTCATTGGTAGTCTACCTAGGTAGTGTAGACAATTCCATATCGAAGCCCTACAATGGATGATCCCAAGTATGCTTGCAGCAAGGCCAGTGCTTGGGACCCCAGATATGTTCACTTGAAAGATAGCCATTGCAGGGAGAGGCATGCCCTTTTCAAGCAAGCTTGCTGGGCCACAGGCTCGAGGAGTCTGTTCGTTCTTTTGGACGTGACACGACGACCAACAACTGTCATGTCAGCCGTGGCGCGCTAGCCGACGGCCACCATGATGATCATATTGATGCTCAGAAATTCTGCCTTGGCCGGTCACCTCTTTGTCTCTTCTATGAGGTGGGTTTTGTAGAGAAGAAGAGAGATTTAAATATCGCGAGAGTAAGGCCTCTTACTAAAGGGTATCTTTCCTTCAAAATGGGTCTATATAAGAGGTCATAACGTAGATGAGTTCACCCCATGGTCCCCTCAAACTCGACAGTTTGGGTTCCCTGAGCACGGCTCGGCGTGGTATATTTAGCGGCTTCGACTTTCTCTTCATGCGCTTTGGCCGCTGCCTCACGTTTTTTCTCTGCTTCTTCCTTCTCACGAGATTTGATGGACGAGTAATTCAACGTTGAGATGATCATGACTGGTAAAATCGAAAGATTCGCCGTTAGCATTGGTTTTGTGGTAGTAACTGATGGAAAGGGGGTGGATCATGAAGGTCAACTTACAGGCACACATTCCTATAGCAAAAGCTGCTCGTCTTGTCAGCACCCATCTCAGGCCTTCAACTTCGCTCTTTGCTTCGCTGTTCAGAAGAACTGTGATCTCGTAATTGAGTTCTGAAATTTTGCTGTCGATCTTCCGTTTCTCTTCCTGCAATCCCAGCTTCCGATCATTGAACAGCCCCTTGAGCTCCTCACGCAATGTCAACATATCCTGGGTGACCTTTTGATTTAGGATGTCGAACTCGTGTTGCAGCTGTGCGCGGTGGGAGCGTTGTGTTAGGGTTTCCGTGTGCCTTGTGGCCTGGAGCGTAGTGCTGAGTTCTGAACACGCTGCACGGAACAGGTATGATTCGTTCTCTGTATCAGACTTCGAGACTAGACCTTCCTTTGCGAAATCCAGATTCATGGCTAGCATCAGGCGAATTGCTTTCATCAATGTGATGGCTTGTTCCTCTGTATATGCTGGAGGCTCTTTGGCAGCGAGCTGCTGCACGAGGCTGTAGGTGTCGAAGTGATGTTCGTAAGGAGAAGGTTCGAGATGTGGATGCCGGCTGGCATCTTTGCCCTTCAACTCCGATGGAGAGGGAACGGAAAGAACGATGTCAAGTTCTTTGTTCTCCAGAGGTCCTTTTTCAGAGGTCTTCACGTCGTGTCCAGAGCTCTTTGACAAGGAAGCTTCACTGATATAGTCGGAAGCAGTATTGGAATCTTGAGGGTCATCTTGTCCCACATGTTCTTCGGTTTGACTGTCCTTGTGAGAAGAGCGAGAGGACTGTTGAGTGTCCTTGGAGGTAGAGGTTGACTTCTCCTCCTCCTCCTCCTTCGAGGGGGCCGCAGCCTCGTCCGGTTTGGGTGGAGGGGGCAGATTTTGCGTGGCTGCTTGACCGTACCTCTGCACGATTGGTTCCTGGCGCCGGCCGGTTGAAGAATGGAATTTTGCTCTGCGGGTGGATTTTGTGCTTGCAGGAGGGGTGCGAATAGATCGGTATGTTGTTGGTTCACAGGCTCGCACAGCGCGAAAGAAGTTGGGCCACAAGAATGGAAGGCGTGGATTTGCCATTCCGACCTGCGACCAAACCTACAATGTTGAATATGGTACTGCTCTGTTCCACGCTGCGAAGAACTGTCGGAGCTGTGTTCACTCAACTACGAATTTGCCTGCGCCTGGTTATTGTTGCAAGCCATTGGAGTTTGAGGATGGACGGAAGAAAGTACAACCGATACCGAACTTCCATCCTCATCATCACGTGAGTATCTATTGATTAAGTACATACTATAATCATGCACTCGGTAGGCACTAGTTCTTGGCATTCGTCAAGATAACTAACAGTAAATATCCCCGATAATAGCCGTAGAATCCACGGCTTAGATCACACAGCATGTAATTTCAACAAACAATGGAATAACAACACTAGAGCCACATAACTCTAGAACTAAAAGCTTGAGGTACATCGGGACTCAATGTCAGGAAGGCCTAGGGCGGCTTTCTGACAAGTATATAGCTAATAGGTCCGAGACATCCTCGCACTTTCGTACGAGATTCTAGTCTTTTTGAGCAATCCTCAAGGGCTTACGGATCTATTGCCTGACATGTTTATGGATATTCTACCAAAAGTAGCCTAGCTCTTAAACGTCAATATAATGCCAGTCGTACTAGTATTTAATTTTAGATCCTGCATCAAGAACCTGATGGAAGACAGACATTGGGTTTAGTGTCTGACGCCATCCTATTTCAGTTGTAGCATTGTCATTATATCGGCCGGTGAGACGATCGGCAAGCCAGAACCAAATCCTGTCAGACCCGTGTCTATCCAACGCAACACGGCCCTTCTGTGAATGTCTCCTTTCCGGCAGACTGCATGAACAACATCGAGATGATACTGGCCGTGATCCATAATATTGCCAGCTGTACCGGAGCTCGCTGTTTTGGCGGCCATGTCATCTCGGTCTTGAGGTTGTTCCAAAAGCTAAATGCCAGCTAAGAGACATGCTTCGTCGATCATGTCGCTTTTCTCATTGAATATCCACGCAGGCTGAGAGACTGTGGCTGAAGTGATTTGAATATTGTGATCTCTGAGCGTAGTCTCCTTCAGATCTTCCAAGAGCTCTACCATTGACCGAGTGAAGTCGCTCTTTGTAAAGGGCTTAGACTAGGGTGATCGCGACCACTTCGGCATCATGGACCTCCACTTGGTCATTCGTCGAGATTGATATCGAAGCCTGCTATGTTTTGACCTCGGTTTCCGAAGCACGTCTTCCGCTTCGCAAACATGACGATACCGGTTGGGTGACAATACTCTGGGGAGCAGCTCCTCGCAAGAATTCGTCAGTAGTCTTGCTGGCAATGATGAGACCCAGGATGAGAGTCTTGATAAGATCTCCTCATGCCACGATAAATACGTAAGTTGATCATCGTCATTCATGATTTGTGAATCTTCTCCCCATTTGCTTTGCTCGAGGAACGCAGCGTAGACGTAGTGGCCATAATTGTTGCCTGGTTTTGGGACGGCAAAGCCTAACGCATTGGAGATATTGACACCGTCTGCATATACAGCGACACTGAAAAGTTTTAGACTCCAACAACACCTGCCGCAACTCAAGAATTCAAAGGCTATTATATGAAAAGTCGATGCCGATGGGCTGTTGCCTGCCACTCCAATATCTGTCTCTACGTTCAAAAGAGCATGCGCCAATAGACGCGATGCTGAGAAGTGCAACAAATAGGACTGTTCTCATCTGCAGCATGTGGAGGCATGAACCCATGGCGAGCAGTGGCGATGCATTCTATTTTCTGCCGAGGACATTCGTAACGAGATGAAGAAATGATTGGCTGCGCCGCTCACGCGTCGACCCGCCAATTCACGTGATAGACTAGAAAAGGTCAACGACAGTTTAACCGAAGCGTATTCATCAAAGCGTTCAAGGGGGCGATTTTCGGAGCGTGCCATTGTATGGTCGGTTTGGTTTGGTGGGCTCGGTGGGGTATTGTGGAATTGCAGAGGTGGGAACAAGCAGTCCGTTAAGGCTTAAAACCGCGATTTCTATTCCTTATACCCCCTGGAACGATACGAACAGGTGCCTGTAAATACTTGCAATTTGGAAACATTCAGGGGGAATAGTACTAGCCAATAATCCTTCCGTCAGCCAGTCCTCGGTACAAAATGACTTGAACTCCACAGTCTCAAGCGCAATTTCTCCTTTGCGACGATATTCAACATCGCTGTATTCATAATGCACACTCATTTTCCGACAAACAACACGCAAGTTGGGAACGAGAATCCCACTCAAGCATACCAGGCTGGGGCTGCTAGTAACACAATCTACAAAACCAAAGCTGGGAAGAGAAGATTAACTAGAGTGAAGACTGGGTGTTTGACCTGCAAGTCCGTATGAGCTCCGAAGGATAGTGATCTACGAAGCTAATATGTATATTTGTACGCAGAGTTCGGAGAGTAAAGTGTGATGAGGCGAGGCCTGATTGCAGTCGATGCATAAGATTCGGTATCAATTGTGATGGATACGGAGAACCTGTAAAACGACCAAACCCGCAATGCATCTGGCCCACCGGGCATCGACCTATTGTCCCTAAGAATTCACAACACGCTGCGGAGCTGCTCTTACTCCCGCCTTTACACATAATTCGTCCAGGTGCACAATTTAAAGATGCGCTGGAGGGCCGCTATTTCCAGCTGTATCTCGAAAAATGTGGAAGACATATCAGAGGGCCGTTCAAAAACTCGCTATGGGACAGGATAATACCACAAGCGAGTGAAACCGAACCATTTGTACGCCAAATTACTGTTGCCATTGGGGCTCTGTGTGTATCTACGGATGGAAAAAGAGACAACGAGATGCCTTGTTCACGGTACAAGACGCTAGAGTATACCTACGCCCTCCAGCAATATCAAAATGCACTTCAAGGCATGAGGGCAGCGATTGCGAATGGGGAGCACGATATGAGAAAAGCCTTGATTGCTTGCATCTTAGTATTTTGCTTTGAGTCACTGCAAGGAAGGCTAGGACTAGCAGTCATGCATGCACAGAGTGGCCTTATGCTCCTCCATCAATGGATCAAGGTTCATTTGGTCCCGCAGGTCCTGCATGTCCCTCCATTTATGAGTAAACAGTGGCGGCTCTATGGCATAGATGAGGATATATTGGATGCATTCTCGGCACTGGACCTGCACGTCCTATTCTTCGTTGATAAAAGATCCACACTTGTGCGAAAGTGCCTTATAACGGCAGGTAACACTCATATCCAAGAAATGCCGCTCAAATTCGACAGTCTCCAAGAGGCGAGAGTTTTCTGGCTACTAATCATGAGGCGGAATTGCCACTTTGTCCGCCTAGCAGCTGGGGCCTCGAAACTCACAGAGCTCTGCGGCCCTAGGAATGAGGATTCCGAAATGCCGTGGGACGCGGACGCAAGTACGATACCAGGCGAGGGTCTGTTCGGTACTCCCTATAGCCCAGACCCCACTTTACTAGGGGATTACAATCTCTATCAAGAGGACATTTGTCGCTGGAACCGAGCTTCCGCCTCGCTGTTTGAGTGCCTACAGCAGCGTGGAACAGTGAAGGAAAAGATTATAGTTGCTTTGCTGCAGATACACAGTCTTACGAGTTGCATTATGCTCTCAGGCGTTTTTGTAGCCAAGGAAACGGACTATGATGCTTTCCTCCCTGAGTTTCGCACTATGCTTTCGCTTGTTCAGTTTGTGCTCCCGCACTTGATCGTGTCCGCTGAATCGTCGGTGCTCTATCAGTTTGAACTTGGAATTGTGCCATCTCTGTTTCTCTTGGGACTCAAATGCCGGGATCCTGTGACGAGGACAATGGCTCTCGATCTGATGGTTAGTGCTACGTATCGGGAAGGAATCTGGGATCTCGCTGCGGCCGGCCATGTTGTAAGTTGGATTGTACGGATTGAGGAAGAGGGACGGGATGGCAATGCCTATATACCAGAGCATAAGAGAGTATTCTTATCGGCTTGTCACCTTGACTTGCATAATCGCTGTGCAGTATTAGCAGGTACTCAAAGGGGCCTGAACGGCCTCATCTTTAAAAAGCAGCGAATAGTTTTCTGAAGAATATACCAATTCATTTGCCAGACCGTTAGTCAATTCAATCAATGGGTAATAGTGCAGTTGCGAAAAATGTTTAATTCAGAATCCGCGGTATACAAAGACATGTTGTCTCTAGCTGATTCGGTTTTAGGATGTGACTATTGCGCCGGCCAGTTGAATATTGGAAAACGGGTGGCAGGTTTCCGCTCCATAATATGAACCTGCAGTTTCCGAGAGAATAATTCTACTTGATGGTTTATAATATAATTCTAACGTGGTTAGTTATGACTTTAACTTCATGTATGGTGCTATTGTTTGTTCAAGTGGTAGACAGAAAATTCCCTTGGGACCGTGAAATTTTGGGAGATTATAGAGGCTCTTGGACATTGAGGGCCTGGAGACTAGAGATTGGTTAAGGAAGACACAAATCTGCTTACAACCAATGTTTCAAAAGAGATACAATTGTATGACTAAGAGGGCAAGCAACAACTAAAGCGGTCAAATCCGACTTAATAAGGAAAATTCACCAAATCATTCCTCTCTGACCCGCGCGTGCTTCAGCTTCGGCATCTCCAAGCATTGACGTGACCACTCATCATAGCTCCTTATTCTTGAAGAACAGCGCGAGGATAAAACGACCGTACAAGTCTCTCTCATTCTTGAAACCAACTCTGAACCTCAGTTCCAAGGTCAAGAGAATAAAGCCAGCTCAAATCCGCTCCGGCGTCCCCAATCAAATAATCACCAGACATCTCCTCTTTCCTCGCAAGCTCCGCCCGTTCGTCGGCCGAAAGTCTCAAACTACCTAATTGCCTCGTCAATGCCATGACGTTATCCACTCTCTCGAGACGATGCTGTTGCCATTCTTTGAGAACAGCCTGTAATGTCAACTTCGAGGAGAGGCACGACAAAACCAACGCGAGGCTAAACGCGTCTTCGAACGCCATACACGCTCCTTGTCCACCGGTTGGTGGGATTGCATGGGCAGCATCGCCAAGAATCACAACTCTTTCCCCCTCTGACAACCACTTTTCAGAACGAGGGATAGAGTAGTAAGGCCAGATAGTGAGATGTCCCTTCGTCGCGGCCGTTACACCTGACGCAACCATCTCCGGCCACGCTCCCAAGTTGCTCTTGAACAGTTCCGTGACTTCCTCCTTAGATGAACTCAAACTCGTCCATCCTTCTCTGTCTCTCTCTGGAAAGGACTTTTGGGTGCCGATGAGGATTTCTTCGCCAGCAACATCCTCGGGAATGAACAAGAATGCGCCATTTGTACCATAGATAATTGCGGGGAGTTGGTAGCTAAACGGCACCGGGAATGATATGGCTGATTTTGGTACGACACAGCCAAGGGCAAGTTGACCCGAGTAGATCGGCTTAACAAGCGGATCCAAATGCATCCGTACTCTTGAATGAATGCCGTCCGCGCCGACAAGCAGCGAAGCGTTCATGGCCAGGCCATCCTTGAACTGAAAGGTCACACCGGTTTCATTCTCCTCGACGACATGCGAGAAATTCCTCTCAAATTGAATAGTGATTCCTCGTTCCTCGGCCACAGCTACCAGTTCACTGACCACGACTTGACGGCGGATTCGCAGAGCGCTGAAGCCGTATTGAGACTGGCTCCCAAATGGAAATTTGTTCAACAGCTCGTGTTGCTCATTGACAAAGGTGAAGTCATCGAAGTTAAATCCTTTACTGCTGAGGCGAGAGTAAACGTCGAGAGAATCCAGGACTCGGAGGGCGTTTGGGGCGAGGATTATAGCACCTCCGACACTGGTGTCGCGAGTGCGCTGCTCGAAAACTGTGACACTTATCCCCATAGAGTGGAGAGCTAGTGCTAGTGCGAGGCCCTGGATAAGTTTTTCAGTAAGTTGCATCAAGTGGTAAATCACAAGAGTTAACAAACGCCTGGTCCAGCTCCGATGATGGCAATATCTTCAACGATCGTGGGCTGCATTGTTAAGGTCTAGGTCTAGCGAGCCTACAAAGCTGATGGAGCAAGGAGGAATCTGGTCGAGGCCGGTTGAAGCTGTTTGAGATTTGAGATGACTTTGCAGGTGTGTCTGACGGAAGAAGTTGTCGAGTATATATGGTTGAGACAAACCTTCTTGCCAACTATATAAAGCCCATCGAAGCAAATTTGTAATCGTTCTTGTTGCCTTGTTACCATACTAAAGGTACATATCATTCCTACGGAGCGCACATAGTGCAGCCCCCCCTGGATATCATTGACTGGCGCCAAGTCTATAGACGCTGCCGGGATTCATATTTCGAACCAGACAATTGCTTTCCATCGCATCTTAGGTTTCCGCTAGGGAAAAAACAAACGTCGTGTTATGGCATCCTTGCCATGTTCGCTCGCTTATCGGTTCGTGTATCCAATGAGGTACCGCTAAACTTTGCCGAGCTTGGACCACAGCCAAAGAGATGAGCACCTCACTATTCGTGCGCGCCAACCTACGACGCACGTGACCCATCGCAGCACTGCTCACCTTCGCTTCACCCATCCTGAGCTGCCCTGCTATTATATTTGATTATTCTAGCTCCTTCCTTAGCGTCTAGCCTGATACAAGTAGGTCATTCCACATCTTCAGATGGCCTCGGAGTTCTTCGGTGTTGTCTCAGCAGAATTCGGACCTGCTTTCGTATTTAATATCCTGAATTGTCGACAGAATTATCATTGTATTTCACTATTTCATCAATCATTGAGAACTAAACACAACTGCCCGCGAATGTGGGGGTTTGTTAGCTTCGCCCCAGAAAAGGGTCTTTTCAATTTGGTTTCCAGTTTTGGCTTTAGTTGCTTTTCGGACCTGTATCTGAAGGGATAGCCATGTCCTGTGGCGATCTACTTAAAGCGCAATCTCATGCCACATACCAAGTGTCCTATCAGTACCAGCCCCGAGGCTGCGCCAAAGGTCCTTCAAATGCTCAACGCTTCGCAACTTTCCCAGCGCTGCTTGCAGAAGAACGAGCTTTGAGGATGTTCAGTAGCTAGAACCTGATTTTGCAACTGTCCTTACTCTGCCATAGTTGAACAGCCTCGTTATTTTGCCTTGCCCTGAGATGGTGAATCGTTTTTGGGACAATGCGCGCATGGCCTAGCCTGGAGATCAGGGCTGTTTGAGTACTATTTAACATGATCTGCCTTTGATTCCAGTAGGACGCCTTCCTTTCCAGTCTCCTTCCTTATGCTCATTGGCTTTCCGGTGAGTCGAAAAGCAACAGCCTGGCATCCAGTGACCTGATCGATTTGTCCTTAGTATTGTCTCGTCCTGTGCAGTTCTACTTGCACACCTACCAGAAAGAGCGACAATCTCAAGTTCGCTGGGCAGTATGCAACAGCGCAGAAATGCCTCCGTTCCCTTCTTATTAGTCATTATGTCGGCGGGAATATAGGACGCGGCCAACAGTGGAGATGCTGTTTGACGGGAATCTTCACCATATTACTACCAAGACAGTCTTGACAGGAACAATACCCCAACGAATTCATCAAGAACATGCTTTTTGGCGAGCGAATCAAACGAGCAACCGCTGTTCGTAAAGTACAGTTACAACAGGCAACCCAAGCCTCGTTTTCCCTCCTTCAGATGTAAAACATAGCATCTCGCACCTTGTCGTGTATCTTTACCAAATTGGACCCTGGTTCCAGTGGCTTCGTCCCGCTTTCACTAGCGTTGCCATCACCCCTATCGTCTCGGCATCCTCCCACCACTAAAGGTACTTTTCCTGTTGTAATCGAGGACCATTTGAGCCCGAGACCTAATGCTCCCTTATTGGCGCGGAGAAAGTGACCCAGAAGGTCTTATGATCCGGTTGATATCTTCCAGTGGCCAGTATACATGTGGATCAAAGGTTTGTTTCACGTGGTTGAGCACCCACTGTCTATGAAACACACGACGGGAAGGAGTAGGCCTAATTGAGTGTGGAAGATACAAATGCTGCCTGCCCGGCAGACCAAGGTTCGAGTCTATAATCATCTGATACTGACTACATATATACAAACATGGGCTCATTGGTGGCAAGCCGCGGGGGATGATGATGCGGCTAGCAGCGATTCAAGCATGTCGTCAATGTTGCCTCGAATTATGCGGCCATCGTGACGCAATGATTGTTCACAGTCTGGACGATAGGATCAAGCTTCGGTGAGTTGATGATTGAGAAGACCAGGTGGAGAAAATAGCTCGGTTCGTTCTCACAGACTATATTGGTGGAATCAGGACTGTACGAGGAAGCTAGTCTTGGAGCTCACTTTCTGTTTCTGGAGGACGGTAACGTGACCAGCTCCAGGAGGAGTGGGAGCAAAGTCTGACTGGGCATCTAGGCATCTATGGCCTCAGAACAGCAACTTCACCACCAGCCAATTAAAGTCTGACCAGACTTTTCCAGAATCACGAGCCCGGATCAGCTAGCCCACCAGGAGACGAAAATAGATGGGCCTGCCTTGCATGATGCAGCCGGGCGCGAAGGTCAAACTATGAAAAGCAAGGTTTCCGACTGGATTGACGCTGGACTTCAGCCTTGTTGTTGTTGTACATATGAGGATATAGCCTTGCCGTTTAAGGATATAAGTATCGAGATCGCCCTTACTTCGGCCAGCGGAATTTAAAACGAGCACTGTGAAACCCCACTGCCGTTCACCATGCAAAGACTACGCAGTAAAGGCCTCGATCGGGTCGTTGATCCCAGAATTTCTGAAATGAATACTGGAAATGAGATCAGAGAGCATGGACGTAGCCAGGAGGTAACTCGGGAATTGGTGTTGATGGGAACACCTCACAAGGGAACAGGTCAGGCAGCGGCAAAACATTTGTGCGGGTGATCCTGGCGGTAGCGTGATAGGCTAAGGCAGGTTGTCTGGAGCGTCTCGATAGGCCCCGAGTTTCGGCCTTTTCATGCCTAAAACGTCAATTTGTTTACCTCAAAATGGGGAACAAGTTGGGGCTAAAGGAGAGCCAAGGGAGTTGTTCCGGGGCGGAACAATTGCTCCAAATGACCAGACATGCATGGGACGGCAGCCGTAGATACGGAAAAATGGTTCAAGAGAGGAAATACCGCAACCTCATACCACCGAGAAGGTGCAGTTTCGGAGCCTTCCATCCCTCCTGTTTCTAATACCGAACGAGGGCCGTTATGCAGAATGTGCTAGTATGGACCTTCGGCGGTACGGTTCATGCAAGTGGAATGAAAGGACTAGTCTCGGTCTAGAGTGATTGTGCATCGCGACTGGTTTACAGGCGTTGGAAGAAGAGGAGAAGGCTTATGGGCAAGGATGGAGAGTAGGCGAGCACCACATCGGATGCCTGGATTCAGAATTCATTTGTCTATGGTTTCGCATTCTCCGCATTTTGAACAGATCGACCTGGGCATGCGAAGCAAGTGGCAATTGCCGCTCATGAGAAGTCATGCCTGGGCCCAGGCAGGCCATGGAATTGTGCATTTTCAGAGTGTGCCAATGTATGAAGCAAGAGTGGGGCCATCGCAGGGAAGATGGAAGAGTTTGAAGCATCTCATTGATCCGCAGAGAAGAGGGGGATACCAGCAGGCCAGGCAGGGAATTGGTGGTTCCAGTGGTGGTTCCAATGGTGGTGCCAGTGGTGCTGCGAAAAAAAAAGAGGGAGTTAAATGCTCTGGAGGGACTGGAGGGACATGTTTCAGGTATAAGAGTTGGCGTTCGTCCGAAGGCAGCTTTTGGATTTATCGAATCCAATTCCATTCCAGTCCATTGTCTGGAAGCCCTCGCAAACACAAGCACAAACACAGACACAGACACACACCGCCGCTGTTCAGAACATTACTGTGTAAGGTACGTACCGATGCATCTTCAACTCCCTCTAGTTTGGCCCTCGCTGTCGTGGTTTCTTACTTGTTTGGGTGATGTTCTCCGGTAATATCTTTTACCCTTTCCAGTGCTGGAACTGGTATGGAGTCCTGCCATTACACAACCTACGCGGCGCACAGCAGACATTGGCGCTGTATTTCCTGTATCTGGGTTTCTCTGTGGATTTGTTTCGATTCGAATTCTTCCTCTGCTTCCCTCAGCCCACTTTCGGTCTACACACCCCTCCCCCTCCTCAGTCCGCCATCATCAACCTCATCCTCGCAATGTCCCCTCCCTACCACCCCTCTCCCACCTTTGGCCTCCACATACCCACACCCCCCTGTCCTGACGTATAGCCATGGAGCTACCCCTGTCTCGACATGAACCTTGCCAGATCCCCGCTGACTTGTCACGCTGATACCCCAGGCTCAAAGCTCTGCCGGAGAATCACCACCGTCCTTCTTACTGACTTGCCCCGACGCAGAATCATTCCCAAATAATAAATACTTTACCGCCCGTCGACCTCGACCACCAACACCGACTTCTTCTTCTCATCCCATCAACAGGCCAACAGACTCTACTTCAAAATGGTATTTGCCCGTGTTGCTTCGCGCTCTCTGCGCCCCTCCTCCTTCTCCTCACTTGCTTCAGCTTCCCCACAGTTTACCTGTCGCGCCGCACAGCCATGCCTCCGTTCAACAATTGCAAAACGTACACTGACAGCTTCTGCTTCTCGTCAGGGCAAAGTACTTCTCGTTCTCTACGATGTAAGTCAACCCGAACGGTCTTGCCTGTCACCCAGGACCTCATCTCTAACACTCACTCCTAGGGCCATCAACACGCCAAAGACCAACCTCGCCTTCTCGGTACCACAGAGAATGAACTAGGTATTCGAAAATGGCTCGAAGACCAAGGACACACTCTTGTCACCACCTCAGACAAGGAGGGTGAGGGTTCCGAGTTTGACAAGCACTTGGTGGATGCCGAGGTCATCATTACCACTCCGTAAGACACTCTCAAGGCATCCCGCCGCTTAAAACAAAACATGTTCTCATCGTACAATGTCTATAGTTTCCACCCTGGTTATCTCACCGCTGAGCGCCTTGCAAAAGCCAAGAACCTCAAGATCGCCGTCACCGCCGGTATTGGCTCTGATCACGTTGACCTCAACGCTGCCAACAAGACCAATGGCGGTATCACCGTCGCCGAGGTCACCGGCAGCAACGTCGTCTCGGTCGCCGAGCATGTCGTCATGACCATCCTCGCCCTTGTCCGCAACTTCGTGCCTGCTCACGAGCAGATTGAGCGAGGTGATTGGAACGTGGCTGCTGTGGCCAAGAACGAGTTTGATCTCGAGAACAAGGTTGTCGGGACCGTCGCTGTTGGACGTATCGGAGAGCGCGTCCTCCGTCGCCTCAAGCCTTTTGACTGCAAAGAATTGCTTTACTTCGATTACCAACCCCTCAAGCCCGAGGTTGAGAAGGAGATCGGCTGCCGAAGAGTCGAAGACTTCGACGAGTTCTTGGGCCAGTGTGATGTTGTCACTATCAACTGCCCCCTGCACGAGAAGACCCGTGGTCTCTTCAACAAGGAGGTCCTCAACAAGATGAAGAAGGGTAAGTCTATCAGACCAACCAACCAACCAACCATTACAGCCGTGTCCCCGCAGCTAACAATCATGCTCTCTTACAGGTGCCTGGCTCGTCAACACCGCCCGTGGCGCCATTGTCGTCAAGGAAGATGTCGCCGAGGCCCTCAAGACCGGTCAGCTCAACGGCTACGGAGGTGACGTCTGGTTCCCTCAACCCGCACCCGGTGACCACCCACTCCGAACTGCCAAGAACCCATGGGGAGGCGGCAACGCTATGGTCCCCCACATGTCTGGTACCTCCATCGATGCCCAAGAACGATACGCCGCAGGCACCAAGGCCATCTTGGAGAGCTACTTCTCCGGCCGAGAAGACTATAGACCTGAAGATCTCATCGTGCACAAGGGTGACTATGCCACCAAGGCTTATGGCCAGAGGAACAAGAAGTAAATCAATCACCAGATGGAGAGCTGTTTCCCAAGTCTGTTGTTGAAAGTCGAATGAGGGGCATAAAAAGGCATGCACTGCTGACGGGAGATGATTATAAATTTTTAAAACCCCACCACCGCAACAAAGTCCACAGCAGGAGTTGCTCACGAGAGAGGGCACATGCAATGGGATGACGTCTTTTTACTCGGAAAACTATGCCTGAGCAAGCTACCTTTTACCCAACCCAACCCATGGCTATGATACCAACATGAACTAGTATATAGATAAGATAGCCATAGCTAGCGAGTATGACTGCAAAATATCAAAACCTGATTCAAAGCACATAAACAGAATAGTCACCATCGCCCCCAGCTTGAACACCCAACAGAAAGAAAAGGTGAAGAGCGCATGTGCTCAGGAACCAGAACGCGGGGAACCTAGATACCCCGTCCAAAGCTGGAGCGCTTACATATTAGGTGATTGATTATTATTTAGGTAGCACCGGAAATAGGATAATTAAACTTTTGCTTCGGTCGAATACGACACAACCCGTGTTTTCGACGCGGGGTAATTGAATTGTAACCACCCCAATAAGTCGCAGCCAGCCGCGCTGGCTCGATTCGTTTTGCCGTTGCGGAATTTCGTCGGTACATAGACAGCCATGGGGGGTGGGTGCTGCCCGGGCGAGCAGCGGCATCTTGAGTGCGTTTCTCGGGTACATGAAAAGAACGTCAGGCTCACCACATAGCCGGAATAGAAAGCACGTCTTCAGGACAGGACAGGTAAGTAATTTAGTGGTTTTTCCAAGCAGCAGCAGCAGCGGCGACGCGCCACCGCCCCCCCGCCCCCGCCACCGCCGAGACGTCTCCCGTTGATGGGATGAAAATGCACGGGGACGCCTGGCGCTCGCGAGTCGGGGGAGGATCCAACAGCATCTGTGGAAGAGGGCACGCAGCGGTGCTAGATAACAGGCACCAAGAGTACCTAAGTAGGTCACCCTGTTGCGCTCTAGCCTGTGCATTGTGCGTCAAGCAGCGCGGTGTGGTCGCTTGGTATGCGTGATCGAAACGGCGGGTTGAGGGCGGGGCGAGTTGGGGGAGAATGTTTACGCGGCGACGACCGCGCCCAAAGGACTGTGGACTTGGAGGTATGTATGCAGATACAGAGTAGACTGCCTACTGCGGGCGTGCTCAGTGCAATAATTATGTTACGTGCACTCGTCGATAAGGCCATCACAGGAAGGACGGGGTTTCTGGTTGAACCCGGGCGGGCAAGGCTGCGTCGGCCTGGATCACTGCTTGGGGAGAAAAGGACGAGCACGGAGTGAGTGATATGTCCACCATTTCTCCAATCTCAGCATCACAGAGCCTTGCACCATCCTTACCGCCACGTTGGACGTGACCTTGACGAAACTATATGATCCTTGCAAAAGACAAAGCTTTTGAGAATACTGGGTCTGCGTTGTAATGTCACAATTCTCCTCTTGGTCTCCAAGCCAAGCCAAGCAATCTGCATCCTCGTTGTAAAATGCCACTTCCATTCGAGTATCATCACATGAGGCCATGGGCTCGAGGGAATTGGAGATATCGCGATTTAACTGACGTCGAGCCGACAAATAACCATTTGGCCAAACCTTCCTCCGGAGCAGGATTGATGACTCGGTGATTTTCCGCACAATTTCACCAACCCACACCAGCAGATCGGAACAGAAACGTTGAAGGATTCTGCACGGTCCTGAGCAGATGCTTTTGCGTTGCCTCTCAAAATTCCACGACAACAAGTTCCAACCTTTCATTCTGTCCAATAATCCACCTTTCATCTCCTGCTATTCGACCCATCCCGCCGACTACTCGTGTAAGGTCATCATCGAGAGGCACCCAGTCAGATGCGAGCCCGACCTTCACCCTGGCAATGATTCTATTTCCTAGGCTCTGACTCCGAATACACGTCTCGACCAAGCTCAGCCTCACATCAGCTGGCTCGTCATACACATCCATGATTGGTAAGAGCCAATGCTCGATTTCTTCCACGTCCGCGCTTTCCATGCTGCAATGCCCTCGGTAAGGCGGGAGGTTTCCGTCCCATTCTCGAACTAGACGTGGCCCCATCCCGTGGAAGGGGAATATCGTTGTTTTGGCACACCAAAGTCTTTCGGCGGGATCAAAATAGCCCTCGCCAGGGACAGCGGCGTTCTCTCGCACAATCAGGGAGTGACTTTCAGAATGGATGTGGATGGACATCAAGGCCACGCTTGCGTGCTGTCGTATACCCATGTAGTCCATGTCAGTGAAGGAGAAGCGCGAAACAATATAAGGGCCATCTTTCTCTGCTGGTCGAAATCTCCCCGACGGGTCTGTCGACGGTTGGTATTTGGAAGGAACTGAAATATCCCACACGGACAGTGATTCAATGGGCAGCTCTTCATCTCCTGTGTACATGCTCCTGTTGGGCTGCCAGAAATAGACCGCGTAATGCTTGGAATTATGCGTCGAAAAGAATCTATCATGGTAATTTGGCGGAAGACCAAGGAAATGCATTTTCCACTCCGAACGCCATGTGATGGTCCACTCGGTGCCTTTTCTCTTGACGTCGAAACAATTGGCGAAATGTCGATTGACCTGTTCCATCGCATTGAGGTTGTGGAAAGGGTCTTTTTCGGCCCACTCGACCACCAAAGTGGCATCGCTTAACCGGATATTGCGGATGATCTTCCCTCGGATATCAAATGGGACCGGATATCGATCACCGGTAGCGACATCAAGAAGTGACAGAATATGCGGGAACCCGTCATCCTCGATACATTGGGCTGGAGCATAGACTAGTAGGCCGTCGTCGTATGTCCACAATGTCGGCCTAAATAGGTACGGCTTGGAGCCGATCCTATTCAAATGTATTGCTGCTGTTTCATAATACAGACGGCCTCCTGGCTGCGATTCATGATAATCCCATTGCCCTACTGGAAACCAGTCGCCTAACTGTTCCAAGGGCGCCATTGGATATTTGAGAATCTTCCTGGCCTTACCTTGTGAGAGATGCTTGTAACGATTAGCGATGGTCCCGAATAGAGTTCTCCAATCAACCTCGGGTTGCTCCAAGGCATGAAAAAAGAGACTCTCTCGTGGCAGTAAACGGAGCTCCCTGGCTTGGTGGTATCTCTGTAACATCACACGAAGAAACTCTGGCTTGGAAAAAGCTGTTCGCCACGACGACGAGACCTTTTGGCAACTGAGCACATCCCATGCCTCCAAATCCTCCAGGATAAGCATGAACACATCCTGGGGTAAATCCGGTATTGATGTCGAAGTTGGTTCACCCGAGAGTTTCTCCACAGAAGCTACAAGAAGCTGTGGTGGACCCTTGGAATCCATCTTCACAGACCGTAACAGCTGAGAGCACTTCTCCAGTGATTGAGGGTGGACAGCCACGGTGCAGTAATCGAGCAACGCATCGAGAAGCCCAAGTTACTGTTCATTGCAGGAGACAAGGAGAATCAGCCCATGTAACCGAACTTCATCGAGCCTAATATCCGCATCTCCGAACACCCTTGCTGAAAGATGGAAAGACGCATAACATGGGGGAGAGGCCTTTTTCTCAAACGTCAAGAGCTTTATCTGAAGGAGGAGACGGTGAGGGGAAGAGCAAGACTAATTCCCATCCCGCCGTGTAAACCTGACTAACCGATGCACGTGATTCTGTTGCGTTCCTGTGGTCCCAGAAATAAGGGCAAGCATTGAGACCATGGACGCAAAGTCAAAAAGATCCCGTCACTTTCTCAAGGCGGCAATCCATAACGAACTCTTGAGTGACAGACAGGAGCATTCAAGCGTTCAAGCTAAGGTTTTCTGTAAACGGGATAAAAGTGCTTCAACCCTAACCGGGGCTGGGAGAGCCGGCCCGGGCGATGGCCCTGAAGGGGGGCAATTTCTACGGGTCATTGCTGTAATCCTTCCCCGTACTCAGAGGAAGTCCATAGCAGATCTTTCCGCCAGTCACTTCGGATAGGCGCGGTCGAAGGCGGCGACTGCGGGGAGCAGCCATCATGACCAATATCGTGGATCTAACATGATTTTTTTCCAATTCCCCGAATCCTTTTCTTGGAAGCCTAGACTTGTCCCAAGGCGCACGAGCTCTGCTTTCCCATTGGCATTATTCAGAATAGTCCCCATTAAATATTGGGTGCGACCTCCTACTCTCTGTGGTGACTCAAGTGCTGATTTTCAAATCTGCTGCCACCACCCTCCTCTATTACCCCTTCGATTTCTCGAATTTCCTTTCCAGTCACACAGTCACTCTTTCACCATGGTGATGAACGATAACAACATGTCTTCCTCTACAATCCCCACAAATGGCACCTCGACAATACCGTCCTTCACTGTCAAAGCCGGCCTGGCTCAAATGCTCAAGGGTGGCGTGATCATGGATGTGGTCAACGCAGAGCAAGCTCGCATTGCTGAAGAGGCTGGCGCTTGTGCCGTCATGGCACTCGAAAGAGTCCCTGCCGATATCCGGAAAGACGGTGGCGTTGCAAGAATGTCTGATCCACACCTTATCAAGGAAATTCAAGCTGCTGTCACCATTCCAGTCATGGCAAAGGCAAGAATAGGTCACTTCGTGGAATGCCAGATCCTCGAGGCACTAGGTGTTGATTATATCGACGAAAGTGAGGTTCTCACACCCGCTGATAACAAGTACCACGTCGAAAAGAGCCCATTCAAGGTTCCCTTTGTCTGCGGTTGCCGCAACCTGGGCGAGGCATTACGACGCATCAGCGAGGGTGCTGCCATGATCAGAACCAAAGGCGAAGCCGGTACCGGAGACGTTGTCGAGGCCGTTAGGCACATGCGAACTGTGAAGGAGGACATCAGCCGTGCACAAGCAGCTCTTGCCGAAGGAGAGGGTGCTCTCAGAATGCTTGCAAGAGAGTTGGAAGTTGATCCGGTGCTGCTAAAGCAGGCTGCTGAGCTTGGTCGACTACCTGTGGTCAATTTTGCTGCTGGTGGGATTGCCACACCTGCCGATGCTGCCTTGATGATGCAATTGGGATGTGATGGTGTCTTCGTTGGAAGTGGAATATTCAAATCAGGCAATGCTGCTAAGAGAGCCAAAGCTATTGTTCAGGCAACTACGCATTTCCAAGACGCGAAAGTTTTGGCCGAGTGTAGTTCGGGACTCGGAGAGGCTATGGTCGGCATCAACTGCGGCACTATGGCTCCAGAGGAGAAATTGGCAGGACGTGGCTGGTAGTCAGGTTTTGGAGGCATTCGTCGGCGTATTGGGAGGGCGTCAGGATCAAAATGATGGAGTTGTAGAACTTGTTTTGCCTGAGGTTAGTCGCTCAGCAGAACTTGTCCAGCCGGTGACTGTCCCTAGTCGCGGCCAGCAAATGATATGTTAGAGAATTAGCTCTTCCAAGACAGCTTCCATTTCCTCCTTCGCTAGTGGCACTCCTAACAGTTCAGTGCCGCTGGTGTCCCGTTTGCTTGTAATCATCTGATGGTCATGAAACTCTTTCAACAAGAATTGAAAGTTCATACTACTTGAACATATGAACTCCTCCGAGGCTTTCTGATACAAGGTTCGGTATTCGATACCGATTTCTTCTGCTTCTTCTCTTTGTGACTTTTTAGCCGGGCGTTTATCGTCGTCGTCGTCATCAAAACATCCGTCCATACCGTCCGAAAGGATAGCCAGAATCTCAGAGAGCAAGACTCGATAGAGATTACGTGCATTTTCAGGCAGGGACTTGAGCACAAAGCCAATACCATCTTTTCCACCAGCACGAAGTTTCTTGCGTCCGAGTAGTTCATGCACCTCATCAACCACATTGATTTCGGCGGTGTAAGGGGCAAAGGTTGTACAATCATGAAAGACAAACTTGAATTGATCAAGTAGGGATGAATTCCACAATGTCGGAAAAGTGGGAGAATCAGCAGTGGCGAGAAACGTGATGAGTGTATGTTCTGCAAGACGCGCCAAAATCGTTTGTGCCGATGAACGTCGAAGGGACTGGGCATCAATTGAATTGACCATGAGCACAAGCTGGTCATGAGGCGGATGTTCTTCCATGTAAGAGAACAAGCTGTCGACCATTTCTTGAGGTTGACCAACCAGCCTCAAGGCGCGCTCTTCCTCGCCCACCAAAGCCGAAGCAATGGCATTGATGATCCCCCTCACATTTAATTTTGGTGTGTAACCATTAACGACGACAATCCTCGGCTGCCTTCTGGAATGTTTGTAAAGCCACTCGGCGAAATCGTTGACAAGGTTACGCTTACTACCATATCCGTAGAGACATAGTCCAAAGCCTTGTGCAAACTCAAACTGCCACTGGGGAAATGATCTTGCATGTAGCCTCATCAATTGCGACCTTTCTCGCTCGTGATTATCCGACAACGCTTGTATATGCTCATGGTATTCGTCATAAGTCAATGACTTGACCGAATTGAATTTGTTGTTCGATATTTGTGGTGGACCGCTTCGATTTTGGAAAAAGTAACGCTCTTCCGGGGGAATGTCCCCTTCTGGGGTGGGTGATCTTTTGTTCTTTGCACCTTTGGGCCTTCCTCGTTTGTTTGGGGTTCTTACGGGGATCGCAACACCTTGGTTTGCACTACCTTCGACGGTTTGCCTCACCACAGCGTCAGGGTCTTCCTCCTCTTCATTGTCATCGTCTTCGAGAATGGCCCTTGCTAGAGAGTCTTGGCCGTCCCAATCATCCTCATCTTGTCTCTGCGCGAGAAGCTGAGCACTTTTCCTCTTTGCAGATCGATCAGCCTTTTTGGATTTTGATGGTGTCTCGGAGACGGCTTTGCCGTTCTTGGGAGTAGCAAAAAGCGTGCGACCATTGGGCTTGGGAGTTGGGCTGCCGTTGTCGTCGTCCTCTTCTCCTTCCAACCGGGCTTTTGCCCTAGACTTGCTCTTTATCGGAGTCAGAGTAGTACCATTCTTCCTAGGAATCCCTCTCAAGTGACTTTTTTGAAGCTCGGCTTCGCTATCGCGTACTCCGTTTGTGAGGGGTGTGTCAATGGATTTCCTTCGGCGCTTGGAAGGAGTGTCTGTGTGTTCAACGAATGCATCTGGATTCTTTCTTTTGCCCATAATCCAGAGGAGAGTGTCACATTCGCGAGACACCGACGCAGAAGATGCGAGCCGAAAGCTAGACTATAGCAATCATATGATTTGAGGACTGAACGTGGCCAGTGGCAGCGCGACGCGGCTTGCTTTTTCAACGTTGATGCACTTTACGCGACTCCGCAAACGCAGCAATATGATTGGCTGCGCATTTGACCGCCAACTTTCGACGGCGTTTCATTGAAAATCAACGCATTGCAAATTCATGACTCATGGCATATTAACGAAGAATCCCTCCTTCCCCGGTGCTTGTATATATCTGGCAGAATGATGAGCCTGGTTGCTGTCATGGCGTAAACTGCCTCTCATCTTGAAACCACTTGAATCGAGCTTCCAGTCGCCGATATCGGTTGTAGAGAGCATTGATATCGAGCTCCATGAAAAGCAACATAGCTGCGCAGAGCATAACTTTGTCTATGATCATTGCGTTCTGAAGGTTAGAGAATCGGAACCGACACTCAAGCCAAACACGGGGAATCATCCTCCTTGGGCTTGTTCACAGGCATATCAAAGCAAATCCAGCATCATAAATCGAGATACAGATTACAATACTCGCCACGGCCACCGCCAATATGGCTTCTGCAACAGCTTCTTCAGCCCGGTCCATGATCAGGACATTTGTCCGCCACTACTCTGCACCGATTGACTCATCAATCCCGGCATCCAAGGCCAAATACGTTCCTACATCTGGAACATACCCCAAGGGCTTCAAGGTTTCTGGCACGCATGTCGGTGTCAAACCAGCCAACAAGTCCCATCCAGACCTAGCATTCATCGTCTCAGACCGCCCAGCCTTCGGTGCTGCCGTCTTCACCACCAATAAATTCCAGGCTGCACCGGTTCAGGTGAGCAAGTCCGTCCTTGAGAAACGAGGTGGAGTGGGCCTGAGGAGTATCATTATCAATTCCGGTTGTGCCAACGCTGTCACGGGAGTCGGAGGGCTTGAAGATGCTCAAGCAATGTCAGATACAGCCACTGCTCAGTTTCAGCAATCATCTCAAGCGGAGGACGGTCTAGGAGCGAATAGTTTGGTCATGTCGACCGGAGTCATCGGCCAACGACTGCCCATCAAAAAGATCCTCTCTAAGATTTCCTCCGCCTATGCAAATGTGGACGACACACATAATGCATGGCTTACCACCGCCAAAGCCATTTGTACCACCGACACATTCCCCAAGCTCCTCTCCACGACATTCACCCTACCCTCGCACCCAGAAACTGAATACCGTCTCGCAGGCATGACCAAAGGCGCAGGCATGATTCACCCGAACATGGCGACGCTGCTGGGCATCCTGGCCACCGACGCCGCGATCTCTGCACCAGCACTGAAATCCCTGCTGATCTCCGCGGTCGAAAAGTCATTCAACTCCATTTCCATTGACGGCGACACGTCCACGAACGACACAGTCGCCATCCTCGCCAACGGCGCCGCCACGCCCTCAGCCAGCACCTCACCGATCCCCGACGACACCTCATCCGCAGACTACGCCGCCATGTCCGAGGTGCTGACATCCTTCGCGCAGCGCCTCTCCCAACTAGTCGTGCGCGACGGCGAAGGCGCCACGAAATTTGTACAAGTCAGTGTGCGCAACGCGCCCACCGTCGCCGACGCGAAGCTAATTGCATCGACCATCGCGCGCTCCCCGCTCGTTAAGACCGCTCTGTACGGCAAGGACGCGAATTGGGGCCGCATCCTGTGCGCGATTGGATACACGCCGAACCTGAGCTCGAGCGACGTGGTGGTCCCGTCTAAGATGAACGTCAGCTTCGTGCCCGCCGCGACGTCCAAGTCGAAAGATGAGGGCGTACTGAAGCTACTTGTCCACGGTGAGCCTGAGGCCGTCAACGAAGAGCGTGCGGCTAGGTTGCTCGAGGACGAGGATCTCGAGATCGAGGTCGATCTCGGCACCGGGTCCGAAGAGGCGCAGTATTGGTTCTGTGACTTTAGTCATGAGTATGTCACCATTAATGGCGACTACCGCACGTGAAGAAGGGGGGTGAAAAGGGAATGGCGCGAAGACGCCCGTTAGATACATACTAAAACTGTCTCTCGACAAGTCTTGTTACACACATACACATGCAAGTTGTGTCCAGCGGGTTTGGTTCTGTCAAATCTGTGAGCAATCGAATCATGGTCCGAGGGGAAAGAGCGTTTCTGACATTTGCACGAATGCTGTCTCCCATTGCTTTAAAAGTCAAGATTTGCAAAAAAATGCAAAGATCTCCAGACGACCAGAGAAATATCGTACAGATCAGTATCATTGCCTATATAGCTACTACTGTACAGAGTCTTTTTCCCATCTGCCCAACAGTTTTCAGGAATACCAGCGTCCTCTCCTGAACCTGAGGCAAGACCACCCTTCCCCCAGTCCCCAACGCTATGCATAATCAAAGCATACGTACTTTTGGTTTGTTTAATGTCGTAGAACGATCGACTCCTCTCCAAAGAATACCCCTATACTAAAACATCTGTCTTTGTCTAAGCAATGAGGCCCTTGAGGTTCGCGCCAAAGTCACCCTCTTTGGCCGCAATCTCAAAGTAGCCGTATATGATGGTGACGGCGAGTAGGATACCAGTGCCGCTTCCAAATGCACCCAACATATCGCTAGCGACCGAGAGCGCGCCAATGCAAGCTCCACCAAAGGCAGCGGCCGTAGGAATCACACGCTTCAATTCTTTGTACATGCTCTGTTCACGATGACCGGCCATGACGAGACCTTGCTCCTTCAGAGTCTTGGCAACATCACGAGGAGCCGATCCAGAGACTTCAATCCAGGTCTTTGAGAAGACAGCGCAGGTGATGATGATGAAGCCAACATAGATGGCAGTGTGAATGGGGTCGAGCAGAGCCTCGGCAAAGCTGTGCGGTGGGGACATGTAGTAGGCAATACCACCAGAGGCATAAAGTTGCGAGGATCCTTCTCTTGGCTCCCATGTTCCAACGAGCTTGACCAAAAGGTTGTCAGAGAAGCGAGTATAGAGCATTTGGCTGATCATGAAAATGTTGGAGGCCAAAGCGGATTGCAGCATGATGGGCATGTTGGAAGTATAGAAGAGACGGATAGGATAAGAGCCCCGCATGCCACGTTGACGGGAGGACTTGACTGGGATCTCAACACGGAAACCCTGGAGATAGATCACGGCAGCGAAGACGACCAAGGTGGCGAGTAGGTTCATGACATTGGGAAGATGTTGTCGGTAGAAGGCCTCGCGGAGGGCTCGAGTCTTGTCAGGCCAGGTGACAAGAAGGTGGAAGAGGGCAATGACAGCCCCCTCAAACTCTTTCCCACGGCCAGTGTCGATGGTAGTTGGAGAGAATGCCTTCCAAACAATGGATTCGCAGATGTTGGTGGCGATGAAGAGGGAGATGCCGGATCCGAGACCATAGCCCTTTTGCAGCAGTTCATCAAGAAGAATGACGACGAGACCAGCAAGGACCAGCTGGACGATCAAAAGTAGACAGATACCAGCTCCAAGATCGCTGGGTTGACCATAAAGACCGGTGAGGACGAAGACGCAGGCTTGTCCAAAGGATAGGATGATGGCGAAAAGCTTTTGTGCGGTTTGGTACAGCTCGCGGTCGGATTTGAGATCGAGGTTTACATCGATCAGATGAGTACCCGCGAGAAGCTGTTTGAGTTAGCATTTGACGCTTCGATCGCCCGTGCCGTTTTGACTAAACATACCTGGAAGACCATGCCGGAGGAAATGATAGGAGTGGTGCCCAGTTCCATTAGAGTTCCTCTGTTACTAGCCAACATCATACGCAGCCAGTAGATGGGATCTGAGGTGTCAGAGGAGACAATGCCGTAGAGGGGCATTTGGCTCATGACCAAGAAGATTAGTAGGGTACACTGTGTCGCGTTGTTAGCCGTTCGCGCTCTTGTTGGGACCACCCCATGCTTTTGGAATCTCTTACTCCTGTCCACATCAACTTCTGGTTGAAAGCGATCTTTGATTCAGGGGCGGCCACCTCTGGAAGGAGGGGCGTGAAGGGTTTAATGAGATCGAGGAAACGGACTGGTGGAGAGAGAGCATTAATGTGTTAGCATTTTGGAGAACCTGAGAGAAAGTGCGTAGGGCATTCAATGGGATGAACTCACGACCACTCATGGTTGCGTGGGAGGATGCACCAAGGTGAGGGAAAAAGATGAAAAGCCCCTGTGAGTCGCAGGGTAGAATGAAGAGAAGTTAAAGGGTGGGTGGAAAGGAACAGTGTCAGTGGGAATGGGAATTATAGAGGGTCGTGTCCCCTGAAGGATGAAAGCTACAGTGCTGTTGGTGAGGACACAGTTTGAGTGCAGCTTCACGGTGCTCTGTGCTGGTCGCTCTGCTTTCCAGAAAATGCCAAGCCTAGGAGCTGGGGTTGAGCCATTCCTGTTCGGTAAGTCCGGTGGCTGCCCTTTCGTCATCGACCACCGCCTCCTTGGTGACGGTCGGACGTGGGCATCGAACACTTGCTGCTCTAACGTTGTGACGAGGAAGAACACCAGCATCAAGGCGACACTCTACAGGGCAACAAGAAGGTTAAATCTGGGTAGAACCACATTTTCAGCTACTAGCTATCTCATCATCTCGTTGACTTCCTGGAGCCCATTGTGGGCATGTTTTGTTGTCACATGCTTGGTTGTCATCAATGTATTCACACAAACTTCGCTTCCAAATCACCTCCAGATCAATTGGATCTCACAAAGAGAGTGAAATGGTGCAGGCACAATCTAAATCTCAAGACTGGCCTTCCTCGCCTCAGATTTCTTGGCCAATCGCTCCCGGGCTGCAGCAGCGCGGGCTTTGTTGATGGCGTAGACTTTTGGGTGAGTGATTCTCTTCTTGAATTCAGAATCCTCTTCCGCCTCTGCGATGGCTAGACCTTCTCTGTACATCTCGTCTAGATCGACCTTCTCACGACGTCTCCAGGCCTCTACAATCTGTTCAATCGAAGCTTCGGGAGGAAAACCACCACGGCTTGGGTCTTCGGACAGAAAATTTTCAAAACTTTTGTATTTGCGCGCAAGGTTAGAATTCGGGTCGATTCCTTCGGGTAGTGGAGGTGCGCAGAGCGGTACACGGCCAGGAGCGCAGCGTGTGATGGTACGTTGCTCCCTAGCTACACGGAGCTCCTCGAGGCGTGTCGCAAGAGGAAGCTGAAAAGCACCATTTGGTCCGGCAATCCCCTCTTGATCCAACGCAGGAAGGCCCTTACGAAACGTCTCGTTCTGCACCTGCAGCTGTCTGATGGTCTTCCTCAACTCGTGGTTCTGAAGGTCGGCCTGGTACGCAAATTCCTTCATCTTCTTAGCATGGGCAAGCAATCGCTTCATCTCTTTCTCGGTGCGCTTCTGATAGGCTTCGAAAGCTTCGGCAGAGATACCACCGCACGGGGCCTGACCAGATGGAACTGAGTTGCCAGCAGTGGGTGGACCCGGTTCTGGACCCGCATTTGAGCCAGTGGCAGTAGCAGCACCATCGATAGAGACAACATTGCGAGAACGCTTCTCCTTCTGTGTAGGTGCAGCAACATCCTGAAGTGCTGGTTGAGCAGTACATGGTGCTGGCAAATCATTGGATGCTTTGGCCTGACGAACAGCAGCTATGACGGTATTAGCAACATAGAAGACTTCATTGATAGTGGGCTACGTACTGGCTTCCTCAGGACTGAGATCCTTGAAGGTAACGTTGACATCTCTCAAAGACTGAGAACGTGGAGTGGCTTGACCTGGTAGTCTCAAGATAGAGCGAGTTGGTGAGCCTGGGGCCGGTGGCAATTCGGGTGCGAGAAGACGACCGTCCCAGCGCTTAGCCTCTGGAGTATTGAAGGTGATAGGCATGCTGACAGAGACCTTAGAGGTTTTTGACTTCTCGGTGGTGTCTGATTTCAAATTAGACTCGTTTGTTGCTGGAAAAGATCTGTTTCTTACCGATTGCGGCTTTCACAGAAGCTTTTGCTTTCTTGGAGATTTCAGGTTTGTCTAGAGGGGCGTTCTCTTTGTCTGAATCATCAACGTCACGTTGATCTTCAGGAGAACCAAAAAAGAAGCCCTTGAGCGCACGGTAAGCAAAGACAGGTGCTGGCGTGACAGGTTCGTCAACAAACGTGTCGTCGGGAGGCATGGTTAGCAGGATGTTGCGCGACTAAATAGACAGAGAGCGCCGAGAGAAGTGCGGGAGTGTTTGAGCGATGCAACCCAGTTGTGGCGGTTGGGAGCGATGAGACCGTGACCGCGCTTTCAAAGGCGTTTCTGTACCTCTAACTTGGATATCCACAAATGTTTAGTGTTGAATTTGATAGAGAATAGAAAGCGCGTCATTATTTATACTCTTCTATTCTAGGACTAGCGCAACGCATCGGCCTAGTTAGATCTTCCGTTCCGAGAGGCAGCCAGACACCGCCTCGGTCTCTGCATTCGACTTTGTCTACGATTTCTAAATGGTGACAAAGAGCTGAGAAGTATAATGTCCTTGATGGCATGTTATCGTGCACCAGAAGAAACCCCGTGCTATTGATATCACACGACCGCCAAACCGACAAGCCCTCACGAATTACCTAGGCCTGATAGCCATTGACACTCCCAAGCAAACGAGTTGCACGAAACTGGATGCTGAGACTTCATGAAGGCATGTGCACACCATGGACTCATAGCAAAAGGAGCCATCTAGCTTCTCAAATTGTTTAGTAGGATGCATTGCCCGCGTAGCGCCTGAAGCCCCTAACTGGTCTTTACTCGTGAGGGATAGAACCACGTTCCATTTGAGGTCGACTATTGGCCCCCAGATTCAAATTAAATTCTCTCATTTGGGACCCCCCTGCCCCAAGTTCTTCTATCCTCTCGACCAACACGCGAACCCTCTGGGGACGACACCGGCACTGTGCTCTCCAACCCTTGTGGTCCGCACTATAACGATATCCTCGACCATAGCCCTCTACTCCTTTTCCTCAGGAAGATACAACAACAGGCACTTCTCAGCATATTCCTTGGGCATGCCGCACTGGACAACGTTCTCCATCGTCTTCCTGACCCAGACTTGTCCTCTGTACATCAACGTATGACATAGCGTTGACTTTGACTTCGCGCGCTGTACTCCAGCCCTCTCCTTCACCCTCATCCTCACCCTCACTAGCAATAAGCCTCGTGACCGGCAAGCCCATCTTCTCATACAGCCAAGGCATGCCCTCGCTCTCATCAAGAGCCATCTCGTCCCTCCTACTTAGAAAGCACAAACTGCCGTACACGACATCGCCCGGCGATGTCACGATATTGGCGTACCCGGTCTCGTTGATGATCCACTTCCAGTCCTTGAGCTGCCCGAACCCGATGAAGAGCGAGTCAGGGCACCTCTGCTTCATTGTCCGCGGCGACAGGTTAGAGCCCTAGCCGAAGTAGATGCACGAGATTTCCTTCATCGAAAACGAAGATGTGTTAGACGCCGCGTTCTCTGTCGTTTCTGTTGCCCCGGGTGTATTTTGTGAGTTCCCGGTGTTTGGAGCCGCGATTCCTGCTTCTGGGTCGCCAAGTCCACTTGAGTTCGTTGGAACCACCATCTTCTTCTGTGGGTGTTCCAATGTTGGTTCTTCTGGGCAGCTAGAGAAGTAGCGCGCAAGGCTCTTTCATACCTAGTCTTTGTTGAGGGAAGTCGGCGTCACATTAGCCGTATGCTGTCCTTAATTTGCTGACAACCGGGCTACGAGAAATCGCCGTCAAATTGGAGATGACGATTGCTATGGAACATGCAGGCAAATACAGATGTCCTTCTATCATAGTCGTCTATTTGACATAAGGTGCGGGGTCCTTCGAAGGACCGAACTTCTATAAGCATGGATCGAGCGCGATTGGCGGAATGGCAGCCTTGTGCCCGGGACTATATCTTCCCTTCGCCCAAGCGAGCCGTGATAGGCTGGACGGCTAGCTTTTAGTCTCTTTATGCACATACTGAAATGAATTGGGGTATAGGCTGCTGCTGATTTGCTGGTAAACCTTCAGGCCAAGGTCAGGAAAGCAACCCAAAGAGAAGCTTGGTCCTTCCCCAATAATCCTGCGCTGCCTGGGTCTGAGGTCCTGCGAGGTGAGAGGTATCATCACTTGGGTTGCCAGCCACATTGAGCGCAGCTCGAAGATATGCCTCATCAAATTCGTTCATCACGTATGCAGCCTTGTGCTCTGCGTCAAAGACTCGGGCCTGCACCTGATTTTTAACCTTTGCCACTCCAGACGTTGACCAAATATCTGTCCCGCCAATATCGAACATGACCTCGCACAGCCGTCGTAGGGTCGAGAAGGTTTTCGGAGATGGCATATCTTCCGGCAAGCTTTCCTGTTTGGAAACGGCGGATTTTCCCCTACGCTCACTCATTTGAGATAGTCGGCGTACGACTTCTCCAGCGACTATCTCATGCAGGCGGGGGATAATCTCATGTATCTTCTCAAATGCCATGTGCTTTGGGAATGCGTCCTGCAAAGTAGCAATAGACATCCGAATAGAGCGTATAAGTGCCACCGCTTTTTCTATATCCGAAGAGCCTGAGCTCAGTCGAGTAGCAGCCTCGACAATGCTTGTCTCATATGTAGAAAGACCTTCACGAAGTGATTCTTGCAAAAATCCGACATGATTTTCTGCATCGGTCATACCGAGCTGCTTTGAAAGTTCAATGCTTTCCTGTTCGTCTTCTTCGTCAGGTTCTTCCATTAAATCCCGCCAGGAGGTCTTTGAGAGCTCGGTAAATGAGAATTCTGTTATTTTGATGGAGGAAACCCATTTCTCTAAAGATCTTGTGGCTTTCGCCAGACTCGTATGGTGACCAGTATGCCGGCTCTTCACTTGCTTGATTGCTCGTGAACCTCGAGTATTTGCTCCCGCTTGAGTGATGTCGCCATCCCACAATGATTTTATCTTCGGATGTTCACCCACTCCTTCGGTCAGACTTGAAGTTATATCCTTCAATTGTTTCACTTGACCCAAGCAAATAGACTGAAGCTTCTTGCTCAGGACATTTCGCATCTGGTTGTGCATATTGCTACTCCCTAGAGTTGAGAAGTAGGAAGGTAGCAGGATAGTGTAAAGGTCTTTGCGCAAGTTTAGGACTAGAACTGTGTTTTCCAAATCACGAAGATAAGCATCCAAAGCAGCGACCAGAACTCGAGATGCCTCTTCCGACCAGGTTTCTAACTTCGCCTGTATGTCTTTAGGCGACAGAGCACTTCTTTTGAAGTATGGGACAAACGACTGGATGTCGCTGGAGATTACTGAAATCGTTCTGTCAAGATCCAGTGTCTCCAAATTTCTGAGAGCCTGGTCTGTAAGAATGGGCCGTTTCTGAAGGTTGGTCATCGCCTCCACAAGCGGGCGGCCTACTAGAGCCTTGAATGTTTGTAAAGAGATCAGTTGATATCGCAGAGCTTCATGAATGGTGTTTCCATGAGTGGAAGCGTTACTGAGTGTCCTTCGCATCTTATCCAGTCGCAGCTGGTGAAGGTGACCTAAGGCATCATCCGATGATACACTCGTCACCAGGCAGTAAGAACACAGGGCTTCAACCAGCTGCGAAACTTGGGAAAGAGGACTGATCAGTTTTGCGTCCACCTGCCGCAGAAGTTGGCGCCTCAGAAGCGAGACCTTGTTCCTTAGAAGATCTAGACTGTTGGCTGGGAGCTGATGTTCCCCTAGTGATTTGAGCAGCAAACGAGCTACAACCAATATCTGAGAGCACAGAAGGATTCTCTGTGCGCGCAAGGTCGTGGCCACAGTCGCGCAACATCTTTGCAATAGTCGCAGCTCGGCCAAAACGAGATGCTTCGTCTCTGGAGACTTGGTGGCTAGGTTTTGAATAGGTGGTCTGCAGTTGTGGCCCATCGTCGATAAGTGCTCTTCGGTCACTTTTGTCATCGAGTCCAGGACCACAATTGATTCCGAAGTGGCCAAAAGTTCGCGGTAGCTCCCACTAAATATTTGAAGAATCAGCCACCAAAATGACTATTTGGGTCAGGTTACACCATATTTCAAGATAAACATGAACGGCAAAGGAGGAAGTCTTCACCCACCCCACAAGTGTTCGCAATTTTTCTTTGTCACGGGCTGCAGTTGATTTCAGCTGCTTCTCAATCGCCCGCGTGGTGGGAATGCGGTACTCCTCGAACGCCTGTTGCCATGTTGTGATAGAAGTTCCAGGTTCCATATTGGAGCCCGTTCACAGTGGCCTTGTTTTCGGGGAGATGAACAAAATAATCCAAATAGATTAGAAGTATGGACCTATCCCCTTTGATAATGGGCAGCGCTTCTATGCATCTCCGCAGCTCGTACAATCGATGTTCGAGCAAAGACAAGCTGTCGTTTTCGTGGCTTGATCTTGTGGCATATGCACGCTATTTTCTCAGTGCGGCTCTTGCTCTTGTGGTCCACCCGAAATTTGGATGTACAGTGCTATTACAGCACAAAGATCAGGGCCGCGTGTATGTCTAGGTCTACGTCAATCGATGAGGCATTTCTGGTTCACGTAGAGAACCGAAAGTCGATGGCACACGGATCTGTGCACCTGGGCCATATGTGGCCTTTTTATTGCTCCGGCCTACACACGTTCTAGTGGCTCTTTAGCATATATCTGCATCATCTATAAACACAGGCATGCCTTCAATCAAAGGAGCCATTAATGTACAAAGCCTGACAACTAGGATCTGCCTCCAGCGCGTCGAGCACAGGCTGTAACTCCCCAGCCTGCTCGTCCGTCAGAGGCACCATAGTATCGTCATTTGGCACGTAGACGACCTCTGACTTCTCCATGCGGATCTTCAGGGTTTCCTGTAACCGCTCAGCAATTGCAGTGAGCTCGGTCGGTGGTGTCTCCACGACTAGTCTGCTCTCCTCTTCCACAATGTCAAGAGCCCCTGCGTCAATTGCTGCTTCTAATGCTTCATCTACCCCGATCTTGTCCTGCTCTTCAAAGTGTATGCGACCTTTCTTCTCGAAGAGAAAAGAAGTGGGCCCGACGGTGCCTCCGGCTTTATTGATGATCACTCGGATATCTTGAAGCGTGCGCCTTTTGTTGTCCGTTTCGCATTCGACGACGGCTGCAACGCCATGTGGAAGTAGAGCCTCGATTATGACTGCCTCAAGGGGCAGATTGGCAAGGGACTTGCCCTGGCCTCTAAGGATTGCTACTTCAATCATGTCTTTGGCAAGTTGGCCTTTCTTCGCGGCTGCGATCGCACTTGCGAGATGAGGATTGGCGTTGGGATCGGGGCCGTGGACTGCGGCAAGTTGAGTTGACTGGGACAATCTATCAGAAGGCTGTGTACCTACGTTTCGAAGCGAGAGAAATTTGCTGGGAAAGTCGCGTCCTCTCCCTGGCCTTCTGGAGGTCGTTTACTCCCTTGTCATGTTTGATCTTGGACCATCTGTTGTGGCCAGACGCGCGGAACGACAGGCTCGAGAAATGTCTGCATCGCCCAAGGCAGCTCCGCGGGGCCGCCCGTATTCCAAGAATGAGAGTTAGGCCCATGCAAGACTTCTAGGAAACGTCGGCTGTCTTGAGATCCTTGACTGTTTGTCGGAGGTACTATTTTAATAGGAATTACGGTCGAGCATAAGTGTCCTAAGAGTCAGGCATTTTGATTAGGGGGCCACGGACTCTGCTTGTCCCGCTGGCTTACAGGAAGGCCTGCCAGGTTTATAAGGAGAAACACCATATGATGCTGGTCTACTTCTATTCAAACATATCTAACTCTATCTAGTACCCTTGAGTAGTGCCCGACTTTCATATGTCGATCAAACGTTGTGGCTCTGGTGCAGAAGTAGGCTCTGCTTGTACTAGCGCCTTCATAACCCGCCCAAAATACTGTGCCACAAATCCCTCCGTGTAGTAGCTGTGATCAGAACTATGATCCGCTACAAGATTATGCGCCAACTCGTGACAGAGAATGACCCACCAATAAACAAACGCCTCAGCATTATCAGTGCCGCGTCCTGGCGCCGTGCGTTCGTGAAGGTCGTGGTAATATCGGTAATTGCAGAAAATGCTGCCATTCCGGTTGAAGGCGATGGTTTTCCCCACTGGCTCCATAAATATGTTGATAGTGATAGGATTGAGGCTGAATATTTCTCCAACTGATTTCAAGAGTGTGGCAAACGTCGTGAGGCCGGCGGAGTGCTCGCGGAGGAAGGTCGATGCCTCGTTGGGAGATGCCATGAACATTTGGATTCCATGCTTGATCTCGGCTACAAAGGCCAGCTCATGGGCCGGATGCTCATCGCAGTAAGACTTGGTCTCGGTGAGAACGTTTGTCTCCCCGCGGCTGAAAATATCGGATGAGTTATGGGGACGAGTCTTTTTGACTGCGCTCAGAAGATTTTCACGTAGACGGTGTGGAGCAGCAACGCCATCTTCTTGAGTCTTGGACCCTTGCTGATTGTACTGATATGGTGGTGGAGGATCGCCATTTGTAACGGCTTTCTGTTTACCATTGCCACCTCCATCATCATTGCCCAGCATAGACTGAATATGGCGATTGCCCCAACCAAATTGCTTCGAGAAACTGGAAATCAGGCTTCGACTGGATCTACCATCTCCATCAGCAACTTGTACATTATTATGGCTGGGGTCTCCCGAATGCTGTTTGGGAGAGTCTGGAAATCCGCCAGGCAATTGTTGTTGCTGATGGTTCTGGGTCTTCCCCTGGGAGGCCATGTATTCATTTTCTTCCTCTTCAATCCGCTTTCGTTGCTCTTCAAGTTCCTGTTGACGCTTGTTTTCGGCAAGCCGTGCTTCAGCTGCCTTCTGCCGAAGTATACGGGAGACATTGAAGCCACGTGCCCTCAGCTCAAGCAAGTCAGTTTTCAGCAACATTTCGAGTGTAATTGCGGAATGAAGCTTAGGCCTCGTCAGTAAGATATGAACAAGTGCCTGACTGACTTGGTAAAGGTCAGGCTTTGCACCACTGATCCAGAGTGTGAATTCCTTATTCACTGCAGTGACAACGGCAGTCCTCTTTTCAGTATGGCTGATGTTGCGATCTCGTAATGATCGCCGAAGAGAAATGTTTGAGACTAGTTGAACCTTTAGATTTTTCTCTAACCATTTTGCATCGTGCTTGATGGTATCTGGCGGCTGTTCGTGAAGAAACAACGTTGAACGTTCGAGGATCTGCTTCTGTAACTTCTCGGCCGGTTTTTGGTCTGTTGCTCTTGGCCCATGACGGGCGGCTTCTTCGACCAGAGAACTCAAGAGTGGCGACCCTAAGCTGTAGTAAAACTCCTCGAGACTCTCTTCTTGTGGAGCGGCAAGAATGTTTGTCTTAAACAAGTTATAGTTAATGTAGTCATCGATTATGATAGCATCCTGGGCGCTACATAATTGGAACTCGCGAATTCCTTGTACATCTTCATCAATGTCGTCTGAATACTCTGCTCCGGCTGCAGGTTTATTATTGGAAGTGGGTGCAGCAGGGAGCTCTCTGCTCGCAAGTAAGAAAGGTGACCGCTTCATTTCTGCGAAAAGTTCCTTGTTCTTCTTCAAGATCTTCACGCTATCGGCCATATTGCGTAAGAGGGCTAGGTATTTCTCAGCGTTGCGAAAGGTTGCAGAGATGCGTGCCGGTTCTCTTACAAGAATCTGCGCAATCTCGACCTTTGATGGCTCTTGTTTAGAACCACATTTCACTAGGAAGGCATTTGCTTCGACTCCAAAATCAACGAAGTGGAATATTTCACCAAACACATCGTTCTCGCCTAGAAAACAGTTCCTGGGTGAGGTGTGCAACTTGGGTGCTGATTTCTCTTTACTTTTGGAGAAAATCGGTATGAAATTCATTTCGTTTAGCCAAGGAATGTTCGTCGCATTGATCTCGCCTAGTCTGGTAGCGAAATATGAAAATAGAGTTCGCGCTGCAACAAATGTAGTTGGTGGGCGTTTGCTCAGGATGTTAACACAGAGCTCCATGGGAGGGTTCTGTCGGACGCCGAATTTGATTGCATGAGACACCCAATCTCTCTTTAGAATATCGAAGCCAAGAAGCGCAGCGCCTTCATCGATGAAGCACTGGGATGGTGTGGCCAATTTGTCAGGTTTGTTCTCCAGCGGCAGGAATGGTATCGAGATCTTAGAATAGTCGTAGGCGGCATACCCGGATGAATGGTGGTGAGACAGGAAATAAGTAAGAGCTCTGTCCCTCAAATCGAGGTCCGGACGAGGTGATTTCCCAGCTTCGGCCATGATGGCAATTAGTTCATCAACAGTTGGGACTGTTCGTAGACCAAGGCTGCTCAGGAACCTTCCTTCAGGGCTGCCGCTGCGGTAGAGGCCAGGCCAAGACAAGCAAGGAAGGCTCAGTTCTCGAAGTTCGGGTCGAGGCTCAAACAACTCTCCGACTTTATACAGCTTGCTTGAACTTTCTTCTTCTTTGCCTTTTATTTGTCTCGGGCAGATAGGCGTGCTCCTCAACTTCTGCATGTCCGCACCTGGTATATCTTCGCGAACGGAGGCAAGATATTGTATGAGATCCACGTGGCTACCTCTCGAGTCCTTTGATAAAAGTCGCTCAAAGACCATGCCTAACTCCACAGTTTTGCGCACACCAATCGCTATCAAAAACTTATCCTTTACATTTCCAAGGCCCTTGATGGTTGCAAGATCATCAAAAAGCTTCACATTGGGGAAATAAGAATCGCTTGGCTTCCTCATACCAAACTTTGTTGGAACCACAGTGTGGTTCGTGAAAAGGTCAACCAAAGATGACTTGGAAGACTGGCTGAGTGAGTCCCAATGCTTCGAAAGTAGAGGCAGAATCTGGGAACTGAATTCAGAAGATCGCGTAATATCTTGGTTTTCAGGGAGAGTTTGACGATTTCCAGACTGTGCAATTAACCAACGCACCCAAGGGACTATTTGCAGCTCTTCCCATCCTAAACTTTCTAGTTCGTGCTTGCTCATACTCTTTGTGAACTTAAATGGCATAACTGAAGGGGGTACAGGAAAGTCCACGGGGGTTCTGCTGGGGTTCAGAAAATATTGCATCTCTCCAAGTTGAAGAATTTGACCTCGTTCGCTTTCAGGCTTGTCATCGTTCACCACTGCGACAGCAAGGAGATTGGCGATAGTTGCCTTATCGAGTTGTCCACGAGTTGCTTGCTTTGTCAACCAGCCAAGGAATTCAGCTACTTGGACAGCGGACAGAGGACTTGACTCGAGTGCAAGTTTTATGTCTGAGACGGTCACCTCCGTAATCAAGCCAAAGTCAACAAGTTTTCCCACCAGTTGTTTTGCTTCTGTTGCCAGTCTTTCGGGGATGATTGGAATTCCTGCCATGAAGGTCAAATCTTTAGGAGCAACACGGACATCATGTGTTGGAAGAATGCCACAGGTAGAAACAACTTCAATTGAAGCTTTCTTACTACATGTCCAGAAAGCATCCTCAAGTAGTTGACCTATTGCGGCAGATGGTGTTGACTCTCTGTAAGTAAAGTTTTTGAATATTGTGATGGCTTCGTCCAAGAAGGGATTCACTTCGTCCATGCGAATCTTGGAACGGCCATTGGCCTCTCGCCGAATCTTTTCCTGTAGCTCTTGCATTTCGGTTGACCAGGCTATTCGGCAAACAATGCCGGCGGATCTCAACATCTCCATGTTCCATGTTCTTACATATCTTGCGTTCAAATCAATCGACTCTCGTTCGACGGTAGGTATCACAGAGGGGGCTGAGATATGAGCGCTGAGCCCGGTGGTTTGATGAGTTGGAAATCCAATGAAAATTTTGCCGCTTTTTGCTGGAAGCACAGTGCCAAAGACATCACTAGCTGCAGATGCCTTGGCTAGACTTGAATCCTCGATGTACGGGGCTGTGAGGACTGCAAGTTTTGTGTACTTTGGAGGTGGTTTCTTCGTAGCACGTTCCAACTCTTCGTTGAATTTCTGCCCAGTAAAGGTCTTGATAGTGGCAGTGTTGACATTTAGAAACACGGTGGCTGAAAATTTTGTGGCAAGCATATCCGTGTCATTAGTTACTGGCGTGTCTGGTCTTGCAGCGGTCTGGTTCTCCTCCTGCACGGCTCCAGCCAGTCTGGAAAAGAACTTGCGAAGTGAAGGGCCGGAATCCTGGGCGTGTGCACGGTTTCCGGTATCCTTGGATGCCTTCCATCCTATGATAGCCATCCATTGCCCATCGATCTGCGCAATCTCCTTCGACACTTTCGATACCTTCATGAACCCCTCACTTGTCTTGGGTTCAATGTCTTTGGGAATACCCAATTCGTAACTAGGTGATGTCTTCTTCGTCAATGATAGTACATTCCAGTTGTCTATCCACAGCCCGATATTTTCTAGCCCAACAAAAGTAAGACTGTTCGCCAGGAATTGTGCCAAGGGGAGGAGGGGAGGAACCGGGGAAGTGGCGTCTCGATAGTCGAGGACAAAATTGGTATCTGAAGATGCTTCTGCGTCGTTGAGCTGCAGACGCCTTGTGAAAAGAGAGTTGTTCTTCCAGTAGAACGCCATAGCCTCCCGGCCAGAGGACACGAATGGCTCCTCACAATCGGCAAAGGTAGAGTAGAAACCCACGCCGAATGCACCAATCTTGGTCTCATCGGGGTTACCCTCTGCTATTCTCTTCAGCCGATTCCAATCATTTTCGGTAAATGCCTGCCCGTTGTTCGTCACCACCAGGCGTTTCAAGGTATGGTTTTGGACTGTATGCTTGAGAAGGGCTGAATCAGAGGAGGCCCCAGAAGGTAATGGAACAGTAGTGGATGGCGTAGTCTCGAATTTGATTGTGATTTTGGTGGCGGAAGCATCAGCCGCATTCTGGAGCAACTCTCTCAGGACGGTCCATTCTCCAGAGTATCGAGCCAACACCTTGTCTATGAGTGCTCTAGTATTAACGGTAACAGCCTCTTCATCATTTCCCGAACGCAGAGTCCGTGCGCGAAGGGCGTTGAAATCCATGTCAAAGATAAAAGTAAAGCGTAATCCATCAGCAAAAGGGCCGCAATAACATGTTTATAAAGGATACAGTTGAGGCGAACACGGAGCGATTTAGGAGGTACCAGACTGTCGCAGGCAACTTTCCTACACGATTCGTCGGAGTTAAACAGTAGGCTAAGCGGGTGACGCAGGGCAACTACGAGTCTGCGGCTGCGGTCGCATAGATCTTATCTAATCAGTGGTCACGATTAAGACACCCACAAGACGCGAAGCCATGTGATCACGCGAGATGGTCACGTGCACAATCAAGTGATCAGTTCGTGTTCTCACCCTTTCGCCTTGAGATTCTATCCTCCTCCCACGCTATCACCATGTCATTATGGGATATAATCCATTCTTGCCCACTGCAGGCGCAAGGATCAACACACTATGCGTTCCCATCGGCCACGTCCATCCTGATCGCTTCCAGGACTTCATCAAGATTTTGCGGACTGCTTCAGTTGTTAAGCTCAAGGTGATCAACACCAGCAATCGCCAGCGTAGGTTGATAGGCAATTTTCTAGTTTCGCTGAGAAGCAGCGTTGCTAACTATGCTCGCAATTCAGACACCGAAGATGGATCAATCTTCTTTGATTTGGCCGCGAACCAAGATGCTTCCCGGGCTGACATGTTTCCTCTCGAGCCGAATGGAAAGTGCCAGGTTCTGCTAGGTCTGGTAGATGGTAAGCGGCTTGCCCACTCAACTGAGAGCGGAAATGCTACGGCAAATGGCGATTCAACAACACTGGAAAGTATCAGGGCTCAGTTCGCCGAGCCAATAATCAATGTGCCTGGGCTTGTCGTGCGCCAGTTAGTAATCTTTCATGGAGACCACACATTTATGGATGACTCCGACATTCTCCACGTGCCTGAGACTGATGGCGACGAGGCTGCATTTGACACCATGGTCCGACTATCAGAGAGATGGACTGGAGGAATCGCGGACCTGCTGAAATCTCTCAGAGACAAGCCAATTACTATGGTTCCCGTTGGGAGTTCTCAAGGTTTTCCTCGCATTTCTAGGACTCTTGTGCCGACAATACCAGAAGGGTCTTCTACACCGGTCTCGGCCAAGTCTTCCAGTCCAATATCTGCCTTCAATGAGCCTGAGGTTCAGAGTGACACCTCAAGGGGGCGTTTCAGCATCATTCGAGGCATGTACAGTCTTCAAAGCGGTCTTTGGCTAGATGCCATGGATTCCTTATCGGAAGGAGCTACACTTGCACTTGAGAATCAAGACCACCTATGGCATGGCAAAGCTCTGGAATGCTTACTTGTCTCGATGCTTCTCTTGTCATGGTCAAACGTAGATTACACCGTTCCCCAAATCTGTCGCTCACTTCCCAACAGAAGCGGAATATTTGGTGCGGACGGGACAACACAATCAGCAGGCTCGTTGAAGACTCTTGCTCAGCTTGTCCCACCACTAGTCGAAACCATCCTGGAATCATATGCCAAAATTTCGAACCTAGATCTGGGAGGTTCACTACAGGATTTGCTAAGAGAGTCTCGTGTGAGGCATGTGAATCTATTGGTGACCATCAAAGGCGCAGGTTGCATTCTAAACCGGAACATTCTCGATTATTTGGTCTCCGCTCGTGACCAGAGCCTTGATAAGCCTTTAGAATTTGAAGGAGAATTCGTCTCTATATCCAGAGCTGGGCTTGCTAACATTCTGATTGAGACACTTCAAACCTCTCAGTCAAGCAATAATTTGTCGCATTATACGAGTATGTTGGTTGCTGTGGCAAGCAGCCTGTCCATTTTGGGGCTGGAACGAAAGCATGCGTTTTATCTCAAGCAGCTTATGCAGCAGTTCGCTCCCAAACTTGTTGAAGCACGTAAACTTGGCGCTTCCGAAGTCGGTGTACATCCTGCCGCAGGACTTCCTTCGCTTAGCAATGCACAGCAAGGTGTTATTCCAGAGATGGTTGTTGGAACGAGAATCATGCTAAGCCTTGCGGCAAGCGCTTATGGAGTTGCCTTACCACCTGTTCCATCCCCGCTAGACCGAAGAGCTGCAGATATAAGTGACATTCGAGACAAGCTGTCCATTTGGGCTATTGAGCAGAGCTCTGGCGACATTCTCCTCAAGATTGAAATGCTTCGGGTATGTGTAGGTGTTTGTGAAGCCCTACCGGACATACCAGCTGGCCTGCATTTTACTTCAAATATCCTCCGCGCTTCGAGGCAAACAGTGACGATGCCAATGCAGTCGAAGCCACCAGTTCCAATAATCTCGACCGAGGAACAAGTTCGGCTCCTGGAGAGCATGAGACGAGCCGTGTCTGCAGCCTCCAGACTTGGTGCGGATGGCTATCGAGCTGAATACTGGGATGATTTCCTGGTGCGAGATATACAGATATTCGAGAAAGATACTTTTTCCACGCTTATCGCGCATAAGCCAAGTGATTTGTCCATTCGAACCAGTGGGTTTGCTGACACTGTTCGAGATCCATTCATCTACAACCCTTTCTCTAAGGACAAACATGTGCCGAGTGCTCCTGTCCTTATTGCTGGTGAATTGGCAACGTTTGCGGTCGTACTCCAAAATCCTCTCGAGATCGAGGTCGATATTGAAGAGATCTCTCTGATCACCAAAGGCTCAGCGTTTCAGTCTTCTCCACATGGCATCGTGCTCGGGCCTTTTTCAATTCAGACTTTCACTTTAAATGGAAGACCAACTGCCAACGGCGACTTGGAGGTGATTGGCTGTCGGGCTAGGATACGCAATTGCTACGAACAAGAGTTTCTCACTTTCGTAGATGATTGGAAGATACCACTTAAGCACAAGCCAAAAGCGGTGTTCAAACCTCGATTTCGAACTCGTCTGAAGGAAATGGCCGACGAAATTTCTGCCGATCGTGCGATTGTGTTGTTTGAGCCCCCGGCACCAGCAGATCTAAAATTGAGGGTTATCAATGCTCAACCCCGTTTGATAGTGAAGTCCAGCACCCTGGACCAGCCGTCTATGATGCTGCTGGAGGGAGAGAGCCGCTCATTTACTCTGACCCTGACCAACACTAGTGCGACTGTTGCAGCTGACCTTCTTCTCATAACTACAGATGATTCTGTCATGACCCAGCTTCAGGAGGCCCTTTCTAATAAAGACTTGAATCCGGTTGAGATTTTCGAAGTTCAGTCGCAGATAGCGAACAAGCCCGCAATCTCGGTCAGGAAGAGAGATGGTCCTTACGCGGAAACTCTCCTTCTACCGAACCGAGACATCAGTTACACTGTCGAGGTTACTGGACGACCAGGGCTCATCAGCGCAGCAGTTCATGCAGATTACGCCTATTTGGGGTCTCCATCACCTGAAGTCAGGGACACTTTCTATACTAGGCAAATCAGATTCCCAATCGCAATAACTGTGAATGGCAGCATTGAACTCCCACGTTGCAACATTCTGCCAATCCATGGAGATTTTGCATGGCACCATGGCAGCCAACGGGAAGAGAAACAGGATGCGTCAAATGCCAACGTTAGCGGCGTCGCTGCCTCTAAATCAGGACAGCAGTCGAAGATTCACCACTGGCTTCAAGATCTAGCTCATACTAGTGACTATTGTATGCTGTCGTTAGATTTGCGAAATGTGTGGCCCCAACCATTGTCCATCAGCATACAAGCGAGGAAGTTGCCTAACACCGACCAGGACGACGAGGAACTATCTTGGCAAAATGCATACACAGTTCATGACACTTTACAGCCCGGTATTGTCACAAGAGTGGTGCTGCTGCTCCCGCGTCTATTTGTGGAAGACCCATACATCCCTGTACCAAACCTAGATACGCAGAAACAATTCGTCGTCTCAAAATCCAAAATGAGTACGGAAGCAGAAGCTTCTAGTAGGGAGTCCTTCTGGTATCGAGAGTTGCTCCTGAAGTGCTTACGAGGTACATGGATCGAAACGAGTTCTGGACGACATGGGGAGATCGACCTAAGAAAGGGTATTAGATTAAGTCCGCGTATGGTTGAAGCTTTGAAAGTGGACCACGTCAACATTGACTACGCGATCACTCTCTGCCAGAGTGGTGAGAACTCTAATCGCGGTCCGAGCGTACCAATCAAGCAAATAGGAAGATCACACTTTGTCGTTCAGAACGAAACTTTTGCGACGTTGAAGGTGAGAGTTCATAATCACACCCAGGATACATTGCAGCTACTCCTCCGGCTCCAGCCATCCCTCCGGCATCAACCGCATAATATTGCGCTAGACCTTTCGAAGCGATTCGCTTGGTCGGGCGTGCTGCAACGTCCGTTGCGTCCAGCAATAGAACCCGGTGGTGTCTGTGAGACCGAGTTGGGGATCATTGCGCTGGTCGAAGGCAACTACGACATAAATGCTTCCGTGGAGGAGATCAAAGCTCGGCAGAAAAGGACGCCAGGGAAGACATTAGATGCAGTCGGTGGTGGCGGTGTCGAGCGAAGAATATGGCAGGCTAGATCTCCCTGCCTTATCGACGCCTTGAGTGCATAGGTGCATAAGTGCGCACTCATATTGAATACATTTTTTCAGAGCACTTTTAGAACAAGATCGATGATTTGCAGAAAGACGTCTCGGTCCATTTCAGCTTTGGCTAGTCCAAGTCCCAACATGAGCGAACGGGACTCTTCTGGGGATTTGGTCGCAATTGCAGTGGCAATCTGTGAGGCATACAGCTGACCCATAGTCTCACGGTCTGACCCCCCAGCTCCAAGAAGTGTCCGCGGCTGGAAGCGGGCTGATGGGACAAGGGCATCTTCAGACTGAATGGTCTGAAAATATGGATCTGATTGTGTTGGATTATCACTCAGCAGGGGGACAGTGATCTGCTCATGTTTCAGCATAGGGATACTACTTTAATCAGATACGGAAAGAAACAAACCCATTGGGCCAATCTGCCATCTTGCGTGACTGTGATCATAATTTTGTCTGCAAACGAAATCGACATGACATCGGTCTTGACTCCATTGACTTCACCGACAACCTGCCTTGTTGAAGCTGGGAAAGGTATCGTAACCTTGGAATCATCCATGCTGGCGGCTTGATAGTCTTGTGGTAGGCCCATCTTACACCTGAGAATGGACTTCCTTAATGTAATTCATCGACGAGTATCTCATGTCCAGGAGCAAACATCCACAGTTGATAATGGAGACAAAATGAGGGTGAGGCACGTGAACGACGGCCGGATATTCACCGCCTTGTTGAACCCTCCACAAATGCTCATGCCGCCCTCTTTTCTGCCAGTGCTAATTTTTCTGGTCTTGGGTCTGCATCAGGACTTTTTCGTCAGAGCCACTGCGTCGGTGGTTTGTGCAGTTGAATAACAGGGCATGTCGAACCCAAGTATGCCTCGATTTGTACCTCGGCAGAGGAAACACAAAGTCCGCGCACGGGAGCAGAATGAAACCTCATCCCACATTGAGTCCAACCAAGAGCAAATCATCCCTCTTACCCAACCCGAGAAAGCTGCAAAGAGACAGGCATTGAGGGACGAGTTGAGGGCGCAGCAGCCTAAAATATCGGCCAAGAAGCAAAAGAGGTTGGACAAATATATCGACAACAAGTTGAGAAAGGACGAGACCCTCGATTTACTGCGAAAGCTTGAACAAGAGAAAGAAAAGTACGACGCTGTCATAGAAATATCGAAGAAGCTTGGAAAACGAAGTTTTGGCGATTTTGTTGATGGACAGGTGACTGTGAATGCAGCAGACAAGAGATGGAAAGGCAAAAAGGGCCATGATCATATTTCCGATGTGCAGAGTGAGGATTCGTTCGAGGCGGAGAATCAAGATGCTTTCGCGCCTGTGCGTGACGAAGCAGATAGCGAACGAATGCCTATCCAGGCCCTAGCAAATGCGACAATAAATGGTAGTGGACTTGCACAAGCTTTAATCCTGGATGAGCATGGCTTGCCTATAATTCAGTCCAGGAGGAGGAAAAAGCACCGTGACAAAGTCCTGCCGGCAGAGTTGCCCTGGGAGGGGTTTGACTCGGACTCAGCTGGAGAGGTTGATTCTTCGGACGACAATGAGGACTCAGAAGACTCGATGTCGTCAGAAGGGGGCACTTTTGACACGAGCGAGGAAGGTGAATCAACATCTGAGGCCAGTGAGTCCGGATCGGAATCTTCAGAGAACTCCGCCATCGGCAAGCCGAAAACGAGAAAATCAGCTTTCAAAACGTGGGCTTCTCAACAACTCAACCAATCAATAGGATATGTACCATCTTATGCATCGGGTGAAGGGCAGCTCCTGCCAAAGCCAGCGGCTAAAGAAGCACAACCTCCAGCCCAACAGAATAGTGGACACTCGCAGGAAACTGCAGAGCCACTACCGAATCGAAAAGCATATACCGTTCATGTTGAACGTTCAAAGGAAATCCAGAAATCAAGGACACAGCTACCGATTCTAGAACGAGAACAAGAAATCATGGAGGCAATCCACAACCATCCTGTTGTGCTTGTGAAAGGCGACACTGGCAGCGGTAAAACGACACAAATACCCCAATTCTTATTTGAGGCGGGATATGGCACAAAAGATGGCCCCACACCTGGAATGATTGGTATCACTCAGCCTCGGCGAGTGGCTGCAGTGAGCATGGCCAAACGCGTTGGCGTTGAACTGGGCGATCATGGGGAGAAGGTGTCCTATCAAATTCGATTCGACAGCAACGTATCTTCCGACACTGCAGTAAAATTTATGACTGATGGAATACTGCTACGAGAATTGTCTCAGGACTTGCTCCTCAAGAAATATTCCGTAATCGTCATCGACGAAGCTCACGAAAGAAGTGTCAACACGGACATCTTGATTGGAATGTTGAGCAAGATTGTATCCGCACGAGTACGAAAAACCAAATTCAACCCAGACCCCAAACCGCTGAAACTTATCATCATGTCCGCCACTTTAAACATAGGAGATTTCTTGCATGAGAAGCTCTTCTCTGCATCTGAAAGGCCACTTGTCGTCGAAGCAGAAGGCAGGCAGCATCGTGTTACTCCGCATTTTGCTCTACGTAGCCGACCAGATTATGTTGAAGAGGTCATAGAGAAGGTCGGACGTGCGCACCGGAAGCTTCCTCAGGGTGGGATCCTGGTCTTCTTGACGGGTCAGAATGAGATCAGACAGGTGGGCGACCGTTTGAAGGCTGTGTTGATGCCACGGCATGGAGCCGATACTCGACAAAATTTAACACGAGTACAGATTTCGGCGAGTGAAGCACCACTTGAGGCCGAAGACATGGACATTGGGGACTTCAAGGCCCTAAAAGGCCATGAAGATTTTGATCTTGACATCCTAACACATTCGGAAGACGAGGCAGATGCCGATGAATTCGACATTTCGGATGAAGAAGACGATGACGATGACAGCAAGGACAATCCTGTTCTCAAATCGAGTAAAGAGCCCTACACTTCTGTCCACGTCCTACCTCTCTATTCACAACTTCCGACTTCCGAGCAGCTGAAGGTTTTTGAGCCGCCTCCGTCTGGTTCTCGATTGATTGTCCTGGCGACGAACGTCGCAGAGACTAGTTTGACAATTCCTGGAATTCGCTATGTATTTGACTCTGGTCGAAGCAAGGAACGAAAGTACAATCTCGATTCAGGGGTCCAAAGTTTTGAAATTGACTGGGTTAGCAAGGCCAGCGCGGAACAGCGAGCCGGTCGTGCCGGTCGAACAGGTCCCGGTCATTGTTGGAGACTCTACACGTCCGCGGTCTTCGAACAGTTCTTCCCATCTCACGCAGAACCAGAAATTCTTCGAGCGCCCGCTGAGAGCGTCGTCCTGCAATTGAAAGGATTTGCTTACCCCAAGCCAATCGTGGAATTCCCGTTCCCAACTCCGCCCGCGGCTTTCACCTTGAACAAAGCTGAGCAGCTGCTTAGAAATCTCGGTGCCTTGACGACTGCAGGAGCGATTACCGATCTAGGCAAACAGCTCTCCGTATACCCGCTATCTCCTCGCTTGGGCAAGATCATGGCTGCTGGGGTTGATGATACTACCCTGGTCTGGCAAGTCCTCTCCCTGGTAGCTGGGCTAGCTGTTCCAGAAATCTTCGTTACCGAAGCCCAACTTCATCTGGAGGAGCACCCGTCGCAGAAAGGTGAATTGTACACTCGCGGAGACCAGCAAGAAGATGAGCAGCGCGACCGAAGAAAGCAAGAATACGGGCGAGCGAGGGCAACGCTCAGCCGTCACGACAAGACCTCCGATGCTATGAAGCTCTTCACCGCGGTGTCAATGTATCTCGACGCCCCAGACAAGTCTCAATTTTGCGCCGACTACTTCTTGCGGCCCAAGGCAATGGCGGAAATATCTCAGCTACGATCTCAGCTCGAGTCAATTGTGCGCAGCAACCACCGAACCATCAGCCACGAAATCATCACCAAATCCCACGCGCTGAAACTGTCCTCCACGCGCGTCAGGCAGCTCAACATCATCGCTGCAAGCGGCCACATCGACCGGGTGGCGATCCGCTACGACCGCCTGCCTATGCCTCCGGAACTGGCCATGAAGCCACGCCGCGCGATCGACGTGCCGTACCTCCCGCTCATCCCGCTGACAGATCGAGCCTCAGCCTCGATCGCCGAGAAAGCAGTCTACATCCACCCATCATCAGTACTCTCGCGGCTCACGGCCAAGAATCTCCCAGAGTACATTGTATACAGCCAGCTACAGCGCGCACAGGCGCAAACCGTGAGCACAGCTAGCGACATCCATAATCTCAACGCCATCCCCAAAACCCGCATGTTCCCCCTGACACCCATCACCACCGCACAGCTCTCGCTCCTGGCACGTGACACCGCGCTGATCGAGTACGGCAAACCCGTGGCCAAGAGCAAAATCGAGGATCTCCCTGGCACGCCGAAGCGCAGGGACTGCTGGGTCATGGCCGAACTGAAGGTCGGAGCTGGCGAGAGAGGAGGTGGCCTTGGCTTCGGCTGGCCTCTGCCGCCCGTGAAAGTCAGACAGGTGCTTGATGTTAAGAGCAAAGCTGGATGGAGTGTTGAGGAGGTTTTGAGTTAAAGCTGGGTTGAGAATGGCCGCAGCTGCGTTGACATAGACATCCTTGGATGCCCTTCACACTGCTTGGCCCTTCACACTGCTTCCTATATTTTGCTGGCCACGAGTGCAGCAAACCGAGCTCCAGACTGAGTCCATGCAAGCATCTGGGTACCTAAGCCATCAATCCTGATCGTGTTGGCTCATCCAACCAAAAGAGCCCCCAGCCTCGATACTTAGAGCCGTTTATCGTCCTTAGCCGGTTCAGAGTCGTTCTGCTCCACCGTTTACAGGGCCTTGCAGTTGCGCGGGCAAAAACCAACTCCAGGGAAGTCTCTGTCCAGCACTGGTCATTCCAGGCGACAGCTGTCAGCAGATACGTGAACCATTGTATAACTTGAACTGATAGATCTTCTAATTGGTTACCACCGGCTTCTCTTGTACAATGTGCTATGATATCTCGTGAGCAACCGCCGTTATAGGCAAGCTCCACTCTTGCCGGACGACGCCAGGTTCGGGTGCTTGTTTGTATCGCCCCGCCAGAAACCTGGCTGTGAAGCTACTTGTTCACTTTTTGTTTATCGATAGTCTGGATAGAGAGCCGTTTGTCAGTGAGGCTTGGTGTTACACCGCTGGTCCGCTGATCAGCCGAGCAGGATTCTTGTATGGGAACTATGGTCGCAACTGCGGAGTTTGCTGGAATTCGTTGCTTGAGTAATGTCTACCAAGGAACAAGGTCATGCAGTTCTGGATCAACAGGGTCAATTTTGGTTTGTATTTATCATTGACGAATACTGACTTATGGAGCTAGTTCTAGCTATGTTGCTCAGATGCTGTTACATGAATGTTCTCGCAGACAATGGCGCATTTCAACTATGCTTGGACGGCTGACAGAGTATCGGAGACTGTACTCAATTTGCCTATTTCTAGTGGCCCATATTTACGAAATTGTGTTACATTGTTCATTGCAGATCACTGCTTTGTTGTTTCCATTATTGGCAGATCCTGAGAGGCCGGTGCTCTCATCAGTTCGGCATCTTCATATCTTGACCTCGGCAGTATACGACGGAGCACATCACTTCCAAAGTCTTGATCGCACGGTCAACTCTCGAATAAGCTCCATCAAGTTCAGCATGCAACTCCTCGGCTGTCAAATTGCAAGAGTCCTTGACCCACCAAGGGGCGACATTTTCGATAGCGCGCATGACAAGACAGGCTTGGTGGAAAATCATGTCGCCGAACGGGATGATCTCGTCCTCTTGCTGCCCGCTCAAATATTCTCGCTCGCCTGTGACTCCTTTGCAGCAGTAGCCTGCATGACCAAGAGCAGCTGGTAGAGCGTCGAGCTTCCGGAGTTCTGTCATGAAGGTCTCGTAGGAATGCTTTGGCCAGTCATCAGCATCATTGACAAGTGTATTGGCAAATTCTTCGTAGATCGGATACATGCCTGAAAACTCCAAGTCAAGTATTGCCGAAACATTGAGTTGGCCATCATCGGATTCGGTGACCAGAACATTTCTTGGTGACAGGTCGTAGTGTGTGAACATGTGCTTCTCTCCAACCTCTGCTTCGTCAGGGAAGGATGCCCAGCATTCGGCCCGGCGGCGTCTCTCTGGGGGAAAGGCGATGTCCAATTGTGGAAGAGTCTCTGTCATAAATCGGCGGACCGCGCTTGCCATTGGCTGACGGATATACTCATAAATCTCCGAGTCGTGGAGTTTGCGGAGAGCGGAGTTCAATCGATGAGTCACGTACTCCAAGTGAGTTGTCAAAGGACGGGATGGTTGCACATGTCCAGTAAGGCGGCCTTGAATATAAACATCAGTACCAGGTAAGATGGATCGAACATACAGCGTCGCAGCAGGTGGAGCAGCCATAGCCTGTGGTATGAGGACCACATTACCAACGGCGTTCCCTCGAGGCATGTTTTTGCGCCAGTCAGCAACATAATTTGCGACTTGTGTCATAAGTGTTCTGCCTTGAGACCCCTCGAGATCTTTTGGGTAAATGATCCGTCCAGGCACGCGACTGAGTAACATCCATCCTTGCTTCAAATCTTGCTTATCGTCAGCGTCAGAGATGGACAAGCTTCTCAGCCCTTGGGTTGGCAGATGTTCATGTGCCTCGAGAGAAACAGAACCGAGAGGATCGCTTCTTGTTTGAACTCTCTCTCCATCCTCCGACCAAGAAAGGACTCTGGGAACCGACATGGACGGGCAATATTTCTCCAAGAGCAAAAGGCAGGCGATCTCGTTCTGAATCTTCCGAGCGTCAAAGCCACGGCCAATGACCTTGAGGGCGTAGGAGGTTGTAGCTGGGGTTCTTCGCGATGTGACTCTCTCGAGTGGCTCATCATCCCCGGTGTCAGAGGCGTCTGAGGCGACGAGTGATTCTTCACCGGAACGCAGTTTGGTGTAGATGTCGACATAGTAGATTCGATTGTTGAACGACTTTCCTGAAGGCAATTCTTCAACGGTGATCTCGCCTGGATCGACCTCGTCGAGACTCTTGCATACAATCGACTTGATCTTGGCATCCGAAAAGTGAACGTTGTAATTCGGGTTGCTTCGTGGAGTTGGCATCTTGACCAGATGGGACGTCTGAGGGTGTCTGATCAACACTTTCTAGTTGCTTCTGAACGGAACACTTGACGATGACGAAGCAAGTCGACAGCAAGACTTATTAGAGGCCCAGCAGGGCAGCTGGTGTGAGTGTGAGGATTGAAGGTGCAGGGTACTTTGGGCTGGAAGTCAGTATTCTTGTGCGGAAAGTGTGAGATTTGGTTAATGAAGTGGAGAGAGGAGAGATTGCTTCGAGAGAGAAGAAGCGTCTGGTTTTATAGTAGGAGAGCAGAGGGAGCTTACGTTTGCTTTTCACTTGACGCAGGTGATTCTGTAGCGGGAGAGTCTCGTAGAAGTTGAGACCGTATGATGGCTGAGAGCCGATCTTGTGGGTTGTTGTTATTGTTGTTGACAAAAAGGTCATCTGGGAAGGAACGTTGTGTGTTCACGAGTCAGGCAGTCGCAGCCAATAAGCGCTAAGGCGGCGACCGGAGCGACTTCACGGTCCATGGCAGGATAGCATCGCCTTGGACAAGCCGACATTGTCACCATCAGATGTGGCTGGCCAACAGCCGGTCGGTGGATGAAAGTGTGAGACACTCAGGCCAGATTCAGTCCTGTTCTGACAAGGTTCAATATCATTCATATCATGCATCTGCTGATCTTCTGTCGCTTGTCATCCCAGTGAGCACGTGGTCTGGCGTCTGTATTTATGAGTGTATATATATGCGTCACTTACGTCGCAAAAGACTGGCATCCTCTCACACACAGCAAGCAGAGCAGTGTCTGCTGGCCCGAGGCTACACAACTATAGCCTCCCTCGTGATCCCCATTGACGGGTTGCGTCTTGCACTCTGCCATCACCAAGCCTTGGCCGGAGTCCTTCATGCATTCGTCTGGGAGGAAGCATGTGGAAGAGGCTCGCCTATCTGTCCTTATGCAAATGGTTGCCACCTAGCCATGCCCATATCAAACGCTGCTGGCAGAACAGTGGGTTGAACAGTCTGCTTTCTAGCTTCTGGCTGGATTGATTGCGCCTCGCACGGCATCACCTCCAAAGACCAAATTAGAAATTCCATTTCTTTCTTACCGACATCTTGAAATCAAGCAGTGTAAAGCTCACTGTCTCCGCAGGATATGCAAGGCTGATAGGCGAGGCGCTCGTCACATCTGTGAGCATGTGTCGTGTGCCTGTTGAAAATAGCACGAGGTTGTGGACTCACCCCAAACACTCGCATCTCTTCTTCACCAACATCCTTGCGGGAACATGGAGCCGTTGCACAATCACACTGGCTTCGACCAAGATACGCATCAATCTCAATGGCTCATTGTTTCGGGAGACAATCATCTAAGACCATCTGTCCCGAAGAATTCCTTTGACCAGGGATGCCCAACTCATGCTTTTGAGTGGTCTGAATCCATTCTCTTTGATCTCACCCTCTGGCGACAGCAAAGACGTGATTGCGCCTGCAGTGTCGGTCGTTTGACACTGAGGCTATGGAGGCCTATTGCCATGGAACATCAAGCCAACGACAGTCTCTCACCAACTTGAACACTGGCCTGTTGGTGGTGAGCTCGGATCCTACATGTGGCAGGAAAGGTTTTGATCTGGAAGGTTGAAACACTGAAAAATATGTCTCCAGGAGATCGTGGTCCTCTGTCTTGACCGGGCATCCGGGAAGACGAGCTCAAGTTGATGATGACTTATGGGTCACGTCCTCGTCAGAATGCCTGGCTTTCGCTCGGTCGTAATCACGGGTCTGATCTGTGCCCGTGCCGCGGCCAGCTCACTCGGCAGAATGAGGCTGCAAGCCTGCAGGGAATAGCTTGTTCTCGCAAAAATAGGGGAGACATATGATGGGGAAGATTTGCCAGCGACCGAATGAAAAACTAACTGGAGTTGGCGCCAAGCCGTGAGCCGAGAAACAACGAAAGCAATTGCGATGAAAATAGAGCTGACTCAACAACAGCCCGCGCACCATCTCTGCCCCGTTTGCGCTGTGAGGTATGTATGAGTACCTGGTACCTCATACTCCGTACTCCGTATCTCGGACAGAAACTCTTGAATCTTGGTCGAAGGATTTGGCAATCTCTTTTTTCGAACTGCCACCAGGGTACGCAGTACCCCATATTCCGTAGGGGAATTCCGAACTCTGGCACAAGGCTCTACAGAGACCTTGCATCCATCTGCTTCCCGAGCAGGTATCATGTCTTGCTGTGCCCGTACAGAGCACACCTATTCATAAACCTATTTCCTACTCCTGCCCAGAATACTGAGTGTACAGACAAGCTTCAGAGTCAAGAACCGTTCTTACGAGTATGGAGTGCTTTTGACTTGAAAATCAGTGTTTCCAGAGGACTTTTCCTTCCCGTGTTGGCCCATCACTCTACTCAACCATGCGGTCAGTACCCAGCCCACCGAGCCTTGGCTGCCGTTAGCTGCATCAGGCCCCCTTTTCCACATCTCACTACTCTTCTCGGTGGAAATTATACATTTTCAAATGCAGCTAAGCGAACCAATGGCGGTAGATCCGCCCCCATAATGCATCGTTTCATTCGTGGTTGAAATGACCGCCATTCGATTTCTTACCCCCTCAGCCTGATGGACAGATTCCGTGCTATAAACAATCCATCACGTTATCTTTTCTCCCCCCTTGCAGCCATGAGCAATATTGCATCTGCATTCGGTTTGCCATTTCAACGACAAGCTTTTCGTTCGCCATGTTTGTGTATCCGCCATTGTGCTTTTCAAACGCGCCGGCTGCGGCTGCCGCTCAGCCTAACCGAAAGATAACAGTAGTCGTTTCTCGACCAGCAACGGTGATCAACACCATTATGCCGAGGACGGGGCTTGGGTTCACCTGGGTACACTGCCCACTTCCAGGTCTATCTCAGACTTGGATGCCTCTATGAATTGATGTTTCTGGGTCTGGAAGGAGGACAAGTGACACTTTCAATCTGTCAACCGACAATGTGAGACATGCTTCAGAGTCATAGGTGGATTGTTGTACAGCAATGGCCGAGTTAGAACGGCTTCTGGAAAATCCAGATACGTACTCCGTACGAGTACTCGTACAGACGTGCGGATGATCCCTGCCTGGACATCAAGCTAGCCCGATCGCCAAGCAGCCAGGTTAATTTCAATAGCCGTTGGGCTGGACCTCAGTGGCACTCATTTCGATACAACTTTGTCGGGCTGGTAAAGCCGCAATTATGTACTAGTTACTGACTTCTATGTTTTGCTGGGAACAGTCGCACGAGTTCTTTTCCCTTACCTTCTCTTTTCCGGGTGTTCTTCTGCAGAGCCCCAAAGGCACATTCGTTTTGCGACTTCTTTGATTTGGCTGCCACTCTTTTATTCTCGCCTGTCTGCGCCTGGCATTGGTTCCTTTTCATATCAAAAATTACATTCAGCACCACGCTGGTCGTTCTTCCGTTGACTGGACCGTTGCGATGTCAATCTGCCAGAATGGGGCTCCTCCCGTAAGTCACCACACTCCCATACCTCATACATGTGGTATTGGTGCCTTGGACTAGCAGCTGGTGCCATGACATGTCTTTAAGCTCGGTCGCGAAACAAACTTAGGACATGGAGCTGATCGTCAGTGCTTCTAGATGCTGCTGCCCTGGACAAATGTCACAGTTACCACAGATCAATCCGCCATCATGAGAGGCATCCAGGTGTCCATGGGCAATCCGCCACAGATAGTATCCCTCAGACCAAGTACCTCAGATGACGTATTGTATGTGGTGAACAAAGCCCAGTGCGCACCTGAATACAACTCATCATGCATTGGCTCATACGGAGGCGTCTTTGATTATGGAGCATCCAACACATTTCAACAGGTAGCCGAAGGACAGTGGAACGGGACGAACGACGGCAATCCATCTCAGTTGTCTTACGTTCACTTCAATGATGTTTTAGGGTTCGGTAACGCTACTCTTTATGGATTTCCCGCCATCTACGATGAGCCCGGCTATGGTGGGCAGGGTGTCATGCCTCTGGGATCAGAATCTGATTTCCTCCGAGCCGCTGTTAAGGATGGAATGATTCCTTCCACAGTCTGGGGTCTATGGACAGGCAGTCGCTCCACCAGTAACCCTGTCGACGGATCACTTGTGCTTGGAGGCTATGACAAGACTCGATACAAGGGAGAGTTTACCAAGTTCGACTCAGAACCCAAGTGCGAATTTTGCGTTATCGTTACCGATTTGATGTACGAAACTGAGGATGCGTCAGTATCATTATTCTCAAATGCTTCCGAAACTCTCCAAGTTGCCCTCCAACCTTCAACTCGTGTTCTGTACGTGCCACAGAATGTATGGGAGAACTTCCGGGACGCGTCCGGTGGCATCTACGATGCGGGCTATCTCAACTACTATGGCACAAACCCACCCAAAGGCAACATCTCCATCACTCTTCAAAATGGTTACAAGACGACAATTCCTACCGAAGAACTGTTCTACTACCCCCGCGGCTACAATGATGAGGGCAAATACGATATCAAGAACAACACTTATCAGATCGGCCTTTTGATGAACCAAACCAACGACGGATACGTCATGGACTGGGGTATCCCGTTCTTGACCATGAACTACATCATCGCCGATTACACTCGATCCCAATTCAAGATGGCTGAAGCAATTCGTACAAATTTCGAGAACCAAGGCGGCGGCTACGCTCTCTCGGCCTCGTGCGATCCTACCACGTCATCCACTGCATCAGCGACAGCCACCAACATCCCAGCAGTGACTTCGTCGGTTTCACCAGCGACTGGAGAGAAAGCGGATCACACCAAAGCCATTATCGGTGGCGTCGTGGGTGGCATTCTGGGTCTGATTGCGGTCGTCGGAGGCCTGGGATTTCTCTTCTGGCGTCATCGGAGAAGACATCAAGCTGCTGTCCTGAACGGCAACAATAACAATCCCGCGTACGGTCAAGGAACCCCCCAAACACCTGCCATGTCCTATGCGAACACCGTCACGGGACGATACTCACACTGGACGGCGATGAGCCCCACCGAGAACGCAACTTCCGAATTGGGTGATACACAAAAAGCCGGGCCAAATGTGTCTGTAAATCAATGGTTGTCAAGCCAAGATAGCGACGTAAGTGGAGCTCTATGCGGATGGCCCCAGACCGATGCTAACATTGAACGTGACAACAGACCCAGACGGTGACTTCTGACCCATTCTCTCCCAACATGAATCGCAACACCCAGTATACTGCGTCGCCTGTGCCACCTGCGCCAAATATGGACCGTCCGTTTGAGATGCCCGCACAACCCTGGGATACAAAGTAAACTCCTCCGAGCGGGCAGCCAGCAATTCCCGGCAACGATGACTCGATGATGCTCTTCGACTTGTTCATGCAAACCCTCTCCCAAAGCCAGTTGAAGTCACGAATCAACCGCGAGATTGCTACTTTTTGAACTAACGCCCCTCTCCCAACCCGCTCGCCCACATCGGACATCTTATGATTCACGACTCGCATATTCCAAGTTCTCAACATGTTGTAGCCTGGTTCGGCCATTTTGGGTGATTTTTATTGTGTTAACCTATCCGATCATCCTCCACCACTTCCACTACGTATTACTTCTCTCTCTCTCGTCGTCACCAGATACCACCTACCCACTTGGAATAATACAATGGAGTACTGGAAAGCATCGGAGGAGGGAAACGAAAGCGATCTCGGCCATTCGCGCGTGGACTCCGACCTTGGGGTCCGAAGGAGGGAGTGCAGTACTGCGCATCATTCCCACCGCCATTCTCACCCGCTACCGTCTTATCTTATGGTTATGTTTATTTATTATTGTGTACTCAAGGAGAAGCGAAAGCGCTATGCCATGCTATGTATTCTATATATGTCTCTGTTGTAGAAAGGCGGCGAGGTTTTAGATGAAACATTTCCGCATCTGGCGCACAAAATGTGTCCCGTCCATCCCATCGGCTTTCCATCGCGAACCTCCGACCGTAGCATGTTTTTGTACCTTGGTATCCTGGGCAAACCACCTTGCAGTCTTCAATCTGAGCCCATCTAGGCATGCATGTGGCAAGCAAGAAATGTATTTCAGTCCCTTCGGTCACCGGGGCCTTCGCCCCCCCAAATCAACCGTACTCGGTGCCTGACACACGAGAGCATTCCATCTTGTGGGAATCTATCTGAAGGGCCTCCCTCCAGAGGCTTCCTGGCAAGCAGCTGTGTACATACCCCAGACGCCACACATAGGGTGCAATTCATTAAAGAGAAGAGAGAGGAGCGAGGCGAAGTGTGCGCCGCACTGTGACTGGCTTCTGAAGAGCTAGATTCATCTCCTGGTCTCTGCTCCAGGCAAGCAATCGCCGCAAGTATGATTCCGTATACGCCTGTGCATGTGATCTGCTCGCCGCGATGGGCCCAAAAGGTTTATCTCCATCAATCCGATCTCAGGGTTATGAAGTTGGGGTGGGGGGGGGGGTATACAGAAGCCAGGGCCTCGGGCATACAATTGCCATCCTTTCCTTTCAAAAGACAAAAAAGACTCTCGCACCTGCAAGCCGCGAGGAGGTGAAGAATGGAAGGTCTCTACCTCGCGCATCCATCAAATCTTCCTCCTCAACCTGAGCCTCCCGGGCATAGCGTTGGCAGGATTCGCCGCACCACTGAGGACCTGGTACGCGGCGTGGCCCTCGATAGTGCGCCTCTTCGCACCTGGGATGCCGTCGGCGTATTCATCAACCGTCTCGATCGGCGTCCAGGAGTCAATCTTCTTGCCGTCGAACTCCGCGGTGAAGTCGACCTCCTTGACAATACAAGCCAACAAGATGCGAGACTCCATCATGGCCAGCTCCTGGCCGATGCAGTTGCGGGGCCCCTTTTCGAACGGCCGCCAGGCGTCCTTGCCCGCAGGCGTGAAGAGCTTCGCGTCCGGGAAGGGGGTCTCGGCCGGCAAAAACCGCTCGGGAATGAACTTCACGGGCTCGGGGAAGTACGCTTCGTTGCGGTGGATCATGTGGGCGACAGGCCAGGCGTCGAAGCCGCGGATCGGGTAGGAGCGCCCGGTCTTGGGGTCCGCGATGAAGAAGTCCTTGACACCGTCGTCAGACGAGAGCACCCGGAGCGTCGACGCGGGCGGGAAGATTCGCAGCGTTTCTTTGAGCACGGCGTTCAGGTACTCGAGCTTGTTGATCGAGTGTGGCTGCGCCCGGATCTCCGCGGCGATTTGTTCGGGCGTGCAGTCCTCCCCGAACACCGAGTCGAGCTCCGTGGCGACGCGCTTCTGCACGGCCGGGTGCAGGTGCAGCAGGTACATGGTGTAGGAGATGGTCGCGGACGTTGTGTCGTGGCCCGCGAAGATGAACGTCTTGAGGCTGTCGACCAGGGTGTCTTTGAAAGCGGCGCTGAAGCTGGCTGTTTGGGTTGTTGATGCGGGATTTTCTCTCTCGTACGCGTCGAGTGCGAGGTCGAGAATGCTGCGTCGTCGTTCCTTGGATGAGACGGGCTTGCTTGCGTGGCCGTTGGTTTGGGCCTGAGCCGCGCTACTTCGAGCGGCTATTTCCCTGTCGACCTCCTTGCCAATCAATCTATTGAGCTTGCGTGTGTTCCACCATAGCTGGAAGGGTCGAAGGGGATTGAGGTCATCCAATGGCCCTATGCTCGTGGCGGGCAGTAACACAATCTGACGGCGAAATGTCTCGACGATGGGATGAGGCCTGATCTGGGAGTTGAAATCCGTATCCATGGCCACCTTTCCGATGATGTCGATAGCATATCTCGTCGCCATCTTGTCCAGCTGAAACAGCTCGTTGGTCTTGGCCTTCTCACGGCAGGCGTTGACGAAAATCAGAGTGGAATCGAGCATGTACGGTACCAAGGACATCAAATGGCTCGCTGCGAAGCCAGGGTTGAAGATGGACCGCAGCATCTTCCATTTCGGCCCGTCGATGGACACCATGTTGTCCTTGCCGAGAAGTTTGTTGACATATGAGGATGTCAGGGTAGACTTGGGTAGTGATTGACCCGTGGTGATGTATTTCGAGCTTAGCTCAGGGTCGGCGACGAATATCCATTGCGGTCCAAATGGCCACCAGTCAAGGTAGAAAACATCTGTACGTCGGCAAAATCAGAATGAGAGTAACTGAAGCCCTGAGCGAACTGCAGCGCAGAAGATAACTCGCCCAGACGAGAAGTTGAGTTTTTGGGATCTTGACTGGGCGCTTTGTTGAAGGATAGCGATGCTCAGGTCCAACCACATGAAGAATCAAGGAAGGCTTACCTCCAAGATCGTACTTTTTCCGAATATAATGCACCCAGTTCTGAACATGGACAGATGGCGGGAATAGTTTCTGGCATTCACCTGCAATCTGGAGATGACCCCAGAGCCTGCTCGATGGTGGTTGAGGCTGCAAAAGTTGTGTGTCATTAGCATGTGCTTTTTCTTCTCTTTCAAATCCGACTGTTTGAATGAATTAGGCGGGGGATCTTTACCAGTCCGTCGAATTTCCGCCTTTGCTTGAAGAGTAAATTTATGAAGTACGCAATGCCCGCTGCGAGGAGCGCCAGCACGACTGAAGCCACCGTCCACATTGCGTTGCGGCCTCAACACTCAGTCGCTGGATCTGGACAAACAAAGTTCTAGAAAGAAAGGGCAAGATGGAAAAGAAAGACCGTCTTACGAGCCCTCAAGGGCGCCGACATGGGGATAATAAGTACAAAGAGTCTATGGTCCAGGAGGGGCGGGTATAGCAAGTGCCACTGTCTTTAATTTTGGTAGATATTCACGGCTTGAAGGGATAACGAATGTATGCTTGTGCCAATCAGGCAGCTCGACTAGGGATAACCCTCGCTTACTCGTAATCCTGTCGGTGGCATGCAGACCTGCTTGAACCGAAACCGAGACTTCGTCTTCGCTTTTAGCGGCAAAATGGGCGCTGGGGAGACGAAACCGAGTTGCCAAATTGCAGGGCGAGACGTCAGCGTCCGACGTCTGAAATACCCGTACGGGGGCCAGCAAGATGGGTACGGAGTACGTGCGGAGTATGGAGGACCGCGCATGGAAGCGCTGCAGGGGCAGTATTCTTGGGAGACGAGGCTAAGCTTTCTAGTACGATGACTGTCAGAAAATCTTGGTACTCCGTATTATACTTGTCATTACCGCCTGAACGTTCATAAAAACGAAACACCAACCTGCAACTTTTGAGAAAAGAATCCTGTGGGTTCCTCATGTCAGCACTGCCAACAACGGCGCCGTCATAGTGGAAAACGTGATTCCATATCCCCGAGCCCGGGAAGGTCTAGGTTGGGCTCAGAATGCTACTATGTTTGGTACTCGTAAGGTACGGAATACCTACTTAGCCTTGGCCCTCACCCTCCATTGCCCGTCAAACGTTGGCGTGATGTGCTTGTAGTTTAAGGCCTCCCACAAGCTTAACATGGACTCACCAACACCGGCAAAAGGCTCTAGACCCTGCAGGACAAAGTACGAAAACGCCTCGCCAGAGCGGAGGAAGCCGCTGCAACATGGCATTGAGGGTGTTGCGCGGTTCTTCTCAAGGCTTCAGATAAGCGAGGACTTCTGTACGACGTGTCGTAGCCCAGAGCAGAAGCTGCCGCACATGTCGATAATCAATAGCCATGTACAGAGTCCTCCGTACGGAGTACTCAGACAGGAGTAGGAAATGGATACATCCTGGCAAATGACCAACCCCAGACTAACCTCAATGTCCTGGTGCAGCGACCTGGAAGCCAGGAATGGTCAGACCTTGGGCGAGGCTACGAAAAATGGCTTTCTCGGAACAGGACGTTCACTCCATGGCTATGGCGAGTCCCTCCGATCCCTCGGATTCTGTTGCGAGGAGGCTAGACTGGGCGTAGCCACAGCTTTCAAAGCGCCTGCTCAATCCGTCTGCTGCGCTCGATGTGGCTGTCGCGTTCTCAATGTTCAGCTGCAAATCCGCCAGATGAAGACAGACGGTAGACCGTTCACATGGGCGTAAGCTCACGTCATTTGAGCTGCAGTCTTTCAATTACATAAGTCCCCCTTGTAGCGCCTTCCTGGCAAGATTGGTCCCACCCGCCACAACGATCCCAATCGGTAATGCCGCAGCTCCAAGCGTTCCAGCCAAAGCACCCGTCGCACCGTGGCTCTGCAATGTAGTTAGCAAATATGCATCCTGCAGGGACGCCTGCTCCGTAAACAGAGGCTTGCACTCCCGCCGCGATTGAACCAGCTTGAACACCTGCAGCGCAGAAGCCGAGCGCAGGTAGTATGTAGGTTGTGCCGATCGCGGCAAGGGTACCTGTGCCGGCAGCGATAGCTGAGCAGAAGTAAGCTAGAAGTCAACATCATGTCCGGGAGATAACACCTGGACCAGCGTAGCTTTGAGCCATTATAACCTCGTTGCGATGATACTCCGCACAGGAGAAGGATCCATGGGCGTGACAGGGTACCGTTGCGCCTCTCCAAAGGCCAAACAACCTGGCTCGGCGGCTCGGCGGGGTGGGTGCTTGTGCTACGAGTGCTGCTGCGTCTCATTTGGGCAAGTTAAGCGAGCATCAAGTGGATGACTGAGGTCTCTGCCTATTACCTCGTTCGAGTTTATATAAAATTTTACCAGGCAAATGATGACAACGAGCCCCTCTCCTATGAGTCCGAATCGTTCTCAATGCTAAAGCATTTGCACATTTGATCTCTCATGGATGAAGACTTTTTGCGGCCGTGGCGCGTCTTAGCATTCATATTTCGTTAGCGCTGTCACATATGTCGAGTTAGTACGCACTAAAAGCGGATCTTGGCGCGAACAGCTCCCCTCAAGCCTACAGTATTTTTGTGTTCAAACAGGCGGACCGCGAAACAGAGCGTCCTCGATTCCCTATACTCATACTAGTCATCGAGAGGATGATCTCGAAGTGTTGTCCGCTTGACACCTCCCTCGAGGCCAGTGTATTGGTACACTGCGGCAGGTGTCATCGACGTGCGACTCAAATCCTCTATTGAACTCATGACGCCCAATCTTGCACACTCTCAGCCGAAGTGTGCTCGCCGATGGACATCTCAAAGCCTTAACTGGGGCAATTTTGTCTTTCTTGTCTAGCGGATAAGACGCAACCACGTCGTTGCCCACAGCCTCGCCTCGCAAATTGACCATGTTTCCCTTCACATGTCCTGCACAAATGAGGCTGAGGCCGCGGAAGTCTCGTCCGGAGCAACCGAAACTAGAAGTGAGCAGGAGCAACCTGCACTTATCAGCAATGTACGGGTGTGCGCTATTGCAGAGAAATACAACATTACATCCCTAAAGAGCCTCGCACAGGCAAGGTTCTGTATTTGGGCCGAAAGGAATTGGACTCATCAAGACTTTCACGATATAGTGAGAGACGTATTCCAGTCGACTCCGGAGAGCGACCGAGGTCTTCGGGACATCATTGTCCACAGCGTGGCTAAGCACGCCCAAAAATCTTGCTTAAAAACGGAATTCTACAATGTCATTCGAGAAAATGGTGAGCTGGGACTAGGTACACTGCGCCAGGTATTGGCCTCGCACTCTGAAGATTGGTCAGACATGAAATTGAGACCCAGAGCTATAAACTGAAGCTGAGGAGCTGAAAGCGTGGATTAAGCAGCATGAACAAAGGCTAAGCAGCCAAGTAAACGGACCAAATTCGACGTTTAGCAAGATCAGCGTCCTTGATAAATGTCGACATTGCCAAAAGGCACTTAATGTGTGCGTCGAAGACACCTATGGGGTGGCGCGGTAGTTCGATGCAAAAGTTGTCGAACCACGCATTATCAGAGTCAGACAGACCCCTTCTCCTTCGAGCCAAACTGTGTCAAGCACCGCCGAGTCTGAGTCTTGCGGGGACAGTGTCGAATTAAGTTCTGTTTCCTCTTTCACTTCCACTCTCATTGATGACGGAGCTGCCCATTCGACCGACAAATTCTGCTCTCGAAACGAAAATCCCGCTCGGATCCCAGCAGGTATGTTTGTGAGCTCCCTTTGATGCGTTTCCGGAGTTCGTGTAGTAGCTTGCCTTGCGGAACGTAGAACCTCTGAGTTGTTGCCGGTTTCTAGTGCAGATCGTCATTTGGTAGCCATCTAACATCTGTAGAAACCCAGAGATGTCGCTGTCCATTCATTTAAGCGCTGCCCAATCACAAATATATGGTCTTACCCCTTCGGACTAGGCGGGGTCACTGTCCTCCTCAGGTGGCTACGGTCGGGGTTCTGTCAAGCAGATCTCTTGCACGCCAACGAAGCGAACGCTCGTACATCTTAAGAGCTTAGCCCGGTCTGGTCATGTCAAAATTTGTTTCGATTAAACTACTTTTCAATCTCAACAGTTCTGTTGCGGACCGTACGTGTGCTACAGGGCTGTGAATTGAGGATCTCGGAGTATGTTACTGCGTGTTAGGAGTGGAGCCGCTCTCTCCACAGGCTTAATCAGGCGAAAGACCCGCAGGCGGACCAGCCACATCACGCGTAGTCTCTGGGAGCAATACGCGTATCCACATGATGAAGAGGGTTCGGCTCAATTACGGCCGAGTGAAGAAAGGATTTATTTACGAGTAAAACAGTAGGTACGGAGTACAGAGTATTGATGCTTCTCTTTGATCCCGCAAGCTAAACCTTTCCGATCCCATGCTGGATGATCTCCGCAAACAACATACCGTTTCCCCATATCTGACTCCACGACTGACGGAGCTAGGAAAATTGTACACTATGCTCGTGGGGACAGACATCGTGCTGTCGTGTCGGTACGTCTTGGACCGCGTGGGTATGACAGACTTCAACGTTGGCGATGAGGAGTGCATATACCAGGCGAATGAGGCTTAGTTGATTAACACTCAAGGCCTTTGCGTCAGTCTTCAATTGTTGATATTCAGAAGCCGAAGGTCGGAGCTTCGACCCTCGTCCCAAACTTGTAGCCCGCTGTAGGACAAGGTCAACACCAGCAGAACTGACGCTTCCACAACCATCAGCATGGCTCAAGCTCTGTACCAACTGGGAACAGCTGCTGCCATCGTCCACCACGCTTTGGCTGCAAGCAGATCATGCGGTCTTCCGTCGTCAATGCCTACAACAGCCGTTAAATTGGATTCCACCCCTATAGGACCTTCGTGCGTTGGCCCTTCGAGTTCCCGCACCAAATATTTACCGAGCGCCATACATATTCGAGTTCTATATGTGGCCTTCCTACGTGTTGAGCATCACTCCGCCGCTGCTGTGTTTTGGACATTTCACCCGTTTGTATGGTCAGAAAATGCCTATCCGTATCGGAGGCACCACGCAAGATCGCGCCACCTACGATCCAGAATTCGACGGCTACGTCTCATACGACGACCCTGATCCACTAATTCCTCCAATGGGGCTCACATACGGCCCAAAGTTCTTTGACCTCATCCGTGAGCATCTCGGATGTCGTGCCACACGTCGAGGCTTTGCTAATGCTGGGTCCCTCCAACCTTACAGCCAGGTACGGTGCTGAGACAATGCTGGGTAAGTATTTTCGAAAGCAGCAGTCTTCCTGGGCACATGCAGTCTAATGTAGTTCGCCATAGGCTTCAACAGAGGTGACAATAACCACTCCAACACCTTTGCGGCTGTTCTGGAGGCAAAGGCACGAGCGGAGAAATACTTATCCACCATCGAGTTGGGTAATGAGCCTGATCGTGAGCTACCATCCATCTCGGAGATCAGTGCAGTCATGCTCACAAAGGAATCCAGTGTACTACCTGTAGTGGCAAAAGCCTGTCGCCGTGCCACCGTGGAATAAGTCCCAGGAAGGCGCTGATAATGCCGACTGGGCCCAGGATTTCATTAACACCTACAAGCCCAAATGGCCCATCCTTTCAGGCGGTGACTATGCTGTTTCCATCCCTCTTCAGCCCGGATGGCCCAACACCAACTACCTGATTGAGGAGGCCTACAATGCAACCATTAAGAAATACACCAAGTTCTACAACGGCCATTTATACGCTCTTTCCAACAGCACCATCCTTGCAGAGGAAATGGCACATAACAAGACTGTGGCTGACCTGCCCACCTTTGAAGACAAAATCGCGCTTGCTCATTCGGTTGCACGGCCCTACATACTGGGTGAGTATCTTCCCTATGGCCAATCAGGACTTTTGTGTTGACATGGTGCTTCAGGAGAGACGAACTTTCATGGAATTGATGAAGTGATGGATGCCAGCTTTGGCGCAGCGATCCAGACAGTGGACAAGAGCCTGAAAGCTGTTTCGATGGGGCTCAAGCATTTGTATTACCATCAGGGAACCATCAATCAGGGTAAGTTGCCCTAAACAAGCTGGGCATGTGAGCTAAGCACAGTCACAGCAAATTTCAACTTGTTCCTATCAAACCAAGTAAACACCCCCTTCTATGGCGGATACTTCTCTGTGCTAGCGCTAGCGGGCGGTGAGTACGTCTCTGCTTTTGATGTTGGTGATGATGCATACACCCAGTACGTTATCTACAAAGCCGGCAAGCCCAGCCGCATCGTCCTGATCAACGCCGGCTACTATTCGGGCTCCGGCACACGCTCGAGCGTCGTCTTCACTCTGACATGCCTGTCTGCCGTGGAAAACGCTTTTTTGCGGGCGCTGCGCTTGACGACTCCGTCCAGCGACTCAGTCACGACGCGTGAACAGCAAGATCCATTGCATGAGGTGTCGATTACCCGCCAGTTCTTCTCCAATGCGGATTGTTCGATTCTTGGCGATCATGTGGTAGAGGAAGTCACGGTGGTCGCGGATGGAATTGTTGAGGCGGAGTTGTTGGCTTCGGAGGCGCTGTTGGTCTATCTTCCCTGATCGTCGTGGGGCCTACGACCTGCTGTGTCTGGACTGCTCCGAGAGAAGACGCCATGATTGCTACAATTCGCCTGCTGTGTGGTTGATATATCTGTGTTCCTCCACTCCTAGCCTACAGTAATTATGGAGCTAGGTCGCTTAATTTCGGACATTTTCATCCTACATACTCTCATTTCACCTGGCTCTAGTACACCCTTCGGAATGCTGGGGGGAAATTTTGAAGAGAAAGGAAGTGTTACTTCTATCACCTTGTCATGGGATGATAGAAGGGTGTGCGATACAAGGCCATATATCCCTACCCAATCACAAACTTTCATACGTACAGAGAGACTTCTCACCATAGTGCGCCTGTATAACAGTCACAAAAGCAGAAAGAGGCATGCAACTGTTACTGAACAGAGATTGGTTGACTACACCTGCTTAGTACTCTAGCATAGCATTCTATCCCGATCGTCGCGCTTCACACCTGTCGCTTTCAGATGTTCATCCTTTCACCTTGAACAAAATCTGCAGCTTCGTCTCGGGGATTGCCATGGTCGCAATTAGCATTTCCTTGGGTGCCTCGCCAAGTCGTAACGACATATCGTAGCGCTGAATCAACTCAGCGAAAATCAGCTTCATCTCAGTCACAGCAAAGAATCGGCCCGGGCTATGATGCAAAGTGAACACAGCGTCAGCGATCCGCTTTACAACAATCAAGATTGTAGGGCAAGAAACAGGTACCCGGACAATACAGCTTGCGCACGGGATACGGCACACAAGCTCAGAATACTGACAATACAGCACCAAGGGTAAGGGAGAGAGGCCTACCAGGCATGCTTTCCGTGGCCGAAAACGTGGAGCTCTGGCGCTGTGCTGATCGCTTGATACGAGGCGGAGACGGTGTTGTCGGTAGTTCCGTCACGGATGCGAGCGAATCTGAAACCGTCGAACTCCTCTGGGTTCTTGTAGATTTTAGGATCTCGGTGGGCGAAGCGTGTTGGGCTGCCGATCTTGGCCCCGGCGGGGATCACGGTGCCGTCACTGAAGGTGAATGTCTTCTTGGCATTGCGTTGGATCGCAACTAGAATTAGAGGGCCGATGTTAGTCTTGAAGGAGGTAAAGGTAATAGGGATCGGACGGGCTGGACGAGGAATGTAGACTGGGAGCAGAGTGAGGGAAACAGTGCTTACGAAGACCGCTGTTGTTCAATCGAGCGGACTCGCGGAGAAAGCTGTCCATTTTGCGCAATTGGGTGAGACGATCTTTGGTCAAAGGACCTTCCTTCAGCACTTGTTCCAACTCTTGCCGTAACTCTGGCGTGTACTTCTCTGGCTCCGCTGCAAGTTTAAAGAGCGCACCCGTGAATGTCTGCGACGTAGGTTCAGTAGGACGAATTGATGCAAGAAACCACACAAAGCACTCACCATGGTCGTTGTGTGAATTGACGCAACATTCATCGACATGATCCGCTCCACCATATGCGGAATATTTCTCTCGATAGGAGGTGCCGCATCCATGAGCCACTGAAGGAGATCTTCGGGCTTCTTTCCTTGGTCAAAGTCTCCTTTCAGCCGCTTAGTCAATATTGGCTCCAGGAATTTGGTGGCTCTGCGCCGACAAGACCACACAGGCGTGAGTCGAATCACAATGTGCTTCATCCAGTTAGGGAAAGGCCTGACCAGCTCGGCCGAAAGAACAACGGCCTCGGCATAGTCGATCGCGGTGTTAAGGAAGACTGGGTCCTTGTGTAATCCATCCGAGACCGTTACTCGATTACTGGTACGCGCGACAACCATGGCCATTAGTCGATAGATGGTAAAGGGAGTCCATTCGGTAGGATATCCTATCAGATCATCCAAGCTGCTCTGTATCTCGGCCTGCATAGCTTCCAAATGTGTTTTGATACTTTGGGTCAGCTTTGTTCGCACGATCGGCGTGTGGTAGGTACGGTGAGCTACACCGTATCCCATCGTGAACGCTAATTGCTGTTGATCATTCGCCGCGTCTTGCATACTCAGCACATCATCCGGGGCTCGCAGATACTCGGCCACCTTGTCGCGGTCTGTGACGATAACACACTCGTCCTGGACAGTCGCAATTCGGAAATAGCCAGGCGCATACTTGGCGTAGCCTTCAGTCATTACACTGAGCGGACTCTTTGTGAATCGATATGCGGCCATCCATGAATCCAGTACTGGAATGACCCCAAATCCGACATCGGGCACTTTTGCCTACAGTGAAGGGTCAGCATAAAGCCTCTGTACGGTATTTTTGAGCGATATTTACTCGTTTTCGATGAGTTAGTATCCATTGTACAGACGTCCAAAAGACAGTCAAGTAAAGCAACAACTGCCAAACGGAGACCTGAAATATGGTCTGCATTACTTGAGTAGTATACTCGCCGTACTCGTAGCCGTTGTTGATCCCGCCGTTCAACACATTTGTCGTTTGATTTGTGGCCATGATTTCTGTGTATGAAATATGGCATAAGAGGTTCGCATAACTGGGCATATATCCAAGTGTGGTCACGGGAATAAGGGCTTTGGGAGGCAGCTAGGAAAGCTGACATCAGGCTCTCTTGGTCAGTCAATATGGTGATTATCAACGCTAATTTTTAGTCATGTTTGCGGCGGCGCCTTGCACTTCAGCCCCGCTCACCAGTTACTAAACTCATAGCGACGTTGTTGTTTCTACAACCTCTCTGACCCCAAAACCCACTGTTTTGACCAGGTCAAAGAATTTGCCGTCGTTATCTGCCACTGTTGTCCATTCCCTGGCGTCTGTTGCAATGTGGCGTGCGCCTGTATGTGGTTTGCATCTCGATATCGGATCTCAGCCACACAATCAAAGGAGGTAGGGAAAACCAAGGATAGTTATAAGTGTTGGATGTATTCTATCTTCTCGGTCTGATGGCATTCGGCGTCCGCATCCCGTCTTCACATACTTGATTAAAGACTTCTTGTAGACATCTCATGCCCTCAGATCGTGGAACATTCCCATTTCTTTATAAACCGCCTCTCTGTGTCACATGTTTTCGCGTTACCGATGGGCAAGTGGTTTGACAGTAGGGCATAAAGTCATCCACAGTTTATGTGCTTCTGATACTTCACAAAACTGTCACGACGCCTTATCTGTTCCGTCCATAAACCTGAAGTCCATCAAATGCTTCTCACCATTCTTGGGAAGCTGCACATCCTCTTCTCGCAACTCATTTTCACTCTCATACCCTAGGCAAGCGCCATACCAGTCCGTTTCACCTATGTCAACGGCGAACCCCCCTCGCCATGTTTTCCATTTCCCATTCTTCGGTGCTTCCACGTTACTCTCTCCAGCTTCCCACACATCGAGCCTTTGCCACCGCTCCACCAACATCCCTTGGCCCTTGAAATCAAAATGCCGTACCAACGGCCTCCCAGGCTCAAAAAGCTCTTGAATCGCCGTTATCACCGGTACGAACGCCTCTGCGGCCCAGAAGTCCCAATGATCCTGAATCCGCCGCCAGTCGAACATAAGAACCACTGTAGCGGGATCCGTGAGAGAGGTGCCCCAAGCCACGCGTCGGACTCCGACGCCGCCAGCAGAGTTCACCGCAAAATCCTTCTCGATGCGTCCCAGCGTTGCCGCTGAGGGCGGCATCTGTGCTGGTAGTAGCTTGAAGACAACGATCTCGGTCAGTGGGTTATCCAAGCTGGACGCAGGGGTGTGCTGTCGGAGCATTTGGGTGACGGCGGCCATGTCAGGAAGCTCAGCGGTAGCCATGTCGGGCGGCTGTCTAAACGGGACCTCGTGATGTCTTTTAAAGCACTTTTCTCCAACATGTGCCGGACGAAGGCCGGTGTAGGAAGCGAGCCTTGACTGCAGCGTCGTAAAGCAAACGCAACCTGATTGATGGCGCTTCATGTTTTCTTGTATTTAGCATCGATACACACGTGAATCATTCCGCTGTGCAAGGTCCTGAGTGCCTTGGGCTCATGTCAGCTTCGCTGATGTCAGTGTACCACACTTTAGTAAGTCCACTTGCGTCAAGCACCTACCTTTAGCACGTGCAGGGGCCTAGTCGAATACGCGTATTAAGACCAAGACCTGGTGCGATGGCCTTGGCAATGTGAAAGCAGCGACCGTGTCAATGGTCCTGGGCCAGGTGGGAAAGGCGGAGGGGCTCCGCTATGGAGTGCGGGGAGTTTTCCTCATCGGGTACAGCCGCAAGGCTCCGTCTACAGGGGTGCAGGATGGTTGTCACATCTAGCTTCCAGCGCCCGGAGTTGATATTTCACTTTGCGTCCTCGCCGACAGGAGCTAGAAACATTGACGTTGCCCTTGAGTCATGGGAAAACCCCCTTCACCCATTGATACGAAAATTGGTATTGTATACAGCAATGGCTGCTAGCTGCACCAGTACCGTCCAAGCTCACCGAATGTTGCTGGCTCCTGTTTATCATGGCCCCTTTTCTATTCGATCGTCCACGTCGTGTCCGCATTTCTCAAGTAAGGCGTTGTACCCTCCAGACTCCGCTCTGTCTCACCCTTGGTTCGCCCATTGCCCAGGAAAGCCCATGGGTCGTCATTGACATACATAGCGGATGTCATAATGCTCCCACCGCGGCGTCTTGATCGTTTTGAGGTAGTGCATAGACTGTGAATCAACTTAGCAAGGCCTTGTGGACTGAATACCAGCATTTCAAGCATACCGAACCACCCCAGCACATGACTTTTCCATTGACCGTGTTATTCTTGTACCAGCTCTTACACTCGCCTGTCCAGACACTGCCCTCTTGCCACTTATCCACATATCGATTCAACATGCGAGTCACATCGTCCTTGACACTCAACGAATGAATCTGCTCAGATTGGATTTTCTTTGCAGCTGCGATGGCATACTCGACCTGGGTTTCAAAACAAGGGAGGACAGTACCGTTGCACAGCGCTCCGCGAGGACCGTTCATGACCCAATAGTTGGGGAAACCCGGAGCCGCAATTCCTAAGTATGAGTTGGGGTGTGGCTGCCAGGCATCCTTCAGTCGCTGGCCATGAGTACCAACCAAGTCGAAATGTGGCGTCCATGCCATATCGAACCCGGTAGCGCAAATAATTACGTCAACCTCATGAAATGCGCCGTCTTCTGTGCACAGACCTTCCGGGACGACTGCAGTGATTTCAGCATAGACTGGATCAACATTTGATTTGATCAAAGCTTCAAGATAGCCATCACCAGGTGTGAGGCGCCTAAGAGGGTATTAGCGAACAAAAATTGTCCAGTGCGAGGCGATGTTCCCTTTACGTACCGGCAGCCCACGGGCCAGTCTGGAATCAACCGCTTGCATAGTTCTGGATTATCCTGTAGCCTTCGCTTCATGGCACTGACCATGTACTCTTTCGCTATCTGGGAGGCTTGAGAGTCCTTGTAAAATATGGCAAAGCCGACATTGATACCATGTTCGATCTGCTTGCGGTACTGGAGGTGGTACTCGGGGTCGTCGATGAAGCGCTGGACCTCTTCTGCCTTGTAATAAGCCTGAGAGACATCGGGATTGACTTCCTCATGGGAGCTTGTGGCTTTCGTTCCTTCAGTTAGCTCGACCGGAACTCGTGGCATTGGAGGTGATATCCATGTATTTGACCTGAATTGATTAGTAGCCAAGATCTTGCTTCAGGGCTGCTAGCTGACCTCATAAAGTATTTAATATTGCGCGAAACTGCCATCCGTTAGCGACGACGAAATACGGCGAGAAACATTTTGGACTACCTTGCTGCACTTGCGGCAAGATCTGGATAGCAGAAGATCCTGTGCCGAGGAGCGCGACTCTTTTATCCTTGAGGTCAACAGTGTCTTGTATCAGGTCAGCAGTTTTGCCCGTCCAAAAGTGGTGCAAGTTGAATACCATTCCACGCCGCGGAGTGCATCAGCGCTCCTTTGAAAGAATGCAGACCATCGATCTCTGGCCATCTCCAGCGGTTAAGGAATCCAGAGCCATTCATTAGAATATGCGCCCAGTCAGTTAGAATTTGGCCGTCGTGCTCAATCTTGACCTCCCATTGTCCCTTCTCCTCATGCCACGTAGCTCCTATTACCTTGTGCTCTAACTTGATATACTTGCGCAATTGGTACTTCTCACAGAAATCCATGAAGTATTGCTGAATTTCAGGTGCGTAAGCGTAGTATGACTTCCATTTTGGATTCGGTTCAAAAGTATAGGTATAAATATGTGCGGGCCTTCGGAATTAGCTCGATTCAGTTCAGGGCTCGTGGAGTCGAATTACACATCACAAGCACAACCCCAGTACCGGTCTATAAAGAGTCAGTGGTGGACCTAGGCTGTATCAGAGGCCATTTACTTTCGTACCACGTTCCACCAATTTCTGGATTCTTCTCATAGCAAACGAGCTCATAGTCTGTCAATTGTCGCTCCATTTTGAACGCTGCGCAAAGTCCTGTAGCTCCAGCACCGACGTGGATAATTCGCAGCTTTCGGGGCTGCGAATGCCACTGATCCAAGAGACCTGGATGCGGAGGTAGCTCTGACTGCTGCCCGTGACCATTGATCTCCGTTTCGCCCGTTGCTGTAGGACGGTGGCTGTTGACGGCAGCGAGTCCTTCAACACCGTTGATAGGGTTGATGACTTTCTCAGCATTGCCCGCGATTTCACCGTTCGCTTCAGTATCAGCCGTCATGTTCTATAGAAACTAGGAACGTGGGACCGTGGAGAGGCTAGTGCATTTGATTCGGAATGTTGGACTTGGAGATGAAGTGGTACCGGATAGAGTAGAAAAGAAGGCGTCTTATACTAAGATGTCCGAAGGTGAAATCTCTACGATTCCGAAAGAAACACAGAATGCCTCAATTATCATTTATATGTCAAAAGGAACTCGCACAACAACATGGAAATAAAGGTTGTTGTGGAGCAACACCGATTCTCGCTGTGATATGCTGACATCAATCAGCTTGAGTCAGCCATCTTCGCCGCCTCTAAAGCTGATCCTGATGATTAGAGAACGTCCAGCTCAAATTTACGGAACTACATGATTTCATCCACTGACCACGGTAACGAGATTGTACTCATACATAATCATACCATCATTCATGACAGGAAAACTTTCCTCAGCCCACTTAACGTTGACACAAGTATTTCACCGGCTATTGGTGTCTTGGCAGGCCTCGGACTAGTGATAGAAGGTCGGAGCGTCACTTTGTGGACAACAGCAGAAGCACACAACTGTCTGTCCAGCGCCCTTGAACCCGTAACTACGACGTGCATGTCGCGGCCAATTGCGCTCCACGGCGGTGAGAGGTCAAGGAACATGTCCCAAACTGAAGTTCCGGAACCAAAGGTTATCAATGGCCCCAGGCGCCATGTTCTAACAGATATATATCTTCATTTGGGCGCTGCAGTACTACGAAACCTTGTCTGGTATCTGAACGCTGGAGATGGCAAAGATTTCGACGAGATAATAACAGTACCAACGCCAGGGCTCGGAACAGGATACGTTCGAATCGCGATTTGCAAGCCCCCGGCCCCCGAAGCCGCTACAAATAGTCAAGAAAGACCACTGTTGCTGGTGCTTGAGGGTGGCGGCTTCATATTGGGCCAGCCGGAGGATGGGCAGAAGCATGACCGGAAGTTGGCAGATGAGGTGAGATCTCCGCTTTTCTCTCACGTTCACCGGCCTTGTATCGCAGGCTGTCTATTCTGCGCCCCAGGATCTGCGATCCGGCTAACTGAGCAGCTCGGTGCCATTGTCATCTCAATCGACTATGCAAAAGCGCCCAAATATCCATACCCACACGCACTGTTGCAAGTATATGCAGTCCTCCGATGGGCTTTCTCGCAGGACGCCGAAAAGCACGGCATCAAAGCTGATCCTCGCCGCGTCGCGATACATGGGAACTCGGCGGGTGGGAACCTGACTGCAGTCTTATCATTGCTGCTCTCGTTCTCAACAGGGCCATGCGCTCGGTTCCGGCAAGAGCTGCCTCCCAACTTCAAACAGGTGGCCCAAATTCTACTCTATCCCAGCACCGAGCAGTATCAGTCATATGCTGCACGATTCCAGCGGACTGATGCAAAAGCCAAGTCCCGAAGCCTTCCTGTCGGGGTCTGCGAGCTCATGGAAGATTCTTATATACCACCGTACATTGATCGGAACCAGATGTTTGTCGCTCCGTTGGCCACGCCCACAAAGCTGTTGAAAGATCTTCGACCGCCACCTGCACTCGTACTGACTGCCGGTCTGGATTGCCTCAAGGAGGAAGCCATGGCGTACGCGTATAAGCTTCGCGAGACGGGTGTGGGTGTTGATATTCATGAGTACTCCGATGCCATTCACGGCTTCTCCCACTATACCAGCGGGAAAGACTACAGGAAAGAGGATGTCGACGACTGTTGGAAGAGAATAACTGAGGCTTTGAGGACGTCGTTTTTGCCGTAAGCATAGCTTCAGCAGCGCTGGCTTATGTCACTTCTTCTAGGCTGCAATGCAACAGAGTTTGGGACTGCGTAATTCAGGAAGTGAATCCAGCGTTCGAATAGCGCGGGTATTTGCGCGTGAATTGATCATCTAGTGACCAGAATACCGTAGTTTGGGCTTGCTGCTCAATCGTGCCGAGCACGTCGTTACCCGAGAGGATACCGTGTATGCCCGTACTTGACCAATTCTGCGGAAGACTCTGTAATGCTGCAATCCCAATGGCTTCCGGGTCGGCGTCTGGCGTGTCATCCTCTATCAGCGCTTCGCGAAGTTTGGGCCTAGAGAGTGCGAATGGTGAGATGCCTGTGTTTGTAGTGATGATGCAACTCGAAAGAGGTGGCTGGCAGGACTTACCAAACTAGCATGCTGATGTACAAGCGGTGAGGCTTCCGGCACTCGAGCTCTGACGGACGCATGAACACCGGCACCATTCCATATGCTTCCCGAGAGCCCATGACGAGCCACTATAATTTGTTAATACGTACGAGAAGGGATGGTAAGGTCGTCCTGCTGCAACTTACGCGCACGAGCAGATACTGCACCCAGAAAATGGCGAGGAGCAGGTGCATGGGCATTGACCCATAACTGGTGATGAATTGGAAAAGTCGATAAGCCACAACATCTGGGGGTGGGTCGGCGAGCAACTTGTTCAGCGTCGGTTTACACCGAGTGAACATCCCGTTCATATGTTCCCTACGAGCCTCTGTTAAGAGGTTCATGAGGAATAGGTCGCCTCGTCCGGCGGGTGAGGCGCATTTGGGAAAATTCAGGAAGCTGAGCTGAGAGCTGGACGATAGAAGCAGATTCCAAGATGCAGGTATTACAGAGAGGGCTGAAGTGTTTTGTGTGGAGTCCTCACTTATCAGGTCAGTCCACACCGTCACTGGAGCCGATTCATTGTGGGAGACGAAGGCCATGCTATCGGCCATAGTGCCTGTGAAGTCGATTGTCTCAGTGACGCAAGCATCCATAGACATTTCGACGTTGCTGCCCGCAGTATTTCCGGATGGAATAGAGGATGGCATTTCCCCGTCGTGGACAAATGCTGTGTGGCTACCGTCATGTTTGCGGTAGTCGAAAACTCTTTCAAGATATGAATCCTGGCGACAAGAGGTCAGAAGACGGGTCTTCATGACGGACTGAAAGACTCACAAGGGCTTCGTAGCAGTTACCATCATCTTTCTCATGAACGCCTTGGGTGTGTTCCACCGGGTCAATAATATCTTGCCAGGGTTCGACGACACTATGCCCCTGTATCTGAAGGCATTCGGCATCAAGATTGTATCTCGAAGATCCTAATGATTCCGAAAGGCGACCAGCAGCAGCGCTTGCCTCGTCTCTATCCAGCACGGCTCGAACAGCATCAAGAATCCTGGTTAACTTGGCACATCTCTCACGCAAACGCTTCTGCTCTTCTAGAAGAGTAGCTATGCGTTCCTCGGATGAATGTCTGTCACTGAGATCCTTGACGGTATCCTCTAGCTGCTTGACGTATGCCTTGCGCCTTTGCCTGTGATGCTGTTGCGCACGCCGATCTGTAGCACGCTTCCGTGCTTTGCGCGAGTCTCCAGACTCATCGTAGGAGGTCCTCGATCCCTTAGTCCCAGCCATGGCCCAAAATTTAGCGACGACAATGTTCGATTATTTTCAGGTTTCAAAATAGCAAGGAAGGAGTTTCACCCTTGCACCGTGTTCTGACCCAAGTTGTGAAAGGGTGCTTCGGTTGACGGAGGGCCGAAAGTAATGGATCTGCACAAGCGTTCTGTGTTCTGGGTTGGGCACAAGACTGACCGAGGCCATTGTTTCCCCCCCATTTCACCAACTCCGCATTCTGCTGGCATGAATTACGAAGACAGGGTGCAGTCGAGACAATTGCGCCGCTCCACTTGGTGCGATTAATTATGTAAAGTAGATAACCCGTGCAGCAGGCTAACAACTTGGCAGGGCCGCGATGGCAGGCCAGTGAAGACCTGGGCTCCGCAGTGTGGTACCACAACGGACTCATGATAGGGGGAGGAGACGACTCTCCTGCGCCTGTAGCTAAACGCACGTATAACTACAGTAGTCTTCTTACCAGTCTTAGACCGACGCCCGATCCCGTACTTCGTTCGTACATAGGTAGTTTTATGCGACAACTATGTCCTCCATCCCCCCAGGTCTCATAAGTAGCTCGCAGCTTTGCTCCTCTTCGGCTCATTTTCTGCTTCCTGAGCGATCACTGAGCACTCCCTGACCTTTTTTGTCTTTCCTCTTCCTCTCGAATTCATGACACTTACTTTCGTTATCTTTAGATGATGGGACCCGTTTGAGATGCTGCGGGGGCGCAACCCGGCTTCCCATCTGATATCTGTTGACATGGGAGTAGGCATCTGTTGTCCAAATCGATCAATTCGAGTGCTCTGAATTTCTCGAAGTCCTTGGGTTTTCTATCTGGTCTTACATCCATGTATTCTGGAGCAAAACGAGTGTCTCGCAGAGAGTTTCTGCGTTTCTAAGCATTTGGAATCATGAAAACACAATGATATCGGTGGAACGATGATCTTGATGATCTTGATGCCTAACGAAGTCGACAGCGACCCATGTGGCGAAATAGTACCCCTGATCAACAGCATCGCTTGCGATAGGCAAAGAGATTTTGATCTTGCTACTTTGATGCACTATAAAGTACAAAACGAAAGGCAAAGAGCTCGAAGGGTGATTCGGGAATACATCGACGACCCTGTCGCAGCAATTCCTTTTAGAGCCTCGTTGTTCAAGGGCACTCAACCACGCTCGTTGGGCATCAAGACCGTCGAGATCGACCTTCTATTGATGTAATTAATTGTTTCACGATTCCAAATGCTTAGGAATGCAGAAACTCTCTGCGAGACACTCGCTTGCTCCAGAATACATGTATATAAGATTAGATAGAAAACCCAAAAACCTCGAGCCCCTTGGAGAGCATCAGAGCATCAATATTGAGCCAATTTGACAACAGGGTCTCTTTCGAGATCTATATACCTTTCTAAGCTCGGCATTCCTCCTTTTAATTCAATAGCCGAGACCCTTCGAATTTTAGAATGGGGTGTTTGGTATAGCTAAACCGCTAGGTACTGAGGTCTTGAGTCGAGCACATCATGAAGCGGGGGGTGGGGGGGTTCGCGTTTGCTATAACTGTAGTTACGTTTACAGCTGCGGAGTGGTCGTTCAGGCTTCTCGAGTGCAGGGCTCGACTTTCCATCCGAATAGAATACACACAGAAATCAGAAACAACAGAATATGATATGAAAGAGACGTTGACGATTCTCCACGTAATACTTGACTCTCACGCACGCTCTTCCCGATTGTGTATCTTCTGCATCCTCCCCCTCCCTCAAAATAAGAACTTGAAATAACGAAATGCAGCTTGATGTCCAATAGATCCTATTTCTGTCAGTCGCTCCCCTCGTCCTCTTCAGGAGCAGGGACTCGGAGGTTTATACCTATCTGGCTATCAAAATGGATGTAGTGCAAGTACAGTAACTTCCGGCATGCTGCGAATGTCGTGGTGGCAAATCCACAAGGCTCCACAAGGCCCTACAAGAGCTGTAGGTTCAACACAGCTTTTCCTCTCTCCCACTAGCTCCCTTTTCGCATCTGGATTCTCAGCCTTGCTCAGCTTCGCCGTCATTGCGGGGCAGCTCGTGTACCTCATTACACTGCAACAGAAGTGTCTTAAAGAGGACGCAAAGGCTTCAGTGATCGTAAACAAGGGCTTTGAGGCTCGACCAGAGCCTCGCACGTGCTTCCAAGAGGCTGAGCAAGGCTGTATGGGTCTGAACCATAACAGCTATCAGCAGTCACTTTATCCGCAATAGCCTCAGTGGTCGCAGATGGGGAGAAACATCAGTCGCCTGGACAAGGAGGATTTGAAGAGCTTGTGGAGCATCTACTGGAAGGTTCCCTGAATGCACACTGCCTCGATGAACACGCACGCGGAATATAGAGAAGGAGAACATTACTAGACTCCTCAGGCGGCTCTGTTGCACATTGATCGGCATCAACCCGGGGTGCATGGAGAATCAGTAGCGCCTGTTGGTGTATCAGAACGCGTCTATTTTGATCGGATGACGGCTCCACATTGGCATTGGATGTGCTCTGTTTACGATGTCGCACGGGATTTTGTGAAGCAAAGATGTTGTATTGAGGCGCTTTGAGCAGCACACCAAGCTACAAGAGGGATCCCACTCCGGCTCCTTTGGTGACTGATCAAAACTGTCTCTCGGTTACAAGAGCATGTCATGGTCTAGACCAAGTTGGTGCCACCCTACACTCACCCGAATTGCAAGAGCCAGATCAGAAAAAGGTCCTTCTCTGCCATCTCTAGTCTCAAGTAATTTAGGTCTCGTTTCGGGGCCTCGGTATCGAAGGACTTCTTGACGTATGTTGGTTGGAGGAATTCTGGGTTCACCTATTAAAGATGAGAACTATAAAGTCCAGAACTAGTTTAGGAACTTGTGTGAACAGGCTTAATTGTAGAGTAACAAGGGACACCCACATGTTCCTCTTCCTTCTCGAGGTTTCCCTTTTCTCACCACGGGGTCCATCCATAACGCAGTTCTGCGGTGCTCTTTTAACCACGGCTCAACCCAAGCACATAGTGGATGCTCGCGAAATTAGCGATACCACCTTTAGAATATCACTCTATCACACTTCCGATGCATCAGTCAAGCGAGTGGCGGGAATCATCGCGATTCAGGCAGGCGTCTGTCACAAAGGATCAAGACTGCATGCACGTTTCGGCAGATGAATCAGCACTACGGCAGCCACATCACGCGCGATCGCTTCTAAGCGAATTCATAGGGAACCTCTCGCACGATCATCAGCACAGTTGGTTGTCTTTCACAAGCGCGTACATAGGTATTGCTCAGTGGCTCGAGAAAGGTGCTAAGCAAAGGAAGAGGCAGCTCTCTGGATTGGTAGCAGACCGGGAATTTGGGGTCGAAAGGTGCCCAATTCGACATCTGAGGGTAGCCCAGGAACCTTTGCAACAAGGAGGAGACCTACGCTTCGTGCACTACAAACGAGCCAGTCCCCTCGAGGTATCTTTGGATGAGCGCAGAATTGAGGCACCTATTGGAGGCCTAGATGCCATCTGTTCCGAGCTCTTGTCTATGGGGAGGTGCTGGTTCGGATGCAAACCCTCCAGTTCCGCTCGATATAGTTTCGATGCGGCAGCCCAGGAGTCTAATTCGATCGACGGATTGCGCGATACGCAAGATTTGCTCTATTAACTGTACTATTCGTCAGATGCATACCGTTGCCGCCGTGGAGGAGACTGGGCATCGTTAATTTTTGCCGCATTTCCCATGCACAAGCTTATTCGGGGATGGCACGGTCCGTGATTAGTGAAAACTGAGTGCCCCATCAGTTCGTGCCATGGCCTTAGACCAACTGTAGAACGCCGATATGAGACAAATCTGTTACTGGACGAGAGCCAGGTGTACAGGTTCAACAGCACAGATGTTGGAAAGGATGCATACCCAGGGTGAGAGGCACACATCGTCAGCTTGTGTGCCCAGCGCCTAAACGACGACTGTGATTGCTACCCCTCCCGTGGCTTGCCTCATCCTTCTTTTATCCAACGACTTGCTTGCGCCTCCCGATGCAGCGCCTCCCGCAGTACTCTCACATGTATCTATAGACTGGCACACCGTGCCGCAGCATGTCCTGCAACCCACCATGACCATCTCCTCTGCGTAGTGATGTCCTTCCACTGGCTGCGCATCTCTTTTTCATTGATCTAGGCCATGTGTTTAAGAAACTCAGACACTTGAGAGCTTTGCATGCCGTCATCAAATAGCAAGGACAAGCAGCGCATGAAGGTTAGTCCAAGCCATAGCAATCATCTTTGGGTGAGTAATCCCTCTTCTGACCTTTGCGGCCAGCGACAGAGCTCAGCCTCTGATCAGCGACCTCACACCAGAGCGTTTGCCAAACTTCATGGGCTGAGTGTCAAAGTTTTCACACTTGAGGACCTCGACGACGTCTCGCGCAAAACCCGCTCGCGAAAAATCTCAAAGCCTCCAAAACAGTCGACAATCAGGTCGAGTGCCTCGTTGCCGCCGTCATCAAAGGATAATCGAGCCGCGAAGACTACTCTGCAGCCACCGGTGACGTCGAATACACGCCAAACTCGATCAACCAAGAGCAAGGAGAAACATTCGCTTGAGGTTTTGGGTGGAACTGACGCTCGCAGCTTACGGTCACCAAAGCGGCAGTCTCCGACGGCACGTCAGGGTCCAAAAACTCAGCCTCAATCGAGGGAGCTTCCCATTTCATTGAGCCGTCCTGGAACAGGGTTGGAGCAGGCGACTGGCACAGAGAAACGGGTGAGAAAATATATGAGCTTGATATGGTAATGGAGCTGACAGGCGATAGGACAACGTCTCGGTCTGGCTAAACTTAGTCAGCCCCGACACGGTACAGACTTCTCACGATTTCACGGAGACAGACGTTGATTCACACATTGCATCCGTGTCAGACTCAGGAGACATGGAATCTTCAAGCTCATATGTCACTAGCACCAGTGCCGCTACTGAAAATGCAACAACTACGAAGGCTAGCACGGTCCGCCATATCGATTTCATGGAACACTTGGAATTCCGAGGCATCACAGATAAATCTTCAGGTGACGGAAAGCTTCAAGAACTCGGTCTAGACAAGATTGTCGATGCGACGCCTTCACACGTCGAATTTGGGAAGTTTGAAAGTCTCCTCAGGGTACTGGAAGACTACCTTAAGAAGTTCCGGAAGTCAGTGAAGGATCAGTCTTCCGAGAATGGTCTCCCCGTTTATGATGCTTTGAGGCATGAGATAAGTCACTGGAGGCCTGACATAGGGGATTACAGGCGGTTTCCCCCAATGTCTCCCCAGGACTTTGAATGGGACCAAATACAATGCTCTACTTCGAGTGAGGCCGATTTCCACAGAACCATCATGATCTCCATTATAGATCGCCTCGATTTTCGCGGTGTTTTCACGTTCAGCTGCGAGGAACAATGGCGCATTGAGAAGAAGCTTTTGATAAAAGCAACAAAGGATAGCAGCAAGATCACGCAGCCGAAACCCGACCTTGCCATATCGTTTCATCGAGATGCCTTCATAGAGTCGACACTCCTCGAGTATCCCATCGAGCTCGGGAATTGCCTGCATCCGGGCAAGAGAGGACGTGAGCGATGGTTTCCATTCCTCTTCATGGAAGCCAAAAGGGAGGATAGCTCGCTCCGTGCCGCGTTCGAGAAGAATCTGTACAGCACCAGCCAGGCGCTCTTCAATATCTTCCAGTGGATGCGCCAAGTTCCCCGGCTCCTCGAGAAATTTTTCAAAGATGTTCGGACGTTCAGCATAGTTCTTAACAACGAAGACATGGTGTTGAGAATGCATCGCGCCGAACGAAATAAAGACGATCGCCTTAGGTACCATTTCACGGAAGTGGCCAGAATCCGAAATTACAGCCGCGATGCCGCCTGCCACATGGTCAAGAGTGTGTTATTAGACTACGCGTTGCGACATCTACACCCCATCCTGAAAGAAACCTTCCAGAGTGTTGCCGGGTTGGATCACTTGAGAGAGAGTGGAGCAAAGCGCAAGCAGGACCTCATGGATGCACAACCGTCCACACAGGTCATTGATGACAGCCCGGGGCCCGGAGAGACAGATCCTCCTCAACTGCAGAGCACTAATACGGGGATATCCTTCGATGCCGACAATCTGACCCTAGCTGGGCCACCCAAGCGGAGCAAAAAAGGTCGACGTGGTCGGTGATTGTTAACCTGTGGGTCCATTGCATGTGAGGCTATAGTTTTGGACGCCTTTGACTAAAGGGATCGCGATATATCAAGAAGTTTTAGATAGTAGCTTAGTGGCGAGGACTTATCAGGCCTTCCAGGATTTAGCTAATCCAGATATCCCAACTAAGAAGCAGGTCTAGCTAGCAGATTGCTGGGGGCCAGAGTTGGGCTCCATTGTTATTGCTTATTTTCTTCTCGTCTGTCTCTCCGCAAGGTTGAAATGAAAAGCTCAGTTGAGAGCATAGGATCGTACTGTAGGGATAGCCTCTCTCGTTCTAAGATTCTGGAAAAAGCCTAGTCTGTATGTTTTATGTATGTGCTCATGACTTTGGCAGCTGCTCAAGTAAATCCGCCGTGGAAGTATCGATGCGCGTGAGTTTGAACTCGAGCCTTTCTGCACCAGCCTCAATCTGTGATCGTTCAACGAGCCTTCCGGGGCACTCGACTCATGGGCCTGCCGCGATACTATGCTTGGATCGAAATCTGCCAAACAGCTTCTTGCCAGAACTCTTGCTAACAGGCAATAGGCACTGCCAATATAGTAGCTGGATTGATTGAATGTTCTTCTAGCAACAGGTTCTATCTGTATACAACGACTTATCCCTTGAAAAGAGAAAGAAGTCCCTCTCGCCCGATTCGGTTGGGAGGGGATCCTTAAGATTCCTCCTGCGTTGTGGTGTGTATTCCTTCTGAGACATCTTATACCACAGTATTGTTTCGTACATGTTTCTTACCCTATTCGGGTGGGGAGCATGTATGCCAAAGCTATTCGTGACACTTCTCCACGTCCGTCCTCTCTTGCAAGACTGTGACGCGTAAGTTGACAACGCCAGCCGCGGTGACGAAAAGTTTTGATCAGGGGTACTATCTCGCCACATAGGTCGCTGTCGACTTCGTTGGACATCAAGATCAGCAAGATCATCGTTCCACAGACATCACTGTTGTTTCATGATGCCAAATGCTTAGAAATGCAGAATCTCTCTGCATGACACTTCTTTTGCCGTAAATTATATGTATATATATCCAGATAGATTCGAAGGACTTCGAGTCCTTCAGAGCACTCAAAACCAATCGATTTGGACAACAACTGCTCTCCTCCAACACTTCCATGATAGCAGAACCTAAAAGTCATTCTCGACGAAATATGCGCCTACATCAAGTCATTCTCCAGATTCATCATTCGCCATGCTACCCAAAATCTGTAGATGTCGCCGCCTGAGTTGGGCCAATAGTTGTTCCGTCGACGTGTAGCCCGACTGCCTTGCCATGGCTTCTCGGGCTTCTTTGCTAGAAGGCAATGCTAGGTGTCGCATGAAATCGCAACAAGCCGCTGAATCCTGTTCGTCTGCGGCTACTGTAATTTCGCGTGACTGAAGACGTATGACGCCGTCTATGATTACGCCGTAATAGCCTGAAAGGGCAGTTGCTGAAGGCGCCATGTCATCTTCCGCCGAGACCGTGCATCGGCCACTGGAATTGTAGACGCAGAACTTGATTCATTTTGAAGCATTGATGACGCTGAGGGGGTGGAAGCGGGTTCTGGGCTGGTGCTGGCATTTGAGACGGTGACACAGGGTCAAGGGCCGACGGCGATGGTTGCAACGACGTCAGAGGAATGCTAGCCGATAATGAGGACATATTTCATTAAAGATATCACGAAATGGTTAGTGTTAGACGTTGAAGAGCTAAATAGAGGTGCGTTGATAAAAAGGTTAAGGCACAGCCTCATTCAACCATCGATGCGCACGTGGTAATTATATTCGCCTTTTCATTCCGCAATCTAACTGCTCTCCTCGATAGCTAATCATGGTGCACCAGCTTCCCCTCGGGCACAAGTTACATGATCTTGAACCGCTACGTTCATGTTCCGATCCCTTTAAGACCAGTTCTTGTCTCGAGTGCCTAGTTTGAGAACTTATCAACTCGGCTGCAATCGGTAGCCATAACTCAGACGGCTCTTTTGTTCACAAATATACCGGTACTTTGGGTCGAAATCTCATATGAGAAGTTCCTCCATGTTTTTTATCTGGCCTGGTTTCGACACAAAATCAAGACGGCTCTACCTCACAGTTGGGGCAGTAAACAATGCCAATTTCCTGATATTCCGGTTCCGTTGCACCTTTTAGGAACTCCCCGTTCATGACTCCATGCACATAGCATTCACCAACCAATCTGTAGAGCTTCGTTCCATCGTTCGAGGGAACTTGCCTCAAAACATATGGCACTCTCGTGCCCGAGATGATCGCTACGGTATCTCCGACTTCAGCATTGACAGTGACCATAGAGACTAGATCTCGCGAAAGGATAGCAAGCTTCCAGCCCCTGAGGGTTTTACTGAGAGCCAAAAACCCAGTGACTGCCGTTTTATAGATCTCAGGTTTACCGAATTCCTGGATAAGGTTCTCAGGCTTCAAGAATGCTAAGTCAAACAAGCGGCGCACCACTGAAACACTGTTCATTACCGCAATATTAGGCAGACCTGTATCGAAACCAGATGGCTCGTCGAGGACCTCGGAATATTGGTTGAGAGTTAACGTTCTCCAAAGTACATCCCTTACTGTTTCGCCGGTCGTATATGAGGTGATCCGCTGTTTGAAATCCTTTACCTCCATCATTAGAGACAAGACTGAGTATTGTACGTGTGAACCACGGAGTTTAATCCAGTAGTCATTACCGACGAACACAAGCCTCCCAATCTGTATAAAACGTACTTTTAGGCATCGGATATCTAAGCCTTCGGCGATGCTCAACACTGACAAGGCTCCTGTAGCGGCATTGTACTCTCTGCCCACGAGAGAATGGTCATGCAACCCAACCATTGTCTCTGCATCTAACGGTTGACTCCAGTGAGGTACCTAAGACGGTAGGTCCAGATTCTGAACACGTGGCTGTGCAAGCGACAGAATCTTCAGTCCTTCCTCCGGTGGCTATGTCTTTAACATATACCGCGTAAATCCAGTCGCGACTGAGGCAAAGTCTTCTTGGTAATCGATTCTAATGTCTGGGTCTTTATCCAAATCGTCCTCCGCTGTTGACAATGAAACTAGAGCAAAATAATGGTCTCTCTCTAGTTTCCATTCACTTTGCTTGAACCGATTGAGGATCGTAAACAGATCTGATCGCTTACCTATTTCTAGCTCTTGCCTCAGGGTCACAAGACCCACTAGAGATCTCCAGCCACCTACTATCTCTAATTCAGAGGAGGCGGTTTGTTGGAATTATGGTAGGCGAACACGAAAGGCACGAAACCGAGCTTTGCAATTTGTAGAACTGTCACAATGAGAGCCTCAAATCTCAAATGCCTTCCAAGTCCCCAAAGAAGAATGATATTTCTGGCGAGGACAAATTCTTGTATAATCCAGACTCTGCGAAACCAAGCTCGGGACACGAATCGTTGAAAAGCCGTCCAGGTCTGGTCGTCTTTACGCGGTAGCCCACAACTTTCCAAGTCATCAAATCCATTGGGCTTTGGTTTGGTCTTCTCCAAGCTGATTTCATTTATTTTCTTGACTAGCTCAATAGCAGCTTCACTGTCTTCGTCTTCCCGTCCAAGATAGGCCACCACCAAGTTAGCATTGCTATAGATCGATGGCATTAAACGAATCTGTCTGCTCTTCTCTCTTGCATCATCTTGATTGATACATAATGCATCTGCCCAAACACAAATACCAGGCCCGTAGTCGCATAGAAGCCGGCGGATGGCTGAGTCTAAGTTTGCAGTGACATAGACCAAGCCGAGATTCGTACTGATCGCTTCTTTCTTTTCGTCCTTGCCCCATGTGTAAGACAGAGCGTGATATTCGGCTTCGCTTCCAGCAATAGGGATTGAGAACAGGATACCACTTAGCATTCCTGAATTTCTTGTATGGTGTCTTTGGTGCATGGTCCCGGTCTTCGTCTCTGTCTGGTTTTGGCGTTGGGACGGGTTATACACATTGTTGCAGAGCATAAGTAGCCTGATATGGGGATCACTGTCGGATAGAGGAGCATATTTGCACCCAACACTCGGTAGCCTGAGGAAGTGCACATACGCGCTGGCGTAATCAGGTGCCTCTTTCTGGCAAGTGACTCCGCTTGTAACAGAGCACCACTGGGATGAAGATATGACGGAACAATGTGCTGATCTGAAAGGAGGATGACTAGGTAAATCCTCTGGTTGCTGGCCATTCGTACGATTGCGCATCTGCAAATAAACAAGCTGTTGCGTGTCAGGACCTCTTGCGCAAGGCTGTCTGAACAACGAACGCCGAGACTTGGCATCCGCTCCACGGATAGCGACCGTAGCCGTAGCTGGTAGTCAACGCTTTTCAAGGCGTGGAGTCTACGTAGATAGCTAGATCTAGGGATGAATAGATAGCACTGCTGTTACCATTGACGGCGTCTCCTCTTAGGAGGCCCTAACATTGCCTAATCTCTGTGGCCAACTCTCGTCGCCGTTCTATGCATGCTTTAAAACTGAACCCTGTTCTGCTCAGGTAAAGGCAGACTGCAATCACAAGGGCTCTGGATAGCTCAGAAGGATGAACCCAGATTGCAGGAATAAGACAAATACTGTAGAGCTGTCCGAAGCCATTAATTCTATGCATCCTTGGTGCCACGAACGGAAAGAAGAGTGCCATGCGCAAGGAATATGAGGCAGCAGCGTAAGGGCAGGGAACCTGGACAAGTTCACCACTGTCGTCCGAAACAGATGCCTAGCCAAGAGGCAAGTATGGCCGATCGCAAGGGGCAAGATTAGGTCCCCGGTGAGTTTTCTTAGGGAGTGCTCAGAGAGTGCCTAGGAAGTGCTCAGGTATGCTCAGCCAAAGGCTCAGATAAAGCTCAGGTTAAAGCAGCCTTCGATCACCCTCTAGGATCAAACCGTAAATGGCAATTAGGTTTTTCGTTCTCGAGGAATCTAGGTAGCTTAGGTCAATCTTGGAGTCAATTGAGCTGCAAGATACCAGTGGGCGCCCATCTCTTTTGTTTTCTCCTGTCCTTATCACACCACTCCGTCGTACAAGCAGAGGCGAAGGCAGGAATATCCCCTTAGCCATCGTAGGCAAATTCAGCAGGCTCGAGGATGATAGGCTTCTCCGTAGTGCGCCGCTCCGCTTCAACGATGATGTACGTAATGTGAAGACTCTGTGCTTTGAGACGCTGCATCTGGTGCACGCCCACGCCCGCTCCCGTTTGCGTGGAGAGGTTAGTGATAGATGTAGAAAACTATATCTGATACAATCATGTAAGGTCTTGATGCCCATAGTTTTGTTGAGCATTTCTATGTCCTGTCCTTCTCGACCGAAAATGGTTATCTTAGATTTGCCTACCAGCGAGTCGGTCGGCAGGCTGGGACTTTGGATTTTGCTATTCCGCTTCTGATGCGTGTGCGTCCCAACTGAAATTGAAAAGCGTGATTGTTAGGACCGAAACCAGAAGCAGTCCGCATACCACAACTTAGGACTTGTGGTTCTGTGAAATAGCTGTTGATGTCCGAGGTCACCAAAGAGTTGGGATATCCACAAAGGATGCTATGGCTCCACAAATGGGGCATTATGATTGAGTGCTCTCTATCGAGCAAAGGGGTTATCGCCGGTCTGTGTGCAGACGAGTGGATCGGACGTCTGATCTGGCATCGTGGTCACCGAGCCAATATCCTCAGAATTGGCAAATCTTAGATCGGTTGGTGAATCGGTCCTAAGAATGCAATGCATCATCACTCGTTTTCATGGTTCGGAGATAGCTCCAGTGCTAGGCCTAGTTCACAGCGATGCATTCGACATCATGACACTCTGTTGGTCCGTATGACTCCTAATGAGCATAGAAAGATGTTACAATGCAGACTCCCAATGGCCGGTCACAAAGACGACGATCACCCAATACTAAATATATGAATTTCCGCTTGGGTTCATGTAGAGACCTCTTCTCCGTAGTCCGAGAAAATGGTTCTCATCTTCATCGCCACTATCCTATGTCTTCACAACCGTTAAGGATTCTCCAAGAGCGTACGCGTGTCGATGATGGAAATGTCGGCCTAAGGGCAGGCAAGCTCGTCGTAACTGTGAGATATTGTGAATTGTTACTTTATTTGTGCTCGCAAGCTCTACTTGGATCCGGAATACAGACAGAGATACTATGTATCCTGTGGCAGTAAAACTCGACCCAACAATTCAATGATGAAAAACATGCTTAACCGATCTCCATGACTTTGGAGCAGATCGAGGTGTGGTCTCCGTCAGACGACACATGCGTCGCGACGGTGTCCTGCCCCAACAATATTCAACTCGTCATATCACAACCTTCGTATGCTGTGCAGACCCATTCCACAGGCAATTACCATCCAGTCCGGTCTAAGCTCCTGCCCCATCGACAAATGAAAGACCCACGCCAGACACCAGATGTTCAGGTAGCTTAGAGACAACATGGCCGAGGTCATGAGTCAGCAGCGACGTTGACATCTTCCTCCTCAAGGCCAGTCAGAGCACCATCGTCGTAGTCATCGAAATTCAAACCAGCCTCACGAGCGCGTTGTTGCCACTTCGTAGATTCGGCCCAGGCAGCTCGAGAGCTCTCCTTCATTCTATCAAGGCGAGTGGTGAGTTCTTTGAGGGCAATCTCGAAGGTGGCGCGTTCGTTGTCAAAGTTAGTGACCTTGTTCTGAAGTTCGGTAATGTATTGGCAAGTGCGATGAAGGATAGCGCCCTTGTTCTTCTCGGTTCCAGGAACAATCTTGGCAATGTTCTCGATGCCTTCGTTGATGACTTCGCGACGACGACGCTCGACTGTGATGAAGTTAGCATGGCAGAATGCGACAACAAACATAGAACGAATAAAGTTTACCTTCTTTATGATTGTCCTTACGTTGCTGATGCCATTCTGCGGTGCCGACAGGAGGTTTGCCTGCATTGTTGCCTAAGCCAACGCTTGCACGAGCATCAATGAGAGCCTGGGGACCAGACGCAAAGTTTGCTGAGGGGCTGCCATCGTCGAATCCGGAAGGCAACGAAGCAGTTGGGTCAAAGGAGCCAGGCTCAGGGTAAGTTGATTGGCCCATTGGAGCAGCAAGTGCGGCTTGAGCGGTACGAGTGCTATCATCAGCTTCGGGTATGTTGGTACCATCAATACCTTGGAGAAGTGCAGCATAGCTAGCTTCGTGGTCCCCGTTGGTATTCTGTGCTTTGGCATTACGTCCAGCTTCTTGATCGCTGGCTCCACGCTTGCGCTTGTTGTTGGCATTCGCGTTTTGCGACGGAAGTTGGGTGACTTGGGTAGCCATGGCGATGAGGTGACAAAGGGTGAGAGATAGGAACGACAGAGGTTATGGAATCTGATGAGGTTCTAGAGCCTTGCCGTGCAACGCGACCGGTGGCTGAAGAGGGGGATTGTGTCGATCGAGGGCCGCCGTCTGGGTTAGCTGAAGACTGTCGCGATAGCAGGCAGCGAGGTTGACTTGTGTAGTGACGGAGCTTGCTTTTCAGTGACGTTAGCCATGACCTTACTTTCGTTCACGACGACTTGAATGCAATGTGAATTAGGACCGAAAAACATAGCGAAGATTGTGTGCAGCTAACAATCCGTCACATGAGGATGGGAAGGCTGGGATACGGGCACGTTGTTGTCCTCTTCATTCATTGTCTGCTCCAGCCGAAAGCTAGGCGGCAAGAGGGAGGGGGCTGATGGTGTGCAGGGCTGGGCAAGCACTGGCAGACTCCGAAGAGCGTAAACTCTTGCTTGCCGATGGGCGCGAAGACGACATTGTCGATGCGCGTACCCGTCTCGCAAGCAAGAGACTCGATGAACATCGAGCGCAGCCCGTGACTGTTGATCAGGTGCAATCAGGTGACTTGGTGGACGATGACTTACTTTCAAGAAACGTGATCTGCTGCGCTGGAAACCCGTCGCGACGGGGTTACACGACGCCTTTCTTTAACGCCAGCTGGACTTGACAAGTGAGAAATGAGAGGGATGGGCGCGCAATTAGAGGATTGTTTTTGCGTGATCACTTCAAACGATTGCAAGCGCCGCGAGATACCTGGAAACTCGAGTATGCTTGGAGAGAGGGACAAAGAGGGAACTGAGATGTCACGGGATGAGATGGAATGAATCGAAGGATCATGTGAGACTTGAGCTGGATAGAAGCACGCTAAGCCTAAAGGCGTTAGAGAAAGTCGCGACACCTTCCACACGTCTAGCGGCCTTGGCACCCAATTTCACTCCCGCTGTGCCATGTGACAACCTGTTTGCGGGCTTCCTCCCTCTGTACACGTGTACCAACATCTCGTGACTGCCTGCTGACCCTCCATCAGCAATGCATTAGCTGTCAGTTGACACAGGATGTGTATCCTTGTCTCAGTCTTTTTGTCTCCCCCTGGCCCTTGGAGAGAGTCCCCTTCCCCTTCTGAGCACCCTTTTTGCAAGGTTGTTTTGGGTGTGAAGCCTTGCTTGACCCCAATTTGGCACTTCTGGTAATGCATAACATGAACCCTCAATCCTGACTTTCCCCAGGATCATCCAGCAGCGTCATTTGGATGGAGTGTGAGGAAATGCCCAACATTAGCTCTTCAAAGTTCCATGCTCTTTCTCCGTGGATGCCACTCCAGTTTTGGTCATATCTGCGGGGTCATTGATCTCTGCTCCGGCCACTGTGTCTGTCCGCTCCATAGGGTTGAGAACAATGGAGTACAGCGGCTCGCTCTCGGTGTCCACCATCAGAACCCCTTCTTGAGCTCTCCCCAACATGTCCCATATTCTTATCTGCCTTCCTTTCGTCATGCCCATGACGCAGCTACTGCCCGCATATCTGACATCTCCCAGTCGATAATCTGTACCTTCTTCACCCGCCCGATTCGCACAGATCACAAGAGCCTCGGTTTCAGAGCCTTGGGCCTCAAAAAGTGGACTGAGCCTGTTGATCCAGTAGCTGATAGTGTCCTGGTCTGGTACCGTCACCTGACTCGACAGCTCCTCTGCGCTCAGCCTCGTGAGCCAAGCCATACTGATGACGACAACCTTCGCACGTGCTTCCCGCGCGTGATTACCAAATTCATATGCTGTCCAGGCTGCCTCGAACTTGTAGGGGTTGATGTCCATGCAAATCCCAGCTGCGGCCTTGATCTGCTGACCATCGCCACCAATAGGGAGGACTCCAGCCCAAAAGCCTTGCCCTTCCTGTGCCCAGGTCTCGTCCGTATAGTACAGAAATGACTTACGGTAATGGGCAACCACATCTCCAGCTGCACTGACAAAGACCAAGGAGTTGTAGGCAATAGTTCCAACCTCGGCAGTAATGTGCTTATCGAAAATGGTGTTGAAATTACCTTCTTCGGCTGCTTCCGGATAGCCAACAGCGACGGTGCATTTCAAGCGCTTTGCGGTACGGGCGGCCCATCTGGTGGATGGGCCTGCTGCAGTTGGCTCAAGGAACGGCGCAATGGCCTGAAGTGAGGGATGATTATACCCTATAGTACGTGTCAATCTCCATGCTTCCAGCCTCATTCTGTAGCATCAAAGCGCCAGTGATACGCCGTCCAGTATACCTTGGCTGTGCCTTTCTGCTAAGACGCAGATACTCAAGAGATTGTGTGGAGAGAAATACCTGTAAATGCAAGCTCGGGTAGTACAAGCAGATCAATTCCTGTCAGTAAGCCCTCTCTCTCCTCTCGCATGAGCAGACTCTCGGCCCGGCTGAAATTCGCCGCTATTTCGCCCAGTTTAGGAGCAAACTGCAGCGTAGCGAACTTCATTCTGGAGAGTAAATGGGTCAATCTCATCAATCCCACGTAGATGAGCGGCTTATCATCGTCGATCGCTTGTCGTATAGCCTTTCTCCCTCGACGGCAGAACTTTTAGCGATTGGAGAGAAAGGTAGGTATTCTGTACCAAGAATTTGATCAGATGACAACGATTTATATCATCATTGATGTCTGCAGAGTTGAAATAGCAAACAGTTGAACAGATTATTTATTGTCGACAAAGTGATGGAGAAATCGAATGATTCACGCTAACCAAATACGGTGGGCAGAGTGACATTAATTATTGTAATTATGGTATTATCGGTATATTATCCATCCCATCAATCATTCAATTTCTAGCTTTCTTCGATGCTACATGGATTGTTTACTTTTAGCCGGCTTAGACAGGTTCGCTCATTCATCATCGTCTTATTTTGAGTCAGGGATATTGACCAAGGAGTCAAGGATTGGATATGCCGTTGGCTTCAGACATTCATATATCCACCAGACTGAAGAGTACAAAGTCACAGGTCGTATTGACCATTTGCTAGTTGCTTGCAAAGGCGTAACCAGAGCTCGGCATTGCGTAGCTGTCATTTGGAAGGAGATTGAACATCACTGTCGCATCACATCAGTCAGCATTGAATACTGAGAAGTATCGCCTCGGCCCAAGCAACACGGCTGGAAAGCCGATCAAGGTTACTCACTTTCTTGGAAGCCACCAAAACTCTCATTCACATCCTCGAACCCTCTGAATGGCCATATGTTTCCTGGAAATGCTGATGTATGAAAAGGCATTGCTCTGGTGTCGAGAAGAACTTCCCCTTGCGTGCCTAATCCTACTGGGTCTAAGAGGTCAAACACCTCCGAAGAGTATGATGGCTGGTCTTGCGTAGGACTGGTTGAGCTCAAATCCTGCAGTTGACGATTTGCAATATTGTGCGATGGCAATATTTGGAGATCATTTTCAGAGTGGAAATGCTGTGTTTCATTCGTTACATCGTCGGGGACATCGGCTGATTCGGCTTTCAGTGCATTTTCCATCTCGCGATGAAGAGTGATTTGCAAAAGCTCGCTCAACAATTTGTCAGTGTGTTGGGCAATTCGATTCTTGCCACTTACTTGTTTCGTGGCTCGAAGAATTCTCACAATTCCAGCCTTGGCTTGTTGTGACATTGAACTAAGCGGCTGACTGGCGGGTGCCATGCTCAAAATGACCCCGGCAGTGAATAAGTGCATGAAGAAGAAGGAAATACAGAATTGTCCTTCCAGTCGTTTGACCTGAATTTGGGATATCAAAAGAGCTGCTCTGACAGCGGTATCCAAAGAGGAACGCAGTGACTCCAGCACAAAGCGTGTGGGCTTCGTTTGACCCAAAAAAGATATCTTATACTCCAGGAGAGGCCGATGAGCCAAAATGACGGCTCCGTTGTAGAGGACTTGGAGCATGGTCGCCTGCAACAAAAGTTTCCTCCATTGATTGCCACCGTGGTCAGGACTGCTACCGTCCTCTGCATACTTCCATGGATCTGAGTGTTTCCAGTTGTCCCATTCGAAGAGAGGAGGAAGTTTCGATCTGAATTGCGTGAGAAGGCCCTGGACGTCCTGTGCTGTCTGTATAAGCGACTCGATGTGACCGGAAGCTTGATGACTTTGTTGGAGCACTCTGAACCTGTCTAGAGCATGGCGAATGATCCGATAGAGCCTCGCTTTCAACACATGGAAAGTCATTGTTGTTGGCTGGCTTCCTCTGCCATATATGGCATGATTCACGATCAAGGGATCTGATATTGTGTCTTCCATTTCCAAAAGGTCATGGACGCTAGAGGTGGCGGGATCGATCAAACCTGGCCTTCCGTACACGACTAAGCCGAAAGTATCTGCGACCATTATATGATTCCAGCACCTGCTTCGTATTTGTTGGAGTGCAGGATCTGATTTTGAACTTCTTGGATACTGCAGGCCAAGTGCATAGGCGACGCTAACACCCATAGTCGCTATCGTCCACGCAAGATTTGGAGAGTCGTGATAGACATGAAAGGTGGCTAACAAAAGACAGACTTGTACTGCTTCGAGTTTGGAGTCCTCCACGATGTCAATGATATGGTGCCGAAGTTCAGAGGAGATGTTACTCAATAGCGTTTCAGGGTCAATATCTTGTGATCGAAAATGTGGCAATGCCGACCACGAAGCATCAGCCAAACCGGCTCGTAGACCTACTAACGCCACTGTAAGAACAGTAACGACATTGCTTAAGTCCTTGCGTTGCCAACAGCACCTTGTTCGGAACACGTTATTGGCCATCTGACGAAAAGCGTGCTCGTTGAAGAGGCAGATATACCAATGGTATGATTGGAAGTACTTGTTGATTAAGTCTTCCATAATGTTATCAGGAGGGAGTTGAATGAGGTGCAGGTTCCAGGGCCGGTCATGACTGGGAGCATACCCTCCATCCCCCGGGATGAGCGACGACTTAGTGAGATCACCACCTCCTTCATTCCCAAGCACAGTTCTAGCAAACTCGATGCTAGAGGTGGAAGTTCCAAATCCTCTCCTTTCTGTGAATTCCGAAAACTTCTTCGGGATGGCTTCTACAAGAGTAGCAGCATGGTCTGCTTCCGTAGACCTACGGATATCTTGTGCCGATGGGCTCGTAAGCTTAGGGACAGGCTCGGGTGCAGCGTCTGAGCTCTGGGTCCGCCTTCGCTTGGTACCTGCAGTGTTGTTGGGTAAGGAAGTCGTACACGTGGTGCTAGATCGGCTGCATAAAGTGCAAGGCCTGAAAGGATCGCACTGGGGGACGTAAGCGATGAAATAAAGGTCGTAAGTTTATCTTCTCCAACCTTCAATTTTTGTCTGTGGCAACGATCACAGGCTTTGACAACACGACCACCTCGAAAAGAGTTATCCGTTTGCATCGCGCACAATTCCCTGTTCTATGAAAAGGGCGGATCTGTCTTGGGAAAGATGAGCCACCTCCTGCCTTTCCACGTTTTGCATGTAACCCGCTGAGGTATGTAGACGCGTATATATGTAAGCGCGAGCGCCCACCCCGCGTGCCGAAGAAGCCGAAACTCAGCCAGAGAGGTAGAAGATATTGGCTAGTTCACGCTGGTGGTCAATATCGAAGTACGGAGTACCCGTATGACAATTTCTCGTGAATGTATGTCTCTTCTGATTCTCTTTTCATCTACAGTGGTGCTTTTCCAGCCACCCCACTCCGCATCCTCCGCAATCGAAAAGGGGGAGCTATCAATTTCTTGGGGTAGGCAACACTCACCCTCCTTACTCAGAGAGGAAGTGCTTTGCAAGTGCCGCACTTCCACCGGAACGTTCGCTTAAAAGGGCCCGGGGTTGTGTGTTCCCAAACTCCTCGTGGCTGTGGCTCGGTGCACAACGGCGTGCTGCCCTACCTCGTGAATACAAAACTCCGTGTGTTGTTTGAGATACCTTCCGGACGTTCGAACCCAAAGTGAACAAACACCCATCAGGCGGCGCCACTCGAGGTCTGGGCAAGGGAGCTTACCTGGGTATTTTACCGGTCGATGGCTAAAGTGCTTTACGGGGGTATTCCCACCATTCCCACGTGATCAGACTTTTTTCACGTGATATACACGTGATATCAGCAACAGGATCATGGCACTGGTTGCAAGAAGGACGAGGAATTCTATTCATAGGCCTTAGCAGTAGAAGTCTCACGAAGGAATGAGGAGGGCCGATTGTGAGGCGATATGTGAGCAATTGCGCCTTTTGTCTCGAAATAAAGCCTTGTCATGGGTCTCGGGTGGTGAGCCTGAGACGAGTCGTCCTACGGAGACGGAGTGCGGCGTAGTAGCAGCAATAGGCATTTGAACTACTCGTAAATCCAACCACAGAGAGTGGTGGAAGTGTGCCCCTCATCCCTCGGCTCAGCCCCCAAACATTTACCTAGGTACCTACAGTAGCTTCCTGGCGTAGTTAGGGTGGCCGTGGTCCAGGCCCCTCGGCATCGTGCTTTGGCAAAACTGCAGGGGCGACTAGCAAGCCCAGAGCACTTCCCCAAGTTCGGAAGGTCAGGCGAATGACACCACTTCCCTCAGCCGAAGGAAAAGACATTGATGTCTCTTCTGACCTCGCATCTTTTCTTTGTTTCCATCATGTTAAGCAATCATCACTTGGCTGTACGCCTGATCCAGGCGGTGCCTCTGATCCATATCACTCTTAGCACTTCTCTTTGAGTCCAGGTCACCTAGCGAACTCCTCCTCCACCATCCTCTCGTTCGTTTCCCCTCATCTGCAAAGATCAGCACAGAAAAAAAAAAGTCCTCCCAAGACAAACCTCGACCTTTCTAGCAATAGCACGCCATTCGCTCTCACCTCATCAAAATGGTTCGCAACATCGTCGTCCTCGGAGGACTTTCTCATCCCGGCCTCACTGAAACCATTTGTGAAATCCTCGGTGTTCAACAAGGTCACGCACTCTTTTCCAAATTCGCTGTGGGCGAGACTCGAGTCGAAATTGGTGAATCGGTCAGAGGAAAGGATGTCTACATCATCCAGTCAGGAGGCGGAAAGGTCAACGATCACCTTGTTGAACTTCTCATCGCCATCTCCGCCTGCAAAACTGCCTCGGCCAAAAAGGTCACTGCAGTCTTGCCTCTTTTCCCTTACTCGCGCCAGTCAGATATCCCTTACAATAAGACTGGTGCTCCTCTCGTCAAAGGTTCCAGTATGTCCTCCAAGTCTGAACCAAATGGCTACAGTTTCGATAGCATTCCTTCTACCCCGCACCCGGAAAAGACAGAGAGTCCCGGACTTGTCAATGGCCACTCACTCCACAAAGCCACCTCGAGGTCCGATCTTGAAGGAGGAGAGAATAACCCTACCCACCAAGCGAGGTTCAGCCACTATCGCGATTCTAGCTCCCACTCAAGCACAAAATCAGAATACTTCTCCGGAGGCCGCAAACGCGGTGACTCAACAGCCTCTACAAATGGCGTTGCCAATCATGACTTTGCCGTAACCTTGCCCAAGGTTGAACATCCTCAAGCGGCATTTAAGCCACGTCCTGGCTATAAGCAATGGGTCGCCCAGGCCGGAACTCTCGTTGCAGACTTACTGACCTGCGCTGGTGCTGATCATGTCATCACAATGGATCTTCACGACCCTCAGTATCAAGGCTTCTTCGACATTCCCGTGGACAACCTTTACGGGCGGCCCCTACTCAAAAAATATATCCAACAACATATTCCAGATTATCGTAATGGTATTGTTGTTAGTCCAGATGCGGGTGGGGCCAAACGAGCAACTGCAATCGCCGACTCCCTGGGTATTGAGTTTGCCCTCATTCACAAGGAACGTAGACCTACCAAAATCACAGACCGCCACAATGCAACCATGATGCTTGTTGGAGATGTTGCGGGCAAGGTTGCTATCCTTATCGACGATCTTGCAGATACCAGCAACACCATTACAAGAGCGGCAAAGCTTCTCAAAAAGGAAGGTGCACACAAGGTCTACGCTCTGGTCACCCATGGCGTTCTCAGCGGCGATGCTATTGAGAGGATCAATGCAAGTGCGTTGGACAAGGTGATTGTGACCAACACCGTGGATCAGACAGAGCATTGTAGACGTTGTCCAAAACTTGCAGTACTCGAGGTTGGACATGTCTTTGCTGAGGTGAGTCATTGTAGAGATTCGCTCCATCGACATGAAACACTAAACCATTTTGCAGGCCATCCGACGGGTTCACTACGGCGAGAGCATTAGCGTCTTGTTCCAGTATGACTAGGTGACACCACTGGGTGAAGACGTCTGTAATCTGACTACTTGAGCGACTCGTTTACGCTTATCTGACAAGCTTGGCCAAGGATTCCGAACCACACGATCATTTGCCAAGAGGCCATTTGGGACACTCCTCTGTACCCGGAATCGTCTTGGCTGAAGTTTGGGGAACATTACACGGATCCCCTCGCTACCTCATGTTGCTGTCCATCCATTATTGTGTGTGCGATGCCCTTGAACCGATAACAACCTCCACCAAAAAAACGCCATAAAACAACCAGAAGTGCCTTGAACCAAGTGCTGGAGAGGGCTTCCAGAGGAGTTCATTCATTTGGGCTCGGGGCGGCTGTCTGTCATTTCCATAGTATGGTGCTTTTCTCTCTCTTTGTTCACTTTTGGAAGGCAACAAGTACCTCGTACCCGGGAGATCTATTATTTTGCTCGAGAAAGCTAATGCGAGAACTATTTCCAAATGGTTCGTGCCGTGCTCCCACCGCAACCAGATCTCGCACGAGATCAAACCTGCAATCCAGAAGGTAAGTCGGCCATCTGCGCGTCTCGTAGACTTAGGCCTTTTCGCTGCACCGAGGACCCACCTCTTAGGCCTCTATCATCAGTTTCTGTGACGTAGCTGTCTTAAGTAGGGGGAACTAACTTAGTAGGTCAGTGCTGCTCTAGTATGTAGCTTGTACGTATACCTATTGTATGACAGTAGTATCGCACAACTCATAGCCCAACGATATAGAAGAAAACCCACCTAATTAGTGGATGGGCCTTTCACTCCCCGCAAGAGTGGTGTTGCCCTCAAAAGTCGCAAGAATACAAATAAATAAAAAGAGCCCATTTCTAGGCTATAATCAGGAACATGAGGCAGTGGCGACGTGCGCTCTTGTGTGATGATACGATGTTTCCTATCGCACTCGGTACATAAATGCAGAAAGTAGTTGAACATGGCGGCACGTTGGGAACACAGGGAGGCAGGGTGGGCCTAACGTTCGAAGTACATTTGTGTCTACCGTGGAAATAAAAGCGCCCGCTCATCGATCCGAACTCCGATCCTCCGGGCATTGGCATACATCAATGCACCTAGTCATCATTGATCAACGGACCATGCCGTGTTTCTCCCACACGTGCAGCGGCTTCCGGATCTCCTCGGATATCAGCCCGTTTGGCATCATGCTGGTGAAGGCATCCTCAGTGCCGACGACGTCAAGCTGATCTCCCCAAGCGAGCCTCTCTGAGAAGTCACGTTTCCGTATCAGTGCCTCCCCTGGTGTGCCGAGGGCGAGGCCCATACCATCGTCGCTGGCGTCATCGCCCAGTGGCCACATCAAAGAATAGTGCAACACGCATTCGTTATCCGGGTAGTATTGTATAGCCTCCAGCTTCATCGTGATATCCGAGTCACGTACCTCTCGGTTGCCGAACCCGTTGGGAGTAGCAGATCTGAATTTTTCCACAGCGTTAGCTTTAATTTCTATCGTTCGAGTAGCCAGGCATGCAGATAGTTGCGAGTCCCAGAAGCCCTCCTTGCGGTTGCAGATGCGGAGAAGATGGAGGGCCCTGTCTCGCGCGGACAGCTCGTTGCAGCGGGTTGCGATAACGAACAGAATTGGCACCACGCCCGGAGACATGGAGAATCTCGGTGCCATTGTCCTGTCCAGCGAGAGGGCTCTTGTTTCTGGTGAGACGGATCGGGATGGGCTGTTTTTGCGTGATCTTGGCGGAGAGTCCCCAGGAATCAGAGAATTGGTCACCACTAGGAATTCCTCGACAAAATCGAGAGCTTCTTGTATCAATGGTAGATGGTGATCGAAAGCATCAGGCTCCATAGTTGTTTGCATCAAAGCTACGAATATAGTGAGAAGGATCCGGTGAATACCCAAAATCAGTCCTGAAGGGGTCTTTCCAAGAGAGGGATCCGCCCGCGAGGCTACCATCGCCTGGCAGGCCTGTTCGCAATCGGAAAGAGACTTCGTGAGTGTCTGAAACTTCGCCTGCATGTCGACCCCTATCTCTGGAGTCATGGCGCCAGTTCTGGTAAGCCTCTCTGTTTTCTCGTAGAAGGCGAAGAAGGCAGACATGTTGTATTCCACGTAAGTCAACGCTTCGTCATTGCTTCGAAATATCTCTGGGGTTCTCCAAGCCGGGGGGTCCAGCAGTGGGCGTTCCCCTTGGAAATTCCAGTCACCGATTTCTAAAATCTGCCTCCAAAACGCAAAGAAAAAGCGCATCAGCTCAGAGTGCGCGATGTACATGTTGCGATCGCTTGTTCGCAGTTTTGAAAGACGGTCTTGTTGCCACTCCGCCATGATCTTGATCCCACTGACGGCATGGCTGAATGCCGAGTGATAGTGACCCTGTAGAGACTCGAATATTGAGAATAAGCCGCAGGTGATGAGGGCACAGTCAAATGCATGCTCCCCTCTCGTCTCGTTTATGTGTACGACTTCTCGAATTGCCCGTCCATAGTGAGTCAGGGCAAAGTCGAGCTTATTACCATACGTATTCGGTGACATTCGGCCGGATCGGGTGAAATGCTCATGCATAGTACTTACTGCCACAAGGGCGTGTTTGACCGAGGACTCATACTGGACGACTGGAAGAACGCCACTCAGCCAGAATACTGGCTGATAAGCACCTGCCAGGTCCCAGGCCGCGCGCTCCTGAAAGTACGAGAGTGCACGACGTTCAGCATGACCGAGATCTGGGTATGGCGTAAGCAGGGAGGGAGGTGATGGAGTTCGAGACAATGGAGTACTGGCACCAGTATTTGGTTTAGAGGGTGCAGCATCCTTCGTAAGGTTGCCAACATTGCTATACACGACAAATTTTAGAGGGGTCCCAGAACCGGAGCCTGGTGTGCCGCTTCTCGCATATCCCTCGCATGAGCGACCGCCGTTAATACAACGTTGACATTCAGGTTGACCCTCGTCACATTTGACCCGTCTTCTTCTGTGACGTAGATATCAGCATCGTACCATAACCAGAATGGGATTGCGGGCCATATGCCATATAGGTGCGTAGGCCCAACACTCAAGAGCGGCTAGAGGGTGCGAGATAAGAAGTAAGAGGCGACCTACTTGCATGTCAAACACCCTGTTCGTACTTTCCCTGTCCCAATACGGATCATCGTCCTTCACTTAGAGTTTTGGAAAACGTGCGTGTCGCAGTTTCTTTCAACTAGGATCGAAGATACTGGTCGGTACATTGTCCGAGAGAAGAGTAGATTAAAGTGCCTGTGGCGCAAGAGCCACCAAGAGCTGTGCCCTGTCCCGGGTATCCTAACCAGGTTTGTATGGTGGTACTTCTTCTTTTGGCAGCTAACGATCGGCCTATTTCGCATTCGAGACCTCACTACCTTTGTGCCTAAATACTGGAATTAAAGTACCCAAGGAGACTGCATGCGCTCCAGGATACTCACTGCGGGAATAAAGACGGCTCCCGACAAGTCTGTCCTCATACCACGCAAATTGAATTGAGGAGAGATACTGTCGACTCCGAACGTGACTCACCCAGCAATTCGCAGATGTCTGTGGCTCTACACATTCTTTAAATTCGGTCTGAAGCATGGCGACCTCTGTTGGGGGTCGTGATACGCACCGCGCACTGCAGCAGCTCAAGATGCAGTGCCCAGTCCTACTCCTTAGTGAAACGAGGGCTCCGTTGTCGTTCCGATGATAGCCTCTAGTCTAACTTATTTAGGTTAGTCTTTACGAGCTCATGGTCTAAGCCCTTTTCGTCTCAACTCGGGAATTGAGAGACTCATGCTAGGGCTCGCGAGTACGAGGTGCCGAGTACTCATGCACACAGCAGATAGTTGAATCTTGATCAATCTAACCCTATGGCTGTTTGTGGGAGTACATCGATGTTTGCGTCGATAGGAATAGAACACTATGGGGACCCGGTATGCTTCGTGGAATGCAATGAGCTGGTGCGACTACAGACAACAGGCAGGTTGGCCGACAAGACTGACGTTCCTTAGGTTTCACTGCTGGAGACCTGTTTCTCCTTACTGCGACATACGAGCTGCTGTCGTGCCAGCACTGCATGAAGATTGGACAAGTCTGCCAGTAAAACCCCCATTAACTGTGTGCGCAGACTGTGAACGTCGTGCTGAGCCATCACATCATTGTACATGATCCTTCACATTGGTGATAAGACACTTCACCACTCGGTATTCTGGTCACGACCATCAATACCATGGTGAATAGATATGCCTTTGCCATGAGAGCGAGCGATTGAAGAAATCACTGCAATCAAGATGACGACTATGAATTACCAGCAGGAAACGGATATCATTCCCTGCGTGTAGCCGATTCTGGCCAGGCACCCGCATTCAAGCGGATTCCAAAGGAATTGATACACTTTACTCCGGTACCAGACCAAGTGAGCTTTGCGCAGAGCATGATCTCCCAATGAACATAGCCCAAGGATGATAAACCTTGGGCTGAATCAAGGCTCGTCAGACTACTATGTCCGCTTCGCGTAAAGCGGTTACGAGCGCTCCTGGTAGGACATGGCGAAACGTTGGTGCCTGGCTTTCCCATAGCGGTTTCTCGCGGGGAGAAGCATGGAGTAAACCGCTAAGCCAGCAAATTGGACCACAATTGTACTCGGTACGAAGTACATGTGCGTCGTATATTCCTCCAAGTCGTATGTGATAAGCTGATGACTTCTCTCGTTCGCTTAAATCTCCACTATTTCGCATATGCCTGGGGTCTGGTTGGCCCCTTGTCCAAACAGCCTCGTAACGACCAACCGTATTCGTCCAGGTTATACTCGATATCCGCAGCTTGTCCACGCCCATGACCAACCAATCCCTGCGTGTATTAAAAATAATTAAAATCGCCTGGGACAGGTCAGAAAACAGGAGTAAATGAAAGCTTAACATGTCCCTTGTCGATCCCCATGCTATGCCACCTCAGCCTCGCCGATGATACTGTTTCAGGCAGCATAATTTCGTCTATCGTGATGGGCTAACTATACGAGCCAGCTTCGAGGTATCCCTGCGCCAGAGCCTGGGAGGGAAGTATATCAGTCGCCATGAATCCTTCATGATACCGAGTATTTACTCAATCGCCACTATCCAAAGCAACAGTCACCTCCCTGACTTTCTCAGCATTGATAGTCGAAGCAATCAGGCTTCGACCCCCATTCCACAGCATTACCAACCATATCAACATCAAAATGAGGATTCAGTGTGAGGCGTCCGACGCGCCCGACGCCCTCTGGGTATATTGCCCTTCATTCGCCGCAGCCATCTTATTCTCCATCTTGTTTGGCTCAACCACACTCGCACATACCGTACAAGCAGTCATATACCGTAAACGTTTCGCGTTCGTGTTGATCATGGGCGGCATGTGGGAGTGTGGAGGCTACATCACTCGCACGCTCTCCGTAATTGATCAGAAAAATACGGCCATATACACCGTGCAACAGCTACTCATCCTCCTTGCGCCTCTTTGGATTAATGCATACATTTACATGCTGCTGGGCCGCATGATCCACTTCTTCCTGGTAGACGACCGCGTCTTCGGTCTCCGCGCACGCAAAATCACAAAGTGCTTTGTGTGGTTCGATGTCATCGCATTCCTCGTTCAAGCCACTGGTGGCATGATGGCGACACCTGATGCCTCGGCGAAGACACAGAAGCTTGGCCTGGACATCTACACCGCTGGTGTTGGCCTGCAGCTGTTTTTCCTGTCCATTTTTACCTCTCTGGCGGTGGGTTTTCAGCGAAGACTTAAGCAGCAGTCTCAATCTCCCGTGGCCAACGACTCTGGCTCCGACTACGACCCGGAATCTTATCTTCAACCACGGTCCGGACCTCACACACCCAGTCCCGCGCTGGCCAGGCGTCTGTTGATCCTACTGTACATCGTCATGGTGCTGGTCATCATCCGAAACATTTATCGCCTCGTTGAATTCGCGACCGGTGTCGATTCTCCTATAGTCAAGCACGAATGGTTTAGTTACGTGTGGGACGCAGCCCCAATGTTCATCGCTATGATCGTGTTGAACATTGAATACCCTGGCAAGGTCTTGCAGGGTCCCAGAGCCGATTTCAGGCAGGAAGACAGGGACATCAAGATGGCCAAGAAAGAAAAGAAGGCCGAGAAGAAGAGGCAGAAGCAGGAGCGAAAACACGGACATCATGCGAAATATACCGGTTTGGAGGACCAAGCTTGATCTGTCTTATGCTGAGCGTGCGCATAGTCCCACTATTCGCAACAAAGTCCTGCTCAACATTGTAGATGATAATTTTGGCGCCGGCGTGGTGATGATGCAGATTGTACATTAAAGCATGGACGGCATGAGCAAGGCGTTGATCAGAGGCAGTCGTCTTTGAAAGCGTGGATGAAATCAGAGGGCATGATAGACAATATAAAAGCTTTTCAACTTGCTTGGTGCACCTCTCATGAGCGCTCTAGCGCAAGATCTAACAGAATCGATCGGTTCCAATAAAGCTTCCCGTATCTGTGCAGGGGCTCCTCGAGCTTGGGAGGTGCTCAATGCTGATCTGTGCTGTGCCCGTCATCGTCCTCGGAGACTCAAACCCCGTCGTTTTGTTGCGGGCGACACCAACAGGTAGATTTATAGGAAGGACATTGCGAGAAGAGTCGGGTTTGAGGGAGGGTACCACATGATAAGGAACCGCACACAGGTGCTTAAGCTCGGAAGCCGAAGCCTGTCCAGAGAGTGTGTGGGATGTTTGGGTGGAATAGGCAACTTCACGAGGTTGACTTCGCCACTGGTTCCAGAGGTCCTCTTCGGAACACATCGCAAGAAGTTGGCGACACTCGCATAGGAAGAATGTTGATACTGTTGTTCATTTGACCCGCCACTGACCGTGTTAGACCAGGTATTTCGCCTTACTTCTACCAAACGCCGTTGCTGTTCAAGGCAATGAATACATAAACATCAGAACACGCTGATATAGTTCCCTATCCTCTCCTTTTGATTCTGAGCAATGCATTCGGCAATCCAGGTGATATTCCGGATTTCCTAAAACAATGTTAGACAACGGATTAATTTATTGAAACGATGATAGGAGGCGCTCACCTGCTCTCGTAGCTTGACCCAGGCATATATCACCGCATGTGTAAATTGCTGCGTGAAGACGAGCTTGGACAATTCCATCTCTTTCTGGTAGAATAGGTCTTCGAGAGACTTGGATTCTCCGCCAATGCCACCAGACATATTGCCACCGCCCACACCACTACTTTGGTTGAGCCCTACCTCATCAAAGAATCGTTTGTAGTCACCAACGCCACTGACAGCAAGTCCGACACCTTCCAGGTCTTCAGCTCTGGAAAGCATCAGCATTCCCTCAGGATAAAGTTTTCCCAATTCAGGGTACAACTTCCTCCGCTGCTCCTTGTTGAGTTCAGTACCGAAGGAATTTATGGTGATGTTGATTGCTCGGCGGTCAGCTTCAAATTCGAGGATTTCCGACATGATTTCCCCGGTTGGGGTCATCGCCATCTCCGGGTCATTGTTGACGAAATGGTGGAAATCTTCCAGGTAGTTCTTGTAAAGAGTATTGCGAACAATTTCGATGTTAAGCTCGTCCAAATCTTGATGGCTTAAACTGCCTTTGAAGTATGGAGCAAGAGGTGTCTCGATCAAAACCGAGTTATACAACTCTTCGATGTTGGTAGCCACACAGAGCACTGGCATTGTCTCAAACCAGCCCAGCGGATGGCATCTTTCCAGAAGCTCCTTCGTATCGCGTTCATGCAAGGTCCCGGTGATGAGAAGAGCGACGTTGTCAATCATGTAGGAATATGTTAGATACTCCATGAACTTCGAGAGTGAGCCAGTCGCCTGTCCCTGTAGGTATCTGAAGTCTGCCACGAGCTTTTCGGTAGTCTTGCTGGCGAGAGCAGACGTGGAGGGGTTGGGAGGTAGCGTAGACAGGGCGTCGCCATATGCAGGGCCTAGCTGGAGCTTCACATCGTCGATTGTTTCACACTGAATAAGCTGAGGTCACGTTAGGACGCTCCATGTGGAAATAATGTCAGTATGGACATACATTACTGTAGTTCGAGCCTGTTAACAAGCTATTCCGGTAGCCGCGCACAATCCCTTCAAGGTAGCCGCCATTGACATTGAACAAGAGTCCTGGGAGATGATGTTAGCGATGGAGAGGTGTAGATGCGTGATGAATAGCATACCCTCCATTTCGACGATTCAAAGATTTGCGTTTGATGGTGAGGGAACGGCCGGAGCAATTTCAGGCTTCGGGAGGGTCTCAGGTATTCTTGCAATCATGCATCAAGGGAGAGAGTGACGATGTTGGCTTCGAGGGCAGGCAGGCGAATAGATCTACCGGAGCTGCGGACTTGCAGTATGATCCTCGAATATGATGCTCCCCATTGGAGACGGAAGTCACGTGTAAACGGTCGCTGGCATCCACGTGACATGTTGCCCACGTGACAGCGTTCATATCTTGGCAATTGCGGGTCCAGATTTTGCAGCTGCAATTTTTTGGAGAATCACTGAAACTTCCAAAGTCCCAGTGCCAATCGCTCGAGTTCCTTTTACAACGAGAATTTATCGCTATTGCTGGCGTGGCAGTATCGCAATTGATCTATATTTCTTGCACCCGATCCTTTGGTGCGCTATAGCGCCTCTCCTCCCAACATGACCCTCCTGGTCCTCACCGAAACATCGGCGGGCTATGCGCTTCTCAAAGCAAAGGACAAAAAACTGCTCAAGCGGGATGACCTTGCCTCCGACCTCGCTGGTGTCGAAAATGTCACCTCATTGCTTAGGCTGAAAGAGTTTCAGAAGTTTGACAGTGCGGCCGCTGCTTTGGAAGAAGCTGCTGCCATTGTAGAAGGAAAGGTCACTCCTAAGCTCGCCTCATTACTCGATACCCTCAAAGACGAAAAGAAAATCTCCTTGGCCGTTGCAGATCCAAAGCTAGGAAATGCGATCGGAAAGCTCCCTGGCTTGGACATCAAAGCAGTTGCGGACTCCACCACCGCCGACCTCTACCGTGCAATCCGTGAACATCTCCCATCGCTGATACCTGGCTTACTACCGGACGATGTGAAAACAATGTCTTTGGGTCTTTCGCATTCGCTTGCAAGACACAAATTGAAGTTCTCTCCAGACAAAATTGATGTCATGATCGTACAGGCCATCGGATTGCTGGATGATCTAGACAAGGAGCTCAACACATACGCGATGAGGGTCAAAGAATGGTACGGATGGCATTTTCCCGAAATGGCCAAAATACTCAACGACAACCTTGCATATGCAAAAGTTGTATTGAAAATGGGCATGCGGACAAATTGGGAGTCCAGTGACCTGGCTGAAATCCTACCGGAAGAGATTGAAGCGGCCGTGAAAGCGGCTGCGGATCGATCAATGGGTACCGAGATCACTGACGAGGACCTTGAGAACATTCAAAGTCTTGCCGAACAAGTGGTCCAGTTCACGGAATACCGAACCCAACTAGCAAGCTACCTCTCCGCACGGATGACCGCAATTGCCCCCAACTTGACTGCCCTCGTTGGCGATTTGGTCGGCGCACGACTAATCGCTCACGCAGGAAGTTTGATGAATCTTTCCAAGAGCCCTGCTAGTACCATTCAAATTCTAGGAGCCGAAAAGGCCCTCTTCCGCGCTCTGAAAACAAAACACGACACACCCAAGTACGGTCTACTCTATCATGCCTCACTCATTGGACAGGCATCTGGCAAGAATAAAGGCAAGATGGCTAGAGTCTTAGCCGCCAAGGCCGCTTTGGGTCTCAGAGTAGATGCTTTGCAGGACTGGGGCGAGGATGAAGCTGATATTCCTGAAGACGAAAAGGCTGCACTAGGTCTGGGTGCAAGAGCGTATCTGGAACGAAAACTTGCGGGGTTGGAGGGCAAACCTATCAAGCCTAGAGGCGTTGGCATTGCACCAAATGGTGTATCTGCTACGCAGCAGCCGAAATGGGAGATCAAAGAGGCCCGAAAGTACAATCCAGATGCTGATGGGCTTGCTGGCGATGAAGCCCCAGCTAAGAACGAGAAGAAGTCTAAGAAAGACAAGCTCATTGAGGAAATCTCAGATGTGAATATGGAGGATGGAGAGCTTAGTGATGATGAGGCAGAATCCCAACCAGATGAATCCATTGACTCAGATGAGGCCACCGTCATCGTACCAGCAAGAGTAAATGGGGTCAACGGCGTTTCTGAAAAACTATCCAAGAAGGCCGCAAAAGATAGGAAGCATGCCGAGAAAGCTGCTCGGAAATCCGAGAAGAAAACGACTAAGGGGGAAAAGTCGTCGAAGAAGCAACGTACCGTCGAAGAGCTAGCCGAGCTGGCCGGGCTCAGTGTAACAAGGTACGAGAGAAAGCTTGAGCGTGGAGAGATTATCTTCTCGGAAGATGGCACCCCATCAGCTGTATCCAAGAAGGAGATCAAGAAAGAGAAGAAAAAGGCGGCAAAAGCTGCAGCCAATGGCGAGGTTGAGGGCAGCAAGAAACGCAAGCGGATAGAGGAAGATACCGAGGCCATCAAGTCAGAAAAGAAGAAGAAACGGAAAGAAAAGGCATAGGCATAGTGACTTATTATGCTGTTGGTCCATTTTACGTTTTCTAATCTTTCTTGCATGGCGCCTGGGTGAGGAGTTCTTAGTGGGAAGGGGGAACGGAATTGATGGTCATGTGGAAAAATGTACAATTTCCGTGATGAGTAAGAAAGGGTGCTCATCATTGGCCTACTTCGTACATGGGCACAGTATTGCTAGTCAATTAGATGGGTGGTAATCCACACTTATGAAGTTCTACATTGTCTTGAGTCTTTTATGTATCTAACCGTGCAATTAGAGCCAAGAGAAGCGCACCAGTAGTGACTAAAGCCAGCAACAGCAAATTGGGTCTTTACACTAGTGTGTACAGCGGCATGGTATCGCAGAACCGCAACTATAGGCCACATAATGAAAGCTGCCAGGTTGGAAACCATCAAAAGAAACAGGAAGAGACCTACAGCATCAATATGCCACAGAGTGACTAGATTAAGTGCCTATGTTGGCGGATTTGGACCATTAAGGGCACCCATAATGCCGGCGGTTGGGAGACCTTGCTATATTGTGCTGGTTGCTATTGTCATGGGTGCGTCTTTTGGGCAGATCCAGGATCTAACGTTTTGATTCCGGAGTCCATAGCGTCCAAGGTTGAGCTGGCCCACACGATTTCCAACATTTACGTTTGGAGTAAATTAGTTTCCCATTAACAAGAATGTGCCCCGTGATGGAAAGATTGCTTGCTTGAACTTCGTCGATGAAAGTCGTAGTTCTCACGGTAAAGATTGGGGAACGAGAGTCATCTTCGATACCAAGATAATAGAAATTCCAATGTGACATCCCAAGCCGTGGTCTGCCATATCTGGAACACAAGGGATCTGGAGAGGGTGGTGGTTATCTGAGAGCACGCAAATAGAGTGCTCGTAGTCACAGATGGTGGGAGGCGGCGCGGTTGCTGCTGGAATGGTGTACACAATGTTTAGCCTTCAAGCATTCATATTATCTGTGGTAAGCTTGTCCTCGATGCCCATTGAAGAATACATGCTCCGTAAGTCAGTCCACAACAGCTCATTTTAACCGATCGATGCAGGTGGCCCAACCATCAAGTTCTGGGCTGAGATTAGCTGATCGTAGCGAACTTGTATTGTCACGAAGTGCTCTTGCCACACAATTGTAGAGATTCAGATGGACCGTTCAGCGTTGAAAAGACGGATAAAATCAGAGCATATAATCCCGATAACCAGCAAACGCAAAACTGCCAACACAACCGGGAGATTCCCGAACAACAAATACCATTTCAAGCGATCATTGGAAGGCGATGCTGCGGCCCACGGGAAACAAATGGACTGGAACGCGTCCTTCGTGGCTATTTCCGAGGAGGGTTTGGATCGCATCGTCGAATAAAACGGATGCGTACGAGAGAGGAGACGACATTCTAGTAATGAAGCAGACGAGTAGTGCTGTGGGGACAAGTAGCAAGACTGGACGATAGGTCACCTCAGTTGGTATAGATTACTTCAAAAACATGATCAGGATAAACATGAGAGTAGAAGATTGTGGAACTTTGCATGACAAGGCTGCTGTCACGATGTTCGGCCTTGGGTGAAGGTGTGCTCAAAAGGCAAAGGGAGTGAAAGATCTCCTGCATGGTTTGCTACTTGTCATTAAACGTAGCGTCAATCATACATCTTCATGGTGGAGGGATCAATCTATTGCTTCTCAGACTGATCAAGGTGTCTTGGAAGGTGTGCCGACCTCTTCGGAAAGAGGTCCAGTCAAGGTGCTTGGTGACCGCCCGGAAGCGGGGAAATGGGTTCTGCCGGCAGTATGATTTTGTTTGTTCACTGCGCAGTATATTTTCTGGAAGGTATTTGATAAATTCACGACCCAGTACCGAGCGATCATGAAAAACTTAGCTGCTGCTAAGAAGTAAATTAGTGTGTTCCTGCCTTAGAGATTTGGCTCTGCTAACACCTTCGCCTGCTCTCTTTCGGCCTATTCATACCACACAATTTTGAAGTTCCGTTGGCACTTAAAATGAAGGTCCGTTCAGCGCCCCGTCAAAGTAGCAATTGTACTAAACTGGCCAGGTGCTCGATCCTCAGGCCGCGCTGATGACCACAGCAGAAGTACATCAATTTCTGAGTAGCCACCCCCCTCGACCTAAGCAGAAGAAGATAGGGACCTACCAGCCAGTGGATCTGAAGAACTACAATGTTGTGCGGGATGATGTGAGTGACACCTTTGCCGTTGACCAGTCAATCTTGCACCAAATACTGATCAAGGGACTCCTTAGTTTCAACACTATATTGCCACGACGGTACCCTACACTCTCTCCATGCCGGAAGCCTTCATAAAGAATGTCGTACCCAGACTCCGCCGAGTTGGCTTGACCAAGACAGAGGCTTTGATGCTGATCAATTTGGGTGTGGGAGCACACCGAAATGGCAGCCAGCAGAAAGCCGGTGATGCAGCTCCTCCATCATTCAATGGAAATGGAGAAGAGCTAGGCGAGGAGGCTGCGGAAGTGGAACAAGAGCAGGATGATCGCCAGTTGTTATCCCTTGTGGTTGAAGAGCTCGAGGAAAGATTCCCTGGTGAGGAGGGCGAGGCCATGATTGACAGCATTCTACAGATCATCAAGGATGCCTATCAAGATTTAAGGCCTTCCAACGAAGATCCGCATATTACAACTTTGAATGGAACATTGCCCACATGAACATTCCTTCGACCGCCCAGGACATACATATCTACCCGCCGGTACTACAATTGGCAGAAACGCCGTCCGTGCCAAGTGCCGGCTTTGAGCCAACCTTTTGAAGCTTTCCCGTGTACGGAGTACGAAATGACAATCGTGGCGAACGAGGGTATTGCCAGGAACAAGTCTTGTCAGGTAACGCTGACACACCCACCAAACGACTTGCCCTAGACCGTAATGTCGCAAGAAGAAAGCTTCTCGAAGAAGTCCGGGCTGTCATGGGTAACTGCATGTGATAAGTTGCACCTACCATCACCCGAAGGGTGATCGGCTGCAGAATTATATCGATCTTTGCAACGTATCTCGCCCAGCCACAGCTAAGATTTCGGTGGGGACCGAAACTGCGATGATGGAGGCTCATGCGGAACGCAATCACGTGGTCGAAGTGGGCAGGCAGAGTTGCACGTGACATCTAAAAATACTTTCTGGGTACGACTGTATGAGTACGGAGTACCTTGTACCATGGCGCTGATCTCGGGGTTGAAGGATGCCAGCCTGCAGAAGATTAAGAAAAATTCGAAACTTACTAAATTTGGCCCCATTGATGCGATAAACGCACGAACGTCTGTGCTCAGCAAGGAAATCACAGTTTTGAGCCCCAACTGTGGGACTCGCTTAAAGCGGATTCAAGGAGAGCAACGACCCCCTTTTCGCGCTTCGCAAGGAACTATCAGGCTCAGAACCTCCCCCCCCCCCCATGCCAGGACGAAGTGATGGAACACTTAACTTGGTGACAGCAATATTTTGCGCTTGAACCCTGAACCAGCAGTCTCATGATACAAGTGTCGCCCTGAGAGAACAGATGTCAATGAAAGACTTCTTGACTTTAAAGTTCCAATAATGAGTGGCTGCGTCCGGGAGCAAATTTGGTCACTGCCGGAGGATCATACAAGACATGTCACTATCCGCACACCTGTGTCTTTGTATGCAATGTGCTCAGTACCCATCACAGACCGTCAGGCGATTAGTATGGCTTTCAGCATTATAGAATCTTAAACGCACCCAAGCTACGCCTGTCACTCCATCGTCCTCCAGTCAGAGACTCAGAGCCTCTTCCAATCTCCACAGTTCGGTTTCAGAGTGGTGGAACGTTCTCGCCTGAGAATTATCCTGTCCCTGCTTTAGCGGTTAAGCCGCAGAAATTGACCAGACCCCTTCCCGGACTAGTTGGGTAAAGAGATCGTCTGGCATTGGTAGATGATCTTTTCCTAAGCCTTACGAATCCGTCAAATCCTACCACCCAGTTGGAATAAGGTACTCCGTGCACGAGAACTCCTCTGGGTATCAGGGCAGCCCATCTCATAAGGCTAAGGGGTCTCCACGGCGGGAGGGAATGTGGCACCTCGTTTTTGACCATCAGCTCCAGCGTTTTGACTTTGTCGATACGGGTACAAACCGCCCCTGCTTGGACTAGCTGACGAGACCCTTGGGCCAGACCGTAACGGTTCATAGGCCTTCGAACGCATTGATCAGTACGAGGTATTCTTAACTGCCTCCCGAAGTTGTTCCCTGGGAGACCTTTTGATGATATATCACCTTCGCTGCAGCCCGACCTTCCCCAGAGGTAAAACGTAACTCTCACGCCCCCTCGTGTCCGTAACTATTGCCTTTAAGTACAGAGTACCGTCCCACCCTCATTTATTTGATCTTACTTTCCTTCGTTTTTCTCTTGCTTCGCCCACTTCTATAAGTATTTCTCAACCTCACGAGCAATCACGCTATTTCTCCAAAGCACAATGGCACAACAATACGGTCAATCTCAGCAATACGGCCAGCCCCAACAGCACGGTCAAGGCCCACAGTATCCTCAAGGCCAACAAATGCCTCATGCTGAGAAGCAGCACGCACAAGCCACCTCAGCATACGCACACGCCCATGGCGCACAAGGAAAATGGTCCTTCGGTCTCTTTGACTGCTGCTCTCCATTCGGCACTTGTGCGTATAGAACCGTAGTTCAATTTTCGAACAACGGCCACTGACTATTCCTTCAGGCTGTCTAGCAACATGGTGCCCATGTATGCTCTACCAGAAGAACCACGATCTCGAGCGTGGTGACGCCGATTCCAGTGGTTGTGGCGGGCAGGTAAGAAATCAAACCCGCTAGGTAGCCTGCACAGGCTTGCCCTATGTATCCCCCTGATCTAACGCCTCCCAAAATAGTGTTTCGCGTGGTATTGCCTGTCATGCATCGGTGGACAATGTATCTTACAATGCATCAACCGAACCTCATTGCGTGAGAAGCACGGTATCGACGGTGGCAGCTTCGGTGACTGCTGTGTGTCGACTTGGTGCTCCTGCTGTGCTCTCGTCCAAGAGAACAAGGAAATCCATGTCCGGACGTCTGGCATAAATCCCAAGACGAAGCAACCCTATTCCAGCCCCGGCCAGATGACCTACCCATAAATCTGATTTGTGAGAGGGGAAAGCTAGTTCAGGTGGCGTTTTTTTGGTCACTTTACCCTGGTCTGTTTGGCGCAGATAGGTGTCGAATGTCAAGGTTGTCAGGTATGAAAGGTTGATTGTTGGAAATCGAGTCGAGTTGATCGTCGACGTCGCGCATCTCCAGCTGTGGGTTTTATGGATATGACATGTGACGGAGACTTATGAAGCCTTGTCGTCCGGCTTTGACTTACTACTTTTCACCACCACTCATGGTCTCCAGTTTTTCTAGGTTGCCATTCAATAGAAAAAATTGCTTGCTACCATCCTCGACGACGTTCTCAAGATCTTGGGGTTGAACGCTCGACTCGTGTTCTGCAACATCTGTCTCACACTTTCGGGAGCTTCACTATTCGCATTCACTCTTGTGCAGATAACCGCCCAGCAGCTCTCATTCCTCTCTCACCCTTTTGAAAACTTCATTTCTGATCATTGCCACCTCGTTCATCACATGCTCATCCTTTTGTTCAACTCAGGCTTTGCAGTCATCCCTTCGATCTACTTCGCAGCCACGATATCCTCGAACTGATATCCTCTACCGTACAAAATGGTTGCAACCCCTTTCCTGTTCATGACTCGGATCCTCCCAGAGTGGACCGTGGAACAGACGTTATTAAGGTGTTGGTTGGGTCGGACAAGTCCGAATTCGTCATACACAAGAACCTCATCTGCGCTTCGTCCACATTCTTCACCCGCGCTTTCGCGGGCAACTTCGCCCAAGGTGCTTCTCAACAAATCGAGCTACCAGAGGAGAAGTCGTGTCTCTTCAAATTCTTCTGTGACTGGTTATACCTGGCTGAGTACTATGGGGCTAATTGGTCTCGGATACCTATCGAGACGGAGTATGGGTTAGATACTCGCTGGCTGTTGCTCGACCACATGGGCGATCGGCTAATAATCCCGGGAATACAAGTGCTCGTGTTGAGACAGTTTTTAATGAGGCTATTCACTATACAAGGGGCATCTGTCCCGACCGAGGAGATGATGAAGCTCATCTACGAGCCGGATGGAGAGAAGCTCTTCAGAAAGTACATCACAGAGCATGTCGCTTTTTGGCTTTCAACTACCGGCAACCGGGACGCGTGGGGTAGCCATTGCAAGGGCATCAAAAAGTTGGGGACTGATTTACTACTGGAATTGGGCTCCAAGTTCCAAGGAGACAACCGGCTTCTTTCTGTCGCCCATCCTTCAGAAAGATTTGTCGAGCTCACAACTTCGCAGGGTCTCGATTTTGAGGAGCTAGTTAAGAAAGCTCGACTGGCAGATACTAAGACCTTATCCAAGGAGTCATCCAGTATGTTCCGCCAAGTGATCAAAGATCAAGATCATAGTAGAGGTGGAAGCTAACATTTCGAAGAACCGGACGATGCATCGAATCCCAAAACGACAGCCGGTCTCGTCGACGGATGTGCCAGAGATGGGCGGGGTAGAGGTCGAGGCGATCAAGCTAGAAGACGACGAGGTGGCTTGTGACCGAGAGATATACCAAGTCCAACCGGAGTCAAGAGTGTCCACCAACTTAGTCACAACCGGAACTATCCAATTTGTTACCCTTAGCACGATTGCCTTGACTAGATCGGCAACGGATTGATTTTTCGAAAAGATCCTGGACCTATAGCTCAGCAGGGCGATTGGGAGAAGAAACACGTAGCACTTGACTGTACACCGACTAGTTGGCGAATCAACAAGGGTGTGAGTGTCAGGAGGTCCGAGTTTAGGCAGTTGCATAAGGAGCCAGCCACATCCTAGATTTTTGCCCAGGAAGGATAGGGGGATACTTGAATCTTGTGCCTCTATCATACAATATGACCTACCAACAAACACCAGAGGTGACTCCACACGCATATAGTCCATGGTAGAGAGTAAGGAGGACATTGGAAGGTCGTTGAGATTCGAGCGTGACTCCTCCGAAAATCGGGACTCGGGCTGGGAAATTGAGGACCACCGCCTTTGATAATGGACTAACCACATTCGGCTTATCGCATTAACGTCACTCTTATCTGTGTCTCTATGTGTGTCACTCCCACCCTCACTCCCACTCCAAACCTGCGACCTGCGACCTGCCCGCCATTCAATCACTCCCAACAAGCATTCGTTGACCTTCCACACTCCTTATTCTACTTCACTCATCATGGGCAACTCACTATCAGCATCCCCCAAACCATCCGACCAGACTCAGGGTGAGGTCGAGAAGATCCTCATTCAGCAACTCCAGAATCTCCGCACCGGCCGCGGAATTCGGCAACGAGAAGTCGACCATGAATATGTCCAGGTTGAGACTGAGAAGGGCATCCCTCATACTTATTCAACAGACCCAACTCTCTCTGTAAAGTCTGCCGAAGCATGGGAGAAAGAACTCCTCTCCGACCCGAAGAACCGCTTCGCCCTCAACGCTCTCCTCTCCAATGACATTCGCAACATTGTTGCCAACAAAGTTGCTACCCTATCTGATACCCAGACGTTCAATGTCAAGATTCCCTTCGAGGGTTCGCCTGTTACAAATCAGAGGTCTTCGGGAAGATGCTGGCTGTTCGCGACGACCAACGTCCTCAGAGTACCTATCATGAAGAAGTACAATCTTAAAGAATTTGAGCTCAGCCAAGCATACCTTTTCTTCTGGGACAAACTGGAGAAGGCAAACTGGTTCCTGGAGCAGGTTATAGATACTGCAGACCAAGAGCTAGACAGTCGATTGGTCCAGGAACTCCTCGGGGCGCCTGTGAACGATGGTGGTCAATGGGACATGGCCGCCAACTTGGTCACGAAATATGGTTTGGTATGATACCTGCATCGTCGCGGTTGACCTCTACTAACTTGTGCAGGTTCCTCAAAAGCTATATCCCGACTCATATAATGCCATGAACTCGGGCGCCCTCAACTCGATCCTAACCACCAAGCTGCGCGAAGATGCCCTCGCCCTCCGATCCCTCGTGAACAAACCTTCAGTCAAGAAATCCTCCATCATTGCCACAAAGGCCAAATTCATTCAAGAGGTTCATCTTGTTCTCACACTTTTGCTCGGCCCGCCTCCAAAACCCGACGAAAAATTTACTTGGGAATACTACGACGCGAACGAAAAATACAACTGCCTGTCCAAAACACCACTTGAACTTGCCAAGGACATCTCTAGCCCAAGCGTCGTTCGCTCTCTCAATGCTAACGTTGGGGAACTCTTCAGTCTTGTCAACGATCCACGCAATAAATACAATCAACTTTTGACTGTCAATCGCCTTGGCAACGTCGTCGGCGGTCGACCTATCACATACGTTAATGTTGACATGAACACAATTAAGAAAGCCACAATAGCGATGCTTCATGCCGGACTACCCGTTTTCTTCGGAAGTGATGTGGGCAAATTCTCCAACTCGTCCTCCGGCATTATGGACACAGCTCTTTACGATTACAGCCTCGCGTTTAACATCCAATTGGGTATGAGTAAATCCCAACGCTTAAAGGCCCGCGAATCAGCCATGACCCACGCTATGGTTCTGACGGCTGTGCAAGTGGAAAATGGCAAGTCTGTCCGCTGGCGCGTCCAAAACTCGTGGGGTGAGAGTGCTGGTGAGAAGGGCTTCTTCGTCATGACAGACAAATGGATGGATGAATTTGTTTATCAGGTGGTTGTTGATCCGGGCTTCGTCAGCAAGGAGATTAGGCACCTCCTCAAGACTGAACCTCTTGAGTTGCCACTTTGGGATCCCATGGGTGCATTGGCATAGGTTTACCTCAGTTGGAACATGGATGAGATTGGACCGTGGAGGAAAGGCTAGCATGAGAGATATTTATTGTACTTCGATTCAGGCGAAGGCAACGCGCCACCTACTTGCTCCATATTATTAGCGATGTCTTTAAATGATCATGAACAAGATAAAACAGAGTCCTAACTTGGACTTTGATGAGGAATTTCTGATCGAATCACTCAGGGTTCTTTGCAAGGGTAGGGCATTCAGGCGGGTGGCCATCATCACTCAACAAGGCTGGCACCCGCTGGTATCCCCTGACTTTGGTATTATTACGTAATGACGAAGCTCTCGCTACAACACACAACAATGTGAATCGGCTGGACGACAGGGTAAAATTATGTGTAGAAGTCTAAGATGGAAACACTCGCATGTGCTCTCGATGCTCAGAATTCCCTGCCCGATTCCTTTTTGACTCGAGAGACTGATTGCTGCCATTTGCCAGCTTTGACCCCCACTCCGTTGTGCAATGCAAATAAGCAAATATTGCCAAGTTTTCCCGCGGACGTCAAAATACGGTCAAAGAGCACTTCCTCCTCGCCACCTGGGACTTCTCATGGTTGTATATCAGTACTTGTTGCATCGAATTTGTTATTGCCGTCGTTGATGATCAAACATAAAATCTTTATCTCAAAATGCTTTCTGGGGGGTCCCATCACGGGTGGCACGAAGAAGTCCGGAACATCATCAAGCTCCAGCTCGAAGCCGGTGTTCCAGGCAAAGTCATAGCCCATTACAACAAAGTCTCAACGTCATTTGTGTCTCAGATGAATGTAGAGCGGAAGATGGGGCCAGAATTACTCGAGGCGCGCCGAAGGAGCAGAGGCCCCAGAGCCAAAATATCGCCAGCAGCAAATGCGGCTTTGGCAAGGATTTTGGAGGAGGACCCGAACGCTCTTAGGAGTGAGGCTGTCGAGCTTTAAGGCATAACTTCGACATCGGAGTGAGCGAGTCGACGGTGGGTAGAGCGATGAAGAGGTTGAGACTCGCTCGTAAGGGCTTGGATGATTTTGTTGATCAACGAATCGCAGACAAGGATGAAGATAAATCAGCCGCAAGTTTGAGAGAGCAAACGGATGTGAAAAAAAGAAGGTTAGGTGATGGCTCATTCGGCCAGTCACCTTGATCATGATCCCGGCGCCGCAAGGCCTCAATGCCATGCAAAGACCTTCTGACATGTCCAGTCATCCCATGCGACCCATCAACGGGAAAGCCAAACACTGGGCAGGTTCGCTTGACGGCGTGGACCAAAATGCATGCTCCGAGATCACAAGCCTACCTCACGATGGACGATGGGACCCAAGGATATTCGAGCACAAATGTTCTCGATATTGTACCAATCAAGCAGCACCGCGATTCAAACAAGCATCGGTCTTCATTTCCCTCAGTGGCAAGTCGCATCGACTGGGGAAAATATCAAATGCTCTCTTGGAGAGACGCATTTATTAAACCCAAAATTTAGAGGCGTTGATCGGAGGAACAGCGGACCGTCAAAGCTCTCAGAGAGTTATTGGGCATGCACCAACTAAGGATGCAAATCACCATCGAAGATCAGCGATGTGGCCGTTGGGCGCGATCAACGCACTGCAAAGGGAGTTGTTGAAAATGCTGTCGGTGCCACCTCGCCATCGACGCCGACGGCACTCTGGACAGCGGGTCCTGAAACATGCTCCGCTATGATCAACATGAAATGCGAGCATGACAGATTCAGCTCTAGCTATTGGCAAGGATCTCAAGAATCCAGTCAACGAACGATAAAAGCCTATTGAAGAAGAAAATTGTCAATATCTTCCAATGATGGTTGCATCACGCTAGACACCACGACGCGACCTAATATCAACATGGCTGTATATCGATGGCAAGTACCATGAGAAAGCTTGAAGTCAATGGGCCTCACTGGTCAGTTTTCCCAGGGGGGATTGCTGCTGGGCTTTTTCTCACGTGGTCCCAATAGCTTCTTTCTAAGGTATATGATTATGCAGTGCCCAATATTCTCAACAATCACCACCAAAAGAGGTTGTGGCGGATAGCAATCCACCAGCCCTACAGGTCATTTAGCCGAGTTGGTTCGAACGCCTGTTGCCGCCCTCTGGGCGGTTGCAGTGTGGATGTTCTCAACTTGGCCAAAAAAAACCCCTTCCTCGACTGGGGGTTTTCTTCGTACGGTGACCCCGTGCAAGTTTTTTGTATCTTTTTGGCACTCTCCTTATATTGTCTTTCTTGCGATATGTCCGGGACTCGAACAGTTTGAATCTCGGGATTGTGAATGTGGGCGGTGGCTACTTGGCAAGTTTGAACCACTGTGTCGGGACTTGAGCCAGGTGAGACAGAAAGTGATCAAACTTTGCACTCGGTGTCCGCCGTGAATTTTCGATGCAATCCAATTCACTCTATCATGGCTTGATGGCGCCACACCGCGGCTCCTACTATCCTATATCCGAAATCAAAGGGATTGCCACCACAACCAGATGCGATGTGGTCAGGATCGGCAGCAGACTCCGATCCAACAGGACACAAGTTTGTGCACGACTCCCCTAAGTACGATCAACTGGAACTCCACAACTTTTCCAATCCATCCTAGGCGACTCGGGTTTGCTTGTGGTTGAGTTGTGAAAACGTCTTGTGAGCAAGGACGGGCGCGGGTATCTAATGCGCGGTTCTTCACAACACGCATAGTACCCCGTTCATGCCCAAAAGAAGCCGCAAAGCCTGTGCAAGCGACTGAGACTCAAAGATCCGACTTGCCAGCCGATGCGAATGTCTTATTACGAGTATCTGTGGGTACTTTCACGCATGTGCAGAAGGGAATCAGAGCTGGTCAAGCTGATATATTAGCTGAATCCTCATGTTTCATGTTTTACTTCTAAGGCTACGATGTGATTCAGGCCCCTCGATCTTCTAGACTGCCTCGTTGTCTAGTTAAGTCCTTCTGGAGGCAGACAGGCTAAACCAGCCGCCTGTATGTCGAATAATTGAATCCTGCATTCTCCAAGACACAAGTCCATCCACTCCAAAATCTGCTTTGAGAGGCTGCAAACAAAGGATATTTGTTGTCCAGTGTGACTCGGGCTAGGAGTCGACTTTTCCGATATGAAAGCCCATTGTGTGTGCATCAAGATCCTGGCGTGAGACAAATAAAGCCCTTGTTGATTGTTGAAAAGATGTACCTAGCGTACAAGGAGCTCGAGATAACAGCGGAACCTACCACAATGAACACCGGGCATTCCTTTAAATGGAGCTCGTTCGTTGTCTACCAAAACTGGCCCGATCAAAATATCTCAGCTTTTGCCTTTTATTCAGTACCTATTCTTAGGTACAACAGAAGACCCAGATTTTGAGCTGCGAAACTCGGTCTCAAAGAACGTAAGAGCAAAGGCTCTTGCCAACGAAAGAAGAAGAGGGAAGAAGAGGTGCCCCTACCTTCGGCGATCTCTGAAGCGGAGTTCTGTGGATTCATCCAGCAATCCCAATTGTTTATTGGAAAGGTGAGGAGGCTCCACCAGCCGTACACTCTCGAATAACAGGATTGCGAGCAATCAAATACTGACACTGTGATGAAGGACTTCGCCAATGATATTGAGAGGTCGTTCTGGATAGATTGGCAGTTAAATGGACCAACCAGTGAGAAGCACCGCATCAACAGCGCTGGCGAAGGCGAAGGCGAGGACGGCCAGGATGAAGAAGGAAATGCGCCTCGTCGCTCTATGAGCGTGTACAGCGTCCTCGTGCTGGACGAGATTGCCGGTCAACCACCGTCCCCAACCTCAGCTTCAGGAAGTGACGAGGAGAATTCAAACCCGGCGGAAGGAAGAGCTCGGCGACCAGTCCTCAAACTCGATACTGTGACGGCTGCTTTATATGCCTCCATCGATCTCGACTTTACACTGATCTGGTCGGATGAGGAGTCATCAGACACGGTGTCCCTATATGTGAGTCCAATTGACCAGTCACCAATTGTCCTTGATGAGGCTACTGATGGCAAGGCGAGTAATGATGCCGAATTCCGAGAAGTGTGGTGGAAGTGCGCGTCGTTGCAGCCTCGTGATGATATTTCTTCATTGACAGCTCTCCCGGCTCTCCTATTACAGAGAGAGGTGATCAACTTTGCGCTATAGTTGAATGACTGGAAAGACCAAGTTGAACATAAAAATTGAACAGGATGACAAAGATTATGAACTTGCTGTAAACGATAAGAGTACGCACGGGAGATGCTGTCAACTTGATTTACGGTTTGTGCATGCGTATCCCTCTCGGATGAATGGGACTGGCTTTACAAATCGTCATTCACAAAGGCCGGTGGGATGGCTGATGAGTAGTAGCAATACTCCGTACCAAATATGAGGTACTGAGATTTCCAGACAAAGCCGATGTATCAACTTCGTGTGCACTAGCCCCTAGTCAATAGAGGTAATTAATACTAGTCACTACTTAGTACAGCCAGCCGGGACTTTGTTTACCATCTAGCTAGATCTGCTGATAAATTGTGGCAGCCTCTTATTCGCTGGGAGCGGATTACACGAGCAAAGCGGAATTGCAACCGATCCGGTGGGGTTAGACCCTGATCTAGGGGTCTCTTCATCAGCAATAATATTACTTGACTTCTAAAACTCTTTTCGACCTTCCCGCTTGACCTTTAGTTGCACAGGCTGAGATGAAGCACCAAGAGTTGAATTCGATAAGAGGGGTACATTGTCGACTGTGAAGCTCCCGAAGGAGCCAAGTTTAGTCACCATGGGCGTGGCCAGCGAGGTCACCGTCCAACAACCAGCTACTGACCTCGACGTCAACGCACAGAATGTCGAACTCTCTGTCGTTGAGTCTAGTTCTTCAATTGGTGTTCCTCTCGAAAGGATTGACACCAATCCCAATGGAAGTCGGCCTGCTTGCTTCAGCAGCCTTTTGCAGGAAGTTCTATTTGTCCTGACGACCACCGTCGCGGTGGGACAAAGCTCCATATTCACAGGAGCGCTGCTGTGCATGACCAGCTTCATCGGCAGAGACCTGAATATGACAGCTGCTGAGGTGACATGGTTAAGCGCCGCGCAGACGCTCTCTGCCGGCACGTTTCTGCTGTTCTTCGGTCGCGTCGCCGACCTTTTCGGCAGGCGAATTTTGTTCTTGGTGAGCATTGGATTTTTCAGCATCTGCCTTCTAGTAGCTGGATTTGCCACGAATGCGGTCTATATGGACGTGTTCTGCGGATTGGCAGGCTTGAGTTCGGCTGCATCGGTTCCGCCGGCCATTGGGAAGTTAGGTGCAGTGTACGAGAAGCCTTCACGGCGGAAGAACCGAGCCTTCGCCTGTTTCAGTGCTGGAAATCCAGTGGGGTTCGTGCTGGGCGCGTTCATCGCAGGAGTGACGATGGAAGTCTCGACTTGGAGGACGGCGTTTTGGGCCATGTCAGTCATGTATGCGTTCTTCTTCGTCGCAGCTTGGTGGACCACGCCACCCGACACCGAGCAACAGCTTGGAGGGTTCAATGTTGCCACATTTGTCAAATTCGACGTCCTTGGAGCTCTGCTCGCCGTCGTGGGAGTGGCCATGTTCACAGCTGCGTTGACTATGGGTGGGGACACTACAGGTGGTTGGGGATCGTCATACGTGATAGCCCTGCTGGTGGTGGGCGTGGTTCTGTCTGTGGGATTTGTCTACTGGCAGAGCGTGTTTCGGTACCCTCTCATGCCATTGGCGGTATGGCGCGATCGCAACTTCAGCTTGGTGGTGATTGTCCTGTCTCTGGGATTTTACGGATTCTCTGGCAATATGTTCTGGGCGTCACTTGCATGGCAGCGGACTGAGGGTGTGTCTCCGTTGATGGTCGCAGTACGGTTACTCCCCTCAGGAATCGGCGGAATCCTAGTCAACGTGCTTGCGGCTCTCATCATGCACCGAGTCAGCAATAAGTCGATCATGCTCGTCGGAGCCGCGGCGCATGTGGTTTCATGTGCACTGTACAGCGCCACATCTCGAAGTATCTCCTACTGGGCATTGTTCTTTCCGGCACAGTTGTTCGCGGTGCTCTCTCAGGATCTAGAATTCACGGTGACGAATATGTACGTAATGTCGAGTCTTCCTTCGGACCAACAATCGGTCGCAGGAGGGCTTTTCAATACGGTCATTCGTCTGGCGGCTACTGTGGGAATTGGGATACAAACCAGCATCTACAACAGTGCCGGGGGGGAAGAAAACAACCGATGGAGGCCATATCAAGCAACATTCTGGGTGTCATTGGTGGGAGGAGTGTTGGCATTGGGATTTGCACCATTTCTGACTATTGGTCGGCAGGGAAGTCGAAAGCATCAGGATTGATTGAGAGTGTCACTATGTTACGAGTAGTAATAGTAGCCACAGGATGTAAGCAACGCAACGATATAACGAGTACAGTAATATAATTACATGGCCATTTGCTATTTGCGTTGGAAGCTGTTTCGCGTGCATGAAGCCACAGGACGCCACATGTGCCAACACTGCCAACACCCGCTGCCACGTCTCTTATCGCCACTATTCGGTCCGTTGTGGTTTGATTCTTGACTGTGCTATTTATATTGTTGCGTCTGTGGGTGTTTCACGCGCCCAACTCGTGACCCCCCAAATAGACACCAACACCAACACTACCATCCTAAGTCATTATCTGGTATGGGATGGTATATAGTAGTCAAGCTATTCTTGTTCGCATCCATATCTTCAGTTCATCTCAATCGCACTCTTGCTATACAAGGTTGAGTTGAGGCTGTGCCTGAGGCCTATCCAGAACCGGCAAGCCCTCCCTTTCTCTTGACCCTGAAATATTTCCTCTTTGTTTCACATTTGCTGCCACACAACCCCAGCCAATCACCGACATCACCTGTTTCCATTCTCAAGCGAACCCTCGACTCCCGAACCCACCCCTGGGCCTCTGCTTTGCTTCTATCGCTATCACGGATTCACAGACATTGAACAACCGCTCCCTTTTTGAACCCTGCCCACTATGGAGTACTGATCTGACTTAATTGCTTTCTCACTGGTATTGAAAGTGACACTTCACTGCGCCGCGGCCCTCTTCGCTGCGAAACCAACCGTCTCACCTCACCTCTCACCTCTCACATCTCACCCCTCCGCTTTTGCGACCTGCTCTGGCCTTGTTCGTTATGAACGATCGTCTGTTCCCCCGGCGCAACCAGTATCCAACTGTCACAGGGTATTTCTGAGTCGTACGCACCACCATCGTCATCGGAAGTCAAAATGTACAGGAGAAACAACGATCCCGAGCCCCAGATGGGTTATCATGCCTATCCGGAGCCCACCATGGACGATCGTTACCTCGAGACGATCCATGAGGTAGAGTCTTTATACAGTCGGAACAGTCGAAGGAGCAGTGTACACCAGGGTCTACCAGAATTACCTTTGTAACATCCACCCAATCTCTCCGGGTCTGTGCATTTGCTGACGTCTTTCTTTCTACCATAGTCGTGCTGTTCCGCCCACGTACGAGCGTGACTCAGTCTACTCGAATGACCCTGTCTCCCCCGTTTCCTCCCACTTCTACCAGCAGCCTGCTACCGACCGCAATATTCATAATGAAAGGCCTACATCTGAGCCCGAATCTGTGTCGCCTATAAGTAGCAAAGAGACGCTGCATCTTCACACCGATTCCAACAGCTCCCTGGTCTCTCCGATTGAGCCTAACTTCCCCACTGCAGCTCAACAACCGCGATCAGAGTCAGGAAAGCGGACCCAAATTCCAAAGAGACTACCACTCCCAATCGCCACCAACCTGAAGCCCGAGGAGCCGGCCATCAAGAAGCGCTGGTCACACAAAGCAACGAAAAGTGGAGAGACAAGATGGGATGCGTATTCAGGCGAACCTACAGATCCTGACAAGGGAAAACCCTCGTCCTATCGCTCAGCTGCACCTCAACCAGAGCCACAATTCCCTCAATTAAAGGAGAGGACGCGACAGATCCTAGCAGGGCTTAAAGAACGAGAAGCCGTTAAGAAGTCGGGATGGGGAAAATCTCCTCCACCTACAGATGATCCTCTGGATAATCCTGTAGAACGTCCGGCCTGGAAAGGTGCGAGTGGAAGAACCGCGTTGGTCGAGCCAGTCAAGAACACTCCCAGTGCAAGAACAAAACCACTATTACTCCTTCAGCGTAAAAAGCCAGAACGAAATGTTGTCAGTCCCACTGTCGAGGAGGCGGAAGAGGGCTCCCAGTCTCCGATGCAGGATATGCCAGCCGCTCAGTCTCCGCTCGCAACCATAAGAACTGTTCCTTCTGCAGACTCACTCAAACCTGTTGCTCCTCTGAAAGGAAGAAATACACCTCTTGTACTATCACCAACCGAGCCCGAGAGTAATCTGCGAGCTCTTGAAAGCCCTTTCCAGAGTCCCGGACCGGCTCCACAAGCTATATTTGATGCTTTACCGAGTCCTGCACCGAGCGCCGCCACCGTCCTAGAATACGGTGCTGATAGTCCAACCCTTGGCTCGGTCGCTTCATTCGACCCAAATCGAGCGAATTCTAGTCAAGAGTCTCTCGGCGAAAACACCAAATCGAAGCCTCTACAGCGCGAAACGGAAACCGCCTCTAGTTGGAACACATATGCAACGAGTGAGGTGGGTGACTACCAGGCCGCCCCTCAGAGTCCAGTATCGCGAGCTCAATTCACCAGCAGTCCTGTACCAATGAACGAATCCTCCACGGTGCCACCACCAATCATGCTTCGCAAACGGGTCGCCGCAAACAACAGTGCGAGGAGCTACGATGCCTACAATGGGGTCTCTCCTTTTGGAAACATCGGTGTACGGAAATCTAGTTCTAGCATACTTCGCAAGGCCGTTGGTGCGGATAAGGTCCGATCGGCCAGTATGACGACAGGAGCCTCGATAACGAAGTCCCTTCCGCCCACACCCGTTGAAGCATCCGCTGGGGACAAAGTCTCAACGCTTGAGGCTCGAATGGAAGACCTAGCCCGACGGAAGAGAAACACCAACAAGATCATTAATGAACTACGTGGGTCGTTGAAGAAGTATGCCATTGTTTATGATGCACGGAAGCGGAAGGAAGTTGACAAGATGATCATCAATCTGGGCATGGAACTGCAAGAAATCACCAACGAAGAACACGAAACTGGATTGAGGTTGCACCGGGTGCAAAAGCGCTTGGACAAGGAAGACTTCTACGAGCAACCTACGGGGTTATGGATCAAGAGAGTGACTACCTGAGGTTTGCTGCCTACCCGGGTTTATTTTTCTGGCGGTTGACATAATGGCAATCGCCCACGACCAACGACATCATCTCATTTTCTTTGTCTTGAAATTCTCACAGCGAAGCCAATCGAAGCGACACAATGCAACGGATCACAATGTATCAACAAAGTACAACGCACACGCAGGTTTAATTTTCTCTGCCCCCCGTTTCATTTGGACACCTAGTTTCCCAGGGTTGGGACAACACGAGCGAGGGCGTTGGAGGAACGAGAGTTGAATATCGGAACAAAATGGATGGGATTGCGGTGCTCCAGATGGAGCACGGAGTTTCTTTAATCGATTTTTTTCTAGCTCGGATGTACCAAGGAGAATCGAATACGCAGGATCTCACGATCTCTTTAGCTAAGGACATGCACATGGATGGATATTCACTTGTGTGATAGAGGGCTTCGGTTGTTGGGCATGGCGACGTGGGCTCTGTGCTATGGCATAATCAATCAGTCAGTCGATCGAGGGTACATAATTGGGATCCCAAGCAATTGAACGAGCAGATAGATACTCTTTGATTCGAAACATATATCTTTGAGACACAATTAAGTGTAACGCAGTTGTTGCTGAAGCAGGAATATCACCGCCCTCGTACTACGACTCGGAGTACAGCATGCTACTTCAGCGAGGCACCCCGAGAGAAGCGTGCCTCCCGCTTAGTCAGCAGGTGGGGCTGATGCCAAGCCGCTCTTGACTTCAAGTTTGACTGCGACAACTCGGTGAGGCATTACTTTATCTTCTCCACTAACTACTTCGACAGCCGCGCCTCAGCCTCGAGTCCTCGACAGGTCGTACTCCTACATACGAATTCTCTATTCTCTAGTCATCAACATATCATCATGGGTGGCGCAAGTCGTGAAGGTGGGTTCCGTTAACAACCATTCATCAAGTCGATGACTGACCTCCAGGCCAGGCGGCAAAGTCAAGCCATTGAAGGCACCGAAGAAGGAAAAGAAGGACATGGATGAGGATGAGATTGCCTTCAAGGCCAAGCAGCAAGCCGGTACCTATACCCCCCAAGGCCCACCTCAGACCAAGATTTACGACTTCCGAGACTGACACAGTCCATTTTCTCCAGATGCCAAAGCCCGAAAGGAAATGGCCGACAAGGCCAAGGGCAAAGGACCACTGAACGCCGGCCAGCAAGGCATCAAAAAGAGTGGAAAGAAATAGAAGATAGGTCTGCGTGGTGAGCACGAGGAGTTCATGTGGCTTGTAATGAGATCTATGAGAGCAATGGCGCAGAACTGGTTTGCTAGAATCCCGGAGGAACTGAACTGAAAAGACCCATTTTCAACTGAGCCGATGACTTTTGCCCGCCCTTTTGCATCAGCATCTGGTACTATACCTCCCGAATGGTTGGATTTCTTCTAGGCCTGGCCTTGTTTGTTCTGTCTGTCTTGTTCTGCGGCCTTCCGTTCCCTTCCGTTCTGCATCCTTGGAGCCTCTAATCTGCATTGACCAGCGTTAATCAGTTGATCGGCCCGATCTGAAGGCCCAAATCTTACAGCCTTGTCGTGGTAGCAGTGGAGGGGTATCGCTGCTGTTCTCGTTTGAGATATTTCACAATTAAAAGAGAGGGGTCGTTGAGCTGAGTCAAGTTGATGCATGGTGACAGGGGATATCCATATCGAGATCACTGCTTGATCTTTGTTGCAGTTGCCACTGGGGCTCCCGCTACTTCCAGGTTGAACTGCGCATTTATTTCTTCACTCTGCAGTGCCCCGTTCACATCTCTCCCACCAACTCGAACACAACACCCGAAATCTGCTATTTACTCTGAGATTCTACCATTCCCCTGCCTTTATCGAAAAGACCCACCTCGCTTTCACCTATTTCTCACTGCCTACTCCATCCATCCATCATGAACATGATGGAGGACTCTGCCAATGAACGCCGTGAAGATCGCGGTCCGAGAATCCCCCCTGCAAAATTGACAGCGTAAGGATCAAAAAATTGCTCCCGTTTTACAACTGGGGGCTATTGACTGATATTGTTTGACCTCGTAGCCTTGAGGAAACCGCAACCTACATCTCCATCTTCTACAAGAAAGACAAAAACTCCGCCTCGCAGCTAGTTGATGGCAGACTCTCTCGCGAGGTCGCCATGATCTTCTGCGACCGTATTCGTCATGACCTCATGGACAACAACAGCAAGTCTTTCACCGTCACCGGTATCGACGTCAAGGGCCTCAAATATGTTCTTGACTGGATCAAAACGAGCGTTCAAGAGAAGAAAACTGCCGACTTTGAGAAGGTCAGACCATCTGGTCCCCCACTGTGTTCTCATTTCGCGCGGGCTGACTTATAAACTCCGTCTTCTAGTTTGACCAAGAGGACCCAGATGTCTTCCTCAAGTATCTCAACGCTATAATAGCAGCCAACTACCTCGGAATCCCCGGGCGTGACTTCGCCGACAATATGACAAAGGTCATGCTGGGTGTGGCCCGTAAAGTCCGGATGAGCTGGGACCATGTCGAGTACTTTCTCTATGACCCTGAGTTGGCCAACTGCAGCGACCAAGTCCGTGGTATCGCCACCGCCAGCATCTTCTATGCCTGGTGGAGCTACAAGCTCACCGATGAAGACACCCCTGCTGACATGAAGTATCTCTCCTGGCTTCGTGATCAAGACGAGAAGTTGGATGCAGACTTGCACGACTGGTGTGTACGCAATCAAGAGGAAATTGAGAGAAAGCGGGCCGAGAAGAGAGCCAAGAGAAGAAAAGAAGCTGGTGGTGGCGGTGAAGATGCTGGAACCGGTGAGGGCTGGAACAACGACGGTGCTGGAGTGGGTGGTGGTAGCGGATGGGATACGGGAAATGCAGACGCTGCGCCTATGGCTTCTGGTGGATGGGACAATCCTCCCAACGGCGACTCACTACAAACCAACACAGGATGCGATAATGTTGCACCAGCAAGATCACATCTTTCCGGCAACACTTTAAACCCTAGTAGCCTACCTGCCAATACCGAGAGCGGCGACAAAGGTTGGGACTCTGGTATTGATCTTGCTACTCGCGAGACTACCCCTGGCACATACGATCCGGCATCGACGCTCACAGCAGAAGAAGATACTCGAGGCGCCGGCCATGCCAGTGCTGGTGGTGGACTTGTTGGAGGTCGTTTACCAGCTTTCGACAGTGGCATTGCTGCTGCTGGTGATTGGGCTGATGAGGTCAATCAACATGATCAGCATGCCAACCAACAGTGGTGAAAAGAGGTTTGGTCACTGTAGTTGATCAAAGCATGCTTGGTATGCCGTCTTGCAGAAGACACATTCTTAAAGTCTACTTCTCACTCGACGACTGGGATGCAAGTGTTATGTGCCGTGGGTAGCTACCTCTTTGCCGTGTGCGGACAAATGGAATGATGGAATGACCGCACTCTCTCGAGCCTGATTGCAAAATTCGGAGTCGATCAGTGAGCGAGAGCAGATATCGACCATGGTTAGAGTCAGAGTCCAATCAAAGCAGAAATTCATTTAACCTATGAGCTGCTGCTGCGTAAATGTACAACGAAGAAACCAAATATAAAACCTGGAAGCTCCGTCTGTACCAGAAAGTGAATAACTAGAAATACCTAGGTCTTACTCCAAAAACGCTCGCGGAGTTTTTAAATCGGTTGCTCGATCACAATCAATCTGCTACTATAGCGACCAGAATTTACAAAAGAAAACGAAGCAAGGACGTTCCGTCACTTGGTGGCTCTTGATGGTCCCGCGGAGAGAGATACTTATGGTTTAACAACATCTGGTGCTGGTTCGAGTCGTCAAGTACTTCAGCTGGGCGTTCGGTCACCACTCCACGTCTTGGTGCATACAATGGATACGTTTTGAGCCATGTGCAGGTATGCTTTGCACAGTGTTCCGTATGGCGTTATACATAGTATTATAATATGTTCCTCTCCTGGCCGGTTGCAGGGTTTGGTGATTTTGTGTCTTCATAGCCGGTCAGTCCGTTCGTTGCTGTCCATGGTCTCAATGGTGCGGTGCACTTGATCTGGGTCTCGGTGTACGGAGTATCATGTAAACATCGAGATAGCTTTGTCTTGATATTGTGCATTGCATGTTCTGGTATTATTATATATTCGTCCCATTGGCTTGGTTTGGTTACAAGCCAGCCACCACTGGCTCCACCACCCCCTCCCGCACTCGCCTCTCCCTCATGGTGTGCCTCGTGATGCGAAACATTACAAAAAGTACATATTTATGCTCCCTGCGAGATGAACTCTATCCTGACAATCCCGATCCCGATGTCAAGGACGCCTGAAAAATGAACAAAGACTGAAGATTGAGGAACGCACTTAATGCTTCTTCAGACCCAGGACGGAGGTCAGGCTGGTAAGGGTGTTGAGCACGTCGTTGACGAGGCCCAGGACGGAGCTGACGTCCACAAGGGAGGTGAGGGAGGTGACTTGGTCGACGAGGCCAGTGACGGTGTCGACGAGCGAGCTGAGATCGGCATCGACGGAGACGTCAGCGCTGACTTGGCGTTTGGTCAGGCTGGCGAGATCCCCCAGGTCGAGGCCGCCGAGTTGCGCTAGGACGTCGTTGAGAAGAGCCGTGATCTGGGTGATGGTGCCCTCGACGTCCGTGATGGTTCCGTCGAGCAGGCCAGCCACGAGTGTCTCCACCGAGGAGATCTCGCTGGTCAGGCCGGGCAGGAGGCCAGTGACGGTGTTGAGAAGCCCGCCGACGAGATCGGTCACGGGTGTCAGGTCAAGGTCCACGCCAAGATCAAGTCCGAGTTGGCGCTTGGACAGGTCCAGGTCCTCGACGAGGTCCACATTGAGTCCGTCGAGATTCACGCCACCGGTGCCGACATCGAGGTTGTCAAGGCTGATGTCGCGCTTGGCAGGTGCAGCTGTCGGAGAGAATGTTAGTTTAAGGGGGTTGTGTTATACTGAATCATTGGGCTGATTTCGAAGAACTTACCAAGAGGGGCGGCCAGCGTAGAAGCGGCGAAGATGGTGGAGATGATGATTGAGGCACGCATTTTGACTTGTGTGTGGGTTGGTTGGTTGGTTGGATTGGGGTTGAGAGAAGTGGTATGCTGAAATGAATGTATTGGGGTGAGTGTGCAAATGAGTGGACTGGACTATTTGTTCAGAGTAGTGGCTGTTGGGTTGATAAGGAAAGAATGAGAGAGGATGAGGTTCGATGAACTGGTTTATATAGATCTATAGAGGTGATCTGGGGAGAGGGGGTAAACCGTGCTCGCACTATAGTCGTTTCTTCGGTAGCATTTCATCTTCTTGTCTTGTACGTCGTAGCGGAACATAATTTGCGAACGAGGCTGTCTAAACTGTATTCATGCTTCGTACCAATCCGAACAGAGTAATGGATGAACACTTGATCTCAGCTCTTGGTGAGTATGAGGTAGTTGTGTTGATGAGTTGTAGTGGCACCATGGCTAGTTTCTGTGTGGACAGAACCGTTGTCTGTGCCTGAAGGGTTTGATATCGAAGATCTCTACTTGAATGGGTAGGGATGTGGTACAACAACCTTGAGCGTGCAATCTTGAAGAATCCCAATGCAGAGGGATCGGCGGAGAATTGCATATGTAAGGCATCTTCTGGTTGTCGATCCTAGAGACAGGGATGTGGTCGGATGGCGCCGTGGGCCCGTTGCAAACTCTCCCAGGAAGCCAAACAGGGAGTGCACTCGTAGTTCTTGTCCACATCCCTCTCCTCCCATCTCGTCAGAATCGATACTGGTACCTTGATCTCGGCGAGTTCGGCGGTCCCTCAGTCGCCCGTTACGAATCCAGTGGGCCTAGAATCTGAAAAGCGCCAGGTGCAAGGCTGTAGCTTGCCTTAAACTCTGGGGTTCAACGGTTAGAAACGCCGCCCGCCCGCAGAGCCAGGTCATCAGGCCCGGGCGTGTGAATCCAGTCGAAGTCTGACTGTGCACATGACTTGGATCTTCTGGCAACATGGTACTCCGTACGCAGATGATTCAATACTTCTCTCACTTGAGTTTCAATCTCCTGTCGATCGTGGTGGTCAATTGAGCACTTATTGGGTGGACGTCATCATATTTTGTGGAGCGAATGAGTTAGGGTCCTCACTTGGGTTTGACACAGACAATCAGCCTGGGTATCCGTAACGAGGATTACTCTGAAGTCCGAATTGCGGTGCGCTACTCCATAGTTACTAGGTACGAGTACTCCGTACTTTGGGATGCAAAGCCTCTGCTCTATTCCCCACATAGTGAGAGGTGGCCCTTTTTGGACAGGTCGGTTATTGACCAATGCAATGAACCGGTTTGTAGCATGCGGTATGGACGTGAGGCTTAAGCTTCCTGTCTGGGCCGATGGTAATTTCGACTAAGAATCCCTTCAACCTCGCCCAACCCTGTCTGTCAGTTGAAACCAGGCTCGCCCTCTCTCAAATTCGGATGGACCCAGTCCCAATGCGGTACAGCGAAGGAGCCACTTTTAGAGGTTGCGACATCCGCTCGGACAGTTTACGTCAATCAGCGCCTCTGATGAAACTAGACACTTGCAGCACCAAGTCATGGTCCCATGGAATGATGTGATGGTTTGAGGGGACAGGGTGTTGGGTAGGTAACTGTTTCGAGCTTAGTCTGGGATGCTGAGTCGGCAGGGATTGCCCAAGGCTGCCACCCACCTTTGCACACCCTCGCAGCTTGCCTTGCTCTGATCCCGTCTTTTGACTTCAAATCTCGGTCGCTCACGGCCAATATTTCGACTTCCTTCTTTGGGTTGGTACCAGCCTACCAGGCATTGGCAAATTTACGCGTAATATTGGATCAGGAGCGAAAGTGCAGCTCGAGGTAGGTGAAACAGTCAATCGTTGCTGCGCTTCTCACAGACTAGAAGCTTGGGTTCGAATGTAACACCCGCTAAGACACCCGCCGAGCAATGGCTATGCAGCCAGATTTGACGTTGACAGTTTGGTTCCTGGAATAAAGGTTTTCGGCATTTTCTTCCAAGGCGTCAGAGCCTCGGATCGGGAACCTGGGCCCTATCAAACTACTCGATATCCATGGCGGGCATAGCTTATCAAACATTTATCCTGCTTGGGTTTAGGTTGGCCGTGAGCGATGCTAGCCTCCGCACAATGTCTTGCCCGTTCCCTAATCGGGTATAGTCCAGGATCCACAGCAGACAATTACAAGATTTGATATTTTTCTTTGCAGGCGTCAACGCCAGGGGCCTTCGTGTTGTGCTTCATATTGTCTATCTCATTTTGGCTATTCTATTGCCCTTTTCTCTCTTTCCATCCAAGGCATTACAATACGTTCGTTTTTGTGTTTACAATGATTTTCTCACCGATGATCTTTGTCATTCTGTCGCTTTTGCTGGCTCCTTCTGCCGTATCACAAACATGCACACCCTGTGATGATGTGCACTTCTTTCTTGCCCGTGGTAATAACGAACCTTACCCAGGACGTCAGGGCGATTTAGTAGCGGCTACCTGTGATGGTCTGGCCAATTGTGGATATGAGAATCTCATCTATTCCGCGCTCTTCACAGATCTATCCTGTCAGTCGACATATGATGGGACCGTTGCTGGCCACAAGCAGCTGACATCGTATGCGGAGCGGTGTCCCAAGTCGAAGCTCATCCTTGCCGGGTATTCTCAAGGAGGGCAGATCGTCGCCGATATACTCGGCGGTGGAGGTGGAGTTTCGTTCAATGGTTGCATCCAGCCGTCTACCCCTGCACTTGACCCCAACACGAGCCCAGGTAGCAGACGTAAGTTTTCCCATGTTGTTGTGCTCCTCTCACCCATCGCGGGATCTAACAGGCTCGCTCACCTACAGTCTCCGCGGTCATCATCTTTGGCAACACCCGTCACACGAAGAATCAGCCGTATAATTTCGGCAATGGCTCCAGTTATGACGGCCTCTTCCCGCGAACAGATCCTGCTATGTTGACCGGACTCGATGCGTACGCAGGCATCATGCGTGACTGGTGTCTGGAGGTGAGCCTCCGATCGTGCTCTTACAATTTCCCTCTCAGTGTTTTGTCCGATGTGTTTCCGTCTAGGCCCCTGCTTTCCACTGTCTCTAGCAAACACAATCGATTTTCTTACTGATCATCTCTTCTCAGCCCGACCCAATCTGTGCAGGCAACAAATCCGATGCTCTAGTCTCCACTCACCTTGGCTACTATGATGTGTACTCTGGTGAAGCAGCAGCCTGGATCAAGTCCGTTGCCTCGCTGACGGACAATTCGGACTTTCAGACTGTTATTCCCACCAGCATCAGCGGGACCGTGCAAGACTACGCAACGGTTGGCAATTTCACACCCTCTGGGACGGTATCTACCTCAGCTACCATTGCTCCAGTCGTTGAGTGTGGAAGTACAACAGCAAACGGCACCAAAACCTCTATGACTCTTTCGACCACCAGTAAAGCGCTTAGCACTACTAGCGGCGAGCGCAGCGAAGCCACCATAGTATCCACCGCTCCCAGTAGCATCCTAACTCCTACATCGGCAGACGCAGCAGCAACTACTAGTTCTAGTGGAGGCACAAATGCTGGCAGCACCAGCATCCCTGCCATTAATATCGGCGTTGTTATCTTCTTCGCCCTGCTTGTTTCCATTGCGGCATGATCATATAGCGATTGAATTGAGTAATCGAGTAATCGAATAAATGAGATAGCTAGATAACCAGATAATGTAATATCGAGAATTTTGATCAGCAAGAAGTGCCTTCTCCTGAACATGCCATTTGCCCTTCAGAAAAGGAGAAAGGTCGATCATTTAGTTTGATAACAATCTCGATTACCATTTCGTCCATTCCTTTGGCTGGTCAACACATAGAAACGCTCTTTCCTAGATCAATTATCGACAAGGGTAGGCACTCAAAAACAGTGAACTTCAAATAGCTTGAGCCTCACCGAAGCTGACTTTTATTCCCAATAACCACTCGTGGCAAATGCTTCACCTCAAGCAAAGTTTAGGATCTTGATGGCGACAACGACACTTCCGATTAGGCGGGGCTACCTACAAAATCGCTTCCAATTTAACTTCTAGGATGTGCCAGGCTGTGTATCGAACCAGGACTTGGTTATTTTCGCCTTTCCGGGACTAATTGCAAGGACCTCATCCCTGGTACATATGAAGTACGGAAGAATTGTTGGAGGATTTGGACTGTGCAATTTGTACGGGCCAATCGATACAGGCAAGTCAGCGTCGATGAGATTTCTGTCTTCTTCTATTCTATGGTCACCGTTCTAGTTTATATAGAAAATTACTAGGCAAATGACCTCCTGGAGCCTATTTTCCATGATTCTAAAGCATTCCAGAGGCTGTAGCACTTACGCATTGCGCATCGTCATGAGGTTGCCTGCGCTAGTCACTTTGGCGCCAACAAGAATGCTCCAGGCCCTCAAACCTCAAACTGGCTACGACCGCAGCCCACCTCGCTCCTCGATGTTGATCCGATTTGAACGAACAGGAAGGCGTGTTGAGCTTAACTTCTTTCTCGTCAGTCGAAGCTCGTAGCTTGTCGCGAGTCGAGGAATACCTCAACCATGCCGACGCTCGATCGACTTCCATGCCGCGAAGGGGTGAGAGAACATCTTCCTGCGCTGAGATGCCCAACTGTATTTCCGGATGTCGATCACGATAAAATGGAGGACGGTGGTGGAAGAAGGAGGAGCATTGAGATGCTGGAATTGAGTGAGCCGTTGTTGCTGGATGCCATGTCCCTCGAATCGCTCTTTCCTTCTGACGGCCTCTCCAGCTTTTCAAAAATGGCTCCTTCCATCCACAAACACACTCGTGGCTGCCTGATTCTGATTCTGCACTTCGCACTTCGCATTGATATGTTTCCACTTCAATCTCTTTGCGAACCACCTTCTGGTTGTGCGTGCAATTCATAAACATCTATGAAACCCCGAAGTCCAAAGGTATCTGAAGTCATCATGCTCTTCCATATGTTCTCGGCATTGCCTCTCATTGCTCTCAATCTGTTTTTTCATTTCTTTTTCTGCAGTGCTGGAGTCCACGGCCGTCAGTCTTGTGGCCAGGGCTACAATGTCTGTTCTCCCCGCGGGACATCGGCTCATGATGCTGGATTCCTCGAGGCTCATCTAGCTAACCTCTACATGAACCTGCTTACGACCGTCAACCCTCAAGATGGTACACATCCGCAGATCTTTCGTGTCACAGAGCCCAAAGTTCCATCACTGCAGTTGAATGATCTGCCGGAAGCTCTTTGCTGCAAGTCTGCCATGTAGGCTACCTTAACGATGGATGATCTGACCGTGACAGGTGCTGAGACAACTGAATGCTTGCTCCTGAGGACTTGGAATGTACCGCTATGCTGGGTATTTAGGGCCAATTCCACAATGATCTAGTTGACACTGACATGTTCCTTCTAGGACCGCTTTACCACAAACTATTATCTTCCAGATGGATCCTACGGTTCTATCACCACAGGAATCTACCATTGTGCCTCAGGCGGCTCAGCCAACCTCTTTACCGGTGACTACAGCCTTCCCAATGGACAATCAGGAAATCTTTATGGTCAAGACCCTTCAGAGCAGCCCCATACTTCCACACTACACCTACCGACCCCTTACACAAGCAGTGGAATAGGATCTGCTATTCCTGCAACAGAGGTGGGAACAGATGCGTCATTTCCTACACCCAATTCCACTGGCAGTGGTTACGGACAACCACAGAATACCACCATTATCGGGACTGGGACAAGTGATGGGAACTTTCCTATTATCACAAATGTTATCATCCCGACTGCGTCGATCACACCCCCAATCAACAATACTGGAACACAGAAAACTGCAATGTATGGACAAAAGCTTCTAGTCCTTTTGGCAGTTGCAGTTGGCGGGGCGGCTAGACAGTTTTGAGTGTGCCAATGATGGAAGGCAATGCTAACGCATATGTGTGTGAGAGAGAGAGAGAGAGAGGGGGGGGGGGGTTTATGTTATTGCTAGCAGGTTGCCTGTATTTGAGCAAGGTCAGGTTGATGTGAAAAAAGGTGGTTATGTCGCTGAGAAAACAATCATGATAATTCGAAAGCTGTAAAAACAAAGGAAGCAAGACATCGTTGGCATGATGGTAAAGACGCTGAAGTGAAAGGGCTGTCAAGGGGGAAATAACCCGAGACCTGTGTTTACGTATTGTAAAGATCCATATCCGCGAATGCCAGGGTGGAAATCTCGCCATGCATTGACCAAAGACTGATGTTCACCTTCTATCATGATCGCCTGCCAACCTCGCCTACGTAACATCCACGTTGGCAGATTTCAATTATGAGGGTGCTATGTGGCTTCCGAATCTATGTCCAAGGTTTTGGTCTTCCAAGGTTCGGTGATTGAGTGCCTACTATACTACTCTTACTGCTAGTCCGCGACCTATATAGGTACAGTGTTCACTCTCAGCTGGCCAAAGTCTTTGGACGGCCAGGATTTTGTTGCTCCATTCCATCCCGCATTCATTCCGTTACCCGCTCCTTCCCAGCTGACCGAAAAATTCGTGGAACACCCATACAGTGACCGGCCGGCGTAGAGTGGGGGGCGGGGGAAGAAACTTTTTAACACGTTAGACTTCTCTGACCATAACTCTCAGTCTAACTGGGACTCGGTCCTCATGGTATTTAGGTATCTCAAATCGTTTCATCTCGTGTCGTGCTGGAGAGTGAGACAGAGCTCGGGCTATTGCTTTTCCACATCCAGCCCCTGTGTCTCGGAAAGGAGGCCGTGCTTCATTATTCATGACACATCCATGGGCTGCAAAGGAACTTGGACGGAGGCCATCCGCTGAGGGCGTGGGTTTGGGATGCCATCTCGAGGCTTATCGCAGTTCTCGTCCTCGCTGGCGTTTCCGTTTCCACTCACATTGCCATTCATTGTGCTGAGCGAATTCCCGCTGTTTAGTGGGCCCTCTGTCATGCCGTTGATTCCATTCACATTGATGCGACGCGTGACATCGATGGTGTCGGCGACGACCGGGGAGGATTTTGCGGCGATGGCTCTGTATGCGCTGCTGTTGATCGAATTGCCGTTTGATTCTTGCAACGGTGGTCCTCGCTCTGCAGAAGAAGTCCTGGGTTCATCTTGGCCCTTGCGATACCTCAGCTGCACCACCAAGGACTCTTGTGTGTTGTCGTCATCGTCAATATCGTCTGTATCCAAGCGTCGCTCGCTCATTTGATCATCTTCGTCATCTTCGTCTTCGCGGTCGAACTCTGGCTCAGACTCGTCCGGCTCATCTTCGTTGCCGCTCCACTCCCTGCCTGAAGTCTGGTCCTCGTCACTATCGGAACCAGCGCCGTCGTTGAAGGGGTTCCGAGCAGGTCTCATCGGTCTACCGGACCTGGACAGTCTAGGCCCTCGTCCACTGGGTGCTGTTGTGGGCATATCTTCGCTAGTTTCGGTAAAGTGGTCTTCCCCTGTGGTCTTATCTAGCTCTTTGCGCTGGTCGACCAGCATGCTCTCTCCGTACATACCGCCTACTCTAGACTTGACATATCTGCCACTTGCTGTGATCGTTGGTCCAGTTTCGAGGGGTGTAGAGAAGCCGGAGTTCCTCGTCGAACGCTTGGTGGACATTTCATCAGAGTCATACTCTTCATCTGAAAATGTGTATTTCATTCTTTTGCCGCGTGTCCGCCCTTCGTATAGTGAATATCCTGGTTCGGGTCGAGCAAACGCGGCTTTTCGTGCCAGGCGGTAGTCACGACGTTTTCGTTTCTGTATCAACGTTAATGATTTGCACATACGTGGAACTATGCGATAGCCATACCTCATCTCCAGCCTCAAATCTTGGGATTGCAGATCTTAATTTATCGCTGATGACCTTGGAGTTCTGAGTATGCTCATCGCCAAATTTGTCGGCTAGTGCAGCAACTTCAGGGATTGAGCCTGCGATGCTGAACCAGGTATTTGTTTTTGCAGTCTTCCCGTCATTTTCTCTGTAAATCCTGAAATGGGAGTCCTCGAGGCCCTCTACAAGCCAATATTTGCGACGATATTGATCGGAAAACCATGGTTGGACGCTTCGGGGTTGATTACGATCATCGTCGCGACGGGTTTGTTTGTAGGAGTCTTTGAGTATCGCTTGGACGGCTTCTGACTGGTTTAACGACCAAAGGGCAAGAGCTTTGAGTAGATTTAACTGTGCTGCAGTCAGACAGTGTACAAGTTTAAAGATTTTAAGAAACCTACGCGCTCTTCGGGAGTCATGTTATTGAAGCTTTTTCCACCATGGATGGGATTGACACCATTCCACACAGCTAACCACTGGTGTTGGTTTGTAGAAATCGCATCTTCAAGTGCTCGTCCATGGTGGCCGCGTCTGCGAGAGAACAATTAGCGACAAAGATGCGCACTCAATGCATCACTTGGGGCAACTGACTCAACATCTTTCTTGCGATTCAACACCAAGCCCAACAACGCGCAGAGAAGCCTTTCCGCGTGTTCGTCTGGAAATTCACCCTGAACCCCTCTTTCAATGTCTTGGGGGCCATAATGTGGGAGGGACTTGGGAAACGCGTCGCTGAAACGACTTCTGAACATGACAAGGAACGCGATTGCTTCATTGTCAGCTAGAGTATAGTCGTGAGGGGGTGAAGGGGCGCGTTTAGGAGGTTCTGGAGCAGGTTCGTCTTTTGGTGCAGGCTTGAAATAGCGATTTAACCCAGTGGGTTTGGCCATTTTGAGGACCATCTCCTCATCGTCGCTCGAAGGAGCCGAAGACAATGGTGACGAATCCGAGTCAGCCATGGCAAGAGGAACGAAGATATACTGATAATAAATTGCGCTACGTCGTGGGTGGGTTGAGGAAGGAAGGTTGGAAATTACGCAGTAGTGGAAGTCTGGCCGAAGCGGGAAATGGGAAGCGGTCTGGTTGCCAGCAAGCTACCACTTCCACTTTCTACTAGCAGAATGTACATCAACTTGGCGCGTGAGGAAGGCTGCGCCCTGGCCAAGTTATGCCAGCATATTTGACATCCTGCCCCAGCTTCGTGGCTCGGGACCAGCACCAGCATCGTTCGCAGGCAGCATAAGACTCCCCTCCTTTCATTCATGCAAATGCTCCAGATCCATACCTCTCCTTCGAAGACTTGTTGGAAGCTTCTTATTGAAATCGGTGCGTAACATGTGCCAAGCACAACTCAAAACTCAACAAATGAAGCGCGCCGGAGTGTTGAACAGCATGCCACAGCCCCGCGAATTGCCTGTGCTTCGCAAAGCAGGCTATAGGCTATAGCTGCCATTGTATCTCAGAGGAGCTGAGCGCGTATATTCCATATTTGAAAATGGCATCCAGCCCTGTATCTGCAAAATTGGGCACAGAAAATTCCACTCGCGGGGTTCTCCGAGTGACAGCATCGCACACGTTGACTCTCGAGAGTTTTCATTTCCAACAAGTAACATGAATACCTGTTGCTTTGGCGAGGAATTACTATGCCCGAAATAGCTGCTTTCAAATGCTGGCATCGGCCCAGTCCGTTTGGGAGATGTGTGTCAATAACGTCGTTGTCGAATCCCCAACTCAGTCAAACAAAATGCTGCTGATTCTTGAAGATATCCTTGTGGTGATGTCGTCGCACGGCAGTTTAAGCCGCAGAACGCCCGTGATGTCCTCTTGAAGGAATTTTAGTCGGCGGCTTAGACCAGTAATCCTGCATGGGACCACGTGAATCTGCCAGCGAAAACGCAGCAGTGATAAGTCTCAGAGAGATGCCCAGGGTTTCTAGACTCTGGTAACTGGCGGGGGCGACTGTGTACTCAAGACAGCTTGTTTTCGTGGCATTCATTCTTATCAGACAGAGTTCCTGTCCCCCAGAGACTAGCCAATAAGAGATCCGGGTCCGCCAAACCCGTTTCGATCAACCACTTTCTGAGAGGAAATTTCGATAGATGGGCAACAAAGACGCGTCCGGCAGAACTCATCATCAATTTGATGTCAAAATGGACTTACCTGTTCAACAGCTTGAGAAATGATAGGGAAACAGGCTCCAGGGTAGTGGCACTGAAATTTTGTGCATTGGAAGTCCATAATATCCTCTACCAGAAATAGACGAGAGTCCAACCTGCATTCTCAGACAAGTTATAACAGCATGACGATGAGGATGCGACATCTGAAGCTGGGAAAGCCTGTGGGTGAGGTTGGGATGTTGAAGCTGAGACACGCTGCGCCAAGAACTCCAAGCCTCCCTAGAGCCGCTAAACTCTAAAGTGCGCTCTGAGTCTTCTTGAGTCTTCCACCAACATCTGCATTACCACAAATAACAGTACAGCTAGATGAGCTTTGCCTTCATTGGTTTCACATGTGGACAAAGCAGTGAGCATAACATTACTTCTAATATGGACGCCTTGCGTAACAAAGGTGTCTGGCATGCAAATAAATACAATCAAAATTCACTCTGCATCGCAGCCAGGCCCAGTGTGGAATCGAGGCCCACAAACAGCAACCAGATCCTTTTCGTGATCTCTAGCGCTCATACCTGAAGCGCCGCGGTGTCCTCATAGAGATACTGGTAATGCAGTCGAGAAGGCGTTAGCGGATCGGTGCAGCTTTCGTTCCAATGTGATGCCGGGAAGCAGGAGTCCTCTTTCTATGTCTCGATGGAATGGCTTTTCTCGCCACTGGACCAAGCAATCTTCGACAGTAGGGCTCGACTTATGTACCACCATGACACAAGAAGCTCGATTGTAGACATTAAAAAGGTACAGGGTCAAGGCTCAAGAAGTAAAGAATCGAAATCGACTCCGAGGAACTTAGGCATGTCACATGACTTCGACGCCAAGAGCGATAGGAGCTAGTCCTCATTTGGGATTTTCGCACACTGCAACCAAGTGCGATCATAGAATCAAACGAACTTTCCTACTCCGGCTTCACCCTCTATCTCAAGACTTCAACGCCTCAAGTTGATCTCTGCCTGCCATGGGTCGAGTCATCAGAAATCAGCGAAAGGGTCGCGGCTCTATATTCAGTCAGTCTCCCGACATCCATGACCATTCCTGAATGCAATTCCTCTTCCAAAATCCCGAAAATGCGCCCTTGCCCAATTTTCATCCTCCTGGCTTGATTCGAGATAATACTGACTCTTTTTCCTAGCCGCACACACCAGATTGAACAAAGCTCCTGCCAAGTTCCGACAGCTCGATTATGCCGAAGCCCACGGGGTACTTATTCCCTCCCTGCGATCGATTTCTCACCTACGAACCGAACCGTCTTCCCTTGAGACAAACCTGCGTTGCAATTTTTGGACAAAAGAAGACTAACCATGTTATTTTATAGTACCTCCGAGGCATAGTAAAGGAGATTATCCATGATCCCGGCCGTGGGGCTCCCCTCGCACGAGTTCAATTCCGCAGTCCTGTAAGAATGCAGATCCCCATACCTAGACCGAAAGACTCACACAATATGACATACAGTACAAATTCAAGGACCGAACCGAGACATTCATCGCAAACGAAGGCTTGTACACTGGTCAATTCATCTACGCTGGAAAGAACGCCGCCCTGACGGTCGGAAACATCCTCCCAGTCGGACAACTCCCCGAGGGTACGGTGGTGTCGAATGTGGAAGAGAAGACTGGTGATCGAGGTGCTTTGGGACGAACATCTGGCAACTATGTCACAGTGATTGGACACAACCCCGACGAGGGAAAGACTCGAGTCAAGCTTCCCAGTGGCGCGAAGAAAGTCATTCTCAGCTCAGCCAGAGGAATGGTCGGGATCGTGGCAGGTGGTGGTCGTACAGACAAGCCAATGTTGAGTATGTGATGGTGAAACTAAGATGGTGGAAACAGCGTACTAACAATCCTACAGAGGCATCACGCGCAAAGCACAAGTTCGCCGTCAAGCGGAACTCCTGGCCCAAGACTCGTGGTGTTGCTATGAACCCTGTCGACCATCCTCACGGTGGTGGTAACCATCAGCACATCGGTAAAGCCTCCACCATCTCCAGATACGCTGCTCAAGGTCAAAAGGCCGGTCTCATTGCTGCCAGAAGAACTGGTCTCCTTCGTGGTACTCAGAAGACAAAGGACTAGAAGCTTGGCCCTGTACTAGTGGATGCAAAAAAGGCGTGGGTTGTGTTACAGGCTTTCACGTCGAGACTGTGACCCTTCAAAGTTTTTGGGGAAGCCATGGAGATCCTGGTTTCTCGATATGGAAAAGCTACCTACGAGGCTACGAGTAGATGCACATGGGTTGTAGCAAGGGGTCTTTTCGGCATAGGGCGGGACGTAGAAGGACTCCATGAAGCACAAATTAGTCAAGAACCAATTGAAGACGGTGTTCAAATCACAAATGATATGTAACCCCAGTTCTACTCGTACGAAGAACTCGAAGAGTATTGTAGCACCCCTAATGTCATCCTGATGATAGACAAGTGTGCTGGTGAAGATAGACAAGTACACAATTTCTGCAGCGTGCGGGTTCCGGGCTCGTGGGGCCACCTGGAACGTGGGCTGAGATCTTCTTACTACGGGATACGGAATACTAAAAGCTGAGGCGAGTACCGCCCCGGACGAGCTTCATGGCAATGGAGAACATATCCCAGAATGTCACTGAAAATGGCTCGTCCCAATCAGGGGTGTCATGGAATGATGGTGGCGTTTTGTTTCAGACGGACCTGGATGAGTCCCGCAAAAAGGGTTTGAAGTCAGGGGTTGGGGAGGGGAATCAGTGGTGGACAGTGGATGGTGGTTGTTGACTGGAAAGCGATGGGAACAAAACTGCAACTGCCACTGCTTGTGCCGCGTCACGATCGTCGCTTGCAACATTCATTATTATCATCAACCAGTACTCCGTCCTCTCCGCAAACCAGGCAGGGTGTTGGCAGCGGTCGTTTATTGCATCGTTCGTTTCTTCCCAGTTCTGCATTCTCGCCTACATAGGTACCTAAGCCTAGGCCCAAGCCTAAGCGCATACAGTCGTTCTATCTTACGCAGATAACTGCTACCGTCAGCTCGCTTTTGTTTTTGCCCGCTCACCCTGGTTCGCTCTAGCATTCCAGCAACAATACCGAGACTCCGGCCACTCCGTCACTCGCTCACTCTCGAAATAAATACACCACCGCACTTGTCTTATCGTCCGTCCCCCAGAATTCTAGTCGCCTGTTACCCTACATCCATTCTCAATATGAACGTCAACAAGAAGCTCGATCGTTTCAAGCAATGGGCGGGCGAGCGCATGGGCTCGGAGATAAAGACCAACGTGTCTGACGATTTCAAAGCCCTGGAGTTGGAAATGGGACTCCGACAGGAGGGTAAGCCTGATTCACCTCCACTATGTCCCGTCAAAGACAGCAGGCACTCACCACTCTCCCACAGGTCTCGATAAGATGCAACGCTCAACCAACTCCTATGTCAAAGCAGTATCAAAGCGATCCGAGATCGAAGGCAAGGAGAAGATATTGCCAATCGCTTACATGGGTGGGACAATGATATCACATGGCGAGGACTTCGACATCGATTCAGAATTAGGACAATGCCTTACCAGTGTGCCAGATCTTATCTGTTGTATTGCCCTCCCCGTGCTGACCGCTTCCTAGTGTTCGGTCGAACCCAAGAGCGGCTTGCTCGTGCTCAAGAAACTTACATTACTAGCGCCACAAGCACATGGCTAGAGTCTCTGGAAAGGTCTTTGGTCCAGATGAAGGAGTATCAAGCATCGCGTAAGAGGCTCGAAACCCGGAGATTGGCATATGATACGTCACTTGCCAAGATGCAGAAGGCGAAGAAAGAAGATTTCAGGGTGGAAGAAGAGCTGCGGAATCAGAAAGCCAAATACGAGGAATCAGCAGATGATGTCCTTCGTAGGATGGAAGAAATTCGGGATACTGACCCAGAGTGTGTGGCTGATCTTGGGGCTTTTCTCGATGCCGAGTTGGCATATCATGAGAAGTGTCGAGAGGCCCTCCTTCAACTAAGGAATGAATGGCCATCAAGGTATGTGCACTGTTGGGATCTCCATGCCCAGTCTAATCAGATTGTACAGGTCGCAGCAATCCCGTGGTGGCCGCCCTACACCAAGATCCAGGTCCAACACAGTTCGATCCTACACGCAATATGTCGAGCCTGTGGAAGAAGCGCCCCCTGTTGTCGAAGTCCGACCGACGATTCGATCGAGTCGTGCTCCGTCTGACTACACACCCAGCGTATCGACATCACGACCAAATCTGGGAAGATCGACTACATTCGACCATTCCCCTCAACCAACGAGAGATTTGTCGCCTGGAACAATGCCACGTATCACCCGCGTACCTAGCGATTCTCTCATGATACGGACAGCTCGGTCCAATTTGCGCAACGTTGAGGAACACGATGTTTTCGCAGATGACTCAGGCTCCTACACGAATGGTGGTTCCGATCATGGCTATGGAGATCAATCTGTCTCGCCTGCCACTTCACATGGAAGCGGAACATTCACTCCTGGGTCAGGCAAGAAAGGTGCCGCACCTCCACCACCTCCTCCTTCACGTGCAAAGAAGCCTCCTCCACCACCCATACCTGCAAAGAGATCCGTCATTACCTGAATCATGCTGGCCACGAAGTATTGTTACTGGTTTGCGTGAGGAAATTCATTCATTTGGCAAGTTTGGCGTCTGTGCGTTTTGTGGGTGTTGTTTGGTTACAGGAAAGTCGAGCCCAGGATTGTCAACCGACAAGGCAGTAGGGCAACCTCATGGAATGCAACACGAAGGTTCTCCTTTGTTTAAGCCATCATGTGGATAGAACAGACAAATGAGTCAGAAACGTTCACTCGGTGCAGGTAATCTTCGTAGTAAGTGAAGGGTCGTAGCATTGGTGTTCCGTTTCGCTCGTCAAACTGACAAGGTGGCCGGTAAATCACGTGACTGTCTGACATGTGACGCCAAGAAAAATCAATGAGGATTGGGATTAGTCCCATCTCAAGGGAGGCGCAGGGCAGCGCAGTTGGTTTTCCCGTGTGACTTCCTCGTTTCGTTGCGTTCGGAACAACGTGAAGGGCCCCTCCAGAAATCATCGACAACGCGTCGTGATCATCATCTTCCATCTCAACATACCCATCGCAAGGTCATTCAAAGACTTGAGGAGTGCGCCCGACTAACATTGCCCACTCTTCGTCCCTTCTTTAGCCACCTCACCAAAGTACGCCCAACCTCACCCCATACCCCCAGCGAGAATCCTCCATTGCGCATTGCGCCAAGTTCATCATCCTTCACAAGGCTCTCCCAATCCCTGTTCATCAGCATCGACACTACCCCAGTCACTTTTTTTGCATGGTCTCAATCACTATTCACTGGTTGCTCGAACCATAGCTGCCCGAAGTTGTCTTCAACACATCTGACGGTCGACCTCCCATGGCTTCAGTCCAACCTGCGCCGGCCATGCAGGGCCACATGCCCCCCGGGTTACCACCCAACCTTTCCCAAGCTCAAGTGCAAGAAGTTTATCAGGTAAGAAATGATCTCTGTTATCACCACTGCTTCTCCTTTGCTCTTTTGAATCCCCGCCACCTGGCTCATCACTAACAACAATTAGAAATTCCAACGCATGAAAGCCCAAAATGTCCCTGATAACGACCCGGAATACCTCAAAGCTCACCGATTCCTTACTTTGGTGCAGCAGCAACAGAACTTTCGTCGCAAACAGCAAATGCAGGCACAACAACTGCAACAAGCACAGCAGAATCAACAACATCAGCCCCCCCCGCCCCCCCCGCCGCAGCAGCCCAAGCAGCAAGCTGTCGCACACCCTCAAGAGCAAGTCAATGGCTCTGCCGCTAGCCCAACGACAAATGGTGCCAGCAAGCCTGATGCTGATTCCTCTGGTACTATCGCGAATGGTGCAGCATCAGGAAATGCTACTGCTGTAAACACCAACGGTCAAGCCCCAGCAACGCAAGCAGCACAGCGTGCCGTGGCGCAATCCAACGGTAGTTTTACACCTGAACAACTTAACCTGCTTCGGACTCAAATTTACGCGTTCAAGATGCTCTCCAAGAATCTTGCTCTACCGGCCAAACTACAACAACAGCTCTTTCCGTCTGGGAAACAGCCAGGACCCACGGGTAATGACGCCGTTACAGCTGTGAGCAAGGAGCCAGATGGTGTGCCAGATACGAGAGCCATTATTGCTGATGAGCCAGCTCATCACAAGACTTTCTTCTCATCCTACCAGTCGCCTTATGATCTGCTGGCAAAGGTTATCAGTTTTGCAGACCATTCGCAGAGAGGAAAACGACAGCACGTCCCAAGTCTTCTACCCTTGGGGCTTGATCTTGAGCAGGTCCGTGAGGAACAGGAGCGTCGCTTATATAATCGTGTCCAGGCTCGAAAGGCTGAGTTGGCAGCTCTGCCTGTAAATATTGCTTCTTGGGACACCAGCAAATCTATCGACCCTTCTCCCGACGACACTTTGAAGCTCAAGGCACTAATTGAGTTCAAAAAGCTGAATCTGCTTCAGCGCCAGCGTGAGTTCCGCCGGGAAATCCAGTCGGAATTATACGTGTACGACAATCTTGCCATGACAGCGAACAGATCTATGCATCGTAGAATGAAAAAGCAATCTCTTCGCGAAGCACGTATCACCGAGAAACTCGAAAAGCAGCAAAGAGATGCCAGAGAAAATAAGGAGAAGGCGAGACAATCCAACCATTTACAAGCTATCATTTCCCACGGCCAAGATCTTCGCAATAACGCAATTCTTCAACATAATCGTACCCAGAAACTTGGAAGGATGATGGTCACCCACCATCAGCACATGGAGCGTGAAGAGCAGAAACGTATTGAACGTACCGCCAAACAGCGATTGCAGGCATTGAAGGCGGATGACGAAGAGACTTACCTGAAACTCCTTGGTCAGGCTAAAGATTCGCGCATCACACATCTTCTGAGGCAGACTGATGGCTTTTTGAAGCAGCTTGCTGCGTCTGTCAAACAACAGCAGCGGAGCAACAAAGAAAAGTGGGGTGAAGATCAATATTCCGACGAGGACATCCTGGATGAGGACTCAGAAGATGAGGAAGGCCACGGTAAAGTTGATTATTATGCCGTCGCTCATCGGGTGAAGGAAGAGATCTCGGTACAACCTAGCATTCTCGTTGGTGGATCCTTGAAAGAATACCAATTAAAGGGTTTGCAGTGGATGATTTCGCTGTACAACAACAACCTCAACGGTATTCTTGCTGATGAAATGGGTCTGGGCAAGACCATTCAGTCCATCAGTTTAATCACTTACCTTATTGAGCGAAAACGCCAGGCTGGACCGTTCCTGGTCATTGTGCCTCTCAGTACCTTGACCAACTGGAATTTAGAATTTGAAAAGTGGGCACCATCAGTCAGCCGAATTGTATACAAAGGTCCTCCGAACACAAGAAAGCAGCAGCAAATGAGGATCCGACAAGGAAACTTCCAGGTTCTGCTCACGACATACGAATATATCATCAAAGATCGTCCAATTTTGAGCAAAATCAAGTGGGTTCATATGATTGTGGACGAGGGTCATCGAATGAAGAATGCGGAATCGAAACTCAGCAGCACTATTACCCAGTACTACACCACTCGCTATCGTCTTATTCTCACTGGAACACCCCTCCAGAATAATCTTCCGGAGTTGTGGGCTCTGCTTAACTTTGTGCTGCCAACAATTTTCAAATCAGTCAAGTCGTTTGACGAATGGTTTAACACCCCCTTTGCCAATACGGGCAGCCAAGATCGGATCGATCTCTCGGAAGAAGAGTCGCTGTTGATCATTCGTCGCTTGCACAAGGTCCTAAGACCGTTCTTACTCCGTCGTCTAAAGAAGGATGTTGAAAAGGATCTGCCTGACAAACAGGAACGAGTGATCAAATGCCGCTTCTCTGCCCTCCAAGCCAAGCTCAATCACCAACTCATGACGCACAATCGATTGGTGGTAGCCGATGGAAAGGGAGGCAAGACCAGCATGCGTGGTCTTTCCAACATGCTCATGCAGCTGCGGAAACTTTGCAATCATCCTTATGTGTTTGAGCCGGTAGAAGATCAGATGAACCCAGGGAAGGGCACCAACGACTCGATCTGGCGTACTGCAGGAAAATTTGAGCTCCTGGACAGAGTGCTTCCCAAATTTCAGGCTACTAACCATCGAGTGTTGATGTTCTTCCAAATGACACAAATCATGAACATCATGGAGGACTTCCTGAGGCTGCGTGGTATCACGTATCTCCGTCTCGACGGTGCAACCAAGGCTGAAGACCGTGCTGAGCTTCTGCGGCTGTTCAACGAGCCGAATTCTCCATACTTTTGCTTTCTGTTGTCTACACGCGCTGGTGGTTTGGGATTGAACTTGCAAACGGCAGACACTGTTATTATCTACGATTCTGATTGGAACCCTCATCAAGATTTGCAAGCTCAGGATCGTGCACATCGAATTGGCCAGAAGAATGAAGTCCGAATTCTCCGTCTGATCACATCGAATTCTGTGGAAGAGAAAATCCTGGAACGAGCACAATTTAAGTTAGACATGGATGGAAAGGTTATTCAAGCGGGTAAATTCGACAATAAGTCGACAGCTGAAGAGCGAGAAGCATTTTTGAAGACTCTGCTTGAGACGGCGGAAGCAGGCGAGCAAACGGGAGACGCAGAAGAAATGGATGATGATGACCTCAATGAGATGATGGCTCGGTCTGAAGAGGAGTTGGTCCTTTTCAGGAAAATTGACCAGGAGCGAAATGAAAATGGCGAGTACGGGCCTGGGCGGCCGCTTCCACGTCTGATGGGTGAGAGTGAGCTTCCTGAGCTTTATATGGCAGATGACAATCCGGCAGAGGAGGTGGAAGAGGAGTATGCAGGTCGTGGGGCACGTGTCAAGACTCAAGTCAAGTATGATGATGGGCTTACCGAAGAACAATGGCTTGCGGCTGTGGACGATTCCGACGACTCGATTGGAGAGGCGGCAAAGCGTAAGCAAGCGCGGATTGACAAGCGACGCACCAACAAAGCAAAACGAGAGCGAGATGCCGCTGGTGGCGGATCGTCTCCAGAACCTGAACCTGAACGAGAAAGTTCCGAAGAACCAGAACCACTGCCAAAGAAGAAAGTGGGCCGAAAGTCGGCGGGTCTAAAGCGCAGAGGCGAAGAGCTGGAGGAGGAGACCCCAGCTAAGCGCAAGCGTGGGCGACAACCGAATAAAATGCCGGACAGCCTGAGCCCAGGAGAGCGGACGATGTTGCAGAAAGCGCTGAAGGCGATATTCGAGTCCATCAAAGCGCTCGAGGTACCAGACTCGGATCCTGAAGAACAATCGGAGGACGAAAGTGATGACGAGCCTCCAACGCGGTTGATCATCGGACCGTTCCTGGAGCTTCCACCCAAGAAGATATATCCCGAGTATTATCACATCATTCAGGACCCGATTGCGATGGATATGATCGAGAAACGAATCACCTCGCAACAATACACGAGCCTCCGAGATCTGAGACATGACATCGGCCTACTCGCGAGAAATGCCAAAACCTTCAATGAAGATGGCAGTATGTTGTACAATGATGCAAATGCAATCGAGGTAAGATTGAAGGTCTTGATGCTGTGCGAGAGACGTGACTGACGTGGATGTTTAGCACCATTGTAATGAAGCGATTGCCAAGCAAATCAGTGGCAACCCGAGCCTAGGGCAAGTGGGAGAGCGAGTGCCGTTTGATGGCGAATCGACGGCAGCGGCATCAAGCGTTGGAACTCCACGAGGATCTGTGGCACCAGTGGTAGGAACAAAGCTGAGGCTAACACTGGGGGGGAACAATGGAATGGCGACGAACGGAACGACAAGTGGAGCAGCAAGTGGGACGGAATGAGGTGTACTATTGTACCAATAACGAACACTGAGACGGGGTATTCCAGGCATTGATTTGACCAAAGGGCAGCCTACCGCATAGGGATGTACTACAACTACATGAGGTTGGTGCTCCTCGGCGGGTATCAATTCGCCTTGAGAGCAACCCAGAGGTCCTTGTGAGATTAGTTTTTAACTTAGTTTCTAGAATGCTTCGATGCATTGCAGTCATTATTCAACTGCTATACTGGCCGGCTAAGAAGACCAAAGACTCAACAACTGTCACCATTGTGCTCTGTACTGTTGCATGCGCAAATGACATGTTGATTCCTGAGCCAAGAGCTGTCGTTGTGGAGTGTCGTGATTTGGCAGCCAGATCGGCAAGACTCTTTGGACGTGGTGCATCAAAGAAGGGAAAAGGGGGTTATCGCTTTCTGAATGCAGAGGAGCAGGAGTACAGTAAGAGGAGGAACAGGAGCAGACGACTAATAGTCTAACAGTCTAGTACCCACGAGTACTCGTACAGTATCTCCCTGACCGCAGCTATGTCTCCGTGCTCCGTACTATGCTCGGTAGCCTCGTTCTACTTTCCGTTTTCGGTTTTCGGTTTTCAGTCGCGACTTCCAGTTTCAGCCTCCAGTTTGCACGTGCCGGCGATCCTGCATCCTCCATCTTCTATTCTCCATTTCCGCAGTCTGCATCCTGCGTCCTGCGTCCTCCAACTAACCACAAAACCCCCAACTCCGCCGCCTGAAATACACAAATCTGTATCTCCTTCGACCTGGAGTTACAGATCCCAGTGTCCGCCTTGACCTGACAACTTCGTGCCATGTCACCCTGTGTACCCTGTCGCGAATGATCCATTCACTCCTGCTCAACCTGTGCCAACATGGCCTCCAGTTTGGTTGGCGCGACCCTCAACCTCCTGCGTAAGCGTATTCACTATCTGCCGATGGCAGCGCATCTTGCTCACTGCATTCCCAGGCCGTCAGGTGGAAGACGTCGATCCAGATGGTCAGTACCATTCCATTCGGTTCCCCTATCATCGCGCGGTATCACTCACCTTTCTAACTCGCAACCGAACAGAACCCTCCGAGGCTGGTCAGAAAGAGATATTCTCATCATGGGCTCTCTTCATCCTCATCATGCTGCTGATTGCCGCTCTCTTTACAAGTTATATCCTGCAGCAAAAGAGAATTCAGGCTGTCCATGAAACTGTCATCTCCATATTCGCCGGCATGATCGTAGGGCTGGTCATACGACTGTCGCCAGGAACTGCAATCCAAGATACCGTCAGCTTCGACTACCAATTCTTCTTTAATCTCCTCCTACCCCCTATCATCCTCGCCTCGGGCTACGAGTTGCACCAGGTCCGTCACCCCCATCGACACAATGCGCACATACTAACACCTCAGCCAGGCAAACTTCTTTCGAAATATCGGAACCATTCTTACTTTTGCGTTCGCCGGCACTTTTATCTCCGCCGTTTCGCTTGGCCTGATTCTCTGGCTGTGGACGAGAATTCCTTTCGATGGGCTCACAATCACCTGGGTCGAGGCCATCTCCGTGGGTGCCACCCTTTCAGCAACCGACCCAGTCACTATTCTAGCCATCTTCAATCTCTACAAGGTCGAGCCAAAACTCTATACCATCATCTTTGGTGAATCCATCCTAAACGACGCCATTGCCATCGTCCTGTTCGAGACCGCCCAGCGATATAAAGACGGAGGGGCAGCCGGAAATCTAGGCATTGTCAGCTTGTTCGAGGCCATCGGTTTCTTCTTGCTGGTCTTTTTTACCAGCCTTCTTATCGGTGTCGTTGTTGGGGTCGGAACTGCCCTCATTCTGAAGTACACCCTAATACGACGCTTCCCAAAGATTGAGAGTTGTCTGGTGATCTTGATCGCATACGCTTGCTACTTTTTCTCAAATGGCGTGCACATGTCTGGTAATGATCCTCAACTCTTATCCGTGCTTGCAATAACCACAGCTAATGTTACCCCATAGGAATTGTCTCTCTACTATTCTGTGGAATCACTCTCAAACACTATGCATATTACAACATGTCCAGAAGAACACAACTCACCACCAAATTCATCTTCCAAATCCTGGCACAGCTCTCCGAAAATTTCATCTTCATCTACCTTGGCCTCACCTTATTTACCGAGACTGATCTAGTCTTCAAACCCCTGTTCATTCTAGTTACCGTGGTCGGCATATGTGCAGCTAGATGGCTCGCCGTGTTCCCGCTTTCCAAAGCTATTAATTACATCATCAGACTTCGAGCTAAGCGTCGAGGTCACGATGTTGCCGAAGAGCTTCCTTGGCACTATCAAGCCATGTTATTCTGGGCCGGTCTTCGTGGTGCTGTTGGTGTGGCTCTGGCCGCTGGTTTGCAGGGTAACGAGGGTCCAGCCCTCCGTGCCACCGTCCTCGTTGTTGTCGTGTTGACAGTCATCATCTTTGGTGGTACCACAGCCCGTATGCTTGAAATCCTTGGCATCCGTACCGGTGTGGTGGAGGAAATCGATTCTGACGATGAATTCGATATTGAAACCGCCAATGGCGGTACTTATTATAAACGGTCTGGTACAGGATTCGGCCACAATCCACGTCCCTCGAATATCGGCCTGGACTATGTGGGAGCCAACAGAGGCGGTGCAAATGGATCTGCAGGAGGAGGAAAGTACACCAGAGGGGATAGGGGTTACAGCAGTAGTAATGGCCGTTCACCTCCTCTCGGGAAGGGAAGAACAACCAGCCATCGCAAAAACTCCACTATCAGCCAGCGCGAGCGTGAGGCTGTTGCACAACATGGTCAGCTCCTTTCTAGCAGTGGGAGTGGATCACCTTCGGACGATGAATCCGACGCAGTGGAGCTTGATCTTCCTCCAGCGGCGCCACGCAGGAACCTTTCGCCATTGTCAGGTGGTGTGCACACAGGCCCTGGGTCTCTAGATAACAGGACGCAATCGGCACCTAATCTCCTGCCCGATGACTTGAACGGAAACGGCAGCAGCGATGGCGATATGGGTGCGGCAGCATCAGGCACGGGAAGCACAGGTGTAGCTAGCCACACGGGGCGAATCAGAGACTTGCTCCGTGGAGCGACGGCAGACCACACTGCATGGTTCAAGCAACTCGATGAGGATTTCATCAAGCCTCATCTTCTGCTCGATCAGCATCAAGGACAAGGCAAGGGACCACCTCCTGTATGATTTTGATAGTGGTTTGATGCGATTTGATATTCAAACCTGGAGTTGTCCGGGATGTTCATGAACATACATCCATAGGTCCCATGGGTGGATGAAGGAATTGTAACGATATTGAAGAGCTACTCATTAACCAGGTAGTAGTACGATAGTGCGTCAGATATACAGAGAATTGGGCTCGAGTCACGCGGGCTGGGCCTTAGCAAGAGACGACGTTTGAGGCATAAGCTAGCAAGCATCCTTAGGTACTCGGTATTCTCTCGTACTTCCCCGCTCGACTTCTATCCATAAACGGTGTGTTCGTGCCAACTATGAGCTATCTGTCTATCTATCTGTCTATCTATCCGTCTATGGATGTGTACCCAGTAGGACCTATTCTATCCACTCTGCTAACATAGAACAATTCTCATCAACACACCACCACGCTCATCACTCACTCACTCACCATCACCATCACCATCACCATCACCAATACCAATACCAATACCACCATTACCACCACCAGCACAGCTCCACGCGCATCCCACAAAAATGTCCAGCTCCAACTCCAACTCCGGGACGGTAAAGACGTGGCCACGGATCCTGCTGCGGCTGGAGGGGACGACGATCCTGGGGGCGTCGCTGTGGGGGTACCACCGAACGGGGCTCCCGTGGTGGGTGTTCGCGGGCTGCCTGCTGCTCCCGGACATTGGGATGACGGGGTATCTCGCGAACACGCGGGCGGGCGCCGCCACGTACAACAGCCTGCACACGTCGACGCCGCCGATCCTGCTGCTGTGCGCCGGCTGGGCGCGCGACAGCAAGCTGCTCGCCGGCGCCGCCCTGTGCTGGCTCGCCCACATCGGCATGGACCGCATGGCGGGTTATGGCCTGAAGTATGGGACCGCGTTCGGCCATACCCATCTGGGCTTCATCGGCGGCGCGGCGGAAAAGCCTGTGCCGTTGCCCGAGGCCCGTGAGACAGACTGAGGAAGTGAGTGGGTGCGTGGGTGTGTGGGTGAGTGAATTGGATCCGTGGAAAGCGTGGTCTGCGGTGGAGAGGCTGACGGGGTGTCCAAAGCTATTTCCAAAGGTCAGGGGATTCTCCTGTCAGGACAAGGCCATGTCTGAGATCGGGAGGACATGCAATGGTGCACCGTAGCATTTGAGAACATCCACAGCTCAACAGGCTGTTTCATGGCATCCCTACATACCGTAACGAACCGAGCAGAACGGCCAAAGCGGGAGCATGTTGGAGCATTGGGCAGGAAGATCAACGCAGAGGGTCTATTGCTGACTTTCAGCAATGCAACACAATTCTGATTAAACAATGATTCTGGGTATCTTATCTTGCGGCGATCGGCGAAAAGGACACGACAACAACGACACCATCGTGAATGGAAAAAGTGGGCAATCAAAGCGCTCACTTGCTGAACCAGCTGGCTAATTGAACAAGAGCTCCCCCAATGAAACCCGTCTTTCCATACAATCCTTTTCCAACAACAATGTCTCCATCCTGAAACCGCAACGTAAGATACGTATGTATTACACACAGATAGGGAACCCGCACCCAGAAGACATCTCTTGTCCATTTGGACCAAACCGACCACAGGGATATAGCTCTTCCTCGTTGACAATGGAAAGCCAAATGCTTACTTCTCTTCCACATCAGGTTCGTCATCTGGTGTAGGACTGACCACGATAGCTGGTGGCGGCTGTGCTAGCACTGGACTTAATGTCCCTCCTGATGATCTCTTGTCGTCACCACCAGAATCTCCATTAAAGGTGGCCGTGATTGGCGAGTCGATTTCGGACTTGGTAGGGGATTGCATAGAGTCCCTGACCCCACTACTGCTCTGCTGAGCGGTCCTCCTTCTCATTCTTCTGTTTTTTCTCTCCTCATCAGCTCCATCTCGTCGTCGTCTGACATCAATCTCATCACTTGGAGAGGGTCCAGAGCTTCTCATTTCCTGCAGGGCTTTCAGCGCTCGGTCGGCGACGTCTTCGCTCTCACTGACATCCCCTTTGCCGCTAGTGCCGTCTTCAGCACTAAGATTGTCTTCATTGGCTTTCTCACCGAGACTCGTCAAGTTACGACTCTCCTCGACGCTGTCTTTGATAGGCGCATCGGGGGGTGGTTGGCCGCTAGCAACTCTCTGATCGTGCCTCTCCTTTAAACGGGCTCGCCGTCTCCTATCACGTTGATCTTTGACTTGTGGAGCTGCGGCTCGGAGTTTCTCAAGAAGAGTTTCCATGGCTCCATTCGCTGGAGGGCTGCCCGGTGTTTCAGCACCACTGACAGTGCCACTGGCATTTGCACTTGCGAGATTTCGTTTTCTGGCGATACTGATCTCAATACGTTTCTTGTTTTCCTCGATGCTGATGTTCTTCTCTCGAGACTTTTTCCACTCGGTCACAAAGCCTCCTAACTTGCTGAAGAATTCCCTTCTGGCATTCTCATCTTGGTTGTCTTCGCCGAAGTAGGTCATGATATCATCGTATGTTCTGGAGGTTTCTTCCAGATAGAGTTGCATTTGTTCTGCCTTGCGCCGTGCCTCTTTCATTGACCTTTGTACGACCTGCGCAACACGATCTTGCGGGTGAAACTTCTTAGTATCACTCAGATTGCCACTATCTAGAGATGATTGGACGTTCTTGACGTTGTCGATGTATTTCTTTGCGTCTTGCCGGAGTTGATCAACGTTCAGTTTGGAGGCGGTAACGACACCACCGATGTCATCAATGAAAACCTCCCACTCAGAGTATTGGTTGCGCACAATGCGTTCAATAAGGTCTGCAAAGGTAGTCTCATTCTTGTCATCCTTGACCATTCCAAGTCTTGCCAACGAGCTAAGTTTGAAACCGGACGCTTGCTTGTTGGAGTCGTTCATATAGTTACCAATGTCAAGAATAAGGGCCAGAACGCTCATCAAGGAAGTAGAATCACGGATGGCCTCGGATACATTGACCACATCCTTCAGCTTGTTGGAAATTTCATCATACTCGTCCTCGAAGGTTCTTGTCAGCATCAACGCACGCATTCTTGATTTCCAATAATGATGTAGCTCATAGGCGGTCTGAAGGTAAATTTGATCTTCTTTAGTCAATTCGGTGGGGTCTTGCTCCCTCTTCGATGTGATGGCGTCTGGCCCGGTCCAGTCTTTGCTGTAAGGCGCCATCAATTTCGAGAGGTTCTCGGGTATCGTGCAAAGATCTTCTCGCTGTAAGAACTCCATGACCACAACGTTGTCCAGGACTTCTTTGTCACAGTGAATAATCTTTCGGATAACATCATCTGGCGAATCGTTCTTGAATTTAGACATCGATACATTGAAATTTCTCATCATATCACTGCTGATGAGTTGCTTCTTGCCGCCCTTGCCTTTACTTGTTCCACTACCAAGAATCTTGATTTCTTTAGCGATGAACAATTTTTCGACTTCATCGAGCACGCCTTTACGCTGAAGCTCACGGTATTTCTCTTCTTTGGCTTCTGCATTACCAGTCTCAGCCCATACAGTGACTTGTGGGGTGTCAACTTTATCCCAATGGAATGCCTTGAGTTTTTTCTTTGGACGCATCATCGGATTCTTAAGCATGGGCACGGGAACAAGAGGAGATTGCGGCAAGAAATGACCATGTTGAGCACCGGGAAGAGGAGGAGCCCCTGGCGGTGGAGGCGGAGGCATGGGAGACAAGGGACTCATTGGGAGGGAGCCAGGAGGTGGTGGAGGCGGAGGCGGCGGCCCTCCAGTAAAGCCAGGAATCAACGGAGACATACCAGGAGGTGGCGGAGGTGGCGGTGGTGGAGGACCAGACTCAAAGCCAGGGATCAAGCTAGGGGTCAAGGAGCCTGCTGGAGGAGGTGGTGGTGGTGGTGGAGGAGGTGGGCCAGTGAACTTGGCCACAGTTGTAGCCTCGTCTAGAGGGGTTCTAGGAGATTCAGATTCCAAGCTTGGATGTGTTGGCCCGGTAGTAACACCAGCGTCTTCGCCTTCCTCAACGGTGTCATCACTGTCATCGTCAAACTTCTTGACCTTAGCAGCGATCTCTCCAAGCAGACTCGACTGTTGATCGGCGGTGATCTTTGGCCTAGAAAATTCAACCAACCTCGGTTTCTCGAAGATAACATCGTCATCATCTTCTGATTCCAATTCTTGGTCGGCCTCTTCACTGATTGCAAGAGCACCCAATGCAGCTCTACGGGGGCCCTTCGTAGCATTACTGCGATGGACACTGCCCATAACGCTGTTCGTAAGGTGGCGTTGTGTCTTCTCCTGGAAATCAGCGTCGATCCCTTCGTCCATCTGTTCGCGAAGCTCTCGAAGTCGGTCAGATGGACCAGTCTGACCCCAGACCTTGCCTTCGAGCTTGAATTGAGTCTTTGTCCGTTCAAGGTTTCGCTCAAGCCGCTCCATCAACTTCTCCCGGTCCAGAATGCCTTGCATCTGGACCGGATCTTGGGTTGCAGGACCCTCCTTGGTAGCTCGCGAAGCGGCCACATCTTGTGCATCCCGTAGCATGAGGTACAGCTCTCTGGTTTCAAGCTCATTCCGTTGCAACTCTTGAGCCCTAATTCTTTGGAGTTCAGCAACTTCAGACTTCAGCGACTCAGCTTGTCTCGACTGCATTTCAATGATGCCAGCCTGCTCCGCGATTTGTTTCTGCAGCTTCTGAACCAACCCATCGGCGCCAAGAGCAATCTGTGCGGACATTTCATCTCGTTCAGCAATGGCAGCTTCTGCAATCTGCCTAGACTCAGTGGCTTCATCAAAGGCAATCCGGGCCTCGTCGTCCGTATGTAATCTGTCGAGCAGGCTTTGAACTGTGAAATTCAGACTTTGTTTGAGATCCATGTCAGGCAGTCTTCTGTCCATAGCCACGTAGCTGAGCATAGAGTCCACCAGCTGGAACATTCTAAGTCGTTCCTCCGAATTATTCTCACGCAATAAAAGCATATGTTGCATGGCCGAGATAAAGTAATCCTGGGTCCGCGTGCCTTGGACTCTAGACATGATAGCATCGGTTATTTGCATGGGATCCGTCATGTCTTTGACTTCTCCTTCGATACTATCGACCATGCTGCTCCCTTCACGTTGTAGAAGATCTTCATAGTCGATTGCCTCATTCTCGCGGAATTTTGCAATTTGCTTGTCGATCACATCGTATTGGAAAGATTCCATCTTCACCAAAATGCGTTTGATGCCACAGGCAATAAATTGAGCCCGTATATGACATCTCAGCTGCAAATCTCTCTCAGGAGCATCGACCAACATGTTGATCAATACCAAAGTGGCCACGGCGTATTCCATCAGGAGGTTTTCCATGCCAATACCTCCACTTCGAACCTCTTCGCTCGCACCGACCAAGCTGCCCATCTTGCCACGCCCATCGATAGTGACTTCAACAATTCGCATCCAGGCATCAAATCGACCGTTCTCATTTGCCATGTTCTTGAAATGATCCATCGATTGAAGTACCTTGAGATGACCTTGTCCCTGGTCCCAATGACAGAGAAAGGTGAGCACTTCACTGACCAACTTTCTGGTTGTTAGGCGTGGTGATATCAGACATGTCGCCAGAGCGACAGGGATTTGCTCGTGGGTGAGAGCATCATCTGCTCCGTACTTGTTATTCATCAAGGCCTTCAGACATTTGACAATATCATATTCCCTGTCGAGATCTTTATCCGTGGTCGTGGAATTTTGGGCAGGTGTAGGACCATTAGCTTGACGACGATTGATCTTCATTAAGACGTTTGTCAAGGCAATTTGGCCTTGCGCCTCAATGAAGATTTTGACCCAGCTGATGGGCTGGGTTCGTAGGCTGACACTCAGACTTTGCAGCTGTTTGGCGGTTATAGTATTATCGAGAATTCTCTTGACATACCACTCGGGAGTTCCATCAACATCACGAGGAGTTGGACCGTCAATAGTGCCTGTAGTCCTGGCTTGCTGTCTCCGTTTCTGTTCACCCTGCCACTCGGTCAATCTGTCTTGATGGACAAGCGTCCACTTCTTCGCGGGAGCGTAGGCCATCATCTGACGTTTGGCCTGGTCAGGCAGGTTCTGCCACCCACGCTTATGCATAAGCTGCAAGAATAACTTCTCGATTTCAGCATCATCTTTCGGTTTTGGAAGGTAAAAGCCGGCTGGGGTGAAGGAGGTGGTAGAGTTGAACGGTGAAGCCTGTTGAGAGGGCCAGCCGGAATGAGAACCGATCTTTGACAGTCTCGACTGGGTTGGAGATATCACAGTCATCGACCCGTCTGAATCCTGGCGAGACGGCATCGCAGTGCGTGCAGAGCTCTCAGAGGAGAAGAGACTGGAGCCTCTCGTAGCAGAGGAAGCGGTGGAGCGGATGCTGGCACCGTCAAAGGACCTTCTTTGGCCACCATATGAGTCAGTGGTAGACACCGAGTCGTATGGGTTATGCTGTGAGCCATCTCTACTACTGGGTCGGCCCCATTGTTGATATTTTGTACCTCGATCTCCAATTTGACTGGTGGCCATTGTCAAGCCAGACAGGGTCGAAGTTGAAGTTGGATTTTGGGGCGCGGGCCGGGGCCCTGTAGGATGGGATGCGCCATTGGTAGGGGCGTTAAAAGCAGGATATTGATGGAAATCTCCACCTCTTGCTAGTTGATGTGGTTGAGGCTCTTTTCGGCCAGGGACCTCGCCCTCTCGAGGAAGGTAATCGACGGAGATTGGGGCCTGCGAACCAGCAGTGGTGGAGTAGGGAATAGAAGTGATGACACCGGCGGTCATAGAAAGACCAGCATTATCGGGCTCTTGGCCATCGATGGAAACGACGGATTCTCGTTTTGAATGTCGCGAACCCCAAGAGCCATTGAGGTTGTTGAGGCTTGCGGTTTCGGCGGAGTCGTAGCGGCTGTCGGACTTGTTGTCTCGGTGGCGCCTGAAAAAGCCTTTGCCTGCGGACGACTGTCTGGTCGTCTTATCGTTCTGTGTTATGGGGGGCATCCTCGTTTGGGCGCAGGCCAAAGGACAGGACTCATGTGTATGTAGCTGGATTGCCCCAGAGGGCCAGAGGGGATGCCCACCTCTTGACAGTCTGCGGTGCCGTTGTTACAAAGTCAAGCGGTGACGGGTTGTGTGATATCTGTAACTATCCTTGCATGATGGCAACTCGGCCTGATACACCAAATTCAAGTTTCGGGTTTGGAAAGTCAAGGGTGAGGGAGGTTCACGTGGTTCGTGGTTTGTGGTTTCGTGTTGCGAAGTCGCCGTGAGGACTGCCAGTGACTAGCTGGAAGGTGCAGATCAATTGCACTTGCACTTGCACTTGCGGTCGGAGACGGAGCGTGCAGATAGATGCAGGCGGTAAACAGCCCGACGAACACCCAATGCAGGAGAACAAAGAGCTGTTTCCGGGTACGTCAGGTTTGGCGAAGAGAGGAAGTTGTCGACGCACAGACGTGAAATTGAAAAGAGTTGCAGCCCTCGTGTACGGAGTCCTCGGTGTCGTAAATCAGTCGCAGTGGATAAAGAAGCAAGAGTCTTAGTTGGTACTGGCAGAGGGTTTGTTGTAGAGTCTTGATTTGGCGATCAAATGAGGGTGAATCGTCCAAAACGACCATTTGCCATGGATCTTGGGCGGTCCAGGGGCTACAAAGTGGTGGTGCACCTTATTACCGAGTGCCTGTAGGGAGCAAGCGCCCCTAAGCCATCCCCAATCCAAGCTGTCGAAGCCTTGCGTTACTACCCACGCCGCCTGATCATTGACTAGTGGCCGCCCGGGGCCTCGTGGCAAGCTCTATGCCACCACCCCCAGTGACACTCATACCCTGTACTTCGGAGTCCTCGTAGCCCGTACTGTAGGTAAAGCGAGTTGCCCCCTCGCCCACTCCGCGGCCCTGTAAGTGATGCCAAAGGCAATTGTCACGCTAGGCCAATTGACAATCACAGCCTTCTTCCTGCTCTCCTTAGTGCGAATTGGGCTCCAGCAGCAGATTAACAGCCCACTCACGTTACTCAAAAGCGCCGAGCGAGCCGCTCCTGCTAACCAGCTACAGGCTTACCGTCCTGGCACAATCGCTACATCCTGGCTACTCCTTATTCGGATTGCTAATGGACCGCGCCCCCTTCTTTCTCCACGCAATTCAAAGTCCCTGGATCTGGATGGAGAGGTTTTGGTGGTATCAATGATTATTCCAATTCAACTTTCTGTTCCTGCTACTGCGACCAAGCACACGTGTGCTGTAATCCGTACCAACCACAGCCACCACGCCTCTTCCCTCTTATAAACTCAAAACCAAACAGACCCATCAGAAGCCACCAGTTCGCCATCAGAACAATGACAGGCATATTTATTGCCGGTAACAAGAAATATTGGCATGAATTGTGGACAGGTGTTGGAGTCCACGTGACCTGGCCGGGACCAGCACGAGCTACTTTGTCCGCTAAGCGACGCCTCGTCCGGCATCGAGACCTCAGCAACCACCCCGACGCACCCTTTCCGTGCCTTTCCAATCTGTGCACCTGTGCATCTCACCTCAAACTCAAGCCCTCACAAGCCAGATTCAAACTCAATTCCATCCACACTAGACATCCACATTCCTAGCTACGGAGTACGAAGCCCTAGAAATTATCTATATCTACCCCCATCCTCTCGCTCCCCGCGCCTGTTCCAAAGCCGCCACGATGGCGGCATAATGGCACTCCTCGGCCGCTCCATCCCGGGCACCATCTCGTCGACGGAAGAAACACCCCCCGTCACGGTCGTCACCACCACCAGCACATCCAAGGCCGACAAGATGGCCTCCTCGGGGTTTGCCAACTTCGCAAAGGTAAGAAGCAAACATAAATTAAAGGTCATGCTCCAGACTCTAACCATCAAACCTCTCCACAGAGCATCCTCCTCCCAATGTTCATCTCGCTGGGCCTGTACCTGCTGATCTTCCACGCACTCCTCCCACTCTACCGGCGCCATCGAGCCCGCTACTCGCAATACCTGCCGCTCCAAACAGCGACCTCGACCATATCGTCCCACCTGCCCGAATTCCTCCAGGGCCTCTCACTACGGGATCGCCTCTCACACATGTTCTTCCGGGTTTTCCTGCCCTCGACATGGGCGATCCGCAACCGATTCATGCGGCGGCGGGATAGCGTAATCAGTGCCGACGGGGAGCTCTTCGACGAAGAATCTGGCGAGGCCATGGTGGGCTTCGACGTACAGGAACGAAACCGCAGGCGCGACGGCATGGAGCGTCAGGTGTCCAACATGGACGCCGCCACCAGGACGGTCGCTCGCGGCACAAATGGTCCTATTGTTAGGCACCCCCCGCCAGAGGAGGTCGACTCTAACCGCCGTCTGAGCCGCGAGCTGGAAGAAGGCTTCCGCGATGACAGCGATGACGAAGGCGACGACTCCCAGCTCATGACCGCTACACCTACGAATGCGGCTCGGCGCTGAGAACCGAGCCGAGCCGACGAGGGCGCGTGTATATCACTGCCATGTCTCTCCATCTATTTTGTTAACACCGACAATGAAAATGACCTAAGATGATACCAGTCACTCTGTGCGTGCGCCCATCTAGATTCCATCCTCGTCTTGCCTTGCTAGTCCTCATCCTCATCCTCCTCCCGAACCCTCAAACCATGACCCGCAGCACCAGCCAACCTCGCGAGATTAGAATCATTGAATCACTCCCCAAGTCCTTTGAAAGTTCCCTAATCAAAAGACGCCGTGAGACCAACCCAAACGGCGAGCGACAATATACAATAGAACAAAACGCGGCCTCTTCTCCAGGGGGGCCGCAGTACCTCACAGACATCCGGCCCGGCGAAACACCTATAGCGTACAAGTTTAACCTGCCTATCTGTCCCAGATAGACTGTTTAGTAGCAGCAGCAGTAGGAATACGTATTAGATCACCCATCTGCTGTGTGCGAAGGAGCTCCGAGATTGGAATGGTGAATGGCGAACACTCGTCCTCTTGTCGGCCACTGGCCCAGAACCCTAGAATACCTATTCTTAAACCACAACGTACGTACCGAGGAGTTACCGAATATCGGAGAAATGGCGTGTCGACTGGGCAGTGAACATATATATCCGAGGCCGAGAAAGATTCGAAAGTGGAAACAAGCTCAAACATTGATCGGTATTTTAGGGTTCACAGCTCCAGAAACGATAGATAAAATCACTAGTGTAGTTAGATCGCAGCCTATATGTACAGTTGGTCCAGTGGCACCATTGACAGAGAATGGGCCTGAGATACTCTAAAAGGAAAAAACAATGATATGCTTGCCCAAACGGGCGCAAAATAAAGGGGAGCGCATTTTCCTCAGCCATGCAAATATAAAGCAAGAAAAGAAATCATGTTGTCCAAGTCCTTGGCAAAAGCGCGTTGGGGACCTGGAAAGTCATCCACACTTGAACGGCAGTCTGTCTGCAGTGTGTGTCCGTGAAAGATGTGTCCCTAATCCCTGGTTTATTGGGTTGATGATTCGTAGCGTTGTTGAGCCCATCATTATATAGATGTCCGCCTGAGATGATCTCCAAAAGGCTAAGCTCTCATTCGTCGTCAAGGCACGTCGATCCCCTCCTTCCAACTCCCAAAGGCCCAAGTAGAAAGCAAGGCGCTGGTTTCTTTTTTTGTTGATTCATCAGCTTCGTTGGATAATCTAGATTCACAGATTTTGCAACATCGAGGGTTGAACAAGTTGGCTGGGTGCCATCGAGTGGGACATGGTGTGCATGACCAGTGTAGACGGTGGAGGCATCGACATAGCCATCATGCCAGACACACTTGATGGCCTGGTGACTTCGTCAGGGGAAGAAAGTTCGTCCATTGAACCAAATTCGTTCTCTTCGTTCTCAAGCTCCTCTTCGCTGGTCACTTGTACTGGTTGACCATCTTGTTGAGACTCATGAGTGCGACGATGCCTTGACAATGTGTTAGTACGAAGCCCTGCTCAAGTACAGAAGGCATTACTCACTGGGCGAGGTTGTCAGACCGCGAGAAGGCCTTGTTGCAATACGGGCAGACATAGGGACGTTCTTGCGTGTGGGTACGCACATGGCTAGATTCCAAGTCAGTCAGTAAGCGCCAAGCGAAATTGCAGGGAGGCTACCTACCGCTTCAGGTGCTCGAGGCGCTTGAATAGCCGGCCACAGCTTGGGATTGGGCAAGAGTGAGACTTGTAGGGTACACCAAGCTCCATCATTGTTGCACTCCGTGCTCTTCGGATCGGGCCTGGCCTTTCCAGCCTGACGGCTGAACTTCCATGTAGGGATCCCGGGTGCATATCAGCCATGAGGCCGGGCATGGCTTCGGTGGAAGTCACCATGCCAAGGGACTGTGAGGGATCCTCTTCAAGGCTCCCCAGTGGTGTTGAATGCCGCGAGAAGTCATGCACATGATCTCGATGGGCAAGCGATGATGCATAGCTATGTGCCAGGCCCGGGGGAGACTGACCAGCAGATTCGTCACCCTCAGCAATTGGAAGCACAGAGCTAGACATCGACCTTCGGAGATCGCTTGGACGTTGAGGCATATGTGCCTTCATGCCATGTGTTACTTGAGCGACTGCGTTGGCGGCAACGGCATTCATGATAGAAGAGGGAATAGAAGATCTGCGCCTGCGTGCCTTGTAGGTGGGAGAACCCTCAATCACAGAGTAGACATTGGCTGGAGGAAACGCTCGAGGTGCGGTGGCATAAGAAGGCCCCGAAAGTGTTGATGGTGGCAAGGAGGCCATTGGGTTGTATGTTTGCATGGGTTGCATTTCAGGAATAGCCGAGTAGAGACCAGTATCCTCGTTGGCAATGTAAGCAGGCTCGGCACCCACAGGCACTTGGTGTTGTGGAGGAGTGATTGGTTCGTAAGACAAGCCACGGGTGCTGTAGTCCTCGAAATGGGACGACACGAATGAAGGAGCAGGCGAATATTCCATGTATGCTGGCATCGATGTATGACGCATGTGAGTTCGATCATAGGCAAGAGCACCACGGTCATATGCAGCATGAGAATAATCGGGCTCTCGCGAGATTGCAACACTCGACATGGACGTGGGCATACTTGTTTGCAGACCCAGATTTGCGTACATATGCTGTGAGGGCTCCTGGGAACGAGACATCTGGGGATGGGGGGGCACCATCTGCGGTGGAGGCATGGAATCTGTGGCGCGGAGGACGGGGGATGTGGATTGAGAGTATGCATTTGCATTTGCAGTTGCAAAAGATGAAGAGCTTGCTTGCTGAGCCTTTGTCAATTGCTCAAAAAGTGACTGCGAGGAGTCAAACTCGAATGACAGAGCTGGCTCTGCCACGGCTTTAGTGGTTGCCTCCTGGTTCATCTTCTCACGTTTGAGATCTCTCTCGAGGGCATCGAGGAATAGACGATCATGTGGAACGCTGTACCAGTAGAAGACTTTTTGTTTCTTCTGCGTGCGAATGCAGTTGTTCTTGTATAGGAAATCGAGGAAGGGGCTTTTCGGCTCTTCCAGTGATGCATCTGTGCCTGACTTCAGGTTGCGCAGGTCGGAGAAAATGCCTTCCTCGAACTTCTTGGGGTTCTTTACTGGTCGGCCAAATGCCTGAAAGCGAAATGACAGACATCTGACAATATCTGTGCCAGAAACGTGGAAAAGGTTGTTCCATAAAACACAAGAAACATATTCGCCTGTGGGAAGGAGAAATCTTCGGATGAGAGAATCCGGACTCCAGTCCACGGGTGCAGATATGAGGAAGTATTTGAGGTTGTCGACTTGCTGCAGGGCGACTTGCGCATCCTGCGGCAGGCTCTGTTGAGCCTCGTTAGAGAGCATGAAAGTCTCTGGCTTTTGAGGTTGTGCCATTGGGGCACCACTCGACGGATACATGGCAGAGGAAAATCAATCGACACAGTCGATGACGGTGGATGCGGTGGGGAGGTCGCAAGCTTCACACAGTATGGTGACTTTTGGAATTATTGCATATAGACAGTGAAGTTAGATTGCACTGTCTTGGATCTTCCTTCCCTCGACAACCGTGAAGGTGGTCTGATTGTGCAGGCGGGTAGAGGGACAGCACAGAGGCAGGGGCAGGTCTGCGAAGGTGAAGGTAGTTGAGCCAAAAACCGTGGATGCCCGGGCGAGGTTGTTGATGTGTATAGCGAATGTAGTGGTGATGTAAATGGAGTCAGTGCGAGAGACCAGCTTTCGCGAACATCCAGACGTGGTGAAGCTCCTGTCTCGAATAGAGGGAAGCGAGAACAGGTGAAACGAAAGTGGATATGGAGAGAAACTAGTCTCTCAAAAAGATCCTCGAGGGCAACGCCGAGGATTAGGAAGTGAAAGTCGACGGGGAGGGAGGAGGAAGGTGGAAAAGGTGGTGGGTGAGCTTTAGCAACAAACAGATACAGATGAAACAGATGAGATGGGGGGAGGGGGATGAAGGGAAGATGTACAAAAAAGTCGACAGTCGAGAGGTGAGACCGGGCCAGCGAGGGAAGCGAGGGAAGAGTCGAAGAAGGGCAACCTTTAGATTTGACGGGCCTGCTGGCTTGGACAAGGGACTGGGACTTGGGAGTTGGGGGAGCAGGGCTTGGGCTTGGGCTAGGGGGGAGGTTTGGCGACCACGAGTCGAAAGCAATTGCATGAGTTGTACTGTCGGCGTGTAGGACTCGTTCCGCGCACCATCCTTTCCAGAGGAGAGTAGGGCCAACACCAACCAACGTCAACGCCTGGCGAGGGCCTTGCCTCTCTGGTGCTGTGTTCTACGGAGATATATTAGGGGAGCACCATTAGCACGACGGGTACTAACTTAGTGACTAACGTGGTCGGGTTGGTGGGCGAGCAAGCGTCTACTAAGGCCGCCATGGGCATGGGGCCCTAGTCGGCAACAGTCAGTCAAGTAACATTATTCGGTTGCCCGTGGATAGCTGGGCTGCAAGTGACTACCTCTGTGAAGAGGCAATGCCCAATGGCTATGGTTTGTGCCTGGATTGGGATCTTCGCCCGTGAGGGTTTGGTTGGCTCTTATGGGGAACAGGGAACCTGGGAGCCGCTTTTGCCGCTTACTCGTCCACGGCCTCTTAACCCCTGGGGACATAGCAGCTTCGGGAATAGCCGCCTTGTTAGTTCTTGGTCTTCCAAGCCCTGGATCCCCACTTTGCAAGTCAAGAGACTAGAAAAGAAAATGGGTACGAGGCTCTCCACTTGGGCACGCCGCTCGACTTCTCAAATGTGACCGACAAGATGCTGCTGTGCTTGTTCGCTCGTAGAACCTGTGGACTCCCGAGTGTGCCGCTGGGCAGTGAGCGTCCCAAATCCAGCCCCCCAGATATGCCTGCCTGAACTTACTCTGGGCAGGGCTCCTCCGCCCGGGAACACCTAAATCCGGGCTTGGATGGCATCGCATTCCCATCTGATCGCTGTGATCGCAACCTGACACACTATCTGCCTCTGATGTACGGAGGATGTATACAGGTATTGAATGCTTGTTCAACCATGTATTGCGCGTCATTCTGTGCTCACATTAAGCCTTCAGGAGTCAATTACCAGACTCGGCCAGCTCCTTCACGAGCCTGGACAAGATCAGCCGGGCTCCTCGTGTCTGCTAACCGAGACAAGCAATGGCATTTCGCGAGACTTAGCATTAGATAGTACTCCGTAGAATTCGTTGGATGTGTGGTAGACTCCAAGCATGGAAACAGCAGGTGGGTTTGGATCTTAGAAGCCAGAGGACGGGGACGAGGACTCGAGGAGTGACTATGAGAAATCTACTACGGTGTGACTTGGCTCCACAGCCACTGGCAGACACAGATTGCTATTTTGATCCCTTTTCCGTGTCGTCTCCCGCTTGGGGTTATGCTTTGGGCGAGAGACAGGACAGAAGCTTCCCAACTTGAAGTCTCCACGGTCGGCGTGCCGCTGAAGATGAAAGCAACAAAGAGGTGCAGTAGCTCAGTGGCAGGCTTGGTGAAACGAGTGGCTAAGAACGGACGGGCCGGAAGGGCGAATGGGCACCCCGACCATGGATGGCGGTTGTGTTTGATCGCTGGCTGCGGGCTAGGGCTGCCCACCCTGGCGCCAAAATGTCACCCAGTAACCAAGGGCCTGCCGCCTAGGGGATTTAGAAACACCTTTCAAACAGACGCCGCAGGTGCAACCTTGGTTTCATCCCACCACCTGGCAGCCTGGCACCAGCCCACTAAGCCGCCTCCAGCAGGTCCTGTGTGCTTCTCGTAACTGACTGGCACACTGCACTTGGTATTCGCACGCTGGAGTGAGGGGATCCTTGCTTCACTCCTCGGGGACTCCTGCAGCCCGGAGGACAGAATACGGATTACGAGGAATCGAGGTCGGTAACTGAAGCTGCCCTTCCGTTACTGAATCTTTCCCCTTGGCGACTCTGGGCCAAATGGTTGCAGTGCCTCCCACTGCGAGGTACGAGTCCGAGCAACAACGAGATACCGAGTAAACCTTCCTCCGCAGTACCATTACTAGCTGCGACGAGTAACTTGCCTGTTACTACGACGATCTGCCCTGGGAGTGCCCACTGTGATCTCTCTCCTCTACGCGAAATGCAGCTAAGGGAACTGTCCGTCTTCCGAAAGAACATGGGTTTACCCCTTTCTTCCAACTCTGCTCACTGCAGTCTGCAATCACCAGGATCGTTCTCCGAATGTCTTTGACTCTTGACACCGTCCGCCCCGCTTCTGCATAAGCGTGATTGTTTACACTCAATCGATCACTGCCTTGCAGGCGTAGCTTTTTCATACTACAGTAGTCAATCAAGTGCCACATGACACGACTTTTCTTTACTGCAGAGATCCCGACATTACTCCCCAGGTATGGAAGGCTCTCTCGCATTACAGTACGAAATAGGAGTGTGGTGTCGGCCATCCCGTCTACCCACACCCAGCGTGGATGACTGAGACCCCTGGCAGCAAAGGGAGAATTATCCATCTCCGACGTGTGATTGGTATGGATCAATGGGAGAAGCAAGCAAATGAGCATCGCCCTATACGTGATGGACAGGCAATTCATCCAAGACTGGTAAGCGTCCGCTTCGTGCCAGCTGATGGAGTACTCGTACGAGATGGAAATCCAGATTCTTCCTCGATCTTGGCCTTGGCCCTCTCGAACCGTTCTCCCTTTCCTGCTCCTCTTCCTTCCAACTCCAAGTCAACGAACAACCCCCACAGTCAGGGAGACCTCGTAAATGCCCTGCTGAAAGCCTCTTGTTCTCGATTCGCCTCTTTTAGGGTGATGTCTCCGTGACCACGACCCTGTCGGAGCCTTACTACCAGCATGGATACTCTACTCAGGCCGGTGCTGGACCTCAGACTGGCGCGCTCGCTTATACCAAAGGTTTCAGATCGAGTCAAGAATATGAGGGGCGAGGCAACTGGGACCATGCTGCGTTAGTTACCCATGCGTGACGGGCGATTCAACAGTCAGTCAATCGTGCCCTATCTCCAGAATCTGACTGCACGCGCCACTATGCAAAGTCAACCAAGATGGCGCTACGTTTCAGGTTTATTCTCCTTGTGCAACCGCATTGGCCACTAGAGGTTTGATTCTGACCCCCTAACAAGCTCTACAGTAGTCACTGCATCCCATTTCCCGTTTCTTTGTCCGTCAACAAAGTGATTGGGTGAACAGGCTCGTCAATCACCTCCAGGCTGAAAAACGCACATCATCGGTGCAGCATGCCGATGATGTGCTTGGTGACATGCCCGATGATGTGCTTGGTGACATGCCCGATGAATCCTTTCAGCCGCAAGCCTCCCACAGGATTCACAGGCTCAAGGCGAGTCTACAAAGGCTGGGGTCATTGTACAGCAAAAGTCCTTCCACCAAAGATCATCCCGAATGCTCAACCTGGTGTGTCTCTCATAGAATTCCATCGGAGCCCCAGAAGTTTGAAACATTATCAACGTCCTACCGCCTAAGCTTGCTCGACTTGGCCAAGTGGCGTAATCGCAGCGAGCATGAACGGCCCTTGCGAATTTCGGCAATAACCCATGCCGTTGACGGAGAGACAGGATCATGTCGCAGAGATACCAAAGAAGCCAATTTCTATACCCACCTACTCTTCTGAGAGTCTCGGTGAGCTAAGCCACCATGGAAACGCCAAATCCGTCTCTCGTGAAACAGTTGTGATGGAGTCGACTTTGGACACCCGTTAGCCACGCCGCCGTGGGCATTTACCCTCGCGGGTGGTTGCCCTCCGGTAGTACATACACCCAAGGCTGAAGCGATGGTGTAACGCGGACCAGCATTCTTACCCGACCCCAGGTGAAAGCTCTCGAGGCGAGGGGAATTGTTTCATGCTGGGTTTCTCGGCCTTTTAGACTCTACCGACCTCACCTTGACCATGACAAATGTGCCTTCTTCTAGTCACGAAGAATCCGTAATCAGACACCAGTGGCCAAAAGTTGGCAAGCATGATGCTAAGCTCTGCGGCCAACCCGACTTCTCGCTGCCTGGAAAGGCAGTCTGGCCTTCTTGCTATCCTAGAATCCCCGTCAACCTTGAAACACGCCCCTAATCCCTCACTCCACATGTGATCCGAAGACCAAAAAGAGGGAGGACATTCAACCGAAGTCATGGGCAACCTGCTCACTCTACGTAGTACCTGGATGATGCTGGTCGGTCTCGGAGAGCATCTTCTCCTTATACAGGCGTAGAGCTATGCCACTGCACCACATGGTTCATCGATCCCTAGACTTTCCCGCAGTACAGAGTATTGTGGCATCCCACATGAGAGAGAGAAAAGGATTTCGGAGAATGCGTGGACTTAGTAGCTGTTCCCGTTCTTCAACCGCACTCGTAGTTCCAAAAGTTTGTCTGGTGGAATCCTGTACTCCGTAGTGGAAGCATCGACCAAACCCTCGTTTAATGCCCAAAAGCTTGCTCCAAAGTCGATTTCTGTTCATCACCATCATCATATCATCGGCGGCGGCCTGTCTTCTTTCGTCCCTTCTTCCCAGACTGACCCGATCCCTGTATGTCCAACACATCGTGCTTGCTGAGCTTCAAGGTCCCCCCTCGGAACCGGCCCACAGCAGGAACATCGACAGCGCGCTCGCGGCGAATCCCGTTCGACTTGCTCTTCCCTGTGCTTGTGCTGCTGCCGCCGGCCCTTTCCAGGATGATGCCATTCTCCTTCGCCTCCCTCCTCCGCAGAGCTTGCCGGGAAGCCGCCTTGGCCGCAATGCCCCGCCGGTGCGACAGCGGCATCCTCTCCTGCGTGAACAGGGAGTCCTTCGAGCCCAGCGACTGCATCCGCATATCGACTGCTTTGTGGCGGTGAGAACCGACCACCGTCGACGCTTTCGCTTGTTCCAGTAGATGAGACTCCTTCAGTAGTCTTTGCAGATCAAGATCGTGTTTGAGATTTTGCGCTTCAGATTCGTCATCTGCTTCTTTCTCGGCCCGCTTGCCGGGGATGATCCCGTTTCGGGTCTGCTCATTTCGACTCGGCGGTTTCGACGTCTTTTGGCGCAGCAAGTCAATATCGACGTTCTCGAAGGATCTGGGGGAGGGTTGGGGCCGGGAAACTCACCATGAAGTGTCTGTATTGTAGCCTTTGCCTCTCGACGCTGTCGGGATCATCATCATCGTGATCTCGGGGAACTGCTGTTGTCCCGTGCTCAACAATCTCGACTTCAAGCTTCTCCTCTCCTGCCTCTGAGAGACCATCCCAATCCGATTCCTCGTCCGAGGCCTGAAGGGACCGTTCCTCGAGTTTTGCTTCGCCTTGAGACACCCCATTCTCAACGGCCGGCAACGGTTCAAAGGCAGCCTCGAAGTAGCGGCGGAAGACATCGTGATCCTGGACGGATGAACCACCGCCATCTTCCTGACCTCCTTGAGTTGTAGCAAGGGACGTTTGACGCGGTGCCACCGCGAACTCTCTTTTTCGCTTTCCCAACATCATAATTTTCTCCCTCTCCTGCGTGTCGTACTCTACTCGTTCTTTTCCCCTGCGCAAATGTTCAAGCTACATCAGAGCGGAGCGTGCCCAAGGTACACTCTGCTATATCTGAGGCCTGTAAAGTCCAGGGGTTGGCAGAGACCGAAGGAAGGTCGCTTGATTCCTGAAGGTTGATGAAGGTTGATGCCAAGACGAACAAAAACTGTTCCTTGCCCATCTAAAATCGGATGAAATCGCGGCCGCCTGGAACGAGCCCCGCGCCAGTCAAGGATAATGTTAGCTGTTTCCAGTTAGCACCCTGCTTATCCAGCGAGATGTGCGCTCTATGTTTGGCCTAGTCTCAGGCCCGACCCAGCCTCGGCCTCCCTTTCCGCCTGTCTACTTAATATGTTTGACAACAAGACATGCATTCATTCAGTTCAGACTTCGTCTCTTACTCGTAAGTAGGAGTTTCACGAGACCTCAAACCCTGTTGCCTTGTAGTTTGTTTTCGCTCTCTTTGTCATAACTGGTCATATTTGGGCTTTTCTTGATCATTAAAGTCCTGAGATATATGGCCACCCCTTATAGCTTAGAATTAAAATTTTCAAAGTTCGAAAAGGATACATGATGTGAAGGCAAATGTTCTCAGCACTCGCTCTCTACGAATGAACGCTAAATGATAGCTCCATCCCACATTAATCCAAGTCATGCGAGTACTTGGTATCGCCGCATAGCCACTACAATGAGTACGACATTTGCTGGGCATGCTCGCATATTTCACTTAGAGGGACAATTCAGAAGGCATCTATTTAGGCTTAAAAACATCCTCACCATATCGTTTGATACCTAGTGGAATTAGATCCATTTGGGCTTAAGATCGAAGACAAAGAAACATCCACCCTGGCGGCAAGGTCGATTGTCGATCATGAGCACGCGATGGGCCCTCCTTGTACTGTCATTACCCACATCTTTTCCGAGCAGGTACTCAATCTCCGATAGTCGGCAATGAGATGCTTATGGCACTGCCAAATGTCGTCAAAGCTGTGTTGCGTCAAGCAACCTTCCCAGTACGTAGGAATGGTCTCGTTTTGGTCGAATCGGGCGATAAAGGCAGAGACAAGTGCCACGACCGCGCCAGAGCCGCAGGCGAAGTCCTTGCAGTCGATGGGCTCCGATGGCGTGAGCCGAGAATGATGGGTTGCCGATATACTAGAATGCTCCAACGAGCCATCGGCTTTACAAAATGGCAGGTCTTCGCTCCCGTCAGATGGGAAGCAGAGTGGGTACATAATTCGCTGGAGGTGCTCATCGATAGCAGCCTCGGAGACACCTGCGTTATCGGTCAATTCGCCACCATTGTTGTCTGGCTTGCTGGCAGTTGCTTCGCGCATGCATGTGAAATAACCATTCTTCGATGGGTCTTTTACGAGACGTCCTTTTTCCCTGTTCTTCAAAGAGCCTATCGGCAAGAAAACAAGGTGACCACAGCCGAGCTTACCCAGACGAGGTAAAAAGGCCGTTCGTTGTCTTTATGGAAGTGTAGGCCGCTGAGGTCGGGCTTCATCTTGATAATGTCGCCAGAAGCCATGTCACTCGACATGAGAACGCCGCGGATCTTGTTGTCTTGACTCGATCTTGGTCCCATATTCCCGATAAATAATCCATCCCATGGTGGATAGCGTTCAGCTGGATAGGGTATAGGATGCATCGGAGGTGCCGGTGTGGTGGACAATAACAACGGTGGAGTTTGCAGAGCCATCTCCTTTTTGGCGGAGTTCCAATTATGCTCCCATGGCTTGATCGGCCTTTCACTGGGACTCGGCGGACGAACCGGTGACGGAGACAACGGAGACCGCGGAATGTCTGTTACTCTGGTGTTGGGGTCTCGGCCAGGCCGAAATAATCGTATTGGGGGCACCGGGTCTTGCTTGAAATGATCAAATGCACATTTAGACGGCAGTGACCTGACTTTGTCTGCGACCTTTTCCAAGGCTTTGGGGTAGCATCCCACCAGTCTGACAAGACGATTCTGTGAATCAACAACATTTGAGCCAGTATTCTTGTCCGGAGGAGTTTGTTCAGCTAGTGAGCAAGAAACGTGAATTCAGAGTGATCATATATTTCGTTTAGTGCCAAGTTCACTTGTTAAAATGTCCGAAGACAATGGCTCGCCAGAGCGGCGTCTGGAGCTAAGCTTGTTTGCTACAAATTGTTCTTCGCTGAGCGAGGGTTTCTTGGTTCCGTTCGTTCGTTACTGTGAAGGGGGTTGTAGGAGAGAGTGCCATCACAAGGCGGAAGGTACATCACCTTTAAATACAAAAGAATATCTGAGCAGGATGTAGTCCAGCAGCGGGCTTGATAGTGAGCCCATCTGCATACGGGCTGTGTGAGGCTGAACTTCGGTGGAACGACACGAACCCGACCTCCACAGAGTCCAAATCTGGACCAAAAGCTGCAGCATTTCCCAACCCAACGAGGGCAGTGTTTTTTCAATCCAAGAAGGTTGTGTTGGTAACACTGCCCGTTGAATAAGTTATTCCTCGGCGGCTGGGAAGGCACCCAGCGAGGTGAGTGTTCAGGTGCAGGAAAGAGCTCCCGACATCGGCTGAGCAGTGTCAAACGCTAGACCGCTAAGTGTTCAATGGAGCTGTCTGACAAAGAATTATTAAGATTGATGACCGTCTGACAGCAAAAGGCTCTGGCAATTTCCACCCGGTCTCATTCTGGATTACGCGTCACGAGCAAAACGCTTTAGGTCATCTTTAAATTCAACGAACTTCCCCCACTAACGGAATCTCAAAATGAACCATCTTAATATTTGGATCTGTGTAGCTTCATTTGCTGCAAACACCATACATAGCCTTTACCAGATCTATCAGTCATAATGACAAAGTTTCGGCCATGCATCGACCTGCATGCGGGCCAGGTCAAACAGATCGTTGGGGGTACATTGAGCACAAGTGAATCAGAATTAAAGACCAACTACATATCCAAGCATCCGGCCGAATACTTTGCAACACTGTACCGTGATGCCAACCTTTTGGGTGCCCATGTTATCATGCTAGGTCCTGGAAATGATGCTGCAGCCAAAGAGGCATTGGCAGCTTGGCCGGGCCATCTACAGGTAGGAGGTGGCATCACCGATGTCAATGCAAAGGAATGGATTGCTGCTGGAGCTGAAAGGGTACGTCTTGGCCTCTTTACGCGTGCCTCCTCCTTTCCATGTCGTGTGATATGCGTTCCTAAGTCCACCGCGCAGTAGGTCATCATTACTTCGTTCCTATTCCCTAATGGCCGCTTCTCCCTGGAACGACTGCAATCGGTGTTGTCGTCGCTGGACAACGACAGATCCAAGCTTGTGGTCGACCTGAGCTGTAGGCGGAAAGACGATACGTGGTTTGTTGCCATGAACAAATGGCAGACTATAACGGAAATGGAGGTCACGAAAGGTGAGCAAACGGCCTTGCGATACTACCCAGTCGCATTCAACTTATCGCTCCACAGAGAGCATCCAGCTCCTCGAGCCATATTGTTCTGAATTTCTGATCCATGCTGCCGATAACGAAGGCCTCCAACAAGGCATTGATACCAGGCTCGTGAAGGAATTGTCCCAATGGTGCAGCATTCCGATCACCTATGCGGGCGGAGCACGAAATGTGGAAGACCTCGACTTGGTCAAGTCATGTAGTGGTGGAAGTGTTGACTTGACGATTGGCAGTGCTTTGGATGTCTTTGGTGGTTCCGGTGCAAAGTTTGAAGACTGCGTGAAATGGAACCAGCAACACGGGAGCTGAGGTCCGTTCCGCCACTCCTCACACTTTTGCTTTCTTAGCTCTAACTGCTCGACGAGGCAGTACTTGTTCCACAGTGTTGATTGCCCTTTCCAGAACTGCGCTGACCGTTCTTGTGATAGGATGCTTCCGCCATTCTCCCTGCACAATCCTCCCGCCCGGCAGTAACAGATTTATCATGCTCTGTTCGAGACTCTGGATCCCAAGGGCCTGTCACATTTCCCCAATAGCAATCCTCCTCTCGTCGATACCCCAGTCTAACCTGCGACAAAAACAAACCATCGAGTCCCTTCTCAATAACGTAGCCTCGGTCGATGTCCTCAACAAACGCCGTTCTATTTTCGATCAATTGGCTTCTTCCCCATGCACACCAGCGAGCGACCTTCCTCATGCCCTGCATATTCCATCGGCGCCGATCCTGCATCAATCTACTTGTGTCTTTGATATCCCGGAGGAGATAATCCCAGTTGACTAAAATCGCATACGAGCCGTCGGCGTTGAGAATGGCTTCGGCGCCGTAGACCGGCTTTGGCTCTTCAGGCAGGTCGAAGTCTAGGACCGGCGCTATGCGTATCGGGTATTCAGCAATGTCGTGGGCTGTTCTCACCCGCATCAAGTGATTGACGACGCGTCTAAGATCAACCTGCAATAAAGAAATGAAATGTCAAAAATCCCTCGCCACCCAATCTAAGAATCAATCCTTACATCTCTGCACTCAGCGGCAATCTTGGTCATCGTCCAGTCATAATTGAACTCCAAGGTCTGCGGCACCTCAGCCCATCTGACCAGTTTCCCTGGATTGTCATCTTCACGTTCTGCGGCGCTCGGAACACCTTGTGTCCATGTCCCGTCGTTGGCCCTCTTATAGATGATCTCATTTTCTTCATCGATGTGGTATGGGAAGATTGCGTGGGTGTCATTGATTGGCGAGTCACTGCGGCCAAGTGAGGTCACGTGCCTTGACCGTTGCTCGTCCGTCTTTGGAATTGGAACGGTCTTCTTGATCTCGACGGGGGGAGGACGGCGACGTTGAGGTGCCTTGCCATTCCTCGCGTGATCGAGTCGCATGGCGGGGGTAAGGGGAGCCATGGTGGTTGTGGGTCTGGAGTTACGGCGGTGCGGCAATGCTGATTTTGGAGAGCACGAGAAGAGATCAAGACATGCTGTGAACGGTGATTGTTTCCAGTATCCGCGCTTTCACTTGGGCTCGCTTCACATCTTCCTGGAACAAGGAATATTCACGGTCCGGGCTCGACAATTGCTTTCATCAACTGGTAGAGACGCTCAGTGCAGGCAGGAGTTGTTGGCCGCGGAACGCAAGTAGAACGCAAGTAGATCGCATGGCTGAAACTCATGTGCCCGACGAGGCAGCTCGTTCCCATCGCTTCCACTGGCGCCTGATTACTGCCCACTGCCTGTATTGGCGGGTGTGTATCAACTACTTTGGATGATTCCGTACGTGTGCCGTCCATGAAAAAATGCCCTTAATTGCAGCGTGCCTCGATACGGTTTGATCGATGGGAGAAGCTGGGGAGCCTGAACCAAGGCAATATATGGCCCAATGGATCGATTAAACGTCAGCACTTTACATGGATGCTTGTCCGTATGACAAATTTGACCTATCGTTCACCATGGCAAGATACCCACTCACAGACAACACATCCATTTTCTGTAGTCCTGGGCTTTTGGAAAAGTGACATTGTCGACTTGGCAGCCAAAATGCTCTGCAATAATGGAGCGTTCTAAACACCGAATCATAAACGCAAAATAAATTCAAGAAAGTGTTGACATTGATGATTTGTCTTATTGAATACCTATTCAAATAGTTTGATTGTTGCTACTTGAGCAATATAAGAACAATACATTCATGAAATTCATAAAAGATCGCACAAGGTGCTTAGGAGTCTGTGCACCATTCATAACCACCCCTTCATCTGTCTGTGTTATAGTGGATAACTTATAGGGACCCAAAGAAGCAGGAGCGTCAGATCGATGGATCTTTTCAGTGAGTAGCAGCTTGCTTGTTGCCCTCAGCAGATGCCTGGTTACGATGTCAGCAACGGGTACAAAAGCTGATCTTGATGTCAACTTACGGAGTTCTTGCTCTCATCAACCTTATCACCAGCGGCATCCTTTGCAGCACTTGCACGGGTCCCTAGGGAGGCATTGGAGTCTTTGGCAACGTCCTTGTTGGCCTCCTTGGAAGCACCAGAGGTGAGCTCTTGAGCCTTATCACCAACGAAGCTGTAGATAGAGTCAGCATGGACTTGATACAGCATCAACCAGGTGGACATGAGCAATGACATACTTGGCGGCGTTCTTGATGGTGTCGGCCATTGTGACAGGTTTGAGTTGGTTTTTGAATTGGTTTTGAGATTGAAAAAGTCTTGGGGATGGAAATTGCAGGTTTGGGTGATGAAAAGCACAGACAGGGAGGGAGGAATCAGAGATACTTATAGGGATCAATCAAGAGGGTCGTGCCTGCCTTGTGTCACTTCACTTGTGCCTGCCTGCCTACTCGGCGAGCGATGGAAGCCCCCGCGCTACTGGTTCGCCCGTCCATCACGCGTCGTTTCTCACTTAGCACTTACATGTGGGAGGAATGAACCGAGGGAAAGTGCTAGTCTAGTCGTCACTGTTTAGAGCGCGTTGTAATGAACTAGTATGACGTTTTTCTGGAGCGCAGGTGACAGGATTTCGTCTGCAAAGCATGGAAGGGAAGATGGAGAAGAGTGACGCGATAGAGGCTGACATCATGAAGATCCCCTGCCAGCCAATGGTGCAGATCTTGCCACAAGTGGCGGTGCACATTTCTGCTTGGCCAAGGGCTTGTTGAGGGGAAGGAAGTCAGGTCCGGCCACAAACTTCCGGTCCAGTTGACGACACTCCCAAGTTGGATGTGACGTTGTGACTACCTACTGTAGTATGGCAGAAGCAAACAGCAGTGCAGAGTACCTGGTACTGCCTCATCCCTTTTCCTTGCCCACTTTTCTCCGCTGGAAAGGACAGTCTTGGTCTACATGATCCAAGTTACACAGTAGCCCGAAGAATGACGATATCATCTGCGTGACACTCAGACCCATGCCATGGCTGCCATGGCTGCCATGTGAAAGTTCAAGGTTCTGCTAGACCTGTTCCATCCCGCCGAGGCCTGTGGGTTGTGATACGCAGATAATACCCATCAGGGTCGATGAGTCGGAAATCTCGCAATCCCCGAGGCTGAGAGTGAATATCAGCATCGAGTTTCCAGCATTTGCCCATAATAGAGTCTCGTTCTCGTTTCAGGTCATCGACTTCTAGCACAGTTTCGACTCCCTTGGTTGGCTGTCGATATCTGGCTTGTTCCTCGATTGTCTCCGAAGAAGTTGCCTCGATGGCTCCAATGAAGATTGCGTCTCGGCCAAGATAGGCATAGTTGCCTTTGAGCTTGAGCAAGGCAAATCCTAAAATATTGGAGTAAAAGCCAATCGACCGCTGGAGGTCTGATGGAAAGAGTTCAATTCTCAGAGACGTCGGCATGGCAGTATGGTATACCAGTATATATGGCTTTCAGATCGAAAATAATGCTTTGTCCTGCAGTTCTATCTAGTCCGGCCGTCGGTTGTGTTTGCAATATGTATCGCATCCATAGCTTTTATTCGACCAACAGTAACGACTATGGTTCTATTTGGGCGCATTGCTCAGCCGCGCCTACTAACAACGCGTTATAGCTCTGAAGCCCAATCTTTGTCAGCAAGAGTCTAGAACTCATTTTGGGCCGCCCATTTGTTGTTTTCAAGTTTCTTCTTGGCATGTTATTAAGCTACGTCCACGATGGCGTTTTGTATTCCTCAATTTCATCGTAGCTAAACTATTAGGATGTGCTTAGGACTTGCATGGACGCTCTCTTCTTGCTGCCTCGCGGACATCGCGGGGCACTCCCTCCTTCTGACTCGAAGACTTCACAAACCACTATCGCTGAAGAAGTCCAGGATATGTTCGGCCACTTCCTCGGTGTGGCTTTCTACGAGGAAATGCCCTCCATCTAACAACACAATCTTTGCGTTAGGCAAGTCTTTCTTGTAAGCTTCTGCTCCAGGAGTGGGGAAGAAGATGTCATTCTTGCCCCAGACGGCCAGCAAAGGCACCTGGCTCTTGCGGAGATACTCCTGGAACTTAGGGTAGAGCTCAACATTGGTGGCATAATTCTTGAGTAGGTCGAGTTGGATCTCAAGATTACCTGGTCGCGACACCAAGGCCCAGTCCAGGTAGTAAGCGGCAGGGTCGTCGATCTTGTCTGCCTCAGGCTCGCCTTGCACGTATTGTTGGCGGAATGGTTCAAGGCCGAGTACGGCATCGGTGATTAACCGACGGTATTCCTTCTCCTCAGGCGATCCTTTCGCTGTTGCCCAATATGCCTTGACTGGGTCCCAGAACTCAGCCAGACCTTCTTCATATGCGTTTCCATTCTGCGCCACTATCGCCCAAATGGCTTCAGGACGCTCCAAGGCAATACGCAAGCCTGTTGGTGCACCATAGTCGAAAATGTACACTCCGAACTTCTTGATCTCAAGCACGTCGAGGAACGATCCGATGGTTGTGGCGAGGTTGGCAAAGCTGTACTCGAAGTTCAGCTCCGTTGGGATTTCAGTGAAGCCATAGCCTGGCAAATCCGGGGCGATCACATGATACTTCTTTGCCAGAAGAGGCATGATCTTGCGGAATTGGTGAGAAGAGGTCGGGAATCCGTGCAGCAGGAGAAAGGTCGGGTTGGATGACGATCCTGCCTCGCGGTAGAACACGCGGATGCCATTGGGAAGTGATGCATACACCATTCTGAGACGTTAAGATGATGGATGGACGAGGGAGTACTTGGCACAAGCGTCGTTTAAGTATTTTGAATTATAGCTGGTGTGAATGATGGAGTTTCCATTGAAAGGACGACCTACCTCGACACATATATACACATCATCCCGCCGGTTGAGGTTGTCCATGGCCCATTAGAGATGACTGAATTGCAAATAGTCGAATCTCGATGACTTACAAACAGCTTGCATGCTAACTGTTTATATTCAAGGACCAATTATCGAGCCAGCTGCGAGAACGATGAGGCATGGTGTCGAGGCCATTGACTGGGACAACTTGTGCAGCGAGGGCACGGATCAAAGCGGCAAGGTGATTTGGCAGTTCAAAAACAAAAACCAGCGATGGATTTGGAAGCAAACAAGGACCCCCCTGTCGTACTTCGCTGATGCCGCCTTGCATAGGGATGCATATGCTAACCTATATAGGCTAGAGCGTGATGAGTAGGTTGAGTGCACCGGGCTCAATCCGCTCGCCGCTTTGACCGTCATGAAAAGCCCGTAAAGCAGCCAAATTTTGGAGTGTTTCTGTGGCTGGGTAAACGGTTCAATTTCCTCGATGGGTAAACATCTCGCTCGGTTCCCCATCTTTACAAAAGCTTGCGTCCCTCATTTTTGTTTGAGTCTCCGTTCCTTAGTCTCGGGGGCCTATCTCGATCTCTTTAGCCGTGGAATACCTGTTCTTGGAGAGGTGGTTCCTGGATTCTAATCTTTTTGGACTGGTGAAGTTGAAATCTCGCTGGTTGCAGACTCCCGTTGCCAGTCGTTGCTGGTTGTACTTCCTCCGGTAAGGATTACAAGTAGTACTTTAGAGACGATACCTAACTCATGAGTAGTTCTGTCATCTTGCGTTTCGGTCGTCTAATGGCCATGGCTGTCCGCTTTCAGGACCTTGAGCTCGTGCGAAGAAATGCAGCCGAGATAGATTTTGAATACATGATTTAGTGAGGACAATGGCGCTCATCGGCTAACTGTGCGATCAAGCTCTTTGACCACGGGCTCTGTCTTTGCATTTTACAACTTATGTTTCTTTGCACCACTGGCGATCTTCCTGAATTCTTCTTGAGGAGCGCCAGTGACGAACCGCTGCATCCCTGCCATCACCTCTCTAACACCCTGAGCCTCCAAGGTTTCTAAATATGGTGCTCTAATTAATTTCTTGATGCCAAGCAAGCTGTCCTGGTTTAGATGGTCCCCTAGCTTGTCATCGATTTCGGCCAACACTTGTTTCAAGAAACCTGCGCTGTCGTTCTTGTCTTTGCCACTGAACACCTTGTTGACGAATCCAGTTGCGACGAGTTCATCGATGGTGATTCGGCGAGACATGATCAATGCTTCATTAGCCTTGGCCAACCCAAGACGTTGAACCAACCCAATGGAAGCACCGCCCTCGGCAACGAGACCAAGGGAGGAGAAGGGAGTCAACAAGAATGTGTGAGGAGTTGCGTATATGAAATCGCAGAAGCCCAACAGCGCGGCAGACAAGCCAACAGTGGGGCCGTTGAGTGCTCCGACCAATATTTTGGGGTGTGTGTAGAATGACCGAGTAATATCAAGGTTGTTCGCAACGAATCCTTTCAAAATATCATTTCTTGCTCCATCTTTACCACCAGCAGAATCAGCGCCGGGTCTGGTTGTTGTAACATCAGCTCCAGCAGAGAAGAAGCGGCCCTCGCCAGTGATGACTGTCACGGACACCGTTGGGTCCTCCGCGATATCTCTTAGTAGACAGGAGATGCGATAATAGAGGGGTTGGTTCAAAGCATTGAGTTTCTTTGGTAGGTTCAGGGTGATGATGGCAACACGGCCCTCTTTTCTGTATTGGACCGCATCTTCGGGAGAGGCCATGGCGGTGGTAAAAATGGTACTAGTATCTTGCGATGGCGCAAGGGGTCGATTTCGAGTGTAGGATATGGGGCTCAGCAAGGAAGAACTACGGATGGATGCGCTGGAAAGGGGCAGGAATAGATAAGTGGTCTGGTCTGAAGGAACCCTCAGAAGAAACAGATATACTCGGCTTCATTCGAAGGATTCTTGTTCACTTTTGTCCTCGGTAATTATTTGCAAAGGCAGTCCAAGTCTGGTCTAGCCAGGCGCAGGTGGCCTTTGCAATGAGAGTAATCAACTCCAGTCGGCAACAGCTCGCCGGAGAATGCGGAGGGAAACCACGAAGCTCCATGGTTGTTGCTTGCCTGGGTAAAGCGCCGGGGATTCTACCTCGGCTCAATCATTCTTGGCATCTTCAAGGCCCCCATTCTCCGCCCAAGGGCCTGAGGGCTGAGGGAGGGCTGAGGGACGATCGGTGGTCGTTCAGGCGAGGGAGAGCACCCGACGGCTAAGCCAGTAAACAGCAGTGGGAAGCCTTTGGGAGATATGAGTCTGCCGCGGTAACCGATGCTTAGCCTCCAGTGCTCTCACTCACGCGAGGTCGAGTATGTGTCTTCTTAGAGACTTGGAGAGACAAAGAACTTTGTCCAAGCCAGATCACCACTGACCGCAAAGTCCGAAGGCCAGCCAATTGCGGGAAATAAGACATTAAGGGGCATTGTCGTCGGTTCCACGGGTTTAGAACGGCCTCTTTCTGTCCCAAATTTCTGTTCTACAGAAGAACTAGCACCACGGTTTGCACCCGCCTTTGAGATCAGGCGGAAGGTCACGTCTTCTGAAAGGGCCCATTATAGAGACATCCAACAAATGGCTGGCCCTGTCTTCTCTCTGTACGCGCCGTAAGGCTGTGGCTGCTACCCAGGACTTCAGGAGTAAGTTCGGGTTGGGTTTGGCGCAAGCCACCCTGATAGCGCCGCCACTGTCTGCAGCCCCGTGTATCATGCGTGACCTGCCCTCGTGCGGCTGCGCGGCCTTCTCCTTGTGAGAGGACTTCACCAACTATCTTTGTATTGCTGTGATGCGATACTACATTTGTATGCAAAAGATGCTGAAATCCATGCGCATTCTGGTTTCGGTCGCCGACAAGCCCACCAATTTCATGCTGTGAAGATGGCGAATACTGAGTCAATGGACCCCTGTGCGTCTTCAGGAACCGGCGATGAGACTGTCGATGTGTTTAGGCTTCCTACCATCTTCCATCCTGATTACGTCGAGCACCACATCGTCTTTTCTGACCGGCGTCGTAACATCAGAAGGGGGAAAAAGCTGAAGAGATGGAAAACAATGCGCGAAATTGGAAGGGGTGGTTTCGGCATAGTATATCTTCAGGAGGAGGAGAAGTCCCAAAAGCTTCGTGCTGTGAAGCAGCTCCTTCGCCCTGCAAGTCAGGAAAGCTCGCTGAACCCTTTGCGGGAATTGACGGCGATGGCGACTTTGTCCAAGGTATGGACCAAGCAGCAACAAGCACTCGTTATAACCACTCAGCGTAGCCGCCCTCTGACCTTCCTGTAGGAATTGACCAATTTTGTGGAGTTCCAAGGCTGGTATCAGAATGAGACCCATCTGTATATCGCTATGGAATATTTCGAATTTGGTGATCTCGGGCAATGTGTTACTGCTCCACTTCCTGAAGGGGAAGCCCAAAGCATTATCTTCCAAGTGGCCGAGGCTTTGGAGTTTATGCATGAAAAGCACTTTACACATCGAGATCTTAAGCCCTCAGTAAGAAAGTTGGGTTCTCAAACCGGGACTTTGCTAAATACTGGCCAGAATATCTTCGTTGTTCACCGAGACCCGGAACACTGGTGGATCAAACTCGGAGATCTAGGGGTCAGCAAAAAGGTTCTGGGAGGAAACACGTCGCTTCACACCAGTTTAACTGGCGAGTTTATGGCGCCAGAGATTTTGGGATTCACTGAAGAAGCCTGTGAATATACTAATGCCGTTGACATGTGGTCTTTGGGTTGTCTTGCAAGCTGGCTACTGATCCAACGGGTATTGGTTGATGTGTCCAAGATGTTTCTGTTTTCTCGAGGCCGCTTCCCTTTACCGCTCGATTTGCTGTCATCGAAGTCTGTGAGTGATCATGGGCTCGATTTCGTGGCAAATCTTCTAGTATATCGGCCGGACCTAAGGATGAGCGCACCAGCAGCCGTTCGACATGAATGGCTTCACTCGTCTTCTTCGAATGACGGTCTGATCGACGACACTAGCAGTGCTGCCTCCAGAGATTCACTTGACCTGGCAAAGGCCACCTCGACTCGAAATGAGCAGCCCATTGCAAAGGAATCGCCAGCGAAAACGAATTCTGAGCCGGGTCTGGTAGGCGGCAAAAGGCGGCTCTGGGAAGGAACGCAGGCATCGGAATCCAAGGCCGAAGATCTTCCCTCTAAATCGCTCGAGCAGGGCCTCAAGCCGAAAGAAATCAATTCCTTCTTGTTTGATGCCAAGGTGGAAGAGCAGAGAAGGAAGGAGGTGGAAAAGAGGGAACTGGCGGAAAAGGATGAGTTTGAGACAAAGGTCAAGGAGAGATTTATGAAGCTGGTGAGCGCACATCCCCAACTGAGAACGCTATCTTTGCAATACTAAAGGAAGCTTAAAAGCCCCCCCAAACTGCGACCGAGGAAGTGACCTCTAGTGTTCTTCCATCCGAGGGTGCTAGCCTCGAGGAAGAGGAGACGTGGGGCTCTTTTGCTTCGTCGTCGAAGAAGTTGAGGGAGGGAATAGACTGGTGGGATAGTTTTGGAAACCCCGATGACTCCAGGAGCGCGTCCGTCAAAGACGTCGTGTCGCATGCTTCTAACACCACTCAGCCTACTCGCACGGATATCTCCAGTCATCCACGAAGCAGCTCATCAGCCACTGCCGCTGACGAGTACCCAGTCGCTGAGCCCAAGGGAGACATCACATCTCTGGCAAAGACGCCGATCCACACTCCAAACGAACTCATTGATAGTGCTTCTACACCGACAAAAATGGAGCCCACGCGATCAAGCCTTCAGCCGGACATGGCCATTTCTGATCTGAAGTATGACGACTATGGATTTGCAAAGCCTGGACCCCCTCCTAGGCGGAAGAACTTCTTACAATCAACGCTCCGAGGCGAGGCCTTACCACCTCCCAATACGTCTCCAAAGGCCACTGCCCCTTTGGTATCTGTCGATGACAGCTGGTCCGCTCCTGATGGATATCATTTCTACTGTCCATTTCCAGATTGTGGTGCAAGTTATCAGTTTCAAAAACTTTTCGAACACCACATCAGGCGAATGCATGGAGAAAATGAGCGGCCCTACAGCCCTCTCGAGTCTCTCGAGCCAATACGACTATCCGCCTCACGAGACCCAACAGCGGGAACGGCGACTTTGCAAACAGCCATTGACGGGGTAACACACAACGCTGGCGACAGATTGCAGTCTGCTTCAGAGCGTAGTCCGCCAGAAACCACTTTACCCTCCAGCAGTGGCTCGGCAAGCGATTTATCAGCTAACAAGAAGGCTTTGCAAGCTGCCATGGACCATACTGTTATCCACGGTGGCAAGATCTTAAAAGTTCATGCCGGGCGAGATCCGCCAGAAGCCATTGGCTTACCACGTGTGGCTGGAGGAGAGCAACCATCGGTTATGGCAAAGCCATCCTCTCCTCACCATCGAACAACTTCAGCAGGCGCAAAAGCAGGTGAAAGAAGCATTCCGATGGATGGGCCTAAACACGAAACGATGGTTGGCCGGCTGGATGAGCCAAAGTGGCCTGCTCTTTTACCTTCCCGGGCCGCTCCTAGTCCTCCATTGCTCTATAACGGCTCCTTGCGGTACGACGAACAGCATCGGGCGCAAGTCAGAAGAAAGGCGGCATCGCGTGGGGTTTCGTTTGAGAAATACCTGCTCTACCACTATGAACAAGATTTTGGTCGTCCTGCATTTGTTCAAAGTACATCGACAGGTCCTCTGGCGCAGAAGCAACCTTCTGGGTCCACGACTACTACAGCAGCCCCCAAAAGCTTAATGCCCCAGCCGGGAGCCCCAGCCGGCGTTTCCTCGTCCGCAGAGAGACCTGCCATGAGCCAGACTAGGAAAGAGATTACAGGTTTCAATCGCTCTCGAACCAAGACCGTAAGCCGCGAGAAGGTAAGGTCAAGGGCAGCTGGTAAGGGGATCTCGTACGAGAAGTATATGTTATATCACTTTGACAAAGATTTTGGAAGCGGAACCGAAGTAGTTTAGTTAACGATCACATGATGGGCTCTCGATGGTTTGCCGGCAAAATGACCTTTTTGCAAATGCACGCATAGTCCGAATATTGTAGACATGGCGCGATAGAATATATAATGCCTCGTACTGGCCTCACCGGCCTCGAAATTGATCCTGAGAGTGTGCTATCTTCCTCGCGACCAGCTCGAACCGAAGTGGTCGCAAGGTTGCGGACTTCAACCCGATAGCGATCTATTGGAGTGGCCTTTGCGCCAACCGTTGAGGATCGGGCCAGACCCCGTCTCAGCCTCACTTCGCAAATCTGGTCAGGCTTGGATAGCCTCGAACCCAGTTCACCTTCATTCGTGAAAACCCCACTGACTATCAAAGCGCCTGCATCAAGATGGAAGTTGCTGGAGCTGCAATTGCGCTGGTACAAGCGGCCGAGATGGCCATCAAGTATGTCAAAATCTCTCGACCAGAACCGCGGCGGTCTTATTTGGTTTATCACAGATTCACTGACATTACTTGGCTGCAAGGGCTGGCAAAGGGGTGGTGGCGATCGTAATCGCCTATAAGCATTCGGATTCTCGTTTACAAGAACTAAGTCTTCGGGTAGAGGGAATATGGCTCAAGACAGAGCTTCAGATCAACGTGATCATGGACATCTTTTCACCTCACTCCGAACCGACGCCCTGGCAAGAAAGGCTTCTCAGCTTCCAATATTCATGCTTTGATACCCTTGGCAGCAAGCTACAAAGCTATCTCGTCAAGCTCAAAAGTCTGACTGGCGTCGATGTCAGCGATGGGATTGACGTGTACGCAACACCTGCAATCACCAAGATCATCCCGAGAATGCGATATGCCCTTTTCGAAAAGCATATTGAGGGATTGGTGGTGGAACTGCAACGCTGGCAAGCTGTCTTCGATCCGTCCTGGTATTTGCTCACTAGATTGGTCAGCCCTGAAGTTGATAAGATTCTGGAGCAGACCGGGAGCGACACCACGGTGCAGACACAAACTGTCTCAAATCTGCACGACATACGAGCCATCGTCCGCCTTACGAATCAAGACACCTCGCGTCCTCATTCAGATACAGTTCCACAGCGCAAAGTTCCATTCCTTTCTCCAGATTCAATCCATGATCAACGTGCTTTGGCGAATGAACCCGGACTGCAGATTGGAAGAATTGTGGACTCTGACGAAGTTGTTGTCTTGGACACCACCGCATATCACGAAGATTCGCACCCGCAGACCGTCGCGACTACTGTACGACAAATCGCGCGACTGCTTTCAATTGATGATCCTTTCTCGATGGGGTTTTTGAAATGCGTGGGGCTTGTGAAGTCGAACGAAAATCAGTTCATATATGTGCTCGCCCTTCCTAAACAGCAGCCTGTTCGTTTGCTTCGAAGCCTACTCTACTTACCGAGTCCTTCATTGGACGCGAAATTCCGCATTGCAAGGAATCTAGCCAAGACAATCATGTCTCTCCATGCAGCGAAATTTGTCCACAAGAACATCCGCCCTGAGACGGTCGTTGTTCAAGATGATGGCGAGGGTGAGATGAGCCAAGCTTATCTTGTCGGATTTGAGCAATTGAGGCCGGACTTGGGCCATTCATCTTTGGTTGCAGACGTGAGTGGTCTCTTTTCACTTCGTTTTGTACTTCTCCAACCTGTCGGGGATTCTGAAGCACGTTGTGGGAGTTGTCAGATCCCGTTGAAGATTGAAGTCTCCCCCGTTTGACCACCATTCCGCTTGTTTTCGTCCTGCCGCTTTGTTCTTACGTTGAGTATGCTATACGTAAGCTTGATATGACCAACACTGAATCTTGAAATGCCGATAGATGGTCTGGCAGCGTAACATCTACCGTCATCCAAGCCGGCAGGGTCTCAAAGTCCAGGAGTTATATGTCATGCAACATGACATCTATTCGCTGGGAGTGTGTCTCTTAGAGATCGGAATGTGGGCATCATTCGTTGGGCAAAACCAGCAGCCACCGACGTCCTTCGACATCTCCGAAGAGCTGAAATCTAAGAACCCCATGAAGACGGCGACGCAGATCAAAGCCAGGTTGATCGAAAAGGCCGAGACGGAACTGCCAAGAAGCATGGGCAAGAAGTACACGGAGGTAGTGCTTTCCTGTTTGACGTGCCTTGATAGCGGAGCCACCAATCTGTTCGAGGATGAGGATGACCTATATGACGAGGACGGGATCCTGGTCGGTGTCGCGTTCATTGAGAAGATACTCATTAAGTTGGATGATATTACGACATAGCAGCCATTCTCGATCCGCCTTGAGGAGTGAACACGCGCCTCGATGGTTTGTCCGACATCCTACATAGAACTCGAGTGTACGTAAGTCCTTAGTCCGAGGTACGTATACCTCCTGTTAGGTAGCTTGACCATGTTGAGATGTAAGCACATACATGACCTAAACATGACTCTCTACCAGCACGCATTGCTTGTGAAATCTGAAGCCTTGTTCTTGTCGACATTGCCCATGACATCTCACGGGCTAGAGGGGGTTTATGCTGGCGACCATTGAGGCTCCCTTGACGGTTCTTGCATCAACTAACAGCGATGACTGGAGCTTTTGGAGACTGGAAAGAACCGACCTAGATCATGTGTGATGACGCGTTGGCCTTGGAGCTGCATGAGAGGCTCTGGTCGGATCGCTTGGCCTGGAATAGAGCGCCCTTGGTCCTTGGTCCTTGGCCCCCGGAGGAGAGTCCGGAGTATACGCGAAGTACTCGTACACAGACGATGGTGTCCAGGTGGAAGGCCTGGGACCTTCTCGTAAGATATCAGGACCCTTCTAGGCTTCCTTGGCCCTAACAGGACTCCCGTCAATGTTGTTGCTCGTCAATCGTTTCAGCCAAGGACCCTCAGGGCCTCCCTGGCGCAGGGAGCCTGAAAGTAATTGCCCCGGACCAATATTAATCCGCTAAGGCTTTGGGCCTGCATCCGTGCGTCCTCAGCCTTTCTAACCCTCTGCTTCCACGGATGAGCATGTCACATTTCCATGCACCCACGAGGAGACCCTATTTCCAATCCTGAGTTCCTGTATTCTTTGTCATCTGCCAATACTCATACGTGTTTGCATGCACATCTACATCGGAATCCTGCTTAACTAGCCCCTTCTCTGTCGCTACCAGGGGTTACGACGGCCAGCATCTCTCGCCGCCCCTTTCCGAATCTGGTTACATGAAAGCAAGTTGGCCAAGGGCAGACGTAGTGCTGATGCACTACCTCGTACTTCGACGACGCCTCACGGTTCTGCAAAAAGCTCGATCTCGCGTTTCATACTTGAACATGTGGCCCTGAGCCGCATTATTCATGTATTTTTCACTCTTCATCAAACACGCCCACAAGAAGCGTGGCTGAAGCTTCTCGAGGCTACAGAATCCCCATGGACAGTATGCCAAAGGTACAGCATGTCCTTGTGCTTGGTGGGACCGGTACGTGCGTCTTCTCTTCCCCTCTGCATTCTTTACCGTCGCTCCCCTACATCATCTTCCTAGCATGCGTTGAACCATGTTACTGAAATGCACTCCCCTCAAATCCACAGGTCCCTCTGGAATCGATTTCACCAATCTTGTGCTATCGAATCCCAATGGACCTAAAATAACTCTCTATGTTCGCACTCCGTCTAAGCTGCCAAGTGAGCAAAGAGAAGCAGCAGACCCGACACGGTTGCGGGTTGTGATAGGGGAGCTCGGCGACCAAGCGACGTTAGAACGTGCCTTGATAGATCCCGCGACTCCAGTCGACGCGGTAGTTTCCTTTCTGGGTCCCTATGCATCCCTCAAAGCGTTCTTGCTACGGACCAAATCCAGCCCTCTGGCGGACACGTTCCCGACCATCCTGGCAGCGATGAAGCAAGCGGGCGTCAGGAGGATCCTTGCCATTTCTTCGCCCGCCTGGCTCGTACAGGCCGAGAGTGGCAAGGAAGACGACTTGGGCGAGCACTCCGACCAGATGTCCTGGGGCTGGTGGCTTGCCATGCGATTCGTGGCGTTCATCCTCCCACAGGGATCTGTGGAGATGGAACAGATTGGGCGAAGAGTCGCCGAAGAGGGCACCCGCGGCGGCTGGGGTATGAAGTGGACGGTCTTCAGAATCCCTCGGTTGAACAATGGGGCAGAGGATCTGGAAGTCAGTGCTGGATACCTGGGGCAGGGTTTCGATGGGTCCAAGGAGTTGAGTCGCAAGAGTATGGCCAGATGGCTGGTTAGAGAGTTGGAGGCTGGCGATTGGATTGATAAAGCCCCTGTCGTGTCGAATCGCCGCTGAGAGCAGTGCTAAGCTGGCATTTTGAGCTGCGAAACATATTGGCGTTCAGCGAGACAACGAGATCAGTCGTGCAGCGTCACAAGAGACAGGGAAATGCAACGGTATTATGTGATGTGGAAGGCGAAATGATAGCCATGGACTTGGGATAGATAGTATTCTATTAAGACTTTCGATTTTTCAGAGTATTCCGCTGAGACCAGTTGGTTATGACTCGACAGGATATGGAGGGTAGAAGAAATATGTGCAATTTCTATACTTCCAGCCTGTATTCCCTTGAGATCCCATGGCCAGGTAGATAACCTCATGCAACCCAAAATACACGAAAACCCCTGTCTTCGCTTGCTGAAGCAATCAATAACCCTGAAGAACTAACCACGATCTTCCTGCCCCTAACCTCCAATTTCTCAGCCCATCCTGAACACTCAAGTGTCCCTGCGCTGGGGCGCTATGAAGCGACAATCTCGGGCGTTCTCCAGTACATCTGCTTGCGAACTATTTATGTGATAGATGCTCCTGGTCGGTGGTTGTATTGTTTGACCGGATGCCTTTATGGTTAAGATCATGACCGACATTCGTCCGAACGTTCAAGCGTTTTGAGTGCCACAGCACTTGTTTCCGGCGTTGAAAATACCGCCGGCGACCTGTGGCATGTAGACAACGGGTCGCTATGACCATATCGGCGTGGCTGCGCTCGACTCGGAATGATGCCGTACGTGTCGCTGGCTGCCATCCCCTGGAAGGTCGGGCAGGGCTGATCAACATGCGTTTCTCGTCAGGGACTTGTTTCGCCGAGGCAAGTAGATTCCGGCTGTCACAAATGATATTGCTGTGGATTGTTTACTTCCACGCCGGATCTCTTCCAGAAACCTTCAACATTCATATCCTCTTGTCCACTTGAGGTACCCCGTCAGCTTGTTTCACATCATCACCGACCAAAAAGTAGACTTACTCGGTTCTTGGAATGACGGTAGGCTCAGTCTGACCTTCCGCCTCGTTGGGATTCCGGAAGACGACATTCTCCGTCTGCATTCTTCATTAGTACATCTTAAATTATCTCCAGGATATTATCCCCACTTACCATGCCTAAAGTAAGGTGAATGCCTGCCGGCCCACGCACAAATGCCTCTTCTGGTTGGCGGCCTTCGATCAATGCCTGGACATTCTTGGCGAGTACGGCTGCTTGGGCAACTCCTGGTCTTGCAGCCTTGTGCGCCCCAGTATCCGCAATATCGCCCACGGCGAATAGATTCGGGTACTTGTCGTCCAAGAACTGAAGCGTAGGTCGAACGCGGATGAATCCATTGGCAGGATTTATGACCGACCCAGGAGCAGATTGCTCAAGGTTCGCGACAAGGCTATTGTTAGATTTTTGACCCGTCGCGAGGATGACGAATTCGGTTGAGAGTGTATCGCCATTTGTCAGCTGAACATCGAACGGCTTAGCATTATTTGGAAATCCATCTGACGGTATCGACACCCTAGATCCTGTGATGAGGTCAATACCCAGATCATCAAATCGCTTCTTGACGAGCCCATGGAACTTTTTGTGATACTGCGGCATCACTCGCGCGCGAGACTGAACAACGGTGATTTTCTTGTCGGGGTAGTATTCCTTCAGGTCTGTTGCCATCTGGACGCCAACAGCCCCGCCACCGACGATCAAAATCGACTTCGACTGTTTAATGTCTCTTTGATGCTTCTGTAGATATTCCACAGAAGAGGGCTTATCGTCGTATTTCATTGCCGCTGGCTGAGCGAGGAGCGTCCCAGTGGCAACGGCGAGATATTCAAATGGTATCTGCTTGGAACCTTGCCATTCTCTGTCCAGGCTCACACTACGAGGCTGAACTGACAAGACACGAGCCTGTACGAATGCATGAGAAGCCGAATTGGGCACAGACGAGAACACTCCGCTGTATGGGATGAATGCTTTGTGTTCCTGGCCAGGAACGATGGCAAATCTAGGCTGTCTCACATGGTGAGCATCGTCTCCTGAATGGATCACTAATACTGAGACCCGACCTACAAATGTAAAAAGATGATGGAAGTGGCTATGCGGCTCGATCAGAAGCACCTGGAATATGTATGTTAATCACCAAGCATGGCGGGCGAAGTTGTGATGGCATACCCTATGAGTCGGTGGCACAATTCTCGCGAGCTCTTGAGCGGTGGCCTGTGATAATTAGCAACGATGTAATGACACAAGTAGATAACATCGGTCCACTTACGCGTCCAACGTAAGAACCTCCTACGACAATCACGTTTTTCAGCGATGGGTTGATCATGATGGAGGGTATGAAATGAGAGCTTGGCAAGCAAGTTGAGGTTGAGTAAGAACTGTCGGTTTGCAAGTCTCCAGATTTCGATTAAGTATGGAAGAGTGAGTTTTCCATCCACATCACACTTGAAAGGAGGATTTCTATTCAATGCCATCTTCATCTGCCGTTGGATAACAACCAGACAAAAGGAGGGACGGCGCTCTTCCGCCTGGAGTCAAAAACTGCCTAATCTGATTAGATAACATCTCCGATGGAATTACCGCTTATGACCGAGTACAGGCACGGAAGCGAGGAACGGCTTTGTGGGCGCCCGTTTCCGGCAGCAATAAACAATCTTTGGAAAGCCCCCGATCGGCCGAGAGAGAACAAGGCTCGCGGGAATCCATCGATCGATAACTCCGAAGATGTTCAGACGTCCATTCTGAGTCATACTACTACTCCCCCGTGCGAGTACTGGCTGTACTGGTGATGTTGGCCCGTTCTTTCGCGGTCCCGGGTCTCCATAAATCTGGCGTTGACTGTGCCTTCTCCACCTCCGGCTCCTTCATCCCTCCATATGAGGGGCCGAGGGTGCGTTGCAAGGCTGCAAAGACGTTCTTCCACATACCTCAAGTAATAGTCCTGTCCTTGTCCGATTTGATGAGAACTCCTGCTCATAGAGCTGATGGAGTAGTCAGTATCCGTAGTCTGAAGACACAACTATAAGTGTTCGGTAGTAAACAGCTCCGGCTGCAGGTTCTCGCTAAGGTCGGGCTAATCTCTTACCCATGGTCCAGGGGTGACCCGGTGCCCACGTGACGCTTACCAAGTTTTGGGGTCTCAGCCTTTGACTTTGTTGCTTATTCGCAGCTCTCTGTTCCATTCGCATCAAGAACTTGACGCAACACCAAGTCTGAAGGATCCTGTCCATATTACTGGAGGCTTCCAATACAGATCACCGCATTGAGAGCGCGCGAGATCTGCTGACCTGTTACACGAAGCCCAAGAGGAAACTGCATCATCCAAGCTGGCTCAGATGATGGAACGGCGCATGTCGCCTGCACCGAAGTCTTGAATTGCTAGGACAGGGACAAGAACAAGAGCGTCTTTTCTTTAATGCCGAGTGTTCTTGCTCCTAAATCACAGCGCCGTCAAAATGCCAGTTGCGACCGGTGCCGGCACTCCAAGCGACGCTGCCTTGTATTACCTCCCGAGGAGCCAGGGCCTGGCATAGCCTGTACCAATTGCAACCGTCTAGGCTATCTGTGCACGTTCACTTTCGCGGAGGCATGCAAGAGTTCAGGCCAAAGGAGACCATCTGCGAATGCTCGAACTAGTCAAGCTCCACCATCGGAACTGCCCATGTTAGGCTTCTCTGATTTTGAGGTACCCGGAGAAGTGCAACATCATGGCGATGGCCTTACAAACTGGCACGATGACAATCCACTCTCAGAGCCACCAGTGGAATTTGACTTTGAGGACTTCTTGAACTTCGATTCGGAGTATTATACAAATCAATCGGATCTTTCCAATCCCCCTGACATCACATGTCCTTCCTTGGCCCAACCAAAAGATCGCGCGCATCACCTTCATCAGCACAATGCTCAACCTAGTATTGAATCTGAGGAAGTTTGGATACGGCCAAGGCACAGCTCTATTGTTGGCTGTTCGCCGAATAGCCCTGTCCACTTACTAAGCTCATCTTGGGAGGCCATGCTCCTCACCGAACATTTTGCTCGAATTTACCAAACCATTACCGCGGGAACTGCTTCGATATTCCTTGACTATGACTGTAACCTGTATCCAGGCAGGTATCGGTATCGGTTTGACTTTGCGATTCCTGCACATTCATATGACCCTTCGTTCACGGCATTGAGTGTCCTACCACGTGAACCCGCCTCCATGCCCTTCACTTCGGAGACGTTGGCACCAGAGGTTATCAATAGATCTCCGACTCGACTAAACGCCGCCGGCAGCTGGCAGTCTTCTCAGATACCAGGAATGCATGAGACCATTCGCGCAATCACAATTCTTGGGGCCGTTCGTTTCCTGGACCATTTTGGTGCGCTCTACGGAAATAGTCCAAGTACCAGTCTCAAATGCCAGTCGGATGAGATCTTGAAGGAGGTACTCCGGACCTTTTCGTTCCAATGGCTCGCAACAACCAATTCCCCACCGGAGTTTAAAGTCAGCAACAGTACATTTGCTGACTCCACTGCTTCAAAAAGCCTGCCGCCACCACAGTCATCACTGGCCTTTGTTCATACGTGGATTCGAGCTCGATCATTGATCAGAAATTCTCAATCTGTCGTCTCTTTTGGTGTCGTGTTCGCAACATTACTTTTCGACACCATTATAGTCCCCGGTGAGGCTTTCGCTGGATTGGAAGATGATATTAGTATGCATGAGTTTCTTGACACTGGCTTCCAAAAACTGGCCTACCTGGAGCATCTCGTGGAGAAATATTGTGACAATTTAGGAATGCAGTCTGAACATGGAGCCCTGATGGAATCGAGCCTGAGTATAGTCCGTTGGTTTGCCTATCTTCGTGACACGGTAGTTGCCCTGATGACGGATCATCCTTGCAGACTCCAAGAGGTTCAATGCCACAACAAAGGTAAGCCGACCAAATGATTGTACTTAAGCCACTCATCGACTCATTCGGAATGCGATAGTATCACCGGATTCTGGAATTCTTTCACTTCTGGAGCCAGCACAGAGCCTTGGTCCTCTAGACGATGCAAGCCTTGCGAATATTTGCCGACGAGCAATACCGGAAACCTTCGCGGTTTGGAGAAAAATCGTCGCACTTAGGGAGATGTGCACAAAGCAATGCGAAGACGTCTGGAAATTCTGTCCAGGGAGAGATTCTACTATAACCACCATCACAATCGCGGTAAATCACTTCGAACAATCATTTCGCCCTTTTATGAACCACTGCAGAGAGAATTTCCCGAAGCTCTCTATGGCATTAAGAAGATTTGTCGGTATGTTCACCCTCAACCGTGCACACAACGAATCACTATAAGCATCACAATAACAAATAACCATCGTAGTCTTCCTTGTGGTTTTCTGGGATCTAGGCATTCTCGTTCTCGCTGAGATCCTCAAAGTTTTGTCCATGGAGAGTCATCCTTCCAACCAGCACTTGGTCTTTCAAACACAGAAATATCAATGGGAATCGGCGATGTCCATGGCATATACAGTCGAGTGTGTGCTCAATCTCCCCACTGCAGAAGCATTCAAGCCGTTCAGTGGGCTGGACCCAGAAGTGCCGCTCACTGCATCACACGTCACACCAACCATTGTAGTGTTCGCTTTGCAGAAGGCTATTGAACAGATTCTTGACGCCAAGCTCTCATCCGGAAACAATTTGGACCCAGATGGGATCTGGGACCGTGCACTGGGCATTTTAATGAAAGGCCTTGCTGCACTGGGCGTGACCGTCGCGGGATCGAGAACCGCGACCGTGTCCATGCAAACACTGATGCGAAGTCATGGCGACATCCTGTCGGAGTGCTGGTTCGTGTGACTGGGACGGTGAAGACGATATTTAAGACTTGGCATACTCAGTGTAGTCGACAATCAGTCGGTTTCGGTTGCGAAGCGAAAATCCCAACTCTCAAAATTCACGCAAGTCGAGACAGTGTAACAGTAAGCCAAGCCAAGTGACCAATCTGTGTGTGCAACCACTTAGAATGGAGCCGCCTTCAATTGGCCGACGAGCCGCTAATTTCCTATTTTAGGTCGCCATACGGCTCCGACCCCTGTCCGTCAAAGCCTTGCCCAGCCGGTGCTGGACCTGATGAGAAGAATGACCAACCATCTGGATATATATCTCCTCATTCACTGACCATGCCCTTCGGATGAATTAGCACTACATTCTTCTCAAAGCCAATCCGACATTGTTATCACGTCCACTTCTGATACCTACCGATATGTCTAAACCCGTCATTGTTCTCGTCCCCGGTGCGTGGCACCGACCCCAGCACCTGCGCAAAGTGATCTCTGGACTCGAGAAGTCTGGCTACGAGGCACACGGTGTAGCACTTGTCTCAGTCGACTCCAACCCCCCCGTGACCAGCTGGGATAAGGATGCCGAAGCGGTTCGAGAGGTGATAGTAAAGAACCTGGACGCCGACAAGGATGTCATCGTGATTGCTCACTCCTACGGCGGCCTGGTCATGTCCGAAGCCGTCAAGGGCCTGGGAAAGAAGGCACGCGGGGAACAAGGACTCAAGACAGGTGTCCTCAGATTGATCTACATGTGCGCCATCGCGCCGAGGAAAGGTGAGACGCTCCAGGACAAGACGAAACCGGGCACCGAGCACGAGGCCAAGCTGGCGGAGCAGCAGATGCAGACTATGAAGATCGAGCCGGTATGATCATGACACTAGACCCTCTTCTGCAAAGTGCGAGCCTTTAACAGCGGAATTCCTCAGGACGGAATGATGCTCCCCACGAACCGCGAGCTGGGAAAAAAGCTCCTGTACAACCGTTGCTCGCCAGAAGACATCGAAGAGGCACTCGATCTCGTCGGCGCCTTCCCCGTCGGTCCTCTGCTGGTGCCTGCCACGTACACCGCGTACCTCGAGATCCCAAGCACGTATATTGTCACCGAGAACGACATGGCCTTGGCTCCGACGGCTCAGGAAAGGATGGTCGCAGAGGGCGAGGGCGCATTCGACGTCATTCGATGCCAGGAGGGCCATTCGCCTTATCTGAGCAATCCCGGCCTTATTGTGGACATTATTCGCAGGGCTGCGGGCGAGGATGTGTAAACCCCGGCTAGAATCTAGACATGCGTTGGGTTCGTAAATCTCCACTCTTTCGGATAAACTATGAGCTGTTAAGACAAAATGAAATAGATTGGTTGCTCTGTACATCTAGACTCCCAGGGAGTAGTGTATTCGAACCCAGGCCCTGGGTTAGTGCCTGCCTTCGTAGTCGATGGTAACAAGAAGGGTGTCCCCTTCTCATGACCGTAGCTTTATAGGGACAGCAAGGAGAGGACCAGCATGCTGGGATCCTCCGCAGATTGCAGAATGACATGAATCTACCCCTGGAATCCCTGCTCGCTGAGACCCTTTAAGCGAGCTGAGAACCCGCCACCGAGAAACCTGAGATCCGCTACACGATGTCACGGACCTCCTCGACAAGAAAATGGTGCATTCCCGTGGCGGAGTTGGCGGTATGGATCCATGTCTCCAGGTACTCGGTATCAAAGTCCTTCAGCAGTAGGCGGCCTGGGTCTTTATTGCGATGTCCCTCAAGTGAGCAAACATAGTCACAAACGCAGCTAGATCGGGTCATCCTCGCACCGTGGCATCCGCCAATGTGGGTAGAAGATCATATCGTTCTCGCGCGTCTGAAAGGTGGTAGAATGAATGGTCCTTGGCAGAGGACCACATGGAAATGTTCTCTTTGGTAGAATTCTGCGTCTACTTTGATATCGCGTGCATCCGACTGCACTACATGGGCGACTTCGACATTGGAGTCTGGCGCGTGCAATTTCGCCTGTCCCAGCTCCGAGGAGGATATGTCAGAGATAGTAACTTCCTGCCCACGTTTCGTGAGCTCCACGGCTAGAAAAACGGGTTTAGATATCGTTTTTCAGAGTTGTTTTCATGATACCAGGGATCGTATTGGGGGCCAACGTGTACATTATCCATTATTCTCATTGTACTCACCATGGGGTTCCATGCCGTCGCCGATATCAATTCTGCTAGATGACTTCTGTTCCGGAAAGCTCTTTTCGAGCCGCTGGGTAGATTCTAGAATGAAATGAAGAGCTATCTGATATTCGACTTTGAATACTTCTAACTTTTCTAATGACGCTTGGGGAGAAGAGGAGAGGTTGAATGAGAGATGCTTCGTGAGCTTGTTTTCGATTCACCTTTTGACAGGCCCATTCTGAATTCAAGAATAGGCATCAATCAATTGCATGGCTCAAAAAGACAAGTACAAGTCTGAGCATGTCGGTGAGCGAGACTGGCATTTATACGAGGCAATTTTCAGGTTGCATTCGGTCCCTCTGTTGAAGGTCTCTCTGTCAAAGGACAAAGCTTCCATCTGCACCAGCTTTTTGCATATCTCCATGATGGAGAGAGTTATCAGTGGCATCTTTCATGTGGATATCATGAAGGCACGATGGGCGCTTCTGCCAATTTGCCTGTCCTTGCTAGATGAACGCGTGGGAACGCCATCTCGAGGAGCAACTAGAAGGGCTCATCTTTGTTGAGGAAGGTGGGACGGGATCATGGGGACTTATTTATTGTCTGACGGTACACACCGAAGAATTTGCATGCAGAACTGTGTAGATGGGTGGTAACTCAAAGTCATTTCAGATATACTTCTTATCGATACTCCCTGATTGCGTCATTACAGTGAACTCCCGAACCCCGAGTCCTAAAAATACGGTTCACACCACTATGAATTACCAATATTACGGTACTCTGCATTGCACTTCATGCTGCGGAGCTTTGTCTTCGATCTCGAAAAGTCGACTCTGCTTCATCAAACCTGACTTCCTTCCTGACTCCTTAGAGCTCGAACCCTTGGAGCCTAGATTCCCACCCTAGGTCTTGTATCTTGCATTCCGGGTCCCTGCTCTTGAGACAGACGACACTGCTGGAACCGGCACCAATGGTGCTCAACTATATCCGGCGCACCCTGCACGGGTCGAACCTCGAGATCTTCAAAGTAAGTCACCCCCCCGCCCTGCCCAAATTCACGCTCGGTTCCGGGTGGGAAGACACTGGCGCAAATGGCACAGAAAGATCTAACCTCTCTTTTCTCCTTCCTGCTCAGTTCGGGCTCTACCTCTCCTTCCCAATCGGCTACATGTATTACTTTGGCACGAACCTAGAGAACCGCTTCTCCGTCCCCGGGTTCTGGCCAACCCAGGAACAGGGCCACAAGATCCCCTACGAGCGGGACGAGATCAAGGCCGAGGTGGAGCGGATCCAACGGACTATACAGAACAGAGAGATCGCTAGGCGGCGGCAGGCGGAGAACGCGTTCGACGAAGTGAGGTCGAAGCTGCGCGAGGAGAAAGGCGAGTGAGATGAGATCTGATGAGATTTGATGAGTGCTGGATTGCATGGCATAGCATTTGGAGTCGTTTGGGTTTCAAGTAACAAGAGAAAGACAGCATTTATGTGGCGAAGGGCGTGCATGATCATTGTGATGGAGAACGATAGGCTCCTACACTGAGCCTGTACATTATGGGAGCTGGACCAAGATGTGTGAATAAGATATGGGTTCTTTCTCGCAGTCTCGGCCTGGACCTGGGTATACATAATTCCACTCACGGGCATGGTAATGTGACAGCAAATAACCGTGACCCCATTAATCATCTAAGCGCCTCCGTCGAATTGGCTTGCTCTCCTCGCAACATAAGTCTTGTGGTCAGCACTACCAACCACCCCCTCATTATTTCAATTGTATAGTCTGTGGCTCCTCATGATCGACTCGACTCTCAAACAGCAGAAGACCGCTATCTTATTAACGCCACACGCATGGCTTGCTTCCGAAGCAGAGAAAATATTTTTAACATGTTGGGGGATACACAGTATCTCTGCCCTCCCGTCTCCCCATCCTAGAGTTCTCTCAACGTAGCGGCAGCGCCTGCCCTGAGGGTGCCCGACGTCAGCCTCAGTCCCTCTCCAGCCAGCGAAGTTTTGTCACCGGTAGCAGCCGCGGTAGTCATGTAGGCGATTTCACCTCCGCGGACATAATACCAGATGCGGTTGTAGATGACGGCGATATGGTCGGGGAGATAGAGCGAGGCAGCAGTGACAAGCAGAGAAATGAGTATAAAGAGGATCAAATCTGTAAGCGGGAGGGTTAGCCTTCAGGAGAGGGGAAGACAGTGCTTGCTTGTTAGGAATGTAAGGGCTGTGGAGGGGAGCGACGCGTACTGAAGATGAACTTCTCGGTGGAAGTGAGCATGTACAGAGAGAAGGTGACTTCATATTGGTATTTCTTCAACTGCAGCCAGCGAACAAAGGACGACAGGTATGAACCTCGCGGTTGCTCCTTGACGACTTTGGAGTAGTCCGGCATTTCCAGGGCGACGGGATGCATAGAGTGAGGGACTTGAACTTGGACTTGGACTTGATAATGCGGGTTGGGTTGTAAAGTTGTTGTCGCTATCAGCGAGTGACTTCGGGATCTCAATCAATCGAATCGATGTCGTTGTCTTGAGCAGAAGGACAGGGAGTGGAGGTTTCAATGGGTCATTTAGCAAAAAACGAGCGACGAATGACACAGATGTTGGAAGGGTGAGGACAAGTACGGGAACCTCGTCTTCTTAGGATAGAAGCCCACGAAGAATGGTCAATCGATCAGGGCGAGGAGGGAGCAGAACGAGGGTGAACCGCAAGTCTGACGGCCAGGGAATTTCCGCCTTCGAGGCTGCGACGCGCTTTCGGTAATTAAGATTTTCAATGTAAAGACGTTGCCGGGAAATCCGGTGTGGGTTTAGGCGGTTCGGCCGATACGGTATGGCGGAGGTTTGGGGGTATTGCCGCTTTTAATAATATATATGTAGTACCACCTCCCACACCTTATATGACATCTCTCCTCCTTCTAAAAGAATAACGCGGTGCTTGAATAGCTTTCCGAGAGACATTTCCAAGAATCGTGCGACAATTGTATCTTGTTTTCCGATCTAGACAAGCCCACTTATGTATGCGTATCAGAGCTTTATTGGATGTTGCATGTAACCCCCCCGAGATCCCTCAGCTGTCCTGGGCTTCTTCCCAACCAGCATCTTGTAACTGTTCTCATGTAGATGGTTGCGAGCAGAGTGTAAACCCTGCGCCGAGGTTCTCTTTCTCTCAACAATCCTCACACTTCTTCGCAGTCATCCACGGAGCCGCATATCTCTTTTGTCGCGTGCACTGTGGCGCTCCCTCAGACCCTGCTGTCCATCTACCCTCCTTCAAAGTGCCTAGCTTCGACCCTTTTCAGCCATTTCAATGTGGAAACGCGTGGTCCTGCTCGTCGCCTTAAGATGATCCGAGTCTGCATGTGTCAGAGGTTTGCCCTCCACCACCATGCGTCGACTGATTCAAGGCGATAAGACTTTGACGATCTTGGAATGACCTAGAACTGCAACAGCCTGCAGGGCACTGCCTTCACTTCCATGCTGCGCATTAGGGTTTGCTCCATTTGCCAGGCAACATTTTCACAGCTTTGATGTCATTCAGTCTTGCCGCTTAGACAAGTACCTTGCCAGTTACGAGCTGGTGAGCCACGTCGTGCCTGTATTCCTCTCTAATCTTGTCTTTTACGCCTGAGAGAAGTCGGAGTAGAGAGAAGAGCCAGTCTCAGGGGCCAAGGGGCTGCCACCTTCCCCCAAGCTAGTAGTGAGGCTGAACTCTCCAGGCAGTCACGTCTCACTATTTCCTCCGTTAGCTAGCCCCTTCTACGATGTTATCCTCACGTGATTATAAGACGGGATCGAGTCTCAGCCGCTAAAAGCGGCGACATGACTGCGAAGGGAGATTTTCAGCGGCTTCGGTTGCCTGTACCTGAAATTTCACGCCTTTTGGCCGCATCTTGGCCGTGTCATTTCAGGGACTGCCCGCCCAAACCAACCCCATATAGACCGCCTCGTATTGGATCCCAGACCAGTTTCCCCGAGGCTGACCGGAGATTTTCTTCCAGATTCAGGATTTGACACTCAGGGTCTGCATGTCCTCCCTGAACCACCGACATCTGCAGGGAATATCTTCACGTTGAAATCGACCCGAAGGATCCGGGTAGTCGAATGGATCTAGGGTCGAGTTTTTGGTGATTTGAAAGGGAAGAGAAACGGGCTTCTCTCAGCCAAGTCTGGAGTTCTGCAGTATCTATGCTCTATCCCGAACGTCGAATCCTCTCCTGGTCTAGCACCTCTGCTCTATTGCCCGTCTGGAAACCTTTGATATGCCATTCCACCTTTCAAATCTCACACATTGTAAACCGTTTTGTGTTGGCGTGAGCTTCATGCCTTGCCATCAGAGAACTGGACCACAGCCCATTTACCACTCCACGCCCACTTTCTAGCCCCGGAATCACCACCACCGTCTGGAGTTGCGCGAATCTCTTCGTCTTTGCCTTCGGGCAGTCCAACCACGACGTCAGCCTTGCACGTCCGTAGTGCAAGCACCCGAATACCGGATGATGGACCTAGAGGACCTATCGCTTGAACAAATGGTGTCGACGCTGGCCACGCAGCCTGGGTTTATGCCAATTATGTCAGTTCTCTGCTCAGCGTCAAGAAAAGGGGGGGCAGCAATGCCAACTCACATCACCAGTCAGCTTCCTATAGTTCAGATCACCCTTGAAGATCACCAATTCACTCTCTTTTAAGTCCTCCAGTAGCTCAGGCGCAACCTTGGGCAGCCTCCAAAAGCTTCCGGCGTGAGTCCAGAAGCGATTCGGTCGCAGGATCAACTGGCCCTCACCGTGCAGATTGCTCCAGTCCTCGAACAGGAACTTCACATTCGAAGCTTCTTCATCTGACAGCGGCACCGGCGCCTGCCCATTAGATTTGACGTCGTGGTCCCCTGAAGAGTTCTCGTAGAATGACTTGGGATCCTGCATCGCCTCCAACAGCGCCTGCAGATCCTTCGGTACGACATCACTCACGAACCAAGGAATGCTCTTGGGGTGCAGGACCACCTCTGTCGCGAGCCCGGTAGCGAGCAAGTATCCGGCAAGTACCAAGTCCACGAACAGCTCGAAGCCGGCATTGTCCAGCACGATGTCGACCCTCCTACTTGCCTTTCCCTCCTTGTGAGCCCGATTTAATACGTCAAAGGCCTTGCCCAAATCATTGACCAATACGTTCTTCTCGGATTCCTTGCGTGCGTTGCTGCCTTGTAGCTTCTGAATATCCTCGTACGTGAGACTTGTGAGTAGACTTAGGTCGGTTGCGTTTCCCCACAGACAGATTTCCGCCATCTCGATAAAAAGCACCTTTTCCGCTTCTTCAACCTCTTTGGGGTCACTGGTGTCTACGACCGCATGACTCTTGGACGTCCGGATCTGCGTGATGATGTCCTTGTACCGGTTTGCAAGCTCTAGAACAGCAGGCCTCGAGGATTTAAACGTGCTCATCTTCTGCCGTTGGAAAATGTCGTACGTCTTCCAGAACGGATCTTGAGCAAGGCTGAACAACGTGGCAATTCGTCGGTATAGGTAGCATTCCGAGTACAGCCACTCGACATCATGCCACTTGGGTGTGCCTCGTGCCTGTAGTTCTCCATTGTAGCCCTCGACGTCCGCAAAGCCATCGTCCGGGATTGGAGTCAAGGCCCGATTGTGCTGAAGTTCGTACTTCAACGATGAGAGTGCCGCGACGATCGCTTTCCCTTCCTTCAGTCTGTCCTTGTCTTCTGCCGCGTCCGAGATCGAAGATACCGTCCGGTGCACATCGTCAATGGCGCCCGTGATGATAGCCGGCCACCTTTCCCTGGCTGAAGTGTGCGCAAATGACTTGGGATCCGATGTGTGATATGTCGGTGTGGTGGTGTCGTACTCCATATCTTCCCCAAGAATGTACACCAGAGATATCCACTCTTGCCAGTCGAGAGATTACCCTGCCTTTCTTTGATTTGAGTCTGCTCTGAGGAATATATCTACTGGCAACGGAGGCGTCCTTGTCCTCCACCAATTTTTGGGGAGGTTGAGACAGTAACCGAAGTATCGCCCAAACCTGCCCGTTTAGGAAACCTCGCCGCCCGAAGATCCCCGCAAGAAAATAAATCGTCCATGCCGACGACCAGGTCTTTAAAGGGGTTGCAAGTCTACAAGGTACCCAGATTATAACGAGCGGAATAAGCAGTAGTCCATAGCAAGCCCAACGACATCAATAAGTATTTCCGCTGGAACCAGGGACTGTGTTCCTACGCAGTAAATCCCGTGATACAGAAACTTGCTGGTATGAGCGCTCTCTCTGAAAAATGACTATACATACATACAGTAAGATAACACACAAGAGCAAGGGATATGGGCTGAGGAAGCCATCTATGCACACGCCTAGCACATGAGTTAGATATGCTCAAAACTCACGATCCGTCGTAATAACACAATATTCCTCCAGCCCTCCGGAAACTGTCATAATCATTATAGTAAGACATCGCCACTAAGGGCGGCAACGATCCGTTCTGTCGACTCTCCATCCATGAACTCTCTCAGGCGATCGGCAACAAGAACTTCTCCTTAAGCAGCTCATCGGCGCCGGGTCTCTTCTCATGATCTGCTTCGAAGGTCTTGTTGAGGAATTTCTTGGCATCGTCACTTGCAGTTTCCGGTATGGTTGGCTTCTCATTATTGCTGCCTACGGCAAACAATGTCTGCAGAGTAGTCATGGCAGGGAAGGGTCTGGCACCAGTGAACATCTCCACGATCAAGCAACCAACCGACCAGATGTCGGACTTTAGGGACTGGCCACTTTGACGTACAACTTCGGGTGCCATCCAGAAAACAGAGCCTTGAAGTGAAGTCCGGGTACCTGGTGCTGCATTCATGCCGTTGAATCCTGTCTTCTTGGACACGCCAAAGTCGGAAATCTTGACAGCTCCTCTATTATCGACCAGAATGTTTGCGCCCTTGATGTCACGATGAATAATGTTCCGACCATGGAGATATGACAAGCCCTCCAGAATTTGCCGGGTGAAATTGCGAACCAGTGGCTCCTGGAACGTGTTGTACTGCTTGAGCATACCTGCGATAGAACCACCAGCAACGTACTCGAGGAAAATATTCAAGTGAGTCTCGTCGGAGGATGTACCGAGATACTGCACAATGTGCGGATGACGAAGACCCTGCAACAGTTCAATCTCTTGTTTTAGAGCATTAATCATAAGGGCTGTCTTCTTGTCTCCTTCAGTGCCTTTAGCAACGTTGGGCAACTCAACCTGCTTCACAGCCATGAGTTCCCCAGTGACCGCATGAAGAGCAAGGTAGACACTGCCAAATGAACCTTCACCAATCAGGTCGCCTTTCATCCAATTGTTCTTGTCAAAACTATTGCCCTTGAGGAATGAGTTCAATTCATGATCTTCTTCTTCTCCGTCTTCAGCAACAATAACAGACAACCGATTATTGAGGTTGTCATTGCCCATGGCCCCAGGGCTTTCATCGAAATAGCTGATTCGTGTAGTTTCGCTTTGAGCGGCACTATCAGAACCACTGTCAAAAGAAACGTAGGACTTCCTGTTGGGCTCGATTGGGGATTCCTCCTGCAATGGATGGAGGGTCGATGATGCGATGGAGTCCCTGAAAGCTGCGCTGGAAAGATTCATACGAGTAGAGATAACAGAAAGCGGCCGTGCAGTTGGTGCTCGAGAACCCGAACCCTGAGCGAGCCAGCTGTCGGCAATGCTAGGGATACTAGGAACCGGTGGAGCATCCTTAAGACTTGAGGCATAACTGACATTGCTCATCACGCTAAGCCGACTTGCTGCTCGACTCATTCTCTGGGATCGGCGTACTGACATTCTCATAGTCTTTTCAATGTCCTCCCGCTGGTGGGCGGGGAAGTACGAGGTCAATTCTTGCACAATCATCTCGCTCGGAGGACGTGCGCCGAAGAATGACCGTAATTTGCTACTCTGGTCCGGAATTCTAAGGTGTTGTGCCTCTTGCCTATCGTATTCATCTGCGGTAGCCATTACATTTCTGTTGCGATCAGTGGTGGTGACGGGTGATAGTGGAGCTTGAATGTGGTGCCATGATTCACCGGTCAACTTTTGTAACTTTATCTGGTTGCGCATGTTGTTAGAACTCAAAGCATTGTTATGAAGGACCAATGATTCGTCTGCTGCAATCCTTGCCGCCTTCCGAAGTTCATCAAGGTCAGGAGGACCGTCATTGATTCTTCTCAATATCAATCTGTTCCTCTCTGAACGCATTGAGTCGTTGCAAATCTTCATCAGCTCACTGTCAGAAACTCGACGGCAGTTACCGAGGTCTGGATCTAAGCCATTGAGAACATAGAAGCAATAGTTTCTGAATTGAGTTTCTGACAGATGGACCTTTTTCAGAACTGTCGAGGTTACTTCATCAGCTGTTCTGCAAAATTTTATATTGACGACCTTCGTCTGGCCTCCGCCATGAATAACTTTGATGACTGGAGATCCTGTCGGTAGGCCGCCCGGAGTTAATCCATCGATGCTGGAATTTTGTCGAAGATGCGCAGTTCGCGTCGTTTGGTGGGCGAGTTGAGGTGTCTCTGGTCTCCTGCCCGAAGTAGAACTTGCAGACCCAGGTTGACTGAAATAGCCTGTGGCCTGGTTGCCCCTTGCAGTGTCCATGGGGCTCTTGATGTATTGGTGTGCTCGAAGTCCTGCACTGTTTATGTCGGCCAGTGGTGAGCTTGGCCGCGAACCGACTTTGAACCCCGTGCCTGCGGAATTGAAATTCTGCAAGACTGATGGATCAAGTTGTCGGGAATAGCGCTTACCACTTCCATTTTGTGACCTGGAGCCAAGTGTACGAGGAGAATCGGAGGAGGAAGGAGTTCCTGCGAAACCATCAAGAAGAGCCATTGAATCTCTGTTTCGCTTGTTACGCAACAGGGACGACTTATTGCGCAGTTGCTTGATGGCGACATTGATTCGCACCCTATCCCCGATCTTTTTGATGCCCATTTCAGCCAAAATCTTTTGATCACACTCCAAAAGACTTTCCCCCGTGAAATTGTTGGTTTGGAAGAGTGATTCGTACTGCCCACATCGAATCGTATGTAACCACTCCCCAACTTTCTGCTCATCCCATGCTCGGATTGAATCTAGACCATCGTAGGCATCGGAGAATTCGGAATTGGTAGGAGAGGTAAACACGCCTTCCTGAGCAGGCATCGTCGAGACTTGGGTTCTCTGAGATTCCTCAGAGATATTCCGACTCATCGTTTGCTGATTATTGCCAAAGTTGGAGGCATATAGATTCTTGGAGGCTAACATGGCCGGCGTTTAGTATGAATCTCATTCCGTGGTCGTACTGAGCAAATGATACCGTGGACCCGTGGACCCGTGGACTTTCTCGTTCGAACAAACAGCGTCTCAATGAAGACGTGGTCGTGAGTGAGAAACAGAGAACCACTCAATGATGTCGACTGGAATGGAGAAAGAAGATGATATACCGGAATCTACCAGATGGCAGCTGTCCGCGTACTGGACAGGAGGAAAAGGTGGTTCTTGCAGTAATCTGGTGGAAAAGGTCAGGCTGCACCGAGTAACTCGACCAGCGAAATGTAACCAGGATGACGAGTCTGGCGGTTCTGGGAATTGTTGTGGTGTCTCGGGTGTCAGGCGATGGCTTGCATCATGTTGGAGGAACCTGAAACAATGTGGTGGCCGTATGAGATGATCCAGCTGTCGACTCTGACGAGGGAAACAGATGCAGCCAGGTGTGCACGAGGCAGATGGATGCTGGATTGGCAGAAGGAAGGACAGGGACCTGCAAAGGACAGCTGCGAGTGACGATCCAGGGGGTGGGCAGGGGGAGGGAGAAGAGGCCAATTAGGGGCTGACAACCAAGTTTTAGGCGGGGACAAGAGGCCGAGGGCGAGCCTAGGGACACCAAGGGGGGCCTCTAGGCGGTAATCTACTCCTTAAGCGGCTTGGTTTCCTTCAATGGTGAGATCGTACAGCCAACGCAATCTGGCCACTCATCATTCAACCTCACCTTCACTTCTTTCACGGCTCTAGAAGTCTGCCAGCCTTATCCCGGTCTTTGCGAGGCTTATGACATCCATCATCGCTCCGTGTCTCTCTTCAATCAATACCAAGCTCTGACCTCAGATCCTCACCCCGCCAGCCTCCAGAGAGTGTTTTCTTGTCATTCTTGTTGTTACTGCTGTTGCCATTACCATTACGAGGTCACTTTGTCAGTGTGAGTGGACTGAGCTCGTAATAAAAAGTACTCATCTATTTCATGGCCAAGCGCTCACGCGACTCATCAATCATTTCCTCGGATGACGACGGTCAAGGGCAGATTGATTCAATAGACGAATCTGAATCGCCGCGGCCGACTAAGCTTAGTGCAATCGCCATGACCGATTCACCCGAGCCAACTGCGATTCAATGTTCACTTCCACCTCATCGGGAGCCCCTGAGCTTCTCGAATGCTGAAGCCTTTGAAGTGCATTATGTGAAAGAACATTCCAACCGCTGTTCTGCCTGTGGAAAGAATTTCCCCACCGCTCACTTCTTGGCATTGCATACTGATGAGAACCACAACACCTTCCGTGAGGCTTTACAGGCCAAAGGTGAGAAGACGTACGCTTGCTTCGTCCAAGGATGTGAGAAAATGTGCTCTACTCCGCAAAAGAGACGTCTTCATTTGATTGACAAGCACCTTTTCCCCAAGATCTACAACTTTCGAGTTGTGGATACTGGAGTTGACAGGTCCACATCAATGCTCCACGAAGGCCGAAGGAGAAGGGTCTCTACCTTAAGTGATCAGCCTCAATCCAGCGGGCATCAAAGGAAAGAAGCTAGACCAGGGGCAAACCAAATGAAGCATTCCTCACCTGTACAACCATCGGAAGGTGATCCATATGTTTCAGCAAAGTCAATTGGGAAAGTCCAAGATTGTAATCGCAAACCGGTCGAGGGTGTCTCGGATACTACGATGAACGAGCTCGAGCGATCCATGTCATCTCTACGCTTCGTACCACCCAGCATCGCAAATAAGGTACGTAACAAGCAAAAGCAGCGCTGAGTGTTAAACGCAGCCGTTCAGGCGCCTAGCATCACGTGCCATGCCCTTGGTGGTATCTCTGAGGATTGTAGCCTGCAAGTCTGATTGCAGCCTCACCAATGCTCCTTTCCTTACGCCTGCTGCTTCCCCTCACAAGGCGCTGGTTTCTCTCCAACAAGCCTGTTTACTTGGAGACTCAAGAACTGCTGGCCATTGCCCCCCTCATCACATACCCTGTTAAAGCTTCATGGAGAAGAATTCGGAATTGGAATAAAACAGCTTGCGTTTAGTCCTATTCTTCGACACAGGCGCACTTTTGATTGGTGTCCGAACACTTTGGCAAGCCTGCTACTGTGCGCTCCGCTCCGACGGTATCGAAACTCAAACAGCCATTCTCGGTTCTGGTGGTGCGGGGAAGCCACTTACACAACAAGCATATCATAAGTGTCAGCTACTAGGACATGAGAAGTCACCAGCAAGGATTTTGTAATCTAGAAACATCTCTCTAGAAAGCGTGTCAATTCTCTAATACGGGACTTCTAATCAACTCCATTGCGACGCCAAGGAGACACCACGAATATCAGGTGCAATGGCGACTGTCACGGTTCATGCTCTAGGTGCAGGGCATTTGACCATTCCTGAACGATTCTTCGTGACTCCCTTCGATCCTGAAGCAAAGAGAACAGTACCGTCTTTATCGTTCTTAGTTCAGCATAAAGGTGCTGATGGCAAGGTTTCTCGCATAGTATTCGACCTTGGCATGCGAAGGGATCTTAATCTTTATCCCGAGGTTTTGCGGGACCATCTTTCCAGTCGTGGACCAATCTCAACAGACCCAGATGTCGTGGCATCCCTTGCAAAAGGGGGAATTAGCCAGACTGAGATAGACTATGTCATCTTCAGCCACGTTCACTACGATCATGTTGGCCTACCAAAGGACTTTACAAGCCCTCAAACAAAGTTCGTTGTTGGCCATGGTGCGCTCGACCTTCTAAGTGGGAAGACGCAGCTCAACCTCGGGAAGCACATGGTCTTCGAGTCAGATCTCCTGGACGCGCAGCGCACGGTAGAATTGCCGTCTCCGGATGGATCGAATGAGGAGTCCAGCCATGCCTGGAAATCGCTCTCATCATTCCCTCGTGCGATTGATTTCTTCAAGGACGGGAGCGTATACATAATCAATGCACCCGGTCATCTCCCCGGCCACATCAACTTGCTTTGCCGAATCTCCCAGAATCCAACCAAGTTTGTGTGTCTTGCAGGGGACGCCTGCCACGATATTCGGCTGTTCACCCGTGAAAAGGATATTGCCACCTGGACAGATGACGAGGGTCGATACTGCTGCATACATGTCGACATCGCGAAGACGAAGGAAACACTGGCAAATCTGTATGCTGCTTCAAATGAAGGCCTGGAGCTTGGAGGCGAGAAAGACAAGGCACAAGTAGAAGTTATCTTTGCCCATGACTTTGCCTGGGAGGAGAAGGCCCGAAAGGAGGACAGGTTCTTCCCCGGAAAGCTCTGACGAGCTGTAGAGACTCAGTATAGAGAAACCATGAGGTAGCCGGGATGAGTAGATCGCTGAGCTAAAGCAACACAGCGGCAGATCGCAATGGTCTCACTCTCAAGGTTATGGTCACAGTTCCCTCTGCTCGCATCTCCATCGTAACCTCAAGCCATCCTCATAGATTAGAAGCCGCAGTTGCAATGACCGAGTCTAATATATCTCAACCAGAGTGGTTATTATTGTCATGGAGTGCTCCATGCCCCCAGATGTCTTTGCTGGGTGAAATAAAATAATCATTCGGAGTTAAGGTGCCCAGCCACTAAGGCCGCTTTTCAGCAAGGTCTTCCAAAATGAACAGCATGCAAAGCACAAAAAGCATTGAGATCAATAAATCTAAATTCGCAAAAAGATGAAGTTGTTGTGCATTGGCCGGGAGCTGTAGACTATTAGATTTCTGCGATGACGATATTGTCACTGACCACGACTTACTCGAACCCAGAGCTATTGCTGGCAGCCATCTTAATGGAGAGTGGAAGGCAATAATGTTACCGCTACACCACCAATGCGATTGGTGTAAAATTTGGAGGTATCAAAAACATATCCCTCAGATTAGCCAAGGCCTAGACTCAGCGACTGACCGAGGTTCCTGATGTATGAATTCTCTGGGTATCTCTAATGTGACGTCAGAGGATCTCAGGACAATGCAACTGAGAGAGAACCAGGCCAGTACTTGAGGAAAGCCGTCACCCAAGAGGCTCCAAGCCAAATATTGATAGCAGCGGACAGCATCCAAAACAGCAGCCATCCATCCCATCAGCCAGGACCCTTCACGATCCAACTTACGAGGCCATACATCTACGGCAGCCAACGCACCTATTCCACAAACATGAACGTTCCGAAGTTCAACGAGCGCGAGAAAGCATTGGAGGACGAGTACATCCGGAAAAGGGAGTACGCAATGCCCACCCTGCCCCTACTTACATACTCTCACGTTTACCCCAAATACACTACCTAGGTCGTCACTAACGTAAATCCGTTCTATTTATTTGCCACAGGGCCGAGAAATTCAAGAAGACACCAGCAGCTCCCACGCCGGGCGGATCTGGCACGACGCAATCGCAAGCAGCGCAGCAGTCAGGGCAGAATGTATGTTGCTGATCCTGACCCTTTCCCTTCTGGCTCGCTCCGTTCTACAGGATGGCGAGGTTCACGCTGCAGCTAATCCTTGGTGGTTTGTTAGACTGGGGCTCAGAAGTGAGAGACTGCTTGATATGATGATGGGGATCTCAGGGAATCATCGTTTGTTGTCCATGCCTAGCCAGGGAAAAGTGGCTGTGATGATGGTGGTGTAATCATATCTGTCTACCCCTTCCTTTTGATGGCTCAGGTCGCATCATGTCGCATGGGCCACGAGTTTTCATGTCCTAAGTATAATACCTCATGAATTTTTACTGTTGCGTCAAGGAGTTCGCAATGTAAAGTGATGCTATTTGCTCTATCGCACTAGCCACATAAATACCTGGTTTCTAGCTTGGTATGAATTTGCTAGCTTGTCAAACAGGCGTAAACGGGGTTGTTGTGCTCGAAGCAGGTCCGTGAGCGATGCTCCACAGGCTTCCTTGTTGTTGTTTGATAGTTGAGGTGATGATGTACCCCAAAGTCATTCCTTGTACTTGGTCAAGCCATCCGTGACCAGGGTCACTGCCCATCAGATTGGGGCTGTCTCTCGTGTCAACCACTTCGTCGTCCGTTCATCATCCTTGAAGAAACCGCTTGTCTTCTCCCACACCTCCTTGTGATAGTCGTTCAGCCAGTCTATCTCCTCGGGGTCCAGCAACTTAGGATCAGTCAACTTCCTGCACATCGGTACTAGGGTGACATGTTCAAAGCTGATCCATGGCTTGTCGCCAAACTTATGGTTCGTGGTCGCTTCCCGGGCCATAATCATGTTTTCTATACGAATACCAAAATTGCCATCTTCATAGTATCCAGGTTCGTCGGAAATAACATTCCCGATGCTTAGGGCCACCTCGGAATAGGCAGCTCGAGTCCCAATACCAACGGGACCTTCATGGACATTGAGAAATGAGCCGACCCCATGTCCTGTACCATGACGGTAATCAAGACCTTCACGCCATAGATGCTGTCTTGCAAAAGCATCGATGGCGAAACCTGTAGTCCCTTTGGGGAAGACAGCTCGATCAAGTGAAATAACGCCTTTTAAGACTAGAGTATACGCTTTGATTTCCATTGCTGTAGGCTTGGTGAAGTGGAGTGTCCGTGTGGTATCAGTAGTTCCGTCAAGGTATTGTGCCCCAGAATCACAGAGATAAATTGCCTTTGGATCCACAATGGAGCAGTTGCCGCGTTCGGGAGAGTAATGAATGACAGCAGCATTTGGACCGGTCGACGAGATAGTCGGGAAGGATAGGCCTTTAAAATGGTCTCCTCTCGACCTAATTTCCTCCAATTTGTCTGCCGCTTGAACTTCATCCAAAGTCTTGCCTTTGTTGACTAGTTCATCTTCCAACCAGGCAAAATATTCAATCAACGCGGCACCATCTCGGATATGACACTGTCTCATTCCCTCCAGTTCAGTGGCATTCTTGATGGCTTTGGCGTCAGTGATAGGACTTCGTACTTCTTCGACCTTATCTTCACCACCAAGCCCCAGGCTCAAGGCCCACGACGATTTATTTGATAGTAGGAGCTTTTGGGGTTTAGACTTGGTGGTACTGTTAGCGTCAGCCTCATTGACCGCAGTCTCGGCAATAGCGGTGAGGTCGGAGAATAAGGCATCATAGGGTTTGATCTCCACAAATTCACCTAGAAAGTCTCTGATCTCCTGACCGATTTTGGCGGCGTCAACATACAATGTTGCTGAGTTTGGAGTGACTGCAGCGTAAGAAAAGAAGACAGGGTTATACGGAATATCACTGCCTCGAAGGTTGAAAAGCCAGGCAACTTCATCGAGCATGGACACCACCATGCCGGCCGACTTCTTCTTTTTCAAGTCTTTTCGAAGATCCTCAAGTTTCTCCTGGAATGATTTGCCAGCATACTTATCAGATAAAACAATAACGGGCTCTGCTGGTCTATTCGGTCGATCTGTCCAAATGCGGTCAATGAGATTTTCTGAGACCCCAACCAGGGTTGCGTGCGATTGCTTTTTCAGAGTTGCACTCAATTTCCGAGCATCTATAGAGGTAATAAGGGTAGGGTCGACACCGACGGTCTTGCCCCCTTCTGCTTGCTCTGTCGTCCTAGTTTCAGCTCAGTCTTGTGTACGAAACCTGATCTGATGGATCAATCGTACCATTCTTGCCAGGTAGGGACATCTTCTAGACCTTGTTTTAATAGTAACCAGTTGGCATCGAGCTGCTTGGAGGCTTGGTTGAAGTATCGACCATCTGTTGCTAGAGCAGCCTTGTCAAGTGTAATGACAGCAGTGCCTGCAGAACCGCTGAATCCACAGATATGTTCTCTTCTAGCATCGCAGGGCGCGATGTACTCTGACTGGTGGCTGTCCTCTGAGGGAACTATGTAGATATCCACTTTGTGCTTTTGCATCAACTCGCGCAAGTGCGCTAGGCGCTTAGTCGTATCAACCGTCTCCATTTCGAGGGAGTGTAGGGAATTAGAGAAAGAAAAGGATCGTACAGAAGGCAGGCGGCACAGATACGTCGACGATTGGAGCGGGGTGTGAGGCCGTCGTAGTAGTGAAGGGAAACGGAAGAGAGACCAGCGCATCGAAGTGCGAGGGAGAGATAGAGACGACGTAGTAACGACGGAAAGGAAGGTGACGATGAACTACCACCCAAGCAGAGTTGTTGGTGGCATGAAAATGGCAAATAGGGTTGTATGTCGTATGTCGCACGTCGCATGGATGTCAACAATGATAAATCATGATATGGGCCATGGGCTATGGACGAAACGGGAAATTCAAAGTCCAAGTCGTTCCTGCAGCAAAGCCGTGCACCCATGCATCCTCACCCAGCGCGTGCCTTCCCTTCGGACAATTTTTCCCTAACCACTTTTACCATTTCTCTCTCCCAACTTTATTCCTCCTTCAATTGATTTTATATCTTAACCTGAACTTGCCCAACAAAAAGATATCTACAACGTGATGCCCAGAGGAGCAAACGGCGTAGAGACAACAAAGTTACTTGATCGTTTGCCCTCTTTCCATGACTTGACAATGACATCAAGCGCTGCCTCATGGTCGCACAACATACTCCAGTAAGGCTGACATGTGGGCGTAACCGTTTTGCTGGTCATTTCTTCAGCCCCTGGAATATCATTGTTTCTAAGGCTTTGGTTCTCTGTTTTCTTCAAAAGAGCCATGCTTCCATCCACCTGATCTTACCTCATCATCAAAATGGAACAACTTATCGCAGAACTCTACCATCCTGCCAATCAGGCTTCGCCAGAACGAGTCAATGCCCTCCAGAGACAAATACAGCAAATACAGCGACAGAAGTCTGCATGGCAGCTGGGTCTCGATCTCCTGCATAATGATGAAGCGGTTGTACGCTTCTACGGAGCTTTGACTCTTACCATCAAAATTAATGCGGACTGGTAGGTTGAACACCTATTTACCTCCCGGTATTGCTACTAATTGCTGCCTAGGGAGAGTGATGAGATCTCTCAAGATCAACGAATGAGGTCCTATCTCATCGAAGCGCTCGTTACGCATTATGTGCATCTGGTCAAGTTACCAGACGCAACTTTTGTGCTCCAGAAGTTATGCTCGACGCTCGTGACACTTTTCGCGAGGTCAGATTCAGGTTGGATGCTTCCAGTACGCCATGTCCTGGGATGTCTGCTTAATGACCAATATTTGCCTCAGAATGATCTTCCTGAGATGACACAGTTACTTAACGCTGCAAAAAGCTGTTCCTTATCTCAGCTGAAAGGAGTGATTATGGTAATCACCACTCTGGCAGAGGATACAACAGGTTCTTCAACCAATACCAAGGAAGAAGGGGGGATTCAAGAACGCCTTTCTATGAACTGTATAGACACATGGGAAGTCTATGACTTTTGTCTTCATCGACTGCTTGAAGTCGTTGTTTCGAACCAGCATCCTGAACATCCGGGACATCATGACAATGCAAACTCATCAGTCTCATTGAACGACTCTTTCGAGATTATCAAGATGATTTTGAAAGGAGTGCCATTGTGGGCCAGCATCACCCGGAATGCAAACTACCTTGACAAAGATCAAAGGCAGAATGTTGAGACCATCTCGAAACGCTGTATCAATTCCTCCATGGAAGCTTTCCATGTGGATGATCTAGTATCCGGAGTCTTGCAAATGTTTGTCTCCCTTCACCACTCTTCCGCCAAACTCGTTCACGACGCAGTTCCCAGCTTTCCAATCAGCATCACGGGCAGTCAGAGGGCTCAGTCATTACTGGAGTCGCTTGTCCGGGGTGATTTCGAGCCTGAAGGAATTCTCTACGTTGACTTCTTAGACACGGTGATTAGTCAGGTTGACACTACCAATTCTGAGTACCTTTATGACGACCGCTATCGTATAATCCTTCAAAGTATGTTGAAGCTGCTTCGCTGTGAAGGTATTGCCGCCATCGATGATCCTGTATGCCAGATTGCTCTTGAGAAAATCAACGAAATGGTCGAAGGCTTTACCGATTGGGAGGAGGACGGGGATGCCCGGGGTCTTCTTCAGGCTATCACAATTGATGCATGTCAGGCTGCCTTAGTCAAAGTCAGGCTCCCCTTCGAGCAGATGTCTGCAGAAACACAGGACTGGGATGCAGACGATCGTGCCAAGTTTCAAGACTTCCGTTACGATGTTCAAGATTACTTTCAATCAGCTTTCACTCTACTGGGAAACAGTTTGATTGAGGAGATTGTGAATACAGTCATCGTACCACAAGATCCTCCAAATTGGAGCATCTTTGAAGCTGGGGTATTCAGCCTTACAGCTTTCTCAGATACGATGTCGGCTGAACCGGATATATATGACGGGCTTATCACAACCGTGCTAAGCAGTCCTGGCTGGCGTTGTATTCTGGAATCATCCCAAGACATTCCCGATCGGGCCCGCCAGACTGGAATCCGCTTCATTACGGAAAACGTTGTATATCTACAACGACATCCGGATCGGCTGATATCAATGTTAAACTTCCTCTTCTCGTCATTGCATCTACAAGCATCCAGTGTATCCGCGTCTCGTGCGATCTACAATCTTTGCGATTCTCATCGAAGCATCCTTGCAGCGGGCCTTCCGCAATTTATGGCTGCTCTACACTCAATAGCGGACTCTGGGGAGGCTGAGAGACATAGGATATATGCTGCGGTAGCGGCTGTTATCCAAGCACTACCTAGAGAAGAATTGAAAACCGTGCCACTATCCGAGTTACTATCTGCAGCTAGTGGCCCCCTATTGAGAATCCAAGTCGACGATGGAACTGGGCAGGAATTACTAGCAATTTGTACGGATACAATGCAGACTCTTGCTTCAATTGGCAAAGGTTTGAGAGCGTCCTCGGATGTCCCAGTAGAATTGGACGCATCTGCGCCTGATCAACCGTCATTCTGGATTCATGGTCCTGGACAAACAATTCAAGCAAATGTCTTGGCCATATATGGCTCAGTTGTGCAGACAGTCAATAAGCACGCGGATAACATCTTCGTGGAGGCATGTTGTGATTTCATCCGGTCTGGCTTCACTGAGGAGCACCCATCGGCCTTCAAGTTTCGAGATACGATTGGACTCGACCTTGTGAGTTCGCTCATCAGCATCGGAAACCCGAATATTGACTCCACAATGGCATGCGCTTCGAGTTTCATGGCTTCTGTAGATCAAAGCAGCATCGAGGCCTGCATCAGTGGATTATTGCATCCGATTGCGATTAATCAGCAGGCGATTGTAGCGGAGTTTCGGCAGTCAGGGCAGCTACTTAGCAGCACGTTTTCTTCGAGCTCTTTGGAGTTCCAGGCTCGTTTGATAACCAAGTGGGGGGACATTTGGTACAGCATGCCTGACAGCGACAGAATAATGGGTATCGCTATGGAACTGTCCTTGATACTTTTAGCGGACCCAGACACCTTACCTAGACGATCATCTGCATCATTTTTAGCAGCATTTGCAGGGTTTTCGGGGCCAGATGGAGTGGTTGAGCCAGATTTACAGGTAAGAATCCAAGGAGTCCTTCAGGAATATGGTCCTCGGATTTTGGGACTTGTGCTACGCCTTGTTGGTGGTGAGTGTGCCCGATCAGAACTCGAAATCATTTCGGATACCTTGAAGCGGTTCATTCAGAAACAATTCATGTTTACCAAACAAGTGCTTCGGGAAGCTGTGGAAGAGGAACGGGGAATTCTGAGTGAGAAGGCCTTCAAGGTAACCACAATTGATCAACGGAAGCGGTTTCTGGCACAATTAGAGACTTTGCGTGGTTCGAGAAAGACGAACGATGTTGTGAAAGACTTTTGGATTGCCTGTAGGGGCAGTGGTTTTGGGTACATCGCCTAAGCTGTATACAAAGCACATCCGTGGTCCCCCAAGACGCGAGAGATAGCAACAAGAACTTCCTGCCCAATTAGGCTCATTAGACTCGATATCACGTCGATCATAAGAACTTTGCCATACCATGTCAATAGGACTGAGCACTGGGGACTGTGGAAGGCTAGATGATGAAAATGTCCAGTCCTTTGCGCGTATTTTTAGTACGGAGCTTGGATCATGACGCCCCACGCAGCAGGCGAGTCATGGTATCCTTGTGGCATGTCATATTCGGGAGAGAGGCTATCTAGGATGGGTAGAGCTTTTGACCACGGGTAATAGGAATGGATCACTGACACTTTGGCAGCTGTCTCGATCCCTCAGCACGTTATTATTGTGGTGTCACTCGACGCATTCAGTACGTACTAGCTGGATGGACAGGGAACCAAGTTCGTTCAAAGTGAAATGCCTTTGTCGCTTATAGACTTCCCTAAGTTCGAGAGTACGAGTAGGTATTCAGCATGTAAACAGTTCTGATAGTAGTGGCATCCGCAGCATCCGGCGTCTGGCGTTTGGCGTCTATGACCTTCCTCCTCTATTGATTTGTGGAGGCGTTGGGGGGGGGGGGGGGGTTGTAGGATGAAACTCCGCAGGGCCTAATTTGCCGATGACACAACCTGCGACAGGCGCCTCTGCTCTCCTCGTTAAACGCTTCCATTCTCCCCAACACCAGCAAGAGGGGAGGTATCACAAATCTGACAGCGTACTCCATACGCAGCCTGACATAACCTTCTCCCGCTGGACGGACATTCCCTTCCTTTGAACTGCATGACGATGTAACTTGCTACCACATACACCTATTTCTTTGCGCAATGGGCACCAACCCCTATGCCGTCAATGGCGGCACTCGACCCTCCAACAGCGGCAATCCCTATGCAACCAGCAACAATTCGAGTTCAAATCCGAATCCCTATGCCGCTACGAATACCCCGAATACCATCTCAAGTGGCCGTTACGCCGATCCATACCTCTCTTCACAAAACAATGCCTCCTCTGCCTCCGTGAACAGTTTTGGTTCTCAGGAACGCAGGCTTCGTTCAAATCCATACGAGCAACGCGACCGAGACTCTCCTGGCCCGCCCCCTTCTGGAAGATCTGGTTCTGGCTCTGGTGGAGGAAGCGGCGGCGGTGGTGGGTATGGTGGACTTCCACCTCCAAGAGCCAGATATCAGGATGCACCACCGCCTCCACGAAATGAATACAACTCGAGCCGCGAGAGGGAACCCCAAAACTATGATCAGAGACCGCAGCAGCAGCAACAGCAACAGCAACAACCCCCGCCACCTCTACAACAGCAACACCAACGTCCCCCGACCCGAGAAAGAGAGAGGATGTATAATGACCCGAGAATGCGCGAGGTTAGAGAAAATCGAGGCCCCATGCCACCTCCCATGCCTATCCCGCAAAAACAGTCCGTTTCCAGTCTCAAACAGCAGGTACCAACAAACGGATCCAGCTTGCAGAAATATCCTCCTCCCGAGAACGCCAATCGACATTATTCTCCTCGTCGACCACCGAAAGGGATGGAGGAGATCATGCGACACATTCAATCGGACTGGAAGGACATGGATGGCGATGACTGCATCCCAGTCAAGGTTGCCCTCAGGCTCATGGACCCCAGCTCCCTCGGTTTGGCTGATAAAGAAGGTGACTTCGCTGATACACATGTTGATCTACAAAAGAGCTTGAAGACGGTGGTTAACGAACATTACACCGATTTCAACAGTGCCGTCGGAACTTATCATAAGATTCAGAATGCGATCAGGGAAAGCCAGAGTCGAGTGAGACAACTCAAGAGCGGTCTGATGAACGTGAAAGGGAGCATGTTGACTACACGGCCCGAGCTGAGAACGCTTGCCGAGCAAAGTGGGGAGCTCGACGATATGATCGTCATGTTGAGCAATTTGGAGGCTTTAAAACTGATACCAACAAAGTTGGAAGAGAAAATCAGCGAGAAGAAGTTTCTTGGAGCGGTGGACTTGTTGATGGAGAGTCTTAAAGGCATCACTAAGAGTGACTATGACGGTATTGGTGCCATCTCAGATCTGAGAAGCTATTTCACCAACCAGGAAGGCACGTTGCTGGATATTCTCGTTGAAGAGCTCCACGACCACCTCTACTTGAGAAGCCCCTACTGCAAAGACCGGTGGAAGGGAAAGAGCGCTACAGGAGAAGACCGGGATCCAAAAGATCATCTCCTGGGTGCTGGTGTCAACCCGTGGGATCGACCATTCAATCATTATTTGACCAATGCTGATCTCACCACTCCCATGGTGGAGGATGCTTCCAAAAATCCAGAGGCTGATACCTTCTATTACATTCATATGATCGTGGAATCTTTGAATAAGCTCGGCCAATTAGGTGAGGCAATTTCAAGGATCGAGCAACGTATGCCGATGGAGCTATACAAAGTGGTTGAAAAGACGAATCACGATATCGATGCTAAATACCCCTCCCATCTAAGGGGACAGACCGCCAAAGGTGGTAGGAAAGTCTTGTCTCTCCACGTCGATGATGGTAGAAACCAAGTGTTGTCAGATTTCCTGTGGACACTGTATTCAAAATTCGAGGCGATAGCCGAATCTCATCGAGTTCTGCATGAGGTGGTAAGTGGCGTCGTCTTCAGAGAAAAGCTGCCGAAACCCGAGCGTTACATCGGGGGCTTTAAAGAATTGTGGAAGTTATACCAGATGGAGATGCGCTCATTGTTACATGACTATCTTGCGACGAACGGTGACATGACTTTACGATCCGGCCTGACCACCACAAGCAGTACCGACATTTTCGCTCGATCGCAGCGAGATAAAAATAAAAAGATGTTCAAACTGTCGGAGATGGACCAGAAGTCAGAGGCTATGAAAGCGGAAGAAGAAGAACTTGATGAGATCCTCAAGAGCTCCGTTCCTGGATTGGTGAGCAAATCGCGGGCGAGGAATGGAGCCGATCTCCTATCAGATCGTGGTGGTCAGGATAGCACCGCAGCTGGCCACAAATTGCTAGTTGAACCCGGCGTTTTCAACATGACCGTTCTATTGGCTCCATCATTGACGTTCTTGCAGCGTCTTAAGGATGTTGTCCCATCTACCTCGAGTATCCCGATGAGCACCCTAACATCCTTCCTCGACGACTTCCTGATCAATGTCTTTCACCCTCAACTTGAGGATGCTGTGACAGAGCTCTGTGCACAGTGCATGATAGACTTGGATGCCTTCTCTGAAGACACTCAGTGGTCGAAACATTCACCACATCCCATCTTTAAGGGTACAATTGCCTTCTTGGGGTTGGTGCGTGCGTTCTCAAGCATGCTGAGTGCTATTCCACAAGATCAAATCTTTACGCAGCTCATTATCAATCAACTTGTTACTTACTATGACAAATGCTTTGGCTATTACAAGTCCCTGGTCAGCAGAGTCGCACCGTCGAATGCCAATCCGAATATCAACACTCTGTCGCTCAAAGCAGCTGCATCGTGGGCAGAATCGGGCGATGTACACGACATCGCCGTTCAAGTACTAAAATACGACCGGACCAGCAGCGACGGACCCCGCCTACCAGAGCTCATCACCAAAGAAGTCCAAGCACTCCTCGCAGCCACCAAAGCCAACCCGCTCTCATCCTACGACATCATATCTGATCCAAAATCAGTTCATCAGCTCTCGCTGCTGTTCAATAGTATGCAGTGGTTATCTTCAGCCTTGTCACAGCTCCGCCATGTCGATGCGACAGCCTCTCATGGACATACACGATCAGCCTCTCAAAGCAGAAACCCTCGTCGCTGGACATTAGTGGCAAGCCTCCGTTCACCGAATAAACTTCCCACTCATCCAGGTGCTGTCGTCCCCATCTACCTCCCTCTAACTTCAGAAACCGCCATTCCTTTCGATCACACATTGACCTCGTTCCGCACCCTCGCCCAAACTACATTATTGACCCTACATATTGATATCCGCTGTGGCATTATTCACCAACTTGGCCGAACACTTGGTGGACCTGATGTCACTAGTGCGCTTTCTCCCTCCGACAACCGCGACTCCTCTGTCCTGCCGGCAGTAGACTCTGGCCTGTACCCATACGTCCTTGCATCTCTACCAAGCTCCGCCTCTCCGCTCGTTCTGGAACTCAATAATGACCTCATCGCCTTCGACTCTAACATTGCAAGCTATCTCGGCATGAAGGAGCAGAACTTCATTCTCCTCGGGCTTGCGAAGCTGGTTGACCGCTACCTCGTCGTCGCAGCGGATTCCATCGGAGTCATGAATACCAACGGCGCCGAACGAATCCGGATCGATGCCATGGTTATCCAACAGAATTTGAGAGCGATCCTCGCAACCACGACGCCAAAACGACAGAGCATACTGGACCAAGTGCAAAACAAGAGCGACACAACCGACACCGCTACAGGCCTAGGCATTATCTCCTCGGGAACCACACCGTCTTCATCGACGCCAGACAGCGACGAACTCGACGCCGGCATCCTGACCTCCTCCTCACGCTACTACGACCTCTTCCTGAGCGGCCCCGAGTCAGTGATTCAATACATCAAGGACACGAAGGCACAGCAGGGCCATAACAAGGAAGTCGGATACACCTACGATGAGCTCCGCACGCTAATAGAGCTTTGGTTCAGTGCGAAGCTCAGGGGCGAGGACCGCGAAGAGAGCATCAAGGCCCGCAAACGTCTCCAGGAGGTCCTGCTCGAGCTGGGCGAGGTCATGTGGGATTCTTGAACCTCCAAAAAGGGGCGGGATCTCAACTGCGCCCGCAGGCGCCCAGGCTTAGACGTGGAGGTATGGAAGAGTATACAACATGAGTGCGATCTTTTCTATCTTGGGTTTTCTAGATGAGATAGACAAGTAAGCTATGAGTGTGCGAGTCGTTATGAGAATCATTCTTCCTTTCGTTCTAGTATGCTCTCTCTCTCTCTCTCTCTCTCTGTGTGTGTGTGTGTGTGTGTGTGTGTCTGTTTGAAATTCGTCCCGTATTTCCTCTGCGCCCTTAACTACCGAGGGCAGGGTAGGATGTAGAAAGAAGCTCCACGGGAGGAAAAGCGCGGCGTAGTTTGTCAATGGGCTCGAGGTTCCCTCGTATCTGTATCAACCACAAACGGGTTCCCTCCCTCTGACCTTTTACACTGCGCTATCTACTACATCTTCAGGGGCTGGGCGAGTGGGCGAGGGCTGCCTCTTCAGACACAATCTCAGCGGTACCAGAAGTTTTGTTTGTAACTGCCGAGTTCCCAAGTTCCAAGTTGGTAGGGTGAACTGTCGCACACTCTCGCCGCTGCATGGTATTTCGACCTCTTTCGCAGTTGATGATTGCCCAGCGCATCCGAAGCTTGAGCTTTCATTGTTCTCTTGGCTTTGTATCTGCTCCTTCGTTCCACGATCTGCTCAGCAGGAGACGCCTTGCCTTGTGATTTTCCTCAATCTTTCTCGATACCAATATAGTGCATTCGGGCTGGGCGAAATGCTTTTTGGACGAGTGGGATGAATGAGGTGAGGTGTCTCGAGTCTAAAACCTGTTCAAAGATGGGGACAGGCGGTGACTTGGGTCAGAGAGCGAGAGGGATCCGGACGATATTCGTGGTTTGAAGGCCAGCGACGATGATTGACTGGGCCCATATGCTGCAAAGTAGTCTCAGGTGTGGCTCTGGGCAATTCTGTATCTGGGCTTGACGCATGATGGGTTGAATGGGTCTTGAACAGGCTGCCAGGCTTTGCATGGCCACCATCCAGACCAGTGGACTCGTTCTGTCGACGTCTAGGTGGCGCGAGGACCGACTCTCAGTGATGTCTGCGTTGAAATAACGGTAGGTTTCCAATTCCAACTGGGATGAATGAACTGCTATATATCGTTGGACTCTGCGCCGTAGACGGGGGCGGATCCAAAGCCCGGAACTTGGTTCCCAGATACCTTCTGTTCGCCACCTTTGGTCTTCTTTCGAGAGGCCCCGAATCGTTTCGAGTCGCAAGATTCCTACAATCGCTGAGCCTGATGGGAAGTCATAACTCGCAAGCCATTGAGCAGGTATGATCGTGCAAACTTGGTTTTTGTCACAGATTAAGCCGCCTAAATGCAGGAGTGCTATGGCGCCATCGGTCGCCAATACAATTGCTTCGTTTGATTTGTCCAATTAGGGATGCGGCCCAGGAAATCGCCTTTGCAGTTAGGGAGGAGCACTAGAGGAGGAACCCCAGTACATCCATTGATCGAGAGAGTCACCTAGCGTACCACGCAATGGCGAAAGGCATGTAGTGAATGGAGAATAGCCAGTGTCTGGGTCGACTTGGACTTGAGTTGGTGACAGGACAATGGCTCTGGATGTTATTTCCAGGCAGGCGCTTCGGCGCTTGTTACCAGGTTGTAGTCGGGACAACATAGGAGTTTTTATCGTCTCGAATGGGACAGGTCCTGGGTAGGCCGGTATTGTCACCTTCAGGCTGCTATCAGCGCTGGTGTCAGCGGGCTGAATTCGAGCTCGATAGTGTCTTCCATCGGTCGGATGTTGACAGACAAAGATGGCTCTTAGCGTCACCGCTGTTTGAAAAACATTCCTCACACTTACCAACCTTTTGGGGGGGGAGGGTTGGACCCACGTCTGACCACCTCATACATATTCTTACCTCGTCTTCACTGGTGCATGGTAGCAAAAGGACAAACGATCGCCAAGTTCGCTTTGTGCAACACCAACGTCGCTTAGCCAACGCCCTCCTCGCAAGCACAGCTTGCCCCCTCAACCACGTTATCAGCGCACTTATCGAGTGAAAAGGTCTTTTTAGATTGTTCCAGCACAATTTAGGAGTGCGTAGCACGTCCACTGAACGAGATTGCGGGGCAGAGGAGTCAGGTAGCATAGCACAAATCGAGGACGGTTTTAATTGCCACAAGCCAAGCCATTGATCTTGGAGCCTTGCGGGGAACTTCAATATATTGAGCATTCGCCACTCCTGTGTAGGGCTCCGCCAACCTCCAAGTAGACAACTCTTACCCAGGCCCAAATTTCGGCTTGTTGGTCGCACCAGCGCAAAGGGGAAAACCCGGATAGCCCAGCGTCTAAGTGGTGTGGCTTAGAATGCCCAATTCCAAAGAGAAACGACCAGGCCGGCTCCGACCAAAACCAAACTTCGGACAGGAGGCCGCCGAGCAGTCCAAGACTCGAATTCGGATAGGACGTGCTTGTGATCGATGTAAACTCAAGAAGTCGAAGGTAAGGCTGCTGGTCGAGTGAGATTTTTGCTGAATTGTCGCGGAGGCATGCTCGGCTAACATTTGAATAGTGCGATGGCAACAACCCATGCTCTGGCTGTAAAGCTAGTGATAGTGTGTGCGAATATAGTGCGCGTAGGAGACGAGAGGCGAGGGATTGGTGAGTGCACAGAACTGAAGTTGTTTTGCTAGTTTCTATCGTAGTATACTTGACACTCTGATCTTCCATGCCGTAATCTAACCAGTGCTTATTGATCAGGTATTGGGAGATGCGTGACATCGTCGACGAGGCCTTACAAAGTCTTTATTGGGCTTGTAGAGAGGGAAGGGGTTTTCCAGGCGTGATTCCCGATGAGAGCAATGGTCACGTTTCAACGGATGCCATCCTGCGTGGATTGGGATTCGTGCCTCCTGTGGTGGAACCTAGGACAGGATCTGGTCATGCATCACATTCAGCTCTTGATGACGCAGGGGAGACCCCAGAAAGATCATACCATCCGCCAGATGTACTTCCTCATCGCCGCTCTACCAATTCATCCATCGTAGCACAGGTGCCACTTGCAGGTACACCCGAAAGCCCCATACTTGAAGACCGAAACGGTCAACAGAAAGACCAACTTGACCACCGCGGGTTTCAACGGAACACTCCAGTCCATGGCCCAGGATCAATCAGTCTCCATCCGCAGCTCGGACTTGCCATGGAGAGTGACATCGACTCGGCCATGTTCCATGATGGCGATATTGGGACAGCGAATGTTGATCGTGCGAGATCGTCTACATCAGGTATCCCAAACTTCCGACTGCCCACCCAAATGAAGGACAACCAGCATTATTTGTTAGGAGGACTCGACCCCAAAGTCCAAGAGTCTGGCATCGGAGCGGATCATGGTCCACTGAACAAGCAGGATGGCAGATGGGAAGATCAATCGGAAACAAAGTCTGGCGAGATGCTACCGTGGCCAGGGACGCTGGCGGCGGTATCCCGCAATGCTAGGCAGAATAGCAGTGGTGTCAATCCGCCATCAACTCGGTGATGGTATGAGACCAGCGAAATCTAGAGTCGCTAGAGCCGTCCAGCACCTACCAGTCTATGGATACTGCGTGGAAACGCCTTTGGAGACGGGTGTTGGATCAAGGAAACCCAGAACCTCCTTGCTCAAATTTCCAAATGCTTGGGATGGCGAGAGAACCTATCTCCAATAGGTCGCTCGCAAGCAGAAGGCCGGGGCGACAGTACAGTAGATTAAATATTTGTAAAGGAGAAGCCAACAGCCGCGCTTGGGAAGTCTGTTGGAATTGAGAAAGCACTCAGGTACATGGTAGGACTGAGCAGAACAAGCATTAACGAAGGAGCGACCGCCACTCTGGAAGATAGATCTGATCAGTCATATGCGTGGGGTGTCCTGGATACAGGCGAGGTGAAAAGGTCGGAAAAGGAATCCGGGAAGAACGGATCTTGACGTCCTTAAGTAACTTGAATACCTAACTTCTTAACCAGCAGGGAGACAACTTGACTGATTGGCTAGTAGTTACTAGTCACCAATTGGCCCTAGATTATTGTGAGCGTTGAGGACACTTGCGGCGCTTCGGCTAGCACCCAGTCGCCCCAGAATATCTCGGTATCAAGTGCAATCCGAGTATCTGACCTTCACGCGGGCGGCATTAACAATTTGGCGACATGTTTGATAAATTGGTTGGGGGGAGCCTTCACATCCGTTCCCCTGGAGCTTGAGGCTCTGGTTGAAGGACTGCTTAGCGCTGATAGCTCAAGATCCCATATCGTGGCCTGCTTAATGTCTATAGAGCCACCAAACGAAAGAAGAAAATTTGGCGCACTTTGGTTAGTTGACCGATTATTTTGCCTTGCGTCGCCGTGCAGGCTTCTGAGGAAGCACAGTAGGAGTCAAGCCTAACTGGACGACGACACCTCGGACCCCTGGGCTACATTAAACATAGAGCTCGATAGGTAACTCACTGTACCACTTCCTTCGCCTTCCAAAGACAATTGTCTGACTGAAGGTCATACATAGTCATGAACGTGGTTTACATATGCTCAGAAGCAGTGGCCTGCGCTTGGGCAAAAACTGTTTACCAACTCTTACTTGATGTTGGTTCCGCCATCTTGCCTGGTATAGCTAAGGAGATTTCGTAGTAAGAGGGCGTCGTGTCGCTGAGAACAAGATTGCTGCACGTGGTAGTAACTGAGTATTGGGAGGAAGTCGATCGAAACCAATAGCCAGGGGGTCTCTCCATGGACCACTACCTCGTACCGCTGCGCCCACAACTCTCATACATTATAGTCGATAGTGACAAAGACTTCGCCTGCCCATTGTCATTTAAGAAGAGTAAAGGAGATTCGACAGTATCGAGGCCGAGGGGACCAGAGTGGATTGACCTGGAACCAGACTGTGCTTGCTGTTTCTACTCTGAAGCACAGACTTGAATCGTAGTGATTGGCATCTTAGAAACTTGGGACAAGATCAGTTCGTAGGGCGTGGAGAATGGAAACCATCAATACTCAGAACCTGGGTAGTCATAATACCGATGTTGATCGAGGGTCGACTTGCTGAGATCAGTCCAACGCGAGCAAGTAATGCCAAGGCGACATTGAAAGACTTAAGCGAATACGGTTATGAGTGCAGATTTTGGCTGAACAGGGGCTGTGGATCCTGGCGATAGGCAGATGATAGCCTAATGGTAGTCGAAACCCTACCCGCCAGTGCCCACAGCGATGTGGTGCCGATCACCTTGAAACAAAAGGAATGAAGGATGTATCGCGGAGGAGGACAACCCCTCATCGGCATTATTGAAAGGCAACGTGTAGAGGCCCAAGCTCTGAACGGTTGAAGCCGCTTGAAACACATATCGCACAAAGTGTACCTACTGGTTCCGTAGCCGAGCCACCTGCTCCTGTGTCGTTGATGGCCTGAGTATTCCATCTCGGACTATTTCGCAAACAAAAGAGTGGGTGTGGCGATGATACGCTGGTAAATTGCGAGCCTCGGCAATCATCAATATGTGAAGACGCGTCAAGGCTGATCTTGGAGGCTCGCTTGACCGATCGCTCGCTCAGATATTTTGTGTCGATCACTGAACTGAAACGATCACCGTCCAGAGCCTGAAGAGGTCGAGGCAGTGAGGTCATGATGGATGCTACGGCGCACCGAGGTTGGTGCAGGACACAGATAGTTGGTGCGAGTCGCAGAATTGTCACACAGTCAGTGGTGAGCAAGAATACATAGTATCGTGGTTGAGGGATTGGGCGCTCCTTTTAATCTCGTGTGAATTGAAATTGAGATCGCTTGTCCTGAGGTTCCATACTCGACATAACCGGGCGCAATGGAGGATAGAAACATGAGCAAATATCATTCAAGGAATTGGGATCAGGGAGCGGAGGATAGAATAATACAGGCCAATACATGCCCTCCTCCTGAGATACAGACGCTCTTTCGGATACAACTCCGCCCAGATTCCAGGCGATCTAGATAAATAGTTAACTATGGAGTAACCAGGTTACCTAGTGGGCGCCTGGGCGTTTAACTTACTTGAGTCAGGCAATCTCTGCCTTTTCAGAAATGCAGTTGACCGGAGAGGCCGCGTGCAGGGGTGGATCTGGCCCGGCGCTGTCAACGTTGGGCTAGGCTGCGAGAGGTGGCAAACCTGTTATCGCTATATTTCGCCGATAGCTCTGGTCATCTGGAGACAAACGATAGCCCCGGAAGCCTGTAGTTGGAAGGTGCAAGTCTTTGGCACTGTACTAACTCATTAGTAGCTACGTAGCTAACTCACAAGATGCTTCCCTGTAGACGAAGTCACCGCCAAACTGCTAATGGTCCCAGCATCCATGGAGGCTTAAGACACACGACTATCGAATCAGTTGAAGTGCTTCTGGCCCTACGCTACGGAAGACATACGGCCCTCAAGTGGCAAGCCACACCTTCCAGTCCTCGTAGAACTAACAGTGTGGGCTTGATCAACATCTGTTGAAATCTCCACACCGATCTACAAGCTAAACGATCGTGGGCGTTTCGGGGCATCCTTCCAAGTCCCCGTTTGTCTATAGCAGCCACCAAGCTCATTTGAAGCCAGAAGAGCTAGATGCTAGAGAGTTTACGAACGCGTCAAGAAAATGTCTTGTCCTTTTGCGTCTCCCTCTGTGGCCGATGGATGCCCAAGACGTTGAGGCTCTGAGATCTCGGCTCTTAGGTACAAGCAGGATCTTTCCAGTAACGAGCTAGGAAAGTCCAATCGCTCTGGGGTTGGCAGTGGAAGCGCCCAATTCCCTAGCGACGAGAGCAGCGGCGTGGTGGGAATGGGAATGGGAATGGGAATGGGAATTCGTAGTTGAAGGTCTTATCTTGGCCAACCTGCTCGTATATCTAGCACCCTGAGTGTTTGAAATCAGGATAGATCAATGCAATCAATGACTTGGAGGCTCAGGGAGGTGTAGCTGTTCACCAAACTTAATCAAATACTTCGTACTCCGGACGAGGTGCTCCGGGCCAAGGAGGGAGTTAGGGTTACCAACTTCCAAGTACATACTGTACAGTAGTTAGAGGCATAGGGGGCTCACTGTGGAGAAGCTCCATGCGCGAAGCTGGGACCAAGAGCCGGTATCCCAGGACCTTGCTAGCTCCTGGAGCTACCGGATTTTCTCCAAACCATCATGATCCTCGCTTCGAGACCGTAACACTGGATGCCGGGATGGCTGGACTGCAGAGTGATGTGGCAGGCTGATGGCGCGGGCGCGTCCTCAAGACTCGTTTGCCAGACCCAGTGTAAACCTGTGGCGTCCCGATACATGTACTCCCCCAGCCATAGAATGTGCAAAGAATCCCGCGAGAAATGGCAGCAGTTTTATTGTTAGCTCATTACGCTGCTTGGGTTGAAGCGTGAAGAAGGGCGACTTGTTCACAACCTTGTGACCTGACCTGCCTCCTCGGTAGGGATCCGTATCCTAGTTGCACATCAACATGGAAGGGCTCTCTCCGATCCACAAGAATGCTTGAAGGCCTGCTCTTGCTCAATCAGTCCAGTGTAGCCGATCCAGCACTACTAAGGACTTGTAGGACATGTCCATAGGCCCAATAGTTCGTGGCCAGTACGGGTATACTACGTCCACGAGGAGCGTGCTTCAAAACCATGTTAGTGCCCGTTCCCACATGAGTTCAGCAGTCGGGGCGGCAGGAGTCGTGACTCGTGAGCTGTTGCTGACTACAGTCGGCTTTGGCCCACGTGGAAACCTCCCACATGGCTGGTAACCAGAGAGGCCCAGAGGTTTCGTTACGGATAACGGGAGCAAAGTGTACGTACCTCGTACAGTACCTGTCTCTTATAGGACCGGGGCTACGTCCCTGAGGATGCCCGGTCCAGACTTTTGGGTGCCAAGGGGGTTGTCATCGAATGCCTTTCTTGAGAAACGGCACGATTGCTTGGTCGCGTCGGTCGCTAGGCGTACAGTATGTCTGTACGAAGTGGCCCGCAGCGGTGGTGCTTCTTCCATGTGGTACCCCCGCCGGGCCCCAAACTGATAGAGATGCGAGGTGGTACACTTGCGGTTTAGGGTTCGGATTGTCCTTTCAAGCATAGACAAAAAGTCTCCTGACATTCCAACGTCATGGCTCTGAACATCTGGCTGGCTCGGAGCATACTTCCGCTGGGACTAGATTCGTCTTCTGCGGTCGATTTCGTCTTGCTGCAAGCGCCTACGCCTAAAAACGCGACCTTTGGCGTCCGTGTGGATGGTTCCTGACAAGCCTCTTTTTGGTGCGGATTCTGCAGATCGTTTTTGCGTTTCGTACGGATACGAGCAGCAGATGCTACGAGTAGAGCCCAAGCTCCAGATCGAGCCTGGGCCCCTACATGGACGCCTCCAACACCCCATTGTCGGTTAGCCACAATTGCGACCACTTACAGGGGGGCTGGAGACGCTTCATCGAGGGCCGTCTCAGTACCTGCTAGTCCCGCATTGGTCCTGGACTGGCCAGAAACATGCCAGTCGGCATCTTGGAGGACTGTTAACCCCGCCAAAGTGCGAGGCTCAAGGGGGGGGGTCTAAGCCCAGGAGCTTCAACCCAGTGCTCGGTTAAGTCTGCTGAACAAAATACTTACGAGCCCTCCGTACTCCGTACGGAATCCCCAGCTCCGATTGACCTTGGTGTCACTATTTCTGGCAATTTCCATTCGCGTCGTTGGTTGGAAAGGAACCGGCCTACCCGAAGGATGACGCAGCTTCGATACCAGACTCCCGTTGCACGAGTCCTCGGAAGTTGGAGATCAGAATTCTTCCTCGCTTCTCGCTCTTCTCTGGTCGTCGTTGAGTAGGGATTCTGTGTTTGACTCTGGACCTTGCCATCTACTCGTAGCTAGTGCCTGCCCTCTAGTTTGTTAATGATTGCATGTGGCCCCACTGAGAGCATCGTGACTGGTGCGCTTCTTGCGTCGCAAGTATGAGAGGTAATAATTCACCTGCAACGGATACCTACACTCCACTCCATATCTGAAAGTCAAAAATCCTCATCGATATCTGCGAACGGTCGTTCAGCTGCAAAGTGGAGGGCCCCGAGCGAGACCAAAGCCTATGCGCAAATGGGAGGCGTTGGCATTAGGATCGCCATGATAGTTTCCCCAGCTCGGCGGTCACCGCGAGGTACCTTTCACCGACCTGGAAGATCAGTGCATGAGAATCCCTCCGTCCCAACCGGTATTCGGTGCTAACCCCGTAGTCAAATGGCGTGGCTTACGAGCCTCGACTTCGGGTCTGGTGCCGTGATATAGATTTCGCACGCCAGGACTAGAAATAAACCCTTCGACTTAGTTTATACCCAGAAAGTGTTCTGTTGCAAGTTCGAGATCGGCAAGTTCCAGCTGCAGTCCCAGAGTTCGCAAGATTCCCTTCTCGGATATGTCGAAAGTTCGCAGATGCTGAATCCCCATGGTATTGGGCCATTGTCCTCCATGACCCCCCGGTCCCTGTATTATCACCATTGAAATCGCCCCCATTCTCATTGGCCCCCAGCCGCAAATGTAGATCTTCGCTGCTGGGCTTTCGTGCAAGTCCACAGATCTCCCTAAGTTTACCAATTCCCTGGCAAGCGATCATCTTTTCCTCACTTGGACAGGTGGGGGGCCTTTTCCACGATGCTGGCCGACCACTCTGTTCCGTGAATCTGTTCAGCAATTGAGCACATCATCAGGCCTGTCCGACCAGTGTCAAGAGAAGACGTATTTCTTGAGCGGAGTCTATCTTGCTCACCCTGTCAGCTCGTGTCTGGCTAAGGGCCTCCTCTCATCGGTCCTGTGGTCTGGACTCGCTCCTCGTTGCGACTCAGAACATTGTTTTCGGCCTTTTTGAGTCTGCCTAGCATAAAATCCGTAGATGGGGAGCCCCAAACCTTCTTGACTCAGCACTCAACCCAGGGTGGGGATCCCCTTCACAGGGGTGTCCGTACCATCCAGCACTTGGCCCAAACCTCGGGGCCAGCTAACTAACTAGTCAATTGGGCTCGATCCACGCCATGGGGTCTCTCATCGGCTCTCGGTAAGCTCCAAAGGCCAATAGTTGAATAGACTCACAGACCCTGTCTCCGTTGAGGCTAATCGAACTAATTTGGGTGTCGTGGTATGCCCACCATCCTGTCCAACAGGGCACACTTGACCCACGAAAGTTCAACAAAGCATGCGAGATCAGTTTCTGCCATTAGAATACATCCCCATCTGAAAGCCCTGTTCCTGTTCTGCATGTTCAAGCGCTTGAGCATCTATGTGATTCGTTTCCATGCTGCATTGATTCGTGGGTCCTGTGGCAGAAGCTGTTCGGGAAAAGCTGGAAGGACTCCTTGCGAACCCTTTTTCCGATTTCCTCCAGCGACCAGTCAGTCTGACTTAATCTTGGGACAAGAACGAAGCCCGATCTTCGGTCTTGCTCCTCAGACCAACCTTGTTGTTTTCTGTCTCCCTGTCATTCTGTTGTACTTGGGAAACTCTATTGCAATCGACGTTCTCGACCTCGAACAATCTTTCAATAAAGTCTCGTTCGGAGGGAGTTCATAGTACGTTCGCTTACAACTCGACACGAAAACCCACCCCAAGGACGTCAATCCTTCTAGCACGGTTTCAGCCTCACATGTCTGATGTCGGTTTTCTTTAGGTGTCCGATGGCGTCAGAAGTGAAAAGTTTCAACTCGAGATTGTGACGCGGAGCAACTGCAAATTAAAGCGCTCAGTCTGTGTACCAAAAACTGGCCCCGTCTCTGGTATATTTTTCTTCATTAAGTGAAGCGCAGCAGTGGCAAGATAGCAGGGGAATGCGAAAAGAAGCAAACCACCTTGATATATCCTCAGGAAGTGTTGAATTGATAGAACCAGAAGAATATGAGGATATGAACATGCCGGGTTTGGTTCGAAAGGATAGTCTGTCGCCGTATTCGCACACCATGTCAGCAGAAGCTCCACCATTGTCGCCGGCCGATAAAAAGAGGAATAAATTAGGTTATCATCGCACAGCTGTGGCATGCGGTTAGACCCCTCGTTGCTGTATTATGATAACTTGTTAACACCCTCTAGGTCATTGCCGCCGTCGCAAGATTCGTTGCATTCCTGCCTTCGACGATCAGAGTGGCCGCTGCCAGAATTGTATACGCTTGAAGAAGGACTGTCACTTCTTTCCCGTTGACCAGCAGAGTCCAGCACCTGGACCGAAGCGTACTCGAAAGCCGACTGACGGGGTCCAAGAAAGTGAGACTTCCGTCTCTTCGTCACCCGCGGGCGGTGTTCTTAGAAGTAACTCCTTTGATCAGCTCGATGCTGGAGAAGGTGTAATGGACACTCCCCCAATGGGAAAAGGTAGCCCAGGTTTTCACTATCAACATGGGCAAAGGTCCTTCTCTAGCCATGGTAAATGAAAAGCATCACTCACTGAAGCTTCAAACTAAGAGTCGAGTAGGACTTCAATATCATCCACAATACGATCCAAGTTTGCAGCCACAACCGCAACCAGAAGATCTTATGGCCTCGCCTTATGATAGTCATTCACCTCGCACGTTGAGCAGTGATGCGACCAACGCGCAATACTACCAGCAGTACAATCATCCCTTACAGGGATCATACCACGCCCCATTTGCCTCAGCCTCTTTACCCTCTACCGCCACGGGATTAGCGCAAGGAAGTGGCTACCCGTATCCTACCGGGATACCCAATGGCTATCAATGGGGACAACATCCCGCTCCGTCGAGATCCATGTCAACAGGAGAGTCAGAAGACTTGACCCATGGGTTTTCCCATCCATATAGAACCAACACTTATCCATCTTTCGAACGGCGGATGACGGGTGAAATGCAGCAGATCCCATCCACAAATGCCGGGTATGTGACTATGAGTATCGGCAGTTCGTCATCCACGATACCTGCGCAACTGCGTGAGCCATCCACATACCACCCAATGCATATGGGAATGCAGCAAGACTGGTCCAGTGGTGGTCAATCAGGCCAGATGCCTGGAACAACAGGAAGTGACTACCCCTCTAGTTGGTATCCTCAACAGGAGTTGACAGATTTAAGAGAAGAGGAGGATCATCCACATCTAGTATCTTCTCGAGACCATCCCTTACGACGAGGAGATCACAATCCAGGCTGAGGCTCTGAGCGAGGTATCCACGAGCGGGGCCTCGAGTACTTCGAGCCTCGGCTTGTTGTAGATGTTTCAAAATGGGACCTTGCTTCAAGATCCCAATACATCCCTCCAACTTCCGCGGCGACCATCGGTCACAAAGTACAAGTGTGACTTTGCATTTCGAAACCGCTCTCGGAAGATGAATTACTCCAGTACATAGGCACCTTGATGGCAGGGTCTGGATCAAATTGCAAGTACAGTCTCTGTTGGTTCCGCACGCACAGATTGATCAGCGTATTGATCGGGAAGCTGGCGATGTGGATATCCAGAGGAGGCATTCAGGGACAGCACATTTCCCTTTCGCCAAAAGTTCGCTCCAACCTGAGTGCTATCTTCTCCCCCCGGTCGAGATCGATGCTGGTCCGCCGGAAATGTAGACCAAACCCCCTGCGCTGAAGATGTCCATGCATCAACTTGACACCTAATCTAGGCTTACTTAGTTGGAAAGCGCCATGAATTACTTGAGGCAGGTACCATGTCGAAGTAGACGATCGGAACACCCCTCTTGACTCGTTTCTGAGCGCGGTGGATGAATGGACATCCCTTTCTTTCGTGGCTAAGGATCGAGATCCAGAGGCCTCAACAAGAGTTTCCCGAAGCGCGCTACAGCTTCCGTGCGACACGGCAAAACACAGTCATTTGAGACTTGATGTATCCGCCTGGCAGACTGAACCGGAACTTTTGGAAATGGAGACCACAGCCTGACACCTTCTTGGGCGACCCTCATAAGTCCATTTCGCGAAGAGAACCCACGGCTCGTCCTGGGTAGAATATGATTATACACATACTTCTCGATCAATTCGCCTTCCCCGGAGCACTCAGCAGTCAGGAATCAGGATTCGCGAACTGACCGCTCATCGCATCGATCATTTTAGCCGAGATGTGGGTATCTTTGCTGATGTCGATCCAACCCACACTCAAGCTGTACAGCTGGCCCCAGGAAATTTGGTGTCAATTTCGATGGCCATATCGATTCTGTAATGGCAGGATATCATCAACTGTAAGGTACCTTTATCTCGATTCTTGTCACCTGACAAGGGCTGATAGGGAGGATTAAATTGCTTGTTTGTCCATGAATAACTCTCCGCTCACTTGAGGTGAGCTCAACATATGTTGAACTTGTTGATCTAGTTTGATGTCTTGTCTAAGACTTACAAGTTACACATATTCGGACACTGCAATGGAGCGGTGATTTTCCAACACCAGGAAAACCCACAAGAAGAAGCGAAATTCTCTTCTATATAGAGTTTTCACAGAACCCTACCGAAAGGATCCTATTGGTCAACGAAGCTTTTGTGGCACCCAGTATTTCCTCAGCCTTACCCCAGGCATCTACGATGAGAGCTTGCTTGCACATGGTCCACTATTTCGACGAGTGGAGAGTGATAATGCATAAACATGTCACTTTCGCTCTAGACTGCAGGATGCAATCCAAATTTTTAACGTCACAACGGTGGTGTTCTCACGCTAAATCCAGTCTCCGAGGTCACAGGTATATCAATGATCCAGATATAGAAATATCAGAGGGGCTGACCCCGGCAAGTATGCTTGTGCATTCGAGAGCTAGTCGTGAAAACTTTGGGAAGACGAGAATCAGCAACTAAATGGTCCGCAGTCTTGATTGAACGCTCAATTTAGTGAGTGCTTGTGCACAAGAGGTGAGAATTGTGAGAAAGGGACAGAATTTGCAGCTCGGACATTCTGCTGATAAGATTCAAGAGGGCAAGACCGAAATGAGGGAGTTTGCAACCCGCGTCACATGAAGGATAGATCAAATGTGGGTCTGAATGGCTGCTTTTGTTATGCTCATAGAAATTCAAGCGCCCGTTTCAAAGATGCGAACGCTACATGGGAGCTCGATCTTAACCCTTAAGCTATGTTGATGGATGTACAGCGTTCAGTGATTTCCTTCGTTGGACGCCGGCCAGTAATAACGTCTACATAATCGGACCGTTATGAAGCTGCTTAATGCCAATGGCTTGATGGTGAGCATGGCACCGGAAAGCACCAGATTCGCACTTCAGCCTTGTCTCCTGGGTATGTTTGTAAATGAGTCCCGAGGGCGGTGAACTCGGCCGTCGGTACCGGCAAGGCTGAGATGCCTCGGCAACATTCTGGTTCTGCATCGGGCAACCAGGAACGAACTCGTGATTAGTTCTCCTCCGCACCTTTCCTCTTCCACCGGGGCTCTCTTCATCGATCAGCAAATAGGTCGCAGGCTTCCTCTTCCTCTTCCCAACTATTTGTTCCTCCCAATTGTACTTCTTGTGAGACGCCTGTGGCATTTCTTTCCGAGTATAACCCTTACAAAATCAAAATAAGATGGCACAAAGAGCCCAGCAGATCGCTTCACACCTGAATTACCCCTCCGGCCTGCTTGCTGGACAGGTTGCTATTGTAGGTTACCAACTCCTTCCTCCTTCTCCCGGGCGCTTCATTACTATTCATCAATTTCATGACACCCTCAGCCATTACGGGATCCAACCCCTGAACTAATCAAAGCTAACCTCCGACAGATCACGGGCTCGGGACAGGGCATCGGCGAGGAGGCCGCACGACTCTTTGCCAACGAGGGTGCCAAAGTCGTTATCTGCGACGTGGACAGTGCAAAATCCGATGCGGTAGCCAAATCCATCAATGACGCTTCACCAGGACGAGCCATCTCGGTCCCTGGCGACGTGACGGACCCGAACTACTTCCCAGTGTTGGTTTCTAAGGCGGCGGAGTTCGGCAATGGCAAGATCCACATCATTGTTAACAATGCCGGCTATACGTGGGATGGCGTTATCCACAAGACCACAGACAAGCAATGGGACACTATCATTGCTGTCCACAACACCGCGCCTTTCCGGCTGATCAGGCAGGCTGCGCCGTACTTCAGGGTCAAGGATGGTGAGAAGAGAGTCATCATCAATATCTCTAGCACAAGCGGCACGCACGGAAATGCAGGCCAGGCGAATTACAGTCTGGCAAAAGCCGGTGTTACTGGTTTGACGAAAACCATTGCGAAGGAGTGGGGTCCTCAGGTAAGCTATGCGCATGCGCGAATCCTTGGCCAGAAAACAGATCTCTCCATAACTGCATCAATGACTTTTCTTTCCCTCTGCTTCCCTGGCCACACCACATTGCTGTATCTGACATAAATCTAGTTCGGAGTGCGCGCCAACACGATCGCATTCGGCCACATCAACACGCGTCTAACTCAGGCCAAGGAGTCTGGTGCATTCATCACCACGGCCGACGGCCAACGCGTTGCTCTTGGTATCCCTGGGGCACAGATCGCGGACCGAAAAGGCGCCGCCGACGCTCAGCCTTACAAAGACATTCCCCTTGGTCGCCCCGGAACCGCGACTGAGGCTGCGAGCTCCATCCTCGCCGTCTGCAGTCCTCTCTTCAGCTACGTTAATGGCCAGACCATTGAGGTCACTGGTGGGCGGAATATCTAGTTTATTAAAAGAAGGCATTAGAGAGCGAGCAACCCTGACCGTTATTGTTGTTGTACAATGTACAGATCGAAGTCAATTGATACCGCCTAGGTAGATCAAGGCCTCCTAGAATTGCAATTATTTACATCCTACACTTCTAGAAGCACGCCTAAACCAATTCGGAAACCTGGCAACTTTTCCTTATCATCAAGGTCACTTGAGAGCATCGAGGCAGATGGCTGTCATTCCCCGTCTCGTATAATTCACTTAGCCGCTGGCTTCTCCATTCATTGAAGGATGACCGCTAACAGCGTCGTCGAACTTCGTCTTCGAAGAGGCCTCCCTCCTCGACAGGATGCTTGTCCAAGGCTTCGTAAAGCTGAAGGTAGCTCCCGATGAGGAATGCCCAAGAACCCCTAGAGGCAAGGAATAGGTTAGCAGTCATACTAGCAGTGAGCTCCCAGTATCAGTAGAGAAAAATATATCCTCGCAGAGTGCAATCGTTAGGTTCGGAATTTTCTTTGTCTCAAACTCACCAAAACGTGGCCAACCCAGCCTGGAACTGCGCACCAGAATTCCCGTAAGCCATGCCTAGAGCGCCGCACAGGGTGAACCCAAAGGCGCCAATGAGGTTCCAAAACGCAACATGCCAGCCAAGAATCTTGGGCGCTGGGATGTACCATTTCGTCTGCGTTTCGAGCATGTACAGCGTGCTGGAGACAATGAAGCCAGACCCGCCGATCACCTGCGGGATCCAATATGCGGCGTTCAGCACGTATTGCGGTTCCAGATGGTTATAGATGCCGGGGAGTGCCGTGATGCCCGAGATGCCGAAGATGGTCGCTCCAAAGAGCTGTGCCGCGCCCGCGAGGAAGCCCAGTTCGTGTAGATAGTGTGTCCGTAGTGCGTGAGCAGATGGGAACCATTGCCAGGATTTGGGTGATTGGTTTGAGGATGAAGAAGGGTCGCCGTTGGCGGGTGGTGGCGGAGGTTTGTTATCTGAGATCGTGTTCTGAGATGGGTTCCCCACGAAGTTGTGCTTGTTTTGGTGGTGATGCCTACAGTGATGTTTGTTAGGTGTGACGCGAAGCCTCGGTCCGCCTTGGCCTCGTTCCTGTCCCTGTCCCTGTCCCTGTCCGTCTCCCAGATCGTGTTCGTGCTCGTGTTCGTCCAGAAGCTGTTCTACCGCCCAGCCGAAACACCCGGAATTGTCTACATTGACGGCTTCGAAGATCAAAAGAACAGAACCAAATTCAAAGAAGATGATGGCGCCAATGAAAGCTGTAATCCCGCCGCCGTAGAAAATCTCATTGGGGAATTCCGTCGAGGGCGCTACAACCGGGAGCCACACGAAAAAGCTGTTGATGACCCAGACGGCGCTTCCAAGGGTGAACACAAACGCCACGAGCCATGAAATGTCCCATATGGGGAAGCAAGTGAACGTCCGCCCTATGTTGCGGAGGACCTCACGAGGATGAGAAGTGCGTCGAGGGGTGAGAAACCTGGACCTGTCTGAATCTGAGTCTGGAGAGGGTCTGCGTACGAGTAGCGTGTGTCGACCTTTGCGGTTGTCTCGAGATCGCCAGAGGAACTGGATGAAGCTGGCAGGATATGTGCTCGTGCTGCAGCCATGGTCTGCGTGCGAGACATGACTCTCGGGATGTTGGCGGGGGCTGTGGTGCTGTTTCGCCTCCAGATCACCATTTCTTGTGACTGGATATTGGTAGTGTGCTCTCGTGGGATTCAAAAAAGCAAAGGGGCCCTCGGCGCGTTGAAGACTGAGACTCTCATGGTTCCGAAATGGTTCCAGCGAGGCCAGGAAATGTTGGTTCCTCCTTGGCATGGTTGCTGGCAGGGCTGAAGACTGAAGCATTTACGTTGAAAGCTGCTTCATGTTATATCAAGCTGGACAGTTGTCTATTTTTGCTCGGAGATGGGAGCGGAGCTTGCTGGGCCAGAACCTGGGGGAGCTAAGGGGGAGGATATTTGTTAAAACGCACGGTTTGCAAACATTGGATGCCAGGTGAGGATCGAAGTTGATGACGCGAGGCCAAGTAAGCATTCGCCAAGCTTTAAGACCGACGCTAATGTCGAGGCCAGTCTCCAAACGGGCACTAAAGCTCCTAACCTTGCTCCCTATTGGCATCCCCAGCGCAGATGGAAGCGCCCCAGGATATGCACTTCGTGTTCGAGTAATCAAACAAAACCCGCTGCCAGCAATTTAGTTGTACTATCGCATGGGGTGAGATGAGCGCTGTCGGTGACTTACTCGTACCTGGGAGATGCAAAACGTCAGGCGATATCTCGCGGTACGCAGGGAGTCCGGAGAAACATATGCCCATTGAATGCGGACCCTAGGGAACTCTGCGGACTCGGATTAATGCTCGGATGGGATTAGTCCAAATGCTAGTGCTCCGTATGTCTCTTCAAAGCTACGAGTAGAATACGCGAGAAGAAGCTCACCACATTGGTATAGTCTTCGCAAGAAACGACATACACCATACCTCTCTGCCTTATCCTCGTCCTCGCCTAACAAGGGAAAAAGGTTTCGGAAGTTACCTAATTGCCTCGCAGTGGTCCTTGTGCAGATCTTCGCATGACACAGGAGCGAGATCAGAATTACAGCATGACGTAATTGAGTCCACTCTTTCGCTCCCCCGCATCAACTGGCGGTCGCGTCAATCTCAAGCGTCACAGATGTGCATCAATTGGTGAAGGCCCTTGGTCGCTGGTCGCTGGTCGCTGCACAACGGCATGAGGTCAGTCCTGGCCATTCCTCTCGTCGGACGCATTTTCCGTGGCTGCGAACATGCACAAGGCAGCAAAATTCCCATGTACCTGTTGGCTTACTGCCAGTCATAGCGGCCTCAAAATCCACGCCTTCTCTGGTTGCGCCACATGTTGCCTTCAAGACGTGTTTGAAAATCCCACAAACATTGTGACGTCAAGGAAGGACGGACGGTTCACACCACGGTTTCCATTTCTTTTCCCTCCCTCTCTCTCTCTTTGCTTTCTTGACATTGTTTCCTGTTCCCACCTGACTCTTCTCCATCTTCCTCGTCAATCAACCTGATACCGCGATTGAGGACAAATCTCCAAGTATGAAGTTCTCGATATCCAAGTTCCTTGTCGTTGCACTTGCTTCGACTGAGGTTGTTGTTGCCAGCACCTGGTTCAACAAAGCTAGTATGGAGGACCACCCCTCAATGACCTCGGGAAAGAAAGCTGACCTGAAATCTAGTCTACAATAAATGGCATGAGACTGAGCTTGAGCGCTGGCTCTCCGATCATGACGTCCCTTATCCCACCCCCGCGGACAGGAAAGACCTTGAGAACCTGGTCAAGGACAATTGGCAAATCAAAGTTGTCGACCCAATCGCTTCGTCCGGCCAACAAGCAGGTGACAACTATGGCAATGTCAAGGATTGGATCTTCGACAGGTAAGAGAGTTTTCTCTGATGGTTCTAATGTCCTGATCCCTTCTAACCATGCTCTCAGTTGGACTGAGTCAAGCTTGAAGGCTTTCCTCGACCATCATAACATTCCTGCTCCTGAACCAAGAACAAGAGACTCCTACTTGGCTGCTGCTCGCCAGAACTACGACGCCACAGCCAAGAAGATCGGGGAATACGCTCAGTATCCTGGCGATTGGTTGTATGCAGCATGGTCTGAATCCGACCTGAAGGAATTCCTTGATGCCCGCGGTTATCCTGTTCCACAACCCACCACCCGTGACAAACTCATTGCTCATGTTCGCCGAAATGCACGTCTGTCCTCCATCAACATGTCTGCTGCAGCCGCTGCAGCCAGCTCTTCTTTTTCAAGTGGCTCTTCCGTCGCCAGCAAATCTGCAGCAAGTGCCCAAACTAGCCTTAGCGACGCCCTTTTCAATGCCTGGTCTGATAGCCAATTGAAAGAGTTCCTCGACAAGAACGGTGTACCAGTTCCGCAAGGAAGCAATAAGAACGAATTGATTGCCCTTGCTCGCAAGCACAAAGCTGACCTCGACAGTCAGGCCTCCACCGCTTCCGGCTCTGCTGCTTCCGCTTATGGTGCCGCTACATCCTCTGCTGGCAACCAATTTGCAAAAGCCACGGATGATGCAGGACTGATGGCCGAGGACGCATTCAATAGCGCTGTCAACACCTGGTCCAATTCACGCCTGAAGGCATACCTTGATTCTCGGGGAATCCCAGTTCCTCAAGGGGGCAAGCGCGATGAGCTCCTCAAGCAAGTTCGATTGAACAACCACAAGGCCGCCACTGGATGGTCTGCATGGACTTTCGACACATGGACTGTTGAAAATCTCCAGAAATACCTTGATGCTCATGGCAAGAAGGCCAAGAAGAATGCCAAAGCAAGCCGCGACGATCTGGTGAAGCAGGCACAAGACGCTTATGCTTCGGCCTCCAAGAGCGGCGGTTCCAACTATGCCTCTGCTACCAACTACCTCGCGAAGCAAACGGATGCTGCAAAGGATACCTCCTTCGACACTTGGTCTGACAGCGACTTGAAGTCCTATCTAGACAGTTACGGCATTCCCAACTATCATGGTTCAACCACCAACCAACTTCGTGCCGAGGCCAAGAAGCAAGCCAACTATTTCCGCTATGGTACCTCGACTCCTTCCGGCACGATCTTCGAACGCCTTATGCAAGGCATTCAATACTATCTCGGCCAAGGTCAGAGCTCTGCATCATCAGCCTATCCTTATGCATCGTCGTCTGCAAGTTCTGCTGCAAGCTCTGCTGCCAGCGTCGCCTCCAAGGGTGCATCCAGTGCAAAGGCTGAGTTGTAGCACAGAGGGACTAAGAATAGGTCGAGGACCTTCGAAGAGGAAGTAATTAAAGCAAGATTGCAAGCTCCGAGAGCCTGCGTTGAGGATATCAATATGGGAGGAGCTTGGGCGTGGGCCAGACTACATCAATGATACTACAGTGGAGATAGGCTCCTGATCCTGATTTGTGCGGCTGATGGCTGTGACCATTGAATTCCAGTAAGGGGGATGGTGGATTGTTATGTACCCTTTAGAGCTTACATTAGCTACGATAGCAATGCGTGCAATGAATGAGAACAAAAAATTAGAATTTGGTATATTTTCTAGTTCCATTTTTATCCGGGTTTGTACCTGTGTCGTGGCATGTTAAATCCTGTTCGAAAGGCTAAGCTCGAATGCTAACGAGGATTCGACATATTCGTGATCAATGGAAATCCGTCTTCCGGAACGCCACAAGCTTTCCCACGACCAGATACTGGAAAAGAAGAATTAGCACTCATATCCCCTCAAGGAGAATCATTTGGAAACAGTGATTCGAAGTAGATAAACGACTTAGACAGCCACCGTCTTCAAATGACAGTTGAAATCATGGCAGTCAAAAAGCGGCATGGAGATACTTAGACTCACCTTCTCATCGAACCTCTCGATCCAACCCTGCAGATTCTCCAATTGCTCGGGCTCGAGGTCCTTGCACTCGTCAAGGGGGCCATCGAGGTCCTTGGTCAACATCTCCTCATCGAAGCTCTGGCACGCCAGGCCTCTGGTGGCATCGCGACCTGCGAAGTTCTCGTATGGACCGCCGGGTCCGTAGAAGTTGCGTCCGCTCGTCACGTCGTACACTTTGCCCTTGACCGCCAGGTACACCGGCTGCCCGTCTTTTCCGTTGTTCGGGAGCAAGGTCCGCGGTGTGAAGGTCCGGAAGACTATGGGTGCTGGTGCGTCCGGGATCGCCGGTGGTGCCGCGGGTTGTAGTCGGTAGTACAGGAATGCGGTCAGGATGGCGAGGAGGAAGATGTTTAGTGGTGTGGCGAGTGCGAAGCTGGCGAGATGGGTTGTGGTTAGTGAGGTTGGTCTCTCCTTTACAATGTTTTGCTTGAGAGGGAGAAGTGGGTGGCGGAATTGGGTTGGAAATGGGTGAGTGATGAGGAGGGAACTCGTACAAGGTCTCGCGCATCAGCCTATTATTCTCTTCGATTTCTGTCGCCATATTAGCATCAGCAATCTTGGTCATTGCGCACACAGTCTTGCAGCCGCAGGAAAATGGGGGAGTCGAGCGCCATACCTGGTGGTATTCCGCTCATTGTGAATTTGGGGGGGCTTGTGCCTAGTTCCGTCGAGGTTTGAGCTTTGGGATTTGGGAAGGGCCGCTCTCGATTATTGATTGAGTTGGGATGCTGTCAACGCTGAGATGAGTTCCGTCCTTTGGGAGATAGAACTTCCGATAGACGGACGAGGATGGAAATCGGAAGATGAGATCTCGGGCTGCGGAGGTCGTTTAGCCTCAGTCTCAAGTCACTAATTACGGGGACTGGACTGGACCGGAATGAATCGAATCAGGAGTAATCGATGGGGGTGGGTGAGGTGGGTGCCGTGGGTGCTGTGGGTGCAGTGAGGCACACACACACAGAGTAACGAACGCGGGGCTGGATGACTTTGAGGAAGGAGCTCGGGGATTCGGTGGAGCATTTATGATTTTGGTCTTGCGGGTGACTTGTTGTGTCACATGTGCCTTAGGTAAGCCGAAATTGGCCGAGGATTTCAGCGGAGCAAGAGAATGCTTCTTGATTTCGATTCGGCCTCTATCCACAGGAGAATTTACCTAGACTTGATAGCGTCCTTTATTGATGGATGAAATATCATGTTCAGTAGCCCTGTAGAATATACCTTGAGGGTACATAGGTATCTGGATCATGCTGGGATGCTTATTAATCCCCGCACGTGACGGCGTACACTGACACGCCCATACCTCGCTTCACCCTCGTTCATTCCTCTCTTGCCAAAGACTAGATCGGTCAGAATTCCAATCTTGTGCCTGACTGATAAGATTGCCTCAAATTGGGTCAAAAGGGCACGGAGGAGCATCGTTTTCGCCAACTTAACCCCCTGGGAGTGGAAGCCGATGCATGGTGTGCTGAATGGGTGGTTCAATTGTACACCTCACCATTGTAATCGTCTGGCCAAATATACCAAGAAACAGTCTCTCGCTTAGACGATGGCCGCTTTTCACCATCTTCGATCGTTGATGGGGCTTCCCGATCAAAGCCTTATGTATCAAGCGCGAGGCTGAGCTCAATCAACGCCAAGACGCGGAAGTCCTGCTAGACACGCTCTCCGTATTTCGTATTCGTCAAACCTTCATGATTTCGCGGTTCCGGCGCGATAGAAGCTAAGAAAAAGTTGTCGACATCATTGATCGAGCAATTCTACACACATGCATTGGCCAGTCTCCACAGCCAGCGTCACTGGCATCTAGTATTTCTGTTCATATATCGCCCTTTCATTTCCTATCTCTTGCTAGCCGGGCTTCAATGCGTCACCTCCAGCTTCATCCTCCGTGACATGCGCAAGTCCCTCTTGCGGGTGCTAGCCAGAACACCATCGCTCGCTCACAGGAACATCCATACCCGCCCTTGCTTGAACGCCAGTCCTGAACACCTCTCTGGCGTCGGTGGACACAATGGCCGTCCAACCCCTGATCGTCACCGATACAGCTCTCCCAAGCCCACAAACGGGAGCATTCACCGTCCGCAATTGCCATGGATCGATCGCTCCTCACAGCCACCTACCCCAGACGAGACGACAGACCCGATGACCGCTTCCGAAAGTAGCCACGCACTGTACCCATCAGATCCCGAGATTTGGGCTTCTCAACTTGACCAGTACTTGCCGAAAGAGCTAAGATCACCTGGTAGCCAGATCTCAGGTGTTTGGTTTCAAGATGATGATGATATCAATAACGTAATGACTATCCTCAGCGTTGCTCGGGGCCGCGCCAATGTCGATATACTTGAGTACATGGGTCTCGACCAAGGCAGGTATAAAGCAGTCCTATATTTGGCCGACATGCTTCTCCAACCGCTCGCTGGCTCCGCAGATGATTCCAAAATCAATCAGCTGCCCTCAAACATCCAATGGCCAATATCCTTCACAGGTCCAGAATTTGATCCTGTTCATTTAGAATCCTCATCGTACTCATGGACGAAGAGCACCGCCTGGTGGGAGAAACCGTCCGATGATGCAATAGACCGTCAACACCATGAGAAGGTGATGCAAGTCATCTTGCCTCTCCTTGCCAAGCTCACTGTTGCAGCTTCACAACTCGTCGAGCTCGAAGGAAAGGGTGCCGTCCGTGATCTATCGCAAGTAGAGGCCAAAAGAATCATGCGCACGGTCCATCAAATCGCTGCTCGACTGCACAATCTGGGGCTTGTACCCCTAGAGATGTATCAATATTCGCTGCCCCTGGGAACAACCAATGTCCAACGGCCACCGATTTTGCATCTCCTATCGTCCAGGATATTGTCTACTGTGTCAGACGCTGTTTGGCGTTCACAGCAGGACGAAGCAATTGATCGGGCCGTACAACAGGGCCTGAACTATCAACAAATCTCACAAGATGTACCGGGTGGTCGGTTTCGACTCAAAGTGCGCGAGCTAGGTCCCGAAGTCTGGCTTGAGTTTCTTATGTGGTTCTGTGTGGATGGTGGATATGCTTCCGCTGGGGCTCAAATAATCAGTGTGCTAAGATGCCAGACTGACAGTCCTTGGTACGCGGTCCATTGGTGTTCCAATCATGGGCTTGAAACCGCCGTGCCTCGCGTAGACTGGGATAAAGCTAAGACTCGCCTTGGTGGAACTGCAGGCCGGTTGGAGGGTTATAGTGCGGAGGAGCCCTTTGCGCATATCCCCCGTCAGACCATCAGTGCAGAGGTGGTTCTAGCCCTCGTCGAGTCCCTATTCAACAGCCTCAACACTCAAATAAGTGGCAGTGGCCTGTCTACGCAGAAGTTTCTGAGCTATCTACTGGAGGTACTGTCATTCTTGGAGCCTCATGCACTGGGACCGGAGTATTTCAACTACCTCACAGTCCGCTTTTTGCAAACCGGCAGTGCCTCCAGTGAGGCACCGCCTGATGACTTGCGGAATTGGTACCATGTCATTTCACAGGCCCGATCTCTTGAAACCATCAAGTCCGCCACTGGTCGCACAAGGAGCCTCGATCTCGAAAGGATCGCTGCTCAAACCGAGCTCGACGCTGGAGTTCTGCATCAGGCATTACAGGGATATATCAATCAAAGCAATGCCACCAAGGCCGTCAATTGTTTCACCGATGTTCAACGGCACGTAGATGCAAGCAGACTTGAGTCGATTGGTACTTTTCTCATGTCAGCTCCCCAGGAAAACAATGGTTTCAGCCCAATGAAAGAGGATGATAGAAGCCGTCTAGATTTCCTCAAATCACATGGGCAGTTGCCGACGTATAAGATGGCCGGCTTTCTCAATTTGGTGACAAGAGCACGTCTCTTCGGGTTGGGTCAATGGCTTCTGGATTCAGTTGACGTCGACGGTCCTCTGATACCAGAGTCGTTATACGGCGAGCTGTGTATGACGGTGTCCCTGACTAAGTATGCCGATGCTACAGGAGATGACGATTTGATAAAGCAAGTTGCTGCTGCTCCACGGCGGCTACGCAGAAACGTATCTGTTAACGCTTTGAGAGCTATCACCAATGCGTTGATCAGTGTCTCGGATTGGCCAAATGCATCCCGCTTCCTAACACAATTGAAGGATGCACCCGGTGGTGGATATAGCCCCAAAATCGTGGCTAGGCTTGGAGCCAAGATCATTCAGATTGAGAGTCAACTCAGAAGATTGAAGCAGAACAAAGACCTCTCTGAGGCAAGCGCATTGATGTCCGACATATTAGCAGGGGTGTTTGATGGTCCTCGAGCTGACTTTACCCTCTCGGTGATCAAGACTTTTGACCAGCAAGTCGGCTATCTTTTACGTCTTTTCGAGAATCTACCGTCTGTCAAGGAGCGAGACATAATGTACATCCCAGATGCGGAAATAGGGAAACGTGCTCATCGGCCAGCAAGTCAGTTGACGGCCCTTGCTCATAAGTTCAAGTCAAAGTTCCCTCTTAGCAACGACGCGAACTTGGCTCCAGAAACTTTTAACGAGGTTCTATCCGCGATTGTCCAATTCAGAGGCGCTAAGGAAGGTGTTCGGATGTGGCATCTTTTCTGCAAAGACCCGAGATATTCAGCAGCATCTGAAAAGGCACCGTTGCTGGGCGAATACATTGTCCCTGAGGGCGGAACGACGGAAGGGGAAGACGACCTTGAGTATTCATTGTATGTTTCAAGGTCAGAGGAGCAGATGCCTCCGTTGATGGACGGCCACGTGCCGATAATTTCGGCAGAGCATAAGGAATCAGCGACGATTCCAGTCGTGGGGGAAAGTCCCGATGAGAGTCAGAGTGCAGAGGGCTCGCTCAACCCGATGGTGGTCCCAAATCTGCAAACATTGCACATCATTGTCCGAGGAGCTCTTGCTGAGAAAAGGCATGGACAAGGGTTGATGCTTGAGAAAGAAGCCGACTTGGACTGGGTGTTGAGGTGGGCAACACATTTCTACAAAGCCCTCAACTACTCGAAGGAAGACATTGAAGCCGAAACCCAGCTCCCAGTGTCGCTCAAGGGCGAAAACACCTCCCAGGCACAATTGAAGTGGTTTCTTCAACGGCCGGGACAAGAGGCCGCTCCTAGCATGCAAGAGATGGGCAAACTAGACATCAAAGGCATGTTCAATGCCGCTGCACCACTGACTAGACTTCCCGGTGTCAAGAGGCCCGAGATGGAGAGCAGGCTTTCTGTATGATTAGCATGTTTTACGATGGTTCAAGGATAGCCTGCCGTCATTTGTATCAGACGCGACGGGCTCTGCTTGATGGCGGTCTGCATAGCGATAGAGGTCGAACATATTTGTATCATTACGGAATAAATCCCGTCAAGCAAGGTGACTCGTATGAAAATGCAAAGGAGTCAGGGGCCAATGCCAACCAATCTATCTCTTCCAGATACTCCTCTCAGATCCCTCCAGGGTCTGCGAAACATTTAGTTAAGGTATGACTGAGTGCGACCAATGGACGCAACGCAAACTCCTCACATTGTCGAACTGTAGTCGTTTGGTTAGAAGGGTGCCAATTTGCCAACCCAGCGCCGAATCGTTGAGTCAGCAACTGGGTTCAACTTCCCACACTTGTATGACAAGCTCTTTGAACATGGCAAAGAAACCGGAAGGGATGGAAGAAGGTGGTCCTCGCGGCCCCAAAAAGGCCTCGAGCATCATTCCCACATATGGAGTGAGTAGTGTATAATTACACTCTAACTTGATACACGATCAGCCCCTGACTAAGAATTTTGCCAGCTTACATATATGTACGCACGATCCTGAGCGCCGGCTCCGCTCCCTTTTCTTTTTCAGGTCCTAATCTTTGTTGATGCCCAGGAGCACATCTGCTACAACACTCAGAGGCACTCAAGCTACTTTCTTCGCTGACATCTGCGTCCGTGTGTCCATGGGTTGATCCCCATTTTGACAGATTTCGAAAGATCTGGATTGGGATGAGTGTGTGGGACCAAAGACGCTTGATCCTGTTCCTTTTCATTCCGCAAATCCGAGCGCATTTTCTTGTAGTCATTTCTCACGAGACTGGATGCTTGAGGTAGTCGGTTAAGCAAGGCTTTAGCTAAAAGCTACCTCAGCAAGACGTCGTCCGCCACCTCTATTTTGCAGAGCTATATGATGTGATTCGATTTTTACGTTTTTCTACTTTACCAGCCTTGTGTGGTAAGGTCGACTGAACAAACAAACCACGGACAATCTCGCAGTCGTTGCTTCTGGTGATGAGTCTCAGATTTCGCACCGCCTCCACCATCTCATGATTCCGTTCTCCACGGGGGAGAAATATACTTACATCTATATATACATCTATATATAAAACCACATTATAAGTCATGACAGAGCGAATCCATCTCAGCCAGTCTACAGCACCAGAAAGCGAGATGGTCGTCGTGGAGCAGGACGGACAGCCCGCCCGCCCTACGGTTGTGGAGCATGGCCTTCAACGCCTCCGACATTTTACCTGGGTAAATCAATCCTTACTTCGCGGGGACATACTGTGCTCGTATCAAATGAAATACGTGCTGTTGTTTAGCTAACAGCTCTCTGCCAGGCATGGTTCACATTCCCAATGGCCACGGGCGGTATAGCACTGCTGCTGGCGCCCGACAACCAACCACACACATTCAGAGGGCTAGAGACCATCGGCAAGATGGTGTATGTCTTCGACCTGGTCGTTTTTACCGGCGTCGTGACGGCAATCACGTACCGCTTTGTCCAATGGCCATATACTCTGCGGACTTCGCTGACGCACCCCACGGAGTCACTCTTCTTCGCGGCGAGCCTGATCTCCGTCGCCAGCATCATCGCCGGCATGGCGCACTACGCGATCCCGAGCTGCGGGTACTGGCTCGTCGTCGTCTACCGGGTGCTCTTCTGGATGTACTTCGCGGCGAGCTTCCTCGTCGCCGTGGGCATGTACTGCCTGCTGTTCACGAACCCCCGGCTCAAGATCCAAGACATGACGCCCGCGTGGGACCTGCCCATCTTCCCGTTCATGCTGTGCGGCACGGTGGCCAGCTCCGGGATCGAGCACCAACCAAGAGAATACGCGATGCCGATGCTCTTCGGCGGGCTCACGGCCCAGGGCCTGGGCATGATGGTGTCCATCTGCATGTACGCGAGCTACGTGCGGCGCATGATCAACTACGGCTTCCCTTCGCCCGAGTCCCGCCCGGGCATGTTCATCGCCGTCGGGCCGCCGAGCTTCACGTCCCTCGCCATCATCGGCCTGGCAGACCACTGGCCCAGGGGGTACAACTACTTCGGGCCCGACGAGGTCACCGCACAGGTCGTGCGGGTCATCGCGCTCCTCGCCGCGGTCTTCATCTGGAGCCTCTCGCTCTGGTTTTTCGCCATCGCGGTCGTCAGCTGCCTTGCCGTGTACAAGACCTTCGCGCGCTTCCGCCTCAATTGCTGGGCCTTTGTGTTCCCCAACGTCGGCTTCACCCTCGCCACCATCAACATCGCCCGCTCCCTGCAGAGCCAGGGCGCCATGTGGCTCGGGTCTGTCATGTCCATCGGCCTCGTCGGCGTCTACGTCTTCGTCTTCTTCGCTCACACCAGAGCCCTGCTGGCTCGCCAGATCCTGTATTTCGGAATGGACGAGGACCGCGCCTACAAGCAGGAGCGCCAGGGAAAGGTCGAAAGGGTCGAACAGGTCGAGGCCGCCCGCCTGGTAAACGAGGCCAAGACACGGGCGCGTGCTATGGATAAACAGCACTAATCGTTTCTATTGTTTCCGCCTGCCCTTTGGGAACCTTGGTTTTCAGTAGCCATGAAAATACTAGGATTGCGCTGCTGGGCCGCCTACATATATCATGGCGTGAAGCGTTCTTGGACTAGCGAGGCGTCAGGGGTGACGGGTCTGAACGGACAACGTCTATATAAATATGACATTCAACACACATGTTTACTTAGGTATCTCGGTATATAGTAGTCCATGTGGAAAAGCTCTGCCGCATAGATCAGACGCTGGGTCACACATGTACATGCATAAGTTCTTGATCTTCATTGGGACTTTTTGCTAGCTTTTCCTGAATGTTCCTCAGGATGTCCACCGCGAGGAGCCTCACTACGTCGGTAAGTTAGGCACTCGGTTTTGGCTACAAATGATAATATACAAGCCCCACGGCCCTCACCACCAATTCCATATAGTCGTCCAGTCCCATCCCAATCCCCCTTAGCATTGTCCGGTTCATCTATACCTAGGGACCCAAGCATATACCGCACCCAGTTACATCCAAAGCACAGTGGGAACAATGTCAACAAGAAGGCTTAAGCTCCGCGACTCCTGGTTCTTGAACCGATACCCTCAGTGGAACGGGGAGTAGGCTCCTTCTTTGCCTTGGGAAGAGCACCGTCGGCCTTCTTGGGCCGGCCACGTTTACCTTTCTCGACGATGGGCTCTTCAGCTTTCTTTTCTTCTTTGGCCTCCTTCTTCTGCTTCTTGTTGTTGTCTTTGGCCTTGACGGTCTTCCCGTCGGCATTCTCCTCTAGTGGCTTGTCTGCCCTGTCTTCTGGCTTGTCTGCTTTATCTGAGTCTTTCTCTGTCTCGTCATGCTTTCTCTTGTCGCCGGCATTGCTTTCGGTCTTCGGTTCTTGCTTCCCGTCAGTCCCGGAGGAACCGTTGGCTTTCTCGACGACGTTGAGCTCGGACGCTTTCTTCACAACATCGTTGCCGGATCGTTCGACATGGACGGCTGGATTACTGGGTTCAGCATTCTTCTTGACCTTGTTGCCGCGCTTTGAAGTGATGGCAATGTCGCCTTCAGTTTTGGTTTCGGCAACGGTACCACCGGGCTGGCCGCTTCCCCAGTTCCACGTGACTGGATGGGGTTGCTTGTCAGCGCTCGGTCTACGACTGCTGTCCAAGCTGTTGATGCAACCCAAAGGGACACCATGAAGCTTGCAAAACAAAAGGGAAGGGCATAGTATGTCTGAACACTGTACAACGAGGGAAAAAAATACCAAGGGTGCAATCTCGTAGAAGTATGGCTTACCTTTGTCTCCCTTCTCAGGTTCCTCAGAAGGCATGGTGAGCTGGTGACGTCAGAAATACAACGGTATTGAGCGTATGAGGTGGCGATGAGGAGGGAGAAAACCAATCAGTAACGTTGGTCGCGATAGCTCCGCGACTTGAATCCAGGCGTTATAAGGATGAAATGGAATAGTATATGGGTGAGAGAGGGGTGGAAGGAAAGAAGAGAAATGGGAGAGGGAAAGGGAGTGACTACCTTCAGGCTAGGTGAGGTGAACTTGCGACAGCCCGAAGGTGCGCTTGGGTGGGAGGGGGAGGGTGGCATGTACGACCCAGGCTCAGGCTCAGGCTCAGGCTCAGGCTCAGGCTGGCTGGGAGACTTGGGTTTTGCGTGGCAGGACCCCAAGAAGCACAATAAACATTATTACGAGTAACTAACTCGGGTCTCGCGAGGCGTTGGCGAAGGACGAGGACGGAGTCTTCGATAGAGCACAGCACAGAACGGCAGCAGAGTGCATCCGCGCTTGCGTTGCTGTGGAAGGGGACATGGAACAGGCTTGCGATCTCATCATTTAGGGGGGTCCAGTAGGGGACGAGGGGGACAACGGGTAACGGACGAGGAGGACGAGGGCCGGGGGCGCAGGGGTGAGAGGTTCTGAGTTGGCGGAAAGGCAAGCCCCTCGAGCCTAGAACCCCCCTAAGACGCTCCTTTATGCCTTTAGCTCCAGGCCCTGTCGTCAACAACTCTGCCAAATAATCCACCTTGAAGCCAACCAGGGGCGAAGTGAATCGTTGTTAGGCGTGGAGCTTCAATAGTCAGTCCAGGGCATTCACTTCCATTTCGAGCCTGGAGGCTGCTCCAGGATCCGGGGAGTCAGGCCCCGTGCAGGGACAATATGGGAAAGTGACATGCTCAGTTTGGTTCGAGCGATCCAGATCCAAGAGTCTTGGTATCCACAGGGCTTGACCGACCCCAGACGGTTTCTGTTGGAGTTGAACATACCCTTTCATTACCATGGCAACAATCTGACATGCAATAGTACAGTATCAGTAATCAGATGGACTTCGATGTCCTCTAGATTTATGCAATAATGATAGATTGTGTCACGCAATGCCCACCAATGATGTCTGTCACACTTATGAATATGCCCACTATTGGAATTGGTGAAGAGAACCCGTGCGAGTTTCATTGTTACCATTCATTTGCATTATTGTATCAACTAAATCTCCCGAAAGTGTCCGCGGTTGACGGTGCAATCTGCATAAATCAATTAGGACCCCCTGCAACGGCACTGCGGCCATCATTCCCTCCTAAACCTTCCTCATCACCAGGCTCCCGGTAGGTACCCTGCTTCGCTGTAGCGCCGCGAGTGCGCTCTCCGAGGATGTTATTCTGATCAATGGCATCCTGATCATCGCGCGCTATACAAGATGAATCAATGCAACGCAGCCCGCATCTAGATCATATAACACATACCTAACTGCTCGTCTGAGTCAGCTGTGTTCGCCTCGATAGGATCTTCAATCTTGGAATCGTCGCCAACAACAGGGATATGGCTTTGGCCAGTTCTTGACTTATAATCATTCTGGGTGGTATCGGCAGTATGAGAGGCTTCCACGCCCTCAGTGCCTGGTTGATAATCGTCGTTGGGAGTTGACATATTGGACTGGTGAACTATATTCTGTTCTTGACTTGAAAAAATTGAGATGGTCGACTGTGAAGTTTAGATAGACTGACAGAAACTCAGACTTGACAGAGAGCTCTTCACAGGATTATATACCCAAGCACCACCGTGGCATTGAAATCGACATTGAATGGCCTCACCTTTTGGCATGAATCTCCTGGAGGCCGGTGAGCAAAACCACCTCGTGACATCACTATCGATAGCCACAATGTCTCTCGACGCTGGAAGAACCAAAAATCATTGCTCATTGAGGTCATTCCTGATGGTACATCTGCCATATGACGAAAGTTCCGGATGATAGCTCATTGTCACATCTTACATTCTGTCGAGCCAAAACAATCGTTCAACCCTACCAGACGGAGAGAAGCTCCTGAGTGGATCCCCGGGACGATTATCGATGCAAGGTACACTCGAATTGGAAATCATGCTGTTGCCGTTCTACCAAGGAGTTTTCTGAAACAAGGCCATGGGAAGTGCCAGCGGGGCATCGCTGCAGCCAGCGACCGAATCGACGACGTCAGCATTCAACCTAGTCTTTGATGGCTCAGGAGTCAAGAGCACGCGGCGTAGAAGATCGATCTAGCATCAGATCTCTTCATTTCTGCAGACACTTTAGATCTCGAAATATCAAAGTGTCAACGCTGCCAGGTGTATGTTCGGAGGTGTCGCCCGTACCATCGGGACCGATTTGTGGTGGATCTAGAAGTGTCGTTACTGTGGGCCAAGTGCTAATGCACACGAACTGAATGCTTCATATGGGTAGCCAGCGTTCGAACTTGCATATGTATGATGCTTTCATATTCAATGCAAAAGTCGTCATATGTCTGTGTTGATTTTCTGGGCGTCATACCTGGAATACTCCGTACTTTTGAATGCAACGAAGCTGTGGTACTCCGTACGAGGTCAATCACGAGAATGGCGGCGTTTTCGTCTTGACACGGTTGAGAGGGGAACGTGATCACATGATTTGGTGGCTTAGCGCGGTTTGCTGATCGCGACTCGCGTAATGGCGCAAGCAATCTGAAAACCTCAACCTTCAGACGACGTCTACCACGTCGAGGCGTTCGTGGCGCAAAACATGGACATGCATGTAGCCCTTGAACCGGCCTGGAACTGATGCTTCGAATATTTCATAAGTGAACTTCGCACAATGGCACAAGATTGCGCCAACCCGCTGTTGGCTACATGGCTGAAAGAGTGGATGGACCAGGCCAAAGAACGAAATACAAAGGGCTATACAGTGTGAGAAGATATGGTCCCCATGTAAAACCTTGCTGACAAGGGCAGTTACAAAAAGGCGTATCAGTCTATAATTGCGTGTCCTCTACGTTTCCAACATCCCTCTGAAGCTCAACAACTCAGCGGCCTCGGGCCCAAGTTGTGTGACCGTCTTACCGATAATCTCAAGAAATTCTGTGAAGAAAATGGCCTTCCAATGCCCTCCAAAGGGAGGAAGAGGAAGAGACCGTCTGAGGCGTTGACTTCAGAGCCCACAGAGCCAGAACAAATCTCTCCTGTTCGGAAGCCGAGGAAGGCTCAAAATTATGTTCCAAAATTGAGATCTGGTGCATATGCACTAGTCATGGCCCTCGCCACCTTAGACCAGGAAGCAAATGAGGCCATACCAAGGGATCGGCTGATTGAACTTGCGCAGCCCTTATGTGATGCTAGTTTCACGGCTCCCAGTGATCCTACAAAATTCTTCACTGCATGGAATTCAATAAAAACATTAGAGAGTAAGGAGCTGGTCTGTACGAAAGGCCATCCTGTCAAGAAGTACTATCTCTCAGATGACGGGTGGGAAGTTGCGCTTCGTATGCAAGCAGCACAGAACGGACAACCGCTTTCTCCTGCGGCCGAAAAGAAGAAGAAGAATGCCGCAGTCCGTGATCCATCTCTAGTTAGAGATTCATCTCCGAAACTTAATCTGAGGCGGCCACCTCTAGCTGTGCCATCCTCGGCACAGGCTAGTCTTGTAAAGTCGAGGACCGCTTCTGATGTGGTGGATCTACTATCCAGCTCTGATTCGGAGCCTCCAAGGGAGAGGCCTGTACTGCACGATGCAGTACTAGATACTCAGCATCTTCTTCGACGTCCATCCCTCTCTTGGACTTTTGACGATTTCATAGTTCTACCGCCAGGAAGCTTTGAGGTCAAAATGGTTCTAGACATGCGTGAAGTTCGTACAACCACCGACCGCGATTACATCTCCGCTGAGCTGAAAAAGCTAGGCGTCGTCCCCATCATCCGCTCTCTACCTCTTGGTGATATTCTGTGGGTTGCAGTTGTAAGTTCCCAATACTCTGACCAGCTTAAAGCCGCCAATATAGCCGATGATGAGGAGGGCAATCTTGAAATCGTGCTTGAGCATATCATGGAACGAAAACGCCTTGATGATCTTATCTACAGCATCAAAGATGGTAGATTCCACGAGCAGAAATTTCGGTTATCCAAGTCTGGAATCAAGTATGTCACATATCTCATTGAGGAATACTCGCTGTCGGCTGAGAGAAGTGACAAATATGGAGAAGCCTTGGAAAGTGCCATTGCCAGTATGCAGGTTGTCAATGGCTACTTCGTTAAGCAAACAGCCAAACTTGATGACACAATTCAATACCTCTCACGAATGACTAAGACGCTTAAATCAATGTACGAAAAGAAGGATGTCTACGTCGTTCCATGCCAGGCTCTTGAAGTAGAGGCTGTCTCGATGATGCTCGAGCGTGTCCGGACACTCGCTCCTGAAAGAATCATTGGGATGACTTTCCCTGTATTTGGCGCCATGTGCGACAAATCGGACAGCATGACGTTACGAGATGTGTTTTTGAAGATGTTGATGACCACACGGGGAGTGACGGGCGAGAAAGCTGTTGAAATCCAAAAGATCTGGCCGACTCCTCGTGCCTTCACGGAAGCATATTCTGGCCTAGATCGTGGCCCTGCTCGAGACAATATGGTCAGTGACCGACTTGGCAATGCGATTCCGCGGAAGAAGATTGCCAAAACACTCAGTGCGAAGATTGCTGAGGTGTGGGGATGAACCAAGCAGGGCCGACAGATTGCAGGGTCCATCCACCTTTAGAGAGCTGACTCGTTACTCAAGAGAAGCAACTTTACGATTTGTAATGATTTTACGAGAGCATACATGAGCGGCCTTGCAAATTATGCGAGTACCTTTCTGCGTACAGTCTTAGAGCACATTGTTTTCTTAATGCTGCTCTGAGCCTAGCATAGAGCTTCTAGAAAGCTTTTGAAACCAATATGGGATATTTAATTGGCGTATTTTCGACCCTGTGGCATAAGCCTTAAGGTTAGAGCTCATGAATTAGGAGCATTTGTTCGAGCTACCAATCTCTAAGCTCGCGGACTTCTATCGAACACAGCCTGACGAACCAATGGTATCGATCGATCCTCAAACAACTGGTATCCCGTTTTTAAGCATCATTGCCTCAGCCGCGTTCCACCTTATCTTGTCTCTTTGAAAACCGATTGTAGATATATCTCCTCGAAGACAGTTCGCACTGGACCACTTGACTAGCTCCGCTTCTTTCCACGCGCTGTGCTGGACAGATATGGAAACCGGCATGCCGTTATCGTCCAGACCGATAGGGATACAGATAACAGGGTATCCAGCTTGCGCGGCGTACTGCTGACCCACCCCCTTTCGGTCGCAGAACATCAATGCATCGTACCCTGATAGTGCGGCGTCAAGACCATTCTCACGTGTCTGTTTGTGGATATGTGCTAGGGCGGAATGGTAGGTCTCGTCTTTGAGCCCGTGCGATTGGATGATTTTAAGGAGGTTGTCCTGGCCGCTTGGGAAGGCCGGGAGGGTATTCGGGGAGGGCCCTTCGGTGCCTGCGTTATTGGAGTTGTAAGATGCTATTGCCTCGACTGAATTGATGGACGTGTTAGATAACTTGCTGTGGTAGGAGTTGATGCCGTTATAGGCATCCACTTTTGCTACTGTCCAGTCTGACGTGTCTGGTAGGCCGTATTCCCTGTCCCAGTGTCCTAGGGAGTTCCACGTCTATGATTTCTGCACCAGCTTCCTCGAGTGCTTCGAAGAGTTCCAAGGCCACGAACTTGCAGCACTGAGGTGTGAGCTTCCAGCACTTCTTGTAAGGACGTCCAAATCGAGCACCCTTCAGCACATCAGATGTCGACAGGAAGCGCGAATACGGGCTGTTTTGTCTCCTGTCCGGGGATTGTGTAAACGGGTCCTCCGGATCAGCTCCACAGATAGCATCCAGTCCAGCAGCAGCGTCAGCAACGGTCCTTCCAAAGCTGCCCACTGAGCCCATATTCTCGCTGATGGGGATAACACCCGTGCGCGAAGTCAAGCCAACGGTTGGCTTGATACCAACAACACCATTGATGCTGGCAGGGCCGATTATGGACGTGTCTGTCTCGGTACCAAATGCTAGGGGAAGCAGGTTTGCAGCAACGGCGACAGCAGACCCGGAGCTAGAACCGAAAGGACCCTTCCGGAGGTCGTATGGGTTTCTCGTTTGACCTCCACGTGGGCTGTAGCCTGTCGAGTATAACTTGGACCTACAAGACGCCCATTCGCTCATATTAGCATGGCCAATGATAACTGCGCCTGCCTTGCGAAGCATCGACGCCGTGAAAGCGTCATTAGGGACAACGTTTCCGAGCAATGCCTATGAACCGGCTGTGGTCTGTATCGCATCCTTTGTAGCCATGTTTGTCTTTCAGAAGAACAGGTACACCATGTAGAGAACCAAGAGGTCTCCCGGACACCCGTTCATCGTCTAACGCCTTCGCTATCGTTAGCGCATCAGGATTGATCTTGATGACAGCCTCGAGGTAAGGGTTCAGTACTGATATTCGACGAATGCAAAACTCAGTATATTCAACAATCGAGAAGACCTGACGCTCAAAACTTTGAGCAAGATCGCTTACAGTGATCTCGAAGATATCATGAGTTCTGAGCGAGTCTACGCGTAGATATTCAGGTACGTGCTGCTGACCTGCCGGGCTATTTGTCAGTTGTCTCCTGTGATTCGTTGCAGGCCTGCCTCCGAACCGCCACGAGATAATACTATTCATTCTTGAGATCTGAGGCCCCATCCGCTTCAGCCTGGCTCGTCTGTTTCAAGTCGCAGTAAGGCGAATTGGCAAGGCTCCCTCGTCAGTGAGTTCAAGATTCACCTCGGCTCAGATTTCGCTTGACATAATTTGCAAAGGTCATGGGTCAATGTCGCACGACGGATGCAATATCGACGTCTGGCCTACAGGTCGCCCAAGTGGGAGGAGCCGCCGGATTGGCTTCCTGGCTGCTCGGGTGAACAATTTCTAGCGATTCAGCAAGCACTAGGCTATCGCAGTTGCCTTTTTGGAAGATGACCCCTTCCTCAAGAGAACTGTTCACCCCCGATACCTCGTATAGGGTACTTGACCACCAAATATAGCTCGTACAGAGAAATGTGATGATGGAGGGAGGCTGGGGTTGGCGCCTGGAGCTATGTCATAGCGGCGTTTGCAATGTTTATTGCTGTGTGGGGTAAGCATTGCTGTATAGTGGCTGACGAGGTATTAAACTGACAATGATTGTTCCCTTACTCCTTCCCCATCTTTCAAACGTATCTGTCAAATGGACCGAAATCGCCAGATACGGATTCAATAGCGATTAGACTACTCGCGCCTGGTCTACAAGACATCCAAGAAGGACTATTGTTTCCACTGCTGCCAAGTTCCAGTCGTTATCGAACTGGCTTTGTCCTCCTTGGGATCACGATCATCACTATCTCCCTTGTCCTAGCGAGCTATGCGTCTGCTGTGTGGTAGATTGTTGTCACACAAGGAGTAACATGTGGTCTAGGTGGCATATTGATGAATTCTGTTCACGTTTCCGTTTTCTCAGAATGGTTCGACAAGCAGAAAGAGAAGGCCATGGGTATCATTTGGACCGGATGGCGCCTTGGAGCCCTCACATTCCCTCTGATTCGTCAATGGCTGCTCGAGGAACACGGATTCGCAAAGACACTCCACGTTCTAATTCCTCCAATGTTGACTCTACTAACACCAGCCGTTAACGATACTAATCCGTGGGCGGTATCATTCGACTGCAGTGTCTGTACAGCCTCAACCGCGTACTGTCTCGAAACTGGAAGCCATGCGAGCACCTTCCATATTGTATTATCTCATAGCGACAAACCTATCGTTTCTCGTCATCAATGTGCCGAAAATGTTCATTGCGACCTTTGCGGCTGACTTGGGCCTGAGTGGAAGAGTTCAAGCCTGGGCGCTGGTTACACTTGTTTTGAGCGAAATGTTGGGAACATATTTGTTTGGCTGGCTGAGTGACACACACCATCACGGGTAGATTATGGGGTGGCTGGCCGTTGCAACATCCATATCGCATCTTTTTGGGTTCGGACTAGCAAAATCGACAGCTGGCATAATTCTGTATGGTGTGGCAGTTGGCAGTACCAGTGGAGGTATGCAATATGCTTGGGCTCCTTTTCATCAAGCTAACACGCCGGCCTAGGATTTAGCAACTGCCTCTTCACGTTCTATAGCGAGGCAGCAAAAGGTAATGGCGAGCTGTTCACCGCCATCCATGATTTGTTCAGCTTCTTTCGTGGTTTGTCCATACTGTCTGTCGGTCCTGTCGGTGCAGAACTACTAATAAGGCGCCGGAGATTGATACTAATGCATTCGCCGTTGCGAGATATCAGGTAAGCACTGTACTCCCTAGCTGTGCTATTCTCAATGACAGGAATTTAGTATCTCCTTATCTATGCGACCACTCTAAGCTTCGTCGGTGGGCTATTAATACTGTCAAAGACGTATTGGAGAAACACTGGATCGAGAGGCACTGCAGGACAAATTTGACGCGTATTACATTGTGAGCGGGTTCCGATCAAGGTCGATTGACCATCCACAGTCCCTCATCTACTCAGATTAGTAATTAATTACCTGTTAGGAGATGCGCAGAATTAAACCCTCGTGATGAATTCGAGCCCTCAATACTTGACCCGCAATTGCAGACCGCAACTTTCTCCAGGCTTGCCCAGGAATTGAATGGTTAAAAGGAACAGACACATGCTTGGCTGAAATGTCAAACCCAGCCTCAAACCTTTCGCTCAAGCTCTGCACGCCTCTAAGTAGTAACGGTGGCTGCTTTTCCGCGAAGTCTAAGAATACCTGTATCATGCTGTTCGCTGAGTTCTCAGCCTCGATGCCTCGTATTCATACCACCAATCTCCTGACACAAAAGTCAGGAGCTAATTCTGGTCAAAACGCTTTTAGATGAACACATCAATTTATGCTGGCTAGGCGCCGAAGGCAGCCATGGTCGCGCTGCATGAAACTGCAACACCAGCTACCAGCAATACCGCTTCATTTCTTACCAGGGGGTTGTTTCTCGGTGCGAGATTGTCAGCCTTACAAAAGATGTCGCTTTGCCCTACTCTCACTGACGCTGTTAATGAGTTGTGCTCACACTGACGCGTATGCATGAATAATGCTCATAGTTTCGACATCGACACTGTGAGCCTCCGATCATTATTGCAGAACGCCCGAACTCCCCCCAGTTCCGCACGTTCTAGCTTCCAGTATTCTTCGCTCAGCCGCCACGAATGTAAAGTTTCAATTTATGATCAGCACGAGGGCATACCACAGGAAGCCGCCTCGGACTTTGACCCTCAGGAGAAATACACAGCAACATACAGACTGCCTCAGGCTCCTCCGTCGGTGGACCTACCGCATGATCTAAGCCAACATCTTGATGAGCGTGATCCAACTAGAACCAGATGGATCAACGTAGAGGGTTGGTCTCCCGGACTAGTTGATGATATCACCAATTGATTCCTCGAAAACCATGGCTGCTTGGACTTGGAGGATCTTGGACTACAGACTCTTGGAGGTCCCATTCACTGTAAAGACGGCAGTAGCTTCGTCTGGGTCCAAACTTCATTGTGGTATGCAGGTCCTCGATCGACGAATTGGTCTTCTGTCCGACAATGCCGTCTGCGCATAGTGATATGTCTGCCTACTGAAGGGAAAGCCGGAACAGTCATTACGAACCTTCTCGGTCGACCGAAACTAGCGGAGGAAGTCGGCCAGGCGTATACTCTTGGCTCACTGAGCAGACATGCCCTGGGAACCGAAACCCTGAGGTGTGTATGGATTCTCGCGTCTTCCATTTTACGCCTCACAGCAGAGCAGCTTGATTTAGCATTTCATGTTTTCGATCCTCTAGAAGGGGCAGATTGCAACGCCCCATAGATGAACGACTTGGATCAACTACAGGAAAGTGCAAATGATCTAGCAAGGGTCGATAGGTATGTACCGTCCCTTGGCGAAATTGCTTCATTCTTCAACGCAGTGCGGATTTATCAGGAAGGCGACCCTTCTATCCATCGGGAACCTGGGGGTCCAAAGGCAACATCTTATTCAACGATATCCTCTCGTTCTCAGCTAGAGTCTTCGCTTGCGAGAGAAGATAAAGTACACGCAGTAGATCTGCAAAACATACATCAAACAGTACGAAAGCAGAGTGAAATTAGTAAGTCTTAAATTTCAGCAAGGAGCCATGATCGTCACTAACCTCCGAACTTAGATACTTTCAGATAGTACAGCCCAGATCTTCCAGAGAATGGATAGTGGACCGCAACTTGGTGAGCGACTGGCTACCATCGGCCTCGTCCTAGCTGCAGTATCCTTCCTTTCCACTCCGTTCGTCATGGTCACAGGCTATTTCGGTATGAATGAAAGAGAATTAATTGAAGAAACGACGCCGATAATGTTCGACTCTTGGCAGACATCCTTACCGTTCATGGCTGTTTCCATCGGTTTGCTCAGTATTATCTTTCTACGGCTTATATCAATGAATCAAATGCTGCTGTCACTTTCCTCTAATCGCGGCGTCAAGTGATGAGAAGTTATATAGGTCCTAATGAAGCCAACTTCTTAGCAACAGCGTGTGGGTTGAGACAAGCTTCATGCACCGACTGCACCTAGTACTTGGGACACGGCGAGCCGCCCAACGCGAGAATATGGCTCCTGCAGATAACTCTTTTATCTGCAAGTTCGAAGGAACGACCCTGGTTAGTCCTCACGCGAATCTTCGTTAAGTATTTATCTACTCTGTCTATATTTCTCTTTCTGATATCTGATACTTATCGTGCTTCCGTAAGTTTGCACTTTTGTGAAGCCTCGGTGCCATGTCTAAAAGCGATACCGCTTCCATGTTCTGACATGTTGAGATTGCCTCCTGATTACCGGGATTGAGGCAAACGGAAGTAGTGGCTGGGGCGAATATCGATCGCAACCGTCCGTAAGTAAACATAGCCGCGAATTGTCAGGGAGCGGTGTCTCATGGCGAGCGGCAATCGCTGGCATGTCAGAATCAAGTGTCAGGGTTGTCAGAATGGGTCGGTTAGGCGCAACCTAGATTTACAACCGAGAATTCCACTCCCGACATCCCGTCCAACCATTTAACGCGAATCTGGTCAACTGCTCTTCCTCCAGAGCTTGGTCCCTGTACTAGGGAATCTGGAGCGGGTTCTGCCAAACCTGGATTCGTCGCTCATGCCACGTTTTCTGTATGCCTCCGTACATCGGTGTTCTTGATTTGCCCCCCCCCCCCCATGAGACGACGCTCCCCACCAAAATCCAGCCGTCTGGGGCATTCATATATCCGGGGTAAACGTTGACCAAACAGATTGAAGCATGCTCTACTGCGACAAAGATATATAAAGTCAGGCCTAGCGTTGACTGTCGAGCTTCTGCTATGCTACTTGTTGGTATCGACCTCGTCAGCATAGACTATTGAGCTTGCCTTGGGGAAAACCTTCTACAAACATGGTCAGCCTAACAAAATACAACATCGCCATCTGTCTCGTTGTCGCCTGGGGCGGTTTCAGTTATGGCTTTGGCTTCGCAATATTTGTTACGAGTATTGGCCAGCCAGGGTTCTACCAGTACTTCAACCTTGATCGTGAGTGTACTATCCTACATTTAAGCCTCCCCTAATGAAATTCGACCAGCAACGACGGATTACACAGCCAAGTATGTTTCGAAGTACGATTTCGATTCCTGTGCTGATGTTCAAACAGTATCCTTGGGGCAATTAATGCCTTATTCAACTTCGGGCTAGCAGTCGGTGCCATTGCACAAGGGTGGTTGGCTGATGTTCTGGGAAGGAAAAGAGCATTCATATTGGCAGCGGTCTGTTCCCTGGTGGGGGCTGCTCTGATTGCTGGGTCAGTCGCCATTGGTATGATAATAACGGTTCGATTGCTGCACGGATTTGGTCTAGGCATGTTGATATGCCTTGTGCCGCTCTACCTGACCGAGGTTGCCCCTCCGCATCGTCGTGGGTTGTTATCAGGACTCACTACCTTGAGTTTTGGAATGGGCTATGTCACGTAAGATACTGGATCAGCCTTTCCTTTGACTCACAATAATTGGTTTGCTACCTAGGTGCGCATGGCTATCGATCGGCACTTACTATGCCACCGACCTTACTGTACAATGGAGAGTTCCACTAGCTCTGGCCTGCGTCGGACCTCTTGCTCTTCTGATAGGACTACCATTTGTTCCCGGTACGCGAGAGGTAGACCTACCATCAAGTCAGTCACGCTAAAGTTGCCTAGAATCTCCACGTTACCTCTCATTGAAAGGTCGAAATAGCGAGGCCTGGGAAGTTGTTCAGAAGCTTCACCACGATCCATCCGACCCAGAGGATTCCGCAGCGCATGCAGAATTCACCCAAATCGTGCGACAAGTCGAGTTTGACAAAGAGCAGAAATCTGGGTATATTGATATCTTCAGGAAGCCATCATGGAGAAAAAGAGCCTTGCTTGCAATGTTTCTTCAGTAAGTCGAGAGGTTCGATTTATGAAATAATGTTCTTTGCTGACATCGTCGTTCAGATTTGCAGCCCAATCTACAGGAGTGAGTTCTAACTGTCACAGTGGAACATTGAAGATTAACCATGAATTAGATTCTTGGTATTGCGAACTTCTTGATTCTCATTTTCACAAGCTTGGGCATGACAGGCGTCATGCCGCTACTACTCTATGGTAAGTTCAGCTACCGTCACAGATTCCTCACACTATAGCTAAGACCTTCCGCTTTCTTACAGCTGTCTACTCTACAATTGGAACGATCTGCGTTCTTATTGCAATTTTGACCGTCGACAAGATGGGTCGCCGAACAATGTTCCGTGAGTATTAAGCAATACCCTTCCAGGCAGATGTGTACTAACTGTCTTGTCTCAGTGGTCGGGTTTCCACTGCTTGCTCTCTGTCTCCTCCTTGAAGGTGTTCTACAGGCCAAATATTTAGGGACTGATAACAAGGCTGGACTGGCAGCTTGCGTCGCTGTTATCTATCTCTACATCGTTTGTTTCCAACTTGTAGACGGCCCAGCCTTTATTTGGGTTTCAGAGATCTTCCCAACCACGATTCGTGCCAAGGGGAACAGTCTTGGATTCTTCAGCTACTTCGTCGGTGCCATCACCTACACCACACCGTCTGCACTTGCCTTCAAGAATATGTAAGCTCTCTCTCACTCTCAATAACGGCCAGCGCCATGTCACTTGCTAACAAAAGCAGTAAATACGGCATGTACTTTCTATACATGGGCCTGTGCATCATCTCCACTGTCGTGGTCTACTTTTACATTCCCGAAACCAAGCAAATCCCCATTGAGGAGATTGGAGCCTTATTCGGAGACGAAGTTGTCGTTCATCTGACTGCCGATGGTCATGGTATTGTCGAAGAGGGTAAGGAGGTTAAAGTTGAGGGGAGTGCCACCTTTATTCACTCAGAGAAAGCCTAGATAATCGAGAACGGTCAATGAAGATTTACCTGAGAGAAGAATGAAGCACACCAGTCTCGGAATTTAAGCTACTCGATCGTAGACCATTTAGCTATACTTTATTTGAAACCAAAGGTGGCAAATAAATTGAATTCATGTTAGCAGGGACTTTCAAGGGAGTCAGTGAAGGAGAACAGCATGTAGCAACCTGTGAGGCAACAAAGATTTACGCCATTAAAATCACGATACATTTCTATAAAATAATACCACTATACAGTCTGACGATTCCCCGGACCGTCTTAGCAATGCTCATATCCTCCGTCAACAATCACAAGTGAGCTCATTCACTCGCTCACTTACTAGCCCTACCTGTCAGTATGAGGCCCTCACAACTTAGAGGTATTCTACCTACACGTCGATAATGTAGATAACCCCTCCGGCGAAAAGCCGTCTGGGTGACTCAACGGTCCAGGCACTATTCACGAACGCATAGCGGCTTGACGGAAATATCGAAACCTCGGATCCTTTGTTGAAGCTAGGACCCACTTCATAGGCCTCATCATCGTATTAAGTCTACTCAAGGCGACTCTCATCGCTTTGTTTCCAATGTTGAGGCGAGTGAGGCGACTAGTACTGAAGATCGCAAGGTGAAGTAAGGTGGATGATCCTTTCCTTCTTACGAACATTGGAAGTTCAATTCATGTAGATTATATCAAGGTGTAGACTCGTCGAGTCTTCCACCTTAAAAGTCAGAGCACTCAATAATCATTGATTTGACACTTCCAAGACACAATAAAATGTGCAATAAGGGTTGCAATATCGCTTAATGAGTGATCGGCCAGTACTCATTGACTGTCCGCGAGACTAATCCACTTTATTATCGATTTAATCATTGATCAGTAGTCCAAAAACTAGGAAGAATTCCGAAGTCGTGGTGTCTCGTCCACAATCGGAACGTTATTAATCTTTTCACCGTTCTTGTAGTTGCTGTAGAACTCCTTGATGGCATCGACGTCCGACTTCTGAATAGCTGGAGGGTAGCTATAGCTCATCACCGAATCGGCATTGCTCTGGCCAAATTGGACAGCAGGCGGTCTTTCGCTTTTGGTGATGGCAAATTCATGCCTGAGGCCGAGGATGTGGCCAAGCTCGTGGAGTAGCACCTTTACTGTGCCTGGTCGATTCTGCGTTTGCAAAGCGTACGAGTAGGCGTCGATGTTCTTCTTCTTCCTGTCTTCATTGGGGAAGAAGGCAGTAGCCCAAAGGCCAGGGGCTGATGTTGGAGATGATCATCCGTATGTTACGTTGAAGTGGGCGTCGGTCTTGTTGGAGGTTGCTGCAAAAGAAACCCCAAAAGCAAGGCTTTTCCATCTGGCGGTAGCCTCATGAACCGCCTGTGTGGTGAAATCTGCATCAGCCTTGGAAAGGAACGCTGGAGCATCGACAAAGTACAAGAGCCTGGTTATTTTTGGATGGGAGACTACCCACCGCGGGATGACAGCGCCCCAGCCAACGAGGGCAGGCTGATCATCGTCTTCTTCATCGTCTCCGGGTTTCTGAGACATTGGGGCAATTCCGAATGTTGGGCCGACTTGAGTACGGCAGACAAAGGACGTGTTATATTCGGGGTTGCTTGCCGCGTAGGACACCATGGCTCAACTGCGAAATTCAACTTTGGTCAACAGACGGCAAATTCGGAGACTGCAAACATCGCCAGTCTCTATTGATGCTTTTTATCCATTGCGGCCTCCGAGATTATATGGTGTGATCTTTCTCTCGCACGGCAAACTTTGATGGTTGGTGATTCAACGAGGCTGAAAGATGAAATGTAGTGTTAACTATCTCGTCTACGTGTTCAGTCCCGTATGGTCCGATCCAGCTAATTAGCTGCAGAGCCTAGACTTCAGTATTTGCCATATCCGATAGATTGCAGGGGACCAAACAGCTCTGTGCCGCCCTGCGCACAGTGGATTCGTGGTTAGTGATGCCAAGCGATTGTAAAGACCGTGGTTTATTACATCGCTTCGACGCATCCGAACTAGCTCCGAGAGCTATTCGAACGCTATCCGAGGCGACCCCGAGAGCGCCCAGGCGCTAGCCTAGTACGTACTTTGGATACTATATAGTCTGACGAGTCCCTCGGACCGTCTTAGGAATAACCAGTCCCCTTCCCATCACAGATTAGCTATGATACGCGCATATGGCTTATCTTAACCGGAAAGTACCACATAACGTCGGAATTAACTCTATGCGAACCCAGTGTCCCGTGAGGTCCTGATGGTGGAGGATTTCAAGACTTGAGCTCTTGCCCTATTTACATCACCCAACAGTTTACTTTTGTCCCTGCCGCGGACAGAATGTCACACGTTCATTCTTAATAAGTTCCGCAAGCGGAATCGGGAGTCTTGAATTTCGTCTCGGCTAGCATTACTGCTCAATCATCCACCCCGATGGCGGATAGCTATTTCGATGACTCTTGGTGCTCAGTAGTGCCGGAAGAATTCCTCCATGCTCTCGTTGACGACCAGCAGCTAAAACTAGAGACTCGAGAGCTTGCAAGTAACACATGCGGGCCACGCCTTGCAGGCAACGCCAGTCTCAGGCTCGTTGCTTACGGCGAAACGCAAGAGTAAGGAGCGCTTTGGAATTGCCTTTGGGGAGTTCGAAATCTACGACGCAGCGAATGACAAGAAGATCCCTGGCACCTTTCGTGCGGACGAGGAGTCATTTAGACCGACGAATGACATACAGATTGATGTCCTCTATCACTGGCTGCGGAAAATCCACACATTCTTCCTCAATGCTTTCAGTTTCAAGTTCTTTGATGGGAAGGGCAATTCGATACAGGTCAGCATACATTATGGAGTGAAATGCATGAATGCGTACTGGAAGAATGGCACAGTTGTTCTTGGAGATGGGGACAGCTTTGGTCTCTACGATTTCTGGACAGCAGATGACATTATCGCCCACGAGATCACTCACGGCATCATTGCGCACACTAGCGGCTTGAAGAATCGCGACGAGACTGGCGCACTTAATGAGCATCTTGCAGATGTGTTCGCTATTTTTTACAAGCAATATCAGCAGAGTCGCGATAGTGATGCTGCCACGTCAACATGGATTGTTGGGGAGAAATTATTTGTCGGTTCTCAACTGGACCGCCCGAAGCCGACACCAGCACCGGCAGGCTTCCCAAAAAATATTTCTTATATCATTCATGGCAATGAGAACAGTCCGTCAGGTTGCTACGTGGTCACGGATCCAAACAGGCCTTTCTCTCAGCATTGGCATAAGCCACACTTGCGCAATTTTGAGGAACCTGGAACGTCCAACCCGCCCCAGCCTTATCACTGGAGTGACAGGAAGACAGTGGCGTACGATAGGGGTGGCGTACATCAGAACTCCGGCATTCCAAATTTCGCTTTCTATAGGGCTGCGATTGAGGCTCGTGGGCCTGCATGGTCAGGCGTTGGCCAGGTCTGGTTCCGTGCCATGCTGGACCCGAATCTAGACGCAGATTGCACATTCAATATGTTTGCTGCCCTTACATTGCAGCATGCGGCTGAATTTGACACGAAATTGATAGAGCCAATCTGCAAGGGATGGTCCAAAGTGGGAGTTGCTCTGAAATCTTAAGATATTTGAGTTACCGGAGTTTTTGCAATATCGATCTTGGAGAACCGACAGTCGCAAATCATTGATTTCATTTCATCGGCATCATTTCTTGTTATTCAGATCTGAATTTCCACGAGAGAAGCTTGTACACAATAACCAGCCAGCACTTCCCTATGGTGGAACTTGTAAGTGGTGTCAGAGTTAACACGGTTAGAGGGTGACCAGCCACCATGTTTCGGCCACCCTACCACCTAGAATAGGTGTATATAGTAATGCTCCTGTTACGGCCCAACCCAGCATCCCTCGCAGCCTTGACGCACAACGACAAGCTTCTCGGACATTTCGACCCTTTCGACTTCCTTCGGAAATTTCAGAAACATTCCGACCTCTTAGAACCCCTTATCGAGGGCTCAGATACTCTGATGAGATATTCTGTCCCTTGCGGAGGGCTTATGAGGTGTTCCAGACATCTCAGTGTGTCTCAAATTCCTTCGAAGGACTCCGTAGCCCTCCAAAGGCCTTCGATTGTAAGAACCCTTCGAAGGAACGTTTTCTTCTTTCGTCTTGTATTTAACAACGCCTATAGCTCTGGATAGCGTGTACATAGTGTCAGAACTCTTCGAACACCTATCGTTGCCCTAACTTTCCCTCTTCCTCGTTGTTCCCCTTCTCCGCCTCTTGTTCCTGACGGTCCCCCTACCCTCAGGTTCTAGAGAGCAGCAAGCAATCCATTTGACTTCATTACTGTCTCTCAGGTTATGAGCCACGCGGGCGCTCAGCCCAAAGGGAATTTATGTCACTCTTGTGACTTCGTGCTACAACTAGGCCTTGACATGGGTTGGAGTAACCGGTGGGCTCTAGGCTGGGCTGGGTTCACACTTTTAACAGTCCTAACCCATTAGCATGAGGTTACAATTTTAATAAATTAACCTAGAACCCGGTGGGTAGCCTGAACTTTAAAGTAGACTAGAAGACCTCCTAATTAGGAAAAAGTTCCTTCCTATCTAAGCGGTTTCTATACAATAAATCTCAAAATCTTTCTAAAATTTAAGAATATCACCATTGATAACCTAAAACGGGGCTTAAGACTTTAACTTAACCTAAACTTAGCCGAACCCTATATTTTTAGGGTTGGATTGGGTCCTAACTTTAAGGAACCCGGAACCCACTGGGCTGGGTTAACTATGGCTATTTTCGTCCCAACACAACCTATGTTGAGGCTTATTTGCAGGATCCTGGATGATGTAAAATTAAGTGAGAAGAGATTGCTCTATTGCTATACTAATCAAGAAAGTAGATCAGACTACATGAGATCGTATAAGTTCAGTCAGAGCTCTTTCAATCATGGCGTCCTTCTTTTCACGCTACAATAGACGAACTCATTTCCATTTCTGCCAGATGTAGTTCTTTTTTTCAATTACCAGTCAAGCGAGGACCCATCATAAAGTTTGAACTTCCCAGATGTAGCCTCTCGTGTAGCTTCATCGATCTTTCAACATTTGGATCAGTATATTGGGCCTTTATAAAGACATAATCTCCTCGGAAAGTGGGGTTGAAACTCACAAGCTTGACCATGGGAGGAATGCTCTCTTCATATGTCAGAATCGCCTTTTCCATTCCGAAGGCCCTTGCGGAGGCGTTGCCTGTATCAGTCTGAACCTAAATTCATGGCATTAATATATATTACAAGGTATTCCGAATACTGGACTACATACAAAACCGGGATGGATCGGGAACGCGATGATATCGGGGTTCTCCACATGAATCTTTTTTGTGATCCAGTTCAAGGCCGCTTTGGAAGGCCCGTAGGCCGCATTGGGGACAGGGACTTGCTCCATCCCACCGATACTTCCGGCTTCTGAGCCCATGACGACGAATTTCGGTGTTTTCGTCGAGTTCTTTAACAAGGGTACAACGGCTTGGAATAAGAGGACGACTCCGATAACATTGGTGCGGTAGTGCTCAAGGATGTCTTCAACTCGCACCTCCTGGACCGTTGGGAAGAGCTTGGCGATTCCTGCGTTGGCGATCACAACGTCCAGGGAAGTGATGTTGTGCACAGATTTGAGTTCATCAATGGCCTGCTGTGCATCCGTTTCGATCAGGCTGTCGGTCTTTAGGACAATGAGCGAGCTGTTAGTGCCCTTTGAGAGCTCCTGCAGGGATTTGGATACTGGGCTTGTCGGGTCTCGAACTGTGGCTATCACGGTATTGTTTGGCCGAGCTAAGTATGCAGCTACGAGAGCTCTTCCAAGCCCACGGCTAGCGCCACTTACAAGGTAGATGGTAGAAGCTGGGGCAATCATCTTAGGATATGATTGGTGGGGGTGGGTTTGAATACAGTCAGAAGACTACCGAATTTGATCGTGAGCCCATTGCAGTAATGAAATACAAGCTACTTTATATCATATGTTCAAGTCAGAGTGATTATAAATGATTCATTACTGCAATAGGTGCTTCGCAACCGTAGGACCGTCAGTCGTCAGCAATTAGACCTAGCAAAGGTCAGAAATCGAGATACACAGAGGATGCTGACGGTAGAATAGAACTCGGTCGAATGCATGGTTTGGAGCTCGTTAGAAGGGCTTGAGCGTCTCCCAGCGTCTATTGTCTGTTCCATGAGCATTTCTCAGCAGTCAGAAAACCGGGTCATAATACCCAAGGTCAGAATTTAGCCAGGTCAGAAACCGTTGTCAGAAATCTCGACATTCTGGGCTGCACTCATATTTTCAGCCAGCACTATTATACCGTGGAAAGGAGTGCCATGAAGCTAGATCTACTGCTCGATCCATTTTTCAGAGATTCCAAATTTCTAGAACTCTGTTTCCATTTCTGTGTTGTCAAATTCGAGTGCCGAAATCGGTTGGCCGACGTTTGAATGAGGCTGAGGCGATTAGGGGTCTGTCGCTTGGCATTGCAAATATTCCTAAAACAGCCAGCACTACACCAGACCGTGCTCAAACTCGAACGAGTTGTTGAGGCTCGTCCATACAGTACATTAACGCCCTTCATATTTGCGAAGTTGGCTCTTGGTATTCCTCCACACCGTGCCGATCCTACCTTTGAATCCGGCCCCTGGGCACTGAGAGGCATCACGTGCCGCTCGAAGATTGCATAGGCCTGTCTTATGCCTGAAAAACAAGAAACACATCCAGAGAGACAAACTTCACCATCAACTCAATAAAGGGGACGCCTAAAGCAGAATCTCTACAGCCGTCTTAAGCCTATCTTATCACCGCAATCGGAGAAGGTAAGAGGTTATCTCGTTACAACTCCTTGGAATTTCATCCAGCCTCTTCTTTCCTCCTCAAGATTGGCCATGAGATGACGCTGCACTTGGTTGTAAAAGTCTTAAAGCTGAGACTTTCATGCCTGCTTTCAATCTTTGAGCATAATCCTTCGCCAACTTGCAATCCTCCTTGTCGATGGTGCCAGAAAAGGGTGCAGATGGCCGCTAGATCCTGCATATGCATGTATCATGATGCACGGTTCTTTCGTATTTCCGAAGTATTCTGGAACAGCTAAAAGCAAGATAAGAGGCATCGTAGTTATCTCTCTAAGCGGGAGAACTCAAGCGCTTTTCTGCAAGCAAAGAACCTTACTTTTTCTTCGAAAGGCCATCAAATGGAAGACGCCCTGTACGATTTCTCTTTTTCTCGTGGCCTGGAAGCTGTATCTTCCATGTCGTGCTCGGCCCTCGACAAGAAACCGTAGGGCAGCTGAGCGACGCAATATCGCTGTCATCAGAAGACTGTCGATGCCTATTGAGCATGTCTGCCCAACCACAGCTCAATCTGCACGCACAGCAGGAGGTGAGCTACATTTTATAGGCCTTTCAAGCATAGGATTTGAAACCTTTGATGCTGTTTGTGCATGATCATTCATCGCTCGTTGCCAAGCAACAAAGACGTTTTCTGTCCATGCATGCCGAATACATTGCGTGGGGTAAGACCTTTAAAAAAGGTCAGGAAAGGACAAGATACAAACCCATGACATAATTCATACTGATTGTGAATATCTAGAACGCTTTGAAGACATCGTGGTTGCTATTCGAGAAGACCCTGATTAACCGCTGTTGACACAAGCGGGGGGCCAGTCAAGGGACAAGACAAGCAGAACTTAGCATGCACGCTGATTTGAAACGTGCACCCAAAATATCTATCAGTGATCATAAAGCCATCAAAGAACCCGACCCGACTCGGTATCTAGGGAATCGCTGTCAGCCTTTGTATCTAGCATCCATTGGAACCTAAACAGAGTAAAGGAAGACGGCTGTCTAGGCGCCGTCTTGGAGGTTCAAGCATTTCAACTAAGCTCTCTCAAGCATGGGGCCAAGTCGCAGCGGCTGTCGATCAGGATTGAGCGCCAGCCGGAAATGGATTCAGAGTTGTCGATCAGGCGTCCTGGCCTGATGACAGGGCTGTGGAGTTCAGATCTGGGGCTCGTATTCGTCCTCGGAAGAGGGCCCGGTAATAATTCTCGAACGATGATACCTCGACTATGTGTTTACGTCGCAAATTCAGCCGCTCTTTCCAGGCGATGACTGTGAGGGGCTTGCTGATCCCTACGGTTTTTTATCGGTGGCCGGAGTGAATGTTGAACTTGGTTTCTTATTCTCCCTCGAACGATCTTGCTTCTAAGTCCTGTGGTACTATTCGTGGACTCTATTGCTAGGCTGGCATATATGTTCACTTATCGTGGCGCCTGGCATTGAAAGAGGATATTTCGCAAGGGGTTTCACCTAGTCTGCCGCCACAAGATTCCCCCCAAATTCGTTTTCTTCGGGCTGGTGTCGGCTAGCTTCCCTAAGGCGATATGCTGGGAATCGAAGGCCTCTCAGACGCTTCATTCAAGGGCGACCTGCGATGGGCACAGACGGCGAAATGGACATCATACGCGCCTTGGGTTGTGCTCGTGTTGGCTATACTGAGTATGGTTGAGATCGCGCTCGGCGCAGTCTGGATTTCGTCCATGGACGCAGACTTGAACTTGTGAGTAATTGCTCCGGAGATAATGCTGTATGCGACGCAAGCTCTACCGAGACAATGATATCTGACGAATACTTTCTGGTTGCAGCGCACAGGTAATCCAGCCGCTGATCGTGCCGGGGGTCGCGTTCTTCAATGCAATACCTTCTCTACATCTGCACGTGCTTGCTCGGATCAACCCGCCGCGATTGGCAATTTGGTTCTCAACGTCGATCTCATTTTGCTACTTCGTGAGCGGAATTATATACCTGGCTTCTTGTGTCGGCCGAGAATCTTTTACTGGGTCGCTACAGCGTAATGAATGCCCCCAGGGCGCCAAAGGCAACGCCAAAGTATGGGATGTGATGGTTGCGCTGCTTTTGGTTAGTGGAGCTTTGTACCTACTTCACGCGGCGATGGCTTGGAAAGTGAAAAACGCGCTTGAAGATCGAGAGCGCAGAATTGAGGCGGGCGTGGAAATGGTCAGTCAGGAGGAGATAGAGAGAAGGCAAAGTGAGGCGAGAGAGAGGTGGAAGCACATTTCTGCAGGCTGAGGGATGACATTTGAGACTCTGTTTGAGAATCTGCCTATTGATTTCAATGCCTGGCGATGGGAGGAATTCACTTGCTACCTGTGTATTTATCTCTAAGAACAGATGTGAAAGGAATATCATTATGACTGTCTTGAATTCCGGTTTTGGGATGCAGAAATGCCAAGAAATATTTGCACTGCCGCCTTAATATCGCCTTCTTGGCAGCTGTAGAGCGGCGGCACAAGTTATCTGAAAATGGGCCGATAAGCGGTCTCGGTCTGTCTTGCATCACCATTCCAGTTCCATCTTCAAGTGGACAATCCCACGTTACCCATTTGGGTGTTTGTTTGCTGCCTCAAGAAGAATCTCAGTCTCGACGGCTCGTACGCAAAACAGCCTTATGGATAGACTAATCGACGCCATCGCAAATCCACTAGCGACTTACCTCCCATGGGTATGATCCAAACAAACGACCCGCACCTGCGACTTGACGCGCCATGTCCCGGCACAAAGAAAACAATCCACTGTCGACCAAACAGCGCCCTTCTCTCGCGTCGATGATAAAGAATGTATCAAGCGATGACTTCTTCACCGACAGCATCCTCGAAAATTCTTCCATTCCGTCTCCTAGCCCTACCAAGAGCAATCTGGTCAAACCCCGACGCGCTGTCGGCATCACCCGCGCCCTTCAGACCGTGAGAGAGTCAAATCAGAGATCAAACAAACCTCCAAATCCTGAGAATGGGAATTCAAGATCAGATCGACATCTTCAGCCTGCGCTGTCGATTTCCAAAAAGAAAAGCCGAAGCCCACTGCGGACAAATGGCTTGTCAACGCCTCCGCGATCCAGATCTATGACAACGCAGTCCGAATTCTCGAGCCCTCCAGCTGGAATGACAGATGTCTACCAGAGGATTGCAGATGAAGAAGACTTGGTTGCTACAGAAAGGGAGCCTGATAGTGATGAGGAGGATTTGGAAAATGGCCCGCAAGATACGATTGATGTGGACATCGATACTCCCGTAATCGGGGAGCAGGTTGCTGAAATCCATGCTCAAATTCGCCGCGCATCTCGTCCAGTCAATCCAGCCCAGCTATCTGAAGATGACATGAAAGAGAATCACCCACTCGACAAGGCGGATATCGTGTCAGACCCTCCAACGCTGGACTATCTCCACAATGAGATGACAGACCGAGTGCTGGCAGCCAAGTTGACGCCTCATGTTGTAGATCGGGCAAAAGATCGGGCGAGACTTGAAAAACTCAGACAGAGTCGCATACCGATTGATTTCAAGAACAGTCCCAAGCTGAACTCTAAAGGGCTCAACGGGCAGACCTACCAACGAAGTACTATCGGGACGTTATCTAAAGGACCCATTACCTTCGACGGCAGAGTCGACGTGGCCAAAGATGAGCCCAAGAAAACCCCATCGGAATCAAGCGCCTCCTCCAGCCCACCAAAACGAGTTACGGCATTTAGTCGAGCAACAAGACCGAACGTAACACAAACACACAGTTCTCATGTATCCGGCAGTGACAGTCCCACTGAATCTGGAACGGGTGAAAGGGTTGTTGCTTTTAGCAGAGCCACACGCGTGCAGGGTGGCGAATTAGGGAATTCCACCGTTCCCTCGGAAGTACCGGGACTTGGTCCAAGATTGGTGGCATTCTCGCGTGCGAGTAGACCCTCAAACCATGCCAGAGCACACAGTGAAGAGCCTGAACAGACTGAAGATTTCAACGGGGCCAATAACGACACCCTCACTTCGGTGTTATCCGAGCCTTTACCGGGTGCTACATCCCAGACTCTGAAGAAACAAGCAGCCACAGCTTCATTTCTTGCTAAGTGGCGTCAGCAAACAGCGGAAAGGCGCAGCGAAAAGTCAGAGTCGGTGGCTAGTGAGGAGGCCTCTCCGATCGACTGGGCCGCAGCTGGGGCCGATGTCCCCTTGCCATCAGTTGAGCAAAACCCGACACCTCACAGCACCCCTACACAATCTCCTTTCCCTTCTATTCAAAAACAGAGATCTATCGACCGAATTCGCAAGTGGGAAAATGACTTCACAGGACTTTCATTTCAAGTCTCTGATAGCCCGCCCGTCCGAAATCGACCGAATCTTAATGATTCACTAAGGGAGAGAGAAATTGAGAATCTGACAAAGCAAGCGGTCACCACAAACCGACTAGGAGAAATACAAGAAAAAGATCCAAATGTTTTGGTCCGCAAGACCTCCCGAACTTTCGTTCCAGAAGAACGCCAACCGGCGCAATCGAAAGCAGAGGGGGTGGAACCAGAAGTTTGTTCAGAAGGAAGAGCCGTTCTTGACGAGGACCTACTACCGAATGCTCCGTTGTCTCTACACAGATCCTCGACCAATAGCACTAACAAGTTTACATCTTCTCCAAAGACGAGTTTGTTATCTCAAGACTCTCTTGATCATTTGCAAAGGTTAGCTCGGGCAGCCAGTGCCACACCAAGGGCAAGTTCTGTGCCTGAAAAACCGACGACAAGCATCGTCAATCGGCCTGCTTTGACCAACGCCACCAAAACAACTCTACCTCGTGATGATTCTGACAACGGCTCATCCCCAGAACCTCGAAAGAAAGAGCTGCCCCGTGGAGCCGCTCAAACAGTTGCAGAAACACCGAAGATCATTGGTGCCTGGACTGATACAATCCTCCCAGACACCGTCAAAACCGTAAGACAACAAGAGAATACACCTTATTATGCAGAAACACCGCATGTGAATGCGGGCGGATGGATTGATACCCCATTGCCAACTGGCAAGCTTTGGCCTTCTGTTCCAATCCCCACAACAATTGAGGAAGTCACCGAGGAACTGACCAATGGTGCAGTCTCTGAGAAATTTAGTGAAGCAGCTGGCGAGAAACACCAGATTATCAGCCAAGAAGTGATGCGGGGAATCTCAAATGGTGAAGAGCGCCTTGAATTATTGAAACCCCAAGGGTCAGTAGTACCACTAAGTGCTCTAGCTAATGTCCTGAATGAAGCGAAACAAAAGCGATTGATATCGAACGGTGTCACGGAGTACAGAGATGATACACTTAATCTTGGGGATGCCACCATACAGTCTTTCGAAGAACTCCTCAATAACGCCGAGGATATCACAGCAGATATTTCGGGTCTGATCAAAGCTGGTGCTGAGGAAGAATTTTTGCGGCAAAGACAAATGACAAGTGAACATGAAGGAGAAGCCAACAATAGCGAAGTCATGTTTATCGGTCATTTGACGTCAAGAATGGAACGGCTAATGTCAAATCTCCATGAAGCGAGAAAAGGCATTTCCCGACTGGAGCAGAAAGTAGCACATTCTCCTACGTTGGATGAGCCACAAGCTCTTACTCATACCATTCCAACCGACCCCGATCAACCGTGCGAAATCTGTGGTCGCACAACGACCTCTCACACTCACTCTTATCCGAATCTCAACTCCTGGTTACCGATGACGTATTCCATTATCACGCTGCCGATTCCTCTCCTTTTCTATCCTCTCCGCAAAGGAGAACGCGGAATACTACGTCGCCCTACCTGGCTCGGCTGGCTAACGATCACCGTATGGACATGGTATCTGATTGAATGTGTAATGTGCGAGATTTATGCACGCCCACTCTATGCAGAGCATTATGTCTGGCCCGCAGAGCCGGAGCCCGAATTTCCTTTGGTTCTTCCGACAATGGTTTTTCGATGGACACATTTCGACCAGCTCGCTCCAGGCCTTTGGAGAATTCTTGTTGCACTTTATCGGGTGATTGGCATGATTCTGGGGTTTACTGATGGCTTTGTGGGAGATTCAAGACCGACGCCCTCGTCCACTACCATTACAACCGAGGCAGCAACACAGGCCACGAGAGCAGCGTGGAACATCATACAGGACCTGCTCCCAGGTGCTGGCTATGGAGCAGCGCCGGGTTTGAGTATGACGAATGATGAGTATCTATGACGATGAATGAGGAAGAGAGAAAAGTAGTTTCCAGACTGCAACCACTTTTCGTATCCTGCCGGACTGGCTGACTATAAGGTCTATAGCTTGTCAGGAATCATGAAAGACGGAGAATCTCTTGTTCGGAAAATGGCGCACTTGTCGTTTTATTTCTGGGAGGTCCAATCGGATCTCGAAATTGTTGGAGTTTCTTAGATCGGCATCCACAGTACTGACTGGATCAAGGGCACTACGTTGTGATGGAATCAAAGGAGCGATCTTTGCGCCGGCGTTGGAACGGTCTTGCTACTGCCAACCACCTGCGTTGTCGTTATCAGCCATTAGCCAACGCCTGTTGAGCAGAGGAGGGCAATGTCGGTAACTGTACTGTAAACTATGAGCCAGAGGATAGGGAATCAGGGTCAATTCAATGCCCGCGCCCAGTCGGATATCCGGAGATTGATAGCTTTAGCCTCACTCTTCTCAGCATACCTATCTAGGGACAATCGTGTAGGGCTTTTCATCATTTATTTCGAAGTGGCAAAAGTTTCTGTCTCTCGTATATAGATAGCCATGGCACCCTCGGTCGCCGCAACAGCAGTGTGACTTTTTGTAATGTTCGTAACAAGGCCCGCCCCCTTCTTCTGATTCGGCGTAGTTGGTTTTAGGAATTAGAGCAGAATAGAGGATAGATAAGACGACAATCCATAGCCGCTGAGTCAGCTTGCTACTTCCCTAGCTCCTTTCGGTGAGAGCAGACAAATTGTTGACTCTCCCTGCCGTTAGACGATCGTATCACGTATTCTTCAATGTGGTTCATTCCCACATCCGGCTTGTGCATTCATTCCATTCCCATGGTTCTTTGTTCCAAGTTCACCGTCCTTCGTCAATCCGTGTTTTCGACCTGGCCTTCCAGTCCGTCTTGATATCAGTAGTACGCAGCCAACCACCTGCCTCCCTCCCCTATGCCCATTTTCTTTTTCTCTCCCTTTCTCAGCCCCAGATCTACATCTACATCCTCGCCATCTCGGTGCCAAAAACACGATTCAACGCCCAAGTAATCACGATGACGACCCTGCTGCGCCAATTGCGGTTCCAAATGAGGCTGCCGCTGCGCCAGGCGAGCCAGGCGCTTCGGCCCGTCCAGCCTGAATCGTTGGGTCCCTTTCCAGCGATGACCCCGTCGTGGTGTCCGATGTAGCTGACGAGTTGCTTTTGTGTATAGATGAAGGGTTTGGCGAAGGAGGACGAAGACGAGGACGAGGCAGAGGCAGAAGCAGAGGCAGCCAAGGCGTTGAAGTTCTCAACTAGGTATTTGGCCTTTTGGACTGCGACTTCGGCAGTGGTGGGCAGTGATTGGCCTTCGATGTCGGCGGCGTCGCCGAGGGAGAAGACCCCGTCCCAGACTCCGGGCGAAGGTGAAGAAGGGTTGGCCGTTGTGGCGTCCAGCTTTCTGAATACACGTAGCTTGTCGTCCGTAAGGATGCGTTTGAGGCCCTTCTCGTTGATCTTGACGTCGAGGTTCTCGATCAAAGGGACGTGCTTATTTCCCGTGGCCCAGATGAGCATGCCGTAGGGGACGCGGCCTTTGTCCTTGATGTAGAGGGCTTGTCCATCGACTTTCTCTATGCGCGTGTTGGGTGCGACGTCCACGTTGCGTGCCTTCAGCTGGCTGGTGGCGTAGTCGTGCAGCTTGGCGTCGTAGGCGGACAGGATATGGGGTGCGACGTCGTAGATGGAGATCGTGACGTGCTCGGCGACCCGTGGATACAGCTTGCGCAGCTCGTTTTGACACAGGTCGTCCAGCTCGGCCGTGAGTTCGATGCCCGTGGGTCCTCCACCGACGATCGCAATGTGGAGCAACTCCTTTGCACGCTCGGTGCTGACACACGGCAAGCTCGCCTTCTCGAGGAGGTCGAACAGCGTCTTGCGCACGCGCATCGCGTCGCTGACGTTTTTGATGAAGATGGCGTACTCGTCCACCCCGGGCGTGCCGAACGTATTCGGGATGCATCCCGGTGCGATGACGAGGTAGTCGTAGGCGATCTCGAACTGGATTTTCTCCAGGCCCGGGTCTTCCTCAAACGCCGGTGTGCACTGGCATATTTTCTGGGTGAAGTCGATGTTCAACACATTGGCCTTCACGAAATTCAGGTCGCATCGCGACGCAGAACGGACTGGTTCTTCAGCCAGGTAGAAGTTAAAAAGCCCTACTGCAGCAGATGCTAGGAGTGGAGTATAGGCGGATGTGCGTCGGGGAGAAATCAGGGTGACGTTGTAGGATGAGAGATTGATGTTTTCGGCGAGATAGAAACCTGCCCAGCCACTGCCGATGATGACAAGGTGAGGTTCTAATGTTTGTGATTGAGTAGTAATCATTATTGTTGTTGATGATACTTCATTGAGCTTGCTGGCTGGACCAAGTGAGACCTCCCTTGGTGGGCGTTGATGGCTGGTATTATAGTGAATATGACTGTTTGTGATGCGCCAGGTTGAAATGGACTTGTCGACCAAGCAGGCTTACTAGAAATACATACCTTAGCCACGTAGAGATAGATGGCGCTGTATGAGTAGATCGGAATTTATCAACAGGGCCAAAAGACCTCCCAGGATCCAGAATAACATGCGGGAGAGAGCCACGTTCCCGCGTCAACTAAGCGGCGGCTTACCTGATGCGTTGCGAAAGGTTCCAAACCAAGAAAATAGGAAGCATGCCAGCAATGATGCATGAGGCCCCGCCAATCAATCTCGACCTCATAGGCACATGAGAGACTCAATGCCCAGCCTCGAAAGCAGGGTTGAGGCTTTGTTGCCTGTTCCAACGTCATCGCCAATGGCCATGACTGTCTCACCTCGGTGGCTGTCCCTGGTATTTGAACGCATCCATAAGCTAGGAAAATGTGGATTATTCCCAGGCCAAGGGAAGCACCGAGTTACAATAAACGCATAGAAATGCTGACGGAGCGAGGAGATGCATGCTGCCGGCCTCAACACCCAGCCGACGACTTCCGTCAGTTCTCACTCTATCGCTCCATACACTTGGATCACATGACAATCTACAGAATTCACCAGGGAGAGGCTAGACCAGGTATTGTGAGTCCTACCATGGCTTGTCACTGCTATTGTAGATGTTATCTGGGACAGCGAAACATTAGGCATTTCCATTTTTGGTCCGCAGTGGCTGGACTCTACCTATAATACCAGCATGGTCACTAATGCAATTCAATCAAGCCGCAAGGCAGGTTGCAGCATCGCTTTTTCTTCTGGCTAATTGAGCTTGGCAATGCCCTATTCATTCCCTCCCCTTCAGACTTCTGTCTCCCTTGAGACATTCCATTGTTGATGACAATCTCGAAAAGGTATCGTCTTCCCATTTTCCCAGTCTCAACCCTCGAGTCGACAGTAGTAGGAGGATGTGTGTGTTTTTGTGTACAAGTACAGGCAAATAAGAAAAGGACAACTTCTCAGTACCCTCCGAGTTTTCGCAAAGGTCACAATTTCGCCGTTTGCTCCGCCTCACCCCTCGCAGAAGTGAGAGTTTCGACCCCGTAATGAAAAAGAAGACAGAGAGACGACTTTCCCGATGCTCGCTAGCCAGCTACGCTCAATGACCTGAGCCATAGCTGCCGTTCCAGCCTCTGCCACCGCCGTAACCACCATAGGCCCCGAATGCAGAATTGGATCCATAACCACCCCCGTAACCGGTATTTTGATGACCACTCTGATGACCACTGGCATTACCTAGTCCACCATACTGAGGATAACCGAACGCTTGTTGATTCGAATGTTGCGATGGAGGAGGCAGAGCGCTTTGTTGACCAGGAAGACTATTGACCGCGGAACCTGGACGGCCTCCCGGAAGAGAAGGGCTAGGGCCAGACACCTTGCTTGGATCATCGCTCCCTTGATGCGAAGCGTGCTGCTGAAGGCTCTGTCCTTGTCCAAACCCGGAAGAGGTGCGACCAAATGGGTCAGCAGCCGTGCCACCGAAAGCCGTGCCACCCGCCGCAGTCTGTTGTGTCTCTGAAGGCTGGGCTGAGCCTGCTCGTCCATAACCTCCTTCACGGCCAAAGCTGCCCGCATTGGCAGGGGACGAAGAGTGCTCGTAGGAATAAGCCTGGGGTTGACCGTACTTGTAGCCAGCGTAATGATTTTGACCATGGCCATAATTGTACTGTTGACTACCGTAATAGTCACTGTCTTGACGACGAACATCATCGAACATTGGCCGATTTGCACCATAACGATGATTCATTTGATTGATGTAAGAAGCGCTGTATTGTGGATATTGCTGATTGTAGGCATTGGGATAGCCATAAGCGTATCCGTGGCCTTGATTCTGCTGCAGATGACCAGAAGGCTGCTGAGCAGGTTGACCAGGTGCTGGAGTATTCTCCCCGCTACCCTGGACATCTTGCTGACCCGCGCTCTGCTGCTGAGGACGAGAAGTGGCATAGTGACCTTGGCTATCTGGTGCTGACGTCCCAAAGGCGCTGCCAGTACGCTGAGCATCATGACCATAAGCACCGTAATAACTGTACGCATCACGGCCATAGTAGGCAGAGTAGTCATTCTGCGAACTGGCAGTCGCGGGCTGATTGGGGACTTGATTTGAGAACGGCTCCTGGGATTGACCTTGGGCCTGCGAAGCTGGACCTTGTTGACTGAAAGGATCATACGGCTTCTGGCCCTGGCTGTAGCGATATTGATCAGCATACGCCGAGGCTGTCTGGGGAGAAGGTTGGGCAGCTTGTTGTGGAGCTGGTGGGAGGCCGGGCGCAGCTCTCTGAGGCTGCTGTGCTTCGGCTGATGGCTGGGTGGGAACGGCGGCCGATTGTGGTTGTGTTTCTGGTAGAGGGGGGGGCAAAGAAGCTCGTGGAGCGCTGGGTGAATCGTCGGGAAGTTGAGTTCGTGTCTCTGGTTCCTCGCGATCTTCATCGACATCAACATCATCCGAACCTAGCCCAAGCTTGCCAAACTGGACCGCGGCCTTTTCAATGGCATGATTTCCCGGCATAACTACCGCCTCTTGCTGTTCCATCACCTTTCGCGCATAGCTTGCAGATCGTCCAGTGGTACCCGTAGCTTTCAAGGCAGTGGCTGCATAGCCCGACAGGCCAGGACGGATGCTGGGTTTGGTGTTCTCAACAGCGGCGAGAGGGTCTTGCGTGCTGGCGACGGTGCTTGCGGCAGTGGCGGATGGCGGCGGCTTAGATGTGTCAGGCAACCTCTCCAGATTCTTCTCAGTGAGTTCATCTTTAGATGGAGTCAGATCTTTTCCAGTATCCGAATGAGGTGCAGATGGCAGCTCGCTCGTACCGTCTTCGGCGGTTACAGGTTCGATGGGAGGTGGAGTGTCAAGTTCAGCAGTAGGAGGTTCTTGGACGGCAGGAGTGGATTCGACAGACACTTCTTCGACTTGGGGAGCAGAAGGGGGAGGAATTGGAGCAGGAGCTTTTTTGGGCGCAGGAGGAGGTTTGGCGAACAAACCAGCCCAGCCACCAGGCTTTGCTGCAGCTGGTGCGGCACTAGAGGCTGGCTTGGGTTCTTCTGTTTGAAGAGAGGCCAGGGAGTCTTTGCCTGGTTCGTTGGCCCAGTCGCCAGTTGCAACAGGAGCATCGCCATTTGCGGGAGCAGCGTCCCAACCTCCAGTTGCCTCGGTGGTTTGTTGTGTCGCAGTGGTGTCCCATTCATCTGTGGGTTTCGTAGCCTTTGTGCCATTGGTGTGAGTGGCAGATTTAGCGCCACGTCCACCCCGAGCGCTGCCACGGTCTGCACCACCGCGGCCTCTTCCACGACCTTCAGCAGTGTTGCGTCCACGTCCCTTTGAAGCATCGCCAGAGACGGGAGGGGCATCTTTGGGCTTTGGATGTTTCTTCTTGACTTCGCCCCACTGCGAGATGGTACCTAAGGGTGAAAGTTAGCGTAAAAGAACTGGATTGAAGACCCAAGGTTAACAAAGTCGCATACCACTGGAAATTCGGTCGACGGCGGCGTTCAGGTCACCGTCAGTCTCTTGCAGGGCAAAAACCAGATCTTCGTCACTCCAGCCCGGGCAGATTTCACGCAGTAAGGGGACTTTGTCACCAAACTTCTTCTTCAGCAGGCCGACTTCGCCCTGGTCATCGAGTGAGGTGGGAGGGATGTTCTCTTGTTCTTGGTCTGGTTTGTGTTGCGACCTGCTGGGGGTTCTTCCACCTCGAAAGCCACCTCTGCCACCTCTAAAACCCCCACGGCCTCTTGTCCCACCGGTGCGGGACTGGACTTCTGCCATTGCTATGTTGATGAAATGTTAGGACGATTAGGGAGATGGATGGAGAGCGAGGTAAGTGGAAAGCAGAAGCGGCGTGCGAAAAAAGGGGAGAAAACAAGCTCCAGAAGAGTCGGGAGCAGTCTCCTTGAAGAGAGCAATGAGAATTGAGCGTAGTGAGCAAGAGACAAGGAGGTGGTGGTTATGTTGACATGGAGGAATCTAAAAGATGGAGATGAGAGGGATTTCAAGATCGAGGCAGACTGGAAGGAGCAGTCACAGAACAGTGCAGGTACGGGTGCTGTGGCACTGTGGCCGTCCCGCGGCGCAGGAACAATGTTTTTCCTGGCTATGACCTGTGGCTGGTGCTTTGCAGGGTTTGTGGCTGGTCACGTAGCCCTGACGCGCAAGTCACGTGAGCATATGGCCCTCTACGTGGCACCTTTCCCGTTAAGGGAAGGTGCCTTGCCTCTGTGACTGCGTACATACCTAGGCAGAGTAATTATCTGGTCACTCCACCCACTCGCACTCATCCTGACCTGACCTCACCTCCCCTCATCATCCAACCATCACCGCCTTCAGCTCTCAGGCTCTCTCAGTCACTCCCCCACGCGACGCCACGACGTGATTAACATTATCGTCCTTTATTCAAATATGGCTTGACGCCTGCTCTAGTCTCAATCCCAGCCAGAGTCAACATGAAGACCTCCCCGTCCCTCCTTGTGCGCAACTTTCTCAAAGCAATCCATCCGCCGCTTATACCGACAACAGCTCGTGAGACCAAGAAACTGGTCGGCGTCCTTGAATCTGCCTTCCAAAAGCATCTTGATGAAACTCATCCATCTCCACAATCTCTCTCCTCACACACCGCCTCGCACGATGCAAACTCCATCCCGGATCCTGCTCACCAAGCAACTCGTGCCACTCATACACATTTAGCCAGTTTACTGGCTCATCCACTGCTACAGAAGCAATCAGTATCAGCTGACCCCCCTCACTCCTTGACCGCCACTGCTGTTGCCGAGTCCCAGAATGTTGGTTCCTGGAAAACCTATGACTTTGCCCTTGTCCAACGATGCTGCCGGCTATATCTAAATGGTCTGAAACGCAAAGAAGTTGTCCCGCAGGATCGCCGCCTAGGACCAAGGCTACTGAGCTGGTACACTCATATGAGCGCTTCAGAGAAATATACGTTTCTTGCGGACTCGGAAGTCCTACAACTGGTCGTGCCTGTTCTTTATGCCGACCAACTCGAATCTGTGGTCTGGGACATGCTGAGTACCTTATATGAACGACCTTCAGTCTCAAAAGCTTTTGCCAAAACAACCACCCCAGTTGTCGAGCAGAGCAGGGCTTCGTTATACCAGAGGGCTGAAGACAACCTTATATCGCTGATGATACACCAGACTGCCCTCAGAGGCTCCACAGCCGATGCGGCCCAACAGTATATCCAAGCTTGCAAATACTACGAATCCCGGACACTTTCCGACAAACCACAATCAATAAAACTGGGTCGGAGCTGGAATCGCCTCGCCCAGGCCATTCTGGATCGTCGAAGCAAACATAATTTGTCATCCGAATTGTTCAATGAGATTATCTCGTTTGGTACAAGATCTTCGCGTCCTTGGACTTGGGTTCCTTCATGTCTACAACTCTATCACCCCACTACGCCCTCGTATAAGCCTTTGATGTCATTGTTAGAAGCCGATAACTTTATGGCAAGGATCCTCTTCGTTAAAGGTGGTACACCTCTCCACACTCTATCCGTCATCATCGATGATGCCGTCGCTCTTTGTGAATCACAAGGCCGTCATCACGATGCACAAGTGTTTCGGGACATTAAAGACTCTGCCTCATCCCTCTCATCACCTCGCGAAAAACAACCAAGATCTATGCAAAGTCAGACCAGATCATCCACCGACCCCTCTGAAAACTTTGATCTAGCATGGACATGAGAAGAAGCTGCTTCCCGTCGGTGCCCTTAAACTGTCGTACATTCTCACCACCACATGCCTTAGGAGAAGGACTCAAATTCAGCGACCAGCGACTAGTTCGCTCGACTTGATGAATATATACTTGAAGAGAATGGGCACTAAGATTCACCTCGGTTCAATTGTTGCTCCACAGACGGCTCAGGACGTTTTATCAGCTTTTTATCAGCGTTCTATCACAGAAACAAACTGAAGCGCCTGTCCACCTCTCCGCGCTTGAGCGTGGAGGTTGATCATCTCCCCCGACCACTGAACATGATAGCATCAGACCCAGCATCAAACAAGGATCAAGAGAGGGCTTGATGTATCCGTCAATGGGGGCTTGGTCCGACATACACCATTTCACATCTACTATATATTTATGCTGTCAACAGAGAAGTTGGTTGTCTTCTCTCACAGCGTGCGCAGCTCACAAGCATCATACGCCTTGACCTGCCGAGGAAGGCATGGTCCGTCAACAGACAATGACCCTGGTTTCACAATCTGGGGCTGGGCGTACTTTACTAGGCTAAATGCGACCTGGCCGTAGCAGCGATGGCCTTGCAAGTCACAATCATGATAACCTCTCGAGGGCAAAGTTCTATCATGTCATTTTGAGTTCGACTGCATGGTTTACAATTCTCAAACAAGACTGACATGTCCAGGAATGCTGTGGCCCAAGGCAGATCAAAGCGGCGCCTCATGTCGATATCAGGCGACACTTGAACTGGATTGTGTGGTGAGAAGGGAGTGCATAGCTCATAGAAGACTGATACAATGTAGATAAGCATACAAGTTGCGTTGTAAGTTGTCAGCAAGCCTCGTTTGATAAGTGAAGCATGGGGTGAGCCGACATTTGCTCACCAATCCAGCCAAGCTGCTTGTCATCAAGCCCTTCGTTTCTGATTCACCCACATTTGAAAGTGGGAAACGCTGCATTATGTCATCGTTTCTGGCAAATACAGGACTTCAGATAAGCCCTTGTTATTCGTATGGCCCTCATACTGGTAGTCTGAGCCATTGTTATCCTTCGCTTTTGTCGCATATAGTGCGCTACGTCTGATAACATATCTAGCACCAACCACTACGTGCTCACCGAAGCTGCATGATTGGTTTCTCCTGAGCGGAGTGAATAGGAACACCCAGTACAGCGGACAGCTCAGCGCACGAGGTTGCGCAGCACTGACTGCCAGCCTTGTAGTGGTAGCAGCTGGTTTCTCATAGGGCTATCAAGAGCGGGCGGAAACCCAAGGTTTGTAAATCACAGCTTCACCTGCCGCGAGTGGTATATTGTTGTCCAGTCTCATCTCGTATCGAACTCCGACCCGTGATGGCGTAGTAGAATGTCCACGGCCCGTGCAGCGAGACCAAGCAGTCCATCAGCACGGGGAGCCCCTTTCTGTAGGTTCCGTTGTAGTCCTAATTGACAACTCCTTCCCACCCTCCACAACATCCTTTTGCTTCTGCTTTTTCTGCCTCCCGGAAGTGCAACAGGTCCAGGTTCCAACGGCGGAGCAGACGAACCACAAAATCAGATTCAAGAATGAAAAGCCGAGTGCAGCACGAATTCTGGCCTGACCGGGCGGCAGGTAGATGCCTCCCATGAGACCCGAGGCGATGGCCCACATACTCACGATGCTCCATTGCCATAGAAAAACTATCACCAGCCACAGACGACTCGGCATGGTGATGAGAACCTCGGCTGCGAACGACAGCGCCGTGATGATGGAGAGCACGGCGACGACGAGCGTAAAGACCTGTTTGAGAAAGAGAAAGATTGGTGTTTAGCTTTTGTGCTTGAAAAATTTTGTGTACGTTTTATTTTGCCTTTGAATTGCAACTTTTTGGAAAGGCTCGGCTAGAGAGAGAAGGCGAAGGGCTGAAGGCTGACGGGGCGGAATTCCAGACCTTCGCGACGAAGGAACAAACACTGGTGGAAAAATGGGGGTGTAGTTAACTCACCGTTCTTCCTTGGGCCACAGACCCCTCTGATAAATCGGATCCGCAGAGACTAACAGTCGTGATGCCTCCCAACAACTGCAGCGCATTCATGGACAGGTAGAAGATCCGACTGAACGGGACGTGTCGCCAGTTGATTTGCGTTTTGATCATCTTGTCTTGTTCCCGGGCATCTGATAGCGGTGATCATAGAATACAAAATTGCGTGCTGAAGTATGTACGCAGGGTCTGCTGGTGGTAACGGTTGAAATTGTTCGCCCGTTCAATGGAGAATCTTGATGATGGAGGATTGTCATCATGATATCTTTTCCTGAAGCTGATTTCCATCGATGCCTTGGGCCCCTCGGCCACCCGCCAAGGGCGTCGTTGCAAGAGGTTATCCAACCAAAACACTCTCTAGGGAGAACCGACAGGGGTCATGGGCGGCGCGTGGAGATCCCGTATTCTGGCCCAATGAGCTAAGATCAGGGACCTTGTCCCCTGGGGCTGTGCTGGAGCGTTTTGAGTGCCGTGTTAACTATCCACGAAGGTTGTTTTTTGACGAGATGCTTGCACCCAATCATTGTGGGGGGAAACCGAGTTGTCGCTGGAGCCTCGTGTCCTTTTTCTCTGACGTCCATGCGCCTCATCCTTAGCCTCTGCAAGCAATCAAGCCATCAAGCGGGTTTGACAGGTACTATGATGGTGGCATCGGAAATGATAATTTAAGATGTTTAGTCGTAAGAGAAGGGTCCAATGTGGAAAGGGGAACCCCAACGGAGCCATGGAACCTGTTTGCTGGTCCAGGTGGTGTGGTACGAAGCAGAATTTAGAAGCTTGTTCATCATCAACATTAAGCCTATGTTGTCAACCTCCAACTTGATAAAAGCCCCGTTATCAATCAATGTACCGGCAGTACTACATCAAATGCGCCGGTCCCTATGTTACCTCGCCTGCCCGCAACAATACGTGCACTAGGTCCTAGTAAAGGATCACTCTCGCCGAAGAGGACCGCGTCCTTGAGGAAGCCCATCACGGTCTCAAAACTCATCTTCGCCAGGATACTTCCTCCCTCTTTGATCAAACCATGGCGGCTGAAAGGCATGTATGAGCCGGACTGCGTCATGGCATCAGCAATCAGGTTCAAATGGCGGATGTCGACCGATATCCCGTGACCTTTGAAGACGCCATCAATTTCCTTGATAATGGTAGTGCGGGCAGCTTCAACGCCATAGAGACGAAGCATATCGTGCACCGAGTTGGTATACATGCTGTGTGGATTGATAATGTCTTGATAATCGCGCATGGCGACGAGATTGACTCCTTCAGTCGTGATAACGGGCTCCTTGACCGTCTCTTCCTTCTTAAGTGTTTCGTTGAATGCTTTGACAGGCTTTCCGTCATCTCCAACTATCTCTTCCATAAATTGCGTGCAGACCCCGAGACCAGGTATATGTTGGATGTCTGCTGCGTGGACACATTTTTCCAGGATGGGCAGGAGGAGGAGTTTGGGTGTTTTCGAGTCATAACTAAGGACAATTCTGCAAGCCTTACCATGGTACTTGCTGAAGACAAACCGCTTGAGGTGAGGGTTATCCTGTTTCAGTTGATTGTGTCGAGCTTCTGCTTCAGAGTCTTCTGCATCGAGTGTCTCCGACTCCGAATCTTCAGCAATTTCCTCACGGAGATTTTGCGGAAGCTGGCTTTTCCGTGACTTCTTCATCCGCTTCTTTCCAGGTGATTGTTCATTATCATCATCACTCACGGCATCATCGCTGGATTCATCTGCGATATCTCTTTCTTCATCATCTGGTTCATCAAATGTATCTTCTCGTCGTCTTCTGGCAGCAGTGTCCTTGGCATCATCTGGGTCTGCGTCCTCATCAATGTCATCCTCACCGCCCTCTCTTTCTGTAGTACGTGTGGCAGTCGGTCTAACATCTTCCACATGACCAACAGAAGCGCCAATTTGGGGCACTGCTGCTGTTGCTTCGGAAAGGGAAGCTTCCTTCAATTTTTTCTTGATTTCCTCGCCAATTTTCTTGGCGAGCATTGGAAGGAACTTCTTCTCGAGGCATCTCTGAACATCCGCACGCTTAATGGCATATTCGTCCTCATATTCAGCGGGATCGTACAGCTGCATAAAGACATCATACAATTTCTCGTTTCCATGCTTCGCACCCGCAGCCCGTTCAGTTACCTTGAGCTGATCAATGACTCTTGCTAGCGGAAGGCGACTAATACTCTTGGCGAAGCGTATACCATCGTCCACAGTTAGCTCCTCAATAGGTCTGAGGCTCATTGTCGGCGTCATAATCTTTGCGCTTGCTGTCATGATAATTTCACGAAGACGAGGTATTCCTAAAGTAACGTTTTTGGCTGAATGACCAGCCAAGTGGAAGGTGTTCAGCGTCATTTGAGTGGATGGTTCGCCAACAGATTGAGCAGCGACAACACCAACAGCTTCGCCAGCCTCAACAACGGATTTCATGTACTTGAGATCCATAATCGATTGAAAAGTTTTCTTGCTGACAATGCCACCAGGATTGGTTCTCTTATCCTTAATGAGCTTGTCTGCATTGTCCTTCATATACTTTGCAAGAGACGATGCGAAAGACTCTGATGTGCTGCCGAAGTTGCTGGCCGGACCGAAAAGAGTTGTTATGGGATCTCTCGTTGCTCCCCGTTTCCTTAAGGATTTCAAAACTGCCTTTTGTTCATCGCCCAAACCTTTGTTTTCTATTCGCTCAAGAACTTCCTGGGCTCTCATCAGTGTGGCGATAGACTGGTGGTTCTCGGCAAGAAATGAGAACTCTTTTAGGTTTTTCTGGCGAGTGATTTCAAGCCCATCTTCACCATATAGGAATTGAACCATGTGTCCATTCGAAGTCTCTCGCACTGATGTGTCATATTCCGTCCGGAGACCTTCCAAACCCTTGACGATACATCGTTGGAGATAGCCAGATTTCGAAGTCTTGACAGCGGTATCGATGAGACCCTCTCGACCGGACATAGCGTGAAAGAAGTACTCCTGTGGCTTTATGCCAGTCAAGAAGCGGCCGGAAACGTACCCACCCGCAACAGGGTCTGTTTCGAAGGCACGGAAGGAAGGGAGCGTCTTCCCACTGACCATTGTCGGTACACGCCGACCCTCCAAAACCTGCTGTCCCAGGTTGCAGGAGATTAAATTAGCATTGACATTGGATCCTTTCGCGCCTGATAATGTCATGGCTTGCATTTGATTCCTAGGGAAGGGTTTTCGAAGACCGCCAGGTAAGCAGAACTTGGACACGTTGTCGGTGATTGAGTTGATCTTGGACTTGTAGAGTTGATCGAGGCCGTTCAATTGATCATCGTTTCGGAGAACACCTTCTAATCGAGCTAGAAGTTGAGGATCATTCTGATCCACTTTTTCTGACTTCAGTGTTACATATTCTCTCGAAATTTCCAAGCCCATCGGTTTTGCTTTCTTCAGTTCTTCTCGGCGGAGGTTGTCACCCTCATTTGTCAGATAGAGATCATCCATACCACAGGTCCACGCCCGTTCATTGAGAAATCGAGTGAGTAATCGACCTAGAATACTCAACAGCTTCCCTGCGACGATATGTCCATATACCTCGTAGATCGAATGCACCAGCCCACCTACACTCGGGCCCATTTGACTTTTGTCGAGAATGCCGCACAGATGCTCTCCCTCTCGAAAGATGACGGTTTGTTCTGTATCCCGAAAAACAATGCTCGTGCTTGTGACATTCCACTTTTGTGGATCCTTGGATGTCGTCTCGCCCCATTGTTCCGATGAAGTGGATGATTTGCTGCTCAAATTGAGACCCCGGAACTTATCAGGCGTGATGTTCTTTAAAATTGTGGTGATCACCTGCTTTCCCGTCCATAACATCTTGGGCTTGAGAATTGCAGGTTCCACCATGTGAATCTTCTCATAGACAGTGTTATAGTCTTCAGGTCTTAGACAGCTATATAATAGTTGTTGATACTGGTCTCGGTCAAAGAATGTATCACGGCTGGTAAACTGCACGCCCATGGAAATATGATCCTGGATAAGGCCGCGCAACGGCTTTCCTGCTGTTGCAGAAAGGTACTGATGATCGGTGTCAGCGATTTGAAGGGCTTCTGTTCGTGCAAGCTCATTCTGCGGGAAGTGCATGTTCATTTCGTCGCCGTCAAAATCGGCGTTGTAAGTGTTGCAATTGGCGTAATGCATTCGAATCGTTTTTTGATTTGTCAGTACACGAGCTCGATGACCCATCATGGATGGCTTATGCAGCGTAGGTTGACGGTTCATGACCACCACGTCTCCCGTTTGAAGATGGCGGTACACTTTCTTTCCAATTTCCCCTTTCGCGCCGGGAGTTGTAATCGTGAGAAGTTGCTTAGCCAGCGCCTTGCGCTGATCTAAAGTCTTTCGCTTCAAGCTCAGAACCATGCCGTTCTCATTTTCGATAGCTGCCGCACCTGGATATTTATCCATACCGTTTATCACGGCTTTACTCAACTCTTCGAAGTTGTGGCTCGTGACCGGCTCTGGGTAAGTCAACTTTTTCGCAAATACCAATGGAACACCGATTTCATTGGTCTCGATGTTGGGATCGGGCGAGATGACGCTTCGAGCGGCAAAATTAACGCGCTTCCCCATCATATGCATGCGAAAGAGCCCTTCCTTTTTCTCCAAGATTTGTTTGATTCCTTGATCTGGCACCTTCCCAGATGCAGGCGGAGGCGAGTCTACAAGCGCGTTGACTGCTTCTTGTAGAACTATGGACGCCTGGATAGACTCATTCAGAGTCCGAGGACGTGCTGACGGATCAAATTTGATTCTCTTCATGTCTCGACTAATCGTGACAACATCATTGGCAGCGTTAATGATTTTGTTAAGCACAGCATTTGCTTGTGCCTCGAGCATCTGATTGGGGCCCTGTCTTGCTAGAGGTCGATATCGATTTGGTGGGACCAGCACGGCACTTATAAAGAACATGTCTGGCGAGACTGGAATTCGCTTGCGACCAGGGTTGGGCGCATAGATCAAGCTGATAAGCTCTTGCTCGCGTTCGAACAACAAAGTCAATGCAGCGTGCACTTCTGTAGTTGTCAAGTACTTTTGTACATCATCGACGTCTTCAAGTCCTGCGCCTTTTGATTGCGCAGTCGTTTCCAAGGCATTTCGCATTGCAATCTCTTCCTCGGCACTATACAATTCAGTGTCGTCCTCGTCGGCGTCTTGCATATCAGTATCACTGTCTTGCACGTGATTAAGGAGGGGCTTCTTCACTTCTAATCTATGCCGTCGCTCTGATTGAAGGAAGATGAGTGGATTTGGTGCTCTCATATCAAGAACACGCATGTATTCTCTTTGCATAGTCGGAAGCGGTTTCCTGAAGATCTTGACGGCCCTGTCCTTTCTGTAGGTGACACTAGCACCTCCACAGTGGCCGCATTTCTTGATCAATGGAATCTCCCTCAGCACTTCAAGAATCACCTCTTTCCGAGCTGCTATTGCCACAGGGTTATTGATCAGCGCTGAGCGATCAAGTGGAGACTTCCTCCTTGCTCGCTTAATTGCTTTATTCGTTGCTTTTGTTCTGCGGGCCATGAGATCTTCGATGTCTTCCTCCTCTTCCTGCTCGAGAACATCTTCAACAATATCGTCCGTTTTGGGTCTCTTCGGGCGCCGTCCACCAAGATGTATGCCCTTGACAATTTGGTAATCCTCAACAAGCCCATACTGCAGCAGCCGTAAGGAGCAAACTGCCTGGTTTATGAAGTTTGGAACTGCCTTGAAGCGGTGGCAGTAGGCGCACTTCGCTCGGAGAAGTCGTAGTGTAGAGTCAATGTACTGGGGGTGATAACAGGTGATTGGCAGATCAATATGCCCACAATGGCCAGAGCAGTGGATGGCATTCATGCGACATGTCGAACAGCTGTCTGTGCGTCAGCAGAAAACCTCTATGGACTGATGGTATAACTCACTTTATATCCAAGGCACCTATTGCTCCTAGAGCAGGATCATGAACACCGCCAGGCACGGGGCCGAATAATGAATCCAACGCTGGAGAAACATGTACTCTCTTGGCTGAGAGACGTCGGATCTCATCGGACTGGAGTCTGGAGAAGGCGAGACCGCCTGTCGCTGAGGCGATCGGTTTCGTATATCCTGCCATTGCCATTGCGCATCAGAGCCATAACCCAGAAGAGAGCTTTGACTGAAGGCAGGAATCACTCGCTCAATGTCGAGCCAAAATTATTTCTTGAGCCTTTGCGGGGATCTGTCTCACGAAACTTTTTTTTGGAGATTCGGTCTTGGCCAATTTGGGCAAGGTATCTAGGGTGAAGTATACACGGTCCGAAGGATACTACGGTGCATCATACACTAGGATTCTGCCCTGAAATTGGTACGTTCAAGATAATTGCACGTGTCTATTTTCTTTACCCTTAGCCCCGAAGCCTGGCCATGACTCAGAGTGCGGAGGCATGCACGATACCTAGATATCAGTAATGCTGAATGAATCTCACCTTGAGTTCGGCAAGGATCTCAATGTAATTTGTATCTTCTACCGTCCTGGCTACTCTACCTCTCGTTCTCATGAGCTCCAAAGCTAGCTTCCAGCTGAGGCGCCTCATGGATGGACTAGAGTACAAGTTTATCCTGTGAAAGGGCGAAGGACAAGCTTCTGTCTACGCTCGTGAAGATGGCGCAGTAGATGTTATCTACCACGACTTGTACGGATGGTCCACATGGCAACAATCGGATTGTGGTGCTGAATCAATCTTGACCGGACGTGTGTGGGAGACACTTCCACGCGACCAGGGAGATATTCCAACGGAAGGCGTTTGAGTCAGTCGAAAAGGTCCATAATCATACGTCTATGTGTTGGAGTGTCAAAAGTAGACCCGTGAAAGACATGGGCAGGAAACTGCAGGATGGACGACACTTGGTTCGTATCTTGCCAGAGCCGTCTCTCATGGACCCTTGATGGTTGCTGTGAGAAATACAGAAAATTGGCCATAAATACCAGGCGTTGCACAGTCAACCAGATTCGGTTTTGTGGACAACCCTTTTCATCCTCTCGGCCGTGTATTTTCTGTTATCAGCGAAGTTGTCGCATGCTGGGGCCACACAACAATTGGTCATGTTGTGTTGCGTTCCAGCGTTCCGCTCCTCGTAACCGCCCTACAAATGCGAAGCTCGACATTTCCTTTGCACTTAGAGCCATAAGAACCTGATCACTCCGGTGGGACGGCTGGGTTGCAATCAGGTGAGGGACATCGTGCGTTCAAGCAGAAAACGACATAGTTTCGACCTTACATCTGCCCACCATGTCTCCGAAAACGGCGGTGTATTTCCACGGAAAGCACATATGAAGACAGGTTTCAGCATATGTGCAATTAACAGGTCGCCGGAACTGAGTTCTAACCGAACATTTTCGCTGCTAGTACTTGTTGCCGAAAAAAAAAGGGTTTGACGGGGGGGCCATGGCGCCATCTATTCCAATACAAGCGACAGAGAGCGGCATGAAGCACAAACAGCGCCAGCAAGTGGTGGAAACGTGGAAAAGTCGGGGGCTTTAGACTCCACTGCCTCAATGGATGTGGTTTGGAGGAAACCATGATGGTTTGGGCTCTACGGCGCTTCAGCCACTTATGAGACTGAATTCAGGGACAACAGATAGCAAGAGAACCCTCGGAGAAGCAGTTCACAGTAGACTTACATATGGATTTCCTTATCTCTGAATCGTATCGGAATTTTGGGGTGAGATCAATCCTTATCTCTGTCGATATCAATGGGTCCACTCTGGATGTCTTGGCACCAAAGCCCTCAGCCTTCCCTCGACATTTTCGTCCTCCTCTGCTACCCCCGGCTTAGCTATCCGCAATTCCAGCTGCGATTTCAGACAAGCTGAGGAGATCTCTGGGGCTGTTGGTAGACTTGGCTGGCGTACTATATGCTCGATCGGCCTCTTGAGTAGACCACCTCTGCATATCGTAGACGTAGATCATCTGGTCGCGGATCGCCCCAGTGGTATTGAAAGTTACCGGGATAGGGTACTATGTCTTGAGACATCAAAAAACTCTTCCTAAGCCCTGATCCAGTGAATTTCCAAGTTACTTCATCGGTGCACATGTGCACAAGCTCGATACGCCATAGAAGTCCGTTCCTCAGGCGTCAGTATCTGTTGCATGTGAGGCTGACATCTGTAAACGCGGGATGATTCGGAAAGAGAACAAGGCGTATCACGGAACAAGAAGCGAATGATGTTTGATCTAGAACGCGGTACGGAGTAATTCGATTGTGGGAAGACTTCCAGGTGCACCATCTCCGTGGCATTGTGGCATTGTGTTAATGACGGCATTTGATGTGTTAAAACCGCGGAGACGGTGAGATGTGTCCCAGATCTGCTCGTCGACAAGCCAATCAACGGGGTCCATTCCATCGACGAGGCCTAGCGACCTGGATCTGCGGCGTGGAGGGTGATAAAGGGGAGACCCAGACTCGCTCCATGAACATTCGGATGTCACTGATATGGAGTCTTGGCGCCTCGGCACTGATAAACGCCAAAGCACCATCCTCACCATCCTCAACACATTACGGTAATTGCACCATACATGCGCTGTGTTATATTTATGCTGAGGGCCTCGCGATGATGGTAGGAAGTTTGTCTTCCTTCTTCACCATTGCTTGGTTGACAGCGGGATTGCACTTACCAGATTCCTTTGCAGTGAGACATTGTTGATTCAGCCGCAACACCTCATATTCGCCCATCATGTTCCCAGCCTCAGTTCTCTGGCGTGCGCCAGAGGTCAATCCGATCAATTACAAGGCTCGTTCCATACCAGCACTCAATCCCTTTGACATGTATGGCCGAGTTTTCTTCTTTTCCTGGTTTGGCTTCTTCATCGCCTTCTGGTCCTGGTATGCCTTTCCCCCGCTTTTGACGGTCACCATCAAGAAGGATCTGCACATGAGTACCGTCGACGTCGCCAATTCAAATATCGCCGCCTTGACTGCAACACTTCTCGTAAGATTCATCGCTGGACCATGCTGTGACCGCTTTGGTCCGAGATGGACATTCATTGGAACCCTGCTGCTCGGATCCTTACCCACCGCCCTGTCCGGTACCGCCAACAGCGTCGGTGCTCTTATCACCATTCGCTTCTTTGTCGGCATCCTCGGAGGGACTTTCGTACCCTGTCAAGTCTGGAGCACGGCATTCTTCGACAAGAACGTTGTTGGCACCTCCAATGCCTTGATCGGAGGTTGGGGAAATTCCGGAGGTGGAATAACGTATTTCCTGATGCCCGTGATATTCAATTGTGAGCAAGCCTCGTCGTTCTTGGAGAGTCCTATTCATGCTAACCTACCCATCTAAGCTCTTGTACACGATCGTGGACTGACACCGCATGTCGCATGGCGTGTCGCCTTCATCATTCCATTCATCCTCATCATTTCAACGGCCTTGGGAATGATATTTTTCTGCCCAGACACGCCAACAGGAAAGTGGAGCGAGCGACACTTGCACACAGCTCAATTATTAGCGGTGCAGGGTGTTGGCACCAGGACTGATTCCAAAGGCGTGGTCATGGATGAAGTTTCCAGCAGCGGCGTTTCGACACCAAGAGTGGACGAGGAGAAGGGTACCAAGCCTCCTCCCCCTACCACGCGCAACCCCGAGGCTCATATGCGGGAGGGTGAGATGTTTGAGATTGCACAAGGAGAGGTCATTCTGAAGCCCACATTCAAGGAAGGCTTGAAAGTGTTCTTCTCCTTACAGACTCTCTTCCACTGCGCCACTTACTTCTGTTCCTTCGGCGGTGAACTGGCCATCAACTCCTACCTAGGTGCTTATTACCTGAAGAACTTCCCCCATCTCGGCCAAACAGGCTCTGGTCGGTGGGCAGCCATGTTCGGCCTATTGAATGTGGTCACTCGGCCACTAGGAGGTGTCATTGGCGATGTCATATATAAATACAACAAATCTCTCTGGGCCAAGAAGGCGTGGATTGTGTTTGTGGGCATCGTCTCCGGCGCCTTCCTCGTCGCAATTGGCCTCACAGATCCGCACCAAGAGGCGAAGCTCTTTGGTCTAATCGCTGGTATGGCCGTGTTCCTCGAGGCAGGCAATGGTGCCAATTTCGCACTCGTGCCACATGTCCATCCCTTTGCGAATGGTATCCTGTCCGGCATCACTGGCGCCGCGGGCAACTTGGGTGGCGTCGTCTTTGCCATCCTGTTTCGTTTCCATGGCACCAACTACGCGGAGAGTTTCTGGATTTGCGGTGTCATGATCATCGCAATGAACATTTCGGTTTCGTGGATTAGGCCCATTCCCAAGGACCAAATCGGAGGGCGCTGATTTTTCTATTATTCTTTGGAAAGCGCATGTGCCATTTGGTTGCTAGATGTGGGTCTTTTTGTTGGCTAAGCGGGTTGCGTGTAGCCTGGCAGACGTCTTCGTGGAATACCCCCCGTTCAAAATCACGAATAGATATGATGACGACGAAGTAAGGATAGAAAATGGTCATGGATCTTCTCGGACATGTGGTGCTGGAGCAAGTGTGAGATTGGTGTAACGAAAGACAAAAGTTCAAATACTACTAGGACCTAACTGATCTCCGTGGAGTTATGCGAACACAGAGGCCGACGCGACCGGGACGGTCCCCATTCCTTTTCGCTAATTACGTCGAGTGTATCACGCAATTGGGTAAATCTATGCCCTAGTACTCCGTACATACATTCAGTAACCTTCCTCGGAAGCTTTTGGCCGTCAGTGTGCCAGGGTTGCTAAAATTGGCGGAGAGTTTCGTAGAGCCTTGAACAAGGGTGGTTTGACGTCCCATGTTTCCCAAAGGTTCAGGGTATGGTCCTCAAGTTCTCTCGCATAAGATGGTGAACAAAATGAAACAGTTCTCGAGAACAAGTGGTGATACCTTACCAAGCAAAGATCGGATCAGCATCAAAGAGGCGCATTATTGACTATACCCATCAAGCAGTGGGATGCTCAAAAGAAATCGTGCTGTGTCGCTCTGGTAAAAGGTGCGCCCCGCATTTCTGGTATTCTGCGTTTACCCATAGTATGCAAGATAACAAAGGTAAAGAAGAGCCTTACGCAAATTTCGGGACGCATCCTCATTTCGTAAGGACAGCTTTCAAGCGCTTTTCTAATTCGCTCAGATGGAGGTATAACGAGATCGCTAGAAATGCATACAACAGACAACCACCCTGTTCCCTAATTTTCAGAGCCATCCCTCAAGAGGCGCAAAATGTGCGCTATGATCCACCCATATGACCTCGTAACAACGTGGCAAGCATTCCTGGCCTTCCTGTTCGTATTTCACTCTGGCTTTGGTAATCTCCAACTTGTCCTGATCCCAAGTTTAAGTTGAAACAAATCCTGTTTGGTTTCGGAGATCAATTCTGGCTGTCTCTTCTTGATTCCTGCATCTGTGCCTCTCGTGTGAGGCCATGGTCACTCAGTGTATGTGTATGTATCTTTCTTGTACTCGTATCTTACATCATTCCCCGTTTGTTCCTGCCGCATTCGAGTGCCTGGAACTACCGCTAGAAGGAAATCAAGAGTCGAGATTATATGGGGCTAGGGACCTCCCTTTTCTGTGATGGTCCACTCTTGCTTGACTCGGATCGCGCCTGGGGTATGGGTGGTGTCGAGGCTGATTGTGTCATCATGACTCGCGTCACTCTCGATCTTGTTAACGTGAGACAGCTCGACAATGCTCTCGTTCTCGTTTCGATAGTAGGCGGCGCCTCTAGAAAAAGGGTCGGACGTGTGATCACGTCGCGTGCTTGTGAGAAGGCGTGGGAAGATGAGGGAGATGAGAGGTCGCAAGGCCGGGATACATGAGCAAGCAATTCCCACGTTGAGTTCACATGAACTCCAGGTGGCTGCTCCGACATTATCGTAGGTCAGATCGGTAGAGATGCTGGCAATGTAGAGGGCGTGAAGGCGCAGAATAGCTGTGATACACCCACTAGTGCCTCCGTCAGCCTTGGTCAAACTAGATGAGGTCAATTGTTACACATACAAACCACCCAGCGCAAAGACACCGATCAAACTGTATTTTTGCTTCCTTGGGAGCTGTAGATTCTTCAACACCGGCATCGGTAATAGCCAGACAGCCAGGTCGGTGACGATGTTGAATGCCGAGAAGGCGAACCAGAAAGCCATTAAATTGATGCAGTGACCACCTTCCACAGTCTTATCCCAGTAGAAGGGGACTGGGAGACAAGATACGGTTGACGTGACGACCATCACAATTCCACCAACCGTGACAATCCCTATCAAGCCCCACGCAGCTCTTCGATAGCTTCTGGCAACAAAGAACCTGAGGTATTGATACAGGATTGAGTCTTTGACGAACATGAGCCCAAGGTTGTAAACGATGACACTTGCATACAGCAGCTTGGACTAGATGAGCGACAGTCTGGAAGGCAGGGTAATATTGACTAACCTTCGATAACATTTCATTATCCTCCGTGCTGACAGTATCAGCATGTCTTCCCAGGCCATACTCCCGCTCTACCCTCTGGAATCAGCTGTCAGTCTTTCTGATACACGGTTCGAGCACTAACGAAGGCCTATAGTCACTGTCGTGCCAATCGACAGCAGGACTGCAATGATGGCGAAATAGTCTTCCGTTCCAGCTTGCTTGATGACCAAGAAACGAGAAATGCACCGAACCACGACGAAGAGAAGTGCCAACCCAGTGAACGCCGAAGCCGTGACAACAGCTTGCATACCACGGTCGAGACCCATCTTGCTTCGTCTGTTGGCAATTTCTGACAGCGCCGAGGGTCTCGAACTTGGACGAGGTTCAGGACAAATGGGTAGTTATAATTGTTCAGAGTCAAGACCGATAGGCCTGGTCTTTGGTTTGAAGGGTGAGCTTGGTATCTCCACCGCCCCGGACTCCCCACGCAAGCAAATCGCACGTCCAAGAAAGAAAAAGCGTTAGGACAGGGGAAATTGGCGGGAGGCAGTCTAGTAAAAAGCATATTTTGTGGCAATCTTCCCGTCAATTCGGGCAAGGTCTGCAGAGAGACAAGTGAGCTCCATTCTGCAAACTCCATTCCGGGGTATAGAGTGTGGCTAGCCACGGACAAATGATGAGACTGGTTCAAAACTGTCTGTGTACGGGCTAATGTTGGCTGCTTCAATAGGGGCGTGGTCGAGCCCGCTAAATATCTTCCCCGAGCCGTGCCCTGACGTTAAAGAGTCCATAAGCGAGCGAGTTGGACAAATACGAGGCAACCCAGTCGACTCGTCGTCCGCGCCTCGTCGAGCACTAGGTCACAGCAATTCGTAGCTGATGCGCCCCCAAATTTTGAACAATTAGGCTGTCTTCCCCTAACCGCATGGTGGTTGGGTCCCATCCTGTTTGAATGAACAAGAACTGAGTGTTAGTCCCTCCACATCTGCACCGTCCTCGTGGGGCCCGGGGCATCGGCCTGCTGGGGTTGACGGCCTGGAGGAATCACCCAGGGAGCGAGGAACCATGACATCCAGGGACCTACCGGCAATCTCTGACGGTGGGGCCATCCCTAGTCGGCCAGCCGGGTGCCGAAGGTTTGACCACCATGTGGGATAGTGCGTATCCAGGCTGTATCATGCCCAAAGAATCGCCGATCTTCAGTGGGAGAAGTCCAGAGTTTGATTTCAGGTACGAGGCACTCGTCGAGCCCTTGCACATCAGCGACAATTGTCGAATACAGCTGTGATGAGTTGCAAGTTTGCAATCCCTCCATGACGCCTCTGAGGATTCACCTGGACATACACAGGGATAGTCAATATACCTGTCACGCAACCTCGTCATCTCGACACGGGAGAAAGAACCAGCGGGGGACTTATGTACTAAGGTCCGGGGCAGAGACGCTTCATATTTCATGATTGCTCTCACAACAGGAGGTGATTCGTATCGTCTTCAACGAAGCGCCTGGCGACCCGTGGCGAGTCGAGTTGCCAAGCTCAATTACCTTACGGCCAGCACCAGAGTACGGATGACTTCGGGGAATCGAAAACGACAGAGATTCGTCTTGGTTTCTAGCCAATGTTGTACATTCTGGTGCTTTTCTTGGGTGAAAGTAGTGACGTGAGCACTCGCTTCGTCGTCCATGAGATGTGCCTCCGTCAAGAAGCAGGGCACCCCCACAAGGAGCTGCTGGAGGAAAAGCACGGGCACCCATAATTATCCAGCAACGAATTGCTCTAGAAGGACAAGGGTTCACATCTTCCTGCCGCTGCAACTCCTTGAAGGAATTCGTCCTGGTGATTAGGTTGCTTGGCAGGCTTCCTTGACCTGACGCTTAACCAGATCGCGCCAGAGGCTTGACCGGCTTCCAATCCGACTTCTAGAGTACTCCTGAGTTCGACGGTGAGTTCGTCTACAGTAGGTAGGCTTGGGATGCCTTTCGAATACGAGGTTCAGGGATGGGCTTTGCAGGTACGGGATATGGAGCAGGGAAGGCGCACGGCGCAATCGATTTCTTGTGGTCGACGGTGCTGCTGTCTCTCCGTCCTCGCCTCTTTGCATTCCATACGAGGTTTTCTGGAGAGTCACGACGAGTAATCCTTACGGGCTTGTAGGTCACTAACCAGGGTCCCCTTAGACCGGTCCCTCTCACCTTTATCTTTGAGTCCGAAGCAGCAAGGCTCCTATTCCTGCCGAGGTCCGTTTGTCGAAGCACTCGTATCGAGTACCGCCGTGGAGGCGCTCTGCAAATCGTGGCCCCAGCTCAGAAAAGAGAGGCAAACTTAGATGTCGTGTGGCTGTAAGGGTACGCGTGGTTGAGTTTGAACACGTCATGTAAACTTTCCGTAAATAAAAGGTCTACGTGCCTCTTTTTGAGAAGTTCCCTTAAACAGCTGTCTGCCATCGCGAGGTCGTCGCTTTACCCGTCTACCCGTCTACTTAGTACTCGTCGGCGTTGGTTCCACTCTTGATGGCCTACGGAGTGCTGATACAGTATTTAATATTCGGGAATTGCCTCATTTATCGAATCGGGTGCCTTTTTTCCCCGTCACACTAGTCAACGGTGCCAGCTCTTCTACACCGGACTTGGCCCTACTATTGGCCTGCAACATGGTACAAGGGGCGTTCCAGCCTCAAGCGGGACAAATCCTCGGGTTTATCTCCCTTTTTAGGAGCAGCAAGTTACGAGGTTGACATGGAGCTACAGGAGATGCTAGATTGTCTCTGTGAGTGATAATACGACGTTGTTTCATCCTAAAAGGTATCCATGCCATGCATATCTCGTGCTTCAGGACGAGAGACTCGTGAACAATATCTATCACATGTAGGCGGAGCATCGGAAACCCACATTTTTTCCTGTGGCTGCCATCTATCTACACATCATTCAATGTTAGTAGATGGCCCGAATCTTTCTATACGTTCCAATTCACGCCCCCATGACACTGAGTCTCAAGCCAAAACTGATTCGACTTCCATTTGAGCGAGCCAAAATAGGTATTCAAACTCATCTCATATGTCCAGCAAGACAGCCCCTTTCGCCGCTGAACACCATGCCCTCTCTGGGACACGCATCAGATGATATGCACGGGGGTCAGAAGATATATTTGCTGCACTAGTTGATTAAGACATGAATTGATATTTGCTGAGGGTGCTATCCTGGGTCGTACATGCTGCGGGACCACTTCAGTCATATCGTTTAAATCCAGAAGGCAATCATGCCAAATGCATCATCAAGATGTACAACACACAAGGGACGCTTCTCCAGAGTGAATTGGCTCCGACATCCTGAACAATTGGCACCGTCCTTCGAATCCAAGGGACCCCGGAAGCTCCGTGAACAATATTTGAATATCAGTGCAAGGCTGAATAATCCACCCAGTGTTACCCGGCCTAACCTGCATCGTTGTACCGGTTCACACCGCGTTTGATCGAGGCCCCTGCTTCATTTCCCTAGCCGGGCCCGGGATAACCTGGATGCCGTCCGCAGCTGTCGTAGCATTGACCCCTGAGCTTGTCGAGGTCTTGACCTCAGCCGTCGCCCCTCTGGGCGTTGTCTCTTCATCGTCGACATCGTGAAGGGCCTCACCCTCGGCGTTCAACTTCGTCCAGACGATGATGATAGCCACGTAGATGACAACTACCAAAGTGGCTATAGCACCGTATGCTACTTTTGGCCATTGTGGCCACTTTGGTCCGGGAATGGATTCGGCGAAATGGAAGCCCAGCCCACCATTCACAATTCCGGCCGCCAGCAAGAAACGGCCGAGCCACAGGTGAACATATCCGACATATCGAACGTTTGGATATCGTTCAAACAAGTAGTGGTTGAGCAACTCAGTCACTGGTTGCACGGCCATGAGTGCGAAGATAAATATGCCGATTATCGGGTGATATTTACTTAGCTGCAACCAACTAGTGAGCAACACACTCTCGAACAGGGTGATACCACAATATCATCTGACCCATAGAGCTACTACTTACTGCGTGAAGGTGCTTTGCTATGTATATTCCCATCCCTGCAGCTGCGGTGAAAAGAACATAGCCGACTCCCTGCAAGATAACATGAACCCACACGATATAAGAATATCTCTCAAGCCGAGGATCGAAGATGCGAATAATGACGCCTCCGATGGGGAAGAACAGCAAGAACGCGCTTGCTGCAAGTGCGGCGTGCGCAATTCGCATGGGAAGAACGTTCTTTGGTATGCGAAACACCCACTCTGGGATTTGCGGTGGCTTCGTGCCAGTTGTTGGCCAATTTGGACGCCAATGTGGAGGGCCGGCACCAATGGGAGGCCAACTGACCGTTGGAAATGCGCCACTTGACCACGCTGACGAAGGTATTATAGCATCGGTAGGAGGCCATGGAGGTGCGCCTGCGCCAGTTAGAACGGCCTCTGTCGGGAATGTAGCCGACGACGTCGTTGGCGTCGTTGGCGTCGCTGTCGAGCCTTTCGGCCATGGTGTTGCGAAAGTAGTCGGGGTTTGAGACAAAACGAGAGTGGGTGGAACTGCTACATGTATCAGCACAGGCAAACATTCATGCTCGTCTTTCTCTGGGGCACGCAACTTTTGCGCTTTCCTGTAGAAAGCTCCTTAGGTCACATACCAGTGGACAGCAGCAAGTTGATCAGGGATTTAGTCTTCATCGTGGCTGTATCTGACGTCGAACCGTGTAAAGGATTCCCTGATAAGTCAATTCCGCACGTTGGAGCAACAAGACGCAATTAAGATAGATTGATCAAATCCATTCGTCTCCCGCATACTTCTGTTTCGATTTCTTGCATGCAAAGGTTCGAACGCGATCAGATCACCTTGACCGGCCGATTGGAATGTGGACACCGCAACCAGCCGCAACCTGCAAGCAGACATTCTTCTAGAGCACGTTCATTCGCCAACCCCAGAAAATTCAGAGAGGCTTCTCGAAACAGACGACTGTTTGCGAATGTTGTCTTTATTCATGATTATACCATGATGTCAATCGTCAGATGATATCCACCACGACCTTCTTTCCATTGTCAATTTCAATCTGCATTGACCACATCCGGCATTGCACTCTGCCCATTCTTCGCCCACCATTGGGCCCAGTTGACCACTTTTCTTTCCCTTCTGGCCTCCTCTGCTGCAAAGACAACCGCATGACTCAGGATGATTTCGGCAAGATCACAACCCACCAGTTCTCTCTGTGCTTGTGTGACATCCATTGTACCTTCATCAACGTTCTGTACAGCTTGAACGAATGCACCTGCCAAACCCCAATCGCCCCCACCATGGCTCTTCTCGACCTCTGGGTCTTGTTTGGGGATGTCGTGCATGGTTGTTACGCCATCCTCGAAGTTATGTACCGTGATTGTGTGAGAATCGTAGGCTATCTCACCCAATGAACCATAGATCCTGCCTCGGCGTTCACATTGAGACTGAGTGGGGTAAGTCATGTGGAAAAGTGCCGTTTTTGGTCCCCTGCCTCTCTCATAGCCGGGCAGGGGATCGTCTTCCCAAGCCAGGGTTACAGTTTGATCGTCCACGACGTCGTTGTCAGATTCGTAAACACATCGACCGTACCAACTTCTACTAGCAATCTTATCATCAGGCGTTTGAGCTTTGTCATAGTCTTCTCCTAGCCTTTCCATGAGTTGATCTTCCGCCGAGCTCCATCCTTGGTGTTGAACAATATCTTCGATCTCAGGGACCACAATCTTTAGAGGCCAGCCAGTGTCCTTTTCTGTCCGAAGCCACCTATCACGGTATATCTTCTTCGCAGAATATATGCAATCAGGCTCGGCGGGGCAAGATAGACAATTTGTGGAGAGGGCTGCCTTTTTCGGTTTCCTTGCCCTTCGAAAATGTGTTACAGCCCCTGTGCTAGAGATGGTAGAGGGAAGGTGGGGTTGATTACCAGTAAGGGAGCTCGGTGAGCAAAGGAGCCAAAGAATAAAATCAATATCATGCCCAGACTTTGTCAGCAGTGATCCCACTCCTTCAGGTGTTGCACGGCGCCAATTGCCCCGCACGTAAGAATGTGAGAAGTGCCACCAGCCGATGGGCTCAGTATGCTCAATTGAGACAATCTCACCAATGACCTTCTCGGACGTGAGGAGTCTGCGCAGCATGATATTGTGTGGTGAGTAGTGCAGGACATGGCCAATAGACACGACCTTGGGTGGGTATTTGGAGAGGGCTGACGAGATCGAGAGACAATCTGACAGTGAGATGGCCAGTGGCTTCTCGCACAAGATGTGCAGGTTCAAAGGCACAAGTGCTCGAATGATGGGTGCATGGCTCTCATCAAGTGTACAAATGAACACACCCGTGATTGGGATATAGCAAACAACCTCCGAATCGTTTCGCCTGCGTATTTCCCACTCAATCCACTCTTGCCACCCAGCAAAGCATTGATGTGGCTGCGGTGTCCCGTCTCTTCCCCAGATATATCTCTGCCCAAACTCTTGTCTCTTGAAAGGATCGACCTCAGCCACAGCAGCGATAGATCCTGAAGTCGAGGCCTCCACCGCCCGGGCGTATGCATTCCCTCGAGATCCAGCACCGATTACTAGGAACTGGGGCGGGTCATGGAGAGGTGTGAGAGAACCCATCATTAGCCAGATTCTAGGTCATAAGATGGTAGGAGGAAATGCAGGCCAGCTGCAGCCAAATGCGGTCGACCCTGGTTCACAAGTATTCTGTCCATGTCACCGCCTGGCGGCACGGCTGGGGCACTTGGTGGGGGTGGTGGTGGTGTGGTGATGAGACTGTGAGATGCAACGTCAATAAGCAGCACGTGATTGGTCAGCCTTGCTCGGGTATATATACATCCGCAAGGCTGCGAACGTTTGCTGTCTTTTGAAATGCCTTTGCCCAAGTTCTCCCCTCAGCTCGCTTGTTTCAAGCCTCTAATTTCCATCATTTCCTGCGAGGCATTATCTACCAGGCTCATCGGGATCCATAATGGGCCATGGAAATTGTGCAAGTCAGTTTGTTATTGGTTTTCTGGGACCACAAGAATTTATCGTAGCTGTTGCCAGCCGCCTGACGGAGTCTTGACACCGTGCTATATCAAAACGATGTTGCTGAGCCGGCGGTGGGCCGACACGACAACCCTGGGGCATCTGGAACGTTCGTTTCGAGTATGCATGGATTTACTATCAACAAACCCTGGCCTCGCTGGTAAAAGACGGGTGACTACTACTCCTTTCTCTGGGGCAGTGAAGGCTTCCTTCTGGAGGGGCGGCACTTCCAAAGGCGTCTTTTTCAACCTTTGTGACCTGCCGGAGTGGTTTCAAACAATCTTAAGATCTGGCCGCGCTCCTGATGAATCTCAGTTTAGGAAGATGGAGAAATTCTTTGCCGCTGTTATGGGTTCTCCCGATCCTTACGGTAGACAGCTCAATGGAATGGGCGGTGGAGTCTCCTCTCTCAGCAAGGCCATGGTGGTTGGACCACCCACCCAGCCTGGTGCAGATATCGAATATACATTCTTCCAAATAGGAATCAAGAATGGAAAACTAGACATGGCCGGGAATTGTGGGAATCTCAGTGCCGCTGTTGGCCCCTTTGCCTTGGATGCTGGCATTTATGCAGCCCGGGATCCAATTTCAGATACGAGTGGGCAGCCGCTCAAAGATCGACAAATGACGATGCGAATGAGAAACACAAACACCCAAAAGATCATAGAGTCTACCTTCAGGACCTTCTTCACCAATGGCCACTGGCAATTCCAGCAACTTGGAGATGCCACGATCGACGGAGTTGCGAGCACGGCATCCAAGATCACCCTCTCATTTCTTGACCCGGAAGGCTCTAAGACTGCAAGTGCTTTCCCAACGGGAAACCTGACCGATATCATTGATGTGGGCAGCTTCTCTGTTGAAGCATCATTGGTTGATGTGAGCAATCCTGGTATCTTTATCAGAGGAAACGATATTGCATGGAAGCCAAATGCCACTCCGGAAGACATGAACGCAAATCAGCCTCTGTTGGACACACTCGAAAAGATTCGTCGGAGAGGCACAGAAATCATGGGACTAGATCCTAACATCAGCAGCATCCCCAAGATTGTCCTGCTTTACCCACCTACAACTGATAGAATGGATATTACTTGTCAAGCGCTTTCGATGGGGCAAGCGCATAAAGCAGTCCCGGCCACCCTTGCTTTGAATCTGGGCGTTGCATGCAAGCTAATGGGGACCATTCCATTTCAACTATCACAACACCTCCATCTGACGAATACCATTATTGGGCATCCCTCTGGCACCCTAGAAGTAGGCGCAACGATCGAAAACGGCAAAATCAAGAGTGCCAATCTTATCAGAACCTCTAGATGTCTCATGGATGGGTATGTCAACACCCTGAATGGCGATGAGAAGCACACAAATCAGTGAACTCTACTTTTAAACGCGTCGCCTCGGTGTCCAGTATTAATCCAATCAATCTTGAGCTACTGCAACATATCATATCCATAGGCGACGTTTCAGACTTCTCTTTGAGTACTCGAGGTTGAGCTTCTTGTTCGAGCGATTTCCGCTGCATGAGCTCCAGCGATGCGCCCGAAAACGGTTCCTGCGGTCAACCCGGAACCCCCAGGATAGTTCGAATAAAACAAACCGCCCAATAATTCTCCGACACCGTACAGGCCTGGGATGGGCCTTCGAGTGGTATCTGATATAACGCCGGCAGTCCCTGGGTCGACTTGTAAACCACCAAAGGTGAATGTTACACCACAAGTAATTTCCACAGCTGTGAAGGGACCTCGCTCGATTGGGAGCGCCCAGTTCGATTTTGGCAAAGTCAATCCTGTCTTGGACGACTGCGTGGACATCCCATCCTTTATTGATGGATCCCATCTTTTATCTGGATGCTCGTCACGAAAACAGTGGACTGCTCGATTATACTCATGGATCGTGTCGACAAATTGCTTTTGGTTTCTCAACCCACGATTCGCGAGTTTGTCCGCGAGTTCCTCCAGAGTTTCCGCTCTTGTATTCATTGTTACCTCGTCGTCGTATTCCTCCTTCCGAAGCCACTTTGATCCCTCATTGTCCCATACCTGAAATGCCGTCGACGCAGGCTGTTTCAAAACCTCTCTGCCGAAGATGGCGTAGGTGAAATTGCGCAAATCAACCCCCTCATCAACAAATCGGACGCCGTCTATATTCAACATGAGTCCCAAAGGATACCCTGACTTTGTGTACTGATTGGTCAACTGCCGATTTCCTCCGTTCGCAGGCGAATCTGCATCCCAGCAAACAGAATGACAGCCGGAATAATTTCCCGCTACCTGGGCACTGACTTTGCCTGCCATGCGGTGACCATCTCCGGTGCTATACTTGCAGCCACGCACATGTGCAAGATCCCACCCTGGTCCTAAGTATTGTGCCCGCAATGCTGGTGATGCTTGAAACCCTCCGCATGCAAGGACAATGCCTCCATGTGCCCGAAATCGTCGTCTTTGTCCTCCCTGAACGACTTCCAAACCGACGACGTCACCCATACTATTTCCAGATCCATCATCCACAACCAAGGAAGTTGCAGGTGTCTCCCAGAATATTTGCACACCATTGCGTTTTGCCAGGTCAACATGCCAATCCACTAGCGCCTTCCCACCTCCAAGGAAAGCCGTAACCATGCCTCCCCAGAATTTGTAACGCCCGTCAACCTCGTATGCTTGTCGATGGAAAGCTAGATGCCATTTTCCTCCGTTGTCAGCAATCCATTGGATTGCTTCTCGACTCCGATCAACGAGGACTTTCGCTAGCTCTGGGTCCGACCTATTCTTGCATACTCTTTTGAGATCGGCATGGAAATCGGCCTTACTGTAGGGCTTGACGTCGATCTTCTCTAATAGATCCTGGGGTAGGCCTTTAGTCCCGTCATCCTTGGACAGAATTGGTAGTAGATCTTGCAGTCCATCAAAGCAATACCGATATGCGCCGGCGGTGAAGAAGGTGTTGCCTCCATTCTCTGACTCTGGAGCCTTCTCAACTAACGCCACCTTTGCTCCACATTGAGCGGCGGTTGTGGCGGCGGAAAACCCAGCATTCCCACCACCGACCACAATGACGTCGAAAGTCTCGTCGAACACTAGCATGGCCTGTTTCTTGGATACCAAGAAATTCGCTTCAAGGATTCGATTCCGCTTATGATGAATGCAAAAGCCTGTTCAAGTCTGTTCAAAACTGATATTAATGAGTCGAAACGGGCCACACCCTGAGCAAGACCGAGGTCGGCAGCTGTTCTCCAAATCCATGATGCCTGCAGCGGAGATTGATACTCCGACCAAACAGCGACGTCGCACGGAGATCTTCCGAATAGCGCAACCTCATATCCCTGCTTGTCAGTAATGATGCTGGGTGGTGTTCCATTGAGAACTTCACGAGGTCCTGCACAATATCTTGTAGCCGCTTTGACGCAGTCGTTGGAAGAAATTATTGGCACTGTTGATGACCGCGAACGTCTTGCCGAGTCTTTCCATAGGGCTTAGGTGAATTGCCTTAGGCGAAGGTCTGTCTACTACAACCCCCCACGCAGATATATATACATGCCCTTATCGCGCTTTATGAGAAACGTGGGTGATGGTTTCCTTACCGAACTCTAGTTTGTGAAGGAACGAGACATTTCCAGGATCCCTCTGCGCCTTGATCTGAGTTTTATTTGCAATGCTGCAGGCAAGATCCAACCATTCATCACATCTTGATTTCGAAAGCTCGCACTCGCAGGTGCTTACACCGCTCGTGGGTCGGATAAAAGTATACAAAAATGCTGTCATAACACGGGATCGTCAGGATCCTTTCTTCAAACTCCTAGATCCACCAGGGAACTTGGGACCTTTGTTCGCCCCGGTTCAATCTGGTCGGACCAAGTGTTCCAGATACAATCGCGAAACGGTTGTTTTTGGCCTGAAGCAATCTCTACGGGGGGTTGCTTCCCATTACAACAACCGCTCCCTCGCTGCCCCGCCGCCGTCGAAACCATCTTCGGATATGGCATCCAAACCCAAGACAGGTTTCTCGAAATTCCCCTCTTCTCCTACTACCCCGCACTTAGGGCCAAAGTATTCGGAAAATCCTCGTCATCACCAATGACACTCTCAGGGTCTTCAACCTGTATGCAAAGCTCTTGGACAAATGGAAAATGACGAACTGTTCTCGTTGCTTCAATTGCCTGTGCATGTCGATCACCACAGTACGTCCCGAGCCATGAGGTCACAATTGGCGTCAGTGTGGACAATCAAAGCGTAGAGCTTGGTGCCAAGGCAGTTTATTCAGAAAGCAACACTATTGTAATCATAGAATCAAAAATCCCAGTGATCATTGAGTTTCAGACCGTCTCTAGTTAATTCAAATTCTGTTTGACCTCCGAAAGAGGAAAAGTTTAGACGTTTTCTTCCGGACCGTATTTACACCCCAATTGTTCTTTCTATAACTTCAACAGATTAATCATCCCATCCAACTCGCTCTCTCGACAATACTTGAAGTTTCCTTATCTGAATCTTCAACATCATACCTGCCAAAGTAGCCTACCTACCCTGCTGTTGCAATCACAATGTCTAGTGAAGCTGGCCTCAGCAGTTGCTGCCTCTCTGGCTCCGTGCATAGCGGGACCCCATCAGGACGCGAGGACACGATCGGGGGCATCGCAACCTACATCGCGGAGCCGACCGACAAATCGACCGCCAAAACGGTCGTGTTCCTCGTCGACATCTTCGGCTGGAAGTTCAAGAATGTGCGTCTTCTGGCCGACAATTACGCGAAAGCCGGCTTTTACTGCTATATCCCTGATGTCCATGAGGGCGATTCCCTGCCGATCGAGTTCCTGCAGAGCGTGGAACCGCCGTTGAAGGTGAGAGAGCAGGAGGGGTTGGTTGACAAGGCCAAGGAGACGGTTGATGTGATGGCGACGCTGGGCCCGTGGTTGGCGAAGCATCGTGAGGCGGTCGCTGAGCCTATCATCAGTGGGTTCATCAATACCGTCAAAAGTATCCCAGGGACGAACAAGGTACGCTAGGAGAAAGCACCTGCAAGAGAAACAACTCCTCTGGTGTCGATGTGTACTGTTAAGCCATAAACTGATTCTTTCATTACCAGGTTGGTGCAATTGGGTTCTGCTGGGGTGGGCGATATGCGATTCTGCAGACACACGAGAGGAAACAGGGAGAAATTGGCGGCGTAGATGCGGCCTACGCATGCCACCCTTGCTTGCAATACCCGGAGACATCTCTCCTGTTGCCAAGCCTCTGAGTGTCGCGGTTGGTGAAAAGGATAGCATGCTGGATATGAAGTCAGTGGAGCAGATTCGAGACACTTTGAACAAGACCGGTGTGCCGACCGAGGTAAAGGTGTATGACGATCAGGTGCACGGGTTCGCACTACGCAGTGACTGGAGCAGTGACAAGGACAAGCAGGCCATGAATGATGCCGAGAAGCAGGGCATTGAATGGTTCAAGAGGTATCTGTCTTGATTTGCTCTTGAGATGTCCATCTCAGGAGGGTGCTCAGTACCGGTGTCGGGGTTTATGGGTGGCCATATAATTGACTAGGTCTTTGAAGGTTGTGAAAAGAAAAACATTGCCTGAAAGGCTCACCTGCGCTCTTTCGTGGCTTTTCTATGGGAGGATTTGATGAGTGGGCTGTCCAGAGTGTAGTGCGCCAGCAGATAGTTCGTTAATCCAGAGCCAAGTATGACACTATGTATCTAGGTTCGGTACGCGCGGATCGATTGATATCACAAGATTTGAACTTGTAAAATTAATACCGACCTTGGAAGATAAGGCAAAGCCACCAGCCGCGGAACCGGGGCAGTAGACATTCCAAATCGCCTTAGCGTCCCCCGGCGATCGAGTTGACAGCCGTTTCGGTAGAGAAGATGCATTGCTATCACGCCACACTTGGGATATCCTGATCTTGGTTCCCTTATTGCATGACAGGGCGGTAAATAGTTTGACATGCTTTTACATGACGTTGACCAAACTTGAGGGCGACATGGAACGGGCAATCGACCTTGAGAGGGATACTCCTATACCAGGCGCTGTGCCACCAATATAAGAGTCACCATAGGAGCCCCGGTGCTCCAGACCTTAGCCCTCTTGAAGGAGTACCACCCCCTCACAGAGACAATGAGTATGTCTAGCCCGCGAGAGAGCACGAATCCGTCTCCTCCGAGGTTGTCTCGGACAAGCGATCTCGTCCTCTTGCTCGTGCCACAGACCCCCTTGTCCGCGCTAGCTGTTTGCTTATTGCAATTGCCAGTCCGGAATTACAAGACTCACACATGGATAGAACAGATAAGCAAAAAAAGCAGTGGCCAATGTCGCTGGATGTTTTGAACGTGGAGAGGATGGCCGAAATTGAGCTAGTAGGAAGCTTCGAAAGGCTTGGTATAGTTTAATGCCGTTGTCTTTCGAGGCCAAGCTCTGATAAGCTCCCAGCACACTATTGGCTGTCTTCCCCAGGTTTTCCACGTATCCTTGTCCTCCATTTCAGCTAAACGCATGATAACCCTCTTCAGAGGGTGTTGTGAGATGGCTTTGAAGTTTGAAAAGATAAAGAGAGAAGTTTCAACTGCAGTTATTGGCTATCCTCCCATGCTGGTGTGGCAGTCCTGTTTCTAGGCTGGATACTTCGAGGCAGGGGCTGAAGGTGCTACGGCAAAATCGCAACCCTAATCCCTGTCCTGATGAAGCCCGAACATGGAATCTGCTGTTTCCTGGAGGCATCCAAGCAACCAAAAGCCTGTGGAGCACAGAGATTTAGGTCTGTTGGGTCCGCCGTGGACATTTGCGCATGGGACCTCCTACTTCCTACCTCCAAACCAGGCTTCTGAGAGCAAGGCATCTTGAAAATCGTTCGGAATCCATCAAAGATTTATTTGACGATATCCAGATAAAATTGACTTCTTGATACAATGCCCTTCCGAAGGCGATGGGATGCTGATACCCTTGTTGCACCAGATTGGCTGAACAATGGCGACAATGCCTGGCAGCTGACCGCGGCTACACTCGTCGGCCTGCAGTCTGTACCGGGACTTATGATAATCTACGCCGGCCTCGTTAAGAAGAAATGGGCGATCAATTCAGCGTTCATGGTTCTCTATGCCTTCGCTGCCGTCCTGATTTGCTGGGTAATTTGGGCATACAAAGCATCCTTCGGCAAGCAAATGCTCCCTTTTGTTGGAGTCCCAGGTCCTGCAGTTGGAATGGACTATGAACTCAAGCAGGCTGTCTTACCGGAAGCCGGACTCACAGCAGCTTATCCCATGAGCACCATGGTCTACTTCCAGTTCGTGTTTGCCGCGATCACGGTCGTTCTTATCGGCGGAGCTGCCCTCGCGAGGATGAACTTCCTCGCTTGGATGGCTTTTGTTCCTCTGTGGTTAACGCTGAGCTACACCGTCGGTGCCTTCAGCATCTGGGGGGGAGGATTCCTATACGATCTTGGTGTACTTGATTATAGCGGTGGATATGTGATTCACGTATCTTCAGGTACAGCAGGTTTTGTTTTGGCTTACTGGGTCGGACCGCGTCATCCCCGAGATCGTACTGAATTCCATCCCAACAACGTTCTGCTTGCTCTTACCGGCGTTGGCATTCTCTGGCTCGGCTGGAACGGGTTCAATGGTGGAGATCCTTACACTGCCTCCCCAGATGCCGGTGCTGCCGTGCTAAATACCAATGTTTGTACTGCGATGAGCATGCTAACCTGGACGTGCTTGGATTTGGTCTTTTTCAAGAAGCCCTCTGTTATCGGGGCCGTCCAAGGCATTATCACTGGCCTCGTTGCGATAACGCCTGCAGCGGGTTTCGTTGCTGGCTGGGGAGCAATTATCATCGGTTTCTGTTCAGGCTCAATACCATGGATGTCGATGAACATTCTCGGAAAGCAGAAGTGGTTCTTGGATTTCTCCGATGATGTTGTGGGGGATTTTCACACCCATTTGGTTGGCGGCATCGTAGGCGGATTTCTCACTGGCTTATTTGCAACAAGCGAAGGCACAGCAGCTTTTGCTCTAGCGCCAAATGGAGGTGCGATAGATGGGAATGGCCGGCAAGTATGGGTACAGATAGTTGGGTTTCTCTTTATCATCGGCTGGAATGTTTTTTGGACCAGTGCGATTTGCCTGTTCATCAAATATGTTCTCAGGATACCTCTACGATACAGCGAGGAGGTGTTACTCATTGGTGATGAGGAGATCCATGGCGAACTCCCATATGCCTTCTTCCACGATGGAAGACATGACTACGTAAGTCAAGCCAGTAGCACCCGCGGACGATCACACTTGACCCAGAATACTGACCTAGTACAGGACGCGAAATATGGGAGACCGGCGAGTATTGATGCAGAGCGTGGTGGAGTTCTGGAGGGAGTTGACGCCCATCGAGAGATTGAGAGCGAGGGAGGGGAAAGCTCAAATGGCGGCAAGGCAAAGAAACAAGAATAAAGCAACATCATTCCATGCCTCATATGGGTTTTGGCACTTTCTTCATGGTGGATGAGTGGGGAACAGTGAATCCTCTTGTCTCGGAAGGTTGACAACTCAGTAACGCCTAGCATAGCCAACAGCAATTCCGGTCATCACCTTAGTTACTCACAAGTCGAGTTTGTTCCTTCGGTTTCTGATGCGTTTCCCGTTGGAGACAAAGTGAAGGGCTCGGACTCTTGTGGTTGTGCTCCCATCTGGGCCATTGATACAGGAAATCTCAATGTAAGGCGAGAGTTTTTCAATCGTCAGGTTCAACGATGGCATTGACAATTGGCAGGCTCGTTATAATAATGTCTTTTGATATCGCCACGTCGCCAGAAGGCTCATGCGGTCCCCAACTTTTCTTGTATTTTGTTTTAACCGAGTTTGCCACCTTGTTGACGAATCTAATATAGTCGGACCAATGCAGGGTCATACTCGTCAGCTCCAATATGAACCTCACTCGCATGCATTCGGGGCAAGACATCCTTCCAGATACTTTTGACGAAGGGAATGGTCTCTGGATAGGTGAGGTTTAGGAGATCCTTTTTCGCCAAGGCCATTTCCGGCTTCCATTCCGTAATGGACAAGACATGACCCGGGCATCAATCTCGACGATGACAGTTACTCCTCGACTTGCACAGTGTTGCTGGAAGCCCTCAAAGCCGTCTGATGACAGAGGTTGTTCCTCTCTCTGCACCATACCTTCAAGATTCGGACTTTCTGGTCTCAAAGAGAATCGTGAATAAACTTCATGCCATGTCTCATTATGACCCCTATTGAAAGGGTAGTCGTCTTTGGAGTGATAGTGAGACTCATACATCTTGAAAATGGATGCGTAAGTGCATAAATCTTTCAAGAAGCCTAGGCTGTACCATTTCGACCTTTGTCCAGCATGAATCCTCCAGGAGCATATGCAAGGGCATCGACAATTTGCCTTCTGTGAATGGATGTAGAAGCTCGATCGCTACCATATAGCAGTTTTTGAAGCAATGTTCTCGTTCCCCAAACCATCCCCCGTGCCCCAGAACCGCCAATAAAAAAGGCCCAATTTGTAAAATGGTAATCGATTTCATATCCTTCTTTGGTCGGGTCTCCATTTTCGTAGCTAACCTCCATTTCATCGCCTCAGAAAGCCTAAAACGATGCCCTCGTCACTTTCACAAAGCTTGTTGATCGAATTTGAGCCTCCATTCTGACCCTGTCAGAGCACTGAAGTCCTGACGAAAGATCTCCGGAATTTGTCTGCCCTTGGCCAGGCCGAGTCCAGTGAATTTAGATCTCTTAGAGTTTAGAATGAACCGGAAATTTAAATCGTCTTTAAATCCAAAATGGGGCGCGAATTTAGCTCTGGAGCATCTGAGCTACCATTGAGCGGTGGCGGCAACAGTTAGAGGGCTACGCAAACTGCAGGATTGAATAGAAAGTTGTCAAAATGCCTTAAAAACAACATTGTTGCACACGAGCGATCTCTTGGAGTCTCGATCTCATTACCATACCACTTGAAGCTGGCTTTCGTGGAATCTTATAAGACTCATTCATGAAGCACTTTTGGCAAATGGACGTTTGATGGATCTAGTCGGAGATTACCTTGAACTTATTTCATGGTGTCATTCAGTCGAACAACTTGGTTTGGATGAACACCCCACGGCCAAGGAACATACTGATGGTTTCGCGAGACACCCACGTAGAGTGTCCGATTTTCATACCAACTGCTGAATTTCATGGCAGTTCTTCGTGTAGCCATATGTCGAGGTAAATCAGGGGTTGGGTGAAGCGAGCGGGGATGATGTAACAACGTTATCACACCTAACGATCATTGCTCATCCTGGGAACAAAATTCAATTCATAATGCATAAGAACAGCAATCGCAGTCCAAAAAAGCTACTATGTCGTTCATAGGGGCATTTACCGAGCGTTGCAGAGTCATGATAATTGTCGTTAGTTGAGATTGAAGAGGGTGTCAAGTTTATCCCTGAATTCTTGGCAACCGCGTTCTTCGCGTATGCTTGTCAAATGATCATTGTTGCTGAGGCAGGCACGCGTGTTTGGGGATTTTGCCTTCTATCACGTGGCAAACTCGCGCCTGCTCGTATTCGTCTACTACGCTTCCTTCGATCTCTTCATTGCGGATATTGAAGAGGAAATACCCATCAGATTGTCCCTCAAAACTTCCGCAGAACCGGCTGGCTCTTCTTCGCTTCTGTAACGCAACTTACGTTTCTCAAACCCCAATACACGGCTTGGTGTAAGTTTAGGAGAAGCAACGATGTCGGGTCCTACATACCGCTTTGGTAAGCAGCTTCTTTCAACCAGCCAAGAGCGAGATTGTCTATCATGATCTATAGCTTATCGAAGGGCTATGTTCTTGATTTTTGTCCCAAAGATGTTGTTACCCCAAAATGTGCCGAAGCTAGTACCAATCCTCTCGGACATCTTATTGCTCTGACAAAGGCGGGCTGTTCAGCTGGAAAGCTCACTGACAAACCCCTTCAGAGATGGCTCGCTCAGGCAGGGCCATGTGTCAGAATACCGAATGTAAGCACAATGGTCTCAAAATCGAAAAGGGTGAGCTCCGCTTGGGTACCCTGGTTACCATCAAAGATCAGACAACGTGGAAATGGAAGCATTGGTATGGCCCACTCATTTGCCTTGACGAGTTGAAATAGAAATAGCGCTTACCATGATTAGGGGATGCGTGACACCTTTGCAAATCAAGAACCTCCAAGACCAAGTTGGACCTTTAGCGGATCTCGACCTCGATACTGATCTTCCTGCCATCATTGATGGGTATGATGAGATAACAGTTGAAGCACAAGAGAAAATCAAGTTCTCCCTTGAGCATGGTCACGTCCCTGATGAGGATTGGAAGGGTGTGAGTCAAAGCCGTCGGTAGCTTTTCAATTCCCTCATTCTCATAGATTCTCAATCTAGGTGCCCGGAAAGAATCGACCAGGTCAAAAAGGCATCAACAATCGCACACCTAGGAAGAAGAAGGCAGACGAGGAGGACGGTGAATCCAACGCGGGCAATGCCGAAACACCAACCAAGCCCAAGCCCAAGAAGAGCCGAGCCAAAAAGACCGACGCTGAAACGGATGAGGAGGCAGATGGAGGAGCTGTGTCGCGACCTGCAAAGAAAGCTAGGAGCCGCAAACCGAAAGTCGAGGTAGGTGAAGATGATTTGCCAATCGACCCTTCCAAGAAGAAAACTGCGAGCCGCAAGCGTAAAGCGGTTGAAAGTGACACGGAGGAAGAGGCCATGCCAAAGGCGACAACATCACGAGGGAGAAAGATCAAGGCCGAAGCTAAAGCCAAAATTGAATTCGAGGCCGAGGAAGACGATGCAGCAGTCACGAAGCCGAAAAGATCACAAGCAATGAAAGTCAAAGCCGAAGCAGAGCCAGATGCCCCCGTGACTTCAAAGGCCAAAAAGGCTCGCACATCAAAGACTTTCAAAGACGAGGATGATGTGGATATCAAAGGAGAACCCGATCTTGAAGAGGAACGTGAAGCTCCACCAACCATAAAGCCCAAACGATCTCGAGCTGCCGGAAAAGTTAAACTAGAGCCAAATGTCAAGGCTGAGCCGGAGGACGAGGAGGGCAACCCACACCTCAAGCCTGAGGCGAAACCAGCACCAATTCCGGAGCTCGATACTGAGTCCACTGCAGCGGAAGAAGAAGAGATGCCGACCCCGACCAAGAAGAAAGCAGCCAAGGGCAAAGGCAAAGCCAAGTCCAAGTCTAAATCCAAGGCAAAGCGCAGGCGAAATGAATGAATCTTTTCATGACCACGACATGCAAAGTTCAGCATCAAGCCATTTGAAACCGATCCTCTCAAAGGCAGAACCAGCAAGTCATTCGATCTTGCCGAGCCTCCGCAGCACAGCTTCGTTGCCTTCCCTTGGTCATGACGATTCAATCGATCAATATCCTGTATTAGTATGCGCGGTGCAGGTAGTTGAGAGCACAAGACCAAGGCGAGCCCACTTCTGTATGTTTCAACTCTAGACCAAAAGAATATGTAAAAGTACACTAGCAAAGGACAGTATCGATATGAAAGGACGAGGTTTACCCCGGATTGCTGAGAAACCATGATTGTTTGATTGCTTGCTTGCTTCCCGGGAGAAAAGTCTCCCAGGCAGCAATCCAAGGTGGTTTGTGAGATGATCGGCAGGTCTAGAGCTATACCTCAAAGCGCGAGATAGAATGCAAAATGCACTCTTGTATTTTCTGCTTTTCCTTCCACCCACGCTGAGCTACCTATCTGGTACTTTGTGCGCATCCCAGTCTAATCTCAAGCAGCTTCTTGTAGGCGAATAGCTAGATGAAAGAAACGCGGTCTTTTGATGTCACTGGCATTGTTGCTTTCTACCTGTTGTTTGGAATCACATGCTATAAATCTACAATACTTATACAATCAACGTCTATTAGTGGATATCTCAGCACCTAACCAGCACATATTTTGCCACATGCAAATCCCGTATCCTTGTATTCTCAAGCCAAAGTGGTGGGGTATGACGCTTTCTCAAACAAGACCTCCAAGTATCAAAAAAGAACCATCCAAGCATCTTACACGATGGCGAGACCAGAGGCGCAACTGGTGTGTGCCACTTAGTTCCGATCCAAGATTAAAATTCGGCGGCTCAAAACTCCCTACTGCTCCCAATATTGATAACATCGAACACGCCTGTCTCCTCGATGCCATGATGTTTAAGTGCCTTCTTCAGGAGCTTGGGCGGTTCGAGCACATCTTCTTCCGTCAGAACCCAAGTGCCCCAATGCATTCCCAAGGCCTTCTGGCACTTGGTATCTCTGAAGATCTCCACTGCATCTCTTGGATCTGCGTGCATAGGGCTCATAATCCACCGCGGCATATATGCTCCGATGGGAATCAAACCAAGGTCGAATGGTCCGCGAAGACGGCCAATATCTGCAAATGCAGGACAATGTGGCAAGGACGAATACTCTTCTGCCCAGTCGTCTTTTCCATCAGACTGTTTCGGCACTGAGCGATATCCGGTGTCACCACCAAACCAAACGGACTTGCCACCAGAGGAAACACTCCATGAAGCCCAAAGCGTTGCGGCACGATCGTGAATACTGCGGGAAGAAGTATGTTGGCACGGTAAGCAGGAGATCCGGGCTGTTATATCTGCGGACGACTTCTTGGGGTCTTCAGTGGAAGTAACACTGGTCTCGTCAGAAGTTGCAGGGCTTTTCTTTTCAGCAGCTTGCGCCGGGGTTAGGTTGAAATCCACCTCCTCCCACCAGTCAAGTTCTGTGCATCTTTCAATACCGCAAGCGGTAAACCACTTCTTGTTGCCCAGAGGGACGAAAAATTGGCAATTCGGGTGGCGCTGGGAAATGTCCATGATTGTCGGATGCGAGAGGTGGTCGTAATGATTGTGAGAGATGACGACGGCATCAATGGTTGGAATATCGGCGATTTGACAGGGCATCTCGGTATATCTTTTTGGGCCAAGCCAGGAAAAGGGAGAGCATCTCGCGGTGAAGACAGGGTCAAATAGAACGCGAAGTCCAGAGGGAAATTCAACAAGGTAGCATGCGTGCCCAAGCCATGTTGCCCTCAACGATGTGTTGCCTGTTCTGGAGTGGAGAAAGGCTGGCTCTTCGATTGGAACTGTGGGAGGGGTGGTATTGGGCACGTTGGCAGTGCCATTAAATCTTCTTGCAATCATGCCACCGAGAATGGTGAAGACAGAGTGGGTGACCCATGATGGCCAGGGATTCTCAAAGCCGTGGCCGCTCTTCGCGTGCCAGGCTTTTGCTTTGGTGATCTCATCGTCAGGCTGCTCGCTTGCAACCGAAGGGACTGCAACAGTTGCAGCATAAAGCAATGCGGAGGTTGAGGAGGATGCCATGGTTCTGAAGGGTGCGCGTGAAGATGGTGTAGATGTGGGATAGGAAGCAGCTCGTTTGGTAAAGAAACTGCGCAAGAAGGAACGCATGGGGGAGGAGATGGAGGAGGGAGGGACGGAGGGAGCGGGGTGGTGACAAAAGAAAGACGTCCTTATATGGAAAGATTAATTGGCCCTGTTGAGATGGCACGCCTATTCCTGGAGCCTAGAAGGGACAAGACGCAGGTCACGAAGTTAAGGATTAGTCTATATCGCACTGACTGCATAAAGTCGAGCAACTGGTGTGTATGAAGAGATTATGATTGCCCGGGAGACAAGTGAACAAGGAATCATATGCAGGTTGACCGTCTTAAGTCCGTAACTGCAACTGCGTTAAGCTGCCCCTTGCCGTTTTAGTCAAACTCCTAGGGAATAATTATTAGTCAATGCCTGGAGTGAGAAACTAGGAGAGTGCGCGGTGCGACGGCACAATGCACGTGATCTCGTGGCAATCCACGTGTCAGACGTCGGGGCCTAATCAATTTTCCCACTCGGATTCGGTCCATCGTATTCCCGTCGGCCTCGTGGTGTCTGCGAGAAGTACAGCAGCTTGCACATTCACCAAGTTCAATTGCCTGTTCATGCTCCTGCACATCAAAGCCTCAAGGTAATGCAGGGCGACAATGGACTGGTCACCGTCAACTCCAACACAGCCTCATCTCTCAGAGCTCCAGTCGTAAATGACGTTGCGCAGCAAAAGATTGACCTTGCTCGTCAGTTGACGGCATCAACGAACAATGCAGAGGGTGGTCTCGTTGCTCAGCTGACAAGTAACCCTTTTTTCACAGCGGTTTGAGCTCCTCCTGGACTTGCGATTGTGACCTATATCTGACAAGTGCAGGGTTTCGGACTTGCGGGCCTGGGTGCCCTTGCAGCCTTTGGTCAGCGAGGCCTACGACATGGAGCTGCCCTCCTCCGGCGCCGGCTCCTCGTTGACGTTGAGATCAGTGTACGCGACGACTCATATCCTTGGTTCTTATATTGGATGACCCTTCACGAACGCGGAAAACTGCTGGGAAGCGCCACGCAACAATTGGCGCATGCCAAAACTGGGAGATTTGAATCCATCCTTCAACGACTCACTCCTGGTATGCGCCACCTGGCTATCGAGACCGAGAAAAGAGAATTGCCCAACGGTGCCATACACACCAACTTTGTCCTCATCCCCGGGCCTGGAAGGCATGTTATTCGCTATAGGAACGCTTGGATCTGGGTAAATCGTCAGCGAGAATCTAAACAATTCTCCATGGACGGGAAACCTTGGGAAACAGTTACCCTAACCACACTCTATTCGCAGCGCCATGTATTCGAGTCTTTATTCAAAGAAGCTCATGACATCGCTACCCAGTCAGTGGAAGGGAAGACCGTTATATATACTGCCTGGGGTACCAAATGGGACAAATTTGGTAATCCCAGAAGCAAGCGCCCACTCGAGTCCGTCATCCTAGACAAGGGCGTCAAAGAAAAGATAGTCGATGATGTACAAGACTTCTTATCCTCCTCAAAATGGTACTATGAGCGAGGTATCCCCTATCGGCGAGGCTATCTCTTATTCGGTCCTCCAGGAACGGGCAAGTCCTCATTCATTCAGGCATTGGCAGGCCATCTCAATTATGACATTGCAATGCTCAATTTGAGTGAACGTGGTCTGACAGATGATCGATTGAACCATCTGCTGACCGTGATTCCCCAACGAACTTTGGTTCTCCTGGAGGATGTTGACGCAGCTTTCTCAAATCGACGACAGGTCGAAGCCGACGGCTACCAGGGTGCCAATGTCACTTTCTCTGGCTTACTCAACGCTCTAGATGGTGTTGGTAGCGCAGAGGAGCGGATCATTTTCCTGACCACGAACCATGTTGACCGACTGGATGAGGCTTTGGTTCGACCTGGCAGGGTGGACATGACCGTTCGCCTGGCCGAAGCCACCACGTACCAGATCGAGCAACTCTGGGCACGTTTCTACGGAGAAGTGGACGAAGATGGAACCCTCAGAGAGCAATTCTTCGCGAAACTCCGGGAGCTCGGAGTCCTAGCACATTCGACACATGCCTTAAATGCCAGCGTGAGTCGCACGAGTATGGCTGCTCTGCAAGGACTCTTTTTGTACAACAAAGGCAACCCACGTGGTGCCATTGAGATGGCCTCGCAACTGGTACCAGGAGAGATCCCTAGCGCGATAACGCAGTCACGATCTACTGGGTCCGGTTGAGGGCTTGTATACTATGTACCAAAATGCACTATTGCATGATCACTTTCTTGCGGCCTATGATACCACTTAACACTGATACAAATTGAGGATATATGAGCATTCGCATCAGGTCATTTCCGTTGTAAAATTCCTTCCGTCATCCGACGCATCACAGACAAACATGTCCAGAGACGGGTTGAACTATCCTGACGGAGCGCGAGTGAGCACGAAAAGAAAAGCTAAGTGGAGACTGAAAAATCCTCTGGCTCTGATCCCATTCTCTTTCCACCCCCTACCCGCAATCTTCTAGAAGCCTTTCTTCTTCAACCAGCTAACAATCTTCCTCCCATACTCTTTCGGATGGCTCAACATGACCCAATGAGCTCCACCCATGACCTCTGTGTCGGCATCTTCCCCCAACAGTCCAGCCTTTTTCAACATCTCGTGATCCTCTCCTTTGCAGCACACGTCGTCCTCCGCCCTCACCAACAAGTACGGCACCTTCAAGACCAAATTCTGCGTCGCCTCCGTGTTCGCCTCGTCCTGAAACCCATTCGCCAAGGCACGATACCACATCAAACTCGCCTTCAATCTCAGACCATCATCAGCCAGCACCTTCGAAACCCACTCCTTCTTCATCTCCTCGTTTGCGTACGGCAAGACAGACTTCCTACGGTCGCTAAATAAAGCATCTCGGAACCCGTTCTCCTTGCAGAAAGTCTCGAGCCACGTTTCCCCGCTGCCGTGCAATATCGTCCACAGCGTATCGATGTGGTCGGTCATGAGCTGGGGCGCCTCGTCAGATGCGAAAAGGTGCCAGTACCAGCAAATGCCGTATCCGTGCGTCTTCTGAGTCAGCTCGATCAGCGCGTCGATGGAGAATGGGGTACTGTTGGGTGCGAAATAGTTCGTGTTGGTCAGTGTCAGTGCGAGGGCTCGCGATGGGTGGTAGTTGTAGATACGTGAGGCGAAGGCAGCACCCTGTTATAAGGCCCGTCAGCCTTTGCCAGACAGACCTGTTATCTTCCCTATCCACACGCAGAAGGCAGAGGATAAACCAACCCCATCACCACCTCCTCAGAATAAAGGAACGAGACTTAGACACTTACCCAGTCATGAGCCCACAGCACAACCTTGGCGACATCTTCCTTCTCCAAGATCTCCACAACATCACCAGCGATCTTGCGGAAGTCATACTCGCGCTCGTCTAGCGGCTTCGAACTCTCGCCGCTGCCAAGCAGATCTGGCGCAACCACGCCATAGCCCTCGGGCAGGATGGTATCGCGGATCACACGGCTCCAGCATGAGGCGTCGTCCGGCCAGCCGTGCACAAGGAGCACAGTCGGTTTGGGCCGGGGAGATGAAGCGTCAGGCGGGTTGGTGTAGTATGTGTAGGTGTGGCCGCGGGTCACGGCCAGGGTCTTCTTGGTGAGGAAGTGATCCATCTTGAATACCTTGGTACAGCGTCCTCAAGAGTCGATTTACAAGTAGTGGTGCGGACGGGAAGATGTGTTGGAGCTGTTTTGAAAGACTTGGGCGTTCGTTTGCACTTATATACATACTATCGCTTGACTTGCTGATTTCTCTTTCCGCAAGAGTGAGCATGGTATCACCGCCCCCCGCATCAAGCCTCTTGATAGGACCCCAGCACTGGGCTGGGCGGGACAACAAGTACAGTACCACGAGGGGTGACGATGAAAAGAAAACAAGACCCCTTGATGGCTGCTTACCGTACCCACTACAGCGTCGATCTCACGTTACTGTCCAGCCTGTCCAGCCGTCGACTCTTACAGACGACCTCGCTTCTTTCATCTCTCGAACCCCCAACCAACCAATCCCGACGTATTCGGGGCCAAGCAAGAGTAAGTCCCCACCCCATCTAGGCGCAGTGACTAAGACTCCTTGTTGAAGCACACGAGCGCTTCTCTCTGCCTAGAATTATTGAAACAAGTCCGAGTCCTCGGGCGGTGCGAGTCCACGAATATATGTAAGGACTCGGGAGGATGCTCGACTTTTGCATGGTTTTGTCAACAGGGAATCGGTCGCGTGGAGAGCCGCTAGATACAAAGCGGGAGTTATGTTTTAAGATTATTAATTAATAATTTAGTAAATTATGCGATGCAGGTTGGATGCTTTGGGAAATATTGCCAAGGCTGAGATCGGAAAGGCTTGCGAAGCCCAAAGGCCCGATCTTTAAATGGGTTGGGAAATTGATCTATTGGTTCAGTAGAGAGGTCAGGGACTTAGGATAGACGTAAGGACTACTTATATACCGTCCTAGGTGGATGGATATTCAGGAGGGAAGAATATTTCGCGGATCGCAAACGCATTAACGGCCAATCGCATGATCTATGCTTCATTGCTTATCATATTTCTTTCTGTGTCTCTCACCAGTCCATTGGCAGCTCTCCTTTGTCCAATTCACTGCGCTCCAGTATCGTTCTTTAGGATTATCCATTGGTCAAATTAGACCAGACTGCGGTTGGGTTTAAATTCTGATAATGACATCGAGCATCGAGCATAACTATTGGTGTAGCGTCGTTTCCCGCTAAGATCAAGCGCGAATTTGTGTTCTAGGTACATTTCGCTATGGGTTCAGATTGGCTTTACCAAGTGTCTGGATGTTTTCTCCTGCTTGGACAAAGGCTACAATTCATATTGTGGCAGTGTTGGCAAATTCAATGCATTGTTTCTTTGTATGGCGCTGGACCACTCTTTGTTTCCCTAAAGATAGTTGCAAATTGATGCTATAATAGTAAATTGCAATCAATCAGAGGTAGGAATATAGCCGATAGACAGACCACCTCATAACTAGATGAGCTAAGAGACATGTCTCAGAGACATACTGTGATATTTTGAAAGTCTGCGACTCATAATACGCCAAGTCATAACCATGTCTGCGCTGATAGCATCCAAACCGCTTCCAATTAGTGATGTTGAGGATTGCATCCCTCAACCGGCCAGTGGTAATAGTCAGCATGCCGAAATAGGGAAACCTCCTGCTGCTATACCGCGGATGCATACCATCGAGGAGGAGGATTTCAACCGCACAGAGGCTGAGCCTTCTCTATGCTCAGACTCATCATTAACGTCAAAGGTCCACAGCCAAGAGCATAAGCTCGAAGTTCCAAAGGAAGTCCTCGAGTGTGTAGAAAAAATAAGAGAGGCGATTCAGGCTCAAAGTGAAAGAGCATCGACGCAGAGATTAACGGAGCAAAAATCTGACGGACAAATTGACGGCAAGGTGCCTTCGACTACTGGCAGAGACCAGGCGGCCTCCTTGAAGATTTTGACTGGAAAGGCCAAAAATGGGTTGATGAAGCTCACCGCCAGTAGGAAAAGAGCGTCCACTTTCATCTGGATCAAGCCAAGAGCAAAGGCAGTAATTGAAAATGTAGAGACTGAAAAGAAGGCTTCAGTTTTGGTTGGAACGACCAAGATCGGGAAGGTCCAGTATAATCATGAGGACAAAGCTAACCGACGGGTCTCCTGCCATGCAACCTGCGAGTCTAGCCTGGGAAAGGATGGGGAGACGTCTCCGACAAGCCCAACTGTAGGGAACGACACGGATGACGACACCTACTTATTGAACAAAGAAGGGACTCCGTCTATGGACAGAGCCGCCAAATATAACTTACTCACAGGGAGGAGACGTCAGAATTTGACGCCCAAAGAGCGACTTCAACAGCTTGTAATCCTGGCTCACCGTGCTGCCGGAAATGGGATTGAGAGTGTCAAAGAACAAGTATCCAATGCTTCAAAGCAAAGGCAGAGAAAATCCGGCCCCTGGTCCAAGATCAATTGATCGACCCGACGGACGGATGGACGATCTGGGTTTCCCTAGGGTCATGTATTCGTAGAATAAGAGTTTCTAGGGGCGACTTAGATAAAGGGCAGGATGGCGGTAAATGTTCGGTTAAATGTCCAGGCAGCCTATGCAGTATCTTCTCTTTCGAGTCTTTGACAGAGGGTGCTTGGATCCCTGCAAGCCGCCCCAGACGTTGTCGATAAAGGACAGCGGTCAATCATGAGCTATCCATAGTGCTAGATAACAATGACATGACCTGGATTGACCGGTGACCAACCCTATGCCCTTGATCGATGCAAAGTACTTTCTCGGATGGGGTTCAGCCAGACGTTTGTGGTTATGGCAATGTCGATGGCGCTGCAGTATGGGCGTCCCTGTTGATATCATGACTCGACATGACTTGTTCACGGAGTGGCATTTGTCTGTGGGTACTTCGGACTCTGATGAAGAAACCCATAAACCCATCCAGCTCCTCGAACCCTTCAGGCGAAGTCGAACCGAAGTTTATTTTGCGGCAGGACCACACCACCTGCGTGGACGACATTGGCACCTGCCTCCGTGTGGACCACCGTCTTGGCACCTCGTGACTTCCACCAGGTCCCTCAGCTGTATCTCAGGACTCACTAGACTTGCCTCTGCTTTCTCCCTGGTAGCCTCCATTTTCGGATCTCGTATCCTGCCCGAGGACGGTTTCGGCCGTTTCATCGGACGCGTGTTGAGTGTCCACGGCTTGAATCCGGCCAAAAGACTTGGAATCCAAGGGGATATCCACGCCAGGCTTAAGACCGAACCAATATATTACTTCATCCTAAGTGGACAGTTTGAGAGTCATTTTCAACATGGCGCCCACTCTTGACCCGCCTTAGCTTGAGCCGAGTGCACAAACCGAGTGTGATATTGATGGACAAAGACACGGGGAAAACGTCCGGGAATATCCCTTTCGTTTTCATCAATAGCAGCCAGGATCGTCCAAGGAAAAGTCGGGATGACAGTTTCACGATCTCTTCGCATGTTTCTAGAACTCATCGTGCTCGCTTGAAGAAGGAAAAATGGAAAAGGTTGCGAGACTCCGCCACCAAGGTCCTTGCTCAGCGGCCCATTTATCCCGCAGCATTGCCTTTGAATGAAAGAGCTTACTATCAAGGACCTGCAGCCTTACCTTCGGCAGCTGGTCAAGCACAAACCAGGAGATGGGAATCATTGCGTTTTATAACGGACGGCTCCCGCACCAGCAGCGCTGGGGCCGAGTCTGCTACGATCTCGTTCGGCACTGGGAGGAGTCAGCATCCTTTGCCCTTTCAAGACAGCCAAGAAACTGTTGACCAACAAGATCCTCGCCCATTTCATGCCCTGGCAATCGATCCTGAAACAACATGGCGTACATCTGAGCCTCCACTATCTCTGTGGAAGGGGAACTCAGATCCATTTACAACTACTGCAGTTCCATTGAACGCATATAACAATGAGATCCTACGCCACGCACAAAGGTTCTTCATATTCACAGCTTGGCCAGGCAGCACCAATGCCGTATTCAGGACACCCATCGCTGACACCAGGAACTCGCATATCAAACTCAATGATGCTACTCAAGATGAAGGCCAATTGCATGCAATTCTTGCATCTGGATACCGAGTAGAATCCAAATTATTCGCCGCTCAAGGAGAATGGAGACGAGCACAGGAGTCGGTGCATAAATCTCGTGCTGTCGCTGTTTTGCGGCAACGACTCCTCTCTGGGAAGGCATCCCCGAGTATCGTATCCCTGCTTCGGCTACTGATCTCCTTGGAGTTCGATGATGACGACCATTCCACAGCACTGCTGCATCTACGTGGGCTCTTGGCCATGGCGTTGTCGAACCCTGCGCTTCTAGCCGAGGCTGAAGGCCTCCTGCTTGTCAGCGATGTTTGGATTGCGATGTCCTTGGGAAAGAGACCTGAGATTTGGCCAACACGGTATGATCCTGGGGCCCGCCATTTGCAACCTTTCAACGCCGCTCAAAAGCTTGAGACAGACTCCTCTACATCCCCTTCACCAATCGTGATGGAGCCTGATGTTGAATTAAAGTACTACCTCGACGCGTGCACGATCTCTCTCTTGAATTCTGCAGTCGAGATTGTCAGGTCAAAAGAATTGATGGTCAACACAAAAGACTCTTCTCTGCAACGACAAGTGGTCACATGGATGCACAGAAGAGCAACTGCTATATCGGGGTATCTCCTCTCAGGATACCTTGATGCCATCGAGTCAACACGGGCCCCGGACCTCACAGCTCCAGCCCTTGTCCAGAAAAGGGTCATTGCAACATCTTGCTTGACTGGAATTCTCTTCATGAACCTGGAGTTCTGCGAATCCCCAAGCAACTACAATTTTAGCAAGGCCTTTTTAGCAATTGAACCAGCACTACGAAGTGTATACGGTCAACTCATTCATGCCGAATCGGACGCTCAGCGCGAAATATACTTGTGGCTTTTGTTCATGTGTGCCCTAGGCAATGATGTCTATTCTGCCAGAGGAGATATCCCCTATTCTAAGTGGCCTGCATATACTTTCCACCAATTTCGAAAACAACTGCTGCTCCATAGCTTGATTGATGTCAAGAAAGTGCTTGACGTATTCCTATATCACGACGTGGTCGACGTATTTCTTGAGGGCTTGCTTTCACCTTTGGGTGAGGCACCCTCATGCTGTATCGTGTCGTGGACAAGATGGTGCTCCATCTTGCATCACTATGTCCCTGACTCCATAGCCGCCAGTATCAGCTGATCATCGACCCTTATCATTGGCCTGATGTAATTTGGATACAAGAGATGACTTTCCATCGACTTTGATCGCGAGAAGCCTTCGTAGCTACCACAGTCTACGATGCAACTCCACCGATCGGCATTCATTTCCAATGAAATGCTTATTATTAACTCACAGTGTCATTCTGGTAAAAAGTGCTCAAGCGATACTTGCTCTCGCCATCAAATTGCGACAATTCTTCCAGAGCTTGACGGCCTTCCCTTTCAATCGTCTCCTTGATCTCTGGAGAACGTGGCGTAAACCTGCATTCAAAAGGTTGAGGACGCATATTCAGCCCATTCCTTTTCTCAATATGTCAGTCGACGAATACCAATAGCATACGGGCTCCTACTCACGTGTAATCGAATATGTCAACTGGTATTTCGTTGCCAGCCTTGTCCAGGGCCTTTTGAATGTTGAAAGCCCACAACAGTCTCGCGACCGTCAAAAATGTACCTTGTTCTGCCAGACCTTGGCCACTACAGACACGACGACCCCAGCCGAACGTCATATAGCCTTTTTCATTTGGAAACGGACGGTGCAAGGGATTATCTTCGAAAAATCGTTCAGGATAGAATCGATCGGGTTCTGGAAATTCATTTTCACTGCGATGAATGGCCCAAACATTACCTTGGACCCAAGTGTTCTTTGGAATATACCAGCCCTGTACAAATTTTAGGGACATTGGACCGGTCCGAAAGATCAAGATCACATACCTTGTAATAATCATCCTGAATGGGAGCGTGCGGCTGACCTCCTATGATGGCAACTGAACGCCAGCGGAAGACCTCTTTCACAAAGGCGCGGATATATGGTAAATCGTCGTCCAAACCTGGGCTTCGGTAATGACCTACAACTCGGTCGAGCTCCTCCCAAGCTTTAGGAAGAGCGTCAGGGAATGCAATACAAGCGAGTGTGAATGTGCACAAAGTGGAACTTGAGGTGTCGCTGCCAGCTCCAAAAAGGTTACCGTTCAATGAGGCGATTTCTAGATTGGTCAATCCATACTTCGGAGCCTCATCAAAAATCTTCTTCGCATAGCAGGCTTCACCCCCATTCTTTTTGACTGCTTCTTCAGCAAGTGCGTAGTAAAATGATCGCCCACGACCCTTTCCACCTCCGAGGCCATGTTTCCATGGGGCCATCCAATTGGGGAATCTTGCAAGGACTATTATCGATCGTTAGATGGCACCATGGCAGTGGAATTCAATCTTACAAGGATATGTTTCCAGCAACATTGGGAAAGTTTTGCCAGGTACGTTCAACTCTGCAGCTTTTTGCATGACGGCAATGACTTCCGTAATGATTGGATCTTCCTTTGAGCTAATGCGGCGATTGAAACCAATTATACTGACTACTGAAGCAGCATAGCGTTCATAAGCCATAACATAATCTTTCGGATCTTTGAGGATTTCCAAAGCAACGACCTTACTCTCATTGTTCTGGAAACCACTGTAACTCCTCACATGTTGCAGACCAACACCCATGTGAGTAAGTTTTCGGTGAACACGCCACCTATCGCCGTAGAACATGGACACGATATTGGACTGGCCCATGCTGAGTTCGCCGAAGACAACCATTCTCGGTCGGGAAGAATATATTGCGGCTCGTTTGTCAAGCATTTCTGACGCAGCCCAAGCATCGCAAATCCATACGGTGGGATTGCGACCTATCCAGTATGTGATTACTGGAGTCTTGAGCTGCTTAGCCAGTTCCTCGAAATATATCCATGGTTTTGTGTCTGGAAGTTGATATGTGTTGCCTACGATCGGCCAAGGAAAAGGCCCAGGTGGCTATAGAACGTGAGCAATGACGCCGAATAGTAGGCCCATATCCGACGTACCATTTTACTTCGAAGATACAGCATTCGAGCATAGTCGGCGAGAAGCACTACGGCACCCAAGATGACGGCACCGATAGCAACATGGCTAACACTAGGTGCCGCGTGTTGAAGATGCACCATTACACCCATTGCTGCTATATTAGATACGTCGCTCCTTGGAAGGATGAAAATCAGGCCACGATCAAGGTCGGAAAGCGGTACAGGCAGAGTATATCAAATACCAAGATCAGACTTTGGACTTCGGCTTGGGGAGTTTAAGAACACAGCGCAAAGATCCATTGACTCGGCAATTGCGAGGACTCCCCCCAATGTCCAGTTTCCCACTGGTTCGTGGATGGATAAGCGGGCTACGATGAATTGGGAGAATGGACAGAGTAAATCGTGGGGCTTCTACACACGTATAAAAGGCCAGCCGCCACACACAACGGTGCCCCATGCTTAAACAGCCCACGCCGTGTGGAGGAGTGAGCACTGAGGTGAGGTATCCTTCCCCTCGGACTTTATCCGTGCTGGCATTGTACAAGGTGCTCGGTAAGCTGGGTGGTACGAGACATTGAGTGGCCCCCACATGCGTCCCTATTACAAACCTCGGCGAATGCGGGGAAATTTACATTGTGATTATTTTGTTCATCGGGAATTCCAAGACAAATACCTATCCGCGAAGGTCTTTGGTTCTCGTTAGAGACTTCATACTGCCGCTTTGTTCAATAATTTGCATGGCTCGGTCGATTTTTCCAAGGCAACTTGACAAATATTGGAACGACACAGCCTAAGTTAGTAGAAAATGGTGTCCACTGGGACAATGCAAAAGGCGATCACCTCTATTAAGGTAAGGAGCTATACTTCATTGAAAGCTTTCGAGGCCATGGGAGGCTCACAATCGACACTCCAATCTAAGGCGATGCAAGCCCAGGGCCTAGTGAATTTTAATTATGGGAAAGGCGGAAAGGCTGTGAAATGAGACAGGTTCACGATATTGCTGCCTCATTTCTGCAGCTGAGCTTTGCAGCAGTGGCTCGTTGCGGATCATGCCCCATACCTGTAGGGTTTTGGCGAATTTTGATGAACTTATCATTTCATTCCTAGTCTCTCTTCCTCATTTCTGAGAGACTTGCATACGTCATACCTCCAGAGTAAATCTTGCTTTCACAGTCGTTCTCCTTTCCATTCCCCTGCAGTAGAAAAGCTCGCGGAGGCCCCTTCATAAAACCTGCCAGACGGGAATGAGAATATTATGTACATTCGAGGATAGAGAAGATAGAGGAAAATCAATCGATCCACCCATACATAAATGGCAGCTACCGCTACCATGGGGTGTCAGTCGGCTATTGCGGGGGTGAAAGCAACCAAGTGCCACTAACAACGTCCTTTTTCATTTTAGCTGTCTTTCGTTGAAACATATGGCTCTCACGATGGACAAAGTCGCGTTTCAGTTCTGATGCCTACACCTTCTCACTTGCATTACTGATCTCGCTGACATTATCATCGTCAGGAGCTTGGCCGGGGGAGGCGCCGGCATAGCCGTCGAAGACGACGCTGGAGAGGCGGCGGGCACGACCGCCACCGGCCTTCTTGGCACGACGACGGAAGAAGAAGCGCTTGGCCCATTTCCAGGACTCGATGCCGCCGAAGAACAGCAGGGCCTGGATGATGACGATGGCCCACTCCCAGGAGATGCCGGTGTGTTTGAAGACGTCGTGGTTGATGACGGGACAGTAGAGGATCAGGAAGATGGACACGTAGCCGAACATGACCGAGTAGAAGAGGAACTTGTTGCGCCACACGTCGTGGGCCCACTGTGTGAAATACTTCTTCGACTTGGGCTGCATGCGGAAGAACGAGCGCCGGAAGTTGATCAGCTCCCACGCCAGGAAGAGTGAAAACCATGTCATCGAGACGAAGGTCGTGGCCCGCGCGCGGAACACCGTGTCGCACACATCCGAGTACGAGTCGTTGCAGTTCGCGCCCAGGTTACCGTTGCCGAAGCCGAATACAACCAGGGAGAAGGACGATAGACACAGTGCTGCCATCCAGACGCCGTAGACTAGCATGTCGACAATCAATTCGTTGGTAAAAATGCCGCGTTTGAGACTTTGCGGCGGCCTCTGAAGGATGTCCGGAGCGGCGATTTCGAGTCCAAGACCCATATCTGGAAGACCTGAGGTCACCATGATAACCCACATAATTTCGACCTGGAAGTTGAAGGATACGGGCGTTAGTTTACGAAAAAGACTTCAATTTCAGACTTGGAAGGGGAGGCAACTTACGGGTGACAATGGGAAGACAGAAAGCCCAGACTCATCTTTGAAAGCCAGACCGATCAGGAGAGTACACGCCTGTGCGATATTCTGAGCCAGCAGATGGAGGACAAATTTCTGGATGTTGTCAAAGATCCGACGTCCTTCCTCGACCGCATTAAGAATACTGGCAAAGTTGTCATCCGTTAGGATGATGTCAGAGGCATCTTTGGCGACATCTGAGCCTCCTTGGCCCATTGCAATACCGACGTCAGCTCGCTTCAGAGATGGGGAGTCGTTCACACCGTCGCCGGTCATAGCCGCAAACATCTCACGTCGGTGCAGGGCGTCGATCATGCGGACTTTAGTCTGTGGGGCGCAACGAGCGATGACGAGCGGCAGCACGGGCAAGTCGTCGATTTCCTGGTCGGAGAGGCGGTCAAATTGCGCAGCAGTGGTGACCATGCTATCAGCAACTTCCTTGCTGACCACGTTCAACTTGTCAGGAACAATGCCAATCTGCTTTGCAATGGCCAATGCGGTTCCCGGGTGATCACCCGTGAGCATATGGACACCAACACCGGCTCGGTGGCAGCGCTTGACAGCACCCTTTGACTCTGGACGAGGGGGATCGTAGAGGCCGACCAGCCCACGGAACGTAAGATCGGACTCCACCTTTGGACGAGCATCGCTATCTGTGGCGCCATCGTAGGGCTTCGAGGCCATGGCCAAAACACGGAGACCTTGTGATGCGAGGCTTTCCATATTCGCGAGAATTCGCTCCTCAATATCTGAGGTAAGCTCGGTGGGCTCATTGGTTCCTTCGAGGTCAATGGTCGTGCAAGACTCGATCACACGTTCAACAGCTCCTTTGGTAAAGGCCAGCTTGTGGTCTGAGCCCTTTTGCTGGAAGACGACGGACATTTTCTTCACATCGCTGGAAAACGGGTATTCCATAAGAAGATGCCATTCTGCGTTGTCGCCTTCAGTCAATTTCTTTCTGTTCCAGTCGAAGCGAGACGCGAAGACCTGGATGGCAATTTCAGTTGGGTCTCCTCGAGCAGTCCAGCCTTCGCCGTCGGTGGCTCTGTAAACAGTTGCCAAGTTTGCAAGAGAGGCGACTTTCATGAACTCTTCGAGCGGGGCGTTATCCTGCATGAGCTCTTCATACGTCTTCTTGTCATCCTCATCCGGCGCTACATCCATATCACTGGAAGAGTCGTCACTGCTCGGAGGCGCTTTGCTGTGATAGAGTGCAGCAGACGTCGGGTCGAACGGATCGCTGCTCTCCCCAACCGAGTAAGTGCCCTTGGCAGGAATCCAGGCTTTCTTTACCACCATTCGCCCTTGAGTCAGTGTACCAGTCTTATCGGAGCAAATATCAGTGACGGCACCCAAAGCCTCTAGGGCGTTCAGCTTTCGGACAATGACATTACGTTCAACCATGCGCTTGGTACCAGCAGCCATTGTTATCGTCAAGACAACAATGAGAGAAGCAGGAATCATGGATAGACCCGTAGCCACAGCATAGATGATGACTTCCTGATTGTTGGAGAAGTCATTCGCGGCGAGCACAATGATCGCAAACACGACGGCGATACAGAAGAGTCCAATTGCAAGCTGAGAAAGCTTCCGTTGCAGCGGTGTGCCGACGTTGACACCAAGGAATGCCCCGATAAAGTCGCCGGCAGTAAGACCCCAGGCTTGTGCTTGTCGATGGGGCTTGACTTTACCTTCAGCTGTTCGCTTGGGTTCTCGGACCTTGGAGTTTGACTTTCGAAGCTCGGCTGCAATGCTGCCGATTTCCGTAAACATGCCTGAAGGGATGTTGGTGAGTGGAATTCCAATTTGTGAAATCTGCGGTGGACCTACCTGTTGCAAAGACAACTCCACGGGCTCTTCCCTTGGTCACATTGCTCGAAGAATAAGCCACGTTCAGACGATCACCGGGACCAGTTTCGGGGTCAAAAACTTCATCGGCCTCTTTTTGGACTGGTAGTGACTCTCCTGTGAGCAAGGCTTCATCGGTTTCGAAGTTCATAACTTCCATAAGTCTATACCACGATCAGTACACGGATGATCTACACATTCTAGCAGTATTACCTGATGTCTGCTGGCACGGTATCTGTATGACAGTTAGGACAGAACCCACGTGAATGGACGGGCCTACTTACCACCAGTCTTCAATTCCACCATATCACCTGGAACAACGTGGATCGTCGGAATGACCATTGACTCTCCATGTCGGATGACGCTGGAGGTTGGGGAGGACAGGGAACGGAGTGAATCCATAGTTTTCTCTGCCGAGTATTCCTGCATGAAACCTATGACAATATTGAGGATGATGATGCCAGCCACGACACCACCTTCGATATAACTGCCAATGCCGAAAGACACTCCCATAGCCAAAAGCAACACCTTTCGGAATTAACAATGATCCCTAAGCACTAGGCTGCCATTGAACTTACCAGCATCATGGCGTTGGCAATCTGTCGTACGAGGATCTTTGTGGGATTCACACCGGGACCATTGTCGAGCTCATTTTTGCCATATTCCTCCAATCTTTTCTCGGCATCTTGAGGGGAGATCCCATCGATGCCACTGGCGCCTAGTTCCTCAAGGACTTCTTTGAAAGTTAAGGAATGCGCCGGCTTTGACATGGGCTTGTTGGCCTGTCCGGAGACATGGCCTGCGAGGAGCTCTGTCGTCTTGTTTCCCATGTTTGCATATTACCACGGTGTCTTTCAGCGCACACCACAACGGTTTGTCATTGATCTGAGGGAGCTTTGAGCTGGGTAGGACAAAGCTGAGGTCTCGAGCAAGCTACAAAGATGTTCGGCCAAGGAATGAATGGGGCATTATATGGGTCCGTTATTATCATCCATCGTATCTTCCGTCATCGAAGGATAAGCCTGGGGACAGGCCAACCCGCCTATTGACCAGTGACAGGGCCAGGCCGAGACCACTTTCATGCGTGTCGAGGTTTGGCAAGGTCTTGGAACCTGGTAGAGCCAAGACAATGGTGAGAAAGTTCAGCAATGGCCCACCCATGACCTGTTGTTCTGAGTTTCTTTCGAGGCGGCAGACCCAGCCGATCTCCAATAAAAACATCACCATAGCCTCAAACGAGCGCACCGAAAGCTTTCCCCGGTGCTTGATTCCATTCTCGAGGCGAATGGCAGAGAGTTTGCTGCTTTGTCAAACAAGAGCACTCGCGGCCGCGTAGCAGAGGACATGACACATGCACGGCTCGGTCGGCGGAGGCTCTCGTAAAGCCAAGCAAGGGCGCCATTCCAAGGCTTGGCTGGCAAGAATCCAGAGTACTCGGCGCAATCAATATTGGCCCGGCCAAGCAATAGCCAAGGATTGAATTCCAACGAAGGTACTTGGATCGTCATGTCGCGCCGATTAAAGTAAACTTTGGGTCGCGATAAGAGGAGAGCTGATGCTTGAGAGGCAGTTTCCGCCCCTCAACGACTGGTAGCTTGCAAGTGGAGGCAAGGCATGGCAAGACGAGAGATGACGTAAAACCAGTGGATGGATGGGTTGCACTGCGCAACCCCTCCCCACTTTCATAAGGCGATCACCGAATGATGGTCAGCCTTGTCGGCACGACTTCTCCGCTGGGACGGGAGGCAGGGAATACTATCCGATTCCCAAAGTTAGAAGAGGCGGCTACTATACGGCCCTAAAAAGTGCCCTTTCCGAGCTTGGGGAGCTCTAGCTGTGAGTTGAAAGACTGCGTGTTGCTTCCAGTCTCTGGGATGCCGTAGCAACGCCGTAAAACGATGCGGGATACAAGATTAGCAGAGAGACATGCCCAGCCTGTTTCCCGAAGTGTTGAGAGCAGAGATACGGGCGTTCTTGGTATGGAGTACTCGGTACCCCGGTGCCTATCTCGTTAGCCCAAGGGTTGGCACTCTCCGTTTCTGAATCTCTGATACGCGACAAGGGCTGAACTCACCAAAAGTGTGGAAGGCTTAGATACACCTGGCCTTGGCCTTCTTGACTTTCCTGGCGTCTTGTCCAGCCACGTGAGCGAAACGACTCGCTCGCCGAAAGTAGCCGCCATCTGCAGCCTACCAGACACCCAAGATAGGCTCGCAAAGTGGGAAAAGGATGCGAGTAGCCGGGATGCGAGCCTCTGGGCATCGGCCGTTCTAGTTTTCATGGCGGTTTGGCATCCTTGGCAATTGCCGTCTGGCCAGAGAATTCTGGCGGCGGGCGTCGAGAGTTCCTTTCTTGCAACATACTATCTCAACCGCTTGGGGCGAAACATGCCCACGAAGCGATAAGACATTGGTTGTGGGAGACACTACCGTCCAAGTTCTCGTATTGACCATCATGTCAGCTTATGGGTAGCTTATGGGTCATTCGTGGACTACAAAGCATGTACGCAGAGATTCCGAGTATCTACCCTTTGAAAAGAGCAAGTCAAGGCACGCCCTGTGAGCAACGTTGAGAGCACCCGGCCCAACCCTTTGGCCCGTGCTATTGATCGAGCCAATTCTCATCATAGTCTGTTCAAGCATCGGTGCCCGTTCAAATTGACTTTCTCTAGAAGTTACATTGAAGCTCGAACGCGGGTGTGGACGCATATCAAGGTGCCAGGCTGCCAATAACCGTCGTGAGAGCAGCCAGATGTTGTCAACACCTCTTGGACAGCCTGATAGACCTATCCATGGCGATGGTGTTTGAAGATGCCCTTGAGCATCTCGCCAGCTTACAGAACTACGCTCAAATCACCCTGTTCATGAGGCAACCCCAGAGGTTTGTTCTCACCTCCTCATTCTCCAATGCCTTCGCTAGTGGCTTGATTGACAATTGGGACGCAACGACCGCCTTGGTTACGTGACACTCTTCCTGGCGACTACCTAAGTATCCTGTGGTCCACTATTCAACCAGGCCCAAACGCGCGCGTGAGCGCTTCCCAGAGGAGCATGGGTTACACAAAATCAACCCAAACCGAGAATTTCATCCATCGAAAACCTTCCTCAAACAATCCTATCTGACGCTGTGTTGTGTTGGAATCACTCAACCAGTTTGCTCGCGTGGACGTCACCTCTTCAAGTATGGTATCAACTTCTACTCCTCGGATGATATCCTTCCACTGCTCCGCTTGAACCGCTTCTTCCCAGAACGACCTCCAACTTTCTGCATTGTGCCTGTACCTGGTGCGACCGTCACCCACGCGTCTTTCGAACTCCCCAGAGTTCACATTGGCAGTTTGGGCTCCCACGACCAAGACCCTTTTCTTGTTGGGATCGAGAAGCTTCAACGCCCGCTGAGCCATCTTCTTTTGCCCATCGAGGTCGAATAAATGGAACACCGCACAGACGTGCAAGATGCCCACTTCGCCATCCATTTGCGCGAGCGGCGTTGAGGGTGAAAGGTCAAAGACATCTGCCGGGGCGATGAAATGAGATGGTGGGAAGGACTCTCTGTCTCCGAACAATGAGTATCCAATCTCGATGAATTCCGGTCTCAGATCCGCTCCCCATAGACGTGAAGGATCTGCGCCATCGAATATCAACTTCCGGAGATCTTGACCGAGGCAGCAGCCGAGGTCGAGGAACAAGCAAGCCGAGCCGTCGCTTGTTGAGTTATCTTGCTTGCGGTCCTCCCCGGTAAGTGCCGGAAGGATATCACTGTGGTAGAGAGGATGCGTGCTCAAATCCAGTTCAAGAAAGCGCCACCGGCCAAGACATGGGTATGGGTGCTTCTCATAGGCTTGGTCACGAATTTTTGTGATGTGCGCCTTCTGATCTTCGACCGGGATCTTGCTATATTCTGCTAATAGCGCTGCCACTGCCGACGGTACCACCTTGAGCGTTGCCTGGTACAGCCGCGCAGATATTGTGTCGGCTTTAAGACTCGGTTCTGCCGCCATGCTGTTTCGTTGAAGAGGGTTACCTGATTGAAATCCTTATTCTCCTCCTTTCTGAGTCGAGGGCAATCTTTCGAATCTTGCAAGGTTTCTTTTCGTGGGAGATCGACTGTTCAGTGAAGCTTTTGCTTTCGTCTGCTACGTAGAACTTTCCAATGGCGAGATGCGTATTGCTCATTAATCATGCTTCATGACTGCCTAGTCTTTCGCTTCAAGCACCAATGAAGCTGTGCGCGGAATGCGAACCGGTCGTTTAGATGCGTGCATGTTAATTGCCGTTGTACTCCCTCCCTCGGTAGATGGCCGGAGAAATGAGGGGTGGATTTCTCCTCACCCACCAGAGTTGCTTATTGCATTATAGTACTCTCAGCGTCAGGTGAGCATCATCTGTTGACCATCCTCTTATTCTCTCTAAAGCGACTGGATTCAATGGGGCACAGCATGAGAGGATGAAGACACTGAGTTAAAATATTATAATGTTTCTTTTGTGATACAAGGCGGTCTATCTAACCGTAAGGGAAGGAAACCTTCTGGCCGCGATGATCATCCGATCCTGGGGTGCTTCAATTGCACCATGTATACCCCGGTGTTCGTGGCCATATCTCTGCCTTCGTGACATAATGAAGTAAGGCCTAGTCGCGGATATCCATCCACCTTTCAGCCCGTCAAATTGGCGGTTTGTATCTTCGAGAATGGCTTTTCTGGTGTGAATCTTTGAACTAGAAATACCAACCCTCAAAGTGACTTCCTCGTCGATGCCAACCACCTCTGGGAAAGGTCGACTCGGGCCGTATGCCGCAAGGCCCAATCTGCCCTGACATCCCGCAATAAGGGGTTCTATCATTTCCCTAGGCCTGTTGATTCCTGTGCCTGAGATCCGATGACACTGCTGCGAGGTCAAGATCACCAAAACGAAGCCATTCTTTTGAGTACCAAGCTCATCTTTGACAATCGAGTTGACGACCAGTCCGTCTATCCCCCCTCGGGGTTGCGCCATCCGTAACATAGCGCATCAGATCGTTTCAGTTGTAATTATCATTCAATCTTGATATTCTCCCCAAATCGCTCCGGAGATTCGAAGATGTTCGGCAGGGATCTGATGGAATCACAGGCAATCTGCTCGACCTCGGCCAAGCATGTCTCGAAGTTGAAATCTGGTGTAGAAACTAGTGTCTGGCTCATGTCGTCCTCAACAGTGGAGTCGTAGGAGTTTGGGCTTTCATTCGAACTCGAACTTATAAAATCGTCCAGTCCGTCGGGTAGATCTCGTTCATTAAGGAAAGCCGATGGTTTGACGTCGTCGTCGTACAACTTGGGGCAATTTTCCTCCATATTCAGGGGAGGCATCTCGGTTGACAACAATGCGCTCAGAAAGTCCAATTCCCAGGTGTTCACCCGCTGGCTTTTTAGGATGTTCATGTTTTTAGTCGATAAAGGCAATAATCTCGGATATGAAGACCTCCGGTACCGATTTGCAAACGCTTCAGGATGCCACCCTTCGATACTGTTGCATGATGAAGATTTTGACTCTTCTTGCTTTTCTTTTGCTTGATCCTGTTCTGGTTGAAATGCTCTCCAGTCTGTCCAGGTGATGAAGCAATGTTGTGGTTGACTGCGATTTCGGTTGGTCGGCTGCTTTGATACCTTGCCCATCTTGGACGATTTAGATTTTGTCTGAGTGTGTCCCATTGCCAAAATCAAAATGGCGGCAGTGTGGTGGCTAACTCAATGGCCCCGCTAAAGAATAAGAGTTTGTGTGAAATTCTCCGGGAATGCTCCGAGACGTAAGTATTGAATCGAACTCGACTGTACTCCGTACTAGACTCATGTACTACCACAAGGTGGATAGAGTTGCAAAGTGAAGGACAATGTTAGGTTTAATTGGGAGAAAGGGACGAAAATGAAATGGACGTTGCAGCGGTATGTGGTGAAGTCAGAGGGCGTGCATGAAATTTGATTTCTCATACCTGTCCTCGAAGGGGGTCCATATCAGCTCATAATTCACTGTTTAAGCCGGTGGAAACCGTAATCCGGTTCAGCGGCAATCAACCGGCTATTGTCAGCTTCTTCATTGGACAGTGATTGAAATAATCAGAACAACGGCCCTCGGTAGCTAACCTCGGGTTCCCACCGGCTGACTTGACTGCGTTTTACTCCAGATAAATTCTTCGAGTTATGTGGTAGTGTGGAGGCATGGGTCCTCGTGGAGGCGGGCAACGGCCGTATGAAGTTTGGCCCTTGGTGGACTGCCCTATCGGGACTTCGCAGGACCCCCAGCCTCGTGCTACCGCTTGGATCCCAATGTCCGCCTATGTGTCCATGGCTGAGACATCATCGGGATTGAAGCATTTCTTCGAAGAACCGGTCCAAATCACGCCAGGCTTTCCCCTGCTTTGGGACACCAGGGCCTAATAAGGCCTGTACCTGCAGGCAATTCGCATAGAACTCCTTCCTCGAGTGGCTCACGTTTCTGTCCAGACCCGGTCGAGGTCGCAACGGGGAGCCTTATGTCGTTGTGTCGGTTTCAATAATAATTATGTTGCGTACCATCACGACGTCCTACCAAAAAAAAAAGCCTGACATCTTTGCCACGTGACTTGATGCCACCGGATAAACATCGGTCCAATCTCACGTGGTCCCTTCAACATCCTGCGATTCTGTAGACATCTCACAATATCAATGCCCAAGACAATGACGAAGTAGTGCTGGCTTGAACGCGAAAGGGGTTTCTGTTGCGATGCTATTATATTGTTCAAGCCTCTGTTATGTCTGGCACAATTCATCCTGAGACAATAGTAACACTCGAGAATGGCACCGCCCACGACCGACCTCTCCTCCAAATTCGGGGCTACAACGAAGAAGTCTATCTTCGAGCGCCAGAAAGCCGAAGCCGAAGCGAAGAAAGCACGTGAGAAAGCAGAAACAGCTGCCGTGCTCGAGGACTTTGTCAAGAGCTTCGATGATGAAAATGACTCACCCCAATTGCAGACAAAACGAACAGGTGGTGGATTTGGTTCAGGAGGAAGCAGTGCCTTCGGGCCAGGACCGGGGAAGCGACATTTTACAAGTTCCGGGTTGAAGAGCGGGCCAGGAAGCCTAGGTCCTAGTCCCTCTGCACAAAAGAGTGGACCTGGAAGTCTCGGGCCTACCCCTCCTTATGGCAAGAAGAGACATTATGATGACTACAGTGGCGGGCGAGACCGAGGGCGCGATAGAGATGATGATCCAAAAGGGATGTTCTCGTACAATGATAGCAGGGAGCGGGATCGACAACGAGAAATGGGCTCCTTCGCCCGTGAGGAGGACGAGTCGAGGGAAGCAGGGGAACTCGAAGCCGCTGCGAAGCCAACTCTACACCTTTCGTGTCTGCCGCCTGGCACGTCATCTGCGACCATCAAAGGATTGTTCACCCCATCTCCCTTGAATATAGAGAATGTCCGAATTCTGGCCAATGTCCCAACGTTGTCCAGCGAGAGAAAGTCTATTTCTGCGATTGTGACTTTGGCAGCCGAAACTCCAGCCACAGATATTGATACCATGGTTTCGCATTTGCAGAACAAATATCTCGGATTTGGATTTAATTTATCCCTCTCCCGTCATTTGTCTTCAGTGGCACTCACTGGAAGCAATTCGCTGGGCAACACTGCACCAAGCTCTGGGCTCAATAATTTACCATTTGGGGCCAGACCAATCCCACAACATACTTCACTTTCCAGGGCGCCTCCGCCAGGTCGAGGGCCAGGAAGATTCCCCCCTCCAGCTTCATACACGTCCTCGACTCCGTACGGATCCCGAGGGAATCTCCCTTCAACCCAAGTTACAGTACAAACGCCCAGTGACCTTAAGCAGCTCAAACTGATCCACAAGACAGTTGAGGCGTTATTGACTTATGGTCCCGAATTCGAGGCCTTGTTGATGTCCCGCCCTCAGATTCAACGCGACGAGCAGTGGGCATGGCTATGGGACTCGCGGTCTATTGGCGGGGTTTACTATCGTTGGCGATTGTGGGAAATCCTTACAAATGCAGAGGCTAGACTTCGACGTCAGGCTGTGGGTGGCTACGGCTCACAACCTCGAGGTGACATTATTTTCGAAGGGCAGAGCACTTGGGTTCCTCCAGAAGAAACTCTCAAATTTGAATACACTACACGGATAGAGGATTTTGTCAGTGATGACGATTATAATTCATCAGATGAGGAAGACATGGATGAAGGGGGTGGGCTTGCAAGAAGATATCATGATCACCAGAAATTAGCTGCTATTTCTGCAGACAACGCCGTCGACAATGATGGCATAGGCTACCTCAACCCGCTCGGCAGAACGAAACTGGTGCACCTCCTTAGCCGCGTTCCAGAGTCAAATTCAAAATTGCGGAAGGGCGACGTAGCCAGAGTAACAGGTTTCGCGATCGAACATGCTGGTGCGGGTGCCGATGAAGTCGCGGCGATGATCACGCGGAATGTGATTAAACCTTTCTGCTTCAACGTGAAGCGACCGAAAAATAAACAGAATGACTCAGACGATGACGAACATCGGGATGGGCTCCAACAGAAAATCAGAGACAATCAGGGCGAAGACCTGGACGATCCAAAAGAAGACGAGCAGCAGCAAGGAAAAGATACCACCCCTACTTCCCTGGTAGGCCTGTATCTGATTAGTGATATTTTGTCCTGCAGCGCTTCTTCCGGAGTCCGCCACGCCTGGAGGTACCGCTCCCTCTTCGAGACCCAGCTACGTGTGCAGAACGTCTTCCCCATCCTCGGCCGTGCCGAGAGAACCCACAACTGGGGCAAACTGAAAGCAGACAAGTGGTATCGCAGTGTGCAAAGCGTGCTCAGCCTGTGGGAAGGATGGTGCGTGTTCCCGTCCGCGGCCCACGACGCCTTTGTCGACGAGTTTCTACACCCGCCATTGACGGAGACTGAGAAACTGGAGCTTGAGAAGAAAGAGCGAGACGCGAAATTGCGCGAAGAGACGGAGAGAGAAAGGAACATCAATGCCAGCAGTGTCAGCCGTTGGAGGACCGTGGATGAAGACGAAGCCGCTGCGCAATTTTCTTCGGATCGAACCGGTGCTGACATAGTGATGCGCGACTCCGGTGGTGACGCGGAAGGGGATCTCGACGGGGATCTCGACGGGGATCCGATGCCTCTTGATGACAACGATGAATACGACGACGACCGCAATTTTACAGACGCTGACCTCGATGGCGTCCCTATGCTCGATTCGAGTGATGAGGAAGAAGGCGGGGAAGGAAAGAGTCCAAGTATACCTGGACGAGCACCATCACCAGTCCCAGGCCCTCCACCTCCGCCTCCACCTCCTCCCACGGCTCCGAGTGAACAAGACTGTACCCCGTCCAAAGCGTCACCGGACCAGCTGCAAACCCAACAACAGGCCCAGAGCGCCGCCGGCCGCCGCGGGGGCCGGCCCAAGGCTGCAGATTTCGATGATGTCGACATGTTCGAGTGAGTACGAAGACCGGAGGGGGCCGAGCAAGAAACCAAGCAAGCGAGAAGAGAGCAACGCCATAGAGGCGTTCCCTGACGTGCTTGGATCTGAGAGCCGGATAGCCTACATGCCAGCCACCTTAGGCATCCAGCTAATCAATCACGCACAGGCATACCTAAATAGTACGGTAGTTGGTCAGGTAGGAGGACTTGGACCCGATAGAATCAATGCCAGATACGTTCCTATCAAGTCCATGCACATCTCTGGCCGGGGCAATCCGCCACGTATGCACTGTACACACGCATTCAGCTCATCCACACCCACTGACCACGGCCGTCCGACAAAGTCCCAAAAGGAGAATCGAAGACTGCCATGTCGACGTCAGCCTTCGAACACGGACGGCCCAGCTGAGGTGATCAACGACTCCGCGTCTAACACCCCAGTGTCCCGAGCCGGAATCACGGCCTACTTACTGTACATACATACCTCCCACGCAAGGCCCGACTCGGGGTTCTGTCCCATAAGCTGGGATACGCAGGTGATGGCGAGACGTGAGGACCACTACGTACGTACGTACATACATACATACTAGTGCTCGTCGTACTCGGAACTGCTACTTATTTATATTCTATGTACTTATCTCAGGAGCGAGTCATGGCCTGTTTCGCATCAACGAACTCGGTCACGCCTAATCCATACCAGGCCTCGACCTCGCACTTACGTTACCTAGTTACGGTCGGACGGAGTACTGCATCTGAATCTGTTTCATCAGGCTCATTATTCATGGTCCTCGACATCCTTCACTGCACTCAACTCCGAAAAGACAAGACTTTAGTAAGCATGCCAGTTGGAAACAAGCGCAGCCCACTCGTGTATGGTCGTGTATGGCACGGCGCGAACAATATATTAAGAACGAATGAAAACAGCCCGCATTTTTATTTTTATATATACCTACCTCTGGAGTGCCTTCGATCCCAGCCAAGCGAGTCAAGCAGTGGCTTTCCAAGTCCTCGGAACAATTGCTTGTGTAACTAGGTGCCTAGTTGTTCTCCCGCCTCGTTCCCAGCCCCTTCGTAAATGCGGTGGGTCGTATGGATTTCGAAAACGTAAACTCCCAATACGATATCTTGCCATGTTCGTCCTGACCGTTTTCCCCAGATATGCCAATTAAACCTGCTCGGCACTCGCCTTACCAGGCTCACCTTCCGATAGGGCTTCAGCACGAGGTTCTTTAGGCGCTTCGGATGACTCGTGTGTAAGCGCATGCTCCAGCGGGACGGTACCAGCGTCGGTACTAGCCGTGGTCTGCTTGCTCACTGGGATGGCATCAGTGCTTGGATCTGGGTCTTCTCGTTCGAGCGTTGGACCGGAAGCCTGGTCACTGCTCGCTGTGGTTTCCTTCGAAAGCCCATCATCTTCATCGGAGACATGATGACTTAAGGGATTAGGTCTTTCTTGAGTGGGTGTTCCTAGTGTGGGCTCTGCTAGATCACCGGCCGTATTCTTGGCGATCTCGGTCGCAAATTCTTTTCGCTGGTCTTGAGGTGGTGGAGGCTCTTCGGTTTGTTCTTGTGCAGCCAGAGCGTGATCCGTTGTATCTATCGTAGAAGGTAAGGGTGTATCGGCCACGGTTGAATTCTCAATTTGCTCAGCTTTCTCACTTGAAAGAGTAATAGAAGAGGGAGTGGCTCCAGTAGGTGAGGGTGCGTCTATCTTCTTAGCTGGCTGCGAGATAATGCTGACTTCATCCGTATCGTCAATTGTCCAAAGTGAATGAGGCTTGAACATGGAGAATTGAATCGTAGGAGGACCCGAACTGGCGGGTGACTTGGCCGGAGCCCTCCTCTGAGGTCCCCGAGCCCTCCCCTTGCGGGCATCTTCCAATGGTTTGGCTTCCTCTATTGACTGCTCTGGTTCTTTCTCCTTCTCCTTTGGTGGCCCAAGTCCAAGTTTGGCGTTAAGATCATTCATAAAGTTGCCTCGTAGGTTCGCGATCTTGCTCCCAGCCCCGGGTCGAGCAGGGACTTGAGGTTTTACCTTCGAGATCGCAGGAGAGACTTTCTCTTGCTCGGCAGAACCACTAGCTTCTGGCGTCTTCTTCGCCGGTCTTACTGGAATTTGTGGCTTAGGTCTATCAGGAATACTGGGAACCTTTTTCAACTCTGTGGGAGAAGTAGCTTTCGTGGCGCTTGCGTCTTGGTTTAAAGGTCTGGCAGGTATGCTAGGGGCGACCTGTGACGATGATGCTTCTTCACCTAGCCTACTCCTACCCGGTCGTGGTGGAACAGCTGGTTTGGAGACGGTATCTGCAGGGCTCTCTGGTTCATCATCCATGGGCGGATTACTTACAGTGGTGACGAGATGGTGGCTGTCTGGGCTGTCCTCCCATATATCAGAGCTGGGGAAACGGGGTAGCTGTCCTGGTCGGGTAGGCATGTCATCTCGGAGGTGTGGAGCAAAACGAGACTTTGCGAGCCTCTCTTCATTAGGGATGAGTTTTTCACGTTCAGCCTCGGACGGCTCGCCCTTTCGTGCGCCTTCCTGTTCTGGCGTTTCGAAAGTTTTAGAGGCTTCTTGACTTGCTGCTTGGGCGGGAAGGTCTGGCGTGGAGACTTCTGCTGAATACATGGCGCTGCTCGGTGTATCCTCCCAAATATCTTGACTGGGGAAACGTTGCTTTAGAACATGCGGTCTCTGCTTAAATCGCTCAGCGTGGCTGATGGACTTCTTGCCATCGTCATCCGGGAAGAGTGGTTCGTACTCCTCTACGTCCTCCAAGGGGGTGTGCTGGGCGTCCCGGTCGTCGTGATGCGAGATAAAGCGTTGTAGTGAGGTTGAAGCCCCCGACAGTCCATAGAGGCTTGTTGGTCTGCTGGAAGGACGCGAACCTGGGGTAGCATCGCCGCTACGATAACCGTCATGGCGTTCCGCCTTGGGGGAAATAGCTGGTTGAAGATGTTCGATTCCAACAGCCTTGGCAACCTCGTCCTCGGCAAGAATTGGTACCGTGTAGCCATGCTCATTGATGTAATCGCCATCGAGGGTCGGGTGTGACGCATATGGGCGAGCTTCTTGTGTCTCGTTCAGGCTCTCTTCACCGCCAGTTATCTTATTGTAACGACGTCGAGGTTCGACATGGACTTCCTGCTCTGCTTCACTCTCAACCGCATCATCGGATTTTCCAGAAATTGAGAGCCTTCCGCGACGAACTTCTGCTGGGATGGTCTCATCAGCAGGGAAGCTAGCCTTTCTCAACGGTGACTCAGCTGCTGGTTGGGATGTATTTGTGATCGTCTTTGCCAAGCTATTCGGGGTGTTCTGCTGCGATCTAGAGGTATAAAACTCAGAAGCTTTATACCCAATTTGTTCATCTGGGTAAGAGAATGTAGTTCCGGAGGTACCTAAAATTGTCAGCCAGCTGGTACATTTCTCTGATATCCTTGGACGCCATACCCATGCCGGTACCTCGGCTTGCAGTGCTGCGAACAATCTTGTTCAAATCATCACTGCTCAAAGCGAAGCTGCCACGCCCACTTCCAATGCTCTCGTATACTCCATGGCCATGGGTCTCCTCGTGCTGGGCAATATCGGGATGCTTAGCATACCAATCTTTCTCGAACTTATCCTGTGGAGGGAGACCGTGACCATGCAGACCATAGCTTCCAGGCGGGGCAAAAATCTCGCGGCCACTCTTTGTCCTGGAATGGTGTGGCCTCCTCTTCTCACCATTGCCTCCGGTGTTATGCGGGCTATGGGGTGCTGGGGATGGTGCCTGTACATCTCCAAGTAAGGGATTGATGGGAACTCGAAGACCAATCTCGGCAGGACCAGTCTCTTCTCCACCATAGACAGACGAGCGTCGACCGCCTTCCACCGTTGACGAGGGCCTGGAAAAGCTGTTCCTGGTCCTTACTGTGTGCAGAGACTCGCCTTCTTCCTGGGCAGGAGTGGGAGGTTTTCCGAGGCCGTGGTAAGCGGCCTGTTGGGAATCGGTTCTTGTCACTGCTTGTACCTGGGCAGTGGCACTGGATTTCGGGAGAGATGGCTTCGGGGCGTGGAGATGTAAATCATGGCCAATGTTTCTGGTCTGGGCTGCGGCATCGGCACCCAAGGCAGAGGCTGGCGGTTCTTGATTCGTTTGGGTGGCTAGAATATCGGCATATTCCATTCCTTCCTGGCCAAGAGAAGGCAGATTCTGAACACTAGGTGGTCGGCGTAGAGCTTCAACGTTGGCTTGTTCGTTGCTTCTCCGGCGGTTGGTGTTTGCACCCCATGGCTCGTTGAGAGGGGAACGAGGGTAGTTGGCGGGAGAGACAGAACGATCTAGGCGTTTGGGCAGAGGACGTGGAGGGATGTCGGGCAGCTTGCTGACACCCTGTGTCGCAGCCTGTTGGGAAGCGCGGGTGGGTCGTGGAGGAATGGTGGGTGCAACCTGGGCCGACATGATGGGCAAACAAATGCTTGACGTCGGACACTGCTCGAAGAGATTAATGGGGAGTGAAGAAGGCGATAGAAAGCGGGTTGAGGGGGGAAGAGGAAAAGTGGTTGAAGCAAGGCACAAACGGTGGGATGACGATCATCGATAAGGACGGGGGTGCAATTGCAGTGCAGGTGCGGACGGGGCTCGAGGTACACATATGTACCACCGTACCACCGTACCACAGGCAAGAGCGAGTAGGGGGCAATGAAAGATTGGAGAAAGCTGTCAAAGGAACTAGTGGCTAGGGACAGGTACGTACCTCTTCCTCGAAGAAATCAACAAGGAAACAAAAGCCGCGATGGTGATGGGCGGGGAGATCGGGGATGAAAATTATCTAGAGAGAGAAGAGAATAGACAAAGAAAGGGAGATTAAAGAGAAGAAGAAACAGAAGAAATGCGTGAGTTGGCGGATCAATGGGCGGTTTGACGTGTTTTTTCTGATGCTTGAATTCTTGAACATGAATGAGGACATGGGCGGTGGGCACGAATGATGATATGAGGGCCACGAGGGCCACGAGGTGAGGCCATGCGAGAGCAAAGCTCCAGAGTTGTCGGTCTTCTGTCTGTCTGGTCGCTCACCGACTGGACTGGACTGGGTGACGGCGAAGCGGTGGCCCTCGGCCGGGGCGTGAGGGTCTAACCAGAAGACGCCTCGCTAGGCGTGCCCAGGGGCGGCCAGGGGTGTCACCAGGCATTGTTTAAGGGCCGGCTAGAGGCCGAGGGGCGACTGGGGGCACCTGAAGGAGCCTATAAGAAGAGCTGTAGTGTCCTGCCAATTACTGCCCTTGTCATTGGGTGCTGATGTGCCATGGCGCCCAGGGGGGACACTTGCAGTTCAGGAACAAGACACCAAGAGCCATACACCCTTTGACCATCTGGATTTATTATTGGTGACGTGATCATGGAGCAGTGGGCCGTGGCTATGCCATTGCCAGTGCCACACGCGTTGTCCTTGCCTCTCGATGAATGGATTCCATCCATTCATCGAACTCCATCGGTTTGCACGGTACCGAGTACCACAAATCAAGCAGTTTAATGGCACACTCGTTGGGTTGCACAACATCATGTCTCCATACCGAGAACCATCTCGAAACAATTGCATGAGCTATTTACTCTGTTTCTCGACGCCCCTCCACAATCCCTCTGGGGCACCATCATCGCCCTCGGGCCCGGTGTGGATTGCGCTCCCAATTTCCCATTGTACTGTAGGTGCCAAAAGCATGGTGTGCTTCTCAGCTGGCTAGACAGAATTACTCGTACAGTGCTCTCCGTACAGCTCCAGTCACCCGCATTCACAACTTGCATCTCCACAGTCAAGTAGATAGTGAAAAGTTTCCTCCTCACGTGGCCATATTTGCTCATCCAACAAGTGCACGTATCATGTAAACTATCTCTAGGATCCCGCACTGTCCAGTTGCAGTACGCCTACTAGCGACTACGAGGCAGCTCCTTTTGCCCCTTTTCCCTTCCCGTCCTGCAAAGCTCGCTACCAATAGGCTGGATCAACCTTCCTGTCTCGAACAATCCAACTGCCAGCTGTCGTCGGACACCACCTGACCGACTGGAAAATTTTTACGTGCCCTTTCCCCGCATTCTGGCTTGCGAGAACAGTGGGGCAGCTTGAGCATGAGGTCCCTTGGCGAAGGCAGTTCATCTTCGAGATCGCCTTTTCACTTAGTCGAGCTTTTGTGCCTGGGATTCAAAAGTTATATAAAGACGGAGGGGCTGAAGCTGGCACCACCTGGTCTGGTAGTGGTGGAGAAGTACGAGTAACATCTATGCAACCTTGACCGCTGGCCGGATAGCGTCGGCATCAGATCAGAGCAGATCCTGCTCTCTGATATCTCTCGAACCGGCCCGGGGGTATCTATGCCTCTCCAAGTGCTCTCCGCAGTCTATTCTTTATTCAATCCCGTCCACTGTGTCTCATAAGTGGTGTAAATGTCCGAGTAGTCTTCTAAGAGCCCCTGTTCGATGACCTGTCGTCAGTATCTTCTTGCTGCTTCCAATCAGCCCTTCACACGGCCACCAAGTTCAGCCTTCCCACCAGTCATTCGTCGTCCGACAACGACATTGCCATTGCTTTCATCTGCTCTCTTTCCAAAAATCTGTGCACCCTCGACCAGACGGCGCTCTGTGTTCTGACGACTATTCACAAAGTCGGGATAGTTCAGAGTGAGTTCTGCAGCACCGTTGAGAATGTTGTCCGCTGCCTCCACACCCAGCATGAATGAATGGTCCTGGTTGCCCACCTCATATCGCCAGGAGCCGAATCGCCCTCTGCTGTAAATGCCCTTTTCTTGGAGAGCTGGTAGCAATTGCTTGAGGACACCCTCCCGTTCTAGCGACGGCGTGGGGTATCCATGATCGAATCGTCGGTGATATGTCGACACAATCTCATCCTCTGGCTTCAACATCTCCGTGTTGACGAGCCCCAGGATGCAATCCTTTAGGAGCGTCTCATTGTCCACAGGCTTCATACTGGACTCCGAAACTTCCAACATGATCGACCAGTAAGGGCCTGCCTTTGCTTGCATGCTTTGGCGTCGCGATCCATTGGCAAGTTGCAGCGTTGGCAGCTTGACATCCTTCTGTGGTTGATTATATGGTGAGTAGTTGGAGAAGATCGTGGCTCGGTAAAAGGGGCAATTGTCCTCGGGGAAATAGAGCCAGCACTTGTCGCCGATGCGTTCTGGGCGAGAACCACGGACACCCACCCCGATGACGTGAGTACTACTGTAGAACAGACCTTTGCTTAGTGTAACAAGCTTCTCATCTTCCATGGTCTCTACCAAAGAGTCCACCGCCATCGTGCTGATCAGTCTCTGATAGCCAACCGTGGTGCCGTCTTCCAGCGTCACCTCTTTCTTGTCTGCATTGACCTTCTTGACAGCACCCTTCTTTCCAAAGCGCTTCTTCTCCTTGGGCAAAGTGTTGGCCACAGCGATCCAGATGCCACCAGTGCCGTCTCTGGCAGGGAATCTGAATGTCGCATTGGGACCCCAATTCCCAGCAACTTTGCCGAGGATGACATTCCTCGTGACCAATTTAGCATTGGGCGCAGCAACACGTTCTCCCAGCCATTCGGATGCCATCTGCATTCGATTCAGTAATCAGCCCAAATGTGGGACTGTGGTCGTTCTCACCTTGGTGGTAGGGACCGCCCAGACTTTGAAGTTGTACGGTCGCATGAAAATGTCGGCAATTCCAACTCCCATGTTCCGAACAATCCATTCGTCAAAATCCTTCGGCTTTGTGTTTGCAACTCTTGCTTCAAGGGCGGCATCAATGATTCCATCGATGCACAGGACTTGGTCGTCCTTAGGCAGCATAGAGATGTTGTTTTGGAATGGATAGGGTACCCAGTGGCCTTTATATCGCACATACGAAATGCGCTGATGTGTATACCAATCATCCTCTTTTGGCAATGCCTCGTCAATGCAGTCATCGAAGTATTTGTAGTGGGAGAAGATGACATGCCCTCCGACGTCGTAGAGCTGAGGATGTATCGGTCAGCAGTGTTCTTCCGACAGGGGTGAGCTCTTTGGACGTACGAAGCCCTCGTTGGTCACATCGGTTGAGGCGAGCCCACCAGGGGTCTCGTTGGAGTCGATGATTAACCATGAAGCAGTGTTCTGGAGGCTGTCAGTTTGACGAATTCAGACAACCCTGTGCTGAACATACGACTTGATTCAGTCTTTTGGCGGCTCCAAGACCCGTTGGGCCAGCCCCAATGACAAGGACATCAACTGAGCTGTCGGTGGGGTTAGTGGCATAGTTTCAGGGGAGTGGGTCGAAACTTTACATGTCGGGCATTTTATATGCTGCGAGGACTGGTGGTCTATGGACAGGACGAACAGCAAGACAGAAGGGAGGAGAGGAAGATGGGGAGAGGAAGATGTCAACAGGAGCAATACAAACTGGGAGAAAACAAACACAATTGAGCGGTGATGGCGGTAGTGGTAGGGGCGGTGGTGGGTGGTGGTAGTCTTTGCATGCGCCAATCCAACCCCCCAATCCCCTGCAACTCGATCGAAAAAAAGTTCAGACGAGCTGGCCATCCACCGACCACCGACGAGTATCAAAAGGCCTTGGCAGGGACACTCACCTTCTTGCAGTAATTAGTAGTTACTTCTCCTGTTCTATCCATTCCTTCCTCGTATAAAGTCCAGATATTACGGAGGATTAAACTGCGGAAGTGTTCCCGACTCCAACGCCAAACGTGCATGCCAACGCCCTTTAATCGAGGCGTTTGCAAACATGCAAGGAGCGTGGTGCTGCTTCAACACAGTGTTTCGAGACTGCACGGCCAATCAAGATAATGTTTGTACATACAGTACATTCTATGAGGGGCATGCAGGATATTTCTCGCCGTTGGCGAGGCATGTTTACCTGTGTCTGCTGACTTGTACCTAGTGATCACGATATCGACGCTATGCCAGTCCATTTCATCACCGCTAACATCATGATGGGGGAGGGGCGCCTTTAATTGTGTGCCTAGGCATAGGCGGCACGGGGTGCAAAGTACAGAGTACCTCCTTTATGACGATATCTGCCGTTCGGAGTACTACATATGTACGTATGTATCAGTCCTTGGTACAGATTGCGGGCCAGGTCTCGGCTCCACAGCCACTGATCTCGATAGTAATTACTTGGCTATGGTTTCTATCTGCATGCTGTAGTCCATAGATGTGGCTGGTGGAACGTAAAGATATCCATACTCCGTTCTGGCACCCGTAGGTCCGCGTGAATCGAGAGAACAGATCAGATAGCGAGTAGGCATTCTGCACTGTAAAATTACTGTAACTCCCTACCGAGTATTGTATGCGTATCTCGTGTTTCAGCCGTGGAACATGACGCGTGTCGAGGAAGGTTGATCATTTGTTGGCGGACCTCCAAGCGCACGCCTCGACGATGTCAGAGTCTCAGAAGGAACTCATTATGGAGTAGGGAAGTACTCGTAGAATATATGATGCATTGATGGCAGAGTTAGGGGGCCTTTACCACCTAGTGGGCGCAAATCATTGGTTGTCCCGGGTGCGCTATCCGGGTTTGTTGGGGCTCTAGCTGCTTTTAGCATCACTCCAGTGCCTCGTGGTCCAACAAGCAGCCCCCAGGGAGTCCCGGAGTGCCTCTGGGTCCCTCCAGCCACCAAAAAGCCCAGATTGTCCAGATGTAAAGCCTAAGTCTCCTTTTTAGGGGGGAACCCGCCAACGCTTAGTGGTCCCCCATTTAGGGAGTGCCACAGCTGACATGGCGAACCACCATCACCAAAGGATGCACATCTTTCCTCTGCTCCACGCCGAATCCCTGAAAAAAGTGGGTGTCCTCATTTTCGTCCCCTTCACATCTTGATTATGCCCGCCCGCTTGCGACGCCCAACACAATCTGTTTGCTCTACCCATCTCCATCTCCCTTGCTCGGGACTCTCGCGCTCTTATTAAATCTTGCGCCATCGACGTTTCCTAGAACACTTGTTGCCTCATCCCAAACTCGCTCGTTCCCTCATGTTGACCTGAGTCTCCGCCAATCTGCTGCAGCCACAGACCTTTTCCAGGTCGCCCCGACCCTTTTCCTTTCAAGACTTCCTCCAGCGCAGTCAGTCCTCTCTACCCGCCATGGCAGACATCGAGAAGAAAGCCCGCCTGTCGGGTGAACAGACACGAAGTGCTGAAGCTGCCTCTGTCCTACCAACCACAAATGCTCCCTCCGAGAAGGCTGCTCCGCCTCAATCTTCTCTGCACCCGGCCGTCTACGTCGCGTGTGTTTAGCCTCAGCCGTCTCGAGAAATCTCACTCTGACAACCCCTACAGGACTTGGATTGGCTTCAGTGGAGGTGTGATTCTATTCAACAAGTGGCTCTTGAGTACATTGGGTTTCAGTAAGCACCACTCGAACTTGATTTTCTACTGTAGGTCGTCAAGCTGACAGAAGTCCGCAGGCTTTCCTATCACATTGACAGCATGGTTGGTATTTTCGATACAACTCTCATGCTTCACTGCTCTGACATACATTTGGTTAGGCATATGAGTTTTGCTACCTTCATGACCCAATTGCTTGCAAGGACCACTACTCTCCTCGATGGACGGAAAACCGTGAAGATGACGGGCCGAGTCTATATCCGGGCAATCCTTCCAATCGGTTTCTTTTTCAGCTTGAGTCTGATTTGTGGTAACCAAGTCTATCTCTACTTGAGCGTGTCATTTATCCAAATGTTGAAGGTGAGTGCAGGACAAGATACAGGGAACCTTGAAGACTGACGGAGATAAGGCTACAATGCCTGTGGCTGTCCTTTTGATCTCCTGGGTCATGGGAATTGCACCCCCTAGCCTTAAGACATTAGGAAATGTCTCTTTCATTGTCATTGGCGTCGTCATCGCCTCATATGGAGAGATCGAATTCGTCCTCACCGGTTTCCTCTACCAAGTGGGCGCCATCATTACCGAGGGCACTCGTCTAGTGATGGTGCAGCGACTCCTCAGCTCGGCCGAGTATAAGATGGATCCACTGGTTTCTCTCTACTACTTTGCTCCTGTGTGTGCAGTGATGAACGGCCTCACCGCTCTTGTGCTCGAAGTCCCCAGCATGACCATGAAGAACATTTACGATGTTGGCATCTTTTTGTTGATCGCCAATGCGATGGTGGCATTCTTGCTCAACGTCTCAGTGGTTTTCTTGGTAGGTCTGATGTCAGAGCGGCGTTATTGAATTTGCTGACACTGAGCACAGATTGGAAAGACATCTTCGTTGGTGCTTACCCTTTGCGGTATTCTCAAGGACATCCTTCTCGTAGGCTGCTCGGTGGCAATCTGGGGAAACCCGGTTACCAAGACGCAGCTCTTTGGTTATGCTGTTGCCCTTGGTGGTTTGTTGTACTACAAGCTTGGGGCTGAACAGTTCAAGCAATACATTAGCCAGGGTGGTCGGGCTTGGTCAGAATTTGGCGTGCAACGACCAGCTATGCGAAAGGCTCTGGTTTTTGGCCTGGTGATTTTGACTATGTTCATCCTCCTCGGCGGGCTGGCTCCCACGTATGCACCTGACCAGACGCAAAACTTGAAGAACATGTTGAGCACTGGCCTAGGCTCATAACTCCTTGACCAGAACCTTTGCCACAAAAGAATGATCGCCCATGAGCAAGAAACCTGAAATTTTCAGGGGGTGCACGTTTTGTTTCCCAATTTCCAGAACTGCATATCGCAACAAGTAAGAGGTGCCATGGTGTATGTTCGCTGGTATCTAGCTGGGAGGCACCTGCTCACACACAACACTGTGCCGTTGTATGATATTTTGTGGTGTTCTCGCTGGACTGTTCGGGTTGGGTTTGTAGAAAGAGGACCGGTGGTCAGGTGTAAAGGAAGCTACATCACACACTTTGTGGATAGAATATCTACTGTACTTATGTAATAATGATGGGCCTTAGAATCTTCTTTCTTAGAAGTTTTGGCAAGTCAATGAAGAAGTAATGATCAAGAAGTGTGTGTCGTGCCAACCCAAAGAGGATGTATGTGTGTTTGTGTTTTGGAATGGGTTTCAGGATCCATGGTAGTACGATGGCCCGTGAATCTGACATAGTACTACTAAACGCTGTGCCACCTCTTTACTTCGATTATCTGGAGTCCAACGATTACGAGTAGTCTGTCACAGAAGCGAAGCCGGAACATGTGCTCCAAGCTGTCTCTAATGAAAATCACGTGATGACCATTACAAAGCTGAAGGCTTAGTGGAAATGGCTGAGCGGGTGGCGTCCCCAAGCAAGGTACTGGTACAAGAGTGGCTGCCATTTGGTGCGCTCCGTCTCCCCACACCCAAGCATTTTTGCCTTTTCGGCTGCTCCAAGCCTTCGCTTGCCCTTAGAGGACTGATTTTCCTCCCAGCAGGGCCTAGCTTACAGGGGCCGTTTGGGTAAAGCGACGGGCAGCAAGCCGCCTACTGGGTAGTATGCCTGAAATGCCTGGTGAGCCTATCCTAGATAGTGGACACCCCAAGAGCCTCCAATTGCCTCATTGTTGGAGGGCGCAGTGGTTCCCATGGTTGCCGTGCCCACAACCTCTCGCCCATGGGAGGTCGGCGGGGGGGCGTTGGACCTCTTGTCTCAGAAGGGCCAATGTCTGTTGCTGATAGCAGGATCCGCTCTTCGCATGCCATGCGTCAGTGCTTCAGGGTCCAACGCCCAATAGTGCCGCTCCGATCGCTCCATTGTACCTGGACCATCCTTGTGCTTCATCCTCTCGCAAACGCAGGGCCAGAGGGCCAGAGGGCCAGAGCTGAAGGACGCAAAAAGGCAACCCCGACTTCAGTACTTTGCCGTGTTCCGCTCGACGACTCAGCAACCGAACGACAAGCCATCCACTGGCAGGCTGGCAGCTTAGACCAGACCAGACCAGACCGGGCACCTCATTCACTTCTTACCCTCTGCACATCTCAGACCGCAAAATCCCCAGACTTCGCTTTTTCAATAATGCGACCCTGTCTCTCGCCCTCTCTCGTTTTGATCTCTCTTCATCTATCGCTTCCCATCCCCAGCACGTCTCACGTCGTCTCTATACTTGAACTCGACTTACATCCCACCATTCCCATCACCCACCCTCTTCCCTTGATAGAGCGCATGCCCACTACCATTTAGTCATCCCGTCGACGTATCTTCTGTTCGGCTGTCCTTTTATATATTCACTACCTACTGCCTCTGTATGTGTCTCTCCTAGGGCCGCGCATTTGACCATCAGGCTGTGTGGGCACCGTCACATCCAACATCATGTCATTTGAACAGATCCAACTTCCCACTCCAACCGATACACCCAGGGCAATGGATCAAGACGAGCCCTCACCCACTTCATATGCTCATAACTCAAGTACATGGACTCCAGTGGATACCATGACTCCAATCTCTACAAATCCATCCAGGAAACGGTCGCGGGACGAGACTGCATTCGATTTTGAGACGGATGGTTCCTACTTCACCTCTGCTGATGCCCCAGCTCCAATACCCGAAGAAGAACCAATCTATGGCGAGGGCATGGTTCTATTGAATCCTAAGACCGGACTCGCTGTATCTGCGGAGAGTCAGACTGGGACTTGGTACGAGGAAGAGGCAGAGAAAACTGCTTTGCTAGAAGAAGTGGTCGCAGCCAACTTCAGACCCAAACTACCGACAAGTCGAAAATCCGTGCGTCTTTCTCAGAATTCCATCCGCATTCCATTCGACACGCTTTCGGGTGCTGCACCCGCTAGCCCTCCCAAAACCGCGGTAGAACGTCCCGAGTGCGACGAGGCCACAATAGCGCTGGGGATTGGCTGGACCAAGATCGCCTCTGAAGATGATGCCATTCAAGCTGCTGCTAGGGGGTGGGCGCGCTACTTGGACAATCACTACGCAAGGCATATTCACGGTGCCCAAATCCTGCTCAAAAGCTCTGGGCTGAATGCTTACCTCGTGGGAAGCCAGGAGGGCTATTTTTTGTTCAGCGAGGATCTCTTAGAAGGGAAGCTGGTTGGTCGAACATGGGAGACCTGCCTACAAAACTTGAAGTCTCAACCGATGGAATTTGAAGGGGAGGAAGTTTTGAAAGCCGAACGAACCCCAGGACCAGAGACTGTGCTGCCTCAGCTGCCTCAGCGAAACATTATGGAGACATGGGCCGATCATAATTCCTTGCATCATGCGCAACCGGTTGGTGTCACTGCTCATGGCGGTATGGATCTGGATTAATTGCACGCGCATTATTTCTTGTCTGAGAAGCCGGTGTGAACCGAGGGTTATTAAACCCGCCACACAGAAAATCTACACAGGCGCATCAAAGTTTGAGCAGTTTGAGCTTGAGATGTCCTGAAGTTCTGAGCCTGGTATGGCAAACATTTTGAGCTGATGCAAATGCATCCATCTTTTCGGGGCACTCCCGGTTGTTTCGGAAACACCTCCTTTGGGTGAGTGAAAAGTCACCTCCGGCCGCAAGCACCATCGGACGAAGCATGTGATTGTTTGATCATGTGACTTGCAATCAGGGTCCTTTCGAGTTTGAGAGATAACTAACCCGAAGTGGAAGGGACTTATCCATCCTTCCCTTGGCATCCGCCTTGGCATCCTCCCAGCCACCTGCCGTGGTCCCGTGATTACTCTGTTCCGTACACGAGGTACGAGGTACCAACAACCACCCAGGGCTCCATGAGGTCAAATCTTACCTGTCATGAGCATGTACCATTAGACAACGGAGGGGTATCTTCCTTCGTATTTTTGACGTTTTTAAATCTTTGATTGGGCGAGGGCTGTTTAACAGGTCCGAACTCCGCGATCAAAGACGTAATCATAGACATATTCTTGAAAGCAAACCAACATCGTTCGTTCGCCTCCTTTTCATCCTTGAAGTCCTAGGGACTTTTCCGATGCAGAATTCTTGTCGCGTTAAATCTACAGAGCGCATAATTAGTAGACCTGCGATTGAGCGAGTGTTGCATCCTTCGCCCTGCACTACAGTGCGTCCCCCAAGTGAGGTTCCTATGCAGTAGTACCGGGCAGATGCGGGAATTCTGTATCTGAGACGCTGGACCTGCTGCGTCGGGGTATTTTTTATCCGGGTTGGCCGGAAATATCAGGACGTATGGATTCAAAGCGAAAATAAAAAGATCAGCCGCGTTTAGGAGGAACTCCCTTGCTCCGCTCTGGAAGTGCTTTGTGTCTGCATTTATCGATAGAGGGGACGCGCCGTTGCGTTGCGTATGACTCAATCGCCTCTCTTTGGGAAATCGGGCTACATCGTGCAGTAATGAGAGTCCACCAACGCCTCCGGGGCACTGCATTCGCTTGGCTAACGATCAGTGACTTCTTCGGATTATCGTGATCTATTACAGCGCCCTGTCGAAGCTTGAGGGATTATCTTTGGAAAGAATCATATATAGGTATGTGTGTGGAGAGAGAAGAGGAAACTCCGGCTTGTCGGTATCTCCAACTGCTCCATTACGCCAGACATATATATCTTGCCCTTCTCCTACCTTTGTGCTCGATGATACTCTAGGCAAGCAGCTACACGGTACAGTACAGAGTCTTCGTTCGATACTGAAGCGTCATTTCAGCTTCTCCACCTTTAGCTTGTTTTGCCTCCTCATTTCAGACATCAAATACCTCCGAAATCATATCCGGCAACGTTCTAACATCGGCTATGTCTGTTTCCGCAACAACTGCCACACCAGGCTGGCGACCCAAAGCTATGGTATTCGACCTGCTCACCGCTCTGCTGGACTCTTGGACTCTATGGGATGCCTCTACTCCTTCAGGCAGTTCCGCAGAAGGGAGACTCTGGCGTCTGCGTTACTTAGAACTCACCTTCGGGGCGGGCGCCTATATTCCTTATGAGAGTCTCGTCAGCAACTCTGCCCGTGACGTCGGTTTGCCAGAGTCGGTCGCGACAACTCTGGTCCGTGACTGGGAGACCATGGCGGCCTGGCCTGAGACCGTTGAGGTCTTGCAGCGATTGAAGGCGAGCGGATATCGACTCGGAGTCGTGACGAATTGTTCAAAACAACTAGGGCACGCCGCGTCTTGCAAAGCCGGTACCGAGAATTTCGATGCCGTTGTGACTGCGGAGGAGAGTGGGTTTTACAAGCCTGTGGAACAAGCATATCAGGCTGTTCTGGTGGCGATGGGTCTTGACGCGTGCGATGTTCTGTTCGTAGCTGGCAGTGCCGGAGACGTCGAAGGCGCGACGAATGCCGGAATGAAAGTTGTTTGGCATAATAGGGTTGGATTGCCCAAGAAGGGAGACGCTGTTCCGCTAGTGGAGGCCACTACACTTGACGATGCTTTGCGGGATTTCCTGTGAAAGGGGTTTCCTCTGAGTCCTGGACTTTCGGTGAGCTGTTCGATGGTGGAAATCACTTCCGGCTCTATGACGGTGAGATAGCTTGATCACCGGTCAAATAACTTGGTTTGTTGCCTTGGCTTAAAAGCTGTATTTTAGCCGAATAGAACTACACTCGACCAATTCGACCTCTCGATTTGTCTCTTTCGTTATCTCCACAGCTCACTCTCATATAATATACTGCCCAAGTATTCTCATAGCGGATTTGGATATTCGGGATCGAGGATCAGGCTGTTCTGGAGTCGTCCGCTACTACATACCTCGAAAGCCTTCGCAGGGAATTTTATTAGAGACACGCATACTGCATCCATGATGTTCCATCCATGAGAGTTGACCGTTCGGCGATATTGAAATCCCGGCCCTTCAGCAAACAGCAATGGCGAAGGTGGCGAGGTTGATTGGTAAGTTATATGGGGCAAACGAGAACCCGAAAGGTGAGCTCTATGCTGCACCCTACAAAACAGTGCCAGCTTCCAGTTTCAAGGGCTCTATAACGTGACACGGGAGATTTTCACTCCTTCCCCGTGCGGGCTTGAATCCTTCGATCCTGACTTTCTTCAAACAAGTGCCACGCAACTTCTCTGTGCCCTAGAACAGGTCTGGAAACGGAGCGCTTGGTTCTTATATACACGTCTATGAAGCTATGACCATAAGCCCGCGAGGATGAGAGAATACTGGTCTCCTCGTCGTAGGTCATGATCATTTCCTAGAACAGACGCGGGGCTTCTTGCAATGCTGTACGAAATGCACATCACCCAAGCGTGCTCTTCATATGTTTCACACATTCAACTTCGAAGCTCCTCTACTTACGAGTGGCATTGCCCTCGGAGCTCCATTGACACAGAAATCAGCTCGCAGAGTCAATCGTTCGTGCGTTGAATGCACAAGACGAAAAATCAAATGTGATAGAGGGCATCCTTGTGCTAATTGTCGCGCCAACAAGTTAGCGCCCACCTGTGCATATCGAATTCGCTCCCGTCGACATGCTGTGTCCGTGAACGACCTTCAAGAAGTCTCATCTGGTCTCGAAGCACATAGGGAGTTGCTTTCAAAACTCTTCCCTTCATTCGATATCGATGATCTGAGAACCAAGACAAGAGACCAGCTTCTCCAAATCCTGGCCAGAAACGCTGGAGATGATGACCATTTGGGCTCGGAGTCCGAGATTGATGACTCTGGCCCAGTCTCTGAAAATGGAGAGGAGCCTGATAGGCACTGGGATGAGCTACAGCCTGGAGCGGATGAAGCTATGAAATCAAGTGACGACATTAACGCTGTCTCGCTGGCGTACGATCAACATCGAAGGTCTTATCTTGGGTCTGCTTCAATCAGCGCTATCCTCCGCACTATCTTCAGACTTTGTCCTGCTGCAAAATCTCACGTTGCTGCGAGTGCTAGAAATTGGCTCAAGCCCCTCTCAGGGTTGCAAGCGGGACAGCACGTGGAGCCTACCAAAGCGGACGATGAGCGTTGCATCAATGCATATTTCGAATGCAGTCACAGTGTGGCCCCTATGCTAAATGAGGTTGAATTCATATCTACATGGCAGGCTGGAAATCGGCAAGATGCCTCGTGGCTAGGGCTGCTCAATATGGTCTGCACAATGGGATCTATTGCAGCTGGAGATGAGCACTTACACAAGCTCTATTATCGGCGCGCACAGGCCCATTTAACCCTGGAAACGTTCGGCTCTGGCAATCTGGAGAGTGTCCAAGCCCTATGTGTCTTGGCTGGTTGTTACCTCCAATATCAAAACTCGCCTAATATGGCCACTGCTATCTTGGGTGCTGCCTACCGCATGGCATTGGCCCTGGGTCTGCATAGAGAGTCTAGGAAAAGCAATCCTCACATCACATCACCTAATTATTCTAGCTCTACCGCACTCATGCCCACAGTGTCAAGAGTGGAGATGCGACGCCGAACATGGTGGTGCCTTTTCTGCTTCGACGTCTGGACTTCTATGACTATGGGCCGGCCTACATCCGGACGATGGGATCCATCTACAATGGACATCCACTTACCAAACTCTCTGGACTGCGCCAATCACGCTGCTCAGTCCTTGTATTCAAGCGCGAGATTTTGCCTCATAGCAAATCGCATTCAGGACAGGTTTGCACAGATTGGACGCACAACTTTCGGAGAGGTACTCGCATTCGACAAGGAGCTTCAAGACTGGCATTCCAGCTTACCCGAGGCGCTCAAGGCACCAAGCCAGTGCCCTGATCGGCTCCTAATCGCTCGGGATTTCATGCACAATCGGTACCTGAACCTCCGTCTAATCCTGTATCGGCCGACGCAACTCCGCCGCCTCAACCCGCGAGCATCGATCCACGAAATAAGTCAGCAAGAGCTTTGCGTCCAGGCCACATGTCATGAAATAGCCGTGGAAGCAGTCGAGTCAATAACAAAGACTTGGACACCAAACCGCATTCACGTGTGGAACGCCTCGTGGTATTTGTTCCAGGCTGCAATGGTTCCATTGCTTACTCTGGCACAAAAGTCTGGCGAGCAGGGACTAGCACTAGAGTGCGACCTTTCTGCTTCGAAAGATATCCTGAGGAAAGTCCTGGATCTGCTAAGCCAGATGGCGCCGTGGATGAGGTCTGCTGACCGTTCCCGCCACATTATCGTCTCTATCTTCGACGCGCTTTCAAGTGCGGAAGCCTGCCGGACACCGTCGGTATCAGATGGAGATCACAATTTCTTTGGCTGGTACGATGATCAAGTTACGTTTGGAGATGAGATCGATTGGAGTGCTTTCCTGGTCGACGATGAGACCTTGAATCATGGAAGTTGGGGTACTTATTAATTTACTCTTGGTAGCAAATATGCCCTTGACAATTGCTTCTCCATCTCGCCTTCTCAGCCACTAGCCTGTAAGTACCAGTAGGCAATAGGATCTTGACTCGGGATAAGTTACAAATTTGTGTACCCTTCGCCCTTTAATGTCCAATCCCAAGGGTCAGATCCCACCAGCATTGGCTGAGCCAGGATACAGTTCGTCCTTCTCTCAAACCACCGCCTTGGCTTCAGTCTCGGCACTACCGTCGTGCTTGACCACGGTCGTATGTTTCAGAGTCTTCACGGCAGTGCTCGCTTTGCGGGGATTCTTGGATTCAAAGATGACTTCCAATTCTTCAAGTGAGACCCCCTTGGTTTCAACGTAGAAGAAATAGACGAAGACAAATTCGAAAAGATCCCAGAAGACGAAGAACACATAGAACCAATAGCCGATCTGGACTCGAAAATCAGCTTTTGGTTTCAATACTAATGCTTGATTCTCAAACTAAAACGATTGCGTTCGGACAAGATGCACCGTTGGGATAGGTGGGATAAAACTTACGTTCTGAAGTGCAATTGGACCGACAAATGTATTCAAAAACCCCGAGGCACCGGAAATCAATTTATATGATTGAGCTCCTTTCGCACGCATGTCGTTGGACATGACTTCAGTGGGGTAAATTGGCTGCATGGACGTGAATGCAAATGCGAAAATCCCACCAAAGATGTAGATGAAGGAGATACTGGCAGAAGATGCTGTCGTGCTACCAGTGTGGACGAATTTGGCGGCGGTGGCTGCTGTGATCGCTAAGGCGATGGCCATCCCCATGGTTGAGATCATAAACATCTTTCTGCGGCCGATCACGTCGTGGAAACGGGTGCCCACAGTCGCAAAGATCCAGCCGTCCAGGGCATAGATGATGTTCATGAGCAGTTTCATGTTAGTATCCTTGATACCGACATTGGTGAGCAACGTTGGCAGGTAGTACGACACGATACTGTTGACAAATCAGTGTGAGGTCGGAAATTTTTGGGCCGGGGATACAAGGGAGGGTGAAGTATTACTTGTTGCCCGAGAATTGACCAAACCAAGCAAAAGTCACGTTCAACATCAATCGATATCTGCGTCCTCTTGTCTTGACCAAGGCCTTGTAATTGAAGAAGTCCTTCCAGGTAGTCATGCCCTCGAATTGTAGTGAGGCTATCATCTCTTTCATCTCCAAGCTTACGAGGGGGTGGTCCGCGTCACCATTTGCATGGTACCGTGCAATGATTGCTTCGGCTTCTTCATGCCTGTCCTTTGCAACAAGCCTAGATCTTGGTCAGCTTCAATAGCAGGTGTCAGCGCGGGAGTGGGACTTACCATCTTGGAGATTCTGGGAAGAACAAGACGATAGAAGCTACAATGGCAGGACAAACCATCTGCAGCCAGAGAGGGATTCGCCAGTCATCATTGCCTTTATGCGGCAGGTGCAAGTGAGCTCCGTAGACAGCTGACGTCGCCAGGATGGACCCAAAGTAATAGAAGGTGTTGTACAATCCAGCAAGTGTTCCGCGATATCTCGTGGGTGCCATCTCGACGAGGTAAAGGACTGCACCCATGTGCGCCAATGTAGCGAAGTACGAGAGAAGAAAGCGGCCACCAATGAAAGCAGAGAGCGTCTTTGCAGTCGCCGTGATAACAGTGGCTACACAAACTCCCAGTGCTCCGATAAAGATGAGGGCTTTGCGTCCCCGCCAATCCGCAATCCAAATGAAGAATGAGGCAACCATTTGTCCAACCTGACAGATGTCAATGGTTGTTGCTGATGCAACCTTTTGACTTCATTCATGTCCAAGCAGAACATCAAACTCACCTGATAGATTGCAAACACAATACCCGTACTCGTTGCACCTTTGCTCGGCAAATTATAATAGGACGTGTAATTGGGAAGGGCATTGATTGAGCCCAGCAGTGATGCATCGAACCCTATTTAAATCTGTCAGCAATGACGTTCTCCTACGCGTTCCATAAATCGCTATAAGGACAGACCGTTCATCGTAGAATTCAGAAAGATGCATGCCGCCAGCATGTATAATCTCACATAGCCCTTGCCCCACTGGTTTGGCTTGTTCGTGGCCATGATGGCGGCATGCGTCGCATCAATGCCCTCGATTTGACGCACCTCCAAGACCTTGACGTCGCTTTCATGACTCGGGCGTGATGCCTCTACCGCAGCCGCAGCTGGCGTACCTGGTACAGCTTTGTCCGTCATCTTGTGCAGCTGGCGTTATCGGTCTGTTTCGGTTTGAGTTGTTTCTCCAGGAGGAGGAAAAGGTTCCAGACGAGGCACAATAATGTGGATCAGAGATCCGTTATATGTTTGGCAAGGTCTGCCAGGAGCAGAGGAGGTGTGGGAGCTTACTGATGAGCTCACCTCCCAGTCTAGTTCCACCGGCAGACAACCGGGCAGGCTGGTATAAAGTCCACCGACTAATCTTAGTCTTTGTGCGAAGGGGACAGATACGAGTAGGCAGGCATATAATTGCACATATTTCCTCTCGTCAAGCAAGCACTCAATAGCTGCAGCTGCACCCTTAACCCTCAACCCTTAACCCCACGGGGGAACAAAAGGGCAGGGAAGTTGGCAGTGGATACCGGCCAACATTTTCAATACTAGGTATGTGCCGGATTTGAGCGAAAATTTCATATGTTGACACGAGAGCGGCCCCCCCTAGTAGTTTATGCGATTATCTTCGTTTTGTAGGATAGGATACTAACGGTTACATCAGCAGGAAGGTAGATCGGCAACGGATTGACAATCATTTCAAATGACAATACCGCCAACAACACTGAGTCGCATACAGGGATTCTTTGCCCCCAATTGTGGGTCTAATTCTGGCTTTCCTCCAGTTCATAAGCCGTGCTACTGACATGCCACCGGCTGGTCCTCAGGCGACAATGAGTATTCTAACCAAATCGAAGTCGAAGGAGGAAACCATCTCCTGACGACCTCCTCTGGCCGATGGCCGTCTCCACTGAGGACCTCGAGTCTTTCCAAACAATCGACGACCTAGAACGCAGTGCATTGCGCATCTTATCTCCTAAAGCACTTTCTTATTATCCCTCTGCAACAGATGATGAAATTACGAAAGTGGCCAATCATGACATCTATCGGAGGGTTTTTCTTCGGCCTAGATTGTCACTTCAGGAATCCGGAACCGATATCGACCTCAGTACAATGTTCCTAGGTCTGAAATGTGGCGTTCCTATTCATGCCTCACCAGCTGCAGCGGCTCGTTTAGCACATGCGGACGGCGAGGCTGGGATTGCATCGGCATGTTCTACATTCAACGCCATCTATATAATCTCGCACAACGCCTCAATGGCCCCGGAAGACATCATCAGAGCCGGGCGACACGACGGCCACACAATATTTGGATGGCAGCTCTATGTGCTTAAGGATATAAAAAGGACGGAAGCGACGTTGACCCGTATACGACAGATCCCAGAAATAAAGTTCATTGTGCTGACGCTCGATGCTCCATTTCCGGGAAAGAGAGAGGCCGACGAGAGGTTCAAAATGGGGGAGCTGGCCGCTAGCGGTGGGACCCAAGTCTTGGGGACCGAGGCCGGTCTCAGGTGGAACGAGACGCTGGAGTGGTTGAAGAATCACACGTCGCTGCCAATAGTGCTGAAAGGGATCCAGACGTTCGAAGATGCACATCTTTCCACCTTGTATCCATGCGTCAAAGGTATCATCATCTCCAATCATGGTGGTAGAGCCCTAGACACTACCACGACACCGCTGCAGGTGCTCCTGGAGATTCGAAAGCATTGTCCGCACGTGCTAAAACACTTTGATGTCCTGGTAGATGGTGGCATCAAGCATGGCTCGGATGTTGTCAAGGCTCTGGCCCTGGGTGCGAAGGGAGTGGGCGTCGGAAGAGTGCCCCTGTATGGCCTTGCTCTTGCAGGACGGAAAGGTGTTCAGAGGGCTCTGCGAATCCTTCTTAATGAGACAATTGTCGCCATGAGGCGACTGGGTGTTCAGAGGGTCCAGGACCTAAACGCGAAGCATGTCAACGTGACCGCCTTGGATCGTTTGCTGTATGACGGCCCTATTCAGTGGGGAAACAGCAGCAACACACGATCTAAACTATGACGAGAAATCCACTTTCTCTGTGCATGTTTCATCCTGTCGTTTCCGAAGAGCCTCTCTATGAGAGTAGTTTATGGTTTTGAAAAGCACTATTTGCCAAAGTTGATCCAAACCTACCTCGGTAGCCTTGTAGGCACCACCTCCTCGTAAGCTCAGCCTTGTGCTTGACAAAACCAAACCAACTATAATTTGAAATGACAGCCAGGCCAACCCCACGGTGTCATCCCCCGCAAAATCATGCCGGAAATACATGTTGCCGGTTCCAGAAGCGGCATAACCACGAAAATCATGGCCACCTTTATCTCGACAATATATATTCCCAACGCTGGAAGCGGTTAGGCCGAATGCTTTCTTTCATGCCTCCCATTGTTTACCCCACAACCAGAGGCCGAGAGCGTTGATCCTTTGAGAAAGGGTATGCAAAGCACGCCTCGTTTCTAGCTGTCTCGCCCCTCGCGCCACTCTCAGGGCCAGAGTTACTAGTTCAGGGTCCCTTGTGGGCGAGCGATGCAGCACTCGTGGTATGCCAAAAAGAGGGGGCATAAGTAGCACGTTTTAGGCTGAATTTTCGACCCCCCATTTGGACATGTCGATCTACCAATTGCAACAGACCACATGGAGTTGTCCAAGATAGAACCTATCGGTGTGCTTCCGTACTGCCGATTTCGAAAGAGATGTTAAGAGATGTCGATATTCCGGTGGCACTACCAGGCATGATGTCTTTCTTTTCTTCCATTCTACCTTTCGGCAAGCTATCTTTCAACGTGCCCTTGCTAAGCAGTTCGATATAAGTTGGTAAGAGAAAATCAGCAGCTCTCTGTGTGCGACAGGGGCATCACTGGCCATCCCAAGACCAAGATGCTGATATCGAAGAAAGAACTGAGCACGAGGTGGAAGCTTAAGGAAACTAATGATTCCTCGGAAGAAGCCTGGATACCCGTATCCAAGGTGCCGACAGTGGTTCATCTCGACCTTCTGGAAAATGGAAAGTAAGTGATGAAAATCCAAGTCGCTCGGGCGATAGTCGAGCTCGTCACTTACCATGGCTCTACCTGGCAGAATCCTTGACCCATTCGTCAACATGAACGAGCTGGCGGCACGTTGGGTAGCGGACAAGTCATGGACGTATAGCACGACCTTCAATAGTCCTCCTATAACCAGTGGCAAGGGTGACAGAGTCGACCTCGTGTTCAAGGGACTCGACACGTATGCGACAGTCAAGTTGAATGGATCCAAGATCCTTGAAGCAGACAACATGTTCCTCGAATACCGCGTAGAAATCACCGAGCAGCTGGAACAAAAGGACAACGAGCTGGAAATTACTTTTGCTTCGGCACTGCTACGCGGCCGCGAACTCGTCGCGGAGCACGCCCAGGAGCATAAATTCATCGCTCACCAGACTGAACTGGGTAGGATGCCGGTTCGAAAGGCTCAATGCCACTGGGGTTGGGATTGGGGTCCGATCTTGTGTACTTCTGGGCCATGGAAGCCGATTTTCCTCGAGGCGTACACGACTCGTGTCGAAGACGTCTGGTTTCAGGCGGCGGTAAGTGAGGACTTAAAGGCTGTGAGCGGGAAGCTGTTGGCACGTGTGGATGTTGGGAGGAACAGAAATGGGGCAGAGGTTGCCGTCAAATTTACCCTGTCTCTGGAGAAGAAGACGGTCTTTGAGTCTCAAGAGGCTGTCGACAGCGAAGGTCTGTCGACAGCAAATTTCAAGCTCGAAGACCCGGCCCTCTGGTATCCCCATGGATATGGCAAGCAATCACGCTATGAGCTGAAGGCCACCTTGTTATTTAACAAAGTGAAGGAGAATTCCTTGACGAAACTTACGGGATTCCGCAAGGTCCAGCTGGTTCAGGAGAAAGATGAATTCGGAAAGTCGTTCTACTTCCGTATCAACAATATTGATGTTTTCTGCGGCGGGTCTTGCTGGATCCCTGCCGATAGCTTCATCCCGAGGATTGGCCGCGAGGGGTACCGCAAATGGATGGAATTGATGGTGGATGGGAATCAAATCATGACTAGGTATGTCAGCCATCGTCATTTGGACGAAGCGGAGCATAGTGACTATGAAGATGAGGGCTGGACTGACATGTATGCAGGATATGGGGAGGTGGAATCTATGAGGAGGAAGACTTCTACGATGCCTGTGATGATCTTGGAATCCTGGTTTGGCAGGATTTCGCATTTGCCTGTGCAAGCTACCCGACATACCCATCGTTTCTCAAGCAAATCGAGGTAGAGGCTCGGCATAACCTACGCAGGCTACGAACTCGGCCTTCTCTAGTGATCTGGGCCGGGAACAATGAGGACTACCAGATCCAGGAGAGATACAACTTAGACTACGACTATGAGGGAGATAAGAATCCGGAATCGTGGTTGAAAGGTTCATTTCCGGCAAGGTATATCTATGAATATCAACTGCCCAAGCTTGTTGAAGAGGAGGACCCTGGAGCGATCTACCATCCAAGCAGCCCTTGGGGCGATGGAAAGAAGACCTTTGATCCGACAGTTGGTGATATTCACCAATGGAACGGTAAGCTCCGGTTTGTCTTACTGATGTTTCCGCGCGCTAACAATACCTTTCACAGTTTGGCATGGCCTCATGCGAAGGCATCAAGAGCTTCCGACCATGGGCGGCCGTTTTGTCAGCGAGTTCGGAATGGAGGCGTACCCTCATCTGTCAACCATCAAATCTGCGATTACCGACCCAAAACAACAACATCCAGGATCAATGGTTATGGATTATCACAATCGAGCCATCAACCACGAGCGTCGGCTGTTGACATACGTCGCAGAGAACTTCCGATTAAATTATGACTTGCCAGTCTTCACTCATCTGACGCAAATCACCCAATCAGATGTCATGGAATCAGCGTATCGTTCCTGGAGACGGGACTGGGGAAAGCCTGGAGCGAGAAAGACCGGAGGTATACTGGTGTGGCAGCTCAACGATTGCTGGCCTACGATGTCTTGGGCGGTCGCAGATTACTATCTTGTCAGGAAACCGTCCTTCTATGCTATGAAGCGAAATTTGAAACCGGTCGCGATTGGACTTTCTCGGCCATTCTATGATTGGACAGCTGGTCACATAGACCCTACTGTTGCTACGCGGGATAGGAAGTACGACGTGTGGGTAGCAAGCTCGAGGACGGAGGCAGTGCGAGCCGATATCACAATCCGGTTCTTGTCCATCAAGACTGGAAAAGAAATCGCCGCGACAATTAAGAAGAGTGTTCAAACCTTACCAAATTCGACAACTGATATCATACAACAGGGTGATGTCGACGTGGATTCTAAATTCGACCACACCAAGCCCTTTAACCACGAATTGTACGATCCGTACGTAATCTCTGGCTCGATATCGGTAGATGGGGAAATAGTCAGCACAGGAACGGCCTGGCCTCATCCGTTTAAGTATCTGGACTTCGCAGATCGCGGTGTCAAAGTTCAGGCGTCCCAGAGTAGGCTCACAATAACCGCTGATAAGCCAGTTCATGGATTCGTTTTCGAGGAGAAAAAGGATTGGCTCAATTTCTCAGACAACGGGTTTGATATCATGCCAGGAGAGGAGAGGGTGGTCGATGTCACTGGGACAAAATGGGAAGACGACGAACTGCGGTGGACTTATATTGGAGCAGAATCTGGATCGATCGGGCTCAAAACTGTTTGAACGAGACAGAGTAGGCCTCATATATGCTGCAGCCTATGATCCTGTAATGTTGGGATATAGCATATCCTAGTATGCTACAGCTACATATACACGTCTGAAAAAAGCTCGCTGAGTACTTCTCTATGGTAAATTCAGAACGAAGATAAACCTTGAGCTGATTAGAGACAAATGAGTAGGTCTATTAGTGTCATCGACAGAGCAGGATTGTGAGTCCCTGTGTCGGACGTTATCACGCGATTCGACAGAGTAATACGCATGCCAGAGAACATGGTACGCGCGGCAGCTTGTTGCTTGAACATCAAATCGAGCCAGGCAGCTTCTCGCCAAAACTCTGTCAAGAAACGACGGTGTCAGTTATCAACTTGATCTTCCACATGACGCGAGCGTGAATAAGCGCCAGACGCCCGAGGAGGTAGAATTACAATACCTTGGTTTTATATTGAATGGTACCTTCAAATTGTTTCTCCCAGTCTTGCCGCCTACTTGCAAAACTCTCCCATTCAGGCGTAGCTAGCTTTGGGAACTGAGAAGAGAAGATATTTCGTCAGCTAAGGACTGTGAGATTTTTGACTGAGGAGGGCTTGAGACACCGCCCTCCATTAGAGAGTTTATGGGGTGAACTCGTACAATTCCCAATTTCAATACAACTTTGCCCTTGTAGTTCGGCGTAACGCTCATAATGGGCACTCCACAGGTTTGGCAGAAAAATCTGTGTCGCAATATCAGAGGGTGCTCGACAGTCATCTAAATGGGTAGACCTGGTTTGACCTTCCAAGTGGTGTCCCGCTGAGGGTATCCAGATCCTACATTGTGGTCATTAGTCAATATGGTCTTGTTGAAACCGAAGTTTAGGTCCCGTGCTCGAACCCAACCTGAGCAGGACAAAAACAAACCTCATATCTTCGCAAGTTTTCCTTGCCATTGAGGAACTCAACCTTTTCGTCCTCGATGATCAAGTTTGCGCCGAATCTATGTTTGAAGGAACATTATGAGATTGAGAGTCTACACCCTTTGCCAACACAGCGAGAGACTAATGTAACAATGGGAGGAGCAAGCCACGTACATCCCTCCTGCAACTTTGCGGCAATTGTCGCAGTGGCAGATATGACCCCTTCGCTTCTCGCCGAAGAGATTATCGTCGTTCACGCGGATTTTGATGGCTACCAGCAAGGAATGATGTCAGAACCTGGATACTTACTGGTCACGACTCACGAGAGGGGCCGAAACGAATGCCAATCAGTTTAGGGAGCGTACCTTTGCAGAGACATTCTCCTTCCATTTCGCGGCTTTAGGTTTGACTGCTGAAGAAGTTGCGGAGACTAGCGGGAAGGACGGGTTTTTGGGATTTTATAGCTCAATGTCAGAATTCATGGATTTATATACATCCAGATGTTTTCCCCGTTCACCCCTGGTGTAAAGATAAACGCGGGGCTGCCCAACGCTTGACGGGCTATTGATGCTGACTCGGCAAAGGCAGCACGTCATGATTTCCAAGCGATTCCACCAATTCAGTTTAGACCTCTCAAAAATCACCTAACTAGTATACTCGTTGCCAAAAATGGATAAAACTAAGCCCAAGCTTACCCACGTTTGGGACTCGGGTGACGCTGCTTTATGATCACCTCTGTTCACCATTGCCCACCCCCTGCTTCCGTAAGTCTACTCCGAGTAGTGACTCACTCAAGTCCCACCTAGTGTGGGCCTGAGACCACCAGCGCCTTGAATCTCGACGCTTCGCGTGTATCCTGGTGTTGTTCAGTGATTGACGTTTCCATGATATACTGACCGTAGCGCGGAATAAGGCTCCTAGGCTGATGAAAGTTAAGTGAGTCTTCAAAGTAGCGTCGCCCACAAAGGAGGTCCAGAGCTTCATAACGCGATAAATATATTGACGGAAACTCTCTTGATGCTGCCTACACAACAATGTAGAATTCCAGGCTCTTTTCATCGACTTGGAACACTCCAGTCTCTCCTTGCAGACCGCCAATCATCTCTGCGTGGCCGCACTGAACGCCAATTTAACGCCTTTTGTACGAGGTCCCGGTCGTGCCGAAGCAGGTTTCATACAACGGGTATTAGATAACGGTGCCCAAGGTGTTGTCTTCCTCATGTTGATGGGCCAGGTATGCATCTCATTATTCCAAATCTGAACTGTTTACTGGTTTCCAATGTTGCTAGCGAGTTACTGAGATCAATTAGAGCAAGCACAAGCGGATGTTAAAGGCAAGAAAGTATCCGCCATTAGGAAAACGCTCTGTGGCGGGAATGATGCCACATATGGGGTTCAGGTCTGCTTCTATAGCCCAGGTTTCCGAGGTGGGCAATTCGCAGCTTTCGACGGTGGTTGTGATGATTGAGAGCCCTGAAGCGGTAAGCAACGTGGACGACATCGCAGCTGTGGACGGCGTCGATGTGATTCTGATAGGTACCAACGACCTATCAATCGAGCAAGGTGTTCCAGGCGATTTTGATCATTCTAGCTTGATCGAAAGTGTTGCAAAGGTTTCCGCAGCGGTCAAGAAGCATAAGGAGATTCTGGGGGTGGCGGGCATTTATAACCACCCTGACATTCTCCATAGGTGCATCCATGAATCGGTGCCTCTTTTGTTGTTGGGCATGTAGACCTGCCAGCAGCCGATAGAGCGGCCGAGCTGCAGAAGCTGGAAGTGGCAGAAACATGCTATTAGTTATCAAGTGAAGAACCAATCCTTCTTTTGTCCACGGCCGTCTAGGAATATGTAATCATGACTTTGCATCATTCGCGTCGTAGGGCGCAACATGTCTACGACTTCACAGAGCGTGGAGCCGCTCTTGGGTATCCTCGGAACGACACAGTGGATCTAATTCCACCAGAGAAGCAGCCCAGGACGTCCACAGCGTGAGAATTCCGAAGCCATGAATATTCCATCGCTTGCTAATAGCGCTCCCCCCCAGCTGCATCGCTTGCCGAGAAAGGAAGATAAAGTGCTCAGGAGGCCAGCCTTGCCGTTACTGTTCTAGACGGAAGGTGCCCTGCCTTGTTCAGGAAAGTAGCAACCGCAAAGTTCTATCCTGTTGCGTAAGTTGCTTTGCAAATATTCTCGCTACGCAACTAAATATCAACTCAGTTATGTGGAAAGCCTTGAACAGAAGCTGGGTTTGCAGGACTCCCTTTTTAACTCAATACCGGACTGTAAGGTTATATTTCATTTCAGCATTGGTATTTTCGTTGGCAAGCCTCAAAAGTCATTGAGACCAGAATGCAATGTCATCAAGTCTGGTTTTTGGGTCTCATATTATCGACATTGCAAATAGTACCAAATTAGACGGACTCAAGCACGGCGTCAGGGTGTCCAAGTCGCCAGATCATTCCTACGGCATAACTATACCGCGTTCCCCACGCTCGATCGCTTCATACATGCAAATTTGGCATACAGAGGACGAAGCCGAGCTTTACTTGATACTGTCCTGACTTCTACTGCCAGGTTGCAGCAACTCTTCGATCCTAGAGCAGTGGCAGTCCATCTACGCTTGACTTCACGGATCACCAGCTACATGACAGTCCAACTGATCTTTGGCATATTGAATTGCTTCTGGTGTTTGCCGTTGAGGAACTCCTCTTGGGCAGACTTGGCGACAATGAATCTTTTCCGGGTGAAAACTATTTCAAAGAAGTCATGGACAACATGCCTCTAATCGACCATCTTAATGCTTCGGGCACGCAAGGTGTTGAAAGAATGGGCCTGTTGACATTCTATCTACAATTTGCTGGTCATAAAGATGATGCTTACATTTATGTAAGTCTGCCTTCTCAGTCCAACGTTTGCTTTCACCTGACGGGAACCAGGCTGGAGTAGCTCTGCGCATGGCATTGTTGCTCGGTTTACACAGGGACAATAGCGTTGTCTCGAGAACCAGGTCTGAAAAAGCCCGCTGCACGAGACTATGGTGGACCATCTACATGCAAGAGAGGTAACTGCTTTCTTTAGTCGGGGATCACTACTAAAGTCGGACTAGAAGGCTAGCTGCACACCCGGATTTCAATCCGCGGATATCTTGAATGCCAATATAAGATTTGCTCAAGTAACAGGCAAAGTCTTGCAAAGTAAGACACGTCCATGACAATTTGTGCTCCGCTAATCATCCGACAGCTATTTACACCACCAAAGAACAAGCAGAGCACACGTTCATAGCAGAGGTTCAAACGATATTGTTTGAATTACATCAGATATCGCAATCTGTACCCAAAGATTCTGCTTTGAACTTTTCGAACCGACTTGAAGTTACGAGGAACAGCGCAACACTTCATCTAATGCTTTATCAGGTAAGCGCTAGTTAGTAGTGACACGACTTTTGTATGTAGTAGGCCACTGACGGTTTTACAAAGGCGATTTTCCTCGCCACAAGCCCAGTTTTACTCCGCCTTGCCAGAGAGAGAGTCAAGGGACAGCATCAAAGTACGTCTAAATCTCTGGATTCCTTCGCTAAGACGTGCGTGGACGCCGCTTGCCACACCTTGAATATCCTATGTTCTTTCCAGCGGCAGAATCTGATCGGTAAGAAGGTCCATTTCCCAAGACGAAAACGACAGTTAGAGAGGTGTAGCGAGATTTGGATTTTTTTGATCTTGATGGAGCATTTCCGGCCGGTTTTGGCTTTGCCTTGGCCGAGTCAATCCATCCCTCTCCACACAGCCTCTCTGGTTTCTCTGGAATCCGGAGCTGCTTGGACATATTGAGGCATCTAGAGAGTCAAGGAAACAAGCTGTCAGCTGCAAGGCAGAGAGATATCCTCCATATGCGTAATGAACTCGACATAGTCCAAGGCCAGGCAGCCAATTATTCAAACATGTCCATCCCCGACTATGATAGAAGCAGCGGGCTTGTGCGGAGCAAACAGAATCCTCCACCAGAAGCACAAACCACGGAGCCTGATCTAGACTCATCCATCGCTCTAGAACAGCCAATAGACTCGTTAGAAGCAATGTGTCCTGATGATATGATCTCAGGCGAAGACTCCCACAACCTCTACGCGTCTACCATAATGATAACCTGACACTAAATGAAGTGATCGAGACAGACTGGGAAGCTCTTGAAAAAGACATTTTCAAACCAATGTGACATCTCGGGACCATGGCCCTTTGCAATGCCCTTGTCGGAGCCCTCCGCCGCATTTAGGACATGCCAGTATCATTCCCATTCCACGCACAAAAGGAGCACGTCATAGAACGTGGGCGCGGAATGTGTATTGGGGGTTGGCACCGCTTCAAATCTACTAATTTACATCTATTGCCTGATTGAAGTCGAAAGAACAGGTACGCCGAAAAACAATCAGACACTCCTTTCCCGATTGTTTATCAAAAAATCATAGACCCTATCCAATGCAGCCGTCCCTGTAAGGGTCTGAGTCTCTGATGTGGTTGCTCCGATGTGTGGCGTCGAGATAACTCGTCCAGTCGCCTACAGTTTCTGGTACCTCCCCAAATTAGGTGGTTCCTCGTCATGGCAGTCCAGCCCTGCCCCCCAAAAATATACCTTCATTTAAGGCTCGGATGAGATCCTCCTCGTTCACGATGCCCCCACGCGCAGCATTGATAAGGATTGAACCCGGTTTCATACGCTTGAATTGTTGCCAAGCGATCAGGTTGCGAGTTTGAGGTGTCAAAGGCAGGTGGGGTGTCAAGATTTCGACGTGGGGCAGCATCTCATCGACATGATTAACACGGGTGTGAGGAATGTCGTTCCAGGCATCATCAGGCGCAAAAGGATCGTACGCATAGACTGGTGCACCAAAGGCACCGCCAAAAAGGCGAGCAACGGCCATGCCAATGTTGCTCATGCCGATCACTCCGGCAGCCTTGCCTCTCAACGTGACACCAGAGCAGTGCTCCTCTCGGGTTTCCCTGCAATACCGACGCCTCGCTTACCGATTGCTCAAAGTCTCAACGCACTCTCGATATCGACCGCAGTAATAAGCTTCTCACGGACGAGGATCGCCGTCTCATTCTCCCGCCAGTTCTCGACTTCCGGGTCGGTCCATTCAATTGTCTCGAACAACGTTCGGCAGTACTCGACTACCTTTAGGGGGAAATTGTTCGAGGAGATATATTCTTGGGGCAGGCGCCAGTGATCCCATTTTGTGATAAATGATAGGTCGATGATCTAATGAGATGGGATAGAGACTGAGGGATTATCTGAACATTTGTGCGTGGACAACCGACTATATTCAATGAATACCCGCAACGACTCGCGGCCAGCTGGAGTCCAACAAAGCCCAAACAAAAAGCTTGCTGTTTATTCCATATGATCAGCTTAAATTAAGCACAACCGCTACTTTGTTCTACCTCGATAAGTGATGATCACCGCCGTGGTAGCATAGGTACACGGAAATGGGTTAATACCGCCTCAGCGACGGGAATTGATGCCGCGCAAAGGCTCAACATCCGTTGGGAACTGGTCGCCGTTCCACAGATTCCTCTCCAGCTACGGCTCTACGGGTGGCGACGCCGCATACTTCCTGGGGATAGAAATAGCAGGAGTCTCGAATTTCCCGCGCCGACATATACGAGTCTCATGATACATAAAAGGTTCTTGTCCACGCACTGTTGGCAATTCTTATCTGCACATACCATCATCGAGATACCACCAGAAGGCGTGGAAGAGAAGCTATTTCTTTCCGACACAGAATTTTTGGAAAACCTTTTGATCGCTAAGCTTGGCTATGTCCCAGATAAAGAAAGAGTCGAACGGGCTGGATGAAAGAGGTGTCTCCTTCTTCCAGATCGAGGCTGCACCCATCTACGCAGTTGACCAGCTCGAGCAGAAGAAGGTGGTCTGCAAACTCGACCGCGTCCTCTTACCGTTGATGGCATTTATAATTTCTTCCAATGTGAGTCGGCACCGGGGCGAGAGTTTTGAAACGGAGCTGGGAACGGGCTGATAACACCTTGAAGGCAGATTTGGACAGAGTATCAACTATGCCGCAGTCTTTGGCTTCAGAACAGACTTGAAATTAACAGGATCTGAGTTCTCGTGGGCTGTGTCTCTGTTCTATTTCGGTCGGCTGTGTGCGCAGTATACTGCTGCATACCTATTGAGTCGCATGCGCATCACTCATTTCGTCGGAATTGCAATGTGAGCCCATTGCCCCTTTTCAGCGTCTGAAATACACATACTAATTCCAACCAGCGTTCTCTGGGGTGGGGTTGAGATGTGTCTGGGAACCGTACACTCGTTCAAGGGTCTAGCCGCGGTAAGGTTTCTTCTCGGCTTCTTCGAAGGAGCCGTGTCACCGGCTTTTGTCATCATCACCAGTAACTGGTATTGCCGACGAGAACATCCTGTAAGAGTGGCATACGTCGGGTTTATTCTCCTCCACCCCGAGTTCTTCCTTCTGCTGACAACAGAACGAGTTGCGCTGGACCGAACCACTCGCGATCATACAAATTTCGACTGCCTCCAGGCTAGAGAGGCTTTTACGGACTATCGCACCTTATTGTACGGATTGATAGCTCTCACCATCATAATGCCTACCGCCATTGTCAAGGTAAGTAATCGCTTTCCCAGAATCTTCAACCAGATACTAACACCCATGCTTCTTGTAGTTCTCACCCATAGTCATTCAAGGGTTTGGCTTCAGCAAATTCCAGACTATGTTGGTCGGCCTCCTAGGTGGCGCTTTGGCCTTCATCCTAGTCTGGGTTGGTCCGCTCGTCCCCTTATATTATCCCAACGCCCGTTGCTTTACTGGGATGTTTCTGGCATTTTGTCCTATGCTGGGTAGTCTGCTGCTTTGACATTACCCGCATCGAGCAGCTGTGGCATCGTGGTCAGCACTTGGTTCGCCTCTGCCAGTTCCCCTCCTCTTGGAATTGCAGTTGGCCTCATGGCATCCAATATCCGATGCAACACCAGGAAGCCGACTGTGGGAGCAGTTTTCTTGATTCTGTATTGTGTTGGCCGTATATCGTCACCACAGCTATGGCAGTCAGAGGACGCCCATCGCTACTCCAGGGGCTGTATCACCAGCGTGTGCAGCTGGGGCCTACTAATCGTTGTGTTAACTGTATTCTACCTGACAGCAAAACGCTCCAACAAACACCAGGATGCGAAGATGGCTTCCATGGATCCGGATTTGCACGAGACAATCATAGTTGTCGATACCAACATCACTGAGAAGCAAGATACCGGCTTTAGATACACTCACTCAAAATGTTTGCACTCTTATGGTGGTGAAACCAAGGTGAAGAAAGATTATCTTTTTTGCCCGCGGGAACGATAGCGGAGAATCAAGAGATTGACCCAAATTTCTTCGCTAGACCTCATATTTTGCCCCAATCGTACAACAGTAAAGGCAAGACTCAAAACTTCAAGAAGCCGGAGTCATGATCAACGCGCTCGTAGTACGAAACCAACACCACTATCCTCATGGGAAAATCTTGACCTCTCAGAAGCCCTATTGGGGTTATAGGGACAGCCTGACCTCATAGTTTGTTTGAGCTGCCTCGCTTCAATACACTATTGCGACTCACCTGATATCATTCCTGACTCCACCTAGAATCCAGGTCCCTGACAGTTAGTGTTACAGTATTATATATCTGATAAGCAATCCACTCAACCTGCTCCGATAGTATATGACCCCTCAAAGCGGCGTTTGAAGACAGCTGTCTTCGTAACCCTGGAATACTACCGTCGAAACCCTGCATGCCGTGGATAAAATTTAATTTTCATTACCTCACAGGAATGAAAGGATCATGCTGTCATAGAGAATGTTTGCTCAGGGTTGGTACAAGCAACAGGCAGGGATCGCCCTCAAGTGGCATGACTTGATGACCAAAACCCATCAAACGTCACCCCAAACACTAGCCGAAATGACCCTGTCCTGATATCGACGTTAATCGCTAAAGCGAGGTTTCCTTGTTGCGGGAGTCTTAGTTGCGCATACGGCTAACTGCCTAAATATGCTGCATCGGGATGATGCTGGTCCGATCGTGCGTCAGCAAAGACTCTCCTAGCCAAGCCGAGAAAGCGCTCCGTAGGTCTTGCCGGCCAGTATAAGAGCCACTTCCAGCATTGGTTCATCGATGTCACCATCTCCCTGCATATGGAGTGAGAAGAAACACGGCACACTCGACTGTTGGAGGCCAACCAATACCTGCTCCACACCACCTACGGGCTTTCTTTCTAATGGCTTCGTTCTCCGAAGTAAAGTCAGAAGGTCATCAGGGTGCTATAAGATTCTTCAGTTTCTGCAGTGAGACCGGCTTGGCGAGCAATAAGTCGAATCCGCAGCTCGCCGCTTTTTGCTGAGCTTTCTCGCTTCCTAGTCCGGTAAGAGCCATAATTATTGTCCGCTGCAGATCTTGATTTCTTTCGTGGGCACGAATTGCCATGGCGGCCGAAAAGCTGTCCATGACTGGCATAGAAACTTCCATCAAAACATAATCAAACCGTTTATCAAAACATTGGTAGGCTTTGAGTGCCTCGCGGCCATTCTGTGCCATGGTGAAAGTGCAGTCAAGCTTTGCGAACGCCACAAGTAGCCTCAAGTTGATCGCATTATCATCAACCAACAGAAGATTTCGTCTTGGTTTCGGTGCCACAAAGATATCGGATTCGATTTTGCGGGTGGTTGTGGTGCTAGGTGGGGGCGAGCATAGCCCTACCTCGCATGCTTGAGATCCTTTGTCTGGACCGTTGATTGATGTGTTCGACCCCTGCTTATCAGTTGCCCCAGTAGTCCTTTCGCTTGCAATCAACTGTAAGCATGCCTTCACCGCGTTTGCTAAATTTCGAGGGCCGAAAGGCTGGTTGAGAGTCTGGAATTTTGCCCGAAACTGTAGATCAAGAACAAGGCCAGCCGGTTTGGTGGCACAAAGCACCAGAAAACAGGAATGGTCTCGTATCTTGAAGGCAGGATTGTTGTTGCTCAGCTCCCTTACCAGCCACGGTATGTCATATTCGTGGACGGCGACAATTCCTTTGCTGATAGACGATAAGTTTTCAACGAGTTCCACGTTAGCACGGAGCCATTGTTCCGCCAAATCTGTAAAGGAACGAGTCAGTGCATTTTGACATTCTCCCAAAGAGAGGTTTGATTCGAGGCCAGTTGCTTTTTCATCGGATACACCAAGGCGAAGTAGATACATTGGCTGCTCCCCAAGTTCTTGATCAGCTTTCTGAACTGCGTCCTCCAAGAATTTGACGGGAAATTTGACTGTCACCTGAGTTCCAACATTTACTGTGCTATCAATAGTGATCGAGCCATTCAGGTCTTCTACAAGTTGACGTACTATGTTGAGACCGAGACCTACCCCGGTCGACAAGCTGTCTTCTTGCACGAATGGTGTGTACAACCGATTTCGGAGATAATCTTGACTTATTCCGCGCCCAGTGTCGGTTATTGTCAATCTAACCGTCCGCAATGTCTCGTCCTGGGTGAGGTGCAAGTCTTTTTCAAGGCCTAAGGTTACGTTGATCAATCCTTTAGAGGTATATTTGAGCGCATTGCCAAGAACATTAAGCAAAATACGGCGCCATATGCCGATTTCGGATTGAATTCTCCAGCTAGATTTGTTTTCGATGGACAACACTATTGCAGTGGTAGCCGAAGAAGATTGCATCGAAAGGTCATTTGGGGTGATGGAGGAAAATTCTGTCCTGGTTGGATCGTGCACTGAGCGAGTGTTGTGGCCGTGGCTAAATGTTGAGCTCTCCAGAGTTTCTTCAACCATGATACTCAAGTCGAATGATGTCAAACTGCTGGATTCTCCTATAAGAGGTGCTGTCGCGGGTATGGACGACTTGCGGTCGGTGGAGGGCAGTCTGCTCTTCAAGCTATTGATCTTAGAATAGTCGAGGCTGAATCGAGTTAGCTAGGGTAAGTAATACGGCAGGGGTTGCTATTTACATGTGCTCCATGGTGTCGAGTAACGTGCGGCCACAATTTTCGATTATGTGAATCATTTGCAACTGCTCGCCGGACGGGTCCTTGTCAAGTAAGAGCTCGGAGCTGGCAAGAATACCATGCAGGGGAGAGCGGAGTTCATGACTTATCAGGGAGATGAAGTCTGACTTTGCCCGGTTCGTCGCGACCAGGTCAGCCCGAGCTGCCTCTGCCATAACCGATTTGCCAAATTCCAAATAATATGCCTTGTCCTCCGGAAGAAGAACCCTCTGGGGATCAGTTGTCCACGCAAACATTCCCGAAACTAGGCACAAGTTAGCTTGTCGGGACTTCACATACGCCTTCGCTGATTGATAGGATGGCTCAAGTATAAGGAAGCTCGACAGACACTGCGCATGGTTTGAGAAGTAGCATAGAAACTGAACCATTGCTTAGACTTACACCAGAATTGTCGATGCGAATCCCATAGAGGCATAAATATCACCGATGTCGCCCCCGGGAGATATTGTTGAAGAGCAGCCCAAACCTCATTGCGGTCATCCGATTGCAGATAGACATGCGTTTCAGGCACCACTAATCTTGAATCGACTCCGACGTGCAGTGATGGCGGGGAACTTGGAATAAGACCATGATCATCGAAGTTGAAGATGTGACCGTGGGGATACTCCCAAATCAGAGTTTGCTGAACGAATGCAGGCAATGGACAGAGCCTAGCGGGAGCCTGACTTTGTTTACCTGATCCATGCTTGTGCTCGCGGAAGCCGACAGAATGACCAAGCTGTATGGACATAGTCTCACGACTCCGTGACTTTATTTCGTCATTGCGATTCTGCCCTTTCCCGAGTCCGGATTCTTCTCTAAAGTGGAGAGAATATGTCATGGCATCCAAAAAGCTTACTCCGTACAGATCCATCGCTTTACGAAGAGTACTTGCAGCATTACGAAAGTCCACTTTGATCAGAAGTCTCGGCACTGGCAGCTTTCTGGTTCACAGGTGAATGCAACGTGCATGCTGTAAAGAGTTCATTTGGAGAATTGCTTGCCATTGGCGGTGTCAAATTTGCGGAGGAAAGCATTGCAGGACGGGGGAGAAGTTGTCTTTGTCTGGTAGGGGATTCCGTATTAAGGCTGATCATGGAGTTGTCCAAACCCTTCATGGGCGCCGATGCTCCCACTTGCTTTCGAGAATGTTGTGAGAATGAAGAAGGAATGTGGGACGATATCCTGATGGGAACCTCAGTTTCGTGAACCCTTGCAGCGTCCGAAATTTTGCGTGAAGAACTATCCGTGATTGACATGTCCTTGCCGGATTCCGGCTCATCGTCACCGAGAGGGTGGCTGAGGGCAAAATCGTGTAGACCATGGAAGAGTTGCGTCGATCGGCTATGATCATCGTTTGTCTTAATCAAGTCCAGATGGCGCATGACAGCAGAGGCGACCTCGGTCAGGACCCTATAGCCATCATCATCCAAACCGGCACGTGGTTTACTATCAACGACACAGTAAGAGCCCAGGACATAGCCTGACTTCGACTTCAAAGGTACCTCGGCATAGTATCTCATGTGTGGAAATCCTGTGACATAAGGCGGCGTTTTATATATAGCTTCCTGAGTGAAGTCGTTGATAACATAGCGCGACTGGTCGGCGTAGATGTTTTTGGTTCGTATCTTTTCACCTGTCTGGCTTGTGAAGATGGGTATTGTTCCAGCGCAGACTCCAGCAAATAAATCAAGAGGAACCTCGCCCATGCACAGCCCATCACCAGGCTCATGGATATCGGTGTCAAAGAGTGAGATAGATCTTGTTGTCTCGGATATGATGTGTTGGTTTCGACTGTCTATTAGCGAGATGAAGGCGCGTTCGCAATCGAGGCGCGTAACCTCCAGCTGTGCGAGCGCATTGAGATTCGGATCTGCTGCTAAGCGAGGGATGTGCTGTGCGTAGGCCGTCGATGAGTCGATGTCGGGAGGAGTGCTATGGACCGCACGGGAAGTTGCTTTGAAGTATCTGGAAATCTTAGTGACGACCGCAAGGCGAAGTAAAGTCATTCACCTGAAGAGTTCGTTTGACCTCTTTCTTTCATATGTCCTTTGTTGAACTTCCTGAGCCTCCAACGCCGCCGAATCGGACAGGGCAACAATGGGCAATACCCATTCGCTTCACCTGTTGTAACGCACCGAAAGAGTTGGAGCGAGGACTAAATTGACAGTCGCCCCGCGCAAAGCATGTGAGATCGACAATCGGGAGCGCTTGACTGCCCCCGATAATCGATAATCGATAGTCCTTATCGAAAGATCGGCGCAAATAGGTGGCGCGACTTGGTGACCGGGTGGTCACGTGATAAGTCACGTGAGAGCTTCATCTATTTGTAAGCGTTAATGTGAGGCTAAGCCGGAATTGAGCCGGATTGAGTGGGACCTGTGTGAAATGCTGAGGCTGTCCCGAAATGGGTGCTAAGGCTTGGAGCGGGTGCAGATTCGCCGTCGAATACCCATGGAACACCCAACGCTCCTGGAGCCGAGATTTGCGTGAGTTGGTGTGCTCGAAAGCCCCTCGGCGCCTGGCGCCACCGATTGAGGCACGCAAATGGCGCGAAATGTTTTGATAGAGAAATGGGACAATCAAGCGAGATGGCATCGGAAGGAGGTCTGGTATTATTTCATTCCTTTACATCCTCAGCAATAACTGACTAAATCCAATACACCGGGTATGCCACTATGGATTGGGGGATCCTGATCTCGTATTCAAGCTGCATCACTATAACGTTGCAATGACTTGACATAGCCACGCCTTAAGTCGACGAGCGATCCAGGAGATCCTACACTGCTTTCACTTGGGCTTTTCGCTTGCGACATTATCTCAAACCAGGCACGGGCTGTGGGACCTACACCTTCAAAGTACAGGAAGCCGTCCAGCACTTCTTGCACTGAATCCCACGATTCTAGATTCATTCGGCGCGCAAGGGCGCAAAATTGCACGTTGTGGTAGCCTGCCAATGGGTCGATGGCAGGGAGTGATTGTTCGACAATTGCTCCAACGTAAAGTGCCCATAATCGAATGCGCATCGCAAACGGGTCGGTTGATTCCTTAGCCTCGGCTTCGCTCTTCATAAGCAACCTCGACATTGTGGTTACCACGATTGGCCCCGCGTTATACACGTTGGTACCTGTCAGTGACAGTCTGGAGCCGATACCAAAGTTTTCGTGGTTGCCCATCCTTCGTAGCCAGGTGAGGGCTGCAAGACAGCAACATGCCAGATGATACAGGTGAAGCTTACCAGCCCCCGCCACCGATTCCAGTTCCTCCATTGTGTCGAGATAGATGTTGATGAGCTGTCCTTCTAGGATGAGAAGCCTTGTAGAGCCATTGGAGATCACGAATGGATTGAGAAGGCTTGGATTTGACAGGACAATGCCAAGCACCATTAGCCATTGCTTGGTCTGATCGAACACCTCTCTCAGGTAGATGTCCTCGATAGCTAGATCCAAGACTACTGGAGGCAATGTGATATCCAGACCAATTTCCTCAAGCCAAGTCCCCGGAAGAAACTCTGCCAACCACCGATCAAGATCAAATGATGGTCTCGTCAGCGACACAGACGCTCGCTGGATATCTTGGTACATTGCTGCTTGGCGGAAGCGAGAGTCTGTCATGACGGGAATCCTGTCTCTCTCCTCAGGCTGGATGAGCTGCCGTAGAAACTTGCCGTGAATTTCAGCGGCAGGGAAATTATGGCCCGCAATCTCGGCTGAGAATAGCGAATATATGGCCCAGCAGAGCGCCAACTTCGTCTGAGCCGTATTGAGCTCCTTCATGCGCTTACGGAGAGCCGCAATCGCACGACTTTTGAAATAAAGGGATAGGTTCTCTGTCTCCTGGGAAACAGTAATTGTGGTTATGATCGCAGCTGACCTGGATAAATAGGCATATCCGATGCACTCATCTTGTAGTCCCTCTACGGTGTCTTGCCAGAAAGCGTCCATGTACACACTCGTCTTGGCCAAATCGATTTCTTTCCCATGGAGCGAAGGGAGAAAACAGTCACGGGTAAAGACCATACACTCGTGAACGGCAGTAGTGACAGGGATTCGTGTCGTTATGAAGGGGTCCGAATTTCCACGACGAAGGATGGAAGACGGTGAAGGAATGAAGAAATTATCCGTGCCATCTGGGGGCTCTCCGAAGGAGCCATACCAGGGTGTCGTTCGTCCGGATTCCCAGGAGAAGCTCAGGTACGATTCTAAAAGACTTCAGTATCGACAGGCACGCCCAGCCATGGGATGATTCTCACCTGATGTCCGTGGTACAGCTACCTCCCTAGATTCCGCTTGTTGTACTTTGCGCTTGTCATGAGTCTGCTTTGCAATATGAGAATTTATGATGGCTTTGATCTTGCCAGAGACATTTGCCTCCGGTTTCTTGGTCTCGACTAGGAAGGTAAATTGCTTCGAGGTCTTCCTCTTTGTTTTGGGCGATTCATGATGAGGGAGCAGGGAAGCCCTCAATGGCAACAGGGCTAGGCTTTCCATGCCAGCGGAATTTCCCTTTGATGAGAGCAGGATATTGTTCAAGGCTTGTTAGACATTCTGGGCTTGTGTGGTTCACTTATGTACCCAACGGTGCACCATTCATCTAGTTCACTGCAAGCTGGGGCGAATTTCGTAGTCAAGGACTTGCAGCTCTCGAACTAGTCTCTTACTGGGTAGCCATCAGCCGGCTAGGTTAAAGGGAGGACGTGTTCAAGGTCAACACCTGAACATGACCCCGGGCGAATGATAAGAGAATGTGGGTCAGTCTCGGTCGTTCGACTTTGGTTTTCTTCCTATTTTGGAAATTGGTTGAGAAGGGTTATCGCCAATACAGTTTGTGCTGGCTCTGCTATACCGCTCCTACTGCGGTAGCCGTCGAGATCTGTACTGGTACCTAATATCCAGACATAGTCTCCACTTTAGATTCGCCAGTCGTGGAAGCGGGTGAGATTAGTCACCCGGCTGCGGAGGGGCTTAGCGCGTCTCTTTTGAGATGTCTGTGGAGAAATATCTCGTAGAGTCAGGGCGAATCGCAGACAAGGAGAAGATTTCCCTTGAAGGTCACATAGCACTCCGCCCGAAGCTTTTCTGCCATTACTCTGGTTGAGGCCGCAGCTAATTTAGACGTCGTTTTCTGCCCAATGAACATCACAGCCACCTTTCTTGTGGCTGACTAACGGCGACAGCAAAGCGGGCCTGGAACCCAGCTTCAATCCCATCGGACACCTCAGATAGGACTCTGATGGCAAGTCTCTCCGATCAGTGGATTTGCTCAAACCTTTCATGATAGTGCATATTCCAGGAAATCTGAGGTTATGCCGACATATCTCTTCCCTGATTTCTGGAGTCGTCCCGGTACATTTCCGCAATGTGGGCTCCGCGTAACTTGATGCCCTCTCCCGACCTCATTCTCGGGCTCGGTGCTATTACCCGTCTGGCATTTTCGGCAACCAAGAGTGTTTGCTATGGGTGCCAAGCATGCATACAGCTGCAGCTCAAAATGGCTTTGTCTTTATCTCGGTCGAACTAGTGGGCTACCAAATGGCGCGCTACCCAGGTGTGGAATGAAGCTCCACCTTCGAGAATTCGAGATTTGACACTACGGATATATTGGCGGATAGGAGAAAGAACTACCAAATAATCCACACGACTCGTGTGATGTTCCCGAACAAAGACTGGAATTGTTTCGCAGCGGTCTCGTGACAGTCCTTGCCAGGCAGAGGCATCCCCAATTATGTCTCCAGCAGGCAGGCTGCAAGGCCAACAATGAACGGACGATCAGCATAATTCAACTTGGGGTTTGCCCTGAGTTCGACGTGGTTTGGTACTGCGAGTTACAGTATGTCCTGCGGGACTGCAACATTGCACTTTATGTGCGTAGCAAACGACGGCTTCCCGAGCGTGAAAAGGTAGAGCTCTAAGCTCTAGGCGTGCTGAGCACTAGCCTCACAGATAGCGTCTCAATGGCCTTATAGTTGACATGTTGACAGAGACAGACCAGTAGATTGGTTGCAAGGTTTCCAGTCCCTTTCAAAGCGCATATCGTAGAGGTAGGTCAATGGTACCTGAAGTATATAGTGGATCGATCAGACTCAGCTTTCGAGCAGCAAAATCGGACAGTACAAAGGGTTTCTCTTGCAAACTCGAATTCGAAAATTTCACAGCAGGATCTGCAAAACTGGCGGTACGTCCCTCCTTTAGATCAGGGGATTTGGTACGTACTTCAGCGCCTCCTGATGTTTCGACTTTCATAAGAAGAGCCTTTGCTTCATTTCGATGACTTCTATTCCGGGCAAAACGGTGTATGGCAACAAATGCTAGTTTCAAAATCCTGTTGAAAACAGCGAGATCAGCTTTCTCGAGGTGCTCGGTGTCCTCCTCCATGAGAACGAACAGTTTCCGGATGATGTAGCCAGTCGCTTTCGTGTTCACTGGAGACTGCAGATCAAGGTGTTCTTCGCTCAAAGAGCCACTGCAGATCTGTGGTACGAGGGCGTTGGCAACGCAGATGAGCATATGGGCAGCAATCATGTTAACAGGCGGCTCTGGAGAATCATGAGATAGTTGCAGTATTGCTAGCTCCCACATTGAGGTAAAGTCCCTTAATTGGTCGACAGTCGGTCGTGCTGCTTCGTCTTTCACGTTCAAGCGCTCGAAAAGTCGCTCGTAGACAAAAAGAACCTCTTTTGTTGATTTCAAGCCCTGAGGACTGTGGAGTGCTCTGAGAGCATCCAGAACAGACAGAGCAGAGGTGTCCTCTTCAAGACGAAAAGCCGGTTCAGTGGAATGATAGCCGGCCGCTGAGAGATACATTGCTTGTAAGTCATTTGCAATGATATGGTCAGCTTCTGAACCACTACTTGACTTGGTCATTTCGCTTGCTTTCACAAGGAGCCTTTCGGCTGCTCGTAGATGTATTCGAGCTGCTGTCGTATTTCGAATCATGGTTTCTAGGGTGTGGGCGATTATTGCTGATGCAAGCACCTCAAGGAATGAGGCGTTGTTCGTGGTTAGAAGGCGAATGGCTTCATTGTAATGGAATCTAGCAATAGGTCAGGGGGGAGGACATGCGCACAGAAGATGGTGAAACTCACATGATCCTCTCACTCCGAACGACCAAGGCCTGGCTTGTGGCTCGATGTAGCTTCTGGTCCATCATAGCAGTAGCAACCACCAAATGTCGCAAGGCTGGGAGGCTTATAGCAAGGCGTGGAAGAGTAACAGCCCACGGTTCCCTTGCTTCTGGGTCACAATAATGGCTGAGCCATGGCCCTGTTCGCTGCATGTAATAGCGCACCAAATACCGTTCCTCTGAAGGCCAGGCACAAGTAGTAAGCCCTGTGAGGTCAAAGCTGGACGCTCGCTTCGCAGGGGTTGTTTCGGTGCTTTTACGTTGCTTTGTCGGTTCAAAGATCCAGATTTTGACAGCGGTGTAGGCGCACTGGATTCCACGTTTCTTACAGTTTTCGCAACTTGGCCTCAGTTCGTCACATTTAACGCGTCGCCTTTTACAATTGTCGCAACCGCTACGACTCTTTGGAGCAAATGCCCTCGTGCGGTTCTTCGGAGGAGCCATTGGGAAACTATGACCCAGCCACTTCAAAATGTATGGTCAAGTACCGACCTCGACAAAGTCTCGTCTGTTGACTTGGAAGGGAAGATACCATTGAATAATCCATGAGCCTCCGCAGATTCACTGGAAGTAAGAAAGGTTGGAATGGGTTCAGCACCGTCTTCATTTCCAAACCCTTAGGCTGGGTGAAGGCGAGAACGAGCGACGGTGCAGCTATTGTTCTTAGTATTTTCTGTCGAAGCAAGAACAGTGAGGTACAAGACTCGAAGGATTTTATATCATGAAACAGACGTCTCAATTATCGCCCCAGGGGACCAAGGCGGCCCACCCACATGGCATGCCTGTTTCGTCAGAAACCCAGAGGAAGAGGTGGTTAAGGAGGGTGGAAGCAAAAATAAAGCGCTTGACCCTAGAGAGGCTTAGGGCGGATGACAGACGCTAAACCCAATTGTGGCTCCAGGCGTGGATCTGACGTCAACAATCTCTGGACGCGGTGTGAATCTGATCCGGTCGGTGAGGGCCGTCAATAGATGTCGATCCGATGCTCGACGTCGACGTCGGCGCCGAAGCCAGCAATGGAGGCTGACAGAAGCCCTCAGTAGCAGAAGCAATATATCTATGGTTTCAATGCACCTTCGTGACATGGTAAATGCTTGACATTCAAAAATAAAAATATGCCTTACTGAAGCAGCAGCTTGTTCCACAAAGCGTGTTGCATCAAGGACACCATATGGACATTCACCGGCATGGCATTCGTAGTCATATGCCTCACAGCCGCATGCTGCAAGGACCACCGCGGTGACACCTCTCAACTCTCGAGACGGTCGAGGATTTGCGAGATCCATGTTTCCGAGATTGACCTTCATTGTGATTCGATCTCGAAACAGCCCCTGTCAACGTCCAGACCGTTCCGCTTCGGTGTTAAAGAGGGTCGAGATCCGAAAACCTACGCAGAAATTGTGCGGGGTGAGAAAACTACGCTGTGGGAATGGTATGCGAGTTCAATCATTGGGTTTTGCCTGGAGACAAGGCGAGCTTTGTTGACGAATTGGCGAAATGTCGGAGCCTTCATCAGGTGGCTCCGAGATGATCACCTTGCGGGGAAAGCCTCAGCGTCTAACAACTGACAATGAGTGCCTGTCCCCTGCGTTGGTAATACCCAACTGCCATTCGTCATATCTGTGGGGGTGCGGACCAACTTCATGCATGGGTCCCATCTCTCTGGGGGGTTGGCGTGCATATGAAAGAGTTGAAAAAGGGCGCGGAAGAACAAGGTGAGTTTATTGAGGACGTAGCATTTCTTTCTACGCTTCCCAGTCCGAGCCTTGTCTTTCCAGTGAAAACCATAGACAGCAACCATGTCCTTCGCCGCTCAGGTTGTCAGCAGCCTTACGGGCTCGAGCCCGACAGTGTATGACCTCGTCGTGGTAGGTAGCGGGTTCGCCGGGTCTATGACCACATTGAACTTCTTGGAAGAATGCAAGAAGCTCGGCAAGGATGGCAAGGTCACCCTGATTGAGGCTGGTAAGGGTGGCGAGCGATGTGGTGCTAGCAGATGGACCATGGCATACCTGCGGTTGGACAAGGACAACCAGTTCGATTCGGATTGGAAGCACGAGATGGCACGCGTCAGCCAAGGCCTCGCCGACCAAGAATATTATCTCAAGATGGAAAATGAGGTGCCTACCACGGTCCAATACTTGATCGACCACGGCGTGAAGTTCAACCACCACGATGAGGAGAATGTTTTCCTGGAGTTCAACACAAATCAACACTTTGTATTCCCTGAAGGAGGCGGCCATGCTATCATCAATGCTCTCTTCGAACGTATCCTCAAGTTCGATAACGTCAACGTTATGTGGAGACTCAGGCTGAGCAACTGCTCACAGAAGATGACGGCTCCGTTTGTGGAGTCAAGGTACGAAATTCTGATGGACGCATGTCGAAGGTGTTGGGAAAGAAGGTCATGTTGGCCTGCGGCGGATTCGAGGGTAACCGAGAAATGCATGCATCCTTCATCCTGAGGCCGTCATCTCCGTGCTAACCGTCGTACCAGGCTGGGAAAATACCTCGGCCCAAGAACCGAGCACCTTGAACTGATCGCTCCCGGCCTCAAGTACAATACTGGATTTGGACTCAAGATGGGTCTGGAGGTTGGTGCCGCAACAGCAGGCTCGATGAGTGGCATGCATTGCGAATTAGTCGATACACGTGCAACGAAGCCTGATGCAGTCATCTGGGGACACGGTTACGGCATCGTAGTGAACGAGCACTGTAAGCGATTCTATGATGAAGGACAACGCCCCCTCTTCGCCACATTCGAGATGATCGCGCTCCATACCTGGAGAGACCAAAACCAAAAGGCCTACTTCGTCACAGATAAGGTCATCATGGATCGGTTCCGTCCTGGTTGGGTTTACGACACCACGGATAAAGACCCTGAAGGGAGTGACACGATTGAAGGACTCGCGGAGAAACTTGGACTTGACCCTAAGGAGTTAAAGAAGACCGTGGACGACTATAATGCAGCGTCAGTTTCCCTCACCTTGTTCCGAGCCTCAGGCGAATCCCACAGTAGCTGATATCCTGATGGACAGGATCAACGACAGAGAGTTCGATCTGATGAAACTGGACGGCAAGAGTACTACAGGGTAAGATCCAATCAATGCAGGCGAAACAGATCTTCTTACCCGCCGGCACTGAAACGACTAACCCCTTTATCGCAGCCTTTCTCCTAATAAAACGAACTGGGCAACTCCAATTGCGAAGCCTCCCTTCTACGGGTAAGCTCGATGCCTCTGATCCCTCTAAAGTGAAGGGGGAAAAACAGTCTAGATAGCAACTCTAACCATCGAGAACAACAGCTATCCCATGAAAGGTATTCCCAAGTGATCCCGCTCCCTTCTTCCCTCAACGCGATGAAGTAACCTGTCTCTCTGAACTGACCAACAACCCAGCACAACTGACATTCACTTACGGAGGACTCAAGTACGCACAAACCACCCTTTAACCCATTCTATTGTATGATATCTCTAACTCATATCTCCAATAGGTCCGACTTGGACTCGCGAGTCCTGTCCACGACCGGAGCCCCTATTCCAGGTATGCGACTCTTTTCCAGCCGATTCCTCCCACCGAGTAGCCCCCGGTGTACTATGTCTCGTCCTCTACTAACCAACCACATCATTTCATAGGCCTCTACGCCGCCGGCGAGCTAAGCGGATTATTCTACAATGAGGTATGTTTTGATTTCTCATGAGTGTATTTGCGCCCCCATCTTGCTCCGTTCCCTCGCCTCGCCTCGCCTCCCCTCCATCAGAGTCAAACGCTAACCCGACCGGCAAAACAGTGTAAGTGCCACCAAGAAAACAGTAACGAGTTCCTTCATTTTTCAAGTTCCTTCGTGGCAGAGAGTTCGAATCCGACCAGGGAAGCCAAAACTAACGGGGAGATGCAATTGATCTTGCATGTGTCACTCCCACTTTGCCCGCCTGTTCCAGACCTCACAGCTCATCATCCTCTTTATGTGTCAAGTTCAGCCTTGCAAAACTTCGGCGTGCACCCCGTCCCATCGCCTCCCCGCTCCTTCTTGATCTCTCCCCATCACCACCATCACCACCTCCCCTGTACAATTTCTATTATCCTAGCGAGCGAGGAACGTCTGCACACGCACGTCGTTGGAAGATTCTTATCTGATCTTCGGAGGTGAAAAAACTAACTGAAACAGATCCACCAGCTACAAGTGTCTTGCGTTCACTCACACTCGGCCGCATCGCAGGCTAGTAGATTAGCCTTGGCTGCCATCGTATCACATTCCGCTGCCCCGTCGTATTTTTGTTCCATGTCACAAATTTATTTCGTCGACGCTTCGAAGTAGCGAGATTGATTGGCGACGCTCACAACTGTGGTGATGGCAAGGCGTTACGGACTGTAATGGGAAAGGAGAGCTCGCGACATACGCACCATAGTTTACATGACGATGCCATACCTTATGTCACTTCCAGCCACATACACACTGTTTGGGGGCAGCCTTTTCCCCATCGTGGCAGATCGATTGGGAACTAACTCTCGGACCATAGGAGTTGCCTCATACGGAAATGGGCCTCTTTGAACCCCGAGAGACTGGACTTTCTCGCGGACAATCTCAAATATCTCCCGTCCCGGAACACCCGGAATGAGGCCAAAATATACCTCTCAAAAGGGCCCAGCATTCCGAATATTGCCGTGATGTCAAACGTAGTTCAGTTGTGGGTCAGGAAGACCAAGGCAAATGATAATGGAGCGATGGACAGAATCCGAGTCGACGTTGTTCAGCCGTTGGGATAGTAAGCAGATGGAGATCACGCTGATGACCTCAGTGGCTTCATATTTCCTCTCAAAGGTACGACCTGGTCATCCATTACTTTATTATTTAGTCACGTCTACCGTGGCATACTCGGCTAATGGCTTCTCCTGAAATATCTCCTATGAATATGTGAACCAAGGGCTAAAAAGGTGAGTTTCACACGAATTATAGCATGGTAGCCGCCCCTAGCATAGCGTTTGTTCAGTTGTGAAAGAATGCTGACCTACTGACTCTGGCTCTCCCACAGTCAATGAGTTCTGGGAAACCCTGTTTTGGCTGTTGAACTATGTACCATTTCCAATCTGCCCATATACAAGTGGTGTCTCGTCATTTGTCGTCTGTTCATGACACTGGCAGAGCACTTTTGCCCAAATTTTCCGACATTGCACCATGGTGACATAGCTCTGCCGCTCTTGTGAGACGTCTTACATTCCCCTTCTCAGACCTTCTCCTTATGGACTATGTCACCGTAAAGAGCTTCCTCGCTCTCAGCCGGAGCATCGATCTTGAGATTGAAGTCCTCTTTGTAATCTTTGAACAACAACGAAACTAAAAGTAGCTCCGAGTCAGCTCTGGCAACGGGTTTCTCGCGTCAGTAGTTGAGCTTACCAGCACCGGCGACCGCGGACAACACAGCCGCCATAATCCAGACAAATCGGAATGAGTCGATATAGGCGATCTTTAAGCCTTTCACAGCGGCGTGAATGATTTCTGGAGTGGCGCCTTTGACTGTAGCCAGCTGCTCTGTCTCCCCTCCAACCAAATCTCCAATCAGTGGAAGGAGTGAGCTTTCGGGAAGCCCAAGCGGGATGACAGCAGCAGCGATTCTTTCAGGCATTAACTTGGTGAACTTTGCCTCGAACAGGGCGGCAACTGGATATATAGTCAACCTATGCATCTCGAAGTGTCAATAGATGAAGAGTGTCTCACAGGTAGCTGTACCAATAGTCGCGCCTACCCCGCGGAAGGTCGAAACTAGAGCACTCGCGATAATACTAGGATAGTGTGTCAATGGTACTCTAGAGACGGAACCAGCCAGGAAGACTCACATGATGTCCGGGGGGGCACTGAACTGCGCGAAGGAGACAAGAGCCGACAGACACAAAGCAAGACCCAAGCCAAAGAAAATGGGGTATGCCCAGATCGCCTTTCCGCTTCTTAGTTGAGTTGTCGCCATGCAGATATTGAAAATCATGAAGCAAGTGAAGCCACAAACAACGACTACACGGAGTTTCTTGTACCTATAGCAATAAGCTGCGGCAGCGAGGGCGGAGAAGAAGTATGCGATCCATGAGATCCCGAAGCTACCGCGCGGTGAGCTTCTTATCATCAACGGGACTTGGTGATAGCATACTTGAACCCGACCATAATGGTTCTCGACTCGTATAGAATAGCCACTTGAGTTGGTAGATAGACGTTACCAGACTGGATCGAGATTTTAGTTCCTCTGTAGTGGTTTGCTGTCAGGAAAACATACCATATATACTATGAACAGGTCAGCTTGAGGTAAGTGTTAGTGGAAGCAGACTTACTAAATCCTTCAAAGAAGATGCCGAGCATTGCGAGTGCTAGGTTTTTATCGCGGCTGGAGCGATGCGTTAGAAAAATGTCGAGAAGGCATGGTCGACTTACGCGAAAAGTCGATGGTTAAGCATGCCGTCAGTCTTGAACCGCCACTCGTAAATGCAAAAGAATATTAAGACAGCAATTCCCACGCAAAGAGGGCTGAGTACATGAGCACTGCTCCACGCGTCTGCAGACAGGTTAATTTGGGATGAACACAGCGGGTATAATGTCGCTCACAAGGGTTCTGAGCCCACGACAGACCGATGCAAAAGAGAACGAGTCCAATGGAGAGCATACTGCCTCCGATCCAGTCAAGCTTCAGAAGGTCAGAGTTGCTGTATCTGTCGTGCAATAATGAGGACGTACGAGACGAATCTTCTGGTTGAAGGTCAAGGTCTTTTGCAATTCGCGAGGTGGTGGATTGTAGCATAAGAAGGTAAGAATGGCCGTAGTCGCGTACAATGCGGCCTACGAGTGCATGTTAGGCAGCTCAATAGACCTTCTGAGCTCACGAAAGACTCACGATAATGTAGAAAAGCTATCCACCCATGTTAGAGACGATCCATCTTTTCATATAGCACGTGACTTACAATCCTGAAGCCCCCAGGGCCGCGCTTGTCGATGAGAGCAGCACCGCCCACAAGGCCGACAAGCGCCCCAAAGACATTTCCCTGGCGCATTCTGTCAGATCGCACGAGGAACCTTTGCATCCAGAAACTTACAAGACTCGGTACGACTTGTGCAGTCATTCTGTGCTTGTGAGGTAAGACTTCCGAAGGGATTGCAAATGCAAAGGCCTGTGCGCAGATGTAAGCTGATTAAATTCTCAGTTGGACTCACTGTTGGAGCAAAAGCAAGTCCAATAAGGGTTTGACCAGCAAGGACGTGGTTGATCTACAAAGTGTCAACGTCTATTCGTACCGCGACTCTGTCAGATTTTTACGTCTCACCTCGTTTGCGCGCGATGTGATTAAAGCTCCCACGAAGCCGAAAACAACAAGCACGATGAGAATCCATCGTCGGCCCCAGTAATCGGCTGCCTGGCTCATAGGCACAGCAAGAGCAACCATGGGCAACAAAATGCAATTGACGATCCAGCTCTGCTTGTCTGCGCCTCCAATGGCTGCGACAATAACGCGTGCATACTGCAGGGATTGTCAGGCAATTTTGTTGCTAGAGAGGGATAGCTTAACGTACAGCGCCAGAAACTGTCAGGGTCGTGACTCCTGTGAGATTGAGCACGAATACTGCCTGCCCATTAATTAGATGATTACTCGGCAGTAGATCGGCGTTTAACTTACAAACACGATGAGGTATGTCTTTGTGTGGAGATGAGGCTCGACTTCCCTATTCAACTCTGTCAGATTGGAGTCATGGTGCTCATTTTCATATGCTTGACCTTGCTTGACCTCAGACATTATGATAAAGGTGATGAAAGAATATCAGTATGCGTGGTGTTTGCCTGGGTTCAGCGTAAGCGCCTGCAAGTTCCGGAAGTGGTACTTGCGAGTATTTATCGACACAACGCTCCAACCCCATGGGGTACCCCAGCCGTGTAACGAGCAGCACGCCCCAGTCTTGGAATCCCATGCGGAGTTCGATGCTGGCCCGATACCCGAAATGTTTACCGGCGATCCAACGACGTTTTCGCTATTACACGATTTCATCGGAAGTACGGAGTAGCTACTGGGATAAACACCGAGTCCGCTCGGAGTGTTAAGCGTTTTAAACTCCGGTCATGGAATATTCCAGGGTCTTAAGGGAACTCTCCTAGCGAAAGTTTGTATGACCCAAATGTGCATATGCACGTTCGATTCCATCAACTAGCTGCCTGCTCCGGCTTTCCCATATTTCTTTTTGCGATATTTCGTCTTGGAATTGGAAGGAGTCTTGTTCGAAAGGGCCGAACAATACCTCGCCAAGGTTGCTATCGACAGCGCGGCTATGTCCTTGCGTCCGACCGATCTGTTTGTATGGCTCCAGCAAATGTAAGATCAATCCAGGTCTGAGTTAGAGTAGTAAGCACTGGTGCTTGTTGGGACGGAGTTGAGGCATCAATCCCATGTTTGGCTCAAGGTACAGGCGGGATCTCCTAGGAGAAGGATATCGAGACTGGAGACAGGACGGCTTAGCAGGGTTATCATCCCGTTACAGCAAGAAAGCTTTTATGGAGAGTGACCAAGCAACAACTATCATTTCTTTCGCGGCTCGCATGTATCTGCCGATCATGTTGACATAGCTAATTCGAACTTCTGCACCTTGAGGACTACCATATCAACTTCATCCTTACCTCCAGCGTTAATTGGCTTTGATATCTTTCCTCCGTCGGCCACTTCCTGAGACCTCTGAAGTTGGCCATCGACATAGATCGCCCATCGGCCGCGACTTAACTGCTTCACAACGGGCTCAACTCGATGATCTTTCTCATCCCAAGCCTTTATTGTTATGACAACAGTTTTCTCTTTTTCGATCCACTCTCCTCTCAATAAGTCAATACCCTGGGCCAGATGGATACCATCAATATAGGGCCTTTGAGTAAGGCAATCATTCGTCAATGGCTTTTCAAACATCTTCTTCTGGCCACCGGCTATATCGAGACGAGAGTATGCTATGGCGCTGTTACCAGTGTAAGGATCAACATATGTCCGATCCCAATCAGCGCTTCTGAGTTCGTCATTGCGAGGGTAGAAGAGGCCACCATCCTCCCAAGTAGGTTGCAAGCGACTATCCGCATAGTTGAGCAGGCCTGAAAGTAGATCCTTGCGATCCACCTCACTGAGAAGCTGTAGAGCATAGCCTAGTGTAGGCCCTTTCTCGAGCATCATACCGGTGTTCGGGCCGTGTTCTTCAACGTGAGCTATAGCCGAGGCCAGAGTTTTGGCGGAATTTGCATGATGCTCATCAGGCTTCTCGGCCGCCAGGCGACGGATGTTATTGGCAACGGATGCTGTCTGGAGACGGATTTCGCCATTGATGTTGGTGATGAATCCGGAGATCTGTTGACCGACCATAGAGTGAACCAATCCCGAGTTCCACGTGTTCATAAACGCTCCCGCCCAGGCTGTGAAGTTAAGATCCACCGTGGGTATCGTCAAGTCTTGATTCTTCATCCACATGAATGCGAATAGTCCGGTTGGTCTAACTATTCTCTTTTCTTGCCAAGCCGCTTGGTATTTCACCAAGATGTCGTCCAACAGCGCAGCTTTGTGTCGCATGTCATTATATCGTATGGCAATCAGCGGGAACTGATTGCAGACAACGAATACGACATTAGGCTCACAACAAACACCTACCCGTCCATTTTCCTCCGTGACTTCACTATGATGTCTTGCAGTTCAAATGTAGAATATTGGAACTTCTCTGCACCAAATCCAAAGAACTGTGGATCCCATTCAAACACCATAGATTTGGGGTTTTCGAACTCAGCGTCATAGAATAACATAGCATATAGGCTGATCATCGTGGCCACTATACAAAGTATTTTCACGTATAACTGGGTCTGCCCATGGTTTTCTTGATTCTTTCAGATCCGGGTCCAGAAGAGTGCCGCCTAGATATGTGCTCAACCAATAACCCCACATCTCGCGTCGAAGCATTTTATGTATCAACCTCCGAAGAAGAGGTTTGAATACACTTCGTAGGGCAGGCAGGCGGTGGGAATGGCTGAGACTAGCCACGTAAGCCATGTTAGAGAGCTGATAGCAATATGCATCCAATAGCCCTTGCCCGGGGTCTTCTGCACCCATATGGTTCCAAGAGCCATCTTTCTGGCTAACCAGATTGTGGAGGTGCCTTATATGACCTGCTTGTTGGGCACTCAGCTTTGGATACCCCTCAAGCGACAGTTGCAACTGTTCTGGTATTTTTAGAGGTGCTTGTACTGTTAAAATAAGGTGCGCTCGGGGGATTGTTGCAGTTGCCATAATTACGAGTCGTCAGTTGAAGAGATATGACAGGGGTGTTGAAAGTGACGTGTTCAGAGATGCTTTTTCCCCGAAGAATTGTCACAGAGGAAGGGATGTACTTCTTAGTATGCTGAAAAGATACTATGACCACAGACTCAGGGTGATTATACCTCGCGTGATCCGGTCGACTTCGGAGGAAGTTCAAGAGAAACTAAGACATCTGGTGTATGGAGCTTGATGAACAAAGGCACTCATGTGGCAGGTCCCAACTGTGTCCACTTCAATCTGCGCGATTCTTCTCTGTTAGCACAAACTATGCAGGATTCGGCGTCTTGGCTGATCTCCAGGCACCCTAGGCAGGGCCCTTGCATGACTACCAGCCGCTCCTTCGCTCTCCTACGACGAGCAAAAGGGAAAGCCTACTGTGTGAAAGCGATGTTATCTCTCCTCCTCGTGCTGGTTGTCTCCAACAATCAGGATATTCACAACCTTCAGAGACGCCGTGTCCTTCACATGATGCTATGTCGCTCATCGAGCTATTCCGGGACGGACATCATGTACCAGCTAAACGTACCTGTTTGATACACCGATTCAAGACCCTCGTAATTCCAAGTCAAACGAAGAGGGTCTACGGCGGATGGAGTGGAGTATTTTGAAAGATGCCCATGGCCACGATTGGTGAAAGCATCCCTGTGATGACATTGACTCCTACCTCGTAATTATTATTTCAAGGCCTTGGAGGATCTATATTGGCTTCAGACCAACGTCAAATGTGTTCCACATTACTATCAACAATAGTTTGTAGCCACAAAGTCGTGATCATCGTCTGGTGTAGTCTGCTAGAAAAGCTTGAATAAGCTGACTAAAATCAGTAGGTCGTCCTGCAGGCAACATGTAATTGCCTACAGTAGAAGCAGGAGTTGCGATAGTTTTCTGCTGCGCGGAGGTCGCGGTAACGGTGTGCAGATGGCCTTCGAGCGGTTCTGGCCACCCCGGGCGACCAGTACATCCGATCACCATATGGTCAATGTCCATCGTGATCCCGAATGCCGCTCCCGTTCGGTCAAGGACAGCTTCACTCTACCGGCTCGGTCCCTAAGCAGCACAAGAACATTTTACTCGATGATGGAGCTTGCATTCCATGCTTAACAGGTTATATCTAGTGGAACTTGACAGAGCTTACACAAGTCACCAAGACACTCCTTGCCTTTATCCTGAGTGCGCATTCCTTCCAAGAAAAGCTCCCTAGCAATAAGTACACATGGCGAACAGCGCTTTCATGTATAAACTCAGCCGGTCCAGCCGTCAATACAGACTTAGCTGGGGCTTGGAATATCCAGCACATCGCTGAGACCGCTGCAGGCCTATTGCTCGGATACCCAAAAACATCTGACTATCGCAATCGGGCCCTCTGTTACGTGGCTATGCAGTCACAAAAGAAACTATTGCAAAGGCTCCCTAATGGCAATATGAAATCCAAATCGAGTGCCTCACGAGTAACATATCAATCTTGAGTTCTGCACATGAACGAATCAAAATTCCACGGAACCGTATTAGTCGTCCGAAACATCCGACACTGAGACCAACCCTGGATCTGAACCACAACTTCGGACCTCGGTCTCTGCGACAAGGCCGACACAAGAATGCGAATCATCAGTCAGCGAATGGTGACTCTACAATACATAGGCTATGCGGCAAAAGGGGTGGGTCGATCTCGCACAAATGCCCCTAGACGCACGCACCCACTCACTCGCCTTGGCCCCTAGACCCAGACGGTAAGCTACTGTAAGTTACTGCGGGGAACCTGGTGCGCGGGGTTTGACCATTGAAGCCTTTAAGCCGCCCAGATGGTCACTCTGCCTGGGGAAGACCCATGCTGTCAGATCAACTTCAAGATGCCGATACCAAGGACCGTACCAAACTGTGCAACGGCTTGCAGTTATTGCCGCGCTCGCAAGGTAAAGTGTGATGGCCGAGATCCTTGCAGCCATTGCATCAATCATAAGAAAACGTGCTTGTACCCGCCTTCACAACGGGGAAAAGGGCGCAGCAGCGGATTTTTGAAAAGCACTCTTGAAGCCCGGCTAGCGAGGGTGGAAGCCTTGATCCAAGGTTCGGCTGAAGAGCCATCACAACGGCCACACCCAGGGATAAACAACAGCAACGTCACAGAGAACGGTGATGGCTCGTCACCACAATGCGATCAGCTCCAGTCGGCATCGTTAACCAATCCAGCACAACCGACCTTACCACTGCAGAAAGATGACGACAACATGTCCAGAAATACAATTGTCCCTACGGGCGCAGCACCTATGTCAGCCGCATCTGTTACGTCGCCTACATCGTGGTCAATGCCTGCAGCTGCGGTGCCGTCCGCACTGTCTCCGGATAGTCGCAGCGGAGGTGGCATCGAGCTTCATGTTACAGGCCGAAGCGAAGGGCAAGCTAGGCACTTGCAAACACGGATCTGGGAACATCATGGTGAGCACACTTGACAACCCTTGTTCGTCGAGGTTCCAGACTCTGTAATCGTCTATTGCCGTTCCGAGAGTTGCGGTATTGCTGGAATGTCTCGCTGCCCTTAATGATAAGCATGTGCCGACGTGATCATTCGCAGAAAGTAAGAGCAACGTCCTGAGGTAAAGAAGCTAACATGTCGACTTGACCTAGGTCCGGGTTCGTGGTGCTCTGTATGCTCGGAACCTGGTGTCAACTGGGTCACGGAAAAGACCGGAGGCAAGGATTTCTCCAGTAGCGCGCAGAAGCTCACAACCGCATGGAACAGGCCATGGAGAGCTGGGGCTTTGGCTATGAGAGCCTTCAACCCGGAGCCGGATGAGGAGACTGCCTGGAGATACTCTCAGGCATACTTTGACGACTGTTTCGAGTCAGCAATGGGAGTGGTCTACCGACCTGAATTCGAGGTTCGCCTGCGAGCACACTTTTGTCAAGGCGGTGCTTCGTGCACGGATGATGTCGCCTGGTATGCATTACGAAACACGGTATATGCCTCAGGGTGTCGGCAGTTGCTACTGAAAAATGGCGCAGTCAACTATGCTGAGGCACAAAAGAAAGCGTCCCGGCTGTTTGAAAACGCTCTCTTGGTGCACACCGACCTCATCTACGGACCGTCAGGTCTTGAGGCTGCAAGGGCGATTGTGGCAATGACATTCTATGCCGAGGCGGCGGCGGATCAAGGTTTTGAGTATATGATCAGCGCAAGTGCCGTCCGCCTCGTTCAGGCGAAGGGCCTGCACCGGCAGCCGTCGAAGACTGCCAATCTATCAGAGAGCGAGATCGCGCACCGTAGTTGGCTCTTTTGGGCCATCTACTGTCACGAGAATCAGATAGCCTTCCGCTCGGGGCGTCCCTCGGCCATTGACGATGACGGCATAAGCTGCGAGGTTCCGGTAATTGCACCTGCCGGCAGTACGATCGACGTCGAGTTCTTCACGCACGTCATCAAATTCGGCCGATTGACCTCAAAGATGGCGAAGCATTTAGGATCCCCTGCTGCTTTCCGTCAGGGTCAGGTTGAGTTGATCAAGGCAGCTAAGGATCTGAGTGTGGAACTCGAAGCGTGGCAATGTACTACAAAGCAGATACAAACACGATTGCAAACGCGAATGCAAATTGGTACGTCGCCAACAGGGAAGCATTTACGCCCAACCGTCCGGCCTTTGCACCTGGTTTATCTCGATTACGCCTACTATTCAGCAGTGCAATCGATCCATGCGATATTTGCGTTTCCCTGGATCAGTGCTATCATGGGCATCGAGAAAGATCCGTCTTTCCGAGAAGAGGCCATCTTGAAAGCCGACAAAGTGGCTGATGCAGCAAGGAAGATCATCCTTCTGGCTAAATCTACTGAGCTTAGTGCATCGCTCCCGCAGTGGGCATCTTTCTACTATCCTATTTCAGGTTTGATCAACCTATTCGTTTACATTTTGAACGACCCGAGTCGCCCATCCGTTCCGGCAGACGTGGCATTACTGGATGTGGCAGCTGGACACTTCAGTCACCTCGAATTTTTAACATCATCCGAACCGGGTTTCCCCTTCCCCCGCGAAATCGCACGCCTTGCTCGCACAACGCTTGAGAGGGCCAATTGGAAATCCAGTATGAACACGACGTTGCCCGCACTCGAAGATGAGGCGGGTCAAGACATGGGTCGACATGTATTTGACCAGGTATGCATGCTTGCAGCCCTTTCAGCCACGTAACCCATCGCTAATCCTTGTTTCTAGCCCGAGCCTTTCCAAGCCGATCAATTTGACATGGAAGGATGGGACATATACTCGACAGAGCTTCTGGACGGAAGACTCCCTGTTGGCGACTTGTTCAGCATACCCATGCTAGACCATGATTAGCTCAGGTGTAACGCTAGGCTTCTGTATATCTTTCCAGTGCTTGTGCAAAAGTGAAGAGGCTCCAAGATAGTGTTATATTTCAACGCTGACTCTCATACCTTGCTCCACCAAGGCTCGGCACTGGATCTCTTCAGGTTCGGAAACATACCAGGCATTTCGAAATTTGCTGTGACCCAGTAAAGAGGTTGGGCCGTGACTAGGTATAGTTCTTAAGCTCCCAGTAGCATTGCCTCGAGGGCAAGATCACCAGAGCGGCTAACATAAGCCGAGGAGATCAGGCATTATCGTTCAACCAGTGTAGACGTGATGGGGTTTGAACATTATTGCAGACCTCGAGCGGTATCGCAGCAACACGAAAATACAAGATCTTGCGTAATGTGCCGTATCCTCCGTGTAGATTTGTTAATCTCTTGCGAGTCTTGATGGCTGCTGTTCAGAAAGCCGACGGAGGTGCAAGGCGCCGAGGTCCGAATGGGCAAGCCGCGTCAGACTTGTGGCCAAGTACACATTCAAGAAGCCCTTGTGAACTGCCAAAAACCGATGATTTGATTAGTATGAAGTGTTTTTGGAGTTGATGCTGCGAGAAGAATGTCTCAAAAAGCCATCGTCATAGACAACCCCTCGCAGAACCCGAAAGTTGGAATCCAAGAAATTCCCATTCCAGAGCCGGGCCCTAACGACTTGCTCGTTCGACTATCATATACTGGTGTCTGGTAGATGTCTCTTGATGATTTCGCGTTTTAGTGCTGATCAGGATCCTCAGCCATGGCGATGTCTGTTTGATCTACGATGAATTGGCCAAGTTTGGATTCAAAATGGAGGGAAGCCGGGTAAGGTTCCGACGGCTTTATTCCTCGAACGCAGCATGCTTACCGACTTCCTAGACGCCTGGCCATGAGGGCGTTGGCCGTGTCGCTGCTGGTCAGTCTGAGACCTAGCCTCAACCCCTTGTGCTGACTCCGCACAGTAGGGTTAAACGTCTTGAACTTCCGAATTGGCGACCGTGTCGGCATAAAATGGTTGCACAGTGTCTGTGGCACGTGCCAGCAGTGCTCAGTCGGAGTGAGTTGACGTTCTATCAATGGCTGTATCGCGGCACTGACGTCTACAAAGAACGACTGCGGGTGTTCTTCAGCGCTGGAATTTGGAAGTATAAGCCTTGCAACACTGTCCATATTCCAGCCTAGTGACAGCAACCAGGAACGACACCCGGCTCCTTCCAACAATACGTCCTCTCGCCAGCCGGATACACACCGCGCATACCCGATGGGATCCCAGATGAACAAGTTGGGCCATTGCTATGTGGTGGAGTGACTATGTATCGCGCATTGAAAGTAAGAAGCACCTATTGTGAGAGACTCCTCTAATGCTTTGGAAGGCCTCAAAATCACGACAGGGCAGCTGGATCGTGATCCTGGGCGCTGGAGGTGGTCTTGGTCATTTGTGAGTACGCCGTAAACACACCTCCGACTTACTGACAGGTCAGGGGGGTGCAATTTGCCAAGGTTATGGACTTCAAGGTAATCGCGGTCGACTCTGGCGACAAAGAAAGTTTTTGTAAATCCCTGGGCGCGGATGTTGTCGTTGATTACACCGCACAGGACGTGGTTGAGGTCGTGAAGAACGTTGCAGTCGAGGGAGTTGCCGGCGTTATTGTCACGACGACAAGTCGGAGATCATATGAGCAGGTGCGTCCGCGAGCTACATGGAACTGTATACGCTGACATTGGAACAGGCCGCGGAAATGCTTGGTTTTGGCTCTGTCTTGGTGTGCGTTGGCTTACGTGTGTACACGGCTGAGAGTCGCAAGGCAACCTGGCTAACCTTACATCCCAGCATTCGAGTCATTCCATATGCCGATAAGCGTCAAAACCTTTATGGACAAAGGCTGTTCCATCACCGGAGTAGCTGCCAGTTCTCTCAGAGACGTTCAGGAGGCTGTCGACTTTGCCGCTGAGAAGAAGATCCACCCTGTCGTGCACATCAGGTCGATGGAGCAAGCTGAGGATGTCTTTAAAGACCTGGTAAGTCCACCCCATCAGAGACTGCGTTGGGAGGTGCTCATGACTACGAACAGATGGACCAGAAAGTCCAAGGCCGGGTAGTCTTTGATCTACGCTGAACCGTACCTACAATAGTACCTATTGTTGTGATGTCAAACGCTACAAGTGTCCCTTTATCAATGTGTCATTGTATTATTTCCGCCGATACACTTGAGAAGCTTGCGGAAACAAGCCATTGAATATATCCGTTTTCGCCTTAGTCACGCTAGGGGGCGGCACCTCGGTGTCATAGACTGCGTAGACGCCGAGTTGCATGACTCCTTGCATAGTCCTCTCGGGCCGCTTTGCCTCCAACCCCGGTGCGCTTCGCCTTAGGAGCAGCTAAGTAGTGGATAGTCAACCGTAAACGCTGTGATCAATCAGTACAGCAACCGCTCTGGACGCGATACTTAAGGTCCAACGAAAACCGGAACCGTCAACCCATCACAATCACCAGTCTACCAGGTCTTTGTCCTACAAAGCTGGACATTTTGATTTGTGAGTGTGACAACACGGACTCATCCAAGCTACCTACCAGAAAGACCTGGAACTCTTTGGCGATGACGAGAGTCGTCCTTGGTCTCATACTCTTGTTGTGCCTTGCAATCATCGTCTATCGACAGCTGGCGTTGACGAAGAAGAGTAATGGAGCACGGTCACTTCCCGGCCCGAAAGGTAGGGCTGATACGCTTTAAATTGATGGAATGCTGCCCCAGAGACTGATACGTCCAATTGGTTAGGTTACCCCATTATTGGCAATCTGCTCGAATTTCCGCGCTCGTTCGCTTGGCTCAAGTTCAAGGACTGGAGTGAGATATACGGTCCAGTTTACAAGCTTGACGTCCTGGGGACTACACATGTCGTTGTCTCGGAGCAACGCATTGCCGATGAGCTGCTCACCACAAGGGGAGCCACCTACTCGGACCGTGGCAGCTTACAAATGCTCGCGCTCATTACCAAGGGAGGAGACTTGGTGGGCAGTCCGATGAACGACTACTGGCGCAAGGGTAGGAAATTCGCCGCAGCAATGACAGGGCCCTCAATTTCCACTCAGTATGAACCTTTCCTGGAGCGAGAGGTAAAGCGGATGGTTATCGATATGGTCAGAGACTCCTCCAAGTATGAATTTTGGTTTGAAAGAGTTTCAACCGCCGTGTCGACTCGCCAACTGTTTGGAGAAAAGTGTGCCAAAAACGGCGATGTCGAGTATCACACCAAACAGATCGTGATACACAACCGCCATATCGAGCGAACTGGGAGCTCCGGAGCGTACCTCGTCAACCTGTTTCCACCACTGAACTACCTCCCTGAGGCACTGGCGCCTTTCAAGCGAGAAGCAAAGCAGGTTTACGCCAGAGACTCAGCCTACTTCTTCAGCTTGCTCCAGCAAGCCATCCAGAGGTATGAAGACAAAATACCAGAGGATCCAAAGTCGTTTGCCCGATCGTGGCTCGACAAAGACGATAGATGGGGCATGTCTTTTACGGAGGCAGCTTATGTTTTGGGTACGTTATTTGGCGGCGCCACTGGTACCACGTCGGGGACCATGCGATCTTTCTGTTTGGCCATGTGTCACCACCCCGAGTGGATGGAGAAGTTGAACCAAGAACTGGACAAAGTCGTCGGGCCAGATCGACCGCCGACTTTCTCAGACTATCCTAATCTGCAGGTGGTTCGTGCCGTCGTCAAGGAAACTTTGCGTTGGAGGCCTATAGTGCCGACAAGTAAGTGAAACATGCTGATCGTAGAAGTTCCGAGAACTTGACATCTACTAACTTTACTTCCTAGATGTCCCACATCGAGCCATCAAGTGTGACATTTTTGAGGGATACAAGATTCCAAAAGGAGCCCTAATCCACGCAAACCAGTGGGCTATCCACAGAGACCCTGTTTTGTATCCGGAAGGCGAGACATTCAATCCAGCGAGATGGCTGAGCAATTCATATCCGACATTCAAAGAACCACTGGAACAGTTTCCCAACATCAAGCGCTATTCCTCATTCGGCTTCGGGCGCCGAATATGCCCTGGCTTCGAGATAGCTGAGAGGTCCTTGTTCATGCAGATCGCCAGTCTTGCATGGGCATGTAAGATCTCGAAGAAGGTTGTGGACGGGAAGGAGGTTCCTGTGCCGTACTGTGACTATACGGATGGGGCCCAAAGTTTTCCAAAGCCATTCACATTTGAAGTGAAGCCTAGGGATGCGGCTAGACTCGCCATGCTGGAGCAGGACTGCTAGGAGAGATTACAAGGCGCATATGGTCCTTGGTCCACGCGAAGAATTTTGGGTTGGGATCTGCTTAATAGAATAGATAGAGCTCATAGGAATCTAAAGTCAAGAATGAATTTGTTACACAGTGTTTCTTTAGTCGAGCAGACCGTGTGAGATTCTTTTGAGCTGATCTATTCAACTTTTAATTGGCTATGACGAGCCTTCCACCCTATCGCCTAAAATCCTGTACACAAGCGCGCTGTCAAGCATTCTAGTTTGTATATCGTGTCTATCTGGACAAACACGTTGGAACCGTCGACAGGTTTAAGGGTCATTCGGCTAACGGCAACCCGTCATCCAAATTTCAGCTTGGAGGTCGGATCGTGCAATGTCAACGTTTTCTCCACCAGGAACTCCCTCAAACCATACTTGCCGTTATTCCTTCCCCACCCGCTGCCTTTGACACCCCCAATAGGCATGTGTGCTTCATCGTATTCCGTTATGGTACCGACGTGTACTTGTCCAAAGTCTAGTTGCCTTGCGACTCTCACCGCTGTAAACATGTCTTGGCTATGAACGGCGGCGTTCAGGCCGTACTCTGTCTGGTTGGCAAGACGAATGGCTTCGTCTTCGTTTTCCACCACATACAAACTGGCCGAAGGGCCAAAGGTCTCTTCGTCGAAAATTCGGTCTTGAGGCGAAACGCCTTGGAGAATAACCGGCTTCAGTGAGGCCTTTGTGCCATTCATATAGCCGACGGACCCCGCGAGACATGATGCGCCACCATGCATCGCTTCTTCCAGCAAAAGATGTGCATGATCCGCAAAGGCAGTGCTTACTGCAGAGCCTACGCTGTCCGTGTAGTTAGTGCTGACCTCCTCGATCAGATACGTGCAGAATTCGTTGGCCACATCGCGCACAACAATTATACGTTCGGTGGACATGCAAATCTGGCCGTGGTGTAGAAAAGCTCCCAGGGCGCAAAGCTTTGCTGCCCGTTGCAGATCGGCATCTTTGAGAATGATGGAGGGTGCTTTGCCGCCCAGTTCCATCAGGACTGGTTTGAGATGTTTCGAGGAAAGTTGGCCGATGACCTTGCCTACTCTCGCACTACCAATGAATTCCACCTTACGAATGGCCTTGTGGGAGATGAGGGCCTCGGTGACAGATGGCGCGTCTTCCTGTCGAGCTTGGATCTGGTTCAGACAGCCGGCAGGTAGGCCAGCTTTCATGAAGGCCTCGACAACAGCCTGATGCGTGCGTGGGGCTAGCTCTGACGCCTTGAAGACAACGGTACAACCTGCCCCAAGTGGAGCTGCGAGAGCGCGCGAGGACAGGACGACGCAGGCATTCCATGGACAAATGGCTAATACAGGGCCGATGGGCTCCTTGTATACCATAGCGATCACATCCGAGGCTGTAGGAGGTAGCTCACCAGTACATGCCCCAGAGATATTGGCCGCAATCTCCCGTATCGCATCACATCCGAGGCGGATATTGAATCGTGCCCAAGTCTCCTGGCACGATGTCTCTGCGACTTGATACCGCGTAATTTCATCGGCGGAGCGTTCCAGATTGTCGGCTACGCGTAGGAGAAGGTCTCGACGTCGCACGAAAGACGTCTGCTTCCAATGTAGAAAAGCCTTGTATGCCGAGTTGCATGCTTGTACGGCGATGATTGTATCGGCTCCCTGGACCCTATATTCAAGTTCCTTCCCAGTCGCTGCGTTGTGAACTTTGAAAATTCGTGATGTATCAATGGCTGTGGCTTGGCCGTCGATGAGGATAGGGACGACTGATGAACCATCGTCTTGTAATAAGAGGGGCATGCTATCGTTGTCGTATTAGGAGTTGGATAGAGATTCAAACTCAATCTGCTTTCTTTCGTCAAAAATTAGCAATGGAAGTATCGGGTCGCATCTCGTAGACGACGCCGCCTGGTGATGACATACATGGCCCTGGGCCATAACGGCGCCTTAGTCGCCGAAGTCTCCGCCCAGTACGGAGATACGCCTCAGAGCCGAGCGGAAACTGTCGCCCACAGGTGCTATAGGTCCGAGACATTTATTTGTAAAGCCCATTGCATTTCTACTTGAGGTGTTCGCGTCAACAGTATCTAGGTATAAAATCTCGTACCATCTCTAGATTTAGTTTTAGCCTTCGGACTTCGGGTATCCCGACAAAGGAATGTCTTCTCTATTCGTTATGCCCCGAAACCGATGAGTTTAGTTTATTTACGGAGCTCGGTAGAATATACTTCCGAAAATATATTCTACCAGAGACATTAGAGTAAAGGTTAGAGGGGTCACTGTGCATATAGGTTTCCTAACGAGTGTGAAGTAGAAGAGGCGATGTCAATAAGAGCACTGTATAGAGCGAGTGGATGTACTAGACCGAAGTGATCAGCCCTATAATACGTATAAGTTTAATCGTGAACTGAGTTAACTATATAGTAAAGCTATATCAATGGTCTCGATTCAACTCCCTATGTTCTTGGGAGTACATGGAGTGCCGCGGCAAAGAATGACCTAAATCAGCAGGTTCTATTGAGTGCTCGCTCGGAGATGCTCGATCTGTGGCGCAGGGGGTCTATATTTGTAGCTGGGGTAACGAAAGGTGAGATCGTGGACTATTCAATGATAGAAAATTCACCCCCAGTGCCTTCTCCGATACCGAATTTTGCTGTTCAGAATATATATATGCCGCGGTCAAGCCATATGCCGCATCGACAGATGCTCCTGCCGTGCACATCAAGATTGATCGCATTAACCTGACAGGAACTGTGTTGACAAGTAGCAATACAATAGCTTCCTTGCGACGAACTGGCCTTCCGGCATCTGCAGTATTTCCCAGCGTTGGGATGGGTGGACAAATTTCGCAACGGTGGTAATTTTCATAAGCTCGATGAGGACCAAGCGACAATCAGTGAGCTATAAATGTTTTAGAACAGACAAACAGAGGCTAATGAGAATAGGATGATACGAAGACGGCGAAAGGGAGGAGTATTGTTGGGCATTTGGTCCTTTAGCTTGCGGGTTTACAATAAGCCTTTCGCGTAACTAAAGGTCGAAAGAGTTATAAGAGCATCGACTTACTATAGTGATTAATATAACCCTAATTCCATCATTAAGCGCGATACGGGCTCTACTTTAGTGTAGCGACTTACCGAATAGAAATAGACTAATCCGTAAGGCCTAGCTATTCCCGTCGTGTAGTCTCCTAGAGTTTATATATTCTCGCCTATCCTATAGGTTAGATAAAGGGGTAGAGCTACGTTACTAGGAGTTCTCTCTCTTCTAGGACCGTAGGATAAGAACTAACCGATACTAAAGCGAATACTATAGTAGCTACGACTAAAAAAATACTCTTTATATTAGGAATACCCTAAGAGGCTTCCTAGTAAGTATATAACTAATAGGTCCGAGAATACCTCTGTCACGGGATGCCAAGGAGTACGTATATATAGTGGATTGCCAGAGATATCGACACGAAGTGTCGATACTCCACGTCTTTTTAGCTTAATCGCTAGGGGCTATGGCATCCGCTCTGACAGCTATACACAGTCTTATTGTTTCTATGCTTCCCCAAGGGTATCCAGACCAATAAAAAGATTACTGCAACAAACCACGCTGGGTCCCGGTATGCCCATCACTATGTTTTCATCTTCAAGATGAATGGATGCTTCAACGCATCAGTCGGTGTAATGCGCTTCTCAGGCCGCAAATCTAAGCATTTGTCAAGAAGATCGACAAACAACTCTAACTCTTTCCTCTCTTGCTCATTCATCCGTCTATCCTTGGGTATTAATCTTGATCGCAAGTCACGTACTGGCTTCGCTTTGATGTCGATCATCTTGGTGACCGTCCTTCCTGTGAGCTTGTCAATTTCTTGAGACTGGAAATTGAGCAGGTCGTCGAAATAGTTATAGCTCAGGGCACCACGTCGTAATAGTTTGTGAGGAAACTTGCCTCGACATTCCATGATCGCTCGCAGCATACCGTTGTTGTTTCGTCCAGTAAATAGAATCTTGCCTGTGTAGAGCTCAAAGAGAGTGCAGCCAATTGACCACATATCAATACCATAGTCGTAAGGAATGCCGAGAATCACTTCAGGAGCTCGATAAAACCGAGAAACTAGATAAGGCGCCGTAGCATTTTCTGTGATCGGTGAAGCGGAACCAAGATCGCAGATCTTCAAGGCGCTTCTAGCTTCGTTGACAAGAATGTTGTCTGGCTTGAGGTCCGCGTGGATATATTGGCACTTTCTCAACAGGCCAAGCCCAAGGAAAAGCTGCTGTGCATAAGCACGAATTGCCTTGATATTGAGCCCTACATCTCGGCCAAACTTTTTCAGCACTTCTCGAAGATTCATTGAGAGATTCTCGAACACCATGCAAAGGTGACCCTTATGATCAAAAGATCGATGAAGTCGGATCAGGTGTTTCTTGTCCTCAGGATCATTGCTCGCAATGTCCTTGAGAATATCAATTTCCTTGATGCCTGCCTTTCGCATACTCTCGTTGTTGCGCACAATCTTGATAGCTACCGGTATGTTGGTCTGTGAGTCCGTGGCGCGAACGACGGAAGAGAACATGCCTCGACCCAGATTTTGAGTAACATGATACCGATCTTGAATAAGCTCACCGAGTATGGTGATATAGTAACCTTCAGGATCATCCCAGTTATCCATTAAGTTCACGTCAAGAGCTTGAGCGGCTTTGACTTCTAGTTTGGGCTGCATTGGGCCTTGAGCAAACATATCATCTTCGTCATCGACATCAGCGAACATGTCAAAATCTGCATTAGCTTTGGCTGGTTGCTCGTCTGGATCAATCCCTCTCTTGTCGATTTGAGCGTCAGCCTGCTGTAATGATTGGTCGTCTTCTTTGAAAAAGCTTTTATCGTGCCGAGCACGCTCATCTTCCATGTCTATAGTGGGATCATAGTCGGCGGCTGATGGACCATCCTCACTAGGCGATGTTCTATCTGCATTAGTAAGTTCTGCATCATTTTCAAAGTGAACATCGGCGGGAGATTGCGGTCCAGAGATGTCTTTAGGTGTACGAGGCGATGAAAGGGTTGGTGATTCTACACAAATTAGTCCTCTCACCTGGATCACTTGACTGATAAACTCACCGGATCTACGTGGAGTAGTTGCAAGGCTGTCGGAGGCTGGAGTACCAGGTGTGGAATCCGCTCCGACGTGGAGTGCCTGCACGAGCAAGGAGGGGGCTTGACCGCGGTATTTGTTCTTAATAGCTTCACGCCGTCTGCGGCGCTCCTCAATCAAAGCTGCCTCATCCATGGGTTTGCTGTCGATCACCACACTCTCGGCAGCCACATCAGAGCTGGATGAACTGGGGAAATCCTTACTGAAGTCAGATTGGGAAGCTTTCTCTTTCTGCAAAGTACTAGAAGCGGGGTCAGATTCCATGCGCGCGGTTCTTGCATCTCGCAGTGGGCTTCCCAGTGGCTTTGGTGACATGGAAGGTCGATCTATCCGACGTCCTGACGGGTGGAGATGTCGATCTCCAGGGGTCTCTCGTGACCGCTCACCACGGTTTTCTGGTTTGCTCGTGTGTCGATAGGGAGATCGGCTTCGAGAACGGCTTCGGGAGTAAGTACGAGAGCGTTTTGTACTCCGTTCGTCGTAGGAGCTGCGAGGTCGGTGGCGATGTGCATTGTCTTCGTACCTCAGCAAGAGATTGCGCGAATCGTTGAAGGATCTGCCTCTAACATGATCGGAATCTCGTGGTCGCTTCTCGCCTCTTGGAGCACGGTATGGGGATCTTGATCGCGATCGATTTGATCTAGTAGCAGCGTCCCGTGAGGCTTGATATGGTCTGGTATGACGGTCAACTTGGCTGTAATTGCGAGAAGAAGGTATGCTCTTTGCCTTCGATTCTGGATCTGAGCTGAGGACTTCGCCTTCAGATTGGCTGGTGGATCGTGATGCCATAGTAACGATAGAAAACTCTTCAAGGCCGGGACTTCAACCTAGCCTTTGTTGAATCAAGAGTGTTAGCCACAGGTTCTTTAAACAAAGAAAGTATGCAAATGTAGAGCCCGACCGGTGTCGTCCCGCCGTATCCGCCTCAGCTTGCGGATAAGGACATCAATACAGTGACCCAAACGGATCTATCTAATGAGGTTTTTCGCGTGCTTGTTGATGGCAACGAATTCCGAATAATGGACGGGAAAGTATCTGGAAGGTGACCAGGAGGCAAGTGGGGGACCTTTCCTTGCGAAGGCGCAGGCTCTGGCACGTACAATAACGTCAACGGGTGACAGCAGCGCCAAGAAAAGCTTAGGTAATCTAGGTCAGGCCGATGACCGCTCTATCGGTGCAAATATGACGCCGCCTGATCATTAACATCCTCACACATGATATCTAGTTGGGGAGTATCTAGGTCTCTATGATTTCAGGGAGGGATGGCGGATATTCCATTCGCTGGCCGTACATCTTTAAGGCTTGCTGGACCCTTTAAAGCACAGTGCTCGTTCTCCCATGAAGATTCCAGGAAAACCTCGTTCAAGGAATTTTACCCAAGAAAGGACCAGGTCAGGCTGCTAGATAGAATCGCCGTCTACCTAGATATCTCTCAACAGCGAGGCCTACCTCCCCTGGCACTAGGGTCTACATTTCAGCCCTTTTTCACCGCTTTGCCATTGAAAACCCGATCTAGAAGGCTCTCCACTCCTTTACTGGGCTTTTCGTCCTCCTCAAAACATCGCTCATACTCGTCAATTGCAGGGACTAACCCTCTAGCCGTGAGATCTGCCGTCCCGGGCTTGACGTATTTCGTCTTCTTCACCACCTTCCAGAAGATTATTGCTAGTGGGAAGACCCCGAGAAACGTGTAGTCGAGGAAGAAGTAGAGGATGTCCCATCCACCCGTAATGAACAGGTCATAGCCTAGCAGGAATAGCATTAAGGCAGTGGCGAACATGGCGAGGTATGATGTATATGGCTGGAATTTTCCTTTGTATGGAAGGCTATTACGGTCGACACCTTGTTGCTTCAACGCTTCATAAAAATGTCTGTAGGTAAGAGCGGTGGAGAAGTAATTGAGAAGCTGACATGCAGTGATCAGGTACACCAACCAAGTCAGAACTTTCGCACTTGAGTTGCTGGACTGCAGGAAGGCCAGTAATCCCACCGAAAGACCTGCAAGAACACTGTAAATGGGGACCCCCGACTTGAGGGTCTTGGAGAAGAACTTCGGTGCTGTACCTTCCAATGACATGCCGTAGAGCGTCCGAGTCGCCGAAAAGAGAATTCCATTGCCAGCACTGAGGACCGAGGTCATGATACCGACATTAACCACGTCGGGAAGTCCAGAGATTCGAAGCCGCTGCATCGCAATCACATACGGCGATGCCGCACCAGTGCCACTGCCCTCAATATCCCCGACGAGCACGGCCAGCAAAGTTTCATCATTAGACGGAATGACGATACCCATAGCCAGGGCCGACGCACAAAAGAAAACAAGGATTCGCCACACGAATGAGCGAAAGGCCTTCGGAAGCACTTTGCGCGGGGCTTTAGTTTCGCCTGCGACCATAGATATGTATTCCGGCCCGCAGATGGAAAAGGTCGCCTGGACAATGCATGACAAAAAGCCAAGGAACCGGCCGGTCGAGCCAGGGACCAGATGCTCGACGAAGGGACCCGGGTCGTTCCAATATCTGAATCCGTAGCGGTCGTGAATCGGGTTTGCACCCAGCATCGTGATAAAAGTGAAGCACAGAAGCCCAACAATCAGAAGCACCTTGAAAATGGAGAGATAAAACTCGGCAATACCAAAGTATTTGACAGACACCATATTCAAGCACCTAGAGCAAGATACGTTAGTGTATGCTCACAGTCGTATCAGGAAACTACGTACCCGTAAATGACAAGAACAATCACAATCACGGCTTCAACGGGAACCTTATCCGTCCAATAGGTCAGAAGGATATTGAAGGCAACGATCTCGAAGGGGACTAGCAGGGCCATGTTCAGGAAGAAGTTCCAGGACATGGCGAAATTGAGGGCTTCATCCACCCAAAAGCCGCCAAGTCGAATAAAGGGTGAGGCGATCGGTGCATAGCAGACCATCTCGGCTATCGGAGGGAGTGAGCAAGAAGACAACATCCTCAACCACCCATTACCTAGAGCACTTACCAAAGCATTCGTTGACACATAGCATGACACAACCCCAAACGAAGAATCCAAGGAATAGTCCCGCTGGACCTCCCTTTGGCAGGGCAGAGCCCATTTGCACGTACAGACTAGTCCCGATAGCGCCACCGATTGCAAACAGTTGTACCTGCTTGGAGTTGAGCTTCCGATGTAACTCATGCTGGCGAGAGCCAACATCGCGTGCACTTCCAACCTCAGGATCACTAGTGTCTGTGAATGTCGCAGGGTCGACTTTGGCATCGTAAGCGGTCTTTTCATTGCCAGCATCCATGTTAAGTGTCGGATGCAGCAGTTTCATTCGTGAGAACAACAGCGTGGAGATGGGAGAGTGCGTGCTTTGAGGGAGTGCAGGCTGTCTCCTTAAAAGCCAGAATCGACATTGCTGATTAGTGCCAATCGTATCACGCCGCTGCGAGAGGTGGATGCGATGATATCTGCTTAGTATAGTATTTAGTAGGGCGATAGGGGAATACCCCATGCGAGCTAGCGTTCATCTCCGTACAAGTAGACATTAATTAGTAGACATTCGGGCTTGATAGGGGTGGTTTTGTCGGACGCTAGGCCGACGATCGAGACACCGCCCAGATCTTTGACTTGGCTCGATGTCTCCCTCACTCATTCCCTTACGAACGCATGAACGAGATAATTACTGATGAGCCGTCCCTGACTTAGATATCTGACTCCAGTCTCTCTCCCCGTAGACTCACCAATTCTTCAACCTCCATGCCCCACCATCAGGTACCACACTCCGACTTAGCCAATATCACAAGGTCATTGCCCAGAACGTGAGGTTCTGTGCATATATCTGGCGGAATATCCTTGAAGCAGAAGCCATTTAGATAGACTCCAAGCCTAGAAGTCATTTGAATGAATCAACAGTCGAAAAGTTTCAATAAGCTTGCGGGTACCACAGCCAAGGTTAGAGATGATGGTAAAAGTCTCTTGCGAACAATCCTTCTTCGAAGGTATTGCCTCCCAATATAGAAGCATTCGGAAAGCTCGCTCAGCTAAGTGCGCAAGCCAGCAAATCAATGGTGAGTCAGTTTTGGTAAATGGTAAAGATGGAGGTATTCGGCGCGCTCGCCACCTTGGAAGTATGTGCTACTTCAATACCGCTGGAAATTGTGCCATCCGCGCGAGGGTTTCGTGCCTGCATTGGCGTCGATAACACAGGTAGAACTTATCTCATCTTGGGGGATATACGCCAAAATGTTGCTGCAAGAGACCGTGAGATGGTACTTCTCCAATCAGGATAAGGTTCCATCGAGGAAATTCATGAAGACCTGTTCTAGGTCCATAGCAGTGGCTTCATTGGAGCCGATGCCAATGGCCATGAATTGTGCTGTAGCGTCCCCATAAGGAGCCATTGTGGCTGCCAGACGAAAGTTTGGTGGTAAGCCACTTTCCGAGATGGTGGGCAATTGTTTTTCGTACTCAGAGATTACCGCTGGCCGTTCCACATAGGTAGTGCTGGACACGCGATTCTGAAGCTCGTCGAAGAGGCGATTGCCAGTGACGAATGATGGAAATGAGGTTGCGCCTGTCTGAACAGATTCAGGAGTTGCCGAGTGCATACCAGATACCAATTCTGGTCCAATTGCATATCGAGGGTAAGCATCATCTGGAGACTCACCCTTGGCATCTGATACGTGGGCGGAGTTCATGAGGGCTCTCAGTCGCTGAGACACGCCCTGGACAATGCTGAGACACCTCACCACCGTGGGAAACTTCTGAGCAAAATTCCCGAGAACTCGACTGGCTCGTTGTAGATCGGAAAGGGCATCGGAGCGTCCAAGGTAGATTGTTAAAGGGTCAGGCTGTGCTGTGATAGAATAGATCAGAGTCAATGCCACAGAAAAGACATTGAATAGAGTAATCCAGTTGTACGAATATCTTTGCTCATTGTGCATGACCTCGATATGACGAATCGCCATTGCAGCGGCGTCTGCAATCAATTTGACTTTCTCTAGGGTCAGAACTGGACAAAGTGGAGATGGCCTGTACAGCATAATCAAGTGGAGGTAGTAGTTGTAGTCATACCATGATGTGCTTGTATGGGGAATCCTCAGGCTTTGGCATTGAGGAAGTGGAAAAGGTATGGTGCGTCGCCAATCAAGGAGTTGGGTGTGCAGCCCGGAGAATACCTCGTCCTGGGCGTTGGTAGCCAACTGTCTATTCCTGTTGGAGTAGACTTGATCGAATATTTGACTTGCAATTCTGCGTAATGCTAAGACGTGTAGTGGTACGGCCAAATCCGACCTCCTGAGCTGTGGCTGTGGCAATATCTTATCTAGGAAGATGCATTCATCATCGACAGCCGAGAAGAGGCCAACCTCAATGTCATCATCTCTGATCCCTAAAGGCCGGCCCAGTGAAATCGACACAACCCTGTCGGCCATGTAAAGGCTCCAGAATATCCGTTTCCGGTGTTCCTGTACGTCCATCGGCAACTGCTTCGCGGATGCGTTCGGGGCGTGCAATCCCATACCAACCGCAAGTCGGATAGCTGAACCCACAAGGTACCACGTATTTGCGCCCACACGGTTGAAGAAAGAATAGTTTATCTGCAACAACATAGAGTCCAATGCTGATATACCTTCGACGGACAGGGCGTCAAAGAAGTATGTCATAGCTTGGTTGTAACAATGAGTGGACTCGGACTCACATGCATCTGCGACAATGGAAGACCAGCACGTTGAACCGATAGCGAATACCATCCACATCGTGTAAAGCCAAGATGGCGAATTAAAAAGTCCATCGCCTTGTTCAGAATACGTGGTCTCAAGGAGATCCATGAACCAAGTCTTTCTGAGAAAGGGGTAGAGTGTGTGGTTATGAGCCCAGTAATAGTCGGCTAATTGGTAAGCTCGGCCTTTGGAGGGAAGGCATGATGGATATTGAGGGGGCGACAGTTCGGTTCTTGATTTGACCGATTCTGAGCCGTCCAAACTGTTTCGGCCGCTCAACTTGTCCAAAAGGTTGTTCTCAAAAGTGAACGGATGTTGGTCGGGCTTCAAACGACGAAGAACTGCCTGAGTCAACCGCGCAAAGGAGACTCCGGATGAGGACCCAAGATATCTATCAGCAGTCGCGTCCAAGGACAACTTCCTTACTTCCGCTTCTAGCACTCTTTCTTGGCAGTCTTCGTTGACTTCCCGGTGCTCTGGTGCTGACGTGTTTGTCGAGTCACCGCTCTTCATTGAATGATGCACATTTGAGTCTAACGCGCCCGAGTCTTGATAGCCTCTAGAGGATGAGAATTTGCTGAGCTGCTCCTCGAGTCGAACAACCCGCTCCTCAAGGTTACGGACGTATCTGTAGGCGGCCATCGATGTTAACGCGAACGAGAGACGGGTGGGGATACACACGAGATATAGAATACACCCGTTTCATCCAGTTTTTCCTCGAAGCTGCATTCAACACTCGATTGTTCACACGCCTGGCACCTGGGAAGTGTGCGCGAGCACTTTTTCTTGCGATTGTAGCATCGCTTGCAGGCTTGATTGGAGAGAGCCGTGGTTGCCATTGACCTGAGTCCGATATCAGATCATGATAGAGCACCTTGGCCACCTCTTTGGACACAATACCGCCATCTAACGTTGTGATCCAGTCCCAGCCGGAGGTCTTAGAAACATTCGTGGACAAGGTAGTAATCGGCGTGAAGCGAGCATGCGTTCATGACCAGCAAGGGTGCACATAAGCTCGCTTTACAAGGGCACGGCAATCAATGGTCAAGGGTCATGTAGCAGTCAAAAGCCATGTGTATTCTAATGCTCAATTCTGCGTCTCGGCTTGTGGTCCCCTCGACCTCCCCAAAAGCGCGAAAGTCCGCGCTCAATGGGACCGCGACCCAGACCAGACCGCTTCGAGGGAATAGGATATGTAAGCCAGCCATCGAACTCTGTTCTGAGAATTGAAAAGACTAGTCATAGAATATGTTTTCCTTCATCCAATCAAGGTCAATCGGGGACCATTGATGCTTCCCTTTGCAACATCAAGCTGAAAGCTGTTTCATTTCCATTATTAAGTGAGACCGTTGTGCCTCGGATGGTGCTCTGTGCCAAGACTTGTTATGGGATCCAAACGCAGCATGAAGACAACAATCCTCTGACTTCCCTTTGCGACCTTGCGATGACATACATGTCTAGGCTCTTTGAGCTCTTTCGGCAATCCATATTGATCATGGAGTTTGGTCATTGTCGACCGAAGGGATTTTCGTGAAATCCAGAGTCAAACCCTCCATCCTTGTGTCCGCGCCTGGAAGAACAAAGTAGATCCCTTCCTTGACCTCACTATTCAGAAACTTGACCAAAAGCTTCCCACCATTGACGAAGCCGATTTTCTCTGCGACCCTTTGACTGGCTCTGTGGTGAGGGAACGTGCCTGCATAAATATTCTCGACGCCGATGTCCTCAACCCACCATTTCAACACTGCCGTGCCTGCCTCGCTGGCGTACCCATGGCCCGTTAGCTCCTCGCGGACCGCCCATCCCATTGCCGGAAGTTTGAATGCAATATGCGTAAACAGAGAGATGATGCCGATGGGATCACTGGATAGGTCGGATCGAAGGTATACGAGGTGCCACGGGTAGTCAGGTGACGGACGCGACTGATCAGCTGGCCGTGGTGCCTCTCGATGACATCTTGAGTCGATTTGTTCTTTGGTGTGGAGGCCGATGTCTCCGACGGAACTTCTGGTGTATTCGCAGTTGTAGAGATAAAGAACGGCTTCGTAGTCTGCTGCACGTGAAGGGTCGAATAGCCTTATCATCAACCGGTCGGTGTAGATGGGCGGGAACCGTCCATCTATACTGGTCATTTTGCTGGGGCTTGGTATGGATTCGGCGGCACGGTTGCATATAAAAGGCTCCAGGGATGCGAAAGAAAAGCTGGCCTGGTCGAAGTTGATATCTGCGGAGGAAAATGTTTCTCGCACGACACATCCTATGTCAACTAGTTGAGGTAACAGGACATCACTTGTATGATGCCCAATGCAACCTCATCATCAGAATCCTTCCAAAACCCACCTTACCAACAAGCGGAAGACCCCTGACTACCAGCCTGCCCGTTGCCCCACCGACAAGTCCTACATATTAGCCAGGCGATATCAGTGGCTAGGAGCACGGATTCCCATACAAGGAGCACATTGATAGATGGCCAACAGTCGCTTTGAATAGACAAGCCGACGCAATTGCGATTTGCGAGATTGCTACCATTGCCAGCTTACAAGTAAGCAGGGACTAAGCTTTGGGCCTTAAAGAGCGTCGGATACTGCGGTTCCAGCATGCTAAGTAAGCCCTAGGCTAGTAGCCGGGAAAGCTCCAATGACTTTGGACTATGTCATAATTGGGCTTCGACAACGAGCCAATACCCAAGGATTTGTCGCATTCTGGCAATGAGTGAAAGAGGTGGTGAACTTGGGTTGAGAATTCCAACTTCCAGGCTGAGAATATTTTGTGACACCCTCAGAGACGGTCATTTGAACTGACTTTCACCATTTGATTGGTCTTTGGCGGGGAAAAGGCGGGTGTCATTTCAGCGCAATTGTTGTCTGACACAATAGTGCTGTGGAAAGAGTTGTGGTATCTGACCACACTCATGTCTTCCTTACAATCGCACCGACTCATCCATATCATTTGTGAAATTAGTTGATCTGCGATGCTTAAATAACCATTGGACTTGGTGTATGTTTGGAATATTTCATTCATTCATTATCAAATGCCTTAAAAGAAGAGCAAAAGGCGTGTAATGTACAAATTCGCTAATAAATGATATAGCCATAGGGAGAAGTGAGAACACGTCGCGGCAAGTAGTGAGCCTCCCCTTGAAAAAGGATGTCATTCGCCCAGCTTAACCATAAACAAGAGCTCTCACCTCGATGCTCTCTCTTCCCCGGGCACCCTCAGGGGTCCTGGGGTCAACAAATGCAGTGTGCGGTACTCTTTGTCCGACCCCATCCTTGCTATCAAAACACTTTAAGAGCAGACTCTCGTCGTTCTGCATGCCCGAAAGATAAAAGAACTTCTGATTCTTGTTGTGTCTGACACCCGCAGTTTCACCGGTACGTTGCGGGTATCTATGCTCAACTGCAACGAGGTCATTATCTTCGACTGTGTCAGCCGATGCAAACCCAAGTGGATGTGCCTGCACGGGTCCATTGATAGGTCGCCAAACATTAATAATCCTAAACCGGCCTTGCAGAAGAGCGTCCGCGTCTTCGGGATTGTGTAGCCTAACTCGCCATTCAGTCGATCTAGCGGTCTGATCCACGTGCACTCTTGTTACAGGAGCTCGGGGGGCATCTGGATTCGAACGTCGGATAGTGTGGTCAAACAGGGTGACCTTGTGCGCACCGGGGACGTTGTCAAGCAAGAGTTTTTCAACCTCAGGATAGTAGACTTTTTTGATGTGTTCATCATCGAGAAAGTCTTTTTCTTCGGAAGAGACACCCTGGATAACCTCGAAGGCGTCCTTATCCAAGTAATAATCCTTCTCGTGACCCCGAATGTCATTCACTTGCAGCTCCACCTCATTGACACCAAAGTTACGCTGGAGTTGGCCCTCTGGCTGCGGCTCAACATAGTTCCACGGCTTTGCGCCATCGGACGGATCTTGGAAGAAGTTTAATGTCGTGGTAACGGGACCTCGGGGAATGTATGATGAGTCCCGCTCACCGGACAGGGTCGTGGAGGTGATCGTCTGGGTTGTTGTGCTGGACATGATGAAGACAATGGCTGCCCGGTCGTCAGGTAATTGGTGTTCACAAACGTCAAGGTATAATTGGGTTGATGTTTACCAGTACAGTGTGAATGGGGTGTCAGGCGGTCGAGACGGCACCGCGGACGGTTATATATGCAGCCCTCCGAGCACGCAATTTGGGGCATATTAGAAATCCAATCGAATCAACGTCATGGCATCAGCCGAACGTTCGCCGGTTCGTCGGCGGTGGTTGGCTGGCGTGGCTTCCCCAAAAATCTGATTCTCAAAGGGCGTAAAAAATCCCGCTCTTTTGCTGGGAGCCGCTTATTTTCCCCGCATTGCTGACAGCCACTGTGCCTCAAGAGGCGCCACGCGTTTTGGATTAGTCGTTTGGCATTTGGTAATCACTACAACGCGGTGACTGCCACCCCTGCCTGAAATTTCGGGTAAGTCTTGTAATCTGTCGTACAAGAGAGTACAAGATATGGCGCAATCGAAGGCTCCCTCAAAGCACTATCTCCTCTTGTCTCACGTGGTACTCCGTACTCCACTTCATAATTCACCCTCTTCGCTGCCATAATCAACCTTTTCAGCATCATCGAAGTCGTCAACGCCGTTTGGAGGGCCATCCTCTCGCTGTTCGAGAGCTCCAATACTCCCGGGCACGTGACCCGGTGGGACTCGTGATGACATGCTTGAATAATCTGCTGGTGCGCCGTGTTCATAGTTGCCATCGTCCCGACTTTCAGGTCGATTGGTAGGTATATTGCGGTCTTGTCCGCTACTGTGAGTCGATGGAGGTCCGTGCCAAGTCGAGCTGGAAGACGATGGTCGTCTCGATGGATCTCCTTGATGTGTTGGCTGGTTCGATGGTCGTCTTGATAGGTTTGCATGTGGTCGTCTCGATGATGGGGCGGCAGCGTTGACGATATCATCAATACGCTTCTGCAAATCATCAACACCTGCTCGCGGCTCCCCATATGCCCTACCATTCTCCATCGCTGGCCTTTGTCCCGAATGTCGGTCTGGCACGTCCTCGCTCTGATCCCGCGAGTCATGGCGCGGCCTCTTGGGTGACGGTGGCCGCTGTGAGTCTGGCCTTGGCAGCGCCGTCGATCCCCATTCTCCGGAGTTTGCATCCTCCCCCATCTCTCGTTCGCGTTTTGTCCCCTGACTGCCACTTCCTGCACTGGTCGTGGGCGACCGACCAGGTTGTGGAGTGACAGCCAACCTTGTTTTTTCAAATATTGCGAGATCGTCATCTCGAACATAGGTATCCTTTTGGCCTTGTCTCGGTAGTGCAGGGTTTTCGTAGACCTCGGCCAGTAAATTGCATCCTTTCTGAATATCCCGAAGATCAATACCCAGCTGTTCCCACCAAGCCCTTCCTCTTTCGTCGTCTGGAAGGGCCACACCGGCCACCTTAACACCCATATATAAGCCACTGCCGGCGATGACGCGTGGACTCAGTTGAAGGCAGAGCGTGGTGATGAGTGAATCGTTCACGAAGGCCCAGGAAGCGTTGCGAAGCTGTTTGTTTTCCTGGATGTCGTAGAACCGCATGAGATCGAGGAGGATACGATGAGGCTGCTCAAGTTGCAAGTCGAAGCAAAGTGCCTCTAGCAATAGATCCTCGTTGTGCAATATAGTGTCCCTCCATTTCCAGTATTCTTTGCTTTGTTCGTCCACAACAAGATTAGGCTGCTTCTGGGCCACTCTGCAGCATGCAACGACCAGCTCTCTCATCTTTCTATAATTTTCCTCAACTTTGGTGGCGAGGAATATGGCAGTGGCGGCAATTGAATAATGGTGATACCCAGGTTTGTTATTCTGGACCATTGCATGGCGCATGAAAAACCGATGGAGGTATACCGACGCCGTTGCGAGAGTGAGTTGTGGCAACTTCAACATGATTCCCACTTGAGTTATGAAGTTGACGCCCTTTTGCCGGTTTGCCAGCTCTTGTTCGAGGGGCATGCCCTCCAGAAGACTTGGGCTTCGCAACAGTTCTTCAGGGGTGAATAGCCACTGCGACTGGACCCTCTCAAGGACGGGATTGTTTAGGAATGGAGGAGATGTGTCGTGGCGAGGGGGATCGCGAAGTGCTGGCATCTTGACGCTTGTTGTGGAGGAGGTTGGCCGAGACTTGGATGTTCAAGTGATGTAGAGATTCGGAGGCATGACCGTCGAAGCTGCAGTCCTCATGTACAGGTCTTTGGGGTAGGAACCAAGCTAGTGGATAGAAGGTCCCTGTTCAGACCGAGGGCAAGTGTAGCGCAGACGGGAGAGTGCTTGATGAAGAATTCAAGAGTTGATTGTGTCTTTAGTCTTACTCCTCAGCCACTGGGCTCAGTCCCACATCAAATCTTTGGTACAGCCTTGTAGCCTTGCGCCTAGCCTGGTCCAACAAGGCATGTTTGCCGAATCAGCGATCGGCAATTCATACAGCGCATCGACGAAGTCAATCGCGTTAATCACAATGGAGTACTATCACAGAGTGCTATTACAGTGACCACATTACCAATGTCCTTTGAAAAAAACACCATTTAGCAGCACTTTCGCAGTGCTGTAGGACTCCCCTTCGGTCGCAGCAAACTCCTGGCCAGGTGTGTTGACTAATACTATTACGTCATACCTCAATCCCAATCGTGAATCGCTTCTCGAGAATACAATGCGCAAGGCGAGATAGTCAAACGATCAACTTCCATGAGAGACTGGGTTGAGAGCAATAACCTGCAGAAGCTACTCTTACCGCATTTGCTGTTAAGCAACAAGCTTTTAGCTTTCGCTGGCCATCCCAACAAATCTAAGCTGCCACGCCTTGGGTCGGATTCCAAATCCCTTGCGGGCAGAAACCAACCTTATGCGCTCGTATCTTATCTAGCCATTGTTTCGTCGACCATAGTTATTGTCGACCAGCGCATGACACTTTCCCCCTGGCTTGTATGCCGAGAGATGCGAGGAAGACTGATGCTGAGTATTATGTAATAAAGCCAGCCAAGATCTCAATTATAAGGATGCGAGTTGTCGAACAGCAGCGGGACGCTCTGTATATCGGACAGGCCCGCGTACGAAGCGTACGAGCAGGCCGGCAAACTACGGACACTTCGGTGCCTTAGCGGCCCGGACAGCATCGCGATCGAGACAAATCCTACCGAGTCAACTCCCGGCTGGTTATATCATACACACTCCCCTCGTACTTTTTGCGCAAAGTAATGGGTATAGCCGGCTAGCGGAAATTCAGTCCGGAGGCCCCACCGTTAGTCAGTTCCAACCAGCACGAATCTCACCTTTGATCTTCGCTTGCGCAACTGCATCGCCTCGGTCTCATCGCAATGCATAGATGATATGGAAAGTCGTACTCGGGCTTCAGCATCATCGGATTCGGACTGGTCTGGATCTGCTAGTAAGGCCACCCGTGTTCAGTGGAGAAGAATGTTCGGACTTGGAGAAAATCAGCGTAGCCATTCGCTTGTCGCCACTCAGACTACATACCAGAGACTCCTTAGCCAGTGAGGAATGGTCCTCGTAGTGTACAGGCATGGCAGGCTAGCCTGGCAAACCCGGGTGATCGTCAATGTGGTTTACTCATCACTCAAACTTTCGGGTCAATACGAGGTAACCTTGCAGCGCATTCGGCATTGTTGACGGTCTGTAAAGTCGCGCAAAAGGTTCTTGTAATCGCACTTCCGATATCAAAACGTCAAAACACCAACACCTGGAGATGTTGATCGACGTAATCAACTCAAACTTCACGGCCATGATGATGATCAGGAAGTCTGCCTACGTATATCGGGTCCGGGAACTACGGCATTCGCAGGCTGCAATTGCACGTGTGGGCGATTCCCTCCGAATTTCGACCCGGCTACAAGGGCTGTAATGTCCAAGTTAAGGCCGTTAAACGAGAGGCCTGGTTGTCCCCTGGCAAGTTGAAGCTGTTAGCGTGGCATTCGGGGATCTTCGATCTCCTCGATTGCTCCGAGGCTGTGGATTTGCTATTGACATGCATCATAACGCGTCCATCCACCCCTGCCTAACTACCCGGGGAGGTTACTGACTGGCAGGAGCAAAGCTTCTTTGAACAGTGTTTGCTCCTGCCATGCCTTGCTGACCCGAAACTGCCGCCAAGCGCTCGGCTGCTTAGCTTTACCCAGCGCGCTAGTCGGTGATGAAGTGTCGTGAGTCGTGAGTCGTGACTAAACTCCTTGTACTCTTTTCTTTCTGCTTCTCTAACATTTCCCGCCTGAAAACTCATCCACGGTCTAAACAGCTACATGATGCGTTACTCCGCCGTCTAGACACGGCATGCGCCATATTCCCGGGATCCTACAATCATCTCATACGACGTGACATTGATCTACAATCAGCCAGGTTTCTTTACCTGCTAAGGTAGGTCCATCCAGTGAAATGGTAGCCGGCGTTCCCCATGGCTGGCTATGCAAGGACAATTGCGCTGAGCGACATGTTGCCTCACCACGTGGTAACTCGGTCGAGGGCCCACCGTTTGTGGCGCTCATCATTTCAAATGCCTCTAGCCTTCCTTGATCTTGGGACTTGAGACTCCCCGTCCGGAACAACCATGACATACAAAAGAATTCGTGATCTCGGGGAGGGGGCAAACCGTACTTTGTTCATATGGTGCAGTATTAATGTTCGAAGTTTTGGACATTGATAAACTTCCGTGCGACATCCGACTCCATCGCCTTCCATTAATAGTGGCAAGGCCACAACCTGCAGCAACGCCTGCATGCTGAGAAATGTTGACTGTTCTTGCTGGGTGTTCTTGTAATAAGAGCAACGAAACCGCCCCAACACTCCTTGTCGATGCCTTCCTTTTCCTTTCCGCATGCATGCCCTTGATATCCATCAATCTGGGCCGACCTACCAATAATATCGTTCTCGAATGTATCAGCAGCGACTTAGTCTTATTCAGGAGAAAGCTACCTTATCTTCAGAATCAAGTTCACAGTTTCCCATCTCAGAACCACCATTTGACACCTGGAGCGGTGAATCGGAATCGTGGGCTAACCGCCAAGAACTCAAAGTGATCCACGCTTTCTTCGTGTCAGCCAAAACTCGCCAGGGCTTGTACCATTGGAATACTTTTGCCGGAGCTGTGGTCGCTTTACATACCCTTGGAGAGCACTACTAGAGCATATCTACCCAGGTTGCAGACCATTGTTATGCCACCTAAGCCGAAGCGCTCGAAATCGCCAGATTCTCGTTTTATGTTCGTCAACGAAGACGCCTCCACTGTCAGCCAGAAAACAAAGGACGTTGCATTAGACAGGACCAAGCAGAGCCACGTTCAACGACAGAATTTTGCTCGGAAACGGCGAATGCAGGGAGGGTCAAGCGTTGACACACTGCAAAACAGGAGCCAGATTTCAGCCTCGCCCGCTCCGGCTTTGACAGGCCCACCCGCTGGAGTGTCCTCTTCGTCTGAGAGAATCACCTCTTATGAGCCTGAGTATTTTGATGTGTTGCACAATCTCGATCTTGGTGGAGCGCCTTCAATATCACCTAGTCCTCCTCAAATAGGTCTGCTAGATCCGCGGCTCTTTGTAGATCCTTTCAACCCGTCGCAATCACCATCCAGAGTTTCGTTATCGAAAGAAGATGTGCAAGGGTCTCCTCGAGTTTATCGACCCGGTCACTTCTTCGAGGCACCGGCACAAAGCCAAAAGGTGACTTCTTCGCCACGAAACGCTACCATTCCTGTAATAGAATCTGCAATGTTTGCGACTGGGTCACCTACTCCAACAATAAGGAATACCCGGCAGCCCTTAGACGAATGGGCCCCTGCGCTGATTCGGTATTACAACACTGTGATTCTTCCCGAGCAATTCTGGATGGAGCTCCGCAAGGTACCCTTGAGTCATATCAGACACGCGCCGTCGATCCATACAGATATGCAATCATGTATGTCGGAGCCATCTCATATGTACGCATTTCTGGCGTCTGCTGCCACGCAAATGATTGAACGAGAAGGGGAAATTCTTGTACGAGATGCAACTGGGGAAGATGTTCAGCGGGTACCCTCATACTTCAAGACCAAGGCCATTCGGGCGCTTCGAGTGAAGCTTGGAAGCAGCAGTTTAGACCACTCTATTGCTGTCGATGTTCACAGGCTTTATATGACTACACTCTACTCCGAGGCCTATGAGACCGCCGAGCCTCATTTTCAGGCCTTGCTCTCAATGGTTGAAACATTGGGTGGCCTCGATACCTTCAATGACTATCAGCTTGAAAGTATAGCCCACACTGTGTGTTATACCGCATTGGAAACCCTGGAACCACCGAGACTACTAGCGACTTGGGACCCAGGACCGCTGAGCGAGGAGCAACTACTTGCCATCGATCAGCATGTCCGACTCCATGAACATCCCGCATCTCGCTTTCACAAAGCCTTGGCGAGTACGAACGGAAGCAGTATCTCCAAGGCCTTGCCAGACTTAGTCGAGGTCCTCAAAATGTCAAACCATCTAATCGCTCTGCCACAATACCTTCCCGATTACCACAAGTGGCTGACACGACGACGTTACGCCCTTCTACACCATTTTCTTTCCATTCGTTCCAATCACGAAATTGACCCTATACAGGACAGCTTGAGAATAGCTACCATCTACTGGTTAGCAATCAGCTCCTATCCAGCAAGGGGCCGGGTATGTGCGTCATTGTCAACACACGTTCTCAAAGAGCGCTTGGAGGAGTCAAGTCTGCACAGTCTTTGGCATTCTCATCCAGATTGCTTATTATGGGTTGCGGTGTTCGGCGGCATGTGTGCTATCCATGACGGCGATGAACTAGAATTTTATGTGGATCTGGCCCGAAATGCAGCTGTTGAGGCTGGAGTCACCAACTTCCACGAGCTGGAGGATTTGCTCTCGACATTTTTGTATGACCCGAACTCCCAGCAAGATATGCTAAAGGAATTCAGTAGGCGAATCTGGGTGCACTGAAACACAGCAACTGTTGTTTGCTGCAATTGGGGGCGGGTGAAGCAAGCTATGCTTCTCATGTTCTATCAAAGGGCTGTGGTCATCATACGTTGCCTGGCCCTGGGTGGTGGAGTGATACAAGTTGAAGTTATCATTCGCAATGTAACAGAATGCTCTATGCCAAAGGGGCTGTTGATGCCAAAATAGTTCTCTGGTTGGTGGAGGTGGAGCTTTTCACGAGTCGGATAGAGTAGTAAGAGAATTAAAGGGTGCTGAGTTCCCGCCTGGAAAGCGGCTCTACCAATGGGCGCCAACAACTAGGTTCCGTGCTTAGGTTACCCAAGATTTCGGCTCAAATATCAAAAATCGTCATCCAGGAGAGCCGTTGGGGTTTACCCATCAACTCAAAACCTAAACCATCGGTCCTCCTTTTGTGTCTTGTGGAACAGGATCATGAGCACGGCCGGAGCAAAGGGGCCTAAAGTGCGAATGTGGCACGGGTGTCTCAATCCCGTACTCGTATCAGAAAGCTGAAGGGATTCAGCCGTAGTACGACGAATAATCCAACGCAATCCCTAATTAGTCCACAACTAGTAATTGCAATCAAAATTCGGCCAATTCCTACCATGTAAGGCCGCCCAACCCTGCCTGCTGCACATTTTGTACTCGGTATGAGAATGGAGTACGAATACCGGATCGCGATGAATGAAACGCCATGCAGCACGCATAATTGGCTGTCCGCAAGGGCTTGCTGGGTGCCTAGGTCATAGTGTGAGCCTTGTGGAGGCCCCACCTTACAGTAAGAGAGATACGAGCCCTGTCCTCCCCTCCCTGGGAGCCTGAAGATTGCTGCGAGGTAACACGTGTTCGCGCTTCCGTCAGGTCTTTGTAACTACTAACCACTAGGAGAGAGCTGATTCCCAGGAACGAGAAGCATACATACATATATCTCCCAGGGCGTGTCCAGCTACTTTCTCTGGGTCTCCACCCTCTCCAGTTCCACCGTTTCTTGGACAGTTTCTTCGTCATGGTCTCTCTCATTGTGTTGATTGCCATTCCATTTATTGGATGGAATCTCCATCGAGCTTACAGTCTGTACCGGAATTACCTCACAGCTCGGAAGTTAGGCATCCCGATAATCGTGATTCCCCTTGGTTGGCAAGATGACTTGTGGGTTCTGACCTGGGATTGCTTCAAATGGATCGCGTATCTGCCCAGCTTTTTAAGCTGGTGGTTTGACTACAGCCGCCTCTCCTGGGAGCAGCAGTTGCGGTACCTCCCCCATGAGAAATATGGCGATGTATTCATCATCGTCGCGCCACGAGGCAACGAAATAATAGTGAACGACCCGCAGGCCGGCTACGAAGTGCAAGCGCGCTACAAACAGTGGCTGAAGCCTGAACCTCTGTATGAGATCTTCAACACTTTCGGACACGGCGTCATCTCCGTCAATGGCGATGACTGGCAGCGCCAGCGAAGAATCATCAACCCGGCATTCCGCGAGTCGGTGCACAAACTTGTGTGGGACGAGTCACTCAAGCAGGCGAGACAAATGCTTGAAGTCCGCATGAACCAGCACGCCAGCAGGGGAACGCTGGACGAGGTCCGCAAGGACAGCGTCCTTATTGCCTTACATGTGCTATCATCGGCCGGGTTTGGGCACACCCACGATTTCTCGGGCGGCCTCCGGCAGGTGCCTGAGGGCCATTCGAAGTCTTTTTCGGAAGCACTAATGTACCTCCTGCAAAACATCCTGAATGTGTACATGTTCACGGCACTCAAGCCACTAGGCTGGGTGCGACCGCTGAAAAATCAAGAGATTAAGGCAACCGTCGCTGAATTCCGGGAGTACATGAAAGAGACAGTGGCCTACAGCCGGGCGACAACACAAGGCGGTGGCGGTGGTCTAGCAAACGACATCGTTGGTGCACTCGTCGACGCTGACGAGGCAGCAAAGCGCGAAGAGAAAATTGCTCCAAATTCCGGTTTTGGAGGGAAACCCATGCACCTTACCGATGACGAGCTGTTTGGAAATCTTTATGTCTTTAATCTTGCCGGTTTCGAAACGACTGCGAATGCCCTGACATACACCATGCCATTCCTCGCACGACAGCCTGAGATCCAGGAGTGGGTTGCAGAAGAGATCGATGCGGTGACCAAGACCGGTCTTGAGCAAGACTGGAATTACGAATCCGCATTCCCTGCTTTGGTCAGATGTCTGGCCGTCATGGTAGGTCAAAATGAATTTACCCAAAGAGATCGTCGTCAAATCTGATAACGGTTGATATAGTATGAGACTCTCCGACTCTGGGGACCAACCCCAGATGCCACGCGCTGGCCTGGCGACGAATCCCAAGTCCTCCGGGTTGGAGACAAAGACCTCGTCATCCCACCTGAGACGTACGTATCGACTAACATGTACGGCATTCACAGCGACCCGAGATGGTGGGGGTCCGATTCTCTCGAGTGGAATCCCAAACGATGGGTCACCATCGATCCGAAGACCGGCCAGGAGACAATTGCCCAACCTCCAACGGGCGTTCCGTTCCTCGCCTGGAGTGTCGGACCGAGAATCTGCCCCGGCAAGAAGTTCAGCCAGGTCGAGTTCGTGGCGGTGATTGCGACGGTGTTGAAGTCGTACCGAGTCAAGCCGATGATCATCGAGGGCAAAATGCAGACGGAAAAGCAGGCGCGAGATGCCTTGCTGGAGGTCGTCAACGACTCGTTCAATATTATTACTCCAAAGATGAGCCGGCCTGGAGACGCTGGTGTGATGTTCATTGCCCGATAAGATAGCGTAAGGGGCCCCGGGGTTTTGGACGATGCGGAGGGGGATCAGTGAATATCCAGACGTTGTGATATACTACGATCCTCTCCTCATAATACTCACGTACAATTTATGTCCATCCCATAGTGTATACCATGCGTGAGATGCTCCGCCCCAATCTTCTCCCACGCCTGCTTTGCACTTCCTAGCAACCCGCTCTCGTCTGCGCGTCCGGTCTTCTCGCCCCTGGGACTGATGCAAAGCGCCCCAGACCTCGTGCGCCTGGTATGTCCTCTCTGGCAGATAATGCGCGCCTTGAATGGCCATGCCAGCTCGAGCCCGGCCTCCATGTAGAGCGTCTCTAAGGAACGAGTACCTTGCGTACGATGCCCTTCGAACATGACGGGCACGCTTATTGCCCGTCGCAGCAGGTGGTCCAGTAGGGACACGAGGGTAGGATCTTCAGGTGGGACATCGATGATGACTCGCCGAGACCCAGTCTTAAAGACCGAGACCCAGCTCTTGCTAGCCTTGCCCGGGCCTTCCAGCAGCACCAGAGCCGACCGAGCGAAGAGAGATGATATCAAACCCCCCCACGGGTTTCCATCGTGTACTGCGCTTCCAGCACGCCAGACAGGTCCGTGATACTCTCCAGCACGGGTTCCACTTCAGGCCCGCCTTCCGCCTTCTTGGGAAACGGCTTCCGTCTCGCTTCGTCCAGCATCGCTTCAGTGATGTCGGCGCCGACCACGACGCCTCCCGTGCCAAGCGCTCTGGACCTCGCGTGCGCACCGCACGGGCTTAGTGACGCCGCGACGAGCGGGTTAAATCTGTCGACGCTGGAATTGTTGAATAGTGATCTTTAACCTAGGTATGCTTTCTCGAAGATGGCGTGGCGGTCGTGATCCGGGGTCATGTTCTCGTAAGAATTGACCTTTAGATGGATGTTGGCCGGACGGAATGGAAAGTGACACTCTCTTCTTCTGACATCCTATGCAACTATGCTGCTCTGCTAACCTACCTGTCGTCTACCATTTTCCATGAATCGGAGCTTGATTGAGATTTAACTCAAATCTCGACGCGCACTACAGTACAGTCAGCATCAGCCACATGCGACAGAGAATTCGCACGCATGAGGGGGGAAGGTTAGTTCTTGCAGCCTTCTATGTGCCGACAGGCCGAGTTTAAAAGCACTGTAAGTAATGGCCTGGAAGCATGCCGTTGGCAATGTACCTGCTCGAACACCGCATGCATCATACCTGAGCCAGTTCGTAATCTACAGCTACTTTTGAGATACATGGCCTGCCGATCACCATGACTGGGACTGTTTCGGGGCATATTCTTGGCAGCTATTATGCCAAGTTTTGGGGGCTAAATATTATGCCAAGGCGTGCAAATCGCACCCAATTTTGTAGTGGTTTTGCATCGAATTGCATCAATAATGATAAATGAGTATATATTTGACTATTGCTCAATGAATGAACCCCTGGTCACGCGCCTCAACTGCCTTTATAGTCGGTTGCCTGCGCCTTTTGCCGCTAGTGAGCACTGGCGGCGCTGTTGAGGTCGGTAGTAGAACACTCGGTGAGTGGGTGAGGCCTCAGGTAAGGCCTCACGGCGCGGGCGAGGCCTTTCAGGCGTCCTTATGGGTAAGGACAGACCTATAGATCTTGGGGGAGTCTCAGGAATGCTCTCAAGGGCCACTTCTACTGTAGTTTCTATAGTATTACTTCCTTCTTGTAATCTGTATACTGATAACTAGAGATATTATATAAACATTTCACTAGGCTATACTACCTTATTCGGCTACGCTCTAGCTGAATGAGGTATTATATCCTTGTCTTGGCATAATATTTAGCCCCCAAAACTTGGCATAATAGCTGCCAAGAATATGCCCCGAAACACTCCCCCATGACTTATTCTTCTAGCTAAGGTCGAAAAAGCCCCATAAAGTATAAGTAGGACTGACGGAATAATACACAGTCTTGCCTACCGTGAAGCTTCGCCGCGCCCAACGTGATGTACTAACTTGGAACCCCGGAACCAAAAAAAACATTCAAAGATCGTAGGTATCGCCAGCTTCGATGGGAACATCCAAGAGACGTCGAGATGCAAAAACATGTCCAGAACGAGAATCGAACTCGTGACCTTCGGATAGCTTCTTGCGTCGAGCAAGATCACAGTATAGGAATCTATGAGACCGACGTCATAACCGACTAGACCATCCAGACGCAGATATGAGTCAACTTTTCGGCGCATCAATTCTTGAGTTTGGCAGTTCCTGGGCTTAGTCTTGGCTTACATGTCGCCTATCGTCCCCACTGCTCAGGTGCCTTTGTCAGGCATGTGGCAGTCCAGACGTCCTGGGGATAGCAAGAGCTCTGAACTGAATGCTTTCGATCACTTCTAGGATCTTTAAGAGGTCTGCTCGTGGAATGTTCACTTCTATGCACGCGATAAGGTTCTCTACCAAGGTATTTATCTATCTTCCATAATTTTGACCGCTGGGTACTATGAGCATCTCGTGCAGTCCAACCAGCAAGTAAGCTTGTCTTCTACACTTTGCAGGTAAAAAGCATTGTCTACGCAATTGAAGGACTAAATGGCGCTGTTACGTCTGTGAATTTTGCTTCTATCTCCGCCTAGACCGGGTAATGTGGGATAGATGACTACTAGAAGGCTCAGAAGCTTCTACAGCAAGGGGTAAAATCTCATCACCTGTGCTTGAAAAGCCGTAAGTACTGTCGAATAATGAGGGGAGGAGAACTGGCCGAGGCACATGGCCGACGAGAATTGTGTTACATACTCTCAGGTCGTAGCGAGAAGTGTTTGCTGAGTTCAGCTCAGTACTCAGAATACCTTTTTTCCTTCTTGGAGACGGAAGCCTGCCCAACAGCTTGCAAAGCGTTACATGAAGGTAGCTACTCACATTTCTTGTGGATTATTCTCTCGAGTAAAGTCGAGATGACGACCCTGTAAAGTCAAGACAGCCATACTGAGTAGACCACGAAAATTGATTCCTCCAGGCTTAGCTCTGTGGCATATGCTACCAGATTGGTCGCTCTGAACCTGAAGAATTGTTGGAGCTCGTTGACTAGGGATGAATAGCCCAAGAAATGCATGAACATGGAAGTCTGGCATGAATGTGTTGATCTTGATCGACGCAGGGGTCATTGGGCAGGTGGGGTTGCAAGTCCAGAGGCATATGTTGATCTCTGCTGGAGTCAGCAAGGAGCTCGACTGATACTTCCATGGGCTGAGTGTTGTTTCGAGAAATCCGATCAAAGTCTCTATCAGTCTAGAGGCACAGTCTTTCCGGCCCACTTGTCTCGTTCTGCAGCAGCAAAGGTCTCCAGGCTGCCGAGGGCTAATACAAGGAATCCAAGGTCTTCTCTGTCAACATCGAAGACCTCCCACCAATTCTGATCGACCAATTTTACATCGATCTCTCTCGCGGCGAGGTATATTGCTCCGACCGCAAGTGCATTGGGTTGATGTGTCAAGTAGAGCAGTTGGGGAGATAGTAGAGCGCCATTGAGATGTTCAAAGACTCTTTTGGCCAGGCTGGTGGTGGACACGCCCAGCGCTTGTAGATATGTCAGTGCCAGTCCATGCGGCAGTGCAACATGTGTGTCAAACCCGAGGCCCGCCAGTATCATGCTCTCGCAGACGAACAATTGTTGCCGTTCCTTATCGTAGGTTCCTTCGGAAACAAAGTATTCTTTTGGATCGTCGTCGACCACTCTCTCGCCCGGATTGATAAAGGAAAGAGGTGAGGCATTCGAAGTCAAATAAGCGTAAACATTGACGACCGAACGTGGTGAGACCGGCGGCGTCGATATCTTGGCCGATAGGTAGATGGAGGCTGCGGAATACGTCTTCGCGCTGAAGCTTTCTCGATCATGGGGTCGGCTGCAGAGCAAGAATCGCAGCAGGAGGACAATGGCTTGAGCAATGGCTTCCTGCGGGAGTCTTAACAAAATCCCCGCTGCACTGGTCAATCGCACCAACGCGAATCGAATTGATGGTCCATCTTCGCCTTCTCGGTTGCTCAAGTCGAAGAGTTGCTGTGTTGTGGCCAGGGAATTGGTCAAGTGGTCAGGTCCTTGGATCGGACCCATGACGCTCTCGACGGCTGCAACTGTGGAAGAATTCGTTGCGACGGGATACAATAGCAAGCAGACCAAATGTGACTACGGCGGGCCATATGCGCTATAGCGTCGAGTCTGCTGGCTTGATTTTGATGAAATCTTCACGCTTGTGAATTCTTGACCTCCGTTATATCACGGCAGGGAAAACTATCAAAGAAGATACAAAGCACTAAATGAAATAGACTATGAACATCGGGGTGTATGCTATTGAAGTCTCTGGGACCTCGCTGAAGTAGGGATTCGACCACCTCCGGGCCGCAAGGCTGCGTGAAAAGGATCGCTTAGTCGCACATCAAGTTTACACCCATTCGGGTAAACCTCAATCCAGCATGTCCCACACAAATATCGATCATCGGAGGACCCATAACCTGCTCCTCATCTCAAAGCTGCTCAATCAACGGGATACCACGTCTCCGTTCACGCTGGTCTTGGATAATCTCGAGCAGACGGCCAAGCCGCTTTTACGTGAGTACATCCGGCGCGCAAAACTGTCAAAAACAACTTCGATTTTCTTGTCCTTCGAAACTTTTGCTCGACCAAAGGACGTGGATGTTTTTGTGCAATGCTTCGGCAAGAAGGCACCTGATGGAATACTAAAAGATGTGCGAAATGCCCTCAACAAGGCTGAATCTAGAAGTGCGTTACACGTTTTATTGTCATGCCATCGTTGAAGTAACGTGTTTGAAATAGGAGTCCTTGTCATCATTGATTCCCTGACAACGCTCTCCTCGATTTCAGCTGGCCTAGGCTCCGGTTTAAACCTGGTCGCATTCTTGTCATCACTGATTCAGTCGCCACAGGAGTCCCCATCTCAGGCTCAAGCACAGAGTCAGGTATCGCTAATAGCGGTTTATCACAGTGATATTCTGATTTCCCCTTCTTCATTACTGGATCAAACGCATGCATATTGCCCTACTCCGCTTTCACTGCTCTCTTATCTGGCAACAACGATCATACGAACCCACTGTCTGTCAATTCTCCTCACGGAGAAAGCTGCAAGGTCACGATCTCTTGCAGCCCCTGCCTTCGGACTTGGTGAGCAGATGGAAGGCGTCATTATCGGACTGAAGCCGAAGGCTTGGAACAGTCGGAATCTGAAAGCGGACGAGCGAGGAATGGTCTTGGAGCTGGAGCATCGACGTAAGAGCGGGCGAGGTGTACTCGAATGGTATTTTCTTCCTAACGCGCCCAAGCATTCGCAAATTCTTGGTCCACAGGCATTCCGCGAGGTTGTCACACTGTTAGATGATCATCCCCTCTTCCGTAGAGTGAAGGAAGAAGACAATTCCGACCAACAGTTGTCAGGCATGACATTCGAGCTGGGCTTGACAGATCGACAAAGACAAGAACGTGAGGGGGTGGTATTGCCCTACTTCGATGCACAAAAGTCTGGCGGTGGAGGTGAGGGTGGCAGAATCCTGTACGATATGGGGGTTGAAGATGACTTTGATGAGGAAGAAGATGAGATATGAGCCTCGGTGGTCCTCTTTGGTGATGATCCCGAACCTCGACTGTTGCTGCGCTCACACAATCGTTGCCTTGGGGCACGGCGTACCCCAACAATCAGAATGAGAAGAGGTATCTGAGATCCATATTCCCCTGTACCCTACTCATAGCCATGATTGAAATGCTTGCCAGGTTGTCAAGTTAGAAAAATCGCCACCACAAGAAGATTATTATGATGAGTCCCAGACCAGCGAACGGACCGTACTGCAACAAATGTTAGCATGCCCATGAGCGAAGATGTCGTCAGCATACCTGTTTCAGCATAAGTTCCCAATTTATCCGTACGGCAGCTTTCCTGTATTTCTTGCTGTCTTCTCGTAGCCGGCCACTCATTTCGCCCATCCTCTCTAAGCTGTCGCCGCGATAAAGAAGATCCTCAATATTCTTTGTCATGACTTTGGTAACATCTTTCAACTCATCATTCAACTTGTCCAAGTTTGCGCTTGCTCTGCTGTCTTGATATGTTTTCTTTGTCCGTTGGATGAATGTATCAAATTCGACGAATGCATATGGACGTAAGGTAGCAGAGAGGTATTGTTGAGAAGGGTATATCGTGGTGAATTCCTGGGCAAGATCGGACAGGTACGTGAATGCAAGCTTGCGCGGGTAGGATTTGTCACAAATGCAGAGGAAGCAGACAGAGTCTCTGATAATGTAGCTATTGACACAATTTCAGTATGTACACTCACGTAGTGGTCGACGAAGTCGGTCCCTACTGAAGAGTATATTGGCCTGACTCAATGCTCGCCTGCTGCTCGGAGTTCCTGTTCAATCGTCTGAAGATCATTTTGGCCTGCGATTTGACCTCTGAGAGTTCGGTCTCGACCTAGGTGAGGCACACATCAGTCGTACTGGCTCATTCAAATTGTTTGCATCAGAAACGATATTCCGTACCTGCTCATCGTCGACTGAGGCCGCAAGCATAAGGCCTGGTATCAAGACACTCCGTTAGCCGCTTTTGCGCCCGTAAATAGAGTAGTCAGTACATAGAGAGCATTACCATCTAGCCGTGCGATCTGCGTGGATTTAACCATTGTGTGTGGCCTGGGAAGAGTTTCTGCCGGACTGGGAGTGACTGTTTACTTTTCGCTGTGAATCAGGACAGTTCGTCCACTCACAAATTAAACCGCGCCGCTTTTACAACCCCCTTCCTCCCCTCAACCACCGTCCGCCCACCCACCATCAATACTCGCCGCTTTAATCGCAACGATGCCGCTGTAAGTGTACTCCACCGTACCATTGATCCCCAATTCCCCCTGTTGTCTTCCATGGAGGCATCGTCCCTCAGACTCTCGATGAGCTTGGTTCACGTCTGTTGCCCATCAACTGTCAACGATCCCTATGATAAGGATGGGATCTACAGTACCATCGCTGTGCGGTAGGGTGCGTCTAAAAAGGTGTTCGAAGCAGCTCGAGCCGCCCAGCCTTTAATGTCCCCCGTGTGCCGCTTGTGCACAACCGTGGACGTTGGCGGGACGGCTGTTTGATATTGAAAGATGGCTTCTCTACAAACAATGGCACTCGATGCAAGCAGCGTGATTTTGATACCGATCGAGCTGAGCGGACTGATTAGCCAAGTCTCTGTCTTTCACACCGTGAACCTCTCAACCTCATCATCATCTTATCTTGCCCCAAATTCATGGCTTGACAAGCCAGGTGGTTTGCTCCTTCAATCACATACTGATATTCGTCTTTAGGCTTGAGTCTGCCTCCAAGCACAAGTTCCGGTGCCTCGTCGCCCACAAGGAGGCCGACGGGGTCTTTCTTCCTGGCGACGAGTTCGTGTATACGAGCGGGTCGCTTGGGAAGAGAGACCCGAGGGACCGGAGTGACCCTCTGGTCACCCGCTCGGTCCGCCCTGCACGACAGCCGGCAGGAGATCTCAGGCGGAGCAAGAAGCCTGAGAACTTCTTCTGGGAGATCTTCTCGCCGGCCGGCGCGTGGGTGCTACTGGGAGAAGCCAGTGGACCCAATGGCGTGGAGAAGTTGATCCTAGATCGGGAGGCCGGATGGAATCACGGCTATAGCAGCGAGCCATGGAGGAGGTTCGACGTCCTGCGGTGGGAGTCTCAGTCCCTCAAGTTCTTAGGAACTCTCGACGATGTTCGAAAAAATTGGTACGACGGCAAGCAACGGCAGCTGGCCCCAACCTCTCCTCCTGAGGCTCCTCCTGCTGAAGCTCCCCCTGAGACCCCTGCTGAGACTCCTGTCGTGGCTCCTCCTGTTACTCCTCCAGTCAATGCGAATATCGATCCGAGCCTTGACAGCCTCGATCTAGATGCTCAAATCGTCGGCCTATACCCTCAAAACATCGACCAAGATCCTGAAAAAATCGATCCAAATTCTGAAAACATCGATTTGGATGCCGAATACTTCGACCCAGATCTTGGATACTTTGTCAGATACCTTCAAGACTTCGATCCGAACGCTTATGCCGCCTGACTGGAACAGTCCTTGTCTCCATGATATCTCTCCTCTCTCCTCAGCATTGCTCTTTCAGCCCAGCCACGCCGAGCACTCGAACCCTCTACACACGACGGCTCCCACACCCACAGTTGCATTTTCTCACCGCCGAATGTTGTCTCATCGAAAAACCTGTCATAGCCACAATAGCCGATACTCTTAAAACCTGCGCTTCTGTACGCCAAATTCCCAATCGGGCTTGCTGACACTACGATCGGTACAGCTTCTTTTTCAGCCTGATCTTTTCCCCAAGCCATCAAGATCTTTGACAATCCTCTCCTTTGCCAGTCGGGCGATACTTGCAAAAACTCTAAAGACCAGAATTCATCAAACACACCCCGATCCCACTCTTCATTCTGAATTAGATCAACAGAACGTAGGTTTCCGAGGCTAAAACATGGATTGAGCGAAGGGAAAAAGACATCATACCGATCTTCTAACGACAAAAGAAAGCGATTGAACTGATCAACAACACCTCCACGCGCAAGCCGCTGCCATGCTAGGGCTGTTGGAGACGTCCCATGACGACGCCATGTTGCTGCACCGATAACTTCATTGCAAAATTCGACAGGTGAAGAATAGTCCTCAGGATCAGACTCGAGAACAAAAGTGATATCTCTCCCACCACCGGTAACTTTTGAACGAATGAAATGATGGATTCCACGACGATGTGAGGTCGGATACTTGTCCACATCACGAAGGAGATAGTTGGCCAGAGCGTCGCTCTTGTCGCATTCGATCGTCATTGACACCAACGCTGGCATGTCTTTTCTATGGAAGGGCCGGAGATGCATCACGACGGCTCGTAACTCAAAAGGTTCAAAGCTAACCCAGCAAATGGAAGAAAATCGTGGTATCTTGAGGGCTACTCAAATTGAACAGAAAGTTGAGGTCTCGATGTGACGTTTTTGTCGTGAGCCTCGACAGTTCGAAGGATTCTTGATTCTGCCTTCGCAAATCTCAGCATAGGATATTATCATTGAAAGATCCTGTGTCCATCGGCATGGATAATGGGTAGCACAATACAGAACCTCAAGATGACTCACGAAGCTAAGAATTGACCTCCACCGGTGTCTCGTATTTCCGTATCAGACAGTTCCGAAGCCCTTTTCCAAAGTCTCCACACCCGTTCCACACCGATTGACTAACTTTTTCATCAAACGCGCCCAAAAAGGTACACATTCATATTGTATATTACTCATACGAGTCTAGTGGTAAGAAAAAAGACATTTACAGGCAAGGGATCGTTTTAGATCCATCGGCAATTAATCCGTGTCTGCCGAACGCAACATTCTCTCCTCTGAAGGCCGACACGTAAACCAGGAAGAAGAGTGCTCTAGCAAGGAAGAGTAGCGGCACGAGATTCGTAAGTAGGGAGCAAAAGTGTACCTATGCCGAAGAATACCAGGTAGTTAGAGAGGCAGCAGAGTATGGCCATGTCATTCACTACTTGGGTGGAGTATAGAGTACTACGGTGAATCACAGACTCCTTGGCGGCAACGGCTCGCGAATCCGTGTCAACCCCGATTACAATAATTAAGTACTCGTATGTAAGAGGGTTTTTATGTCAAGTTACGACGTGAAATCTCAAAGTACCCATGAAAATAACTTTATCGCCTGGGTCTTTTGACAATACATTTCTTCACTGACCTCAGCACTCCGAAGCGCATCAAGTGCAGCAATAATCGCCCTCAGCCCTCCGTATCTTCTAGGACCCCAAGGGTCATTCTTGCTGATCTCTTCATCCTCTGCAATTGTACGGGTGGTCCATCCGACAAGGTCATTGCAAATGGCTATCTTGGCATTTGGTACACCATCACTCTTGGTGGTATAAGCCTCCCAGGGTGCTTGCCCGTGGGCGAAAGAAATCCATCGACGAGCGGTCTCTATGGCTTGACCCCGGTAATAGTTGTTACGGTGTGTCGGGTAGCGGTCTATCAACGTTAGGAAGAGAAACAATATGTCGATGAAGTGATGGCCAGTGGCGAAGCTGTGAAGGCTTCCTGGGATTGGGTTGGACAAGCCAAATGAATATCGGTAGATCTTTCTGTGTTCATCAAGGCCCAGCCTCTTGGTGAGCCGCTCGATTTCAGCCGAGAATATCAAGTCGCCCATCAATTTAGACGTCTGCGACCAAGCACGATTCTCATCGATTTCTTTGGAAATATCAAGCTCATATGCGGCAAGTACAGCTTCTGCATGCGCTCGAGGAAAGATCGTCGTAATGGTCTCTACCAATGTAGCGTGTGAGCGATGTCTCAGGCCGGGAAGCGTGATGTCACCCTCCCAGAAAACGTCCCCTACGATGACATCTCCAAGCCACTGGCAAGTAGCAATCAACTCAATCTGGTTTGCAACTGTAGGTGGACCGCGAGCGAAGAGTGAGTCTGCTTCCGAGACCCCAGGGACTGAGCCTACGAAGGGACACATGAATATCCCAGGATACTGGGCCAAAGCCGCCACATCAATCTGTCTCAACTTGTTCAGCCTCTCTCCGGGGGTATCATCCACGATTTTGAAGTGCTTCAACATGTCTTGATACTCCTTTTCCTTGGCCTCAAATGAGGTATCACCCATAATCACTCCAGACTGGAGTATTGCACGATCGAAGAGCCGCGCGGCCGAACCACAGATGTGGTAGGTGAGGCTGACACTGCCGGCTGATTCTCCGAACGCAGTGATATTCGACACATCTCCACCAAAGCCACCGATGAATTTCTGGATCCAAGCAAACGCATTCCTTTGGTCCTGGAGAAACAAGTTGAACGGGCCTGGCTGACCTTGGTTATTATTGGTTGCGTACTCGTCAAGAAGATCCTGACAGACTAAGCCGCCGAACCAATTCAATCGATACCCTATGTTCACAACGATAACTGGCTGGGAAATTGACGATGCATACGATGCGATGGATGCGTTCGAGTGCAAGCCGTCGACATGGCCCACGCCTTCTGCTAGCCCACCACCATGAACGTAAACCATCACGGGCAGCCTCGATCTCGTGGCTAAGGTCAAGTTTGCGACAGGAGCTGATATCGATAGTGTAAGGCATGTGAATTCGTTGTATGTCAATCCGAGATCGTCTGCCAGAGGTCCACCCTGAGGAAGCCACCAGGCTGGATTCGATGCTCCTGTCTGAGGGCATCCCGCTCCGAAATCTGTAAAATCTCGGTAGGGTCGCTCATCAAAGTTTTGCGGGATTTCTCCAAGTTTGACAGATGGTAGAAATCGCTTAGGGATGCTAGCGAAGGGAATGGAACGAAACTGAACAACTTGAGCTTCTGAAAAGTGTTGCAGCTCGACCATTCGTCCTGTGAGCTCACCAAGGTCTGGATGGGCATGGGTATACTTTGGTCCCGCGTAGGGTGCTTTGCTCTTCTCCATGGACGGGTGGCTCATTGCTACTGATACTCCTCGGTCTAGTCTTCTCCTTCCTACGACCAGTGTTCCGTCATTGTGTTTTCGTGGAGACGAAGTCGCCTGCGACCATACTTATCCATGGCACACTTCTGGCAATCATCGCAGCAGTGGCAATCGGATTGCTGCTTGACACAAGCTAGGGCGATCCGCTAACTGCTTGGGGAATATCCGAATTCGTAATTAAAGAGGCCAGCCTGTGTCTTGGCCTATGATGATCAGGAGTCAGGACTCAGCAGACCCGTTGACCAGAACGAGCACAGACCGTCTCAAGTAAGAACCTCGGCAGCTAGGCTATCAAGTCAAGTTTATTGGTTGCATTTTTCAGACTCAAGTCCTCAGACAGGAAGAGAACGAATCCCCGCAATCCCGCTAATTGAGGAAGCTGTTTCGCTTCTCCTTTCCCAGCTTCCACTCAGACTCGTTTCTCATTAACCTTGGCAATGTTGGATGAATGTCTTTGGGATATATGATTAGGTAGGATAATGCTTGAACCATTCTAAGCACGCGGAACTGCCTTACTACCCTGGGGTGACTCAATCTATGCTTCGACATCTCTCGCCACCTTTAAAGTGGAACAGATCTCACTCTGTGCCGTCATAGGAATTATCTGACAATGTTCACCACCTTCGGGAGCAACGGTTCATCAATATCACTCGATTCGCTGTCGACCAAGCCTGACCGTGCTTGTGACAGTTGTCGCAGGCTGAAGATCAAGGTACCCGCTGTTACGCAATTTTGGATTGCTTGACTCACAAAGGTATAGTGCCAACGAGCCTGTGCATCGAATCTCAAGACAACTTGCAAGGAGTGTCATCAGAATGGAACAAAGTGCACATACAATGTTCGCCCTGTCAAAAGAGGTCGACCGCAGAAACGGTGAGACGAGTCCAACACTACGACCGCACTACCTAGTTGGCTAATGCTGAATTGAAGTCAACGCCGTCTGGCTCAAGTTGGTTTCACATTCGATCTAAAAGCAGGTCCCGTCGTGCACCGTCGGACCCGTGAATGTGAGTCGCAAGGTTCGGCTTCCTATGATCCACCGCCGCCGACGCAGAAGCCACCTAGTCTTGGAAGCTCGCAGACGATCTCACCCATTCCGTTTACAGATTTCCCGGCAGATGCGGTGGTTGAGCAGGACTTTATGGGTGACGAGCTATTGTCACCAATCGACGCTGTGCCCGTGAAAACCCACTTTTGGAAGGAGTATGGTGCACATGCTCCACCAGCTACCCAGGGTTTCAACATTTGGAGCACTCTCCATGAGTTCTTCGACACCGGCTACATTATATTCCCTGTTGTATCGTATGCCGATGTCGCAATCCGACTGCTCGATACCCCAGATTGGCTTGCTGTGCCTGATCTGCGCACCCTGCTCTTTGCGATTCGCTTAATGATCGCTTGCGGCAAATATCGCATGGATTCAAGGGATGAAGCACTCCTCTACCACCTGATACGTGAAGTGGAAACTTCGCGGCTTGAGTACGATTTTGCGGACCCGGCGACCCTTGATGCAGTGGTTTGTTCTTTGTTTCTTTTTACTGCTTACAATATTCTTGAGAAACATGGTCGCGCTTTCCTCTACCTGGATGAAGCGGCATCCTTATTGGAGAGAGTGATGCCTTCTACTGAAGCAGAGAAAGAGCGCAAGCTCCTTGTCCAGCAAGTCATGTTCAACACGGAAGCTGCTACCGTCAAGATATACGGGACCTCAACCACACAGCGCAGGACACGGGAACCACCTCTGAATGGAGACATCGTACCAATATCGCAACTCGAGGACGGCATAGACGTCTACTCTACGAAAGTGGCTGCTCACCTGTTGAAACAACTCACGAAGATCAACCTCGCCAAGGACGCAGACACACTTCAGAAACTCAACACCGAATCCCATGAAGACATTGAGATTTTACTTGGCAGTGCTCTCCGGCAGCACCGATACTCTCGAATTCAGGCAGCTGACGTTATCCTTACTCGACAGTGGCAGCTCTCCTGCAGGTTCGCGGTGGGTGATGGTGGCACCAATCCTTTTACAAGGCCCTCCTGGTCCACGGTCGAACATCTCGGACATGTTGCAATGTCATGGGTATGTCTTCTCCAAGAAGGCGAACTTCGAGTGGTGGGGTTAGGGAAGCTGGCAGGACTAATTCAAAACATTGCTGCACTGGGAGATCTACGGAAGGGTCGGATCATTATCGGTGGACTGGCAGGCGCGGTAAGCAGGGAAGATCATGACAGGAAATATGCTCCCATGCTCGCCAGATTACTTGTTCCCATGATGTCCTCACTTGCTCCCCCACTCTGCATGTCGGGTGACCGGGCCTTCCAGCACATCTTGCCGACTGTCCATCGCGAAGGGCAGTCAAGTCGAGCAATGTCAGAATCTTTCTCCAACGACAGCTCATCTGTTTTAACGGAGTTTGGCACTTCTGGTTTGGGACATACACTTTCAGACGACCAAGACGATGCATCTTTCGAGCAGTTCATAAACTCACCTTAACTATTTACTTGCATCTCGATGCTAAAGCACAAATCCGGACCTCTTCTAGTTTAACACGTGTTGAACGCGTTTCTGAAAGCCTCAACCTGGCGTTCAAACCAGCTCGTCACAAGCTCCGAATTCAAAGCAAAAGTGAATCCATGTGGTACGCCGGGGAGAATGTCTTCCTCAACCTGGACCCCTGAAGAACGCAAGAATTGTGCATATTTTAGACCTTGTGGCCGTAGGAAATCACACCCTGCAATCGTCATCAAGGTCGGAGGATGATCGGGCACTTGTTTTGACGCAAGAGGAGAGGCATATCGATCGCACGGATCCAGCTGCTCTCCACCGTACAGACCTAGACAGAACGGTTAATCGAAAGGATCATTGTGGCTGATATAGCTTTACACTTGCCGAAGAGCTTTGTCAACTCGAGCGTGACAATTTCTGGAAGCGGCGGCGCACTTGCAAAGACCTTCTCGTTCTGACTCTGTTCGGTCTCTCGTTGCTTATCGAATATAGCTTCCGCTTTAGGATGAGCAGTGACGGGCACTACGAGACTGACAAGTCGTAGAACCCAGTCTCTGGCTGTTGCAACCTCAAGAGACTTGAGGGCGCACGCTGCAGCAATATTCCCCCCTGCAGAAGCACCAAATAGACCAACACGCGTAATATCTACTCGGTATTGCGGTGCATGATCGGAGAGCTTGCCAGTAAGGTTAATACAGTACACCGCTACACTTGAACATAACCTATACGCACCCATCTCAATGCACGCATACCATCGTCTACTGGTGCCGGGAACCGATGCTCAGGGGCAAGTCGGTAATCAACACCAATGACCACAGAATTCAATAATGCCGCGAGAAGTTCAGAGAATACTACGATCCAATTAGTTGGGTGTACTGCTCAATGCACAGAAATGCTAACCTTCGTCACCAACTGGATTACCGTGAATCCACCCTCCACCGTGGAACATAAGTATCGCTGGTCTGAGCTCGGAACTTGAAGATTGCTCATCAAGGAAAGGTTCATAAACCCAGATGTCGAAGGCCTCGTCTTTTTGTCCAGGAGTTGACACTGGAACGATGCTTTTGTTGACTTTTTTCAAGTCTTGTGGATATTTACTTCGAAATCGGGCCTTCTCCTTATTGTAAGCTTCACTCATGAACAGCTCTTGCACCCAGCGACGCATTCCAGGTACATCGTCGCTCGGTGGCATTGCTGTGTTTACAAATGGTAGTCGTCGCATTTCCTTGATGAAAAGACGCTCTCAGCTTCTGCAATATTCAAAATTTCCCGCAGAACTTACCTCAAGCCACCCGATGTTGGGCTTTTGAAAGTCATGGACGGCATAAGGGTCCATGCCTTGCTTCACCATGAGTTCTAGGAGCTCTGTGTCCACAGTGTGGGCAGCAACTGTAGAGTTCTCTGGGCACTCTGCAAGGCCGGCATGGCTGAGCACATTATTCTGAGTCGCAACGGCAGCCATGTTTCTGATTCCTGATGCACGGTGTGAGATCACAATAGAGGCAACATTTCCACCATTCCTCCAGACACTTATGCGTCCGGAATCTCAGACCAGCCACGAAATTGGATCGAAGCTGTTCCGGAATTCCCTGATTGACATCTTGAAATCCCCATTGAGAAATTCTCCATGGGGAATAGCGTTTGGCAGTTTTGGTGGAGACATTTCGCAAGGCCTGGGATACATCTGAACTATGTACTGCGCTTCCACTATTTATTAAGCAGGTCCATGCTCCTGTTGCATTTCAGTTGCCAGCTCAAGTTCGAATCATCTTTTCTTACATTCTCATATTCCATTTTGTCAGTGTCACACAACCATGGCCACCACGATCGAACACAAGACCGAAGGCACTGCGCATGCAGAAGATCTTTCACCAGATCCCCACGCCACGCAGGACTTGGACAGTAAAATTCACCACCCTGAGGATTGGTGGAACTGGCGACTCGTGGCTACCAGTAAGTCCCACAACTTGAAATCGCACTCGCATAGGGACTGATAGATGGTTCCATCACAGTGATCACCATTGGTCTCTCAATGGGCTTGTATGGCTATGACAACAGTTTTGCGGCACCCTTAATGGCATTGCCATTGTTCATTGCAAGATATCAAGGTCCAGCACTATCCTTCACAGTATGATTGCCACATTCCACCAACAAATCTCATGAATTCTGACGACATTGATCCAAGGCTCACAATCTCGACCTAATCGTGCCCGTACCTCTGATTGGTGCAGCGATTGGTGTCTTCATTGCTTCACCGATGATGAAACGATTTGGGCGTAAGAAAACCTTTCTTGCGGCATACTTGTTGCTTTGTACACCTGGGTCATTCCTTCAGCTGTTTGCCCCGAATCTCGGTGCCTTGGTGGTTGGAAGATTTTGGAATTGTAAGAACACCCTTCCTCTACATGCGGCATGCCTTTCATGTTTTCGAGCTAAAAGTTGTGTAGATCTTGGTGTCAGTGTTCTTACAACCACTGCACCACTGTATCTGGCGGAGATGGTGCCCGCCCATTTCCGTGGCAGAGCCATTGGGTTCTGCGTGGCCGGAGTGTCAGCTGTTGGCATCGTCGCGACCACTCTGGTCTGGGGCACTTCAAGGATCTTAGACGAACGTTCATACAAGATTCCCCTGGGTCTCCAAGCTGCGTTTCCTGCAGTGTTTGGTATTCTGACGTTCTTGGTGCCCGAGTCCCCGTTCTGGTATGTACAGCATGATCAGGCCGAAGCTGCAAGGAGGACACTCATGACCCTTCGGAATGACAACGTACAAGTTGTGGAGGCAGAGCTCTCTCTGCTATTAAGGTCCATTGTCGCACAGAGGGAAAATCAAGCAAACACCCATTTCTGGGACATTTTCAAGCCGATGCACCTCAAGCGAACGCTAACAGCAGGTGCACTGTTGTGTCTCAACCAAGTCAGCGGACTGGTCCTCGTTAGTACTTACTCTACCGTTATCCTTGTTCAAAGTGGGGTTGGAAATCCATTCCAGATCACCATCATCATTACCTGTCTCCAATTCCTCGGGACTATGGTTGGACCAGTGTTGGTGGACAAGATTGGTCGGAGACCTGTGGCACTGGTCGGCTTTTCCGTCCTGTTTTTCCTCGACATTGTGGCCGGAAGCTTAGCTGCCGCTGGATTGACTACCGAGGGTCAAAGACTCGGCCTTGCAGCTGTGTTCATCCTCTTTGGTTTCTTCAACTCGGCATCTTTCCAATCATTGTCAGTCACTCTCTATTTTGCCAACCTATATTCACATACTGACTTTGGTAATCCAGGGCATTCGTCCTCCCTACTGAGATTCCAGCAGTGAGTTTACGGGAACCCACGGTGGCATGGTCGGTCTTCTGGAGCTATACCACCGCCATCATCACAACTTTCGCAGTACCTCAACTCACCGCACCTGATGCAGCGAATCTGGGGGCTAAAGCTGCTTTAATTTTTGCCGGATGTGTTCTGATCACGGTCATTTGGACATACTTCTTCATTCCCGAAACCAAGGCTCGCACCATGGCAGAGATTGATGAGATGTACGCCATCAATTTGCCTATGAGACACTGGAAACATTACAAGTGCGAGGTAGTGACATCGACAATAGTGGAGATGAAGCAGGCCGAAGATAACTGAGGTCCTGAGTGACTGATGAACCGGGGACACCAATTTGGCCACCTTAGAGTTCGTCATATTTCTTCCGCTCGTGGCTAAGTACCAGAGGACCTTTTGTATCCAAAATAGCTTCGGGGAAAAGTCTTCCTCCCGTGCATCGCTTTATGCTACTGTAGTATCGAGGTGCGAAATGCTTGATATACTTCGTTATTATACCATGGAAGAAATCCTTACATCTAGGGTCCATCATTCATTATAAGGAGAGAACGAGATAAGTATAAATGTTCTGATAGGAGTTTATTCAACTACTATATACCTAGGAATAAGAATATTAAAGCGAGAGAAAAGAAGAAGAAGAAAGGCAGGTTCAACTATTATCAATACTAAAGAATAGATATAATCTCCTCTATAGAGTGATCGTAAAAAAAAAGGAATGGTTCAATCCAATCCGCTCATTAACGCCATGGCGAATAATGAAAAGCAGTGAGCTTTTTGTGGCACAATTTTCCTCGCCTCAGTCTAGACGCGTGGCAGGTGTATTTACCTCCAGACTTTAGAAACCTAGCAAGATCGCTAAATCGAGCAAAAGCATTGCATGAAAGGCAATAAATATATCGAGTCTACCACCTAATGATCTTTTGTGGGAAGAACTCGTCGATGAGCTCCAGATAGTATGGCTATAAAATGGTCAGTATGTATCCCTTGACATCAACGGGAGAGGAGAAAATCTCACCTTCAGCTTCTCGGCATTAGGTTTCTCATCGCTCTTGCTGTAGAGATCGTATGGATTGAACCACTTGACGGCCTTGAGCATCTTCTCGTCATGTTCATTCATGAATTGCCGATAAGCACCCTGTTGATGCCAAGGATAGAAGCTATGGTATCTAATCATGGCGAGTGCCTCATCAGGGAGGGTTGACTGATCCTTGACAACATGATAGAGATATTCATCATGGCCCCAGGAGAGCATAATGTTCCCAAGGCCACATCCTGGCGTGTAAATACCATTCTTTGTGCCGTAGATAGAATCGTTGAAGTCTGGGTTGGCAGAGAAGGACTTGTTGCCATAGATGATCTTGTCGTCGAAGGCACAGCCCACGGGGAATGTGTCTCCGACGACGTCCCACTGTCCTTGTGCATCAAAGAAGAACAGAAGCTTACCAAGGTCGTGAATGAGGCCAGTGATTTGCATCCAGCGAGGACAACCATCACGACGCATGGCTTCAGCCGATTGTAGCAAGTGCTCAATCTGGCTCAGATCTGTGTCAGGGTCCGACTCATCGATTAATGTATTTAATCGCTCGATCGCTTCCCAGATTGACATATTGGCACGTGTCTTTGAGTGGAAATCATTTCGTGCCTTCAAGTTGTAAGCGACGGTTTGCTTGCTATGCTGTTCCAAGTAGAAGTTCTTAACTCTGTCGCTGGCGCTTTCGTATTGGCGGAATTGAGTCTTATCCTTATCAACATCAAACTTTGATGTAGCAAAGTCTTCTTTCTGAGCTTCCTGCTTGCTCGCTCTGTCGGCTAGGATATCTGCATGCTCGATGTCGTCACAGAGTGCTTCAAAGGCCAAGCCATCACGATCTGTGCGGAACGCGGGTGCATGTGCATGCGATGGTTGCTGAACAAGTACGCCGACCATACTGAATGTAAGCAAAAATGAAAAACTCAAAGGGTGGATCCGTTAGGCCGTAGCTAGGTGTTGGAAGAACGAAACGATCAATGTTGACCAGAAACAAGGCGGTAGACGCTGGGACCCTTTATATACCTAGATAGCCATGTGACAAGAAGGGATTAGACACGTGAATTGAGGATTGCGTAGAGTGGGTTTGATTGTTTTCGAGCAAGGCAGGGCCATGAGACAGCATCTCGTACTGATATATGAGTGTCACTGAGGGGCTGCTGGATCCCCACTCAAATGAGGCAAGCATCTGGAAAACAAACGAAGACTCTGCACAGTGGTAGCTTGTCAGTCGCATGGACAGAAAGGCAAATCATACACGACTCCACCTCAACGTCAGTATCGACAGGGTTTGTAGGAGCTTCTTCATGCTTGAGGCTGTGAACAGAAGCCGAGACTGCTTGAAAGTTGCCATATCCGGAAGATGATATCAACAGCGGGATCCTTATGGATCAGGATTCGGCGCTAAACGGATCAGCAAGCACGATCCGTCGCAAGGCCAAATTATGGGCCTATATCTCGATTGAAACTCGAGCGACGTAGAAGCGGTAGTCGTTTTGCCTTTCTGAGTGGCTGAACATGTTCCAAATCCTTGTCATAAAGGTTGGAATTCAAAGCATGGTCCCAAGGGTGTGTGTTCGCCTCCCGGCGAAAGCTACAGACCGCGAGGCAGAAGGTGTCCGGTGAAGGTGAAAATTTGCATGAAAATTTGCATTTGCGAATCAAGACAGGGGGGACCAGGAGGACAATAAGTCGGTGAGAATTATGAAGCAGAGAATGATACATCATATCTAGCTATCGAGGTAGTACAAGGTGAGAAACATGACCATCAGCAAACCCTTGACAACCCGGGGATGGGCAGGTGGCAGGAACTGCTAATGTCGTGTAACCGTTGATGCATTGTGGCCGTCGTTATGCATGACAGAGGCGCAAGGGTCTTTTCGAGAAATGCTGAGATGTCCAAATTTTGAGATCGCACCGAAAGATTCACAAGCTTCGCAAAGAACGGAGAGTCAAGGAGAACACAAACTGTTGACAACGAGGTAGACTTTAGATATGGAGTCTTAGGATCCAGATTGCGTAATTGCGCCCGGTGAGAATTGCCCTTCCCGGCCACAGAGGAAGGGGAGAACGAACCGACGCGGTGGGGCGCGCATTCGATGTGTGCAGCCGGAAAATGCCCCAAGCCCAGATTCAAGCCTGCAAACAATACATAATGGCCACATGCCAGACCCCCTGTCGAATGCACTCGCCGCTGAGGGTCAACGTGTGCCTATCCCATTTCCTTGGACACGTCCCACTACAATTATAGACAACGTCCCACTACAATTATAGACAGTTTCTATCTCACACTCCCTAATCGGTTCTTTTTTCGCCGACGAAAATAGCCACGTGCCTAAGATCTGGAGGAGCTTTCCGAATGCTCAGATCTTCCACGATAGAGCATCAAGCACAGTTTAGGGCCGCGTGGAAGGCACACACACTCCCGACTCCCGAATGCCGACGGAATGGCATTTGCTCCAGAGAGGCTCTTTCCTCGATAGCCGACTGTCACATGATACACCTTAACCTGCAAATACACCCAATGACAGCAGCGATGTCGACCCTGACTTTCCCTAGATCAGACTAATCGTTCTCGGTGAATCTTTGACCCGAAACGGAAGCGAGCGTGGGGGACCAGACAAATAATTTTTTGGGGACGATCTTGTTCCTCCGCTGGTACCCCAATGACGATATCTCTCATTTGGTTACCGTAGGATGATGCTGAAAGGTTTCCTAGACTTGAATAAAGGCCCCGCCATTGAAACCTGTCAATGCTTAAGTATTTGTCGAACAAACGCGTCAACAGCTGCATACAACAGCCAAATGATAGACATTCCGTTCAAGCTGAATACTGGAGCCCCCATCCCTGCATTGGGTTTAGGAACATGGCAAAGCCCCGAGGGACAAGTTCGTGATGCCGTAGCACACGCAATCAAATCTGGCTACCGACACATCGATTGTGCGTACGTGTACGGAAACGAGAAAGAAGTTGGAGAAGGCATCAAGGAGGGTCTAGCAGCGACAGGAATCTCTCGGTCAGATCTCTTCATCACCACCAAACTATGGTGCACATATCATACGCGAGCGGAACAGAATCTCGACATGAGCTTGAGCTTGCTGGGATTGGATTACGTGGATCTTTACCTGATGCACTGGCCTGTTGCTGTAAGTCTGCCCCTGCTTCTTCTCGACTCTTAATACCACAGTGCTGATCCCCTGTGTCTTGCAGATGAATCCCAACGGCAATCACGAAAAATTCCCAAAGTTGCCCGATGGTCGCAGAGACCTGGTCCGGGAGAGATCCCATGTGGACACCTACAAGGATATGGAAAAGCTGCTTCAGACTGGCAAAGTCAAGGCGATCGGCGTGTCTAACTACTCCAAGAAATATCTGGAAGAACTTCTTCCGAAAGTTAACGTTGTCCCCGCCGTCAACCAAGTCGAGAACCATCCGTTGTTGCCTCAACAAGAACTCGTCGATTTTTCCAAAGAGAAGGGCATCATCACCACCGCATATAGCCCCTTGGGCAGTACAGGAAGTCCACTATTCGAAGATCCCCACGTCGTCAAGTTGGCCGAGCAAAAGGGCGTCAGTCCAGGCACAATTCTGCTCAGCTACCATGTTGCACGAGGCGTCGTGGTCATTCCTAAATCTGTTACGCCCTCGCGAATCGAGGAGAACATGAAGATTGTGAATCTTTCCGAGAGTGACTTGGCCTCCTTGGCTGAAATCTCCAAGAACGGAGTCACTCGCTACATCTACCCAGAATTCGGCGTTGATTTTGGTTTCCCAGACAAATCTTGATTCCATTAGCCCGGTGTTGGAATGTCTAGGCAGATGGCGGTTCTGAGGAGCAATCTAACTTTGCATGCTAGAAACAGTCCTGCGTACAAAAAGGACAGGGGTCCCTGAATTGGCACATAGAGATCAGACTGGTCGGCAGACTTAGCATTCTTCTCGTCATACAACGCTTATACGGCGGAAAAGGCTCCCTCGCCGATGCATGATCCACCAATTCTGTAGCTTCCAGGCGTGCTTGTCAACCTGAGGAAGAATTTGATAGTTCAAAGAAGCGCTACCTCCGTGAATTGAACAATGTCCGAAAGTCTACCAAAACTTATCCCACGCTGACGTCGGGGCATCTCCCGGTACCAAGATAGTTAGTGACTTACTTGACGGAAGCCATTCTCCGGATTCTTTCCATTCTCGATACTCGTCCAGGCCTGCAGGGGGGCCGTTCAGGGGTGGGAGGAGATCGCCGCGTTTTGTCCTACCTCCTCGAACCAACAACGGAAACTTTGGCTGGGGCTATGACCCATGGCTATCTTTCCTATTGCCACTAGCCTCCCACCCCTTTCAAGCGACCAGCATTAGTCTTGGAGACGACCAACGCCCATGATGACTGGGACGTATCCAGTGCGGGAACCTTGGTTCTTGGGCAAGCCGGATATGCTGTGCGATGTGTAGAAAGCCAACCGGCGTTCCGCTCGGAACGCCCGCTGCCACTTCATTCAAGGTAATGCTTCGTGCTTTCCACTTCACATATGGAGATTCATGGGGTACTAGATTCCCCGAGTCCCGCTCTGCATGGGAGACACTTGGTCTCGTGTCCGACAGCGCTACACAACGTCCAAACGCAGCTGTGTGCCCCAATCTTGAGTGCTTGTCGAAGCCCCTTTGGAACCACCAGGATGAAAAAGTCAGGGTGATACAACAGTGGCATATATACTGGGAGCCGCCAAGTTGGACTCTTGGTGGTTTTGGAACATCTGATACTGCATTGCCAACCTCGGGCCTGGAAGTTCAACAAGACTTAGGAAGGCACTATATTCAACAAACAGGAGCTTTAGCATCACCAACACCCCAGCTCCAATGGTTCAGGAAATCGCCGAACCGTCCAGTATGTCTTCACAACCGAAGTTCCTTAATATTGCAGTCGTGGGCCTTGGTCGCATGGTCAGTCACCACTGATTGCCCCCCTGGCTTAGCACCACCAATACCAGCGTTTGTAACTATTCACTTCACCACAGAGGCACATTTCTCAATCATAATACTCACCAGAAGGATGCAGGGCAAGCGACATGTCTCGACATTGCTCAATAGAGTACCACGGGCTCGTGTTGTCGCGGTGTCAAGCTCAACACCGTCAGAAGTTGAATGGGCGCGCGCGGAACCAGACTATATTGATTTTGACATCAAGGTCTACGACACCTACGAAGAAATGCTGGAGCATCCGGGCTTGCAGGCTGTCTGGGTTTCGACGAGCACAGACGTGCATGCAATTCAGACCATCAGGGCTGTCAAGAAAGGCTTGCATGTTCTATGCGAGAAACCTTTAAGCACGAACATGGATGAAGTAAGTCTTTCAATTGGTCCTCAAGCAACCGTCTTGCGCAGCCTGCGTCCCTGTGCCAAGGCTCACTCCACTCCAGATCGATGCTGCCATTGCAGTTGCTGAAAGCCGACCCGACCTGAAGGTGATGGCCGGCTTCTCCCGCCGATTCGACGCTTCATATCGAGACGCCCATGAGAAAATAAAGTCCGGGGCCATCGGGGACACATACATGATCCGCAGCCAAACCGGAGACTTGCTAGACGAGACAGGCTTCTTCATAGCGTATGCCAAGCGCAACGGCGGCATCTTTGTGGACTGCACGATCCACGACATTGACTTGACGCTGTGGTTCCTGGACAATCCCAAGCCGAAGAGCTGCTACGCGGTGGGCACGTTGAAACACTACTCGGAGCTGGCTGAAGCGAACGACGTAGACAACGGTGTCGGAGTTGTTGAATACTACGGTGGGAAGATCGGGTATTATCTTGCGTCTCGGACGCAGGCATATGGACATGATGTAAGCACCGAAGTGACTGGAACTGAGGGCAAAGTGCAGATCAACCTGACACCTCGGGCCAACAACGTTGTGCTGGGCGACAGGCTGGGGCTGCGCCACGAAGTGCAGCCAGAATACTGGCAGCGATTTGAACACGCTTTTGCGACTGAAGCATCTGAGTTTGTGAATGCAGTTCTCAACGACACACCTGTGCCGCTGCCACTGGAAAGTGGGAGAATGGTCATGGTGATTGCAAGGGCATTGCAGGAGAGCCTTTGGACTGGGGAGCCCGTCAGGTTCAATGAAGATGGAACAAGAGTCTAGATAGTAGACATGCTGCCTTCTGCGACAGGCTATCATTTATAATAACTGTCGAACAAGTTGTGAAAGAGGAGCACGCTGGAGAGGAGAGAAGAACATTCAGGGTTGAAGCTAGTGATTCCGGCTATCCACTAACCACGTATTCAACCAATCACAGGCCACTTCATCGTAGCACTAAAACTAAGCTAATTCCGACCCTTGAGGTTTCCATCTCACTTTCACTTTATCCACAAGGAAGAAAACAAGACCGGGGACGTGCCTATGCATTCTTCGCATCTCTCTTTGCAGCTCGGTTGCGAGCAGTCCGAACAGCAGGCGCGCCCTTGTAGACATCGTTGAAATACTCCTGGGTGTCAGAGGTCAAACCAGCCTCCCAGCGGCGACGGGCGTTGACCTGCTTGCGTACTGTGCCGGTGTAGTCGGTATTGATGCCCTGGGCCTTGAAGTAGCCGAGCGTCTTTGGGTGTTGAAAGTCTGGGTTTGCGTTGATCTCCGTGGTACTTTTGTTGTGGAACTGCTTGAGATGATATTTGACTCCTGTGGCATTCGTGTACATGTGGAAGCACAGTGGGCAGCATGGTGGATCTGCAACGTCGGCGACGCGAGAAAGTTTCTTGTCCGGGATTGGCACGTCGGCTCCTCTGGGGGCTCGAGACGTGTAGACTGGTGGTCGTGTTTGAGCTGGGACAGGTGCAGTTATGGCAGAAGCTGAGGTGTCTGTGAGATCGTGGATGTTAGAACATATTTGCACCCTTTGTTTCTAGGTATTGGGCACCTAGCTACAAACCGAAAACGAGAGGACGGGGAGGGGCCATCGCTCCGAAAGAATCACTAGCTTCGTCCATTGTGGGTGCAGCTTCAAGAGCAGGATCGACGAGCGAGGATTGGAATGGTTCTCTGGCATTGCCGGAAGCTCCGTTGACAGTGGCACGCGGTCTCCCGCCCGTGAGCCTCAAGATGGCTGCTTCTGTTGCTAAAGTCAGCGACAGTTACAGATCCGTTGTGTTGGAAATCTTGATCTCGGCTTTCTCCAATCCCAGTTCTTCATCACATCTCTTAACCTTGCAACCACAAGCTTCCTGCAGACATGCGATGAAGTGGTATCCACAAGAGATGTGGTAAGACTTGCAGTGGGGTAATTGGAATGAGCACCGAGGGTTGACATTGTGGTTGGATGCGCATTTGTTTGGGAAGATTTTTTGATTGTCGAAGTGAAAGAAACTTACCAAGAGTCTCAGTAGCCTCAGCGGGGAATCTTGGATTGTTATCTTGAGAATAATCTTCCGGGCCATCGAAGAAGGAAAGGTCTGATTCGCTCAACTGGTCGCTCAACTGCGCGTTCAACGGCAAGCTGTCGTCGCCGTCGTCAATCTCAGGATAGATCGACATGGTCCCGTTAGAGCCTTGGACGTCTCGCGCGACGGCCAGGGTAACGTGGAGAAGGCGTGTCCTTGAGCGTCGCGCAACGGCCAAAGAACGATCAATGGGGAGTCAAGTGCTGGAAGAGGTTCTCCTTTGCGATGATCGCAAAGGAGAGATGATATCCAAATGTTTGAGCACCTTGTTGTTGAGAAATTTTCAAGAGATGAGTTGGTGGTGGGAAAAAAGCCCTCATATCGGAATCAGATCGTCGCGCTAGTTGATATAGGACTGAGAACTGAGGTGAAGGTACATACACGAGCAGTGAAGTCGTGGGGGTCAGGCAGTCCGCGGGCGGTCAAGAGAACATAATTCCGAGTAAGCAGTATACCTGCTCGCATCGGTGTGGGAGGACGCCATAAATACGGTGGTGAAAGCACAGTAGGGCGGTATGGAAGATGCCATAACTGTTCAAAACAACAGCGGCCGGACAGCTGGGCCCCCCAGCAAATTTCCAGCAAAACAGGAGCTCGACTTGCGCCAAAGATTTGAGGAGGGTTGTCCGCCATCTTGGTCGTGAATATTGACATCAGCCTCTCCGGAATGGTCGGAGAATGGCCTGGAATCTCCGTGTCTTCTCTAAATTGGCGTTCAGCCTTTGTCACCCGACTGACGGCGTTGTGTCTAGCCATGAAGGGCAAGCATTCCTGGACCATCTAATATAGGAAGCTGATTGCGAAAACATATCGACCCACTGCTCAACGGAGAGCCTTCCCAGACCGGCCGACAGCTTCAACATTGTCGAAGAAAGAGATCACACAGAAATAAGGACACCAACATCAAAGCTAAATAAAACCAGGCAGCAATCGTTAGGGAGAGATGAGTGAGAGCAAGGTGGGTAGGCCAGTCTTAAATAGTCCTTGGGCTGGGCTCCCACATGACAGGACCCTGAATGACCTGAAACAGGGGCCATCCTCGCCGTGGCTGGTGGCGTTGGTGAATTTCACACCTTCTTCATGATGACCAAGGGTGCTACAAGCAAGTGCTACTGGCTGCGATATGTCAGTCCAAGAGCCTGTCACGCGCGGCGGCCTGGAAGGGGTCAAGCAGGACCCGGAAAGATGGGAAAGAGAGCATATTCTACGACTTCAAAAGTTGAAATGGAGAGTGGAGGAAATCATTGGAAAATCAAGGTAGGTTCAGGCTACAAGATGCAGAGATGCAGCTACCTTGGTGGAAGGGAATGCATTCATTTGCGATATGAAAGCAGAAAGAATGACTGGGGTATTTCCACACGACACCAGGAAATCTCAAGACCAGACTACTTGGAAAGAAGATGAGCATGACTTGCGAGGAGATCCATCGATGATGTTATGGGCTGTCATTACTGACTCGAGAAAGACTCTGAGCTTCAATAGTGCGGAGTGGCAGCCTTCGGTGGGCCCACTCGGCAAAATGTGAGGATTCCGTTGCAAGCTCTGACACTCTCTGGACCGAATTGACAGATATGATGTACGCAGCACATGTGATGGACAGATTCGAGCAGCCAACATTCCTCGATATCGAACAGTAAGGAAATGTTACGGTGTGGACCGAGCTGTCCCAGGCCGAGGAGTGTCTTGGTTTCCGCCCCTGAACGCACTAGTTCTGAACGAATGCGAGTAGGTGCCGGCCTCAACTGGTATGGAAAAGGTTTTGCAAATGAGCAAAGAGGCGTTGGATCAGCGCAATTGGCCCGGACGTCATTGCCCTCCTTTTCCAGTCAATGGTCGGTCTTCTCTCGACCCATTTCTTGGAAGTGCCAACACGTCGATCGCCACGTCAAATCGCGGCGTTGGGGACTAGATAAAGCAAGAACTTCCACCGAGCTGCACAGCATCCTGGAACATCATTTGTTCACAAGTGTGCCATGCCCCCTCATCGGGGTCGTTGGATTCTTTGCGCCGACAAGACCTGACTCAGACAAACTATTAAAAAGCAGGTCAAAGTCGGCCCCAGGAGTGTCCGTTTTGCTTGCTCTGTGGACGTGGACACTGTGATCGGATTTCGTAACCGTCGCGGGTAGATCTGTCATTGCATTGGCAATCAACATGCTGATCATCTTTGCGATGTCTACGTGGCCAGTCATCAATCGCGGGATCGCAGGAATTGCCATTTTGATCTGTTGGACTGCAGTAGGTTCTGGGAGAGCTGACAACATGGCAGGGTTCAGGCTGACTTCCGATCCGTACGTGAAAGGGAGAGGTGAGCGACGGGCCTTTGGCGCAGGCTGTCGATGTATTCGATTTGCTCCCGTATATTGCGGTGGTGTCAAGGCTGTCGGGTTTCCGGCATGAGGTGTACTATTGCCACCCCGACGTGGTGTTCCTGCAAGCCTGCGCATGGTGAGTTGGCTTTGGCTTTGTTGCGTTCCATGGCTGCGACTGTGATTGATGCTGGTGCTGCTAATTTCATTTTCACCGAGTGTGAAATCAGAAGTGGAATGTGGCCGTTTGATGCCGCGAGATGATTTTGGCTCCATCTTCGCCGTTACCACGGCTACAGCGTTATCACCCAAGAATGCGTCAACACAACGAGTCGACTCCAAGGGGCCGGAATGCAACAACGCGCTTGTTGACTAAAGAACATACCGTTCCAAAGGTCGAATTTCTGAGACTTAAACGTAACTTGTGAGGTGTGAGTTTGTCTCAATGAGCTGGATCCGCAACAATGAAGATAGTGGGAACTCACCAGTCGAGCCAAAAGAATGGCGCGCTGGTCTGGCACAAAGGAACGTGTAGTGTCAAGGTGGGGAGTCAACGAACAACAGGTCAGGGGGCTCTATTCAGACTCAGAGCAGTCAAAGACAGAGGAATGGTACTGTTTGCCTGAATCATTGTGTTTGTCTACCTTTGTTGTTCTGTTTGCCAGAGATGAGAACTCATCCCTGCATTCACGAGAGATTCCGAACTCCGGCTTGTCATGTCCCCGTTCGTGCCTTCACCGAGGTATGATGACTGACTGGTGGCGGTCTTCAGGCTCCATGGTACTGTTTGCCTGCCAATTGTGACATCGCGTCCCCTTTCTTGTCTCTTTAAACGTTGCCAGCCTCGATTGCAGCCAAGCACTTCTCGAATTCATCCCAGTGAGACATGACATTCTTGCATCCCAGCTCAGCAAGTCTACCAGCAATCTCCTGCTTCTTCGCATCGGTATGGTACGAACCAACATAGCCGATGAGCGGAATCTTGGCTCGAACTGCAGCAGTTGCACCTGAGATGGAGTCTTCGATTGCAACACATTCTTCAGGCTTGGCACCATACTTCTCGAGAACATGAAGATAGATGGCGGGGTCCGGTTTGGAGGTAGGCTTGGGAAGCGAAGTGGCAGCGGAGTAGATTTCGTCGGTGGGGAAGTACTTCTCTTGACCGGCCTTTGCAATGGAGACACGAACACGGCGAAGAGCGGAGGAAGAGACGACAGCCAACTTGTACTTCTTGTCGTCGTAGAGTCTGGCGAGGACTTCGATAGAGCCATCACAAGGTTCAGCCTTTGCTTGGAGCTTGGCAATAACACGGGCGACTTCGGTCTGAACATAGCTCTCGAGCTCCTCTTGCTCTAGCTTGAAGTCGAATTGCTTCTGCAAGGTTGTCATCATGCCGCGGAAGTTCTGACCAACAAGGTTGACAATGAGGGATTCTCCAGTGTAATGTTGGTTGAGACATTGCTTACCCATGATTTCGTTGATGAGATCGGCGCAAGCTTCGAAGGCGAGATCCTCAGACTGGACAAGAGTATTGTCACAGTCGAAGAGTATGTACTTGATCTACAACAATTAGCACGAGGAATGCCCAGGTCAGCAGGAAGTTTGAAGCCTTACAGCCATGATTGCTTTGCTGTCGGATTGAAATCTTGCTTGTTTGGAAAGATCGGCACCTGGAAATGGATTGTTTCCTGCTCGCAGGCGGAGATCGTCAGGCTCACTCAGACCAAAAAAGGGAATCTCCTAGACTCACAGCACATTTGAGTAGCAAGACAGATGTTGATCAATGGTGCTGAGAGATGAGGAAGAGGAAGAGAGAAACTTAGGTAGGAAGCCGTAGGAGCAAACTACTAGCGTGAAAGGTGCGGGTGAAGAGCAGGACTGGCAGTGACAACAAACAAATACGTGAATGGATGAGGCCAAGGGAGAAGGAGGAAGGCAGATGGAGGATGGATTGCCGACAAGCAAACATTGCATGACGAAGACTAGTCCACGGGTCAATTCAGAACAACAAGTGGAACCATTTGATATTTAATGAAGCGTATCTGCAGCACTCTTGTTGCAAGGCTTAGTTGGCAATCACAGCCAGGGTTGAACGTCCTCAGGTTTGCCCACCTCCTGAGGAAGGGGGATGCGTTCTGTGAACGGCTTCTCGGTATCGACAAGGCTGCGCATCGTTGTAAGGATCAGCCGACCCGTCTGCTCTTCCTTTCTCTGGAGTCTCCAACTGTGGTAGATCTGCCACCACCACTCGTGTGTTTCGCCATCTCTCCCAAGATGGCCTGCAACTCCTTGTGGACCAAGCTGCCTCTCCCACGGTTTGTCCACAATGTAGTGAAGGACGACAAGCTTTTCATTCGACCAGATTCGAGGGTGCCAGTATCTCATCGTTTTCAACGCATTGAATTTCCATGACACAGGACACCACTTGTCCCTGTAGAACTCTGCCAGAAAGTCTTGATCAGGGAACTGATAGTCTTTCAGTGTCTCTGTGGTGTTGAAGTGTAAGAGCATCCTATTCCATAGATCCTCAGATGGATAGAAGAGAAACATTCCACCATTGAGCAGCTGATATGTCGGTCGGCTTGCAGCGGTGATAGGAGCGGCTACATCGTCTGGATGATTTAAAGGGGTGTATGCACAGTTTCCCTTTTGCCAATCTGCGGGTGCCCATGAATCGTGATCAAGATTGCAGACACAAGAGTGGTTGGCAGCCAGCCAATCCCGTCCAGGGAGCTCAATATCAAAGATCTCGTCCGGGTTTCGGAAGACGGCCATATCAGCATCTAAGAAGACGGCTCGAGTATAGCCAAGTGTGTATATCTGAAAAGCTCGGAGTTTGGTGAAGGTATCCTTGAAGCGCTCGGCCACACTACCTCTATTTTCTTGGTCCTTCCTCGGCAAGAGAAGTTTGACCTGCTGTAGTTGGATGCGACTATAGTTGTTCGCTTCTTCTTCCAGTGCAGCAATAGCATCTCTCCCCAGCGAGGCCGTGTATTGAATTATCAGAGGATATTTTGATGCGTGGAGATCGAGAGTATGGGCGAGAATGACTGCACCGGGCACATAAGAGGGCTTGGTCAGTAGTGTCACCCAGCAAGACTTTTCCGGGGATTCCTTTTGAGCTGGCATTGTTTAGTTAGGAGGAGGTGCAAAACCTACCAGAGAACATCAAAAAGCAAGGATTAAAGCATGGTAAGCCGCCATTGCAAAGGGGACCTATTCAATAAGCCAGAAAAACCCCTTCCATCTGCCACGATGAGAATGTTGCTGGGGCTTGGAAGTCATGGCGTCACTGTCTGAGGGAGCTGAAAGGTGATGTCAACAGCAACACATTCAGAATTGTAGGAGATATTTTGGACAGGAGGTCATTTCTGTTTAGAGGGTGTCAGGCCATTGATGACTGTACTAATCCTCCCATGGCTACAGTGGACTCCGTATGTATATTAATCATTATTGTTCTACGAGTAATCTCGCCTGGGGAATTTGAGAAATTGAGACACACGGAGGTCTGGGGACGCGTCTCGTGTCAGTCACATGCGGTCACATACTGGACGTAGTCACGTGCTTTGTGTGACCAAAGCGGTAAGGGCGCTCGGGCGCGGAAGGCGGGTGTCTCGTTTCTCCGCCGACGGGGCTGAAGTCAAACAACCAGCAAGTCTTTGTTGACACGAACCACCCCGTACCGCACCGCCGCCTCGTCACTGGTCAACCGCACATTTTACATACATACTCCCGTACTAACTTAAGTGGTAACATTTCGGACTCCTTCGTTCAGCTGCTGCATCTCTGCTCTGTGCGTGCTTCAGCCCATTACCCCTCCAAACACTCTACCGTTGCTCGGACCCGTATCTATTCTTCAACGGACCATCCTCATCCCTTTCTCCAGTTGTACGAACTTGCCCACTGTCTGACATGCAGCCATGGTACTGTTGGAGAAGCAATGGGTCAATGTCCAGGAGAAGACCTTCACCAAATGGTTTGTTCATGGCGCTGTTTCACTTCCTCCGTAGACCAACCAAACTAACTCCTGCAGGCTCAATAACAAAATATCTTCGAGAGATGTCGCAGTCAAATCGCTCGTTACAGACCTCGCGGACGGTATCATCCTTATACATCTGTTAGAAGTCCTTAGCAATGACTCACTCGGCCGTTATGCCTCCAATCCGCGCCTCCGGGTCCAGAAATTCGAAAATGTCAACAAGTCGCTGGAATTCATCAAGAGCCGTGGCATCTTGATGACAAACATAGGCGCCGAAGATGTTGTGGATGGAAACAGAAAGATCATATTGGGTCTAATATGGACCCTCATTCTACGCTTCACTATTTCCGATATTAATGAGGAGGGCATGACTGCCAAAGAGGGTCTGCTATTGTGGTGTCAGCGAAAAACCGCATGTTATGAAGGGGTCGAGGTCCGAGACTTTTCGACATCCTGGAATAATGGATTGGCTTTCTGTGCATTGTTGGATATTCATCGACCTGATCTAATTGATTTTGACACCTTGGACAAGTCGGATCACAGGGGTAATATGCAACTGGCGTTCGATATCGCGTCAAAAGAAATCGGAATACCCGCCCTTTTAGACGTTGAGGACGTGGCCGATGTCCCTCGGCCTGATGAACGATCACTCATGACATATATTGCTTATTGGTTTCACGCTTTTAGCGCAATGGAAAAGGTTGAGAATGCAGGTCGGCGGGTGGAAAAATTCGTCTCCAACATGCAAGGTGCCTGGGAGATGGAGTCCGCCTATGAGAAGAGAATGCGTGCTTTATTGCAGTACATCAGACAACAGAGACATGCATGGCACAATTCAACATTCCAAGGGACATACGCGGATGCGAAAGCCCAGGCAAATGATTTGGCGGGCTTCAAACGGAACCAGAAGCGGAAATGGGTTGCTGAGAAATCGGATCTGGCCGCGCTCCTCGGTAACATCAAGACCAAACTTTTGACATATCGTTTGCGACCCTATGTGCCACCCTCTGAGCTCCGCTTCGAGGTCCTGGATCAGGAATGGGCAGCGTTGGGTACTGATGAACATGCCCGAAGTAAGCTGATCAACGAGACCATCCGGGACATCAAGAACGGATTGAGGCGGAGCTTTGCTGACAAGGCTAATGACTTCGCTCTGACACTTAACACCTTGTCCCTTGCCGTGTCTGGCCTGGAGGGCGATGTCGAAGATCAACTCCAACACGCGCAACGACTTTCGGCCAACTTGGCACCTCTAGAACAATATCTGGAAGGAATAGCTATCCTGGACGAAAAGTGTCAAGAAGCCAACATCGACGAGAATGATTTCACCACATACACTTATGACGAACTGCTGTACGAGTTGAGCTTGGTGAAGACCAGCGTGCAGAAGAAACTCACCTTCCTTGAAAACCAAATGGTGGCCCGCAACATGACGAATCTAACCCCAATCCAATTGGAAGAATTTGAGTCGGTCTTTCGGCATTTCGACCGAGACGGCACCAATGCATTACAAGAATTAGAATTCAGCGCAGCCCTGGCGAGTCTGGGGCTGGTCTACGACGAGCAAGAGATGCATGAGAAGTTCCAGGAGGTCTGTCACACCGGTATTGATAGATCCATGTCCCCTGTGTCGAGGCGACAAAGAGAAAGCCATGGAGTTGGATTCGAGCAGTTTATTCGATTCATGGTGTTAGTGACAGAAGATCAAAACAGCGCCGATCAAGTCTTCCAATCCTTCCGTGAAGTGGCGGATGGGAAGCCTTACGTGACAGAAATGGATCTGAGGCATTCATTGATCCCTGAAGAACTTATTGAGGATCTTCTTCAAAGTATGCCCCAGCACAAAGGGCCAGATATGGAAGCAGATCGAAACGTGCCGAAATATGACTATATCTCATTCATGCAGGGCATGATTGGTGATGGCCACCATGAATCTGACAGCGATAGTGAGGGAGGAAGAAGCGGCTCCAACAGCGTCACTACGCCGACTACGCCCAGGAGGTAAAGAAGCAGGTTTCAGGTGGCACACCAACCACCTTTCTTTTTGTGGCTCTTTTAGATTCAGGGTCATATATGTCACTCTGTCCTTGATGTTTCTCGCACAGCCGTGGTGTTGGAATAAGCCTTGACTATTTATTTTGGATTGCTTTTGGGACAAGGCGGATCAGGGATTCAGGTTGGGCAAACAACTACTAGTTCCTTTTCCTCTAGAGGCAAGGAGACTACGATGATGGTATGAAACGTTTCAATCCAGCGATCGGTTACTCGGCCGGTCAATAGCAATGCTAAAAACTCAATACCAGCACGAATACATGGCTTACTACCTCATTTTTGATCAATATCGGCCGTCTAAATATGACTGTTTCCTATCTGGGACTAGATATGCCATCGATCAAGTGTAACATGTAGGTAACCCCCCTATAACACCACAAATAACTAACTGCGCCCATGAACCCAACGAACAAGGGGATACATACATACATAATAACACACCAGGTAGTGTACCGTGGTCTACAAACCTGTGGGCAGGGCAGTACCGAGGCAATTCTTCGGCTGATCCTTTTGCTAGGGCAAAATGCCACACCCAAAAATGCCTTGGTAGGTCCCTAGGGATATACCCCGCACGCCACAAGGACCTTATACCGCCCACCGGGAAACCCCCCTTCCTTGGGAGTTATCCAAGGCTGGGCCAGCCTGTCGACACAGCGTGCACGGGACGGGAGGCCGGCGCGCATGTGTGTTGCAATGTCGACAACGACATTGTCATGGCGCCTCACCTGAGTGAGTGTGCTGCCCCAATACCTGTGGGGCAAGGTACCAGGGTATGTCTGTAGATCGAGACCCGCGAGTGGCGACACGGTCAGGGCGCACAAGTCACCAACGAAGGGGAAAGGGGGGAAGGGAAGAAAACGGGGTCAAGTATGTATAGAGTACATCCTAGGAGTGATATCTTAATTGAGTACTGTGAAATGATTGACTTGAACGAGCTGGCGGGAGCCTGGCCCAACCAACTGTATAGCTCGGAGGGAGACAGGGTGTGGTTGACTCTGCACCCGAGGGCCGAACGGAGTGGAGGTGGAGGTGGGTGTTTGGGAGTTTTTGATTCAAGGCTTCTGGGTATGTACCGAGTATGTAGTTCCTAGTAATAGGATCGACATGATTCAAGGTGTCGAGCTTTTTCCGTGCGAGTGCACTCTCGTTCTCACGCTCTTAAGTATGCTTTTATTCTTCTCTTGCTTCTTTCTCGTATCCTAGGTACTCGCAGGGTGAGTAAAGGCTGGTGGCTGTACAGACATTGGGAATGCCGACCAGATAGAGACATATTCACCAAAGTCCACCGCATACCAGAGTGCAAGACGGATCAGCATCGATTCGAGTTTGCGATAGTGATCGTTCCTAACTGCATTCTCTGCGCTGGCTTTTGATCAAAAGTTGGGGCTGCTTTGTGATGACAGCTAGACGACACGGAATTTCAACGCATGCGCTTGGGACAGGACTCTAATTCCCGACAAGCAAGGTACGAAAGCTCAGAATCAAATAGAGGCGCAGATAGAGCGAGGCAAGAGCATTGACAAATGGCACCTCCAAGGATCTACAGGCCAGTGAAAGACTACACGATCCCGACACTGGACCTGTGCAGTCTGATCTACAGCTCTCCAGAGTCGCACAGCACGGAGAGCTCGGTGCTGCACATCGAAGCGGCAGAGCCATCGAACTGCGTTACGAAAGCGCAGGCGCGGACGTACACGCAGCGGGTGGCGTTTGGTCTGCGAAAGGCCTGCGGGATTGGCGCGAACGGCGCAGGCAAGGATGTCGTGGTAGTGATCTCAACGGGCCAGGTGCTGCTGGCACCGGTGTTTTATGGTGTCATTGCTGCAGGGGGCATATACTCGGCGGCGAGCTCGTCGTTCACGACGATAGAACTAGCGCGTCAGGTGAAGCAAGGTGATGCTAAGGCCGTCATTGCAAGTCCCGATTGTAAGGACGTTGCGGTCAAGGCTGCGCTGGAGTGTGGCTTGGATAGGAGTAAAGTGCTGGTCCTGGATAGCATGGGTGGCAAGCGATCGCTGAAGAGCGTGGACGGGTCTGGTAAGGACTTCATTGCCGGTGAGGAGAAGCACAACGAGCTCTTGAACTGGGAGGTTGTCACGGACAGCAACGTCCTGGAGAACAGGGCCATCTGTCTGTTGTATTCCAGCGGGACGACTGGTGTTCCCAAAGGTATGTCTTGCTTCTATGCAGTCCTCGGGCCTCGATGACCTAGTTGGACATCACCACTAAACAAGAAAACCGACAGGAGTCAATCTCACACACTTGAATATCGTCTCCGAAGGTCTGATCCCAGCGTACATGATACGGGAATGGATGCAGGACCAGCGACAGAAGGTTGCCAATTTCAAATTTGGATACCGGACCATCGCTCACCTCCCTGCCGCTCACATCGCGGGGTGTCAGGGTTACTTCGTGAACCCAGCCATCGCTGGGGGTCCCGTCTATTGGATGCCAAAATTCGACTTCGTCAAGTTCCTTGAATACAACCGCAAATTTGAGATCGAGTATTTCTTCACTGTGCCGCCGATATACCTGTTGATTGCGAAGAGTGCACTGGTGACAGATCAGTTCCGCTCCTTGATCCGCGCCGTTACTGGAGCGGCGCCGATGGGCCCAGAATTGCAGGCAATGGCGGAGCAGAAGCTCGGCTGCACAATTTCACAGACATGGGGCCTCAGTGAAACGACGGGGAGCGTGACCGCAATGCCGTGGGATCAAGACGATCAGACCGGTTCTATCTCCCCGTTAATGCCGAACGTGCGTATGCGGATCGTGGACGATGATGAGAATGACGTCGAAGAGGGGCAAGAAGGCGAATTCATTGTAAGTTTCACCTCCACTTGTCAAACCAAGTGTTTTTCCAAGTCCCAAGCACTGACCGACCGTCTCAACCTGCAGGTGCAAGGCCCGGTGGTGACAAAGGGTTACTGGCGCAACCCTGATTCGACAAAAGCGGCCTTCAGCCACGACGGGAAATGGTTCAAGACAGGAGACGTCGGCGTCATCCGGAACGGGAAGTTTTATATTGTCGACCGCAAGAAGGAGCTGATCAAGTACAAAGGCTTGCAAGTCGCCCCTGCCGAGTTGGAAGCCCTCCTACTCAGCCATGACCGGATCCTCGATGCGGCTGTCATCGGAGTTCCCGATCCTTCAGGCAGTGGCAACGAACTTCCCCGGGCGTATGTGGTGGCGGACAAGAACAAGATCGGGGAGGCGGAGATCAAGGAGTACGTGAAAATGAATCTCGCCCAGCACAAGCAATTGAGAGGTGGCTGCATCTTTCTTGATGCGATTCCGAAGAGCCCCAGTGGCAAGATCCTTAGGCGCGAGTTGAGGCATTTGGCGAAGAGGGAGGCTCAAGGCAATGCGAGGTTGTAATGCAGAGCAGGTACCGGCCTGTATAGAACAGGCTCAAAGATACAGATTAGAATTCTGGATATATTGCTAGATCGAGATATAGAGCAGAAGAGGAGTCGCAAATGTTGACATAAATAGAGAGAAGTCAGCATGTTAAGATAATGGACTTTTCCCTAGTGAGCCCATAATTAGTTTTAATGTTATACATAAATATTTGCCAACCCCTTTCTCGCACGTCAGGCGATGTTGATCTGTTCATTGAAGCCACCGCGCAAGCAGGCTAGTGCACTTACAATACAAGAGTTGCTATCGTTGTATTTGTCCACAGCCTGACCCGAGCTGATTCCCACCAAGCTCTCGTAGTCGAGGTGGAGGACCAATGGATAGGACATGGCCAAGTGATTCAGAACTCTGCAAGCCGCCGACAAGTCAGGAAACACATTTGAGATTTCCTTCTACGCTCGTGTGCCTATCTTTCAGGGAGAAGCGTGCAGGTGAGAAACCCGGGGCCAGACGGATTCTCTTGACCATCGGTTATTCGCAGGCCGCTCCTGGAGGTATCACAGGCGCTGTCCTTGTCGAACTGTTCAAGCATTAACGATCCCATACATATATCTGTGACCCCAGCGGAGTCTTCTTAGAGCTTCCAGACTTTCACGTCTTGCGGTGCTTTCGATAGAGCTGTCGAGATGAGGCCCCCAAGAGCGCCTTGCTCTTCTATTCCATGCTGCATCTCCTTCGGACCAGCCAGGTTAGAGATAAAGCCCGGCGGACCCGAGACCAACACTTCACTTTGACCATCGGTGGGGGCGTCCGCGGCCTGGAGCCTTGCCAAAGCCTTTGACACGGTATCCTGATCTATCCAGGTATTCTCTTCGTCGACAAAATACTCCACCGCCACTTGGTTGGGATACTTTTCTTTCAACGCCTCAAGCTCTCGAACTAGAAAGCTCTTGTCGTGAGGAGTGACCTTGTCTTCAGCCAATATTGATGGGGGAACTGGTTGTAGAATAGGTGGTGGCCGAGGTTGTTCCTTTCCGATCCATAGATTCGAAATAGATGTTAATAGGTTGGCCTTGAGCCTAAACTGAGACTTGGACTCGGACTGCCGGACGTTTGGCAATCGTGGGGAAGTATCGTTAAATCCTCCCTGACAGTCACTCCGCTTTCTACTCGCCCAGAGGATGTGCAACTTGCGAGTTGCAAGCTGTGCTGGATCGACAGTCCGATTGGTCTTAGTGTCGCCCAGCAAAGCATGAGCAACTTGCAAAGCCGGAGCAATACCCGTTCCACCAGCGAAGTACACGATTTGACGAACGTCAGGTCCCGATCTGAAGTCATAGTTCGGCCCTCTTACGCTAACTTCTGCATTTTTCGCCAGCGAATGAAGATAAGATGACATCTCGCCCTTGGGCTCGTTACGAATGAAGAATTTCAAACATCCTTTCCTCTCTTTACCATCGACATCACTCGGCGGGAGAGGTGTGTAGGGCCTCAAGATCTGCAACTGAGGTTGTCTGAACTCGACATTCCATACAGCTCCTGTTTTCCATGCTTTTCTCAGCTTGTCCGTCTCCTCTGCCTTGTATGCGTAGTCAAGGTAGTAAACGATGCCATTAAAAAGGGCGTGAAGCTGCCAATGTTCGTAGTCTCTATGATTCGGTTCGAGGTAAAAAATGCTTCCGGTAGTAGACACCGGCTCCTTTGCCACGAGTCGACATGGGAGGAAGCCCGCTCTTTTCTTTTCATTGTCCGCAAACTGAACAAGTGAAGCACCAACAAACACGCCAGCAAGGAGAAGAATCAACTTTCGGCGAAGTACATTCGGTCCCCTTTGCAGAAAGGTTTGCAGAAGGAATGACGCTCTCTTGCTGTCATCCCTCTCTTTAAGTTGTTGTTCAAGCCGGGATTTTTCACCATGGGATATCCTGCGCTTGTCCCCACCGAAATTCGCCTGCCGGGTGCACTTTGTGAACGATGCGTTGGTGAGGGTGTTAAAAGGGAACAGGACTCGGAGCGAGCATCTTGCAACTGTAGGAACTGCCCTGAAGAGGGCCATGAAATTGAGGCGTGGTTGGAAGCAGACATCAACGCAGACTTGAGATGGGCATTTGAGATGTTCGCGCGCTCGAAATTAGTTGGACTTCCATCGCAAACGAAATACTTCAATGCCGCTTTAACATCTCCGGTCCACAAGTCCCTCGCGGCCTTCCCGAGTGCCGCTTTGACAAAGATGCGAGCAACGACGATAGAGGGCACAATGGGCCTTTGTATGTTAAGAAAATTAACGATGAGATATTGAGAAGTGTGCCCCACTGCTATTGCTAAAACCTCATGACATATAGTACACCGACAACTTTTTCAAAAAATAAATGACTCGCCAGTGAACTTCGAGTACATGACATCGCATGTTAGCCTCCTCGACGTATTCGTGTTGAGCACGGGAGATCGCTTGGTCCGACGGAATAACTCGAATACAAATGTCAAACAAGACTCTCTTAGACTCGAGCAATTCATCGTCACGTTGTTGTTCATCCTGACCAGTTGACTCACTTCATTGAGCACACGAATCCAAAAGCTCCAGCGAGCGCCTGGCTTGACTGACACTAATAATACTGGTATGAGTGTACGCCGGACTCTATTTAAAGCTTCGCAAGTATCAACCTCCTCGCCTGGAATTACAACCAGATATTCTTCAGTCAGCACATTCCGCGTCTCTTATCCCAGTTCAAAGTTTTGCTCGTCTAACATGGCCCATGCACATCTCAACAAGAAGGCGCAAGAGCTCAAGGCACTGCATCAACCCGGGACGCCGGTGATCTTGGCCAACGTGTGGGACATGGCATCCGCACGGGCGGTCGGCTCCCTACCCAACGCCAAAGCCATTGCAACTGCGTCCTATGCTGTGGCACTGGCGAATGGCACAGAGGACGCGACCCTGACCCTGGACATCAATGTGTCGGCAACTCAAGCCATTGGAAAGATTGCCGCCGAGCTCGACAAACCATTGTCTGTCGACTTGCAGGACGGCTATGGCACTCGTCTTGAAGACGCCATTTCCGGTATCATTGCCGCTGGAGCGGTGGGTGCCAACATCGAAGACGTGGACAAGGATACTGGTGTGCAGTACTCACCCTCCGAAGCAGCAGATAGAATTGTTCGCGCATTGGCAACCGCGAAGAGCGCTGGAGTTCCTGACTTCGTTGTCAACGCCCGCTGTGATACCTTGCTCAGGGGAACTGGAGATGTGGCAGAGACTATCTCACGGGGCAAAAAGTATCTTGAAGCTGGCGCGACAACTGTTTTCGTCCTTGGAGGTTCTAAACGGGGTGGTTTGTCAAGCGAAGAGGTGAAGCAGTTGACCAAGGGACTGGATGGCAGATTGAATGTCTCTGTTGTCTTAGCAGAAGGGAAACTGACTGTGAAAGATGTGGAAGACATCGGCGTCAGCAGAATTAGCATTGGACCGCAATTGCTTCTAAAGGCAATGCAGGGTGTCAAGGCAGAAGCCGAAAAACTCCTGAGCAGGTCCTAGCGCCCTACTTCTAAACAGGACGATAGCAAATGATGCAACGATGCACTAAAGTACACACAATGGTACTGATTTGCCCTTGAAGGACGGACATGTCGTCATATCCATACTGTCAGGTGTAATATGTACAGGGACAGCTTGAGACTGTCTGCTTAATAACATCCTTACCAAACGCTCCTACCCATGACGAAGTAAAGATGCAACGCCAAAGGTCTCCCATTCAAAATGCCATTTTGGTGTCGCGCCTTAGGAATCGTCGACCAATCTTCTATCTAGCCATGCTTTCTTCGCAAGCTCATAAAGTGAATCAAAGTCGCCGCTTGTTTCACACATTGACCGGAACTGGCCATCTTCGTGTTGCATCAGCTCCCACGGATCATCATATTCAACAACTTCACCTTTATCCAGCACTAGGACTCGGTCGTAATCAATAATGGTTTGTAAACGATGTGCGATCGTGATGATTGTATTGTTCTTCAATTCTCTCAAGGTGTCTTGGATCTTTGAGTCAGTGGCATAGTCGATCGATGCTGTTGCTTCATCCATCACAAGCACTTTAGGGGCTTTCAGCAGTGCTCTTGCAAGGCACAGTAGTTGTCGCTGGCCTTGGGATAAGTTGGATCCGGATTCAGCAACGGGTGATGTCAGATCTCGGAAAATGTTCTTGTTGTCCTTGGTGTTGGTGGCAAAGCGAACGAGGGTCGATTCTGAAGTTTCTGTGCCCTTTGCTGATAGCGACGCGTGGCTCTCCGGTGGACTTGCACGCTCCCGAAGGGTGGGAGATCTGCTTGAGACTTCCAGAGGTGTCGTCGCTCCAGACCTTTCTGATTCGGTGTAAGGTCCAGATATCAGCTGAACACGACGGAGAGCGGTAAAAACTTCTTCATCCGTGAAAAGCTCAAATGGATCTAAATTTGACCGCAGAGTTCCGGTGAAGAGTGTGGGATCCTGCGGAACGATCGTGATGGCTTCTCGAAGATCTTGTAGTCCGACTAGAGCAATGTCAACATCATCAATAAGAATCTTGCCCCCCTCCGCTTCAAGTCCTCGAAACAACGCAAGTGCGAGAGAGCTCTTTCCTGCCCCAGTCCTACCAACAATGCCAACTTTCTGTGAGCCTTCGATCCGGAATGAAAGTCTTTTGAGCACAGGGTCTAGGTCAGGGCGGTATCTTGTACTGTAGCCCACGAATTGTACAGATCCTTGGCTTGGCCAGTTCGCAGCAGGCGCTGTTTCGGGGATCTTCGCCGGTGCTTCTTGTTCGACATCAATGTACTCCTGTAAGCGCTCAACTGAGTTCATATTTTGTTCATTGGCGGCATATAGACGAACAAGCCACAAGACATTCTGTGTGAAAGTAATGGCATACGATAGAGCCAAACCTGCCGCCCCTGGATCAATGGTGTTGGCGTTGATGACAACGAACATTGCCGAGAAGCAAGATACCAGGGCTCCGAAGAGATCAATTCTAAATGCAAGCCATCGGTTAGTGGCCCACAAATATATGAATGGTCGATTATATGTGTTCACGCGCAGGTTGCTTTCTTGAATGAACCGTGATTCGTCGCCATAGGCTCGAATGGTGACGACGCCAGAAAGTGTCTCTCCAAAGTGCTGGAACAGGGGACTGCGCTGCACTGATTCAATCCGTTTGAGATCCCGTGAAGAACGAATGTAAAATAGCCCGACAGCAGTGTACATCAGCGTGATGAAGAAGCCCGGAATAAGAAAGCCAGGGGTAATGACGGATATCAGCACCACAACAGTGAGGACGGATGCAGCACTATGGAGCATTCCTATAGCAACAGGCGCCACTTCTTGATCTAGAGCCTGCATATCTTTTGAAAATCGGTTTGTTAGTTGTCCGAGAGGTGTCGAATCGAAGAAGCGGAACTTGGCTCGAAGGATGCTGGTCAACAGGTTCTCATGTAGAACCCACGAGGCACGTAGAGAGCCCCAGAAGAGTATGAGCTCTCTCAAGAAGCAGATGATGACATAGGCAAGTCCAATGGCCGCATAGACGCCAAGGTAATATGCAGGATCAACATCATAAACAGTTTGCGTGATCCAATTGATCGAGACACCCCAGCTAGGAGGTACCAGCAGGTAGGAATTCCCGAGGTTCGAACTCGTCCCGTATGCACTGTCGCGATAGAAAGCGTGGACGGCAGCATGTGAGCTTGGGCCCTTCTTGAGGTGGTACGCGTTTGCCCATTGCCGAATCCACAGGTTCGTCGCCACGGATCCGATTTGGGTTGCAATAAAACCCGAAGCTGCAAATATCCAATAATACCATGGGCCCATAGCCCTCAGGTACATTGTGATTGTGGACAGCTTGACGCTACCAGAAGCCTTGCCTTCCAACCTATGGTCAACAAATTCTCTGTCGGGCTTGTTGATTCTTGCCTTTCTCTTATTCGCTGCTCGGGAATGAGGTGCCACCGTTCCATTGACTTTCTGGCCATAGAGCCTTGAGGTCTCTTCCTCCAAATTTGATGGCACTCGTGAGGGTGCGGCTGAACCTGCTCTCGAGACCGGACGGGATTTCATCATGTCCTCACCAAGCGATCCACTCTCGACGACCTCTTGTGGAGTGCCTTTGGAGATGATTTTGCCATTTTGCAGAACGACCACTAAGCTCGCTAACGGGATCGTGAGGGAAAGATTGTGTGAAACCAGAATGCAAGTTCGATGGGCCATTAATGTACCTGTCAAGGCTTCCTCAAAAATGTGCTTGGCCGTATGAGCATCGACCGCACTAAGACAATCGTCGAGCAGGACATGCTTCGAATTAGAATATATTGCACGAGCAAGGGAAATCCTTTGTTTCTGTCCACCTGACATGGTAATGCCCTTTTCTCCCACCAAAGTCTGATCACCAGCATCGAGAATCTCGAGATCTCGCTCAAGGGCGCAGATTGAAATGACATCATGATATCGATCCTCGTCATAGGGGCTGGCGAAAAGAATGTTGTCTTTGATAGTTGCATTGACTAACCATGCTTGTTGCGCGCAATAAGCCACGCTTTCGGTCAACCTAGTAACCGGGTCAGGTTGCAATTCCTGTCGAACCGACCCACCGGGTATGTAGACATTTCCGCCCAGCAGTTGCATTTCTCCGAGTAAAGCCATGAGCAGGGAAGTCTTCCCAGATCCTGTAGGGCCGGCAATAACATTGAGCTGGCCAATGGCAAAATCAACATCAACATTGATGAGCCGAAATGCGGCTTGATCGTCGGGGCCAATGGTACCCCAGGTCAATGTCGCCTGCTCAAGAGCTATACGGGTGACATTGCGACTCGCTCTCTTGCTCTGGCGTAATTGGAGATATTTTTCGGTCTCTTCTTCTTCGAGAAATTCCTCCACTCTGTCGACCGACACTTTCGATTCTTGTACGTGGGCCACCATGTCAGCAAGCTGATCAAGAGGCACACGTAACAAGGAAAACAAGGAGAGCGCCGGGAAAGCGATTGATGGTACCAGAGGTTGCTTCTCGATGACGGTGTACAAGAAAAAGGAGGTAAATGTGATCAGAATTGGCACTCCACTCCAGACAGTAGCTGCAGCGGACCACAACACATATTTTCGCCAAAGAGCTTGTAGCTCAATATTCCTCTTCTCGTTAACATTATTTGCAAAACGCTGTTCCCATGCAAAGTATTTGATGATCCGAATGTTTTGCAAGACTTCGTTTGTGACGTGAATTCTGCCGTCAGTAGCGAGCATGATCCTCTTTTGAGCGGATTGGAATGATTTTGCGATCCAAAGGTTTATAGGGAGCAATAAACCCATGAGGAAAATGCCAGCAAATGAGCTGAAGCCCAAGACCTTGTAGAGCAAGCTCACTGCCATGACTATCTCAACAGGCACGGCAGCCCAAAGAAAGTGCAAATAGGCACATACCTCAGCGACCTTGAACGAGTCGATTGACATGAGGTTGATGACAGTACCATTTTTGGCCTGACCGCCAGGAGCCTTCTTCCCAACTGGAGACCCTGCTTTTGCTGGTTGTGCTTTGAGAGATGGATTTTTCCAGCAGGATCGTATTTTCGCCCATAGGGAACGATCTTCCTGCGGTTCTTCCTTGCCCAGGTCGGACTCAAGACTAGCAGCGGCCTTTCTCCGTAAGGTCTTTGAATAGAGCTCACCAACAATGATGGCGCGAAGTTGGATACAGGCCTTTCGTCCCATCCATAGAGATCGACCGTCGCCAACGGCTTGTACAGCTCCGGTTACAAATAAGAGGATGACATAGAGCCAAGCGGCGCTGCGTGGAATCTTGTCTTGATTTTCCAGGAATTCGAGGATGGCCTTCAGGAAAAGGGTCGGCAGGAACATGAAAGTAGCGGCAAGCATACACCAAGCGCCTTGAATCAACAGAAGCGTCTTAAAGTGCAAGAGTAAACGCACGGCCAAGGTGTGGGTCTTTCGAATTTGACGGAATTGAGCCAGCACATGCTCAGCCTTGTCTTCAATAGTCAAGTTCCACACGTCCACCAATTCGAGAGTTTTCTTGTAGCCGCGCCACACGATCGGATCAACCCAACTGAAGGTGACCAGAGAAAGAACACTTGCCAATGGTTCTTGTGAAGGCTCGATGTCGCCCTCGTGCTCAAGCAAGACCCCTTTGTTCCCCTTCCGTGAGATCAAGACAACCACAACAAGGCAAGTTACGATTGCGAAACTAGCGATGACCAAAAAATAAAAAGGGTGATAACGGGGATTGAGGATCACTGATCGAAAGATCCAGACTTGCAAAAGCCATTGAGTGCCATAGATGATCGCGCTATGATTCCAAAGGCCTTGAAGAGGAGCTTTCCATGTCGTCGTGGAAGCCAGCAGGCGCACACCAGCAAGGATTGCGAGATAGAGATAGACGACGGTCTGAGCTATTGTCGGAGTCCACTCATGCCTAGAAGCCAGTGTGACTTGCAGAAAGCTGAGGACGAGCTGCACGGCCACGAGGAGGAATTCAATGGTCACCAGAAAGACTTCCCCGGTTGGGCGGTCCACGTCTTTCACAGGCTCATGCACATGGCTGGCAGTCCGTTGTAAGGTGAGATCTTCCAGGTCTTCTTCATCATCACTTGAAACTGTGTCCACCAAGACGTTGTCGTTGGGTGGTGGAGCTTGAGGGTATGAGGCCCGGCGAACTGCTTGCAGGATCAGAAGCAGAAAGGATAGTGCGCATGCGAGCAGTGGGAACAAAGTCTGGAGGTATCTGGTAAGACCGACAGTCAGCAGTTCGAAGCATCGATCGAAATTTGGGTTGGAAGAGGATAGCATACTCGTCTTGGAAACAATGGCTCAAATCATCGATTCGCCATATTGGGCCTTTACAACGCGCGAACATTGCCACGGACTGTTCACCAAACCGCAAGTAGGATCAGAAAGGCCTTCCTCATCTCTGCCAATATGATGCACAATAGCAAGATTGACAAAAGCCTTGATGGTAGGAGATGAGAAGGCCACTCGAGGGACGACGGATATTGGATTTGGGGGGCACGAAATAGTCAAGACGCAAAGACTCAAAAGATGAGTGGGTTGTTTAATTAGTGCTAGACTGCTGGTACTCGGTACAAGTGGATGTGGCAGTATTGTGGAGTTTGATGATGCATTGGCGGCTTCTTTCTCGACGTCGTGATTTCGGGAGGGCAGCCGACAGGGGTTTTGACACTACGAACTACGAGGCACGGAGTACGGGTAACATGGACGGCAGCATTGTTATTAGTAACTACCCTATTAAACACTAAGAAAGTGCCTGTCGTGAAAACGTTTCTCTAAGGCCACTTGGCTGGGAGTTGCACGAATCATAGAACAACAGAGATAAAGGCAGCAAGGTCGACTGCTGGGCGGGTACGGAATATAGTAATCTAGCATGCGGATGGTCCAGTGCTAACTTAGGCGGTGACGGGGTACCTGGGTAGTTCTCGTAACTACAGTGCGAGGTTCCAAATGGAGGGGCCGAGGGGACCGTTGACTCAAACTGATAAGGCATGTGCTCATGCCCGGGGCACTGATGTTGGAGATACTTTTGGGCGTACCGAGTGCCCCGTAGTAATACTACGTACATTGTGTAATAACAGTTCGACCCGTTGGGCGGTGAAGAGGCCACTGCTCGGAGGGAGGCAACTCGGCTGCAGCGGCAGAGCGGTCACGAAGAGCAAACCACGTGAGGTACAGAGTACCCAGGTAGGTCCCAAGGCCACGGATATTCGACGGGGGCGCCACCTTATCCGCGAGTCGGGCGTCATTCTGTAGCCACTAACGACAAGACATGCCCCCCGTACCGACTGCTCTTTACACCGCGTAATTAATACCTCGTTCTGGCCGTTCCATGCCTAGAACCTCGACCATGCATACGCCTGAAAGGCTCCTACTTGTACTGGGGTTCCTATGACTTACTTCCATCTCACGATCATGTAATCGCCCTAAATCTCGCCGCCAGCCGCCAACCCTTCTTCTGGCATATGCCTATTGCTCTTTCTTCTGTCTATTCTGTCTCGGTTCTACCGTTGTGCCTTCACTGATTTCCCCCTGAGGCCTCTCCTAAACACTCGGAAACCAACTACCTGCCTGACACGACAATCCACTGCCTGCTTCAATCCGAATTCGAATCCTCCATTCATTCACCCCTTCTACTCCTACTTGTCTGGTGAACGATGCCCATTCAACGACAATAACACTCCCTTGGGCCCAGGAACCATTCAAATTCTCACTTCACCACGCGAGCACCCTACTCCTCCGCTGCTTCTAATCAGGTCATCTGTGTTCCCTCCCTATAACCTTCTTCAACCTTCTACTTTCAACCCCATCCTCTGTCAAGTCACCCACACCACCCATCTCCTGATCCTTGCGTTGACACGTCCCTATCGTCTGGTTGCACCCGTCACCCTACCAGCCCATCATGTCTCAGACCGTGCTCATGAAGGAGTATAAGGCTTTGGCCAAAGAGAAATGGGTACAGATCGACGTGAGTCATGTGGACGACTTCCCATCCTGCGTACACCACTAACCCAGCTAGATCGACGAGGAGAATATCTACCATTGGAATCTGGCACTGATGGTCCTGAACCCTGACTCTCTTTACTATGGAGGCTATTTCAAAGCACAAATGACCTTTCCCAAGGACTACCCTTACAAACCGCCAGGTCAGTAGATCTATCCTGTTCATGCTCCCAGCTGACCACTCCCTCTAGACTTCCGTTTCACCAAACCACTGTGGCATCCCAATATCTACGCCGATGGTCGGCTGTGCATATCCATCCTACACGCACCCGGCGAAGATCTCATGTCTGGTGAATCTGCCGGCGAACGGTGGTCCCCAGCACAGCGAGTAGAGTCCGTCCTCATCTCTATTCTTTCTCTACTCGATGATGCCGAAATCTCATCCCCCGCCAACGTCGATGCTAGCGTAATGTTCAGAGACGATAAGGAGGCATTCAAGGCTCGAGTCAAGCAAGACGTGGACGCATCCAAGATCGACATTCCCAAGGGCTTCGTTCTGCCTACGCACGAATCGTCCAAACCTGTCATGGAGAAGATCGACGATGACTTTTGGAATGATAGCGACGCCGAAGATGTGGACTTCGATGACTTCGACGACTTCGACGACGATGCAGCCAATGGAAGTGAATCCGATGCTGACCTCAACAATGAATCGGAAGATGATGAGAACTACGATGACGATGTGGACGACGAGGACACCGAGCATGGAAGGAGCCATGGGAAGGGGAAGGCACGTGAGGACAGACTGGACTCCGATATGACTCAGCCGGATGATTGAGGGCAGACAAGAACTGGTCACGTGCTCTTCATACGACGCAGTGATAGCGGTCTTTTCATCACCTCCAGCAGGACTCATTTCCCTTTTATTCGGTTGCAATCATCGTACGAATATTCTGATTCAGCGACGGCGCCTTGGGGTTGAACTGCACCAACATGTGCAGCGGATACTTGTGGCTGGATCTGCATCAATCCAGAATGGGGGATTTCCTTGATTCTGTTATGCATGGCAAACCGGTCGGACTTCAGGCTTATCGTGAGGAGGCGTTAACATGGATAGGGTTGCGGATCTTCTTAGCGCCAATTAGTATGCTCAACATGTTGAAGCTCTTCAAAGGCATCCGGTGCACTGCTGGCGTCCCAGTCATTCTCCCTTTATTTTATTAAATCCTCTAACGCACTCGGCGATTCTCTACCTTCTGTTCCAAGCGCTCTCTAGAGCATGTGCTTAGTCGCGCCCTCAGCTTCCCTGGCAAGCTTCAAGATGAGATCAACGCACTTCTCAGGTTGTTCCTGATTGACCCAGTGGCCTGCGCCCTCGATCAGTTCCGTGCCGCGATAGAAGCTGTTCCCGACACTCTTCCCATCTTCCATGGCCTCCACCGCCCCGGGCTCCTGGTAGGTGCCCCAATCGCTCTTGCCAGCGACAAAGACGGTCGGTACGCTGATCTTCGCGCCCGCCCACACAATCCCGTCGCTCGCGATCTCCGGCTGCGTCTGCACGCCGTACCAGTTCAAGCCGCCACGGAAGCTGGTGCGGCCCCATTCGTCCGCGTAGACGGCCAGCTCGGCGTCGGGGAGCCAGCGCTGTGCACGTTCCAAGACCTGCTGTGGGTTCTCGTCGGCCATGTCGCGCGCAACCGCTTCCCGCATGCTGTCATCTCGGTCCATGATGTAATACCGTGGCATCTTGGCCAGTTCGGGCGCGGTCCAGCCGGTCAATGCGTGCGGCGAGTTGCCGTCCCAGTCGGCGGACTTCAGGTGGAAGTAGCCGCGGAGGAAGGCGTGTAGGGGTGGCCCTGTTGGGTTGGTCATCTCGTCGTTCGCCGGCGCGGTGCAGTAGTACCACTTGTAGTGTTTCCTGGGCCGTGGAAGTTCGGAGAGGGCGCGTTGAATGTCTGTGCGGGGAGGCGGAGGTGCAGAGGGTTCGCCGTAGGAAGGGGAGGCGGAGAAGGGGATGGAGCTGGCGACGCCTTTGGTCGGGTGCGACATCATGACTAGTGATTGGAATAGGTCGGGACGCGCCAGGGCGCTCAGGCTCGCGGTCACGGCGCCGAAGTCATGTCCGACGATGGCGCTGACGGAGGAGTATCCCAGTGCCTGGACAAGCGTCACGGTGTCCTTGATCAGATTCAGCGGGCGGAATGAACTGGCTTCGAGAGGACGGGGCGAGAAGGTACGTCCATAGCCTCGCTGGTCGAAGGCAACGGCATGGTAGCCTTGTGAGGACAGCCGCGGCAGGATCTTCCGCCAGGAATAGGCCAGTTCGGGGAATCCGTGGACCAGGAGGATGAGTTGGGGCTTGGGCCCTGATGGCGGAAGGTTTGAGGGAAGTGACTCGAGAATGTGGAAGACAAGGCTCTGCGGGGTGGTATCCACGAACCGTGAGGTGACACCTGGTGGGAGTCGGAGTGGTGGGAGGGTTGTTGGGTCGGTCGAGTCTGGTGACGAGTCTTGATGTGTATATGCCATTGTTCTTTGGGAGTTGATGGGGAAATAGGGACTTCTCTTGAATGTAGGGTATCAACTTACTCGTCGCACATGTGGGACGGTTTTATACCAATGCTGGCGAGGACTAGGTACGGAGTACGAAATATTAGTCAAGGGCGATGCGGGGATCCGTCCATGGCGGTCTGATCTGGGTAAATTTTTGGCCGAGGGCAGTGTTATGATGCATCTAGTCAACGCCTCAGCACTTGCAAGGCTGGCGGAGGCCAGGAGTAAAGATCGGGCCCCTCCTTGTTGGCCGCGGTAAACAGTTACGATACCACTACCCCTAGGAGAAGTCGTCTTTGGAGGAAAGCATGTCACGTGGTTGGAGCAGTGGTGAGTGGTGATGCTGTGGATGTGAATTTTTGGACCTGTCTCATCGTAGGGTTACCCCAGGTAGCTGAAGGAAGAAAACAGGACTCCGGAGCACTGGAAGTTGGATTGGCACGTGGATGGCGAATCCTCCATGAGATGATTTGCAAAAGTTAAAAGGTTGGTATGACCATCTCCTGAGTCCTGTCCTCCACACAGGAGAGAGCCAGACTCCCTTTGAGGTGGATGTTCAGCTCATGACGGATGTTCAGAGTGCCACCAGGATTGATTTGGGACGAGATGACGTAATGGAGCTATCCACCGCTGCGCCGCCAGCCAGTGCCGATAGTGGACTAGTCTGGCCACTTGGAGTGGCACTCGAAGCAGAGTGGCTGTCCGCCTAACCTTATTATGATTGTTCCGCCCGTGGCCGCAAATGTTTGCTTGGCATGCTTGCTGATCCCACTGATCTGATCTGAGGACTGAGGACTGATGGGCCATAGCTGAGGAGTCTCTGCGACTCTGCAGGCTGGTCTCGGTGGTCTGTGGGTGAGCCACTCCCGCCATGCTGCTCCATCGGGTCTTGCTTGAGAAGTTAGAAGTTAGAAGTTAGAACCAGAGAGCTAGAGAACTAAGGAATTTCCCCAAAGCTGAGCCACATCACAATCTGCATCTCACAACTTTTCTTGCCATTCGAGCTGTTCATGGCCCATCATACCTAGAACTGAAAGCTCCACTCGTTCGGTATACCGTCGGTCCCTAGCACCACCTACAAGTACCTACGACTTAGTACAGCAGTTACCACTGCGACCACTGGCCATCACCACCACCAACTCACTCCTGCATCTCTCGATTCTTTCTTTTGCCTGCACTTGTGCCATCAACGCACCTCCATCATCAGCACTCCTTCTTTACTTTCCGATATCACCTGTCCTGCTCCATCCCATCCTTCATGGTCGGACACCCTTCAGGCACCGACATGGGGCTCCCTCGTCTCGTATTTGCAGCCACTCGATAGCGACCACGCAGCCACCTCATATCCACCTGTACATAGTCCCTCTATCCTATTCTGATTAATACTCATCTACCTGCGCGGCACTATCGCCATGAATCCGTTCAATCGACGAAGCAGGTCCGCCTCGGCCTCGGTAAGTGCTATCATCATCATCTCTTCCTTGCATCCGGCCTCCCTTCACCTCTTTCCATCCAAGTGCTGACCTCTTCTTACTGCAGCGCCCCCAGAACAACAATGCTTCGGCCTCAGCTCATGTCGCCGCCACCCAGGCCTTTCTGGCCAGCCGTGCTTCGCAGGCGAACCTGTCATCTTCCGCTGCAGCCGCTGCTCTCAGGGCTCTGACTCCGCCCCCAACCCAAGTCAGTCAGGTGCAGACAAAACGCATGGTGCAGAAGCGGGCGTCCATGTCCTCCGTCACAGGCTCAGCTAGAGGGAGACCTGCTGCTCTACAAAGGCAAGGCAGTTCTTCGTCCATGACCGAGAGGACCTTTCGAACACCCTCGCCGTCTCCCTCCAGAGCAGCATCACGCCCTGAACCTAACGTGCATCCGCCCGTTCCTGCCCTACCTCACAGCTATGCGAACAGTCCGACCGCTGCGCCAAAGCCGAAACCTTCCAAGCAGCGCGTTCCTAGTCAAGACGCTCCTGCTCCGCGTCCGTCTTCTCCGCCAGCAGCGCGACCCAACAAACAAGGCCAAAGTTCTGATCCCTTCGGAACACAACCACAACCACAGCAGCAACGGCAAACACCTGCCGCAGTACGCAGGCCTGACCTGGCTGTTCCCAATGAGCTCGAACGTACAGACAGTAGGAACTCTGTCAACTTCTCCCGGCCCTTGTCTCCCCGACCTCAATCTCCTGTCCCACAGTCACCTGTCGCAAACCCCTTCATGCTCACAAATGGTGATCGCTTTCCGCCAAATATTGTAGCATCTATCTCTCCTGCCCAGGCTGACGACATCCAATACGGTCTAACACAAGTTGCCAACCAGCCAGTGAAGAAAAAGAAAAAGAAGGTCGCTAGTCACGCCGCCGAAGGCAGCCATCTTCATGATGGCACTATGGCAAGCAGACCGGTGGTAACACCGCTCGAATCCGGTCCTCTACATATGGAACACTCTTTGCCTCGAGACCAGCAGCAACCTGTGCCGAAGAAGAAGAAGAAAAAGAAGAAAGCTGCAGTGACGGGCGAAGCCTCTCATTTTTCTACCACCGACTATAGCGATTATACGGAACAGACCGATTTCGGTCCGCGGCCTGACTCGGACTCGGATTCCAACACGGAAAGGACCAAAGAAAAGCGCGCCCAGAGAGCCTCGGGGGTATTGCAGAAGCAGCCCTCTATAGTGAAAGAGGACTGGGAAGGCGAACAGCAGGAACAAGTTACTCCCACTCTCGGTCAAAACGATGTAGCATCAGCACAAGGCTCAACACAGATCGCCACATCTTCAAATCCACCTACAACACGGTCATTGACTGCAGCCAATGTGTCTAGGAAGATGGGTGAGCCCACTCCTGTCCCGAAATCACGCGCCCAGCCAGCAGTCGCTGACTATAATGCATTCACTACCGCAGAACAATCAGATTCATCCGTCGCTTCATCCAATAACCTCCAGGTTCAAGCTCCCCAGTCTGCCAGGGGCTCATCCTTGAGCCCTTCTCGGTCTACAAGATTCTCAGAAAGCCTTTCCTCAGATCTTGCCGCGGGCCGAAAGCATGATCCACTTCCACGATCTGTCTCACCCGCTAAATCAGCACTGAAGCACCATTCACCGGCACCAAGCGGTTCCCCACTGGATCCCAGTTTTAACAGACCCAGGGGTGCTAGTGCCACCCCGAGCGAGACTTCAGATATCTCCACCACGGAAGCTGAGACTCTTCCTAAACACAAGAAATCTGCTCGTGTCAGCTTTGATGCAGCACCAGAAGTCGTTGGGGAACCCGCGTCTGGTGAAGCCTTTGAGAGTCCGAGTAAAGAGAAGAAGAGTTGGCTTGGTCTTGGGAAGAGCAAACCTACACTTTCCACCATTCCGTCCAATGACGACATGGAGGAGTTGATGAAGCCTCGCCCACAACTTCCATCTTTCGGCAGTGTACGTGGTCAGAACTTACGTGGTGGAAATGATTTGAGCAGTGGACAAAGAGCTGTATCTTCGGAGAATCGTCCTCAGTACTCGAACGACGCCAAAGCTACGGCCTCCTCAATAGCTTCGTCTGAAACTTCATCGAGCTCGTTAAATAATCCAACGCCGACTGGCGTTTCGAATGACCACCTTGTTGGCGCTATTTTTGCACAGGAAGCTCAGAGAACTTCGCAGCCGAAATCCGGACCCAATGATCCTCTACCTCCCGAGGTCACTTCGGTTGAAGGTGGCGTCTCGTTTTCTGATTCCGAAAGTGCAACTTCGGATGAAGACGATGAGATTGTCAAGGCGGCCCCTGCTGCTGAGGGGATCGTGGTACGAGATGCGCCGGCTCCAAAGCCGCCAACCCTTTTCGTGACATCCGCACCAGCTGCAAGCCCACCTACTGCGCTTCCATCGCAAACAGAGGTACCATTACTGTCAGTTTCACCACCTACACCAGCTCTAGAGGGAAACAAGCCAAATGATCAGTGGCTGGTCGAGGTTCCTGGTGGCTTCCCGGTTTCCAGTGACGCCTTGGCTCAGCTTAACGAGTCGAACAAGGCTCGCACAGGCACTGGTGAACTCGCCGCTACTTCGAATGGCCTCGGCGTCAACGTACCTAGTGAGAGTGAATCCGACAACGATAGCATCTACAGTGATGCTGCAGAAGATCCCTCTGAACTTGACGGGACCGGCTTTGGATCGATCGATGCGATCGTCGACAGTCCAGTGATTGTGGCTCCATCACCCCGGCTCGCTACAGTTCCCGAAAGCCCTCTTGCACGAGTGACTGAACGCCGGTTTCCTGAGCCAGACCCTCATAGTCCATCATGGGAAGAGACGCAAGCTCGCTGGAGCAATATCGCAGAACAGACAAAGCAATCGCCCTTGGCTACACCACCAGCTGCTCAGCAGCTAGGACAACAGCAACCTCAAGTACCAGCAACTCAAACAACACTGACACAACCAATCGTCGGCGCTCAACCTCAACAGACTCAGCAGAAAAAGCCAACTCAGCCCAGTCAGTCGAGGAAGAAAAAGAAGCAGTCGCCGTTGCCAGACACCGTTGCTGCGGCCCCAGTCTCAGCCGCTTTCATGGCTGCACGTGGTGTTGTCCCCGAATCACCACTTCGCCAAAAGAACCAACCCTCTGCGTACCCTGCCATTCAGCAACAAAGGATTGACAGTTCTCCACCAGCACAACAATTCAGGCAATCGATGCGGACCACTTCGCCGCCCGCACCAGAGCCCAGCTTCAAGCAGTCGCTACGTGGTGAGAATCGCCACTCGATGCCCAATCCCGCAGCCAACCAGCCCAAGCAGAAGCGATTCTCGCAGCCTCCTCCACCAACAATTCCTGCAGTGCAGGCGCAGGTTGCTGTGAAACCCGCAACACAGCCACGAGCCGCACTCCAGAAGAAACATATACCGCCGCAAGCCGCCCCGACTACCGGCATTCCAGCTCAGAAGCAGAGACCGCCACCGCCGCCAATCCCGACGAATGATAGTGATTCAGAAAGCTCGTTCAGGAAAGCACGGCGCAGTAAATCAGCTTCGGGAGGAAAGTACACCATGCGTCGGAGTATGCGTGGAAGTGCCGACTCTTCTCTGGCAGATCCTCGAAATGGGGTCCGATCGGTATCACCTCTTGGTCGACGACCGTTCTCCCCACCAGCAGGACCACATTCAATGAGAACTTCGATGAGAGGTGCCATGGACAACACGCCGACTCTGCGCGGATCAACTGACACAAAACGATCTTCCTCTCTCTTTGGTCGGCGGCAAACGAGTCGACCTCCAGCTGCTCCGGCAGTTAGTAGTACTGGCTTCGAAAGCAAGACTAAATCGCGGATCGTGGACTCAGATGATGAAGATAACTCGCCGCGGCCAACGAAGTGGAGATCTCGGTTCGCTGACGACAGCGATGATGACCCGGAATTCACTCCAGTTCGAGGGATCCCTCGACGAGCGAATAATGATGACTCGACTGACTTAGAGGATAGCTCAGATGAGGAAAAGGCACCGGTACGAGCAGCACCCAAGCTTGTAGTTGCGACGAATAACACGACAACACCTGGTGGAGTGCCAGAGCCACCAGCAAGCCCACAGAAACGCGGTCTCTTTGGTCGATTCCGAAGCAAGAGACCCAAAGAGGAAACTCCATCACCAGTAATTGACTTTCCACAGCCTGCACCTAAGCAAGAGAAGACTAAGGCTTCACAACTTGGTTTCTCGTCCACGGCAGAGCGAGACAAAATGATCGAGCAGACTCGGGCAAGGTTGGAGGCTGCACAAAATGTACAGGCAGCGGCGTCACCGCCGCCATCGTCACATGGAAAGCTTCAACGACGACATATACCTCAAAGAGTGATGAGTGACTCGTGGCCGCTTCCGCCCAAGATCCCTGATCACATGAACAACCGACCGGGCACCGCGGAAAGCGCACCAGTACGCAATGGGTCAACAAGGCTTGCAGAAGGAAGCATGAGAGGCTACCATGACTCACCAGCGGTGGGCAAGAGCGGCAAGAAGAAGAGGTTCCCAATGCTACGAAAGGCATTTGGGCTCAAGGACTAAGCAAGAAAATTGGTTGCATCGAAGAAGAACCCGCCACATTCCTTGTCAGATACCATTGTTCTAAGATTTTGATACACTCAAACGCCATTTCTTTTTGCGAGATTGAGGTTGGAACAAAGGACAAATCATACGGATGAGGTGGAAAATAAAACGGCGCGAGTCTTGAATGCGATTTCACAGATGTTCTCAAGGATGAGATCTAGTTTCCTTGATTTTGTAGACCAACAAGCGCGAATAGACCATGGTGAGGGCAGTCCTTTGTTATTGCTTTTGGTATGGTAAGACAGTACATAACGTGGTTGAATAAGGGAAGGCAAAAATAGTGATTAATCAATAATCGAGACTTACCCACTGGTCTGCTGCCGTGCATGTGCCATATCCCTATAATTATCATTATACTGCTAGTACAGGTAAATACGGAGTCCTTGTGACCATATGCAAGCCCAGTCTCCACCCGTGCCATCGGCTGACCAGCCTTGTATTGCCAGCACCGCAATACAGGCTTGCTTCGAATGGACTTTCGAGCTTTTCACCTGGGAGAACTGCACCTTAGCAGGTATTTTCCCAATAAGCAATGTTGATTCCAAAATCGACTCCCTGTTTGAGCCCGGGGTAAGTTGATGGTTCATGAAGGGCAGGACCAGGGCTCGTTGGTGGTGCCGAAGCCTATGGTGGCTCACTGAGAATGCTTGTCACGATCCTTATTTTCGTCCAGATTTCTCAACTACGTGTATTCACTTGTGTCTTTGGCACGTCCATCTCAAACAAACCACCACATCAGACGGCCGCCACACAGCGCGAGATAAAATACACAACGCTGCCATGGGCATGGGCATGGGCATGAAACGACCATTACTAGCACCCATCACACCTACGATCTTGAGTCCGAGTCCAAGCTTGGCCGCGAGGAGCAGGCTAGCCGGTGTCCGTCGCCGATGCTTGAGTTTGGGGGAAGGTTCCCGCTCCTAGCGCCTGCGCCAGTTAGAGTAGGCAGCACAGCGGCGAGTCCGAGGGCGGCATAGAGGAGAGCTCGCCCTTCTCGAGACCTTGAGCTGCGAGCGTTGAAGGTATTAAGGGTCAAGAAATATGTGATTTGGGCAAACACAAGAGGAATCAGCGTCAAGAGGGTTGCTGTCCCCAAGAAAAGAAGGTGAGCCGACAAAATGTGTCTTGGTCACGTGCTTCATTCCCCTAGTACGCAAGTAGGCTCTTACATAGTGTACGAGTCCTATCTAGATTGGATGGAAGGCGGCGAGACTTTAGGACCCAAAAGGGCCCAACGGGTGGTGTGGTCTCGCTACGCCTCTAGTGAGGCATTGGATCGCTAAAGGGAAGCTAAGATGTCATCGACGCTGGATGCAGCAAACAGTGGCTAGGGTCTGGGGCGAGGGGATCTGGTAATGGATGCATACGGCAGTCTGCTGAGTCACTCAGTCGGATCAGTGTCAGCAAAACGTATCACAGAAGCGAGAAGGAGCACCAGAGGAGTCGGCACAGATCAGCAAGCAGATTTAGGGTTAAACCTGGTCTCCAAGGCAAGGATTGAACGGCACAATGATAAGAATGTGGTAATGATTTATACAAACGATCCGAGAAGACGAGGGCGAGGATAAGGAAAGGAAGAAGGAAAAGGGCCAAGATCCGGAACTGGAGATCCGAGGAGAAGGAATGTGGGCATTTCTCCGGTGGCTTTTCGTTTCCTCGCAGATCGATGCGAGCGGTCGATATCGGTCGTGCGGGCGCTAGGTGGCAACTACTCGTAGCCTTACGGAGTTCCTGGCTGGGCTTTTGAAAGGGAAAAAAGGCATCATAGCATGAATTACTGTGTATGATGTGGATTAAACCAGCGATGCAGTTCCGTGCACCACGCGGGTTGGAGATGACCAGAGGTCAAGGTGGTTCCGGAGCACTGTGCTCCGGAATGGCCAGAACGCTCATGTGAGGCAAATGTTTCTTCCCTGGCTAGTCAGTACCAAGTCCCCAATATTGGGCTGCTCGTTGCCGTTTCGTTGGCTTCTGGGGAACGACAAACAAATGGGCAAGTGGGACGAGGGGCAGCGGTAGCAAATGGCAGGGGGCAAGGAGCAACCAGGGTTCGGCGGCACCAAGGGGCGAGGGGGGGACACAGGCACCCAGAGGCACCCAGAGGGTTTGCAGTCTCAGGATTACCAAATCAGGCGCTGCCGCCTCTTCCCGCCCACAAAACTGTTGAAGGACCATCTGCCCCACCTTCTGTGTGCGTCAGGTTCAATTCAGACCAAGAGGACCTGCGTAATAGTGCACAACCCCTCCAACCGCTAACTCCCAGCTACTATTTTGCCTCATACAAACATCAAACACTTTTCCTCTTGGATTTGTCTTTAAATTCTTCTGCTTCCTTCTTCGTCTTTGCTTCCACTCATACTCAAGAATCACAACACCCAAAATGACATCCTCTCTAGATCAATTAAAGGCTACTGGCACGGTACGTCCCCTCCTTCTCCCCTGGAGCAGCTCTCACATAACGTCCTCAATGCTCTCGATCAACACCCTGCACTGTGGGTTGTTGAGTTCGAGCATATGCACACATCTGACGTCAAGTCTCTTCATGGCCTCCTGGCTGTCGACTGGCTGTTCTTCTGCAATCCAACAGCCATAGACTCTTCCTCAACCATCCCCCACTTTTGAAGCACACCAGCAGCTAACAAGCTTCCCAGACTGTTGTCAGCGACTCCGGCGATTTCAACTGTACGTCTCTATCGCTTGCTTCCAACTCCAGCCGTTCTCCCCATTGACTACATACAGCTATCGCCGCATACAAGCCTCAAGATGCCACCACCAACCCATCTCTCATCCTCGCAGCCTCCAAGAAGCCCGAGTATGCTAAACTGATCGACCCCGCGGTTGAATATGGCAAGAAACACGTATGCTCCCTGAAACAGCTTCATCATAAGAAAGAAAACTAAGACAAACATGCTCTAGGGTAGCAACATCGATGAGCAAGTTGATGCCACCCTTGACCGACTCCTGGTTGAGTTCGGCAAGGAGATCTTGAAGATCGTCCCTGGAAAGGTTTCAACCGAAGTTGATGCGCGCTTTTCTTTTGATACCCAAGCTTCCGTCGACAAGGCTCGCCATATCATTGCTGTAAGCACTCAGACAACCCTTTTTCGAATGACTCGCATACTTACCAACCACTAGCTTTACAAAGAACAGGGAATTGACAAGTCTCGCATCTTGATCAAGGTTGCCTCCACCTGGGAAGGTATTAAGGCGGCTGAGATCCTCCAAAAGGAAGGAATCAACTGCAACCTGACCCTCATGTTTTCCCTGGTTCAAGCCATCGCTGCCGCAGAAGCCAATGCTTTCCTCATCTCTCCTTTCGTCGGCCGTATTCTTGATTGGTACAAGGCTGCTCTCAAGAAGGACTTCCCTGCTCATGAAGACCCCGGTGTCAAGAGTGTGGGAGCCATCTTCAACTACTACAAGAAGCACGGCTACAAGACCATTGTCATGGGCGCATCCTTCCGAAACGTGGGAGAAATCACCGAACTTGCCGGCTGCGATTACTTGACCATCTCCCCCAATTTGCTTGAAGACCTCCTCAAGTCAACGGACAAGGTTGAACAGAAACTAAAAGCCGAAGACGCTGTCAAGCTTGATATCCCCAAGCGAACCTTCATCAACGACGAACCCAACTTCCGCTTCGAGTTCAACGAGGACCAGATGGCTGTTGAGAAGCTCCGTGAGGGTATCAGCAAATTCGCAGCTGATGCAGTCACACTTAAGAGCATTCTCCGAGAGAAGATTGAGAAAGCCTAAGTTATGAAATTGGAAATGAAACGCAGCAACATGGAAACGAGTGCAAGGCGAAGTCGCGCCCATTCACACCCCGTTTCTATTAGGAGAAAAAGCTTCTAGATTGTGGATTTATGGTATCTTTTGTGTTGTCGGAACTGGCCATGTCTCTTCCAGGAGCGTACTCCGTACTGAGTTACCACTAGTTAGTACATAAGCAACCATGTTGGAGCAATCATGAATGAACGGATAGACCCGGTTGTGCTGTCCCCAGCGTCATATTGCTGCAATTCTCCCGAGTGCAGTATGCGTACGAGGCTTGGGAGATGAGACCTGCCGACTCGAGGTGTTTGAAAATTTTCGTTGAAGTCACATCTGCTCCTTCGATCTCGGGTTACCCTCTTCTCTGCACCTGCCAAAAGTGCTTCGGTGGAGGAATAAGCGAATCGGACCGTTCGGCGGGCTGCCTCGGTCGAAATTGTGGCTGATGGATGGAGGATGTGGCTTGTGGGATGGTTCTTCTAAGTTTGTCGCGTATTGCGTCCGGCGTCCTGTGTACTATAACTACCACTACGTACCACTTTTACCAAGCGAATGACGACTGCCAACATGCACGTCTGGACTTTGTCTTCTCCTCCACTCAAGACGTCGCTCACCGTCATTCCTTTTCCACAACAGTCCCTCGCTGACTGTTGGTTTGCATCTATGATGAGTCCATCTACCATGTCTATACAATACTGCTGATCCCGCGCATCCCCCGACGCCGTGGTGGGTTGGTTGTCCCGCTACGATGAAACTCATTCAGCCAGTCAAGCCCATGAGCAAACAACGCGGCAACATCATCACCGCGAGGATTGTTCCCCTCTTCTTGCTCGGACTGCTTGGATACTCTTCCTATGTTATCACCAAACATGTCTGCATCGACTACCTGATCAGGCCGCGTCTCTCCTTACCTACATTACTGCACCCAGACATTGGCGCCGCAATCGCCATTCTTACCATCTACTACCTCCTACTATTAATGACCCTTACATGCTTTGGACGCTTGATCGAGACCATCCTTACAAACCCCGGTCTCGTCCCGCGCGGTCCGCAATATTTTGTCGAGAAGGAAACGGCTCGCCAGAAAGAGAGCCACAGCCACAATAAAGACGAGGGTTTTGAGTACGATTCAACGACCCGATACTCTCCACAGGATCCTTCAAGGCCACATTCAGACGAGTCTATCATCCGACCAGAAGATTTCTGGCACAAGGATGCTTTCGTCTGTGGCTGGGACGGTCGCCCCCCATTCTGCTCCACATGTTATAATTATAAACCCGACAGAGCACATCACTGCAGTGAACTCGGTCGCTGTGTGATTAAGATGGACCATTTCTGCCCCTGGGTAGGCGGTATCGTCTCAGAGACCTCCTTCAAGTACTTTATCCAATTCACCGGCTGGGCCGCGGTCCTATGTCTCAGTTCATTGATCTACCTAGCCTACTACTTTGCGAAGAGGAGACGAGAGGAGGATTTTGTCAATGTCCACTGGATTTTAGTCCTGATATTTGCTGCGTTGTTTGGCCTCTTCAACGCGGGGATGTGCGGCTCTAGTCTTCAGTTTGCCTTGATTAATTCCACCACTATTGAGAACTTCACGAGGAAGACAAAGGTGTGGTATCTGGCCGTTCACATGCCACGTGCCGTTCTCGACAGATACAACGGTTCTGGACGGACTGATTTGAGGCTGATTAGCTATCCTCGTCCTTCCGCCGAGCAATTTGAACTTCTCCAAAGAAACGGTGCCAAACTCAACGACAGTCAGCAGAGTATTGTCAGAGATGGGTGGGATTCGCAATATCTTACCGCTCCCACGGATACTTACGATCCTCAGTCAACATCCACTTTCCCACCACACCCTACCGTTCCTAGGAAAACCCCACCTCCATCACGAGGCAATGCTTCAGTCTCTCCACCACAATCAGCTCCCCATACACTTACGCAAAACGAACTCCGTACCTTTGCCATCCTGGAAACCGACCCGGGGGCTAATCCGTTCGACCTTGGCTCCTTTGGCAATTTCAAACAGGTCATGGGAAACAATCTTTTTGATTGGCTGATACCACTTCGTCCCTCCCCACTCACCGATCACACGGATCCCACCAGCTTCTACAAGCTTGGATCTGTGCTGGATAGATTGAAGCGGGATGCCGGCATTGCGAGGGTCGATGTCGATCATAATGAAAAGCGGAGCGAGAGACATAGGCGGCATCGTAGGAAGAGTCGAAGGACATCGACCGGCAGTCGACACCGAAGGGATGCTGATCATTAAGACGGCCCGTCGAGGCACGACACGAGTGCTCCTGTTACCCAGAGAGGATGTATTAATCAGCGCATACGAGCAGTTCCCGAATAACGAGTTAATTGTTATCACAAGGCTCTCTTTTCTTTTCCTTTTTCTCTCCGTGACACACCTCAGTGCCATTCACATCTCCAGAAGGCACACGAGAACCCACCCAGATTCGATTCTAATAGCTGACAATAGCTAGCTGTCTCGAAGCTGAGCGGTAGCTAATACTGCATCAGGTCAATAAGGTGAACCAACAACGGAGTTGGGGGGGAAATGTAATTAGACCGCCACCGACACCATCCCTTTTATTCATTATCATCGCCTCCACAGGGACGAGAACCGTCGTGGACTCCTCATCCTTCCAGAACTCTTTCGACATGACTCGATCTAGGTATATATATTGCACTCTCCATTCGCCATGTTGCCACAAGGGCTCGCGAGTCCCCCGGGTTTGATTGGAGACTAGACGCTGGGAGGCGGTCGATTCACGGGCCGCGCCGAATGGAATCCCGATTCCCGAATCTCACATTCTCAATTCTGGCACAGGAGGTCCCGGGCCGCCGTGATTCTCCTTAGACATGCTCCTCCCTACCGACGACCGACGACCCCCAGGACATACGAAATCAGAGCTGCGGAACTCCGCGAGGACGGCGAGGGCGTTCGACATCGAAGCAGGGCCTCAAAGGGGAAGATTTCGCCCCGCCAGGCCTCGCGAGCCCGTCCAGCTACCAGTCATCAGTCGGCCTCGATGGGAAGTCTCGAGTGCATTGTCGCCGAATGTGAACGTCAGGGGTGTCTCAGCCTCGTCGAAGATGTAGGGGTGGGTGGCGTGGGTTGCTGCTGGCTGGGCAGACCGGACAACGGAGTACGGAGTACGGAATCCTCAGCATGAGAATGATGTCAAGGCCCCTCAGCCCGTTTGGTACATACAGGAGAGGGAGAGTCGCTCATCCTCTGTAGAAAGGTGGGCCAGAGATTCCTACTGACCTGGACAGTTACCTGTAGTATTGTAATGTATACCCGAGGTGATCACGAGGTCATGATTGATTAATCAAGCCGAAAATCTAAACAAGTACATCCACCTCGCATGGTCCTGCTCGATCATCATTTTTCATTCGCATAGTCAAGTTGTTTATCAAATTTGTCGACTGTGACAGAGTTGGCATCACAACTCTTGTGCCACGCCACACGACATTTCCATCTCCTCCTTGTATTTATTTAAGCTACATCGCGCCGATAGTAACCAGGACGCTTAGTCATAATACAGTATTTTATATGCATACTACGCATCACATCTTATGCTTCCATCTAATCTTCATCATCTTCATCCTCATATATCTTCTTATGCACGCTTTCATATCGGATGGAACTTTATGCTCACGCTTTTTATGAAGTGCAAGGTCTTTTTTCACGATGCCTCCGTGGATGCTCATCAAATCAAAACACATCATCAAAATTATGCTTTTATATGCATAGGCTCTTCATCAAACTCATACGTTCGTCGAATAATTACCGGTGATGGGTTCGACCTGAATTTGAGGTATTGGTAAGTTCGCTTGCTGCAACGGTGGCGCTGGTTGGTGTTGGGTCTGAATGCCAGCTCCTGGACCAAAGCCTCCAGCAGGGAGCGGTGGGGCTGTAATTGGCTGTGTGGTGTTTGCCACTGCTACCGGATGTTCTACTCTTGCTGGCATTGGTTGGAGTTGGGGGGGTGGTGGTTGTTGCTGCTGCTGCTGGAACTGGGCTCTGAAATCCGGTTGATTCGCGGGAGGAGGTTCGATCCGGGGAACGTTCGGCGGGCCGTCATCACCGTCACTGCTGTCACTGTAGCCGTTCTCTTCTTTCTGACGGCGATGCTTTTCTTCTAATTCAGCCTGCCACTCCCGTTCTCGTAGTTCTGAATGGTATGGTTAGCATGGCATCAAACATTGAGGTGAGAGGGAATTACCTCTGATTTCTTTGGTCTTCTCAGCAAATTTCATTATCTCCTCCCTTGTTACCACACGTAGTACAATAACGTAGTCGTCTCTCTCTTCAAATCTTTCGTGCGATTTTTCGAGGGCTTCTGGATTAACCAGAGCACGACTAATCTTCGTCCACCTTGCATTAACGGGAATGCCTTCCTTGCCAGCATCTTTGAGTGGCGCAACACCTTCTCGTTGAGGATTGGGGTCCTCTGGGAAAGGCACTGCCCGGGGCTTCTTGAGGATACCCTTAGGCCGGAATTCCTCCTTCTTCTCCACGGGTTCAACAAGCTGCACACGCCGAGGGCGTGAATCCTCATCTCCACCTGGTGACATTGTCCGTTGCTGTGTGGCAGTCTCCGCAGGGGCTCTTTCATCTTCTTGTGAAGCTTCTCTTTCACGCCGTGGCCGAGTCGGCTCCCGAAGCTCAATCTCTCTATCTTTCTCACGTGGTCGATGACGGGGAGTCTTCTCAACAGAGTCCTCGGTTGTGTCACTTTCATCCCCACGTCCTGACTTGTCTCGATGCTTGCGATGATGTCTTCTGCGTTCACGGCGGTCCTCTTGGTTATCTAAAGCTTCGTCAGGTTTTGAATCGGCTCTGCGACGGTCATGCAGCTGCCTGTCTCCGTTAATGGTAAGATCTCTTTCGACACGACCGGCGAGTTCATCAGGATCAGGTACATCACGATGGTGTCTCCTCCGATGCTTGCGCTCCTTACGATCCTCACTATCAGAATTGTCTTGCGGGCTATGAGAAGCTTTTGTTGCTAGAGTCGCAATGCCACCGGCAGCTGCCAGACCAGCGGCGGCAGCAACTCCTTTTCGTATCCCAGAATGTTCTGGACTTGCATCCCGGCTTCGAGGTTTGCGACGCTCATCAGGAATTTTGCCGTTCTTTTCATGGTCTCGCGCCCTATCCCGATCTCTCTCCCAATCTCGATCACGATCGGGTTCTCGGTCTCTGTCACGGTCGCGCTCGCGGGGCCGATCGTTGTCGCGAGATGAAAATGGCTCTCTGTCTCGATCGTCCCGATGTCTATGCTTGGGGGGACGATCATCATCTTCATAGCGATCATGTCGCGGCCGAGGAGCAGGACGAGCATCACGATCATCTTTGGGGGATGAACGGCCGTTCCGGTCGTCTCGATAGTGATGCAGGACAGGAGCACGAGTGGAGTGCCGCCGGGTAGGAAGCTCATTGCCACGCTCGCGATCAGTATCGCTGTCAGTGCCACGAGTGTTGCTCGGTCTGTACGGGTCGGGTCGATCGATTCTCTCTAGAATACGGGCGGAGGATGGTGGAGGACCGAGATCTCTTCTGCCCTGAGGAATCCTGTACTCTGGAACAATGCCAATCGTGCTTATTGGTCGTTCTCGTCGACTATAACTTTCTCGGCGCTGGGGAGCCCTCGAAGACTCTTGAAGAAATTGCTCTTTAGGGGTTGTGTAAGAGAAGTCCTCATCTTTCAAAGGGCCAACATTGGATGAATAAGGCTTAGTGTTGTAACCACCCCCTCGATGGTATTCTGGCTGCCTGGGAATTCTGACTGGTCCAAGTCTGTCCTGATCGGCACGTGTGGCAGAGGCGTGACGGTGGTGATGTCGGGGCTGGCCTGAAGCAGGTACTAGGTAGCGTTCTTCCCTCAAGGGAGCAATGTGAGGCCGTGGATCATCCCGGGCAGAGGCAATTACGGTGGGTCGAATGCGAGGAGGGGAAGAAGGTCTTGGTACGTATGTGGACATGGGCCGTCGCTGTTCGGAAACGTTAGAATTGTTCCTTGGACGAACACTATATTCTGTCCTCGTGATTGATCCGCCCGGGTGAGAATCATCGAGGAATGTCTTCCTCACTGGCTGGGTGGTATATATGCTTCCATGACGAGCGAGTGGGAAGGAATCGACTGCAGTGCGAGGTTGCGAAGCATATCTTGCATTTGTCCCATCAAAGGATGTAGAAAATACCATGCCAGTAGAAGCACGAGGATCGGCATACCGCCGGGGTGGAGAGGATGGGCGATAGCGATTCTCAGTCATGGCGAATGGAGTTGGCGGTAGTGAGTGGTGACGATGATGATAATCGAGCCGTAGTTCAAGGCATGAAGCGTAGAGTGAAGACGCTGTCTCAGTAGGTAAAAACCTAGTTCTGATGTCAAGCGTGGAAAGGGTTAGAAGTTGAGAAGAACTGGGCCAGACTGGCGATGGTGAGGGAGTAAGAACTGACAGTTGTAGTAGGTGGGAGGGAGGGAGGAATTATGAGGGGCGACTGAGGGGCGTAGAGGCCAGAGAGGAGCAAATGGTCAAGGGTGGTGGGAGCCCTGGGTGGTGGGCTAACTAACTTCTAGGTTAGCAAGAATAATAGGCGAGGATGATGGTCCTGTGTGCGGTGGAAAAATTGAGCACAAAATCGGTGGAATGATTCATACATATAACGTTTGTTCTTGTTGCGATAGCCGGCTAGGGGTATGGAAAGGAGGAATGGTCGAATGAAACAAGTGGAAAAGAGGGGTTTTAATGGGATATGGGATGTAGTGCTTCACCAGCATTACTCGTCCTGACATTGTTCTGGTAACACGGTGACGGGGACAGGCTCAGACCTGACAGAATGGAATAACATGTCAAACCCACTTATACCCAGATACTAAATCAGTGATCTACCTTAACCAGAACCTAAAGTCTGTGCCCAAGGGGCGCCCCTCCCGCCCTCGGGCTCCTGCCTGAGCCCGAGCCTTGAGAGCTGTCCTCGCCTAAGTTAAGCCTAGGGCCTAGGGCTTTGAGGCCTGGAACCCCGGCGCATGGGTACTTCTTAGTTGGGTTGGGGAGGATGCAGTTTACGTCATCTTTCTTAGTATCATTTTAGTGGCCATCTAGTGACGTGGCTTCTCGGCACTGGGGCTCAGAGCCCTTTGAGAGAAGTGGGAGTCTAGGGAGTCTAGAAATCTAGGAGCTTGGTACACTTACTCATGGCCGGTTCCCTACCCAACAGAACAATGCCCAACAGGGCTATTAGCTCTAACCGCAAGCGTAATTGGTTCGGTTGACCGTATACGGACTGATACACAAGCAATAAAGCCCCTACCAAATCGTAGCTAGTACCTGACCTAATACCGGTTAGGGTGTGAACTAGTCGAGTTAGTGGTGCTAAGAAATCCATGAGACCACTCGTTTCTTTTCATTCTGCTGCCTCCTCTCTTATCCACACCTCACCTCAACTCAACTTCATCTCGTGACTCCCGTGTCAATGATCTCGCCCAGTGCCACCTTCTGCAACTACGAAGATATAAGTCGGGCGTTTGGACTTCGGTAACCATCGGAAACACTCTTCGAGAGCTCCGGAAAAGTAGAGTCATGGTTGCCTTGTCTTCTCATCTGGTGTGTTCTCCCCTCTTTGACCGTCATGGTTGTGCTAGTCAGTGCTACCCGCGATTACTGCCCGACCTAACAACAACTCCTCTCTTCTATTTTCTTACCGGAACAGCGCCGATCAGTCTAGTTGATGCCCAACATAATTTCCAAATGTCTACCATCAAACACCGGGTTGGCATCTAGAGCAATTCTTTTTCATCTCGTATCAAGCCCCTTTTGTGTTCTGGTTGCCTCTCGCAACTTCCAGAGCCATTCACCATCAGGCTGACAAGGCATCCACTAACTTAGCTCTTGAGATGAAATCGGCGCCCATCAATCGGCAGCACATCCCTCAATGCGATGACTTGTTTTCAGCATTGACAGAGACCATTCCGTGCACAAAGGCGCCCTCCCCACTCTGATTGCGGCTGCACCTTTCCGGTGGTTAGATATGCTGTACAAGGGCAACTGCAGCTGAATTTGGCAACATCCATCTCCTCAGTGCCGGATGATGGGAAACAGGAGGTGTCACGCTTCAGTAACGCGGGCGGCCCCTCCATGTCATTCAACGGGCATTCAACTCTATCGAGGCGGCATGCAATTCCTCAGTCAAACCACATGATCGCATTTGTCGGAGCGGCTGTGATCATGACACACGTCTCCGGACAGGGCACCAAGGTTCTGTGCATCGCAGATACTCCACGTGCAACCGTCCATGACCCATTCGTCGATCTTGAACTAATATCCCGCTCGAGTGAAAACAAGGTTCGTTGCCTACTTGGAAAGCGATCGCACACGCCTCCTTGGGATGCCCCGACGCTACTCCGATACGATCTTAGTCTAGCTTTTCACCATACAGCCAAATCACATACGGCCGTGGATTAAGCGAAGCCGAGCTTTTCAAAAAAGGCTCTGCTACGAAATCCGCACATTCTTGCCCAGTGTCCCGATTAAAGCGGAGATGTGTTCTTGATGATCGAGCGGCTCGAAACCTCGGGCCACATCCGGCTACTTTTCTAGGCATTCAGATTGTGGCCTTGCGCGTTAAGTCTTGGAATAGATGGATTGTGGCTGTACTACGTCAATGTATTTTGTGCCTTTCATTGTCCACTTGGTTCCAAATGCCTGGTTTATTCCGATGCAGGATCCTTATAGAGGGAAGTGCACATGTTCCCAGGTCTACACCCATTTTTCTATACGCCAGCTCGTCAGCGGATCCTCCGCCTGCCTCATGTGGACGCTGGTAAAGTCCTTGTCACTAGCCCACGGAAAGCTCACTCGTCCTACGGAGAGGCGACCACTCAGCCACTCTAGGATCCCTGCCAAAGATCAATGTATCTTAGTAGCCTGATGACAACTGAGGCATACCTATCGAGGACTCTACCTTGAGCTTCGAAACAACAAGGATGGTCTTCAGACGACCTCTGTGGCTGTGTAAATATCTCGCTCTAAAGCTGGTCTGAGCATCATTCAATCTGGTTCGAGCATGGACGAAGTGTGTCTATCGTCGTTGAAAGTCGCAAATCAAACACCAACGTATATTGGAGCAGGCAAAGGAGCGCCTTGAAGTCATCACCCCGGCAATTGAGAAAGCTTCCAGTAACTGTCATCCCCAGCTATACAAACCTTCCGGCCTTGGATGAACGGTAAGCAGTATCAAGTGGAGTTGCTTCACTTGGGCAATTACACTGCCATGAGTCTTTCCGCTTGTCCTGAAGAAGAAGCCCAAATTTCTCACTGTTAACTGTATAAAGTCCAGCTGGCTTCATGTCTTCCGAATAAGAGAAATTTCAATATCGCCACTGACAATCTAGAAATCATTACAGCAATTACTATTCCCTCCTTTTCAAGACTCTCTTTGAAAGCTATTTCGTTCCAAGTAAAATCTATCCAACCAAGATTTCCGATAAACACTGTTCTCAATCAACACTGCGCATATTGCCATTCCAACCACTTAACACACAACCAATAGTGCTCAAGCCACTCCTTATTCCGTCCTCGAAAACCGATATATAGCATTGGTACACAAGCTCTCTTTCCAGCCTTCAAGATGCCGCAAACATGGGAGTGCCATATATGCAAAGATGGGCCACAGCTAGCAGCAGTGACTGAGAAATGCCCAACTTGTTCACATTCTCGATGTAGTGATTGCAAGGTAGACAGGAGTATATCACCTCCAGTGAAACCCCCAAGGGCGCGAGAAATCAGCACTGCTTCGAAACACCGCATTGGCAGTCCAGCTGATGCTAAGCACGATTCAATTCCTACATTAACTAGAAGAGCCTTGCTTCCTATGTCGGGTCTACACAAGAGAAACTTGCGTCTTGGTGCGCGACCAGACATGCGTCGATGGTGGAAATGCCATGAGTGCCATTTCACAAACAACCCAGCTCTGGCTCCGGACCGATGTGTCTCATGCCAGCATAATCGATGCGGCCATTGCACTCGAGTCAGTCAATGAGCAAGCGTGAGATTTATGGTGTACACGAGGCTAGCAGCCCCTGAACCTCAGCCTTGATGCTCCTCCCCTAAACCATCCGTCTACCTCTACCCCATTCGCCATCATTCTCAACCAATCACGCACCTATCCTTTCAGTCCCATCCGGCCTTGCCAGTGAGTGCATTTGCTGCCCAACAGGCTCTTTACCGACATTCCACCCAAATCATGCCTGGGTTGCTGATCCGACCAATTCTTTCTGCTATCTCGTCTGGTTTTCAATCCTTCCCTCCAATCATGCTCGAACACCTCGCCCGAAGGATTTCACCTACAGTCTTTACCGCCTATCTGCGCAGTCTTTTGCCCTTCTCAATTCCTCAAATCAAATGTCTTTCGCATCGGTTCCCAGGGCGATGGATCACCAACCTTTGAGGACTACAGCACCAACACCATGCGATGTATCATTCATCGGCTCTTCACAAGCCCAGCCCCAGTTCGACCCACAGAACAGAAACAACTTCACTTCTACCGTGTCGTTTTGCCTTCCATTATAGACAACCCAGCACCTAGGACCTTCGTTACTGCGGTCTGTCTTGACGAGTCTTTTTATGTAATCATCTCCTTCTACCACTGTCGTTTATAGTTGCTTCTTTTCCTTCCTCCGCACTACAAATGAATGAATGAATGAATGGCTGACTGATTGCTCGGTCCTGCTCTCTGTCGCTTGCTTCAACTGCACATGCGTGAGGAAATCTTGTCTACTTATCAGTATAAGACTCCATTGACAGTCGGCTGCTCGCGTCGAGCCGATGGTGACCATCGTTACCTCCGCCATGGGGGTTCAGTAAATACTCAATTGAGCAAGAACGAGATATTCCCTGATCGGGCTCGAGGTATTACCCAATTGGGGAATATCTCAGCCCAGCAAACCATCTAAATGATGGCCCAAAAAAGCTCCCAAAAACCGAGGGCATTCGGAATCCCCGGCCGGTCCCCATCCCAATGGGGTTTTGGCGTATAAGCACGCGATATATATAGTGTGGACTTGCTGAAAGTTGTACATATATTCAATCCACCCAAGGGAAAGAAGGGAGGAAAGCCATTGAACCCCCACACGGTAGTCGTAGCGAAACACTGATGAAGACTTCCGAGAATTTGCACGGAACGAAGTCCCCTCTTACCGGGTGCTTGCGATGATGGTACCTTAGAAGCCTCAGGTGACCAGACCAGGTCCCATCGGCTGTTCTCAGCACACGTGCACTGCCCACGAGAAAGGAGTATGTATGTAGTGATGTCTCGAGTCGCTGCCCGACTCCGACCACACGTCTCTCCCGCGACATCGTCGGCATTGCTCCTCCTGCCCTCCCATGAATGGTCGCGAGCGATAAGTAGTCCATGCCGGCAGATGGTTAGTCAGAAGTAGGAGCGCGGGTGGAATGGGGAAATAGCCAGAGCGACCTTTTGGTAATCGAACACGAACCAAGTCGGAAATAGGGCGGTGCTAGAAGAACATCGGTATCGGGGTTTGTTTCGAAAGCTCATCATGGTTATTTGTATGGTATGGCTATGGCTCTCTGTGCCCTGCTCGTCGGGGCAACTTTCGGCGTGGCCCCTTCCCGCTACACGTAGCTTGCTTCGCTTCGCTGCCGGTGTCATTCTGCCGGTAGCGAGAATAGTGGACAGTAGTCTGTTGCCGGTGATTCTAGGTATGGGACCTTGTGGTGGTGCCTTCGCTTGTTGTCAAATCACAGGATGGCAGGTGCAGATGAGTAGCTTGCATATGGCACAATAGTACAACTTAAAGCAATTGCTTGCGCTATTGAATATTGCAGTCGAAAATCTCTGGTCGCAGATAGCATCGTAGGTTCAGGCTTTAACCGATTTGACTTTCCCACCTCACCACGAGGGTTATACGGTCCGGCTAGCTCGAAGCGAGAACACTGTTCTTGGTGGAAATCGGGCACCAACATAGGTCAATTCAGCTTCCTTATGTTTGCACTGTGTCTATGGCCTCTCCTTGCTTGAGGCAGGTTCCAAGCCGACCAGTTGCCCTTTTTGCATGGTGACCTGTGGTAGTACATCATGGTTTCCTACTTTCGATAATATCGAGCACTAGTGGCGCAGGGGCGAGCTGGTCTTGGGGAAAGACTTCTCAGAGAATGGATGATGGACGCAGACCGCAGAGCCCGCCAGGATATAAGACCTGGAGTGGTGTAGACCCGAGACGCCCTCTGATACTGGAAGGATTGCTGCCTTACAATGTGATTATTTCCCATTCGGAGGTTTTGGATGCGCGCTGGAAAGGGGCGGGGATGCGTTGGGAAGCTTCAGCTGAGTAGGATCTTGTCATGTTGGATTCCTGTAACTCAGATGGTACAACAGCGTCCAGATCTCCGCTGGGGGTAGGAGAATAGCTGGCCCTTTCCGGATAATGTTGTCAATGAGATGAGATCAAATCGACGTAGCTAGCGCTATGCGAGCGGTAGGACATGTCGAGATGCCAAGTGATGAGCTGAAGAAGCCGATGCTTCTCAGCAGTGACGACAACACTGTGACAGTTGGTCTCCCAAGTAATGTCCACAGGAGTATTTTCAAGAGCAGCAGACAGTTGACGAAAGAAGGGTCTCCGGCGCAATATTTGACATTCATGAGACATGTCATGGTGCCATGGGTCCTCCAGAGAAAAGGGCTTGGCTCGATCCGGAACACCCTGCACAATTTTCCCTCTCGAGGAGTGGTTTCTAAATCGGCCCCATCAGTCGTTATGATGTTTCATCCTTTTCCCGAGCGAGCGACTCCCGCGGGATGACGGATGCAGGGGAAAGGAAACAAGTTGCGGTGAGAAGACTTGGAGAAGGACGACATACGGAGTCCAGATCCTCAGGGCCTTGTTCTCCGTACTAAAATGGTCGTAAAGACATCATGGACAAGCTCAGAAGGCTTCCGTCTGCCGGCTAGGGAAAGGATGGGCAGGGTGTGCATATCCCCGGAACTCACAACCAAATTTCAATCTGACCGCAATTCTCGGGTCGAGATGGCAGTTTCGGATCTTCATAAGAATAGCCGTCACATCACGCGTCAACTCCATGACGTGTGAGCTGAAGCGACAGCTCGAGCGTCTCGAACGTACGCCCGCATTTCTCCATGGAGCCCGTCATCGATCACCCTCGGAATCTGACCTCTCGTAGGGCCCTCTTCATATGAGGTGGGCTGTGGAATCGGATGCATAGGGCTGCGTTATGACCTTCCAGAAGCGGAGCTGGCAGCAGTCAGTTATTGGGGTGGTTGAAGAAATTTCTTCCCAGACAAGAACGGTTAGCTGTCAGAAGTCTGCCACGGCATCGTTTGAGAAAGAAATATATTTTATCCGTAAAGGTGTTGCCGGGAATCAACCTCCCATTCAGACGCCGCCGCGGCGCATGCATTTTACCGGCTACCCCATATCATACAAGGCGAATGGTAATCTATTGATACAATGCGGCTTTATGCACTTGTCTCAACTTGCGATCGCAAGCCCATATGCAGTCTCCATCGTCTCTCCTTCATTGCTAGACTTGTTATGCACTCGTCTCAACTTGTGATCTCAAGCCAATGTGCACTCTCAATCGTCTCTTCTTCATTGCTAGACTTGTAGCAGCCGGAGCAGCTTGTAGACCCAGCTGTTGTAAGATAGCATCCACATCGTGCTCCGCCATCCGCCCAATCTCTGCAGGTGTAGTAGGAAATGTAGGAATGATAGCGCCGGTCAATGGGTTGAGGAATGGCGAAAGCCGATCAGATGGACTAGAAAGATAGGTATTTTGGACTCGGGCGGCACTGTTGAGATCGCTATACAAATTAGTATGGTGATAGTGAATGAATCCAAGGGCGATATCTACATTGTGCTCAGGACGGTAAGAAGACCCTGATGGGAAGCTGTAATTCGCTGTTCAAGACGGGTTGTAATTCGCTGTTCAAGACGGGCGAATTGTTCTCTAGTTTCGTTTCTCATTTGCCGAAGCTCACTAAGAATGCTTTCGCCACTAGCAATTGCGGGCAGGTTTGGTAGTTTCTTGATTTCATCGGCAGCAGGACGAAATGCGAGACTGAGCGCATTGAAATCCGCCTGTGGAGCGGAGCGATTTTCTTCAGCCATGATTGTGATGGGCTGGTGATGGCGACGGTGTTGATTTACAAGATGGAGGGGAAGGGCGCCTCGAAAAGTGGTGGCTCATACCGCCAAATTCGGCAGGAAGTTTCCCTTGCGACTTCCGGTTGCGAACCGAGTTGTCACGGCAGGAGCTACCAATGCCAAGCCTTGGCACAAGACCGTCTATTCATCTGGTGGCTTGCAGCATGCAGCATACGGAATTTAGCTTCGTCACAATCCAATGACTACAGTATAAACTACGCATGCTCCTACACGAATGCCCAGCGTGGTATACTATTCTTTGATGAAGTGTAATGTTGCCAGGTAGACGCATGGAACAGCCTCAGGGAGGCAATGGTTTGCGCCAATGGTTGCACTGCGGCTCTTAATCAGCCTCACTGAGCAAGAGGGCCAGATCGACACGATGCTCTTTCAACTTGACATTTGTTTGGAGCATTTCAAGCTTCACTGCCGGCTGTGTAGCTTCACGCCGACAGCTGTCGCTCAGCTGACTCGGCACAAGGGAATCGTACAGGACATCGTTGCGGCCGAGCCCGGGGGGGTGGCGGTGATGTGTGTCGTTACCGGAGGTTCGGATCGATGGCGAGAAGGGCGGGTAACAGTGACAGTCAGACTGCGTAGGGAACTCCAGTAGATGTTGCCTGCTCCCGACGTCACGCAACCCTTGTTTGGCCGGGGAAGCACAATCCGCCGTTCCTGGCAGGCTGGCAGGCTGGCAGGCTGGCACTCTGCGAGAACCCACCAAACTGGCCGGGACCGCAGAGGGGTGCTGGAGTGACTGACGGCGGGATACATGTTCCACGTTTCTCTCTTGTAGCCCGCAACACCGGGGAAACTCTGGATATTTCTGTCTGTACGGATATGCACGTCAAAGGTAGCTCGCTCGTTCAATCCTGGTTCGGAAGTCCTGACTGGTACACTACGAGCACTCGCTTGGTAGTGTAGATCCTCGAGCCACCGAGCACTGACTCTCGAGCCCATGGCCTTGGCTTCAGAACAGGAACTAACGGACTGTACCTGAAGATCATCGACCAGACAAGTTTAACGTTATGTAATCCCTGTGACACCCGCTTGCTATCTCGGCCTCTGGGCCCAGGTTCCCTCGTACCTCTTCCGTCGTCGTGACCTGCACATCCCGCACATCCTGGCGATCGACACGTTGCATTCCCTCCCAGCACGAGGGGGTGCATGGGTTCCAAAGTCCAGCCTATGCTCCGTGTCCCTGGTGCCCACGCGCGTTTACCACGTTGTCGGCTCGGCCGTTGTCAGTAAATAAATACTTGAAGCGGGCAAAAACGTTGGACCGACAGACTACTTCCAGCAAAAGATGACTTGATGATATGAGCCGGGTATGGGAAAAGGACCACTAAGCGACCCACTGTCCTACTGTATGATTCAATCGAATGCCACGCAGCCATCCGACGCTCGACCACGTACTCGGAGGGAGGGAGGGAGCGAGCGCTGGTGGTACAAAGATTTTGAGCAAGGCCGCCTTTCCTTCCCTCCTCCCCTGCACATATCCGAAACTGTCAAAACCAGCTGGTTCTTTGCCTCCTTACAGACATCAGTTGTTGTTCTTCGCTATCCGACTCCGTGGTTCGTATCTGTTGCGGCCTCCTTAGGGGCTACATACCAAAAATGATCAGTGGCGCATGAACACTGGGCCGGGTATGTTGTACAGAGGATAGCTATTCATAGTAGTGACCTCGTGTGCCGCAGGCGGGTGGCGCGAAAATATCGCTGCCCTCAACACCGACCACCGAGTGTTGTACATTCCGTCCCACCTATTAGCATCGAAAGAAAGCCCTTCTGGTAGGTATTCAATGCTGGTACAACGTAGCCGGTGCCTCATGATGAACAAAATGGTGCCGTCTGTGTGTTGTCATCCTGTAGTTGTTGGTCGCTGTTGGTCTTGGTCTGTGTACCGCAAGAATGTTCGGATATTCTACTCGTGCCTACTGTACATACTCGTAGTGTTGATTATTGAAGAAACCCACCCACCTAATTGGCAATGTTCCATGGCAGGGCGTTGGACGACCAGCCACTCGTGCTTTCCACCTCCACCTCCCCCTCCGCCCCTTGAGCCCGCAGCGATCGCCACCAGGGAGAGGGAAGAAAGCCGTGCCGCCAGGCCCCAGCAGTAGGCATGTATCATAACAGCACTCTTATCTTTACCTACGTCAACACCAAACACGTACCTACGCCTACGCCTCCCGTACCGATCTACGACACGGACATTATCGACCTCCTGAAGCGTACAGTTGGAGCAGGAGCCACGAGACAGTGCGCACGCAACCCGCGATTCGATAATCATCTTTGTTTCCTCGGGGTGAGTGAGGTGTTGGGCCAAAGTCAGTCTATTCGGACCCTGGGATCGGGTGTGAGACTACTAGCATGTGATCTGGTTTGGATCTTTTACGTACATAATTCCCGTACGGAGTACATCCGTCTTAGCAGATCGGTTCAGATCTTTGGAGGAGTTTGCGCCCACATGCGACTTGCAAGTGCGCCACCTGCCCTCCAACGCTAAAATCAATATCACAAAGTCCCCTGGGTAAAATGTGCCTCGGTCGCCTAGTCGTCGTTCTTCATGCTATTGATGCTCTGTACGAACCGGAAGCGAGATGCCACGCCGGTCCCCGACCTGACCGTTCTTTCTTCGCATGGAATACGGAGGACTGAATCCATCACAACGACCTTCAAAATCGTCTTGCCCACCCGCATTGACGTTGAGCTTTCTTTGATACGCACGAGTCAGGAGGTCGTGCACATTATTTATTCATCATCCTCTCCACCACCCCCTGCTCGACAAGGGAAAAAGCTTGCGGGACTGTTGCATGGCTTCTAACGAGGTACCTTGCACCACCTAAAAACTCGGATTTTATGAGATAGCCGAGGATTCGTGCGAGCTCGAGGTTTTGTCAACCAGTCTGTCAAGCTTACTATTGGCCGGGACACAGCTTCAGCTTTCGTGCGTTACCACTGCGTTGTCTTGTCTGGCTTCGAAATCTACGAGTAGATAAGCTCGCCAACGCAATATTCGCCACCTTGGTGCTTGTGAATTGACTTTCTGGTCGAATGTGGACAGAAAGCGTGTGGGTAAGGAAGTGTCTGTACGGAGTACCCCGTACTGTACTCGTATATGTTGAGAGGAAGTGCCTGCGCCCGCCAAGGAGCAGTGTCCCCATGGGCCAAGGCGAAGGATTGTTGTAAAGAGTAGAATGCCGGAGTTGCAATGTTTGCTGCGCGCGCCCGTTATGACTACCCAGGTAGAGGTCCCACTTCGGCACAAATGTCAGTCGTTTTTGCTTGCATGGTGTACTTGTTAGCACGACTTTGTATGGAACCTCTCCTGCTCATGCGCCGCGGCCTGCAAGAGGCGAGAGGCAAGCGGCAACTCTGCTGTGCATAGTGCGGAGAAGGGCCCGGAGGCTAAAACGCCGCGCTCGCTCCCTCCCGACCTCCCTGTGCACTCATATTTCCGAGTTCCCAATTGCCATTGAGGAACCCGAAGCTTGTGTTGTAGGATCCTTACACTGCGCAGAGAGCAATGTGTGATCAAAGTTTATTTTTGCCCAAAGGCGCATGGCGAGACGGGGCAGAATGCCATGTCAAGTTAGTAGAGCGCACGGATGCACAGCCACATATTGGAGCGAGATCAGAGTGCGACCGGATCACCTGTTCAGCGAGAGGCGGAGATCGTGGTGTTTTACGTCATGCTGGGTCTTTCAGCCATAACAACAATAATCTGTGTATCATGAGCACGGTCGACTTACGAGTAGATATCAATATTGATCTTCGAGTGAACCATAGCCGGCCCTGATGGACCGGTATCAGAGTATGATGCTCCCGCGTTTCGTTTCGCCAACAGAGGATCCTGTCTGATGATCGTCGAACCTCTCCACAACTGGCCCCTGCAATCTTTCGCATAGGCACACGCCGCAATACTGGGCTGCTCATCCGAGATGATGTTCATTTTACTTATCCGACGGCCACCCGGCCCACCAAGATAACAAATCTAAGGGCCGGAGGGTACCTCACCGTAAGCAAAGCCTGAAACGCTCCGTGGACGACCTAGGACTTGACAGGAGCACTTGGTATGTATGAAGTACGGAGCACTCAGCAGCCGTGAGTCGTGAGTGAGTCACGGTGATGCTAAATGAATTCGACACTCACGACCACAACACCTCAAAGAGTGGTTGTGAAGCGTTATTCATCTGGAAATAGTAATTCTTGATTTGTAAAAAGGCCTCCTGCCAGGACCCCAAAAAGGAGGTGAAAACGCGTCATAAGAAGTTGTGAGGGACCCTCGGCACGCGCCCACACTTGGTTGTCGCAGCGCCAACGGACAGATGGGTGAGGCTCTGTTAAATCGTTAATAAGTCCACAATCCAGTGCGTGATCGCTACTCTGTAATATCACGTACTCCGTATGGAGTATTCATTTGTCTCATCGGCCACTTGGAGGTCCCACAGCCCATGAAGCATTGATAGCATCAGAAAGAATACGGAGACCTGCTCGCTGCCTGTAGAGATATGTTCTAACCCAAGACTCGCGACATCAAGTGATTCACAACCGTCCGTGAGGAACTAGGCACGGAGCATTGGCTCACTGAGTCGAAAATTGAGCAGCTCGAAATAGTCGCTGTGTAATTTCCTGTGACGAGGGATGGAGCGGCACAGAAACATAGCCAAGTATGCACGTGGTGCTCGAGTCCTTCACCAGCGCTTCTAGGCAGGATGGTACATGAATATCAAGAGAGGGAATTGCACGTATTGATTAGTACACGCGGTTTGGGGCCTGTGGAATTCTTGAGTTGCTAGTCACTGATGCTATCTACGAAAGTGAACAGCTCCTGAAGACAGAGACTGGCTTGTATACAGCCTTACATGGAGCGTTAAAGTTGAGCATTTCTATGATTTCGTTCAATGGTCGTCGTTAAGAACTGCTGCCGGAAGATTTCCCTTGGACATATTTCCGGCTTT